CGGCGAGTGACGAGGGGAGTAGCAAAGGCGGTAAACCTAGAACCTGGTCCTCACCTTCAATCACAGCATGCGACGCGCTTATCTCTAAAACGCGGGCGCTCAGAAGAGCAGCCTGGTGGGGAGCAGAAGGGGAAAGGGCGTCCAGGCAAAATGAAAGCGTCCACTATCAGACGTATCCCCCGTCGGTCCGAGCGATTACGAGCCCTGTGATTCATGGAGTTGGGTTTTTGTTATCTCTTTTGTACTGTATTCTTGGATATAGCCTAGAATATCTCAATATATTGTAGAGTCCACCTTGAAAAGCTAGCTAGGCAATGAAATCATCTCTTGAACATAGATCCTCTATGTAAAACTTGAGGACAGATCCTGGCTTCTTCGGTTCAGATTAAACCGAGTGATAGTCTCCAGCACCGCGAAGAGGTGTCTGTCATTTGCTGGAGGGCGGACAGGAGGAATGTCATCGCAACCAGACCTGGTACTCGATCCAGGATTTGTGCAAAACCGTGTGGAACTTAATCCAACCTCGAGCCGTAAAGGAACATAGCTCAGGACTTCTTACCTGATACTTGGTCCAGGACTTTCGTTCGTACTACAGTGGGTCTACAGTGGGTCTACAGTGCGCCGTAGCTTCGACCCCGATGGGTGGGCTCACAGCAGAAGGCCCCTAGTAGCCACACTCAAACGAGGGACCAAAAGGAGAAGAGGAAACAACGGCGGAGGGCTTACTGTCGGAAATACTGGGTACTCAACTATCCCGCTATTGAGGATTTCCTGACGATGCTGCGCATGGAGAATATCAAAGACTTGATAGATCCATGAGGTAATTGGAGAACGTCCAGCCCTCCAACAGGGACTTGGAGGACTGAGTTAGAATAGGGGGTTCACCAGGTCACCAGGTCAGCGGGTAATGGTAATTACTGGTAAAGGTTTACCAGTAATTACTTGTAGATACTGGGTATTCCTTACCATTACCAGCACCTGGTGACCTGGTGAGAAAAATTGCCTGACCTGGTGAGTGAGTTCACCAGGTCACCAGGTCATTCATGAGTCTGTTGCCAGTGGTCATATCTAGTGATTACTGGTAACAACCATCATTTCAAGATTTACCAAGATTTACTAGTAAATCTTAACCAGACACACTGTATTTTTGACCTGGTGACCTGGTGAACCCTGAAAAAGGTACATTGGGGACTCCCCTGAGAAAGGCGGTGGACTTTTCTATCCACCGCGTGCTGCTTCCAGCGACGCTGACTTGGCATCTTGGCAATCATATTAGGTTTAGCGAGCCAAAATCCGGCAGAACTTTTGGATCAAAGTCGAGTCAAATTGCCTGGCAAAGCTTTCACTTTTAGCAATAATAACAACGGAATACCACACAGATTACACCAAGCAGTAGCCTCCACGAGAGTAGGCACCAGCTGTACGCGTCAGCCTGGCGCAGTACTACTTTCTACTCTGTGGTCGCCGAGAATCCTGGCAAGTCAAGGCTCGAGTGCCTAGACATTTTACTCGACAAGATCACCAAGATCCAACGGGCGCTCCCAACCGTTGACAAGTCCAAGGAGGCTCGGCGTATTCAACTACTTAACGCCTGCCATGGAGCTGAGGAGTGTACGCGTTGCCTGTACAGCCCTGCACCCACCTACGAAGGTGTAGTCAGCCAGCTCCGGTCTTCCATCAGCGTCCACACTGGGGCTCGGAGTTCCTCACAGCAGTTCACAACCTCCACAGGCCTTAATGAGCAGTACTGGACCGATCGCAAGTACAGGGGCAACGGCCGCAACAACCGGTTCGGCCGTGACAACCGAAATGGCCGTGCCGGCGACCGGCCCGCCTCTGATTCAAGTGCGTCAGATTATGAAGGTCAATATACTGTTCGTTCAAGACTGTTCGTTCAAGACTGTTCGTTCAAGATTGTTCGTTCAAGATTGTTCGTTCAAGTGTCCGTCAGAATATGAAGTCCGTGTCTCAATATCTAGTTTTTCTATGCACTCACTCTCTGCCAAAGTGAACATATTCGGCTGAATAAGTAAAGCAACCTCACTTTTCACCCACTATGCTAGTTTTGCTATTATCTGTTCGCAGACTTTGCCGGGGTTACTCAGCACTAATTGTACGTCACCGTCCTGTCCCCAATTTTATCACAAGATTCTTCGGTGACCAATAATTCTTCATCGCTCGCGTTTATTGTCGACTTACACAGCACAAAGGAGCTTTCAGCGGCCGTTTAAATTCCCCGCGGTCTGTTAAGCACTAGCTACTTCGACGTCTCGACACCTAAAAGACCGCCTCTACCTGAATACTAGGGTATTGCAGTTTACGATCTATCTTTGTCCGCTGGCGATAATTTAGCGTATGTGAAATATTTGCTCGGAGGTCGTAAACCCCCGCAGATTGATCTCTAAATACCCAGGAGAAGTCTACTGTTGACTGCTACCCGCCTGGCCTAAATAGCGGATCAGAATAGAATTAGCCGCGGGTAAACTTGGCCGAACGTCCCCCGTGTGCATTTAGACTCTAGTAGCATAAGAAGGAGTCATTGCAGTTCAGAGTGCACTAAGTATGGCACTCCGGTTGTATCTCAAAAGCAGCGAGAGAATTATCTGAATAAATCAGACTAAAAGTTCGTTCACAAAACTGACACTGCCTAGGGCAGTTTAACCTCGTTAATCAACCACAGCCCTTATTAAGGTTTAAGAAGGAGCTCCACATCAAGACTACCAATTTCAGCCAATCAGACCTACGCTAGCTAAGGGCACTCTGGCCGAAGACAGAGTGTTCTGAAGCAAGATCACAATTTCTCCGTCTACTATAGTGTAGGGGTTCTTCTCCGCTGACCTAATATTTCGTTGGGTTCTTCTTATTACCGTAGGCAGTCCGGCTTGATAAATCATATGCGATACAGGGGTATACGTTCCCTTGTCCTTTTCCAGTGCCCGAATCTCTCGCGCCGCTGAACTTCCGTCCATAACAGGCATTTCCTGATCCATGAGAATGCAGTCAAATGAATCGTGCTTCCACGCGTCAAGGGCTTCCTGCCCATTGTTGGCCGTGGTGACCTCAAATCCCGAGACTAACATGAATTGTGTAATTCCAGCCCTCCGCATTTTCCTACCAAAAATTATATTTTCCGGCTTCCTGGTCACATTCTTGACCAGAGAAGAAGCTAGCCATGCTTTTGTTCTGATTTTATCTCTGTGTATTTTGTCAACTGAGGCGTGTTACCCATGCACCTTGGGCAGCTTCTATTAAAACAACCGTCTTCTAAAATCATATGGACCAAAGTGACTTCTGGAAAACGGCGGGTGTCAAATTGAGGGTGGAAACTTGAATGAGATCAGTTGGCCCATTCACCCAACAATGTAGTGGCAATTTTGAGCCAGTTTGTCCTTTGATTTTCAGCGTTGCTCAATAGTTAGAAGAATCATGGCCAGTAAATAAAGCACCACTTTTGCAGAGACACAATAAGCAAATTAAGTCTTGTGCCTGCCTCATTAGTGATCTCTCCTATAGGTCCCGCGACCATACAGATCAAATCTGATCCACTATGAGAAGGCGGGCTTCAACATCAAAAGCCTTGGCAAAACGGACTATACTGACCCTGTAAGTTTCCGAACAGTCCTTTGCAGCAATCGCGCTTCCCAAACCTCGTAGCACACGTCAAAGTAGTGGTCACCGTGGGCCTTCTATCAGGTTGAAGCCGTCCTCTCGTAGAAAGCGTGTACCACCAGATGAATCTTTTGATCAGAACAGTGTTGGGGCGGCAGATTCCTTCTCCGGCTCATAGCTTTGTAGAGCCATCCCGCCTACATCAAGAAACCTTGTAAGTCAACAAACAGGGAAGCTGAAATAGCATTTCGCGGCCACTCACTCGATCCAGAGGTCGACGTACTTCTGGTGAAGGACTTTGACCTTACCAGCACATTATACCTGTTATGGAAGTCACACTCTCGGAAGAGTTCTTGGCAGGACTCAGTGGATTTGCGTTGCGACCCGTGTCTTTCGCCCGCTGAATCGAGAGCCTGGAGAAACATTTCGATGTCTCAATATTGAAAAAGAGTGTAGAATGAGCTTGAGGACTCAGCGAGAGCAAAAGGAAAGCCGACTTGTTGTGATGGTGGTTTTTCTCCGGTTCTGATAACCTGATATTTTATGGAAATTCAACCAGTACTTATAGCTCATCTTTGGAACTGGTGTCCGATGTGTCCGATGGAATAGTCCTAACAACAGCCAGTCTTGTAGAGAAGGGAGCATACAGCGCTCCCAGGATCACCAGGTTGATGCACATGCTCCAGAACGCATGCAATTCGTCCTAGGAGGAATACGCACGATGTGCAGCCAACATGGGCTATGATCATTCCTAGGAACAAACCAAGGGTGCTTCCAGGAGCTCATGAACAGGCTGTCAGAGATCGAGCATATTGGCTGTTTGGTCGCTGACCAAACATTGTGCCTTTTTGGCCAGATGGCGTAGTGGTAAAACCCAAGCATCCATGAACCGTCACACAGGCAAAATGGGTCATCGCTTGCTCCCAGGAACCGACCCTTGAATAGCCCCAATAGGAAATATTTAAAGCAGTTTTCATTGGGCACCTATAATTAACCTGCTCTCAATGTATGAAAGAATATTCGGGACAGGCTGGCACTGACCGATATGCAGTACCTACAGCATAGATTAAGATGGGAACTGATGCACCCCATATCTTCCAAGACACTACATACTACTAGACTTCAACAGACTGTTGTGGGCATTAGACCCGTACTGCCCAACGCCGCAAAGACGGTGGATAGTGGGTATGGCAGAGATGCGAGTCAATCCCAATTTGACTGGGTCCCTTCAATTGCACTGTTTCCCGTGGATCATCACTTAAATCCATCAAAAAACCCATATCTAGACAAACTCGGAGCATTCCACTGTCTATCTGTTTTCACCAACATCATCCTCTCAGTCTCGGGCTGCTTGTCATAACTTATAACGTAAAACCAGACAATACACCTCACTACGGGCAAGTCGTAACACTACCAGTCTCAACACAACAGCCAGCACCTCCACCACAAGAGCAACCAGTACCAATATTCAGATAATCAGAGAACTTCTTTCCGTTCTTATCCTCATAGTCTTGGCAACCGCAGATACTAGAAACATGAAATGTTTGATCAGTTTTTTGTCGCATGATTTAATGGAGTGAGGGCTGGGGAGTTGAATCGGCATTCTCTTACCTGGCAGTGGAGCCATATCCAGGATAGTCCATGTTCTCGTAGAGTTTGGAGATGGACCATTCATCTGATGGGTCGCAAATCCACAGGTTGAACATTCCCGGCTGAGTGTAGATCTTCCTCTCCATAATGTCCGAATAAGACCATTTCAAGGTTGTATCAACATTTGTATCCACCGGTGGAGTATAATTGAATCCTCCAGTCACAAAGCTATTGTAGCTGCCCTGGATAACGTGGTCAATCGTGAAGTTATAAGTTCCGGTGTCCAAGTCCTGACAGTTCACCACAGTTAGTAGATGTTCGAGGCCATTTTTGAGGTGCTCAACGTATTTGAATCTCACCTTGTAGCCAGGAGGGTCATCATATGTATAAATGACATTATAATCGCTTATTCTGAACAGAATCAAGTCAGTACCCGAGTAATGCGAAGGTGGCAAGGGCCTGGATATTTACCCTTGTAAGTAGCACCCGTAACCATCATCGTGATCCACCCAAGCCTGGAGCTTCTCGTTCCACTTGTCTGTATAGCCGTCGACTAGAAAATGATTCAGCAACTTTCTCCGGTTGTTAGAAGATTGAAGAATCAAAAGCCTTACAGGTGCTCTCATCCATTGGATAGCAGTATAGGAAGACCGTGTCCGCGTTCCATAACTTATTGACAATCGTAGCTTCAAAGATCTGTTGAATATGCTGTTGAACTTCAATCTCACTGATTTGATTCGAAGCCTTTGGACTGATGATAGGAATATTCCGTATGTCCAAAAAGACACCATGGTCGAATAAGTCAATCATCTTCTTGCTGCCGCGAACAATATTTTCTTTCCAAGCGACTACCCACTCTTTTTGAAGGGCAACCGACCATGAAGAGGCCGTGCTATAGAATCATTGTCAGTATAAGCTGCACATCCTGTACTTCTTTTCGCCACTCTCCGGAAAGATTACTTACAGACTCAGATTGTCGGCTGCGGTCTTATCAACTTCATTGATTGCGTTCAGACCTTCGGTGACCATGCCCCCGAGGAAAGCGCCCACTGCCGTCACCTCGACATTTCCTGTCAGAGTGGTGACAACCACAAGCATTGTACTGATTGCTGTTAAAAACTCTGACAAAAAGAGGCCCATGTCCGGAGGTGGTGGCCAAGTGAAGTCTTTGTACATGGTCTCTGCGAGGTTGCTGAAGTTCGAGGGCATATCACCGGTTGCTGTGTAGAGAGCTCGTATAACCTAAAGGGGAGAGAAAAGGCATGTCAGTATATGAGATACCTCGGTATGGAAAGATTCCACCATTATTAGATATGATTGAAATTTGGGTGGACTCACATATCGACAGAGCGGTGCAATACTTCCAACCTGTACCCTCTTCTGTCGTCGTGCCGTCCGGTGCCAGACATGTCTCGGAATCAATTCTAGAGCAAGCGGACATACTTTGTCCGCGGCCCAATGGGTTCATCATTTCCATGACAAAATCGTCGCCGTCATAATCGTCCAGGTATGAGGACAATGCAAGAGTGGTTCCTATTTTATCCCAAATCGAGGAGTCAATGATCCCAGCTAGAATTGTGGTACAATGTCAGCAATCAGTTCTTTCACAACATGAAAATGCAAGAGTACGGTCCACTAATATGATAATATGAAGGGAAAAGACTTACAGGCACCAACGTCCGCACAGCTTGCATCACTTGAGAAATTAGCACCAAGCTGCTCCAATATCATGGGGTTGTCGCAGGAGTAGAAAGTCGGGCTTGTCATCTTCTTGCAATAGTCTTCTGGACAGTAACCATATTCGCAGCTGAAGGCACAAAGGCCAGAGTAACTGGTATCCAAAGTGGAGACTGGACAGTAGCTGCCAGTGGCTGAAATCAAAGTAGAAACAATTGTACCGTTCTCAGTGCAGGTACACATGGGACTCGGGCAGAAGTTGTACTGGCAACTGAACTCGCACAAATCTTTGTAGTCATCATTGCCAGTGCCCGCAGTACAACCCGTAGTGGAAGTCTTGGGGGTACAACTTGGGAAGGAAGATCCAGTGGCTGCACTGATAGATTTGCACTGGGATTCGAGTGTACTCTCGTCTCCGTCGAGGTCCACAGCCCAATCCGTTGTGCCACCAAAGTTGAGACTCTCATACAGTGCTGTTCGGACCGCCTTATTGGCATCACTCATCCAGGCTACCCACTGCGTGTCTCCGAAAACCAGCGTGTCAGAGTAACTATCCGCATCAAAAAAGTAGTCTGGGTCGGACATGGTAGACTGCGCATAGGAAATCTCCGCATTGCCGAGATATCCAGCGGTATCGGTACAAGAACCCTTCCATGCCCCAGATTCGGGTCCAGTGTAGGTGCACATTGGGTCATAGCACCCTGGCGTTGTCATTTGGAAAGATCGGCCATAACTAGTGACACCAACCATGATCTTGCTTGAAGCCACACCAGCCTTAGTGATCATTGACAAGCTGTTGATGGTTTCTGTGAGATTCACAGCGGATCGCAGGCAGTTTCCGGCAGGGCAGCCAATCTGGGCGTTTTTGTTGTCGTAATCCCATTGTCCATGGAGATCGTAGGTCATGAAAATGATGTAGTGGACGATTTGGCCAATAGCTTGGATTGGGAAACCTTGCAAGTACCAGAACGAGGCAGGGGCAGCAATTGAGATGGACGTTCCAGGCTTAGAGGATTCCAGGAATTGAACCCGCAACTCATCCAAGAACATGAAATAGTTGATACCATCTTGCAAACTGCCAGCCGGAATGAACTCGATATCCGGCTCGCTGGGGTACTCCCAATCGAAGTCAACACCATCAAGGTTATACTTCTCCACAAAAGCGACAACGTTGGAGGCAAAAGTAGCACGGTTATCCTCAGTCACAGCCTGGCGGAATCTATCGTATGTGTCCAAGTTTGTAGAGAAGTCCCAGCCACCAAATGAAAGAATCTTCTTCCAGTTGGTGCCAAGATTGACGAAAGTATTGAACTGTCCTGTGATATCGGACACATTGACTTTGAAATCGGAGGTGATGGTAGCAAATCCCAGATGAACATGGGTATAGTCTTTGGCAGCGATGCTCTCCACGGACGCACTCAGGCAGGGGCGTGTCTGATCGTAGCCTTCAAAATATGCGACTTTCCTGAATTCTGAAGGGGCATCGGATTTGACAATTGAAGTTCCACAGTTCGGGATGCAGCCGTTTGTGTTATTCTTCGCAGTGCCAGGTGCCCCGGTAGTGGATTCAGTGATGGTACAAAATTCGTCCGTTGTGCCACATTGTCCCCAAACATCACAACAGGCATTTAGTGGACATTCGTTCAGTGTGGACAAATTTGTGCCAGAGGGCGGGGTGATTGTGCACAGACAGCATTGGCAACCGGAGCGGGCATAGGGGGGAACCATCGCTGAGGCAGATATAGCCCCCAATTTGAAGATCATTGCAACCGAACCAGCCCCACGTCTCTTTGTTCCATTTTTCAATATCGTCAGCATCTATGTCATAGGCTGCCGACAGACCCTTGCAGGTATCTTCAGGCTGAATGGCATAGGTATGACAGGTACCGTTGGAGTACTTTAAAGGCGTATAGTCAGGGAGTGTGCCTGAGGTACAACAGACATGCTGGCCTGGTACCAAGTTGTTGCACCATGTGGTGGAGCCTGAGTTATACTCATAGAACTGAGAGAGGGTGATACCACAAGTCGTTGCTAGATCACCACATAGCTGTCCGAATTGAACCTGAGTGGTGGAACAAGTCGATCGAGGGTGCAAAGCGTGCAAAGCGCGAGCAGCATGACTAGCAGAGGGTTGAATTGCGGGGGTGGCAACTTGGTGCGGGAGTTGCATAGAGAAGGTGATATTCTTCCGGTCTGAGGAGTCTCCAAAAGAAGTCACACAATCGCCATTGGTCCATGATTGGACCGCATGTTGAACCGCAGCGATGTCACCAGTAGCATCAGCAATTATTCCAAGCCCATAACGACTACTACGACTTTCATCGCAGAGCTGCAGGAGCAATGTATCGGGCGAGTTGCTTTCCTTCAATGCAGAGACAAATTCCTTCACGGCAGTATCTACCAAGCCCTGTCTTTGTATCTCAGAGCCAACGTAGATACCAACCACGGCCTTACCAGATGTGGCAAAGGCAGTGGTCTTATTACAAGAGGCCTGTTGCTTGACGTATTTCTCGAGGTCTTGAGTGACAGCAACAATATCTGACACCTCACTTGAGGAACGACTTGACTTCGTCTGGGCCACTTGTAAGCTTGCGGTGACGCTCTTGGTGGTACCAGTATGGGCCTCGCATGAGACACTGCGGGTAGAAAGCGCTGTATCGTCAGAATTGACAGTACAGGCCCGGATGCTCTTGTGACTGTTCCCACTGGAAAGTGAGTTGAAGAGTACAAAGTCAAGCATCATAGTTTCATTGCACCATGATAAACGGTCAACGCTGTGATAAACAGTCCAGTTGCTGTGGTTGGATCCACTTTCACTGCAGCTCAGTGGACAGCGGCTTCGAGCAGCCCGGACAAGTGCAGGGTTGGATTGAAACACGCCATGGATAGTAGCAGTTGGGCTGCTATGGGCGGTTGCGGGCCGGGACAAAGTTGAGATAGGGTGTAAACGAAAGTAGTCATCCAATTCCCCAGGCAACGCACCAACCAGCCAGGACTGGCTGGCCAGTGCGGCAAACAGTGGGTAGAATAGGTGCATAGGAAATGTAAAGCAGAAATAGAAAAGATTAAATTCACGAATGAATGGATAGAGTGTTTGGTTTCAATGTTCTATTGCAAAATTTACGAGAGGAAACACGCTTTTTCTTTATACATTGAACGTGATAATTCCATTTCATAACTATTGTGACTTCGGCACACCGGCACCTCAAAGATTTCTTTTCCCTAGCTAGAGTTGGAAGCAATCAGTCCAACTCAATACGAGACGGCGATGAAAACCGAGGCCGCTCGTCGTGTTCGCTCAATTTCCACATTTCATCCTATACAACCCAGGGACCAATTGGGAAGGACATAGTATCCATTTGACCCGAGTCAAGTGCTCCTATTCGTTACTTGCAAGTCCCAAGAATGCCTAAGCATCTATATTCCAAGACTCGACCCCAAAACGCTAGCGTCTGTTACATCGCTGCGGCATCAACTCCGCATAATCCGCTAAGGCAGGCCATTCCAAGACATCAGCACTATGGGACGCCTGATAATGGCATGGTACCCACGTTCCTTGAACGCCCCAATAGTATTGTCGCCTCCAGAGGCAACAGAAGTCATGACATATTCCAGCTCAAGTTTAGTTTTGCCGCTAACAGGAATATTTTAGCCAATACAAATGCGAGTGTGTCAGGGTTTTTAGCGTGAGGTATTCTATACTAGTCCGTACAGAGAACGCGTTCCGCCCCCGAGGACGACCTGTTGGCTTTGGTGAAAGTATGAGCTACAGCGGAGGTGAACACGTGATGGAATCTAGAGAAGCCAAGGTACGGCCAAGGGGAACCAATCCAAAATGAATGGATGAATTGATTGAAGAGAAGAAGAGACAAAGCGGAAGGCTGAAGCGAGGATACAATAATGTGTGAGTCACTTACGCAACCCGCTAACCTAGCGGTAAGTTATTGATAGAGGAGGTCCACTGTGGAACTGTAGAGTACTCTGAATAATATCGTATGCGTCTAGACTCTAGGCCTCTAGGGAGGAGAGATATCTACATGAGACTGAGAGGCTAGCTAATAAGGTGTGCGGGTCCGCGGGAGCAGGCGAGGTCACGTGACCTCTAACAATTATCTAGATTCTAGCCTAGCGTATTCCTACTAGTACTACCCATAACGTATTCCTCGACAGCTTTCTAAAACCACTACGTACTAAGTCGGACCGCTTTCCCGCGAAAAATCTCTTTTCTGTCCTACATACTCCGTAGTTAGGGCTAACTTCTTTCCAGTTCTAGCCACGGTAAACAGCCGGGATATAAGGCAGTCTAGTTCCTTGCCTTATCTTGGGGCTATAAGCGGGTAAAATCTTCGGCGTTTCGGGGATCTCCGTGCATTATGCATAAAGCTACCAAGAATGCTTGTCATTGCTTGTCATTGCTTGGAGGAAATAAGCAAAGACAGAAGTGCACGGACGTTATGAAGGATTCCACAGTGCCAAGATTCGCCAAGAAGAGCGAATGATAATGAAGTATGCACTGCCGTAAATGAGGCCCAGAGGGAATCAATCGAAATATTCAACTCCTAACTACCTACTATTTCTGACCTAGTATGTCTCAGTTACAATTCCGACTTCGGAGAGTAGAGTCATCAGGCGGACTTGATTTTCAAACTTGGGAATTAAATATTCCTAGTGATGATTTACGAGATATTTGAAGATTTTCAATGGAAAGGACAACAAAAAAGAGCGAGATTTGAAGGGCTACTCGTACATACTATGTCCGACCTGATACTCGCCAGGGATTAGGATGTTGTCATGTTGAACTTAACCTTCCACATAAAGTCACCAGGGCTGTATCCAAATTTCAACTCCAGAGCGTAGGAGGCCTCGGGCTTGAAGGCGACCCTACTGTAGATGCGAAGTCCGGGCTAGATCTCTAACATTGTAATTCTCCAATTTCACGGATGCGACAACGACCGGCCACTATCATTTATGGCTCCAAGCTAGAGCCAGCCCATGATCCCTCGGTAAAAGCGGCATAAACAATGTACCGTGTTCCTTGGGAAGTATAAAATCCTCTGTAAGTATCACTGTAAGGTCTTTGCTCTCAGGAAACCATCATCTCTCACAGATTCAAAGGATTTTTTGACCTTGGTTTGCAACCATGAGACTTCTTCGATATCCTTTGGCTGTCATTGTCGGCACCCCACTGGCTGCAAGCTATTTGGTGGCTCCTCCAGGAACTGCTTTCCCAGGCACTATATCGACTTGCAGTGGATTGGTTGCGTACGCCTCGGGCATGACCTGTGCCTCAATTGAAAGCACATATGGCATTACCGCAGCAGAGTTTGCTACTTGGGTGAGTGTCCATTATAGTCATATCTATGTTTGGGTCAATCAACTGACATTTCTAGAACCCGGACTGCGTTTTGGGTGGGTCATGCTCAGTGATTAGTGGCTTCGACTACTGCGTTGAGGTCAATTACGGCACTACTTCTGCGTCATCTGCTTCGTCCACGCCGAGCGCTTCTACTCAGACTACATTTGTCACCTCTACCACTACAACGGCTGGAAATGGAGTATCTACTCCAACTCCAGTTCAGGCTGGAATGGTTGACAACTGTAACAGCTTCCATATGGTAGTCAGCGATGATACTTGCGCTACCATTGCCTCCGCAGCTGGAGTTTCCCTGACTGATTTCGCCGACTACAACCCTGGTGTTGGCAGCGGATGTTCTTCCCTCTGGCTTGGCTACTATGTCTGCACTGGTATCATCGGCGTGACTGCTAGCAAAACTACCATAGCCTCTACTACCACCGCGGGGAATGGAATCACTACTCCAACCCCTACTCAAGCCGGCATGGTCGATAACTGCAACAGCTTCCACATGGTTGACAGTGGTGATTCGTGTCAAACTATTGCCACAGCCGCAGGAATTGCCCTGGCTGATTTCTACTCCTGGAACTCCGGTGTCGGCAGTGGTTGCTCTTCTCTCTGGCTTGGCTACTACGTCTGTACTGGTGTGGTCGGATCTACTCCCACGACTACTGCAGCAACTACAACAACAACCGCTGGCAATGGAATCAGCACTCCCACCCCCACCCAAGCTGGCATGGTCGGTAACTGCAATAGCTTCCATATGGTTGACAGTGATGATACATGTGCCACCATTGCATCGGAAGCGGGCATCTCTACCACAGACTTTTACTCATGGAACTCTGGTGTTGGTAGCGGCTGCTCTTCGCTTTGGCTTGGCTATTATGTCTGCACCGGAGTTGTTGGATCCACCCCCACAACTACCAAGAAGCCTACTACTACTTCAACCGGGAATGGGGTTACCACTCCGACCCCTATTCAGCCTGGAATGGTTAGTAATTGTAAGAAATTTCACGAGGTTGTTAGCGGGGACGACTGTCAGGACATTGTCGACCCGGCGGATATTACTATGGCCCAGTTTGAAGCATGGAACACTCAAGTGGGCAGCAACTGCTCAACATTGTGGTTGGGCTATTATGTTTGTATTGGAGTCCTTTAGTTAGATCCACATAGTTGACTAGTTAGTTAGTTGCCGAGAAGGGACTAGTTAGGTAGAATTGGGAAGCTCGTAGTTAGTGAAAATAAAAAACGAACATGGATTTAGTGTTGTTGACCCCTTTCGCTCGATACCTAGTTATGACCCTTGGATCCTCGTACTACTTCGTAAAGGGCATTAAATTCAGGGGGCCAGTCAAGGAACCCCAGCAAACAATGGACTTTCTTTCTGCTACTAAAAGTGCTCAAAGTCGAACTGACTAGGCCTCGATTTCCTCTAACTAGTAACCATGGCGTTCTGCATGGAGGCTCTAAGCCTCTAACTAACTAAGCCTTGTGGGGGGCCTAATTTCAGTGGGACGTCTACTCCGTAGCAATCACCAATCCCATTCGCCTCCCCTGCAAGCTAGCCTTTCGGCTAGATGTCACGCCGAGTTGGCTTAAGCCGGATTAGGCCATGCGCTAGCTGGAAAGACCTGCCCTGATCGTGAGCATTTGTGTTAGAGACTATGCCTGACGGTCTCTCACTGTCTCTCACTGTCTCTCACTCTCTCGGCTCCAGGATAAATCGGCTTTTCAGCCTCCAGGCAGCTGCGGCCCGCGGGGCGTCCGACTACATGTTAGACGATCTAAGACGAATACGAGGCAAGGCAGAGTCTTAGAATTACCTAGTTAAAACTGGACCCAATTGAAGTCGGGTCCTATCTACAGACTAGTTTGCGTTGCATCGTCCACAGCCCGGGCTAACGTACTGTGTATTTGGTCAGCCAACTGCGCATGCCCGGATGGTTGTTGAGATGATAATTATTATCATCTCAACTAGACCTCGCCACGACCCTGGGTCCGGGCTCAGACCTAGCGTGAACACGATCTATATTTTCCCCAAAAACCTCCAAAACACTTCGCTTAAATACATTGAAGAGTAGGTATTACACCTCTAGAAACTCATCTTATATTTGAATCAGGCGAAATATTGGATGCCTGCCCGTCAGATGCAAAAATATGCCCTCTTGAATCATTCAGGGTCAGGACAGGTCGACGGGATGGTCACCCTGACTTATCCTTTGGATAGTTAGGTCACAGGTGGAAGGAATAACTAACTTAGCCAATTGGCTTGAGGATTTGAATAAAAAAGCGGGCTTTAATCAGATAAGAAATAATTGCTCCTCCAAATGCTGTAATTGAGATACCCAAAAATACAGCCGAAATCTTGCACAATTTATGCTCCGCGTGACTTGCCAATATTAATGTTTGTCTTGTTTGACGACCCTGAGGGTAGGTAGGTTATGTAGGTTCGCGATTTCTATGTACCCGTCCAGGTTCCGGGTCACACCCTTAGGACTCTACAACCTTCATGGTCCAGGTTCCGGTCCAGGTCGTCAGGGTCTGAGGGTCACCCGCGAGTTGTAGCGAGGTCTAGATGATATCGCGTCTACTATGTGTTTTGCGCTGCCCAGCTCGCTTACCGAATACGTTACGGACTACGTTAAGTACTTAACTAGTTATGGAGAAACTAGTTAAGTCAACCACAGTTCAGGGTCGCATAGTTAGCCCCTATTCTTTCTCAGAGTCAGATCGTCCCTGCAGGCTGCAGCCACCATCCGGCCCTAGTCTGTCTGGGGCTGATTGGGGCCCGTTGGGCGCCTGCCGTGATTCCCGGTCACTTGAGCTACATTCACGTTTGCCCCCGTCTTTGCCGTCTCTTTCACCAGCTTTTTCTTTTATTCTCGTTCTCCGCCTTGCTCGATTTATTTTCGACGTAGCACGATGAGACGAATTTTGTCCACACTGGCTTGTTGCCTCCTTCCCCTAATCGCATCCGCGGAAGGAGACGCGAAATACAATGCTTCTCTCCCATTCCGACCGAGCAATATTACAGGACTAAGTGATATCTATCTTTGGGTTGGATCGTATGTCGTTTCTTATAATCTTATTTACCTATATCGTTGTTGCTAATTTTTCGTAGGTATTACAATGCCACAACGAAGATAGAGTTCACGCCCGAGATCGGATCGACAATCAACGAGTCTGTATGCGAAAATCTCCAAGGCCAAACATTCACTGCGGAATATGAGTCTTTCCTCGCTATCACTGAGAGGGGCCCTTACAATCTGGGATCAAACCCAGTCAATACCCTCTTGACCCTTTGGCACTCAGATGCAAACCTTACCTCACTCTCCGGGTTACCATGGTCCTCCTCGTCCCTAGAATGGTATCTCGAGTCAGCCCCGTAAGTTAGAACCCACCCTAGATTGAAAGTAAATCCTTTTTGACTAATTCCAATAAAGTTGGGTGTACCATGCGGACAATCGCTCAACTGACAGCGACGACAGAACCGTATCTTCCATCAACAAAGATATCTTCAATTTGACCATGTCGCCAGACACTAAAGGACCTCCATACAAACTAACAGGAGCCATCAAGGACGCAGACTTGATGGTGACTGGTTTTGACATGGATCTCAAGCCCTGCAACACTTCCACTGAGATCAGCCGGAATCAGATGACGCTCGTTGATCGTGATTGGTCTAATAATGCTGGTTGGAACTGGACATATCCCATGGTTGACGTTCAATTTGATAGCCGAACGGCCAATTTCACCTTGAATGGATATGCCGCTGGGTTTCCCTATCCGATCAATCCCAGAGGGTCAATGGGTCGGGATGAGGTACAGGGGAAGATCAAGGTGTCCTTCTTCGGGGTCATCGACTCTTACCACTCCGATACTTTGGTCAATAGCAGCTCAACGCCCACTTGGCTTCGAACCGTCGGGTTTGGAAACAACTCCGCGAATATAGGCTATGGTAATGGCTCTCTTGGCTCGCCCCGTCCATTGCACTGGGGAGCTGTTGCGGTTTGCTCTGTTGTTTCCTTGGCTTTTATGTACTTCTAATCACCCTCTGACGAATTTATACTGTGCATATGAATATAATTATCTAGGCATTCATCGAGACACTGTTCTAAATTTGTTTTTCTTCATCCCAAAATTATCTATCGCTCCGTATCTTGAAAGACACCGACTTAAGACTTTTGTTGAACGTGAACCTAGTTTTCCAGGTCACCCCATCTTTACACAGTATATGTTGGTATGATATGGAACTGGTGATTGAATTGCACATCTTGATATACTTTTGTCGGATCTTGGATAAGAAACTTTCCTCTAGCTCCTCTGATTCTATTAATATCGAAGTAATGATAACGACGACAATTCGATTTATTTCGTGGTCTCGGAAGAATATCAAGAATATGAAAAGCTCGATGGCAGTAAGTAGATCACGCCTGAGATTATTTTGTATCATACAAACGAAAACATAACAGTTACGTTACCTTACATTGGATAAAATACTTCATGAGCCAAGCCATGTCAAGTGTGGCGGTGCAACGATGTACTAGTAATGTAACGGTGTTTTGATTTGTGATATGCCCGCTGTAATCGGTTTTCGCCAGAACACGCTGTGTTCACACTCACACCATAACGATTTTACGCAGCGAACATCTTCAGCTTTTAAGTCTAGCACGAATGACGGCTTACTTTCTGACAGAAGGTATTCCCAGTAATTCTGACTCTGGAGGATGTAACAAAGATCTTTCATTTTTTTGGTTTTCGCTAGCGACAAATACCTTTCGCTGGAGTCTTGGGTACTGACATTGTGACCTTAGAAGACAGAGGTATGTTGAAGAGTTGAGTCTCTATTATTTATGAAAAGTAAGTTATGTACAAATAGACTACAATTGACACACAGCGTAGTGCTCGAGTTACATAAACCACTTAGCGAGCATATCTCCGACGGACCATCCGATTAGACCCTGATCTGGTGCATCGCTGAGGAAGTTCTAAATCCTTCCAAGCCTGTCGCAGAAAGGCCGTATCTATGTCTACAAAGTGGAGCCCAATCTGCCTCAAGGTCAGATTTTTGGCCTTGAGCTCTAGCAGCTTTCGTTTTTCTCTTGTATTAAGCTTCTGACGGAGCTTGCGAGTACTCAGATCACCCAGATTATTGAGTGGTGACTGTGATCTTGGCTTGACTCGAGTGAGCGAGACACAGGCTTGATTACCAGAAAGGGTTTTGTCGTCGGATTCTGCCTGCATATGATGGTACTCCTCACGCCTAAGCTTCGGCCTTTGATTGCTGGGGGAGATGAGAGAATCTGGTCGTAAAGCCTTGCCTGGCCTTTCATTTGCTTCTTTGCCAGCACAATCTTTGCTAGATCGTTTAGACAGCTTTTGGCAAGTATAGGGTTCGTTCTTTGCCGCCAGCTCGTCCATAGAGAGATCGGGCGGTCCAGCTGAACAGTTGCTTGATTGTAAGGCTCGCAATCATCTCCCATGCGAAGTTCAATTGGCTTGAGGATCCGAGGGTCAATGACTTCAAGACCGGGAGTTGTTGGCGGGGAGCTGAGTGAAGAATCTGCTGCGGGAAAGTATGATGCAGCTGCGCTACTTCTACTGCTTTCACTTGGAGTATCACTGAGTTCCGAACAGTAATATCGTTCGGGATGTTCCTCAACGTACGAAAGCGATGCAGAAATGGGCACAAATATCTGGTCTGGCTGCTGTTCGTGACGCGGAGGCGGATGAGGGTAAAAGCGCAACCTTTTGGGTCGCTCCTCCTCTAGCTCTGTCGAAGATCTTTGTGCTTCCAGCTCCGTCTTGAAGGCACGCTTTCTCTTCCTCGGAAGCTTTGGACTAGACCACATAGCTTTGTTAAGCCCGTGGATGTCGTGCAGATGATGTCGAAGGTCACGCTCATTGTCGAATTCTTGGGCACAACCGCATACTGGCTTTGTTGTAGGCCACTGGAGCCGACACATGTGATGTTCTTCGATGTGTTGCCTCAGGTTGCCACTTTTCAGCCAATAATCCAATCGTTCTTCCGCGGGAAGATACGCATTCCACAGGCACAAGGGACAGTAGCCGGGGCGGATTACTGTGTGACGATATATAATAACTTCACAGTGTTGGGTTTCCCACGACTGGAGATGAGCATTGCAGTGATCTCGCCATTCACTTAACAAGCACCACTCCATACATTCGTAACAAAAGCGCATTTGTGACTCCGAGACTTGGAAACCAGCTGCCTTCTCGCTTCGAACGCATGCATGGATGTGAGTGCTTCGTTCACTTTTTTTTAAGCTGATTGAATCTGTCAGAGGCTGCATAATCACGGCCGAAGATCCACTTACCTTGTAATGATGACCTGGCAGGCTTTCGCCGGACAGGCACTATGAATTGGACTTTCATTGGGAAGGTAGACCACATCAAAATCGCGGGAGCATTGAGTCTGTAAGTCTTTGACGAACATGATTTTCTCTTCAAAGGACAACTCAGTGGTTCGGGACATCGCTGTTGCGATTCGCGCAATTTCAGGCATGATCAAACTCTGAGCACGTATACAAACATCATTTGTCACTGAGACCGGCTGCTCTTTGCCACGATTGAGAATTTTTTGATCCCTTCTCGCCTGTACCCACGAAGTTTGATACCTTTTGAGTTCAAACCGGCGTTGCCGAATCAATGCGTTCCTGTAACGCAGCTTCGCGTCCCGAAGATCCGTCTGATTATTGCACTTTCTGAGATCTCCGATGCGGCTTCTCAGTTCCACCATTTCAGGTAGCATCAAAATGCTTTCCTCGTATCATTGAGCACTCACTGAGCACTCACTGAGCGATCTCGGAGCACGCACTGAGCATACCCAAGTGGTCACTGAGCAGTCACTGAGCACGTCGCGGATTAGTCATTGTACACGTGACCGAACTTGAGCATGCTCACTGAGTCTGAGCCCGTGCTGACATCTACTCACTGATCCTGAGCCTGAGCGCCCTCATAAAGCGGCGGCAGCCCAGGTAGGAAAGGCCCCACCCGGCAGACTTTATCCTGTCTATATAGTTGCATATGAGCGAATCAGTTTCTAGGCAATCAAAATAAATAGCCGCGTTGGCCACAAAACCGGACTGTAGGGGCTTGGCTGTTGCTGACATACGAAAGTTCTCCGCAGCGCGAGGCTCCGCCGATTGCCGCCTACCCAAAGTCTCTCTTCACACTCACCTTTCTATGGTGATCGTCTTTGCACGAGGCAGATTCTCCGAATCAGAATGCAGTCTTTCGCCCTTTGAGATCAAATGCTCACCGTCGAATCCGGGGCTCGTCTTAATCGGCCGTACCTGCGAGCTGGGGTACCCAGTGTGTTAGGGGCGCACGACAAATAGAGCTTTCCTCGAAGCGACTATAAGCAGCACTTGAGTACTGTGGTCGCCTTGCTCAGACGACAAGATGTCATCAATACAGTCATCCCTAATTGCGAATCTGCTCCCTTCTCTACTCTCCACCGTCTCTCAGTCCGGATCACCCGCACTCGCTGCTACCTCCATCCACCAACTATTCGCGGCGCCATCAAATTCGACTGCGGGAACGCCGGGTAATAACGATGGCAATGACGGAGGAAATATCCATGAATGGTCATCGCTGATCGGCATCATCACGGCTCTCTGCGGAAATGTTTTGATTTCATTAGCCCTCAACATCCAACGCTACGCGCATATTCGAATCGGAAGAGAATGGGAGCAGGATAAGAGCCGGAATGGTATAAGTGGCGGAAATGGTATGTCTGTTGAGCGGAGAGGAAGGTCTCGGGATCGATACCGCGACTTTGAGCAGGATGAGTTCCGCCCGTATCGCGATGAGGAGGGCGATGATACTGAAGGGCGAGGCGGCGGTTCGAGCTCGCGGGGCACCAGCACCGGAAGCAAGGATGCATATAACGGCAATCGTAAATCGTACCTGAAGTCTCCGTACTGGTGGGTTGGGATTGTGCTGATGGTTGTGGGCGAAATGGGCAATTTCATGGCCTATGGCTTTGCGCCGGCTTCGATCGTCTCACCTTTGGGGGTCGTGGCTTTGATTTCTAATTGCATTATTGCCCCGTGCTTGCTCAAGGAGAAGTTCCGGAAGCGCGACTTTTGGGGCGTGCTTGTCGCTATCGCTGGTGCCGTCGTCGTTGTTCTCAGTGCTCCGTCCTCTGAAGAACAACTTGGGCCTCACGAGATCTGGGTGAATATCACGCGCTGGGAATTCGAACTCTACCTCGGATTGACCACATCTCTGATTATTGGTCTCATCTGGGCAAGTCACCGATATGGCGCGCGATCAATCCTGATTGACGTTGGGCTTGTTGCATTATTTGGTGAGGATCCATCCAATGTCTCCCAAGCGTCGCTGCTATTCATTCTGAGGTCGTATCTGACTGCTGACTTGTATAATAGGCGGATATACAGCCCTGTCTACGAAGGGTGTATCCACACTCCTATCTGGCACATTATGGCACATTATCACATTCCCCATCACCTATCTTCTTGTCTTCGTCCTTGTGTTCAGCGCATTGATGCAAATTCGTTACATCAATCGTGCGCTGCAACGCTTTGATTCTACCCAGGTGATCCCGACACAGTTCGTTCTCTTTACTCTTGCTGTTATTGTTGGAAGTGCGATCCTATACCGTGATTTCGAATCGGTAACAGCCGTGCGCGCAACAAAGTTCGTTGGGGGTTGTCTGTTGACTTTCCTTGGTGTTTACTTTATTACGAGTGGCAGAATACGGGCCGATGACGAGTCCTCGTACTCATCTGAAGATGAGGAGGGTTCCATTGGTTTACTCAATGGCGAAAGATATCGTGACAGGATTGATCTGTCTCCCCCCGTCATCAGTTGCCGAAGACCTCGAACTACTATGTAGAAGCGCCAGAGGACATCCCACAGTCACCGAGTGACTCTTTATTGACCCAAAGTATCGAAGGGGCGGATGATGATGGGACGACTCCCCCGGGGAGTTCTTTCCGCTGCGCCCTCTTCACCTCATGGGTCTTTGACCGACGAGTCTCCTCTATCTCCTCCGTCGTTTGACTACACTTCGCCATTGCGACCCCCGTCTCGCATGTCTAACCCATGGGCAGACCTTCATGACCAAGACACCCAGACCACTAATCCAGACATCCGCCCTGTCACCCCACCCGGGCAGGAGGATGACTCCGCTCAAGCCTCCACAGTCCTCCTGCGATTCCCTCCTGCCCCAGGCCTGGAAGAAACGTCAGGGACCGATGGTAACGCCGGTACTTCGCGACGTGCCTCAACCCCGAATCTTCTCAATCAGGCCACCTACCCTGGTCGCAATGAAGCTCCTCTCGAGTCACCGTCACGACGAGCTTTGCGCAACTCTATCTCCCATCGCTTCTCTCCCGGGCCTCTTCTACCTAGTATCTCAGGTGGCTTTTCCGCAGTGGTCGCCGACTCCATCCGACGTGGTGATGGCAGCCCTCTCAAGGATCGTCCGAGACGAAAGTTAGGACGCCGGCGCCAACTTGATGGTGCTTTTGTAGAGCCATCTAACACAGATAGAAACGGGGACACCTCGCTTTCCCTTGCAGCTGCTCGCCTGCAGTCTGCTACCAACCCAGATGACAGACGTTTGGAGGCTGGCCGCTCGGCCAGGGCTCTTGCGACAGCAACCATCAATGATCCAACGCAGCCCACCGACGAGGAGGTCACCCGTATGCGCAGTCTGAGTGACTCGTGGAGTGGTGGGCTTGCGTGGCTGGGCGGTGCTCTACGCAGAGCCCAGAACATCAAGCCCGCTGACAGTGTTGCTGCCACAGCAACTCCAACACCAGACAATGAGAGGCAACCTGAAGCAAGCAGCACTTCAGGTGGAGATGCTGACGCCGAGACCGAAGCTCGGCGATAATTAACCCGGTATGCCTTGGCTTTGCCTTGGTGAAACCGGGCAGTACATTAGAGTGCTCTCACTCGAACTTCACATACAATTCTCTTTTTCTTGGTGTCCTTCCTCACGGGGCATTCTTTTCGGGTACATCTTATGGGCGGTTATATGTATATTCTTCTTGTAATAGGCATTTCACTGTGCGGGTATATCTTAGGCATTTAATGTCTTTCTTCCTAGTCTTATTCTTTACAGAACAGGTAGCGTTGACGCTATCAGCCACCCGATTCATCTGGCGGGCTGTGACTGGATCTGACTTTTATGTACGCAGTAGGTACAATTTGAGCCTTGACACATGACCGTGATTCCGGCGGGCACGAGGTTCGGTAGCCCTAAGAGGTGGAAAAAAGAAAACACGTTCCACCATCCAGGCACGGAATACGCCAGTTGGCTTGCCTATCCTCCGCTCTACATTACAATTTACCCGCCCCGCCGGACCTCTTCCCCTCAATCATCAATCAACCATGCCGTCATGGAAGACGGGGCATTCCTCCGTCTCATGGAAGTGCTAGCTCGACTTCGCAGATGCCGAGAAGAAGACTACTGCGGCTACTAGGACACATTGAATCTCTTCTAGTGCTACAAACGGCTTCATTTCCGGTTAGTCACTCCGCATGGCGTGAAGCAACCCCGTAGGATCCTCCGATCCCTGTCCTTCAATGCCTGGGATGAAAACTGTGGTTCTAGATGTACCCTCTAACTCAACCACCCCGATCCCCGCAGTGCAGGGATACTCGCAGATCTGCAAAAACATATATGCAAGATGCTTCCCCGCACATTTTGATCTCTTCCTTTAGTTCCAGGTCGATCCTAGGATACTGAATTGATACATTGGTTTTTCGTCTGTCTGGATTCGAAAAGAGCTGGTCTCATCAAAATGGTGGCCAAACTGTTTTCCAATGGGCTGCTGCTCATGCAGCTATTTTCTGCCCCAGTCTTGGGGAAACCGAGCCTGAAGCCGATTTACAAGGATGCCCATGAGCCTGTGGAAAAAAGAGTGAATGATTTGTTGAGTCGGATGACCATTGAGGATAAGATGTCGCAATTGATCCAGGGTATGTTTTGCGCTCCATCGGGGCATTCATTGAGGTGATTCAGTGACTGACAGTCTGCTGTATAGGCGACGTTACGAATTGGATGGATCAAAACACGGGCGAATTCAACTACACGGGTCTGGTCGCCAATATGGAGATGAAGACGGGGATGTTCTATGGTATGAGCTTGTCATTTTCGTGTGATCATACTATTATAGAGCTGATTTGGCTTGCAGTTGGGTATCCAGTTGCTTGGGATTGGATTGCCGATAATATCAAGAGGGCTCAGGACTATCTTATTCACAATACTACTTTGGGAATTCCGGCACTCGTTCAGACTGAGGGTATGTTCCTTGAGCATGCAATCCCAACGATCTTCTTTCCGAGGCTTATGATATTCTGCGCCAGGGATTCATGGCTTCTTGATTGGTAACGCTACGATCTTCAACTCGCCCATTGCGTATGGATGCTCGTGGAACACAGATGTAGGTCATATACAGTCAGGAACTGTACCTGTACTGTTTGAGACTAACGTGATATCCTGTAGCTTGTTCGAGAGATGGCAGAGATCGTCGCACAAGAAGCGAAAGCCCTTGGCGTCAACCAGCTCTTTGCTCCGGTTGTTGATCTCGCCCGGGAGCTTCGATTTGGTCGGGTACGTATGATTATACGGAAGACCTTACCGCGGCAATCAATCTAACAATACATACAACAGGTCGAAGAGACCTTCTCCGAGGACCCTTTCCTCGCGGGTGAAATTGGCCACAGTTTCGTCAAAGGCTTGCAGAGCAAGAAAGTGTCAGCCATGGTTAAGCACTTTGCAGGCTTCAGTGCACCCGAGCAGGGACTTAATACTGGACCAGTTCATGGCGGAGAAAGAGAATTGCGCACAACGTATGCCGCCCAACAGGACATGGAGAAATTGACCAGTTGGCTAACCGATAAGCAGGTGGTTGCCCCCTTTCAAGCGAGCTATCATTGACGCTGGTGCTTGGTCCATTATGGCTGCATATCACTCGTAAGTCCGTCCCACTTGATATTATCCAGCTACATTAACATTGAATTTAAGCTACGACGGCATCCCCGCCGTGTCGGACTACCACACTCTGACCGAAATTCTGAGAGAAGAATGGGGATACGAATACTTCGTAATGACAGACGCAGGTGGAAGTGACAGAGTATGCAACGCCTTCAAGCTTTGCGAGAGCAATCCCATCGACATGGAGTCGGTTACCACGCAGCTGCTGAATGCTGGAACCGATGTAGAGATGGGTGGCGGATCATTGTAAGCCTGTTATATCGCAACCCGAAAGTCCTGACAGATATACTGATCGTGGGATAGCAACTTCCAAAAGATTCCCGAGCTTGTTAAGTCTGGCAACCTCGACATCTCGGTCGTGGACACTGCTGTCTCGAGGTTGCTTCGGGTGAAGTTTGAGATGGGTCTCTTTGAGAATCCATACCCTGCTGCGCCTGAGAAACAACGAAATAAGCTTATTCATAGCCCTGAGGCGGTAAAGCTTGCACGACAATTAGATAAGGAGTCTATTGTGCTGTTGGAGAACCATGATGATATCCTGCCTCTGAAGAAGTCCGGTGATATCGCAGTTATCGGGCCGATGGCTGATGGGTTCATGAACGTGAGTCACAGATTCGATCCTTCCTTAACTGTAGCCGTGTAGGTATTGATATAACAGTATAGTACGGAGACTACGTCGTCTACAAGAGTCAATATCGAGGCATCACACCCCTCGCGGGCATCAAAGCCGCAGTCGGCGACAAAGCCCAAATCCACTATGCGCAAGGCTGCGAGCGCTGGAGCAACGACCAATCCGGTTTCCAAGCAGCAATCGAAGCAGCCAAGAAATCCGACGTAGCAATCGTCGTCGTCGGAACCTGGTCTCGCGATCAAGGCGAGCTCTGGCAAGGACTAAACGCAACGTAAGTTGAATCCCACCTACTTTCCAACCTTCCAACCCAGAAAAAAACCTAACAAACTCCCAAAAGAACCGGCGAACACGTCGACACAGACACCCTCTCCCTCGTCGGCGCCCAAGGCCCGCTAATAAAAGCCATAGCCGAAACCGGCGTGCCCACAGTCGTCGTCCTCTCAAGCGGCAAACCCATAACCGACACCTGGATCTCAGACACAACATCCGCCCTCGTACAACAGTTCTACCCCTCCGAACAAGGCGGCAACGCCCTCGCCGACATCCTCTTCGGTGACTACAACCCTTCCGGTAAACTATCCGTCAGTTTCCCCCGCTACGTCGGAGACCTCCCAATTTTCTACGACTACCTGAACTCCGGCCGTTCCATCGGTGATTCAGGCACGGAATATGAAAACGGGACCCTCGTGTTCGGACACCAGTATGCCCTCGGAAACCCGACGCCGTGGTATCCGTTCGGCTACGGGAAGAGCTATTCTACTTTTGAGTATGGCGCTGTGAAGGTGGATAAGAGTGTGATTTCTGCGTCTGATAAGACGGTTACCGTAACTGTTGAGATTAGGAATACGGCGACGAGGGATGGGACGGAGGTTGTGCAGGTTTATGTTCAGGATGAGATTGCTTCGGTTGTGGTGCCGAATCGGCAGTTGAAGGGGTTCAAGAAGGTATTGATACCGGCGGGGGAGACGTGGGTTGTAAGGATTGAGGTCAAAGTTGAGGAGCTGGGCGTTTGGAATTCGAGGATGAGGTATGTTGTTGAGCCGGGGAGGTTTAGGGTGCTTGTTGGGAGTAGTTCGGAGGATATTCGGGGGAATGTTACTTTTACTTTTAGGTAGCCTTCCTTACCCAACGCGCCTTTGGCCTACACCGCAATCTGCGCCTAGGTCGCTGTATCAGCTCGATCCACCGCTAAAGTTCGCTGTGCTGATTGGCGTGGTACTTAGTCCGACAGAGTTCTTGATGGTCGTGATGTCCTCCTGGATGTTCTCTGTGCATTTGGCCGCGACTTAGACGTGCTAGAGGATCTCGCCAATCGCGGGCTGCCTTAGGACCTTGCCAATAAGCGCAATGGTCTAGGTCACGTACTGCTATACTCTGTTCCATTATACCTAGTTCTGCCATCTTCTATCCACGGTCTGCAGTTGATTGCATGCTTCTTTGTGGTATATAGCGTGCTCGTTGATGTTTTCGGGGCCGTTGTTTACCTGTGGCCACTTAGGCGCTATCACGACAACTTAGACGCGTAATTACGCGTTAATCGGAGTAAGTGCCTACGACGATACAGGTAGACCGTGGAAATCGCAAAATATGACGCGTTTTCAAAAATGTGTTCTGAGCTGTGGGTGGTGTTTTCGGGACTTTCCAATCCTCCCGGTCCTAAGAGTAAAACTCGCCCATCCCGAGATTTTTCCAATACACATTCATTTGCCTCGCTATGAACTTCTTTTGATAATTCCTGCTATATTCTCGGTGCTGAGCACTGCAAAAGTGTGCGATTCCTCCGCTATTTCGACCCGTCTGCTTGTCAGACTGCCATCGAGCGCTTCCCTATTCAACAGTTATCCTTCGAGTCCGCCTCGATATCTTGCCGGTCCAGCAGTAGCCTGACCACCGCTTCATGTCTACCTTCAGCCGCACAGGATAACGGTGTCCGATCCCAGTTAGCCTTCGAGTCCGCCTCGACATCTTGTCGGTCCAGCAGTAGCCTGACCACCGCTTCATGTCCGCGCCAGGCCGCATATAACAACGGTGACCGACCCACGTTATCCCTCGAGTCCGCCTCGACATCTTGTCGGTCCAGCAGTAGCCTGACCACCGCTTCATGTCCGCCTCCAGCGGCAAAGGACAACGGTGTCTGACCCCAATTAGCCTTCGAGTCCGCCTCGACATCTTGTCGGTCCAGCAGTAGCCTGACCACCGCTTCATGTCCGCCTCCAGCCGCAAAGGACAACGGTGTCCGACCCACGCTATCCTTCGAGTCCGCCTCAACATCTTGTCGGTCCAGCAGTAGCCTGACCACCGCTTCATGTCCACCTCGAGCCGCATAGGATAACGGAGTCAACCCATCGTTGTCCTTCGAGTCCGCCTCGACATCTTGTCGGTTCAGCAGTAGCCTGACCACCACTTCATATCCTTCAGCCGCATGGGACAACGGCGTCCGACCCCAGTTATCCTTCGAGTCTGCCTCGATATCTTGTCGGTCCAGCAATAGCCTGACCACCGCTTCATGTCCACCTTGAGCCGCATAGGATAACGGAGTCAACCCATCGTTGTCCTTGGAGTCCGCCTCGACATCTTGTCGGTTCAGCAGTACCCTGACCACCACTTCATATCCTTCAGCCGCATGGGACAACGGCGTCCGACCCCAGTTATCCTTCGGGTCTGGCCTGATACCGTCGTTTGCGAGCAGTAGCTTCATCAATTCGCCCTCCCCTTCCCTCGCGAGTAGATGTAGGATCGTCCGCCCCCCTCTGTCCTGAAGCGTGGTGTGCTGAAAAGTCAGGGCCCATGCGAGCCCAGGAGACGCACGTAAAAGAGACAGCAGGTCAACAGGCATAAGATATTCGGCGAAAAGCAGGATGAGTTCGAGAGGAAGCTGAGCTCCTACCCTAGTGGACACTCTCATTATGTCGCTTTCGCGGAGATACGGCAACAGTAGATATATTTCACACGTCCAACTAGGAAGTCGAACGACGCAAATGATTCAACGAGGAACAATGTTCAGGGATGATGGAATGAGGTTTCAGTTTCCCCAGCTTGTCGAAGTACTCCTGAATACTACCTCAACGGTTTTGTATGGTAAACAGGGCTAATTTGGAATACCCAGTGTCGTAATTTGCCTTATCTACAACTCCCTTTTTCCTCACATAACTACTTGATCTCATTTTTCTTGGCCTATTTCCCCCGCTTAGCTCAGTCCCCTCAGACCACCGCCTTTGATTTTGCCGAATTTATGAGATTCTGCAACGCTAACCCTATTGGTCCGCGCCCCCAAAAAAGATGATTCAGCATCCTCGAAGAGGCAGGCGGTGGAACGCAGATGCCACCGCCTTTTTTAGGGGAATCCCCCGCAAAAGAACCAAAAGAACGCGTCGCTTACATAACTGCCTTACGGGGTCCCCCTTCATCCTGAAGATCTTTGGATACCCGAACTCACTCTTTCAGGGTCTCCTTTTCGATATCCCCGATTTTCCGAGTCAGTTGGAACATCCCTAGATCATACCCTCACATCCGTCTTCGAAGAACTCCTTGTGGAATCACCCCATGTCGCTATAACCGGCTTGCTGTATTTGTTGTGTCAGGAACTCGTCCCAGTGAGTTGTGCTTGTCCTGACGCCGCTTCGGCGTTCGACCGCCCCGAACTCTTTTTTCTTGGGAGATCGCTCCAGCCCTGGCTCACGAAAGCCTCCGGGTATCAGGAGAAACATTTCACTCATATCTTGCCGTGACGACCGGACAGACGGCGCGGGAACTGGGGGTTTCGGGTTCTGCATATCATCACGGCCGTATCGACTAAGAAGGTGTTAGGGCACAATGACTGGTGCAGACCAGACTCTCGTTTCAGCGGCAGCGGTGCTGCAGTCTCTCGCTAGAGACGGGCCCGGCTCTGTCTCCCCCCTTTGATTTCGAATTTCCCGCGACCAATGGTGCCAAATCATCCAAACTTCCGGGGGAATCCAGCCCAGCAAAGGTCGCCTTTGAAGCCGAGTTGGAGGCCTTGATGAGCCGCGTGCACCACCTGGAATTCCAAGCTGTCAGTCATCACTAACTCCCCGGCAACCCCCAGCTGACCACCCCGTCTGCTATCGGATCCAACGAGAAGTGCCCTGATTTTGGTGTGGACCTTCGGGCACGATGGCTTGTTGTTCGGTCAAGGTTCTGACTTTTCTTATTGCCCTACACAGCAGCAAAAACTGAATCAACTCGTTCAGCGACAGCAGACCCCGTCGGGCCCTGAAGAGGAATTCCCTCATTCACCTCAACCGTCCGCCCCGGTTGGAGACCTCGACGAAGACGACACCGACGAGGAGGATGAGACCGGCGCAACGCGTGTGGTGCGTGAAGAAGACATCAGCATCCTCCGCATTTATGTCCAAAAGCAAGCCGAGGAGATCGGCTTCCAGAAGGATATCATAGCGCAGGTTCGCGACGAGTTGCAGAAGCAGGAGGAACAGACCTGCCTTGCGCTGACGAAGGTCGAAAACGAGAATGTCGTTCTGCTCGAACGGGAGCTCCGGAAGCACCAGCAGGCCAACGAGGCCTTCCAAAAAGCCTTGCGAGAAATCGGGGGCATCATCACGCAAGTCGCCAACGGTGATCTCTCCATGAAGGTCCAGATCCACCCCTTGGAGATGGACCCAGAAATTGTTACGTTCAAACGTACGATCAACACCATGATGGACCAACTGCAAGTCTTTGGCAGCGAAGTGTCTCGAGTTGCTCGCGAGGTCGGAACGGAGGGTATACTCGGCGGTCAAGCTCAAATTACTGGTGTCCACGGTATCTGGAAGGAGCTCACGGAGAACGTCAACATCATGGCCAAGAACCTGACGGATCAGGTGCGAGAGATTGCGGTTGTCACAACTGCCGTCGCCCACGGTGATTTGAGTCAGAAGATCGAAAGTCGCGCTCAGGGCGAAATCTTGGAACTGCAACAGACGATCAATACCATGGTGGATCAACTTGGGACATTCGCTACGGAAGTCACACGAGTCGCGCGCGACGTCGGTACGGAAGGCGTACTGGGAGGTCAAGCTCAAATTGAAGGTGTCCAGGGCATGTGGAACGAACTTACGGTCAATGTCAACGCCATGGCCAATAATCTAACCACGCAAGTGCGTGATCTCGCCACTGTCACTAAAGCCGTCGCCAAGGGTGACCTAACGCAGAAGGTGCAAGCCAACTGCCGAGGAGAAATTGCCGAGCTGAAAAATATCATTAATTCCATGGTGGACCAACTACGCCAGTTCGCGCAGGAAGTCACCAAGATCGCCAAGGAGGTCGGTACCGATGGCGTACTAGGTGGCCAGGCCACCGTGGATGATGTGGAAGGCACATGGAAAGACCTTACAGAAAACGTCAACCGCATGGCTAACAACCTGACTACTCAGGTGCGTGAGATTGCGGACGTCACCACGGCTGTCGCCAAGGGCGATTTAACCAAGAAGGTCACTGCCAACGTGCAGGGTGAGATGCTTGATCTGAAGAGTACCATCAACGGCATGGTGGACCGCCTCAACACGTTTGCTTTCGAGGTTAGCAAGGTCGCGCGTGAGGTCGGTACCGATGGTACCCTGGGAGGTCAAGCTAAGGTGGACAATGTAGAAGGAAAGTGGAAAGATCTCACCGGTAACGTCAACACCATGGCGCAAAATTTAACGTCGCAAGTGCGAAGTATCTCGGACGTGACGCAAGCTATTGCCAAGGGTGATCTTAGCAAGAAAATCGAGGTGCACGCGCAAGGAGAGATGCTGACCCTCAAAGTGACTATCAATCACATGGTGGGTCGTTTGGCAAAGTTCGCTACTGAACTAAAGAAGGTCGCTCGCGATGTCGGCGTCGATGGAAAGATGGGTGGTCAGGCCAACGTGGAAGGGATCGCAGGAACCTGGAAAGAGATCACGGAGGATGTGAACACCATGGCCGAGAACCTGACATCCCAAGTACGTGCATTTGGCGAAATTACCGATGCCGCCACGGATGGTGATTTCACCAAGCTCATCACTGTCAACGCTTCGGGAGAAATGGACGAACTGAAGCGCAAGATCAATAAGATGGTTTCCAACCTGCGAGACAGTATTCAACGAAACACTGCCGCTAAGGAGGCTGCCGAGCTTGCTAATCGCACTAAATCTGAGTTCCTCGCCAACATGTCCCACGAGATCCGAACTCCTATGAACGGTATCATTGGTATGACCCAGCTCACGCTGGATACCGACGACCTGAAGCCGTATACCCGGGAAATGCTGAACGTGGTGCACAATCTGGCCAACAGTTTGCTCACAATCATTGACGATATACTCGATATTTCGAAGATTGAAGCCAACCGGATGGTCATTGAGAGCATTCCATTCACCGTGCGCGGTACCGTATTCAATGCGCTCAAGACTTTGGCCGTGAAGGCCAATGAGAAATCCCTTAGCCTGACTTACCAGGTCGACAACACAGTTCCCGACTATGTCATTGGCGATCCGTTCCGTCTGCGCCAAATCATTCTCAACTTAGTCGGTAATGCCATCAAGTTCACTGACTACGGTGAGGTCAAGCTCACGATCCGCAAATCCGATCGTGAGCAATGCACCACCAACGAATATGCCTTTGAGTTTTCCGTCTCCGACACCGGTATTGGTATCGAGGAGGACAAATTGGACTTGATCTTCGATACCTTCCAACAGGCCGATGGATCAACCACCCGCAGGTTCGGTGGTACCGGTCTCGGTCTGTCAATCTCCAAACGCCTGGTCAATCTCATGGGTGGTGACGTTTGGGTTACCTCTGAGTACGGACACGGCAGTACCTTCCATTTCACTTGCGTCGTGAAGCTCGCCGATCAGTCCTTGAACGTTATTGCTTCTCAGCTCTTGCCATACAGGAATCATTGGGTGCTGTTCATCGACAAGGGCCAGAACGGTGCCCAAGCCGCTAACGTCATGAAGATGCTCAAGCAGATCGAATTGGAGCCGTTGGTGGTGCGCAGCGAAGAGGATGTTCCACCACCTGAAATCCAAGACCCCTCTGGAAAGGAGTCTGGTCATGCATACGATGTCATCATTGTGGACTCGGTGGACACTGCTCGCATTCTGCGAACATTCGACGAGTTCAAGTATATCCCCATTGTTCTGGTGTGTCCTTTGGTCTGTGTCAGCTTGAAGTCCGCTTTGGATCTTGGTATCAGCTCGTACATGACAACGCCTTGCCAGCCTATTGATATGGGCAATGGTATGCTTCCTGCATTAGAGGGTCGGTCGACGCCGATCACCACCGACAACTCCCGCTCGTTCGACATCCTTCTTGCTGAAGACAACGATGTCAACCAGCAACTCGCCACGAAGATACTCCAAAGGCACAACCACAACGTCTTTGTTGTTGGTAACGGTCTAGAGGCTGTGGAGGCCGTCAAGAAGCGCCGCTATGATGTGATTTTGATGGATGTTCAGATGCCCGTCATGGGTGGTTTCGAGGCCACCGGCATGATTCGAGATTATGAACGAGAGAGTGGTCTCCAACGAACCCCGATTATTGCACTTACCGCACACGCCATGCTGGGTGATCGCGAGAAGTGTATCCAGGCTCAAATGGACGAGTACCTGTCCAAACCACTCAAGCAGAACCAGATGATGCAGACCATTCTCAAGTGCGCAACGCTTGGTGGATCGCTGCTGGAGAAGAGCAAGGAATCTCGGATCTCGAGCAGTGGAGAAATGCATCTCATCCACTCATCTGTCCCCGATAATCAAAATCAGCAGCAGCGGTCACAGGAACAACAAGGGTTACCCTTCCCACCACGGCCTGGATTGGAGACCTGGGCGACCTCCGCTGCTGGCCCGATGGGCCGTGGTAGTGTCGCCGAGCCTGAAGACAAGGATGTAGAGATGATCGATGAACGGGTACGTTACCATGTCTGTTACTGAAGGACTAGGTTCCGGATCAACCCTCGGCTAACCGTTCCTTCTTTCATCATAGACATTGCTGCGCTCCAACAGTACCTGAGCTCTTGTTTGCATACCCTGAACATTTACTTTCCCGCCCTGCAGATTGGCCCGATGGGTTTGGTGTGGCCTGATGATACACTGTCCATATGAGTCTGTTGAGTGCTTCTTGTTATCAGCTGAACACCACTGATTTGCGCGGCCGTCTTCACATCGCCGCAGAGCTGGGACCCAACGTTATATTCCAGCTTCTTCTTACCGAGGCTGGTACAGATCTCAATGCCGTTGACCTTGACCAGCGCACAGCCCTCCATGTGGCATCTGTAAACGGGCACACTTTGATGGTCGAGATGCTCTTGAGGATACCCGAGGTCAATCTAAATGCCAGAGACATCGATGGTGCAACTGTCCTGTGTCTCCCACGGGACAACAAATTGATGACGACAGCCTTCCGCTGAGGGGACAACGGTCAAGGGTTCTGGTGAACAACTGCATTTGGATGGGGCTAGCGTGGTGCATCTTATTGAAGTGAGCTGCTGAGACTATAAGAGCCTCTCTTTCATGTTGTTATCTAGTTCTTCTGATTCTTCATCTGATTCCTTCATCCTAACATGGAGCCACCATTGGAGCATGTCTTTGAGACCAGAGACAAGCTGAATACTTCTCTACAGCAGCATGCCCTGTCTCATGGCTACGCTATTACCACTATATCATCGAATTCTGGCCGGAATATCACCCTTGGTTGTGATAGAGGCGGTATCTACCGCGATAGAATGAATGCTCCGGGGCAAAACGCAGGAAAACAAGCACAAAGCGAATTGGATGTCCCTTTCAACTCTATACCGTAGCCCACAAAGCCTTGACAGTTGTCCCTCGCATTCAGCACCTCAAACGCTGTATGGAGGTCCTCGCATCCCACCCTCATGGTAAGCAGGACCAAGCTCTCCGATCCCATTGATGAAATTCTCATTCCAAGCACCCTCCGCCCAGGCTCCATCAAAGTTGTACTCTATTCCATCATCTTGCACGCGCCATTGCCTCACCACATTCCCACAATCATCCCAGAATACATGCAGCAGACCCCCACCATCCAGCGCCACCTCATCTTCCACAAAAGCATGAGCAACAACACAAGCAACATGATACAGGACATACTTTAGAAGCGGGTTCACCGCACGCCTCGCTCTCGTCCGTGCCAGCATCTCTTTGACCTCATCAGAATAGTCCTCTTCACCAGATCCCGTATCCTCTTCCACGAAACCCAGTACCTCCCTCAGAGTCTGCTCTCGCAATTCAATGTGTTTCGAGGGACCCTCGTTCGTGACACGCTCGGGAAACAGTTCCAATGCAGCTGCCACGTCTAGCCCGTCGAAAATCTCATCGTCGAGGACAACACCCTCGGGACCGACGTACTCTACGTCTTCGTTGTGGGACCATATAGCATCATGTGCTGCGTTTTTCTCTTTTTTGTAGCAGAGACGGATCCAGAGACCTTCCTCTAGGCAGGTGGTATAGTTAGCGTAAGGCCGTAGGGCCTCCGGGCGTAATGGGAGGAGGATATCGGTTATTTGGGCCTCAGTGGGTGTGGGTCGTGTTTCTGCGAGGGCGTTGTAGGGCTAATGAATGGTGAGAAACGCAGCCTTTCAATTGAAATGGATTGATCAGCGTAGGTAATTATTTACCTCTCTGCCCTCCACTCCTAATGCAAGAAATTGGCGTACCAGCCGTCGGCGACGGTCTGGGGGGACTCTGTGGGGTGTGCGGGATTCGGGGTTTCCCATTCTGAGAGAAGATAGATGTCTAATGGCAGGGCTCCCCAGGGGACTGGCTCCGGTGGATCGTTTTGAATTATTCGGAGAGGCATTGTTCTACCCTCAGGTGTGACCGTGTTGGGGAAAGAAGTATGCGAAGGGAATTTGGTATCGCTAGCGAATCAACAAAGAACCGTGTCTCAGACTCTGCATTGGAATTGCCCTGGAACTCTAGTACCTATCACTTCCAAGGCTAGGTAAAATCGGATTGGGAAGCACAATTCCGACATGAAAATAGGCCATAGTCCTGCGCCTTAGCAGCGCCTGGCTCGCCTTGATAAAATCTAGTGAGGTCTCGATCTGTCTTAGATGATATCTGGTACTAGGCTCTGTGTTCCTATTAAGCCCCTGCTGTGGGCCCTCTGGGATTCCCATGCAACCAGATCAAAGCAATTCACCCCGAACCCAGTTTCAGCAAGAATGAGCGCTTCAGTTTCACGTCGTATTACCACTAACAACACCAGAGCCTGGTTGACCCAGCGCAGAGCTTTGACCAGGCCCTGGAGACCCCGGCGCCTCTTGCTTGCCCACACTCGGTGATTGACTACTCTGAGCGTCACCAGAGCGAACCTCTGCCCTCCGCGTTTTAGCGCCCTCTTTCAATTTCTCCCAGCGGTCTCGGTACCGGCCGAGGACATTCTTGAGTTTCTCATTCTCATGGGAGGCAGTTTCGAGTTTCTTCTCACTATTACGAATTCGCTCCTCCAATTCTTTGATCCGCGCATCAGTCTCCGCCGCACCAGGCGGCGCGCTCATCGTAGCCACTGGGGAGGTAGTACCCGATTGGAAGTGATCGGGGGTCCCACCGGTCTGGCGGTGCATCATTCTGATTGATTGTTGTAGCGCCATGGACGAGGATTGAGCGCTCACCTCCCACATGTGTAGTCGTGTCGCAAGCGAATCGGTCAATCCCCTTAAAGTCTCATTTTCCACCTGCAATTCTTCCATCGTCTTCTGCTTCTGCGGACTAAGTTTGTCTGGTGCTCCGCGGCGTCCTGCCCATATCCGCGAATTACTGGCGCTGTGGCGCATTTCGGGGGATGGGGGTGTTTTCCCGCGCATCGACGAAATCATCCTCGCCGTCGTCTACGCTGTTCCTGCGCGCTTGTCTTTCGGCTCGGGTGAGGATTCCTGCGTATGACATGGTCCCGCCGGTAGTTGGGACTACATAGAATGATTCCGCTGGGTTTCCAGGGCCGGCACCGGAGCCGTCCCGAATGGACCGCAATGCAGCCCGGGAGAACAGTTTGTCTACATCAGGTTCGCCCGTAATGGATTGGTCCAGAGTAGCATGGCCACGGTTTACTTTCACCTCAGCTGGCGCCTTGCGGCTCGGTTCAGCTCGTGTGGAACCTGTCTGACCCATCTGGATACCTGCGAATGCCAAGGGGCCTGAAACCTTAGACACTAGACTGCCGAACGCTGAGTAGAAGCGATCAAAGGCTTCATCTGTGATAGCGGGCTTTTCTTTCGGGGCTCCGGATTCCGCGATAGAAGGCGCCGTTTGCTGGGTAGTCATCTCCGTTGAACTGGGAATCGGAGGAGACCATGGCGGCCGAGCTGTAGAGACACGACTGGCCCTGTTTTTGTTTGGCCCATCGCGTAGCCTAGATTCACTGCCTCTAGCTCTTGATGGCGTTTCCGTCATCTTTGCTGCGGCATGTTGGGACGTAAGTGTGGGCGACACCGGTGATCCACGACGGGGATGGGAGGGTATTCCTCGTGCGGAGGCAAGGTTGCTGGCAATAGAGGATTTATCCCGACCGGGGATGCGAGCATTTCCTGCTAATCTTGGTGGTAGATTGTGCGCATCCGGAGTCGCGGCTGCAGCCTTGGTATTTCCATCAGCAGCGGTCTGCTGCGTCGCTAGCGAGGATGGGGCAGCGGATGCTGCTTCAGTAGAAGGGGTAGCTGGATGTTCATGTTGAAATCTGAGTATCTCGGCGAGCTTCTTGTGGTGGGTTTCGAGCAAACGTAGGGTCCGTAAGGCCTTGATGTGATGCGTCAGTGTGATGCGGGGCGGGGTACTCGTTCAGACCAAGACTCACCTCAAGGTCAGAACTGCCTTGTGCAGCCGTCGCAAATTCACCAGCAGCTAGATCGTGCTCCTCGCTGGCCGCGACTGGGTTGGCCTTGCGGGTCTCGAGTACCGCGTTCCGCGCATGGGTGTGGGCCTGACAGTCACGAGGTCAGATTATTTGATCAGCTTCATGGAAGGTGGAGGGGGTAAGGGACAGAAGACCTACCAGGACCAGAGGAGCTACCTCCATGGCGAAAATGAGGGTCACTTGTATGCGAGAGGAGAACTGAGGTGTATGAGGATCCGGGGAATGTTAAAGTGACGTGTTGCCAGCCTTACAGCCTTAAACGGGAATCTGGCAGGTGACACGAGTACCACGAGGCCTGAGGTGACAGTTGAAAAAAACCAATTCTGTTCAATTCTGACCATTCAGGTGTAATTTACGCAGTATTTTAGAAGTAGAACATCTCAATAGACCGGAAACAGCCAGACCTGACAGGCGTCACATCCCACATTCTATGGTGGAGACGCGGAGTTAGGCCACAGGGCTAGATGCTGCTATATAGCTACTCCGTACACTGCCACTTCTACTATCTCAACACCTCAACTAGTAGGAATAGTAGTAGTAATAGTAAGAAAAATAAAAAAAATAGACAGACTAAGACATTTGAATATGAATAAATAAACTGAATCACCTTCGAATGTAACGATATCCAAGTGGGTTACTTGGCGGGTGACTAAGAAGAAGGTTGCGGAGCTGAAGGTCCAGGGGATTCTTCTTCCTCGGTAGCGACGAACACCTCTTCCCTCTTGTGTCCTTCTCTTACAAGTAGGAGACGTCACAAATACTTACACCTCATGCTCATCCCCTCAGTGGTTTCTCCACAGGTCTGCCTGCACCCAGCCATTCCCTCGACATCCCTTCAATCATGGCCGACTCCTCCTCTTCGAGCTTGAAAGGTGAGAGCAGGTCACGCCGGTCCTGGACAATCTCAGCCGAATCTAGTGCTATGGAAAGCAATGGCCGATCATCCCCAGATTCCACCCTCGAGCGACCGAAAACCCAGGGCGGAGAAGCCGCAGATCCCAACAGGGCTGGTCCCAGTGGATTCTCAAAGCTACTCGAAGCGCGTCGGAGGCGGAAAGAGAAGAAGAAGAACCAGAGAGGGGATGAACCTGCGGTGCCGACTGTTGTTCTAGAGAACGAATTACTTGAGAGCCGGTCGAATGACTCTCGGGATGGGACCTCCGCGGGTGCATCGTCTGTCGCCGAGAGCTCTAAACAGGAAGGTGACCTCATCAATCTGTTGACTGATGACTCTGAGCCGGATGGGTAAGTCGAGCAATTCGCTGTGCTGATATCTTGGAGTACTACTAACGTATTCTACGTCTTTGGTTCAGACCTCCGCCGCTCACCTCACACAATTCCCACACCGGATTCTATACCTCGTCCTCCCCGTTGATCAAGACCGGATCGGTAGATGCCACACAGCCGGAAAGCTCCCATGTCGATACGGAATCGAGTTTCAGTGCTCATGGGTCAGAATCACCTACCCCCGACAAAAGGAGCCAGAGTCGACGCCCAACACAATCGAGTATGGCATTGGATGTCCCCGTAGACTCCAGCAGCAAAAAGCGCAGTCCATCCCCTGGGAGACGCCTGAAGGGAGCTTTCAGCTCGGACAAAAAAGCGGCCAACGACGAGTCCGACGCTGTCTCGATCAAGTCAGCGGGAAATAAAAGTGGGCGAGGTCTGTTCGGAGCTAGCAGACGGAGTAGTCTTTCATCCAAACGAGCTCAGACGACTCCGGAGGATCCGCCTCCTATGCCTGCACCCATTCGAACCGATCTGACGGAGGACAAGCCTCGTTCGCTCCAAGCTAGCCCTATGCCGAACACCCCACCTCATACCGCCATTCCTGCGCCAGCGACAACTGTAACACCTCCCACTCCCACTGAGCACCGCCCTCTTAGTGCGCAACTATTCTCCGACAACGTGACCAATTCGCCCGAGACTATACAGTCTCCAGATTCGATATCCTCTGGAATCACCACCGTGAGCCCGTCTGGGAACATGATCTCTCACCGCCGGGTGCGGTCCGCTTCCGCAGCTCATGGCCCGAGCAAACTGTCCAACGCAGTCTCGGCACTAACACCTCTAGATGAGAAAACAACACCCGGCACGAAGAATTCGGCTTCGAACCAAGCAGGCGGCTTTTTCTCCTCAGTATTTTCGGTCGCTCAAAATGCGGCCACTTCTTTCAGCAACAGCCTCAATGCACAACAGAAGAATCGTTCAAATTCTCAGCCCACTGCTGGTGATGCTGATAAGTCTACCAAGCAGGCCATGGAGGAGGGCGAAGCAGCGTCGGATGATTCCAGCAAAATTGAAGAAGGGAGGCCGTCTGCCGTTGAGACTCTCGGCGCAGGAGATCTGAATTTCAGTCATCTGGACATCGACGCACGACCTGGCGAGACAATTACGACCGCTGACGGTGTGGTGATCTCAAAGCCAGGAAGCCCGGCGGACAAGCGCAAGAACACAGCTGTTTACAGGCGTGACGAGGAGGCGGCCAAACTTGAAGACAAACGCGCAGCACGTGCGGTTCAAGTAGCGTACGAGAGACCGGAGACTTCCTCGATGGGTGGACCAGGCGAGGACGCCCTGGAGATTCAATCCACCACCTCACTTCCAAAAGATGGCCAAATCCCGGGCGATCAGACTCCCCCGAGTGGCAGTGTTCTTGATGGCGACCTGAGTGGGGGCCTCAGACGCACTGGCAGTGTGCGCAGCAGACTTGCCCGGCGTCATCGTGGTTCGTCTGGAGCTACAGCCTCAACAATCGGAGCCATTGGCGCCAATGCCATTGGAATTGCAGCTCCCGGTGTCAATTCGAGCGTCCCTCGATTGACCGGGTTTGCAGTTGCGAGCAAAAAGCGCAACCGAGATTTCCACCAGTTGTTCCGGAGTGTGCCCGAAGACGATTATCTCATTGAGGATTATAGTTGTGCCCTGCAACGTGAGATCATTCTTGCTGGTCGCATCTATATCTCAGAAGGACACATCTGCTTCTCCAGTAACATCCTAGGGTGGGTCACTACTCTTGTGATCAGCTTTGATGAAATAGTTGCCATCGAAAAGGAGAGCACTGCCATGGTGTTCCCCAACGCCATTGCCATTCAAACCCTTCACGCTCGTCATACGTTCCGAAGTCTGCTCAGTCGGGAGTCCACGTATGATCTGATGGTGAATATCTGGAAGATCAACCATCCCACCATCAAGAGCTCTGTTAATGGAACTCGCGTGACTGATGGAACAGGCGATAAGACGGAGAAGGTCGGCGAAGAGGAGAGCGAATCCGAGAGCGATGTCTCTGATGAGGATGAAATATACGATGAAGACGAGGAGGGCGATGCCGAGAGCTTCTTTGAGGCTGGCGGCAGTGCAAATGCCAGTGCAACCTCCTTGCCGGTGCGAGCAGGACTAAGCCGCAAACCTTCCAGTCTGTCCGCTAATGCAGCTGCACCCGCGGCGGGTACAAATGCCAACGGCGAGAAGAAGAACGGTGACAAGGGTGCCTCCAAGGATGCGCCTCCTGACTTCCCTGGCCCGACAACACATGCCCCCACCGAATACACCGACCCCGACGGACAGTATGAGAAAGTCATCAAAGATGAGATCATCGCGGCCCCCTCGGCAAAGTGTACTCTTTGGTTTTCGGTCCAGCGTCTGGCGATTTCATGACCAAGTTCCTCGTCGACAACCAGAAATCTGGCGAGCTACAATTCGAGGGAACAGCGAAGGGTCTGACCAACGAAAGCCCAACGAGGAAGTACTCGTACATCAAACCTCTGAATGGCTCGATTGGGCCGAAGCAGACCAAATGTATCAGTACCGAGAACCTGGACTTTTTGGATCTCGAGAAGGCGGTCCTCGTCACGCTGAGCACCCAGACACCCGATGTACCCAGCGGAAACGTATTTGCTACCAAGACCAAATATCTTTTCACATGGGCTGCCAACAACCAGACCCGCTTCCTCATGACCTGCACTATCGAATGGTCGGGCAAGAGTTGGCTCAAAGGGGCCTATTGAGAAAGGTGCTATCGACGGACAAACATCCTTCGGCAATGATCTTATCAAAGCCTTGCAGGCTGGAGTTGTTTCCAAGGGACGAACCAATGGCGCTGGACGAGGCAAAGGCAAGCGCAAGAAGGGTGACGGGTCGGGACGAGAATCGACCGCTGCTGCTTCTGTGAAGGCTACGGTCGATTCCAATGTTGGAAAGGCAGAGTCATGGGGTCTTTTCGAACCAGTCCGCCCTCTCCTTGAGCCCTTCGCCAGCATTCTCAGTCCACTATGGAGTAGCAATGTCGCCATTCTTGTCATCGGCGTCTTATTCTACCTGGCCTTCTTCCGCTCGTCAGCTACATCAATACACGCGCATGACGTTGGCTGTACAGGCCACGGCTTGCCCCAGAGGCTGGCTGCATACGAGGAAATGTGGCGACGTGAGGAGACCGAGCTCTGGAATTGGCTGGAAGACCGAGTCGGGATGGACGGGATGGTCTTCCCGAATGTTTACCGATCCTCCGAGCCGCACGCAAGTCGCAGGTCCCCCGGAGTTAGTACTTCAGATGAGCGCGAGTTCGCCGCCCAACTTCGGGATGAGAAGGTCTCTAACAGTGAGATGGACCATGCAATCCGTACCACCCGCCAACGTCTCGACGTCCTCGAAGAGATGATGGGCAAGCGCGCAGCGCAGTTAAAGGTCGACGAATCAGCCAAGTCTGAACTGTGATTGCATCGGGAATCTCTATCTTATGCCGATACAACCTATCAGCGCCCCCCTCCCCTTCATCCTGCCTATCCCTACGCCCCGTCTCTCTCATAGTGAATCCCCCACTATCCCTCCCCACACTATACAGAATCAATTTCCTTACCTCCACACCTTTCCTATTCTCAAATTCTCAGGGTGTCAGTGACCCATCGGGTTCCGCGAACAAGCAGAATTGTCACCTCCCTTCCACTCCCTTTTCTTTACCCTCCACAATCCTTACCCTCCACAATCCTTACCCTCCCGGTCCCCATACTCAAGTTGGGTCGGACTTTCCTTCCATGTACATGACTGCCAAGTATTTGTCCCTATCAGCTACACCAGCCATCTCCTATCTCCTTACTTTTTTATTGCTTCTGAATCCCTGATTGCTCATCTCAGCGTCTTTTACTTGCTTTCTTCCCAGCTGCACAGACAGCAATCATCTCTGAAAAGTCTTCCAACAGCGTTGTTATGCTTTCCAGAATCCTGTGGAGCGTCACCCATGTAGCTATTCCCTTTTGTCCTCCAAACTTTGCTCTCCCGCCTAGTGCGCTTCTTGTCAATATCTCTAGCAATGCCAAAGTGATTTACATATTGAGTCTCGATTTGACAAGTCTCCCGTGATAAATGTCAATTCTATTGTAGTGCTCTTTGTGCAGAGTGGTGATGAGTGAGATGACTCACTGACAAGACAACTACAGACATAATATGGTTTGTGTTGGTATCACCAGCTAGGTCCTGCCCGTGTATACACCTAGTAAAGTGAACAGTTGTGCTATAGTAGCAAAGAGTGGATTGTATTCTATTGATGTTGATGTATGTAGGTAGATGTGTTAGGTACTGGCTAATCAGAGGGCTGGGATCAGAATGAGGAAAGATAGGAATGAGTCATTGTGACTATCTGATGAATGAAGTGTGAAGAGGACTGTATGACTAGCGTCTGAGGTCGAAAAAGCGAGGATTGGGGGTCTATCAATCCAAGAGTACAGCCATGACTCTTTCCTTCTAACAGAAGAGAAAGGAAAACTAACAGCCACAATGATCCAGACGTTGACAGCTCCCTTCGTGTTTGAAAACCACCAAGCTGCGTATCAGAATTCAAGACTTCTTCTGTACTTGGAGTTATTGGTGTGCCACAAAAGAATGTCTTCTCGCGGGGTGCTTGCGCAGCTTCGGGGCCAGCCTTCTGCCCGCCGACGTGTGGTGCACGCTCCGCAAACAGTTCTTTGTGGCCCCAGCCAGCGCTGCTTCAGTCGTTATCTCTTGCCAATGCTTATTGATGAGTTTCCACCTTCCCGCGGCGAGTGTAATATCCTTGGCGCGCACGGCATCGTCCTAGAACTTGATCTTCGTTGCAATGTTCGCCCAGATATCTGTTAACAGAGTATCTTAGCAGTGTTTCCTCATAACTATATCGTCTAGTTATAAATATGTGGAGGACTTACTTCTGATGTAGGATTTTCCCTGCTCGCTGCTGTTCTTGTAGTCCAGGATATCAGCCGTGAATCGAAAACAGCCAATGAAATCCTCCTCATTGAAGTTTGTGTAGAAAATGCCGACAACGAGCAACAATCGCGCGGCGTACACGGAAATGCTGATTGAATTGGCGTTGCAAGCCAGGGACGGTCTGGGTGTTGTGTGGGCGCACCAAACGACATTCAGGTCATGGCCCCTGGGGAAGCAAAGGCAGTTGATCGTAAAGCCCAAACTATCCTTTGTACCTCCGATTAACTTCTGCAAGTTGAGGGGATAAAGTGACACTTTCTTTCCGCCTAGAGGCCACCATGTGACTATCCTGGAGACAATACACAATGTGGCCCTGGTAGGCTGGTGCCGATATTGCCTCGCACAAACGAGACACGAAAGCTGCCGTCGGCTTCTCGGCAGGTCTTGATGATAAGAGCATGCCGGTCACGAACGTGAAACCGGCGAACGTAGTGCCAGCCGAGTGCTTTCTGGAGTTTGAGAGGACCATCCATGTCTTCGGTCAAGACTCAAGCCTGTGCGGTCTCGGCGCAGCGTGATCCAACATGTTATCTGGGCGACACCTTCTCAATCTATAGCGGACATCTGTGCCACGCTATTCATGGCAGGTCTCATGGCGAGTGGGCTCACAGTACCCAATGTAGGTAGCTCTGAATGGGAGCCGCATAACGAAGCCCTGTGGAAGGGTCGCAAGCATGGCAGTGACTTGCGGGTCTCTCGCTATCATCTGCTGCGAGGCGGGAGTTCGGAACTATGTTGTCACCGTCGACAGTCGTCGGTTAGGGTTCGGGCGAGATCGATGCATTCGGAGGTTGTCGCTTGCACTGCCCGTGATCTGACCAGATTCACTGGGCCACCAGTCGAAGGGCGAAGTGGCAGATCATCGAAACGGACAGGACGGAGTAATGATCACCGCCGGGCAGTGAACCTGGATGTAACGAGATCAGGTTAGTATTGAAGTTTCATCGGCGGTCATTTATGGGTGTTGGGGATGATGATGAGTCTTACCAGGTCGAATGGTTTTGATGAAAAAAGGAGCTGGATTTGATGCAGCTGGTGTATATATGAGCTGGTGTATATATGATGATTCCAATCAACAGAAGTTGTGGATGGATAGTATCGGCAAAAGGGAAGATGAGTTGATGTGAGTAGGTGAAGAAAAGGATAAACAATCTCTCGTCAGTTAGCTCCCTTATATAGTGGAATGACCCAGCACATGATAGCACATGATTCCCTTGTTTCTGCCTTTTCAGATACATCAAACATACTGGTACATACTAACCTCCAAACGGAGCAAAGTGTCAAGACATACCCTTCCAAATGACACTGACCAGAGGTGGAAGCTAGCGGATCTTCCTATCTTTTACTTCGTTATATTTTGTTTTTGTGTATTCCTGAGATTTTCTATTGTAAAATTTCTTAATTTGAATTAAGGTATCTTGTAAATCTCAGGGAGAGTGGAGACCAACCCCAGGAAAAGGTCAAAGCAGGAAAAGCAGACATGCAAAACGCGGAGTTGGCGCATCCTGGGCTGGATGACATCCCCATGCGGCTTTCCAGACAATTGAAATCTGTTCTCTGCCTGGGACGCACATCCAGGTCCTCACAAACAAGGTTCCCAGGCTCCCACAACCCCAATCAGTGGGGGAATTCCGTGGGAGGGAGGAGCAGGCTGCGGTGATGCCTCTCTCACTCCCTCTCCAGGTTGTGACTGTCATTGAGTACCTCAGCAACGACGGAGCCGGCGTCCAGGACAACTGCCGGGGCCAGTAGGAGCTTCGGCAGCAGCAACCACGCCAGCCCGCCACTGCAACCATTGCCGAGATGACGGCAGTGGGCCATCCTCATATATCCATCCCATTCCCGATCTCAAAATGCACATCCCCTTTTTCTCCGTTGTCTGGAACGATCTCCCGGGTATCCTCAGGCTGTCGCGTACCCATTTGCCGTGGAGGGAAGAGGATTTGAAGACACGGCCCTCACATTCCCGGATCACCTCCGATCCATTTATAGCAACTGCCCGGCGTCCTGGTCCTTGTCAACCAGGACAGGGTCCACCAGTTGCATGGCTCGGTTCAGGATTGCAGTTACTCGATACTTGCAGCTGCCTGTTGGAGCCTTTGGCGGGGCTCTGATAATGGCCAGAGAGTGAGCTGGAGGGGTTGTGACCGGGTGGTAAACGGGGTTGCCCAACCACTTGTAGTGCTGGATGTTCTCATCGTAGTCGTATTATCGTATATATAAGCGCGGAGCTGTCATGAATTTCGCCTCGCCGGGGGCTCGCGAGAGAAAATGTCAAAGGGGATTTGCTCCTATATATACCTTTGCACCAGGGCAGACGTCAGAGGTAACATCTCAAAAGCGTGACTAGAGAAAGACGGGAGATAGGTACCATTATTGGAGACGGCATAGTGGCCCTGAAAGCCAAAGTAAGGCTGCGGTTGTGCCTCGACCAGTTTGAGTCCTGTATCAAGGTAACTATTAGCGTCTAGTCTCTTACTAAAGTATCGGACAGAGAATCGGGGATAGTACCATTATTGAATGGGCTGGAGAGCTGAATGACAACCAGCAGCAGAGTCGGGGAGGTCAAGCAAGGAAAGCTGTCCATTGGTTTCTTCCTGTCGGCGTTGTTAATATCTGACAGCAGAGACAAGTGGTATATAGCATCCAAGCACATACCATAGTGATAGCGTTCTAAGCTATGAGCCTATGATAAGTTAAAAAGATGAAGGTTTTGGTTAATCGTGGTAGATCAGAATATGATGGAAAATGGCGAAAAAGAAAAGAAAAATCAAGCAACATGCGTTGCTAAGGACGTGTTCTATGTCGCTGTGAAGGAACGCTCTTGCTATTTCTGCAAGACCTGTCGAGGAAACAATCTACCACCCTTTAGACTTGAATCAAGTCATATGATCTTGGTCGGAAACACCTCTAAACCGAGTATATAGTCTGCTTCACTGGCCTGTACTTCATCTCTACACTCACTTGATGATACTGGGTGCAGGTGTGTATGCTCAAACAGAGGTTTATCCGCTCTATCTCAGTGTTGTGAGCTTGACGGATACCTCGAACAAACCTGCTGGTAATTAGGAAATGGTTTCATTGTATCCTACTTATTTAAACGGCCAGATAATGCTCAGTGGGCGGCGTTTCTGCGGAGAAAGCCTGTTTTCAGGTCGTGTTTCTGTATCTTGCCTTAGATACAATACCAATCAATCATGAAGTGATGAGAGTTGTAGTTGGACATCTCGATGGATCTTCTTACCTTTTGCCAAAGAAATGAAAGAATTAAACACCCACTTCACATGCGGCACGTGTCGCTGTGGGATTATTGGGGCAAGTCGTACCTAGGGATATGGCCTTGCCAGTTGGCTGGAGCTTGCCAGTTGGCGGAAAGCCCGCTAAACACGTCTGGAACCCGGCAACCACAAGTGGATACTGACAACTGTACAGAAGACTTTTGTTGATAATTTATTTAGAAGGGTATCGTACACGTATCCTTTTACCTTTTCCATATACTCAACACTTACAGGTAGGTGGTACACGCTTCAAGTGTTACCTGGGTGATGTATCTCTTAACTACAGGGCGGCAGGCCGAACCGCAGGCCCGGGGTTGGGCCTTGTGCCAGACGTGGAGCCTGGATGGAGGTCACTTCCAGCCCCCAAAATTCACGCCGAAATTCCAAACCACCGCTTTTTGCGAACTCGAAGCTCCAAAGGTTCAACAATCTATACAAGTTTCTTGGAGTTTCTTACAATTGTGGGAGTGAACTCAGGCTTTCATATGCTCAAGTCATGTCTCTCAACTAAGAGACTGGATCACAGGTGGGCGCGAATAAAACAGATCCCAACCAAAGGAGTCGTCCAGCTGCAAATATCCAGGCATCTGTGAATGACCCCAGCATACTTTCATCCAGCCAACATCCTCCTCTGTACACCCTTTTAGTGGCTCCTCTTCTGGACCAGGGGCCCCGCGTGCCGCTAGCTCTTCCTCATCTAACTCCTCCGGTTTCCATTGAGCATTAACCAAACGAACGAATCCTTCATCTATATCATCTTCTGGCGTGCCCAGGACCGAATCCAAGGCTTCTTGGTCAACCATGATGAAAAAGCGGTACCTGCCGTTCTTCAAATGCCACAGGTGACTGGGATCAATTCCCTGTTCCTCCTTTATTGCGGTCACAGCCCTTTCATTGAATTTCTCACGTAGGGAGATAACCGTCGCACCCTCGAAAGAGCGATCTTCCAAGACCGTTGGAGCAAAGCTGCCGAGGAGATCTAGACCATTGTAATACCCAAGGTATTGTTCGACACGCTTGTGGATCCGCACTATGAATTTCTCCCACTCGGAGTCACTCCGATACGTGCATCGATAGATCACGAAACCCCATGCTTTAAATTTGTCTCTGTCGAGAAGTCTCTCGAGCTTGTCGGCACCGTTCATCCAGCTCTCGAGTTCGGGAGTTCGTTTAGAGAGATCACGCGGTGAATCCATGTTTGTCGAAAACTGGGTTGAAGGGTTGAGAGGTAGCGTGATATGCACAGGGAGAATCTTTTGAGCGGGATGGCGAATGGGACTGCGCAGGCGAGGGAAGCTGATTTTGTTGCTTAAGTGCCGGCTGCGAAAAACACTCCTTGCAATCATAGATGCGAAATGCCTTAGCGTATGGTCACTGGGTGATAGGGGAGCGGAAAAAGTTAGAGAAAACACGTGGACGCTGGCAAGCTTCCGCCAACTGGCGAGGCTATATCCCTACAAACCGCCCCAATAATTCCAGATTCCCACTGTGACACGTGCCGCGTCTGATATGGTATTTATTTCTATGGCAAAATGTATCAAAATTTCAACGTTCATTCACAAACTCCTTTATCTCATCCACCCCTAACTCAGCGGTACCCGACTTAGTGTATAGTATTAATGTCTAGTAATGGACGTATCTAAACCCTTTATCGATCTTCCGTTTTGTCCTGAGAAAAGAGAATGCTATTGGCTTCCAACTTCCAATTCTAGAATGGACAACATCTCACCAGAATTCCGTGTTCAACACCCTCGGGCCTCAGCTGAGGCTCAGCCTCAGTCTCCTAGGTGGCTATCAATCGCCGCATTGTCTCCACTCTTGTTTTCAACGTATACTTATATATTCAGAAAATTGGCTGAATTAAAGCCATTGCAGAGTTATCATATGCAAACGTCGAATCCGTTCAATTCAGCCATCTTTTGTAAGGCGGGGGCCATACTGTCTTACGTAGCCTCTTAGGGTCCAGCAGTCACGTGGCCAGATAAGGCACTGCCAACTGGCTGATTCAGGCATCAAACTGGCTGATTGTGATATTACACTTGGCTATTGTGGTATTACAGTTGGCTGATTCAGGATCACAACTTACGCAACTCTCTGACTGGAGGGTACAATGAACTGTAACCTGCTATCTGACCGACTCGTTTTCGCAGACTAAATCTAAATCTAAATAAGTTATAGTGGATGAATGAACAACTGCTTCAAACCCGTTCACTCGCATATGCTTGATTCCTTCCCTGGGAACGGATGGCCTTATTCCCAGCCATTGATGTTTTCCACGCCTTGATTCCCGAATTGAAAACACCATCAACCTGCTCCAGCGTAAGCCCAGCAGTCTCTGGCACGAGGAAGAATATCATCGTCGCAATGATAGCAGTGACACCAGCATAAAAGTAGCCCACATTGGCACCCATGTTCCCATAATTAGGTCCGAGCATGTAAGGCGTCCAGAAGGTAGCACCGAACGAGAATATTCCAAAGAATATCGTTGTGTTAGCCTGCCCGAAGGTGCGGAGTGGAACGCTGTGCATCTCCACCGAAGTCAGGCCAGCACTCGGAGCGATGGTGGCACCAAATACAAAGGACCACAGGCACAAAAACACCACCATCACCATCTCTCCGCTCTTGTTCATGCCAAGAGCAGTGCTGACAGAGGAGAGAATCAGCATGCACAATCCCATAGCAACATAACCTGATAGAATGGTCATTCTTCTCCCCGCGTACTCCACAACGAACGGACCGAACAACGATCCTCCCAAAATGCACAGCCCAATGATAACATTGATCAAATATGGATCACTGACTCCAACACCCTTGAGAAACAGCGCAGCATACGGCTGCACAAACTGAATCCCCGTAACAGCAAGACCGACCATAATCAAAGCAGAAGTCAAAGTCCGACCAACATGCTTCCGACTATAGATGTCAACCCAAGAAACAGACTTCGCCCCAGCCCTCTCATTCTCAAGATGCTTCCTGATCCCATCAATCTGCCCCGTAACAACAGGCGAACACGGCCTCTGACAACAAAGCACCCCAAACGATATCCTCGCCTCCTCCTCCCGCCCATGCCCCATAAGCCATCGCGGCGACTCAGGAAGCGTCGAAATCCCCACCCCAAGAACAATCCCCAGCGGAATCTGACACACGATCGGCGTCTTCCATTGCCAGTCATTGTCCGGCTTCAGTCGCGCAGACCCCGCACAAACAGCCGAAGCAGCGACATTCCCCATCGCGAGCCCGACATTGTAGAATCCCAGCGATAGTCCGCGCTGACTGGCAGCAATACACTCGGAGCCATAGGTGACGCTCGAGGCTATCAGCTGTCCAATGCCGACGGCGCTGATGGATCTACACACCATGTAGTGTAGGAAGCTGCCACTGGTGCCGAGCATTCCGGCGGCGCCGATTATGGCTAAACAGCAGCCAATTTGTATTGATCGTCTGCGGCCGAGGTATTGGCCTGATAGGCCTGCGATGCCGCCTCCTACCGCGATGAAGAGGTAGTTGAGGCTTATGAGGGATTGCTGGAGAGGTGTCAAGGTGCAGTGTTCGGTGCTGGTGTGGGTGTTTGGGTCGGGGAGCTGCTTGCAGGTACCGAAGGAGCTTTTGTAAGAGGGCATTATTAGGACTGTGCCGGAGTAGCCGTTGTCGAAGTTTGCGATCCATGCTGCAAAGGCTACCCATAATGAGAGGCGGATCATTGGGCTAGTGGTACTGGGAACATTTTGGTTGGTTTTGTCGACAGTTGGGGGGTCAGTGGTGTCGGAGTTGGACTGGGACTCGAGTTTTGGGTTTGCCTGTTGTGACTCCATGTTTGATAGTACCCCTTTGGGGAAGGGAAGACGATGAATCGTATGTGCTAGGTCTCGCTCATAGCTCGACAGTAGCGGTATGGACTGCCACACGGGGTATATACCTATGGGTTTGGTCTACCATTTGGTAGATCGAGGGCGAGGAGATAAGGTAGCCGGAGGGCTTGCGTGCATTCCAGAGCCACAACATACGTACACATATTGTCACGAAGAATGCGAGTATCATGCCCACTGCAGGAGAGTGATCGGTCGTCGGGTTTCTTATCTTTTAGTATTAATATTCAGTACTGCGTATGCGACTTACTGTGTAAATAGCCTTAAGGTAGTCCGGACCACCTTATCAACATTGAACCGATGGACCATGACCCATCACAAAGTGGGTGGAACAGAACCGACTCTGTGATTGAATGCATTATGGTAGTCTGGTAGATTGAAGATTCTTAGCTGACTGTCATTGCTCAGCATTCAGAAGCCAGAACTAAGATCCAGGAACTACCAACCTGCCGATTATCCCTTGGAGGCAACCTTCATAGGACACCACCTGCTGTGGAATACAGCGACTGCCTGATAGCAGTTCATGTTCAAGATCATATTCATGACGAAGTTACAAACAGAAAATCCAACAATATGCTTCACAATAGTTCACATGGCTTTACTCGCCCGACGCCACATCCCGCCAGTTGGCAGGTGAGGATGTCGTGATTCGATATCTCTACTGTCACCGTGTACTGTGTAGATGGGGCATAGTACCAGGTCACGTGCCGGGCCGTGCCGAATAACGCGATGCTCCACTGAGAATCCCAAGGTCAACTGAGGATGGAGCTCAAGACTGTCCTTATTCTCGCTGCAATCTACATAGGTAAGAATAAACACAACACTTCTGCAAACGCCGCCCACATCGGGCCCAGCATCCGGCGCATCAACTAACCCTCATAAGCTGTCCGCATCTTCCTCAAGTCCCGCACCTCAAGCCCCGCAGCCACGATGTCTCACGGAAAGGTCACTGAGATCGACAAGTAAGGGAGTACTCAATCTGGCGCTCGATATACACAATACTAATACATCGCAAATAGCCAAGTCATCTTCAAAGCCCTCGTCTCCTCCGGCCCCGTCGTCGTAGATTTCTTCGCAACCTGGTGCGGACCCTGCAAGGCCGTCGCCCCCGTCGTCGGCAAGCTCAGCGAGCAGTACGAGAACGTCCGTTTCCTCCAGGTGGATGTCGATAAGCTGCAGGTTGTCGCGCGGGAGCTGGGTGTGAATGCTATGCCTACGTTCGTGGTGTTCAAGGACGGCAAGGAGGTGAGCCGTGTTGTTGGCGGTGATATGAAGAAGCTTGACGCTCAGATCAAGGCGATTACGGCATAGTTGCTTTGGGTTCGGCGTGGTTAGGTAGTGGTCTTGACTCTTTTGTCGAATTTGTCGGGACTACAGTTATGGATATTCCCGTGCAGCCGGGGAACTGCATTGTTATCTCCATCAGTTTGAATATTATGAATCGCGGCTTGGAATTGAGCGCGTTTCAGGCATTTGGGTTTGAACTGATGTTGCAACTGCCGATCTTGTCTCGGGTGGTTCTATCCGGAGTATATCGGTGAGCGTTGGATGTGAGCACTCGAGTTAGGCATCCACACATTGCGGATATTTTTCGAGTCATGCGGGCGTTTATTGGCGCAAAATCCCGACTTCCCGAGTAGGCTATGCATGTAGGGTGAAGGGCGCATGTCATGCACGTGTCCACGTGTGGGCCGTGGGGTTTGGAGTACCACTAAAAGCAGTGTCTGGACTTCGAATGCTACATCGGCATACGCTCAAAGGATCTCAGTGTGATATGTCAATTCTACAGTCTTTCTCGCAATCAGGTTCTGGCAAGACGAACTGGCTACGAATTGAGTTGAATCTACCAATACCCGAAGATATTCCGAGGCTAACTCGAAGAGGATAGGTGTAGCCGAAATTTGTTAGCGAACGGAAGCGTTAGCATAACCACCGTAGGCCGTAAAAGAGCTATATGTGAAAGAAATATAACTAAGGTGTTACTAGGGGATTACTATCCCCTTTTGAGCATCAAGTTTCGCAATGATTGGGGCGTATGCAGTGTCTACAGGGGCCATCCATGGATGTGGTGAGAACTGAGAACAACTGCCCTGTTCTTTCGGGCTTCTACCCCATAAAGTGGAGAATCGAGAACCTCATTTTTTCCCGTCTCGGCTCTCCACCGAGATTGATAAAACGGGTTTCGAACTGAGTTCAAGCTCTGCTCTAGAACGGGACCCTGTATAACCTGCATATAACCCAACGTGTCAAGGCTCATGTACTAGTATTCATGAGTCATTTGGATTCATCTGGGCTTTGACTCTTCTGATCGGAGACTTATCCCATTTGGGACTCCGTCAACTAAGGACTTGGCATCCTGCCCCAAGGTCACTTTGAGTACTTGAGAAGACTCGGTTGAGCGGAGTTAAGCTTCGTCCGTTGGATTCAACTGCTAACACCTAACACCGCTACTTTCCACCCCTGTAAAAAAGAGAGCCGAGGGCAAATTTGATATGGCACTTAATACTACCGAGCCCCAGATCATTCGGGCTTAGTCTCTTTAGCACCCTTCTAGCCCATTCTTTTTTTCCTTCTTCTTCATTTCTTTAATACTTCATTTCAGGGGCTTCTGATTTCAAAGCAGATATTCTACTGTAAATATTTGTTGTTCCTTTCACTTAATACTCATCTCGAAAAGGTCATACGATACACTTCCGGCCTTGGAACTTAGCCGTGGAAGTGCCTCGGGAGAATTTGCGGGATCGGCTATTATTTGTCTCGGCACTGGTGCTGAAGATCTTCGATGTCGAACATCCATGTCTCGGACCACAAGCTGGCAATGACTGAAACAAGTAGCAGATCGGACGTGGATACCCTGGGCTCAAACAGCTATGGGCGCCAGCTGGAAGAGATCCGCATCAACAACCCGCAGGGTGATACTTCGCCTCAGACTGGGGTCGACGTGGACGCGGCAGAGAAAGAGTTCGAGGAACTGAATAGACAGTTCTCTAGCATTTCGCACCAAGCTCAGAGATTGTCTAGACAAGCTTCGCGGGCGTCAAAGCCGGGAGCTGCGACTCACGATATCGAGAAGGATGGAGGCTCGACTGCCTCGGATGAGTCGTGGGATCTGGAGTCCACGCTCCGTGGTGATTATACTGCTTCTGAAGCGGCGGGGATCAAAAATAAGCATATCGGTATGTAGACTCCGGGAATCAGATGGAAGGCAATGCTGAGTATCTCTCTAGGTGTGATCTGGAACAACCTTACAGTCCGGGGAATGGGCGGCGTTAAGACAATCATCAAGACCTTTCCAGATGCAATTATCGATTTCCTCAATGTACCCGGAATGATCATTGATCTCCTTGGGTGGAGAAAGACCGGACAAGAGTACAATATTCTGGAGGGTTTCCGAGGTCTCACACGACCGGGTGAGATGGTCTTGGTTCTTGGTCGTCCTGGATCGGGTTGTACCACTTTCCTCAAGGTTATTGCAAACCAACGGTTTGGATACACTGGGGTAGATGGAGAAGTCCTCTACGGTCCATTTGGCGCCGATGCCTTCGCCAAAAGATACCGCGGAGAAGCTGTATACAATCAAGAGGATGATATTCACCAGCCGACGTTGACTGTCAAACAAACTCTGGGATTCGCCCTCGACACCAAGACCCCAGGAAAGCGTCCACTGGGTGTCTCGAAGACCGAGTTCAAGGAGAAAGTTACCAACTTGCTTTTGAAAATGTTCAACATTGAGCACACTGCCAACACGGTGATTGGCAACCAATTCATCCGTGGTGTCTCTGGAGGTGGGTGATTGCCTTATCATTTACAGCTTGTCTTGTACACAGTATATGATGCTAACTAGAACAGGCGAGCGGCGTCGGGTGTCGATCGCAGAAATGATGATCACATCTGCGACTGTATTGGCTTGGGATAACAGCACTCGCGGTCTGGATGCATCTACCGCTCTTGATTTCGCCAAGTCCCTGCGGATTTTGACCAACATATACAAGACGACCACTTTTGTCTCCCTCTACCAAGCATCTGAGAACATCTACAAGCAGTTCGACAAGGTTCTTGTGATCGATAGCGGCCGCCAAGTGTTCTTCGGCCCCGTATCCGAAGCCCGATCATATTTCGAAGATCTGGGCTTCCGCGAAAAGCCTCGTCAGACTACTCCCGACTATTTGACAGGATGTACCGATCCCTACGAGAGGGAGTTCAAGGATGGACGAAGCGCCGAAAATGTGCCGTCCACGCCTCAGGCTTTGGTCGAAGCCTTCGATCAGTCAATCTTCAGCGAAAGACTAGACGATGAGATGAAGGCCTACCGCGCACAGCTTCAGAAAGAGAAGCAAATCTTCGATGACTTCGAAATCGCTAACAGGGAGGCGAAGCGCAAGTTCACGTCTGATAAGTCTGTGTATTCGATTCCCTTCCACCTGCAAATCTGGGCTTTGATGCAACGCCAGTTCCTGCTCAAATGGCAAGATAAATTCGCTCTGACAGTCTCTTGGATTACCTCTGTCGGCATTGCCATCATCTTGGGTACGGTATGGCTCAATCAACCGAAAACCAGCGCCGGTGCTTTCACTCGAGGAGGTCTTCTATTCATCAGTCTACTGTTCAACGGCTTCCAGGCATTTTCGGAACTTGCATCTACCATGATGGGCCGCTCGATCGTCAACAAACACCGCTCATTCACGTTCTATAGACCAAGTGCGTTGTTTATCGCACAGATCCTCGTTGACACAGCGTTTGCCATTGCACGCATTCTGGTATTCAGCATTATCGTGTACTTCATGTGTGGACTGCATCTCGACCCCGGGGCATTCTTCATTTTCGTCTTGATCATCCTTGAGGGATATGTTACCATGACTGTATTCTTCCGAACAGTCGGATGTGTCAGTCCAGACTTCGATTATGCCATCAAGTTCGCATCTGTCATCATTACCTTTTTTGTCCTGACATCCGGATACCTCATCCAGTGGTCCAGCGCGCAAGTGTGGCTGCGGTGGATATACTTTGTCAACCCTTTTGGTCTCGGCTTCGCTTCGCTCATGGTAAACGAGTTCAGACACCTTACTCTGACATGTACAAAAGATTCTCTTGTCCCCACTGGTCCTGGCTATGATGATATCGCTCACCAGGCCTGTACTCTGGCGGGAGGCGAGCCTGGGTCGGCAATCATCCCTGGTTCCAACTACCTTGCACAAACATTCAGCTATCTGGGAGGGGACCTTTGGCGAAACTTCGGCATCATGCTTGCTCTGATCGTCGGCTTCTTGTGTTCGAACTTGTATTTTGGAGAAACCCTTCACTTCGGAGCAGGCGGCAAAACGATCACTTTCTATCAGAAGGAAAATGACGAGCGGAAGAAGCTCAACGAGGCTTTGATGCAAAACAAGGCGAACAGACAGGCCAGGACCAACAACACAGAGGCAGGCTCAAACATAAGTATTTCGTCCAAGTCTGTGTTCACATGGGAGGATGTCTCGTACGAAGTCCCAGTGCCTTCCGGTACTCGACAACTCTTGAACTCGGTCTACGGCTATGTTCAGCCAGGGAAGCTGACGGCGCTCATGGGAGCATCTGGCGCCGGAAAGACGACATTGTTGGATGTCTTGGCAGCACGGAAGAACATCGGCGTGATCAAAGGTGATATCCTGGTCGATGGTAAGCCGCCAGGCACCTCATTCCAAAGAGGTACATCTTACGCGGAGCAGCTTGACGTTCATGAACCCATGCAAACTGTCCGAGAAGCACTGCGTTTCTCTGCAGACCTGCGCCAGCCATTTGAAACACCCCGAGAGGAGAAGTACGCCTATGTTGAAGAGATCCTAACCCTGCTAGAGCTGGAAAATCTGGCAGACGCAATCATCGGCACCCCCGAAACCGGTCTATCAGTCGAGGAACGAAAGCGCGTCACAATTGGCGTCGAGCTAGCGGCTAAGCCTGAGCTCCTTCTTTTCCTAGACGAGCCTACCTCCGGTCTGGACGGTCAATCTGCCTGGAATATTGTCCGTTTCCTTCGCAAGCTCGCCGCCGCAGGACAGGCTATCCTATGCACGATCCACCAACCCAACTCCGCTCTCTTCGAGAGCTTTGATCGTCTTCTTCTGCTCCAACGAGGAGGCGAATGCATCTACTTCGGAGACATCGGCGATGACTCTGATATCCTGCTGGACTACTTCCGCCGCAACGGAGCCGATTGCCCCGCTGACGCCAACCCAGCCGAATGGATGCTGGATGCCATCGGCGCCGGTCAAACCCGTCGCATCGGAGACCGTGACTGGGGCGATATCTGGCGCACATCTCCCGAACTGCAACAGCTTAAAGAAGAAATCATCCAGATCAAGGCCGACCGCGCCCAAGCCGTCCTAGACAGCCACGACACAACCAAAGTCGAAAGAGAATACGCCTCGCCCCTCTGGCACCAAATCAAAGTCGTCTGCCGCCGAACCAACCTCTCCTTCTGGCGCTCCAAGAACTACGGCTTCACCCGGCTCTACACGCACGTCGTCATTTCCGTGATCACCGGCCTCGTCTTCCTAAACCTCGACGACTCCCGCTCCTCCCTGCAATACCGCATCTTCGTAATCTTCAACGTCACCGTCCTGCCCGCCATCATCCTCCAAATGGTCGAACCCCGCTACGACATGGCCCGGCTAATCTTCTACCGCGAATCCGCCTCAAAAACATACTCCCAATTCGCCTTCACGCTCTCCATGATCGTCGCCGAAATCCCTTACTCCCTCATCTGCGCCGTCACCTTCTTCCTGCCCCTCTACTATATCCCAGGCTTCCAGACCGCCTCCAACCGCGCCGGCTACCAATTCCTCATCATCCTCATCACAGAGATGTTCTCCGTCACGCTGGGCCAGATGATCTCCGCCCTAACGCCCAACAGCTTCATCGCCTCCCAGTTCAACCCGCCCATCGTCATCATCTTCTCGCTCTTCTGTGGCGTCGCAATTCCCAAGCCTTCGATGCCGGGCTTCTGGCGTGCTTGGCTGTACCAGCTCGATCCGTTTACCAGGTTGATTAGCGGCATGGTTGTGACGGAGTTGCACGGGAGGGATGTTGTTTGTACGGAGTCGGAGTTGAATGTTTTCAATGCCCCGGATAATATGACTTGCGGGGAGTATATGGAGCCGTTCTTTGAGCGTGGCGGGAATGGGTATCTTGTTGATGGGGCGGCGAGGGCTTGTAGGTACTGTGCGTATAAGATTGGAGAGCAGTTCTATGCGGCGTTTAGTATGTCGTTTGATACTCGCTGGCGGGATCTGGGGATCTTTGCTGCGTTTATCGGGTCGAATCTGATTGTCTTGTTCATCGCGGTAAGTGTCTTCTGTGTTCGGTTTGCGATGGTGATGGTGATGCTAATTGATGCAGTCTCGTTTCTTGAACTTCAATCGACGATAGGTTGGGACTTGCTTGTCTCGTAGGACAGGTCTGCATGGAATGATTATACAGTATGCTGGGCTCGAAATTGCAATGTGGAGTTTAAAAATGATTCTGAAATACGAATTCTCATCTTTCTCAACGAATTCATTCTCGGTAAACCCCTTACCGTTTGGACTATATAGAAGCTAAATTAAGGCCACAACAACAATAAACGAACCACCATGGAAAGCACCTCGGCTGATCCTCAATCTCGGCTATAGATTATAGCGGTGTGCACTTAAGCACAGAGCTTACACGTCCAGTAATGAGTATACAAGGGAATCAATGCAGCGGCCTAAAGTCCGATATCTCGGACTTCGACCGACATCATGCATCCAGATTCCAGCCATCAGGCTTTTGACCAGACGACATTTGTACATTCAGGCGTCAAACATACTTGGCAAAGCTACACGACTGGTGGAACTTTGTGCTTGTTGCCAGCCAAGGCAAAGCTTCCCCACGTTTGAGGTGATCGGCGTGCGGTTCAATGGGCGTGGGGGATGTTTTCTGGGGTTTTCCCCGCAGATTGTCCTCTTTGTCTTCCTCTTTCAGGTCTAAGCTTTGGAGATGGTCGGTGGAGAGCACATTTGGAGTCTTGTGAGGCTTGATTCGAGGGGGTTGGGGACCTCCTTGGACTTGTTTATATCCTGCATTGTCTCGTTGTTTCTTCTGTTTTCATATTGCTGATTATGTCTATATGTTACACATCCCTCTCATACTTATAATCTATTTCAATCAATTCCACTTGTGATCTAACTACTCTGCACTTTCCATTGTACCAAAGATACACTCCACTATGGTGGACAAGGGCCCCCCAGAGTCCAGACATGACTCCAAGGCCCAGATTGCGGAGGCTCCGACAGTCCTCCACGCAGAAACCGCTCAAGAACAGACCACGTTCAAGAAAGCCAAACATGTCGATGGTGACACGGCAATGGCGCTGTTCGACGATCCGGACGAGCTCCATGAAGAGGTCGATCCCGCGGAAGCGAGGAAACTGTTGTGGAAGATCGATTTTATGATTCTGCCTTACTTGGCTGTTTGCTATGCATTCTTCTATATTGACAAGGTGAGTCTCCTCTCCTCAATTGGATATACTATGTTTCCCTCTTGTCTATTTGATACTGACAATCCCTTCTCGGAAAAGACAACGCTAAGCTATGCTGCCATCTTCGGTATTCGCGATGATCTCAATCTACATGGAACCCAGTACAGCTGGCTGAGCAGTATCTTCTACTTTGGTTTCCTGGCATGGGCATTCCCGACCAATTTTCTGATGCAGCGTCTACCCATCGGTATTATTGCCACTCTATCTACTTCGTTTGATTGAATACACATCTGACATATATCCCAGGCAAATACCTAGGAGTAAACATCTTCCTCTGGTTCGTCTCATACCCCAAGACACCTAGCCTAAGCACTAACATATTCTCCAAGGGGCTTCTTCCTAATGCTTCAAGCAGCCTGTAACAGCTTCGAGACCCTCGCTGTCCTCCGAGCCCTGGGTGGTGCCGCCGAAGCATGCTCAGACCCGGCCTTCATGCTCATCACGAGCATGTGGTATACACGTCGTGAACAGCCCGTTCGCATTGGACTGTGGTATACAGCGAACGGTATCGGCATTGCACTAGGTGGACTATTGGGTTATGGGATTGGTCATTTGAAAGGTGCATTGCCATCCTGGAAATACGAGTTCCTGGTGATGTATGCGTTTCTTTCCTCTGTACGCCTCTTTTTTCCGGGACTAATTTACTAATAATCCCTATCCAGCGGCGCCCTTTGCTCCACCTGGGGAATCGTCATGTTCATCTTCCTCCCCGATTCACCGGTTACAGCGCGCGGCCTCAGCAAGAGACAGCGTCGCATGGCCGTTGAGCGACTACGTGAGAATCAGACCGGTGTTGAGAATAAGCATCTGAAGCCGTATCAGATCCTGGAAGCACTCATGGACTACAAGCTCTATATGTTCTTCATCCTCGGCATAGTTGGTATGTGTTCATTTCCTTGTTTACCATCTTCTACTTCACAGCCACATATACTAATGTAAACATCTCCCAGCTAATGTGCCCAACGGAGGAATCTCAAACTTCGGAACAATCATCATCCAAGGATTCGGCTTCTCGACATTGGTCACAACTCTCATGCAGATCCCCTACGGCGCCCTCATCGCCTTATCAATCCTAGCATGCGTATTCCTAAACGACCGCTTCGAGAACCGTCGCTGCGTCTTCATCCTCATCTTCCTCATCCCCAACCTTGCCGGCTCATTCGGCCTCCGCTTCGTCCCTGTGCAACATAGCGTAGGCCGTCTGATCTGCTATTACCTCACTGGCCCGTACAATGCTGCTTTTGTGCTCATTTTGAGTATGCAAATTGCCAACACTGCCGGTAAGTAATCATTCTAGCTTTGATTGAGTGAGCTGAAATGGATTTGCTGACGTATATGGGGCAATACAGGTCATACGAAGAAAGTCGTCACAAATGCCGTCTTGTTTCTGGGATACTGTACCGGCAATATCGCCGGTCCTTTCTTCTATAAGAGTGATCAATCGTGCGTTCCTTTCGTTCTATCTTTCCGCAGAATCTGCTTGACTAACTATATCCAGACCGACTTACTCGCTTGGAATCTGGTCTATGATCGTTTCGCATCTGATCGAAGCTGTGCTTATCATTACGCTTGGTCTGCTGCTACGGTGGGAGAATAAGAAGCGCGATGCAATTCAGTCACAGATGGAGGGTGGTCTTGAGGGGAGGGATTTGGATTCGACTGCGTTTTTGGATTTGACTGATAGGGAGAATTTGAAGTATGCTCCACTTCCCTTTGGCACTTACGATGGCAATGACTAACAGCTTTGAATAGTTTCCGATATATTTACTAGACCTCGCTAGGCTTGAGTGAAGGTTGATATCTGTTAGCTTTAGAATCCTTCCGGGATTGAGGCTCTACAATGAACAATGAAGTTGCAAGACGTTTAGTCCAGTAGGTCTGTCAGTAGGTAATCCAGCAATCCATTTCGCATAATCATGGAAGATTCGAGCCTGCTCTTTCGCAGTCCATCGGTGTGTAACCAGATCAAGGAGATCGCTAAGTGGCGGAAGACCAAATTGGAATATATCCGACCATATAAACGAGTCCCATAGGTTCAACAGACCTAGGTAGGGTTCTAGAGCAGATCTAGAAGCAGATACACAGTATATATCTCACACTGGCACCTTCCTCACTACCAACATCGGTAGTGAGATCCGAAAACTCTGTTAAACTGCCTTTGTTGGGTAAGTGTTCTGCCCACGGCCATACACCACCTGCGGATAGGAAGAAACCATGAAATACACGCGGTCAGCAAGGAATGGAGGAACCACAATACATATCTGTAGCATCAACGAGAAGAAGCCGTCGTCGATAATGAATAGCAAAGTCGAGCAAGGTTTTCGTCACGTACGATGGGTTCAAAATCCAACTGGTCGACAAATTTGTCTGCACGGTAATGATTGTTGGAAAAGACTCCGGGCTGACGTTGGGGGAAAGGTCGGGGTCGAGACGGCGCGACATGGTGGGCTGCTAGATGTGTTCAGATGTTGCGGAAAAGGAGTTACGGCGAGAAGGTAGTAACTAGTAAAGGTATTGTGGAGGAAAGATCGACTGTAGGAGATGACACTAGCCTATCAAGGTAAGTGGGGACTGACTCCCACCGCCATTGACCAATGGAAATGATAACGACTCCGTCTCCAGTCTCCACCTCGAAGAGCTCTTGCCGTTCGTCACCAACTCCATCTCAAACTCGAAGTGACCAAAATACCTTCACAATGAGAGACGAGAGAGACATACTAGATCTGTACGCAACAGACTACAAACCTGTTTGGGCTGCAGGAATTGAATTCCCCGGTGTCATTCCAGAAGAGATATCACAGTATCTCTATGAGGATGGCGAGCAGGTCTCCTTGTTCATCGGACCGTTGTCAAGCCTTTTTTTGGCTTGAGGGGGTGGAAGAGCTCGAAGAACTCATTCGCGATCCCGCATATGTTCTTACAGATGAGTACCGTTCGATCCCACAGGGTTCTCCGCGTCTTTGGATTGTTTCCATTTTGTTTGAAGAAGGGAAGATACCAGCAACATTCATGGACAAGATCTATGAAGAACCTGTCCGACGCCAGGCTTCTGCGATTTCTTATGCTAGCTCTATTCCCCCGAATCTCACAACAACTCCTACTCAAAACAGGATTCAAGATGTCTTCCCCTTTGCGCGCCTCCAATCTTTTCCGCCAACTATTTCTTGCGTTAAGACAACACTGAAGGGAAAGAAGAACGACCGTGATGAAAATTAGTTGATTTGATGAATACATTCAACAATTCACTTGGCGGCAATCTTCTTTACAAGGGCTTATCACGCCCGTCAACAGTCAGCCTAGCCTCACTCTTCACGCCCCTCGTCTCTTCAAACACGCTTCAGGACGAGTTCGGACCCGGTTTATACGCTACTTCCTCACTCAAGTATGCGTTGGACTATGCTGGCCCGGATGGGGTTATTTTGATTTTCAAGGATGTTGACTTCCGTCGGTTGGTTAAGATTGATTTGGCCGGCGAAGACTGGCGAACTACGGTGGACTATTGGACCGGGGCGACGATTTCAAATGTTTCTGAGCGCGTACCAGCACTCTGGGAGCGATCCGATATCCTGCAAGGCCAGATCTCCGTCAAAGATCTGAGGTCCAAACAGAGGGTTCCCGGGCCAGATTCCCAGGTCGTGGGAGTCAGCTATGCAGGCTTGAATGCATTTGCATCTGCTTTGCACATGATCATTTGGCTAGACAGTTCTCAATTGTCTAGCTAGATCCGGGCTCTTATTCTTATCCAAGGGGCGGCATCGTCTCTGTCGACCCGGCGTGGTTGTGGCTTTTGCTTTTGATATTATTTCCTCTTGTCAGGAAACAGGGTTCATGTGATATCCATTACCTCAGTATCCTCAGGCTAACTGGGTACAGTATCCCCTAACTTAGGTAGTCTGTTGAACTCTAATTGATATTGGAAAGACGTTCCCTTAACTCGCGCAATCAAAGTCCTGCTCATTCCACCGATTAAGCCGACGTGGAAGGTAACCAAAGTACAAATGTAGTAATACAGCAAAGGGTCACGCCAGACGCCTTTCAACTCTCTCACCTCCGACGCTGACCACCACCACCACCAAGGAAGGCCTTCTTTTGGCGAACATAGTTGGCCACGATATTCTCGACGCTCCTCCGGTCGTGCTTGCGGTCTCTCATGAAGTACAATCTAGCCCTTCTGCGCTTCTTCTCCGCCCGCTGGACGATCTCCACACTGTTAACATTAGGGCTGAAGACCTTAACAGACATCTCAACAGCCACACGTGTAAGCTCGTTCCTCAGCAGGAACGAAGTCTCGACTCCGCGCAGCTTGATGCTCAGAACGACTCCGTTGAACGGATCGCCGTTCTTGAATGTCACGCGGACGGTGTCGCCGGGCTTGATACTGCGCGGGTTGCGGCGGTAGTCGAACATTGCCTTGCGCTCTCCCTTGGGATCGAGGACGGCCAGTTGCGATTCGGTCACGGCTGCAACGGGGTCCTTGCATGCTTTGCGGGCGGATGGCGGTGCAGGGTAGATTTTGAGGGGCTCGCGTGCTAGAGAGGGAGACCGGAGGTCAGTGTGTGATTGATGCATGGTTTTTCAACGTAAAGTACATACCGGGATCAGGACGGAAGCGAAGAGGGATTTGTGTTAGGAATTGCTCGGGCATGTTTGGCGGGAGAGGGACTCGTTCGGGTCTCTTCGAGTAGGCTGTCGAAATGAATCGACGGTTGACGATGGGGGTGATGGGCCCTGAAGGCCTCATCAAGGTCCTTAAACAACCCAGAGGGCGCATTGTTGGTAGTGCCGCCATGATTGTGATGTGGATGTTGAAGTCGAGAAAGTTGGAGGTCGAGTTTTGGCCGGACCGGCAGAATTTCCGCCAAGCCTTGAGCCCGGGTCTCCAGACAACGCGATTCTTTTTCCCCGAACCTGCGAACTTCAGACTACTTCGGTGTGTACTCGGTGTTTTCTATTGTTTTCTCGAAAACACATACAGGTCTATCGGTGGTCATTATCATACCACTGTGGTATCTCATAAATAAATCACCCATCACCCACAATGGCGCAAACCGCCATGAGCAGGCTCTTCCGCCAGAACACCACCAGCTCAGTGCGACAATGCCTGAGACCGGCACAAGCCCGCCGCTATGCGTCAAACTCAGGTACGCAAAGAGAAAACGCTTGATTACAGTATCTAGTTTTAACTTGAGCAACAGCAATCCCATCTTTCACCTCGACATCCTCCCCGGAGTTAAACGACGCATTAGCCCGCTTCCGCAACGAGCTCTTCATCCCCCTTGGCCTCCCCAAACGGCAGCGAAAGAGCGTGCTGAAGCCCAAATACGCCCAGCAACTGCAACATGAGCCAATCACAGTGCAGATCAGCGAAACCGAAGAGTTCACGCTAACGCCCAAGAACCGGCACGAACTGCCCTCGAAGCGCGAGGCAATCAGCGTCCTCAACATAATGGTCGCAACCAAGAACTTCAGCAACCTCTTCCCCTTCCTCAGCGGCCTGCGCATGTCAAACTACATCATCAACAACGACCGCTGGGAATACATCATCCGCAAAGTCAGCGAGGCAGGCAAGCTGTCCGTCATCATCGAGTGCGCCAGACAGTCCAAGCGCACTGGCCTCAGTCTCGCCGACAAGGGCATCGCCCGTCGTCTGTTCTTCGAGTTGCACCAGACTGCTTCCCGCGCAGACTTTAAGGGCGATGAGACCGCCAAGGCGCTGAAACTCGCGCAGGAGGCTGCTAAACTCATGGAGGCGCCGGAACATTCTGTTAAGGAGACTCAGGTTGATCCTAAATGCCAGCCGTTCGTTATTGGTACGCTTTTGGAGCTCAGTGCTTGCTGTGCGCTGATGAGCAAAGATGCGGCCGATGTGCAGACTGTTCGTGACTATGCTCAGAAGCTCGATGCTGCTTGGTCCCGCGGTGATTTCAAGAAGGCGGCTACGCCCCTTGAGGCCCAGCTGAGACTTGAGGAGAATCTGGCTGTTTTTAATGGTATGCGGTTGAGCCGTGCGGTGGACAAGGATGGTCCGGAGAGTCAGATTTTCAAGACTCGCATTGCTGAGCTTAAACCTGTGCTCGCTGGGCACTTGAAGAACATCAAGAACTCGCAGGTGCTTGGTGACAATATTTCTATGCTATTATTGGCAGAGGCTGGGAGAAAGGAGAAGGCAGAGAAGGCAGAGAAGGCGGAGAAGGCAGAGGAGGCGGAGAAGGCTTAAGCCCTTGATCCTGCATGGTTCTATTTCCTTGAGTATTGATTGAGCCCACATCGGCATGTATATTACTGTTCTTCTCGGATATCTTGGAGCTGGCCTTGTATTTCACAAAATGGATATTTTGACTCCCTAGGTATCACGTTGAACCCCCGCTAGGTGCTATTTCAGATACATAAATGAGTAGTGGACTTATGTCGTAGTCAACACAGGAAGACCCGCGTGAGGGTACACTACACTAGGGATATAATGGAGGTGATCAGTCTTGGATCAACTTGCTCATAAAGACAATTCCAGGGTATTGTCCGTGCTGATGCGAGCGCGGGTTGGAAGAGTAACGGTATCGCCGGCAACGGCGGGGCCAGAGACGGTGAGCTAAGGAAAGTGTAAGCAAAGGGAAGCAGTCGAATTTGAAGTGAACGGCAACGTACCTTCCCCTCTTGCGCGTCGTCCGGAGACCCTTCCGGCACGTCGGTCAAGGTGATTTCAGTGCTACTCACTGGGGCACCGAAATGGCTAGGACCAGTGAGGCATCTGTAGTCGTATGCATTTGTCTGGGCAATTGCACCAGCAACAACGGGCCCAGTCAAGGCATACACAACTCGAGCCCCAGTGAAAATTCTAAGCTCGGTCAGTTGCTCGGAGGTCAGATGAGCGGCAGTGTTGCCATCGATACGGTGGGAGATGCAGAGTAATCGCAATTTATCGAGCGAGAGCTCGGAAGTGGGACTGACACGGGCCAGCTGGCTGAAGAAGTTGCGAGTCGGCATATTCCCGGCATCCAGGGTTCTGGCTTGCAGCCAGCGTCCAAGGGAGGAGACGATGCCGGTGTGGGGGCGCATGACTCTATCGTGGTACTCGGCCATAGACTGCGATGAAGCTACAATGACTGTGGGAGAGACGCCGACTGTAGCCAAGGCAAAGTCGACGCCCTCTCCGGCGACCGAGTTGAGTGCAATGGAAGAGTTGGCAAACAGTGCCGCCATGGTAGTGCAAAGTGGGTAGGAGCGGGAAAGGGAGTCGATAGAAAGAACAACATCGTCGGGGGTGAAACGCTGAGCACGAGGAAGAGTCGAGGCCAAGGCTCCGACAGCAGACACAATATTCTAGTTCAATGTTAGCGAGATAGATACCAGCGGGTCGACTGAAGTTTACCTCAGGCTGGAACTCGATGAACTGGCTCTCTCCAGAGGCAGACGGCCAAACAGTGGTGACAGAAGGGGTCGGCGTTTTCGGATCGTACTCCGGAACATCATAGCTAGCGAGGTTCTGGTGCTCCTCGACCAGTTCATGCCAGACTGCAACCTTCAGGCTACTTTTGACGTCTCCGGGAACCTCGTTCCAATCCATGTGTCGGTTGCCATACTTAGCGACCCACAGAACAAGCGACAGCTGGTTGATATCTTTAGTAACAAAAGGAAGGTCCACGGAGCCAGCTTCAGCGATGAGGACATCCGCCCCTGCGTGTTGTAGATGTGCTGCAAGTTTCTCGGCTGGAAGGTTGTGCGGGATAATGACTGTCTTGTATCCATAGAAGGCGCCGGCTAGATTGCGCAGTGTTAGATATTGATACCCATTCCGAGTAAGCGAGATACTTACCAAAGATTGTAGCCAACAGCTCAACGGAGTCTGTAAGGCAAACAGCCACAGTCTTCGCATTGGCATTCTGGATATGACGTCCGATAACGTTGATTTCTTGTGTCACTTGGTCCAACGAGTGCTCAACGGCCTTACGACCTAGAACAGTGTATATTTTGCCCTGCTTGCCGGCCAAAGTACCGTCTGCATTCAGAGCTCCACGTACGGCGATTTTCCAGATGTCACGCAGATCTCCTCTCCGACCACCGGTCCATTTCGGGGCGCCCGGGTCCTTGACATTTAACCCAAAGCGCAGAGGCAAGCCGTGAGGGGTCTCCAAGCATCTATACGTAGGGGATTGGTTCTGTTGGCGGATCGGAGCTGCTGTCGACTGGCGAGCAAGTAGGAACGGATGCACATCTGGATCCTGAGATGAGATGACGGAGTAAACCGCGAAAGCAAGAACAATGCCAGCTACAACGGTAGTGTAGATGTTCCAGTCCGCGAGGACATCGGCCACTAAGGCATCCAGCTTCCCCACGAGAGAGCTATCAGCAGCCATTTTTGAGGTTGATGAATCTTGGAGATGAGAGAGTGTCAACAATCGGCTATGACGTTGAGGGGCAAGCCGATAAGGGGGCTTGTGTCAGCCGGGGTAGCCGGGTCAACTTATGCCCGTGAAACTCCTTGTGAGACCGCCAAGCGCAGCCACTTCGGGATCGTCAATAATCAACAACAGACCATAATGACACTTTGAAAGAGCAGGGTTTCTTCATTACTATGTGCATTACTAACTAACAGCTTCCCTCGTCTCTTTCATCCTAGGTAAGTGCTGGTCGAGTCCATAAGAAAAGTGAGTACAACCCTATTTCCCGCACAGTTGGACTACCTGTGGATCGAGGGCTAACTTCACTTTCCAGGTTCAGTTCATTTTTACCTTTCCCTCATAATATTCACACCAACATCACGCTATCAATGGCGGCTCTGTCTCTTCCTTCGACTCCGAGGGCAACCCCTCCAGTGCCTCCCACCGCGGAGGGAGACCTGACCCCTGGAAAATGGCGACACCCTCAGCTGGATGAGATTGTCCGGCGCCAAAATGCAGCTACATTTGACGACAAGAACATTAAGAAACTGGGCTGGAATGCTGCAGCGCTGACATTGAGCTGGACATTCGGACCTGCATTAAAGAAACAGTGAGTGAGACACGAACTTCAGTCGCGACGCGTCGCATGCTGACAACCATGCTCAAGCTCCCTCCAACTCTTCGATACCAGCCATATGGTTCACGAGATCCCGTTGTTCATCGTCCAGATCTTCTTTATCTTCAACATTCTAGTCGCCCTCTATCCCCTCTTCCGGGCCAAGGACGACCTCTCCGACATTCCTCTTACCCCCACCCAGCGTTCGCTTCTTGGTCTTGATCCTTCTGTCACTCCTCCCGCTACTCCTGGGACATCCTTTGTCACTCCTCCCAGATACCGACTCTCGACTTCCCGCAAGCCCAGTCCAGCAAGCAGACAATCCTCACCCATGTCCGCAAATGGAAGCTTTTCCGAGCGTCGGTCCTCCATAGGTACATCGACACATTACTCGCCAGTGTCTAGCCCGCTGCTCTACAAGGCAGTCTCGAATGGAGGCAGGGAGTCTGTTGGGGGCAGGGAGTCTTTTGGGGGCAGGGAGTCTTTTGGGGGCAGGGATTCTTATGGAGGCAGGGAGTCTCGCAGGGAGTCTCGCAAGAACCAGAGCCTCGGATCGGCATCCCCTCTGGCTCGCAGCAACTCCTTGGGAGAGTCGACCGTGTCTAGCGTTGGCCCTAGTACCCCCTCTCCATTGGTGGGCAAGCGAGCAGGTCTAGGAGTGAAGAATAAGTGGTTGTATGAGAGGAGTCGAAGGCTTTCTTCAAGTGGCGGGGCTCTTTGATTTCATAGTCTGAACAGTTTCGCAAACAGGCGCTGGGGTTCATGGTCACGGTTTGGAGGTCATAGCGGTGGATTCATTCACAGTGTATTACAAGGATACCAATTCAGAGTCGTTCATTATCAGGCTTTATCTTTCACTCTTCCCCGTGGATGCACAGTACTTTGTAATATATGCCGATAGGCTGTAACGTAGACATGAAGAACAGGAGATTAGGAGAAAAATCAGCATTCTATGGGCATATTTCATGCATTGTCCTGACAGTCAACAGTAATTTGCGGCATTCGGCAGATCTGCCGTACCCCCGTGTTCAGGCCAAGAACCCGCGCCCGAACAATCAGGAACTCAACCAACACTTGACAACAGACAACAGACGCCTTGGCTTCCCATACACGAAGCTTGCAAAAACCTGCATGAAGCCCACAATAGCGTGATCAGCTCCTCTTTTCCGCGATGGGGGCTTCGGAGTCCAAGCTTGTCTTCAAACAGGGCATCTTCCGCCTCTCGGAGGAACAGGAGATCCCCGCAGACGACCCCTACTGGACCAGAGTATGTATTGCTGCAAATGGGATTGTTTCTCTCGAAGATTTGAGAGCTAACTATGCTCGCAGTTTTGGGAGCTCCCTGAATCGACCGAAGATGTCTTTAGTCTCTTCACGCCGGCAGACATCCGACGCACGCGCGATCATTCCTTGCCCAACTTTCGAACCCTCATACTTGCAATCACCTCACGGCTGGTTGTATTGAAGAACCATCCCTCGTTCCCGGACCCCGATCTTGCTCCGGAGCGCGACCTGCTTAACTGCATTCGGATCCTCACTCGCCTACTCCCGTATGTTTACGAGTCGGAGCAATTGGAACTATGGGAGGAGAACTTCTTTTGGGCACGGCGAAAGAGAAAGACAAGACGAGCGCAGATCATTGGCGAGGTCCTCTTTGACGAAGCCCAACCCGAAAACGGGTCAGAGACCACAGCACCACGCACGGAGGATTACGAAGATGCGAAGCCTTTGGCGGAGGAGTTGATAGACACGTTAATGGACCTGCTCTTCTTCGCCGATTTCACCATCCCTCAGCTTCCAACTGCGAAGAGCAAGGTCTCGTTCTCCATCTGGCAGAGTGGTGTCGGCTGCAACACGGCAATGGGATCCAACAAAGCATTGGAGAGTAATCGATGCGAGATTCTCCGGCTTTTGCTTACTCTGACCGGAAAGGCCATGTATTTGCCAGCCAGTGAGTCTAATTATTGATGGGGAAAGTACTGGACGGTCACTAACGGCTGTAGACACATTGCCCGTACAAGGCGTCAGGGCCATTACTTACATCACAACCTGCCAAGATAAGCAGGCTGTTTTGACCCTTCTCTGTTCGCTTCTCAATACGGTGGGTACAACCCATCCAGTGACTAGATCCGATGCTAATTTCCAGCAGGCAATGAAGTACAACCCTGCATCTTGGAGGGTCCCATACGACCACGTTGTTTGGAAAGATCCAAGGCAAATATTGGTGATCTACTGCGTGCAGCTTCTACTGGTCCTGTTGTTGTATCCCATTCCAGAGGACGGCCGTGGAACTCCGCCCAAGAATTATTATCGCCATTATTTCGGCAGGCTACATAGGCCTCAGGACTTCCAATTTCTCGTGGATGGCATGACAAGGATCCTGAACCAGCCGGTAAGTATTCCTTGCCAACCATCTCTCAGGATACCTTCCTAATTGACCAAATCAGATGCAAGCTACAATATCTTATCTTCCCGGAAGTCAGAGATCGGTGAAATGGGCCCCGGAGATGTTGATACTTTTCTGGGAGACGTTGCAATGCAACAAACGATTCAGGTCATTCATTATCGACTCCAATCGCTCTCATGACTTCCTTGTTCTGTGCATCTTCTACGCGATGGAGTACAGACTGGATCCCTCCAAACAAGGAGTAGTCCGGATGTGCATTTTCATCCTTCAGACAATGAGCGCCGAGTCGACATTCGGAAAGAGTCTGACCAAAAGCTTCGAAGCTCAAGAAACCCTACCACAATCCATCCGGCTGCCCAAGTTTCGAGGATCTTATGCCGACTATCTGATCATGGTTTGTCCTTCGCCCATCTTTTGCCATATTGCCTGCTAACTGCCACAGTCAATCCACACTCTGATGACAACGAGCAAGGGAAACTTGGACACAGTTTATCCCGCTCTGCTGATCATTCTCAACAACGTTGCCCCCTATATCGAACGCATTTCTCCGAGTGCCTGCTCGAAGGTCATCCAGCTCTTCTCTTCCATGTCTGCCCCCAGCTTCTTATTGGCAAATGAAACCAACCATACCCTGCTTGCCTCATTGCTCGACTTCATCAATATCATACTCGAGCACAAATTCACCGGTAATCTCCTGTCCAGTCTAGCTCTTTGGCCAAGCCGTTCTGACCTTATCCAGACAATCCATATCTCGTTTACTCAGTACTGAAATACAAGCAACGCTTCGAAGCTGTGCGCGCCTTCACTCTCGAAAGTGGGCAGCAGGAAATCGAGCGCCAGAACGAGAAGAGAAAGGCTGGCAGTGCCGATGTGCCTGCTAGTCCAAGATTCTCACAGTCAGAGGATGACCTCCATACTCCATCGGGTCCCCGTTCGCCCTTGACCGGGATCCCTGAAGAGAACAGCCCGTTTGCAATTGGCAATGATGACTCTGATAATGAACATGAGGAAGAGGGAGCACACACTCCGTCTCAATCATCACCCTCCGCTCAAACCTCACGGAGACCCTCCGTAGCATCCACGACAGATGACAATGGAGTGCAACAACTTCGAGCAATGTCCGAAAAGGCGCGAGGAAAGAAACCCGCTGGGCATCCTCCTTTTTCCAGACAAAACAGCATGACTAGTCAGACAAGCATGTCGGCTTTGTTCACACCATCTGCTAGCGGCTTCACACCGACTGTCCCCTGGGTATGTTTACGTCGCTCGTATCCCACAGATCTCTGTTACTAACAGTATTCCTAGCTCGAGTCATGGTTGCCCGAACTACCTCTCCACACAATTCTCACCATCATCTCGGCAATCGCGCCTCATATACCCGACACGGCGCTCACAAACGCAGCAAGCCCAGAGGCCCGCACACTAATCCACAACCTGCCATCATTTTCCGAAGAGCCGGAGGTGGCAGGGATTATTTCCGAAGCGACTCCTGTTCGCGTGCAATCGTTCGAATGGTCCGCGCTGTCTATGGGCTGGTACGAATCCCTCTTGTGGGGCTTCATCTTCTCCAGCGAAATGGTAGTCGGTTCGGCTTCTGGCGCAACCCCAGGAACCGTCGGTGTCTGGAACGGCACAGGCATCAAGCTGTTCAGAGTTCAGGAAGCGGCCGCTCAAGGACCGACTTTGATGGCGCCTAAAGGTGCTGTCGATGCTGTGGGCAGCAACCTTGTTCAACGCATCGGAAACCTCCGTCTTCGGGGTCGGAACTCGCAAGAGTTGGGAAATAACGCGCCAAGTGCGCGGGAGGTTTAGGGTCATATTGCCATGTACATAGGGTTCCTTTTCACGACATGACCTTTTATTCTTTGACGATCCCGCTCTTCGTCCTTGGGATTTGGTGGCGGTGCTAGTATTGCGATTGTCATGTTTTTCAGTCTCTAGCCACTGTGCTTCAATACCATACATTACTTCCTATTCTGCCTGTGGGCGCTCTGAAGACCGTTGTCAGCGCCTCAGCTCCAAAGTGGCTGCTTGGCATCATTCCGTGGACATAGGTTCTGGCGATTCTTTGCCAAAGCAAACCCAAGAATATTTCAGGGTGCCCTTTCAAATACTGTCAATTTTATAGGCCAATACGCAACGGATAGGTGAGGAAGCCCCTATTCAAAGTGTCCTAATAGACGCCGCGTAGAAACCACGTGCGCGCTTCCGATCGCCATTACCATTTGCCCCTTCAAGCTCCAGTCAGTTCAAATCCACTTTCTTCCATCGTTTCGACAGCAATTGGGACTCCATTTCTCATTTTGATAGTAATTCCTTCACAGAATCCCTCTATATTCATGTTATTCCTCGGAGTTGTGGCTCTCCTCGCGGGTGCGAGTCCCGCCCTGGCGGAGATCACCTCCAGCCTGCAGAGCATTCTGGACAACACCCACGGCAGCACAGACTACCGGTATCCGACAGATCTTACAAGAGATCTTTTACCTGTGAGTTTATCTATGACAGTTTCCATACTCAATGTATTGTGGAAATCATTGTCTGGGTAATGTTGTTAACCTATGGGCTATGAGTAGATTCCTGTTCATTCTCATAAGTAAGAAAACACCCCTGAACGAGATCGATTGTAGGCTAATTATAGCAAAGTGACTACTGGCGTAAAGAGCCTTTCTATACTGGTATGCTGCAGTTCAAGTATGCTGATAACCTGACACCCCTAACATCTGTCTAGGCCTGTCACACGGCTGTACATCTACCGAAGCTGATGTCTGGCTGTACAACGGCACACTCTATGTGAGTTTGGCCTCGAACTTACCTCCTATCCTTGTGAGTATGATTTACTGACCAATCTACAGGTGGGCCACGATCAATCCGCACTGACGAAGTCACGAACTCTCGAATCCCTGTATATCAATCCAATTCTCGACGTTCTAGCGCGCCAAAACCCCGAGAGCCCATTTGTGACATCACCTACCAAAAAGTATGTATCTATCTGAACAGAAATCGAACATGCCAGCTAATGCTTTAATAAGTGGCGTCTGGGACACCGTCCCAGAGCAAACACTCTACTTCTTCATCGACGTGAAAACCTCCGGGCCGGAGACATTCAAAGCCGTCATCGCCGCCCTAGAACCTCTACGCGAGAAGGGCTACCTAACCACCGTCAAGGACGGCAAGATCACCAATGGGCCCGTCACTATCATCGGCACGGGCGAGACACCGCTCGACATGGTCGCGCCCGTCAAAGACCGGGATTACTTTTTCGATGCGCCTCTCGCGAACCTGAATGATCCTGAATACGCTAATATCACTGGTGTTGTGTCGCCGGTTGCTTCGACTGATTTTCAGGAAGCTGTTGGCAAGATCACGGTTGATACGGATCCGATCCTGAAGGATGAGCAGCTGAAGAAGCTGAGGGAGCAGATTGCTGTCGCTAATGAGAGGGGCATTGGGGCTAGATATTGGAATACGCCGTATTATCCGATTCGGACGAGGAATTTGGTTTGGAGGACTCTGCTAAGGGAGGGTGTTATTCTTCTTAATGCTGATGATTTGGATGCTGTTGCCTCATTGTTCTAGGTGATTACCGGTCCCAAGCGAGAGCGAGCTCACACAGCTACTTTTTTCATTTGCTTTTACTATATGCGTTGCGCATGGTGATTACTTAGCTCATATTCTTGGCCTTGAGCCAGTATCTACACTTTCATGTGAATTACATGCATGTATTGTTCTCGAATGTCTATCATTCATTGCTCAATGGTGATCAAAACACTGGAATTTCCCGACAGCCACCAATCTTGAAAGAATATAGTTTATTTGCTATGTTATTGTTTGCTTCTCCTGCATAGCATCAGCAAGATCACTTTGAATGGCACTAAGTGCCTTTGAAGGTCGTAAACAGGAGAATTCCGACTTAGGGCGTTATTGGACGTTGGTATGAAATCCAGTCCAGGCTCCATGGAAGATGAGTAGAACTTTCAGAATACGATAGTACAACCACCTCGCCACCAATTATCTACCTTCCAAGTTAATATTCAGTAACATCTAACTATCAGATGTGATAGATCAAGGTCAAATAGACAAATGAATATGTCCAGGCACGTGACCTTGAAGCGCGTTAAATCGAGCTCCGCAATCTCAACTCCTCCCATCCACAATTCCACGATCCTCATTGGATGAACTAGAATGGCGGATCTGGCAGATCTCTTGGCCAAGGTGCTTCCCACCGGGCTTGAGATCACCGTACGTCATGTCTCTTCAATCCCAACTCCCTGTGCGGCTCTGTTCGCAGCAGCACCAGGTCAAGTCTCCGAGCCAACTTTCTGCGAAAATCATTTCCTCTCGGTATCAATTGAACCTGAGAATGAGGGTGAAACAATCATCTTTGGAATTGAGGTCTTGGTCTACAACACGGCCCACCTGACCACCATCTTCGTCTCAAAGGCCGACTCGACGGGTTACCTACATCACCTCAAAATATCACCCAAGGTCTCCGTCCTGAGACTCATTTCTAATACATTCCTCTCCTTTCTGGCCCGAACCCGACAACGGCCTGGTGTGCGTCTGGTCATCTCGCTGTTCGCCAGAGCCCAGAATCAGTACCTGTTTCCGGGCAGCATTGAAAATGCCGAGAAGCACGTTCTCGACGACAGAGGTTTGATTAAGTGGTGGTGTCGTGCTGTAGATCCCATTCTGCGCGAACACGAGCCTGAGTCTGCCCTTCAAGAAAAGAAGGAGGTGGATCAAACAGTCGAAGCTGCGAGGGCCTCGGCCACTGCATACCTGATCGTGCCAGGCTGCGACCGCTTTGAAACACGCAACTTCTTCCCGCCCACGACCAAGACAGACCCGCAGGATCGTCCGCGATGGCTTAACGGCTACCCGCTGAAGCAATTGTATCACGATCCCTCGGCTCCGCCTCGCTGCTTGGTGCCTCGTTTCCCGGATGATCCCAAGACCCGGTTCCTCATTGACCTGGATGACGAGCTTCCTGAAGAGAAGGAAGGTCAGCCCGTTGCTCCTAATGCTGGATACTGGCGTAGCGTCACGTCTCTCGATCAATTCTGGGAGATGATGTCGTTCCGCCAGGAGTGTTCTGCTGGGCGACTGGTTGGGTTTCTTTGGCTGGTTGTCAATCCTCCTGGGTTGATGAACAGCACGTCAATGGAAAGCCAAACACGGACTTCCACCGACCAAGGTCAGATCTCCGGCACAGATGTGGACGCTATTCCTCGGCAGACGGCGCCAGTTCAGGACAACCAGGCTGAGTCTAAGGATCCCTCCGAGACAACAAGCTCTTCCATCCCCCCGGATACATCCCTCCCTGCCCGGGATGATGGATCTAGCGCCATCAACCCCTTCGACTGGCCAGAGGCCGGACGCGGACAGGTTGTTCTCAGCGAAGCAGACTATAAAAAGATGATGGACACAGTTCTGGACCATTTCTACGACAAGAACGAAATCGTTGCCAGCACCAAAGCCTACGTTGATCAAGTTTGCTCCCTCGCCGACCAGCTCACATGGGGCAAGAAGGTTGTCGGTAAAGATACCCCCAGCGATGCTTCTCAGCCTGCAAAAGTTCAGACCGATAATGTTCTCGATCTCGGACTGATTCGCAAGCGAAAGAAGTCGGGCGCGGACACCCCTGCGGAGGTACAGGCGGGTGCGGGAGATACGCCGTCAGAACCGGCTGTCAACGTGCTCAACGCGAGCTTGGTTCGGAAGAAGAAGAAAACATGATTTATGGATTGGTGTCGGATTACGGAGTTTGGGGTGTCTTCCATGGGGAAACCGACTACGAGCTATAATTACCGTTGGGTAAATGAATTACAAACATGTATCAGCTGGCAATTCCTAAGTAGAAACAACTGAGTTGAACTGACTGTCAATTCAGCTCTAAATTACCTCGAATATGACTTTCACCCCAGAACCTCTGAGAAAATGAAAAGAGAAAAGCAGATGAGAGGTCGGGCGGGTCAATTCCGACTCAATCCACCATGAAATCTTCCCGCAACATCCGACTTCATTTCCTCTCTACAATGTCCTCATCTATGTTGTCACATATCCCTGTCTCATGCTAAAGCCTACACCTCCCTCCCCCCTCCCCAAGTCCGACGATGGCCTATCCCTATCCGTGGCGGCCGGCTGGATCGCGCTGATCTGGTACTCATTTCTACTAGCCGTGAGCGCGTTGGGATATTTCCAAATGTACAATCCTCTCACCTGCCACTCATAAGCCATAAGCCATCTACTAACCCAATACCAGATGGAAATACTTCCTAACCCAACCCCAACGCTCCCGCCTTGCGACCTCCTCCTCCGCACCACACGTCACAGCCATCCGCCCAGTAAAAGGCCTCGAACCACACCTCTACGACTGTCTCGCCGCGACCTTCCAACAAGACTATCCTTCTGACAAGCTCAGCATCTGTCTCTGTGTCTCAACCCGCACCGATCCCGCCTATCCCACCCTCCGCAAACTGCTGTCCGACTTCCCGGACGTCGACGCGCGCATAACCGTCGAGGACGAGGACCCGCTCTTGCAGCGCAATGGCACCAACACGTACACCCTCGGACCGAACCCCAAGATTCGGAATATGAGCCGCGCATACCGCGAGGCGAAAGGCGATATCGTCTGGATCATCGACTGCAACGTCTGGGTCGGCAAGGGCGTCTGTGCACGTATGGTGGACCGGTTGTGTGGCAGCGGAGCGGGGGGCAAGAAATACAAGTTCGTGCACCACTTGCCGGTAGTCGTTGACGTGACGGGGGAGAGTAATCTGCGTGCGGAACGGCAGGCGTTGCTGGACGCTGACCCGCACACTACGAAGGCGGATGCTGCGAAGGCGGCGGCGATGCCGTCTGTTCGGCCGGAGGATGGGATTGCGGCTATGCTGTCGACTGGGGGTGGACGGCTCGAAGAGCTGTTCCTGTCTTCTGCGCATGCGAAGATGTATACTGCGATCAACACGGTGCTTGTTGCGCCGTGTATCGTGGGCAAATCTAATATGTTCCGTCGGTCTCATCTGGACTATCTGACTGCGACCTCAGCGGAGGGTCCCGAGCATCGCAATCCCGGTATCGACTTCTTCTCCGATAATATCTGCGAGGACCATCTGATCGGCGACCTGCTGTGGAGGAAGCAAGTGCGGGAAGAGAAAGAGCTCGGCGAGCACTGGGGGAAGCACGCCATGGTCTTCGGTGACCTGGCTATCCAGCCTGTGGCCAACATGAGCGTGCCGGCATACATAGCCCGAAGAATCCGGTGGTTACGAGTTCGGAAATTCACCGTGCTACTTGCCACACTAGTCGAACCAGGTACCGAGTCATTCCTATGCACCATCTATGGGGCATGGGGTATCACAACCGCCCTGGCACCATATCTTGCGCGATATGGCGTGAAATTTGCCACGGCTCTTGAGAGTTGGCGCGCGTTCTTTGCGGTGTTTGTCGTTGGCATGTTAGCCTGGATTTTGGTTGATTGGACTCTGTATATCAAGCTGCATTCGGCGAGATGCATCGAGTTCGATAAGGATACTCCGGGTTTTGCGAAGCCTCAGCGATACCGGGAGGCTCAGACTACTCGTCGTCCGTTCTTGCAGTGGTTTGCTGCTTGGCTTGGGCGTGAACTGCTCGCTCTTCCTATCTGGACGATGGCGGTTTATGGTGGTGTGACGGTTGTTTGGCGAGATCGACGCTTTAAGGTTGGCTTTGATGCGAAAGTGAGAGAGATCGATCATGCTTCTACCTCTAACGAGATAGCGGGCAAGGTCCGGAGTGATTGATACGGAATATTGAGTGAGACGCGAGCATACGAACCATACATAGAAATTAGACCTGCATGATCATCCCAGCGAGTCTTCCATGTGACATTATGAAAGAAGAAGAAATTAATATGCATTGATATCGACAAGAAAACATGCAAATCAGAAAAGCAACCCCATACCCCCGAGATCTATAAATCTTCAAACTTTTCACATCTTTCAAAAACACCGGCTCAACTCGGGAGATCAAGCAGATTCACCCTCCGTAGCCCCCTTCTCCAAACTAGCCCCAACATCCGAATTCAGCAGCCACTCAACAACCTGTCTGCCCGCAGACATCTCCCCAACATCCTGAGCAGCCTTCTCCTGACCCTCCTCCCCCCCAATCGTCATCTCAATCTCCTGCATCTGAGCATCGCCATCCTGATCCTGCTCCTGCTCCTCCCCAGAATTCGCCCAAGCCGTCCGTTCAGCAAGGAAAACAGCATCATGTCCAGCATCATTCTTGATATCCAAATCAGCACCGGCCTCAACAAGCGCCTTGACGCATTCCAAGTGTGCGTTCAATGCTGCCCAGTGCAGAGGCGTGTTGCCAGAGTAGTTACGGCAGTTCACGAATGCCGTGCGCTGTGCTGCGTCTGCGGAGGAGAGTTTTTGGAGGAGAGTTTTTAGGAGGTCTGGACTGCGTTAGCATATTTTCATTTCTTGACTTGACTCCAGACTCGGTTTAAGGAACTCAGGTTTAAGTACTAGAGAGAGAGGAGATAAACATACCAGCATTCCCATTTGCAGCAGGGAAGTGCAGCACACACGATCCCGAGCCGCCTTCACTCTCATCCGCTGTGTCGATGGCAGAAAGCACGATGTGGGATTCCGGACAGCTGTGTTGGGTGGCGAGGTTGGCGATGTCTTCGTTTAGAGCTTCGAGATCGCCTGCTCGGGCGTCGTAGATTAGGTCGTCGATTGCTTCGGCGGATAGTGCGATTGGTACTGTGGGTTTGGTTTGGGACATGATGTGTGATTTGAACCTGGTTGTTTCCAATTCTTAGTCTTTGGTGGTTTTTAAGGTGGGGGTTTTGGTAAGGTAGGTTGATCAGTTGGTTTTATGGTGCTGGAGTAGCGGTGTTAGTTATATGTCTCTGTTTGTATTCCATCAGAAAAAGACAAGTGGAAAATGTGAAATATGGGATAGTCATGGTGTAGGGGCATTGGAGATTGGGGATTTGGGCAATTGGTCTATGCCCCGCCATAGATGCTCGCATTGATGCATGGCGTTGATAAGGGTCAGGATTCAAGGCTCAATTCCAAGCCACGAGATGGAAATAGGGACTCGAGGTGTGTTTTGCGACCATAATTCGACAGCCAGACCACAGGGGATATGTTGATTCGTACCTTTGCTTTTCGTTATGCTTTCTAGCGTGAATATCCCAGCCGGCAAATGAGGCAGATCGCCGCAGAAAAATAATTTGGTATCGCGGGTCATGTGACTGATAGCGGTTATCAGTCAAGTGTCTCCGTACTCCGTACAGGGAATGGAAGGAGGTCAAATCCAGCATGGTACGGACTGGAATTAATACACATGTGTTATGTCGATATGTTTGTATTCATACATGTTCATCGTAGTTGTACAGACTTTAGTCAATGGAGTGTGACAGGCAAAAGCACTGCCTCTATCCACAGAGGCAAACGCCTCGAGAAAGTGAAAAGGAAAGTTATCAAAAGCCCAAACGCCTCGATTCCCACGTCCGGTGGGATGGTATCAAGAAAGCTCCGAAATGCGAGACAACACAACAATGCAATGCATCAAACGACCAGCAGAGTACACAAAGAAATAGAAATAGCAAGAAAGCCCTTAATCCCGAAGCCAGGCCCGACGCTTCTCCTCCTTCTTCTCACGGCGCTTCTCCTTAAACGCCTTCAACTCCTGCTTCGTCAACTTGCGCGCACTGCGCTCTGCGCGCAAGCTCCGGCCGCCGTGGCTGTTTGCCGCAGCGTCAACGTCGAAGAAAGCGTTCATCTGACGCCGAGACTTGTTCTCATCGTTGTGGTTTTCGGGATTGATCGATGCAGCCTGCCAGCGTCCAGTAAAGCGATTGAAGGTGCCGGTGGCGGCGTAGGCTGCGGCGGGGTCCACCCCAGCAGTGGCAGCAGGTTCTTCATAGTAACGCGCATAGTCTGCGTTTGGGTCATAGTCGCCATGAATCGCGGGGTTGTAGCCTCCAATAACGGGTTCCGGCTGCTGGGCTGGCTGTGGGGGGTCATAGGTGCCAGGCGCGGGAGGGACCGAGGCGGTTGAGGCCAGCGCGACTGGGGCTTGCGGCACGCGCGGGTTCTCCCATTGCGAGACTCCGGTGAAACGATTGTAGAAGTAGTATGCTTGCGCGTGGCCGTCCCAGATAGGATCCCATCCGTCGTCCTCGGTTTGCGCTGGTGCAGTTTCTTCAGGAAGTGGCGGCGCGGTCTCATCGGGGAGCGGAGGCGCAGTCTCATCGGGGAGTGGTGGTGGGATTTCCTCGGGGAGCGGCGGGGCAGATGTCGCTTCAATGTTATCAGACTCATCAGCTTCAAGCTTCGAGGAAGGTTCTTTGGAGTCTTCGGTTGGGTCGGCGCGATCGTTGGTGGTTTCCGCTTGATCGTCCCGTGCGTCGGTATTCTTAGCTTCCGTCGCGAGGCGCGGCGAGGAAGGCGCGGGAGAGTCGCTGGCTCCCGCCTTGGGGGCTGACTCTGATGGTTCTGGTGAAACAGACATGCTGGAAAAGAAAAACTAGATGAAACGCTAATTCTTGCAGATAGAGGATTAATCAACGACGGAGGAAGTGTACAGCGAGTTAACGAAGACGGCGGAGGATCTAGTTACTCGCCATTTTGCCAGTTAGACTTAGGGTCCGTGCGGGATGAGGGTTACCGCTTTCCTTTTGTAGATATATATGCTTGCCCTAATTGGGAATAGCGTATTGGCATCACCACCCCCACACCTGCTGGCTCTGTTCAGTGTTCACTATTGACATTGCTATATTCACCTTTCATCTTTGAATGTTGACATTTACATCAGTCTATGATGCTCTGCAGCTCTGTAGGCCAGTAGGATTGGAGGAATCCCCTAACATGTTCTGCAGCATTGGCATGTCGTGGTCTCCGACAGTACTCCCCTGAGTCGGTGAGTCCTGAGACTCCTGTCTGCACTTCCCCCTGTTGAGGAACTTGAGGTGATGAAGGATCTCAACTTCCATTTCCTCCCATGAAGCCGTTGTCTCCGATAGGATAGGAATTGGCGATATTCCTCTACGTAGAGCATCTCTGTATATGAATATCTGGCCGTTTCATACCAATGTCTTGTCCTTGTCCTCCCGCCATGCGCAATGCCCTAAGTATGGATGTTGCATGTGAAGATAAAATGGGCTAGCCATACATGATATTACATGCAATCCTCGTCATGCTTGATGGCTTCACTAGTCAGAAGAGGCAACTGTGAATTCTTGTCCGCAATGGATCCCAATCATGAGAAGCTCATTGGGACTCATGTTCCAAACTTCCAACACCACACACAGCTGAGGCCGAAACGACACCAAGCTAACACCGACATATGATATCATATTGATTGTAGGCCATGTAATATTTACTAGTCAGGGCAGAAATGAAGGCAAAGACTGTTATTGGACCAATGTTAGGGAATGCCATGCAAGAATGTGGTTGGCTCTTCGCCTTCTAGAAATCAGGTCCAGCAAATTTGAGCTCACTTACTTTTAGATCTCTTAACGCAGGTACCAATTACACTAGATAGAGAGTTTAGTATGTCGCATTCATTAGAATCCCCGTCCAGAAAGCCGAAATGAGTTCTAACTTGGATAGGAATCCAAAGCAATGTTCGTGGCTTTTCATAATGTCGGGAAAACGCCCACTTGGTGTGAAATTGCTGGCAAGCACTGTGTGTAGTAAACACACCAATATCAAAACTTGTTGATGGCGCATTCTGGTTGACCAAGTACCAACTTTTAGATGGGCATTGTCAAAAATAAGCTCATCAATAACATTGGAAAGCCCCATATCCAAGGCTCGGTTATAGTTACCGACTGCTTTGATTGGTGTTGAGCATTGGAATGTCCCCCTTGCAATATCCCCAACTGTCCAGTCGTTCGCCTCATTCTAATCCCGAACAACATGGCCTTGATCACACACCATTGGTTCGATCGTGGTTCCTTGCAGGGCCGTCCAGCGTCGGAGTAGACGACATTCCTTCATTCGGCTCTACCCATTGTATCTCATTTTTGTCGGTATATGCTGAGCATAGGGCCATTGCCCCCGACTTCGGCATTCCTCTAGGCCTTCTGGCTGGAGGTTTATAAAGGACTATGTCCGGGCTGTGTCTCTTTCAAGCCATCCATCCAGCCGACAACCTTCGCCAACCCGCCTCATCGCCGTTCTTTTTGTATTCTTCCGACCCCACGCTTCTCCTCAAGCGTCATACACTCGTTTGAACATTGCTGTCTATCATTAATCGCTGCAATTTACTCACGATGAAGGGAATTGCTCTTCTTTCACTTCTCAGCGTCGGTACGCTGGCTCATCCAGCCGGTCTTGTGGGTACCTGATGCCGAGCAACTGTGAATTGTGATGGCAATGTCTGACGAAGAATTTTAGTGGTGGGGTACCGATGTCTGTTATACTAGTCCCGACAACACTGATAATCAGTGCTCAGATGCTCAGGCAAAAGGCTTTGACTGGTCTGAGTTGGCTAACGGTGACAATTGGAGCTTCGAGGGCTTCAACTTTGTCGGACTCGAGCCCAAGAACAACTGCCATGGACCTGGTCGTCAGGTAAGTGGTTGTAGTACCTGGGACTCTTCACGCTTATGCTAACTTTCAAAAGGGCAACTGCATTGGCGGAGTGCTTTCTAGCGACGATGACTGGAAAATCAAGATCTCCGCGGCTGATGCTCCGTTCTCTATCCGGAACTTCTACCTGTCTACTTCCCGGAACACGGATGTCTTTATCATTTATGAGATGCCCGATGGCTCCACCTGTCACCATGTGGCCTCGAGCTCCTACAAGGGAACTGATGTTGCCAACGATCAGTGCGGTGGTGCAACCTCCGTCGAGTTCACCCTTCCCGAAGAGAACAAATTCGGCGACTGTGAACTGGAGATCTATTCAATTGACTTTGACTGCTCTACTGGAACGAAACCGCCAGCTCCCCCTATGTCTGACCCACCCCACACTCACCACGAGCATTCTCATACATCCGTTGTGTCGGAGATTCATTCGACTACTAGCGACCCCTATACGCCAACTCACCCTGTGTCTGATCCACCTCACACTCACCACGAGCATATCCCCACGGCAACTGTTCCCTTACCTCACACCCATACATCCGTGGTGTCGGAGATTCATTCGACTACTAGCCGCCCGCTAGTTGCCACGACGGTTTGGGTTACTGAGGAAATCACCGTTACCAAATGCGCACCCACCGTCACCAACTGCCCTGGTCACTCTACCGTGGTGGTCACCTCAACCAAGCCAAGCGAACCCCTGGTCACTGCCCCATGCCCCGATGTGGTCCCCAAGTGCCTGAACACCTGGCTAGATATCCCCAAATGCGACTCCAACAGCGATGCCGCATGCTTCTGTCCCTCATCGCAGTTCACAGACAAAGTCAGCTCCTGCATCCGGGCCTGGAGCAGCAACAAAGAGCAACAAGATTCCGCCCTGGCGTACTTCGCCGGCATTTGCGCCCCTTATGTTCCGGCCAACCCTTCAATCATTACAATTGTTCCCACCCCCACTCCTGATCCTCGCACCACTGGAGTTATTCGAACCGTGACCGTTGATGTGCCCACCGCGCCCCATTCGACCCCTTGCACCACCATCACCTGGTCCTCCCACACAGCGACTGTCCCGCAGGTTGGATTCAGCACCGTCACTTGCTCGTCCACCACCAGCGTGGGTTTGGTACTCGTCACCCCTACCAGCACTCGTTGTCCCTCTAGCCACAGTGTGCACATCTCGTCCACGAAGATGAGCACGCGCTGCAGCTCTCCCACTTCCTCTGTTGCTGCAGTCACTGTCCCCACGACGACTGCTACTAAGCCGACTCATACGTGGACTCCTGTGGCGACGCCCACGGAGACTGTTATTCACGCTAATGCGGGTGCGAAGATGCCTTTGTCCGGTTTCTGGGCCTTGGGTCTCACGCTACTTGCTATTGTATTCTAACTTCCTCTATTTGACATCTAATGAATCGAGCCTCCCTTATGGTCGCTCATTATAATACATATAATGATTGCAGAACAATGCGATTACGGTTGACTTCTAGGTTATGTGCACGTATAGTCTTGTTCCCACTTCCACTACACACATCTTACTTAAACAAGGCAGCCTGTAACATTGCTAGCAGCCTATTATCCCCAACCGAACAGTTCAGCCTCAATTTCCTCGTACACTCCCGGAATTTGACCACGGGAGTTTTACACATGACCGCCAGCTAACTCTGTTGGTATCATGTGCAATACGGTATCACTTGCGACGGCGCGTATTTCCATTCTCGTACTCTTGGTGCATGATAGGCATAGTCCCCTGCAATATTTACAAATGTCTCTCTGTCTACCTTCTATTGACAGTGTCTACTTCATGGTCTCTGAATGATGGGTGCTTCTCGCGATATGATTGGACGAAGCTCGAAGACAGGAGGCGTGTCTGCAGGGGATCCTCATGGCTGCATGAGACGCCATGGAATGCGAACTCGCGAGCTAAGCTTACGGGGAGTTTTCAATCGGGTAATTGATCTTCGGTCGGCGAATTGGTGCAGGTTTATCCGTACTCAAAAGTTGAACTTCCTATTTGGGAGTATGAGGTTCGTGAGATCGAAATAGCTCATATTGTCAATTTTCATGGTGTTTTTAGTTATGAAAGTAGATTAGGAATCATGATCCATACCTTGGAATAAGACAGTACTAAGGTTTCTGAAGTGTATAAGATGGTGCTGGTCGAAATTTGTTGCCGGTGGGTGGAGGGAGGTAAAGTCCGGGTGGAATATATATCTTAGCCCTAACCTACCTAACAACATCACATCTTGGATCAACCTACACCACACCACGTCCACTTTAAGGTACCTAGGAGGTACCTATTGATCGAAAAGAACAACTTGGACATTACCTATTCAAATAGCATTAATCTAGTTGTCGCCGAACATTGAATTATAGACCTCAAAATTAACGCAATGATTAACTCGTCCTGGAATTAGATTGGGAACTCCATATGATTCTGCCCACAAGGACACACCAGGTAGTACACTAGGAGTAGGCAGAGTGCTATACGCATTGACTCAATGCCCGTACTCGCTACGGAAAATAGAAACGGCATATGATATGATTCAATTCCACCGTCTAGCCACTCAATTCAATCCCAAAGGATCACCTCAACTAACAACCGTGGAGGGCTCTGAGCTGAAACTCCTATCCTACTAACATGACGCAGGTAGTATCTCATACATTGGACATATCCGATCTGTCGCGATAACTCTAATACGATCATGGATCAGGCGGTGCTCACTATTACATTCTTCACATGGTCACCCTACTCGAACCAACGTGACCGTGCAAAAGCTTAGGCGGGGATCACAGCCGATACCACATCGTCATATTCAAGTAGCCAAATGACGCTGTTAAGAATCTGGAAGATCTGATGAGATTCTAGGCTCATCTCAGGAAGCTAGAGAGATGCCGACCATTCTCAGAGACACTAGACCTTGCTCCGACTTGACTCGACAATGTAATGCGAAGGGATTTAAGATTATGTTGAAACCATGGCCATGACATTGTATTTGTACAATCAACTATGTGTAGAGCAAGGGAATATGAATGAACGCTGTGGATTGTGATCTGAAGTCGAGAGAAATTGAGACAAAACAGTGCAAACACCGGAGTCACCGACAGTGACACCATGCCCTAAGATCTTAGATCCCTGGACCCTGTGCAGTTCGCAGGGCGGCAGGGGCAGCTGTAAGCGCCACCGGAGAATACCGCCCAGTCGGAGACTTCTCGGGGACGGTGTTTACCTTAGCTTAATTTTTGAGGACGCAAACAAGGGTCAAGGGAGCGTGGGAGTGTCCTTAATTCTCCCTGGACCCTACGTACTCAGAGCCGGAAATAGTGGGCGGCGCCCTTGCAGATGATCCCGAGCGACTCAGGGGAACACATTGCCCTTCCAAACGCCTGCCATGAGCAACCTATGCGCAACATGCCTTAGCTCCCGAAGTGCAGAGAGGGAGAACGCCCCTGTGTGGCTGGGAAATTAAGTGACCCCGTATCCACTCGAAGAGCCTGAATCTGGGTGTACATGTCATTATGTGGGAGATTACTGGTATCTTGTCGGATATTACTGGTATCTCGACCGTCAGCATAGTGCATTCAGACCATACCTGTTTGCCAAGTCAAGTACTCCGTAATGAGAAATGGATCAACAAATGTGGAAACGCGACGTGCCTGGACCGAGTCAATAGATGAAAGGAATGCCTGGCAAGCCTCAAGTCGCGTTGAAGTCAAGTGCCTGTGAGTCGATCCATACCAGGACACCTCCACAGGGGGGCTTCCTTTGGTCTACAAGCTTGACAGAGTGGAGCTTGACCTTCCTTTTTCTCCCTTTCCTACCCAGCTTACATTCCGGGGATGACTCGATCCTAGCAAAACAATCCTTGGAAATAAGGATAACAGAGGAAAGCAGCATTCTCACAGACCGCGAGTCAAATCTATAAAGGCGAGCTCATTCGTCGCCCCAGTATCTCTTTTTCCTTCTTCATCAGCATCACATTCCCTCTCACACTCTTTACCTCTCTATCCTTCTATCTTCTACTCCCGAGATTTCTCTCGTTATACCAATCCACCTTCACAATGCAGTTCTCTCTCTCCGCTATTGTTCTCGGCCTTGCCGCCACTGCCTACGCTCTTCCCCCCATGGGCCCCTCCGCCGGTGGTGAGGGTAACGCCAACGGTATTGCCAACAAGGGCAACACCAACGTTCGCTTCCCCGTTCCCGACAACATGACCGTCAAGCAGGCCCAGGCCAAGTGCGGTGACCAGGCTCAGCTCTCTTGCTGCAACAAGGCCACCTACGCCGGTGACACCACCGATGTCAACTCTGGCATGCTCGGCGGCACCCTCAGCAACCTCATCGGCTCTGGCTCCGGTGCTTCCGGTCTCGGTCTCTTCGACCAGTGCTCCAAGCTGGATCTCCAGATCCCCATCCTCATTGGTATCCCCATCCAGGATCTCATCAACCAGAAGTGCAAGCAGAACATTGCCTGCTGCCAGAACTCTCCTTCCAGCGCCGTGAGTATCCTTACTGTCCTACGCTATCGAGCATCACTAACATTGCTTCACAGAACTCCGACCTCATCGGTCTTGGTCTTCCTTGCGTTGCCCTTGGCTCCATCCTCTAAGCGCTTCGCTTGGTTTTCACAAGCAATGGCCTCAGTCCTGGCCTTACGGGCATTGGTCCCGTCTGGTTCGGGCTGAGTGGAGATTTGGACTGTTATCGATTTCGCGATGGAAGCAGGGTTTGGCTTTTGTTTAGTTAGGTCTCCTGTTTATTTCGCCATCCGTGTATCATTAACTTGTGTCGAGTGGCACCCCTCGGAGAAAGAAGACCGTTTTTGATTTGTTTGATTTGCTTTGTGGTGCTTATGCTTCTTGTTATTGCATTGGACCCCTTTCGAGCTGCAGCCTTGATTGGGATTCTATCGCATACAACGTTTAATACATTAGATTTTGCATCATTCTCTTCCAGCAACTGTAGAGCTGTAGAAAGTTTGAGCTGAGCATTCTTCTCCCTCCTGTCTTGCTTGTATTCTTTGTATTACCGCGCACAATAATGGCATTCCGGTAGCCCTAACTACCTGCCATTTGTGAGCAAGAAGCGCTCACGCTCTTCGCCCCAACTCTGCTTGGATATTTCCCCAAGAGTTACCTCTGTTGGACATCTTGTCTCCCTCTTGTGCTCACTTCCAGTTCCGACAGTCTAGCTAGTTTCTTTCTACGTCCCCTCAGTGCATCTCGATGTTGATCTTCCACTTCCATCTTGATCATCCCAAAGCCCTAATTAGCCATTCACTGCACTCAAATCTACCACCTACAATGATTCAACAAGCACAAACACAATCAAGTCCACTGACTAGTTACCTACCAGTCTATACAGAAAGCCTAATATCAACTACCGCACCCTCCCAAACCCCCCACCACCCCAAACACTCCTCCTCTTCTCCCCCAAATTCAACCTTCCCTCCTCCCCATTCCCACCCAAACCAACCAAACCCTCCCCCTCCCCAGAATCCAACCACTTAGGCGAAACCTGCCCACTCTTTTTCAACGAAATCGAAGACCGCGGAATATTCAACCCACAATGCCTCTTGAACAAATCAGCCACAGACCTCCTCCTATTCCTCTCCTGCTTAACTTCCCCACCAACACCCTCCTCCCCAGCTAATACCGTCGTCCCGGGCTCCTTAACAGGCGAACCACACGAACAACCCGACGCACTCATCTCTCCATCTTTATGATCCCGACTCCCCTCTCTCCCCTGTAAAACCGGCGTCTGGAATGAACAATGACACATATCCAATTTCAGAACCGGTGCCCTGCGCACAGGTGGTATCCCTGTTTGTATCGGTATCGGTCCCGGGACTCCGCCAGCGCCATAGCCATCAAAAAGCGTTCTCGTGTCAACATCATCTGTCCGCTGCGTGTGCCGATTTGAAATTGAGGGTGTTGCGGGATGATCCTGTGCGTGCAGCGTCGATGTTGTCTCGATACTGATGCGGCGTGTGGCAGATGTTTCGGAGAGGGTTTTTATCAGGTCGTTGCCGTCTTCGTCGCGGAGTTTTGTGCTTGTTGTTGAGAGGCGGCGGGTGAAGTGTTTGTTTTGGATGCGGCGGGTTAGGGTTGATATGAAGCCCATTCTGTGGATTGGTAGAGGGTTTGCGAGGTGGGTTTTGGAGGTGGCTCAGGTGGGGGAATTGAGTATGAGGGTTATTTTCTGGGGATTTTAGATCTGAGATGATGTGGGGAGAATACAGATGGTGCAGATGCAGATGCAAGTGATGCAACTAACGTGTGTCCCGCATTCGATTCTGGCCTAGATGTTGACACAGGTATGTTCGCTGCATGTCTATAGATCGTCGTTGGGCTGGCTATGTGGGCTGTGCGACGGGGATATCATGGTCGTTGGGCGGATTGCGTGGACTTAACTACTGTTGTTACTTTGTGGTTACCTGTGGGTTTTCCTTTGTAGCTGGTCTTTTGGTACATTTCTCTGCCATGTAGACGTTCAAAAATCAAACTGTGCGTGGGAACTTAGTGTGTGCAATACGCACGTTGCTACTGGAACATAGGAATGTTGTAAGGAGCCCAAATCATGGTCGATGATCTTATGCATATTAGGGATGGGAAGTACTTTGGCCAAAGCTCCAACTGAAACTGGTCCAATCGCTATGGCTGGAGCTTGTCAAGTTGTTCGCTGGGCAATTCCTCAGGATCGACTTTATGCAAGGATCGTCTTTCCGGATTTCCAGGTGCTGGGAGTTGTTGGAGATAAGCCCGTGTTTCTATTTTACCTATTCAATCTATTAGTGGCGCTTGTGAATAGATCAGTCGGCTTGTTGGAAGAGGGCTTTCGTGGCTTGAATATCATCATTGCTGGAGGTTGGCCGTTGGAATGTCAGGTTGCGTAGGTATCTGGGGGATCTGCAAGCACGTCTGGGGATCTGCGTGCTCGCAGATCCTTGCGTCTTCACGAACCTTTGCTGCGGAATGCTGTCATTGTCTACTGATCTGACCCCCTTCGCGGTGAAAGTGAGTAGTACTTGGCTTAGAGGGATGACGTTGTTTGCGAGAGTCCCAGAGTAAGATTCGGTAGATTTAGACAGCCCTAAATTTGGATGGAGCCAAAGTGAAACACAATGCTAACTAGCTGGTTCTATTGGATCTCAAATGACAAGAGGCTAGACATGCGGAGCCCCGGACTATAACTGTAACACAACCCTCTAAAGCTTGCTGGAAGGAGCATCGCTAAACAGAGATCGAGTCCGGTCCATAGCCTCCACGGCCTCCTTCTCGATCCGGTTAAGCAGAACCTCACAAGTAGGAATGTCTTGGATCAGACCGATAACCTGACCGGCAGTCCACACCTGTAGCACAAAGTTAGCAAACACCCATATAAGCAACACAATCTCGAGTGACTTACGCCATAGTCAACGTCACCGTTGATAAAGACCTGACGACCCCGCTTGCCGCTAACATAAGGACCGACTTCAGCAAACTCGCCAGTCGTGCTCTCGCGCTCAATCTTCAAGGCATCCTGAGCAACCTTATTCGAGAACAAACGGGAAGTATTCTTCCAGCGACGCAGCACAAGCGCGGTATCAGTCTCCTGAGCATTGACAATAGCCTCCTTAACCTTCTGGTGAATAGGAGCCTCAACGGTGCTCATAAACCGGGTACCCATATTGATACCCTCGGCGCCAAGCGCCAGCGCCGCAGCGAGACCCTGACCATCAGCGAATCCACCGGAAGCAATGAAGGGGATGTTGAGTTCCTGGCGCGCACGGCTCAGCAGGATGAAGTTGGTGATGTCGTGCTCGCCGACGTGACCGGCACACTCGAAGCCGTCAATGGAGAGGAAGTCGACGCCGAGCTTGACGGCGGACTTGGCGTGGCGGATCGTCGTGCACTTGTGCAGGATGATGATGCCGGCTGACTTCAGCTGCTTGATCACGGGTCCGGGGTTGTTACCGGCGGTCTCGACGATCTTGATGCCCTCGTCGATGATGACTTGGGCGTAGGCGCCGTAGTCGGGGGGAACCATGGCGGGGAGGAGGGTCAGGTTCACGCCGAACGGCTTCGAGGTCATGGTGCGACATCTGCGGATTTCTTTGCGGAGGTCTTCGGGGGTAGGTTGGGTGAGGGCAGTGAGCTGTCGTGGGCATTAGTTTCGTGTCTGTTTAGGTATTTGTTCGGGAGAAACGTACGAGTCCGAGGCCGCCTGCGTTGCTAACGGCCGAGGCCAGCTCGGCGTAGCCAACCCATTGCATACCACCCTGCACAATGGGCACTAGAGATAAAGTCAGTCACTAGATATATTCTAGAATAAAGGGCTGGTGCGCACCTCGGATACCGAGCTTTCGCGTCAAAGCTGTGTTGAAAGGCATGGTGGAAGGTAATCGGGGTAATCTAATCTCACGATTGCGGAGTCAACAAGCTGGTCCACTGGAAACAATGAAGTACGTCGGCGAGGTAAAGAGGATCTGGATACTGACCTAATTCTGATAACTTCCTTGACTTAGTCTCAAGAATATATATAGGACTCAGAATGAATTGCGAAAGTGAGATCGGCCAGATAATAAACCGTTGTCACAGCCGCGGACCTCTGCTGTGGGGGAAGCCCGAGATGCCGAGGTTGGCACAATTTCTGGATTACTACACGGTACAGCAGTCTAGAGGGCCGACTAATCGTGTTTAAAACCTTTATGCAGCGTATGAATGATGCAGATATTATTACATATCAAGTTAATAAGTCTGAGAAGCCAGAAGTGTGTTCTTAGGGCCCTTGACGGTCTCCCTTTTCAACACTGTTCCTGAGCATGTGACAGGAACAGGTGACTTTTGTCTCAGATGTGTACAGGTGATCAATGGGTCATCGGACTATTACACAAATGCAGAACAATGGACATGAGGCTGTGGAGGTGTAGGGTCGCATACTCCGGTAGAAATTGTATTACTATTTGCATTGTTGTATCATTATTTATATCGTTGACAGAAACATCGCAACCGTGTACGAGACACAGTATGCATAGTTGGACCTTCGAAGCCAACTGCAATATCAAAGACAATGGAAACAAGCGATGTGATCATCTGGTCCATAGACTCAATCTACACAGTATAATCAAAGATGCGAATAGCATGTAACCCTGAATATGAAACCCCTTCTCCTCATGGTTAGAGTAGAACGAGCGATTAACGACGGGACTCTCCTTCTGAGAGCCTCAAGATCCCCCGGCGTCCACAACAGAAAGCCGCAGACAGTGAGGGAAAGCTAACGACGACATCATCCCAGCCAAGACCAGTAGACGACGTGAGCGGAGACTCTTGAAGAAGAGAAAAAGAAGGAAGAGCCGCGGGACGGGAGAAAGTGGGAAAACAGGCGAGTTGATCACATGACTGCCTTAGTGCCGTGATTCGTGAGGAAGAACAATACTCCGGCTGGTAATAGCCACGATCTGATTGGCGCGTTGTCCACTACCGGGTGTCAGTCCCGTGACTTCACACTTCCGTACCCGAGGTCGTCCCGTTGATTCCGATCGCTCGCGAGGCACTTGGGATTTCCTGTCTTGATCAAACAGAACAATCTCAACTCAATCACAATGTTCTCTCAGAAGGTTGCCCAACAGTCGCTGCGACGGCGTACGTACACTTACAATTGACCCCTCTTGTCGAATATGCAATCTAACCTTTTCCCCGAACAGTTGCCGTCCAGCAGCCGCTCGCTATGCGGTCGTCCATTCTGGGCGCTTCCCCTGTCGCCGTTGCTCTCGGCAAGAACATCCAGACGAGGTCAGTCACCCAGCGATGAAAACGACATATACGAATTGTTCACGCGCCTGTGTCTTCACTCGCCCCGAAATCCTACGTCATGCGCATCCGCCAGAATTCGTATTAACCAAAGCCTCCGTCTACAGACAAGTGACTTCCAGCCCCAACACTGAGGACCCCAACCAGATCCTCGTCAAGCAGCGTCTCGCCCGTCCCATCGCTCCCCATCTCAGCATCTACAGGCCCCAGATCGGCTGGATCGGCTCTTCCCTCCACCGTATCTCCGGCGTCGCTCTCTCCGGCGCCCTGTACGTCTGGGCCACCGCCTACCTTGCCTCCCCCGTTCTCGGTCTGCACGTCGAGTCGGCCTCCATGGTCGCTGCCATGGCTGCTCTCCCCGTTGCGGCTAAGATCCTCCTCAAGACCACCCTGGCTCTTCCCTTCACCTACCACTCGTTCAACGGTCTCCGCCACTTGATGTGGGATCTTGGCCGTGGTCTGTCCAACCCTGTTATTATCAAGACCGGCTGGACTGTGATTGGCCTCAGCGTTGCCAGTGCTGTTGGTCTTGCTTTGCTTTAAATGTTTCCATACCTCATACCTCGAAATTTCCTTATGTGTTATTAAAGTGATTGTTCCCAAATATACATGAATCTGGTCAATTGGCGCATGCTCAATTGGTGCAAGTTCAAAAAGGCGCTGGTCTTTTTCTATGTTCATCTGTTCATCTTCAATGCAAGTGCTTTCTTTGACTAGATTGTATGAGTAAATGTGCAGGTATGGATTTGAAGGTGATCATTATTCCCGGACTGGACATCCTCTGCCTTGCATTGACTGCCATAGATATCTTGATGTCCTAATGAGAAGGCCGTTGTTCCAATTGGTATAGTTTCATTGATTAAGCTATGACCGATCCAATGGATATACAACTGGAAAAAGCACCTCGAGGACGGAATCGGCACTCGAATCGACGTCGATTCTCACACAGAGACCTAACATCCCCCGATCCCACGCCATTTCGTGATGAATCCCTGCCATCTCCCACGCACTTTTGATATTGCATTGACGACGCCATCACATTACGATCTCCCCAGTTGCCCATCAATGCATGATTCCCATCATGAAGACCGAGGTTGAAATGCCTTGGAGTATGAACTATAGCAAGTTAGTACTCTGCACTCAGACCTCGTGGCCGTCCATATCCATATCTCGACATGTAGCCCGGGAGTATAAAGCAGCAACTCACCTATTGTCCCGTGTCCCCTCAACGCCAAACAAAGAGAAAATCAATCAATCGCGCATTCAAGCAGGACTAGGAGGAGGATTGGGCGGGCATGGCCGTGGTGAGGGCGGATCTTGGACGGAGTGGTCGCAGGCCGGGAGGCTTCCCGTCAGAATATGGAGTGTCGGCATCGGTCGTGATGTCGCAGTTTGGGAAGCAGAAGTGGGAATAGACTTGAAAGTCATTTTGATGTTCGGAAAAGCGCGAAAGACGGCGGTAGTATGTATATAGGTAATAGAGCGGCAGGGATTTCAGCGACCGAAGTATAGAGAGCAGAAGTATATATGTGGAGTATACGAATGTCAGACAGAGTACAAGACGAAGAGATCTCTGGTATTCTGAAGAATCTAAACCAAAGTCTGAACAGGCTCGAGCTCTTCTATTTAAGCAAGTGCTCCAGCCCGGGGGCCCAGGTCGCGCCGTCCTCGTCGTACACCGCTATCCAGGATCAGGACATGAAAAGCCGTTTGGGCAATAGTATACAGACGCCCCCGTTGCTATCCGCGGAGCTTGGGGATGGCTTCTATCCGTGAAGATCTGGTAATATCTCGGCAGGGTCTGCAAGGGCCCGGTTGAAGACTTGATGTATAAACCGTTTAGAGGACCCGTAGCAATGTCACACCCGCTGTGAGCATATCGTTTTTGAAGGACTTTTGTTTCTGTATTGCTTTTCCCCGGAAGCAGGCATTGACCGGGAATCAGGGGTTCTACTTGGAAACTTCCTGTCGTTGTGGAAAAAAGCAAAGAGAAGAAAATGTCCGCAGTGGACGGGTATAACTTCGTATAGATCCGTTTCTCTGCCCCGGACCAATGCCCCGATAAAAGCTGCAGGCTGCAGGCTGCAGATGGGGAAGTTTCACCGGCGGCCTGAGAGTCTTCGGTTTCTTGCAGCTTGAAGATTTTTTTGTTTTTGTTTCACTGGGTTTGTTCTGGCTGATTTGCCGTTGGCTACTTATCCGGGATTTACTTACGGTTGTTTGGGGTTGAACGGTTATTCTTTCAAGTATATGAAATCGAGGTTGTCAGACACTCGGTCGTGTTCTTGTGTCATCTGAATTGACAGTCTTCTGTAGTCGATGGACCTCTGTCGTCGACACATCCTAGTCTTTTATCCAAAAGCCCCCACAATGACCATTGTGCGTTACGAACTTGCTTAGTCGAAAGAAGAATGTATATGCAAGTCGTAGAAGCTTCCAACGACCGCAAAAGGCAACATGAGGAAAAGGAAAGCTACCTATGAAGCGCAGGCAAATAAGACCGAATACCAATACACGTGGATCACGTTTTGCCCCCGGTTAGATAAACCAGTCTCTTGCCTAATCCAGGGGGCAAGAGCTTAGGGTACGATACAGCCGTTAATACTGCAGCCCATAGAGCGATGGAGAGGTATAGCTCGGAGCCAACCAGAGCCTCAGAGGAAGTCTTCCCGCTGCAGAGTTCCGCACCAAGCAGTCTCAGAAAGCGCTGCCCCGTGCTCCCGACAGCTATGAGCTATGGCCTCTGCACATCCGGCAGATTCTGCGGAACGGCTGTGGTCCGAGAAGGTTACCGAAGCTTCTTTTGAATGGGTCCTGCTCTGGAACCCATCTTTGTGATTCGGTTCTGTTCTGTAGGTCGTTTCGCTTCGGCTAGAGACCTGTCGTCCTGATACTTGGGCCGCGCTCAGGGTCTGGTGCGTCGGTGCTTGCATTACGATTGAGCCAGTTATATTGCTGGGTGGTGTTACCTGGCGGCATTATCTAACCCATAGTATATACCTTCAGAATGCACGAATATCTCATTGGTTCATGGCTGGCGATGCTATCCAGAGAAGGATGTTGCTGGACAAAGTGGCGGGTCTGCGAGAAGGTTGATACTCACTTCGGTCTTCAGATTCAACAATGGGAGCATGCAGAAGACAATCTCGAAAAGCTAGCAATCGCAGCTCGGGTAGTTTGCATACTATGCCAGAGCGAACCTTGCCCTCAAGTTCAAGGAGAGCCGAATGTGCTGGATCTGGGCCCGCAAAGAGAGATACGGGGTATATCAAGGCGTCTTTATTGGAATTAGTCTAATTTGCCCGCTAAGCAAGAATGCTCGTTGCAGGGCCTCCAATATCCTTGATCAATGTGAGTCATATCGTTTGGATTGTACATGCATCGAGGCATCGCAGAGTCGGGACGTTGTGTATAATCCGCTTCGCTTTCAATAACCACAACAATGCTGGACTGTGGCAAGCTGCCACAGCGGAGTTTGGCATTGGTCACTTCGGATCCGATGCGCGACAAGTGAAGCATTCAATCAATAGCAGACCACAGCGGTGAAGGTCCCGGTGGCTCCCGGCTCCCATATTGTCTAACGTATCGACCCGTCGAGATAAGAATTGAAAAGATCTGAGTCCACCCATGAAGATCTGATGAGATTTGTTACAAAATAGACAAACCCAGATGTAATGAACAGTCAACATACAACTGGTACGGAGTAGAAGAAGTCGGGACTTGGCTTAGACAAAGGCGGCAGTATCACACCGCCCAGGCCGAATTCTTTGCTTTCCGTTCGATCAACTGCGATCCAACTCGCAAACCACCGACGCCATGGCTTTGAACCTTTCCTCTCGAGCAGCCAGGACCGCCTGCGCCGCGTCCAAATCTATCGCTCGCCCAATTGCAACACTCATCCCATCCCGCACCATCACCACCTCTCCGGAGGAGTCGAATCAACAAGAGAAGCCCCGATGGTCCTACACTCCAGCGACGGCCAAGGCCCCGTTCAGTCTGCACCTTGACTCTAAACGCCCGGCCTTCCACGTTAACTCAGACCCGCTCATGCTGGACCGCTTCTACATCCGATTGTTCGGCAGTGGCGGCGACAAGATTCTCTCCGACGAGACCAAGTGGCTGGCAGTGACACATAAGAGTTTCGACCAAGGGCGCCGCGGTTTCAACGACCGACTGGCTTTCCTGGGAAAACGCATTGTGCAGCTGCAAGCATCGCTGGCTTTGGCGCAGGGTGTGTCACGCGCAGGCGCGGCTCCAGATAACTTTGGTCGCGTGCCTTTTACCCACCCGGCTCTGGATGGATTGCACAATCTCTCTAGCGAGAAGAAGCGAATCCTCACCGAGCGGTCGAAGCTTGCTGAACTTGCAAACAAGTACGAGTTGCAGAAGGTTCTCCGATGGAGTCCTAGAATGGTATGTGGTGTTTGTCGTTTGTGGGCTGTTGAGCTTATGCTAACGAAATATTCTACTATAGCCGAATGACCTCCGCGCCTCCGGTATCCAGCTCGTTCTCGCGCATACTATGTACGCCCTTATTGGCGCTGTCTCGTTGGAGAAGGGTGGTGTCGTCGCCACTAAATTGGCCCGGGAGCGGATACTTGAACCCCTGGGTGTCAAGTCTGCCTCGTAGGGGTCTGAGAGTTGAAGCGTTGGTCTCTCTCGGAGCATTTTCAGGGCGTTATATTGTTTGATATCTTTGTGGCAGGTCGATTGGGGCTGTACTGCTCGGAGAACCTCCACGATTGTACATGTACTTTTAAGCAGATTTTTATATTCTCCCATGTCTCAATACACAACACATGCGAAATACCATTGAGTTTGACGAGTTTAAGTGTTTCTTTTACAAAGGATAGAAGAATAGATGTGCAATTGAGAATTTTTTCATTCAAAAGGATTAATTGAAGTTATAGAAATGTGCGGTCCCTCTGACGCCGCCCGAGTAACAGAGAAAGTACTCGGCCAGCTCTTATGGTACCCTCCGAAGATCGTAGTCTCCGCGCCTCTGTATCGCAAGGTAGTAATTAAAACACTACAGCACTCCGACAGAATGTCGGAGTAACTGTAGAAAATCACAAGGACTTTGTACTGCCTTGAACTGTCTATTGGGAGCGTTGAAGAAAGAAGAAATTAAATTGTGCGCGAAGAGTTTTTATAGGCCGGTTTTACGCTAGTCCGCATCGAGACTGGCGTCTATCTCCAGAGCGGCCCTGGGACATTGCGGGCATCGCCAACAACCATCCCGTTGATCTGCTTCGATCTTCTTCACTTCATCGCCTACTTTTTCTTTTCTTGTTCTTACTGCTTCCCCTGACAATGCTGCAGTAGGCACACAACGTGTCTTTCTACTCTTCTTTGCCGCATACCCCAAAGACCAGATCATCATCGTTCTCCCGCGACTTATTTACCCCCATTGACACGTCATGGCGTCAGCACTCTTCTTCCTCGACCTCAAGGGCAAGGTACGCTATCAACTCTTGTGCAATTTGTGGCGACCAAGCTTTTTGCCGGGTCAATCGCCAATGCCTCGAGAGACAGCCCCCCACTGACCAGCTATAGACCCTTCTGGCCCGCAACTATCGCGGGGACATTCCCATGTCCGCGGTCGAGAAATTCCCTATCCTCCTCAGTGATGCCGAAGAAGAAAGCTCCGCAGTGCCTCCCTGCTTCTCCCACGAGGGAATCAATGTGCGTCCACCAGTCCGGGCAGTCGACCTGGGCCCACACCCACTCCTGAATGTCTCCTTTTGTGTGAGCCCACCTGCTGACATAGGGGGACCTCTGTCTAGTACCTTTATATCCGTCACAGCAACCTGTACATTCTCGCATTGACCAAACGAAACACAAATGCAACCGAAATTCTACTTTTCCTCCACAAACTGGTGGAGGTCTTCACCGAATATTTCAAGGTGCTGGAGGAGGAGAGTATCCGGGATAACTTTGTCGTGATCTATGAATTGCTAGATGAGATGATGGATTTCGGGTACCCGCAGACAACAGAGAGCAAGATCCTCCAAGAGTAAGTGTCCATTCTTCTGTTCGTTCTGGTGGAACAATACATCTGACGAATTCGCACGGTCAGATACATCACCCAAGAGTCACACAAGTTGGATGTCCAAGCACGGCCGCCCATCGCCGTTACAAATGCCGTCTCCTGGCGTAGCGAGGGGTTACGCTATCGCAAAAACGAGGTCTTCCTGGACGTGGTCGAGTCCCTCAATCTGCTCGTCTCGGCGAATGGGAACGTCCTGCGATCCGAGATTCTGGGCGCCGTCAAGATGAAGTGCTACTTGAGTGGTATGCCCGAGTTGCGCTTGGGCTTGAATGACAAAGCGATGTTCGAGACCACAGGCCGTGCCACACGAGGCAAATCGGTCGAGATGGAAGACGTGAAGTTCCACCAGTGCGTGCGACTCTCGCGCTTCGAAAACGACCGCACAATCAGCTTCATTCCCCCAGATGGCGAATTCGAGCTCATGAGCTACCGACTGAACACACAAGTGAAGCCCTTGATCTGGGTCGAATGTGTGGTTGAATCGCACTCAGGATCCAGAATCGAATACATGCTCAAGGTAAGAGTCCTAGAATCCTCCCATCCAGTCATATCAGACCGACCCTAATCTGAATTATCCCAACAGGCCAAAGCACAGTTCAAACGCCGCAGCACCGCCAACAACGTCGAGATCCTCGTCCCCGTCCCCGAAGACGCAGACTCCCCCCGCTTCCGCACAAACATCGGCACTGTACACTACGCCCCCGAAAAATCAGCAATAATCTGGAAAATCAAGCAATTCGGCGGTGGCAAAGAATTCCTCATGCGCGCAGAGCTCGGCCTCCCCTCCGTCAAGGGCGACGATGAGCGCGGTGGCGGTATGACCGGTGGCTTTGGAGGTAGCATGGGCGGAGCCGGAGGCGTAGGCAAAGCAAAGCGACCCATCAACGTCAAGTTCGAGATCCCCTATTTCACGACCAGTGGTATCCAAGTGCGGTATTTGAAGATCACTGAGCCCAAGGTATGTCTCTTCGAATTCTTCCACCTTTCCACCATTGTGTATTAGATACTAATCATATACAGCTGCAATACCCCTCCCTGCCCTGGGTGCGATATATCACACAGTCGGGCGACATCGCCATGCGCATGCCGGATGTGCAATGAAAAATGGTGATCTCTGCATGATTTGTACAGCCTTACCGTTATCTGTGTCCTTTTTGTTATCCTCTACACCTTTTATCATTTCTCCGTTGAGGCCGGCCGGTCCGATAGATAATTCTAAATATCCTCCCATACCTATTCTTTCTCTTCGCTTTTGCCTTGCACTTTGCATTGGATGTGAGAGGGGTTATAGACGGTTCGCGATGGAAATCCATTGGGATGTTTCAAATCTTTACTTCAGGTTCTGGGCAGTTTGGCGTAAATGCCATGGATACATTGGTTAGGGCTTTGTGTTCTGTATCTGTGCCCGGTTGTCTCGAGACTCTAGGACCTAGACTTGATATAGGCATCACCACTAGGCATGCCTGTTCTCTTTCGATCTTTCAAAGGATGGGTAACATGGAAGGTAGCTTGTAGAGATGACTTGGAATATTCCTTTGTAGAGACCAGGTAAATCTTCAAATCCATTTCATCAAGAAACAAAGGGCAAAAATTCACACTGGGTATCTCAAGTCTCGAAGGAAAGGTCAGAAAGAAAGCAACAAGAAATAAAAGAGAAAAAAATAAACAGAAAAAAACAAATACATTATTTCCATAACGCCACATTCAGCGCCAGCAAGTATTTTGTCATAAAGAAGTCACAAATCATGAGAAGAAACCAAGCGGTATAGGAAGAAAGAAGGAAAACAAGGCTAAGGGGAAAAAGATGACAACATCCACCAGCTATACAAAAGCCAGGACACCTTCCACATCCCCTTCGGCTTACACGCCATTCCCATTCGCACCTGCATGGTCATCCACAGACTCAGACGGTGGAAGAGGGAACCCATCACCTCCAGCACCACCAGCAGCCGCTTTCGAGAATCCCTCCCTCGCAAGCATAGTATTCAAGACCGCGCAGTTGTACGAAGCCTCCCCAGGCGGCACAACAAGAAAGATGTACGTATTATCTGTGAACCGTCCAAGGAAGATATTAAACTGCGGCGTCTTGGTGTGCATAACGACAAACCCGGCCGAAGCAGGCGTCGTAAGCGTATTCCGTGCGGCACAATGCTTAAACGCCTTCATGATATTCGATAATCTCTCATGGCGATCGTAGATAGGATTCAGCTCGCCGACTTCAGAAGTAACCGAAGTCACAGTTAGGAAAGTCGAGCGCTCAAAGAGAATGACTTCTTCTGCATTTATCTTCTTGGCGAATGCGGTCAGGAAGCGCTCGATCACGACGAGATTCGGGATGAGCTTGTGGACAATGCCGGCCCAGGCTTTGTAGAGGGATTGGTCCCAGATGCTGCTTGCGAAGGTGTCCACGCGGAAATCGGAGGAGCGGGAGCGGATCACGGCGGAGCGCTCTTCGTAAATGCGGGTGCGGTGCTCGGCTTGGATGAGGTCCATTTTGTGGACGAGGCAGAAGACGTAGGCATTTGGACTGAATTCGCGGAGAGCTTCGATTATGGAGTGGTAGGTGTCGAGGTCGCGGTCGACTTCGCGGGATTCGATGTCGAAGACGTAGATTAGGACGGCGACGTCGGAGAAGATGTTGCCGCGTTGTGAGGCGAGGTAGGTTTCCATGAAGGCGTCTTGACTGTGGTTGGGTGTTAGCACTGGTTTCTTCTGACAACACAGGTGTGTATAAGGTGGTCTCACCCTCCACAATCCCACAGGTTCAATGTGAGGTTCCCCATGAACTTGACATGGCTGTGCTCGACGTCAATCGTGGCACCTAGGCGTCGGACATCCTTTGCGACGTAGTTACTGAAGATGATTGAGCGCATGGATGACTTCCCCGATCCACTCTTGCCCATCAGAAGCACCTTTCTCTTTTTCTTCCGAGCGTCCATTATGGCGGGTGTTTGGCGGTTACCGTTGAGCGAAGCCCCGCTCTTGCGGGGGCCACCTGGGACGATCTGGGGAATACCCGGTGTGTTCACTGGATGGCTAAGATGGAGTAGTATATGTTGTCTATCATGAGCTTGGTGACTGCATTTTCATCTCTTGTCAATGGGATTGAAGACGATGAGCACAAGATGAGAAGGGAAGATGAGGAGCTCCATTCGGCCATGTAATGCGGAGACGGAGTATAGTTAATCCTCCTCACGTGAGTACTGTGTTTTGCTGGTAATTGTGCAAGTGAGAGTAGTCGCGATGAAAAGATGAGGGAAGATTTAGATGATGATTGAGTTTTTTATCGGATCCACTTTCCCCTAGACATGGTATGATCCCTCACTTGACAGCTCTCAGTAGAGATTGTAGATACTAGTCAAATGAGTTTCTACGTACGGAGTAAAGTTGGGGGTAACCTCGGGATGACGACATTTCCTGGGGCCCGAAAATCACCACAAAATTATGTACACAGCACTGTGTAGATCTGCCATGGTCAATTGGCTTCTATCGACATGTCTTGCTAAGAAGATATAGACAGAAAGAGAACGAAGAAAAGTAAGTTGTAATATGCAAGAGTGCGCCCTTTCCAATACCAATAGGAAATATGAGAAAATAGTCTTCGCGCAAAGAAAAAGATAGCCCCCCCCAAACAGCAAATAAGAAGTAAAGTCGATCGTGAAATATGTATATGAAGGTATTTTGGTCATGAAGAGTTATTTCGTCAAAAAGCTCGTCCCAACAGCGAGAAAAACCAAAGGACGGGACGATAGTCCAGGCATCAACAGCAATTATATGGGAATAGAGGGTATTAGAAGACAGTGCCGTCAGATCGTATCATGATAGGGGGCTCCTTGGTGTTTGGTCTGGAGACTTCCGCAATCTCACGACCACCCTAGGACGTTGTCAGAATATGATCTTTCAAAAAGAATCCTTCGCGTGTGCTTACCTTCCAGGTGCCTGCCTCGAGCATTTGTGCGAGTGAGAGTTGCTCTTCAGTGCCCTTGAGACCCAACTGGGCGTTAACCTCTGCTAGGAGCTCATCGAGGAATCCAACAGTCGCAGCTCGCCATTCGACAATCACGTCGTCATCGGCGCAGAAGAGCGGAGCGACCTCGACACTCGGTTGACCCTTGATCTGAGCGTTCTCTTTATATGCTTCGATACCACGCTGCATGTCGTCCGGTTTCAGACTCAAGAGTCCCATGTCGATAAGAAGCCCCCCATTCCGATATTCAGGGAGACCGGTGAGAAGATCGCTGCCGGCGAAGTGAATGTGCATCAATTTGGACATTGGCACCATGATCGAGTAGCATAACCACTGTGTCAGCTTGTGGAATGGAACGATGTTTTCCCATTGCTGTGCAGGCGGGGACCTGGGGAGAGCTGAGCACTTCCAAGCATCTCCGATTGATACTCCATCGATCTGTGTTCGCGATGAAGGCCAGATGGGGGACAGGCCGTCCATGAGCACGGTCCATAAAGTGGTTATCGGAACAATAGGCACAGATGAAGCAAGAGTAGACGGATGACCGAGCAGATAATCTAGTAAAGATTAGCAACCGAATGAGCAAAATGGCCTGTCCAAACCATCTCACCTAACATATTTCCCGGTCTGGCATCCACTCCAAAGAAGTCTTGGTTGTTCAGTGCCTCGGATAGCCGCATCAACAACCCCGTGCGACCCTCAATCCCAGCCAATGGATTCTGCTCAGAATGTTGCATCCCCTTCGCAAGCACCTCGGCCGTAATTTTTTTTAACCCCGCACCATCCACCTGGCACGGCTCCGTCGGATCACTACTGAAGAGACCCGATTTGAACATCTCCAAACTGGCAACCGCCAAGCCTTCGCTGCGGGAGAAGACTTTCCCGGACTCCTTCGATCGGTACGACCACTTGGTTCCGGCGCCCGCATCCAGCAGCACAGAAACCACAAATAAGTCGATCAGACGGCGCGTTCGCTCCTGCGCATCAATGCTGCTCGGCCATGACTGGAGCAGCTGGTTGATGCGCGGTCGACCGCCAACGTCGAAATGCTGCCAGCGGCCGTGCGGTGGGATATTCTCATAATCTGGGGCATAATCTCGCTGGGGTTCGGAAGATGCATTAGCGCAAGTTCGCACGACATGGCCATTTCATGGCATTGATTTACCTTGATGATTGACACGACATAGGATGCGGTATCTTCGAATTTGCTCATGTCGACATCGAAATGATTGAGGTTGTTGTTTTTGGCCTTGTTTAGGACGATGTTGGAGCGTTCGCGGACGGCGTGAATGCTCCGGAGATATGCAGCTGGGTCCAATGCTGGGTCTGGGGGTCTGGCGATGGGGAGTTCGGGAATTGAAGCTGGTGGACCGCTTCCCTTGTACCCTGGGGATCTCAGGGATGTGTTCGATGTGCGGGCGCTATTGACGGTGACGACTGAGTCTTGTTCATCTTTCTCGCTTTGAATTGAATTCTTGGAATCTTTGCGCTTGAAGAGCCCCATTGTGCGCTTGGGAGTTTCACCCCAGGTTCTTTCGAGGGGAAGCTTTGAAAGGGGGAGGAATCGGAGAATGGGCGGAGAGTAGGTATGTTGTTCAGATAAGGAGTTTACAAAGAGGGGAGGGGAGGGGGGATGGTATTGTGATGTTTTTTAATTCATTTTTCCATTTTCCCTTTGATCACTTAGCCCCATAAAGGCTCTAAGGGTAAACCAAGTAAAAATAGGCAAAATGATAATATCGGGCCTCAATTAATTTTGAGGCGGGGCTTCTGGGGGGAGGGGCTATCGCTATTCGGGACACATCTCGATGTTGTAGTCGAAGTGGGTTAGAACTTAAGATGTTCATTAACCATTTTGACGCCATTATGGAGACCAAGGGAAGTCTGGAACTAGTTGGAACATGGGACTTCAAGGAACAAGAACGACAAAAAAAGGCACGGGAAAAAGCAAGGTAGGAAGGTTGCAATGTAGGTACCGTCACTACTACCGACTGGAACCCACTCTCAGTACTTTAGTAGTACTCCGTAGAGGGTACTGAGTACTGACTACTGAGTACTGGGTCCGGTATAGGTTAATCAATCTCCCTACTGTACGGAGTAGTTATCTACGCAGCGTATGACTGTAAGAATAGACACACTGCATATAGTTACGTAGCCATAAAGCTATCCATACATCGTACAAGCTGTACGATGTACGAGCAGCCCGGAAGCTGGATCGTTTGCCGCAATAGGCATGACAATCCCTTGCCCCGCCGGACAAGATGCTGGGCCAGTCGGAAAGTAAGAGATGTGGATCGTTTGGCTTTACGCAATGGGGCGAATCACGAACTGAGTAATGGGATAATAGAACGATCTACCTATATGTATTAGAACCTTGGGAAGATTGAGAGTGCCGCAATGGTAACTAGATTAGCTCGATCAACCCATACTTTAATAAGGAGGAATAAGACGGAAGAACAATGAAAGCCGACATGTACGCACGGACTGGCGTGGCATCCGAGAAGCAAAAGAAATAAAATTAAAGGAAAAATGAAAAAAGCGTCACGGGTTGCCCTGTGCGGCAGTACCCACTTTTTGTTGAATGGGCCAACTATCGCGTGTCAATTGGAGGTGATTTTCTGGTTCGAACAATATCTTGTAGATCGAACCCATTTCATCGAGATCCGGTGAAGTTTCTCAATATGTACTCGGTGATTCGAACGATAAACGATGGAACAATTTTCCGTCAAGGAAGATTTCACATGTTTAGGCCTGGTTCGAGCTTGTATAGAATCTAAACCCAAGACGGGAGATTGACTGTTTGGGGATTCAGATGCCTGTCAATCTTGGAACATGCAATCTGCACTACGGAGTAGTCGATGCAGGATTATCAGCTGCAAGGGGAAGGTGCCTTCTTCCCACAGATAGAAGGTGAGCTGTACATAGCCCTCAGTTCATATACAACAGACATGAATTATGTGGTCATATCACCGTAATTCGAATGAGTGGACTCAATGGAGACTCTCCAGGGATGTCTTCCTACGGGATCAATACAAATCCACACCAATGATAGTTGCCGTTTTCCGTTCTCCAATTTATTCCGGAAATCATCCCAGGACCCTGTAACGCGGGAAGCACGGGCCTGGCCACTCTACCGGGTCGTTTCAGGGTTAACGACTAGTACTCAACTCTGGTTGCACCTGCAGAGAATAACTACGTTTATACTAACTTTGGAACGTGGTTATTGTTCGTAACCAACATACGCATACAATAGCATTGTGCAAACTCAAACCCGATAATTCGTACTCAGCGGCTATTACGGCAATAATCGGCGAACACAGGTACAGTACTCCGTACTTCGTACAAGTGCTCGTGATCCACAGCCATTTGATTAACTCCCCCTTCGCTACCGCGCGGCTGGGGACCGGCTGACAAAAAGAGGGAAAAAGAAAGCAGAGTTGTCTTCAGAGTTTCCTCTTTTCTTTTTTCCGACACACACGAGGGGAAGTATCGAATTGACTTTGATGTGGAGACCTGATTCTTCCCTCACATAGGCTGATCCATGTTCGGTAGCCCTTGGCTGTTCTACTCGGGAAGTTTGGGACAGTGGCTGGAGTTTATTTGACATCAACCTTGGGCCATATGGCATGAGGCTACCCGGGCCGGGCAGCACAGCGCGTATGTTTTATGCAAAGGTTACTTTACATCCTGGGACCTGCATGCCCAGGCGGCTGGATTCTGAGCACTTGCCGGTCCATAGACTATTGGACTTTGGCTCCTTCTCTATGAAGGAATAGACAAGCTAGGTTCGAAGATCGTCCTGCAATGCAATTCTATCTTGTGTCTTTTTCTACACAGATTCGAATGTACCTCCTACATGCACATCGTCTACATCCCTGGAACGGGCCGCCCGAAGAGATTTTTCCGCGCGTTGCCCAGGATTTAACCTTGGAAGCTGGAGTTATGTACTGTACTCAACCGTGGTCCTCGCTGTCGGATGGCTGATCTGATCTACGAAGTATGCATTGATATAGCAGTCTGCCAATCCGCAAACTTCGTTAGCCGGGACACTAAGGCTTAAAGCTTTTCCAAAGGGTCTTCTAGTCAGTCCCTAACCCCCACGTTCCCCACCCCACTTCCTGTCAGAAATGAGATTCATCCTAATAGTGAGTTCAGAGTTGCAGGAATGAAGTACTTTTTACATGACAGTCACAGATGTCCACTAGTACTGTGTATACGGAGTACCGAAAGACAGACCTCCGGTAAGAGGATAGATCTGTGTGGGGGTCCCACGTAAAAGAAGGCTGATTCGTTGAGCCTTACCCTTGTCGAGGAGTCTTATGCAGCTAAAGGTAATAGCAGATATAGAATCCTGCACGCAGATTTTGAGTCTTCCTCGTATACTCTAGAAGTGTCAGATGTTTTGGGTTATGGATCTCGTGAACAATTCCTAGCTCACTTCGATAGTCTGAAGATAGATATTGATGCTATGCCTTAGTGCATTTAGGAAGCTATTTCCTGGCCAATCTATGGAAGTCCAATGCCCGGTGGGCCAAGTGGTGTGATCTTGGCACGCTTCGCGCGTCTACTGCATGACCCTAGATATCTCGGCCCCGAGCATTTTGGGGATGAGGGTCTGTTCTGTTCAATGGTTCGCAAGGTAGCCTTCTAACACAACATACGATGTCCTTCCATCCTTTCGCTTCGAATCCCTCCTGGCACTGAAGGATTAGCACCTGGACTGCGACGAGGTCTTGCATTTTCAAATTTCGACCCTAGGGTGGCTCAAATGGGATTAGATAGGCGCTGGCTATCAACGCCAAGGGCAAAGGGCGATAGTCTTGTTTCCTCCAGTACAAAATGTTGCATCGAAACCGGGGGATCTACGGACCATTTACTAGTTGCTTCTTGCCCGATCGAGGGCAGGCTAGCTTTAGATGGGTGACTATCTCTCATAGCCCAAGCCCCAAGGCTTGGCCGTTTCAGGGCCAGGAGCAGGTGATCACTTTCAGCTGCTGAGGGATGTGCAGCTCCGCTTCATGCCTCGATTTGGATGGAGACGCGATCAGAGACTTTAGCCGTTTGTGGTGTTTATCGGGACAACACGCGGTATACGCGGTTGCAGTAAATTTCGGTGCTCGTGGCGTTGGGTGAGGCGACGGTGGTTTCCGAGGAATCGGTTTGACGAAGAAGTAACCTCCCGATTGCGGATTTGGTGAATCTGCGTGTTGAGAAAATTCTACCTCTGACTATGTAGTCTAAAGCCCAGGAAGACAGGTCGACTAGAGGAAGGCGCGAAAGCTCTGGCCTGAGGTCTCACATCGACGTCATGTTGGATGCCCAGGTACACTTTGGGCCAGCTTAGTTCATGCCAGAGGGAACCATTGACCGCGAGAACTGTCGGTTCAGAATCAATAACAAGTCAATAAGTTCAATTGAAGGAAGCAACTAACACTGGAAGTCGATATCGGAAGAGATGAAGCTATTCCAGAATGCTTGTAACATGAGGATAGCATCACGTGCCAGCCTCCACACGGTCTGGATCCCCCACATGCAGGGGGCAACAAGTGTTCCGCATCTTGCTCAATAGCAAACGTGTTGAATTTGAATTTCTTCAGATATCTTTGAATTGTGACTTGGTGAGATCATGGAGAGCCTTCATTCCCATTTCGGGGCCTAATCCTTATTCAAACCAACCAGACATCACTATCCTGCCACGCCCACCATGGAGGACCTAAATGGTCTGAGTTGGTCCTCTGACAACAAAGCTCCAACCAAACCTCCACCCATGAGCTCTGGCTATCTATACCCAAGTATGCCATCACATTCCGGTTCTGGCAGGTCGACCCCGTTATCGGCATCATCGAACCGCTCAGCCTCGCCATCGAAGCCCGCCACATCCACCGGAGACAGCTTTGCGAACCTCGTCTCCTTCAATTCGTCAGCTGAAAACAAGAACCTTTCTCTCATGGAACAACAGAAGCGTCTGCAGGAAGAAAGGGCGAAGAAGGAAGCCGAAAACCGTAGTCGATTCGAATCGCAATATGGTGGTCAGAATAGCCAATTCTGGGATAACTTTGAAGGCCGTACGCAGAGCCCTGCATCTATACCGGCTCCCCGATCTATGACATCGCCAGTGGAGGATGAAGATGACATTCTAGCTGCTTTCAATTCTACTGCGCCGGTAGACGCGTCAACCCATTTCCCAGTCCCCGCATCGGCGAGATCGACGCCTCAATTCGACGCAAACCGTCGCACAGAGACTCCCAGTGGGGGAATCTCCATGCAGGACAATACGGGGGACTTGGGGGCGTTTGATGACGATGACCCATTCGGTCTCAATAAATTGAAGCCGAAATCTGCCCCAGCTCCTCAGCCCGCACAAGGTGATGACGATGACTTCCTGGGTTTGCTGGGGAAGCCGGTATCAGAAATTTCCCGTCTAGAACCGCCTTCCACGTCTACCACACCGTCAAACAGTGGGCGCGATCAACATGCATCTCCCATGCCTTCCAACGAAGCCGATAGGGCGATTGCAGAGCTGGTGGATATGGGATTCCCTGCAGATAAAGCTCGCCGCGCTTTAAACACTACAGAGTCCGGGACCGACGTACAAGCTGCTGTTGGCTGGCTTCTAACCCAGGCCCATGCCGAGGCTCGGCAGAAGACCGAAGGACGCGCCGGTACTCATCCCGCTGATCGTGTTGATGGAGGTCGAATGAGGGAAGAAATGCATGAATCAAGACAACGACAGGACAGACGGAGTCCAGCATTAGCTGACAAAGACCCTGCGCAAATAGCTTCTCAATTTGGTAATAATCTGCTGAAATCGGCCGGCTCGTTTTGGAAAACCAGCAGCAAGAAACTTCAACAGGCGGTAAATGAGTTCAAGGCTGAAGAGGATGCCAGTCAGCCGCGGTGGATGAGGGATGCCTCCTTACACGAGGAATCGCCTCAGCACCCGCAACGTCCAGGTCGTCGCGACCAGCCCACCCAGTCCCAGACGGAGCAGCAGGAGTTCACAAATGAAGCACTTCTTCTTGAGTCGGGAGGTGGTCGGCCCCAGAAACCCCCTCGTACCCGCGAGACCCACCAACCCGACCAAAGACGCCAGCCTCGTAATCAGCAGTCTCCTGATGCATCTCAGCCAAGACAACCCAACTTCCTCCAGCGCCCATCCCGGCCCACCTCTCAGGAACCCAAATCTCGCCTTTCACGCTTTGCAGCTGAAGAGCAGACAGCGCAAGCCTATGTCAGCCCTGCGAGACGCAAGCGACCCCAGGCACCGCCACCGCCCTCTGAGCCCGAGGTCGACCTCTTTGATTCTCTGGCTCCAGCGAGTCGGCCAAAGCCTTCTCCCCCTGCTCAACGTGCTACGCCTCCTACGCGCTCCGCTTCTATTCCAGTACGCCCCAAAGCTCCGACAAGATCCATTCCGCCTGTATCCCAAGAGGCCCTTCAATCAACACACCGCCATCGCGGAAGAGCCGCAGATTCATATAAAAGAGGCGATTATGCCGAGGCCCACCAGAGCTTCTCCACGGCTCTTAGCATGCTCCCCGATAAGCACCCTATCACCATCATCATCCGCAGTAATCGTGCCATGACTGCACTGAAGATCGGCGAACCAAAATCTGCCATCGACGACGCCGACACCATCCTAACATTCATTGGCCCATCCAAGGGCGAAGAAGAGGTCATCGATTTATGCACCGGCGAAGCACCCAAACCCATGAAGGACTTCTTCGGCAAGGCCCTAATGCGCAAAGCCGAAGCGCTAGAGCAACTCGAGCGCTGGGCAGACGCCGCTCAGGCATGGAAGTTGGCTGTGGAGTCTGGCCACGGTGGGAACACAAGTATCCAGGGCCGGAACCGATGCGAGAAAGCGGCTGGTATCAACAAGCCCCAGTCCAAGCCCGCAGCCCCGGCCAGGAAACGGCCTTCGCCGCCGCCTAAGAAGGCTTCGGCTATGTCCGGTGTCACTGCGACCTCAGCATCTGGAACAGACTTTGAGGCAGTCAGTAGGCTGCGCCAAGCTAATCAGGCGGCTGAACGTGCCGACGAAGAAAAGTTCGCTCTTTCTGAGAGCGTTGACGCCAGAATTGCCGCATGGCGCAACGGGAAGCAGGATAATCTGCGTGCGTTGCTGGGTAGTCTTGACTCGGTGCTGTGGCCTGAAGCTGGGTGGAAGAAGATCGGGTTGGCGGAGCTGGTGCTGCCGAATAAGGTTAAGATCCAGTACATGAAGGGGATCTCTAAGGTGCATCCTGATAAGGTATGTTTCATTCTTTGGGTGTTGGCTGCATGGCTTCCATTTGGATATCAGCTGACGTCTATCAGATCTCTACCACTGCTACCACGGAGCAGCGCATGATTGCTGGATCTGTATTCGGTACACTGAATGAAGCGTGGGATAAGTTCAGGACTGAAAATAATCTCTGATATCTCATTTGTGTTCGCCCGTTGATACCATCTGCTCGAAGTCATATTCTTTACTTGCATGTCACGATCTCGTTCTAGATGGTGGCTTTCATAGCATTCTTTTTTGAAAGAGCATTTCATATCAGCGACTGCCTTTTCTATGGCTTTACTTCATTATATTTCCTCCTCGCTTGTTCGAATAGATTTTCTATGTCCCTGTAGGCTATATCATGGCTGTTCGACCGACCATAGCCCTGCACGTATGCATGGACAGCCCTACGGCAATTGGCAATGTGGCTGAGAAGCATGTGGAGCGCTCAGAGCCGTATACGTAGGACGTTAACACCTGGTCCGATGCAAACCTCAGGTCTTCTGTGAGCTGATATAGGACAATTGGTTACTACGAAGTCGGCTTCGACAATTGCGGACTGATACTACAAGAGCTCAATCAAATGACTTCAGCCAAGGTGACTTCTTCTCAGAGACAAAACAGCCTCGATCCGGATGATATGGGAATTTTATGCTAATAATGAAACAAACAATGTTGTACAGTCATGCTCATGCCTCGGACGTCTGCTCTTCGACCTTTGCCTCAGTCTTATCCCCCGATTCCGACTGTGCCTGTTCTGTCTTCTGCTTCTCTGCCTCCTTGAGCTTCGCCCTTTCAATAGCAGCCTGTTTCTTCATTTGCTTCTTGCTCAACGGAGGTTCATTATCAGTCTTCGAAATCTGCGCCGAGGGCCATTGCTTCCTGCATTTCTGCTCATCTTCTTCCGACCAGCTCCGCGGCAAGATCGCAAACACAAGGTACGAAGTATGAGTCCTAAGATCCGGCTCTGACCGATGCGTCAAACGACCCTGAGCATACAACGGAACATTAGACTTCTCTTTATAAAACGGCGTCTCCTTCACAATAGGCTGATAATTCGGCTCGTCCTTAGTCTGACGGTGATCACGAATGAGCTTCGCACGCTCTTCATCACTGCGAAGCTTGGCAACAGCCTCCTCAACGGTCTTCGGGAACGTAGTTGCTCCACGCACACCCTCGGTATCCAGACCCACACGGTCACGCTTGACATCAAGCCTACGCTGAGCAACCTCCACCATGGAGATATTCAGCCATGACAATTGGCGCATCGTGCGGATCGTGCGTTCCGCCTGCTCCAGACACGGCGAAAACGTGCACAGATACGCAGGCGACTCCGGGTCAAGCGCAGACTCTCGTCCATCCGGGGGATTGCGCACGAGATGTTTCAGTGCCAGCCAGGGAGCAGGCAGATCAAGGAAGATGGCGTTGGCCTTGGGCGATTTGCCGGTTATCGGGTCGCCGAGCAGGAAGCCGTCTTCGTAGACGTCGCGATGCGTAGCCTCGACCATCCCGTCCAGACCGTGGTCTCGAAGTTCCTGCTGCACCTTGCCGACGCGCTGCTCGTGGAACTCGTAACTGCATACCTTGCCGAGACGCTGCCGTTTCGCGGCTTGCTCGGCCTCCGGATACCCGTTGAAGACGGCGCGGGCGGCGGCATGCGTGAACGAGCCACTGCCGGCTCCGGCTTCGATGACTGTGCAGCCTGGTCGGGCGCGCAGGCGGTGGAGGATGTAGCTGTAGTCCGGGGTGTAGACGACTTGTGTGCGGTGAGGGAGGGAGATGGTCCATGCTTCGGGGGTCGGGGCGAGAATGTGCAGGAAGCCGCTGTCTGCTGCGACGGGGGCGCGGAGTAATGGCTTTTTGTTTGCATCCTCCTCTCCGCTTGGCGTTGTTGCTGCGTCGAGCTCCTCGGCCTTGCGCTTGGTTGATTTGCGACCGCGAGAGCCTGTGTCGACTTTTGAGGCGCCGACTTGCGTGCCCCAGGGCTGACCGATCAGAGTGCTGTGCGGAAACGAGCCGAAGCGAGTGTTGGTGACTTTTCCTTCCCAGTAGCCTTGATTCTCGTCGTCATGGTCGCGGAGGATCGTCGGGATGATCTGGTCGCGGCGTAGCTGTAGTAAAGCGAGGCTATCCTTGTCGGCTATGGTGTTCCGAGTGAAGAATGGGGACGGCATGGTGAGCAGTATCCAGACAGTTGAGTATTTATCGACAATGCCTCCTCTCACTTGATTGGAACTTGCCTTCTCCGCAAAAGAAAAAAATGGGCTTGCGATTGCTCATTGCCTAATTGGGCTATAAACTAGGGCCCAGGGCTTGATCTGCGCATCCTCCGTTGCCGCCAATCAGAGCGAGTGGGCCGCTGTCTGAATGACTCGATCTGGTCCTCACGAGCCCCTCCCCCTCCATTGCCTTTAGTTTCTTTATGCTCTCTCCCCGTCTCTCCTTTCTTTCCTTCTCTTTCTATCCACCGTCCAAACAGCGGGTCTTATTGTCGGTCGCTTCTTTCAGGTCCATGTCTTCTCGCCAACAGCCGCCATGGCGGCAACCGGCTTCCAGCCCAGACGTGCAGCTTCCGCCGCTGAAGGTCTGGAATTCCTTGACGAAATCTAAGACTCCTTTCGTCCCGATTGATCCTGCAGGGAAGAAGGTCGTCTGGTACGCTTGCGGACCGACTGTTTACGACGACGCGCATCTCGGACACGCCCGAAACTATGTTAGCACCGATATCATTCGGCGAATTATGCGCGACTACTTCAAGTTTGACGTCAACTTTGTTATGAACATTACGGATGTGGACGACAAGGTATGCTGTGGCGCTGTGTATATAGGAGACGGGCTTCAACGCGGGGACTTACAAGTCTGATAGATCATCCTCCGCGCCAGACAACAACACCTGTTCAATGAATTCGTCACGGCCAACCCCACGATTACCCCGGAGGTCCTAGATACTGCGAAGAAGGCCTTCATTGCCTACTTGAAGAAGAACCTGCCCTTGCTCGACTCCGAGCTTCCTGCCTCGCGCTACCTGGATGAGGTCGAAAAAACATATGGGAATATCTTGAACGGCGGAGCCTTGCCAGGAAATGAGAAGGCGGGCGACGACGAGGCCAAGGTCAAAATGCACATTAAGACTGCTGCGTCGGCCGCGAAGGTCATCGCGCAGGCTGAGGCCCGTGATGGCTCGAGCGCTGATCCTGCCGTTTTTGCTGAGACCTTCTACTCGAGCGCACAGGATCTTATTCTGCCCTACCTTGATGCACTGAAAGGTGCACTCGTTGACGCCGACGACCACAGCATCTTCACCAAGTTAACGAAGAGATATGAAGAGCGATTCACAAAGGACATGCGGGATCTGAACGTTCTCGACCCCACCGAGTTGACTCGCGTGACGGAATATGGCGACGAGATCGCCGCTTTCGTGGATCGCATCGTTAAGAATAAGTTTGGTTACGCGACAAAGGACGGATCCGTGTATTTCGACATCAAAGCGTTCGAGGCTGCAGGCCACCCGTACGCTCGTCTTGAGCCGTGGAGTCGGTCAGACAACAAGTTGGCTGCAGAGGGCGAAGGCTCTCTCGCTAGCAAAACTACGGAGAAGCGCGGTGCTTCCGATTTCGCTCTCTGGAAGTCCTCAAAGCCCGGTGAACCGAGCTGGTCCAGCGCTTGGGGGAAGGGCCGCCCTGGCTGGCACATTGAGTGCTCAGCTATGGCATCAGCCCGATTGGGTAAGCAAATGGATATCCACTCTGGTGGTATCGACCTTGCCTTCCCGCATCACGACAACGAGTTGGCTCAGAGCGAGGCATACTGGCACGATGGGCACGATCATGGCCATGACCAATGGGTTAACTACTTTTTACACATGGGACATCTGTCTATCCAGGGATCTAAGATGTCCAAGTCGTTGAAGAACTTCACTACCATCCGGGAAGCGCTTGATCGGAAAGATTGGTCGCCGAGAAGTCTGCGCATTGTCTTCCTCTTGGGTGGCTGGAAGGATGGCGTTGAGATTACAGAGGATCTGGTGAACACCGGCAGCTCATGGGAAGAGAAGGTGAACAACTTCTTCCTTAAGGTGAAGGATCCTGCAGCTCTGCAGTCCTCAGGCACCGATTCCACCTTCGCTGCGGATCTGGAAGCAGCCAAGAAGGCTGTCCATGACCAGCTCTGCGATTCTTTCAACACCCCCGCTGTCATGGCGACCATCTCGGAACTCATCTCCAAGTTCAACATTGTCGACAAGGCCACCGTGCCCGCCAAGGATATCCAGGCGGCAGCACAATGGGTCACCTCCATGGTGAACATCTTTGGTCTCAACGGTACCGCCTCAGCCGATAGCACCGAGATTGGCTGGTCTGGTATTGACATCCCCGAGGAGGCCAAGGCTTACCTGTACCCGCTGTCGGCTATGCGTGACTCGCTTCGCGAGGCCGCGCGGTCCAAGACCGGAATCACAGCCAAGGATCTCGAGACCGCAGTTGCCCGAGCCTCGGTACCCGAAGAAGTCTCCGAATCCGCCAAGCCATACGCTGAGGTCTTCTCAAACTTCCGTAACAAAGTGCAGTCCCTGGAGGCCTCCGATTCTATCGGCAAGGATATCTTATCCCTGTGCGACCGAGTGCGAGACATTGACCTTTTCGACATCGGCATCGCTCTCGAAGATCGCGAGAACCAGCCCGCTCTGGTGCGGCCAGTCACCCAAGAGATGCTCAAGGCGCGGGAGGAGAAGGAAGCCCGTGCTCTCCAGAAACAGGCTGATAAGCTGAAGAAGGAGCAGGAAGCTCTCAAGAAGCTGGAGAAGGGCAAGCTGAGCCACCTAGAGATGTTCCGTACCAATGAGTACAGTGCCTGGGATGAGGAGGGCATGCCTACGCGTGATGCTGGTGGTGAGGAGGTTACCAAGAGTCGGGCGAAGAAGCTTCGCAAGGACTGGGAGCGTCAGAAGAAGGCTCATGAGGCGTGGTTGGCTAGCCAGGCCAAATAAGTCAACAAAAGGAGCATTTAGTTTTTATATCTACTTCGAGTATCTGTTTCGTGGTGGGTGTCCACTTTGCATCGCGAGGCGTTTCTTTTGACATATATCCTTAACCTCTTCTCTACAATCGCGAATACTGCCTGGCTAGGATGTACAATCCTCGTTACTTGACTTGTTCTCAGTGCACCCATCAATGATAGCCTGCTTGATAGAGCCCCGTAAAAAGCTGGCCCAATAGGTATTATGCTCTCATAGGACGATCTGTCTGTGGGGAGCGGAACATGATGAACATCCATCTATCTTCCTTACATTTTTCCTTCCTCTCTGTCTCTCAGGTCTCTCCAATTCCTATATGAAGAGCACAATTAGGGCAAATCTGAAAGAAAAAAAGCTCACATGCTTTATAGTTCAAGTGCACGTGACCCGACGTCATGCATCTTTATTATCCGATTTCTTTCTTCCGCACCTTTCAATTGCCTTCAATTGGACTTAGCAGGCTGGATTCTCCAGCGAATGCGTTTTGTTAAATCTGTTCGTATTGTTTCATCTCCTTTACTGTATTTCTTGTTGACATCTCTACGAACGTTGAAAGAAGCTTCGGATTTGAGTCATACGGTGCGCCTGCAACATGTTCCCTTCGCAGGCAGTCAATTTCAACGTGGAGGCATTGAGTGGTATCTGTGGGTGAGTTTGACAGAATTGTCTCCTTATATGTACTCTCACGTCTGTCATTCCCTTCGTTGATCCAATATCTTGTGGTCAATTTATCCTATGCATGCATGTGCGTCGACGGCACGACTGCGGAGTTACTTGGCGATCTGACTGCATGAATATCTTCTTCGATCAAGTACTGACCAGTCCAGATCCATCTCTATCGCCTGTTGGGTCGTCGTTTTCTCTCCCCAGATTATCGAGAATTTTCAACGCGGCTCTGCAGATGGCCTCTCTCTGCTCTTCCTGGTTGTCTGGTTAGCCGGCGATGTATTCAACATCCTAGGTGCCGTCATGCAAGGCGTGCTGCCTACCATGATCATCCTCGCAGTATACTATACCCTGGCAGATATTGTTTTACTGGGACAATGTTTCTACTACCGAGGCTTCAACTTCAAGGAAGAGTTGTCTGCCCCGTCCACACCAGAGCGCGCAATAGCCAGCAGCGGTACCTCCGATGCGGAGCAGAATGACGCCGAAGATCAAGCAGCAACAGAAAGATCATTACTTCTGCCGAAGAAGACCACCGGACATGTCAAAATCCCAAACCCATCGCTCAATGCAACTGGCCAGCAACCGCAAGACCGCACACGGCCTCTGTCGGCCGGACGCCGACAGTCAACAACCGCCTACCACGACATCTTCAACTCATCAGTAGACGTCACGCATCTCTCACCCGCAACACCCTTCGTGGAACCAACATCCGATGCAGCCCGGCGACGCGCCCAACGCGCCCGTCGCCGTCGCATCTCCGCCCTCCAATCCGCCCTCTTCAACCTGAGCGCCGTCGCCCTCGTCTGCACCGCAGGCGTCGTAGGCTGGTACGTCAGCCCGGCCTCGAAGTCCTCGTCGCCAAACCCAGAACCTCTAGCCATGGATCTGCTGGGTCAGGTATTCGGGTACTTCTGCGCGGTGCTGTATTTGGGGTCCCGTCTGCCCCAGCTTCTGCTGAACTACCGCCGCAAGTCGACAGACGGTGTTTCCTTGCTCTTCTTCCTCTTTGCTTGCATTGGAAATCTAACATACGTGCTGTCTATCCTGGCTTACTCGCCTATTTGCCGCGGTGGGTCGTCCGAGGAAGTTTTGGGACATCATCACCACCGTGCGCAGTGTCGGCCTGGCGAGGCAGCTGCGTTGTATGGGCGGTATGTGTTGGTGAATTTGTCGTGGCTGGTTGGCAGTGCTGGCACGTTATTGTTGGATATGGCGATTTTCACGCAGTTTTTCCTATATCGGGATGGGAAGGCTGGTGATGACGAGGAGGAATAGAAAATGTAGAATAGGTGCATTGTACATATTGAAATGAGAATACGACTTTTCGTGTGCGTTGGAAAGAACAGCATTCGATCAGACATTTGCCCAACTACACGCAGTTGGGACAGCCAAGTGCATTGGAGTCCAAACATATGCTGGCCACCCAAGTGCCGAGAGAATCCAAGTGTTTTGGGGCTAGCTAACATCATCCCCACCTAGGTATAGCCAGTGAGAGGATGCCTGGTTATTCATGGACATCGAAAGTGTTCGTTGTCCGTCGACGCCTTGATCGAGAATGATGCTGCGCTAAACAAGCCGTCTTCCAGAGAGAACGAATAGCAAGCCCTAACCGCCGAGGCCCTATGATTCTTTGCTTAGCCCACGTCGGATAGAAGTCTATATAGACTTCTAATATACGCTGCGCATGGAATATCCTTCTCTCTTTGGTCCAATTCTTTCAAGGATCTAGAGCACCAAACTGGTTCACAAGCATTCGTGGGTATACCACAGCCAACGCATTCTACGCGAAGTCCGCTTCACCTTTGCGTCTCATCCATAGCCTGGTTCTCCCTGGTTCATGCCAGGCTGCACTGCTGACATTTCGGTCGTCTCTTTGGCCGCCTGTAATAGTGCTTTCCTCCTTGAGTCTAGTGTTCTCGACGATTCATACCAGGATACCTGCGAAGGCATCGTGGAAACCTCATAGCCAGCAAATCCGCCACACCATTTGCTTCACCTTTGCATACGGTGCACAACCCTGATAGTCTCGCCAGCTGTACAGCTGTGCTGACATTATGGCTGTGTTCTCGACGAGGAGGAGAAACTAGGGTAGCGAAACCGCCATTGTTAGACAGCTCAAGTTCTGGCCTGCCAATGGCAATGACCACAAGGTTGGACGCTGCGACTACCTCGTTCTCTTGGGGTATATAAATCCCAGTCCTCCCTCACCATGGAGACAGTATCATTCAGACACCATCTCGAAAGACAAACAAGACTCTACAAGCATTAAACCTACAGTTGCGACCTTCTTCAACTACTTCAACCTTGTTAGGTATAAGTGTTTCAAATATCCTAACTGTTTCACCTACGTTCCCCAACAACCAACAACACCCACCATGCCCACCGACCTTTACGTTGAGACCGGTGCCATAAAATGGGGTTCATGGAACCACTACGACCGCGTTAGAACCGCGGGACTCGGCGAATTTTTAGACGAAAACTCGGTCATAGCCTTGTACAACAAGCACGGCTTCCTAGTCGGCAACCTCAAGTCCCGCTACCCGGCGCGGCAGACCCGCCAGACCAACATGATGGCCGAGCTGTGGATAACATATGCTGCACTCAAAGCCCGGTTATTCAATAACGAGCCCGTTGAGAGCAGTCTTGTTCTTGCGTTGAACAACCTAGACCCTAACTTCATCTACACCTATGACCTCTATGAGAGCTATAGGATTGAACATCTGGTATATGCGAGGCAAATTATCGCATACAACTGCCGGAACGTGTTGGACATGGCCGATACTCAAGGGGGAAACTTCGAGCTTTCGTATCGGCCTGATAAACGTCGCTGTGTGCCGGTTTTTCACGCAGCTTCTCGGGCTTAGCCGTAGGATGCGTTGCGGTTGCCGATTCGCTTCTTGGGATGAATTTGTGAAGGCTACGTGGAGCGTGGGATTGGGGATTAGGGCTGAATGGGGAGGCGGAGAGGTAATCCTATCGTTATCCTGGCACAGGATCTTATATCGAGTCTATGTGAGGAGTCTGCGAATTGGACTACTTTGTCTTCAGATCAATGTCCCTTTTCTAAGAACAACAAAGTGTCGGAACTTGAATTGTCTTTGGTTTGCCCGTTGACCTAGCTGAATAAGGGTGTCTGTGATGAACCAGAACGACTAACCAACGAACTCGCCATTGAATGCAGCTATGGACAAACAATACAAATCCTAGAAAGTAGAACCGCTAGGTATATCCTTCTTCCAACATGATGTAAAGATATCACAGCCTCACTCTGCCTTGAAGGTTGAAGCGAGGTGTGATGAGTCCATGGATGCAGGGCGGGAAATACAACTTTGCCTCTGAGCCAACCAGCCCTACTGGTCTGCGAGCACATGTTGCGAATCTACTAGACAGGGAAGACTGTGCGCCGTACGCACGAGGCTATGGCGAGGTGGTATTTACGGGATAAAGGGGCCAGTGCTGATGGAAATAAGTTTTAACGAGAACGAATAGCGAGCCCTAACCGCCGAGGCCCTTTGGTTCTTTGGTTAGCCTACGTCGTATACCAGTCTATATAGCCGTCCAATATACACTGCGCATGAAAAGTGCTTTCCCTCTTTGCTCAAGTCCTCTCAAGAATCTGGGTAGAACATGAGATTGGTTCACGGGATTCGTAGATATCCCACAGCCAACGCATTCCAGGCGAAGTCCGCTTCACCTTTGCGTCTCATCCATAGCCTTGGTTCTCCCTGGTTTATGCCAGGCTGCACTACTAAGATTTCGGTCGTCTCTTTAGCCGCCTGTAAATAGTAACTTTCATCCTTGAGTCTAGTGCTCTCGACCATTCATACCAGGATACCTGCGAAGGCATCGTCGGAACCTCACGGCCAATACATCCGCGACACCATTTGCTTCACATTTGCGTACCGTGCACAGCCCTGATAACCTTTCCGGCTGTACAGCTGTGCTGGCATTATGGCTGTGTTATCGACGAGGAGGTGAAATGGGGTATATAAACCCCAGTCTGCCCTCCCCATGGAGAAAACATTCAGACACCATCTCGACAGCCCGACAAACAAGACTCTACAAGCATTAAACCCAGAGTTGAGTACTTCAGCTACTTCAACCATGTTAGGTATCAAGTATTTCAAACGTCCAACTGTTTCGCCTACCCTTTCCAACAACCAACAATCGACAACCCCCACCATTTCAAAGGGTGACCTCGAAGTCAAGACCAATGAGCTACAATGGGGTTCATGGAAGGACTACGACTGCGTTAAAACCGCGGGACTCGGCGAACGTTCAGACGAGAACTCGGTCATAGCCTTGTACAACAAGCACGGCTTCCTAGTCGGTAACGTCAATGCCTGCAACCCGATGGGGCAGGCCTGCCAGACCCTAATGATCGAGCTGTGGAGGAGATATGACGCACTCAAAGCCCAGTTATTCAACAACAAGCCTGTCGAGGGCATTTTTGTTACTCTGTTCAAGCTGGACCCGAACTTCTTGCTCCTCTATGAACACAATAGGATTGAACGTCGCATTTATGCGAGCCAAACTATCGGATACCAGTGCCGGACCGTGTTGGACAAGGGCGATACTCAAAGGGCAATCTTCGAGCTTTCGTATCGGCCTGATAAACGTCGCTGCGTGCCGGTTTTTTACACAGCTTCTCGGGCTTAGCCGTAGGATGCGTTGCGGTTGCTGATTGGCTTCTTGGAATGAATTTGTGAAGGATATGTGGAGCATGGGATTGGGGGATTAGGGCTGAAAGGGGGAGGTGAAGAGGGTAACCCTGGCACATGATCTTATATCGAGTCTATGCGAGGAATCTGCGAATCGAACTACTTTGTCTTCAGATCAATGTCTAATACGAACGTCCCCTTTCTAAGAATAACGAAGTGCCAGAATTTGAATTGTCTTGGATTAGTTTGCACGTTGACCTAGCTGAATGAGGGTGTCTGTGACTAACCACCAACAACAAACTTGCTATTGATTGCGGCTACCTAGACAAACACTACAAATCCTAGAAAGTAGAACCGCTAGGTGTATTTTCCTTCTAACATGTAAAGATATCACAGCCTCACTATGCCTTGAAGGTTGAGCGAGGTGTGATAGTGGCCGGGCAGGACCAGCAACACAACCTCGCCTCTGAGCCAACAAGCTCTACTGGTCTCCACGTGTTGCGAATCTACTAGACAGGAACGAATGTACGCTTTATGCACGAGGCGATGATAGGAGGGTATTTGTGGGATAAAGGGGCCAGTGCTAACATAGGTCTCAGAGGGAACGAATTGCGAGCCCTAACCGCCGAGAACCTTCGATCCATTGGTTAGTCTACGTCGTATACATGTCCATATAACTTCCAATATACACCCCGCGTGGAAGGTAACTAGGTTCCCTTTTTGGTCAAGTCCTCTCAGGGACCTCGGACATGGGACTGGTTCACAAGATTCGTGGATAACCCACGGCCAACGCATTCTAGGCGAAGTCCGCTTTATATTTGCATGTCATCCATATCCTTGGTTCTTACGAAGCGGCGCGGCTAGGTATATCCTTCTTCCAGCATGTTGCATTGGAAGATAGCACAGCCTCGCTCTGCGAGGTTGAAGCGAGGTGTGATGAGTCCAGGCAGGGCGGAAAATATAAATTTGCCTCTGAGCCAACCAGCCCTACTGCAGGTGGTCTACACGTGTTGCGAACCTACCTATCTACTAGACACCTAGGAACGAATGTACTCTTCACGCACGATGTAACGGCGAGACGGTATTTATGGAATAAAGGGCCAGCGCTAACATAAGTTTCAGAGACAACGGATAGCGAGCCCTAGCCGCGGAGACCGTTTGATTCTTTGGTTGGCCTACGTCGTATATAAGTCTATATAGACTTCCACTATACACTGCGGATGTATTTGGTCCCGTTCTCTCAGGTGGCTCACAAGGTTCGTAGAAACCTCACGGCCAACACATCTGCGACACCATTTGCTTCACATGTGCGTACCGTGCACAACCCTGGTAATCTCGCCAGCCGCCATGCTGTGTTGGCATTCTGACTGTGTTCAGAAATGGGGTATATATACCCCAGTCCTTCCTTCCAGTTCCAATGGAGAAAATATCCAGACACCACCTCGAAAGACAAACAGGACTCTATAAGCACTCACCTCACTGTTGCGACATACTTCACCTGCTTTGACCTTGTCAGCTGTCAAGTATTTCAGCTATCCTAACTGTTTTCACCTACCTTTTCCAACAACCAACAACCAACAATCGACAACCCCCACCATGCCAAAGCGTTTCACCGAAGTCAAGACCAATGAGCACCTATGTGGTACATGGGAGGACTACATCAGCGTTGATGCCACGCAACTCGGCACACAATGCAACTCCGTCGTAGCCATGTACAACGGGCACGGCTTCATAGTCTGTAACATGACTCCAAACCGGTGGCGCGAGTGGCCGGAGTGGGCTCTCGAGGTCGAGCTGTCCGGGTTATATAAAAGCTGGGAAGCCGAGGTGTTCAAGGACGAGAAGGTTACCACTTGGCTCGTTTCTGCGATGGAGAACACAGACAATGACAAGCTCCAGCGGATCATTCACGATATTACTGGGAGGCAACCTAGTGTTTTCGTGTACGAAAGCCGAAAAATGTTGTCCCAGAGCAATGGTCAAGGGGGAACATTCTGCCTTTCCCTTCGGCCTGGCAATCCTGGCGAAGAAATCGAAGATTACCACGATTGTATAGGGGTTACGGTACACCGGAGGAAACAGTAAGACACCTTAGTGCGGTGCGATTGGAGAAGAAGAAGAAGGATGGCGCCATTTAGGAGTGCAGTGCCAGGTCCACTGTACTCCCTTGATCCAAGCGAGCACACGAGCGGCAGCCGACAAGGATGGGCGGCTGGAACGAAGGGGATACGGGGATGTTACGTGGTGAGATGTGGTTCTGGTCCCTACGGCCAGGAGTGCGACACTCATTTTTTCTGTTTTTTGTTCTTTCCTTTGTTATGGTCTACATTTTTCTATTCTGGGGGCGACTGGTCGGAAATGCGCAAAGCGAGTTTCCAACAGTCGTCCAGTGGGCTGGCGCCCACACTTTCCAGCTGTCGGCAGTGATAGCATAGCAGCTTATACTTAGAGCAAGCTACATCGGGCCAATGAATTTCTCTCTCTCTCTCTAACGGTTACGGTATGATATTTTTCATCCCGAAGATTCTCGGGTGGCAAAGCAAAGTACACACATTTACTTGTGGTGATGCGGTTGCTGGTTCGCTTCTTGGGATGAGTTTGCCACAGCTATGTGGAGCGTGGGATTGGGGATTAGGGCTTAATGGGGAGGCGTCGAGGTAATCCTATCGTTATCCTGGCACAGGATCTTATATCGAGTCTATGTGAGGAGTCTGCGAATTGGACTATTTTGTCTTCAGATCAATGTCCCTTTTCTAAGAACAACAAAGTGTCGGAACTTGAATTGTCATTGGTTTGCCCGTTGACCTAGCTGAATAAGGGTGTCTGTGATGAACCAGAACGACTAACCAACGAACTCGCCATTGAGTGCAGCTATGGACAAACAATACAAATCCTAGACAGTACCTAGAACCACTAGGTATATCCTTCTTCCAACATGATGTAAAGATATCACAGCCTCACTCTGCCTTGAAGGCTGAAGCGAGGTGTGATGAGTCCATGGATGCAGGGCGGGAAATACAACTTTGCCTCTGAGCCAACCAGCCCTATTGGTCTACACATGTTGCGAATATACTAGACAGGGAAGCCTGTACGTCGTACGCACGAGGCTATGGCGGGGCGGTATTTATGGAATAAAGTGGCCAGTGCTGATGGAAATAAGTTTTAACGAGAACGAATAGCGAGCCCTAACCGCCGAGGCACTTTGACTCTTTGGTTAGCCTAGGGTCGTATACCAGTCTATATAGCCGTCCAATATACACTGCGCATGGATGGAAGCTCCTTCTCTCTTTGGTCCAGTCCTCCCAACTGCAGGTGGTTCACAGGATTCGTGGAAACCTCACGGCCAACACATCTGCGACACCATTTGCTTCACATTTGCGTACCGTGCACAGCCCTGGTAATCTCGCCAGCCGCCACGCTGTGTTGGCATTCTGACTGTGTTCAGAAATCGGGTATATAAACCCCAGTCCTCCCTTCCCATGGAGAAAACATCCAGACACCATCTGGAGAGACAAACAAGACTCCCAAGCACTGAACCAACTGTTGCGACCCGCTTACCTTACTTCGCTTGCTTCGACCTTGATAGGTGTCAAGTATTTCAGCTATCCTGACTGTTTCACCCACCTTTTCCAACAACCAACAACCAACAACCCCACCATGTCAAACGGTGAACTCAAGACCAATGACATACTATGTGGTTCATGGGAGGACTACAGCAGCGTTGATGCCTCGGAACTCGGCACACAATGGAACGCCGTCGTAGCCATGTACAACGAGCACGGCTTCATAGCCTGTAACATGACTCCGGACCGGTGGCGCGAGGTTGATATGGCGACCTACCTGTCCGGGATATATGAAACCCACAAAGCCTCGTTGTTCAAGGACGAGAAGATTACCACTTTGCTCGTTTCTGCGATGGAGAACCCAGACAATGACAAGTTCCAGGGGACCCTTTACGGTATTACTGGGAGGCAACCTAGTGTTATCGTGTACGAAAGGCAAAGAACGTTGGACCAGACCAAGGATCGAGGGGGAACATTCGTGCTTTACTATGAGCCTGACAATCCTGGCGAAAAATACAAAAACCTCTTGTGTAAAACCGACAGTCATATATCGGTTAGGGTATGATATTTTTTCACCCTGAAGATTCTCGGGTGGCAAAGCAAAGTACACACATTTACTTGTGGTGATGCGGTTGCTGGTTCGCTTCTTGGGATGAGTTTGTCACGGCTATGTGGAGCGTGGGGCCAGGGGCTGAATCGGGGTGAATGGAGACGGGGACGGGGGCGAAGGATTGATATCTGCACGGGGATGTGTGTTATATAGGTTGAAGTAGTGGGAGGAGGTTACAAATTCAACTACTTTGTCGGATCCATGTTTCAATGAATAGAACAATCAGAAGGTCAGTAAACTGAAAGCTAGTAAGTACTGCTACAATGGTATTGACCAAGAACACCTTCGCTCCATGCGGTTTGAGTGAGAGAAAAAAACACGGAAAGCAAGTCGAACGATTCAGTTCGGGTGAGGCTCCACCTTTCCCTTAGCAACCTCAGACCAGTTCGTGCTCAGCGAGGTTCCCTGGCTTTCGGTATAGCTTTTGATCATAGCCCGGCGCGTTTCCGGATCTGCGTTGGCGTACAGCTTCTTGAAGAATCCATCGACGGCATCGCCTTCCTCGTCCGATAAATCATCCACAGTTCCACTGCCCTTTCCTTTCTTGTCAGCGAGCGAGGACGCAAGTTTGTCCCAGTCCTTGGCGCCGTGACGAGATGAGGTCGGGTACGAAGGCACCGCAGGAGCTGGGGCCTTTGGCGCCGCGGGACGGTCGGTGGTCGTGGTAGGAGCAGTGCCTGAGCTTTCGAGTTTGTTCCACTTCTGGCCTGCTGTCTTCTTTCGCAGAGTGACTTCAATCTTGGTGCTCATAACTGCCACCTTGGACTCCGAGGGGATAATGTTTGCATGCAGCGGGTCAAGGGTGAAGTCGTATTCTGAACCAGATGGGAGGGGGAATTGCAGCGAAGCCTGGGATAAGTTAGCGCGGATTCTGAAATATTTGAAATGTCAGACAAAAGACTTACCGAAGTTTCTTTCAGGTCAACTGCGACGCTGTCCTTCGCAATTCCCTTGACGTAAAGCGTCACAACGACAGAGTCCTGGGACTGATACCACTCATGGCGTGGCTTCGCCGGAGCGGAGGCAGCCGGAGCGGAAGCAGCGGGGGCAGAAGTAGCCGGAGTACTAGCCTTTGCATCTTTATTGTGCGAAGCAGAAGAACTAGACGGAGCAGAGACTGTCTGAGCCTTCGGCGCATTTCCAGTGAGAGCGTTCCACTCAGCCTTCATTTCCTCCGCAGTCGGAACATGAGTCTCATCCGGAACCTCAGCAACAGATACAGCAAACTTAGGATCGTCCTTCCCGAGCTCATTCAGCTTTCGCTGGACCTTAGCCGTCCAGATCGGCAAATGGCTACTGTAATTGTTCTTCAAGCCCGCCGAGGCAAGGGCCGAGCCCCCCATAGCAGCCTGAACCTGATCCGATTTGTTCTGTGGATCATTCGTGCTCTTAGACTTTTCCGCAATGATATCAAACAAAAACGCCGCATCTCCAAACCTCTCGAGCTGGAAGAGCGTCACGGCGCGGCGCATCTGGGCGGAAAGCATCATCTCGCGGTTTCCGCGCTCTCGGGCGAGCTGCAGAGCGGTTTCGGCATCTTTGAGTGCGGCTGTGTAGTTCGGTCCGCCATCTGCGGGCTTGACGCGCGAGTAGGCGGTTGAGCGGGAGATATAGTAGGCCGGGGCGCGGGGAAGCTCGCTCAATGCGCGGGTGTAGTGTTGGATGGCGAGTGGGTAGTTGGACTCGGCGGAGGCCTTGTCTCCAGCGGCTGCAGCGTTCATAGCGCGTTCTGTTTCCTTTGAAATAGTGTTACGTTCACGCTCCTCTTGAAATGCACGCTTGGTATGAGGATTGAGTTCAATTGGGTCGGAGTTAACCGTCGGACGTTTTGGAGTCGCGGTCACGTGAACGGGTGATGTATGGAAGGGGGTGGAACTTGGAGGAGAAGAGGTTGGAGAGAGAAAAAGAAAGGACGAGAAGAAGGAAGAGAAAAAGTCTGAGATGATACTTTACTGTCTTTACATGAGGGACGCACAACGCCTAATCGATTCACCTGGCTCGCCAACTAATACCACAGAGTAGTCAAACATCGCCGATTCGGCGACTTTATTACGGATTAAGTACATATTTGAGAGATCATGTTCCCTGCTAAGCTGATTCAAGCAAGCTCGGCGTTTCCAAATTTCTTACTGTACAAGCCCAAGGCACGAATAGGCCAGTAGAACTTGTAGTTAGGGTACGAGATCATGCTAGAAGGGGAGTTAGCTTACCATGTCAACGTAAAGACAGAGCGAACTTACCAGGACTGGTTGAAAACACCCTCAATCGCCTCCTGCAGCCACTCCCCATTGGGTTGCTGACGCGACATCAGCAGCTTAATACCCCGCTCCAATGGTTCTTTGTGAGGGTAGCCTGCCTCCATAAGGCCCAGAAGGGACCAGGCAGTCTGACACACCTGGGACTTCTCATGCTGAACATACTGATGGGTAGAACTGCTGAGATACGATTCGCCCCATCCACCGTCTGCCTGCTGCTTCTCAATCAAGAAGTCACAGCCCCGGCGGGAGTCAGCACTCGTTTCGTATGTCTCGCCGATGCTGGCTAAACTTTCAAGCGCGAACATTGCCGCATATGTAAAGCAGATGCCCCAAGAACCATACCAGCTGCCATCGGCGCGCTGTGTGTGTTTGATATGAGCAACCGCCTTCTGCTTCGCGAGGCGGATCTCCTCGGCGCGATAGTCGGGGTAAAGCTGGCTGAACAGCGAAAGCGCGGTAACGGATGCTGTCGTGCATTCTGGGTGGTCGTAACTAATCATGATTCCGCCGAAGACCTCTGCGGCATTCAGCCACTCGAGCTTGGGGGAGCCGCGAGTGACTTCGTACTCGGAGAAGCCGCCGCTTGGGTTCTGCAGGTGCAGAAGACAGTCGACTGCGTCCTTCAAACGCTCTTCGGAAACCAACTTCGGGAAATTGTACATCTCCTGCAACTGGAGCGTTGACCGGAGACCCTCAGCGGTGCAGTCACTGACTGTATAGCCTTGGTCCTTGGTGCTGAATGGCCAGGCACCCTTCCGGTGTTGACGGTAGCATTTCTCTTGATCCGGCACATTCTCCCGTAGCTGGTGGTCGTCGAGGAACTCGAGAGCTTTTGTCAGCATCGGCCGCCATTTCGGCTGGTCGGCGAAACCGGCGACAACAATTGCCTGGGTGATGAATGCAGTGTCCCAGACTTGAACGCCGTTTGTGCCATTTGCAAGCATGCCTTCGCCCTTCACCCACATGTAGTCGTCCAACCGCTCCCTATGCCGGCGGACAGATTCGCTGTCAGGGCCATCGTGCAGGTAGCAAGCCACCATATTCATCGGATTATTGACGGGTCCCAGCCCCGCGTATTCCGTATTTTCGTCTTCCATGCGAATCAGCTCCCAGGTCCAATCCTCAGCTCGCTTGATAAGACTGGAAGGGCGGAGGTAAGGGTTCCAGACCCGAACCAGCATTTCGTTGGCGGCATTCAAGACCCATGTCTTGGGATAATAATTGTCCGCCTCATGAATAGAGTTGCGATGCGCAGCAAAATCGACAGAGCTGTAGGGTTGGGTGTATAACTCTTCTCGCAACTGTCGTGTCAGGTCATCCAGAGGGTGAGACCACTGCTTGGACCACAGCCAAGACATGGGAAGGAACACCTGGCGCATGTGGATCCACCACCGCCAAGGCGCAAAGGGGACCCAATCGGGAAGAAGCCTGCAGGACCAGTCAGCAAGGGGAACTTTACTTGATGCAAAGCGTGAACGAACCAAATCTCAGGGGGGACCGGATTGACACCCTCCCATTCCATGACACCTAGAATGCTGAGCCAGAATTTGGCCCAGTGAGGCCCGTAGACGGCACCTCCGAATTTATGCAGAAGACCTCGAGCTTTAATCATCCGCGGGTCTTCCTCGCTGACACCGATTAAGCGGAGGGCCACATAGTTCATCGAAGTACCAAAGACGGAGCTGTGGCCTTCAATGTGCAGACCCCAGCCACCGTCCTCCGGGTGCTGACGAGCAAACAAGTAACGCTTGATCTCTGTCGCATACTCAGGGGGGATAGGGGTATGGGTCACGTAATAAGTAATCAAGATACCCGGCAGCAAGAACATAGGGCCGCCATACTCGCAGGCCCAGTTTCCCGGCTCTAGTTGCAGGTGGGAGAAGAACTCAAGTCCATTCTCAGCGGCTGCCAATGGCGTTTTGGCCTTTGGCAGCTCGGGAAGATTCTATAATGCACAAGTCAGGATTTAATCAGACTTTTGGAATCAAATCAATGGGATGGGGGATTCAATCGCACCGTTGGCAGTCCCAAGTGATATTTATCAGCTATTGACTGCGGCCATGCTTGGTTTTCTTCGTCGGATTCGAGATACCGCCATGTTTGACGGCCTTCCTCGTCTAACAATCGCCAGCGAGAATAGTCGGTCTGGGGATCTCCATTGGCATCTGTGGTGAGGTGACCCTCAGCTGGGGTTTTCCATGACCCAATATGAGGAGTAGAAGACATGACTTGAGCAATAGGACTAGTTTAGATTGCCAACTGGGTCAAAGATAAACAAACTGGAGCTCCGCTGAAAAACCGGGGAAAGCTTAGTCATCGGTATCACGACTGCAGTGTAGAATGAAGAATGTTTTCCCTCTCATGTCAAGGCAGACAAATTAAGGATCAGCATCCTGGAAGAAAATAAGAGGTAAAGCAATCATGCAATGGAAGGCTAAGGGGCTTCACTCTATGGAGTATGGAAGGGGAAGTGTGGGAGTTGGCCTATCAAGTTGGCTGGTGGCTGAACATCGAAGTATAGGACCTCGGACCTGCACCCAAAATACTTGAAGAGATAGGTATATCTACAAGCTTGGAGTTGAACCAAGAGATGAGGAACTCCGAATGAAGTATTTATGGAATTCAGAAAGGGAGGATGAGGCGTCCCTGAATTACCATATCCTCAGTTCCTTCATAGATCATCGAGCCAAAGGTAAAGGTTTTCGCTTCTCCTGACAGAACGCATTATCGCCTTCAACATGGGTATCATTGAGAGTGTTCCGTATGGAACCCTAAAGTACAACCTAACGTAAGCCCACTGCGGCGTAGATGTGGCGCTGCATCTACCGGCTACCCCGTCGTCTCGAACCGCGGGATCCAACCTCTTCTACTTCCTATCCAACATCTCAATTGCAATGACTGAGCCATCAATTATCCCCTTGGAAATGGACGATGGCCGGGATCCTGCAGTACGAGAATACATCGACAACACCCTCGCAGCCCTCCTGGACGGACTTACAAGCCACCCACCAGAACCACTATCCATCACCCTCAAACGCAGAGTCAGGCAAACACCTCACATCATCAATCCTATCAGTAGAGCCCTGGAGGCGATTCCGAGATCCGAAACGCACAAAACATACTGTTGGCCAGGGAAGACGGCACACGAGGCCTGGAAATTTGGTGTGAACTTCCCCTACCACGCTCGGAAACCCTATTCAGATGAATCACTGACAATGTCTGGGTGTACTTACAGCCGCCATCCTTCAGATACTAGCAATATTGGACCAGGCCATTCGAATGGGGCAGCTGATCTCGAAAAGGTAAGTTGATCGAGTCTAGGAACCAATTGAATGTCCCGCTGAGCACGTCCATACCCTCGGGCACTAGAGATATATACTATATCGATCCGGAGTTCTTTCGTGCACAAAATATCGTGGATCGTATTGTCGATGATCTGGCGTACACCATCGGGGTGAACAGAACGGCATTGAATGTAGTACGTGCTGACGAAAAGCCCGGATTTATTGCGAGGCTGGATGCTGATATCGTCCGCAACTATGTAGGAAGCAGCAGCAAAAGGGTTAGTCATGGGAGACTTTCGTTTGATCCGCGGGCCAGATATTTTGATCGACATGCAGGGTGCCATCGAGGACACTTTGATTCCTCGTGTAGAAAACGGGGATGAGATTGATATTGCACGGGCCCGTTGGGTACTGGTCATTGAGAAAGAGGTATGAAGTATCAAAGTCCCCACAATTGCAACACCGGTAAGCCAATACCTTCTTCGCAGGCAGTCTTCCACCGGCTCGCGCGCATCAGTTTCCACACCAGAGCACTAGCTGGAGAAGGGATATTGGTCACGGTATGCTGCATCTTTGCCTGGGAGGTTCTGTCCGCCAGAGCAAAGAAACTGATCAACATCACTCGTAAAGGGCAAAGGATACCCTGATTTCATGACACGGAGATTCCTGCGCGCAATTTCCGACTCGGTATCCAGCCAAAGCAGAACCCTGCCGCGTTTCTACGCCCTAACAGATGGCGATCCACACGGCATGGCGATCATGTCAACGTATAAGTATGGCTCGGCGGCGCACTTGCACCAAAATGCTCAGCTTAGTATCCCACGGCTGCAGTGGCTGGGTCTTCGGGTTTCAGATGTCATTGCTGTTCCGGAGGTACTTGGTGACAAAGCTCTTCTGACGTTGACGATACGAGACCGCAGGAAGATCGTTACTATGCTTCAGAATAGTCCTGTGTGGGCAAGTGATGGACCGGAGCCCGAATGGCGTGCTGAATTGCAGCGAATGCTAGTATTGAACCTGAAGGCGGAGATTGAGATATTGTACGAGTGTCATGGGGGTCTGGAGGGGTGGATTAATCGGAAGATGTTTCGGCAGGAGTAAAACGGTCTAGAGATGTATGACCAGGAAGATATAGATAGAAGGATACGACGCATAATATAGAAGGAACGGGGTAATAAGTACTTGCCAAATGACTTCCAATATGTCAACAGAAATAATTTGAGCACTCCGGTGGTAGAACGATTATCCAGAACCGCTCGTGAAAATCGCCGAGAAGATCTCTAAAATAGCTGCATGCATTTCATCCGCTATCGTAATAATGCGAAGGATACCAAGGTCGCTGTACAAACCGAGAAGTACCCGCATATCTAAACCATGCTAGAAGAAAACACCCGAAGAACGCCAGTCATCCAGCCCTGATTCCACAGCCACACAGGAAGACAATACCAAAAGACGTCCAACTGCGCAACAAGGGAATCAAGGCCATTCATTCACAATTCCACCCAACTCAAAGCCCCAGACCCTTCTTGACCTCATCCCGAACCTTCTTCTCATACTCCGCCCTCCGCTCGCGCCACATCTTAGCAGCCTCAACATTAGCCGGGCTCTCATCATTCGGCTCAGCAAGCATGCTCATAACCGAAAGAAGGATCTTCTCCACGCTTTGAATAGGCGACCAGCGCTCAGAGGCATGTTCATAATGATTCGGGTCATCGCCGGGGGGATGAAGGATCGAAATGCAAACCGTTCCATTGGGATAGACTAATTCCGAATATCAGTAAAGATGCCTTTGTCCAAATATTGTATGTGTACATGTGTGTACATGTGCGACACGGGCAAGCACAGTTGTCTCGGTCACGTACCGTTCGGGTGCCAGACGCCGCCGCCGATAAACTTCATTGTTGGCGGGCTCAGGGGGTAGTCTCTTGGGAATTTGAGTTCGGCTGCGAAGACGCCGCCGTCGAAGGGGGTGCCTTCGGGGCCTTGGATCAGGGCTTCCCAATGGAACATGTCATCTTCGGTGACGGGGCCGGCGGTGATTCCCTCCGGGGGGTTTGTTGAGAGGTTCTTGTATTCGTGGAAGAGACGTTTCTGGGCGACGGAGGAGGCCATGGTGTGAGATTTGCAAAGATTTGCAATGGGGTTTGTGACCTGGGATACTTCAGGTGGCAAGGAGCCCCAGGGCTTCGATGGGACTAGGTGGGGGTGGAATAATTCCGGGGCGGTGTGTAGGGCGGTGGGCTGGATATGGAGGCGGTTTCCCAAGGACCTGGGCCTGGTGAGCTGGGCTTGGGTCCTATTGGTTTGTTTTGACTGGCAGAAAAGATACTTTGGCCCCACTCGCCATCCATGCGGCATGCCCCATGGTCCATGGTCCATGGATGAGTTGACAGAGTTGTACTTCGGAGTCTTGACTCCTGTAGAAAGACTCCTGTAGAATACCTCCAAGTTAGGCAGACCTAGATGCTCCTACCTAGTGTGATTTGTAGAAGATGGCCGTTCGTGTACATCCAACGTTTAAACGTTAGGCAATGGTCCTAATGAGCTCGAGGACAAAGTGCACCCGTAATGGCTATCCAGACGCGCGGAATTCAGCACTAAACAATGGGCCAGCGACTTCCCTGATACTGAGAGACCCAGACCGATTGGCAACTATGATCGAATTGTCTACGCCATGTCGTACAAACAGATTGCCTTTACATAGAGGCTATAATACAAGCTAATACAAACCGTGTTTGTCAAACACTGGCCGTCAACCGTTAAAAGAAGTCACCGCCTCCATCACCCTCATCTCCTCCGCCACCCCAGAAGTCACCACCCCAAGGATCCTCATCCTGAGACTCATTAGGCTGACCGTAGTCATCCATTGGTTCCTGCCCCCAGCCATCCATTGGTTCCTGGCCCCAGCCCGGCTGGTCAGGCTGTGCTGGGGCATTCGGATCGGCCGAGGCTCCCCGGTGCATTGCATCATACCCAGCCAGTGTGCCTGCGCCAGTAGCCCCTGCAGCCATACCACCTGGCATGCCAGCGGCTCCAGCTCGCCCAAGAGTCCCCGCTGCAGCCTCGCCAACCGCGCCTGCTTCACCAGCTGCGGCGCCTCCTGCGGCACCTCCTGCAGCGGCACCCTCGGCAGTAGATGCGCCGCCCATCCCAGGGAACCAGAACGGCATGAAGCCGAATGCACCACTGCTGCCACTGTGGCGACTGAAGTAGTCGAAATCAATGCTCACAGCCGTGGCCAGCATAACAGCGCGTTGGTCAAGGGTTAGGCTTTGGTATTCGTTGTTGTGTGAACGTTCGGTGACTTGATTTGCGGAATCCATGCGCAGAGCGTAAACACCGGTGTCTGTGAATATCTCGCGAGCAAAGCCGGAGAAATTGCGGTTCACGGATCCAATTAGCTGATTGTCTGCTGATTTTAGGGAGAAATCCCATGATAGGAATGGCTCGTCGACGTAGGCAAATTGGTTAAATTGGCCTTGGTCTTGGTTGGAAGTCTGCATTAACTGCATCTGCTGTGCTTCTGATAGACCAGACTTCGATAATGTGAAGTTCTGGTTTCCCATGTCTGTTGCTGAATTTGGAGACTTGTGGTGAGTGAAGAGGTTGTATTTCCGCCGCAAAGGCGCCCACTGCTGCTGGGCCTCTCCGATAACTCTCATTTGACTTATATCAAGTGGTGATATCCGTGTATTTGATCCATCTCCAGCTGGGACAAGAGATCCGGCTGTCATTTCTAGGAGAGATGTGGATGGTGAGCCCGTGGGCGATGTTCGATGAAGAGGATCATAGACATGAATCTTGGAATTGATCCAAGAGAATGGGCGATGAAACTGCGACGATTAGCCACCAAAGCCAACAACTATTATGAGGTAGACCTTAGACTTACCCGAAGGATCTCGTTTTCTTGTCGGTCAAAAACATGTGTCACAAAACTTCGGTGGGTGTTGAACCATTGCCGTGACATTGTACCCGCCAGGCCCTTCTCTTGCTCTGCCATCCATCCAATCTGATTTCCTTGTGCATCCATGATGACGTACTTGTTCGCTTGTTCAAAGCCACTACATGAGGTATCCGTTAGTACAGATTTGCCACCAGGTTCAGGTAGTATGAGACCCAGCCCTCTGCAGCACTCACATCATAATGTTCATCATCTCTAGTTGTCGCTGTATGACTATCCCCGAATTCGCTAATATAGACGTCGCCGGATGGTTTTCTTTGAGCACACCATTGGGGTCCTCAGGTATGTAGACGGGAGAGAGAAGAGTGTTTTGCGAGGGATCGTAATCGGGTTGTGTGGCATGTTGAGACTCAGGGGGAGTTGGCTGAGGCTGTGAATTTCTTGAAGTTCGAATAAGGTCTGGCCTTCGTATGCTGTTGCGAGGACCACGCCGCGATCCGTGACTTCGGAAGCTCGACAGAGCTCGAGTCCGAGCCGGTGCCCACTGTCTTTGCAGTGGTCGGAGTTTCAAACTCCACATGACGAATAAGATGCCAGATCAGATTTAGATAGCAGTATCTGACGAATAATATCAGTGTTGGTAGTAAGTGACAGGTTATGGATCCGAAGTTGACGTTAAGGAAGTTAAAGATGACTGACCTCGGGAGATGAGGCTGATGACGGCTTCCGCGGGGTTATCGGAGATAGGCCGGGAGCCCTGCCAAGTGCTTCCTCAGCCTGCAGATCACTTCTCTCTAACGTCTTAAACCAAGACGTTCTAGTAACTGCTCAGTTGTTCTGATACGTTCCAGATCAATCTATTATCTATTACTGAAGACTAGATGGCTTTCAAGTATTCAAGGATCGGAACTTATATCCCAAGAGCCCTTGTTTGTAGGACACAGGCTACATAAGTCTCATCTCGAAAGTGGCAAAAGTCTACCCAGCTGTATCGATGTAGGCAGTCCCAATTTTGCTTCTATTTGCAAAGAAAGCTCTTGAATGTTCGACAAGTACAGCACGACAGATCCAAAATTGTACCACTGGTACTCCAATCACGCTACCCGACCAGCGGTAGACAAGCTCCACGACATGATCTCGTAGTCCAACGGCCAATTAATGCAGTTATCGTATGCCGAAAACAAGCACTAGAATGCGCAGAAAGGCTTCATAGGGCACCCTTGCGGGCCAGTTCGATTTTCCGCGCAGCTTCGCCTTCCTTGAATCCGCCTTTTGACACACAAATAGCACTTCCTTCCCCGAGCTCGACCTTCTCCTCGACATCTGGGTGAGGGCACGGGCAATGGTGTGGGAAATGTACACAAGCAAGAGTTCCAGGGCAGAGGTAGTTATCGCATTGCGCTGTGGAGAAAGGTTCGCGTGGTCAGTTATGTGAGCCCGAGAGTAATGGAACAATACGATAACATTTTCGAGAATTGAAAATTAATGCAAGACATACCTCCAGCCCACATTTGCTGATACCGACTGCTGTCACTGGCAGCCTGTTGCGAGCGCTGTTGTTGGCGCTGTTGTTGCTCGCCGCCTCCAAACATTTGGTCGAAGAAGTTGAATTGGGCTTGAGCGACAGACACGATAAGAAGAAGAGCCCAAAGGGCTTGACGCACGCCTTGCAACATGATATAAATGTCCAAACCAATAACTATCAAATTAGAATGACCGAGTTGTTGTAGACAATTAACCCTGTTGACGTGGTTATAGATGAAGCCAGCTTACGGGTCCACACGTGACGCCAAGCCCCATCTCCGAACGAAAAACTTCCCCTTTGGAGCTTCACGATCTCCGACTCCAAACAATCCGCTTACAACCCACAATGTTCAAGCCGCGCGTGCTAACGCCCCTGCGGGCGCTGGAGCGAGTCTTCACTCCGACAATCCGATCCACCCCGATCCTCTCGCAGTCGCAATCCCTCCTGCGAACTCTCTCCGCAACATCCACATTCCCGAAAACCACACCACGACCCTCCCTCTCCGCACTCCTCCCATTCTCCCAAGTGCGTCATGCCTCACACGCCTCGCAAGGTACCGCCAATCGACACTCCCGCGACCCCGCCGGCAAGCGTCTCGGAGCCAAGCGCTCCGGCGGCGAGTACGTGGTACCGGGATGCATCATTTTCCGCCAGCGCGGCTCGCTATGGTTCCCCGGTGAAAATTGCGCTATGGGTCGTGACCACACAATCTACGCTACACAGGCTGGCTACGTCCGCTACTACCTTGACCCGCTGAAGCACCCGAAGCGCCGGTTTATTGGAGTTGTTTTCGACAAGGATGAGCAACTTCCACACCCGCGTAATGCGCCCAGCCGACGCAAGCTGAACATGGTTCCTGTGCCGATGGTGGAACGTGTCGAGGCCCAGTCTGATCTTGTTGCATCAGTTGATGCGAACGGTGTCCGGGTGTCGGACGTTAAGGCTACCGATGCTGAGTCTGGCCCACAGCTGCGCCCTGGTTACATGTACCGCGAGGCTAACTGGGTGATTGGTCGGGCTGCTGAGAAGGCTGGTATCACTGCTGAGCCTTATGATCGTCGCAACCGTTGGTTGGCGTGGAGGAAGCGACAGCAGAGAGCTGAGCGGGCTGCTCAGATGAAGAGTTTGAAGGGCTCGAAGAAGACGGCCAAGAAATAAGGGCGTTTTCCGTGTCCATGATGGCTTGTTTCAATAACTTCTGGGTTTCTGTAGCGATATGAGGATTGTATCTGGTGTTCACTGTATTATAGAAAGAGCATTTATCCATCAACTTTTCAATGATCTTATACTCCGATTCCATAGGGGATTATTGAGAAGCATCTATAAACCCCGCACAATATCCTCAGCGATCTTCTCGGCAAGCATATCTGTGACGCAGTAAGCAACAGCTAATCCAAAGCAACAATTGACTCACAAACAGTGGACTGCGGGTGACCAGGAGGAAGGAAAGGGAAAGCGCTAGCATCGACTACACGCAGTCCGTCTACACCATAAACCCGGGCCCGGGAATCGACCACAGCCATTTCGTCGTCCCAGGTGCCCATCTTGCAAGTGCATGCAGCATGCCATATGGTCATAACATTATCTCTAATGAACTCAAGGATCTGTTCATCAGTCTGAACCTGGGGCCCGGGGTTATACTCTTCGCCAATGACCACGGGCTCCATATCTTTGCTTTGGAAAGCCTGTCGCATCCGTTTGAACATGGCAATAACAACTTCCTGGTCGGCCTCGTCATCGAGCCAGTTCGGGTTGATCACGGGCAGGTCTGTGGTATCCGCTGATTTCAAAGTCACATTGCCTCTAGACAGAGGTGTAATCAGCACACCAAGCATCGAGGCGTACTGGAATCCATCTCTTGGCTGCGATGCCAGGAGGTCCGAGACGTTGCCGACGTATCCTGCGCCGGATACGTACTTGAAAGCTATCATTCAGAAGCTTTCTCCAGGTTGAGCATAGGTTTCTCTTACCTCTGCTTCGGGCCAGTCAGGAGGGAACTGGGCCAAGTTATCTAGAGTCCTTTGCGAAAAAGCAGCACGTGAGGGCCGCGGGATCTTCTCCCAGGCCAGAAAATCGGCCACTGGATTGGTCAGGATTCCACTCTTGTTGGTCAATCTGTTGATATACTGCTCAGCCACATAGCTGGAATTAGTTGCGAGCTCTGTCAGTGTCGTCACACGTACTCGGTATGTAGGTGCAACGAATGGATGATCATGCATGTTCTGGCCGACACCTGGTCGATGAGCCAGGGCCTTAATCCCGTGCTCTTGCAACTGATCAGAAGGCCCAACGCCGGATACCATGAGAAGCTGGGGAGATTGGAAAGCACCGGCTGAGATGATAACCTCTTTTGATGCTGAAACGTTCGCAATATTGCCCAATCCATCACGAACTTGAACACCCGTTGCTCTCTTTTCTTCATCGAACAGTATCTTCTTCGCCAGAGTATTCGCGTAGATGGTCAGTGATCTGGGCTTGACTTTGGAGAGAAAGGATTGTTCAGAGCTGCTGCGAGTCTCGTTGGCTGGATCAATGGTAGATGAGCAGTACTGGGCTCCCATTATAGTACCCAAGTTGAAGTCCCTCGCCATCGGAATGCCAATAGCTTCCATGCCAAGGCCCATCCATGATGAGAAAGGCATGGCAAAATTAGCATACGACACTTGCAAAGGGCCACCGCTTGAGTCGTATGAGGAAGGGTCGTAGCTCGTCGATGCGTTCGCAGCTCTATAGTTGGTGTTTGGGGGTGTGAAAGTGACACTCTTCTTGTAAAACGGGAGAACTTCGTCAAATCTGTAACTCCTGTCATTGACTGCAGTAGCCCATAGCTCCATGGACTGTCGTGTGGGTCTGTATAGTTCGGGTCAGCTGAGACAAGAGGTTTCAGTCTATACGGGCCTCTGACCGTTGATACACCATGAAATTCAACGCTGACCTGCGGAGCAATCAATATTATTCTGTTCCCTAGATTCAGAAGGGGCGTCTTACGATCCTCCAAGGCATTTCCCTCGCGCATAATGTATAGCTCGGCCATTAGCGCCGGGTTGGTTTCTGGTTACAAAGCCCCAGTCCTCGGGCGAGCTGGTAGTTGGATCTGAGCCCACGGGTACTACGGCAGCTGCCGGGATCTCGATCAAAGACCCACGCTCGTAATACCTTCCGGCTTCGATTAGAACGACGGTGAAGTTGTTTTGTGCTAATCGAGTTGCAATGGCGCTTCCAGCAGTGCCGCCACCAACGACGACATAGTCGAATGTTTGATTGGCGAAAGGAATTGGCCGTGGCTCGGAAGGTGCAGGTGCTACGCTGCCAATGTGCAGCGTAAGGAATACGAAAATGGCATAGAGCAGCATCTGTATGAATGATTGCAGTACTGGGTTCTCGTGGTGTGGTTCAACTGAGTAGCTATTGCAGCAATTATTAACAACTTCTGCAAAGTCCATGGCTGCGGAGTCGATACCACAGAAGCTCGACAAGAGTAAATGCCTTCTGTACGACTGTGGCTGGCACGATATTATCCATGGACTGAGAGTTGTCAGAAGATTTCGGGGCAATCGCATCTAGGTATTCCCATCAGATGGGTCCGTCCCGTTGATGGAATCATTGCACCGAGCGATCTCCCAGTCCCACCACCTTCGTTCCGATCTTGCAATGAATACTGTTCGATGCCTATACGTAACAATAGGCGCAAATGTCATGAAATTAAGCATAATCATGATCCATGGTCCAGCCCTGCACTCGAACCAACCTCACTTAATCCAAAGACGCAAGTGCCAAGGTGAGGTCAAAGCTTTACGTCAAATGCCCGTGACTGAGGTCAGAGTGTCTGCCACTGTCTCTGAAATTCCGTCACACCAGGCCATGAGAGCTTCATTCGGCATTCCCCAGTTCCTTTGGACTAACCTTGGTCCACACACTGTGTCTGTCGTGGCAATGATTATAGACCTCCGCACCAATGCGGCCGCGCGGCGTTGCCCAAATGTAATAAATCTCGCGAGGGAAGAATGATAATCGTTCCAAAAGAAGTCTCACGACGAATGCATATATGCCTTGAAATACGTGCTCGCGATGGTCCCTGAAGCCCGCTGCGTATTTCTCGGAAAAGGTCCGTGCGCAATTAGACTTCAGCGGCTCAGCCCCCGATGAGACGCGTGGGCCCCTGGCGGCTGGCCCCCTGACAGCGGCGTGATGAAGATCATTACTGAATATCGCACTTGACGCGGACGCGGAGCTCGAGACTACTTAACAGTTAACTTGTTAAGTTGTTATCTTTGCTTTTGAAGGCAGCCCGACTCGATCAGCCAGCCAGATCTCAAGTCCGCTGGACCGGTGTCACAAGGAGCACAAGGTGACAAGGAGCAACACAAAGTGCGGCAAAAGACCATGGGGAACCCCTTGCACAACCCGTTGCCTGCCTCGCTATCTAGTACCTGCCCCTCGTGCTACCCTATTCAGCCGATGCAATGCTGACCTCCGACAGGCGAGTGCAAGAAAGCAGCTGCGATTATTGAATCATTCATCAACCCAAAGCTCAAGATCGATGGCGAAATCCCGCGGAAGATATTTCGCGGAGCGAAGGTAAGAAGCCTTCGCTTCTAAAATTTTACAATAGAGCGCAGCATTCAAGCACGTCCCGTTCATAGCTGACTATTTCCAGGGAATCGCCGTATTCACAGCTCTCCGAGTTGGCTTCATGGGCTCTATTCGCTTCGGCTCTGGACTCATCGTCGCCCGTCTCCCAGATGGCAGCTGGTCAGCACCGTCAGCCATGGTAATGGGCGGCCTCGGTGCGGGTGGCCAATTCGGCGCCGAGCTGACTGATTTCGTCTTCGTGTTAACCACCGATGCGGCAGTGAAGACATTCATGCAGTCGGGTAACTTGACTCTCGGCGGCAATATCTCTATGGCTGTGGGGCCTATTGGTCGGAGTGCCGAGGCTGGGGGTGTATTGGGGACGAAGGGTGGAACTGGTGTATTTGCCTACTCTAAGACCCGTGGCTTATACGGTGGTCTCACGGTTGAGGGTGGTGTACTTGCTGAGCGTGCTGATGCCAACAGGAAGCTGTATGGGCAGAAGGTTCGAGCTAAAGAATTATTGGGCGGGTTGGTCCCACCTCCCCCTGAAGCGACGGTTCTCTTTGAGGTTTTGAACGGGGAGTTCTTCCGTTCCGATTTGCCTGCGGAGGCAGCTCCAGAGGGCGTAGCGGGGGCGACTGGAGAAACTATTGTCGCTGCTCCGCAAGCTTCAAATGAGCAAGTGCAGGAGACTTCGACGCCTATTGCTGATCAGTTACCCACTGTTAATCGGGCAGTAGCTCCTGAGATGAGCGCAGTGCAGACTCGTGGAGCTACGCAGACCCTTGCAGCAGAGTCTCACGGTGTAGCCGATGCGCCAAATGCGCCAAATGCTATACCGGTTGCGCAAAGTGAAGCAACTGCGGAGCTTAGTACGGAAGGTGCATCGGGGCTTGCTGAACCACCCAACAAGGAAACACATGATGAACATGAGACACGCAATGTAGCCGTCCAGGGACCTACGACTACCGTTGAACAAATTCCAGCAACAGAATCGACCATGCAGCCAGCGCCTGAAGAAACATCACTGGGGGTTGGAGAACCCCACAACACATCTCGCGAACCGGAGATCCAGGCTGCTGCCACCACTGAGCACCTATCTGAGCATCAAGGCACTGCTCCGACCTAGTGTGACTCGCTGATTGTTGAACTTTCCAGTGACGAAGATTACGCAGGTGTATAGCGCTCAGGGGTCGGATGCGGTTTGTAAGGGTATTGATGCCTGAAATTATATGTGGATGCCTGAATGAAAGCTGGCAGAAAATAAAAATACCTGAATTACCATAACGTAGACTTAGTATGCCTAAGGTCGACAAAACAAGCACCTTGAGGAAAGGGCATCAAATATGACGCTATTCGTACCCATACAAATCCTATGATCCCCTCATTTCAAGGCGTTGAATCAAGAGCGAATGAGAAGGGCGGAAATTGGAAAAAGTGGATGAAAGGTGGGCCAAAAAGCGAAAGTTATATACAGAGTAGAGAGGAATGATGATATTTCAGAGGAATAGTGGACAACAATGAGCTAGACTCATGTCTCATGATTCACTGATTCAGGTTCATAGGAGGTAGACTAGTCCTTAGACGAGTTCATGATATACATAATAACTATGATAAATGACAATGGTATCAAAACTAGCATAAGATCACTCCACAAACAACCTTCCCAGAATCAGACTTTGACAAACAAACTCATTCCCAACAACCCGCGCAGTAGACCTAGACTCACTAGGCACCGGAGTAGCCGACGGCGCAATAGACCTCTTCCTTTTCTTCCCATGGAACAAGTGAATCCTCTGCTGTTTTGGTTTCGGCGTCAACATCGACTCCGCCGCAGCCTGGTCTGTGTCATCAACATAAATCCAGTCCCAGGTACTTTGCAGACCAGCCTCAGACTGCGAGTCCAGCAGCGCTTTGGCGGTGCCGAGATCTGGGACACGCTCGACTCGGGTTGCACCTAAGGCATAGGTGAGGAAGATGTAAGCTTTTCTCCTTTCTTCTGCTTTGCCGCGGCCCATGACGAGCAGGACTGATTGGTCTGCGAGTAACTTTTTGCGTGATGAGATGGTTTCGGCGAGACGGGCTGTGGATGGGGGGTTTGGGGCCATGATTCTGGATTTGGTTGCTCCGTTCAGATACTTTGAGTCGCCGGCTGGGAGGAGATAGATGTCCCAGTCAAGGACGCGGCCTTGGGCAATGCAGTCTTCCACCCACCGCCCGGACAGACATGGGAGATTCAAGGCGAGTGCTTGCATGTATTTTTCCCTTCGGGAGTGAGTGTCGGCGATCAAGCAAGTAAAGCCAACATCAGCTGCAAAGGGGGCGAGACGGAGGCCCTGAGCAGATTTATTGGCTTCTTTCGTCGCGCCTTTGCTGGGGGTATCGATGGGAACAATAGATGAAGCGTCAAACAATTCAGTGAAGCCTTCGTGTAATATAGTGCCCCCATATTCCATAATCAGGCTGGTCACGCGATTCTTAGATGCTTCGTCTTCTTTGTAAGAGACTGCGAATGCCATGCCCGCGAAGATACCGTCACCTTGGTACATACTGCGCGATAACCGAGAACCGGGAGAAGCAGACACAGAGGACCTCTCAGGTGGGGTCTGGGCCTTGCTCTCTTGGCGAACGGGTGCGGGTCGATGTGTGTACACCCGATCTTTCAGTTGATTCCACAGGATAGTATCAAGATAGACACGAGCGATGGGCACTTTGATCACATTCTCGCTGTTGCTCAGACCACCATTTGGCAGGCTTTTGCGCTGCTTGGGGCCCACTATGACCGTGGTGTGACCGTAAATATCAGTGATAGGATAAAGACCGTCCGCAGCGGCTCGAGCCAGTTCTTCTCCAGTGAGTTTGTCGTCGAACCCACGGACGACGTGAGTGACCTTTGGAACATTTTCCATCTCGATTTTGACACAGTCCCCTATACGAAGCTCGAATCTCTTGACGGCACCCTTCGGTACATCGACAGGAGAACTGTCCTCGAATTTGACAGAGTATCTAGATTGTGATACACCCAGTGGTGTGCCAAAGCAAGTGGCTGGGAAATATGCTCGTTTCTGACCCATCCATACCGCAAGCACTTGGCTTGGGGCAATCTGGGCGTGATCGGGTGAGGCGTGAGATGGCCGAGGCGTGGTAGGGGCTTCATTGACACTGTAAGCCTCTGACCCAACGACATCGTCTGAGGCAATGGCTGATGAGACCTCGGTGAGTTCTGAGGATGGGAGCGGTGGTCGATTAGGAGCAACGGCCTTTGGTGGGGATGCCGGTCGCGGAGCAAGTCCAGAGCTTGTCGGTGGGGCATGCTTCTCTTGCATAGACCGCGATGTAGCTTTCATGCTGATTCTTGATCTTCGATGGACGGGTTGTTCAGGTGAACCTTCTACTTCCCAAACATTTCCGGGGACTTTTCGCAGAGGCTTCGATTGTCTTCGCACCGTGGTTTCGGGGACTTGTACCAAAGGCGCCTCATCATCATCCTCTTCGGGGATAGGAACTGGACGATTCTGGGATGCCCGAATGGGCGCAACAAATTTGGGAGGTTGCAGGCGAGGGGTGACAGGTATGATAGGGTCAGATGCTATATAACTCGAGCCATCGTTCCCACGACGCTTCTTCTTCGGTCGAGTCGGCGATCCATCGATCAGGGCTCTGAACTCTTGATCTTCGGTGGTGAATATTTCACCCATATCAAATCCTCCCATTCCGACCTGCGGTGAGAGATCCGCCGCAATTTCAGTCAGAGCTCTGCGCTGGCCCCCGCCTGGGCTCGACAACAGTTTTTTAAGTGGTGAGGAGAGTGCCCTCGGCCCATCTGGACGGGTGTGGTTGGTTGTGATACTTGGGACACCATTGAACATGGGTGGCAGATCGTCATCTTCGTTGTTCAGCCCATCTCCATTGGATCCAGTTTCAGAATTACATTGGGAGTGGCTGGGGCTTGTCTCCGGAATGCTCGTCAATCGCGCCATATCACCAATATACTTGAGGCGTTGATGGACAGGTGTCTCAGTCACATGTGATAGTATTGATGATGGGTCATCTCCAGCCCCTGTGTCCGTCCTGCGATGCGATGAGCTTGCAGGTCGTTGCTCGACGTGGTCGCTGGAGTAAGTGTGGCCGCTCTCCTTCAGTAGTAAGCTCTTCACAGGCTCAACGGCGATTTCATTGGACACGGAGCCACTTCTCTGGCTATTGCTGTTCGAATGTATTGACTGTGGGCGCGAGCAGGGAGGCGAGGATTGGAGACGCTCGTGTGCAGAGGGATTTTCAGAAGAGTGCGCGAGCGACCGAGGAACATTCATATCATCTTCGGGTTCCGTGCGTTTCGGTGAAGCTTGAGGTGATGGCTGGGAGTCTCTAACCATCACTTGGGAAGAACGCGAAACACCAGTAGGCTGACCTTCATTGTGGGAGACGAAGGAGCCTGCGCGAGCCATGTCAGCATTCACTTCTTCATCGGTTGTCACATGATACGGCGAGGGAATTTGCTCAAAGCCCAGCACCTGAGAAAGGCGGCCGTGGGCACTTGCGGCGGCAGCGGCATCCAGAGGAGGCCCGTCGTAATTCTCCTTGTCTTCTTCGGCTGTAGAATGAAGGGGCTCTTGTGACCTCGGCACTTGCAGCTCTTCCTCCTGTTCGGTTTCTTCTTCGCTGGCAACAACGTGTATCATTTCGTCATCTTGAGGTTCCAGCGGCTGCGCGGGAGTAGTTTGTGGTCTGGCGGACGTAGATCGGGCAGGAGCACTGAGGCCGGCGAACTGGGCCGGAGCTTCCTCGTCAATCTCTCGCTGCCGCCTTGCACGCTGGATAAAGCTGGACTCTTTATAAAATTCCTTGTCACTCTGGTCCGAAGGGAAATGATCAGCGGAGCGAGTCAACCTCTCCCCCAAAGTCCGGTCACGCTTTTTCTGCGACTCCTGCATCGATATGTAGTTCATATTCGGTTCGGATGATTCCCTCATATATTGGGCAGGGAGACCCGCCATTGGCGACGATATACCATTGGCGACACGAACCCGTTGAATCGGGATATTGGGTGATGGGCGATCCGAAACAAAATCTGTCTGCAGGCCATGAACGATGGGCGACGACGGAGCCTGGGTAGCCCCGAATACCTGGCTCAGGCCAAGAAGGCCACCACTAGACGCAATGCTACCCGCCAGCGGATTCCGTGAGATGCTCGGGGTCTGTGTCGTCACTCCGTTCGCCCCATTCTTTCTCACCTCCGTCCCGGGTGTTTCGGCTAGGAAGCGTTGTGACTCAGGGAAGAGGTCGGCTGCATAGACCGTCGGAGACGACTCGCTCGGGTCGAATGCGCTCTCTTGATCGTTCTCGTCGTCATTTTCGGAGGGGTTCGTTGGATGGTGTGCACCATCCAGTTCGGAAATGAGATCGATATGGCCGCTGTCTCCCTCGTACAATGTCCTTAGCGTTGCTCCATCGGCCCCTGTTTGCGAATGACGCATAGATTGTTCATTTTGCCTGATGAGACTGTCGTACACGGACTGCGAGACAACCTGGGTATCTCCAGGAGCCGTGTCTGCGGAGCTCACGTTACCGAATTGTGATCCGGATATGCTGCCCGGCTCGTAACCGGTTTGAGTGGGCATCATTATGCGTGCTTCATGCTGCCGATTTCGAGATAGAGGGCGTTGATGTCGATGCAAATGGCTCGCTGGGGTTATTGGCGTTTTCGGGGGTAGATTTTCACTGGCACCATTGGCAGTGCCTTTGACTTCGTAGGAGGTATAGCAGTACGTGGTCTTCGTATCGCTGCTGAATTTTGTCGACCCGGAAATGTACGGCTGAGATGGATCGTGCTCCTGGGGATGTCGGAGTTAGTCCAATGGAGGCGAGGAACAAGCCGGGCTGTCACATACTAGCCCCAACGCGTCGCGTTGCAATTTTGCCAGGTCGATGCTATCCTCCTGGGTCTCCATTTTTGACCAGCATGCAGTCCACGATAGCCTAATATCTCTCGCTATCGGCGGTACTGTGTTTCATGTTCATTTACATGCAATCTTGATGTGCCGGTATGCCATTCGTCAAAGCGAGTCCAAATGGATTGTGGAGACGATGAACGCGAGACGCGTGTATCACGTGTCTCAAATTAATATTACCACTTACGGCCTAGCGTCATACGAGAGCCGCAGTCATCCATTTTAGCCACCGAGTCGCAGCGACTGTACGGCGTTGCTGCGGCTCTGTGGTCTCCTTGCTGTTTTACATGTATGAATGAGTCGAAAATTGGAATGGCATGAAATAAGGCCGTGGAATTCTCATTTAGAGATAATGGTACAGGTATACACAAGGTGCAGTACATTACAAAGAGGGTATCTGAAGCCCAAAACATCATTGCCGCGTTGAAAGGAAATGAACAACACAATCAATCACGAGTGCGATTCGGAGTCCATCGCTTGACGAGGAACTCACGCACCTTGTATTGGCCAAACACTGCCCCGATATCATCGATTGATGACGCAGGCGGAGGTACTTCCACATAGCACAGGACCAAGCTCTTCAACACCTGAGCCTGCACACGGTTCACGCAGTGCAACCACCACCAACTCCGGGCCTGCTTCTCCGCAGTGTAGTTCTTTCGTTCTTCCGTCTCCGACCAGTAGGGGTGGATGTAGGAGGGAATGACCACGACGGCGAACTCAGCGTGGGAAAAGACAGGACCGCGATTGTAGAGCAGGTAATCGGTTCCGAATTTCACACCAGAGCGGATGACCCAACCGAGGGACCGGAAGTGATGATAGACTGTGTAGGATATCATGAAGGGATCATCTGGTTGGATGGATGCGGAGCCATCACGAGCAGGTTGGAAGGAGTGGTGGCAGAACTGTTTGAGAAGGCCTGGGATGGTGGTCGGCGACTGTGATTGAGTCTCTCCTGTCTTTACGGGTCCGTCGAAGACTTGCAAGGCTCCAAGCGAATAGGCGAGGAAGAATGCCTCTTCATTTGAGAGTTGAAGGTGCTCTTCATTCGGGAAATCATACACCTCGGGAGCATCAACGACAGAGTCTGGCAATTGTAATGAGGAAGGCGATGTAGATACGAATTCTTTCTTTTGCACGACTGGCGAGAATCGTACTGATTTACCGTTAGGCAAATTCTCGGGTTGGTTCTGTTCGGCGGCCGCGGTTTGCGCTGCGAGCTCGCGGGCCTGCCGAAGCTCCAGTGCGCGAGCTTCCTTTGCCTTCTTCAAGGAGAATCTCTCTGCTACAGCCGCTGGGCTATTATTCGTATCGTCTGCAGCAGACTGAGTAGCCTGATCGACAAGCAAAGAAGCTCCTGCTTCTCTTGCAGCTGCCTCCGCCTTGAGTCTTTCTTCAATGGCCAATTTCTCCATTCGGGCACGCTCTAGCTTCAATTCACGGCGTTCTGTCCGTCGCAGTCTTGTAATTTCCTCGCTGGTCTTGCCATCATGTAACCCTCTTCTTTTCCTCTCTCGCGCTAGCCAACTGGGTTCACTTCGACTGAGATTACCCTTCCCAAAGAACCCCATCTGCCATAAGGCATTAATGGCCTTCTCATCCGTGACATGAATTGATGATGTGGCTTTGTCAAAGTAGGCCGTGTAGACTTCCTGAGGACAAGGTGGAGATATAAGGAACGTGAGGTACGAGAGAGCGACGCTTATGAGAGAAAGAGGGTTATGAGGAATTACAGGAGGAACATGATGTACATTGACCGGAAGAGGAAACTGGTGAATTTGTCTGTAGTTGGGCCTAGGAGGTCGTGGAGGACGAGGTGGACGGCCATTTTGTGCAGGCTCTGAATGAGTGACCGCAGTCTTGTCCACGGTGGCCATTGTAGTGGCTATTATGTGAAGCCCTATTGGATGACTGGAATATGCAAAGTCCTAACACAGAATTCGAGGTTAGCGAACTGTGCTGAAACATGCGAGTGATTCAATCGGCATGGTAATATCTTCTCAGATACCGTTGTAGTCAATTCAGCGATCATTGACAAGCAGCTAGAAATCAAAGCGCCGCTTGCCTGAGCTAAATAATGGTGTCATCACCGAAGGTGAAGGTGTGGGATGGGGGGGAAGTGCGGAAAAGAAGCTTGAGAGTCATCTTACCTGAAAGTCCCTGTCTGTATAGACAACCTGGATCAATTGTCAGTTAGTCTCGTCACCATGGCTCTGCACATCAACAAAGCTCGAGGTTATGCAAAGAAATTATTATTCTTTTTTTTTTGGTCGAGTGCGAAAGAAAAGGAAATTTCGCGGTCGAAAGCTCCCGTTAAAAAGCACTTCGTGACTAAGCATGTGGTCCGAGCTCACCTTTTCGTCGAGAAAAAAATTCCTCCACTTATCGCCGACGCAAGTACTAACCTAGGACAATTCATCAATACCGCCAAGTGAGTTTTCAATATTGATCATCCTAACTGTTCATGTGCTAACCTTTCTATTTTCAGCATGCATCTTATGGTACGTCCCAGTGCGACTGCGAAACGAGAGATCCTTCAACTCCGCCCGGAGATCGGTCACTAATTTTTCAACGAACAGTACACTCTCGATGCCGCAGGCAAGCGTGTCTACACGCTCAAGAAGGTACGGAAGCTCTTTCGCTGTCGTGTTGTGGCTTTCTATGACTCCTCGCATCCAATTCGAGCTCCGGACATTGGTCTAATATTTGACAACTATAGGTCGTGAACGGCGAGGTCACCAAGTCTGCCCACCCCGCTCGCTTCTCCCCTGATGACAAGTACTCTCGGTGAGTAGCGATGCCAATTTCTGCACACATCTGGAATTGGAAACTGACCTCCCTCGCAGTCACCGTGTCACCTTGAAGAAGCGTTACGGTCTCCTCCTCACCCAGCAGTCCGGTTCGTCGAATCCTTTCCAAATTTTCTCACCCCCGAGGACATCACTAACGTTGCATTTTTTTAGAGAACCCTGCTAAGCCTTAAATGGATCGACACTGGGAAAAATGAATTACTGGGTGGCACAACCCATGTTTTGGCGAATGGTGTTTTTGTTGCGGTCAACGGATGGCTGAGATGTCCATACTTGTTTTGCTCTCCTTGGATGATCTAGTCGGGGTTTGACCTAGGCTTTCCACGGAATATGATACCTGATTTAGACTACCAAAGTTTTTGTCCACTGCGCATCAGAGTGCGGATAGATTGCATATATTCTATGTTCAACTGTAAATCACACAATAAGACATGGTCATTCCTCATAAAAGGTCAAAAGCCACCATGATAGCGGCAAAGAGCAAGTGAACTTTTGGTTTCATGCCCCAAAAACTCCAGCCCATGTATGTAATCCAAGATGCAAAGTCGCCGACGCAATATACTTAGCGCTTTCTCGAGTTGACGTTGCGGCCAGCCCCGACCTTAACACGACCGCCAGCTCTGTTGCGCTCGCCGGTCAAGATACCAGGCAAGTAATCCTCGTCCATGAGATCACGTTCGCGACGTTGTCGTCGCTCTTCTTCCATGTTGGCGCGTTGATACTCCTTCTGATCCTCAGAAAGAACGAGCTCAGTGCCCCATCCTCGCTGACCACCGCCGCCCTTCCACTTGCCATTCGAACTGCCCGCGACGGGCTTGGGAACGCTGTATACATTGCCGCGCTTGTTCCACTGCATGTTCTTCTTAAGATGCATAGTGAAGGCGCCGTTGGCAGTGGTCGTGCATGAGACACGGGTGAGAGTGTCCTTGCCGCAACGAGGGCAGAACTGCTTGTCCAACTCCTTTGTAGTCAGGAAACAAGCGTGACAGCGCTTGATGAAGGTACGAAGATGCTGGATCTTCTGTAGGGTGGTGGTAGACAGAAGGTTGAGGTTCATTTGCAGAAGTACGTTTTGACACTATACGACATGATAAGCGATTGCAATAGGGGGATGTCGTGTGGGAGTGTACTTACCGCGAAATCAGTGGTCATAGTCGCAACCTGCATTGTCTTCGGCGCGGCAGCGAGAGTCGCTGATCCGGACTCATCCTCAGCAAGGCGCTTCTTATAGTTAGAGGGCGTGATCCATTCCCCGCCGTCAGAATCGGCTTCATCCACATTTTGATCTATATCCTCGTCTTCTTCAGCAGCGACCTCAGCAGCAACCTCGGCGACTTCTTCGGCCTCCTTGGTTAGGGCAACCACTTCCTCTTTTTGTGGCTCCTCTGGTGCATCCGCGACTGTGATCTCATTCACGCCCTCTGTAATGGCTTCCACCTCCGCATCTTCGGCCTTGGCCTCCTCGGCCTCCTTCACAGGCGGCTTTCCGTTGATTCGCTTCTGGCCAGGGACGCTTCTTAACCGCCAGTCTCCCTCATTCTTTTCGCACTCAATCTCATAAGCAAGCGCAAGAACCTCGATATCGGTTCTGCTGAGCACAGATCGGTCACCGGTCTTGCGAGCAAATTCGCTGATAATGTTGAAGCTCTTCGGTGTGGGCGAGCGCTGCTTCAGAAAGGGCAGGTAAAGTGTTTCGACGCGCAGGCGGGCATCCGGATCGCGGATCTCGCTCACCACGGAGGGGGTCGTGATGATTTCGTCGCACTGGGCGAGGAGGGTCGAAAGCGGCGGGGTATTCTTGAGAATCGGGCCAGCGTCCAGCACAATTGTGTGGACGGGCTTGGAGGATGTGGCAGCAGTCTCTGCCATATTGCCCTATGACCTAGGACAGTTCCCAATGATCGACAATGAGAAAAGGATAGATCGTTGGCGACTTGAAGAATAGATTCGAGTGGTGGAAAGGAAATTTCTCTGAGAGGAGTGGCCTGTGCGTCCTTATCGGTCTATCTTATCGCCTATCCAAATCTACACAGTAGTGTCAGACTGGGATACACTTATCCCTCCCTAGGCCATAAACAGGAACCTTGGTTTTTGTTGTGGTCTAGTGGTCATTATTTCCCTTGTTATGAGTTCAGATTCGCTTCTATTTCGATCTTTTTTCATACTACTGGATATCTTGCACTGTGAGCCATAGGTTGCGCTGAGATAAACCCCGAAACGAGACAACCCCTGAGAAGCAAGCAAACCAGAAACGAAGGCAACAAACAACAAATCACGATGTCGTACAACGCGAACCCGCGAGAGATGGAGAAGGGAAGAGGAAAGAAGAAGAGCTGCACAGAAGAACTCTTTTCTATGTTCTTCTGCCATGCAGGCTGCTCCTTCTCTTAGATATCGTTTGCTCGTCACATTATCATCACATCTTTCTCACGAGGGAATATATCCATGGGCAGCCTGGCAGTAGTTATCTACATAGTAACTAGTTAACTAGTTAGTTATGCTTTGATCACACAAAGTCGGGAATACGGGCCGTTCTATGCTCACACAGGAGAGCATGCCCAGCCACCCGGGCGCATGTCGAGCGCAGTGGAATTGGCGCAATTCAAAATCGGACCAACATAGTGCTGAATATCACCAGAATCTATGTATGTAGGTGTCTCGGGCAGTACTGCGAAGACTACTCCCAATGCATTTGTGTAGATTTGAAAGTGAGCCCGTCTCTTCTCTATCTTCGCTGGAGGTAAAAGATGTAGACAGGAACATCACCTCCAGCTTTGGTGCAGAACCTATCCGCTGGCTCAACGCAATTTGCGTCGAAATAATAAAGGCCGTCAGAGACAACGAGACCTGGAGACCTCGGCGGACTACGCCTTGATGCTTCCTTCCATGTTCCCAGGAAGCAGATGATCCTCCAAAATAGGGACTTAAATAGTACATTGCGTAGTTCATGCAATCCAATCCGGACTTAACTCGAATTGCACGATCCTCGTGGAGAATATGACAATGAACAAATAAACTTCCTGCAAGCCGCCAGCTGCAAGGAACCATGATTGACTTGTCGAGTTTTCAATAGCAATGCCTTTGTTTAAAACCCGAAGCTGTGATCTCATAACAAAGTGGTGAAGGGAGACATCGACTTGAGAAGTGAAAGTTGTGACCCTTTGTCCACGGATGGACAGCAGGGGTCTAACAGTACGTCATTGTCACCGGAGCACATCACAACAAGCATTCTCTGACTGTGGATGTGCAAGACAAAGCTTGACATCTCCATGTCCGCGAAACCACGAACAAAAGCACGAGAACCAGCGGTCAATTCACGTGGAGCCGATTCCAATCGATTGTGTGAATTCAATAGTCCGGATTCATATCCGGCGACTTGCAGCATGAACGCGCAGTGATAAAGGGGAGGTTTCACAGAGGCGTAGAAAGAGATATTGCTATCCCATGACATCGTGGACTAGACCAGGTATCCATGAATCTATCCGTGCTAGCGTAGCCCGTTCCCAAACATGGCGACTAAACTGACTATCATGTTTGCTCAACGTGGTAATAGGTCTTGTGGTAATCTTATTTTCAAACAAGATCTCGAAACAATGAACATTACGAGCAAGAGAAACGCATACCTTCCTCAGTTATCGTTTGACTGAGATGACAAGAGCTGAGCTGCCATGCAAACCCCACGGCAATCAAGGAAACATGCATACCATGCAGCTCCGCTCTAGGACCTGCAGTGCATATCGACGAGAAATCGAAACTTTCATCTCCATCGTTAAGGCGAGGATAGGAACACACTGATTGTTATCCAATATCCAATTGACCCCATCTACGGAGTACGGAGTACAAACAAAGAGAAAGCCCCGGTGCCTGGTAGCTGCCTGGTACGTAGTGGGTGGATGACTGGATGTGACATATCAACACCCTCAACTCCACATCAGCGGGACGTGTCAAGCCACAAACAGGGAACGACAAATTCCAAAGTTAAAGTGCTGATCAATACGCAAATATAAACGGCACCTCCTGGACATCATCAGTCTTCGGCCGGTTGCCGCGGTCTGAAACGCACGGTTAGCAGCGTTTCCTTTGTTAGACGCGACTAACCGAAGCCACCAACGATAACACGTTCAACATCGTGTTCCTGGGCCACACGGAGCCCGAAGCCCCATTCTTCAGAGGCGATCAGAGTTTAATCAGCCAGAAGGTTAGGTTCGCCTCAAAGAAAACGCGAAGCTTTAGTCTTTTGGTGCGCCCAGGACCAGGTCCCAGGCTGTGGGTAACGGGCCATCCCTTAAGGGAACAGCCACCCCATTTTCAAGCGGATGTGGCTGGTACTATAATAGGGGACTCGATTTCATGTTTTCCAAATTCCTCATTCCTGTCATTATTGGATGTCCAATTGCACACGCTGTCTTCTTCAGTGGCCATGTGGTGACATAGTTTGGTCGATAGAGAACAACCTCCTTACACAACCGGCGATCCGTGGACCGTGCGTCATGAGCGTCATTGAATAGCCCTAACTTGCAAAATTGAGACATTGGACACTGTGGGCTCTGCATCTCTACGTCAAATATTGAGACTGACTCAATATTGCTAAAATCATGGCTTGGATCTCCGAGGTAACAATATGAGGGGCAGGACCGCGGAGTATGAGCTAACAGTCGATTGAATGATGTATACCACGAAGAGAGCCAGATGATCGGGCCACTTTCTGATTGATCGAGATCACGCACGGTGGAAGATCATGACCCAAGAGCTTGGAAGTCGGAGTCTTCTTTATCCCCGTCATCCCCGTTTACAAGGCGGTTCTATTGTCTAGCGGGGTCTTCGATATGATCTATGGGGCTCTCTCCCACTGACGCGCATAACCACGATACGGATGCGAGTCATCACACAATTTAAGTTCCTTTGAGATTAGCTGATCTGCACGGCCGAGTCGCTGTTTGTAGGTGACTTAAACGCCGTGAGATGGCTGATAAGAAGATCGATACATAGGTACTTCGTAGTCGACTAGAGTTGGTTGGATCTGCTACAACAGCGTCGCCAAGCCCCTGTCAGCGTCTTCGATTGCCATCAATTCTTCTCCAGTTTACCGTTTCACAGTCGGAGATGGTCGGACGCCAAACGAGCTGATCTCCGAGCTGTTTGTAAACAGTAAATGACAATAGTAGACACGTACATCCCACGACCGACATGATGGCTGAGAGATTTGGAATCATCTCCTTGAATGAGTATAGAAATATCCCCAGCTAGGGAACGACAAGCGATAGTTCGTAGATAACGACAAGATAGAGTTAACTCTGCATCAATCTTCATGACAAAGCTGGCCCTATGCACAATGCAGAATCGATTTGATCGGTGGCTCGGGGGCGGATCGGTCCATACGCGATCGACCCGATCAACGACTGGTCTCTTAATCTGACCATTCAGAACCCTCCAGACCGAAGGAGTAAGGGTCTCGATAGGGTTCAGATGAATATGTGGGAAATTGATATATCAAAGACCCTGTCTGATGTGAAATTTGGGTCCTCGTTGTGAAAGAAATTCCCTTCAACAGCCACGACCACACAGGGTAACTCAATGACAGGGAAGAAAAGAAAAAGCATAAGAAAAAGCAAGAGAAAGAAAAAGAAAGAAGATATTAAGATTGAGAAGCCAACATCATCTGCATTTACAGATGTACGGTCTCGAGTCTTGTCGCCAACTCTGCACCTCATTCGTTGTTTGCATGCAGCCCCTTGCGAACACGCTCTTCCAGACTGGACTCCCTGTCTTACGTCTAAAGCACTAGCCCGCTCATCCGGGGCGAGGAGAGACATCATGCAAGTTCTTGCAATTGAGTCGGTGCTCTTTCTGCTCAAAAAGGGATAGTGGATTTCATCTCTGGCTGTTGAGTTTCGGGGGCATTGTTTATGGATCTACTGTGCATTGAATTTATGCGTGGATTATAATAATAAGGCGATGTCCTCTTAGACTGCTTTTCCCCTTCTTTCTTAGTGGACTGAGAGATTGTTCTCTTATCGCTCGTTCGTGCGCTTTTTCATTTGTTGTAGATCGGATCAAGAGCATTCATTATTGATCTGGTCAGTGAGGCTTTCCCCAGATTGGGCAGTGTTTCCTTCGGGGATAGCCATACTTCTCTTTGCCCTAATCGACTTTGCCACCTAACATCTGCTTCATAATGAATTTGTTACAGATCCGCGATGAGTTTCAGCGAGGTGGTGGTGTTTATATGTCCCCTCGTGGTGCACAAGGGTTGACAGTCAGCGTTGTGTTTACGGCATTGGCAACATGCTTCGTGGCTATGAGGATGTTCACTCGAATCAAACTTATGAGGCGAGTAGAAGGGAATGATTGGATGGTCATGATTGCATTGGTAAGTTCGGTGTTTCGACCTTGCAGACGACCAGGCACTGATATTCATGTCCAGGTAAATTCATACGTCTTCATGGCTCTCGATATCATAGAAGCCGTCAGCGGAATGGGAGTGCACCTGAAAGATATTCCACCGCATATTCTCGAGCGACAGATGAAGGTGAGTTTGCTCTAAGCCATCGTCAACTGAGCACAAGATTGACAGAGACCAAACAGGCCTTCTGGCTCACCATTCCTTTCTACAATGCCGCAGTCCTCTGCGCCAAGGCCTCAATTCTGTTGCAGTACTTCCGAGTCTTCCCTACTCGGCGCATGCGTATCGTCTGCTGGATTATGATCACTGTCCTCGGTGTCTATGGAACATGGGCGGTGATCAGCGCATTCTTCAATTGCGTCCCTGTCGCCAAGTTTTGGGACGATTCAATCAAAGGGTTCTGTCTCAGCAAGCCCGGGCTGTGGTTCTCGAATGCTAGCATGCACATCACAACCGACATCGCAATTCTGATTATTCCAATCCCAGCTTTGATGGCAATCGACTTGCCCCGAAGGCAGAAAATCGCGCTGATGATCATGTTCGGCCTTGGTGGCTTGTGAGTTCCCCAGCACAAGACGGAGAGCTTCAAGAAGTTCAGCAGCTAATATGCCCACCCTCAGCGTCTGCATAACCAGCATCGTCCGCCTCATCAGTCTAAAGAAAATATCAGACTCCTCCGACCCAACCTGTATGTTTCCAGAACCATGACTCACACCCCAAAAGCGAAGCTAACATTGCCACGCCACAAGACGACAACGTCGGCGCCGCAGCCTGGTCTGCCGTCGAATGCAATACGGGCATAATCTGCGCCTGTCTCCCAACCCTAAAGCCCCTCCTCGCCCGCCTTTTCCCAGGAATGATAACCACATTCCAGGGCAGTCGCCCAACCTACGGCACCACCATCAACACAACCCAGCGCACTACATGGAACGGCGACGAGGCGACAATCAGTCCGCCCGTCGAAGAAGCCGAGTACGGCGCCGGGGACCCGGAGCGGATTCTCGCTCTTGTACCTGGGTCCGGCTTCAAGAAGCCTGGGTCTGAGGAGGAAGAGAAGAAAGGATTGACGCGGGAATTGACGCAGGTCGCTTCAGTGCCAGAGGCTCATCCTCGTGTGCGGACGCATCATCATCCTTCGTGTTCAGTGGATTCGCCGCTGCGTTAATTTGGCTTATAGACACCCACGCACATAATGGACTTTGATCATGCAGGCACTCTTGCGGCGTAGGGTATGATATAATGGTTGGAGGGATTTGTTTTTGTTCTTTTGTCAGCCGCAGCATGCTCATACAACCTGGTGATGGCTAGGTTAGCGTTCATTTTCATTTTCTTTGAGTTACTTTAAGGATACGGGTGGGATGAATGTGTGGATATCGTTGGATAGGTATAGGTATAGTCGAGATACAGCAATAGAACCAGGCAGATAGTCTAATACCAAAGAGCAAGAGTCACAGATCCAAGTCACTTTTCAGTGGGCTGATATTTGGCCTGAGACATGAAACAACGGAAAGGTCCGCCTTAATCAGGCTTCGAAAACGGAAATTGCGCTCTATCTCACCTGCGCAAAGGCTCGTAACCAAAAATCTAAAAATCGGCAAACTCCTTGTCGACCTCTTCGTAGTGATCAAAGAATCCCTTGAACAACTTGACACCCAGACCAGGGTCCAAGCTTCCAGTAGTGGCACGAATGCTGTGCATACTCAATTGCGGGATACCACAGTCAATAGCCCTCATACCGATTTGAGCACTCGTCATAGGCCCAATAGTGCCACCGCTTCGAGAGTCATTGCGAATCTGGAAAACCTGCAGGGTTGACCCACAACGCTCTGCAACCCGCCTGATGAAGCCCTCACTGACACTGTCGGTCGTCATATGTCCATTGGAGTCGGCAGACACCGTGACACCAACATTAAGGCGAGGCGCATGGTTCTCCAGGTAGACGTTCAGGAAGTTCGGGTTCACTGCGTGGATGACATCCGAAGACACCAAGAAGCTGTTGGCCACCGTTTGGGAAAGAAGGTTGGGGCCGTAGTTGTCCTTTGCGAAGGCCTCGGTGATCCGATCAATGACGCTGCCCATGAAGTTCGATCGAGCACCTTGTCGGAGCAAGCTGCCAATCTCTTCATCATCAAACATACCGACCATCTTCACTATACCGGGCGATGTGTCATCGGATGAAGCAATGAGAGCCTCCTGGGCAGCATAGCAGCAGAGCTTGTCGTCGATGCGACCGGCGAAGATCATATCCTTCTCCAAGCCACCGAGCTGCGCAGGCTGGGTATCGAAGAGTTCTAACTCCCAGCTGACGATAGTGCTGTAGTCCGTGATACCAAGCTCCTTCGAAATGATCTTCACGAGTTTCTCTGGTTGGGTCGAGGCAAACTTGCCATACTTGATGTCACTAGCATCGACCTTGGAGGGTCCAAACAGATCAGAGTTGTCGATGCCAATTACGGGCACCATCTGAGTTTCCGGATTGAATGGGCCATTTGCAGGAGAACCAAAGTGCGGAGCGAGAGTAGGCACACGAGCAATAGGCCAGTCAAGCTTAACCAGCTTATTCTCAACCTTGCCAGTTTCCGGATCGCGGACGAGCACCCGACCACCGATGCCGAGATCACGATCCCACCATGTAGGGCCGAGTCCACCAGCGTACGGGGCAACTCCAAGCTGCTCGAAGCCTGCTTTGTTCGGTAGCTTGGACACGGGCTTCAGCTTGGCAGTCAGGGCATCAACGTGGCCAGCGACGATAGCGACGCCGTTGCCGCTCTCGTACTTGGAACCAATGTTAAAAGCAATCAAAGAGCTGCCGTTACGAGAAGTATAGAACTTGCCGCCTTGTTTCAGCTCAGAGGTCCACACCGCTCGTTCGGAGAGGTGCTTGTAGCCATGGTCTTCCAGCTGCTTGGAGAAGGATTTGACGGCATGGAAGATTGTGGGATTGGATGTCATAAACTCGCAGTATGGCTTGGAGTAGTCCTCGGGTCGGACAGATTTATCAGCGGACGGTTCCTGAGCTCGGACTGGCTGGGATGCAGGTATGCGCTCCGGCATGAAGGGAATATCAGCGGTGAGTTGTAAATCCCATGGCATATGGAGGCCTTGGGCCGCGCCGTACTTTCTAGTCATATCGCAGGGCTTAATGGAGTTCGTATGTGTGGTTGTGTGGTGTGAGAGGGGAGTTTGGGGGAAGGAATGACTCGTGAGGGGAAAAGGCGGAGGGCGGAGTCCCGACGGGGCTGGTACCTGATGACGCCCCTTGCTTATCGCCGAGTCCGGTGACGCGATAACGGATTTGGCTATCTGTTGGCTCATCAACTGGCTAAATCTGTTCAGCATAGCGGCTAATTGGAGGCAAAGTTTCTTGAAATGCTGGGTGAATTGTTGTTGTAAGTAACATCTAGTTATCAGACTGACAGACTATCACAAAACTCAAGAATCACCAATCCTCATCAGCACAGTCTTTGTCTCCAAATATTGGTTCATGCTGTAATGAATCCCCTCTCGCCCAATGCCACTCGACTTCCAACCCCCAAATGGCATATCAAAAGCCCCAGTCGGGCTAGTACAATTGATACCAACACTCCCAGCCTCCATCGACTTCGCAAACCGCAAAGCCCGCTCAATATCACGTGTATAAACCGAAGCATAGAGTCCATACTCGGTGTCATTGACTTTCCCGATCACCTCCTCCTCACTCTCAAACACATTAACATTGACCACCGGCCCAAATATCTCCTCTTTCATGATCTGCGCATTTTCAGGCGTTTCGAAGAAAATAGTTGGCTGGACATAGTATCCCTCGTGGTCGGGAAGTGAATCTCCACCGAGGAGAAGCTTGCCATCTTTCTTTCCAAGCTCGATGAATCTTTTGACGGCATTGAACTGGGCTTCGTCAGCCTGGGGCCCGTGATCGACCTTCGGATCGGTAGGATCACCGGGAGTAATGGCTTGCAGCTTCTCCTTGAACATCGAGAGGAAATGATCTGCGATAGATGAGTGAACGTAAATTCGAGAGGTGGCCATGCAGACTTGGCCGCTGTTAAATCTTATACTGTTCGCAGTCTCTTTCGCTACGCGTTCGAGATCCGCATCTCCAAATATTACGGCGGGTGACTTGCCGCCGAGCTCGAATAGCACGTTCTTCATATTCGATTTTGCTGCAGCTTGCTGAATCAGACGTCCCGCTCTTCCGGACCCAGTGAATGTGATCATCCGTACGTCCATGTGATGGGAAAGCGTGGAGCCTGAAATGTGCCCATGGCCAGATAGGATGTTCACCACACCTGGAGGAAACCCGATCTTCTGAATGAGCTGAGCAACCTTGGCGCACTAAAGAAGAGGGATGATCAGTCGATTGACTTAATAAACGCATGGACGTCCCTTACCGTTAACGGAGCTTTCTCACTACTCTTGATAACAATGGTATTCCCCGCAGCAAGAGCCGGGGCCATCTTATCAACAAGGAATAAAACGGGCACATTCCAAGGAATGATCGCAGCAACCACACCGAACGGCTGCTTGAAGGTCATATTGACGAAGCCAGGTGTCAGCAAGCTTGTCTGGCCGTGGTTATCCCAGCCAGCAGACGCATAATACTGCAGCTTCTGTGCGCCGACTTTCGCATCCTTGTAGGCGGATACAGGACGTCCCATAGAGACAGCGTCTAGATGAGCCAGCTCATCCTCAGCTTCGAGTATTAACTGGGCCAACTTTCTCAGGTATTCCCCCCTGACGTTGGGAGACAGTGCCGACCATGCTGGGAAGGCGGCTTTGGCTGCTGCGACTGCGACATTTGCGTCTTCGATTGTCGCCTCGGGCACTGATTGCAACAGATGTGAGGATCATCCCGCAGTGGATGTTGCTGGTCTGAGAGAGGGGCCCACATACCTTGAGCAACTGTCTCACGAGTGGACGGTGATTTCAGCTCAAAGGTGCCTGAATCGGAGGCCGGACGGAACTGTGTGAGGTGGTAGTTAGCATCTGCGTTAAGCTACTCCATTATGTCCGACTATGCGATCCGGATAGTCCTTACCTCATTGTTGATGAACAACCGGGTCTCGGCTTCCTTTACAATGGTAGATGTCATGATAGTGAGTATGCAGAGGACTTACTGCGAGCTATTTTGACTTAAAGTACAATTTATGGAGGTGTCCAGCCCATCTTAAATAAGTTCTGTGTCTAGCAGCGAGACTAAAAGGCTAGTTATATTCCAGCGTATTCCTTAGCTTAGCGCTTAGCGCCAAGCCGTACAAGCCTGCATCCCGACTGAGCTTGAGGGCTTTTAACCCAGGATACTTAGCCTCTGCGGTTCTGGGATGCCCCACCCTTAGCCAAGATGAGGTTCTGGGCAAACCGAGATCGCGAAGAATATCATTGGCCGGATGGAAGTATTCCAAATAGCGCAAAGCTGTGCTAGAAGTGGTATGGGGTCTGCTCCAAGTGAGTCCAATTCACCAAGATCAGTCTATCGGAGTGTCGGGGATGTGTCGAAGGAATTAATTGACACATCATGCAGCGTTAGGTATGAGAATACTACACGTATTTAGAGTTCGACGAACTTAGGCGAATACGCGTAGATCGAGAGCTACATAAATGACAGAGTGGGGGCTGAACTTCCGAGGATAAGTTTGTTTATTCTATCAACGACAACTATATCACGATATCCGAAGATCACTAACCAAGTTATGTGTGATCCATGGTTCTGGCACGGGATGCCTTTAGTTTAAGGCGTTAAGGCGATAAGGCGGCTCTTGTCAGACCCGCATCATGGTGATGTCAGTTCAGTTCTCCCCCCAAACCTGAGAGTCCCAACCCAATCAAGACCAAGGAAGATGGCAAACAACCTTGGAAACAAGCCTGATAGGGGACTGCGGCCGAGCATAAGAACAAGTCCAGGTTGCCCGCTAAATGAATTAAAGCAACTTCACACATACAAACATAACCGTATTCTACCAACTCCTCAAAATCAACCCCATAATGGCTATGTCTCAGGCAGCAAACCTGGTGGAGAAGATTGTCGGTCATGACGATAATGCGACAATCACCACCGATGTGTCTAACTACAAAAATGAACACGGCGTGGAGACCGGGGAGCCGATCAAAGCGACTACCTGGCAAGGGAAGAACGCAGTCAAAGTTGGTGAGTGATCCGGGAACGTGAACCGACTACGGATAGAGATGTTGTGCATTGCTAACCATTATCATCAGTGGAAATGCCGAAGCCAAGGGTGGTCGACCCCGGAGATGTAATTGTCAAAGTGACAGGAAGCACTATTTGCGGCAGTGATCTGCATCTGTATCACGGTATGATGATAATTCTGATCAAAATGGTCAGTGAGTTAGAAGGCTAACATGACTATTCTCGCTGAAGGCGTTATCCCTCAGCTGCAGAAGGGTGATGTCCTCGGTCACGAGTGCTGCGGAATTGTGGACAGTGTAGGTCCGGACGCGAAGAACGTCAAGGTCGGAGAACGGGTTGTTGTCTCGTTCCCAATTGCTTGTGGAAGTTGTCGGTACTGCAAAAGAGGGAACACCTCTCAATGCGAGAAGACGAACCAGAACACACTCACCAATGCTATGTACGGGAAGCGCACTGCAGGTAAGTCAACAGAGCAAGCGAGAGGCGTTTCAACGCGGCTCCAAAACTCCAAGTCATACTAAGTCGAGTATAGGCATATTCGGATACTCTCACTTCACAGGCGGCTTTGCAGGCGGCCAGGCCGAGTATCTCCGTGTCCCATATGGCGATGTCAACCTCCTTTCTATTCCGGACGAGGTGCCAGATGAGAAGGCCCTGTATATATCCGACGTTATTGCGACATCTTGGCACTGTGTGGTTGACACAGGTGTTAAGAAAGGCGATGTCGTCGCAATCTGGGGAGCCGGCCCGATCGGACAGATGTGCGCGCAGTTCAGCTTCTACCACGGAGCCAGCAGAGTCATCGTGATCGACGGAGGCAGCGGTGCATGGCGATTGGATTTTGTGAAGACCAAAGCACCAAAGGTTGAGACGCTCGACTTCACCAATCTGCCCAAAGGCGAATCTGTGACATCACAGCTGCAAAAGATGGTCGAAGGCGGACCGGACGTTGCTCTGGAATGTGCAGCGGGCGAGTATGCCAAAGGATGGGCACACTACTTCGAGCAACTGCTTGGGATGGAGACAGATACATCGGAACTGCTGAATGAAATGATCACTTCCGTTCGTCCCTTTGGTAGTGTTGGTGTGACGGGTGTCTATGCCGGATTTGTGAGTTAACCACGAGGGGTTTTCGGAAGGGAATGGAGCTAATTATGATGCGCAGACAAATCACTTCAACATTGGAGCTCTTATGCAGACAGGTGTTCATCTAATGGGTAATGGGCAGGCTCCTGTCCACAAGTACTGGAAGCAGCTCATGGAGCTTATTCAGAAGAATGAGATCAACCCGCTAGATATGGTGACCCACCGGGTGCGTCTGGAAGACATGGACAAGTTATATGCCGCGTTCGACAGGCGAGACAAGGGGATGCAGAAGGTCTTCGTGCAAACCAGGCACTCTGCTCCTCCATCAGCTGGAGCTCCTCAGCTGACAGAGCTGTGAGATTGATGTATAGTTTATTCTTTATAATTTAATGTTTCGATGACTTTCCTTTGGCTCAAATTGGTAGTGTTCATGTGCTAAAAAGGTCCATTCTATATTGTAACCATAGGAGCTCGTGACCTTTGGAAGTCTGAACGGAAGCTTTGTAGGCGAACTGCAAATCCCGACTCCCGACTCTTCGGTATTGATCGGCTTCCTGTGGGAACCAATTTGTTCAGTCAGATTCGGCGTTTTATGTTCAATGTCGTAAGGCCGATCTTCAGCAGATCGGCAACCTCATGGAGCCGATAGTTTCTCTGCTGTTAGCTGCGTCATCAGGTTGGCTTATTACTGTGTATGCGATACTACCGCAGTTCCCAGTACGGTATAATTGCAACGGAAGATAACCGAAACCCGCGAATATGTTCGGCTCACCAGCGAATCTGAGCGTCTAAACTCGGCGGTTAGCGGCGGAAAGCGATCGTGTCCAATGGCGGCAACTAGGTTGTTTCTATTTCTTCCTCTTCGCCGTTCAATTCTTCATACAAACGTCACAAATAGCACGAGAAGAACTACTAGCGGTGGGAACTTCCTGACTGGGCCATGTGAGCGAAAGTCCGTTGTTCGGCTCTGGCTCGGGATGAGGTTGGGAAAGGAATTGGGAAACCGAATCCACTGATTGATAAGAATCTGCTATGTGGGGTGAGTCGGCCAAAATCACTCATGGACAACTTCGTCGGGGATGTAATTACCCAATCACTCAATCATCTAGGAGAAAGACAACACAAACAGGAAAGAACAGAAGACTCCATTTCCTTCCACTTCAATCCGTGGATTACCGTCGACCTACCCAAAGATGGTGCAGCTTTAGTGCGATCAGATAAGATCAATCACACCGAGAGCGGCCGGACGGAAGTTAAAGTTCCATGTCGATCGATACGCTCACCGCTGCTCAATGGACCCTGGAAACCTTGGAAAGACCTTTCGACCATTGAACTGGTGTTATTGGCTCAATCGAAGTTTTTGCTAGGTAATAGCTGCTGGGTCGGACGTCGGGGGTCTCTGCCTGCGGCCTACCTACCCACGGACAATGAATTGACGAAACACTCCACTCGGGCAAATGATCCTTTGAGTATTTCGATCCGCGATGCCGGTAATCATGGAGTCATCGACGATCAGGCTGGAACGGTGAGATGAATATCCTGTAGGCAATTCCATTGACATAGTGTACGTAGGGTTAGCATATTGGGGATGGCACGCTGTTGATCGAGCGTGCTTTATCTCAGTTTTAAGGTATTGACTCGAGCTGTTTAGTGTTTCAAAGGACAATACTAAGCCAATCCACAGAGGAAATGGAGACACTGTTACGCAGTACGGAGTAATTGATGAGGAAAGGGATGAGCAGTGCGTCAGCCCACCAACGCTTTCTCGGCACCATCTCCACTAATAGTTGGAGTTTCCTCGGATCAGATAAAAATTCAGATGATCCTCGGACAGCATTAGGTCCAGTCGACTCGTGATTGACCAATAGTAAATTTGCAGAAGGAAAAGCAGCCAAAGAAGAGCAAAGAAGATTGAACCAAACAGCCGAAGCTCACTCCGAAACCGGGATCATGTGAGCACATAATCTAATCTGATCATCGGTCGCCAATTTTTCCCGGCTTTCCGCCCCTCGCTGTTCTCTTCTTGTCTTTAAAGCTTGCTATATCCCGGTAATTTGTTCTTTTTTCCCTGCTCGAGTTTTCGTCTTGCAACCATAATAACGCTGTAAAGAAAACTTGCTCGTTGCCTCCCCAGCTGGTCTTTCTCGCTTATCGGCTCGCATGTGCGCACTTCCGTTCTTCCGACCGAGACACGGCTCGTGCGTCTTCCCCGACTACGCCCGACATTCACGTAGACCTCACCACTGACCTCGACATAGTATTTGAACATCAATTTGGTGCCAACATGGCCACCACTGGTGTGTCTATGACTCCTGCTCCAGCTGGAGCTCCGGCACTCGCCCTTGCCCCGGCGCCCACGCTGGCCGCCCGACCCTCTGTGGCCCCATCTCCAGGCCCCGGCACCCCCGGCTCAATCACCTCGCGAGAATGGGTTGTACCACCTCGTCCCAAGCCTGGCCGCAAGCCAGCTACAGATACCCCGCCGACCAAACGCAAAGCACAAAACCGGGCAGCCCAACGAGCGTTCCGGGAGCGCCGGGCCGCCCGAGTTAGTGAATTGGAAGAGCAGATGAAGGAAATTGAAGATGAGCACGACGCTAAGGTCGCCTCGCTTCAGCAGCAAATTGGAAACCTTTCTGCTGAGGTTGATCAGTGCCGTGAGGAGATGGGCTGGTGGCGCGACCGGTGCCATGCTCTGGAAAAGGAGGTTTCGATCGAGCGCAGCGCAAAGGAAGCCATTGTCAAGGAATTCCGATCATCCCTTTCTGGCCCCAACGTCAGCAAGCCTGCTCCTATTCCAGACTCTGTGCCCTTGCCACCTCGAAAGACAAGAAGCTCTCAAAGGCAGGAACCTCAGCCCACCAATATCGACAATAACAATGACGATACGGATATGAATGTAACGTTGGGATGCAGCAACTGCTCCAACAGTCACTGCCAGTGCATCGAAGATGCGTTTGGCATGCCAATCGATACTCACGAGTCTTCCCGTTCTCGGCACGCTCCTCACGGCGTCGGCAGCCCAGAACCAGACCCCCGTGTCCCCCACATCAAACCGGACCCAGAGGAGATGGAAATCGATTTCACAGCCCAATTCTCCGGCGCCCCCGCTCAGTCCCACGACCACGATGTCTCTTCACCCCCCGTCGACCCCTGCGGATTCTGCCAAGACGGCACGCCCTGTATCTGCGCCGAGATGGCTGCACAGGAGCAGCAGCGGGCACGCAACGCCTTCGAGGCCAATCGCCTCGCACCCATCCAATCCATCTCACAATTCACCCCGCCTCCATCCGAGGGCGACGTCCGCTCTGAAGTGACCCTCCCACCCATTAGCCAAGCGACGAACCCCTGCGCCAACGGGCCAGGCACCTGCGCCCAGTGTCTTGCCGACCCTCGAAGCACTCTTTTTTGCAAGACGTTGGCAGCCTCCCGGTCAGCGAGCGGCACTCCATCGGGAGGCGGCTGCTGCGGAGGCGCCGGCAAGGACGGCGGATGCTGCATGTCAAGAAATGCCCCCGCCGCTCCGGCCCCGCGCCCCAACACCGTCCTGTCTACGCAACCTCCTGCACCAAAGCCCGCCCCCCGCTCCGAACTAACGCTCAGCTGCGCCGATACCTTCACAACCCTGTCCCGCCACCCAAACTTCTCCCGCGCAAGCGACGAGATCTCCACCTGGCTGCCAAAGCTTCATACCCTCCCCGACCCGCGCGAACTCGCTCCGCCAGACAGCCGGGGTGCGCTGGAAGTCGAGGCTGCTAGTGTGATGGGCGTGCTGCGGTACTTTGACCGCCGGTTCGCGGAAAAATAAAAATGAATCCCCTCGTCTATGGATTTCATAAGCGTCCGGGTTTCCTCTTTTCTGCGTTTTTTTGTTTCATGTCGTCATGTCCTTATAGGACTCTTTTGATACCCATACCCACCCTTTCCCGGGCGCATCATGTACCATCATAGGGACTTGTTTGACACATCATTGCTGTCTTCACCTTCTACTTCTCTCTCATCCATGTTGACTGTGTCTTTTCATGACCAGATTTACATCCCCGCATCCCAAAAGCATTATATGTTTGTCATTTGATCTAGCCGGTTCGTCCGGTGTATGAAGTATAGACTCCCGGCCGCTATGAACATGGTCAGTGGTTGATCTAGTCCTTTTCTCATTTTTTTGATGTTGTCCTTTCCTCTTCTTGCATTAGATGACTGATTCCTAGCGGCGTCTTATATCGTCAATGGATAATGTTGAACAGTGAGCAAATTTACCTGACGATGTGCTCATTGTTCAACAGATAATGTGCGTGATAATATGAATGGGACGATAGTACTGCACTGCAATTGTATAACTACATCGAACCTCTTCTGGATTAAACACGAAAACTTATATTCCCATCCATCGATTGCTTATATACCATAGACCATCTCAAATATACAACCGGAGCAGATGGATGTCCATTCTATTCAAAAAAAAAAAGGCAGAGGGCTAGGTTACTCCTCATACTCCTCCTCAGGCTCCTCCGCAAACTCCCCAGTCTCCTCAACCTCAACCGGCTCCTGAGTATCACCAACAGCCTTCTGTTCCTGATAACCACTTCCACCCTCACGACTCCGTGACCGAGCATGGCCACCGCGTCTACCAGCCTCCTTTGTGCGTTCGGAACCGCGCTCGAATTTGCCACCAGAAGCATGGCCGCCCTTTGAGGCGATATTTCTCTGCATTTGTATCGGGTTAGCCTGAACGACAACAACGGAAAGAAACAAAACACAAAAACGTCCTTGAGAGGTGCTTACCTGCTTATCACGATCCATTGATGCAAATCCACCCTTGTGACTGGACTGGCCGCCCTTGCGGGCGATGTTTTGCACCTCTTCGTGAGGGCGGTTGTGGAAGTTTCCGGGGTTGGGGTTGTCAACCATTTTGATTGTGGGTTCAAAGTTGGAGATAATAGGTGTTCTTTTTGGTCAATTTTGTGTTGTTGAATTGGGTTCTGACGAGGAGGTTGAATCGAGATATTTATATCTTCCGTTGGCGGTCATTGTTCAGCGGTGTTGTTGTTTGGTTCAACTCTAGTGGCGATTGCCTCGTGGCGCAAGTTGCCATGACTGAAAGTGAGGGTATTCCAATGTTTCTGGTCGTGTGGAAAACTGCCACGATCTAGAATTTCTTCATTGTGGTCGTGGATATCGGATGGCAATGGGCTGGCATCATAGTGACTGTATTTCGGTGGGATCCAACCCAGGCCTGTGGATGGTGCTGAGATTTCATTGCTCCTTTGCCTAGGTAGTAAACGTGGAGGCGAGTCAGGATGATCAGGACGGGGGCGCAAAATCTTATAAATGTATGTTCCATAGGGGTTGTATGGAAGCGTAGACGTTGCGGGACGACGAATATGTCATTTGAACGAGTGGAGTTGGCTTAACGCCACTGGTGATCTCGCCTTCAGGGCTTCGTCTGTTTTACTTGGCTATTAGGTCTGGATTTCAAGGTTATAAAGACGACTCCTTAACTATGCACTCGAAGTTCTAAACATACAGCAGCAAATGCATTGAGAGTTTTAGCTGGTCCTAATACGGTAGCTAGTTCTTCAGTCGTCCTAGTTCACCCAAGAAAGTTTCAGTCCATTTTGCACTGTAAAAGAGTCAGAAACACATTCAAAAAGTTAAGAGACTGGGTGGATTTACCTTGTATTCGTGGTGACGAAGTTGCGAAGCTCTTCGTAGTTCCGCCTCCTCTCTTCTTTGTCCATAGTCAAAGCTTTGTAGAGAGCGTCGGAGAGGCTGTGCGTATTGGAAGGATTGAACAAGAGACTACCGGGCTTCAAGAAAGTTGCGGCGCCTGTGAACTCAGACAGCACCAGTACACCCTGTCTGGCTTCTTGACACGCCACATACTCCGATGCAACGAGGTTCATGCCATCGCGTCGCGATGTTAGAAGACAGGCATCGGAGATGGAATATAGTGCCGCAAGCTCTGCAAAGGAGACCGAGCGGTGGATGTAGAGTAACGGCGAATGGTGAGGAGTTGCTGCTGATATATGAGTATCGACGTAGATATACCCATTGCGGGTGGAATCACATACCGTGCTTGCCAGAAATTTGGCCCACAAGTTTGCTAACCTGCGCTTCAAGATCTTGGTACTCTTTGACATCTTCTCGACTTGGCACGGCAATCTGAATCAAAACGACCTTGTTGGCCATATCCGGATGTTCTTCTAGGAAGATTCGGAAGCCGTCCAGTTTCTCGGGCAGTCCCTTTGTGTAGTCCATGCGGTCAACGCCGATAATGACCTGCTTGTCCTTGTATAGAGTCTCTAGCTCTTTGATTCTGGAAAGCACTTCGTGATCACCTGAAGCATCGGCAAATTTCCTATAGTCGATTCCCACGATAAATTTCCCAGTTTCGACCACGCGGTTATCATAATGGATCTGGTCATTTTCCACGCGAGTGCCATCACTGAGCAAACAATTAGTATCCCGTCGCATCTCCGAGGTATAGATTAACTCACAGGAGAGTATCACAGGCGCCGAGGAAGTTTTTCTTGTATTCATCCGTATGGAAGCCGATGATATCACTACCGAGAACACCCTCGAGCAGCTGGTCATGAACAGGAACTCCCCTCCAGAAATCATCAACTGTGAATGGCGTGTGTAGCGAGAAGCCTATCGGGCAGCGCTTATTTTGAGCCTGCAGACGTTTCCGCAGAAGGCGAGGCAAGAGGAAGAGATGATAATCATGCACCCAGATCAGATCGCCATCTTTAGCCTTGTTGCTCACTTCATCTGCGAATATCTCGTTGACGCGTTGGTAAGCCTCCCACGCATTGTCATCCATGACCACTCCGGACTGGTAATGCAGGCTTGGCCATAGAATTGCATCTGGATATACCGTTAGCCAGCGTTGTCATTACTGTCAAAGGAAGATAGGCTTACTGGAGAATCCATTGTAGTGATCTGTGGCCAGTTTTTGATCCAGCCAGACTGCCGCCGCATTCTCCTTAGCTAAGGATGCATTGACACTTTCCCTGGCGGATTTGTCGTTGACTTCGATTCCTGGCCAGCCGAGCCACAGGTAGTCGGCTGCTTGGAGGCCTCGGAGAGCGCTCACCAGGCCGCCACTTGACGGGGTCGTTTCATAGGTTCCATTGTTTTCCTTGACAGAGAGTGGCAAGCGATTGGATGCGATGATCACCCTTTGCTTGCTTGAAGCGTTGCCGGAAGCCATCTTTTTTCGTTTCTTCGGATGTACTGCGTACTGATGTATGAAGGAAAGATGTTGTTCTTCCAAGCTTGAGAGTTTATTTATCGCTCTCGTGTGAGAGATAAGGCAGGCACGCCTGTATTGATATGCTTGGCATTCGTGACGTCATTCGCTGGTATTGCGGTGGTCAGGACAGAGAACCAGGCACCATCTACAAATACAAGCCCCTGGGACGTGGATCTCGATGAAAAGAACTGTCAAAAAGACCTGCTCATGCTCATTATGACAATACGCAGTACATCTCGGTTACTCCCCGAAATACAGTAACCCAAGCATTCAATTAGCGGATTAAGCGTCCGAACTTTATACTGACAGGGAAACCCCACATCGATGTACGCTTGTGACAGAGTTATGACTTCACTGCTTCGACAGTTACGCAGTATCCATCACCACGATTCTCCAACCTTGTATTGAAAATACTGGGGTGCTGCTTCCTCTTACGCAGTATCGTCGCATCTGAAACTGGCGGGGAGTTGCGAAATCCCCGCTTTCCTTCCAACCATTGGCGGCTTCAATTCCATGTCGATAGTCTATTTGCCGGGTCAACATGCCTCCATTCGCGGCCTTTCCCATAATAGTCTATTTTAGTCTATTTGATCTATCCCCATACGAGATCTCAAAACCGGTAAACACTTTGGTTCGACCAAGGACAGCTCGCACCGAAAGCAGGCAAAAGCAAGCATCCCTGTCAGATTCCCGCATAACCAGGAAGATGCGAAGCAGGGAACAAGGAGGTCTAGAACAGTACATGAGAGTGCAGCTTCTACTTGCAAAAGCGAGCTCTTGACGCGATGGACTGGGCCAGACTTGGCAATTAACTCAAGAATAGGTTAGTTATACATCTGTACAGATAGCTATTGAAGGGGCTCCTGGAATTAGATCATGATGATGCCATACATAACGAAAACTTGTACATAAAAGTGAAGCTCTCGAGTGCAGTGATTGATACCGCCTAGGTAATTGCAAATTTCAAATATAACATGCTAAGTTCACGTCTCTTTGCTTGTCCAAAGTCATTTCGAATCTCATTCTCTTCTCTACCTTCTCTACCCCTCAGAACATACCACACCACCACCCCTCTACTAAAACCAAACGCCAAAATGTCTTCAGGAGTAAGTGCTATGAGACCCGCAAACAGAATCCAATCCATCGTACTGACAGAGTATCTGTCCAGGAAACCCCCAAGAAATGGATGGATAAGCCTCCTTACCGACCCGTCGATCCCAAGGAATTCGGCGAGGTAAAATGGCGAGGCCACTGCCAATGCGGACGTGTCGAGTACCACATCAACCGCGAGAAACCGCTAATGGCGAAATTCTGTCATTGTCGCGGATGTCAGGTTCTGCACGGTACGTTGCTAACTATAACACGCTGCACAGCGTATTGTATACATTGCTCTTGAGTTCTTTTCTAACTCACACGCCTTTATACAGGAGCCCCATTCCAATGGTGTGCCGTCTTCCACAAAACAGATCTCACCTTCCCAAAGGGAGCTAAAGATCTGGTGTTCTACTCTTCCAAAGAGAAGTCCACGGAGTACATGACTCCCACCAAAGTCGCCTGTGGATACTGTCGCGCGCCTATTATGGATGAAGGGAATAATGTCTGTTTGTTGTTCCCTGAGCTGATTAATGTGGAGGGGTCGTATGATGAGGAGAAGCATAGGAAAGAGGCGTTCATGCCCAAGTGTCATATCTTCTACGAGCAGCGGTTGGTGGATGTTGCGGATGATTTGGAGAAATGGTCCGGCATGGACGGAGAGAGCGAGAGGATTGATATGTACGGAAAACCGTTGAAAGAGGGTGAGAAGCTGTGAATTGTCTGGATTCTAGCGTCGATGTCTACGGGCATGGCGATAGGATTCTCGAGATTACTGGAGGGCACCGTACACGAGCACAGTCTTCCAACGTTGTAAAATATCCATTGTCTCATGAGAAATGCAACTTACGATATGCAACTTGTTGAAAATATCAATATCGATTAAGCTAACTCTTTAAGAGAGCTCTGAGTTCCTTCGGGACGCCATTATTGATAGTAGCACATCGTTTCCTTTCTCCTTTGCTTTGTCGTAAGATATGCCACATAGAAAAGCTGAATGACATACAAGATCGATTGAATTACTCCTTAAGAGCCCCGAATTCCCGATAGCCTGCGTGATTTTGGATGTCCGACTCAACAAACCATAGTAAGTTGCAGAGCCATATCACTTAGACGTCTTCCGTTTCTTGTTCGCACCCTTGGTCTTGAACTCCTCGGCATAGGAAGTGAAGAACTCCGTCGGTTGCTGAGGATGCACGCCAGTAACATACTGGAAGGCAGATGTCGAAATGTAATTTGTCTTGCCCTCGCGAATCAGAGAGTAGTACTCAAGCAGATACTGCAGTTCAGAGTTGTCGCTGGCAGATTGAGCGTGCAGCACTTTCTTCGCCTCAGCCCTGTGTAAAGTAATATAAGTATGTGTCTATAGAAATAGTAAATGATGGATCTGCACGTACTCAGAGATGTCTTCAAAGGCCATCTTTGTTCCCAATGCCTGGCTGGCCGCAGTAGCGAGTTCATCGCCGGTGGTGAGCATCGGGCCTAGGGGAAGATTAGTCGATTGTATATGACCATAGGTTAAGGTGATCTACCTGTAAGCACGAGCAATTGGCCGCGATGTTTATCATCGAAGCCATGCTTTCCCTTTCCAGAAAGTACGTGTGCTGCGACTTGCGCAACGTCCTGAAAAATGTCAGATTGACCCTTCGACAAAACCGGTATAGATAACTTACACCCAGTGCAATCGGAGCAAACTTGTGGTCTTTACCAACCGGCAATGGAAGTACACCTTCTTGCTGCGCCTGTGGGGAATAGATAAGCAGGTTTTCAGCGTAGAACCCGGCACTATAATTCGAGAGTTAGCAAAACGCATACTTTGCCCCCCATGAAGGATCCCCATTTACCGAATGACAACTGGAGAATGACCAGTCGCAGTGGACGGATCACCCTTGCTGGACAACACCAGCGTTTCCAAATCAATGAACTGCCGCAGTCTCGGCTGCTTCTCCCGCTCAGCGAGATCACATCCAGCGGCGCTGATGAAACAGACGTTAGGCACGTTAGCCTTTTTGGCCGCCTCAATCAGCTCCACTGTAAGGTCGTACTTGGACTCGTGGGCCGGCGGGACGAGACAGAGTGTGTCGGCTCCGGTATCCTTCAGGGTCTTGACCATATCCCTCAGGCGGCCGGGCTTGTGGGGGACAATCTTTGCGCCGAGAGTGGCTAGATCCTTGCAATGTTCGGAGTCCGGGTTGAGGGATAGAGCTGTCACTGATGCGATGGCTTTCTTGAAAGTGTCGTCAGTCAAGAGCAGCTCACCGATTGTAAAGCCGGTGTGGCCGTCCGCAGCGGTGATACAGACGTTGCGAGACATGGTGATAATAGTTTGGCAGAGATGCCCAAGATGTTTAGAGATATGAAGTGAAAGTGATTGATGAAGGGAGGTTGATGAGGGAAGATTGATGAAGGAAGATTGATGAAAGTAGCTTTATGAAAGTTGGTTGAAGAGTGAAATGAAAGAAGTATGTACAGTTTGCTCTATAGACAGGTTTTGTTTATGTGGGAACCGGTATATTCCAGAATCCAGACACATGACAGGACCTGTCACCTATGCGTCATGAGACTTGCCGGAATGTTTGTCCAACTTCCTGTAATTGTGGAGGAAGCGACAGTACGAGATGTGGACCGGCTATGACTCCAATATGACAGATGGAGCCCGGCCTTGGTCGTGCCTCCTGGGCAAGTCTTCGCCATCACCAATGCTGGCCAAGTAATACCACTTTTGCCAACTAGAAGCTCATGGAATTTCCGATATTTTGGATGATACCTCGTGACGTCAAAATGTTGAACTTCGACAGCAACAGCCAAATCTGAGAATTTCGAATCGCTGAGTGGCAGGACGGACGCTGTGCTTGGAGTACTAGACGAGACAGGCTTCACTCGGAGTATAGGGAGGGCGAGGTAGGCACTACAAGGAGCCGGAGAGACGACAGGAGTGGAATGTATACAAGAGAACAAGATACCCATAGTTGAAAACGGTATATGTGATAGTAATTGGTTCATGGCCAATGTATTCTCGTGTACAGCGGTCACACATAATGCGAAGACCAAGCAAAACGCCAAACACCAGCCCAAATGCTAAAACGATGAGCCAGCGGGTTGATATCAAGAAGAAAAAAAAAAGAGTAAGGAAAACAATTGACAAGGAGTAAGAACGCCAAGGCCTGAGCTTAACGTCCCTTTCCACGTCCACCGCCACCTCCTCCCATTCCGCCCATCAACCCACCCATTTGGCTCATTAGACTCTGCATATCCATGCCACCAAGGTTGGGCATGCCACCACCACCTCCACCCATCATCTGCATCATCTTGGCCATATCAGGCATACCAGGCATGCCACCGCCACCAGCACCACCCATGGATTGCATGCGCTTCTGCATGGCAGCCATCTGCTGATTCTTGTTTCCACCCTTCATCATGTCCTGGGCACGCTGCATCTGCTTCTTCTGGCCACCAACACGCTTGGCCATGCCGGCCATCATGCGGTGCTGGGAAAGCACGTCCTCGACCTCACGGACAGTGGTTCCACTACCGTGCGCGATGCGGACCATACGGCTAGGCTGCTCGACGAAGACCTTGCCATCGCCGTCCAGCTCCGCGACAGTCATGCTGTCGAAAATGTAGACCATGCGGCGCAGCTTCAGCGAGCCGTCTTCGTCATCCAGGCCCTGGGTCATGTTAGATAGACCAGGAATCATGCCGGATAGCTTGGAAAGCGGGCCCATCTTCATGATTGATGTGATGTTCTCGCGGAAGTCACGCAGAGTGTAGATACCTTCCGCAATGTGCTTGTAGGTTTCTTTAGCACCTGCGGAATCCTTCGTCATGGCTTGAACGTGCTCGACCAGTCCAGCGACATCGCCCATGCCCAGTAGCTTCTGGACGAACGCGCGAGGCTCGAAGCGCTCGAGATCCATCATGTGCTCACCAGTACCGAGGAAGATAATTGGGGTGTTCGTTGCGGCAACGGCAGAGATAGCACCACCACCAGCGGCATGGCCGTCGGTCTTGGTGATAATGATAGCTCCAAAGTCTGCGGTTGCCTTGAATGCGGAGGACTGAGCCTCGGCGGCTTGACCAATTGTGCTGTCCAGGACAAGGATAGTCTGGTCGGGCGTCACTGCCGTCTGAATCTGTGTCATTTCCGTGAAAAGTTCCTCCTCCTGTCGGTGACGACCACTGGTATCAACAATAATGATATCGAAACGCTCCTTTTTGAATTTGGCCACACCCTCAGCGGCCACGACAGCAGGATCCGTCTGGGTCAGACTACCGTAGTATGGGATCTTGGCCTTGGTTGCGTTCTGCTTCAGCTGATCGAATGCACCAGCACGGAAGGTATCCGCGCAGACCAGCGCGGTCTTGAATCCTCGCGTTTGGTAGTGGCGGGCCAGCTTCGTACACGTTGTTGTCTTACCCGCACCCTGCAAACCGACGAACATGATAACATTCGAGCGGCCCTTCTTCGGCCGGAAGGAGTCTGCACGAGGGTCCACCAACTTCACGAGCTCATCGAAGACGGTCTTCTGGATCAGGCGCTTCTTGTTCACGGCCGCTGGTACTGAGGCGAAGTTGACGCTTGCCTTGATTGACTTGCGTAGCGTGCCCACGAGACGGACATTAACATCGGCGGAGAGAAGAGCGGCACAAATCTCTTTAAGCATATCATCGAAGGCCTGGTAATAAGTTAGCGGGATGGTTCTGGGCCGCACCAGACAACACATGGCGCACCTTCTCATCAAGGTTATTAGACCGTGTCAGGTCATTGACGGCGGAGTTGATCCGTCGCCCAAGGTCTTGAAGAACCATGGTGTATAATTATGAGGAGGTAAACAAGTAAAAGAGAGAAAATCAGACCGAGGCCGTACTTATGTATGAATTCACGATGGAGGAGGGGTGAGGGTGAGTGCCCATCGAAAGACCAGAGAGGCGATGTGGAGGAGCCAATCGGAGAGCCGACGGTTTCTCACCGCCCCCAAAAAAAGTTGTGATACGGCTCTGGATCGGCGAGACTTTTTATTTTTTACATTCATTACATTCATCTTTTGTGAAAATGCCTCCTCCTTCGTCAAAGAAACGCAAGGTCCTCGATGGCCTGAAGGGTCACACTGGCCGCAAAAAGAAGTTCGTGAAGCAGAAATTCTATCACAGCAGCTCCGAAGACGAAGAAGAAGATGGGAAATTCAACGCCGTCAGTCTCGAAGACTCGGACGTCGAAGAAGGGGGTGTTACAGTGACCAAGCCCACGGCCCTCGATATCCGCATGAATAAGACAAAGACAAAAGAAGCACCTGCACCGGAATCGAAAAAATCAGACGATAGCGACGCAGACTCCGTCGACGAAGACATTGAGCTCGAGGACGCAGACATTGAGCTCGAGAACGACGACGATGACGAAAGCGATGCCTCTGGCTCAGACGAAGATGATCCCTCCGACTCAGCCCCTGCCGACAAACGCACCGGCGCCAATAGCGGCCGAGCCGTCCCAAAGCGCAACGACCCTACCGCATTCTCCACCTCCATCTCCAAAATTCTGTCCACAAAGCTTCCCACCTCCGCACGGGCTGATCCCGTTCTGTCGCGCAGCTCTTACGCCGCGAAGTTGGTCAACGATGCCGCCGACGAGAAGCTTGACAAGGCTGCGCGGGCTAAGATGCGCGCCGAGAAGAAAGAGGAATTGGATCGCGGTCGCATCCGTGACGTGATGGGTATCAAGAGAGGAATTGCTGGATCTGTTGCTGAGGAGGAAAAGCGTGTCCGCAAGATGGCGCAGCGTGGTGTCGTAAAGCTGTTCAATGCTGTGCGCGCGGCCCAAGTCCGAGGAGAGGAGGCCGCTAAGATCGAGCGCAAGAAGGGCACAATTGGTATGGGAGAGCGGGAGAAGGCTGCGAACGAGGTCAGCAAACAAGGATTCCTTGAGTTGATCAATGGAAAGAAGGGAAAGCCTTTGAATATCGAAGAGGCGTGAGCTGGACCTACGATTACCCATGGCATGTTTCTGGCGTTTGGTTGTTATCTCTTGTTGTATATTCTTTCTACATTGTAATAGAATTGCTTATGTGGAGAGACTTGGATTGAAAATAGTACCGAAGATTTTCCATTTTGTGATATCGCGCAAGTGGAGAAGATGCTTGAGATAATAGTACAGTAGTTACACGCCCTAGTACTTGGGCGCTATATAGGGCTATACACACCCCTTGTCCAGCTGTGTTCCATGAGACTATGATAGGCGAGGGTATTCAAGGTCCAAACAGTCCCGTCTGGGTCTGTTGGTGTCTTTATTTCGAGCCGAAGTCGCTTGCTTGAAGATTCCGTGTCATGGAGGGCAACCGCACAACCAGTCCGTCAAGGTCCTTGGTCATGATCACCTGGCAGCCCAAGCGGGAGGTCTCTGTAAGTCCGAAGGCAAGGTCTAACATATCGTTCTCGTCGTCCGATGGCTCTTCCATTTTATCAAACATGTCCGGGTCTTCCACAATCACGTGGCAAGTTGAGCAAGCGCATGATCCTCCGCAGGCGCCTATTCCAGATCTTATGTTAGAGTCTGCATCTCAAGGAAAGACAGGTCGGTTCAACATACCTTCCATCTCAAGATCATTTGCCTGAGCGATGTCAAGCAGGTTGTCGCCCTCGGCAACCTGGAAATCAATCTTGGTGCCGTCCTTGTCGATGAAAGTGATGTTGATCCTAGACGTTGAGTTATTAAAGACCGGCCAAAGTGCAAGGTGCAAATAGGAGCACCTGGGCAGTCTGGTGGGCTTACTCTTCACCGGCCTTTGGCGGCGTGATGTGTCCGTGTGCCGCTTGCGCAGTCACCGAGAAAGCGCGCCTGGCAGAGTTATATCTTTGCCATGTTGACTGAATGGGTTTCCGGGTGTTTGTATCGGCCCGAGGGTGTGTTGTGATTCCAGTGTTCTTCCATGTCCTTGAATAGCTCAGGCATCTCCGCGATTGAGTCAAACCAATATCCCCGGCGGCGGTCTTAGGTAGGCGGCGCAATTGCTGGCCAACTTCTCTCCAGAAAGCCATGTTGCTGAAATTAACAATAAATTAGAGAGGAAATCAGAAAGCCAAAGTAAGAGAAGAAAAAAGAGGATCTGGAGGTAGTTGGGAAGAGCAAACGATCGTCCAATGGCCGCGGGAAAAAAAAGACTGACAAAGCTTGGGCGTTCGGACATTCCACTTCTCCCGTTCTTCTTTCCCCGACCCCATTAACCCCGAGACCAACTACGCATCATGGCATCTCGTGAAGGGATCAATCCCTTGCGGCCTTACTATATCCCTCCCTCTGGCTTATCGCCCACTTCAAATGCGCCGCCTGAGGTGGCGTCCCCATCGTCGGCCCAGGTGTTTGGCAGCACCGCCCGTGATCTCATTCCGGACCTGGACTATGCCGACTATCTCGAAGCTTCCCCGTCTATCTCCGACTGGGTCCGCGATGCATTGAACCGAGCGCTTGTGCGCTACACTAAGGTGCTCACTGCACAACCGTTTGACGTTGCCAAAACCATCTTGCAGGTCTATGTTGTGCCGGACGCCACAGACGAGCAGTGGGACCGGAAGTCGACGCCGGTTCCTGGAGGAAGCTCTTACGACTCGGTACGGAGCTCTTTCTAACTCATATAGAGCTGTGACTCAAATAACAAACAACTAACGGCGTTGAGTACAGGACTCGGAATCATCCGATGACGAAAACAGCTACTTCTCCTCAGCGGCCCCTTCTACACCGACACCGAGTACAGCTCGATCTCGCAAATCGCGCCACCATATCACCGACCGCAGTGGCTACATCCGGCCGGAGTCCGCGGCACAGCAATCAAAGCATGCCTTGACTATCAAGAATCCGAACTCTCTGACCGATGTTCTATCTCAATTGTGGTCGTCCAGTGGCCCAGCTTCCCTCTGGAAGTCCTCCAACACCACATTCATTTACTCCCTCCTTCTTCCGACCTTGAATACTTTCATACGCAGTCTTCTATCCGCAATCGTCGGTTTGCCAGAAGACGACATCGCCTCGTCGATGACCGCCGACATCCTGACCGCATCATCCCCTCTGGCGACGCTAGTCCTCTCCTTCATCTCATCCTCACTATCCGCCCTGATCCTAGCTCCTATCGACACCGCTCGCACATTCCTAATGCTCACACCAGCCACCCATGGCCCGCGGTCCCTTGTCCGAGCTATCCGCCAGCTCCCCACCCCCAACTGCACGATCCCCTCGCACCTCGTACCAATCACCGTCCTCCATTCGAGTCTCCCGAACCTCATTATGACCTCAACCCCACTCTTCCTGAAATCATACTTGTCCATCGACCCTCTCTTAAACCCGAACGCATGGAATCTCTGTGCATTCCTTGGCTCAGGTCTTGAACTTGCTGTCCGATTCCCGCTCGAGACCGTGCTCCGGCGCGCCCAGATCGCCACATACACCTCCCTTAGCTTGCGCCAGAAGTCCTCCAACTGTAGCATCCGTGCTGCATCTATCGATGCATCTGATGTGGAAACCATCGTTCCAACTCCGCGTACTTATCGCGGAATCATCGGCACGATGTGGCATGTCGTGTATGAGGAGGGTGTCAGCTCGACCCCAAGCGAGAAAGAGCGCGCCAAGCAGCTCCTCGGTCGGCGCGACTCACAGGAGACTCAGAAACGGAAGCAGGGCCAGGGTATCCAGGGCCTGTACCGCGGCTGGCGTATTGGCATGTGGGGTATCGCTGGCATCTGGGGCGCCAGCTTGTTGGGCGGATTTGCTGGCGGCAGCGAAGACGAAGTCACAATGAAAGGGGGCCACGGCCGTTCCAGCGGTGGACGTTTCTAATAGAGACGATCTAATCCGGAGGTCTGCGTTTTCGTCTTGGGTTCACAGAACCAAGTCCTTCATCGCATCGTCTTTCTACTTGACAGTTCAACTCCCCCTTGCTTTCTGGCCGACACAACCCGCTATCTCTCTTCAATATGAGAAGCAATTTTCCACTTCGTGTCCCATATTCGTCCTACACTCTCCCCTCTTTTTCCCTCTTGTCTTCATTTTATACCCCAGGGAATGGACTCAGGGGTTAAGGCGATTTGGCGTCGCGTTCTGGATTTGGCAGCCTTTGCAGTGCAGCCCATGTATAAAATTTCTCCCAATCACATCTCTAACTAACGAGATACAAGTTCCCTAACTCCTTCTGGTTCCCTTACTGGCCATTTAATATATCTAACGATTGATTATGGATTCCCTTCTTCGTTCTGTTGAGACAAATGCGTCGGTTGGTAGCCAGACTGTCAGCAGACGTCAAGGGGCATCCTACATGTAGAAAGATGTAATGTAACCAGAAAGTCACCATATTGTAGGTGGAAGACGGGATGTTGCTTTTCAGGTTGATCGATCGAAGCACGCTAATATACTGAATTTTGTTGACCGAGAGTTCTAATACCGTCGAATGAAGGCCAAAAGGATGTCGATATGTACGGCCAAGCCCGGGCATCCACTCTACCATGTAAATAGCAGCGAAACAAGCCAACTACTAATCAAGCCTCTCAGCCTTCTGCACCCGACTCGCAACCTCCAAATAAAAGTCCGAAACCGACTCAACAACCCATTTCCCCAACTCCGGCATCCGCCCAACAACACTCCCAAGCACAACACTCCAATCGACATCCGCAATCTTATCCTCAAGCACACGACCAGGCGGTAAAACCGGTCCATGCAGACTATCATCCCGATCCAAGGGAACAGTAAGACGATACCTCCAAACAGCCTCACCATCAACATACAGCGAGTAAGTAAGCGCCGAGCTGCGGACCTTCACAGAAGTCCCCGGCACAACCTCGACATCATCCGCAATCTCAACGAGTCCAAACTTACTATTCCCCGTCGGTGCATACTTCACGGCAACGTCTTCAGAGTCTGTCTGTCGGTATGTGCGGATAGGTAGGTAGAACATGCTTAATGGCCCGACGCTAAATTCATGGACACCGTGTCCGGCCGTATTGGGTTGCAGCATCTCCGGGCCCGATTCGAGTGTTGGGTCCGGGAATCGGGTCGCGCCGAACTCGTGTCTGTCGCCGCTGAGGAGGACGATGCGGATTCCTAGTTCGCGCTCGGCGCGCCACATTGCTTCGAAGACGGTGCGGCGCTCGTCGAGGAATCCGCCCCAGGTATCGTTTGTGCCGACGTGCCAGTTCTTCGTGAATGGGACGCTGGAGGAGATGATTTTCCAGTATGTCCCTGCTGGCTCTGGGGTTGCGATGTAGGTTAGGAGGGATTGGAGCTGGGCGTTGCCGAGGATGGTGGGGTTTTGTGACGATGGCTCGGTGCGGTAGGTGCGGGTGTCGAGCATGAAGAAGGAGGCGGGCCCGTGGGTGAAGGCGAAGTATGTTACGTTGTCTGGGTGGGCTTGGGGTGATGGGGGGATTGGCGGGTTGCCACGGACGTGGTAGTGGATGAATGGGTCTGCGGCTGCTGGGTATGGGGCTGTTTTGTTGCCTTGGGACCAGTCGTTTTCGATCTCGTGGTCGTCGAGCGTATGCAGCCAGGGGAGGTCGATTGCGCGGTTTTCTTCTGGGCCGTGGGTCCAGGAGGGGGATGAGTAGATTCGTCGGTATTCGCTGCGGTAGTGGGCTTTGCTTGAGCCGAAGCGCCAGGGCACGTCGATGTAGATGAAGTCACCTAAGAAGAGCATGAAGGATGGGCGGAGGAGTTTTGGGAGTTTGGCTAGGGCGGAGGTCATTTGCTCTAGGCCAGGAACTCGCAATGGATGCGAGAGGATGTTGTATGGGAAGTTTGGCTTCAGGCAACTTGATGTTACAAATGATAGTCTGGTTGCTTCCTGCGTTCCGGGCATTGGTGCGGTGGTAAATGTCCCAGATTTGTTGTTGGACAGCGAGTAGCGGTAGTGCGTCGCTGGCTTTAGGTCAATGATGGTCACGGTCGCAGTAAAATCGGTGCTGTTGTCTAGCTTGTAGACAATGCCCTCTTCATACCAGTCCTGGGATTCCCCAGAGACCTCTTGATACATGACTGCCATGGGCATGCGATCGGAATGTGGCTCGCGAAAGACCAGTTTGGCAGTAGTTGGAGAGACATATCCGATGCGCGAGAAAGAAACATTCTCAGAAGGGTAGAGAAAGTATCCGCGAGCCAGGAAGTCGACTGTTAGTAGTGCTAGAACGATGTTGATCAAGATTGTCGTTCGTGTCCACAGGGGCCACTTTGCCGAAGGCAACCCAGTCAACAGTGTTTTGAGAACGGAGTCGCCAGATTTAGGTCGGCTAGACACCGGCTTACGGCCTGCATGTCATTCATTAGATCGCCGGATTTTGAATATGTGAATGTGCAGTCTCACTGTTCGGGTTTTGGGGCTTTCCCGTCTGCCATTCTTGAGGCGCGGTGTTCTTGAATAAGGAGAAGATTGATGTAAGATACACCACCAGCGAGGTGAACACAAGAGGTACAAAGTGATGACCAGGAATCTGTAGAGATGTTAGTTTCTGCCAACACGAGATTCGCTGCAGTTCATACCCATCTTAAAAACATGAAGGCCGACAGTCGGATGATCGCCGAACTCGTGGCTACGGCAATGCGCCGTGGCGAGGCCATTGTCTAAAGTAATAGTACAGGTCGCGAAGAGTACTAAATATCACCGCATACTAGGGGGAGGATGAACAAGTGGAGTTGGTAGAGGTCGAGAATGATCAGCTGCGGTTTTCGCGTTGTTTATTGGTGACTCGATGACGTAGTGTCTATCAACGAACTACCCAGTACTGCGTGTAGGTAGCCATTTACTCCGTAGTACCTATCACTACTCAAAATCTACCTTATTCCCCTATATCGATATAGGGTGGAATTACTCTTGAAGCGTCAAGCGCTTTAACGAGATGTATTTATCCCGAGTAAAACTGGGACTTCCATCTCGTTATGTATCTCGCGAGATTGAGCTCTTCCTACCTATACCGAGGTCCGCTATTAGATGCACACCGAAGGAAATGATCCATTCACAATCCCCCGAGATATGATTGAAAGACATGATGAAAATCGAAGAAAAGAAGAACGCGAGTTCTATGCATTGTCTTTCAGTAGAAGACGTGGGATAATCTGGTTCTACTAGTCTAGACGCTGTGTTGCTGCAGAGCTTCTTCCATGGAGACATCAGACATGCTATTGATTGGGCCCCTTGAATGTGATGGGACTTTAACCATCCCTACAGGATCTATGTTCAAGGGATTGCTCTTTCTGCACCTTGAATGTATGTTCAAAGCTGAGTTACCAGCAGAAAATACTCCTCGGAGCAATTATGCAAGCCCTAAGGCTAGGTCATCAAGAAGGCGATCGCCGCTTAATATATGGCAATAGAGCATATTGGAACCCAAGGGGGCGATGATATATACCGTGAGTCTATCGTCAAGATCTCCGTCCTTGATTCAACATATCCCGAAACAGATTATTGAGACTGGTCGCCATCGGCCCAGCCGACATTAACTGGCGAGTCGCCGCAACAACGTCTTTCATCCCCATGGTCAATGACATCTGAGCAGCCCACTGCCACGGTTTCGCCTCGCCCCCAGGGAGAGCATTGTAATACTCCCAGCCCATCACACCACCAAAGTTTGGAAACTGCTCGACCAACATTCCCAGCACAGGGCTTATCTTCTCCTGGGACACATAGCCCTTCGATCCATTGGCCGGGTTCGTCAACAGGCCATACACGAGCCGGCGCGGCGACCACCCCTGTGCAACCATAGTCGCATACATCCGCGGATCCTCAGCAAGGCCCCAGCCATTGTAGAATTGGGTATTGTACCAGCTGATCTTGGAAGCCCGAGCCTGCTCGAGTTCGCGGTAATCGAAGCCAGAAAGATTCCCAATACCGAGCATTGCAGCTGCGACGGGGGCGAGAGTGATGATGAATGCTTCGCCCAGGTCTGCCTTCAATCGGTCGATGAGTCGGATGATGCCTTGCAAAGACATGGTTTCTTCTACATCGAGATCGATTCCGTCCAGGCCGTAACGACGGATCATGGTTAGGAGTGGATAGTAAAATTGTTCGAATTGCGTCTGGCTGCCGTCGAGACGCGTGAAGGAGCCCGGGGCGGCACCGCCTAACATGCACATCACTTTCACGCCCTTTTCTTGCATGAGGGGCACTTCCGCCCACAGTGGGTTGAACTTGGCGTTGTCAGGCGGGTCATCGTTGAGAGTGATATCGCCTGGTTCACCGTTCAGGTGAACTGCCGCGAGAATAACATGAGTTATCCCGGTGTTGTGTTCGAGGAGTGGGAGCATGGAGACATACGGGGCCCCGCTTGGAATCAGTGTTTGGTGGTACAGAATCACACGCGGGCGCTCGCTGAGTCCGCCTCGAATAGGGGGCATGCTGGAAGTGACAGATCCAAAGCTTCAATGCATGTAGTTGGGAATTTTCTTTCACAAGAATGGCTTGGGGAGAGCTGATGGCGCTTGTGCTTTTGTTTGGGTTAGGCAGCGGGGCAGTTATGATCGGAGCTGCGGCGTCTCGAGACAGCCGCAATAAATGCCTCTCCCGATTCTCGCAACAACGAAGTATCAACAATACAGAAATAGCCGGTGAATATAGCTGCAACACGTAATAGTAAGCCGGAATGGACACCTGAGCACCACTGACCTTCCACATTTACTCTTTTGACCCAAATCATCACTAAGCCAAACCGGAGCTCCAGCAGTGCAGCAGTGAATCAGCAGAGAAAAGCTAGGAGCTCTGTACGAAAAGACTATGTTGATTTTAGTTGCATACTGTCTGGCCATACGGAAGATTTGAAACATTGTATGTGATTCTAAGAGTACCGTCCTCAGTCATCTCGAACATGCAGATTGAGGTCCGGAATCACCGCCTCAGCACTTGAACCATGGACAACCGATATCAATACCCATGGCAGGTCCATCGACAGAGATATGACATGAAACTTACACATCGGGTCGACGCTCCGGCAAATTGAAGTGAAGAGGCAGCACATGAGCGCGTTCTTAAGGTGGACCAGTCCAGGAGATGGACAAATGACAGACATCTCACAAGAGTATAGAGAGCGGACCAACAGTAGCCAACAATATTGCCATAGCAATGGCATCGACGGAAGCCACCGTCGCCTCCCGATGAGCTGATGGAGGCAACATAACCACTCCTGGGGGCTACATAAGTTGCCGGCCGTACCCATCAAGCCGACATCGTCACTCGCGACATAACCTCGCGGCAAAGATCAACTTCAACATTCGATATAATCATGTCCTTGATAAACGTCACTCGGATCATGTCACGGCCGCTTGTCAGGCTGTTTCCAGTGTCGCGGTCTGTCCTGTGCCATCGCTGTAGTGTTGCCACAGCACCGCCGACAGCTGTTAAATCTCGAAGCCATCCAAACCCTGGGAATTTCGCAAATCGTTCATATGAAGAACTATCTGCCATAGGCCACAAGGGTGGGAAGAAGGGGGGTAAAGCCACAGGTGTCGGTGGATTCCATAACATGGATCCTGAGAAACAGGTGAGCTTGACTCGGAATCAGACAGTGTCGAGGTCAGTCCCTAATTTGAATGTGTCATTAGCGTGGAATTGCCGCAAAAGGTGGTCGTGCTGGTGGTCGGGCTGGTCAGAATAGGACATTAGACCGGGGAGAGACTGAGTTAGAGGCTGAGAAGCGTGCCCGGTCGCATGAGCCTTCGGTGGTCCCACCTGGATTCGAGGAGTGGAAGACATGTGCTTGATAACTGGTCTGGCCCTAAGCTGCCTGGGAAACAGATTCACAGCTGTAAATACCAAACAAATGTGTTTACAGCAATTGCATGTAAATAGCAAATGAATGCGAAACATCGAAAGTGAACAGCCTCAAACCAATTCCCGCTAACCTCAATGAGGTAATCGATAAACATCAATAGCCTTAGGCGCCAAGATAAAACCGCCTATCGCGAGATTCTCCAACTCTTGCTTTCTCCCCCGCAACTAATATTGTTATCTCTCTATTTATCCCGGTCGCGATCGTTTTCACTGAGAGTAGCTGTTCAAAGAATCCCTCGGATTCTGTCTCACCTCTGCTTTGGCAGATCAAGCCCGTCGCGTTGCCAGCGCTAGTCTTTGCGCATCCCGCACGCGTGCGCAACCATGGCCAGCACCGGCTATACCTCGCCATTCCCAACCTCACACGACACAATTGGCCAGTCAACATTGGCAACACCTCTGTTCATGCCGTCTTCTCCACCACAACGCCCTTCCGGGTCAGTGGGCTCCCCATCAACTGCACAAACCCCGACAACTGCGCAGACTCCTACAACCGACCGCGTCACCGCGAAACATGATAACGAAGCCCAAGCGACCGACAACGGATACCATTCTGACAACGAATTGCAAAACAATCCTCGCCCTGCATCCCCACCAAGTCCAACGGGGTCAGATCTGGATGCGCGTCTTGCCGATTACACCTTGGATTTCAGTAATTTCCCGAGCGGTCAATATGCTCTCGATGGGAATGAGGAATCTCTTCCCCCGCTTCACGATGGCGTAGATAATCTGTCTGATGTCGGGGGTCCGGAAGATTTCACCGCGAACCTGGAAGGATACTTGATGGGCGATCTCGAGGATGGACCAGACGACGAGAATGACGGTGAAGTGGAAGACTACGGGACAGTGCGGCGATCTTTCCGGAAGTCGAAGCAACCTGTGATTGAGGAAGAGGCGGATTCAGGCGAATATAGTGAATTTGGACCGCCTGTGGATATGTCAACTCCCTCGCATCTGTTACATCGGGGCAGCGTTCACCGCAAAGATTCCACGCACTTGGAAGGTATCGAAGAATACCCCGATGATGATGAGTCCCAGAGTTCCGAATCTCCTTCTGTCCGAAAATTGTCGGATGCCTCGAGCCATGAATCGAAGGAACAAGAAGACCCTCAACAGCAGATTGCAGAGCTGCAACAGGCAGTGAGAGAACGGGACGAGCAATTGAAGACAAGCCGCCACCGTGTCCTCGAGGCTGTCTCTGCTGGAGAGCAGATCCGTCATCTTCAGGCAGAATTGCAGCGTAAGAATGCCATGCTGGACGAAATGCATGCCAAGGGCACCAATGAGGTTGCACTGCGTGAGCAGATCCAGTCGCTGCAAACGCAACTTGAGGAACGTGAAAAGCTACTACAACAGGCAAGCACCAATGCACCAGATCTCAACCCTCTTTTGAGCCAGATCCGTGAGATGCAACAGCAGCTCCAGGATCGAGATTCGCAGACCGCCTTGGACAAAGAGCGATTGGAAACAATTGCTCATCTGCGGCAACAGCTCAACCATTCCCAGGAGCAGGTGCGAAAGCGCGATCAGACTCTAGATGAGACATTTGCCAAGCTTGAAGAGGTCACGCGGGTCAAGGATACGCAACTGAAGGAGAAGCTCTCGGCGATCGACCAACTCCAATCTCATATTGACGATTACGGTCTTGAGGTTGAGAAACTAGAGTCGGAATTGGAGCGTGCTCACAATGACTATCAGGTCCTCGAGGAGCGATACATCGACCTGGAAATTAAGAATCGGCCTCTGGAAGAGAAGAATTCTACACTAGAAGCGAATCTCACCCGGGTCCAATCCCAGGTTGAAGCCCAGGGAAGTGCTCTCAAAGCTGCGGCTGCAGAACTTCCTGCCGGTGGCCACAGCACCTACAGCGCGATTCTCGACTTGATCAAGGATTTGGGACCCCCTGACTCACCACGCGGCTCACCACTCCCTTCACCGTTAAAGGAGAAATTTACCGATCCACAAGGTGTTCAGCAACAGGAACAACCAGACACACCGAGCATTGCCAGCTTGCAACATGAACTCCAGGAGGCAACCGCCGCACAGCAAACTGCCGAAGCCGAAGCAGCCCGTCTGCGCGATCAAGCAATCGAAACCCAGACCTTTATCAAAACCATTGAAACAGAGAACTCCCGCCTATCCAACCGCGTCAGCGAGCTCACAACGGCCCTCAACAAATCCCAACACGACCTGGCTCTATCCAGAGAACAACACGCTGAGTCCCTCGAAACCATCGCCCGTCTCCAAGAAGACAAGCTCGCCGAACCCCCCAGTCCACCCCCAACCCCCCAAACAGCCCACGGCACTCACAACCCAGAAACCCGCGGCCCCGACACCGCAGCCCTAGAAGCCAACCACCAAAGCCAAATCCGAAGCCTCCAGACCGCCCACTCAACGGCCGTCTCAACGCTACGAGCCTCACACGCCGAATCAATGCGCAAAATCCGCAACCTCCTCACAGCCGCCGAGCAACGCGAAGCCGACCTCCGCTCGGAACTCGCAACCCTCCGCTCCTCATCCGCAACCTCCGAAACACACCTGCGCAAAAGCTTCGAATCCGAACTCCGCCATCTCGAAGCCGTCATCGCTGCCAAGGATGAAACCGCCGCGGCCGTCGACCAGCGCATCGCTATGTCGGTGGACAAGCGCGAGCGCGAGTGGGAGCGTCGCATCGACTTACTCCTTAAAGAGCGGGATCGCATGGCTAAGGCTCTTATGATGAGCTGGGGTGAGAAGGAGTTGGGTCGTGGACCTGGTGCTCTGGCTGAGAATCCTGGAAAGGAGAATCGGCGGAGGGAGAGGGATGGTGAGGGGAAGAGTGGTCAGGCGTATCGCTACAAGTACCGGCAGGCGAAGTCTAAGAGCTCGGAAGCTAGGGCGTAGATTCGCGAACCTGTTTGAATGGTCTTGTCCTTGGCTGGGGTTGACATGTATGATAGGGAGGTATGGGTGTGCCATTGCGCTTTTTCGTTACGGCTATTAGCGGCGTACCTGGTGTTTATTCCTGGTATGGATTGGTCTCGCGAGTCTGTTCTGTTTACTGCGCCCTTCTGGCGAATTTGGAATTGGCTTAGCATCACATAATGGTTTTCCATTTCCTTGTTGCCTTTTTAGGGCTTGTTAGTTCACTTCTAGTTTGCCCTAACTCTTCCCATCGATTCATTCAAACCACACACGATGCAATGTCTATCAACTGCACTGTTTTATTCAGGATCTAAAGTAAAATGAAGCTAACTAGCTATGAAATAACACAGACGAAAAAAACCCCCAATATGGCTAGCCCAAGCAACTACTTAACTCTCCATTCAAATCATATAATAGAAATCAAACAGAATGATCCGACCAGCAGAACAAACACAAATTAATACCCAGTCCTTCTCAAGTTCTCTGCAGAACTAGTAAAAACTCAAACTAGTCCGATTAACCCCCCGATACTTCGTCTCATCAATAGGATTAGACGCCAACTCCGAAAACCCCTCGGAAACACGCCTCACATCATCCCCAGACGGCGGCAAATTCGACCCGGCCTCAAGAATACAGCTCAGCGGCCCATTCACGCCATGCGTACTGCTCCGCGAACGGCGCGTGCTGGGGTAAATAACCTCGACGTCGTTGTGCCGCGGCATCGGCGGCATATTGCGGCGTTGGCCTCGGCGGGAGGATTGCGCGTACCCGTTGCCTGAGCGCAGGTGGTACTGGCTTTGTGAGTGGCGAGGGGCTTGCGAGGGGTCGAAGTGGTAGGAGGCGCTGCGAGAGGGGTACGCCGTGAGGTTTTGCTGTGGGGGCATTGTTCGGCGCTGGTCTGTGGGGATGCGCGGGCGGGACTGCGAGTAGGCGCGGGGTGGGGGGCCTGGGGCGGGAATGAAATTTGGGTGGTGGGGGTGGTGGATTGAGAGGGCGGTTGAGGTGGAGGTTGTTTGGGAGCGGTGGATTTTGGGTGGTGAGGTGGGTGGGGGGCTTGGGACTACTTCTGGGGCGTCGGCGGAGTTCATTGTCATTGTTCGGGTGTGGCCTTCGGGCTTAGAGCTGGTGGGGGTTGGGGCGTTGGAGGGGGGTTGGAGGAGGGCTGGTGTTGAGGTGATTGGGGTTCCGTTTGTGGCAGGTTGGTCCGGTGGGGATTCGGGGATGGCCTTTGGCATGCTGTTTGGTGTTACGACTTGCTTTTCGACGTCTGAGGCGGTGTTGGGGTCTGCGAGGGCTCGGATTTGGGGATCCGCTGATAATGGCAGTGACAATGGGAAAGACTTTGGGAGGAGACGTCTCAGAGATGATAGGGACGACTTCGCCCGCCTGTGGCCAGTGAAGTTCGGGGGAATTGCTGGCACTTTGGGAATAGGTGCTTCTGGGAGAAGAGCGCGTAGTTCATTGGCGGTTTGCGTGGTCATGACGGTCGAGGTACGCGAAATTGGATAGTAGTCGCTGACTAGGCTCTGCGTCCCAGGCGAGATACGGTGCAGGGTATCATCGGGCGAAGCTGTCGTCCCAGATAGAATCTCTCCGTAGGTGGACCCAGGATCGGTGTTGAGTCGCAACTGAGGCCGCAGCCGGACGGGGGCAGGGTGGCGGATGCTAGGATGGCAGTTGACTCTGTTCGCAATTGGATCCGCAGACCAGAAGTCACCCCCGTTGCCATCATGTTGGCGACATAGGTAGAGAATCTCGTTTTTGAGGGTTTCTTCGCTGTCCCAGCTGTTACCAGAAATGATGCTACCATCTCTGTTCACCTCCGGGCGTTTGTAGATTCCGAGAAGCGACACATCATATGGTCGATCACAAAGCTCTCTTGCGCAGTACATAGTGCATACGGTGACCCTGTAGTATAATTGTCAGTCGACGTGTGGTAGACTGGAAATTAGCATGCAACATACATAGAGACCACTGAGACGATCACAGAAGCTCGGTGGAAGGCACAGCTGGTACCGACTCTCCAGAAAGACGCATCTGTCCCTCCTGGGAGGCAGTACACCTGCTGCGCAGCGACCACTAAACCAGCCACACTTGTAGCCAGCCAAAGCATAAGATCCAAGCGCAGCACATATGTGCATACATTATGCAAGATAGTCTTCTGTGTTCCAAATCCACCGATATTGTTATATTGCCAAGCGACCAAACTCTGGAGACTGACAAGCGGTACCGAAAGGAAAGACTTGATAAGGGTCAGCAAGAAGTACAGCGTTCGCGGATTCAAGGTGCACATACAGCGACAAGAGCAAGTACAACACTTGGTGTCATCTTCGAATCAACCTGATGGTTACCATAAAGGTAAATAACCAACACCCACTCCAAGATAGACTCAAAGAGCAGCAAGTATAGCGCAACAAAGATCACAAGCTTCGTCCATGTTCCCTCCTTTCGAGGCGTAGGTGAAAATCCAGACGCCATGATCGCGATGCGTCAAAAACCGAGAGACCGACAACTTTGGATGTCGTTCTCTTTAAGTCTGGTGGTCGGCAACGGAAAGTCGAAGAATGCCAGGATGTCGCTGGTAAAGGACAGGCGAATGAATGCGCCGGGTCGATTCCAACCCAGATGCAATCACCTTAAATTTTCATCAATTGGATGCACAGAAGAGCATACATAAGGTTAGCGACAAGAGCAGCGTGGTCAGACTAAAAAGGGAAATTCATAGTGGGCTCTTCACCCTGGAGCGCGTCGACGCGAATATAGCGTGGAGGGGAGGAATGTAGCTGCCGAGGGGTGGGCTTGGGAAGAATTCTCGAGCCTTGAGGATGATCCTCGCTTTCTATTGAGAGTGGTCGACCCATGTGAAGTTAGCTTCATAGTGTGGAATGCTGTGGACTTTCTAGTGCCAGGGGCGTATTGGAGGGTTCAGCAGTTGTTGGCTTTACCCCTGGGGATGTTCGACGTCAATTCGTTCCAGTCCCTGAGAACGGAAGACCTCGGGCTAATTTCATCCAGGAATTTAGTATCGCACTTGTGACTTATCTCCTCCGTGCATCGAAGGGTTGTTCTTGGATGGAAATGTAGGATGGGGGAGATGATCTTGGTGTAGGAGGGCCCATCACAAAGCCCTAGATCCCTCGATGACGTGGGGTCAACAACCACTTCTGCGACCACAAAATACCCGACAACTACAGCAAAGTCTTCATCTCTTCGAAGCTGTAATTATCGACTTTGAACAATGCTTCTTTTCGACTTTCTGTGAATTGTAGCTTTTCGTTCCTCTGTATGTTGGACAATGTCCCGAGGTCCGTTTCCAGGGCGCGATGCACGTGATCCGAGGGGTTGACTTGTCTGTAAGGACGAGAAATGAGCTGACCTGGATTGACAAACATTCTGACGTCTTTGACAGGCACCTGAATGCAGTGTATTCGATAGTTCTAGTTGAGGAATGTCCGATCTACTGGAAGAGATCACTTAGATTGGCCTTCAGGCTTGACACGCCACGATGAATGAGTAGATCGAGGCACTGCCAACTGGTGAGTGGATGCATACCTCCGCACTCCCACCAAATTTTGGTGTATCAAGGCGAATCCTAGAAGTGGATCTTGTCAAGGGCCGGTAATCGGAACTCATATCTATTGTGACCGCTCTCTCTTCTCTTTTCGGACTGGATGGTATCCTTCGACAGATGCTTGTCCACAGTGCTATGCCAGATCCTGTGCCAACTGGTGAATAGATGCGCTTGCACGCAGCACTACATGACTGTACAAAATAAGCCACCCGCAATGGCTAAGCAACTGTCAGTATAACGCAAGCGCTCGTCGATGAGATAACTTACCTGCAGTGATGACTCCAGACGCCATACCGGAGGCAATACCATTGGACGCGCCATTGAACAAGTTGTGTGTTTGCCCACTAAGCTTCTGATAGGTATGCCTGGCCTGGGACACCTCTGTTCGAACGGTATCAACCTCTTCCTCGTATCTCCCTAATTGGGACGTAATCTGCTGAGACGTTTTGCCTCGTCGAGCTGCATCCCTGATTACTGCCGCTAGAGACTCTTCCATCTCGAGAAGTTCTTCTTCTCTAACGGCGAGGTCGTATAAAAATTTCTTTTCCATCTCCTTGAGTCTCTTCCGCCAAGCTCGTTCTTCCTCCTCGTGCAAATCTTGCATCGACTTCCGCAGCGCTCGTCTATCCTTTTCGGCTTTCTTCAGCTGCTTTTCCAGATCCGCCTGAAGCTCCTGCAACTCAGCAACATGCTCCGCGTTACGTTGGTGGTTTTCCGCATCGACCTTAGCTCTCAGCTTTTGCAATTCCCGCTCATGTTCTTGACGAACTTTATACAAATCCCCAGCAAGCACGATACCTGCTTGGGTCTCGCCAATCATTTTCTGTTGGTCAATGATCTCACGCTGCAGTCGCAAAACCTCTGTAGTATGGTTGTCTGATTGGCGGATAAGATGTGTCACAATACGTCGCGCAGAAGTAACCTCTTCCAAGGAGTCCAGCCGGCCCTTTTCGTTGTGGCGGAACAGCTTCGCCCCTTTGGCGATGAGGTCACCAAAGAACCTTCCGTCCAAGAGTTGCTCTTCCCGCTTTGCACATAGAGACGAGTTTGTTGACCACATTGTGGTCGCTATGGCAAGATTTGCATATGACGAAAATCCACACATCGCCTTCATCATTTCAAGATTTCGCATCGTCGACCCTGACATGCGATTGTCGGATATGGGATGTAGCATCAGTATTCCGTGAATGCGCACCCCATTGGCATATGAAGCCCCGAGATACGTGGCGAGGACTCCCAATGTCTCGATGTCTGATCGGTTTGTGTCATTGAACCCCGGAGTGTCGATCAGGTAGACTCTGTGGCCATTGCAGTCGAAGTCAAATACGTCTATAGCACTGGTACCTGGTTCCTGTGTTAATTTCATTCTCTACGACCTTCACGATGGTTGATCTTGGATGGGGAACTATCTTACAAGAGTTCAGCCCGTGTCCCACGGTAACATCTTCCCCTGTGCATCGACCGACAAAGGTGCTCTTCCCTGAGCCTGTCATTCCCATAACCAGAAAGAACTTATCGCGAGTATCAGGCTTTGTGATGCCTGTAAAGGCCGCGACTCGTTGAGTTTGATTGATCGCATCAATCATTTTCTATGATTATTGTGTTAACGACCTAGCAACTGACAGAGTGAAGGGTAGAATTTTGGGGAAGAAGCCGGATTCCAGCGGTTGATTTCTACCTCAAGGGACGTTCGGCATGAATGAAGCTAAGCCTCAAATGCTACCAGTTTGCCACAAAAGAAGAACTCGTCTTAGCTCCGCCCACCCTCTCAACGGACGCCCAAAATTGAGCAGTGGCTGACAAGGCGATCCAGCTCTATCCGTGGTGTTCATTGGTCGAGCACTGGCATTGTAGGGAGACTGGGCACCTGGCCCCCGCCTTTAGGCTTAAAAGTAAGCAGCCACACGGCAACAAGATCTTCTTTTTGTGTTAACTTGTCGCGCTATTCCTCAGAGGTTCCGAGTAAATGCGCTTGCAGCGGCGAGGCACACATAAAAGTTAGAGCCCGGTGGTCGCCGCGTTCTTGCCTGCAGGAACCTCTTCCGGGCGACGTGGTCTCCATCCGCTGGTGTGATTGTGCCGAGTATGCCTGCACCTGCAGGACTTGGCGCAGCAGCAGTGGCTCGGCCGAATTAAACAGGGGAGGGCTATGGACGGCGACCATCCTGGTGCCCGGCATTTTAGATGCATGCACTCAAAAAAGGATCATGGCAGTGCTATCTATGTCTGCACCAACCCCTCACTCTAATACAGGTACAACCCACTATCCATCCGACCTACTATCGGCACGGCATCTACTGACCTGCCCATAACCTGATCCAGCTAACAATCTCCTCTCATGTCGAGTATATCGGCTTTCAGTAGTGTGTTCTCCTCTTGAGTCCAAGAAGCGAAGCAATCACTAACCTACCTACAGAAAGATCCGGAAAGCGCCGGGCACATGACACAAGCTCGGTGCAAACTCGTGGCTTCCGCGGAGGCCATGAGCCCAAGTAAGTCGCCCGAGATATACACCCCTACAGCCATTCCGTGCTGATTGGGTGACTAGACCGGGTGATGTGTTTATTGCTGTGATGGGTGTGACTGGCTCTGGAAAGAGTTCATTCATCTCCATCTGCTCAGGCGAGCCTGTCGAGATCGGACATTCCTTGGATGCATGTACGTGGAATATTATGGGAAACACCGTCTCAATCACCTTTCGGTCTCTAATAGCAAAGCAGGTACTGCGAAGGTGGACGTGTATGCGTATAAGCTCTCGTCCAGTCGAACCGTATATCTGATTGACACGCCTGGCTTTGACGATACCAATAAAAAGGATACAGTGATTTTGAGTGAGATTGCAACATGGCTTGGCGATTCCTATCAAAGCAACATTCTCCTCCATGGCATAATATACCTCCATCGCATCACCGATGTCCGGATGCCAGGATCTGCGATCAGGAACCTTGATATGTTCAGGAAGCTATGCGGCGACGACGTCTTCAAGAAAGTTATCCTTGTCACGACAATGTGGGACACAGTCTCAACCGATGTGGGGGTTCGACGTGAAACGCAGCTGAAGAAGGATGAAAAGATGTGGGCCCCTATGGTGAGGAAGGGGAGTTCCTGCCATCGACACAATAACACCGAGTCCTCCGCTAGAGATATTATACAGCTACTGGCTAAACACAACAGTCCTATTGTTACAGACATACAAAGACAGCTGGTGGACAAGAAGCTCGATCTCAATCAGACCTCTGCTGGGCAAGTCCTGCAAAGCGAGACTATGAAAGAGGCGGCGAGGTTAATGAAGGAACTACGAGAGTTCGAAGCATTAGAGCGAGAGGCTCAGCGCGAGAAGGATATGGAGAAAGAAGAGATAATGCGCGAGGAGGCTAAACAGCGTGCCGAGATGATAAAGAAGGCCAATGAGGATATGGCAGCGCTGCGAGCAAATATAGACGAGTTGCTCGCTCAACGCGATGAGCGCGAGGCACAATTGGGAAAACGGCTGGAAGAGCGGCTAGAAAGGGAAATGCAGAAGAGACAGGCTTCTTATGATCAACAAATTCAACGTCTCCGGGAAGAGAAGAAAGGTGAGGTGGAATATGTCGACGAGCAAGAGGCAGAACCGCGACGTCAATCAAGCTTCTTTAAATTTGGAAAGACGAAAGCCGAGAAAAGGGCCGAAAAAGAGAGGAAAGCTGAAGAGGCAGTTGAACAGTACTGGAAGACTAGACAACAGTCCAAGTCTCTAAGTGCAGGCTACTCTCCTTACTCGGTATCCATGGGGCGTCAACTATGCGCTCTTAGTGGCCCGAAACATTATTGGTGGTACGTATGCCGAACCGACAGATTACTGCTAGAGGTACTAAGTCACATACGTCGACAGCTCTACCAAAGGTGTGCCCAAAATTAAGTTGGGTTCCGAGTGGCTTACTGCTGTGAGTTTTGGGAGTTCTAATGAATGGATCGCTCGATACGGAGGGGGAACATGGTGTAAGAGCACATCAAGTCTCAAAGGATCCGAAGCTGACACTGGTCTCTAGACCACTCGGGACTCGAAAACTACCCATCTCTTCTCGGCAGTCTCGACCGGCACGGAATCCAGAATCTGGAATTTTGTGTCCTCGGCCCTGGACAGAAATACTATGCTCGGTGGGCGAATAATGCATGGTTTTCTCGGGCATCAGACGAACTTCACGATGTGTTGGAAGAAGTGATCAATCGACCCAATAAACCAAGAATTCGCGCTCTGGCATTTGGATACGGTAACTCCTATGTCCTTTCGTTTGGATCCGCCACGGGGACAAAAGTCAACGGCAGATGGGGCAACCACTGGAACACAAAGGGATACTATCCCGACCTGTCCGATTTCCTCTCGGGAAGCGGTCCCTTGACTATACTGGTGAGTCTGCGGAATCGCCTCCAATGCACTCCAAAGCTGACTCGAGCAGGCCGTTGCACTTGACCCGCATAGCACGACTGATTTTATCCTGGTCTACCAAGCTGCATCCGGCCAGCCATGCTTGCTGTTCTTCTGCTCTGACTCTTACAGGTGTCAAGTCATCAATAATTGGTGGGATAAGGAACGCGGGAGTTCTAAGGCTTCACCGGCTCCGACGCGTGAGGAGCCTGCAGACAATTCATTAATCTTATCAGGCGCTATGGGGGAAATGATCTCGGATACCGCACGTATCTACCTACGAGCAGTACCTATATGATAGTATGGCTGCTTCTGGTGGGTCAACGGGATATAATAACGATCTTTCGAATCATTGCTATCGGACGGCAGCCCTTCGCGCCGTATAGTCAGTCCCAGTATAAAGGTGTTCCCTTCGGTAGCATGCTTTCTGCCTTTCAGAGCGCTGCCATAAACTCAGGGGGTAGGCAAGGGTTTTTCAGATTCGTGATTCCTTCAATACTTGAGTAGCTCAGAATGACAGCCGCAACAGTGGACGGAGCAATATGATATTGCTCGCAGACACACTACTGCGTGCACGCAACGACAACTTTGCCGGAGTCTGAGAATGCACCGATCGACTCTACGAGTACCGAATCAGGAAGTGGGGAGTTCTCCATATTATACGAGCAGTATTTATCTGCCAATCACAGTAGCTGATTTGCTCACTTTCAAGCTGCGCCAGCCCCGCATTGAACCCTGAAGTGACAGCGGGCGTAGTATGATTGGATTCTCTCACTCCGACTTGGCCCCTTATGTGCATAGCTCGTTTCGTTGCTTTCCCGCGAGGGGTGCTGTTGTTGAATTAAAAATAAAGGTTGCCCCTGCAGAGACTTTGCGTTCAAAAATCTTTACCTTTGTGCCCACAAGCACATTGTTCCTCTTTATGGGTGATTCTTAATCCACAGCTATCATGGTATCTCCACTCCTTTTCTTGCTATACTTCACCTGCCTACCTTCAGTGTCTGCATGGATCTTCAGCTGGCACAACCCAGACGGCAAATTGCTGGCTGTTCAAAACGAAGGCCCCCAGGATTGCAGGAAAATAGATAACCCTAAGGGGAATGTCTTCGATTGGTCCCCGATAGAGGGACACTGGTGCATTTTCCTATACACAAACTCGGACTGCAAGGAGCCATCTGCCGGCCATACATGCAAGACCTACCCCTGGTCTGACCACGCCTCGGGTCAGCATATACTGTCATTTCAAGTGAAAAAGTATACTTCCGGCATTGAAGACTCAATATCGGATTCCCCGTCGACCACCGATGCAAATACATCATCAGCACCCACCGCAACTACCCCAGCTACCACAGACGCTAGTGACGCTGCCAGCTCTTCCTCGGTCACCCGTGTATCCTCTATACCCAGTGCATCCTCAGTCACCAGCGCATCAGCTAGCGCAGATGAGAAACATACTATATCAGGTGGTGCAATTGCTGGAATTGTTATAGGAGTCCTAGCCGCAGTGGCCATTGCTGGCATTGTTGTCTTCCTGATCTGGCGACGACGGAGGAATTCCGCATATGCCGCACAGTCAAGCACCGCCGCTCCGAGTGATACAACATCCGCGATGGCGGAACTTCCTTCGCCTGCCGCAGAACAGTCGCCTATTCCGACTAAACCAGTGTTCCGCGAGTTACACGGATCCGCCGTCGCAACTGAGATAGCTGGGGCAGAGCGGTATGAACTAAGTGGGACCGAAATTTATACAGAGAAGAAGGCTTGAACTCAAGGAAATGTATATTGATATCCTCTGACGGTGGACTGTTTATCTGTCCTATTCAATCCGTTCTCTCCCTTTCCTTCCTTTCTCTTACTTTTTCCATTGTTTCAACAGACTCAGTTCTATTTCACATTGCGCGAATAGCCCTTGTAACACTAGACTAGTACTGCGTTAGAGGGTGTTTTCTTACCTAGACTCAGACTCCAGACATCGGGATAGCATTTTCAAACCAGTTTCCAAGGTTATAATGGATATCATACCTAAATATTGACAAAACTTTTCTGTCCAGTTGGCGAGCTTCCCGTCAACTGGCAAGCCTCCCGCTAACTGGCTAGTTTTCCCAGAGTGCGGCGGACCCACCTAATCCATGGATATTGTCGGCCTCATCTGCATCCTGGTCGACAGCAAAATCCACCGCCTTTTGCAGGGGGACGACTGAAAGACCTGCGGCGGCTAATGATAAATTGTCTTTAAACACAGTGTCACTTCTCACTCAACACACCAGCCTGTTTCACTTACTTCGTAAGTCAGGCTCCTTCAACAATGGACTATAACCAAGGCCTTGATATCTCAAATCAGATCCAAGAGGACGTTTGGGTCGACGAGATCAATGAATTTCGATTAAACGGGCGTCTTTGCGAATGGATAACAGGCTTTCACCCTGAACAAATTCCATGTCAGCTGGATGGTGGCTTCTTGAATGGCTCGTACAACATCGGTCAAAAGATCATCTTTGAGGATGGTACCACATGGTTACTCCGCTTCCCTCGTGTGAAGAGCATTTGCCCTAAATACGCCGATGAAAAGGTAGTCATGGAAGTGGAGGCTCTTTCTCTTATCCGCGAAAGGACAAGTGTTCCCGTTCCAGATGTCAAAGCCTGGGGTCTTGCTGAGAGCAATCCTTTGGGTCTTGGTCCTTTCATCTTGATGGACTTTATCGACGGGGTTTGTCTCAATGACGTGTTCACTGGAGGCAATTCCAGGCTCCTCAAAAAGGAAATTCCGGACAGTGACCTTGAGATTGTGTACAGCCAGATAGCGAACTTCATGTTGCAAATTTTCGAGATCAATTTCGACCGAATCGGAAGTTTGCCCACGGCAAGGACTGGTTATTCTGCGCCTATCCGCCCTTTGACATGGAAGATACAAGAGATTGCAAAGACCGGGGGGTTGAACACTTTTGGTACGTCTAGAATCCCACAATCTCCTACATTTACTAACAAAGGTCTTTTAAGGTGATCGAACCAAGGGCTTTTCGACAACCATGGCGTACTTCCAGTACGTTATTGACCAGGACTGGCAACAACTTCGATATCAGCCGAATTCAATCACTGGCGAACTAGATGCTATCTCCAAATATGCTTCACTAAGTATTGTAAAGTCATTGATACCCCGCTTTGTGAATGCGGCGTATGAAAATGGGCCTTTTAAACTGATATGCGATGATTTCGGCCCAGCAAATATGATCGTGAAAAGCGAGAAAGATCTTACAATTGTCGGGGTTGTGGACCTTGAGTGGGTGTATGCGGGACCGGCCCAGTTGTTCGGTTCAGCTCCTTGGTGGCTTCTTCATGACCGACCGGTTAATGAAGAGTGGGATTTTGTGGACGGCAATCCTCCCGAAGCCACTAAGCGGTATATCAATTGTCTGGACATTTTTAAAGAAGCTTTGGTAAAAGAGGAGGCGAAAATGCCTAGAGAGCAGGGTACGGAACTTTCTAAGCTTGTCGAATGGTCCGAGGCTTCTGGTGCTATGTGGGTTCATATGCTCCTGTCTAGTGGGTTCTTCGACTCTTTCAGTTTTCCTTGCATGCAACTACGGCAATGCGTCGGTGCTCGGTGGTGGAGAGAACGTGTCAATGAGTTGGAAATCAGACCGGAGGTGGAACAGTTTGCGGCTCATAAGCTCCAAGACTTGGAGGAGTTTGACAAATCTGTCGATAAAATTGAGGAGCTCAAGGACTGTGTGGATCGTGGCGAGATGACGAGGGATGAGTTTATTGTGGCCATCGATGAACTTTTGGTTGTGAGGTAGCATCGTTGTTATCTGACAGCAAAACGGGGACATTATCTCATTACTACACATGCTCCAGAGCTTACGACCAAGATATTTGCTCTAATTTACTGATATATACATACAGAGCAGTTGGTTCATAAGAGGGAGGAGTTAGTGAGCACGTACACCCTCCAACACCCTGACGTGGGTGCCGAGTTCCAGACGCGGGTTTAGCGAGCTTTCAGCCAACTGGCGAGCTGCAGCCAACTGGCAAGACGAATTGCCCCAATAATCTCACGGCGACACGTTCCGGGTCTGCTCTGGTGTTTGATTAGGGGAGTTTTAGCTCGCTAGAGGTTAGCTATATCCGTTCATTACCTGATGCGATTATTAGTCCTTTCTGTTTACGTTTTCTCTTTTTGGTAGGCCGTGAGGTCAGGTGGAAAGAGCGAAAAGGCGGTCTGACACTGCAGACAGGATCACAGGACGATGGGAGGGCTGCAGAGCAGGAGACAGTAGCAGGGGACGTCCTGACACCTATTGTCAGGCTACTGGGAAGTCACAAGAATCATAATGGAAACCCGTTTATAAGACAAGAGTCAAGAGACATGTGTTCTGTGTGTGTTCTTGAGCCGTCGACGTAACCTAGAAGATTCAATACAGGAAAGAACGTCTGCGGTCCCTGTTGGATGGGGCTGAAGACCAAGTACAAAGAGAAACTAAAGTAGGAATGCCTTAGCAGGGCTGGACTACCAACAAGTTTCCTGACACCACCACCTCGCGACTATGCCTGCATTTTTTGTGCGACAATATCAACATACTCAGCATCGATTTGCACAAGTACCGACGGGCCTTCTCGCTCTAAAGTCTCCGAGTCGATCACAAAAGTTACGAAGAACGTCGCCGGTTCCGTCGGGCTCGCATTAGCGCTAATCCGGTGGTGACAGCCTGGTGCCTCGTACCACGAGCCGCCCTGCTCGATGATCCTCATTGGATCATCATTCATCTTGACCAGAACAGAGCCACTGATTACGTAGGCGGAAACAGAAGCGCCCCCATGACGGTGAGGGGGTGTCGCGGCGTTCGGGGGATATTCGACGAGCATTCCAACAATAGTCTTTCCGGGGCAGTTTACCAGCTTATACTGGTAGGCGACGGTGGTCGTACCAAAAGGGCAACTAGAAATATTAGGTTAGGAGCTTCATCCAGGCTTGAGAGGGCTTTGGCCACTGAAGTAGGTACGTACTCTGGGTTGTAGACTGGTTCTTGCATGATGACTGGAAAGGATGTTGTGCGGGTGGATGACAGTGTTTACTTAGACAGGAGATGCGGATCTCTGAAGTATTGGAGGTATAGGTCGACAGCTGTGATCATAGGTTGTTTATATAGTTTTGGATAGCTGAATTGCTTAGAAATTTGCACGGGATCATTTTCGTACCATGTTCATTGCAGATAACCGGGCTGAATTACCCCAAAACTGTGATCCATCCCCATGCGTTAGTGGCAGTACACGCAAAACCTTAATGGAATCCCATGGAGCTCCGTTCGTAAATGAGCCAAACATTAGATGAGTTCCCGAATTCCCGATGTGATGCCATTGAATGAATACCCGTCCCGTCCACGGGTACACGGGTACGGCGATCATGACGTTTGGACTGGCTCGGCAAGTTTACAATTGCATTACCTCATGCAAACACGAGCTTCGAGATGTGGGAATACGCTAGGCCGATTTTAATACTATTTGCCTTATCTGGAAGGTTTAAGCATAATTCCAATGTAGTTAGTACCCATCCACGCTATAGTTAACCTGCAGGGTTCACGTAATATTGAATCGGTGATGAAGAATCATCGATTTGATATGATGTTTCGAATTATGGCTAAGTGTGAAGCCGCCACTGCCGTTGAGTATGTCCATCGAATACAAGTCATTAATCTCTGATTCATGACTCTATATCGACTCTCATTCGCCTGAGGAGATAGAGCCCGCGGAGATGTATATTCCAGCTTCTTTGGTATTCCAAGGTTGCGTCTGCTTTGTAAGGTGATTTTGTGTACCCGGTGTTTCCGTGACTCACTCCCGCATAGGCTACTCAATGAGATGTCTCAGGCCCTCAGAAAGCATAAAAGGTGGAAAGTGAACCCGAGTGGGAGACAATCTTTGCAAACACAATCTGGATACATCAGGAGAACAATCCAGCAGACTCAGAATTCCAAACTCCTAAATTGAGATCCCACAACATTCTTTGCACCATGCAAGCTGTGCGCCATCACCCTCCCGGAGGCACTGAGAAGCTCAGGATCGCTTGGGAGGACATACCAGAGATCGACGACGATGAAGTACTAGTCAAAGTTCACGCTGCCAGCGTCATCTGGATGGAGCTCTATTGGGACATCTATCGGAAGGAGGACGGCACATACAAAACCCCTATCCTTGGAGAAGACTACTCTGGCGTTATCGCCAAGGTGGGGTCGAAGGTGCCCAACGACAGCGGTCTCCAAGTTGGCACCGAAGTCATGGCATTCATGAGCAAGGCATTCCCCACCAAGCGAAGCATTGACGGCGGCATGGCCGGCTATGCGAAGGCTCAATTCTCCCATATGGTTCCAAAACCCCGGAGTCTTAGCCTTATCGATTCTGCGTCGGTGCCCCTTTCCGCTCTCACCGCGTGGCAGGGCCTTTTTGACCATTGGAACCTATCAGCTGGACAGACCCTCCTTGTTACCGGAGCGGCTGGTCCGACTTCGATCTGGGCCGTCCAACTTGGCAAGATGGTTGGGGCTCGCGTCATCGGTACGGCGTCATCTGAAGAAAGCTTCAAGCTCCTCAAATCGTTCGGAGTGGACGAGGTCCTGAACTACAAGGAGGTCAAGCTAGACTCAGTTCTGGAAAACGTCGATGTCGTCTTTGATACCGTGGGCGGCGATACGTCGAGACAGGCGCTCAAGACTCTCAGCAAAGACGGCAAGCTTATTTACCTTGTTGGTCAACCGCCCGATGACATCGCTAAGGACCCTAGGGTGGACTTCTTCATTGTCGATATGAATGCGGAGCAGCTAGCCAAGATTGCGGACTCGATCGATGAGGGTAAGCTCAAACCGGTCATCGACTCGGTCTTTGACTTCAATGATGTAGTAAAGGCTTTCGAAAAAGGGGAAACAGGGCACTCTCATGGAAAGATTTTGCTCAAGGCGCCCAATGTGTAAGGCGGTTTCGCCAGGTCTAATGCTCGCAATCCAGCAAAGCCACTCGTTGACGAACCACGGTGTATGTAGGTATTAAATCAATTTGTCGCTGTCTTTATCAAGCCAAAGCCTATACCAAGGGTTAGCCACAAGAGTCACCCACGCTCTAGAAGTCTCTGCCTATCGTGCACAGGCACGTCAGAGTAAGGCTACGGGTGCCCAGTTGTCTCAAAAATGGCAGGTAAAAACTTTGCAACTTGCTTAAAGCTGTCCTTATGTCGTAATACGTATAAGTTGGAACGTTCATCAAGCCGCACGACTGGCCCGGAGACCTTCCTGAACAGCTCATTCCATCGGAAGGGTGAGCAGTTGTAAAGATCGAGAAGCGTGATATCTTAATCAATTCCACGGTACTATGGTATCACCGTCACCGATACTTGAAGACTGCTCTTCAATTAGCTTCAAGTTGATTCCTGCACAGGGTACATCTTGACTAAGTGGTATTCGGTCTCATTGATGCAACAGAGCATTCTTGACTCATCCGAGTAAGTAAAACGGCATAGCAATAGAATTGCCGGGCAACGTGAAATTCTCTGTCAATTAAATGAGGGACTCAGTACGTCCACATGGCCAGCTTAAGCACATTGGTGTCCCACAGGACTGTCCCCTGGTCGGCCATCACAAGTTGAAAAGCCTTCCTCATCTTTATCTTCACCCTTTTGTGGCCACAGTATATGTTTTAGAACTACAGCACGGATCATCATGATGCAAACGAAGAAATACATGAAAATCAGCGGAAACACCATCACACAACCAATAACGTTAATGGCTCCAGACGAGAAAGCTTTTCCAACGGCAAATGTTGCAGTGATCAAAGCAGTGTTCGGAAAGATGAAAGAGAACCAATTCATTGAGAATGGCAATCGTCCTCGGCTAACGACAGTCCAGTGAGACAAGATTGCCGTAAGGAAGAAGAAGATCGCTAGCCTAACAAAGTCTCAGCTTTCGGTTCTGCTATTAGATGGGTCCGTGTCATACCCCCAGAGCCACAACGCAGCGAAGTCGACTGTGACTTTGAATATGCTCGCGGCCAGTCGTCCATTGCCCAAAAAATGTATTGGAAAACCCCTCTTGGCCCCATTGGCCATGTTCATAATACCAGCGACCGTGAATGCACTGGGCCCCACGGAAACGAACATTCCGGGTCGAGCCCTTTCTTTGGGGAGCTTTTGCGACATCAATCGGTATATGAAGGCCGAATACACCGTCAATGACACTAGAAAGCCAACTCCTTGAATGGCAAAGCCAACTAATATTGTTGGCAGTGACCGCGATGGCCCTAATTTACCACAGAGGGCACCAGCTAGCGGGCCAATAACTAGCATGGGGTAAGCGGGGAAAATCCATATAGGTGTCATTTCGGCTATTGTGAATGTCTGTGTCGACCAACTAGAAGATGTCAATATACCAAAGGTTCACAGGTGATAGATCAAGATATCAAATCTCACAGTATAAGGTAGATACCCGCGGAAAACATCACAGCCACGGCCGCCATAAACCAAAATAGGATACTGATAGTATCGGTTAGCCAGGGTCCGGTATGATCCAAGCCGTACTGAGCTATGTTAATCATTATTGTTTCCGCTGAGACAACTGAAGCTGGAACGAATAATGATTCTGTCGGATGTAAGAATGAGGCTTTGAAGGTGTAAGGGTAAGTATAGAAACGGATTATCAATAAAGCCCATATGGCCAAGTAAAGAACTAAATCAAGCAAGAAAACTATCACACCAATGGTCTCTAGTCCGTTGAATCGATACGGTACTAATATGATAAGTTAGAATGCAATGTATTTCTGGATAGAGGAGTTCAACCTGTATAGAGAACACTGGCCATACCACCGGTAGCCATCGTCAATGTAAAGTAAGCCCAGGTAATATGACGTATTCTTTGTTTCCAGCTCAACCTTTGTGTCCCTGCATCGAAGTCCGGCCGAGGACTACGACTTTCCTCGGCTGTGTCTCTCTGTTGCAATCGGAGTTGAGGCAGGACATGCTCAGTTATATTCTCGGGGTGAAATGACGGTCCTCTGTTTTCAATGTATTCGCTAAAATCTTTCTTTAGCCTCTTTTCGCGTCCTTTCTTTCCATTCTGATCCTTTGAGAACACACCCAATGTCACTTTCAGTTGTCAGATGTGGTAAGTCCATCCTTTTCATGAGAAGAATGTTGGCTTTTCCTGCGACAGGGATAGGCTTTAGGGGTGTGGTCGAATACAAAATCCCGGAGGAATGGACAGATTCAATGAGAAATAGACTTATCCGGTTGCCGCCCAGCACTTATAGATTGCGCTAGTTGAAAACTTCCGGTTCTAAGGCTAAAAGAATATAGCTCGTATCAAGGAATTTCGGAAGGCCCATGACTTGACTATTCCAGTCATGATCTGACTAATTGAACCGAAAATCGGTAGGATGATTCTAGACTCTAGAGTGTATTGCACTTCTCTGGTGTCCTCTCGTCAACTTCAGCCATGCTAGTTTAGACTTCAAGCTCCCCAGACCATGGGAAGCAGCAAAGCCAAAATGCTTGACAAGAATGCCTTTCCCCGAAGAAATTTCTCGTCAGGATGCTTAAACATGACCAACAAGTTGATTTCAGCAGCTTAAATGAGCTGGATCTGCATAGTACCGAAGCGCCAAAGATTTGGCTTTGGTCATGCATCCAGAGAGCTAAATTATAATTCCTGTGAACTGTGACGGAACTGAGACATGACCCCAAGCAGCATCCAGTTTAAGCAGATGACCTTAAAGGTACCTAGAAACATAAGTAATGACCAATATAGACTTTTATTTCTCTACCACGGAAAGAATACCTTTACTGCATGGTAACGAGCTCCTCAGCGGAAGTAGGGTGAATAGCAATACAACGACCAAAGTCCTCCTTGGTGGCACCCATCTTGACAGCAACGCCGAACCCCTGCAGCATCTCGCTAACGCCAATACCAAGGATATGTAAGCCCACGACCTTCTCTTCATGACCGGCACAGATGAGCTTCATCTCAGTCGGGTACTTAGCCTTTCCCTCGGGAGGCAGGCCGACATCGTAGTACAATGCCGTGAACTTCGTGTGGTACACCTTGATCTCGTCATTACCATATTTCTGGCGCGCTTCGGGCTCGGTGAGGCCAATTGTGCCGACCTCGGGGTGTGAGAAAACGACTGTCGGGATATTCTCGTATGAGACCTTAGAGGACTTGTGCTCAGAAGGGCCAAAGATTCGGTCGCTGAGAGTGCGGCCGGCCCTAATAGCGACTATAAAGTTGATTAGTTATTTACTGGACTTAGTGGACCTAGTTTAACGTACCGGGGGTAAGATCAGCCTGGCCGGTCACATCCCCAAGAGCATAGATGCCCTCAGCGGAAGTATTCTGATACTCGTCAACGACAACGTGGCCACTGGTGTTAACCTTCACGCCAGGGATATGAAGGCATAAATCCTCGAGCTCTGGAGTGCGTCCAACAGCCCACAGAAGCTCGTTGACCTCGTACTCAACGCCATCATGACCGACAAGCTTGATCAAACGATCCTTCCCTTTTCCATCGCGAACAAGCTGAATCTCCTTGAAACCAGTGTGGTTACGGTGTATATGAACACCAGCAGCCTCATACCGATCAGTCATGGTATTCTGGATCATGGGGTCGAATTTACGCAGGAATTTGTCTCCCCGAATAAATAAATGGGTTTCGACATTGACGGCGTTCAGCACACCAACCAACTCGACGGCAATGTAGCCAGCACCAACAACGGCAATTTTGGGTGGGAAGTCCTCCAGCTCGAAGAAGCCGTCGCTTGTGATACCATTCTCGGCACCAGGGATGTTAGGGATGTTAGGATGCCCACCGGTAGCGATAAGAATGTGAGGAGAGGTGTAGCGGGCGACGGTGCCATCTTGCTGCTGAACCTCAATCACTTTAGGCTCAATGAAGCGGGCGCGGCCCCGGACAAAGTCAATGCCTTCACCGGCCCAGTTGCGCTCGTAGGTACCATTTAGGCGTTTGATCACGGCGTCGCGGGTGTTCTTGAATTTGTTGTAGTCGGCCTTGACGCCTCCGGGAAGTTCGTATCCGTAGTACTGGAAAATGTCTATCATCTCTTGCATATTGGCGTAGTTCCAAGTCATCTTCTTTGGAATACAGCTTGAAGCCCGGTTAATGTCGACCATGACCATTGTCTTTTGAAGGTGTTGATCACTTACCCAACATTAACACAGGTTCCCCCAGCCCTGCCACTTTCCACAATCAGGGACTTTGCGCCGTAGCGGCCAGCTGCACGACGAGCTCCCCCACTACCTCCGCTACCACCGCCAAGGACAATATAGTCATATTGCTGAATGTCTACAGGGGCCATTGTGTATGAGCTCCGGTTTCCTGAATCAGGCGGGGAGGATAGAAAGAGTTGCAGAATTGACGACAGTCGAGAGTGACTATTCATAAAATTCACCAGGTCTTAGTTCGACGTCAGTCAACCAGGTAAAGTAAGTTACACGATGCGAGTTGTACAATGAGTTATTTAATAGTACAGAAGAAAAGAGCAGGGCAGTTCTAACGTAATACTCGAGACTTTTATTTGTGTATCCAATGATTAGCTTTGGCCGGCTAGATCTGTGATGATGAAGGTTTGTTTTCTCGTCACAAGATCTGTTTGACTCTCCATCTCCTAGGGTGTGGTAGCTTGAGTTTCACATGACGCTACGTAGATGATCAGTACGAGTAAACCCTTTGGTTTATTGTTTGGGACGTTGTCAGTTGTTCGGTGCACTTAAGGTTTAACTTATCTCATGCGGCTCTTCCTCATCCACTTGGTTCCATTATTACTTGCAGTACCGTACTTGGCCTTCTAGGCTAGATTAAGAGTCTTTTCAACCCTAACTCTATTCAAGCCAAGCAATTGGTAACGACTATTCGAGAACCGAAGATAGTTTGGTTCAAGGACTTACTAACTCATGATGTAATCAACCGTTTCAGCATTGCATCGGCTTTTGTTAGACAATACGTTGCCGAGCTCGTAAGTGCCCAAATAACCCGTGGACGCGGTCTCGTATTCGGACGTGAGTTACTGCATTTCATTCACTACCAGTGGGAAGCCTGCGGAATCGGACAGAGCAGTGGGGATTTGAGTCGCTGGATCAGAATCCCACGTCAATACGAACCCATATCCGCATTTTCTGGGGTTTCATGGTCCTCAACATGTATTGAGTATTTAGCATCCCAGAGCGAGCCGCCATCGGCGCAAACCTAATGGATGACGATCGTCGCGTTCGAACAGCCTGTTGTCCAGATCCGCCATTTCAACGGCGTTCTCTTACGCCTTTTCATCCGCACGAGTATTCATTGGATTTCATGTGCGATTGACGCACGTCCTCGGGAGATAGGTTGCAACATTGCCGGTAGAAACGTAATTTGTTATGTTAACAGCGACGACGTTAACCATTATCAAAGAAAGCCTACAAGCTATTTTGTCCATCCAATTCTGGTCAATGTTTTCATCTCTACTACCTGACTATACGCCCGATCTAAATTCTTCGACGTGTTTTGGGTTGATGCGCAGCTCACTAGGTTGCGAATTTCGTTAACTAGAGAGGCCTGAAAGTGGTCTGAATCCAGGTTAGATTTAACCCGAAACTGGCGACTCAGGTATCGTTGTTCCTTGGGTGCTATGTTTCCCAATCTCCCGCTTTTTGTTAAATTCACATTTCCTTCGTCCCTTCAAATCTTCGGGTGAGATATCCGCTAGCGTCCGCTAGTGTCTGCGTGTGCGGGCCCGCCACGGTCAACGCTAGCGGGGCCGCTAGCTCGGTCCGCCCCGCGATCTACGACCAATCGCGAAGGTCCGAAGTTGATGAAGCTCGCCACGAACACCTCGCTTCAGTACTACACAATCTGGAGTGAAGGCCATCAATATGCGGTCCTGAGAACATCTCCGATATAAGTAAAGCAGAAGGTCAGTCGTCTCCATTAGAAACAACCCACATTGGAAAATTCAGAACCTCCCAAGAATCCGAAACGTGATGTTTAACCACCAAAGTGTTTCATTTGTAGAAGAGAGGCCTGGGGATAAAGCACACAAAGGTAATGCCTATCACTTCGTTGAATCTTTCTGCCGATTCTTACATACAAAAGATGAATATCTCTTCGTTCATTCAGCCGGCATCGAAAATGGACAGAGCACTTTCTGCAGTGAAAGGCGCGCTCACGTACAGCGAAACCGGTCGTGCAGGAATGGACATCCTCTTCCATCCGAATCTATGACCTCTCAGTTATGCACTCAAGATCTCGCAGTCTCAAGCGAGGATCAATGCAAGAATCCAACCGTATTTGAAATACTTGCATCGATGTGCAGAGAAAAACACACAACGTACTTTTTAGAAGACCGTGGCAAGATCACGAATCTTTTAAAAGCTTGTGAGATTCCCACTACTGGATTTAAAAGCAGATATTGACTAGACTCAGTTTTTGAGGTGGATCTACATCCAATCAAGATCCCACAACAATTTTGTGAAGCTTACGTTGACTGGTTAAAGTCCGATATTATCGACGATGAGAGCGCAGTGATGGCGTTGGTAAGCTATTGCGGACAGCTCCTTCAAAAGCATCGTATAGTGCACAACTATGCAGTTTGCCAAGCTACGTTACAGTCGTCTGGAGCTTACGATAACGTCTCCGGCAAATTGTCTGATCACGAAATGTGTTCTGCTGAAGAAAAGTGGATAGTTCATAAAATTGGGGCGATGAAAGCATTGCGATCTAAGATTGGGAAGGGCCCTGACACTTCACCCTCGACAATTTTCACAGTCATATGTTTAGCTGCGAATGAGGTATGTCTATACATCCGCATTTGAATAGCCAAGCACCAATTACGAGAAGAGAACTCCTGTCTGTCCAGCTCAATGCTGACATCACTGTTGCTTCAGCTTCTAGAATCAAATATCTATGCATTCAATGCCCATTCCAAGGCATTGCAGTTGCTCGGTACGGTAAGAGGTGGCTTTCATGATCTGCCACTATTCATTAGAGAGATTGTGCACCGGTAAAGATTTAGACTGAAGGTCCATGCACATATTCACTACTAATAGATTGTCCTATCTAGGTTTTGCTGTCACCAGCATTCTCCAAATATGTGTCAGAATACAACAATCTCCTCATAACTTTTTTCAACCCATGTCCATAGGTTTGACATGAGCCAACGGTTGAATTCAGGCTGTTTGTCACCTCCCACTCAGGAAACACCCCCTACATCCGTATATTTTGACCAAGAGGAAGCCGCAGAGGAAGTTTGAACTTTGCTGGATTCTGTCCCTGTCTCTCCATCAAGGTTGTTCAGTATCACATTTCATGACTTCTCGTTGGTATTTGTGCTAGCCAGCTTTTCTAAATGATAATCTTCCTCGGGATTTAGTACGCGTTGCCAATTTGATTTTTATTAGCCCACTTACCGGCGATTTTCCATCGCTGACTAAAGACGCACAGCATTTCTTTCAATTCTTTTAGAGAATGTTGTTTATCCTCTTCGAGGTTCCATTCATCTGATATGGCCAGTGCAGAACCAGCCTGATAGATGGAGAATGGAAGCAACGGATTAAGAGCATTTGCGTCAAAGATCGTTGCTATTGAGTTGAATCTCTTTGCCATATGGATGACAGTTGAGCACGACTCGGCAATCGTTCCGAAATAATGATTACATGATTCGTAATGGCGATTCCTTTCGTCGATTTGGTGATAATGGTGGAGTAGTATGCGTGCACTGGAGTCGATTAGATCAACGTAGCTTCAAGGCAAATATACTACCCAACATACCTGTTACACATGCTGATTGCACCGCAGAAGTTCATACAATAAAGGTCTGTTGCCTGCTGAGTTATCAAATCGGAAAGACAAGTCATAACGCCGTAGATCTGGGCTGCTTCGTTCACATTAAAGATTTCGTTTCCAGTACTCCGACGTACGTGTACGGTTGTTCTTCGAAGCAAATGCGCAGCCTGTACTGTTCTTGCTAGCGGACCAACGCGAACATTTGCTGGTGTCATGAGCGGCAAAGGCTCAGGCACGGGAAACGCCTAAAAAGAGTCATCATAATCCTCTTGCGTGGTCGAAGAAAACTCGCTACTCACATCAGTGACCCATAGGTTGTCTTCGATTGGCAAACAGTCGTCCAAGGCGGGATCGTCTGTGACGAAGTTGCAGAACCCGGTAAGTATTGGCACATAGCTATAACAGACCAAGATTAGAGGGAGTATCTCGAATTATCCCGATAAGGCAAGTAGTTTTCACCTGTCCAGTATATAGATAGTCCACCATACCCGTTTCTCCTCCTCTCGAGAAACCCAATCTTTGGTGGGACTTTCTGTGGATTTTACGCTTCGGTTGCAGCCAACAGCTATTGCACAGCGCGCGACAGTACTGATGGACAAAAAGAGTGATGGCTGAATCATGTGCCCGATTTCGTAAAGGCAGATGAGCAGGCGTGCTTGGATATTCTGCAAGGTGATCGGGTTTCGCAACTCCATAGCCGGTATGATGGCTTTTATGAAGACATATAGCGGGACTTTATCGGGATAACCTCCAGTATTGGAAGGTTCGGTGATGAGAAGTTGCATGCACAGAAGCAGGAATGAAAAGTCCACATCCTGGCGTACTGGGCTGTCGCAAAACCGTTCCAAAATGGACTCTTTGTGAATGAATTGAATCCAAGAATGGATTGTTTGAAAATACCGCCGAGCGGTACCTAGCTGTGACTCAGGATTTCCTATGAAGTGATTGACTTGGACTGATAAGACATATTCCAAAGAGTCACTGTTCGTGAAACAGTCATTGAAGATGGGGAAAGGCGAGAAAGAGACTGGATTCAATGCCTCAAAAGCGGTCGTCGCCGAAGTTGTCGCAAGCGACAGTGTACTTCTCTCCGGCGAGAAGTGAGGTTGAGTGTGTTTTATTTGGGCCTCGTAAAAACAGACCCGATCGACCCTGTTCTCAATATTCGTATCAGCTCTAGTGAAACAACCTGGATTGCTGTTTCGGATATTAATTACCTGGAGCAGTTAGAGCATCTGGGCATTTGCTTATCACATTTTCTCTTGCGTTCCCGGCAGGGCATACAAGACATGACCCGGGACATTGTGACCTAGTCGGTACGCAGTCAGCTGGAGGCAGGTTAGGGTGAGATGTAGAACATCAACAGACAACCCCGCTTTTGGGCGGTCAGAAGAGGGTTTAGTTCATGTGTTCGGCTCTCACGTTGCCAGTACGAAGATAGTTTCGGGAAGCAACCAAGTACCAATAAATTAGACGGTATTCGTTGGAAACCTTCATCCCTCAGCCAAGAGCATGAATTCTGGTTGGGCAGATTTTGAAGGCTTGAGGAATCAATTGTAGCCATGGCAACTGATCTTGGCAATTAGGACTCTTCGTGTTTAGATCTGAGGCTCTGTTCCAACGTACCCTTGGAAATGGCTAAATCTTCTTAGGGCCAACACGAGCGCGTTTGGGGAAATTACGTCACTGCATCCCCTTTCTCAAGACGAATGATGCAAGCTATCCCGGATACCTCAGACACTTCATATTCCGAAGGAACTGTTGGTCTGTTCCAATGTAACTAGATGTTGGTCAAAATAAGCATAAAATTGGGCAATGTCAAAGACAGCCATTTTACTTACCTCAACATGCTCAGACCAAGCATGATTGGCTGGGTAATGCTCATATGACCTATCTAACCAAAAGAAGTTAGGGTCAGCTCAAATGTTTGTGACCCTAGGCCTAACTTGGTTATGAAGTAGGTCATATGAGCATGACCCAGCCAATCATGCTTGGTCTAGGCATGCGTACTGTCCTGACGGCGGATTTACTATTCTTCCGATAAGAACCAACTGGCCAAATTCAGGCAGGGGGGAAAAGTATATCAATAGTTTCAATACCCTAAAAATACTTGAAGCCATCAAAACTCATACGATGGTAATTGACAAAGTTCAATCATCCTTTCTTATCCGGGCCCCGGCTATGTCCTCCTCTTTTAACTGACGGTACCCGAGTTTGGAGATCTTATCAGATTGTCACTTGTCTGGATCCCGATCAGCTGCGCGCTTCCAGAATTGACTAAGCGTGTGGCCGATTTCCTTTAGTATGCTATGAAATGATTCAGTTGCTTGGATCTCCTCAATACGTGGGATATGATTTACCTTGGAGTACGCTTGATAGGCGGTCGTTTGGCAGAGAATCTGTCACTCAAAGCAGCCCATTGGTTGCTTGGAGTTGGAGGAGTCAACGATGCGCTTGAGTCAAGTACAGGCGAGCTTTTCAAAAATGGTATCAAAACATTATCTATCAATGTCTCGGAAGTGTGCTGGACAGCAGGCTCTAAATCAACCGGCGGTGGTGGAATCAGCATTGGGTCGTGACTGAGCAATTCATTGCGTATGCTCGAAGGCAGGTTCAATTCACAGGGGGAACCAGGGGAGATGAATGTTCTCATCAAGTATCCCCACTCTTCCCCCACGGATGCAGCTTCTTGTGTCACCTTTTCGTGCATGAAGGACTGCAGACTGGGATATAGATCATGGTAATTCTGAGCCTTCACAATGAAGTCTATTGACTCAGTGCAGTGCTTGGCAGCTGCAAAATCGAAGAAGGCACCGGCGGTATATGGTTTTGGGGCTTTATCAGACAATATATCTTTCAGTATTGTTGGCAAAGAAATAGGCTTTTGTTCCGCTTGGAGTGCTGCCGATGAGTCCTGATTCAGTGACATGCTTGAACTGTCGATCCGACAATGTATTAATCAACTAATGATGAGAAACAATGGCCCTCTTTGCAAACAAAGAGTCGGCCACCATGTATTTGAATGAATGATGGAATGGGACTTCCAGGTGAGATTGGCCTATGCATTTGTAATTTCGACATTCTGGCCATCCAGTTCTGTTGCCGCTGCCGTTCTTCGTAATGTATTATGCTATCATAGTATTCGGCCCCAGGGGACCCCTCAGCCACCAGAAACTCGATCCTATCAAGAGCCTCTGCAATCTTGGATGTGGCTGCGCGGCATCAAGAAGTCAGCTGTGAAGGACCAATGGTCCCTGACTCCCTGAACGTAGTGGCCGGGGGGTAATCGCGTGGGTCCTCGGGGTGGCGGAGTTTGGTTCTCTAGATAAGCAATCCCCGAGTACCCCACTCCCCGAGAATAGCCTAATGACAAACGACCCATCGACGACTCGACGCGTCTGACCAGAAACCGGAAAGATTGATACAGCCGCTGCAGAAAGCAATCCCCCTACATTGAAAGGGGAGTGATGCTCCTATTCTATTCTTCAAGATACATGCTACTATCGGCGCCTGATACTCAACCCATCATTCATTGTGACGAAGGAGTGTTTGGATTTTTGTTTGGAGAAGGGTTGATGTTGGGGTAGGCGGCGGGTAACCGTGTTATTCCAAACCCCGATTGACAGACGCTTCAGGGAACCCTCACTGCCAAACCCCGAAGTGTTGGCTGGACCGACCTTATCGACCACTTCTAGATTTTCTTCTTGCCGTTCGGACTCCAAGGATGGGGCCAATGGACTTTTTACTTGCTCATGTATATGTTCCACAGAATGGATGTGTCGTTGATTCGGTAAAACGTCTCTCGCACCTACCTACTACTAGTATCATAATATTCTCGGATTTAGCTTTTTGCTAGACGCTCTTTTGTGTCACATGCTCGATGATCGCTATTCAATGTGAATCACGTAGTTGATAGGTTGTCCGCGGATATGCTCAGGAATTCTGCCTTGCTGCATTCAGCACCATTGACCATATTGGGTTAAGTAGGATCTAATCAACCACAGTTCTTACTCCCGCTGCATCATGCCTCGGTCGTGGTCCGGTACTGGTATGAGCCGTAATAACCCCAAATGGCTTACTTCGAAGTGGTTAGAGTGATAATTCTACCATTCAGGATACCACTTTCCCGTAAACGAGGCTAAGACCCCGATCGGTAATTCGGGATTCGGGAGGCAAGTTCTAATGTCAGAATGTAATGACTTCAAGACTGGTCGGCCACCAAAGGTCAAGCGAAGCTCGAGATATGATTCGAGATATTTATAGGCATGTTGTGCTCCGTATGCGCTGTGTTTGTATCTGTCGTGAACACGTTAAATTAGTATCATTCATCAACCATCATGGAAATCGGTCAAATGAACGAATCGCTTTGCTATCTCTCACCGCCGCAATCCGTCAACTCCTGGCTACCTGGATATAGCCTTAATGTAAGGTGGACTGGTCCCCAAATAACTAGAATACGGTACTGAACGATTCTGAGGGCTGTGACGATTGTGCCGAACACCTGACAGACCAGCCTTTCTTGACTGCGATATCCAACACAGGCCCAAAGTCGGAGGCAACACGATCACTCATAACCCCAGACCTCAACACCGATGAACAGTGGGTTATTTCATATGCATACCCGTAACCCGAGAGATTTTACTAACCGGCTATTCTATACAGGAATGCTACTAGCAATGTCCCTCCGACGTCACACAGGCCTCACTGCAACGCTAATGGCAGGTGTGCCACATCGTCAGTCCCAATGAAGGCTGCTACCTCACCGATTGTCAAGTCGGGTACAAAGCTGGAGAGGAAGAGGACCCAAAACAGAATTGCGTAAGCGTCGAATTCCCCACCGAAGTCAAGAGATATGGAGAGGACGTGGCTGATGATACATCCAGTCAAAAGACGTTTCGCCAGCGAAAGCAACAGGAAACTGAAAAGCTGCAAATCCGAAACAAGGAGCTAGAGGATGCACTAGAAAGCCTACGGCAGGAAAATCGTCAGCTTCAGTCGTTATTGTCACCCTTCAATGAGAGTCAGGAGTTGAATGTGGAGTCTACCAAGTCGTGCTTCATATGCCGTCATGTTTTGCAACTATGGCGAAATGGAATGATATGTCCAGAGTCAGTTGCCTCATGATCTTGCGATGGTTGAATTTGAAAATGAAGAAATGAAAAGCTCTACAAACTACAATTCATGTCAAATGCCTAAGCCGCTAGGCTGCTACTGCGGAATTGCCAATAAACCACACCGCTTATTGTCTTCTAGCCTGCCTTTCTCATCTCCTCTTCGTCCTCCTGTGAAAGCCTATGAGCAAAATTATATCCCACACTTGCTCCCCTCGAATCCTAGAAATCTCAGCCTACGTCTCGGTCTGCTCCGATAACGGTTCTCACTCCTAAGTTGTTATGTCTACCGACTCAACCTCCTGTAATACCGTCCAGGATTTCCTACAAAACTGCAATGACCAAACAGCCAATTGCTTCCGTCAAACCCAATGGGAAGAGCTATGTCGAATTGCTTCAGATCATTATGACAATCTAACCTGTGTGGCCCTAGACCAGGACGCAAGTGGACTCAGAAATATTGTCCGTATACTAGAATTCTCCAACAAAACCCGCTGGGTGGCCCGGGTTCATATAAGAAGAAACGTTGCCTCCCCTGTCAGCAGCACCAAGCTTCGAAATGAAGTTGCAACAATGCAATTCATCAAGGAGAACTGCAGCTTACCAGTGCCTCAAGTCTTTGCGTATGAATCTGACGAGGACAATCCGGTGAAGATCGCTTATATCCTGATGGAGTTGCTCCCCGGCAGCGTTGCCCTGGACGCCCTAGGTGGCTACGAGGTCCATGGTGGTGAGATACCTAAACGGCACCGACCAAACTTCTACCGTCTTGTCGCAAAGTGTCATGTTCGTCACCCGCCCTAGCCCCGGCGGCCGGCCAATCAGCCGGCACAGCTACTTGGTGCTAAATTTGCACCATAGGTCCAGTTCACTTCGTTGCGACTGCCAAAGATCGGATTGATGACCCGGAACAGCGAGGGTGGATTCGAATGTGGTCCTTTGCCAGGAATCGGCGGTCCGTTCGACACAGCAACCGCATTTTTTGAGGCATGGGCCGACAGCGCCAAATTTAAATGGGACAAAGAGAGTGTCACACGGTGCATGCAAAGAGGTCCAATCTCCGCGGAACAGATGCTCGCCATCGCATAATTTCCCATCACAGATCAAACCGTTAGCTAGCAGGCTGTCCTTATGTGACGGAGGGCCTTTCCCTCTGGATCATGATGACTTTCACCATTGTAACATCATGGTGGGTGAGAATACTTTCGATGTCACGGGAATCATTGATTGGGATGGTGCTTGTACGGTTCCCTGGGAGCTCATCGCATTCCCTGACTTCCTTACGGCCCAGCCGGTTTCCTTTGACCTGCCCCAAAAGTATGACCGGGATGGGCAGCCGTTTGATGAGGAACTCCGGGAAACGTGGCGCGAGCGTGGGGAGTATATTGAGATGGTCAAATTGGCCGAGTCTGAAGAGTCTCAGGATAGCCTGCTCTCGTCTTGCCTGAGTAGCAAGAGGAGCCAAGCTATAGCGTATTGTTATGGGGCGTATAGTTGTGTTGGAAAGCTGGGTTTTTATGACCGAGTTATCAAGGAGTTAGAGAGTGAGCGATGAAACTTCGGTTGCGAATTGAGCCAATCAATCAATCAATCAATCAAAGTTCTATTTGTTGTGTTGGAGGCTACGGCAGGCACGGAGGAATCTTTCTTCCGTGCACGAGCCGAAACACCCTCTTCAGCCTGACTGCTCCGAGTTCTTCATCCATCGAATACACGAGATACACACCAAGATTCCTCCACTAGTAGCATCCACAGGTTATGAGCCCGGATGGGGAATAAACATACCTGGATGGTTGGCCTGCCGCAGGATTAACACCAGCGCCAGGCGGAGCAGTGGCAGGTGCTGAACTCCCCCCGGGATGGCGCTGGGCTCAAGTGCCTGGCATCTTGGAATAGGTGGCCCATGGCTCCAATCTTCCTCGATATAAACGTCTGGAGATATATCGGGCGTCAATTGTGCCTTCCTGAACCTTGTCGCGAATAAAGAACCAACGGATGTCAATATGCTTAGTCCGTTCATGGAACTTCGGGTTTCTGGTCAGCTGCAGTGCACCCCAGTTATCACCTGTGAGGCCGAACCGATGGCGATGACTCAAGCCGCCAAGGAGGCCATCTGGCTTCGACGTCTCCTTTCTGAGATAATTGGAGATCAATCAGGCCCGACGGTCCTGCACGGTGATTACTGGGGTGCACTGCAGCTGACCAGAAACCCGAAGTTCCATGAACGGACTAAGCATGTTGACATCCGTTGGTTCTTTATTCGCGACAAGGTTCAGGAAGGCACAATTGACGCCCGATATATCTCCACGACTGATCAGCTGGCCGATCTGCTCACGAAGCCTCTGCCCCGGCCTGCCTTCACCCGCCTACGCGACCTTGGGGGGCTGCGACTTCATGCCCCAGCCTCTAACTGAAGTCCTAACTGAAGCCTACTCGGTTACCCCAACTGTGGAAATAGGGCATGACATGTTTGCGCCGTTTGTGCTCTCAAGCCCAGACGGGGGAAAAGTTATATCTTTCTCTGGGTTTGCGATCCAAATGAACCAAACAACCGGCGTCTGCATCAACTGCCTGATCCAGTCTTCCCTCCTTTTTTCTGTTGCATCAGCATGTCGGCACTCTTTCTGTTATTTTTCCCACGAGGTTTTTTGCAGTTTTGATGAGACCGGCTGGTACCTGCTGTTTTCAGGCATTTTCCTTCTCCTTTTTCTCCTGTACATAGCCGTAGCATGGGGGAGCTTTCGATCGCGGGGGAACACCTCCCCCACGATCGAGGGGGAGTGTTGTGTTGCCAATCAGGAAGGGAAGGAGCAGGGATCGCGGGGAAGAGTGTATTTATTGTTTACCTCCTGTTCTTCTTCTTCTTCTTCTTTCTTTCTCTCAGACTTGTTACTTTGTGTGCAGTACAGCATCGGACCGATCTCCTTCTTGTTTTCTTTTCCCTTTTTCTGCTTTTGACAGTAACAGAGGGCAAGAAAAGACCAGCCCTTGAGGAGGCCGGCGGGATTCAGAAAAAGCCTATGACTAATCCGAACCCCAATCCACAAGGAATGGTAGAGTCCATTTCGCATCTCCCTTCGCATGAAAGCTTCAACTAATTCGCTTATACTATAGAGCCACCCCCAGATCGCCTACCATAGTTCAGTTGATGATAAGGAAGAGTGTGCGAGGGGGACATCTTTCTGCCACGTTCTTGGATTTTTTCTACCCGCCCCTTCGGTCAAGGCAGCTCGTCTGGTGCCCAAATCCTTGAGCCACGCAGAAGTGGCTCATATTTTCGGAGTTGAGGATGGTGTGCTCTCAGATCCTCGCAGTGGTAAAGATAAGAAACGCGAGGATCCTGTCGCCCTACTACTAGAGGAGAGATATGAAGAGGCTGAGAATATGAGCAGCACTTTTCTTTGTGGAAACAAGTCGTCTGTGGCTGAAGAGTAGTCCTAGTCTTGCCAAAAAGCTAGATATTGCTATCCAATAAATCGCTTTCTAAGAAACGACTATCTTATAATCACTTATAGTCTTTCCTTCTTCTATTACTAGGTTAAGGGGGCGATCTCGGTCGACTCTATTCACCTCCCCTCTAATATGTAAGCAGCGCCAGCCTCTATCGCTTATCCTTTCTCTCTAATGCTTCGCTTTTTTCCTTAACCTAATCGTCTATAAGCCATACCGCGCTATTTCTTGAAGCGTTGCGTGATCTCGATCGATATAGTGCGTGCGGATATCAGAAGTATTGCCCTGGCATAATTTCTCCTCGAAGAACTTGGAAAAGTAGGATGGAGCTGAGTAGTAGACTAAATCAGAAAGCTATCGGTCGGGAAAAGGGGGTAGAGGTGCGGATCGTTAGAAGCGATCAAGGCGCAGAAAAAGGCAAAAAGGGTCGAAGCCACCAGCCGATCGTTTAACGGTCTCGCTCGTAGTAAAGCCAATATGATACGCTTCACAATACCAGGCCGAGAAAGATGCTGCTCGACCTCTCCAAGCTCATTACGAAACCTGTGATGCTTAAGAGCACGAGCCCGGGTAGGTCAAAGTGGCGTCCACTTCTAATCGGGCTGGTACAACGCAACATGCGCTAAGGCATATCTAGACTAGCGCATGCACATGACTATGACACACTATTCTCGACACATACTGTTCAGTGTTTCCATGTACCTAGGTTACGTTGACCCGAGTATCATCCTGAAGACCTTTGTACTAAGGAAGATAATACCATGTAATGAATTCTACGCAAGTAATCTTCACTGTAAAACAGCCAGAGAACACAATACATCAGTCAAGGTAGACACTCTTTATGTTCAACTAATGCGCATCTGTGTTGACCATAGCATCAATCCTAGCGCGAGAAGCCTTAAACCGCTCAGCCATCTGCTCAGGGCTCGTACCAGTCTTCGGTATAAACATGCCCCTCTTTATCGCCTCGCGCTCCTTAATCTTTTCCACCCACTTCTCCAAAGCTGGCCACTCGGATAGGTCAATCTCTAGGGCAGCTGGCCCGATCTGTACCCACGAAAAGTTTGCAATGTCGGCAATGGTATACTTTGATCCGGCCAGGTAAGGGCTTTCTTTGAGCCGGGAGTCGAGGACTGAGTATAAGCGCTTAGTCTCGTCGATATACCGCTTAATGCCGTAGTCGGAGCGTTTGCTGGCAAAGAGCCTGAAGTGCTCGGCCTGACCTGTATCAGGATAACTACCGTTAGCAGCGGAGTAGACCAAAGGTGCGGGTTACATGAAGGACTAGGTGTTGGACATACCCATCATCGGCCCGACACCTCCCATCTGGAACATCAGCCAGGATAGCTCCTCCACATACTCCGGGGACCCCGGTGCATAGCTAAGTTTCCTTTCCGGGTCATACTTGTCAGTTAGGTAGAGCATGATAGCTCCGCTTTCGAAGACGCGTTGGTCTCCGTCGAGGATGGCGGGAATGCGACCATTGGGGTTGATTTTCAAGAACCAGCTATTTGAAGAGTCAGTGTTGTCCTCCGTTATGTGACGTAAAGTGCATACTCTTCTTTCTGCACATTGGTGGAGATGTCGACGGCGTGTGTTTTATAATGGAGGCCTAGCTCTTCAAGGGTAATGGATGCCTTGATACCGTTAGGTGTGGGCCAGCTGTAGAGGGTGATCTGGGACATGGTAGAGTAGCGTATGCTGGAGGATAGTCTGCCTAGTCTAGATGTTGCTCGAGAAGTGGAAGTGTATGCGCGGGAAAGCATTAGAGTATCAGACAAGAAAAGACGTGGTAAGAAGCGAAAGACGGAGGCATTTACAGAATACAGTCGGAGCACTGGCCATTTTGCCAGCGTCAAGCTGATGTCGTATCAATGGCGAAATCCCTTTGGTGTCGGGCTTACATCTGCGGAGTCAGATTTTACTAATGCGGGATTTGGAGTCGTTAACCAAATCTGGAAGACCAACCGTATTTAACGTTCGTGCACAGATCAAGCCTCCCGAGTTGAGAAAGGGAAATCCATGGATCATAAGATGGAACCAGATCAGGCCGCCGATCAGCACATCCCGCGGAGATGCGTCGCAAAGACTCGCCACAATTTCCAAACAGACCGCCATTAGCCCCTACGGCCCTTGAATGATGAATAATAAGATCAATTTAGCTTTTTTTCATACACAAATCACTCCACAATTTGATTGCGAGACAACGTTGCACTGGCACCTAAATACATGACTTGACATACATGACAGTTTCAGTGTAGGTTGGGGTAGTTCTTTTTGAAACTCTCCGTTGCCGAAATGTTCTTCCACCACGCTTTAATCCTCTCGCCGATCTTGAAGTCGGGGACAGACTTTTTGATGAGGTCTTCCAGAGGATGGAGATCTTGGATCTTTTCCCCACCGGCACCCCAAAGCGCATGAGCAAACCATGGTACAATGTGCATATCTGCCGCCGTCACCTTCTCGCCAACGGCATACGGCAGTACGAGCATTGAATCGAGCTTGTTGAGTCCGGCTGCGAAATCTTTGTAACCTTGGTGCGAATCGTCAAAGAACTGCTGATGTTCAGGCCCAATCTCAGTGTTGTAGAGACGGTATAGTTGTCCGTTTTCCGGAGTACGGGAAGCGTATAACGGAATCTCTGGGTGTGCGGCACCGTACTTAGTGAGCTTTTCTTGTCGGTTTCCAACGAAGACTTTCCAAATGCCGGCTTTCTTCGCATTCATTTCCTGCACATCGCGCGCCTGTAGTAGGATGAGATTTGTTGAAAGTTGCGGTTGATGGACATGCGCAATCAGCTCCTCCACCTTGGAGCGCTGCTTAGGGTCACCGGGAAACAAAGAAGAACCCTTCGACCGGTTAGAGTCCAAATATTTCAGAATGTCCGCGCTATCGACCAGAGGCTCAGGAAGAGAGGCCGATGTCATAGACGGAATAGTGCCATTTGGGTTAATCTTAACGTATTCGGGTGCGAAGTTTTCTCCCTCGACTAGGAGCCTCTCCTTAGTTACATGGCCAAGGGTCAATCAACACTGTGAATTCACTTACCGAGACCAATCTGCTTTACAGAGTACTCGCTTGGGTCATATCCCTTTTCATCAAGAGTAAGATGCGCGACATAAGCCCACTGGGAAGCAGTGGAGGTGAAGAGGGTGATCTGCATATGTTAGATAATGCCATAGGAGGGTTTCAGATTTGTCTAACCTACCTGAGGGGAGGCGGTGTCATTCATTATGCAAAACGTGGGTTCAAAGGTTAAGAAGTAGCGATTCAGTAGAAATTGTTGACTGAAGTAGGTTGACCAGGTTGGTACAGGGCGTGACCAGTTTAAGTATCTGTCTTCCAACAACCGGACGAAGATTCTGATGACGGCTTGAAATCTAGACCACCCTATTAGGAATTGACTCAAGCCCTGTGACAGCACTATATCAGGTAAGGTACCGATGCGTCCGGAGATGAGCGCCACGCGGAGTCCGGTGGAACCCTCGACTGTACGTAAGGTGTATAGTTGCTCCACAGGTCACCATGTCACCAGGTGGTGGAATCCGCTTTACTACCAGATATTACAAAGAATGGTTAACGAGTGGATGTTTAGTAGTTATTACTAAAATATTACTACTAGATTTTTACCTGTAATTACCACCGTCTGGTGATCTGGTTCTGGAGCCTCCTAATCGATATGAACCATGACCAAAATGAGAAAATCCCTAGAGCAACACTTGATAGAAATGGAGCACGAAGAAAAAGAGAGAATGATGAAGGATGAAAGTGTGCCAATGACTCAGGGAGGGCACATAACTTCAATACATACCTACGGGTGTACGCAAAGGCCGCCGTAGATAGAATCTGCAGAGGGATATTCCTTTGCGTCACGTAAACACAGGTTAAACCCGCGCCTTTAATTCCGGTGTCATCGCCGCTGCATAGCCTTTTTCGGCGGGTCAGAGTGGTGCCAAGTCCCAGCCGCGTGTTTAGCAAGCCTCTAGCCAACTAGCGAGCCTGCAGCCAACTGGCGAGCATGCAGCGAACTGGCGAACCTTGAGCCAACTGGCGAGCCCCCAGCGAATTGGCAGGGCTATTCTTTCGAATTGCGCCAATAGCCTCACAGCGACAGCATGTCTGTACAGCGACTCTGCGAGTTAAATCGAGTTAATGAGAATATCATCATCATCCCACAGCGACACGTACCGCGTCATATTTGGTGTGTAATTATGATGATAAACATGCGCGCTTGCTGGGAATTGACAGTGAACCAATTCCGTATCATCCGGGGTGGTTCTGGCGAATGTATACTACCATGCTTGCAGCATAACCCAGAAGGAGCCTCATCGGTGATGATAGAGTAGAAGTCAACCCCAACCTGCCAGCTCAAAGGACCGCAGTGAGGACAGTTGTATGCAGTCGATATTCATACGACCAAGTGGAGGTGAGGAGCCGCCTTCATTCAGCAGCGGATGTCCTCCACACGAAACGAACGTGGCGATGGGGTGGATAGTGCCGAAGAGGTTTACAACAACCAAAGCAAATATTGCATGGGATATTTCTCGGAAACGGGCTTGACAGAGGCGGCAATGATCACGCTTCGGCTGGGGTCGAGGTGGCACCGGTGGCACCTACTCCGATAGAGGTTTTGGGATCGGTGATGGGGCCAAGCTGATAATTCGGCTGTAGTGTTCTTGACCCTTTCCTTCCCCTCTTTTCTCTTCTCTTTTCTTTTCTCTCGCCAGTCTTGTTGTTCTTGGTGACAGGAATCGGACTTTTGTTTCGTGACCTTCTTCATCACATTCTCCACTTTGTCGATCCGAATACATACAGTTGTTCTTCATGGATTCTCCATCTGTATTGCATTCAAGTCGACGACCAGGATAGGGAGAGAGAGAGAGAGAGAGAGAGAGGAATGTCTGAGGCACTCAGGTATTCAACATGTTCGCAAGCTCACTTGTCAACTGGTGACCCAGAAACATGTCGGCTCACCATCGAGTACTCGCAAACTGAAATGGCGGGGAATATATCAAGCCGCATACCTACCCGAGACCGGTCACAGAAGACCGACACTTAGGTCGTCTTCGGTAGGCTAAGCAAGCCACTGAAGCTTGGGTTGGTAGGTGGCATTCCATTTCTGTCATTTCGACGTGTGAGGTAGCACGATTCTTTCCCAGCCTTGTTCTGCGTGTCATAGGCGCGGCTCACGGTTGGTCTGTGGTCATAGAAGAGAATCAGCACGGTTTTGCTTGAGTCCTCGAAGGCACGCAGTCAAGCATCTTCGGTCTCCGAACTTGCCTTATTCCCTGTCTTGTAATTCAGGGGTAGCCTTTGTCCTGAATCCTGATGAGCAATAAACAACACATATACCTAGTGACCTACTAGCCTCTCCCTAATTAGCGCCCATATTTCGCTTGCCCTGCTTCACCGACCTAAAACTCCCTAGTACGCTTGTGGCTTGATGCTACCTTAGAGTGTGGATCTTGTTTAAACAGCTTGAGTTTGATGAGATGCAATTTATTGACGCTCGGGTGTGACCAGGCTATACCGGTTAATCTGTTTTGAAAGGAATTCGAAACAAATAGATCTATCTGTTGCTCAATCAATTCAGTGCTGTAATCACACCGCGCAAGCAGACAAAGCCGAGCGATTGTACTCCAGGGATTACCCAGTGATCTAGGGCCGAATAATGGAAACAAGAGAACCCACTTCTTCTAGGTCGAGGATCGGAGAATTGACGCTTTTATCATTAGTCCATGAACCAAAGTATGGCACGCCAAGAGAGGCGATCTTCTTAGCTCCAAGGTCCCGGGTTCCCATTGGCCGTCCGAGGTAGAGTTGCAATCCACGCACAATAGTAATAAGATCTGACTACAACGTGCTCCGCCTTGGAAGCATCCACGTTTACCACGTACCTGCAGCTATCCCACAGGAACCTTGTAAACGCCCAAGATATCCCCCGCCCTGAATTCTCTTTGAGTCCTTGTTTCGGATGTCAATGAGTTTGATGGCCCGAGTCATGCAGCATGTAAACTGGGACAACTTCAAATCTGCTAATGCTTGGGCCTTGGCTACTGCATATCAGTGAGTGCTCGTCGGTCAGGCCTAGAAGTACTGGACTTCCAAGGTTCCTAGTTCGGTTAATTGGGATCCCAGTTCTGCCTTGCGCTAAGACTTGCGCTAAGAAGCGAATAAACGGTGATCCGGCCTATCCGGCAGAGGCCGCCCGGATCGATGACTTTGATTGGTGTGCATTAGAGGCTCGGCCCCGCAATTTGACCCCCAATGGCTTAGCGTTTATTTTTCAACCGGGGCCTTATAAGGCCCGTCGCTTCCGATGTCCATGTCTTGGTCTCACACCTCGGACTAGTACTCTGATGGCTTGATTCTTTCATGTCTTCCCACATCTCTGTAGGTAGTGTGTCTCAATACAGACGCTTCATTGACCTATGGCAAACAAACCTCCTCTCTCTTTCTATCTTCCTATTCTTGCCTTCGTACCTTGCTGCATCCTCTTCTTTCTCCCATGATCAGAACTTGGCGCTCTTCTATATGTCGGACCCCCATCGCCTGTGCGCCCCCGGGGAGTCTGTGCGGTTCAGTGGAGATTGGACGCTGTGATTGGATGTGATAAATCAAGCTATCTTTCTTTCTCCAGTCATGATTAAATACAAAGCGGCTAGGGTCCATTAGCATCTTTTAGCCTCTTTTATGCGGCTCTTGCAATCTAACTGCGCCGAAATAGGCACGGATCCAGGAACATACCCCTCGCCTGGACAATCCTTCTCATGGATAACGGCTAATCTAGTCCTCGCCCACATACCACTCGCTTAGGCCACTGGCTGGGGGAGGATATGACAGACCATGCATCTGGCTTGCGACGTCTCTATCTGGGCCTTTCACTTTCCACATGGAGAGCCATGAGGTTAGTGTTATAGCCGTTACGGATATGAATTATTTGTTTCCAAGCTCTAGTGAGCAGACTACGGAGTACGGAGCCTTGGATTCTTCCTGCCACTATGGGTGGGCTGGCCCTGCACAGCCGGAGGGGATCCGGAAATGGCTGAATGATGCATCTGCTCATTTCCACGGATTGATAGTCGTCTGCTCTTTTCTGATTAGTGTATGCTACCTCGGAGGTCGGCATTTTCCCCAGGGGGTGGAGATGAACAGGCTTTTGGTGGTGGCTTTTGTATTTCAGTCTCTTTCCCCCGGACTGTTGCATTTCTTTTCATCCAACAACACTTTCATTTTGAGCTCTTTGGGATATCCCAAGCAGGCGTTTGTCTGCGTCCTCTCGTTGTTCACGAGCCAGCCTGCCTCTCCTTAATCAGGCTGATAAGTGATTTTTGTACAATCCAATTCACCACATTCATTTTCAGCCAAAATGTTCACCAAGTCTTTTGCTGCCGTGTCGGCCCTGTCGCTTTTTGCCTCAGCTGCGAATGCTCTTGATGCCAGCTTAAAGAACAATGTTGCTGTATACTGGGGTCAGGGTCCCAACCAAGACAGACTCAGCCATTTCTGTGAACAGACCTCGATGGATATCATCAACATCGGCTTCATTAACGAGTTCCCCCGATTCGTAGGCGATATTCCTGGTTCCAACTTTGGCAATCAGTGTGATGGCAACCTCTTTGAAGGAACCAACTTGCTCAATGGCTGCCACCAGATCTGGGAGGACATCCCCATATGCAAGGCCGCCGGCAAGACAGTCCTGCTGTCCATTGGTGGTGCCACTGCTACAGGCGAATCCCTCCCTGATGATGCTACCGCAACTTGGTTTGCGGACTTTTTGTGGTACTCCTTCGGTCCTTACAATCCTTTGATTGCATCATTGTCTTGGACTGAAGAGCTCCTCGCCACTGCATTCCCGCGCCCATTCCTCGATATCTCCGTCGATGGATTCGACTTTGACGTTGAGCACAACGGTGGAGCTGGTATGTCGTCTAAAGTACCGCACTTCAACATACCTTCACTAACATCTTGAATAGGATACGCTACCATGATCAACCGTCTGCGTTGGCACTTTGACCGGGTCCCTGATCGCAGGTTCTACATCTCCGGTGCCCCCCAGTGCCCCATTCCCGACGCCCAGCTCGGCGATGCCATTGCCAACTCTGAATTCGACTTCATCTGGGTCCAATGGTACAACAGCAACGGCTGCTCTGCTGCTGATTGGGTCGATGGGACAGGCGAATTCAACTTTGACGAGTGGGTCGATGTCATTAAAGATAGCGCCAACCCCGACGCGAAGCTTTTCATCGGCCTTCCTGCATCGGAGACTGCCGCCAACGCTGGCTTCTACCTGACCCCAGAGGAAGCCCAGCCCCTTATCGAAACTTACATTGAGAAGTATCCCGACACCTTCGGTGGAGTTATGCTTTGGGAGGCCACCGCTGGTGACAACAATGTTGTCAATGGCTTGACTTACACTGAGAACATCAAGGAGATTCTGTATGAGTGTGCTCCTCCTCCTCCTCCCCCTTCTTCGACTGTGATCCCCGTCTCATCCTCGACTATGATGGTGACTCCTACCTCCACGCCTGTCTCATCCTCGACTGTCATGGTGACTCCTAGTCCCCCCGCCACGACGATGACTACCACCTCGGCGGCATCTTCCAGTTCGGTTGTGTCTTCTAGTTCTGTTGCTTCTTCCAGCTCCGCGGCATCTTCCAGCTCGGCGGTTTCCACGACCTCAGTGGCATCTCCAACCGTCTCCCCAACACACTCTAGTGCACTTACCACTCCTACTTCCTCGCCTTCTTCCACTGCCATTGCTAGCACCACAACCGCGCACTCGTCTACCATTGTTATCTCTTCTGGAACCTCCGCGCCTGTCTCATCCTCGACTGTCATTGTGACTCCTATTCCTCCCAGCTCGACAGTGACCACCACCTCAGCGGCGTCTTCCAGCTCGGTTGTGTCTTCCAGCTCGGCGGTTTCCACGACCTCAGCGGCATCTTCTCCCGTGTCCCCAGCACACACTACTGTACCTAGCACCCCTACTTCCTCGCCTTCTTCCACTGGCCTTGCTAGCACCACAACCTCGCCCTCTGCTGTTGTTATCTCTTCTGGAACCTCGTCTGCCATTACCACCGGGTCGTCACCATCCAGCAAGCCAGCTTCGTCTGCTTCCATCGGCAGCACTGTTTCTAGCTCCGCTACTTCATCGGCGACCACCATTGCCGTCTCTGCGCACTCTTCCTCTGTCATCTCAACAAGCAGCACTGTCGTAGCCCCTATTGCTTCCCCCTCAGGAGTTGCTGGTTCTCACCCGACCACCACTGGTGGTCTCACCGGAAGACCTCCCGTCAGCTCACCTGCCGGTCAGGGCTCCCAGCCTGCCTCAGGCTCCACTCCCCTAGTCACTGGCCGCCCCGCTAGCACCGCTCCCGTCGCTTCAACCACTGAGTCTGGAGCGGATTCCGCCAGCACCCAGCCCACTGGAGGACCCCAGACCAATGGAGGCTCCCAGACTACCGAAGGTTCCCAGCCTAGCGGTACTGACTCGGTCACTGCTTCATCCGAAATCACCGCCGCTCCCTCCGTGACTGCCTCGCCTTCTTCCTTGGCCCCGGGAACCACCACAACTATCATTGTGACATCGTACATTGATATCTGTCCCACTGGTTTCACCACCATTACCACCACCATTACCAAGACCTACTGTCCTGGTAACGCTGCCACTGCCACCGCCACTGGCGGAGCTGAGATCACCGCTCCTGCCTCTGGCCCTGCCACTCCCACTGATATTCCCGAGGGCTGGACCACTACTGTGACTGTCTGCACCCAGTGCGCTGCTACCCCCACTACCGTGACACTCACCAAGCCCATTGTCACGGCTACCACCGAGGTCGTCTCGCAGCCCACCGCTCCAGCCGCTGGCTCCGGGTCCAACACTGGATCTGGCGAGGGTGAGGGTGAGGGTTCCAACCCCGGCTCCGGCTCTCCTGGCCAGGGTGAAGCTCCTGGTGCCACAGTTACCGGAGTCCCTGTGGTGCACATTCCTGGCCCTAAGCCTGGGCACGGCCATGGAGGCCACTTCCACCCCGGTAGACCGTCTTCAAGTCTGATCCACCGACCTTCGCCTTCGCAGACCGTCGCCGGCACCCTCCCGGCCACTGCTACCAATGATGCCGGTGCACCTACCAACACTCCGGAGGGCGTGTCTCCGGTCTACACTGGCGCCGCCTCCCGGGCCGGTGTTACTGGGTTCTTTGGTGGCGCGCTCGCCGTCGCTCTCTCCATGTTCATGATGTTGTGAGCCTGCCCAGTTATCTGGATAGCATGATCTCACCATCTATGTGATGTGATTGATCTCACGATGCTGGTCTGACATGACTGGAGGTTCTCAACGGCGAAGATCTGTTTTTCATATGCGATTCTTGTTTTATATTATTTATGTCCGCCGATCTCCAGCTTATGGAGTGATTCAATAAAGCTTGGCCAATTGTTGTGATTCAGTTCGGCCATTTCTCATTGCGTTTGTGTCTCGAGCTTCTAATGACACTTCTTGAAATATCCCCGTCAAGCTCATTTCCTTGGTTACTATTTTACTCTCAGAATAGACGTCGACGCTGGTGTTCTTGTATATAAACACCAGTGCTTTTCATACACATAAAATGAACTAGTTACAGGTCACCAGTACTAGTCAACTGGAGTCAGCCATTCACCCTGTTAATTCGCGTTAGCTTTTTCTGAATTGATTTGCACGGTTAGCTCCCCACCTTGCAGAAGTGGTGATTTGATATGTTAGCGACTAGTCACAGCACACGTCCCCCCAATCTACTGGTCAATATCCAATAACTAATAGTTACGACATTTCGTAACTTTGCCTAGGTTGTTTCTACTCGCAACAGACCACATGTTCTCCAACTCCCCCGCATTGAACACCCCCCGGACCTCGGCTGCGGAGAAGTGGAGCCTTGGAACCGAGCGACCCTTAAAGGAAATATATCAACCTTCCATTGGTGCTGCCACGCATCAAACGACTTTCACCTCGATTATCCAACCTATACAACATGGCAGCTCCATTAAAAGGAATTAAAGTCGTCGAGTTAGCCGGCCTAGCTCCAGGTGCGCAATTCTCCCAAATACCCACTAACATACCCCACTAACAAAACCCCAATAGGCCCCTTCGCCGGCCTCCTCCTCGCCGACTACGGCGCCTCCGTTCTCCGCATCGATCGTCCCTCAGCAGGCACCGCAGTCAACGGCGACCAGCTTACCCGGAACAAAACCTCCATCACCCTCGACCTCCGCGACCCCTCCTCCCACAAAATCCTCCTCCGCCTCCTAGCAACAGCCGATGTCCTGATCGACCCCTACCGCCCTGGCGTCCTCGAACGCCTCGGCCTCGCCCCAACAGAAGTGCTCCAAAAGCACAACCCGCGCCTAATCGTCGCCCGCATGACTGGATTCCGCCGCGACGGCAAATACAAAGACATGGCCGGCCACGACATCAACTACATCGCGGTCTCGGGCGTGCTATCCATGCTCGGGCGCGCAGGCGAAAAACCCTACGCACCCGGCAACATCCTCGGCGATTTCGCCGGCGGCGGTGCAGTCTGTTTCCAGGGAATTCTGCTGGCGCTGATTTCGCGGTCTCATACGGGCGTCGGCCAGGTCGTCGAGGCGAATATGGTTGATGGATCGGCTTATCTTGCTACATTCCCGCGGCTGGCGCAGAAGGGGCCTATGTGGAGTGGGCCAAGGGGGACGAATGTGCTTGATAGTGGGTGTCCGTGGTATGATACGTATGAGACGAAGGATGCGGGAAGGTATTTTGCGGTTGGGGCTTTGGAACCGCAGTTTTATGCTGCATTGTTGAAGGGGTTGAAGCTTGATCCAAAGGGGATCCCGAGTCGTGAGGATAGGGAGAATTGGCCCGCGTTGAGGGAGATCTTTACGAGGAGGTTCAAGGAGAAGACGCGTAAGGAGTGGGAGGCTGTCTTTGATGGGACGGATGCTTGTGCTACGCCTGTGCTGGAGAATGGGGAGCTTGAGGAGGCTGGGTATGAGCAGAGGCCGATGGTGCATTTGGCAAGTACGCCTGCGGTCCCGTTTACGGCGGAACAGGGTGCTTGGTCTGGTGGCAGTCTTGTCCCTGGGGATGGGGGTGTCGAGACACTTAGGGATTGGTTGGGGTGGGAGCAGGAGAAGGACTTCTCTGTTAGGAAGGATGGGGCCTTGTTGGCTGTGGATGGGAAGTCGAAGATTTGAGATGTCTTTGTAGATAGTACTTCTGGTGGACTCATCACTGCATTCGTGTATAGACCCTTCTTAAAGATATGGAAAGTTGAAGAACGAAGATATTCGCGGGGGATTTCGACGAGTTCGAGCTGCCAAGGACATTGAACATCGTAATTCGTAAACCCGGGCCCGGGAATCGACCACGGCCATTTCATCGTCCGAGGTGCCCATCTTGCAAGTACATGCCGCATGCCATATGGTCATAACATTATCTCTAATGAACTCGGCTTCCATCCTCTGGGAATCAATCAATTCGTTCAGTCAAATTCGGCGTTTATATTCATATCATAAGGCCGATCTTCAGCAGATCGGCAAATTTATGGAGCGAAATATTTTGCAAAAAAAAGTTCAAAAATGCGATTCCACTTTCCCTAAATATTCGTGCCCAGCCCTATCAGGACCAGCCCTAACTATTACCAGCTATCCCGCTTCGTCAAGATAATTATGAGAACAAAACATTAAATTCAGACGGGAAAAGTAGGTGTGTTGCTTCTCAACGCCATGTCACAGATTATGGCCAGGACGGTCAAGGTGCCCTGACAGGTTCCGTAGCCCATGAATGGTCATATGCCTTAGTTTTGACAGGGGTAGACTCAGTCATGGATGTTTCCCATCTCTTGGTTGTGCATGGTGTGGGCAAGGTACCGTAGTCGTTGCGGTCATGGGCAGCGATGTAGTAGTCATCGTATGGTCCATAGTGGGCGTGGCCTTTGTCGTGGTGATGTTTGTGCTCGTTGATTGAGTATGGTTTCAATGCCGTGGGCAACTGGCCGCCGCTGCCATAGCCGTTGCCCTTGCCGTTGCCGTTGCCGCTGTCATTGCCATTGTCGCTGCCGTTGTCGTTGCCACTGCCATTGCCATTTTCGCTGCCATTGCCATTGTGGCTGCCATTGCCATTGTGGCTGCCATTGCCATTGTGGCTGCCATTGCCATTGTGGCTGCCACTCCCATTGCCACTGCCATTGCCATTGCCATTGCCATTGCTGTTGCCGCCAGTGTGGCCACCGTTGTTGCCGATACCGCCGCCTAAAATTGGCCCTATTTCTATGGGCCCTATGGGACCTATGATGGGCAGCGTAATGATTGGCGGTGTGGTCGTAGTGGCCGATGTCGTAGTGGGGGATGTCGTTGTGGGGGATGTCGTACTAGCCGATGTCGTTGTGGTTGTTGTGGTTGTGGTTGTTGTCGTAGTGGTTGTAGTGGTTGTAGTGGTTGTTGTCCCAGAGGTGAAACAGATCGGAAGAGTAATTGTATTGGTGTCCAGACTCACTTGCCCATTACGTGCAAGAAGGCGTCCTTGAATTACCGCATTGGTGGTAGCCGAGATAGAAGTGAGTGCCATGATGGTCCCAACAAAAGTGCTTCCTGTCCCCAGGGTTGCAGAGCTTCCCACTTGCCAGAAGACATTGCAAGGTTGGGCACCATTGATCAACATGACTCGCGAGCTGCTTTGAGTAATGAGAGTGGAATCGGTCTGAAAGATCCAAACCGAGTCCGGGTCTCCTTGAGCATCAAGCGTGAGAGTGCGACCAGTTGTAATCATCATTGGACCTCTACCTGGGACAGACTGATATACACCAGCAACAAGGGTTAGACCACCAAGGTCTGTGGATTCAATAGTGGCAGGTCCCCGGCCAGCTGCATCATTATATGCAGTCACCAGATCAAACTGTGCTCCAGCTGCGTTGGCATCGGCAGAGTGGATTGTTCCTGGGGGAACTACTTGACCAGGGGGAAGCCAGTGATAGCCGTTCCCGGAGAGACTCCAAGATCGCCACCGCTAACAATCGTTGGGCCTGTGTTTGTCACTGTTTGGCCAGCAAGAACCAGATAGGCCCCAGCTCTGCCGAGACCAACTGGAGCCTGTGCATTGCTGGTGATAGAGAAGAGGAGAGCAGAAATGAGTAGCTTTGGGAGCATGATGTTCAGTTTCCACAAATACCGTAGGTAGGTTAGGTACAATACAATAAGTAAACTGGAGCAGTGATGTATATCGATGCTTGTCTGCCCCTTAAATAGTTCCAGATTCTAGGTACTTTCAAAATGTCCATGAATCAACTACCTATGATCTTCCACATCTACTACCAATGTAAAACGTTTCTAACATTCCGGACTACTGCGATGCCCAGATTAGGGGGAGTTATGGCGCCTTAGGTATTTCGACCAAGGACAATACTGCAGAGTCAAATATACAAATATATGACTATGCAAGGCGCAGGCTTCCTCATTCTCTCTTAAAGTATATTATTAAAAGACCATTGAATTGATGACCTTAGAAGATAAGGTTGTTATAGAATGTCAGAACCAAATGAGATGGGAGTCACCAGAATTTGACAGCGAGATAACACGTCAAAGCCGAAGAATGAAAGCAATAGGCGGCTAAACTAGCCGTCCGTCGATCCGACGCCCTTTCAAACAGCATTCTCGCTAGAATTAGAAACTATTGTCAGTTCGGTTCGTAGACTGCTGAGTCGCGCGTCTAAGAGAGGTCCCCGTTACAGTCACCTATTAAATTCATTTATTGGCCTACTTATAGTGTGAGAAATTGGCTGTAGACAGCCCTTTAATAGTCAATAGAACACCGTGATGTTCATTGGCAAAACTCGAGACCTGATCTCCTTGGAAGGAGTCAAGGAGAAGAGTAGTACTGGTTAGTATGTCATTTCCCCATTCCGCTACCAGCGCAATAACACCTTATTGCTGAGTATGTGTTGCCAAGCTTCGTTTGTCTGACCAGATTGTGAAAAATTGGTTTTGTTGTTTTTTAACTAGTCGACAATTGGGCCATTGGTTGGAGTCTTGGAGAGCCCAATCTGCAACGATATTAGCCGGGGCTCTCTCCCCGCCTCTTGATTAAACACGGGAGTGACGGCCCGGACTACATTTATTCTGCAGCTCTGCAGCTCTGAGGATGTCTCGTCATTTTTTACACTGGGCCACTGGGTGGCAGAGGGATAATTGCGTTTTCTTGGAATGCGTTTGACATGTGGGCGTTTTGCCATGGCCTGCCATATTCAGCACTCAGCAGAGTGAAGTGCATTGGTTAAAACCCCTACCAGGTGGCGGGTGGCCAGTATTTCGAGTTTCTCAATTTATTTATCCTCTTCAACTCCTGTCCTCACAATCGTGCTCCCCACCGCGATGTTTGACTCGTACCTCCCGCAGCATTCAACTCCACTCAAAGAAGGCCGATCCCACCCGCCATGTCCAAGGCTCAAAGTGCGACGGAAAGGCATGGCTCTGCGGACCATTCACCTCGTGTTCGCCGCAGCAGCGGGGTGGTTAATAGTATCATGCTTTTTCTTCTGGACTGACTCCTCAACTTCGGATGCAAAGGGTACGCGGACAGCTTTTGGCATGGCCAAGGACAGACTCTGGCAGATACACCCTGCTATTGTAAGGGCTGCGGACGTATGGTGGCAGGATTCAACATCGCAAAATATGTCTGAAGAATCTATCGCGACGTCTCCAGTGGAAACGCAGGCCAATGTTGAGTCTGCATCAATAAAAGATAAAGACTCACAGAAATCTGTTTCTAAGGCCTCCAAATATACCAACAATAATACGGAGTCGAGGCATATATTCCCCGGCGACTTCGACAGAGCCCTCGACTACCTCTTCTCTATAATTCCCGATGAAATGTACCTCCGAGAACTCCTGCGGCCCGTGATAGGCACGGGTGCGGAAAAGCTGCGTGAACTCGGTCTACGCACGCGCGCATATAAACATTTCTTCGAAGCCTGGGAGAAACTCCACCTCGTCATCGAAGATAATGGTAATACCTACGTTCGAGACGATCTCATTCCCTACATCCGTGCCAAATTCAGCGAGCAAACCTTCCCTGAGGCGCTCCACAAATACGAAACCTATCGTCACTTCATTGCCAAATTCTCGGCCCTGTTGTTTCCGTGGACGAGCCCATACTTCGGAGATCATATGAGCTTGCACGCATCATCGCACCACGGAGGTCGTGGCATCGTGTTTACAGCGGGCGACAACCACGCGGCTTTCCTCCTCGCTGCCATCCCCTCCCTCCGTACCCTTGGTTGCGAGTTGCCCGTTGAAATCATGTATCTCGGGGACAGCGACTTAGGCGAAGACTTCCGAGCCGAGCTCGAAGCTCTTCCTGGCGTGGTAACGCGTGACCTCTCCGCCATGGTTAGTGATGAGGGCTGGCGGCTAACCGGCTGGGCCGGTAAGCCGTTCTCTATCCTCTTCTCGTCTTTCCGCGAAGTCATCCTCATCGACGCCGACTCATTGTTCTTCGTCAATCCCGAAGTGCTCTTCGAGGATGAGGACTACGTGCGCACGGGCGCTTTGTTTTTTAAAGATAGAATGATCATGCCCGAGAGCAAGAAAAGGTGGCTGCAGCAGATCTTGCCAAAACCGATTTCGAAACAAGTGCGGCAGAGCAGGATGTGGACTGGGGAGAGCGGGCATATGCAGGAGTCCGGTGTTGTAGTTGTGGACAAGTGGACACACTTTGTTGCCTTATTACTGGTAAGTCGAATGAATGGACCCGATAGAGATGGGGATAAGAAGGCGGGCATCGTGGGGACCTATGATATGGTCTATGGTTTGTTTCCCTCCTCCCTTTACCCACCCCGTCTATTTCACTAATCCCCGCGAAAACACAGGCGATAAAGAAACCTTCTGGATTGGCTGGGAGCTCGCTGGTGACACCTCCTATGCTTTCCACCCCGGCGCAGCCGGCACAATGGGCGTAATTCAAGACCCGGACAACTTCAATCCAACCAACGACCTGCCCTCCTCGAACTTCGACCGGGGACTCGCCGCTACCGTTACGGAAAGACACCGCAAAATGGCACCTGGCCATGAATCTGACCTTACTATCTGCGCCCCGCAACTCCTCCATTTGGACCGCGACAAACGCCCTTTGTGGTTTAATGGGTGGCTGTACAAGAACAAGTATTCGCCGACAGAACGGACGATCGGAGAGTTCGACGTTTTCATGGAGGAGCCGAAGGAAGTGTTGGATCCAGGGGCGTGGCAATTAGAGGAGAACAATATGTGTTGCTTGTCAAATGCGGCGACACGGCAGTTTACCAAGGAGGAGACGGAATGGCTAGGGGAATTGATTAAGATGGCAAAGATGAAGGAGAATTGATATCCAACTTCAGGGAAAATTGGAGCGCGCAAATTTTGAGAGATGGTATAATTCAAGTGATGGATAAAATCCATAGCTGAGTCGGATACATACAGGGACTTCGTTGGTGCGGAAACAGACTTCCTGACTGGGCCATGGGAGCGAAATTCCGTTGTCCTAAGCCCTAAACCTTTAATTAGTATCCCTGTCTATCCTCATAATCCCCAATCCTCCGAAAGCCCCCAACTCATAACAAATGTAAAACGTCATAAATGCTAGCACCGGCATCCAGCCAGCATCGGATATCATAAACAACAAACAACAGCTTACAAGAACAGACCGAACACATGCACAAGGAGTAGAAGAAAACTCCAACCTCCCAGCAATGCGACCCTCCCATTCCCAGAAGACCCACCATTATCCTGCGACACAGTAGTCTTCTTCCCCGAAACCGCACTAGCAACAGGCGTCGGATCGGACGAACTAAGCGCCGGCACAGGCGTAGCCGTCTTTTTCTGGTGGTACACACGAATGATATCACTCGCTTTCTCGGCAACACCGTAAGTAGAGGCCATGAGATGTGTGGACAACGAAATGGGGATGATACTGGCATCCGCAACACGCACGTTCGCAAGACCATAGACGAGCAGGTTCGCGTCGACGACGCCACCTTGGCTTCTGGGTAGCATCGCGCATGTCGAGGAGGGATGGAATTCTGAGCTGGCTTCTTCGCGTAGCCATTGCAGCCAGCCTTCGTCGGATTGGACGGTTGGGCCTGGGGAGATTTCTTTCGTGAGGGATTCGCGGAGTGGGCTTGTTTCGCCGGCTTTGCGGGCGAATTTGAGGCCTGCGAGGAGGATATCTGAGTCTGGGAATTGTTAGTTTGAGAGATAATGGGATAATTCTGAGGCCCAATGTTGTACATACCGGCCGGGTTTGATAGATAGTTGGGGTCAATGACGGGATGTTCCATTGGGTCTGAGGAGTTGATGTAGATCCGGCCGTGACTGAATGGGTGCTGTAGAGCGGCCGTGATGCCAATGTCGCCATTTCCATCACTGTTCATGAATAGAAGCTCGATTTGGCCTATGGGACTGCTGAAGATATCCGATGTCGTGTTGTAGATAGCTTTGTAGCCGGCGAGGACGCCGTCATCGTAGGTTGTGTTTGGTGCGTGTTTGTCGATTTGAGTGAGAAACTTCGACTGATATGAGCTTGCTCTGCTGCCGTAGATGGTGGTTGCGTTCACATATGCAACGGCACTGTCGATGTATGTAAGAAATTTGGGGTTGTTCTACGTGGATCAGCAAACACTCGTCTTTTTACTCGGTGACACAAGACTCACTCTATCCTTGCCGTTATTGTAGAAGATGGAGCCTGCTGTGTCTTTATTCGTGCTCCATTTTACCGTGGCGCTCTGTGAAACACTGTTAGTGACATGCTCGTTTCATCTAGAGGCTTGTTACTCACGAAGTGGTCTTGGAGGTGTTGGCCGACACCAGGGAGCTCGGATACGAGTTCAACACCTGCATCGGAGAGGACATCCTTGGGACCGACACCGCTATGAAGTAGAACAGTTGGGCTGCCGATGGTGCCACCTGCTAGGATAACTTCCTTCTTCACCTTGGCCATCCGTCTGGTGTTCCCATTATCGGTTGTGTACTCGACAGCGTTTGCTATCTTGTTACCCGAACTTTGAGAATGGTCAAAAACGATCCGCGTTACATGGGCATTGGTTAGCACATCGTAGTTGCTGCGGTCTGGAAGCGGGTCTAGATATGCAGAACGACTGTAGGACCGCGTCCAATTTGAAGGGTTGATGCAGGAGGTCGAGACATCAGCGCCCCAGTTCTCACCACCGTACATGTTGGCTGAGTTCTCAATGCCAATACTTTGCAAGGACGATACCCATTGGCCAACTTCCGGGAATGTACTAGGTAATGGTTAGCATTCTCAGCCAATGCCAGGGAAAAGAAACTTGAAACATACTAGTCGGGATATGTCGTATGGATCGGCCCGTCGGCCCCATGATTCGATGCATTCCACGCGATTTTGGCTTCGTTAATCACACCGTCAGTTGGCGGAGAGAAGGTCTCGCCTTTCGTCATTGCCGCATAGAATGAATCCCAAGACCAATTCTCGGCGCCGTCCATATCCCCCAGCATGTCTTTCCAGGCATCGATCTCATATTTTCCTGGACGGGTCATGTACAGCCCGTTAATCGCAGAACTCCCTAATTAAAATCCGAGTCAACTTTCCTTCTTCTCCCAGAGATGACCACATCCTCACCTCCGAGGACCTTCCCACGAGGCCAATAAATCTCCCGATCTCCCGCATTGGGCTGCGCGACAGTACTTAATGCCCAATCCAAAGGCGTACTCCACAGGGAATCAAAATATGCATATGCAGGGGTATCTTCAAAGACGTCAGTGAGTCAGTTCTCAGACAAAGACAACGAGGGATAGCACACCTATGCGATTTCGATACTGATCTCCGTCTCCGCCCGCCTCAAGCACAAGCACAGTATGCTCCAGGTCCTCCGACAGCCTTGCGCCCAACACCAACCCAGCTTGACCACCGCCCACAATCACAAAGTCGTAAGAATGGCCGGTCTCCGAGCGCGGCGACAACCCGCTGGCGAAGTGACCTGTTGCGATCAGACATGCGCCTAGGAGCTTTATAGGCAGACCAGGTCGCATTGTGATTGCAGTAGAGGCAGGTGGTTGAGAGGTGTGAAGGAGAGGTGGAATAGATGTAACGATATAAAGTCCCATTGAAGTAAACTGGCTCGTGTCCTTGTGGAGCAGTGACTTAGCCATGAGAAGCTAGTTAACTCGTCGCTCATTTCTACGCGATGATCTCCGATAAGCACCTGAGTGTTGAAGCCTGAATGAGTTAGATTGGTGGATCCCGATGTGGATTCCTACAAATGAGATCTTGGTTCATATCGTTCCACATGGTTCTGTGTTTCTTTTTTCTCTAATTGAGTTTTATCTGGACTGGGTTTGTTTGTTCTACCCGCTTTGGTTCCATGGCTTATGTTCCTGGTTCGGTGGTTCCTAACAAACCCATGGGTGCGATTAGACTTTCTCTTTTGAAAACTGAGGTCCTCGAGACACGTGTGCCTCGTGGTCAAGATCAATTCCCATTTCCTACATCTGGACCATTTCCTTCTAGCGAACAGCTCACTAGTACTACGTACATATGGGTGATGGGTCTGCAGGCCCCTGCCAGCGAAGTCGTGGCTGCATGGTAACCCGCCTGGTAGCTATGCATCATGCACAAATCCGCCATTTATTGACTGGCTTTGTCTACACTCTACTGTACACTCTACACTGATATGTGGGGCTGATGTGGGGCTGATAGTAGTCTCCGATAGGCTGCTTTAGGCTGCTAAGCAGATGATCGCAATCCCAATTTGACGAGTGTCAAGAGAAGGAAAGATGGATCTCAACCAGGATCTCAGAAATCTACCAATCAAGAACTCCGGCTCCGCAGCTACAGTAAGTGGAAAAAAATCTATGAGCAAAGATCACTGATATGACGAAATCTGGACCTCGATCGGTTCTGATCGCACAGTGTCCTTTTGATCTCTTTGCATCTACTGTGTATTGAAGGTCTTCGGAATGATCTCACGGGAGGGTGAATGCGTTAGGGTTTGAAGCGCCCGATTCCTCGCCGATCTAATCCGTACTATTTCCCTTCAACCCAATCCAACGACACGTTCCGGGTTCACCCCGAGCTGTGATTAGCCAGCACCTCGATTAGATTGTACAGATCTATTGGCGTCTTTCTGTGAAGATTCTAGTACAATCCGTTCTGTTGGCTATGGTCTTATTGCGGAGCGTTAGCGAAGCAATATAGTAGGGAAATAGGAGGGTACTGTGTACGGAGTATGCCGGTCTGGAAATCACAGAGTGCAGTGTTAGCGCGGTGTAGAACGGCAGAATCACATCCTAAGAATTCATCTTTCCATTCTTTACCTACACTCATCGAATTCATATTTCGACGCTTCGGACATCCATCAGTGCGAAGGCTGACCATAATCCTACAACGCGCCGGGCACGAGGTAGACTCGAAGTATATCAAGTACCTCACGAAGTTTTGCCACGCGGTACCCCCTATTACAGATTGCTGAGCGTTAGCGAAGCAATCAGAAAAACACCTGGACAAAATCGACCTAGAGAAATATTGCACTGTCTAAATGATCCGTTAATGAGACCCGGATTCCAAAATCTTTTGATACACTGCCTTTGGACCATCTGGGATCTCAATCGGAGCGGTAAGATTCCTGAGATCATATTCTCCCCCCTGTCCAACAGCCTCGAGCGCCAGATAGCCGGGTGCATATAATTCGACATCCTCTTCCCACTGCTTGCGATAGTCCACACCTGGAGGAGCCATACCACCTACTGATTCCAGAAGATCAAGAATTGGTAGATCCATGTCCAATCTGTTTATATAATCTGAGTTAGCCGTATATATACCGAGGAACGGGAAGGAACTCACGGTGTGTTCTGATGGGCACGGCCGCCTGAACGCTCTTTTGCTTCTAGCACACCAATCGTTCCATTCACGAAAAGGTCCAAGGAAAGAGAAAACATATTAAAAGGACGGATCAGAGTTGAGAGCCTGATATCTCCGTTCAAAGCAAATTCAACCAGCGTCAAACGGGCTGTTTTTAACCCTTCCTCATCTACTATCATGAAATGCCTCGTATTTTCCTCATACAGAACACTCCCCATCTTAGTGAGGTAGATATCGCCAAAACAAGCACTCTCAAGATAATACCAGGGAAGGAAATCCTGCACAGAGTGGGTGTTAAGAGTGGCAGGGTTGGGAACAGCCACATTAGGGATAGGGTTCATGATAGGCAGGCAATGTCCTGCTTCGTAATCGTAACGATAAAAGAGAATCGCGAGCTTAACCCATCGGGCCTTGTTTAAAGGATCTTCAACAGGTGCCACACAGATGGCATGGTTCGGCTCACAAGGCAGGAATGCATAAACCCGCTCTAATGCCTCGCGAGGATAAGAAGGAAACTGATTTCCCTCGCTTATAGCACGATTGTGATATGACTGACGTACAATTAGTTAGGGAATATTCAAGATTGTCCGGAGAGTAATACGTCACGGAATTCCTGAGAAGCAGAAGCCCATTGTTGTACCAAGGCACGGCGTCGGCGCAATTCGTGTTCTTTGTCTCCATCAAGGTCGCTTGGTCGTGGAAGCCAGCTTTCTCGGACAAAAAGTAGCCACCCTTTCACCTGTTCTTCAATCTCATCACGAGACACGTCGGTTGCGTGACGTTTGATTTCACGAGGAATGCCGCCCGGCCAGTGAGATGGTGTCGCCATATGTTTCTGTATGTTGCAGGAGAAGGGGGCACTTTCAAACAAGTACTCTAAACAGAAACGCCGAAAATCTCGGCTAGGGCGAACGGCTACGCCTGGAACGAGGCAGGGCCCAATCGTCCAAGCGGCTCACTTAGCGGGAAAGCGACCAACGCCCAATCCTTTCCAGTCTACTGATCAGACCCCGAGGTGCCCGAGCTATCCGGTGCAAGTTACAGAAATTTCTCATCTCTCCACGGACTTATCCCAGAAAAGACGAGAAGAGGTTTGGTTATACTTTACCACTAGTATGGTATACGGTAATTTAAATACACATCGAACCCCTTGAACCCTTCTCATCTATGCACAGGTCTCCAACAACTATGAGTTTGGGATTTCTTGTTCTCAATAATAATAATTAATTGGTAGTGTTTGCATCACTCGGTGTTTGTTATCACATCACCTTGGTTGTAGTGGGGTTTGGCTAGTAACAGTTGAATTTTTCAATATCTCCATTTAGGTAGAGCCATGCCCGAATGGACAAAATGCCGATAGGCTTGGCTCGGAAGCTTATCTCCCAATGTAAAATACTAGCCGTAGCCCTCTACGTGTAGGACCGATAGATTGGCCACATCTGTTACCCTCGATAGCGCGACATACAGCTGGCCATGGGAGAACGCTGACCCTTTTTAACGACTGTCCCTGGCTCTTATTAATCGTCATAGCGAAACAGAGACGAATTGGAAACTGCACCCGACGGAGAGTGAAGGATAGCTGGCCCTCGGTCGTCTCCAATGGCACACGCGGGATCGTGTGCTCCGCCGCTTTATAGTCGCCAGCGATGATACGGGCGGTGATGTTCCAGTCATACAGACCCGTGATGATGAGACGGGTGCCGTTGCAGAGGTCGTCCTCTTGACGTAGGTTCCGGATCAGCATAATCGGGGCGCCGACCTTCAACGCCAGCTCCGACGGCGGCAGGCTGGGGATATTGATGGAATGTGGATACTCCGGAGGGTGCTCTCTCAGGGTGAGTTGGCCTGCGGTTCCAATGGTCCATACAGATGAAACAACTCGCCAGCCACCATAAAGGGTTTGTTGTTTCCACTGACACGCTGATCCGGAGTATAGGAGATGGAGGTAAAGGCGAAAGCGGCGTTATACTGACGGATGCGGTTCCGGGACTCATTCGCGCGAGGATCAGCACTCGTTAAAAGCCAGTGTAGATAAGGAGGCGGCGGGTGGATTGTGCTTAACTGAACAGCCCCCTTTTTGCAGCAGCGAGTAAAAAGAGGATTGCTCTGGGATGAGTTACTGCGCCGCTCTGCGAGCCAATGAAGAGCCTTGCAGAACCGGCAGGCGTGCTCCATACGGCCAAGATCATGTCTCTGCACAGTGCCAGGGCGGTACTGGGAGCGAAATGCAACGGGCGTGGCCAGGGGGTTCGGCAACAGGGGCATAAGTTGAACGGCTGGCGGCGGCGGGCCAGGTCGATAAATTGGGCTATAGGAAGCTGATCACGACAATTGAAGCAGGACTGCCTCCCGGTACGGGCTGGCGGGGGGACTTGACGGATCTGCGGTCTGCATGTAGCACAGTTAGTGAAGGGCTGGGGGCGCCGTGAAGAGTCGACGAAAGCCGATAGCGGGTGAATGCCGCTGCAGCAAGTGCACTGGCGAGTCTGGGCCTCCTCCGGTGCGACATGATTTTCAGCAGTATCAATAGTATTGGCACGTACGGGGGCGTCACTCTCAAACTGTGTTGACTGGGGATGACGGCATCCGTGGCAGGTTTCAAGCTGGACATTTCTGTCGTTGAGGAACGCAGTCAGGGGTCGTTTGTTACGGCACCGCTACAGCGCTTGGTAGACGAACGGGCGTTTTCGGCGTGGAAGGCTCACGCAGTGGTGTTGGATGGGAGGTAGGATTGGACATGGCAAGAGGCTGTAGAATTGAGATGGAAGCAACGCGTGAACAGGTAAACAAAGCCAGGGAGATGCAATGGCAGAGGCTAAACCCAAAGTGGGGATGTGGCTTCGCGCAGGCCAATGATAACGCGATAAAAAGAGAGCGACGAATGGAAAGGGGGACATGGACGCGTAGCGGGGCACGCTGGAGCGGCTAACCCAAAGGGGGTCTGCAAGTGGAACCTTCGTCATTCTATTCTCTCATCTTTACGAGGGGCTTTGGCATCCTTCGGAGGCCAAGCGTCAATTGCTGAGCGTTAATTCTTTTGTGACCCCCAAGTAGATATAGATTCCCGGTATCTGATTGGTGGAGGATGCTATTCTGCCGATTCTCACCGCTAGACATCTAAAAATTTGGGGACCTAGTGTAGTGGGAGATGTCAGATGGACCCACGTGGGGATGTCGAGGCGACATTTACACATGGGCATCGCCGCTCGATCAGGTGGTTCGCGCCGAAGGCCAATGGTACTACTACTGAATCATCATTCATCGCATTTTTCGGAGGCAGCCCGAGGCACCTTCTGACTCATTGAGAAAGGCAGGAAAAAGACCTGCCCCTACAGCTGAAACAGCGGCCATCAAGCAGGAGGTTGATACCCTTGCTGAGGTCATACCTGAGCCGATAACTATACTCTCCCTTACCTCAGTATCCTCAGACTATATGCATCACGTGATCGCCAGACGCCTCTATCACGTCGCCAACGCGGACGCGAGGGTGATTCCCTCTAACCGTGTCGTCCCGCCTTGTGATGATGCCTATCATAGAATCATTCTCACTGAGAAACAGCTTTTCATGTCTAATTGATGCCAGCGGCCAGTCATCACATGGGACGTTCGTAATCGGTTCCTAAGTGCGGTTTAGAAAAGGCCCTTCGAACATAAGGAGGGACTAGTACCCTGTTAAATTGCAGTAGGGAAATTCGAACCCTCGGGGTTTTTTCCCAGTCATTTTGGATTTCTTTCGTATAACGATCAGAGAACAACTGAAGTTCATCATTGGTACTGGGCTGATAAAGGTCATATCATTCCTGCGTAGGATGGACCCGGAGCCTATTTAATGCTTGTTAGACCATCGCCTCTGAACGAAACGAAGAATACAGGATCCTACCATTTGCTTTTATGTCGAATTTCTTCAAACGAGCGCAAGGACCACAGCTCTTTGCCGTCTCTTCGTCCCTAGTCTTTATCACTGGAACATATGAGTGATGAAATGTCCCTCCGATCTGCAAGCTAATTATGGGCAGGGAACCGTTGAGAGCGCACCAGAGTGAATCTCCGAGGAGGGGGCGGATATCCAATCGCGATGATCGTTGCGCAGAAGCTTGAGACGTCCGTTCTTCGCGCCGTGAGTGATTTATCGCGCCTTCTGGATCATTCGGCTGTGGCCTGCCTGGCATCTTGCTTCCCCTTCACACACAAGAAAATTACGCAATCTATGACTAGCATGCACCAGGGTCTCTCCGGTCATTTCCAGGTCTTCGCGCGCGATCAAAGCTCGAACAGCCGCGACCCAGCCTCTCCCCGTCGTCAATGCCGGAGCCGCCTCCTAGTCTCTTGCTGCTGTTGCTAGCTCCTCTAAATCCTCTTGTATATAGATCATGGACGTATGAAGTGGATGCAATCCAAGAAACGTCTGAGGTTGGAGTGAAACCTAACCAATCTCATGCGTCCAATTTGCCCCAGTGTTCTATGCTAGAGTGCCTTGGGCTACCAAGCAAGCTTGTCTGCAAGCCAAGATGGCATAAGACTTTTGTGGCCCACATTAATTACTAGGAAAAAATATCAAAATATATACAGAACAGGCAAAAGAAAAGTGGCCAATTATGACTTTTCGTATCCGTTGAGTCCCGCTCTTGGTTCTCATTTCTAATGGTGTGAAACGAGACTTGCATTCCGCACTGAAGAGTTGGATTTCAAACGTCGACACCGCGTGTGGCTCGGATACGAAATATAACATCTCCAGAAATCCCCAGACAGCTAGTTATGGTGGGCACGAGCTTCTGTGGAAGCAAACTGCCAGCTGCTTGGAGTCCTCATCAGGCGAGCTCTGCAACTTGGTTATTCAGCAAGCAGCTGCCGATAAAGATACTAATGTACTCTGCAGCTCATGTGCTCTGCAATATTTGACCACAGTCGCAAACTCGGAATGGGGACAAATGATTTTGGACCCAGAAGTCGTTTCAAGCCAAATTGACAGCTGCTCGGCGACTGCGACGTATAGTGTCACATATACAGCATCCACGGCTACCACGTCTACCACTGCACCAACTGTGACAAGCAATGATCGCTGCAACGTCACCGATCCAGATACGATCACCTATACGATCCAGGGCAATGAGACATGTCTAGATATCTCAGCATCGAAGAACGTTTCAACCCCGGCCTTAAGGACTGTAAATAATCTGGATGTTGGCTGTGCCTACTTGATGTCTGGCCAAGTACTCTGCCTTCCAGTCTCTTGTGAGACTTATCTTGTTCGCACAAATGATACGTGTGACAGCATCACGGCAAGCCTTCTTAGATCGGTTTCTACGTCCACATTCCGATCATGCAACCCCTGGATAAATTCGGCATGCTCAAATATGAACAGTCTGGTGGGCCAATATCTGTGCATCAGGTATGCTCTCTCTCCCAAACATTTTTTGCTAGGTAGTGATTTGAAACTTACTGAAACTTCCAGTCCTCCTGGAACGAGTGAAATTCTAGAGTCGTTTCCATTGCTCCCAGCGACAACAGCCGTGTGAGTAAATCCCTGGTTACCATCTTTTGTTTTGAATGAATCCTAACTTCAGACTCAGTGCAGTTCCAACTGATGCAGTCACTACATCAAATACAGACTGCGGCCAATGGTATAGCATCAAGGATGATGAGACCTGCCAGACTGTGGCGTCCAAGTTCGGCATCGATATAGAGGACTTTTACTTTTTGAATCCTCAGCTTGGCCAGAACTGCAGTTCCCTCTGGCTAGGAAATAGCTATGTATGCCCCCTTCCCTAAATGATTTGCACGATTTCGTTTCAAATTAACATCCATCTAGTGCGTTCAGGCGGTGGGAAGCATACAAACATACTCGGGATACAACACTTCATCTGCGTACACCACCCTCGATTCAACAATCAACCCTAGTTCCACGCTCACTGTGAACCGTACCACGACGTAAGCGCATACTCTTTCAACTATTGTCGAGGATTTTCCGTCTGATGCTACAGGTCAAGCCATTTCTTCTATTCTTTCCCTGATCCAACCACCACTACGATGATATACGACACGAGTATTTATGAACTTGCACGAAGCTACACGCTGTGTAGTGAGGCCATGGCATATTATAACATCACAGGTGACACCCAATTTACTGATCAAATGTATGACGACGCAGAGAGGTATTCGGAGTACCAACGTGTTTGTCTGGTCGATCCGACAGCACTTCCTACATCTCCGTTCAATACCAGTATTGTGCTGTCGACAACAGAGGGTTTAGCCGTCACTAGTTCAACCCCAGCGATCACCAAAGCATCTGCCACACTTACCTCATCCGCTACTTCAACTTCAACGGGGACAAGCACAACGGCGACGCCAACCCCAACGGTAACCATTTCTCCCAATGGTTTGTGCGGTACTGCAAACCACGGAGTGGCCGGCCATCTGATCTTCGGAGGAGTCACCCTCAAATTCCGCTCGTGTCCGTAGACGGTAGAACGCAATTTGATCAAGTTCAGTCTGAGCCTTTCTAAAAATTAAAATACGTAATCAAAATACGTACGGACTAAGACTGGCGTTTGAAAGATTTGGATAAAGCTAACGCTCAGCAATTGAGGCGGGGGGTCCGGGGGGCGCCAAAGCCCCCTGGTATATAAGAAGGGTTCGTTGAGGACTAGGAATGGGAAGCCTAGGGTGTTGGTGTTTTGTGCGTCTTGTGGGTCACGTGGAGTTCGCGCGAATGCTATCGCGCAAGTAATACCAAAGAGCCGAAGATCTCTAACACTTACGTTCTCTCTACCCCGATAAGACTATTGATTCCGCGATGAAATCGTGGACGGCTAGCGAAGTCTTCATATACAGATCAATCATCACAAAGAAATTTCAATCTTATCCCCCCAACCAACCACTCGGATCAAATCACACGCCCAAAGTACCGGGGGTAGACGCGAACGCTTCCTCCAATATCCGCAAGCCAGACAGCAGCAGGTCCTCAGTAATCGTGATTGGCGGCGCAATACGAAAAACCCCTCCAAAGCTCGGATGACTACTGAGATTGGCCCATAAGCCTAAATCATAAGCCCGATTCCCGATCGCCTTTCCCAAAGCTAGCGCAGGAGTCTTCGTCTCGCGACTCTCAACAATTTCAATACCGGCCATGAGTCCACGTCCGCGAACATCCCCGATACACCCGTACTTTTCTTTCAGCGCGTTCAGGCGCGAGTGTAGTATCTCCCCCATAGCACGCGAATGATCGACCAGCCCGTCACGCATAACAATCTCAAGCACTTTATCGCCGACAGCAGCGGGGAGCGGATCATTGACATGCGTCGTGTAGAAGCAGTAGTCTCGCTCAGCGCACACGCGCCCGATCTCAGCACTAGACACGACGGCGCTGAGAGGCAGTCCGTTGCCTAGTGTTTTGCTGAGGGTCAGGATGTCCGGGACGACGCCTTCGTGGTTGATCGCCATGAGATCGCCGCATCGGCCGACGCCGGTCTGTGCTTCGTCGACGATCAGGAGCATCCCGCGCTTTGTGCACTCGTGCTTGAGTGCGGCGAGGTAGCCAACTGGCAGGACGTGCATGCCGCCGGAGGACTGGATGCATTCCACAATACAGGCTGCGAGCGAGCCGCAGGATTGCATATCGATCATGCGCCAGCCGTAGTCCAGCTCGGCTTTCCAGTCGTAAGAGCCGTCGGAATGGCGGAAGATGGATCGGTAGGCGTTTGGGGGTGGGAGCATCAGCATGCCTGGCATCAGGGGTCCTTGACCCTTCCGACCAAAATGATATTGGGCGCCGAGGGCCTGGGCTGTGACGCCGTGCCAACTTGCGCCTAGTCCGACGATCTCGAATTTTCCTGTGTATACCTTTGCCATTTTTATGGCTGCTTCGTTGCTTTCTCCGCCTGTGGATAGGAAGAATGCTTTGTCGAGGCCGGCGGGCAGCAGATTGCACAGTCGTTCGCCTAGATTGATGACAGGGGGTGATACCATGCCTGAAAACAGGTGATCTAGGGAAACTGCGTGGTCGGCAATTGTCTGGACAATTTCTGGGTGGCCGTGACCGAGTAGACAGGACATTTGCCCTGATGTGAAGTCGAGCACTTTATGTCCCGAGGCTGTGTATACATACAGCCCTTTGCTTGCACAGATCACATCTCTGTTGAATTGAGTGCCGTAGTTGAGGAGATATTTCGATGCTTTGGCTTGAAATTCTTGTTCGTCGACGTCTTCATACAACATTTGTGGGTTGTCGTCAGTCTTTCGGGCCATGTGCGTGAGCGCGGAGTCCTCGATCTTGGGCGACATGTTGAGATTTGTTGATTTCCAGCGAAATGCTGTCCACCGAGATGTCGGGAGGCTTTTAAGTCTCGTACCAAGTTCCTTCATCGGCCATCGACGCGTCATCCTGTGAGTGATTGACAGCTTTCCCCTCATTTTATCTGGCCTTCGCCGCGGAGCCGCGGACAACAGCATCCTCCGACAACCACCAGACCCTACACCAATCAGGAGGTGAAAAGGTATTGATGGATTCGGTCACATAATCTGCAGTATATCCCAAGTACTCGGAAACAAATCCTGAAGAAACGTCATATCCGGTACAAGTGGTTCAACACTCGTCTCATCGGCTTTATTCGCCGGTGGCTCCGAGCTCAACAACCTCTCAATAACCTCTGAATGCTGTGCCAGACAAATATCAGCAAGGTCCCAGCTGAGATTCTTCTGGTGGGATCGCAGCGACACTAAAAGATCATTCGCCATCCGGAGAGAACCACTTTGTGCAAGGCCCGCAGCGCGCTCTGTTTCCAACGCACAACGGATCAGGAATGTCACCGTTGCTGAAAAAGTGAATGCTACGACGGGCATCCAGAAGTCACTCAATTGCGCCTCTCCGAGTTCCTGCACCAGGACCACAATGTCCTCGGCGGTTCTGCGGGCTTCCATCACTCGGTTGGCCATCTGCTCCGGGTTTGAATCGGGTGATCGCTTTTCTCGGTCGAGGTCTATGCGCCGGAGAAGGAGTCTTATTGCTAGATATGCGAGGCGGAGGTTGGTTGCGCCAGGAATGGCCAAATTTGAGCCGCGAATGATTATTTTGCGGATGTCCCCTGTCAGTGAGTCTATCCATTTGTTCAACTCCAGTTCGAGGTTCCTGGGTGGAACTTGAGTGGAGCGGATACTGTACACATGCTCAAGACAGCAGTCCAACACGTCTGTCAGGTTCATGAGCTCGATGAAGACGGCGTTTGCACGGCTATTTTGGTCCCAATCTGACAGATAGTCGGGTATCGGTAGCGGGACGTCGTACTGGGATCTTCTGATATGGGGAGGTGTCCCATAAGCATGACTCAACCTACTGTAGATGAGTTTCTGACAATATTTACTATCAGACGTTCCAGATTTGAGAGCTTACCACCTATCATGAAGTAGGACAGACCACCAGATCTTCATCCTCAAGTGCTTCTCCGCTGGCGGAATATCCCATGGCAACGGGTTCCGGTTCAACCCCAGGGAATGGCACAAAGCAACCGCCGAGCCAAGCCTTACGCCATTGCCTATTATGGAGGTGGTTGGACGGCCACCGATATCAAGTAGAATGGCTTTGATCGTTGATATACCAGGAGAAGCATGCAGCTCAGCACATGCAGCTTCAATAGCAAGATTCCAGACGAAGCGAACATCTGGGCACCTTTCTCGTGATAAGACAGGGTCATGTTGCCAATAGGTAAGCATGTGTGCATACAAGCACGCAAGCAATGCAGGAGATATGCGATCCCTGGCATTCATGTATTGTGCCCGAAAAGATCTCTCGTCTAATAATGGGAGACATGGGTTGACTTTATTCAAGTATCTATACCTGCTATCAGTTTCGCATTTTTGGGCAATAAACCCGAGTTGATACATGCAGGACAACTCACAGGTCTATCAGACGCGGCCCGAATGGCTCTACAAGCTTTTCGATGGTCTGCAGTTTCTCAAGTGCCGGACTGGAACCCACCAGAAGCCCCAGTGGCCTTTTTTGTACTTTAGTGAATATCACCGGGGATGAAGAGCTCCCCGGCTCGACTGGACGAATCTCACGAATCCCCTGCCCACCGGGAATGTTAGACAGGTAGTCAGCCAGGATATGAGTATCTCCGGTCACTGCCGGGCCGAGAATATGCGGGTTGTCATCGTCAGCCTCTAGAGACAGCGGTGTATCCTGGTCATTCTGGCCCTGTATGAGACCCGAGAACTGCGCCGAAGTGCCCACGGCGTGTTCCTGAGGCGGTGCAATCGGCGTCCTTACTGCCGGATGTGGTATTGTTGGAGCTGTGACTGTGGAGGACCTCTTCTGCGGTGTTGCTCTCGCTTGCCCGTTGGGGAATGTACACTCAGTGCCGTGCGCGCGGCACATCAGACAGGCCGCCGTTTGGGGCTCGAGCTTGCATCGCGACTTCCGTCGTCTGCAGGGGTTACATGCCGGTTTGGTGTGTGACCGGTATGGCCGCTCGTCGCCACTTTCCATTTTGGTTGTCTAGAGTCTAGACTTCTGGGATGGCCGCGGCTGGGGTTCCCTCGGTAGCCAATTAACTTTGTGTCAACAGCTGGCGGGTATTGTCGCCCGTACCTCGGCAAACACTGGCAGATATGTGTTTGCTCCTACGAAAGGACACAGACATAAGGTATGACTCCAGCAGGCAGCGGTGGATGGCTGGGTGGCCTGTTGCGCGAGGAGAATCCCGCGGCCCGCGGGGAACATTCAAGTGGGTCGGGTCGGTACGGTGATCATTGGAGACCATCACGGCTTTTAATGCGGCTGTTCGCCTAAAGACAACACTGTGAAGTCCGGGAACTACGTAGTATATTTTTCTACTCCTACTGTCTCCGATTTGAGACATTTGTGCAGAGTAGGTAGTGAAATGGAGGTGTAGGAAATGGAACAAAAAAGGGTATATCTACACAGTAGGAATGATATGACGGCCTAATAGGATAGCGCCGGGTGCCAAGTTACTACTGTACGCTCCACTCATGTCTCCATACGGATATTCCGATCATCACGGGGGATGGGGTTCACGTCTCCTTGGACAGTCAAGCAACGCTAAATGCACCCGAGCGACCGCGGAGGCCATGGGGACAGGTCTATCTGTCAGGATGCCTGGACCAGATCCAACGACTTGCTGGCAGAGGGGTCCGGACTCCGGACAGAACTGAGATGGATTCCTACGCACCAAGGAGTCATTACTCTTATTAGCAATGAGACCGCGGGCCAGCAGGCATAAAAAGCATCGCAGGACCAGGAAGGCCACATAACCTTCCAACAGAGGAACATGCCTCGCACACAGCCCCAGCGAAACAGCGAATTCGCAGCGAAGGGAAGTTGAGTGGGAGATGATGTGGACGAAGGAGACGACCAGTCGACATCCTCGACCTCAGACCACGAAAATGATTGATCAAACCACTAGCTTAAAATTCTGGAGGCTCACTTTGAGAACATCACAGCAGTGGGCAGATGAGCAACTAGTAGGGCGCCAAAACCTCACAACCTGACAACCTGACAAGCCGCGCGTCTCATCACAACGCCTTAGGCATTGCCCTGGTATATTCCCTCTATCAACAGGGATTGTTGACATCACTGGCTTAGGGACGCTGCATACAGAGCTGATCTTGTGACGTGGACGGGATTATTACTTACGCGCAAAATCATGATCTATCCAATTATCAAGTTCCAACTCGAACCCCAGGCTTCACCACCCCTGAGGCCAAATTTCGAGATTATTGGACGAAGAAACGTACACAGTAATTGGGGGACTGAGAGCGAACGAGTTAAGCGCCAGCCTCGCAGCCTCAGGGGACTAAAACGAGATGTCTATCACATGGTTCAACTTATATAAGAGCTAAGTTGGTTTCGTTCAGTCATGGCTCTTTCAGCCAACCCTCAATCCATGGATTGCAGCCTCCCGTCTCTTAAGAGTTTTGATCCTCGCCCCGTAACTTAACATTCCATCAAAGCTAGAATGTCTGGGTACTACGAAGTCTACCTTGCGCGGTACAATCTCGAGATACAGAACCCCGATATGCAGGGTCCGAGATATCACACGGCCATTTTCGTGAAAACCGCGGCAGACAAGAGCGGCACCCTGCACCACGTCACTGGTGATATCACCTCTATGAATGGGATGGTCTATATCCCACAACCAAGGCAATATCCTGAATACTCGCAGTCTTTCCACTCGCTCGAGAAACTGGGCGTTACGCCCATGTTCAAGCATCCTGCCGACTGGGGTCGGGTCCTTAGGAGCATACCGGCGCCGCCCCGCAGATGGCGTTCAACACCAAGACAATGAAAACCGAGCCATTGAAGACCCGGCGCTGACCTTCTACGAGCCAGGCGAGCCCCGAAGACCCTTGGTCAAGTGCACTGAATGGACTTTGGAGGGAGCCCTACCTGCCCTTCAAGCAAACGGGCTTATTATTCAACAATAGACCATATATCCTCATAGACCCTACCTTATACCCTACCTTATATGTCCCTCTATATGGAGGAAAGATAATTATCGTACACCATGTCTACCTAGTATATTAAATTCTCCCATGCCCTTCGACGGTTAAAAGGGCAATGCCAGTGGTTTTCAGAAGGCAAGAAGGCGCTGCGTCGCGGTAGCTCGCCAGTTGGCCCCAAAGGGTTTACCTCGCTCATCAGTTGACTCGAATGGTTTAGCAGCAAGAAGGCCCCTCCAGGTCACGTGTTGGTTAGAAGAGGTCTGGCAGGAACTCTTGCAACACTGAGCTGCATCCTCAATTTGGCATCAACTGTTCCATTCTGTGGACGTCGCCCATCCAACTATGAATTTCTCCCTTCCTTATTATCGGGAGGCTAGTCAATTACCAGGGCCTCTTCCTGATCAGAATGAGATCGAACAGGCAACGCAAACCCTCCCCAAGAGATCAGATTACGGTGGGCGCCTAGTCCTTATCAGGGATAGATATGTTGTGAAATATGGCCCCCTTGTGACCGAAAATGAGGGATATGCTCTACTGTTTGTTGAAAATCGGCTCAACATCCCAGCGCCACGACTCTACGCCATGTACCGCCATCGGGACATCCTGCATATTGTCATGGAATACATCCCCAGCGTTTCCCTAGGGGATGCCTGGCCTTCGCTCACCGAGGCAAACAAACATTCGATTGTTGGACAGCTGCGATGCATCTTTGATCAGATGAGAGCGCTGCCATCGCCCGGGTTCTATCTCAGCGTCAACCGAGGGCCCGTTCCCCATAGATATTTCTATTCAAGTGAAAAAGACCCTGCTGTCACCGGTCCTTTTCAGACGGAAGAAGAATTCGGAAGAGCCATCGCACTTCGCTCACAAGATATATGGGTCGGATCGTGTCGCCATAGCTATCTCTCCGACTACCTTGCTCGCCACCTCCCACGGGCATTCCAAAATCATCCACCTGTATTCACCCACGGAGACCTCTACAGGGAGAATGTTCTTGTCCGAAAAGTCGTAAATTCTGTCACAAATGAGGAGGAGTACGAAGTAGCTGCAGTTGTGGACTGGGAAACGGCTGGATGGTATCCTTCACACTGGGAATACTCTCATATCTTCCCCCTGTTGCAGTGGATTGACGACTGGCCAGAATATGTTGAGAAGGTTCTCGATCCCTTGCCGCTGGAGGCTGCCATGATGCGGGTTGTCTTTAACGATCTGGAGTTTTAGAACGACATGATCCGATGTTGACCCTGGTTCATTGAGACCGAACAAAGACAAAGACCTGATCGGTGTGACCTGATCTCAACTTTTCTCCCAGTTGAAGTTTGATAGCAAATTTATTTCGCCGCAGCTTCGGAAACAATAAATGTCTCTTTATCAGAGAGGCTGGCCTTCTGCTCCTCATCTTGAGCATTTGGCATCTCAGATTCCTCCTTGCTGTGCTCAATTGGCACGTGAGATCTGACAACTAGCCATGTAGGCGCTATTGCAAGACCTGGGGTCTGACGTTAGATTGCCTTCTTAAGAGAATGGTGAACTCCAATTTGTTACTTACCAAGAAGGATAGTGTTGACAGCCAGCGGGACTCTTCCACCGTGCCACGTTTGGGTGTTGAGGCCGAACGAGACGGCTTGAGAGAAACTCTCTTGGCCGCGGAGGATACCGCTCAGTCGGGCTATATGATATTAGTGAGTGGCAAATACATTGTAAGTTTCAGATTCGACCTACAGAGCTCGGAGATGTTGTCGGTCATAGTGGAGAGCAAGTAATAGAGGAAGTTTTGCAGTGATTGTTGCGAGAATTCTAGTAGAAGCACTGTTAGAACAGACTATCCTGAGGATACGACGGAATTGCAGAACCTACCCCAGAGAAGGATAACGAAGAATCCCTCAACGAAGCCTTTGTCAGCCCAGTCGAGGGTTGGCGGGTTACTGGTGTACTTTTCTTGAATAACCCAAGCGTAAACCCATGTGATAATGTGAAGGACGATCACGTAGAAGAAACTGTGATTCTTGCTTAGTCGTGTTCTTGTTCGTTGTCCCTGCAGATGATAGGATTCATACCTGTACTGGATTCTGTTCTTGGTAGAAAGCCTGCGGTAATCCAGGAACCAGCTGATGATTGTCGATGCGAGAAGGGTGGAGAAATAGGCTTTCCTACATGTTAGTACTGGTGCAAAATTGAGCCTGGCGAATATTGAAGTGTGTCAACATACACACGAATCCCATCAGAGCGCGAGCGCGAACACCAAAGTAGTACGATTTGAAGTCTGTATCAACTCATCAGAAACTGCAAAATTCGTTGATCGAAGGGGCACATCATACTTCCGCTGTACTGATTGAAGTATGCAGCCCAGAAGACAGGCAGTAGTAGGAGGATCTAGAGAAGGAACCTTAGAACGGAATGGCCCTATGGAAATTAACGGGGTGAAATATACCTCTCTGCGCTTGCAGACCTTCCAAAGCTCTCTCATCTCGGCGCGCCAGGAGTCCTGCAGAACAATTCTGACTTTGCTTCCGTCTGCACGTTGGACCTTGTCCGGGGGTGTGAGGAAGAACGCAATAGGTACTGCAAGACATTGGAGCGCCACGAAAATGAGGTATGTGTCTGCTGCTCGTTAGAGGTTATTTCGCATACTAAATACTGTGGGACCACTTACTAGAGCCAACCTTCCCTTTGCCATGGGCACTGCCGCCGCTTTTCAAGGGTCAGTAAATGGTGCCGGTGGTATGCTGCCGTATTCCAGACATACCTATTGAGGCCGAGCACAATAGCACCTCCCACCAACGGTCCACCCGTACGGAACCACAGCCAGATGCTTTATCAGGTCAGTTATGTAGCCAGGGTTTGCAAGGTATGCTCAATGCTCACTTCATGTAGCGACCACGCTTCGCTGGCTCTGGATAGCCCAGCGCCACGGCACCTTCAGAAGCCCAGAAAAGACCGGCGCTTTAAAGGGGTTAGTGTACCCTTGATCTCTTTCGTTGCAGGATACTCACGATAAACCACAAAATACCGATCCAACCAGAACAAACCACACGTTTCCCTAGAGACAATATCAGTATTGTCCCCGGTAGACAATATTGCATCCCTTTGAGACTTACATAGCGGTTATTCGTATATAAAGCAGCCCTATTCGTTCAGTCAGTCCCATCACATCATCAATCGGGTTCTACCATTTTCGTGGTACTCACGAGTACAAGGGATATCCAACAGCACCAAGCATCAGAGTCCATCTCAATCCAATGCGATTGGCAATCGGACCACCGAAAAGACACAAAAGGCCCACTATAAAACAAGTCAGCAAACCGTGTTCCTCATGTGCAGGACTATCAACATACTGAGCCCAAAAACCAGCGCATTGGCCGCATTAATCAAATACGGCTCTTGTGCACCGCCAGCACCCAAACTGTTCATCGCATTCCACAGACCTGGTGCCGTGAAGCCAACACCCCCAATGATGCAGGCATTGAACAGAGTCCCACGATACCACACGGGTTTCTCGTCCTGCCGCGCAGTGGATGTAATGGAAGCTTGTTCGGCCATTTTGGAGGTTCTGTCGCACAAACCTTGAATTCAGCCAGAGGGAGGACGTGGTCTACTGCGTAAAACCGTACATCGGGGGACGAGACGATCTATAACTAGTCGTTTTCCCTCGCTGCTGAGTTAGATTTTTGCTATTCGAGTTTTTCCGTGTTACATTAAGCCTCTCCTAATCCACTTGCAATATGGCGTGCTTTGGATGCACGACAATAAAGTTCCTAATGAAGATTAGTGTAAGTACCTGCCAAGATCATCTTGAAGAAGATCAGGCGAATCAGCGAGGTGGAAGCCGCTATAGTTACATCGTGGGGGTAGTGAGGTGGGGGTCGACGAAGTGGATAACTTCGCGACGGGAGGCTTATTTATGGCGTATGAATATCGCGTCAACCGCCATTACGGGAGCGCCAACTCCGATCGGGAAGGCGAGAAGAATTCGTTGTGTCGGTCCGTGGCTTCAAAGGCCTCTATGGCCTCTAACTCGGGATTTTACAAAGCAGATCGAGCAGATCGGGCCGATGAAAATTAAGGGTAAGACACTTGAAGAGAAAGAATTTCATTATCACAGAAGGTCGTTAGGTACATGTATGTTTTTGGTATGGCAAATTCACTGTCCGGCAATCTCCTTGACGGCATCGATGATTTTGCTGGGTCCAAGACCCTGAGCATTCACTTGCTCGTACAGACCACCGCAGCCCTCCCTGACAGCACCGATGGACTTGAACTTAGGTGTCAAGCCGCGCTGTAGAAGGTGGGTACCAAGGCGAGAGCCGAGACCGGTCTTTTGGGCAATCGACTCAACGACCAGGACGAACGGTGAAGATCCGTAAACCTTGATGGTCTCCTCGTCGACCACGTTGAGAGTGGGCTTGTTGATCAGACCAACGTCAATACCCTCTGCGCGCAGGTTCTCAACCGCATCGAGCGAGCGGTAGAGCATGTCACCGTACGACACGATATATCCAGCAGAGCCCTTGCGGATGATCTCTTCCTTGCCAGGGACGAACTTGTAGCCCTTGCCGAAGAGCTTCTCGTCGGTGCCTTCCTTCAGGATGTAGGGGACCTTGGAACGAGTGGAAAAGATGAAGCGCAGGCCCTTGTTCCAGAAGACCTCGTTAACAACGGCCTTCATCTGTTCGCCGTCGGCAGGGAAGTACAGAGATGTGCTGCCGGAATCCATCAGACCGTTGTCGGCGAAGAAGTGGTTCAGACCGAAGTGGCAGGTGTTGTCCGCCATCTCGTCAATACCGCTGTGCGAGAAGTGTGATAGAACGGTACAGTCGTTCAAACGGGCCATGGTGATCTCGGAAATACACATCTCCAGGAAGGCAGAGAAGGTGGAGAAGACACCCTGGCGCTCTCCATTGCTGCCGAATCCGAATCCAGCAGCAGCAGAGAAATTGCCGCGCTCCATCACACCGGATGCAACGAAGGACTCGGGGTGCTTGGCACCGATGGCCTTCAGCCCCGTGGAACCTGCCAAGTCCGAGTCGATGACCATAACGCGGCGCTGGGCCTCCTCCTTGCTCAGTTTATCAAGAATATCGTTCACGGCGTCACCGAAGATAGTCCGGTTAGCACCCTTGTCCTTGGTGGAACCCTTATATGTGTGAGGGTTGGAGCCAGGCTTAATCTCATCGTAGAAAGCAAGCTGCTTCTCGCTGTATCCACGCTTGGTAAGGTACTTGCGGGCAATATCCACGGTGATCACGTCGTGCGCATGGCACTCGCCCTCAATACCCTCGATACCAGGAGCCATTTTGCGGTCGACAACCACAGCAGCGGGACCATCGTAGTTGATCACCTCGCACATGGCAGGGTACAAGGAGTCGAGGTTCTCGCCCTGTGCGCGCAGGACCTTCATACCATGTCCGTCAAGGGTGCGGCTCACCTCGTAGCCCTTGAGGTATTCTGAGGGATGCCCAGCGATTGTGACGTCATTGTTATCGATAAAGAGCTTAACGTTCAACTTATTGGCGACCGCGATGCGCGCAGCCTCGGCGTCATTTCCTTCTTGCTGAGATCCATCAGATCCGAGCATCACAACGTTCTTATCCTTATTGGCCATGGCAATGCCGTTCACCATGCCCCACATGTGACCCAGACGACCGGAGCTGAACTTGATGCCCGGGGTAAGGCCGAGCTCCGGGTGACCCGGGAGGTGGGAATCAGCGGCACGGTACTTCAACAGGTCATCTGGTGCGATCTTGCCGTCCAACGCGGCGAGCAGATATTGTGTAGCGACACGGTGGCCGGCCTCGTCGTACAGAGCATCGACCCATTTATTGGGGTTGGCGTTCATGAATGCGAGCAAAATGCAGACTTCCGGGGCGGTGTCGAAGGGACCGCCAGTGTGGCCTGAGACGCCGCGGGCAGCACCTGTTGCTGTGAAAGCAATGAGGGCATCTCTGAAGATGTTGATGTTGTGTTGCAGATCGCTCTTTTGTTGGGCTGATAGCTGTGTGGTTTTCGGGTCAAGCTTGAGATGCTTGAACTGCTTGAGATCGACGGGGAATGTATTGCTACTCATGGTGCAGATATTTTCAATTTCGATGAGGCAGTATGTTCAAGGTGAGAGTTGAAACAGCTGAGTTGATCGGCGATGGAGGGGGTTATAACTATTTCGAGTGAGACTGGCCTGTTCCCAGCGTGTTGACGTCATCAGCTTGTACACCTGAAGATGACTTGTTTTGAGCACCACGAACAGCCTTCATTCTCTGCAATATCCACTTTTTTATGATCAGCCTTGTCCTGAGGAGTCCCACTAATTTGCCTCATCAAGTGGGATGTGGAATTGGAATGTTCTATCGAAGTTCTTTCATTCCTGAGGCCTCGTTGTCTGTGCCAACGCACGTCGCACGAATAGTTCGGGGCACACCTGCCATAACGCTTCCCATATTTCTCTTTGTCATCCCTTCTCACCTTCTGCTCTTTTCTTTCGTATTGACATCTTTCATATCTATCTTTCATATCTACAGTATCACGGTAGAATGATGCCGGTGCCTTCACATCCTTCGATCCTTCTATGAAGCGTATTGCTTCTCCTCTCAAACAACTCGGGGCCGGTTTCCAACTTCGTCTTCTCTGCGTGTTGCGATAAAACAGTCACTGCATTGCCCAATTGCGCAGTCTCGAGGGATGTCCCGGCTCTCCTTGAAGACTTTTCCCCGCGTGCAAAGAGCTGACAACAGGGCCTTTGAAGCAGCCGTCGGTCTATGGGCTCCTTGTGGTGTGAGAAAGCTGGGACATCGATGCTAGCTTGTTATCCAGCGATTCACAAAGCAGAGTTGCCTTCACATCCAGAAGCTCTCGGTCCCTTAAATTAGGCAGAGACAGATCATAAGACTAGAAGTTTCCAATGGCGTAATTTCGCGCCATTTCCAGAGGCGGCCAGCTCCATCAATTGACAATGAGCAAGCACTGTCGATACTACTGTAGCTGCGATCACATGAATCTACTGCGCTGTACTTATCTATTTGAAAACGAAAAGCCGTACGATGTTCCAGATTGTAATTGCTGTCCTCCGCTTGGTCCAACCTTCGGGTAATGACGTGTGGGTGGGGAATGCGATATTCCAACCTGACAAGTTCCCTGCGACACAGGTTATCTAGACAGTAGACGTCACAAACGTAATTCTGTGGCTTCCTTGCATGTGCTCCTGGGCGATCTTTCCCAAAACTTATAAGAGCTCGTTCCATGGAACTCATGGCTGGCTTGTTGACAAACATCGCAATCAAAAAATTCCAAGCCATCACCATGCCCGAAGCTACACCCAACGCTGCAAAACTTCGCGAGAGAAAGCCTGACATAGAGGCTGCCAAAAAGAATAATGAGACTGGTAATCGCCGAAAAGAGCTATATCACCAGCAGGCGCATCCCAGCAGTTTCCCTCGCCGACACCATCGAGAATCCCGGTGTCGCACGTGCGAACGCAGCAGTCTCCATCGATAAGCCAGAAGGCGACCTGGATTGGGCTAGAAAATATGACGGATATGTATGTTGTTCGTGCGCTCCATGACCATCACATGGCGATACTAATGATATGACAATTGTAGACGCCGCTTCAGCAGCACGTCCTTTTCTGGGATCGCGATAATGACGGGATGATCTACCCTTGGGATACATACAATGGATTCCGTGATCTAGGTTTCAACATCCTCTTCTCGCTTCTAGCAACCTTCATCATCAACGTTAACTTCTCTTATCCGACACGCCTGGCATACTCATGGATCCCTGATCCCTGGTTCCGCGTTTATGTTCCAAGCGTGCATAAAGCTAAGGTGGGTTTCTGGGAATCACTGAATGTTGAAGGCGACGGTCAAAACTAATAGCTTCCAGCACGGCTCCGACAGTGGTGTCTACGACCCAGAAGGCCGATTCCTGCCGCAACTCTTCGAGAACCTGTTCTCAAAATTCGATGGCGATGGTGATGGAGCTTTGACGCTTAGCGAGCTTTTCCAGCTTATGCACGGTCATCGATGTGCTGCTGATCCTTTCGGGGTATGTCTTCCTTGTTTTTCCTGCGGTGGGGATGGGGTTTTGGTACATTGCTAACATCTGTGCAGTGGTTTGCTGCCCTCTTTGAATGGGGAACAACTTGGCTTCTGGTTCAGAAGGATAACAAGGTCTACAGGGAGGATCTTCGGGCTATTTATGATGTATGAACCCCTGATCTGACTGCTGTGTTATGAGGATTTGGCTAATAGTTCGGTAGGGCTCGTTGTTCTGGAAAATTCGCGATGCGAGAAAGACCAAAGCTGGCTGGACGCAGGGCTGGGGCTTGGGAGGTGATGGGTTCATTGGAGGAACGAAGATGTTCTGAATAGTGCCCAATCATTAACTGTTGAGCAGTAACCTGATGAATTCGCCTGAGATAGTATGATATGATGCACCATAAGACAGACCAATGACGCTTCATATGAAGTTATTTCTCAATCAAGCTCATGAATCAACTGTAGACAGAGCTTCCTACCTATCAAGAATGGACGACCTATGCCTTGAGGCGTTTTGGTCGCATCATTGCTCCGCAGACAATCGTCTCAGGACCTCCCGGCCTGTTTCATCCAAATCCGGATAATTTCGCAAATGATACAGATCCATGCAAAAACTATTTGCATCTTCATGCGTATCGAGACGCTGTCGTAATAATCTTCTCCATTCGGCATCTTCCTTAGTGAAACCCCAAGTTGCTGAGATATATTCGTACCACACGGGATAGTATCCTGCATGCTCCCAATCAAGAATGCCCACGAGCTGTCCATCCTTGACCATGATATTTCCTATATTGAGATCGCAATGGGTGAGGACATAAGGTGCACATTTAGGAAATCATTTCTTCAAGCTTTCCATCGCTTTTTGAGGAAACGATTTCTCGGGTGGGTTGTGGAGGGTGAGGCTAATGGCATCCCAAAATTCAAGGTCAGAGTGAAAAGGTCCACGAGGTTTGGAGTCGACAAAGAGCAAGCTGGAGAGCAGGCGCTTCGATCAACCCTGTGCATACTCCACAACATAATTGACTGAAGATGTTTGCAGATGCCAGCCACCTGATCTGCGATGGCGACTTGCTGGTCGTGCGATAGTGTAGCCCACGCTTCTTCCAGTGTATCCCCATCCATTCGTTTTTTGTAGCACGAAGTAACGGCTGTTTCGATCGACCCAGTGCGGCGTAAAAGAGTTTGACGTGGCTGGAGTAACAACACCGCGATTGCTTGTCATGTGTCCATCCACATGCGACACAGCCTTCATCTGACGCAGCTTTTTCGGCCATGGTAACAGAATTAACAGAATTTGGGTGATGAAGCGAAGTGCTTTAAATCAATTCTAAGGAAGAAGGGGAGGAGCCGCTAAGTATGTCTTCCATGAGATGCTCACCGCTAGTCACTCCATCTCCAGCAAGCCACACGCAGAACAGTCGCATTGGATTCCGCAAATGGCGGCGCACGACATTCGAGCCTTGTCGAAGTAGATAACCATGTGCGGTCAAAGTAGAGAGGTTCCCTAGTTCACTGCTGACGCTTATAAGGCACACGTTATGCCCCGTCAGCTCAGGAGCTTCAATCGTCTTCAAAGGATATGCGAATGAACCTTTCCTGGGTTGATAATAACAACGATGACCTCTCAGAGGCGGACCGAGCACCTGTCGATGTCGACCCTTCGAAGCCCTGGCTTAAGATAAGATATCAAAACAAGCGAAAGATTCGATACACCCCCGCGTCTTCGCGTTTCCATCGTTTCACGCACAGGGGATGCTGGATTTTTCTGTATCGTCAGGCTTCCGCGCCTTCAAGCATTTCTTGGGCCGCAAGCATGGAGACCTTAAAATTCTATGCTGCTCCCTGGAACGATCCCGTCTTGAAAACCCTCATGTCCGATGTGCAGCAGGCTTCGTTTGACCAGGACAACCGCATGAATGTTTGGAGGGGCCTCCTATGCCTTGGCATTCCTGTCATAGCGGTGAAAGCTCGGCGCGCTAGTTGTTCGCCTCACCATTTGGTAACACAGTATGATCTCCGATTCGAACAGGGACTTGGGAGCCGCCCGCAGCTTTAGCGCTTCGCATATTCCCTTGCTCGGCTGATATTGAGGTAAAGTCTGGGCAGAAATTATCCCAGTTCCTTATTCGCACGTAGGTGTGTCATCAACGTCACCGCAGTTTGATTCTCAACGAATCCTGCTGCCCTGCATGTTATCAGGGTCAAAATGAAAAACAGACTGGTCTGGCATGGCTCGGCAGGACTTCGGTAAAGTCGTTCATTGGGTTTGGATTCGTCCATCACACCAACAACTAACGGCGCGGTAATCTGCATGGCCCCCTCCTCCCCCTCGCTTGATATGCGTGCCAAACGTAGGTAGCCGTTATTAGCGCCGTCGCTTGGCATGGCCAGTTTTGGACTCGAACTGCTGACACTGAGTATCTTTCGAACCGGCCTATGAAAGGCTCCATTCAAGTGGCCAAGCAATGCTTACCAAGATCAAATACAGCTGAGGCTGGTCCGGTTTCGAAACAGGCAACTCAAGATGGTAGGGGTATGAATCGTCTGATGTCTTGATCGACGTGATAGTTGACAGTCACAACACCATGAGACGACAGCACGATTGTCATTTTACACGGCCATACACTTCATTCTGAGCAGCAGCACAATGAGTCGGGTATACACGAAGATTCCGACATCTTCGACCATAGGTTTGCAGCAGAGTCGAGGTCCACCGTCCACCATGTTGATCTCTACATACGGTTGTTAGTCTGCTCCTGGCCTCGTTACAGAACAAGGATATACGTGACACATCTGGAAGGATTGCAATGCTGGACGTTTAGGATGAGATTGCGTATGTACCTTCGTCTCGGCGGTGGGGACCAAACATGGATCCATTGTAACAAGGACGGCACTGGGCAGATGTATAGATTCACGATATAAAACCTCAAGTTCCTGTCTCATTCCAAGGTTCGGTCATACAAGAGAAGTCTTTGCATTCTACGCCTCGCCAGACAAATTCAATATCATCTCTAAGTTACTCTACTTCCAAAATGAAACTCCAAGGAATCACCCTCTTCGCCTTGTTCCTTGCCAAAGCCTCAGCAGCAGGGAGCGGCCTTTTTGCCGCAAACGGATTCGAGGTCGAGGTCTTCGTCTCCAACGGGGAAACCTTCATCGGAGAGCCAGTGAGTACTAAACCATTGGAAGCTTCAGGTTAAGGCAAAAGCTAACCCTCAGCAGCAAAGTTTGGTGGAGGTACATCAAGATCGAACCCATTCATAGGGAACCTTGGAAGTGCTATTTGTCTAACATCTTATTTTAGGAAAACGCTCTTGAGGGTCGAGCAACCAGCGCTTGTACCAGATGTGTTGGTCACCATGGAAGCTGTGTTGTAGGAGAGGGAAACTGCTATGCGCCTGATTCATGCTTGTTCTGTGGCGCGTGTTCTTACCGGGAGGCTCGCTGCCAGAATCCTAAGACGGCGGGTTGTCAGTGCTACCTATAACCTATGATTGATTTTGTGGGTTATAGGCCAGGAGGGAGCATGTATGCGATTGTCGGTTTCGGGGACTGTGTTGTATCGTGGTATTGAAACGAGGTTGGCTTCATGCATACCTAATTACTGGATACAATCGAAGAGGTGATGGGCCGGTTGGTTTAGTTTCACTCCGTTGTCGAATCAATTTCGTGGGAGGTCAAATAACCCCTGGCAGTGCAGCCCTGTGACGGCGAGAAAACCTTACCTACGTTATAGGTACTCCCAAGATTCTGCTATCCCAATGGAATCAGAGAACATCCAGAGCTTCACCCAAATATATACTCCCACCACCCCTTCTTCCAAGTCCGCCCAAACCGATGATTTGCGCATGCATTAGGAGCGCCAAAACCCCCAGCCTGACTGTGCCTCTGCCCATTTCCCCAAACACTAATCGGTAATACACAAAGCCCACCCATGGCCACCTGGGGCAAGGCCTCACCACCCTGCACACAAAGAGGCTCGCTGAGCCTATGAAACGGAGCCCAAGTCACGAGCCCCTGTATCTCCGCATCCGCAGCAACAGATTGTTGCACTAGCGGATGCGTGGAAGGAAGTGAAGCAGAAAGCGTATCGAGAATAGCATCAGTAAAGACATCAGGCCCCGTAACACCCAAGATAGTCTTCTCATCATAAGCCAGACTGCGAAAAAGACCACCATGACGCTCGTCTACTTGCTTCGTATGTGCCAACACCCGGATGATGGTCTCTCTGAGCAGTGGGCTAAACCGTCGTGGTGCATACATTATATACTGAATCAAACCATAGCTCCGTGTCCAATGCCAGTCATGCATAAACTGTGGTGAAGCGTACGGCTCGTCAACTTCGATACCGACGACCAAGGAGACATTGGGATGAGTTTCCAGATTGGATTTGGGCATGAAGAATGGCGCGAGTGCTGGACAGGTCTTGATTGATTTGGCGGGGAAGACATCGATGTCGGCGTAGAAGCCCCCGTAGTACCAGAGAAGCAGGTATCTGAGAAGGTCTGCGCGGAGGACGTTGTGGGGATAGGACTTGTACGCGGATGCTATCTCTGGGATAGAGGATAGCTCGGTGGTCACGAAGTCGATGGCTTTTTGGTCAGTGACTAACTTTGGAAGTCCGGTCAGTCGGGAAATTTTGAGCTAATGTATAATCAAGGCACTTACTGTGTAACTCCAGTCTTTATTGACTTGCTCAAAGGCCGTCGAATCAGATCCCCTGTGCTCTTCATCTTTTGCGATCTGCCATATTCTGTGTTCTGCTTTGTCGTTTCCGTGATTTTGAGCTATAACGGCTTTCTCGATGATCTCCAGGGAATTTGACAGCTGTTTCTCGTATTTGGTATCTGGGCTTCGTCGAAAAGGGGACTGGTATCGAAATGTTGCCTTATCCTGTACTCGGTGCTCCGGCGGTGGCCTGTCCATGCCGGTATTGTTCTGGGTGGGAGGTGGACTTGGGAGGTGGAAGAAGAGGAACCAGATGAAGACCACGAAGAATGTGCAAGATCCTCGGCGACTGAAAAGGCATGCAAAAGTCTGTCTTCTGAGTCGTTTCAGACTCATGGTGGTGTTAGATGGGACGTCGGCATGAAGGAAATTCCGCTGGTATTGGGAAAATTGTTCGATGAGATTATTGCATTTCGATTTTGCTCGTATCGAAAGGGTCTTCCATAAGATCAGGGGAACAGGAGAGGGGCATGGCGAGAAAGACAGGGATTAAAAAAGCAAACGGCCAGTAGGAGGGCTGTATTAGGGCAATGGTTGAGTACTTGACTGACTGTCCTGTCAGGATTGACGCAGGAGTCTGTCTGACAAGGATCTGTGTCAATCAGATCTTCGAAATTGCTTCTAAATTTCGTTCTAATCTCCACAATTTCGTGTCTCCAGTGATCTACAGTACGTAGCTCTTTGTTTGGCAGGTTCGGCTCGATGCCGCTATCTACGCTACGCCAGACAGGGATAGCCTGTCGTGAATCATCGTTCTCTTGCCGCAATGGAAGTATCATGGCAGGGGTGTATTTCCAATGCCAGTCTTGAATTGTGTCATGGATTGTCTGATTGAGCCGTATTATAGTTTACGGCCTGTATTATGATAAGATTAGGCCGATCCGCGGCACCATTGTCAGATCTTGTCTTGGGAAATCACTGGAAAATCACTTCATTTCGGAGTAGTCTCTGCAATGGATCTCGTCGGACTTGCCCTAGCATTCGTACTGATGAGCAAAGTGCCGAAGAGCCGCAGCTCATTTCAATAAGTGCAATCCCTTGTGCTCCAAAACGTGGTAAAAATGCATTCTGCGTGGAGTGGAATTATTCGCCATTAGGAGGGTTCTAGTAGAAGCTCAATTGAGTCAATTCCAGCCACGGCCTCGAGGTCGTGGATGTTGTGATAAGTGTAGAAAGTTCAAAGTCGAAATCCCACACAAAGCTTAACTAGGAAAGAAGCTCAAGCCTTGGATCGGTGGGTGTACTTTAAGATAATGGCTTTAAGCTTATTTGAACTACTGTGTACTTCGATGAAAAAAAAAATGTTTCAGGATATCATAGGTTCTTCCCTACCTATTGCCGACTTCAATTCGATGGGTGTCAGCATGCATGAGATGGCGTGCAAGCGGCCAATCCGTCCTCAAGCTAGTGTTCCTTTTGAATCTCACGGCCAAATCGTTGACTCGAGAGCGGGGCGCCGCTTACTCCGTGGTCAGCTGGGCACCAGACGTTTAACTGATTACGAATAGAGGCAATTGGAAGCGACCCGGTGGGTGTTTTCTCGCTAGCATCTCCTCAAGTCCTAACAGACGAAGTTCAAACTCACGTGGCTTGCTTCGAAAACAAAGAAAGCATGCATAGTGCAGGATATCGGCGGGTATCGTATCCCCACACTGCCAAGACTGGAAAATGAAGCACCGGGCAGTGGGCACCGGCACCGGCCTCGCCTCAGAACTCAGAAGGCGGGAGGGCGGGAGGTGTGGCTGACCGGGCGAGAGTCTGTCATTGGCCCGCAGACCGGAGCCCCTTTTTAGTGAGTTTGCGGGGGAAAGGGGCACCGGCCGCCGTTCTTTCCTACGTTCGAGTAACTATTTCAAAGTTAACAGTTAAACTACCACAACTAGAGCAAAAAGAAAAGCAAGGTAGTCAGTGGGAGTCGTAGTTCCTATCAGTGAGCTTAACAGAAGGAATCCGCAAAATTGGGGTAAATCTTCACCGGATGGATCCAAGGGATCGCACTACTGGCCGAGATCGGGCCTGAAGATTTCTAGGGTAGATACGAGATTCAATGTGACTCAAAGCTTTACTGCCAAGGTCTGGTACCGAACTCTAGACCTCCAATTGCTGTTTGCTGACCCTTCTAATCCGCAATTCCGGCCGTCCATCCAACCAGATCTTGTGCAAACCGCATTGTATTTGTAGCAGTACGGAGAAGCCCCGATACCTATCCTGGCGTCGGAGATCAGCGCGTTGGAATTCGCCCCCAAAGTTCTTACTCTTTATCTTCTTCGCGCTCTTCTTTCTCTTCATTCTTCTCCTTCGCCGATCACCTTCACGTAAAGCTGCGCAGTGCTTTTGGCGCATCAATATCTCACAATGGGAGTATCAGGTATGTCCACCCCTGTACTCGTACCCCGGAGTTTGTTCCGGCTCAGCGAGTCCCCGCACGCGTCGGCGCATTGTCGCATAGAGTATCTGCTAACAACCTGTGTGTTCGCCTCGAGCAGAACATCTCCCAGATACCAAAGGGCCGATCGACAATGGCGAAAGCCAGACCGGTTCTCGGACGGATTTGGAGCTGCCTGCGCTGACGGGGACAACCGAGCGTAAATTGATGGCCAAGATCGATTGGCACATTCTGCCTTGGCTATGTATTCTGTATCTGCTTGCCTTTTTGGATCGGTAAGTATCTTCTTTGTGCGACGGTAGTCTTGTTTTCCGTTTATCTGACATTACCCGACCACGCGCAGTGTCAATATTAGCAATGCCGCTATCCTCGGACTCAAGGAGGATTTGGATATCGTCAGTGGCACGAAATATAACACCGCGCTCACGATTTTCTTCGTCCCGTATATTATTTGCGAGATTCCGTCGAACATTCTGCTCAAGAAGCTGAAGCCTCATGTCTGGTGTGAGTGCTTTGATCCCTTTCCGCGGCAGATAACTCGGGCACGGTTATTTGGGAGAACAGTTTGTTGATGTCTCTTTGATCTAGTGTCAGGATGCATGTTCATGTTTGGTATGGTCTTGGTCTTCCAGGGTCTGGTCCAGAACTGGGGTGGACTGATGGCCACCCGGTTCTTCTTGGGTGTATTTGAGACGGGCATGTTCCCAGGATGTAAGTGCAGTGCCGACGACACATCCCCTAGCCTCATTCTAATTGTGATTGCCAGGCTTCTATCTGTTGGGCATGTGGTACACCCGCTCGGAGGCTCAGAAACGTTTCAGTTTCTTCTTCAGTTCCACTACATTGGCTGGCGCCTTTGGTGGTCTGCTTGCCAGTGGAATCGGAAAGATGGATGGCATTTGCGGCTATAGGGGCTGGCGCTGGGTCTTCATTCTCGAGGGAATACTGACCTGTGTCGTCTCGATCATTTTGTTCTTCTTGATCGCTGATTTCCCCGAGGATGTGAAGTGGCTTACCGAGGAAGAACGCACCTACGTGCGTGCCAAGTTGGCGAAGGATGTCGGCAAGGCTGCGCACAACGTCCACATGGGCAAACGCGAGGTGCTGGGTGTTTTCAAGGACTGTGAGTTGCCATGGAGTTCATTGCTTGGTATGAGCTATGAATTGCTGACTTTATCCAGACAAGGTGTTTATCGGAGGCTTCATGTACTTCGGATTGATTGTTCCGGCTTACGGTGCGTAAATCACTCGTTCTCTCCTTTATTGCCTCTGGGTTGTCGCTCATTTTGATACAGGATATGCCTACTTCGCGCCAACAATCATCCAGTCTTACGGTTACGACCCTATCAAGACTCAGTTCTACTCCATTCCTCCCTGGGCTGCAGCCTTCGGCTTCTCGATGGTAATCGCCTACTGCTCTGACAAGCTGCGACACCGGTTCGCATTCACTTTGTTCCCGATGGCAGTTGCACTGGCTGGGTTTGCAATGCTCATGACGATCCATGGCAATACAAACGCCCAATATGCGTCTCTTTTCCTGGTCACTAGTGGATGTTATAGCGCGATGCCTGTCATTGTATGTTGGTTCGCCATGAACCTGGGTGGCCATCATCGACGCAGCGTGGGAACGGCGTGGCAGGTCGGCTTTGGTAATATCGGTGGAATCATTTCTACTTATTCGTTCGTCACAAAGGATGGCGTTACGGATTACCGAACCGGGTACATCATCTGTCTTTCCTTCGTGTGCCTCTCGGCTGTGTCATGCGCGGCCTACCTGCTTGCCCTTTGGTTGGAGAACAAGAAGCGTGACAGGTCTCCGGTTGACCCTGCTATGATTCCGGAGGAAGAGGAGGAATACCTTGGCGATCTGGCGCCCACATATCGGTATACTTACTGAAAACATCGCGGGGTTCTAATAGATATATACTCGTGGCTATCTTGGCTTATTCAAATTTTGTGTTCGTTTAATGAACATACGACGGACTATTCAAAGTTTCAATCGGAATCACAAGACAGATGAGATGATGCCAGTAGCAGTAATGACATTGCTGATATTCTGAACATTCCACTTGGACTAACGTCATAATCCCGTAGGGCATAGGTTACAGAAATCGGTTTGAAAGTGTTTGCAATTCCAAACTCACAGAGTGAAGCCCTATCGAATTTCCTAATCGGGTATGGTCGGTTGTCGTCACCGATGGAAGCTGAGCTGTGGAAGTCACGTGTGCGGTCTAAGCGAGAGCGGCTGAGTCAGCCGCACCATACGTAAATGCGTCTCGGGCCGCCACACTTCATCTTTCTTTCACTATCTCTATTTCATCCTCGAAATCGTGAGTAGCTATTCCGAAGCTCCTAATATCCTATCGAAGACCATGCACTAACCAACCGACAGTACGAAGATGAGAGCTAAGTGGAGAAAGAAGCGCGTTCGTCGTCTCAAGCGTAAGCGCAGAAAGATGCGTGCCAGATCGTAAGTCACCACCCATTGCGCGCCGAGGTCTTACCAAGGCCATCGGGCTTCCCACGTGTGCGACGGAGTCGCTAACATCTCAATCAGCAAATAAACTACTCGCCCCCTCCATCTCAGCTCTTTTTGCCGGAGCTCATGTTTGAACGCTGAACACGACACTTGACGACGCGACGTTTCTCTTCGTGACACGCTCCTCAATCCAACGAGTTACCTGCACGGATAAGATTTCCGTTCCTTCAGAAGAAATCGCAGATCGAATGACGGAATCCGCTGTTTACAACAGTCTACCCACTTTTACCAACACCTCGGATTCACTCACGTCTACGATTTGATGTCATGCATGGTTATTACTCGGAGGGGCTCATGTGTTCAGGTGGATGTTGGAGGGCCGGTGTGCTGTATCGGTCTTTGAGCACGGCATTGGATGACTGGTCAATTTTCCAAAATCTTTACGGCCTTCCTTCGGGCTGGTCAAAAGTTATGGAGAGGTTTCTTCCGGGAGTTTATCAAAAATCCATGGAATAGCTCGGGAGTCTCGTTTAGCTGATACAGATGAATCGATGACTTGATGAGTGCAATATCTTTTTCATTAAATGTAAATGTGTAGCAACCAAACCCTGGTGGAAGAAGGACATCTGCCTTGACATTATCATGCAAGTTCCTCCTAAGTAGACAGCTTGACGCCTTAAGCTGCTATGCACGTCAATATTCGCTTTGTGTGCGGAGCCGTGGCTTCACCGCCTGCCGTGTCTCCGATAGTAAATTTTTCTGCCAGACAAGTACAGACAATTTTATTTCACCGCGCCGAAGCCAATTGACGAGAACTACAACCCGTTGTATCTCGCCTCCTAGTGCCATAATGCCTTCAAATAAAACAGATCAGAAGCGCAAGCGCTCCTCGAAAAATGACGGTCCCAGCAAGAAACCCGCTTTCCACATGCTGCCCCCATTGGCCGCCAGCGTGATTGAAGATAAAAGCGAGCTTGCACCGATAATTGGTGAGTGCACAGCTTTTCTAACCAGATGTGAGCGTCTAATAACCGTTGTAACAATTCAGCCAATACCCCCGGCCTTCAGAGCTCGAATTCTCTCCGCTTCAACCCATATATCAAAAGCCGCTCCAATGTCCCCAAGTCAGCGGCAGCAACCCGGAACCCGGGCATTGTCTCGTCAGAGATCCTCCTCCAGTCCTCAGACCACGCCAAGATGGACTTTGTCGGCCGTGAAGGCACAGGAGACGACACCGACTCGCAAGTGAAGCACTACGTTGCAGTCGTCGACCCTGAGGAGAAGACCTGGAAAGTCGTAGAGGTCCGACGGGCAACACTCCGCGGAGCCCTGAGAACCCGCCGAACGGAAGAAGAAGACTCAGAAGAAGAGCTTGTATGTCCCTTTCCCCAGCCACACCAATATTGAAAACGTCCAAACTAATGCACAGCAGAATACCATGCGCGCCCAACGCACCGCTCTAACCAACACCTTCGGTACCAAACAATCTCGCAAAGCAGTGCAATCCATGGCCGAGAACGCCCAACTCTCCAACGCCCCCGCCGGCGCCGTCCCCCAAGCCGGCGCAGCCCTCATCTCCTCGCTGCCAGCCAACACAGCCTCCGGCCTCGCCAAAGCCCTCGCCACCCAAGCCGAAGTCCAAGCCGCCAAGCCCCTGCCCACGCCCAACCTCACAGCCTCGCACCCCTCGGACGTGTACTCAATCGAGACCCTCGTGCCGGGCAGCCACAGCACGCTGTCGCAACTCAACGGCGTCAGCGAATGGAAATCCCAAGTCGACGCCGGTCTCGGCGTAACAACCGTCTCCCGCTACGTCTCCAACCGCGTCGGCCCAGTAGCAACCTCCGACAACACAACCCACCTCCAAGTTCTGCGCTTCATCCAGCTCCTCATCGAATTCGGCCGCTGTCTGAAATCCATGGGTGCGAACGCCAAGGGCGGCGGTCCCGGCAGCAAACGTCTCCCGCCCCGCGATGATCTGCGTCGTATTCTTTCTAACACGACCGGTGCCGCGGCTAAGCCCGTTGCGGCTGCTAAGGCGGCGCCTGTTGATGGTGAGCTGTTGCCGGACTCGGTGATTGATGCTGTGCGGAGGAGGTTCGCGCCTAGTGGTGGCTTTGTCTCGAAGAATGATCTTACCCTGCTGCATACCACTATCTGTGCTTTGTCGTTGCATATCCCCCCTCAGCCGGCCAAGGATGGTGGGTCTAGCTCGCTGGGTGGGAATGCGCCTAATGAGCTGGCGACTGATCCGTCCGATTTGAGGGATGATTTGAGACTGGATCCGAATACTATTCATCAGTATTTCAGGGAGCTGGGCTGTCGCATTGATAAGCCTAGGGAGACGGAGTTTGCCAAGTGGAATATTAAGGGTGGAAAGGCTGAGGCGCATGCACGTCGGGTTGCGAGATTGCGCGTGCCGGTTGAGTTCCCCAAGGTTAGTCGTGGTGGGAGGAAGTAGGTGATTTGGTGGTTCTGTGGTGTTGAGAACTGCTCAGTGCTGTTGGGTTTTCTTCATGGGATATATGGCGCTTTTTGTGTTTAAAATTGTGATTTTATATGTCTCTGTAACAATGAGGCGGTCTTACCCTACATAGCCAAAAGCATCAGGTATTACTAGGTTGCTCGGTCTTCCATCTTGTCTCATCCGTGTAGAGTCAGTTGGGCTGTGTCTGTCTTATGGCTTAGATTGAGGTTTAGGATGGCTCCTCTGCTCAAGCTACAACACTGCCTCTGGTGGTGAGAAAAGATGAGCAAAGCCGAATTTCTCCAAGACGATTACAAGGTTAAGACCAAAGCAGATAGAAGATATGATCAAAATATCGATAGATCGATTTGATAATATTGTCAACGGATGTATGTACAAATCACTTATATCCGCACTTATTAGTATGTAAAGGATTGGACGGGAATAACTACAAGGCATGTGGTACCCCAAAGGACTCTCGAAGAGCAAGCAGCATACTTGATCTAAGCAGCCACACCGACAGGGGTGGATTCCATACCCGAGTGAGCCTTCTCAACCAGAGGGGTAGCAGCCTTCAGCAACGGGGCGGTAGCCTCGGCAGCAGCATTTTTGAACTCACGGGCAACGGCCGCCTCGAGAGTCTCACCAGCCTGCAGACCCAGCTGGGCATCCTCCCAGATAGGCAGGTTAGCGGCCTCGGCGCCTTCAACGCCAACGCCGACAAACCCGCCCTGGGCCTGCCAGTCGCTGGTGCGCTTGAGGCCTAGGTCGTTCCAAACGGCCTGGACGGCGCCGACCAGGTGGTCGCGGAGGTGCTTCACGTGGCCGGGGGTCGGGGTGATGCGCAGACGCTCCTCGCCGCGGGGAACGGTGGGGTAGTTGATGGCCTGCACGTAGATGCCGTGCTCCTCGAGGAGCTTGTCGGAGGCCTTCTTAGCCAGCTCGGCACTACCGACGAGGAGGGGGACGATGTGGGAGGGGTTGGGGATGACAGGGATGTCCAAATCCTTGAAAGCGGCCTTGACTGCGCGTGTGTGCAGTTGCTGGAGGACGCGGTCCCGGGGTTGCTGGGCCTGGTATTGGATGGCGGTGTCTGCGCCAGCCATGGTGGCAGGAGGGAGGGAAGTGGTGAAGATGAAACCAGGGGCCAGTGAGCGGATGGTATCCACCATGGCTGCCGAGCCTGCGATATATCCACCGACACAACCGTAGGCCTTGCCCAGGGTACCGGTGATGATGTCAATTCGGTCCTGGACTGTGCCCTTGGTGCTTTGAGGGGTGGCTGTATCCTGCGAAGCGTACGCCTCGTAATCGAGATGCTCAGCAACACCAGCTCCGTGTGGCCCGTACATGCCGACGGCATGGACCTCATCCAGGAAAGTGATGGCACCGTACTTCTCGGCGAGATCACAAATCTTTTCAATGGGCGCAATGGATCCGCACATGCTGTAGACGGATTCAAAGGCAATGATCTTGGGGGTTCCAAGTGGCAACGAGGCCAACTTGGCTTCGAGGTCTTCCATATCATTGTGCTTGAAGACCATCTTCTTCGCGCCAGAGTGGCGAATACCCTGAATCATGGAGGCATGGTTGAGGCTGTCAGAGAGGATGACACAATCGGGCATCTTACTACCCAGAGTAGCCAGGGTCGCATCGTTAGCCACATAGCAGGAACTGAAGACCAATGCGGCCTCCTTGTCATGCAGTTTGGCCAGCGTGCTCTCCAACGCGATCGCGTGCTGGTTGTGACCCGAGATATTGCGGGTACCGCCTGCACCAGCTCCATAGGTGTCCAGAGTCTTGTGCATCGAGTTCAAGACGTGGGGGTTGCGACCCATGCCGAGGTAGTCATTGGAGCACCAGACAGTCACGCGCTCCTCGGCAGAGGCGGTGTGGGCTCGAGGGAACTCCTTGGCGAGACGGTTGATGTTGTTGAAGTAGCGGTAGGACTTGTCCTTGTGCTTCTTCTCCAATTCCACATTGTAGAATTCGTCGTAGTTGAACCGCTCGGTCGTAGGGGCTGCCGGGCGGGGGCCGCGGACCGCGACACCAGGGGCGGCAGGGGACGAGCGGAGCGGATTGACCAAGTTAGGGTTTCCTGTAGTCAGATTAGTAAACAACTCAGATCTGGAGCCTCATAAATTCAATTTACCTCGCTCGTTCTTCTCATATCCGCCAGAGGCGAGACTAGCAGGGTGACCTCCGGTGGTGTGCAATGCCCGCTTGCCGGTGGGAACGCAGAAAGACGGCATTCCAGTAACCCCAGCGGCGCACGAGGTGAAACGCTTGGTGCCATTGAGACGGGCACTCTGCACAGCCAGAGCCTTGCTCATGACCGGGCAGCGGCGGGCAATCGTTTGCAGGTTGGACATAGTTCCACCTCCCGGACTGGTGCTAGGACGAGTAGCGGTCGAGAGAGTGCGCAGGGTAGTGGGCGATGTGCGCTTCAAGAAAGGGCACATGGCACGAGACTGCTGCAACATGGCCTCCATGGTCGAATTGAGGCAGAAAACAAATGATAGGAACAGAATGCGATTCTCCGTGAGTTCAGGAGAAGTACAGATCCAGACCGAAAACCGGGCGGAATCAGAGAGTAAAATCAACCAGGGCGGGGGATCGCTGACTCATGCTCGGCTTACATACAGAGTACTCTTATTGGATGAAAAATTTGGGCCCGCTCGTACCCGGGATTCCTCTCCCGATTAGGCAACTTTGGTGGCTGCCGAGGACCTTGCCACTTTGACATGCGACGGCACGACCGGCATTTTCACATTCGGTGAAGTTGGGGATAGCTCGGACACCACAATACTCAGGCACTGAAAAGGCAATCAGGCACTAAGGCATCAAGATGTACGGGCATATTGAACCAGGGAACGCTCAATCTGATGATTCTGATCCTTTCTATTCTATTTATAGGTCTCTCCGCGGACTTCGATGATCACTACAAACAACAATATTCAAAGAAACGCGTATCAACTTAGCGCTCACGTTAGCACAATCAACAGTTATCTCCAGGGCCTGCGTATACGGGGGTGGCAACCCCTAGCCGGGACCGGGTACTGGCCAGCTTACTCCATACATCTCTCTATGGTCAAACATATCGACCACATAACTAACTGCAGTACTGTAGAAATATGGTTTCTCGGGATCTGATTGATCGAGACTGTAATACTGCCATTTTTCACCGATTGACATGTGGAATTTAGGGAACAGCATGCAGAATTAGAAAACAACAGTCACGTCTATTACAGATTGCTTCGCATCAGCCATCAGCTTTTTCATTGCAAATGTCCATATCGAAAAGTCACAACGTTCGCCATCCATAGTTAAGGTTTTTGTGTGATAATACAGAGCAGAACTTCACATAACTGCCGGTGGAGAAAAGAAGAAGATAGGTAGGAAAAAGTAAAACGAGGAAAGAAAGAACATGGAGAAAATGAAACCGGAGCAAAAGGAAAGGTGAAGTGACATGAAACGCCGTCCCGAGTTAGATTAGTTGAACAATCGTTGAGTTAATCGAGGCCGCCGTCGCCGTCAATTAGACGGAGACGCTCTTTTGTGGTTTTCGCGCGTTTCGAGGAGCCTTTGCCTCCACCGCGGCCACGTCCGCGCTTGGCAGCAGGTGTTGCTAAGGGGGTGTCCAGCGAGTCCTCGGCCGGCGTAGCGGCCCCTGAGGGTTTGGCGCTCGCGTCGTCGAAGTTACCCTCGCCTATTCAGTCGGTTAGTACAATGCGATTCGAAGAGATTGACCGAGCATTTCTCACCTTCATGGTACATGTCATCTAGCGTAAGGTCTCGCTTGCGTTTCTGGGCCTTCTTTCCGCCCTTGGCACCAAGAGCCTCACCACGTTCAATGGCTTCCTTCTCCTTTTGTTCGATGAGCTCGGCCTCGTCATCGTCGGCGAGCCACAGCGCAATGTCTTTGGTACGGTTTTCCCGAGCACGGGTGTTGAAGTCAACACCACCAGAGGCACCGCCGGTAATGACGACACGCTGCACTTCTTCCTTCTGCAAGGCGCGCTTTCGGATGCGTTCTTCGATTGTGCCGCGGGTGATGAGACGGTAGACGGTCACCTGGCGAGTTTGGCCCAGACGATGGGCACGATCCATGGCCTGCGAATCGATTGTAGGGTTCCAATCAGAATCGTAGAAGATGACAGTGTCGGCTGCTGTCAAGTTGATACCAAGACCACCGGCACGGGTCGACAGCAAAAAGACGAAGATATCCGGGTTTGATTGGAAGTCTGCGACAGTGTCGCGACGGTCTTCCAGCTTCGTACTTCCGTCCAGTCGACAGTACTTGTAGTTGCGGTATGTCAGGTACTCTTCCATCAAGTCGATCATACGTGTCATCTGGAAGTATAGAAGCACGCGGTGACCACCAGGCTTGAGCTCCCGCAGCAGTTCGTCCAACTTGGCCAACTTGCCTGAGTCTGTCACGAAACGACGCATCGATGGGACTTCGATGTGGTTGTAGCGGGCCTTGAGCGAGGCCGGCGGCGGCAGCATAGGTGGATGAGAGTAAGGCGCCGGATCGAGCTTCTTTGTAAGGATCTGCTCCTCGAGCTTCTTGCTATTCTGTGCAAAGAGTGCTTGCCGAACAGACACATTGAACAAAGCCTGTTGGGTTTCCCGCAATGCCTGTTGACCAGAAGATGACAGGGTGATAGGAGGTGCGGAAGCCTTAGGACCACCACAAGGCTCAATCAGCTGAAGGCCTTGATTTTCCAATGACGACCGCGAGACAGTCATGAGATCCTTCATCCGGCCCTCAACGGCGATATCTGTAATGGCCTGACGATCATTACGATCGACAATATTCAAGATCGAATGAGATAGCACAGAGTTCTTGGCATCATCACTTTCATCATAAATGACGTTCAGGGCAGAAAGCCTGTTAGGCTTGCTGCGACGACGCTCTGCGCGCTCGTAGACACCCAGTCGGGCGATCTCGCTGGCTTCTCCTGCCGAAGTGTCGACGAAACGCAGGAAAGAGAACGCGCCATTTTCGCGAGAACTCTTTTGGATGTTTTCTGGTGTCCACACGTTCATCAACTGCGATAAATACTTAGTTTGGAAACCCGCACGAGGATTGTCGGAACCAGGGAGATCCAGACGGCCTGCAGAGCTGCACAAAAGGCGAGGCAAGTCGTATTCGATCATATTCCGAGTCGAATAACGAACATCGACAAAGTTGCCTTCACGCACAAAAGAAGCAGTTTCCGCGAAGTACGCCGCCGAGAAGGGAGATTTCGTCTCCGCACGCTCGAAGAGATCTGGGTGGTTGCATACTTTGCGGAATTGCATGACCAAGTTCATCAATGTGCTGCTGTCAGTGTCGTCGCCCGTGGCGGCCTTCTCAATAAGGTCGATGATGCTGACGCGGTTACGTAAATTGGCGTACAAGGCACGTTGGCGGTATGTCAAGTCACAGAAAATGTCCTTTTCGACCTTATCCCCAAGCTCTTGCTGCACGTTCTTCTTGACACGACGCAACATGAAAGGTTTCAAGATCATATGAAGACGCTTGAGCTGGTCCTCATTCAGTTTGGTGTTGCTTTGAGCATGGGATTCAATGTCCTTGGAGAACCACTCGCTGAACTCGTCATGGGAATCGAACAGTGTAGGCATGATAAAGTGAAGCAGAGCCCACAGTTCCTGCATGTTGTTCTGAATCGGCGTACCGGTCAACAGAAGACGATTGCGGCAGCTGAATCCCAGCAGGTTCTTCCATCGGGAACTTGAAGAAGACTTGATAGCCTGAGCTTCGTCCAGAATCATGTACTGCCATTTAATTTTCTGGAAGTATTGTGCGTCAAGCACGACAAGCTGGTACGAGGTGACCAGGACGTGGAACTCCGAGTCGCGGTTGTAGGTGATGTGCTTGCGATCCCAAAATTTGCGCAGAATCTTACGGTCCCTGGCATTACCCCAGTAGGGCAACACCTTGATGTTGGGAACAAAGCGAGTGATTTCCTGCTGCCAGTTGTGCAGTGTCGATGCCGGCGCAATGACCAGGAAGGGGCCCCAAATGTTATGGAACTCTGCCAAGTAGGCCATGACGGAGATGGACTGGATAGTCTTACCGAGACCCATCTCATCTGCCAAGATACCGTTGATACCCTGCTCGTACAAGTTGACCAGCCAATTGAGACCCTTGAGCTGGTACTCCTTCAGTTGAGCATTCAGCATTGTCGGCTGGGAGATCTCGATGTCACCCAAGCTAGTCGGGTTCTGGAAATTCATTTCCCCGTCGTCGAACGTAGCCATGTTGTCACCTTCTTGATTGAAGGCACGAGCCCGTTCCTGGGCTTGCTGCACAGCACTCTGCGCATTGGCCATAGCAGCCTGTTGCAAGGCGGTGTCGTCTTCGGCGTCGAAGTCAAGATCTTCGAATGCAGTGGTCTTGGCGTCGGGGTTGGCCACGCTGTCAGGCAGGTTGATCGTGTGAGCGTTTGGATTTCCTGACTGAACGGTCTCCCCAGTAGCAGCAACAGCACCGTCCCCTTGAGCTTCGTCGGTCTTGATCTTGCGCCCGATGAAGTGGGAGTACAGCTCGGTTTGTGAGATGAGGAAGTTGAGCTTGCGCTTCTGGCGATTGGCTTCACGGTCCGCCTCGGCCTTCTTCGCTGCGTCAAGTTCCTGCCTCTCAGCCGCACGACGCAGGTCACGCTCCTCGCGCTCGTTGCGCTTCCAGAAATTCATCATCTCGCGCATCGCGCGCTTAGCGCGAGCTTGGGTGTCCTTGGTGCTCTTGTTCGTGCGCTCCTGCCACTTGCGAGACTGCTTGCTAGCCAGCTGAGCCGTCTTGCGGGAGTTCTCCTGGCGAGTGGAGAGAGAAGTGGTCTTGATGCGGTAGACCTTTGGAATATCCTTGCGCGCCATATCGCGCCAGATCTGCTCGTAGATCTGATTGTAGCCCTTGCTGTCGTAGTGTAACTGCGAGAGTGGGGTACCCTCCTTTGAACGTCGAACATCCTTTCTCGCACTTGGGGTGAGATACAGCTCGTCGTCCAACCCAGCATTCCAGGCAGCTTCGGCCATGTCCTTCTCGGCCTGCTTCTGCTCTTTGGATTTCTTGGGACGAGTGACCGGACCCGCGCGGCCTGACCGGCGTCGGCTGGGCGAAGAACGTCCAATAGAGAATTGACCCTGCGTCCCGCCTTCGAGGTTGGGAGCAAGAGGAGTGACCTCACCTAGCTCTTCATGGGTATCGCCGCCCTCCAACGCACGCTTGGTAGTGCGGATTTTCTTCTGGGCGCGCTCGGCTTCGCGCAGGAACTTCGCCCGTTCTCCGGGTTCTTGAGCCGTGCTCGCCTTGTGCTCGGCCTCCAGCTTCTTTTGCATTTCCTGGCGCACGGTGTTCTCGCGACGACGCTTGCGTTGCATGTCCTTCTTTCGTTCCTTCTCATCCTGAACCTCTTTTTGCTGAACCTCGGCCATGACAGCACCCTCGTGATGCCCTCGGAATCGGTCGGTACCCAACAGGGCTTGTCGCTCGAAGCTTTTGGCCAGTTCGGCGAGGAAATCATGGCGGCGACGCTAAACATGGGTCAATCAATACGTGTCATTTGGAGGTAAGTGATTTCAGACTGTACCTTTCGTCGAACCTCCTCCGCACGACTGCTCTCCACCGATCGTTTGTGACTTATCTCCTGATACCGTTGCTGCTCGGCGTTGAAACCAGGACTTTCAACATCGCTCTTCTCGGCTTGGTCGATCTCGGCTGCAGCCCGATTGACTTGCTCCAAGTCCACGCCGGGTGGGAATGGTTTCCGAAGCGGCGCACGCGGAACAGGCGCAGAGTATTCCGCCTCGGGCTTGGTGAACCCGTTGGTTGCATGTAGTCCTCGCGGGGTATCCAAGTTCGGATCGAACTCTGACCGATGCTCATGTTTGGGTGCTAGAGCCCCATGCGTGGAATTGTGGTCCAGGTGCCGGTGTGTAAGAACAGGAGGAGCATGGGTGTGGGCAATGACGGGGACTGGGGGAGGAGAGGGTTTCCTCGCAGGCTCATCCGACGGACCGGAAAGGATACTGGCGAACGACATTGGGTCTGCGGCTCTGGCAGGTTTCTAAAAGGGTAATAAACGGTTAGTCACTCATGAGCTATTGTTGGGTTCCGGTTGATGCCTACACTTCCTGGCGGCGATGCCGGTCTCGGCTCTCGCGCCATCGACGGTCCATATCCAGCACCATTGCCGCGCATCCGATATGGGGATTCAGACTCCCTTGTAGGTGATTGCGAATGGCCTTCAGGGCGGCTGGACGGATGCCCATGCGGTCCCGAACCATAGGGCGAGGCGCCATTGCCTGTAATCACGGAACTCGAGTATGGTCGCGGAAACGATAACTGAGGGCCAGGCGGATGTCCTTGGTATTGTGAAGCCTCCGGGTGAGACGGGTGAGGTGGCGCACTGCCATTCAAGGGCGGCGGCAGTGTGGAGGGCATCGGAGACGCGTGCGAAAAGTGCGGGCTCCGCGCAACGGAGGATGAGCCGAAGGCTGGTGGTGTCTGCGGCGGAGGCTGATGGTATTGCGGTGGTTGTTGTTCATTGTTTGGGTAATACTGGTGGTTCTTGGTCGGAGAGGAGTAGGCCGGATACCGCTGCTGCTGAGTCGGGGACTGGCCATTATATGGCGGAGCGCCTGTCATGATGGCCGCGGTCCCCGGTAAGGGTCGAGCGCGTCAAAGGTGTTGAAGCACTCGGGTCGAGCTAGGGTCAGGTATGAATTGACGGAGAACCAAGACTGTTACTCAAAGCCACCTGTCAAGGGGGGGGGTTCTGGAGCGCTGGTAGACGCGACGTCAGTTGTTGGTTTCATGAAGGTAGGAATGGTTTCGGAGTGAAGGGGGAATGAAAGAGCAGGGGGGAGACGAAAGCGAGACATAAATACCTGATGGATGGATAAATCCGTTTGTGGTGGGAAGATGCAGGAGGAAGAGAAGTTTCCGTGGAGCCCAAGAAAGAGAATGCGCGGCCGGGGCCTAGGCGAACTGATGCAGGGGAGATGGATGGAGGATGAGAAGGGGGAGATGATGAGTTGGAGTGAGATGGAGAGTTAAAGGAGAGTTGGGAAGTTGAAGAGGGGAAAATGAATGCAAAGTTTAGGAAGGGAAAGGGGAAAAAGGTGACGATTGGCATTTGTCGTGATTGTCTTTCTCGTTCATCTCTCTTGTTGAGCCAACTCCGGACCTCGGGGGTTAGGTCCGAATTGACAAGCTTACAATATGAATTAATTATTTGGTCTATTCTAGTGAATTGAGATTATTGACAATGTTGATTGTCTATTGTTTTTCTCATTTTCTCCCAATTGTCTGGCCTTGATCTCAACTCCATACAAACAGCCTAAGGTGGTGAGGAGTCAACCGACAAAGTAAACGAACTTCACATTCACAGTCACATTCACAGGCTTTTTTTACTTGTTTACTTGAGCACAATCTTTTCAATTCCCACCTTCTTAGCGGACTTTGTTCAGTTCAGTTCTTTCCTTCTGATCTCCCACATTCTCTTTCCGTGAGATCTATCCACGCTATCCGGGTTTATCACGGGTTTATCGATCGTCCGATCCCGGGACTGAACATCATGTTTGACTTTTCACAGTGTTTAACTAGTAGTATCAGGCGTAGACGGGAAGTTGGAACGGACTATATTTCACCCAGGTGTAATAGCCTAGAGTTTATAAACGGATATAAACCATCAGGATTGAGCTTGCCTGTAGGACAGTCATATGGTACGTTTCTGGTTAAGCGGATACATGTGGGAGGGGCTCCCAGACAACCATAGTTCGCACACAACTCCAATCGAAGACAATCAACTGAATCATATCATGCAGATCTGTAGTAACAGCTCCGACTGAAGTCCTCGCAGGCCCTGGACAATGTGAAACCCCATATCGTCCCGGATGGAAGGAGCACCTTATATGCAAGGACCTCCACATGGAATGGACGGGTGAATGGGAGCTATATGTATCATGTTAGCCCATATAGAAGCCATCCTCAGCATGCTAAGCATAAGTAACACCCCACACACTACCCCGGTAACCCCGCCTGATGTACCTGATGCCCATAAATGTGATGTGACGCTCAACAGCCGGGTAGTGACGTCCTCCACTCAATGTCTGATGCCATCATGACAGACAACGTGGACACAACTAGCATGGGTCTGATTGACTCTGAAGAGATTTTCCCAGCTGGTTTCCTGATATGGTGATTCCGATGTTTTGTTCAGATGAGGAGGTGCTGCATTTGGTCGGATTCTAGTTTCCCTAAACGGAGCTGCAGGGAAGATGTCAAGATGATATGTAGGAGCTAGCTCCATCAACCTCAGTAGAATGCATTGGATCCCGTGATGATGGGAGGAAATTCTATATGCTAGACAATTAGCCAAGGTCTAGATGAAGGGGTAATAGGTACCAGGGAGCTAGAAGCATAGTGTTGTTACGTTGTATCAGATATAGGTACGGAAGGAGAGTGACATCGGTATACAACAATGTCAAGTACCGGACAACCGGATGGCTTGATTGGCCCCCCGTGGATCAGAAGAACTATAAGCAGTACCTTTGTGTCACAGGGTCTATATATTCCCCTCCTCTCACCTACCTCTCTTCCCTCTACCTACCACACTTCCCTACCTACCACACCAACCTCACTCTTAACCAAATAATCAACTCAAACTAACTCCCCAACCACAATCATGCCTCAAATCCCAGACAAGCAATGGGCCCAGGTCGTCGAAAAAATTGGCGGACCACCAGTCTACAAACAAATCCCCGTCCCCAAGCCCGGACCCGACGAGGTCCTCGTGAAGATGAAATACACCGGCGTCTGCCACACCGACCTACACGCCATGAAGGGCGACTGGCCACTGCAATTAAAGCAGCCACTCGTCGGCGGCCACGAAGGCGCCGGCATCGTCGTTGCCAAAGGCGAGCTAGCACGGGGTATTGAAATCGGCGACCATGCAGGCATCAAATGGCTCAACGGCTCCTGTCTCGCATGCGAGTTCTGCAAGTCTTCCGACGAGCCTCTGTGTCCTGATGCCTTGCTTTCCGGATATACGGTTGACGGCACGTTCCAGCAGTACGCGATTGGGAAGGCGGCGCATGTGTCGAAGCTGCCAAAGGAGGTGCCGCTTGATGCTGTTGCGCCGATTCTGTGTGCCGGTATCACTGTTTACAAGGGTCTGAAGGAATCCGGTGCGCGTCCTGGTCAGACTGTTGCTATTGTTGGGGCTGGTGGTGGACTTGGATCGCTTGCGCAGCAGTATGCTAAGGCTATGGGTTTGCGGGTTATCGCTATTGATGGCGGAGATGAGAAGAGGGAGATGTGTGAGAAGCTGGGCGCGGAGGTGAGCTTTGTTACTTCTCTGCATCTGTGGATTGTCGGGCATAGTACTAATGTCTGCAGGCTTACGTTGACTTCAAGAAGAGCAACGACCTCGTTGCCGATGTCAAGGCAGCTACTCCTGGCGGCTTGGGTGCCCATGCCGTGCTCTTGCTTGCTGCCGCGGAGAAGCCTTTCCAGCAGGCTGTTGAATACGCTCGCTCTCGTGGTACAATCGTCGCCATCGGACTGCCTGCCAATGCGTTCCTCAGGGCCCCCGTTTTCGATACTGTCGTCAAGATGGTCAACATCAAAGGTAGTTACGTCGGTAACCGCCAGGATGGCGTTGAGGCTGTGGACTTCTTTGCGCGTGGCTTGATCAATGCTCCTTTCAAGACCGCCACTCTGAAGGACCTACCGGAGGTGTTCAAGCTCATGGGTACGTTCACAATGCTCCCTCTGTCTGATTTTGATTCCGTGTGCTAATATGCAATACAGAGGAAGGCAAAATTGCCGGTCGTTACGTTCTCGAGATTCCTGAATAGATGCGATGTATTTCATGCGTTGGGTCTGAGAAAGACAAGAGGCTTGGCCTACGAGAAACGAAGAACAAGGTTTACTTGGTGATTAGCGAGAAATAAAACACATTCCTGAACCTGGAGGTATTCAGATGACTTGTCTCCAACCACGGAGGGTACAAATGTACAGCAGGTTTCTTTAAGACCGTCACAACAACGTAGTTTCAAGGCACTTTAAACTGATGCAATTCTTCCTCGACATAGACATAACAAAGACCTGCCAGAACCTACAAACTTCTCGACGATAAAAACACCATTGCCTGTCACTAAATACGCTCTTTCTCTAACCCCATCCCCTCATCCTCAGGACTAACAGTAGTCTGAGGCCCCTTATACGTCTTCTTCGCATAGACATAATAATAAAGCAACGCACCAGCCCAAAGCCCACCATTGATAACAACCGTATAATTCATATTTTGAGCTTTCAACGCACACCAGTCAGCAACAGCCCCAACCACAAGTTCATAACCGGTAAAAGAATTGAACTTACCAGACGGCCCCGGCCCCTCAGTAGGAATCATACTCAAAATAATAGCAAACATCATATAGATGACAGCAACCCACCCAATCGGTTTACTCAGATACCGACCCGTATAGAACTCACCAGGCACAAAGCGGTCAGCGCCCCAGATCAGTCGCGCCAAGATAGGCGTCAGCCATGCGAGGTCGTTGCCAGCCACGGCGAGCGAGAACAGGGCATTGGAAGCGGCTTCGTCGATTAGACAGAGGAGGCCGATTGTTGCGGCTGCTACGGTCACGCCGCAGACCATGCGGACAGGTTGGTAGAGCATGTATTTGCGCTTGCTGACTTTGCGGAAGTAGGTGGAGAATGGGAGGGCGCCGTCGCGGGAGAAGGCCCAGCTTTGGCGGGAGGCGGCTAGGACCTGATTGGGTTGTTAGTTTACATGTAGTTATGCGGATCTGGTTTTGGTTGAAGGGAGGGGAGGTGGTGGTTGGACAGTGGAGGCTTACAATGCTTAGTCCCATGAAGAACTGGACAATCATTACTACGACCATGAAGCCCATGGCACCGTTCTTGCCGAGGGCGTCGTAGTAGATCTGTAGAGTTGGATTAGATATGTCTCCCGCTCCAATATGAAGTAGAAAAGAAGGAAAAAACACACCTGAGCCATAGGCTGACCAAACTTCGAATTCAAAATCCCCTCAATATTAGTATCCATAGAAGACGCAATAACCGCCAACGACACAAACCCCAGAATCCCACACAGTCCAGTCGACGATATAATACCAAGCGGCACAGCACGGGCAGCATGCGTCGCCTCCTCACTCATATGCACACACGAATCAAAAGCGCCAATAGTCCAGATCGGAGACAACCATGCCATGATAAACGCCCAGCCGGTGGGCCATCCGGTGAGGTTCTGCACTTCACCGAAGACGTACGAGCCCGGGTTGATGGGAGGGTTCTTCTTCGTCTTGCCGATGGGCAGGGCGATAACAGTTGCCAGCACGAGGGCGATGTTAAGGAAGATACAGGCAGATTGGATCTTTGGCATTATGCGGCCGAAGAAGATAGCGATGAAGCCGTGTGCGAAGACTGTCGCTACGTATGTGCCGTAGATGATTGGTCGTGTGGCGGACCATTCGCCGTCGCGGCCGAGAGAGACTACTGAGAGGAGCATGTTGGCGAAGCCATCTAGAGTGGTAGTGTTAGTTCTTGGGTTCTGGGTTCTGGGTTCTGGGTTCTGGGTGCTGGGGGCCTCAGTTGGATTTAGGAAAGGCTCACAGTCAATTGAGCATATTCCTCCGATCAAGCCGATGGTGTTACTGTACCCGACCAGGAAACTGAGGGGGTTCTTCCACTTCTCGTCGGCGAAGTAGTGCGTCCAGAAATAGAGGCCGCCTGCTGTGGGCATTGCGGATGCCATGTCGGCCTGGTGTGTAGGGACCAACTCGTTATCAACTTATTCTGTGGTTTGAATCAGAATTGATGGAATCATACCATTGCCAAGCTCACGAGGAAGATGAAGCAGCTTGCAGCCAACCATCCTGTGCAATGAACACGTTAGCAACCTTATCTCCGGAGATATAGTAACCCTTGTTGAAGACTATTTTGCATACCCTAATCCATTGCATTAGTCACAATCTCAATACAAAGTAGTTAGCCCAGGGAATGCATTACCCAAACCATACCCACAGGACCAGCAGGCATGGAAAACGCCAACGTAGACGCAATCGAAGGCAAAAGTCCCATGATACTGAATGCAACCGCAAAGATCTGAACCGTCGAGTAATGCCGTCGCAGTTCCTGCTTGTATCCAAGTCTCGCTAACAAAAGCAATCAGCACCGAGCTCATATAGTTGCACAGGATCTGCCCATGGCGCGAGATACACACCCAACAGCTCAGTATCGCCAGCCTGGGGCTTCGAGTCATGACCCGTGGCCGTCGACAGACGCCTTTTGCTCGTATGAGATGTGATTTTCTCCATTGTGTCCGCCATTCTGTTACATGCGATTGGAGAATAGAGTCAAGGGATAGAAAGATAGGTGAAAGATCCAACGCGATCGAACATGCGTCGTCTAAGAATTGAAGAAGATGAAAATAATACAGGAAAGATAAAGACGTTAAGATTCAAATATAGAACGAGCTCTATAAGCACCGACTGCAAAGCTCAGAGATAGATGGGAACCATGGAAGTGCACATCAACCCCTGTTCCCGAGGTCCCTGAGGAACCTTGATATAATATCCCATTTAGATACCCTCCAATCACAGAGCACAAGGTCTATCTACAGGAGATAATGAGGGGTACATTACACAATCAGGATTCAGACCTGCATATCTCCTCATCCCATTTTCGGTCATGGGAGGGGGATCTGCCTAGAAGCCTAAGTCAGAGCTTAGGTACATAGACTACTAGAGCGTGGGGGCTGGGCATGCTTGTATCATTCCATTTCGGGGTTATCTCCTGCCGCTTTTTAGTCGATAGATATGCTAGAGCACACCGTAGACTCTAGAGTCCTAATTTCCAAGGATATTCTCAGATTTTAGTGATTGACCCTAGAGCCGAATCTACAGTGCCCACGGCATACGGATACACATACACAGAGACCATGTACCATGCTACATCTCCTCCCAAACGCAGCCAAGCCAACCCGAGGTCCCTTTCATAGGATCAATCATCACATCAGCTCGTAGGTACTACCTTCCGCGCCACATAAGCGCATACCTCAAGCCCGAAACCCAATGGCGATATGAACACCTGCAGATATGGCAAACGGCGCAAGTTTACCCCGAATCAGTATAGCGCTGTACTTTAAGTGCTGCGGAGATAGCTGTCGCTGACCTGAGTGGACGATAACGTAGGGAGAGATAGCCGGTGCAGGTCTTTCGCTTATCGGTTGTTAGGTACGTTTTTTAGATTCGTGTTTACAATGCAGTGAGGGGGTATTCCATGGGGATATTCATCGGTTTAGCTCTTTTACTCTATTTATCTGATTATTTGAACTCGTGCTACCTAGGAAGTCTTCCAATATCCCGAGCTCCTTAGAACCGTGACTCCGTGAGATACCAAACTGTGGGGTAAATGAACGCTAAAAGTGTGGAGAAACTCAATTTCGGTCCCTTCCATTCAAAGGGAGAAATCAATACTTCGAGACTTCTATTTCCAGAAACTGATCTCTGCTTCTATTCAAAGTATTGCGCATTTAATCAAGTTCATACAACCCCCAAGCATCAAACCCTGATTCTCATATAAAGGCCAATGCAAAAACCAAAAAAAGCTTCCTTATGGAATGCCGAACCAAACAAGGCTAAATATACTACATCCAAATCATCGAGGAAAAACCAAGCAACAAGAACAATGGAAGTAGTGTACACTCCCAAGCCATCCAATGTATTATTTCAAACAGCCCCAGGTCCAGGTCCCTTATGGTTCGACTGATCCAGCAGGAGAGTGGGTTTGATATAATCCTCATCAAGCTGCCGGAACCAAGCCGCATGATCACCCGTAGCACCGCCCGAGAACAAGTCACGCAGCGCCTCCCGAGCAGACAAGCCCGGTGCCTGGCGTGTGGGCGAGATGCCGGCTGATGCCGTAGCGCCGGGGGAGGGGACAGTCGGCGGCGGCGGTTGGGATGCGGATCGACGGAGACGCGAGGCTCCGCTTGCAGCGGGTGGGAGGTCGTCATCGGAGATACCCTCGATGTCGAGGTCGAACTCGTCTGGGTGGGTGGGATCGTGGCCACGGGCGTCGCCGGAGGGCGGCAGGCCGAGCTCGTCGTCGCTGCCTTCGCCGGCGCTCGGTCCGGATGCGCCGTTGAGTAGGGTTGCGGCAGATTGGCGGTCGCGCCAGGACTGGTCTTTGTTGCTGTAGGCGGCGGAGTACATCCTGGTGTGGGTATATGGTGGACTTGGGCGGCGGCTGTTGCCGCTAGAGTAGCTGTGGGTCCGCTCCGGGGCCCCGGCGCGTGTGGCAGCGCCCACACCGTCCAGGGGCACTGAGTCGCCGCGTCGCGGGATGTAGCCCAGGCTGGTGCCGGAGCGCTTATAGTAGGTGCCGCCGTGGGTCACCTCGGTGTCAAACTCATCGTCAGAGTCGAGCTCTTCGACCACTCCTGTTCGAATGCCCAAAATCTCTAGCATGCGTGCCGTCGTTCCGCCGAAAATGATGACGGTAAGCACGACGACAACGAGCACCGTTGCACGGAGAGTAGGCGCGTTGGCTCCTGACAGACCCGCTGCAAGCGCGACACCGACGGCGCCACGCAGACCAGCCCAGAAGAGCATCGCTTGGTAGGCGAAAGGCAGCTCATCGGCGACATCCACGCCACGACGACGGGCACGGTACCGAAGGAACCAATTGATAGCCTTGGAAAGCGGGAATACCGCCATGTAGCGGGCAAGGCAGATACCGAATACTGCAACCATGATAAACAGGGGATTGAATCGAAGGTTAGGTTCGACGAAGAGGTCTAGCCCGAGGTAAATGAAAATGAAATTCTCCGAAAGCTGAGCCATCACCTGGAACAAGTATTTGGTGGTCAACTGCGTGCGACGCGACATGTTATAGTACGCATAATGCTTGAGTGTGATTCCACAGAACAAGAGCGAGACGATTCCGGACAAGTGCACGCCGTTAGAAAAGAAGTAGCTGGCGTAAGCAATCAGAATAATCAGGCAGCTCTCGATCTTAGGCATGCGTCGCACGTGTGTATATTTAAGACCCAGCGCGGTGGCGATTCCAACAAGCATTCCGGCAACCATGCTACCAAAGAAAACGAGCAAAAAGAGCCCAACGGCTTCGAAGAAATGCCCAACGGTCAAGGGTCCAGCTGCGTTCTCGTGGTACCTCTGCGCCGTCTCGAAGAGCACGATCGCAATGGCATCGTTCAGGATCGACTCGCCGAAGATGATAGTATAAAGCTTCGGCTCGACCTTGTAGAGGTTGAAAATGGCTAAGATGGTGACCGGATCCGTAGCGGAGAGGGTTGCGCCGACCGAGATAGCTTCGACGAAGGAGATATCCAGTCCGTTCAGCGGGATTCGCGTCCATAGGTACAGAACTGAACCAAGCACCATCGCGGATATAAAGGTACCGGCGAAGGCGAACGTAAGAATTGTGCCGATATGACGGAAGAAATTCGACTGGTGGAGTTCATAGCCAGAGGCGAGAATGATGGGAGGAAGGAGGAGATTGAAGAAGAATTGGTAGTCGAAGGCGACGCTGTCTTGAAGGGTAGAGTCTGTGAAGCGGATGAGCAGTCCAACGAACATCCCTGGCGACCGTTAGCAAAATCGTCTCGATCTGCGCCGGGCGCACCTGGCATAGATAGCTCCATGTATCCCCAGTGTTGTCGGCGTCACTCGCGGTATCAACGAACCTGCAAAAATCGATAGCACCGTCTCATGTACAGCTTGGATCTTCTTCTGTTGGAGGATGTAGCTCGTGAACAGGGCGAACATCAACAACATGATCATGATAAACAATGCCCAGGAGCTTGTAATCTCCTTGGACCCTGCTTCGGGCGCATCTGTATTTCGCCATGACAGTCAGAATCACTCAAGTTGTAAAGCGCCATATAGCGACAAGCCGGGGTGCTTTGAAGAGAGGGGTGGTATAGGCACGCGTACCATCGGGATCGGAGTCTTCAGCAGCTCTCCCTGGAACAGAAATGATCTGTTAGCTCGGTTTCCAAGCAGTCAAGCCAAGCGCAGTCTTCGAAGCCGCCGATCAGAGACACATACGAAGCAGGGCGTGTAGGCCATCGTTCATGAGTCGGCTAGCCATGGCGGGCTTACGCCTTAGGAAGTATCAATAGCCAGGGCGGTTGACTGGCAGTTCACTCCCACAGTGAAGTTGTTATGGCAAGACCAGGCGCACATAATCCAAAAAAATGGAAAGTGAGAGGTCGAAAATCGAATTGGGGTTTTCGCGGTTGCTTAAAGTTGCATTGGAGGGACAGATGGCCTGCCGCCTGGATGAGGTCAGGTATGGGACTGTACAATACACAAATACGACAGGGCTGTGTGGGGACAAATTGGTGGGCAGTTGGGAAGGCTACAGCGATGCAGTGCAACAGCTGTGTATTGGTATTGAAATATTACACGTGGGCCATGCCGCGCAACTGCCAAGAAACGGTCACTTCCGATGGAGACTGGTGGAATCGGGCAAAATACTCAGGAACAAGGGGTTGGAGAGCCCTTAGTGAAAGAATAACATCGTCATTGCATATCCGTTTCTGGGCGCTACATTGATTCATGCTCCAGGTTATATTTCCCGTACAATCGCTATCCCCTGCAGAACCCCTTCAGGGGTACATCGAAGCTTACAAGCAATCCAACGCCCTGCATATGCGTCACACATCGCGGTATTTAGGTGTCCAAGTCTATCTCGACCCATCCGAGACTCGTCTGGTCAACCAAGCAGCCACTAAAGCAGCACATCCACCAAATCGTAGCACCCAGCCCACACTATCATCCCACGGCTCCCCTCTCGGCTTCTGAGATGCCTTGAAGATAGCACTGCAGATAAGGCTCGAGAAGATCTGCGGAAAGGAGACGGCCATGTTATGCAGTCCGAGAATGATCCCGGCTTGCGCCACATCCCCGTAGTTTTTAGGCTGTCCATGCTCGATATCACTGCCGGCAACGTTAATGTGTTCGTCGAGCTCCTCATCGTGCGTCTCGGGGGCTACATACTCAGCAGAGGTAGTTGGGTCTGTCCGACGAGTTCTCCGGGAAGGATCGGTCCTAGCTACCTCTGCGGAGATGAGAGCAAAGGGTGCCCAGAGGGCTACAGCCCAAGAGATACCGACCAGGCCGACAAACGCCGACCCAGCTTGGTGGGAGTAGATGAAGAAAGTGCTGAACATGCACGCGGCGAAGAGAAGGTGGGAGAAGAGCCAGACTCGCGGAAGGGTCAGCCCTTGAATCTGTAGTCGTGAAAGCCAATTCGACTTCCCTCCAGGCTCCTGTCTAACTGGCGCGGCATCGAGAAAAGGCTCGGATGCATTGCCCGTCGGCATACTTGAGAAAGACAATCTCCTCTGAAGGGGCTCCCGCTCATCATCAGAGGACCCTTCTAGAGGCTCCTGGTGCGTATCCGTTTGGGGAATAGGTCCATATGATGGCACTACAAATAGTGGGAGCAACATATTGGCGAGGAAGGAGATGACAGCGTAGATGAGCAGAGCGAAAGTCCCAACCCGGGTAGCCTCTTCCCAGGCTATATCAATATCCTTTGCGGGGAGATTTGGGTGGTCTGCGAATATCGGATTGACGTACAACTGGCCGATGTAGGTCGTCGAATAGAAGAGGAACGGGAACCAGCCCACCCACGCTGCAACCTGCACCTCACAAACCCGGGCAATTTGTGTAGGCAAGCTCCGAATAGACTTGAGGATCTGTCGGAAGAAGGAGACCACACCAAGACTATCAGCCACAGGCCCTTCTGCTCGAGGATCCCGCTCTTTGATGTACGCGCAACTGATGGCAACGGTAACGCATAGTGAGACCGAAGCAAGAGCACACAGCACCTTGAACTGCGTATTCCCCAAAAACGGCACATACTTCGGCAAGTCCATGTAGCCAAAGATGTACCCCAGGATGTTGCCAATGCCTGTCATCCGACTAGCCCAGGCATTTGCCAACTCTTGCTGATGGGCGGGGCAGTTGTCGACAATGAATGCCCTGATTGCAGCTTGCACTGTGGGAGCATAAGCTTGGGATATAAACATTAAAGCAATCAAATACGTACCGGTATTTATAGCGAAGTCAAGACAATACATGAGAATCGTTGCCGCGATGTTAATCGCAATCTTGACACCAGCAGACGCTGGATCGGCGCCGAAGATAGACAGGAACCCGCCCACGATCTCTCTCACCCATGCCAGAGCTATCAACGCGACAATCGTCGCCACGCTCCCAACAAGCATGAACGGCTTCCTCTTGCCCCATGGAATTCGGCAATTATCGCTTCGAATCCCAATATAGGGCTGCACCAGGCCGCCTGTCAAGGGACCTGCTATCCAAACAAAGGCAAGAAGCGACTTGCTCATTCCAAGGGATAGAAGATATGGCTGGATGCAGTCAATATCAAAGCTTTCGGACTCGGGATAAAAGAAACGGGATAGTATGATTGAATCATTCCATCACTCTTGAACAGTTCACTTACTGAGCCATGAGAAAGTTCAACAGACCAAACAATCTGAAGCCTAAGAGCAAAAAGACCGTAAATAAATGGACCAATGTATAAATCACACAAGCACTTGGTTAAATCAAATCAAATCGGATATGCAAAATAACTTACCCACCAATAGATAACGTCAAAAGCAGCAAGTACAATGCACTCTTCGACGACTCATCAACACCGGCATTAGGCGGTAGACCACGTCCGCTTGCACCGCGTGTGGCGGCCATAAGAGGCGATCCCTCGTTAACAGGGGTAGTAACAGACTTGCGGTCTATCTCTCCCATCGGTGGATTCAAGATCAAGGATTGAAAAGTTAAAGCGTTGGATTCCCAGCAGTTAGGATCAGATCATGTACTTGGTGCCGGGTTGCTTGGATATGCCTGCCCGTTGCCGCTGCTTTTCTAGCCGCCGTCTGAGATCTCAGGTTTCAGTTATACTCCGTGATGCAGGTAAGTATCGTAGTATACTGCTCGCTGATAGTCGCTTTCTCTGTTGGCTCTACTACCCTCGTTCTCCGCTGGTCAGTTGTGGGGTGATTTCCCAGTGGGGTGTGGGAAAGTTGACCTGTCGGGATGGATTGATAGTGGGGGTACGTGTTGACAGCCAACTCATTAGCCATCAGGCCGTGGGATAGTTGGAAGAGGTATATTTCAGCAGGATATAGCCCACCTGATCAGAACGAAGTGTGTCAGATGGGCCTATCACGACCACAGGGGGTACGACGTCAGCAACACGTGATATGCATTCAACAATTAATTCATCACATCCATTGGCACGAACACTGAGCAATACGCAATAATTAAGTAACGCAACGAGAGATACCTAATGCAAAAGTTTCAAGTGTTTTTTTTTTCTGTTTATTCCAATTCAAAGTCGTGACACAATGGCTCTCTGTCTATAACTAATGTGTGATATGAAGCATACTAAATAACCTCCGATTTTCCAGCCGTTCTTCATGGACAGTGCCGGACAATCCAATGCAAAAACAACCCAAATCCTCTCCCTCTCCAAGCCAGTCTCCAGTGAGAGATTAGTCGGGCCTTTCCCGTGCCCGTACCCGCCAGGCAGCATGAAATAGATGCCTGCCAGCACGATCCAATTCGCGCGGAGGGGCAGCCGACACCAATAATACAAGGTGCTTCCTGTAACCAAAGCACAGCCCGAAATTCAAAAAGAACCAAAAGAGAATGAACACCATGTCAAGCAAGCTTTACACGAATATAGCGGTATGTGCGAGGCCAGCATGGGCCATGTGCGATCAAGCAATAAGCGATATAAACTCCGAAGCGAAGAACGCCTATACGCGCCTTGAAGTCTCCAAAAGGGAAATGACAAATGAAAATCCGCTGGTGACATAAACATCCCCAGTGATGAGTACAGAGACGATCAATCTACCTTTTCGTGGTAGATACATCAAGCTCTGCAGACTTCTCACATCTGTTGCTGGAGTAGTTGCGGGGCGATCATGTGCGAAGCAACCATACTGGTCATCGCCGACGGCATGCTCATAGGAGCTGCCATCGACGTCATGCTAGACGTGCTCATCATTGAGTGAGTGGGCTCCGGTGGGCACATCTTCTCTTTAGGAGATCCATATTCATGCTCGTCATTTTCCAGGTCTTCATCGGTCGGAGTGATTGACTGGCCATCTTGCTGCGCTTCATGGATCCGACGGTGTCTGACAAATGTTAGTTTCGGCAACATAAACTTGGAGGAGTGATAGCGTACTGTGCAAGATTATCGGACCGTGAAAAGGCTTTGCTGCAGTAAGGGCAAGGGTACGGACGCTCCTGCGTGTGTGTTCTCACGTGTCTATAAACAGGGGTTAGTCGGCGGCTAAAAGAAACCATCACCCCAGGGCACGGTGCAAAGTCAGCCCCAAAGTGGGTGCACAAGGCGAAGTAAGTTTACCTTTTGAGGTGTTCTAATCTCTTGAATGTTCGGCCGCATGACGGGATTGGGCAAGAATGGGCCTTGTTCGGATACGGTCCCAACTCCATCATGGTTGCACTCCTAGCTCGCCGAGTAGGACCAGAGGCCGAGCGCTCCGACCGGCTAGTAGTGTTGTGAACCGCAGTCTCGTGAGCATCGTTGGTTGGCAAAGCAGTCAAATCATCTGACTGGTTTGCCAACGAGCCTCCATGGTGTCCAGTGCTCTGGTCCAGGCTCTGCAGCGGCGTACCATGTCGGGACATATCGTGGAGGTCCTTCTGTGGCAGCATTGCACTTGGATAAGTACGAGCGAGATTTTGGATGTCATCCCCATCTGCAACTGGCGCAACTGAGCTGGAAACCGAACGGCGGAGATCACTTGGTCGGTGAGCAGCGTACGATACTGACTGAGGTCCTGGCGTTGCGGATTGAACATTGGCGATGCCATTGGATGGGTGGTTTCCAGTGTTGGGCGTCAGGGAAGATCGACGTCTGCGCTGCTTGTATGTAGGGGACCCTTCGATGACGGGATATGGATTCGCTGAGTAGGACCGAGGCGCAGGCTGATAGTGATTACTGGTCAAGTTCGAAGGAGGCAGCTGCATCATCGGGTGATAGCCGGGTCCACTGGAGATATCCGGAATCGCTGTGTAAAGGCCGGTGTCCTCGTTGGCGATGTAGGCGGGTTCCCCTCCAAGGCCGATCGAATGTTGCGGCGGGGTGACTGGCTCAAAGGACAAGCCGCGGTTGCTGTAATCCTCATACTGCGAAGACACAAAGGACGGTGCCGGAGAGTACTCGTAGAAAGTCGGCATGGAAGAGTGGCGCTGATGCGGGCGGGTCATTGGCATTCCGTGGCGATCGTACTGAATCGGGCCGTAGTCCTGCTCACGCTTAATGATGCTGTGGACTAAATTGTTCGACAGGGGCATCTGTTGGTGGGTGTACATCGGAATCCCAGAGTCGTCCGGGAGCAGAGGGATCGCTGGAGGAGCCATCTGCGGAGGAGGCATTGCGTCAACGGTCCGAACCACGGGGGAGTTGGGCTGGCCATATGTCGTACTTGCGTGGGCAGCGAAAGAGTTCATATTCACTTGTTGTGACTTGGTCAACTGCTCGTACAGAGACTGGGACGAGTCGAATTCGAAGGACATGGCCGGTTCGCTGACTGCGACCGTAGTGGCCTCCTGGTTCATTTTCTCGCGCTTTAAATCCCGTTCCAATGCATCGAGGAATAACCGGTCGTGGGGTACGCCGTACCAGTAAAACACCTTTTGTTTCTTCTGTGTCCGAATGCAGTTGTTTTTGTAGAGGAAGTCCAGGAATGGGCTCTTCGGATCCTCCAGGACCGCGTCGACGCCGGCCTTGAGATTGCGCAAATCCGAGAAAATACCCTCCTCAAACTTCTTCGAGTTCTTTACCGGACGTCCAAAGGCCTGGAATCGAAATGCGAGACAACGGACGATATCGGTACCGGAGATATGAAAGAGACCGCTCCTGTTCAAATGAGGTCAGTTACCTTGTCCCCCGCCATCACTCTTGAGAGTGAGACTAACCAATAGACACAAGAAACATAGTCGCCTGTCGGAAGCAAGAATCGTCGAATAAGCTGATCAGGCGGCCAGTCCACGGGAGCCGACAGGAGGAAATATTTCACTAGCTCAAGTCAGTACATATTGCTTTGATGCAGGCAAGCAACCCAAAGGCATACAATTGTCCACTTGTTGCAAGGCCACCTGCGCATCATGGGGTAGACTTCGCTGTGCTTCGGTTGAAAGCATGAAGGTCTCGGGCTTTTGGGGCGGCGCCATAGAAATGGGAGCACCCGGTTGAGGATACATGGTTATTTGTGCTTTGCTACGTAGGGCGCACTGCATAGATGATTAGCTCCGGGAAGAGACCGCTTGATAACGCATGCGCAAACAAAGAGCCCGATCCAAATCCAATCATACGGAGCTCCTCTCTGCGACTCTGTTGAGACATAGCTGCAAGACCTCGGCTGACACTCACCAGCTGAACGGTTCGACAACACAGTATCGGAAGTGCGAGGATCAACGTTGACCACCAGTGAAGACAATATCCAATCGGCAAGTATAGAAATCACACACTAGAGTCGACAAGGAAGCGCGAAATGGGTGGAACAGAGGAACCAGCCTCTGGGGAAGACAAAGACAAGAAAGAAAGAGAGATCGTCAGAGATTGAACTGGACCAGCCGGTAAGCCTCTGAATGAGTTTTTGTTCGCGCGCAGCGGAAGAAAGAAACGAAAGTGAAGAGGAGACTGAGTAGCTGATGATGAGAGAAGAAGGGGGGAAGAGGAGAAGATGCACAACGTCAGTCTAATAATAATCGAGGGAACTGGGAATGAGAAGCGCCCAGGGACCCTGACCGGTCATAAACTAGTATGTTATTTTGGTGTTTTCTTAGTCATGGCCGATGGGCGGGTATTGATTGTTATTTATTCGGTAATGCAATTACTGGCACCGTATCTATCGGTCATTTACAACTCCAAACAGAATAAGGTCGTTAGTCCGAATATCCATGCTCGGGTGATTTTAGATTGATGATCTATCAAATTGGTGAGAGTCTTTATCAAGTTAAACGGACTCAATTCAATACACTACTCACAATAGTTTGTCTTGACCTCCCAAGATATAAAAGACTCACAGACATAGGCTGACTCTTCAAGTCTTCAAGAACAAAGGAACACCCCCCTGTCTGACCAGATGTATCTTGAATGGGCGGTAGATTGTATTCCGTGTAGTATCCACTCCACCTGGTGACCAGGCTGCATAAATGTCCCAAGTGATGAACATATCACTTGCCACCTTCAGAAAGGCATTTATGACAGGGAAAGGCCAACGGGGAGAACGGGGTGGGTCCAGCCAAGGCTCATCAAACTGGCGCTGGGACCTGAAGCACCCGCCTTCTCGTTTCAGAATCACAGTGGGCGCTTACTTGCAGCCACTGAAACCGTCTCAGAGATTTTGTATTTTCTCCGATGTTGCTCCGGTGTATAAACGGCTGTGGCTTTGGGATCTTCTTCGGAATTGACTGATCAAATGAACTTATCCGAAGGGATGAGATACCACATACGCACAACATGTTGGTAGTCTCCATCTCGCTGCCCCTTGACTAATGAAATGCCTGCTCCATATGCAGATTTTAACCTGTAATATTTAGTGGAAAAACAAGCCATCCCGACATTTGTTGACTGTTTATGCTCCACTTCTGGCCTTGTCATATGTCAGATCCACGGTTGAGCAAAAGTCCAGACCATAAATATGGGTACCTCGACAGGTACTGTAAACTGTCCACTGAGGAGACATGTACGGAGTACCTACGGAGTACACTGAAGGGCATGTTGCAAGCTTGGCATTGCTTACAACCAATAGACATACGCATAGCAAGCCGTTTCCTTTGACTTTCTTTACATATTCTGCAGTCACGGAAGTCTACAGTACTGATCAGAACTCTCGCTAAATGCATAGTCTGCCACTTCTCGCCACTCCGAGCTGGTTACACACCATATTTGCTCTGAGAACCCCAATGTATGTACGAAGTACTCTGTGCAATGATTCTATTTCATCCTCAACGACTATCATAACAGCAATTCGACCTCTCAAGTCCAATTCCCTGTACCAAAGATGCCTCATCCATCATCTACCGGATAATAATTATCCCCCACAACCACTCGACAAGCACTAGACAAGAATAAGAACAGCACCCAGTCCAACGGAGCCCTACCAGATCGGGAGGACTACACAGTCCAAGTCGGCCACCTTCGTCAATATAGACTCGAGCTGGAGGTTTCAACTTCGACCAGGTCAGTCAAACCCCTGAAAAGAACCTTCCAGCAGACAAGTCTCGACAGTCACAGGCACGGGTATACAAGCCGCTAGTCCGAGTGCAGAACCCTGGCACCTCTGCCAGTCATCTCATTGCACAGAACACCCATGCATCAACCGCGTTTGATCGCCCGCCCCTGAAACAATCTAGAAAGTCGGCAGTTGGGTCTTCCGCGAAAAACGTGGGGCCTTTATCACGTCTCAGGTTCTAGATCCTGCTGCAGCGAGCCTCATGCGGAATATAGACGGTTGGTATGTCGAAGACAGAACAAAGAGAGATCTTGCTCGCCCGATTTTCCCCTGTTCTTGGTGGAGAACAGCACTCGTCTGGAGGTATTTCTGGTCCTAGATTGATGGTCCTATTGGGGCTTGCTTGCGAGCTCCGGCTGTGTTTCTTGACTTTTCTCCTGTTCTTTTCACTTATTCACCATTCAGGTCCCTCTCGTCAACTGCAAGGTTATATACTATCTTCCTTCAATGATCGACAACGTCAACGGCCATATGCATGTCTTACCTCGAGAACGTTAAGGCAGTGAAAATATCATTGGAACGTGCGACGCGGATGCTAAGGGGCGGGGGAGAGGACCTTCCTTTTGGGCTTAGCGGCGGGCTGCCGGTTCTATACCGCAATCTGGAAATTCTCCGACTTTGCTATGGAGTAGAGTTCTGTGATTCCCCCTGATTCAAACTATACTCCTCTTTTTCTTGCTATGTTGTAATCGTTACCTTCAATTCTAGTTCGGGTTATCACTAACTACCGATAACTTGTCTCGGACGTTTCGAGTGCTGAATACTCCGTGCAAGTGGATAGAGTTCACCTATTTCACGGGTGCGCCAGGTTATGCAGGGGCATCGGGAGGCTAGTATGGTGTTCATGATCGCCATGCGGTTATGGGTCGGAAGTCGGAACCGGCTGGAATATAATGTCCGTGGGTCTAATGCTTGAGCATACGAGACCTCCGAAGTATAGGATGGGCTGATCTATGTGACCATGAAAAGATCATGTGAAGAAGACAGCGGCAGATTTCAAAGCCTTGTGCTATGTACTATCTATCGTTTCTATTTCGGTATATACAGAGGAACCCGTCAGACAGAGCCAATACTCTTTCTCCTCTTTTCCACGACTGCTTCCTTCATGAACGGACTCCGGGCTCGGACCTGTTTGCCCCAGATAAGCATCAGAATTGGGGCAAGAGATAGAGCCAACGCAATGAAGGCTATCAACGTGCTGGCCCACTGGAGACCAAGTACATTGTACATGCTCATGGTAGCTAGCGGCAGGAACGCCGCCAGGGTATTCTCACCAGCGGCAATGATACCCATGCAACTGCCAGCATACTTGCTGTACGAGTCCACCACATAATCAGAAATGCCCGTCACCACAATGACGCTACCAGCGCCCACCATGGCGAGACCAATGGCTGGTGCAATCCATGGGAAATCGGGATATGAAGTCCACGCGTATGTGAACATACCACCGGAGATGCCGAAGATACCCCCTCCAATAGCGAAATACAGTCGGGCCTCTGGGATAGGGGTACCGGGGATTTCCTTGTTGCGAGAAGCCGAGTCGAAATACACCTTGCCCGAAAACAAGGTGACCACCCATCCCAGAAACTCCCCTATCACGACTGCTGTTTGGACGTATCCAGCATGCGATGGCGACCAGCCATAAAGCTGCGTGAATACCTGCTCCACTGATTGAGTGAACAGGTATAACGAGCCGATGGTGAAAGCAGACCACAGCGTTGACACGAACACCACAGACTCAGTGAAAAACATCACAAGCGGCCTGCTGGCGCTGCGACCCACGATGCTCAGAATTGACTGGTCCTGTGTGTCGATCTCATGCTGGGTGTAAGCGTTCTCGCCCTGACGGCGTCTCGCCTTGGCACGCTGTCCCAGGATCGCGATGCCGCGACATTCTTTGAATAAGAAGAAGTAAACGGGGAATAATGCACCATACCAAATTATTTGGAGATAGCCGATCCACCGCCAGGTGAGGTGGTCGAAGATTGCAGCCCCGATGACGGGCCCAATGCTACTTCCCGCCAGATAAGCTAGGATGAAGAGGCTGACTGGCATATTGCGACTGCGCTCGGAATCCCAGACATTGCCAATCACCGTGGCGGCGGTATTGGCCTGCACACAGACACAGCCTCCGGCGAAAAACCTCGTCACGACTAACGTAGCGAAGTTCTGCGCCACTGCCTGTGGAATGTTGAAGCAGATGAAGGTCGCAAACGTGCCTAGGAACACCCATCGCACACCGAAGTCCTCCATGAGCGGGAGGATGAGTAGGGAGAAACAGCCGCCGCCGAGTGCCCAGGATGTAACGGGCCAGTAGGAATGAGGGAAGTGTGCATCTGAGATGTTGAAGCGCTCATTCATTGGCTCGTGAGCTACTGTGAAGATTGTGCCGTTGATCATGGAAATGAAGGTGGCGAATACAGCCAGAGCTGTAAGAAGCCATTTCCTGCCGTGAGACCAGTTGTATGGGTTTCCAGGATCATCTGGTCCTTCCCAGGTAACTACTGTGATGCCTTTGGTAGGTTCATGATGATCTGCGACGAGGTTAATATTCAAGATTCCTGATGCCGGGTGTTCTTCGGGAATTTTACCTATTGTCTGCTCATCGTGGCCGGAGATATCGCCACGCATGAACACCATTCCGATGTCACGAGCTGCGGATGGAATCTTGTGATATCGATACCGATAATGAATCGCCCGGTTGATGTTCTCTCAGTGCACCGAACTTCAAAGGTATGATGTCAATGTTGTTTCGTTGCCGATGCCGGGTTCTTGTCACAGACAGCAAAGATGGATGTGTGTTTAACATCTCCAAGAAGAGGATCCAGTGTCCTTTAAGAACTATCTAGAATTTCCTCATGAACCTGTCAAGTGTCCGAACCGAAATGATTTTCCTTCTCTTCTTTTTCTCCACCGAAGACTTTTCTCCAGATAATAGCCGTTTTGGGACTAGTGGGTGCCAATTTCCCACAATGTGATTGGCCCACACGTGACGATGTTGGACGGGCTCTTGGAGTTCCTTGGATGTTCTTAGATGAAGCAATTGATAAAGATTGAAATGCTCTGAATCTGTTCCATTCCCGGCAATCTGTGTAATCATTCATTTGGCAAGTCGATATTTGCTGTGCGGCTGTGTGCCCACTAGGATAGTGTCCCGAGCCAGAGGCTTCACGTCGATCACCCCCACAAATTGCTCGCTTATTTCGATTTCGTTCCATTTGCGGTTACTGGATCCGCGTCTTGCGATCTCGCACTCTTCCCATTCGCATTCTCTTGCTTGATTTGTGCCTCTAAGCGAAGACATGAAGCTCCGCTACCGCTGTGAGAGCCAAGACTACCTTCTTTCACCTTATTGCAATCGGGTACGCGACATTGGTTGACAAGTTACTGCGGTAATCTCACAGTAGGCTTTGAGTCACCACGCGAGCTCGGTGCAATCATGTACACCCGACTCTATTCTCATTTATGTACCCAGTTTGGGTGAAAATGAGAGAAGCTTCCTATCGCTCAGGCAATGGAGATACTGTCCGACATGTAAAAGCATGACACACGGCAGATACCCACACTGATGATCTTCAACCCCGGATACGTCCACTTGGCACTCGCTTCAGCCTCATATGAGTTGTCAGGCTAGGATAACGCCTCTCTAGGTGACCCCCACTGACAGCATTGATGGCACATCTTTTCCCCTCAATAATGTCGCATATGCACCCGAGTCCCGGCTCTGGGTGCGGCAGGAGGTCCAAGCAAAGCGCCTACGAATTCAATGGCTCAACACATTCAGGTGCATATGCGACGTTCTTGAGGGAAAAAGATGTGCCATCAATGCTGGGCCCGGACTCGATGGTGAGTCCCGAGACACGGAGGTCGGATGCTTAGAGTAGACGATGTAAGGGTGTGAAAGGCGTCGGGATGTTCGATCAGACAAGTAAAAATGAGTAGGCGTATGAGTATGAATGGCAGGGTTATATACTGTGTTGTTGAGCATAGCATACGGGTACCTAAGCTTAACGTTAGCCTAGGTAACTAATTTCCTGTACTGGAACTAACCATCGCATGGTTAACTCCCTCTCTTACGGGTACAATCTATGCCAGACACGGTCGACGAAGTTCATTCCTGCCATTGTCCTCCGCGACTTGCTCTAACTATAACCGGTTGAACCTGCTTGGCTACATGTATATTTCGCCCCCGTGCAACATCAAACTCATTTTCATATGAATAGCACATTCTTCCTTAGGTTCTTCTAGATCCCTGATCCCCTTCTGTACTCCAAAGTCTCACGCTGAGAGAAGTGACGTCCACCATTCCAAATCCTAAAATTAAACCGCGTCGTATAGGCGGTTGCCCGCATAATTGTGTATCCATGGATACTCACACGTTTGCCACACCCGACTGACGACATGCAAAGACTATCGAATACCTCCCCGCATCTGATATTGCAATAAATAGTATTCATTTCCTGACAACCGTTCCAACATAACCACACTCCCAATCTTCCATACACCACACACAATCATATAGCCATCAACCACACTCAACATGGTGACAACCACTATCGACCGCAACCCCCTAGATCCCAACTTCGCCGAGCGCCGCAGCTCCCTCACCAATATGGATCAATCAAACCCGCCATCCAGAGGCAAGGGTGTGGATGGCATCGCGGACAGAGACGTTGCCCCGTGAGTTTACACAGCTTCGCCGTCGCATAACTCGCATCTGAGTACTATATCTGACATGCTTGGATAATACAGATCTCCCCATGCAATGTGCTCGGAGCTTGCACACCAACACGCCATCGAAGGTCTGCATCAGAATACAGAGCATTGGACTCAGAAGGAGGTTGATCACCGTATGTCCTCCCTGTTGGTTTACGAGTCTGGGGTAATAATGTCCGCCAACCTGACGATTGATACCTAGGCGATTTTCTTGCTGATCTCAGCTCCGACCGTGGGCTTCAGGCTCATCCTGAGGAAATCGGGGAGTAAGCGACATCCATTCCCGGGGCTCCGGGAGCCAGGACAGTGCTTGACTTGAGGACTGGTCTACGCTGGATATCCTAGGATGTGGGTTGGAGCCTCGATGTACGGGTTTTATGATGCGATGGGGGTTGTACAAATCTTGTACGTTGTATATTAAGAGCCTTTCCATGGTTATATTGAAAATTCATTTGCGTGGGGATGCTACTACATGACATGAGCCCCGAGGGGCAATTATATATCTGTGACATCACGGTGATGTTTACCCGCATCCATGGGAGCTGGGGTTGAACATCCTGCGTATTGTCAATTGCATCAAATTGTGTATCTATTTGATTCACGCACTTATACGGTTATCATTGGAAAGCAACAACTATGCCACTAACATAGCCTGAGATCTACAAATGCAAGATGATCCGAACTGATTAGACGTGATGTGATTTGACTTGGATTGGAATAGGTATGAATTTGCTCTGGCTTATAATAATCAAAACTGCTCGACATTACATTAACCAGCCAAGTGGCCGAGCAGTAACTCAGCCATCTTATCTTCCTTGGTCTAGTGGTGATGATTTCCGCTTGTCATTGAAACCGATAAGCGCGGGAGACCGGGGTTCGATTCCCCGAGGGAGAGAGATCTTTTTTACTTTTTTGATTTGCTTTCTTACTATTTCTCAGAGCTGATCGTTTTGATTACCATTTAGAAGCACATGCCAAAACTGGACCCGTCATGTGAAAGAAATGTCCACTGACGCCCAGAACGGGACAGTCAAGGCCCTCAAGGGGGGTTCTCGATCTGATATCGTCCATGCCCATAGTATATTTACATGCTTCTTCCAACCAAATATAACTTGTACCTATCCCTTTCAAGCTTCGCCTATACTTTTACTTTTCCTCACTTCTTGCCTACCTGCCCTACCACGGCAACAGCCTTTCTTTACCCAAAACTCTGTCACTATGCCAGCTGTAAAACATTGTAGACACCCATGTGGTGCACATTCCCTTTCTCCTTTAGAACTACCCCGTAGAAGGTAAAGCTACTCCGTAAAGGTAAAGGGATATTGAAGGCACCCATCCATAACAACAGTGACCATTATTTACTACATACAGAACGCAGACAGCCACGCCCATACCTCTAATCCTAAATCCTCTTCAAAGCCTCAACAACCTCCTCCGTCGGCAACACATCGGCAAACTCCCCATCAAGACTAACAAGCGAAACCCTCTGAATAGTCTCGGAATCAATCCCCTTCTTCCCAAACGTAGCGGTAGCATCACCAACAAGCACAATCCGCCCGTAATCAACCACACCCGCATTCTCACGCGATCCATCCGCTCTCAACCGAACCGGTCCATCAGGGAACCGATCCACAACCCGCAAATTCGCCGCCATGCGCACAGTAGTCGAAACACAATGATCAGTTGTCAGCCCAGCGAAGATAAGCTGGCGGAATCCCCTTTCCCGCAAATGCGCCTCGAGCCCAGTCCCGATGAAGGAGGAATTGACATTCTTCCAGAAGACGGGCTCGGTTCCGTCTGGTGCGGGAGTCGCGAAGTCTAGTGGGAGGAGGTTGGAGGGATTGGAGGGGTGGAAGGGGGAATTTTTATCTAGGGAGGTGTGGAAGATGTGAATCACTCCCAGTGGGACTTGGGATGAGATTCTTGCTGTCCGGAAGGTGGTGAGGAGGGTTTGGAGGTTTTGTTCATAGTTTGGGTTGGATCTTGTTGTGCCCCAGTGGGAGATTGTTGTTGGGTTGGTGAAGGCTTGTTGGTTGTCTATTAGGATCAGGGCTGTCGGTTGGGTGAATTGCAATGTCATTTTGAATGGTGGTGCGATGTTTGAGTGGGTGAGTGTGAGTGTGTTTGATGTTGCTGGGGAGGATTTTACGGGTTTTATTGATGAATCACGATCTTGAGGTTGGGGTTGCGGGTGAGTCACCTTGCTCACAAATCATGTCTTGATGACAGACTAGAGAAGCGATGCTTGGTACCTAGACTCAACAAGCCTGGTTCTCGGATACAAGTTGTACCGTTCCGAACTATACCTATCGCATGTCAACTGCAGCCCTAGACTAGATACAAATGACAACATCAAATGAAAGATTGCAAATTGAGGCAATGAGCTTTTTTAGCCATGCGATGATGCGAACCAGAACCCAAGAACTGACATCTGTGATCTCGCAAGGGTGTTTTCGGGGACGTCGAATTGCGGCTATTGAGCGAACGGTTACAGGCGTTGGAAAAGACCATAGTTACAGCGATGGAGATATCAGCGCTGTATGTGAAGCTCGGCTTCCTCATTATTGGGTCAAATTGCTGCTTTCTCTACCTCAGCTACTATCTGTGGCGTGCAGTGGGACCTGATAGTGGCCAGAGAGAATGATTTGTTATCGGCGGCCATCGAAGCGAACAAAAGGCAACATGCGCATCACGACAGACGAATGGCACTCAATCGCATCGTTTGCGAAATGGAGGGTCATAACGGGAGTTATGCAGAGAGCAGACTGAGATTTACTTCGTACTTAACACGCTCGGATATAGACTGGGCGCTTGATGTGCTCATAGAAATAAGAAATAACTGCCAATAGCAACAAGCTATTGCCAAGTACTAACTAGTCTAGTTAGAGACATGCATAGTTATGACAATCAGCCAGCGTTAGATTCCAGCCATGGCTCCCCAGGCAGATCTCATACATGATCCTGGGCCAACATAGACAACCGAAGGGGGACCTATTGACCAGGAATGACAGCCAAGCCACGCAAAGCAGAGTGAAATATGCTGATATCTCTTTTCAACGACGAAAAAAACCAAGAAGAAAAATGTAATGAATTAGAACTAGCGCTTTTTAAATTCTCCAGAATTCCTCCAAGATATGAATAAGAAGGGTAATGTACACAATACCAATGTAAACCCGTCATCTGTTTCTTCCCACGATCTACTCAATTTCCACGATAGGGCCATCGTACACCTTTCTAGCGCGAATAGCATAGTAAACGAGGCTGAGGAAAATCACACCAACCGTTCCGACAACGCTGAAGTTCATAGTCTGAACAGTGACAACCCAAGATGGAGGCCAGAAACTGAAGAAGACGGCAATAGTCATGTAGATGAGCGCAAAGGTATTGACCAAAATGCCCCAGATGCCTGGCAGGTGGAATGGACCCCACACAAGCTTTGCACCGACAGTGTTGACGACGGCGGAATCGCTGCTTCGGCCATTGCTGATACCACCAGTGCAGCGTCGCCAGAGAAGTAGACCGGCGACAACCATGTATGAAAGATAAAGACCAGAAATCGACATCGCGACAAGATCATTGAAGGCGACGGACGATCCGATTGGGATGAGAGCTAGGAGGCAGGCAACGCAAGTTGTAAGAAGGACCGAGTAGATAGGTACAGCGGTGCCTCCGTGAACCTATAATCAGGCATTGGAATCGAGCTGTAGAATGTGAGGATTTAGGAACGGCACATACCTGGCTCCAAAGTCGCCAACCCGGAATACCTCGGTCCCGAGCGAAAGACCAAAACTGGCGTGATGCAGAAGCCAGCATACCAACAGAGGTAGTAATACCCATAGTGGTGACGATAGAGCTCATCACTGCGGTTCCAGCCACAGATCCTGTGGCCTGCAAGAAAATCGCCATAAAAGGATACCCAGTGGGCGACTCGAGTGCGGCTCCAACATCCCCGAGACAGAAAAGCATGGCCAGAAGCATGCCAAAGCCTAGAGATCCATTGATCAAGACGCTGAGCATGATTGATGTCGGAACGGCCGTTGCCGCATTGGTGATTTCCTCGGACATCTGGTTGAGCAGGAAAATGTTAGTGACTCTTGAAAATGATTTGTCAAGATGAAGATTTTCACTTACGTGGACTGCGGCATCACCACCGGCAAAGGCGAATACGCAACCAACCATGCCAACGAAGAACGAAAGACCTTGAGAGGGGAACTCGCCCAGATTCAAAAACTGTGTGAAAACTTCATGCGCTGATCCATGGTCCGCCATGTAAGTCAGAGGAATCAGAATGGCAAAGAATCCCAGAACGTGAAGGATGAGAATGAATCCCTCGAACCGCGGGAGAAGTTTGCCGCCGACCGAGTTGATGCCAACTGAAAACAATGCAACAGCCCAGAACAGTAGTGTCGTATGCCAATTCTTCGGCTCGTAGCTGCTCTGGGTGAGAACGATCAATCCCTGGATAAGGGTTCCGCATAAAAAGCACGAAGTTGCGTATGTTGCTTGCCATCCGATAACAGTAAGCCAACCTGCAGACAAATATTAGCTCCCTTGAAACGAGTTTCTTTGCTCCCCGACGACCGGTTCGTACCCGTTATGTAGCTGAATATTTTCATTACAGATCGTGGGGCGAGCATCGAACACCAGTGATATTGACCGCCAGAGGTTGGAGCCCTTTCGGTTGATTAGTCCAGGAAATATTGCAGAGAGGATTAAAAGACCCATACATCGAAGCCAACTCTGAAAGAACGACGAAAGTCGACGCAACTCCGATCCAGACGAAGATAAAACCATAGACCGCGCCAGCAGGGCCGCCACTTGTAGTGTTGTCAGTCTCAATGTAATGGAAGGAGAGGGGGGGCTTCAAGAGACCACTTACTTCGAATATGCTTGAAGAAACAGACTGCGGAGTAGCAAGTAGTAAGTAAAAGAGCTAAATACGCTTCAGGCGCGGAGCTTGCTCACACAACGATTCCCTCCCAAGTAATTAGGATGGTACAACTAAACCCCAATATCGACATCAATCCGAAGTTTCGCTAAGCCAATCTAGTAAGTATCGTCTTGGAACAGTTCAACAAGAATACTCAGGATGGAAGACCTACCTTCAGGACTGGCCGCTTCCCCATGCGTACCAGGTTGGCATCGTCGAGCTCAGCGCTCGTGGGGCTATTGATCTCGTGCATACCTACCGTGCTTGACTGCTTCATTGGATAAGAAGCCATATTCAGCGCGCCTGGAAGAGAAACGAGAGAGGAAAATTGAGCACTGGGATGACCAGGGGAGTTCCTCTGTTTTGATTCAACGGGGAGGCAGAGGATGCGCGAAAAGCTAATGCCACTTCCTTGTGTTTACCCACTCACGCTAATGCGCTTGTTCCATTCCATTTGAAATCTGGAACATCCCTAAGTACCCTAACTGAGGGCCACCCCCGAGTCTAAACTTTGATCGCTTTTTCTTTGGTGGATATTTACTTTATTTAGTCTCTTGTGTTACAACGCTAAGGATCTGCTCCACATCTCGGTTCACCTCGCCATATCATAAAAGCCTTGTACATACAATCAAATAATTATTATTGCTGAGCGTTAGCGAAGCAATGTGGAATGCCTCGGAGACCCACTTGGCCGTTTTGAAGGAGGTACGGAGTAGTACTCCGTAGTATTCTTGGTGTAATATCGTCTCTCTCGTCAGCTTGTTTAGTTTCGTTGCACTGTTCAGTAGTCCATATAGCACAAGTATTACATCCTCTTAGTCGCATTCCTCCAAACCCCCTTTCCGCACTGATTATTACGTACAAATTGAATCAAATTGAATCTACTGTAAACCAGACATTGACCTATTTCAGCCATATTCCCGTCGGGTCTCAGTCACAGTCCATGTTCGGACCTCGTGAATAATTTTCGACTGGCTCGTTTGGCTCTCGGCGTCAGAATCCGGCGAGGAAGTCACGATAGTCTGGTTGACAGTACCTTCCGGCATAGTAACAAGCTCATGCGTCTCACTGTGAGTCTCTCTCATGCGATCCCTACGCGATACCTTGTAGGTGGTGCCAGCATAGGTCCTCTGTCTGCTCCCATAGCTGGATTCTCCTAAGTTCATTCCCGATGACCGAAGGCTGTCGAGGAAAGGTTTGAATTGAGGAGAACAGGCAGTGACGATACTTAATGCCTGAGTCATTTGGGTGGAAACTACCACAATCCACGTATCCCATGATGGGTCTCCCGATCCCTTTGCGTCTCTCGCGTAGGCGAGCTGACAGATAATGGCAATCACCACGCTGAACATATTCTGTTAGTTAATTTGCATAAGAGCCAAGACCAGGTGTGGATCACATACATAACTCGAAATAGAAAGACGCTGGACAAAACAAGCTTCTTCTGCATATCTGCTTGGACACGGATAATGATCAAGAGTGCCTGCGCGATAATTCCCGCTTCCGATAGAATATTAGTGACACCAAGGTAGTTCCACCATGCGACCTGAGATTTCGTGAGAAATGTTTGCGAAGATTATCCTATGGCATTACGCACCATATCGAAGCATTTGCCATTCATGTAATCCCAAGTCGCAGGAACTTGACACTGGAAAGCTGCCGTAAAGACGCCAGCGATTGTCCATATAACGATAAATATGCCCAGACCGAAAGCGAACTGCCGATCAAGAGAAGCGGGTGATAGATTGCGAATGAACATCATCAGGGCGAGTTTTGAACAGCACATGCTGATAACGAAGAGGATGTTTGCAGCGTATTGAGACTATGTACCAGAAAAACTCTTTAGTGTTCATTCCATTCGAGTTGAATATCTCATCAAGCAACGCAATCTTACCTTCATCATCTTTTCGACATCAGATGCCGCCAGGGGAAGAAAATGCTGTCCAAGCCCGCCATCAGTGGCCACACATACTGCGGTGGATTGACCGACACATGTCAACAGAGCGGCGATGATAAGAAAATCGTCAACTGTCAATTTGCGAAAGATCCAGTACTTTGTGCCCAACCGAGTAAAAACACTCAGTATGCAAGTGACTAGCATAAACAGTGTTAGGACGTTGATTGCGGGAGTCCATGTCTCTCGCAACTCTGGCTTCATCGTGCCTAGGCGTCAAATTGAAGAGAATCAGGAGATACCGTTGGCGACATATATGACATGAGTCCCAAGACCATAGAAAATTAGAGGCTTGAAGGAATGAGTGCGTATACGGCTGTTTCCCATCGCGCTAGGCGTTCCTCCGGCAGAACCATGGATGGATCTAGCGTGCCGTGATTTACCAGATCGCGATCAGAGGCCATTCGATGGTAATCTGGACTGTAACCGAGCTCCACGAAGTAACCAACCACAGTACTCCGTACTCCGTACTCAATTCAGTATAGCCATGTCCTTTGATGGTTGGTTCCAGATAAAGCACAATGCGGCCTTCGTAGGCCAATCGGAGGTGCGAGAACCTTGCAACCTTTACCTTGGCATACTGACTGATCCCTGCTTATTCCATTTGATTGGCCTCGAGGCCCACTGGCCCACCGGGCCGAAGCCGAGCGATCCCTGTTCCTATCCCGTGGATCCTAACCTCGAAGCAGACAATGCGGTATTTTCTGATACCTATACTAATCCTAACAGTAGTCAAAAAGTCAATAACCCGTCTTTACTTATCTGTAATGGTAGATCGAAGGTATGTCTTAGTCGATTCAATCTCGTGGCTACTCTACGCTAGTTCACACTCGAATGTTAATGGGATTTGCGAAGTGGGACCCCGGAGTCCGGACACTCGGACTTTTGATGTAGAGCGAGCCCCGACGAATAAAGTTTACTGAAAATTTACTGTCCCCGAACAGCTAAGGTAGCCCTATTGCAACGTGATCTCTAGCGCATCAAACACAATCTCCATTGGAACAAAGCCAATTAGACTGCGACCTCGAGCCACTAGCGGTTTCTGGTTCCAGTTGAAAATAGAGGATCATAGACTCTAGATCTTCTAGATCAGCCTAATGCTATGTTCTTCACAAGTTCACACTCTAACTCTCGGTGTTGCCGTTTCATTATGGTTCGTGGGGGCCAAACTCCCACTGTTGTGTTGTAGGCTACGGCATGTGACCGGCACGGAAGAATCACTCTTCCGTGCACAGGCGAAAACACCCTCTCTAGCGGCGGCCTAGCCCCTGACTGCTTCTAGCCTCTTCATCCAACCAATGCACAAGATATACATCCCGAAAGGGTGTGGGAAGCTAAAAGGCACAGTCTACAGATAACTTTCAGAGTTTTGGTGTGGATCATCCCGGTCGACCCACCCATCATCAACAACAAATCAAATATCGAGATCTCATAGAGCATCTAGGATCTCATCCATCTATCTTGACTCTCCGTGCCGTTCCTGTTGAGGTGTCTTCAGTTAGTCTCAGTCTCAGTACGCTTTATTGAACATGAACATTGAGTATGTGAAAATTCTGCCTCGATTTCATGATCTTATCTTTAATTCAAAGGACCTCGACAAACTTACGGATCTCCCTGTCCTTGGGATCCTTCATTTCACTTTTCACCCCGGAGTTGACATTGCCGATACACAGCAGTGTGCGGCTGCCTTGTGGAGGAAGTCTTTGAAGTATGTTTTGACAATCCCTGGATTTGAAAGGCTATTGTGGTCGCCAGTGAACGATACTAGTACTTCCGAGTCGTCATGTCAGCAGGTCGTCGTCTTGATCCAGTGGAATGACGTTCCTGGATGGAAGCTATTCCAGTTGTCCCTCGGATTTAGTATGATGCTAGGCTATATTTCACAAGCTTCAAGTAGTTGCATCCAATATACTCTGCCACTCGAGATACCGAGCCCATGTTATCTGGAGCTAGTATCCTTTCAGTTCTCAGCTACGCCATCTACCCCTCAGGTAGATGGAAGGACAGGGTTCAAAGTTCAATGGGATAATACTTTCTCGCCGCCTTGCCAAGCTGCTTTATCTGAGGCTGGATTGGTGCACGCCGGTGGAGAGTGGCTAGAAAGAGACACTGATTATGAGGATCTCTTCTTTGTCGGCCTGATTTTCTGGAATTTGGGGACAGGAGGCAGCCAAAGTATTCTTGCCAATCGTGTATCTCCCCTCGTCGAGAATGCGTCGTCAACAGTGTCCCTATGCACAAACCAGTTGGCTTTTGTCTCGCCTGATGATGCATCTATACTTCAGCCGTCTAACTCTTTTACAGGCTGTGAAATTTCCAAAATCAGACATCCAGCTTTTCAAAAGCCTGTGCAACCAAGATACAGCCTTCATGAAGATTTGGGGACTCCTGGTACCAGTGTTGGGAAGGACATCTGCCATGTGGAAAGTATGTCGCTGGCAAGACAAGAGCCCCCTGAGCGCATTGCTGCTGGTCCGGCTGGAGCTTGGTATAGGGCATCGACTATCTCTCAACATCATATTCCGCTTCAAGCTAGGTTTCAATTCCCGTGCCAGGGCCTTATAAAAACTGGTACATACATGATTTCTTTCTGGGCACGACGCGGCAACCAGCATGTACAAAGCTCCTTTGAGGCCTTGCGGATGGGACTTTGGAAGCTGGGTGACTGCCCACTCCTTATATGGGGCGAGGATCCAGCGAAAGAAATGGACTGGACCAAGATTATGCTTTTCATTGGTGAGTGTCGTCGAGGTATGTTAAATCGTGATTAATGGGTGATACTGACCTTCTACTTTAAGACCTCTCAAATCCCGTTCAATCCAATGAAGATACATATTCTCTTCTGCAGCAGCATCTTCAGGAATTTTCCGAGGTATCTGGTGATGACATACAGCATCTTCAGCATAGAATGACTGCTTCTCCACAATTCGTTGGGAAGTGCAGTGATGCAGACATAACATTTTACGAAATGCGATCGGATGAGAATGACCGACGCGCATTTGTATATGCCATGACGAACTATGGAGAGTACGTTCTTCCCTATACTGCAGTTTCAAATCTTGTTGTGTTCAAAGTACCCTTCCTCTTGGAGGATTAATTGCTAACATTATCATTCCGACCTGATCTAGGACTTTGAATCAACAAGTCATCCAGGGAAGGAAATCATCCCCGTGGTCAGCTCTCGAAGTGAGATGCAGTTCCTGGGTTCCGGTCAATCCTCGCTTCACTGGAGGCGACGACATAGGGCCACTCAGTTTCGCATCGGTATTCAGTCCACAGAAGGAGGGAGCCAGAGAAGAGTGGTATAACGACTTCGCCGAGCGAGCTCAAACTCAATATGACCTCCTGGGTCATATCGTTGACTTGATGTGAACTTTGTGTATGAGCATCGAGAACTGCTATGTGATTTTTGAGAACGAAGATCCCTGGATGGAAGCAGGTAAGATGGAAAAGTCCAAGCGCACATAAGCCGGTGGAGGCTGAATATTTCATTCCCATTTTCTGCGGACTTTCAACAATCTCCATAGTCTAGATGAGGCTTTTTTGCATCGGAATTAATGGCGAATCACAAATACCAATAGAAGTTCATCGCAGGGGTGTTTGTCAACTTTTCATGTGGTCCTCGTCTCTACTTCCCTTGTCCTTTGTCCCCATTCCTTTATCACCATCTATTGTCCACTTTTGTCTAAATAGGACCAGTCATGTGGTTAGGTTGATGACTGACAGTTGTCGAGTCTTAGTCCTGTGACTAGAGGGGAGCTTAAAAGCTTCTTGCCTGATTCCTTTCTTCTTCTCTTTTCCTTTCCTCTTCATATTTGTTGTCATTATATGAACGCACTCTTTACCCAAAGATCTGGCACGTCATATCCGTTGCCGTTCCTATGGAGCCACATAAGTCGGAAAGACCTCTTATGTGCCCATATTATCCTGACCAGCGTCCACGCATGTCGGAAGGCCCCCATTAGCCTGCGCCAAGTGACAAATTTCATCACGGTGCGGCACCCAAAACGGTTGATGCTCTGTATGTACAAATTCTCATTGTGGTTGTTCGGCGTGAGATCTAACATGATCAGCAGAATCAGTGAGCCACTCACCATGCTGTCAATGCACGAGGAAGAGGTTCCGGTTTACCTCAGACCAACGAACAACAGACCAGACCTTTCAAGATATGGTCCTGTACAAACAGCCGAGAGGACATGCTCGATCTACCTACTCGATACTACAGTCCACCGGCTGAATCTGCGAGTACCGAGCCGTCAATTGCTCATGGCACCTCTTTTGAAGCTGCCATGTCCTGAGGCAGCTTCTCCCCATCCCCCGGGGCCCCGCCATCCCACAGATTGCTGGATACCGCTGTCGCAAGACTATCAATTCGCCCAAGAATCCTAGGAAGCGAGCCCGTCTAAACACGTACACTGGCGGCAATCCTGAGGAATTGCGGACTCCACAACATGCGACCGCAACGCCCACAAGTCCGACAAACAGTGGCATCTGATCGCCATTCCTTCCCCACGAAGCGATCTGTCCATGCAAGATGGTCCTACCCCAGACCGCGGTATCCTCATGCAGGATCGCCTTTCCCATGGCAGCCATCTCCCAGCCAACGATGCCTGTTCCTTCCTCACTGGCTGTTCCTTCCTCACTGTGACGATCAGGGCTCAGAAGTCAGGCGTCACATGATGGGTGGTGAGTGTGTGTGATACGAGAGCTGTGAGAACCTGTGACTTGAGGAGGAAGAGGACATGTCCTGTGACTGGGAGAAGAGATAAAAAGTCTTCTGCGGATTCTTTCTTGTTCTCTTTCTTTTCTTTTCTCATAGTTGTTGTTTCGTCTTAATGTACTCTTTTATCTAAAAGATTTGGCTGGTAACAGCCAGAACATGGAAAGGTCTCATGCTTCGACCCCTCCACTTACAAAAGAGCGCGCCATTCCAAGCTCCATTGCGCAGCTCGAGAGCAAATACGCCTTATGGCTGAATATCGAGCACAAGAACGGACAGCGATCAATCAACGATCGAGGCTTATCCGGCTTGGACTATTGCTTTCAATGGGAGGGAACTGTTGGACTCATCAAAGTGGTCCCATCGCATGCACACGAAGCCACTACCGATCAAGTCACTCGGATCATCGATTACTACTTAATGGCGATGGAAATCCGACCGGCCGATAGAAGATGGGCTATGGCAACAACCTACAGGCCTGCCGCCCACAAGGGCAAGCAGGCTGACCAATGTTTCACCCCGCCGTGCCGCAGTGGCTCTCCTAGACAACCTGTTGGCTGGCCAACATTCGTGATAGAAACGGGTCTTTCAGAGTCTCTTCCGCGGCTCCGCGAAGATGCTCGATGGTGGTTCAACAACTCGCCCACAAAGACAGCGGGGAGGCAAGCTCTTCGGCCAGCGGTCAGACCATTTCGGCCAGCAGCGACCAACAAGCTGCTTAGTCTGAGCAGCTTGCAGAACCAATCACCAATGACGGAGCACGACAATGGCCATCTCATGGGACATGGATCGATCCCTCAAAGAGATAAGAGAGGATCGTGGTGCGAGGAGGTCACATGCCCTGATTGACTTCCGCTTTCACCAGCTAGCACAACCTCAACAAGATGCCCGGTAGCTTCGGGCCAACCATCACTGCTACGCTGCCATCGCCGATACGTGCTCTGGCTGCCTGGCGTAAGCTAGGCACTCCAATATGTCCCTGAAATTCCTGCAATTCGGACACAGTGAAGAAGTATATGCGCGATGCTGTGCAGGTCCTTGCCATGCGAGAAGCAGCTTGCCAACAGCGTCCGAGAAGTCCTGGAGAAAGGCATAGGCAGTTCGTGATGGACTCTCTATCTCTTTTGTTTCGTCTTTTCGGTTATGTTATGTTTTGTTGTGCTTTTTGCTTTTTTCTTAGATGTTTCTCTACAGCGAGCTCGCATAGTTATCGCATCTCACAATATGATTCACTCTTGAGAGTCCTTCGCTAGAACTGCCCCCAGTACTGCTTAGCTGCGCGTCCCTGGCTGTCAAGCTAGCCTATGATTTGGCCTGGCTGGTTTACTTGGTCAAGAGAGAAAGAGGAATGCGAAATTGGGTACATACCACGTACCCATAGCACTTGCAAGGATAAGTGTACATAGTGAAAACGCACTCGAACACTGAATAGGTATGGTTCATAATGCTACAAAATAGTAAATACATGTAAAGCGCGTGACGCGAGATTCGCGTTGACGACCTGGAGACGTGCAACAATAACGATATGTGTCTGAGGTGATTGTATTAGGTGTATGTGAGGACACGAGCCAGTCAATGTCCACGACAATGCTCTGACGTGAGAGAAAGTACCGTCGCTTATTTTATGAGCCTTGTGCAAGCTCGATCGAAGTCGTTGCACTTAGCAGCCGGGCTATGGTAAGGAATAGCAATCCCGCTATTAGTGGAAATTCGACAGGCCACTCATGATTGGTGTAGTCATAGTCGGTTAAGAGGACTGGTTACCATTGGACGAGGCGTAAGAGCTTGGAGGGTTCGGATACGGGGATTCATAGGACGTAGGCGAGGGAGGGGATGCATAGAACGTAGGTGAGGGAGCAATCCGGCGTAGGCTTGGTACTGCTGAGGTGTCCCGGCTTGCAGGGTCTGACTGAGTGGACTAAAATGGGTTGTCAATAACGGTGCCATTTGGGCATGTGGTGGGAGTTGCCCGTACCAATGTGGCAGTTCTGCTCGTGGCCGCTTTTTCGGCGCCCGCCTTCTTATCCATCCGCTCGACGAAAGCTTTAAGGACAATGAAGCGGCGGTAGACACCAAATCTTTCGAAGTAGGCTTTCTCAATTTGCCGCGTGGTTTTTGAGTCTCGCTGGGCCTTGAACCAGGCTGGGGCGTGCTCTTTTTCATACTCGGTGAAGTTCTTGCGTGTTCGCACGTTTCCGTTCCGTGGCTTCTCGGGGCCGATTTGCTGCTGAGCGGGCTTGTCGAGCTTCTCATTCGTCGTTGCCATATCTCTGCTGGCGTTCAAAGCCCTGAGATCTGGTGGTGGCGGACTCATCTCGATCTTTTGTTTTTTTGGAGGTGGGTGCATGGCGCCTTGGTTTTCATTCAGGTGGTGCTTTGCTGGCTTTTCCTGTTGGGTTTGCCGAGAGCCCTGAGCATCGTCTCGGGTTTGCTTGGTTAGGGAAGGCGGTATTGGTGGACTGGAGCGTGTACCGCTGGGGAGGGGATGAACCGGCGAGCCCTTGCTATTTATGGCGGGTGTTGAACGCTTTTGTTGGCTTGAGTGCACAACAGTATCTTCATGGCCGTTTGAGGATACCTGCTCCGATTCATCGCGCACGTTGGTGTGAGGTATGTCAGAGCCGCTTGACAAACCGGAGCTTTCTGATAAACTTCGCAAACGTGTCTTGAACCCGATGTCTATCGCGGGACGCGATTCACTGCGCCTTAGGCACTGTGATCCAGGCGTCTGCGGTGTATGAGGCGTCTTTATAGGACCTCGGATACCTTCAAGCTTGATACGGCGTCTCCTCAGTGCCAGCTGAAGTCGCTTCAGTCTCTCGATGTCTGCTTTTGTTAGTATGTTTCTGGATTAACGACATTTGCGAGTAGCATTGAGAAACACGAACACTTGAAACTCCCATCCAATTCATCCAAGACATCTGCCTCGATTGCCAGAGTGATGGCAGCCTCTTTTTCCACGTCGGCGGTACTTGGCAACGGGTTGGAATCTGACGTGATAAAGCACCGGTTGACCAGGATACTCCTGTGTAACGATTCGTCGATGTTGACTGTCTTGCCCTGATAGTCACAATGGTAGGAGCCATCCGGCTGCTTCTCAAAAACGCCGTCTCTGAAAATGCCGACCCAGCTAAGCGAGGGGTCATTTTCAGTCTTGGACGTTGAAGGGCCAGATGCAGAGGGGGAGATTCCCAATGTTTCTCTCAGGCGCGACTCAAGCTTGTAACTTTCTAGCGGTTCATCTGAGAAATACTGGGTGAATGTCTCTTGCCGGCCAAGGACAGCCTGATACGACTCCGTTAGCTTGAGGCCATCATGTGGCAGAGACTTGAATTTAGGCAGCTCAGATTGGACGCCCTCCCGATACGCCCCCCAATTGATCGTGTGGTTGGGACCACTGTGCATTTTGAATCCTGTGCGTGGTGTTAGGAAAGGGGTTCAAAAAGTTGGCTAAATGCCGGTAACATACAGCAGCGTCAGTTGAAGCCTTGAAGGTTGCTTGGTTGTCTGGCGTATCTGTTCTCCACGCGTACTGAGATGTTGAGTGTACTCCGTATTATGACAGTTCGCTGACGCAGTTGATGGCGAGCAATAGCCAGCGAACGAAAGTTTTTCTAGACCTTCTTGCGGAAGGTGCGACACTCAAATGGCGGTTATCGAGGCAGGATCGGTTCTTCGAAGAGGTTGGTGAAAAATACGAGGTTACGAAACCCCGCGTAATAGAGAAGTAATTTTCGCTTTCGCTCACCTCCCTTAGGATGCCCGAAACCCACCTAAGTAAATCGCTTCGAATTATCTGGAGATGGGAGAATAGGTGATGCCTTAACGTAGCCACCGACTTGTGATAAGTTATTGGGGAAGATGGAACAAAATGATTGCGAATGACTCTTATTACCTTATGTAACAAACGCGACACAGTAACTAACTAAACCGTGCTGCGTGCAAGCGAGGCCCCACAACTTACACTAACGGACCGGGTGCCCCAGTTCCGTTACAATTAGCCGCTAATTTATTACTACATAGACCTCGATCCCTCGTGGAGACGGATATACAGAGTACGCAGTTTGGCCTTAGATATTTTGTATTCATTGCTGAGCGTTAACGAGGCAATCTGTAATAGGGGGTTTGCATGTCACGTGACTGTCGTTGGCATAAAATTTAGATGTCAATCGGTGAGAACCGGCAGAATAGCATCCTCCACCAATCAGATACCGGGAATCTATATCTACTTGGGGGTCACAAAAGAATCAACACTCAGCAATTGACGACGCCAAAGCCCCTCGTATTCAATGGACAATGGACATTCTACAGGGTTAACATTATTTCTTTGTCTGGACGGTCTATGCACAGTAGTTATGCATCATCCATTCGGGCACAGTCACCGCTGACTGCTGCTGTGATTGGCTGATGAGAAAGAACGCTAATCTCTTTTTTTAGAGCTCAAAGTTGAGCTAGAAGAAGGACAAGCGCTTATTGTCCTTGAGATAACCCTTTCAAAGCGGTACCAAATGTGATCAGAGGGTTTGACTTATAACATTATGTACAGCTAATACTTTCTCTTGCATCCACAGCATTTCTGTGTTAACGTCCATACATGTCCCTCTCTGACCACTGTCGACCATAAGTCCAATTCTCACTTTGTATCTCTCTACTTCCAATGTGTACATGGATGTACTCCGTACATGCATTCAATTTGCTCTCTATCTGCACATACTGCAACATTACAATACATACAGCAAGACAACCACCACATATGTAATTTATTTTCGAGTCACCGATTCACCGGGAGACTCGCGAGAATACCAATGAGCTAGTCACATACAAGTTATTTGGAATTGATAGCAGGCTGACTAGTCCTTTTTCAGGGCCCGATACAAGGCAGCGGCAGCAACCGCAGATTCCAATGTCCTAGACTCCTAGAGGTTAGGTCCCAACCGACACTCCCTAAGCGCGGACCCAACGATAAGAACAAAATAAAAGTGGGGCTGGCATGTAAAAAGTAAAACACATCAACACGTGATCATCAAAATCAATTGAAGGCGAAAAGCCTCAACCCATCCCCCAATCAGCCACCAAAGCGACTCCAGTGCCGCTCCCCAGGACAAAAAAGTCAAGATGTGGATCAACTGCGGCAAACTATCCGACTTCATTCAAGCGCGATACGTCGTCCGATTAACCACAGGCAAGAAAGTGGTCTTATTCCGTCTACCGACGATTGACAAAACCAGCCTAAAAGCTAACGAGACCAACGATGGCTGGTCCTACTACGCCATGGAAGCGGAATGTCCGCATGCCGGCGGCCCAATGGCAGACTCCTCAGTCGACATCGAGGACTCCGCATACGTCGTGTCTTGTCCGTGGCACGCATACGACTTCAACGTAGAGACAGGCGAGTCCAGTGTTGGGATCAAGGCCTGCACCTTCCCTGTCGATGTGCGCGGTGAATTCCTTGCATTGGATTTCCCAGCTGAGGACGGAGGCAGCGTGGGGCTTGCGAGCGTTGAGCCTGTTAGTGAGAAGGTGAAGCTGAAGAACCCGCGGCCTGCACAGGGCGCTACTACTGTCGCCGCCGGCGATAAAAAAGACAGCCCAGGCGCGGCGACGTATCTCGGCGATAAGGCGACGCTGTGTGACTGGGCGGCGCATGTGCTGAACACAGCCAACCCCGAACACAAGATCGAGCTGGCTACGCATCTTTTCTCTATTTTCACTGCGCGAGAGGCATCTGATACACCAATGCCGCTTGGCAGGGGCACTGTCGCCGCACCCGACCAACCGCCCCGCGAGAAAATGGAAACCGTTGACCCGAGCCAGATGCCGAAGGCTGGAAAGGGCGGGACGCTGAAGAGCCGGATAGCGATGCTGCATGCGCTCGCGAATATCGAGCTGTGGGCTATCGACCTGGCCATTGATATCTGCATTCGCTTCGCGGCGTTCCAGACAGAGGGCACTGGAGAGGAACTTCCGCGTGCGTTCTTCCACGACTGGTTGAAGGTTGCCAATGACGAGGCGAAGCACTTCTCGCTGCTGCGCACGCGACTCGAGGAGATGGGGTCTTTCTTCGGCGCGCTGCCTGTGCATCACAGTTTGTGGCTATCGGCGACGGAGACGGCGTACGACCTGCGTGCGCGCATCAGCATTATCGCGTTGGTCCATGAGGCACGTGGTCTGGATGTGAATCCTATGACTATTGAGAAGTTCCGCAAGGCGGGTGATGCGGAAAGTGTGCTTGCGCTGGAGGTTATTCACAATGATGAGATTACGCATGTTACGACGGGGCATCGGTGGTTGACTTGGATTTGTGCTCAGGAGGGGACCGATCCTGTTCAGGTGTTTCGATCGAACGTGCAGAAGCATTTTAAGGGTCCGATTCGGGGGCCGTTCAATGAGGAAGCGCGCTTGCAGGCTGGAATGGATAAGCGGTATTATGAGAGTGCTCCCAGTGCGGGAATTGCAGCTTCATGACTCCGGATGATGAAGGGACATTGAATGACATGAACAAGTATTTACGTTGAAACATGATGTGACGAGGTTGATCGGCGAGTCTAAGACTCTTTCGCTGCTAGTGATTTCTTATTTTGATATCCCTCATTGTGAACTAGCAGGATGTACATAGCACAAGAAACCCATTTCGTATTGATTATTCGCTAAATTAGCCATTACCTAGTAAATGCCGAAGAGACTAATTCCCGACACCGATCATTATATGCCAAAATGAGGACGAGGTCCGTCCGCGACCGTGCAGGAGTGATTCTATTAGATGTACTCGGCCTTCAGGTCGACCTCGGAGCAGCTGGAGGGGATCTTGGCGTCGTAGTAGTTGTAGAGGTAGAACAGCTGGGGCGCATTGTGGAACCAGTCACATACTAGATTGAGAGGATATGTTAGCATCAAGCCTGTTGAAGAGAATCAAAGATGCATGTTATTCCTTACCTAGCCAGCCGCCGAAGCCCATTTCCTCCGACCACACGAAGTCGTCGCCCTTGAGGGAGAATCCGTCGTTGCCTTCGCCGGCGTTGATAGTGATGGGCGCCCAAGCTAGTGAGACAGTCGAGTTAGTTGTGTTCGAAGTGCGACACGGGGATATCTTTCAAGGGGTACTCACAGGCATAGTTGGTAACGCCGGGGGCGTTCATGCCCCAGGGGAATTCGGTCTTGAGGTCGAAGAGAGTCTTTGTGCCGTTCAGGTAGGCAGGGCTGGCGGTGTTCACGTCCTCAGTGAGCACGGCGTCGTTGAGACCCGCGCCTGTGTGGTAGGCATATACATAAAGGTTGTTGTGGTCGGAGTTGGTGGCGCCGCTAGTCTTCAGGTGGAAGTGTTTGGACTCCTCGGCGTTGGCCACGGGGACGGCGATGGTCGTGGTGGCGAGTAGGAGAAGGGATGCGATGAACTTCATTTTGGAGGTGAGAGTACGGAGTAGGTGTAAAGGTGAGGTGTACGGAGTAGGTAGTGTGAAAGATTGAAGGTGGAGGCTGGAGGCTGGGAGGTTTTGTGAAGTTGAAAATTGAAATCAGACGATCGACAGGAGGGAAGCTGGGAATTTATGTAGAGAACATCATGAGATAAACGAACCATCTCATTTACTTTTCTCGGTAATTATTGTTGTCAATCCCGATATGATCTCCGGAGGTTTACGATGGAGCACAACCCGGGGAACAGAGTGAGACATCTTCTACCCCAATCAATGCACCGCCTTCGCATTGGCGATGATGTCGATGGAGTTGCTAAAAGCGGGTCCCGGCCAGTGATGCGCGGGTGTGGCGAAAATCTTACTGATTTAAGCCTTAGTGGGCACTGAGGAGGAACTACTAACGAACTAGAGTGATTGGCGTTGGAGGGGATGTGAGACATTTCTCCGGGTAATTGCGTCGATCACTTGGGATATTGTTGAGATTCTGTCAGATTCTGCTGGTCAAATCTGACGATGTCACTCGTGGCGGAGGATTGAACAGATATGGCTCAACAGACGGCATTCCTTTCCTGATCAAGACCCTTTTCTGAGACCTCAGGATGAGAAAACAGGCCAAAACAAGCATTTTACCGGATCAGATGACAAGAAATGCACATAAGCTGAGACAAAGGCGGCGGAGTGCTTTGTTTGCTGCAAGCTTTTGATGGCTTCAATGACTTCAAGTCCGTGGGGTGGTTGTGGTTGGAACACCTTGGAGGGAGTTCCACCTCTCTGCCGCATATCTCAAGTTTGTGTGGTATTCCATGGTTGCTTCTGGCAATCCCAATATTGATTACACTGAGGTCGGTAAACCCTGTCCTTCTCCCACGAGTCGATATACAAATAGTTCCACCTTGCCAGTCGATGGTGTCATGGACTTCTGGATCGGGTGGTTTCCGCACTGTAAACATTGGCCTCAGGCGACAACCCACAACTGTATGTTTCCACGTGAGGCGTCGATACTACAAACAAGCAAACATGTAGATGATATCCTCCGGATTCTTGAGCTTTCTCGAGCACTTTGATTCGTAAAGCCCGTGGCATTTTCATAGCAAATGTCTTGTATGCTACCTTGTGGCTTCGACTTCAGCAGGGGTAGACGGGATGCTGCATATACTGAATCAGGTTCACTCCGTAGTCCGTACATAAAGCCGTGCTTAGCAAACAGCCAATACGTTGCCATGGTAGAACGCTCTTCCTGGCCTTTCGGACGCCCTAATTTTTTCGGCATCTGGTGCGCCAAGGGGATCTCCACTTCTACGGGTGGGAAATGCCGAAATTGTGGGGCCCCCGCGAGTACAGTAGATCCTGAAGCTGCGGGTACTCTCATCCTTGTGTCTCAGCTGTGCGGCCAGTGCGTTGGTGGGAGCTCAGATTTCTTTCGGCTTTGACTTTCTGGTCTTTTGGCCGGGCTGTTAAGGGTGCAGGTTTCTCGAGGAGCTTCTTCAGACGTGTTTCGGAGACGCCCCATCGATGTTCATTCACTGCGGAGACGATCAATGATCTTGGCGCGGCCGATATCAGGATTTTCAGAGCGGATCTCGCGTACAACTGGGAGTCATCCTCGGTTGGGAGTGTGAGATTGCCCATGTTTTGGTTCCATGGGTAGGATTGCTGGTGGATTTTGTGAATGACGATGTTGGGGTTCTGAAGCAGATGATCTTTAGTTAACTGTTTGGGGTTTGAGTAAACACAGCACACAGCACCCCACACCCAATCAGTTATCATCGCCCACAGTGACAGTTGAGGGGCCCACCACCTTCAATCGTTCCTACCTTGGTAAGTCATATACGCAGTACTTTGACTCCTACGTTACCCTGTTGTTCCCAGGCGCTTCCCATGAAGTCCTAGACGAACATTAACAACGTTTTTCCTAGAAAGTGCAGCTGTCCTGGAATCTTGGCGTTATCTCGGCGATCCACAGCCATGGAGTACATCCACGCGAGATCCTGATGTGCAGTCACAACCATGGTCGAGTCAACCAGCCAAGAACCCCCTTCAATGTCACTGACATTATCACATAACATCATCATCTGTTACTGACCCGGGGTAATGGTCATGTATGGATTGGAGCAGCCTATTGACATTGCCTCCATCCTCGACAACAGACCCCGCCCCAGGCATCTGTGAAGGGGTAGAATCAGGGATTGGGTGGCCCTGTGCCCAGAGAAGATGATCATGGAACTGCAGCACGAATAAATCAGTCCAGACAGCATCGGAACAAACGGTCGATCAGCGCAGGTCTTGTGAGCTTCGATACGATAAGATATGGACCAATCTTTGTCCTGCAATCTTCACATGGCCTTCCAACGAGTCTTCAACAACGGAACATTCACCCGTACAGGAGAAGAGCTTTTGGGAGTAAATGTCCTGACTTCGGGAATTAACGTCGGTTGGAATGCCACCGGAGTCTACCACGTGTCCATGGAGGGAGCCGAGACAGAGTCTGTACTCGTGGAGAAAACTGTCGCTCCCTTGGCATCTTGTGCAAGGTCATCTTTTGTCCTATCATGCGCCGTTCGGTATGTAATTTGTGAACATTTATGGACAATTCGCACTCTCAACCTTGGATCTTCAACAAAGGCAGATTATGGAGATTACTCATCAATGACATTATGACAGCATTTTATCATCCATCAACCTCAGTGCCATCGCATCTCTTTCCGACACATATATCAATCGTACAATGGTGGGTGGTGGGGTCTTGTAGGGAAACCGTTTCCGGCTTACACCCCTGAATGGAGGTGTAACGATGTGCAGGTTAGACCGCGCACAATGACATCTACAAGCATAACGGTCAGTTGATGGTCATCGGATAAAAATGGGTAGGTTGAGCTCTGTGAATTGCGCAACTACCTGAAATGAAAAACGATGCATGTAACTAGATGTTCACATACCTGAGGCTTCAACGTCAACATCCCGGACCCACAGTTGAGAGCCGAAATCTCTTCGCGCCCCTGACGGTTTGTCATCAGGAGACCAAGAGCATCACTAGATGCTTACGATCCTCAAAAATTCCTTGAACACAGGGATCAGCATAATATCATACAGACGATAATCGAAAACCCCCTGGGATGCTACGGGTCGATCCGCGTACAGCATCGGGTCAATTACAGGATTGAGGATTGGCCGGAGCTCCGAGCTACATAAGCACTACCATACTAAACCAACATGGACCCCTCCACATATACCGATCCCCAGCTCACTTACCAGGATCGACTGGTAATTGATGCCATTGTTGAGCCAACTCCCAGTTCAGATGGTAATGATCCTGCATATATGCCTGTCACCCAGCGAAACTAACGATACTTACAGACCAATCAAATGACCAGCCCATTGACAAGCTGAGCGTCGAAGAAACAGTCCAGAGGCTTCACAACCTGAATGATCCCTCTCATGTGGACTTTGATCCAACAGTCTCCCAATTCTGGGATACTCCGCTGCTGCGGGCGGCGTTACCGGCGCCCATCCAGAAATACGTCCTGACCCCATACATCAACTGGGCCAAGAGCGTCGTGCGCTACAAAACAGACGTGGTCATGGTCACGCATCTTATACTGTACTTCACAACCATCGTACCAAGCGCTGCTTTCCTCTATTACCGTTTCTCCTACCTGCATGGCATCCTGCACTGGCTCATGCAACTATTCTATTGCGGCGCTTTCACCCTCATGAAACATCAGCACATCCACATGAACGGAGTGTTGGCGCCGAAATTCTGGCTCTTCGATACTCTCTTCCCCTACCTGCTGGATCCAATGCACGGACACACGTGGAACTCATACTTCTACCACCACATCAAGCATCATCATGTCGAGGGGAACGGCGGCGAAGACCTGAGCACGACGATGTACTACGACCGCGATAGCATCCCCGACTTCCTGACATACGTTGGCCGCTTTGTCTTCTTTATCTGGCTGGAACTGCCGCTGTACTTTTGGAGAAAGGGGCAGTTCAAGTATGCGGCCAAATGTGCATTTTGGGAAATCGGTAACTACGTTGCTATTTACATGCTTTACAATTATGTCAATGCCCGGGCTACGACGTTTGTGTTTATTCTCCCGCTCACTGTCATGCGCCTGGGCTTGATGGTTGGCAATTGGGGCCAGCATGCTCTTGTGGATCCAGCTGATCCTGACTCGGATTATCTGTCGAGTATTACGCTGATTGATGTTCCGGTAAGTGATGACCCTTTTTTTTCACTTCAAAGCTGGTTTTCAAAGCTGGTACTGACAATGAGAACAAAAGAGTAACCGATTCTCCTACAATGATGGGTACCACACTTCTCATCACTTGAACCCGCGTCGACACTGGAGAGATCACCCCGTCGCTTTTCTCGAGCAGAAGGATCGTTATGCGAAGGAGAATGCTCTGGTATTCCGGAACGTCGACTATATCTTCATCACCGTCAACCTACTCCGGAAGAACTACGACTACCTTGCCAAATGTTTGATACCTATCGGCGATCAGGTTAACTGGACACACGAAGAACGAGTGGAAATGCTGCGTCGTCGGACGCGTAAAATCCCCAGGCCGGCTTCAAAGAAGAGCAAGTAAATTGGTCGGCCTCTGTTCTGTTACTCCTGAATGAGTCCTGATAGACAAGGCTCTGTTGTTTCGATTGTCTTGAGTTTATAGACAAATCAGATCTCTGAAGAATTGTAATATGCATCAAAGATGATGCAGTATGGTTCTGTATGCACCTGTACCACCTAATACTGTTGAATAATCCATCAACATATTTCCCACAAGAGATTAACAAGCATCGCTTCTCTAGTCTGTCATCAAGACATGATTTGTGAGCAAGGTGACTCACCCGCAACCCCAACCTCAAGATCATGATTCATCAATAAAACCCGTAAAATCCTCCCCGGCAACATCAAACACACTCACACCCACCCACTCAAACATCGCACCACCATTCAAAATGACATTGCAATTCACCCAACCAACAGCCCTGATCCTAATAGACAACCAACAAGCCTTCACCAACCCAACAACAATCTCCCAATGGGGCACAACAAGATCCAACCCAAACTATGAACAAAACCTCCAAAACCTCCTCACCACCTTCCGGACAGCAAGATCCTCATCCCAAGTCCCACTGGAAGTAATTCACATCTTCCACACCTCCCTAGACAAACACCCCCTCTTCCACCCCTCCAATCACCCCACCAACCTCCTCCCACTAGACTTCGCGACACCCGCACCAGACGGATCCGAGCCCGTCTTCTGGAAGAATGTCAATTCCTCCTTCATCGGGACCGGGCTCGAGGCGCATTTGCGGGAAAGGGGATTCCGCCAGCTGATCTTCGCTGGGTTGACGACTGATCATTGTGTTTCGACTACTGTGCGCATGGCGGCTAATTTGCGGGTTGTGGATCGGTTCCCTGATGGACCGGTTCGGTTGAGAGCGGATGGATCGCATGAGAATGCGGGTGTGGTTGATTACGGGCGGATTGTGCTTGTTGGTGATGCTACCGCTACGTTTGGGAAGAAGGGGATTGATTCCGAGACTATTCAGAGGGTTTCGCTTGTTAGTCTTGATGGGGAGTTTGCCGATGTGTTGCCGACGGAGGAGGTTGTTGAGGCTTTGAGGAGGATTTAGGATTAGAGGTATGGGCGTGGCTGGCTGCGTTCTGTATGCAGTAAATAATGGTCACTGTTGTTATGGATGGGTGCCTTCAATATCCCTTTACCGTTTACGGAGTCGTTCTAAAGGAGAAAGGGAATGTGCACCACATGGGTGTCCACAATGTCTTCGAGTGTCTGACTACATGGATGGGTCTTAGAATGGTGGTCTCTCTCATCCCAGTACATTTGCTTATGATACACGATGCACGCTGCGTTAACAAACAGAACAGAACAGAACAGAACAAGGCAAAACAGAACTATACAAAACTGTGTGGCGGGTTGCCACTACATGTAAACATAGTCGCCGTTACCGTGGACAAGGAAAGCCCGGACTCGGGGGCGCCTCCCAGACCCAGCCTCCTCGCCTTTAGGCTCAGGTCGACTTTCAAAATGAAAACCCCCTACTTCCCTCCCCTCCTCCCGCAACCCCCGATGGGGACTTGGTCGCACGTAACCCCTTCATCCGCGTCTGCGACCGACTCCCAGTCGCTGGAGGAATCTTCGTCCTCACTGCTGGTCCATATGTCGTCAAGATCACTCCGCAGATCACTGTCACTCTCCTCATCGCTGTACTCCGCGCAGGGCAGCTCCGTCTTTCCGCTCTTGATCCACTCATCCTCCTCCTCTTCGTCGATGAGTGGGAGCGGGATGGGCTTGGTGGTGTCACCTTCCACCTCGGGCCAAGCCCATTGAAGGAGAATGTCCATCTTCTCAGCGTAATCCTCCGTGTCGAAGTTTAGTGCCTGGGTATAGGCCAGTTGGAGCCGGCAGTCGTTGTCGAGATACCCATGCAGGATGCGGACTCTGGCATCCGGGAGGAAGGAGATGACCATGGTCTAGACAGGAGTCAGTGATTGAAGCTTCTTTCATACTTGGGAACGAATGGAGGGAGAAGACGTACCGGGAAGTCATACTGCTTCTGCTCTTGGCGGTGATGGCGTCCCATAAGACGCTTGTGCTTTTTGGTAGCATCAAGCATCCACCGCAGCAGGACGACGACCTCTCCAGTTGACGGGAGGGTCTCGTGGCACAACTGGTTGCTTTTCATAACAACCAGTTGATGCGATGACTTCGCATCGACGCACCGTGCTCCACTTTGAATAGTGAAGCCGTGCCGGTCATTGCTGTTGAAGAGGGATTTACCCTCCTTCATGCTATATCCCAGAAGGTCAGTGTCTGTTTATTTACTGTACTCTTGCTACCTCTTTAAAAGGGAGGGGTGACTTACGAAACTGCATCCCACCACGCGGACTGGTGCTTGCCGCCGGGGGATTTGCGGAGATACTTCGAGAACGCCGCGTAGAGGGCATGATGCAACTTGTGGGAGTCAAGGCCTTCGTGGCTCTTCATCTCCCGTGCCCAGGTGAACGGGTCGTCTAGGCGGTCCTCGGGATTGATATTGGTATTGGCGATTTTGGAGGTGGTCTCCGTGTCTGGGAAAAAGTACGGGATGAATGATGGGTCCGTGTCGCCAGTCCAGAAGTCCATCGGGTGGAGGTCAAATTCCTCAAGTTCGTTGGTGATATACCTAGGCCCCAGATGACTGAGGCCTTGGTACATGGCATGGAGGAACTCCTCCTTCTGCTCGTAGCGCCACTTCCAGAGAGGTTTTGGCATTTTGATTTGTGAATGATGAGGTTGGTAGTTGAGGAGGGAAGAAAGAAGGGAGAAGATCCAGACAGCAGGAGCTCTCTTGTGTCTGATCTGGTCTACCTCCGACGCCCCAGAAGGGAAAAGGTCAAACCCAGGGTTCCGTGTCGGACGTCCATTTTAGGCAATGTCTGGCTGCCGGTAGTTCTATATACTGAACGGACTCAACAGACTGACAGAGTTCAGGTGCTGGCACATGAGACCATGGTAGAATGAAGTCTAATGAGACTTTGAAGCTTTCCATTAGTATCTTATTGAGATCCAACGGAAATGGAAACAATGTGCTTCGCCCAATGGAGGTGTCCGACACCTAGTAGGGTAAATGGGGCAGCGCAACACTGCGTCAGTGGAAAGAGGTACTATGTGTCGTCATATTCCATATATTCCATATATATATACGGAGTGGCACAGCTGGCATAGTGACAGAGTTTTGGGTAAAGAAAGACTGTTGTCGTGGTAGGCAAGAAGTGAGGAAAAGTAGAAGTATAGCCGAAGCTTGAAAGGGATACAAGTTATAGTTGGTTTGAAGAAGCATGTAAATATACTACGTGCATGGATGATAATAAGCCTGGGAGCAATATGGCGAGGTATCAGAGTGAGAACCCCCTGACTGTCGTTATATAGGAACTTGAGAGATGAGGAAAGTTGTTGAATGTTTGCTTGAGATACATGAATTCGCTTAAAGAAGACTGGAGATGAAGGGAATTCCCATAGTGGCGTGCATACGTACATTCTCAATCATAATCAGCCTAATTGCTCAAGATACATGTGATTCGATTAGGGCTATGCTTCCACGAGATTGGCTCTACTAAGATGCGAAGTATTGGGACAAAACTTCGATACGGTCAAGGCGGATAGTGAAAGATATCAAGTCTCTACTTCATGAACACCGAAGGAATAGATTTCCATCTACTCAGTTCTTTTCCCATCTACTCCAATGTACGAGCAGCGCACGATATTAATTACACGAGCATAAGTACTGCAAGGACCTCTAAGACAAAAGGTGAACAGAAATACAGGAGCAGCCGGCGAGGAACAACCCGGAACAGCCCATAAAAACCCCCTAGTATAAATGGCAAATAAGCCGCAGATCCCCGGCTTCAACACCAAGATAACATGACACGCGAGGTATCAAATGGAGCGACAAGTTTAGACGAGGTCGCGCTTGACGAACTCAGCAAGCAAGGTCTTGCCGAGGGAGGCAGGGCTGCGCTCGACAATGACACCGGCGTCGGTGAGGGCAGCGATCTTGGAGTCGGCACCACCCTTACCACCGCTGACGATGGCACCGGCGTGACCCATACGGCGGCCGGGGGGAGCGGAGATACCGGCAATGAAGGAGACGGCGGGCTTGTTGTGGATGTTGTTGGCCTTGAAGAACTCGGCGGCATCCTCCTCGGCGGAACCACCGATCTCACCGATCATGATGATACCGTCGGTCTCGGGGTCCTCGAGGAAGACCTTGAGGCAGTCGATGAAGTTGGTGCCGGAGAAGGGGTCACCGCCAATACCGACGACGAGGGACTGACCGAGGCCGGCCATGGTGGTCTGGTTGACGGCCTCGTAGGTCAGGGTACCGGAGCGGGAGACGATACCAACGCGACCGCGCTTGTGGATGAAACCGGGCATGATACCGATCTTGCATTGACCCTATAGACGAGTGGTATGAGTATTTGACACATTTATATTAAATGTGGCGTTGTGGGGGTGGGAACTTACGGGAGCAATGATACCGGGGCAGTTGGGACCGATCAAGCGGGTCTTGTTCTGGGTCTTGAGGATGTCGGTGATGCGGACCATGTCTACATCGATTGATCAGTTTGGGAATTCTCATATAGTTGTCAGTCAATCCATACCGTGTTGAGGAATACCCTCGGTAATGCTGTCAAAGAAGCTGTCAGAAAAAAGCTCTCCAAGGGGAAGCTCAAGCCACGTACCAAACAACGAGACCCATCTCAGCAGCGATGGCCTCCTCAATACCGGCGGCAGCGAGAGGGGGGCTAATTGCAGTCAGCATAGATTCGCTGACGATTCCCAGGAACAAGCGATATCATACGGAACAAAGATAGCGGAAGCTGTGGCACCGGTCTCCTTCACGGCCTCACTGACATTGGCGAAAACGGGACGGTCAAGGTGTGTAGTGCCGGCCTTCTTGGGGTTGGTACCGCCGACGACATTAGTGCCTGTCGAATGTAAGCTGTTGTTCGGATGCGATCGCCGCTAGACAGATATTTACCGTAGGCGATGGCCTGCTCGGCGTGGAAGCTATGTCGAGGTCGGATGTCAGCTTCATGCGCGTTTGATGACGATATATGTTTCGCAATGGCTTGCACTTACGTTCCCTGCTTTCCAGTGAAACCCTGGAAAAGAACGCGGGTGTCCTTGTTGATCTTAAGGTTGTTCAAGGTCTCGTTGTAGGCAGAGGTAGCCTGAGTCCGACGCTGGGTGGCACCGACATTGCGAAGGGCCGAGAGGGTATTACGGCGGAAGGCCTGCATAGTTGCAAGAATGTATGTAAGAGGGTGAGGTATGAAAAGAGGTAAAAAGAAATCCGCAGAGAAGGGAGTCAAGCTAAAGTTGAGGCAGGGATGCGCGCTCGGGATTTCTCGCACGGGATTAAATCTTTTACTTAAGCAGAACTCCTCGGGTTCGGGCGCAGGCACTCGGAACCACCACATTTTTCTATCTAATCAACCCCCACTACGAAACGACAACCTACAAACTACAGCATTTGTCGCCTTCGTCTTCGAAAGCAATAGTCGCCCGCGGTGGTATCCCTTCACCATGGCTACCATGACTGTGACCTCGCATATGACCTCCCAGGAAATCAAAAGGGCCGCCAAGAAGAACGCGAAGCAGGTCCCGGAGAATGAGCGGTTCATGCGGGCCTGCTCGGACATTGCAAATGCTCTGATTCAGGATTATGAGGCGCAGAGGGATTCTACGAAGCCCAAGAAGGACCTTAACCTGAATAAGCTGCGCGCCACTTTCTCGAGGAAGCACAGCCTGTCTAGCTCGCCGCCACTGACGGCCATTATCGCCGCAGTACCGGAACACTATAAGAAATACATCCTGCCAAAGTTGATCGCCAAGCCGATTCGTACGTAACGGTTACTTGCGCAGAAGTTTTGGCATGTGGCTAACCACGTCTATAGGAACCTCCTCTGGTATCGCCGTGGTGGCGGTTATGTGCAAACCTCATCGATGCCCCCATATCGCATACACCGGTAACATCTGTGTCTATTGCCCTGGTGGCCCGGACTCTGACTTCGAATACTCGACTCAATCATATACCGGATACGAGCCAACATCAATGCGAGCGATCCGCGCTCGTTACGATCCGTTTGAGCAGGCGCGAGGACGTGTGGACCAGATCAAAGCTCTCGGCCACAGCGTGGACAAGGTGGAATACATTATCATGGGTGGAACATTTATGTCTCTGCCAGAAGACTACCGAGACAGCTTCATCTCCCAACTTCACAATGCGCTGAGTGGATATCAAACGGACAACGTCGACGAGGCCGTGCTGGCAGGCGAAATGAGCAATGTAAAGTGCGTGGGTATTACCATCGAAACCAGACCAGATTACTGCCTGGACACACATCTGAGCAGCATGCTTCGATACGGGTGCACACGATTGGAGATTGGCGTACAGAGTCTGTACGAGGACGTTGCACGAGACACCAACCGCGGCCATACTGTGGCAGCGGTTGCCGAGACTTTCAAGCTCGCCAAGGATGCCGGTTTCAAGGTCGTTAGCCACATGATGCCCGATCTTCCGAACGTCGGGATGGAGCGCGACCTCTTCCAGTTCCAAGAGTACTTCGAGAACCCCAACTTCCGCACCGACGGTCTCAAGCTGTACCCCACACTCGTCATTCGAGGCACCGGTCTATACGAGCTGTGGCGTACCGGCCGTTACAAGAACTACACACCCAATGCGCTTATTGATCTTGTCGCACGCATCCTCGCCCTTGTTCCCCCTTGGACTCGTATCTACCGAGTCCAGCGCGATATCCCCATGCCTCTGGTCACCTCGGGTGTGGAGAACGGCAACTTGCGCGAACTAGCATTGGCACGTATGAAGGACTTCGGTACGACCTGCCGTGATGTCCGCACGCGAGAAGTCGGTATCAATGAAGTCAAGAACAAAATCCGTCCCTCACAAATCGAGTTGATTCGCCGTGACTACGCTGCCAATGGCGGCTGGGAGACTTTCTTGGCCTACGAGGATCCCAAGCAGGATATTCTGATTGGTTTGCTTCGTCTGCGCAAGTGCAGCGCGACCCACACATTCCGCCCTGAGTTCACTGGCCAGCAAACGAGTATCGTCCGTGAGCTCCATGTTTATGGTTCTGCCGTGCCCCTTCACGGGCGTGATGCCCGCAAGTTCCAGCACCGTGGCTTCGGAACTTTGCTGATGGAGGAGGCGGAGCGTATTGCCCGTGAGGAGCATGGCAGTCGCAAGATCAGTGTGATCTCTGGTGTCGGCGTGCGTAGCTACTATGCTCGCCTCGGGTACACCCTCGATGGTCCCTACATGTCTAAGATGCTGGACCCGTATGAGGACGAGGAGTGTTGATTCGACATGAAAAGAACATTGAAATCCGAAATCCAAAAAAATAACGTGTACAGCTGGGCTTTGGTATTCGTGTCTGCATCCACCGGCGTTGGCGGTCTCACAAAAAGCTTGCTTTCTCAATGAGGGACAAATGAATGAATGTCTATACCAAATTACAACTTTAGATGCATCCAATGACAAAAAGTAACATATCAAAGAGCTGGCAATAACCATAAGCGGTCTATGTACAAATCGCAGATCGACCGATTGTATATTCTAGCAAAGGAGACGGGGAAACCTGCCCGCCAACGCCTTTCGAGTACAGCCCGCTCCTGCTCGCCGGTACCATGAACAGATCGGGGTCGCACAGAGTCAACATGGGTAAGTCATGCTTCAGAGAACCTGAAACATTATCTCGGCCTTGACTTTACCCCCAGCTAATCGAATGTACCACCCCTGTGGCAAAGAAACCCCGAGATAGAAACCCAAATGTTGCAAATTGACAGATAATAGTGTCGTCAGGACATCGAACGAAAAAGTAAAGCGAAATGGTATCCTCAATGAAGTGATATAGCACCACCTCTGCTATCGCGCATGTGAAGGTAAGCCTGGAACCCGCAGAAAACGAAGAAGCCCTGTATATGCACTTGTCAGTAATCGATTCCCTTCTCTTTCAACGATCGGCCTGTCGGGATCTAGGGGAGGAGAGCGACGAACAGCATAGACTATCACAGCAGTGTAGATGGAAGCAGCGACTGCGGGGCCATCTTCGGGTTCGCCTTCTGATCCGGTGTATGCGTGGTTGTTGCTCTATATTTAGGAACTCGTTGTTAGCGATTGGACCCGATGTTACGTTCGTCTAGACAGGTCTTCGGATGGGTTGGTGGATAGCTGGAGGGTTGGAGGGACGTACGCTGTATAGTGAGCCGAGTACTGAGAGGATGATCATTGCGAAGACGGAGATGATGACGCTGTTTGAGACGCGAGATGTTAGAAGGGTGCGGCTTCGAGATGCATAGTCACTCGGGGTTGGTGAGCGTACCAGGACCAGGCGTTCAAGGCGGAAACGACGGGCTTCATGTTGGCGGTGGGATAATAGGTAGATAGAGAGAGGTCTAGGGTAATCGGTATAGGTTATGTGGAGGAAGGAGTCGCTTGCGATGGGCTAATTCAGAGAGTTGAGGTTGAAGACTTCCAGGTTGAGCTACGGAGGCGGGCGGACCTCCAGTTGATGCAAGGCCCTAAACCGCTTTCGGACAAGCCTGGACTCCGGCGACTCGCTCGGCTCCTTTACTGTTTGTTTTGTTGTTAATCAATGAGATCGTAAGATACACAAATATATTGAGATTTGCATGAGTTTGCTGTTTGTTTCTTTGGTTTCGATCTATCTGTTTATATTTCTTTGATTAATGCCGATGCTAGTGTGCCTTGTTCCATTCAATGCACTCATCAAACGTCACTCCCGAGCCGCCGAAGATATCTAGCGCACTGCCGATGGTCAAATCCACCTTTCCCTTGCTACTCGTGTGCACCTTTTCTAGGTCTTGTAAATGACGTGCACCTCCCGCATAGGTCACGGGAATAGTGCACCATTGAGCAAGTCTCGACACAAGTTCCTCGTCGACGCCTTGCTGCAGGCCCTCTACGTCTGCAGCGTGGATTAGGAACTCAGCGCAGTATGGCTCCAGCATTGAGATAGATTCTGCATGGGGTTAGTAACCAACAACAAAACTCCGTTAGGCACTGGCACGACATACCCTGGTTAATCTCCATCTCTGTAATGGTCTGCCAGCGGTCCATCGCAACGAACCAAGTATCGTCTTTCCTGCGACAGCTCAGATCCAATACCAGCTTTGATTTGTCACCGCCCAAGGCAGAGAGGACTGATTCGAGTCGCTGTAGCGAGAACTTGCCCCCAGGGAAGAGAAATGAAGTGATGATCACCTGTTGCCCGCATTCCACATTAGCGTCATTGGACTTCTACTATGACGGAGCACAGGAAGCCAAGGATTAACAGCCGTGAAGCTTCTTCAATCTTCGGACCAAGCAAGCGCAATGCACATTGAGAAGAGTAGGCTATCTGTAATCCGGTTGCTCACCTTGTCTGCGCCCTGGTCGATCCAATATTGCGCATTCTGATCGGTGATGCCACCAGCAACTTGCAGGCCACCCGGCCATGCCTTCACTGCCTCCAGTGCGGCCTCTTCATTCCCAGGTCCAAGTTTCACAACGTGCCCGCCGCGCAGATCGTGCTTCCGATACAATTCCGCATAGTGGCCGGCCGGCAATTTTGATACGTAGTTGGTCTTCAGATCGGTGGCCACCTGGCTGAGAGTACCGCCCACAATCTGTTTGACCTGCCCTGAGTGCAGGTCAATACAAGGCCTGAACTTGGTCATCTTCCCTGGTGAATTGGAGAACGAAATGGCGAATAGTTGACTCAGTGACGCTGTGTGGATGGATCGGTTATCGATAGAGGGGCGTCTTATCTTATCCCACGTGATAACGAGGAAGCTTGAAGAGATCATGTGAAGATAAGGAATCACGTGTCTGTCATCTACAACACTCTATCCAAAAAAACTTCTTGAGATAAGGCGCGAGCTCATAACCCCAAAATTCCGTCAATAATACACCTTCAACCATGGTTTTGAAACGGAAGAGAGAGACCACAGTTGTCTCAAAGCCCAAGGCTAAAGAAGACAGTCCTCCTCCTGTGGACAATGCGCAAGACATATTCCGCAAATTATTCGAAGCACAATTCGAGCCACTCGATTTACCAAACGCTACCGCCAAACCTACAATTCCCGACGACGACGAAAACGAGGACGACGATGGCTCTGATATCTCTGGATCGGAAGGCGATTGGGACGGGATGTCCGACATGAGCGACGAAAGTAATGAAGTCGAGGTGGTCGAACACACAGATGTTCGCGAAGCTGCGGAAGACAGAATGGACAAAAAGACCTGGAAGGCATTTAAGGTATGCGCTAGTTCCCAATTTGTTGAAGGTTTAGACACTAAGACTCGAATTCACAGAGTGGAAAATTGTTGTCCACCATAGATAAGGCGAGCACCGAGCCGGAACCTACCTCCAAGAAAGAAGAAGAGGAAGATGCGCACGATGCTGTGAACCTCAAGCACGACCTTGCGTTGCAGAGACTACTCAAGGAGTCCCACCTTCTCGAATCGGCGGATGATCTTGCGCCCACTGGAAAGAACCGGTTGAAGGCTTTGGATTTGCGCATGCAATCTCTCGGGGCCAAGACTTCACTTTACGCGCAAAATAAAATGCCCACTGCACACAGACGAGGTATTAAGGCTAAGGCCGAATCGAAGGAAGACAGGCGCCGTCAAGAGGCCAAGGAGAACGGTATCATTCTCGAGAAACCTTCCAAAATTCAAAAATCGAGCAACAGCGGGCGACGAGATCGTGGTCTTGTAGGGTCCTCTGTGGGCAAGTTCTCGGGAGGTACATTGAACCTGAACAAAGACGATATCGCGCGCGTCCAAGCTTCGGGACGTCGTATGATGGGCGGTAGAGGGAAGGGTAAATCCAGAGGCGGCCGTGGGGGTGGCCGAGGTGGCAGAGGCGGCAAGCGCTAAGAATACAGTACTTAAGAAGGAGTTCTCACGTGGTCCTGGTGTTCAAGCTACTTGGACATATACAGGGGCTCGACGTCACGCCATGTCAGCTCCTATCTCAGCCTCTCACGAGTTATGAGCACCAGCTCAATCCCAACCCGCATATGACTTCGCCAAGCCTCGTCACTCCAACACACGTCCAAACAGGCTAATGTTCGGGCATCCACTTCTCGATATCCTGCACCATTGCCCCCAGGGCCTCGTCATTGATCGGAACATGGTACGGGTTGACTCGGAATCCCTGCTCTCGCCTTTCCCTCCAGCGTGCTTCGGATTCAGATCCATAATGGCGAAGCCTTGATCTACCCCGGCGTTGATCTCTCGCTGGATTACAAGTGTGCGGATCCCAGCCACCTGGGCACTATAACCATTCGGGAGGCGAACCTTGGCTCTGCAACGTACCTTGGCCTGCATATTCAATGCGGTTACCAAGAAGGCTTCTGTAATGGAAGTCCTGCTTTGACGTTTGGCCCCAGTCGTCAGAGCTGAAGTATTGTAGGTGGAACATCTTAATGAATAAAAATAATGAAAGTCTTGTGATACACTTGCATGTAACTTTGGCAAATAATTGAAACTCCAGGTGATAACGTTCGCAGACAGTCCATCTAAATGGAAAATTCATTGCTCTGAGTATTCTGGTTGAATAAAGAGCAGAAATCCCGTACAGCACTAATCTTGTCATTGGTTGGTGAGATCAGTTTTAGCACGTTTATTGGCCTTGATCTCGCAGGCGCGGATGAGCTGATCATCTGCCTGCACCTGCCATCTTGCTGGTACCTCTGTTTTTTCCCCTCCTTTCAAGATATCTCAACCTTAATAAGAGGCATTTGTTGTGATATGGTATCACATGATTGAGGCCTTGGGGGTCAGGCATTCCTCTAGGTAGAAGACTACTAGTACAGGCATCCTGACTTCCGTAGTCAATCAACTCTCTCTTCTTCTTCTCTCAGTCTCACTAGTCAAAAGAGTATTCCACCGGACCACCACCAGGCAAGTGCACGAGGCCCTATTCATGATACCCCTAGACGGACCCGAGGTATTATCGGGCTCTTCTATTAAACCCATCATCATATGCGGCCGTCAGTCGTCACCGACTACATTGCTAACGTGTGCCAACTTCTTTTAGGTCCTGAGTGCCCAGTGAGAGGTCATTCTAATCCAACACCCAAGTTGGGGAGGTATGGCTGATTCACGCAGGCCTGATCCAGGTGGGCGGCCACCGCCGTCCAAAAAGCGCAAGAAGCAACAACAAGCGCTGGAACAACCTGAAGAGTTGATGGCACTCGACTCAGACGCACACGCCGGCAGACGTTGACCATACCGCAGTGCCAGATATTCCCGTGGTGGCCAGTCAGACAGCCTGAGGTAATACTCGTCCGTCGGGAAAGCGTGCCCACAATCATGACTCCGCCGATTCATGAGAGTGAAGGATCAGTGTCTGGATCACTGCCTCCCACTCGCGGCAATGTGATGCGCCGCCGGACTACACAGCTTCAGGTACGTTATCAAACTATTATCTCACTATTGACCAGGATCGGAGCCTCGGACTCTCCCTGCAGCCCTGGCGCCAATGATGCAGATGGTTTAGGCCTTTCCACTAATACTGATTGTTGCTTCTCTAGATCTATAGTCTGAATACACCCCGAGCCTGGGGACTGATTCTCACCAGGCCCCTTCCAGGATTCCTCCACAGCTCCAGCGAACAACGACCAGCTCCACTGTTGGGACAGCCCTTGACTCGGGAATCCCTGGCGATCTTACCATTGGAAGTTCGCAACCTGTCATTGGAACCCAGGCCTCTGAGTGCCCCATCGCAGTTTCCGGTGGAAGCCAGCCACACCTCTGCCAATACAGACCCCGTCTACAGCTATTCTCGAAGACAACCAGGCTGATTCAATATTTGGGCAAACGGAAGAGAAAGAATCGGCAGCGAGTTGCGGCGCCAAACACCGAATACCCCTAGGGTAAAATGAAGGCCGACCGCGACCGACTCAATGAGAATGTACGCTGGCACTATTTCCGATACTTCTCGTTATGTGAAGACTGCGACAGGCCTATCCGTGTTGTGTACCCCGATATCGATGCAAAATTGCATGACTACAACATTGTGTCGCAAGACATTGGCGCATGGACTCGCACATGGAAGTCTCAGGCACTCCGACGGTTCAAAGTAAGTGGTTGATGCTACTATGGATCTTTCTTCCAATCTTCTCTATTTATATATAGGCCGGGCACTAACTAGGTCTGTATATAGTTCTGAACGGAGAGAGCGATCGGGAAGAACCCAGGCCTACCGTCACCTCTTATGCTCTCGAACAGACCTGGTCGCATGGGAATAACGCCGGACCCTCAGGATCCCACATATCGACAAGAGAAGGTTCAGATGCATAAGGATCCACCCAAGAGACCAGGAAGCATCCAATGCACAGGCGAAGAGGATCGACTTGATATCAAAAGACTCCTGAACGATAGGCATGTCACCTTGCCCTGGGTTCAGTTAATGGACGCCAGCGAGGCCTTGGCTGCATCCCTCGCATTCAATACCTCTACCGAAGAGTACCTCAACGATGCCGCCCCTTCCGACGCTGAGAAGAAGGGAGCTGCTGCGGCCACCCGTCGCCCTCGTGTGAGCGAGATGCAGCCCCCGCCTTTCCCCGAAGATGACTTGGAGGCGGCGTGTGCGCTCTCCATTCACACACTGTGCACACTAGCCCGCAACACGGCGTATAGACTAGAACATGCGTGAATTTTTATATGCACAAATAACTATGAAGATAGTGATCGATGGCGTTAGGTATGGTATTTCTTATCCTGTGGTCAGAGTATCTATATTTGGTCCCACGTGGGCTGCTGGTCGGTCGATATTGTTCCGATCCAGCAATTTAGGTATAGTTCCGTTTACTTCGAAAAGTTAAAACTGGGGCTCATCCCGAGGTTCCCCAAGATCTGAACATCCATGGGTCCAGGGTCATATCAATTGCGCCCATCGGCCATCTGAGCCGAGCCCTGTCTATGAACCATGGTTCATGGTAGCATCACTCACTTTTGCGACGTCGATCACGGAAGATCACAACCAGTCAGATCGGAATTATGGCTTTAATTGAATTGGGATCCAGACCCATGTCTAAAACTCACACTCAGGTCCGAGCATTGCCCCGCTAACACTAACTCTCCCCTGTGTCTCGCATCTCCCCTTATCCTCTTCTCTACGGGCTTCTCAGCTTATCTTCGTCATGGGGGACATGACTGGTCCCCCTTGGGGCACACTGGCTGTTGAACAATACTTCATTGTATCTTGGCCCTCAACTTGTTGGCAAGCATTTCACTAACCCCCGCACAGACAAACTGGAATTATTCCTCGACCGAAACCCCCGATCAGCAGCGACGAAGACTAGTAGCTGGGTTTCTCGACCTGAACCTTATTCCGATTGAATGGGTAGAAGACTGGGAAAGTCTTCCAGATCCGCCTCGTGCGCCTACGTCGGAGGAAATCGATACTATTCTTCGACCTTACCGTGTTGATGCCCTTCGATGGCGCGCAGGTAATATGTTCCATGACCACACATCCCCTGTTTTACTGCGAACATACTACAGCACTGAAGAAGGCGAGCGAGCTGAACACGACGAATTGATGAATACTTGGGTCAACATGGACCCATTTGAAGCAGAATCCTGGTGGGCTGTCCTTGATAACGCGGAACATTTTAACTTTCGGTCGGACTGGCGGCGTATATATGAAGTTCTTCCCGAAGTCGCTGGTCCACTTTCTCCTGAGACTGAAGATAAATGGATACCGCGAGCCCATGGCCCGGAGTATTTTGATAGTATACGTCATGATTTCAAAACCCAACTTGCCGAAGCGAAAGAACGAAACCCCAAGGCATGGCGCGAGGGCCGAGATGCAATTATTGCGAGCCTTGCGATGAGATTACACAAACTTTCCGCGAGGACGTACCTAATCCTTGCAGACCAGGAAGCTTTCCAGTCTGGGAGTCTGCGGCTACTTTATTTGGATGGCTTTCGAAACATTGTTCGCGAGGGCCGTCTGGATCCCGAGATTGACGATCTATTTGGTGTTATAAGTAGATGGATGGACAGCGAATTACTCGAAAATTCTGTTGTGGGGGACAAATATCGAGTCAACGGGGAGTTGGGGAAGGAACTCTATCAATTGACGGAAGAAGATCTTGCAGACCCTAATGGGAAGAAATGATAAAGAACATGTTGCCGCACTAAAGATCGGCGTCGTCAACATCGGTAGGTAACATATTCAATGCCTAGAAACATGGTCAGCATGTGCTTGCAAGGTCTTGTCTAGCTTGCAGAACTCTATTGTGATTTGCCACAGCCTCGGGACTTACCTAGTTCGGTTTTTCTCCGTCTCGCTACCTAATCTACAGTAATAGTATTCGCAATCGTCCGATATCACGCGAGATCCATATGTCGAAGATGAGGAGCGTTCCGAAGAGCTTTGTAGGATCGTCTCGGTCTACTCCGAACTGTGCATCTATTCGGACTTCCATTCTAGGCCCAGTAGCCATCCGCTACTAGTATCCCGGTAGCTTGTCGTAGCTTGGCAATCAGATGTGCAAATTCCATGGTCAGTGCACTTTGTTATCGATGCGCCAAACAAAGCTAGGTCGGACACAGCCTCATTTCTTAGGTCGTAGCATGGTGTGATAATATTCAACAGCATACACAGCAAGTTAAAACGTGAATGCATTGTGCGTCGGACATAGTGCTATGGTAAGCATGTGAATGATGTGATTGTCCTTCTCAGAACACCAAAATCAAGATGCAAGGTCCAGACCCCTATCAGAAGTCGAGACCCAACATCAATCTGGTTGTAACACCAGGACCAATCCATCAATGGTAGTGAGGTACTAACCAACGTGCACCAACAGAGAGTCAGAGACGGTATCGGCTACCCGAGGACCGGACACTGAGGGCTATGAACTTGCCAAGAAGGTACCTGCCTCAGCCTTATACGGAGCAAGCACCCGGCCCTAAGCGAGCCGAAGGTTGATCCCGATTCCCGAGTGATAAGAAACTGTCACAAGGTAGCCCAGAGTCCCGGAGTCGGACCACGAAATTAATTCTCGAACCTCCATTGCGAAACGATGTGCAGACCAGTGATCATTGATCAATCGCCCACGATGACGAGCTCTTGGTTGCTCCACTGGGGAGTCCAGGTAGAAAAGATACGCAAGAGTGAGAAGACGAAAAGCTCGCACGATTGTGGGTCTGATCGACAGGACGAGGACAGACACTATTCGTGCACAGGACAAGCTACGATAAAGGGCCGTTCGGTTTGTCGATCATCGCTTATTTAGCGCGAACTTTGTCTCGAGGGAGTCTTGGCATGATTTCCCCTAGATGTGTCTGAACCGCGCAACCGTTTTGGTCAGGTGCATGTGTAACTTGCAAATATCGCTTATCTAGCAATGTTGGACAGTTGGATGCTTTCTGCGTGATACCCTGTATTTGCTCAACCCCCCTCTGTGGGGTCTACAAATCTACCACTGGGAGAACTCAGGAGTCAGCAGCAAGGGCCAACAGCCCCTATACTATACAGATTCACTAAGAATGCGTACGTAATTCGATGGCGCAGTTTGTCCAATAGATGCATCTGAAACCAATATTATTTCAGGGCAAATGACGAAGCTTAGCATTCACTTGATAGATTATGGCTGATCTTGGGCACGCGGAGCTAATGATGCCATGTTGGTCGGTGGTCCCTTGGACCCGGAGGAGGAAGTCTCCTGTTCTTGGGCCCGGGAAATATGTCTCGTCTATCCCGGACTTTGAAACAGTGATCGGAGGATGTCCTAACCATTTATCACGCGATTGTCTCGGGTTGTTGCAGACTTTCGGGATCTTCAGGGCCGGGGGAGATGCCGGGTAGATGAACCGAGCGACATCGCCCAAATATCAGTCATCCACGAGATATTTTTTTCTCCGACTGGATATCTGGATGATGAAAACCGAGCTTGAGAGCCGCACATGCCATGAAAATTGATTCTATTGGATAGGCGTATCTCCGGACTCCGTATGGAGTGAGAACTAGACGGAATTTCAGTAGATAGTGGGGTCTGCCCTATGAATTTAGGTATCAGTACTATTCCCTCATAGCGAGTATAGCTCGTGGGGCGCTTAGGAATGTGTGATTCTTGAATGCGTCACTAATCGAAGCTTAGTGGTATCACAATAGCAATAGAATGGATATGTGCGAGCATCATTGTCAATTGATCATTCTGCGGCCTTGTGAAATGCGTGAACTGGTGAGCCAAGTATATCAAGTGCGATAATGGCTTGTATGGTATCCAGTTCAGCGACGTCAAGCTTATCGTGTCTGTCGGATCTTTACCATTTTTCTTCAAACCCACAGTGGACCATGTTGATGCTCCGATGCCCGAAAAGGTACGGATTCGTAGCAATTTTTAGTAGACGCTATAAGGGGCATTTCTAGAATCGGGGTACAAAAGGGCCGCTCGTCCCATAATTACTTGTAATAACTTGCATCCAAGCTTGTTGGATATTCTGTTATAATCCTTCATCATGACTTTGTCCCACTTTGGCTCAACAGAGACCCTCAAAGACCCCGTGGTTTCTGAGAACTCTGTCACCTCAAGCCCTACGCTCGCGCCTTCCGTGAAGAAGGACCTTTCCTTACCATCAACACCAGCAGAGTCAATATACCTCGAATGTCAAACTCCACCGCCATCACCATACCATGTGTTCCCTCGATCTCGCAAGTTATTGATAGTTTGCATCGTCTCCTCCGCTGCCATCTTCTCCCCGCTATCTTCAAACATCTACTTCCCAGCACTTTCAGATATTGCAGATGTTGGTACACTCAAAGCCTCTTCGTAACTTCTCTTGCTAACGATCGTTCAGCAACTTGACATCTCTATATCCCTGGCTACATTGACGGTCACGATATACATGATCGTCCAGGGTGTTGCCCCGAGCTTTTGGGGCTCATTCTCCGATGTCTTGGGCCGTCGTGTTATATTCATTGGAACATTTGGCGTATACATTATCTCGAACATCGCTTTGGCTGTCTCTACCAACTATGGCGAGCTCATGGCGTTTCGAGCTCTGCAGGCTGCAGGCAGTGCAGCCACCATCTCAATTGGTATGATATACTCACTTTCCATTCCCGATTCTCATTTTAACGGTATTTAGGTGCCGGTGTTATTGGTGATATCACCACCTCAGCGGAGCGAGGCAGTCTGGTTGGAATATTTGGGGGTGGTAAGTGGCCCACTAGTCAATGCACAATCCTCCAAACTGACATGGAGCAGTCCGCATGTTGGGCCAAGGAATAGGGCCAGTCTTCGGCGGAATACTTACCCATTATCTCGGCTTCCGATCAATCTTCTGGTTCCTGGTCGTTGCCTCCTCAATCAGTTTACTCACCATCATATTCTTCCTGCCCGAAACCCTCCGCCCCATCGCCGGCAACGGGACCGTCCCCCTAAAAGGCATCCACAAGCCATGGATCTACTCCATCCGCGGACAGAAAGACGCAAAACAAGACTCCACACCAACCGAGAAGAAGACCAAAGTCACACCAAAAACCGTGCTAGCACCCCTCACTTTCCTCGCCGAAAAAGACGTATTCATCACCCTCCTCTTCGGCAGCATCGTCTACACAGTCTGGTCAATGGTATCTTCTTCCACATCCGCTCTCTTCGAAGAAAAGTACGGCCTGAACTCCATGGAAGTCGGCCTGACCTTCCTCGGGAATGGCTTTGGCTGCATGTCCGGCTCCTACACAATCGGCTACCTCATGGACTTCAACCACAAGCGGACAGAACGTGAATATTGCCAGCAACATAATCTCCCCATCGACACACGCATCAACTCAAAAACCCATCCGGACTTTCCAATTGAGTATGCGCGCATGCGCAATACTTGGTGGATCACTGCTATCTTCGTTGTTTGTGTCGCTGTCTATGGAGTCTCGCTCCGGACGCACCTGGCAGTTCCGATTATTCTGCAATTCATCATTGCCTATGGCTCCACTGCTATTTTTACTATCAACAGCGCGCTGGTTATCGATCTGTACCCCGGTGCCAGTGCTAGCGCAACGGCTGTGAACAACCTGATGAGGTGCTTGATTGGCGCTGCTGGCGTTGCCGCCGTTCAGCCTATGATTGATGCTCTTACTGCTCAGTTTGCATTTGCTTTGCTTGCTGGCATTACCGTTGCCATGATTCCTCTTCTTATGGTTGAGATGAAGTGGGGATATAAGTGGCGTCTTGAGCGGTATGAGCGTTTACAAAAGGGCAGATCGGGTTGAAGTCGGAAATCAATAGAGGATGAATAGAATTAGAATGGCGTAAGTGCCTATAACGACTTGACGATTTGTTGGTTATAGCAAAGCGGTGCATACCTAGAACTAGTTGATGACTAGAAAGGTACCTTATAAATACCCGCGCCTCCTCATCTTCTCTCTCTTTTTCTTTCCTTCTAGAGGCTTCTACACATCTCTTCCTTTCTCCTTAATCTCAGACTCTATCTCCGGCATCACTCCATTTCAGGCATCACCCACCCCCTCTCAGGCATCTCTCACCCCATCTCAGGCATCTCGCACCCCATCTCAGGCATCTCGCACCCCATCTCAGGCACCACGCGGCCCAGCAGTGTCGCCGCAAGCATACTGCGCGCACGAGATTGTGATTACCGCTAATAGTGTGACTAGTGCTCCGCTCACGCTACCGTTTGCTGCAGTGTATGATAGATCACCAGCACAAGGGGAGAGAGACTTTGTCTTTTGGGCGCAAGATTTTCTACCAGTCATAAGCGAACTGTTTTGATATCGCGGAGGCATATTTCGTGAGAAGCTGCGGGAGGAGAAGTCAACTCCACATACTTATCAACCCCGTTCTGGTGTACGTTTGTGACAAGCTGGGGAAGACAATTCCATATACTTAGTACTGTTCTGGTTTGCTTTTTGGGACAAGCTAGGGGAGGAGAACCCGTTATACGTATCACATTCTTCGGTTCTTCATACGGATGCTCTATTCCAGGATTGCCAGGGTGGTTTCGTCTGTGGATGCCTTCTTTCCCTTCATGTCCCTTTCTTTCGGTGCCTCTACTCTCAGGAGATCTGTGCCTACATACCAAACCTTAGGTAGCTCAACCGATTTAAAATTTATGCTATTTGCTATTACATTATATTGGCTTCAAACCACGCAATTCCGCTTTAATAGCTGCATATCTTGATTTCCAGGGTTGTCACTAAGTAGAACCATTTGTCGTTTCGTCCACGATCATGTCACTTCATCGACCCAAACCTACACTCCAACTTTGACATAATCGCTGCGTCGTTGAATAGTTAGACCTATAGTAAAATTCACAATGAACATTACGCGGGGAAAGGCAGACACCAGATCAGACGTGGCACGTGTCGCATTGGGATTATTGGGGCAATTCGTAGGGGGGCACTGACGCAGTGTTGCGCTGCCCCTTTTACCCTACTAGGTGTCGGACACCTCCATTGGGCGAAGCACATTGTTCCCATTTCCGTTGGATCTCAATAAGATACTAATGTAAAGCTTCAAAGTCTCATTAGACTTCATTCTACCATGGTCTCTTGTGCCAGCACTTGAACTCTGTCAGTCTGTTGAGTCCGTTCAGTATATAGAACTACCGGCAGCCATACATTGCCTAAAATGGACGTCCGACGCGGAACCCTGGGTTTGACCTTTTCCCTACTGGGGCGTCGGAGGTAGACCAGATCAGACATAAGAGATCTCCTGCTGTCTGAGTCTTCTCCCTTCTTTCTTCCTTCTCCAACTATCAACCTCATCATTCACAAATAACAATGCCAAAACCCCTCTGGAAGTGGCGCTACGAGCAGAAGGAGGAGTTTCTCCATGCCATGTACCAAGGCCTCAGTCATCTGGGGCCTAGGTATATCACCAACGAACTTGAGGAATTTGACCTCCACCCGATGGACTTCTGGACTGGCGACACGGACCCATCATTCATCCCGTACTTTTTTCCAGACACGGAGACCACCTCCAAAATCGCCAATACCAATATCAATCCCGAGGACCGCCTAGACGACCCGTTCACCTGGGCACGGGAGATGAAGAGCCACGAAGGCCTTGACTCCCACAAGTTGCATCATGCCCTCTACGCGGCGTTCTCGAAGTATCTCCGCAAATCCCCCGGCGGCAAGCACCAGTCCGCGTGGTGGGATGCAGTTTCGTAAGTCACCCCTCCCTTTTAAAGAGGTAGCAAGAGTACAGTAAATAAACAGACACTGACCTTCTGGGATATAGCATGAAGGAGGGTAAATCCCTCTTCAACAGCAATGACCGGCACGGCTTCACTATTCAAAGTGGAGCACGGTGCGTCGATGCGAAGTCATCGCATCAACTGGTTGTTATGAAAAGCAACCAGTTGTGCCACGAGACCCTCCCGTCAACTGGAGAGGTCGTCGTCCTGCTGCGGTGGATGCTTGATGCTACCAAAAAGCACAAGCGTCTTATGGGACGCCATCACCGCCAAGAGCAGAAGCAGTATGACTTCCCGGTACGTCTTCTCCCTCCATTCGTTCCCAAGTATGAAAGAAGCTTCAATCACTGACTCCTGTCTAGACCATGGTCATCTCCTTCCTCCCAGATGCCAGAGTCCGCATCCTGCATGCAGCATGGGTATGTCGACAACGACTGCCGGCTCCAACTGGCCTATACCCAGGCACTGGACTTTGACACGGAGGATTACGCCGAGAAGATGGACATTCTCCTTCAATGGGCTTGGCCCGAGGTGGAAGGTGACACCACCAAGCCCATCCGCTTCGACTCGTAAGCCAACTGCGTATGCTTTGACCTCGGTGCGCGACCCATTTGAATAATCCTTGTAAGTTGTGGGTCTTTGCAAAATACATGTATGAGCCGACGTGTATTAGTGACGTGGAGAGATACGTGGATACGAGGTTTCGAACCCGCTGAGCGAGCGAAGTGTGAATATCAATTCGATGCCTTGGTGCCTGAGACATCTTTAGGATAGAACCCCGCTAGTTTACTCTCTCTCTCTTTCTTTCTCCTCTTGGTCCACTCGAATACATACAGATCTTAAATCGGTTCTGCCGGGTATGGTCTTCGCGTGTTTGACGCGAGAGGACCAAAACCCTTTGGAGTTATTGTTTGCATTGCTTTACCTCGCCCACTATCTACATGCACGGGGAGTACCAAAACCATGGTCAACCTTCAGGACCTCCCACTTGAGCTCCTGCAGGGCATTCTGTCTTTCCTCGCCAACAACGATGACAATGCCATAGACAAGATTGACGATCTATACAATATCTGCCTAGTCTCGCGGAAATTCCGTGAGTTCGCTCAACCTCTTCTCTTCCGCAACTTTACGGATGATGTGAAGACCGGTCACAACAAAACCATCCGTTTCACCAAGGCAATCTATGAACGTCCTGACCTTGGAGAGCATGTGCGACCACATCGTCATCAAGCCTCTCCCACGCAAATGTGAACCATTTTTTCATTTTTTTTTTCAGATACACATAAAGTTCTACAAAGGCATCATCAAGGACCTTCAATTAGGCGATGTGGAGAAAGAGTGGATTTTGAGCATGGAAAACAACGTACTTGGCGTCCTCATAGCTTCGTTGGTCGCCAAAACGCCCAATCTTCGTCACCTGCAGATGCCGCGGGCAGACAGCCACTCCTACGCGGGGGCATTCCCATTTTTTTTAAGTCGACATCCGTCATTTTTGTCCAACCTCACGTCCTTATCCATTGAGCACGACGGCGCGGACACCGCGGTAAATCTACCATATTACCATCAGTTTCTGTCCCTTCCCAAGCTCAAATCAGTGGTCATTCAGGGCAGTATGTTGTCCGATAAGTCATTCCCGTCTAGCTGGACGCCTGGAACATTGTCGGCGGACGAATTTTCCTTCCAAGAATGCCATTTTGTGCCAGGGGCCCTCAGAAAATTTATGCGGGCGTGCATGTGCTTGAAATCCTTCACGTACATCAAATTCGACGTGGATCCAAACCAGCGAATGTTCAACCACCTATCCCAAGACCACCCTGAATTCAACGCTGCGCAAGCCACCGAAGAGGCTCTTCAGCACAAGGATACCCTCGAGGTCTTCTCCGTCGAGACAGCCACTCATAAACGATGCTCGTACGTGGACGTCGAGGATACCCGCGTCAAGTATGGCTCGTTTGCCGATTTCTCCGTGCTCAAGACACTTGTCGTCTCTCATGCCTATCTTCCAGCACATCCTCAATTGCCGGCAACGCTAGAGAAACTACACATCTCCAACTGTGATTCTTCCATCTGGGAGATGGCCCGGAACATCTCGACAGACTGCAAAAAGGGACTGTATCCGCAGTTGACCGAGGTGAAAGTGTCCACACTGGATTTCATTGTGCCGCTTAAACTTCCGGGGCGACAAATCCCAGAGGACCAATCCCCACAGCAATGTTTGCTGTCTCTCCAGGATATGTTCAAGGGAACAAATGTGAAGTTCGATATCTGGTCATACAGATTGCCACCACCCTGGGAAGAAGACGAAGAAGACGAAGAAGACGAAGAAGACGAAGAAGACGAATATTAATAAGACGAAGAAGACGAGTACGAGTACTTCGACTTTTATTCTTACAATGATGATTATTTCCCGCTGTATCCATAGACACACCTACCTTTACCGACAGGCCTGCTGAATAGTCTTATGCGATATCCTCAGATTCGGAATTTTCACGCGCACCCGGAAGATGAAGTGTATTAGTTGCAAGGAGCATTGGTGATGACTTGTAGTTCAGTTGTTTCAGACTATGATATCCCCAGATAAAGAGTTACTATGTTTTCTCACTTACCGTCTTTCTATAGGCACTTCACGAAAATTCAAAGCATGGATACCAACAGCAATCCTTAGACACATAGATTAATATTGTCGTGCCCAGAGAACCCTTAAAGCAACCTCCAGATATATGGGTATAAGTAAGAACTTTCTCCATTGTTTTCCATCTGTATCGTATTCACTTGATTCCTTGAATATCCTGTTGATAGAGCAATGTTCATATGGCCGCTATCATAGACCCCCTCACACCCGAACCGGAACATCACCTCAACTTGCATCATAGAGCTTTCTCTTCTCACCGCAACCGTATTGTATCGCCGATAGTGTCTTGGATAAACAAATCCAAGGCCTTTCATCACAATGGAACCAGCCCGGAGCCTCTACAAGAACGAGGTCGATTTTGCAGCCCTGGCTCTGCAATCCCGCGACTTCGCCAAGCAGTACGTCAACGGAAGGGCATGCTCTGGAAAGACCCGCACTGACTGACCGCAGCTTGAAGCCCAATGGCCAGCTCGACTTTAACGATCCAGCTGCCATACGGTAAGGCCCCAACTTTAAGCATTGAAAGTGGATCTGACATCTGCGCAGACAGCTCACTACTACCCTCCTGGAACAAGACTTCGGTCTGAAAGTTGAGATCCCCGATGATCGACTGTGTCCACCGGTATGTCTATCATGTAGCTAGCATAAGTAACGTATCTTGACATTACTCCTAGGTACCAAACAGGTATGTCGTCCCGTCTGGCCCAACTTTAGCCTTGTATGAATCTGACCAGTACAGACTCAACTACATCCTATGGCTCCAGGACCTAATTGACTCCACCGCGGGAGGGCTACATGAGGGGTATGACAAAGGCCGGGAGGTCGTCGGCCTTGACATGTATGTGAAAAAGCAGTCTCTCGTCCATCTTGCAGTCATTGGGTATTCTAACAGAGTGGCAGTGGAACAGGATGCATCGGCATATATCCCCTGCTGGGTTGCGCGACTCGGGAACAGTGGAAGTTCGTAGCAACAGGTATACCTTCATTTTGAATGATTCCTCGGCAATTTACTGATCAGCCCGACAGATGTCGATGAGAACAATATCCGCACTGCCCAGCATAACGTGGCTCTAAATAACCTCGACTCACGGATTCAACTCGTGAAGTCCGCTCCAGCCGGACCGCTCTTCCCGTTGGATCAGATAGGTCAAGAAACGTGAGTGTTTGAGATCCAACCTAACTAGACTCGTTATCTGACTATACTCCAGTCTGGATTTTACTATGTGCAACCCGCCTTTCTATACCTCGCGCGATGAGCTGGTCAGGTCCGCGGAGGAGAAAAAGCGCGTTCCCTTCTCGGTAAGTGATACGAGCTCTTCACTTTCTCTGAAAAATCATAATATATTGAACCACCAGCACTGTACTAACCATTGGAAAAGGCCTGCACCGGGGCCGAAGTCGAGATGGTCACGGATGGTGGAGAAGTTGCCTTTGTGAAAAGAATGGTCGACGAGAGCCTCCAGTCACGTACCCGGATTCAATGGTACACATCCATGTTCGGGAAACTGAGCAGTGTCTCTGTGATTCTAGAAAAGCTGATCAAGCACGACAACCACAATTTTGCCGTCACCGAGTTCGACCAAGGTGGCAAGACGAAACGCTGGGCCGTGGCGTGGTCGTGGGGAGACCGGAGGCCTGCCATGGTATGTCCTTTACTTTCTATCACCACATCTACATTTCCCATATTCCCATATTCCCATATTCTTACCAATAATCCTAGAGCGTGGCGAGAGGAAACCCCGGCTGTCCGAAACATCTTCTTCCTTTCCCTTCAGAGTACTCGTTCACCCTGCCACCGGGCACGTCTATCGACACAGCCACTGCAATGATCAAATCAGAGCTCGGCTCTTTGTCTTGGTTCTGGGCTTGGGATCAAGCTCATTCTTCCGGAACGGGCTTCGCTGCGGAGAATGTGTGGTCCAGACATGCACGTCGGAAGATGAAAGCTATCGGACAGGAAGGTATGGCTGTCTTGGAGATTCCGACAGATGTGGCGATGGGGGTACGTGTGCAAGTACGACTGGTTCGGGGAGAGAAGGCAGAGGATAAGGTGGTCAAGGTTTTAGTCCGCTGGATCCAGGGGATAGACACTGTCCTTTTCGAAAGCTTCTGTGGGATGGTGAAGAGAAAGCTGGAGTCGAAGTGATCCCAAAAAAAGAATAATAAGTGTCTTCCATGAAACACCTCTAGCAGCAAATCGAGTATAATGTTGAACGTGGTATATGACTTTTGTAGCCATGATCAAGCTGATCTCTATAATTCGCATCAAGTTTTGTATGTACTAATTGCCCGTAACTTCAGACTGCAGCTCCTTCAAACGATCCCACCCTTCCGTCCCATCCCAGAATTCCTTCCCCTTCCCCATAATGCCCCTCACAGCACTTCTAGCCTTAAACCGCCAATCCTTAGCAACAAGCTCCGCCTCCTGATCATCCCCAACCTTCTGATCCTCGCGATCCATAGGCCCAAACTTAGCATACCCATCCCTCACCAGCTTCTCCGTAGCCCTCACAATCTCAAGCCAAGGCTTCTCATCACCCATCTGAAAAGCACCCTGCGCATTAGCCGCAATAGTAGCCCGCCACGCCTTCTCATGAGCCTCAAAGGCCTTGTAAGGCCTTCCACGGAAAACCTCAACCCGCGCAACAATCTGCCACAGTATAGCAGAGTGCGTAATCAGCGGCACGACGTGCTGATCGATCAGCGAAATGATCTGGCCAGGGATTGTGCCGGTGCGAACAATCGGCGCCTCGGCTGGATCATCACTGCGAATAAGCAGATCCTCGTACTCGAACGCGACATTCAGGAAGTCAACCAGAGCTCCAAGAATGCGGACATCGATGCACTTCTCGCCCTGCTTCGTGCCAAGCAGTTCGATGATGCGTCTCTGCGCGGTGATTACCTCGCGGAATGGTGTTGCGGGCGGTGGGATTGACGCCGCGACTGTCAGCACGTTTTCCCAGATTCGGGCGTCGGTGCCCTTGAGCTGTGCTGCGCGCTGCAGGGCGGAGAGAGCCTCGCGCTTGCGCTTGTGAGGATCGACTTCGACAGCGGTGACTTCGCCGGTGGTCTCGTCGATGACTTCCGGGGCGGCTTCTGGCTCTGGGGCGCGCAGCATAGCCGCGGCGAGGTTACTCCAGGCTTGGCCGTCGGTGTCGTCGAGTTGCACGGTGCGGGTGAAGGTGTCAGTTGCTTCTTGCCATTTCTGGAGCTCGAGCTGGACGCAGCCGAGGGCGAACCAGGCGCCGTGGTTGAGGCGGTTGATGTGCAGACTCTTTTTGTAGGCTTCTTCGGCCTTTTCCAGTTCTGGTGGTGTGGAGGTGAGATAGTGGCGTGCTAGGGAGCGTTGGGCGCGGGCGTATCGCTCGCCGGAGACGGCCCAGGCGCGCTCGTACATTTTCTCGTCTTTGTCGATGTCTCCCATGATGCAGAGCAGACGCGGTGCATCGGCTGGTAGGGGTGAGCGCTCCGGTCCGTCGAATTGCTCGTTTTCGTCGTTTTCGTCCGGGCCGGTGGCTTGGTAAAGCTGGCGGCGGATCATGTGCTTGGCTTTGCTTTCGCGCTCGGTGGCGGCGTAGCATAGTGCGGCTTCGGCCCACATGTGTAGTCTTTCGTAGATTTCGAGTGCGGTGCGGAGACCACCCAGATCGACCCAGCGCTTGGCGAGCTCGGCCTCAAGGCTCCACCGCGTCGAGAAGTTAAGGATCCAGATATGTTCCAGACGCTCGGCGGCCGGGGCAGATTCGGTCTGCTCAGGGCGCGGCAAGAAGGTTGTTGGGCCTCCTGATTCGGTTTGAGCTGCGTCGTCGCTAGTTGCGGTGTCTGCAATAACTTGATCGACCAAAGCCTGCATCTGCAGCACGGCTCTTTCGACGGTACGGGAACGGTAGCCTTCTACTCGACTGCGGACTAGAAGTGCTTGGGTATAGATTTGCCAGTTCGAGCTGCCGCCATCAAGGACTCGAGTTGCGTAAGGGTTTGTTTCTTCGCGGGTGAGACCGTTCTCCGGCGAGGTGTTCGTGATGGCAGACGCCAATGCGAGAAGAAGTGCAGAGTCAACAGGGTGGAGAATGGGCTGATTATTCGCATCAATGGACTCTAGAGCCGGTGAGACTTTGTCCTGGATTGCCAAAGCTTGTTCATCGGGCTTCGCATCAGAGAAAGAGATGGCCTCGAGAAGGGTGTCGTCGTTCAAGTCCAAGTTCTTAGGGCCGGAGGGCTCCGAAGATTGTGTCGTTCCATCATCAGCACTTTTAGCCAACACGACCAGCTGACTGATATCACGGTCCTGGAACTTTGTCCGCTTGCCCAGCCTTCCAGTCAGCGCAAACTCGAACTTCCGCACCTTGGCCGCTTGATCAATATCTTCCCGTGCCTTGACATCGAACCCGTGGTGTGTGTGGATACTGGCCCTTTCCAGCAGGAACCGACCCTTTTCGTCTGAGTCCAACTCAGCCTTGCTCAGAACCTCGACGTCCTTGTAGATCACATCCTGGAGAGTACTCGTGACTTCCGACAACATCTTTTGGTGGAGGAAGTTGGTGCGCATGCGCACAGTCTTTGCGACAAGCGGTCCATCACTGCTGGCATCAACCAACAGAGCCTTGGCGACAGCGAATAATTCGGGGTTGGGCGTGAGCTTGTACGCAGCTTCTCCGTCAACGGTCAGGTCGCGAATAATCTTTGCCCGCACGGTTTTGAGGGTCGTGCGTTCGCTTTGCAGGGTGGACGGAAGGATAATTTGGGCGGAGTTGAACTCGAGGGGAGGTCCGGTGACGTTGGACTGCAGGAAGCTGAAGAGGGCTGCCAGGCCGATGTGTAGGAGTTGCGATTGTTTTTGTTCGGTGGTCAGATCGTCGCTAGTCTGAAGGGCGGCGCGGGCTTGGTTCACAACAAATGTGGTGTATGAAGTCTCGCCGCTTGCGACTTGTGCGAGACACTCATTGGAGGCATTGTGGCCTAGCACCTGGTGAGAGAGGGGCAGGTTGAGGATCGGAACGATGTTGGCGGTCGTCAACCGGATTGGGTCGAGACGGTCTTTCAGAGGAGACGCAGCATCGAAAATGCTGTCCAGATTGGACGGATACGCAGGTGATTCGGCCATGTCAAATGTCAACCCCTGCAGTCTCCTTGAAGTCGAGAAGTGGGAGCCCCGCGATCTTTCGATTTTTCTGGTTATCGATAGTGTGTGGATAACAGAAGTGCGTGGACTTAATGAAAACATACTATAATTTCAGGAACGAGAATTATTGCCACATTTTACGGTTGCTTATCGATTCACGCACAAGTCACAACTACACTAGACTCTGTACGCCGCGCTACGCGCGACTGGGCATTACACCTTCTACATGGATATCTGCGGTAATTCTAAAGCAATACTGCCTTCGTTAGGCGCAAGTATAACAGTCTTCTTCTTTTTAGGCTTAGAAACAGTAACAGCCGGCGCCGGAAACCCATCTAGGTGCTTGGTATTATCCATCAACCTGAAAGGGTTAGTCTCCAGACCATCAACATGTGTTCCATCTACAGCAGAGAAATCGGAGTCCTCCACCGAGATAAGATCGTCATCGGAATAATGCTCATCGGTCGATGCAACACAGAGAACAATCTTCTTTTGTGATCGAAAGTATGCGCAGAGAGTTTGATATACGAATGTCTTTCCCGAACCCCCTGGCCCTTGGATAAAGAATTGTCTTTGGGTGTCAGGCCGGTCCGATTCCACTGCTCGGACGATAGTCCAAAACACATTACTCTGGTCAGGATTGAGCTGCGACCTATTATTGGCCAGAATCGTTCGCTGTTGACGTTCTGAGTAAGACATCTCTTGTAAAATCAACGGATTCGAAATTGGTTCGTCCCAATGATGTTGCACATCTGGAAGCTTCGCAGCTTCTCTCCAGCGGCCAGCTATTAACAATTCCTGTTTGACCAAGTGTCTTCCGTAGTCAAGATGTGCATCGGCTAGATTCGGCGGGTTCGTGATGCCCTTTCTTCGCATTTCACGTGGTAAGTCATCACATATCCACGACTCAAACGAATTCCAGATCGACTCGGGGTCAGGCATCGAATTCATGATGATTGCGGACACGAACATTCGTCTAAGCCACCACCCAGATCGCCAATGTCTAGCCTCTTCGAAGCACTCGTACCAATCATGATCGTTTGAAGCTAAGCCGCGAACAACGCATGCTTCGTAAAATGTATCGAGAAGGACACCTTCAACTGTGCGTAGGTCTTCGAAACTGGTTGGCCCGCGAACAACCGCTAGGAGCTTCGCAATATAATATTGCTCTCCATTCATGGGAGTGAGTAATTCAGTGCGGCCGACCTGAATGCCACGGTGTCGAATTTCCCAAACACATTGACCGAGGACCCATCTGCATTTCTTTGGCATTTCAATGTAGAGGTAATTCAGGCCAGGATGACTTTCGTTGAAACGGAAGAACTCTCGAAGTTGTGACCGGTGATTAAGGTAATCTGGACCGTGTACAACTAACGGTAGGACCGAGGGGAACATGTCGTGAATCGGGAATGACATTAGTCGCCAAAACGCTTCGTATGAGCCGATATATCTTCCATGGACATAATCGGTTATCTCGTTAACCTGGACGGGCTGAGTATCAGATGAGGTGTGTTCCAGGGTTGCGCTAGCGAGATCAGGCCCTAATATTGAAGAACGTCAGTAATAATATAGTTATAGTATAGATCATAACACCTACCCTTGAAAATATACTTGTGTATATAACGAATAGTCTTCATGGACGACACAATCTCCACATTGATGTGGGCCTTGAACTTCCAAGTGAGATAGGGGTTATATGGAACCACCCATTCATTTCGAACTTCAACCATCTCCTGAGGATCCAACTTGCTTCGAACGAAGAGTCCAGTCGGCACGTTCCTGCGTCGGTAGATGGGGTAGCTGTCATCGGACACTATGGTTTGTGCACTGTAAGGTTGAGGGAAATCAGCTTTGCACGATAGTAGACCATTTTGGTGACTACTCTGACTCGAAAGCCGTCTGATACGGTTAGTAGGTATTGGGAGCCGGCGACGACATGCAAAACAGTAACACCCGAGGAAAGCGATCCGAACGGGGTATTCGCCGGCAATAATCGCATTGAGGTCCGATTCGGTTGAGAGGGTGAGGCGGAATTGGGACGCCGCAATGACGACAGAAAGAGCAGAGAAAAGTCGAAGGCATAATCAAAGATTATTCAAAAGAGAACCTTACGAATAGAGAAGAATGAGGAATTCAGGTAAGTACAGGAGAGGAAAGCCTGTGCATGAGCCGAAATAGCCAGGGTAGGGGTACCGCCATGCAAGAAGCGATAACAGCAGCCGGAAGCCTATTACCATCCCGATAGCCGGAATAGCTGATAATCAAAGACACTGGAGTCTGGCGGAGACGGCGGCAAGCCTAGGAAGCAGGCCGCACCACGTGAGGGGCAAAAAGCGGGCAAATGATTGGACGTTGCACCAAAAATTACAACCCTACCAAGTGAGGGTCAAAAGCTGGCGAAATGATTGGTCAGAAAGAACAGCCAACCAATGAACGAGCAAGATTTTGTCGTGATGCCCAAGTAACAGATTCTTAGATTCTTAGATCTTAGATGTAGAAGCTAGATAGATTGATAGAATTCAGCATGTAGAAGCTAGAGTACTGACAATAAACGAGAAGCCCGCCTTTCCGTAGCTACAGATACTCTCCTTGGTCAGAACCCCTATCGCTCGCCGTAACCTTGGAAATTAGGGCCTCTTGAATGATCACCATTGGAATCCTTAGGTAACCTAGGTCTCATTTCCTATCAAGCTAACCTAAACTCAATGAGATGCCTTCGAGTGATCCTTCAGAATGCGATTGAGACCATCTCTCTGCACACACTTCTCAAAGTGGAAACTCCTAGCCAACTCCTCCAAATCCTCCACACTGCTTCCTCGGAACAGCTCAGCAAACTCATCCACGAAAGATCCCGCAAGGAAAGTATAGAATACACCACGCATGACATGCAACTCTGTATTCCACGAGGTGGGATAAGTCTGCTTCGCAGTCGGACTAACACGATCAATCCAATCAAGCAACGGCCTCAAAGCAGCCTCCGGCTCCGGTGCAGGTCGACGACCCCATTTGTCCAACCAGAACGCTCTCTTCTTCTCGAGGAATGGCTGGATCGTCTTGTTCCATCTGCTCTCGGGGTCTGTGTAGATCATGCCCTGCAGACCAATGTCCTTGTATAGCCAGATCGACCAACTGATGTTATACTTGTCGTAGATGCGCAATTGTTCGCCGAGAAGGTTGTACCGCTCCTGATTGATTGTCTCGGCATCGGCGTCGAGGGCTTTATCCGCGTAGACGGGCCCGAACTCCCCGTTCCAGACCGGGGTTTTCTTCTCGGTCATGAACTGCGCTTTGCGCAGGTAGGTGCGTTCAAGGCTCTCTTTCTGCTCGTCTGTGGCCTTGTAGCGTTGCCCGGTAGGGAAGCCCATTGACTAGAGAAGGATGTTAGAAGAATGCTACCCATACCCTTATGATTCTCAGAAGCAATGAGAGGAACACGAACCGAGTAGTCATGCATGGCATACACGCAATTCGGCAACACTTCATCAAACCCCTTCCATTCCATCGCAAACGTATTGCCATCCAACCAGAGAATGTGATGAGGATCAATCTTGCGAATCGCCTTCTCGACACGAGCATAGAAAGCAGGCAGCCGGACATGCTCGGGATCGCAAGGCTCATTGAGCGGGTTGTACCCGGCAACCCAAGGGTTATCCTTATACCTTGCGGCAATCTGCTCCCAGAGCCAGACCGTGCGGTCTTGGTGGTCCTTGTAATCCCAGAACGCGGCATAAGCGGAGGGATTGTCCGCGTGCCAGTCTGGGTTCTGCCCACCAGGGACGGTGTGCATGTCCAGAATGGTGTAGATGCCATGTGCTGCGCACTATACAGTCGTTGTTATTAGTTCGGGGTTCTGGTAGCACCAATTCGCTTGGAACATGGGTAGAAAGCACATACCAGATCAACGACTCGATCCAGGTGTTTGAACCCGGACTCCTTCAAGACTCGGGGATTCATATCATCCTCGAAGTGGCGGTAGTTGAATGGTAGACGGAGACAGTTCAGCCCTAGCTCGGAGAAGAACTTGGCATCCGCGTCGGTGAAGAAATACTCAAGCCATTTGTCGAAGAAGTATTCGTACTTTTCTTGTCCTAGGACTCGACGCATGGCGGCGCGGTGCTGAGCTTCGTGGCCTGGGAAGCCGGTGATGAAGTTCTCCATACTTCATGGTATCCATTAGCTAAAGACAACAGCACAAGTTGATCGTGTGCATACTTCATCCATCCTCCAATGGCAGCTCCTCTCAGCACAAGTCCCTCTCCATTGCCGTCGACGACGGTATCGCCCTTCACTTGCAAGTAACCGGTAGCCATATTGTAAATACAAATATAGCAATTGTCAAAGATGCAAGGAAATTTGACAGGGGGGTGTGAGAGAGGACTATAAGTACTCCATCCCAAGAACTACGTACTCCACCCCCACGCCGGGCTATTTATCCAGCACTACAAGGATGCAAGCAGAACGCGGGGTATTTAGTAAATGCCCAGGATGCCCAGCCTGACAATGAACAACAAGGGGCTCCTCCAAGCCACCAAGTCTCGGCGTTCTCACCATCTAGACCGGTTAAGTTCGCATTTAGCCTGTACGACACAGCCAAGTACCAAGCCAAGAGAAAATACAGTTCACCAACCGAATGTACAATTTCTCGCAATAAATAACAAGACATGTGCCAACGGGCATGAATGCATGCCACTAGGGTATTTTGAATCATACGACAAGTGAAAGGAACTCCGTGAAAAACACCAAACGCTCAGAGAATAATGCACACACCAGAGCTAGGCTACCAGTCCTGCCCGCGGTCCCGCATGAGGATCTCAATGGCTTCGTCCTCGGGAACGGGGTTGTCATTCAGTTCCTTGACACATTGCGTGAGACCCTCCGCGGCTTCATCGACTTGCTCCGCCGTCCAGCCAGTGCACGCCATCACCATGCGACGGTAGTTCTGGCCAAGGACTGCGTTCTTCGCTTTGAGGCCATCAACTTCGGCCAGTATCCCTCCGTTGAACTCTTTGTAGCAGTGGGCCTTCCGCCTAAGCACGTCTGTTGCTGGTAGTGAAGATAGAAAAGCAACTTGCTGTGGTGAAAACCCAGATGCAGGATCAAACCCATCTGGGAACAGTGTTTCAAATGTCATGACATCAACCCCGGAATCCACGTCGGCGTCGCCAACAACAACAGTTCTGGTAGCGTCCAGTCCTGGTGTATTCTGCACTGTGACCAATAGGCTCTCCGAAGACCTTTCCAAGTTTTTAATGCGTCGATCCAGCTCCACACGCTCAGAACCCTTGCGTTTGAGCTCATCGAGTTGCTTTTGTTCGATCTGCCGAGCTTTGGCAGACTCGCGAATCTTCGTATGCCAATGATCAAAGCTTTCCTGTTTTTGCGTCAAGCTCGAAGCCAATTCACGGGCAATTCCCCCGAGCGTTTCCTCAACCAGTGTGTTGATTTGGGACATGGCCCCTGCGTATAAAGTCAGCAATGAAACCGAGTGACCGGGAAAAAGATGCTTACCATCAAGGATCTCTTTCTTCGACTTCGCCAATTGATCAATGAACGAGTCATTTCTATTGGCTGCTTGCTGAGATTGAGAGTTTCCGTCCACCATATCGACACCAACCCCATAATCTGCGGGCCGAAGTCCAGTATGGTTTGGGATGTGAGGATCGGCACCGACTTCCAAGAGTTGTGGCACAAGAACAGAGCGCGCACGTCCTGCTAGATTGAGGGCAGTATCTCCCTGATCATCGCGGAGGTTGACAATCTCAGAGATAAATCGCCCCAAAGAGATTACTTCGTTACCAGCGCCATTTGCTGCATGGTCCCCATTTGCGTTGGGCGCAATGCCGCCATGTCGCACAATAAATTCAAGAAGAGCTTCCAGGTAATGTTTTGCAGAGACGTGTCCTCCCCCGCCAGTTGCAGCCATCATGGCGATATGGTGCAAAATTGTACGCCCACTGTAATCTACCATATCAATAGTAGGGGCTAGTACCTGCAGCAACCGTGGAAAGCTCCGATAATCAAGATTGTTTCGAGTCCCCACGGCCTTTTGCAAAGCTGTTTCTCCTGCACCGTTGACTCGTGATATGCTCACACCCTTGGCTATAAGCGCGTGAAGCAATGGCATGCGTGCAAGCATCGCAGCCCAGTGGAGCGCATTGTTTCGGTACTCGTCAAGTGGTATTTCAAGGTCCTCTCCAGTCAGTTGCACCAAGGCCGGGTGATTTGTGAAGTCTTTAGTGCGTTTGTCGAGGAATAGTGTCATGATAAGTTTCATCCTCTGGAACCTTTCCGGGGTAGAAGCAGGTGCCAAGGATTCGACTCCGCGCTTTGATCCATCATCCATCGGGGGTGGAGGAAGATCAGCAATTTCTTGATAGAAGGAGTCGTTAGGTTCTGTGGGTGTAGGATCATGCATGGAGAGATTGGAAGGTTCCCGAGTGAGGCCTATGGGCGGGCCTTGGTGTGACGTAGAGCGCATACGTTTGCGCGGAGGTTCTGCAATATCCTCGTTGTCATCGTGCGTCTGGTACCGATTTTGCAAGCTGCCAAACCCGCTGTCCGACATGCTGTACATGCTCTGCTGGCTGCTGAACGGAACCGCAGATTCCTGGCTACCCATTGGCTGTGAGGGTTTGCGAGCCATGCTGGGCCGACGACTATTGGAGTTTTGCGAGTCGAAGCGTGCTTTGCTGAGGGCGTTAACTGCGGTAGCAGCAGTGCGTGAGATGTTTTGGAAGAATGTTCCCTGTTGCGGCTGTGAGGCGCTGCGATTCTCCCCACCGTTGTAAAGGCGTTTGCGCTGCGCGGCCATTGCTTGTTCCTTCGTAGGTGTGTCTATCGTTCCGTTGGCAGGAGCTCCAGAGCCGTCGGGGTTCATATCGTACTCCAGCAGTGGCCGGAGTGCTTCTTCAACGTGGTACTCTCTGCAAAGATCGACGCCTCGCTGATAGTTGACCCAAGTACCCTGGTATTTCCCGTAGCCGCCTTGTACTTTTTCGTGTTCACCGGCCGCGATTTCTTTCTCGAGGGTTTTCGTTCGCCTAGCTTTGACGACACCGGCGACTTTCAAAATTTGCGTAGCGTTCAACCAAGAATCTTCTCGACGTTTCATAACCGCAACACCATTCACTTCCATTTCATAAACGGGGATGTTAGAGTAAACGGCCTATTCGGTTGTCAGTTATTGGTTGCTTTGTGGATGGTAGGCTGAGACTACGAACTGTGTAAATCTGTGGTTTGTACCCATCCTGGTATGACATTACAGATCCATAGTCATTGGCCCCATCGTATCCACTAAAGCTTCGTGGAAGTCCGTTGGAGTAACCGAAAGAGGACGTCTGCGATCCTTTCGGGGGCGGAGGTGTTGCGCGAGGGGTGGACGAGAGGGATTGAGAGGCATTCAACATGTTGTAGGCCATTCCATTCGTCCCTGTACTGCCCTGCGAGTATGACATGGTGGCCTTCCCAGTAATGTCAGTCTACAAATCGGGCAATAATTATGGGGTAGAGTAGCAAGGGGAAATACATACCTTATGCTGGAATGACGCGAGCTCAAGGAGGCGCGTGGCTAACCCTCTGGAGGGAAACCGCAGGCCAAACCAAATACCATTCAAGGCCACAAGGCGACCAATAGAGAATATGTCCAAAAGAAGCGTGTCGAGGTTTCAAGATCCGAGGCTCAATGCAAGGCAAGGCAAAGTTCGCGGGGTTTGGAGTGAGAGAGAGCGAAAATGGCGCGTCGGAGTTCCCGTGACACGCATTTCGCCAAGGTTTTCGCGTTTCTCCGTTTCGGGCTTCTTTTTTTCTTCCACTCCGACAATAAAATGAGATCATCTTCCTTGCCCGGTCCTCAAATCCAACATTGGCTACACAATCTCTCAAAGCGAGAGCAATGGCGCCATCTTCTTCGCGCTACGCTGCGCGAATGCACCTACCTTCCTGACCCCATCGCTCGCATCTACATGAAGGACCATATTCTCTCCCGATATCGTGCTGCTTCATCCCGTTCCAATAAGGCTGGTCCTCAGACGGTTCATACAGCGAGAAACGCACTATCTGTTCTACGACGTGCAAATGAGGGCTATTCGCGTCCTCTGGAGAAGGTGTTATTCCTATCATACGGTCGCACTGGAAGACGGCGACATGAGCTCCTGGCGAAGATGTTAACGCCTCAAATCCCCAACGACACTTTGGGTCTTCAAGAGCTGCTTTCTCAGCCCGCACAATTCGGGGATTGCTGGGAAGCTCCAGCTATCGTGAGGAGCCTCGCAGCCGCTCACATGCAAAACACAGTGGTTACAAGCGCCCGCATCAGGCCTTTGATCAAACACTTAAAACCCCCAATCCCTCAACAGAATACCTGGTGCAAAGAAGTGCCCGAGTCTCGGAGGAGAAATATTCGAAGGCGATGGTACAACAGCACGCTGAATAGCCTCCTTCCACCATTACCAGAGGATGATCTCCGGATTTTGGATGGGCTGATTTCGGGAACTGTGCCATGGTCACCTGTGAAACGGAGGAAGGTAAAGACCCAGATTGCCCAGACCGAGTCTGAGAGCAAACTTTTCACGTTGCTAGCCAGAGGCCCTGAGAAGGGCAAGACCTTTGCCGAATATGTCAATGGCCGGCCGCATACACTTACAGCCAGGTACATGCGCCGCCAATGGAGGCGTTTATCTGCTCTTATCCCACGGCCGTCCTGGAATTCAGAATACCAGAAGTGGAGCTTTACGTGGGAGACGCCAAAAGCAATTCCTCGGTTGTCACCCGGGATGGCCAATGGCATTGACCCAGCCAGCATCTTCGAAATGGTAGCGAAGGCAAAGAGCGGCGTGTCTAGAGAGCATCGAGCACAATAATAGGGCCAACAATTCATAATACACCATTCTGGATGTACATCCTTCGCCTCGTATTCCAAGTTCCCATGTTGATCTTCATGTTGCTTGTGTAGCTAAACCAAACATTGAAGCCTTGCATACCTAGGTTGGGCAAAAATGCGGTCTATTGAGAAGTAGACGATAGGCTTGCAAGACAAATAAGGACTACGTAACTACCTAGATGTTGTACTCTAACTAATGATTCGGAATGTCAAGTTTGTTACCTAATGAGCCATCATCATCTGAGGCCAGTAAGAATACACATGTATACCACAGCCGCAACAAGTAAGGATATTGGGTTTCCACCCGAGAAACGAAAGCAGGCGGCATGCCACTTGAAAAAAAAAACAAATAGAGCAAAAAGCAGGCCTGCAGGGTATACAGAAACGAATCATAAGACAAGGCGCCACTATCAATCAGCCGGCATGGCCCAAAAGGCCAATCCACTAGTCGCTGTCAGAAGAGCTGGAGCTGGAACTGGAGCTCGAACTAGAGCCCTTCTTCTTATGCTTCTTTTCCTTCTTATACTTCTTGTCTTTCTTGTGCTTCTTGTGTTCCTTTCCACTATTTCAGAAAGTCAACAGTCAGTTTCAATTTCAAAGCAAGACAGTCAAGCATAACAAGATGAAAAACTTACAGCTTATGGCTGGCCACGTTCGCACCAACGGCACCCAAAACAGCACCGCCCGCAGTGCCGAGGAAGCCGTGTCCCAGCTTGTTGCCCACAAATCCACCAGCCGCGCCACCAAGCAGCGTGGAGCCAAGGCCCCTCTCGCCCTCGGGTCCTACAGTGCCGGGTGGTCCTTGCTGATACTGTCCCGGAGCACCACCATAGTACGAGGAGCTCTCGCCAGCTCCACCTTGCGGGTACTGCTGCTGCTGGGGAGGGTAGGGCGAGTGGCCACGGTCCTGAGGCTTTTCGTAGCCATACCCTGGACCACCTTGGGGCGGGCCCTGCTGTTGCTGGTACTGCTGGTCATAGGGCTGGTAGGCTGGGGGAGCCTGTTGACCATAGGGTGGCTGCTGGCCATATTGGGGCTGACCCTTTAGCGGAGAAGGTTAGTGATGTGTATAGCCATAGTAGAAGTATGAGGGGAGGAAAAGAAAGAGCGTAGCTCGGCTCTGTGCAACGCTGAAAGTGAAGCTTTGTATAGGCTTACCTGTGGTAGGTAGAAGCCCTGCTGCGGCTGTGGGGATTGGCCTTGCTGAGGGGGGGTAGTATCCTTGGCCCTGCTGGTCATAGTAACCGGCATTACTGCCGCCATATTGGTCATGCGGGGGCCCACCGTAATGCGACATAGTGAATGATGATTGATGAAGATGTGGTTTAACAAGTGAAGTGTAGGGTGTTAAATGTTGATGATGAGGGAAAGAGGGACAGCAGAAGAGATATGGGGATGGTCTGACAACAGATACACGCCCATCAGCGGGGCTGAGCGGGAAACTCAGCACCGCCTCAACTCTCGGGAGTTTCAGATCAACACAGCCTCATTTTTATTTTAAATGTGGCTTATCATAACCTTTTTTCAGCTTCACAATATGTACGTACCTAATACATCGCTACAAAGTATGCTCTTCTCTTAGAAATGTAGCTCGGTCAATTTCGTGACGTGTGACGTGTGTACCTACTACGTACCTGCTGTACATCAACAACCAGTCAACGTTGAGGTACCTTACTCTTCCTGGATGGTGTGGAAGTCACCCAAGGAAGTGTGTTGAAGAAGTCCTCGAAGACAAGGCATTCAGTCGTAAATACTTTTCGGATGATAGCAAATTTCAACAGTTGTCTATGATTTTTTGGCATCAGACAGATCCTTGGGCCTTGATATAGTGTAAGGGCCCATCTTCACACAGCAATCGTATGATAGACAGCGCCTTGTCGTTTTTGCTTTGGGATGTGGAAGCCGTAAGAACGGACATAAGATCCTCATTTATGAGGATGACCTTGAGACGAGCGGCCCAATGGTGTAGTTCCCAAAGCCTTTCAGCTTGGGAACTGAGGCCATCCCAAAACAAAAACGACAAGGCGCTCTCGATCATACAACTGCTCTGTGAAGATGGACCCTTACTCTACCTCAACCTGTAACTGTCTGGTGCCAAAGAAGCAGGGCATGGACAACTCTTGAAACTTGCTATCATCCCAAAGGATTCCATTAGACTGAATACCTTGTCTTCAAGGAGTTTTTCAACACACTTCCTTGGATGACTTCCACACCATGGAAGAATACCTCAACAAAGTCAAAGTGTGATCATCCCATTCCCAGTATATGTTCCAGCGACTCGCTCCAGAGCTGTCTCTGGTAATCAGGTTGCAATGTCCCACTGAATAATTCAGAGGGATAGAACTTTCTGTTGTCAGTGACTTTTGATAGGTACCTAGCTGATGAAGTTAGTATATTCCTCAACAAAGTAATCTAGGCTTCCAGTATATGCTCTATGTGCAGCCGTTCCTGCCCTTGGGGCTTCTGCATAGTTATACCTAGGACTAGTTAACACCCAAAAATGTTTGTTTAGAGTGTCGAACGGCCGGAACTAGGTTACCTCTCGCTAGCCACAAGCAAGAGCTACCAGTGCTCGGTTCATCCCCATTCCCTTGTTGCTTGTATATGAATGATGGATCGGGTGCAACAATTGCAATCCTGGCCCCTGGGTCGAATGCAAACCAGGTGACCAGGTCCAGATCCCTTCCCCAGCCCCGCACTATCCTGGAGACAAAGATCACCAACCGCCGCAAATCGGCACATCAACAAATCTCCCGAGACCCGTTCAGCCAAATTCACCGAGAAGTGGAGATAATCATAACTCCACATTATGTCGAGGAAACGGGGCACCCATAGCAGTCGGCCGATAGCAAAATGATCGCAGGAGCAAAGGAGTCCGGGAGACTGGAGTCCGGGAATCCGGGCACGTGACATGCAAGAGTCCAAGCGCGGTCACTTGGAAGAAGCTTTTTTGCCAATGGCATGGCATTTATTGGCACTTGTAGCCAAGAAAAGCTTCATAACACCGGATATTTCGATTTTTATGCTGAGCTTGGATGGCTGTAAACTGCCAAGGGATGCAATAGAAGCATGTCTTCTATGTTAAAGCCCTACAACGTCCTGAATCAAAGCAAATGCTGTATTTACAACGTAGCGAGGACCGCAAAGCTGATTATGCCCACGCACAGTCCCTTTGTCTCTAATCCTTGGCGGCTCTTAAGGAAGTGGGGCCTTGATTTGTAATTTATGCGGTAGTTGTACCTGGACTTGCGATTCCTCTGTACCGCATACTGGTTAAACTGTTTGATCTTGAATGTCTCAAGGCTGGCATGCGATGCCTATGCTGCATCTGATATTCGACCGAATACACTCCAAGACATCAAATGCTGGTTAAGCGATCAAAGAAGCCTCTTCGAGCTTCGACCCGCCAAGTCTGGGGAGCAAAGTCAGTCATTCGCATGTGGAATCACTCCGTAGTATCAGAATTGCAGTGTGTAGTACTGTAGGAGAAAGAGTCGGATATCCAACCACATTGTAGGCTAAACTCATCCAGACATAACATTGACGATCAACAGCGTACCTTGCCTTACTTCCGAGGCCGAGGTTGACCGTAGGGCCTATCACGGCGGACTCGGTTTGGAAGGTGCTTAAGCTTTTGCGAACAAAAAGAAACAGTGGGGACGGCAATTTCCAACGGACCAACATCTTCTTTGCCTTTTTTTCCGGAACTCCACAATACCCCACGTCTGGCAGTTGGAGATCCCGGAGTATGCCTTTCCCGAGTCAGAATACAGGCAAGGACAACCCAATAACTCTGTTGCTTCGTGAGATTCGTCGATGTCGGGAGTGACAACTTACGTTTACATGCAGTTGTTAGTTGTCTGTTCATGTGAAACCCAAGCCACCCCTGCAATACTCGAGGAAGGCCATAGTCCTTCGGCTGGAAACCGAGAAAGTCTAGCGGCGAGATGCACCAATCTAGAAGACAGACGAGGCTCCCCATGTTCAGAAAAGAACATTCCGACTCCGTGCCATCCCGGTGCCTGGTATTAACCCGCGATCATCATTTGTTAGAACTCCGTACCGTGGTACTCCGAGGTCGGCCACTGGGAGAAACTTGTTGAATGTCGATATCCCCACGGGGGACTCACGTTTCTTGGAGGGTGGACCCCTACCCCAGAAGGTATCATGATCGGCGGTTGAGCTTGGATCTCGCGCATTATTCGTGCAAGGCCCCGACTCCAGATAAATGACCCGCGCCTCAAGCGAATGAGAACCGTTATTCCATGCGTATTTGGCAGGTGGAGGCTTTACCACAGACGTCGGTAGTCATTCCTTTGAGTTCATAAAGTTGTCGGGGACCGGGGTGGTATCCACCAGATTCAGCGACGGAGGGGGTACTCCCGCCTTATTTAGGCGTTTGCTGACCCCCGGAGTTTTGTTTTCCTTTTCTGTTTTACAACATTCCTCAGACATCTCTTCCTTTAGACATCTCTTTAGACATCTCTCTCACTTTATACGGTTGACCAACTATTATTTATAATACGGTTTGCGCGTACTCCGCGACTTTTAGTCATGGCGGATGAGCGCAAGTCTCACGATGCGCCGGCGGCCTCGCCAGTTGTCGAAGAGCATATGAGCGTCGGTCGTTACATCGCCACGCGAATTACCACCCTCGTGCCTCCGATGAACCCTGCACCCAATCCCTTCAAAGCTTTGACCCTGTTGAATCGGACCCAGTGGCTGAATTTCTCGGTACGTCTCCATAGGGCTGACGGGAACGAAGACTTGGCTAACTCTATAATTCAACAGGTCGCATTTATTGGCTGGTCATGGGATTCCTTCGACTTTTTCACTGTCTCTCTTACTACCGCCGAGCTTGCCAAAACATTTGATAAGAGCGTTACCGATATCACCTGGGGAATTACCCTAGTGCTCATGCTGCGATCTGTCGGCGCCATCACATTCGGAATCGCCTCTGATAGATGGGGTCGCAAGTGGCCTTTCATCTTCAACCAGTTCCTCTTCATCGTTCTCGAGCTCGGCGCCGGTTTCTGCCAGACTTACAAACAGTTCCTAGCCACTCGTGCCTTGTTCGGAATCGCCATGGGTGGCTTGTACGGTAATGCAGCAGCCACAGCATTGGAGGATTGCCCACCTGGCGCGCGTGGTATCATATCGGGACTTTTGCAGCAGGGTTATGCTTTCGGTTATCTGCTGGCAACAGCATTTGCCCGAGCGCTTGTCGACACTACTCCGCATGGCTGGCGACCACTGTACTGGTTCGCAGCCTGCCCACCAGTCCTGATCATCATCTTCCGTTTGTTCCTAGGCGAAACCGAAACTTTCCGTCGGCGCCAGGAAGCGCGCCAGGAAATGCGCGGAGGCGTCGCTGCATCCTTCATCTCCGAAGGAAAGGTTGCACTGAAGCGACACTGGCTGATGCTGGTGTACCTGGTTTTGCTCATGGCCGGATTCAACTTCATGGTACGTGATATCCTTACCTACCTCTTGAGGGTAGTTTATAGAGACAAGCTAACATGCAGTCTAGTCGCACGGATCCCAGGACCTTTATCCCACAATGCTGGAGAACCAGTTCAAATTCTCCAAGAATGCAGTGACGGTCACACAAGTTATCGCCAACCTAGGCGCTTTATCCGGCGGTGTCACCTGTGGCTGGGCTAGTCAAATCTTCGGCCGCCGCTTCTCCATCATTGCTATCTCCATCGTCGGTGGCGCCCTCCTCTACCCCTACACATTCGTCCAGAACAAGAATGTCATGGCCGCCGCCTTCTTCGAGCAATTCATGGTCCAGGGCGCATGGGGTGTGATCCCCATCCATCTGATGGAGCTGTCTCCGGGACCCATCCGTACCTTCGCCGTCGGCACCGCCTACCAGCTTGGCAACCTCGTCTCCTCTGCCAGTTCGACCATCGAGTCCACCATCGGTGAGCGATTCCCCCTACCGCCGACCGCGGAGGGAGTCCACCGCTATGAATACGGCAAGGTCATATGCATTTTCATGGGCTGCGTCTTTGCCTACGTCATCCTGATCACCATTGCCGGTCCCGAGCATCTGGGTCGTAACTTCGATGCCGAACACGACGCGGATCTTCAGGAAGTCGCCGCTCACCGCGGGGTCAGCACCAAGGAGGAAGGGTTCGGGGAAGACGCTGAGAAGGGGGATGCACAGGCTACGATCCACTCGTAGCCTGGAGGTTGTGTGATAGTTAGGAGATCATGAGATGATATAATATTCTCTGTCAGCCGATGTGACTGCGCAGTTAACTGCGCCATGAATTTATGTGTGCTTGCTTTGGATATTATACTTGCTTGGAGAGGATAATCTGGCATGAGACATGACATAGATAATGAACCCATTTCCCAGATACCCGGTAATCCGACTGTTCTCGTAGCTGTAGATTGGATATTGACCGACAGGTTTGAGTCTCGATTCGGTAGTCTCCAGTATCAAGAATCTGACCCTGCTCAATCCGTGCTCATTCTGACTCGAAAGCCAGTCTTATGGTTGAAGGTATCTTCGTTTTACTGGGGCAGTCAAAATAAAGAAAATGATGTAAGACTCGACTCACGTGAAATGCTAAATGTGCCCGGTAAATGGGTTCCGATCAAGCCTACAAGCTTATCTTTCCCTTAATGATTGGCCCTGGTTGAGAGTACCTATATGTATGCCCGGCCAGTTCCCAATAGACCGAATGCCAACCAGACTGGCAGCAAATCTCTCTATTAATCCCTGTTGTAGAACATTTCCCTCAAAGAAAGCTTGTCAATCTCGGCTTCTGAAACCAACGTTCGGATGATAAGCACTTGGTCGGTCTGGCATACGCGTCCTGCAGGGACATTGGATAGACGGTGTGTCCGAATGCGTCTATGACGAGTGAAATGTTTTCATCTCTCATCTGATATCAGAAACATGAACTATATACTGTGTGCATATGATAGAATCATAGGCCCTTGGCACACAAGGCTTAGTTTGTCCTGGCATCGATCCTCTGGCTAAGACTGGCGCTATCCATGGATGTACTAGTGTCGAAGGTTTCATTGCCAAGACAGTGAGATGCGTCCAAACGAGAAACAAGAAAGAACAGTCCCTCAAAAATGGTAAATAACTTCGTTTTTTTCAATTTATCGAATAGAATGATACTTCTAGTTCATAGTACAGAATACTATTTCCCCTGTTACCCACAAAAAAATAAAACCGAACGGTCAGGGTCCAGGGACCAGGGACACACGCAATTTCTCCGCCAAGGCCCAGACAAACCTCCCAACCGCCCTTCCATTCCCGTCCTCTCCATTCCCACCCCCTTCCCCTCCCCCGTTCCTTACTCGTTAAGGGTTTCTTGCGAGGTAGAGCCCCCTGCGCCAAGAACCTTGGTTTCTCTGTGTGCTGGAGGAAGTCCCGGCTCCGCCTTCTCCAATGCACAGACGCTCGTCCGGCTCTCCTGTCGAGGACGAAGATTCCTCGGTATCCCGGACAGACGATCATGGGCCGAATGCCATCGACGAGAAAACTCGATCCCAAATAGCACAGCGCGGAACCAGCTTTGATCTTCGCCGCGACGGTAGCGCGACGCCGCGCTCCCGAAACTCCAGCATGTGGCGCACCCCGTCCTCCCAACCTTCCAACGATACAAAGACGATGCCATTGGGCTCCCCACGGCTTCCAATGGAAGCTCCCTCCCCAGATGGTCGGCGGGCGCGACAAGCCCGTTTGCGCAGTCCGTGGTCCTGCTCTATCCTGACGGCCTTCACGACCTGTGTCGCTGTTGCGGTTTTGGTCTCCATTGTGACTTCGTTCACCGGTCGGCAGGTGGGTGGGGATGGTTGCGGCGTTCCGATGATGAGTCCGACGTTTATTCGCATGTTGGAATTCGACACGGAGCACACTCGCTTTGCAAGCAAATACAATCTTTTCGTCTACCGGGAGGAAGGCGTGGATCCGTATACTCGTGATAATATCGGGGTAAGGCGGCTCGGAATCCTTGGATGAGCCGGAATGTTTCCCGCTGACTTTGATACTTCTTTTAGTTGAACGGTGTACCAGTTCTGTTCTTGCCTGGCAATGCGGGCAGCTACCGACAAGTCCGGTCCCTGGCTGCAGAGGCCTCGCGACATTACTACGATGTGGTTGGGCACGATGAGAGCCGCCATGCGGCCGGAACGAGAAGTTTGGATTTCTTCATGGTGGACTTCAACGAGGACATGGCGGCGTTCCATGGCCAGACTTTGTTGGACCAGGCGGAATACGTCAACGAGGCGATATCTTATATTCTATCACTTTACCACGACCCCCGACGAACCCGACGAGATCCAGGGCTACCGGACCCCAGTGCAGTCATCCTCATTGGACATTCCATGGGTGGAATTGTCGCACGAACTGCGTTGACGATGGCAAACTACCAAGCCAATTCCGTCAATACCATCATCACCATGTCTGCACCTCACGCAAAACCTCCTGTCTCCTTCGATTCCGATATCGTCCACACCTACAAACAAATCAACGAATATTGGCGCGACGCTTATGCGCAGACATGGGCCAACAACAACCCACTCTGGCATGTCACTCTCATCTCCATCGCAGGTGGCGCGCGTGATACCGTGGTTCCTTCCGACTACGCTAGTATCTCCTCTCTCGTTCCTGAGACACACGGATTCACCGTTTTCACCTCGACAATTCCCGATGTTTGGATCGGAATGGATCACCTGTCTATTACCTGGTGCGATCAATTCCGCAAAGCAATCATCAAATCACTCTTTGAAATTGTCGACGCCCGACGCCCTACTCAGACGAAACCACGAGCGGAACGAATGCGTGTGCTGAAGCGGTGGTACTTGACTGGCTTGGAGTCAGTGGCCGAGCGTACGCTGCCACAAAAGGAGGCAAATACTCTCCTGACACTAGAGGACAACGCAAACACCATCCTTGCACAGGGACAACGGCTGATCCTGCGCGAATTGGGCCTGAAGCATGGCCCCGATGTTCGGCTTCTGCCAATCCCTCCCCAGGGTGTTTCCGGCAAAAAGTTCACTTTACTCACAGACCAATCACTCGATAAGACCGGAAATATCGAGGTCCTCTTTTGCAGCGTATTCCCACTATCCAATGGCCGCTCTACCAACTTCCCGTTGAATCTTGATTTCTCTGGCGGCACAGTGGGTTCCACTCGTTTGGCCTGCAAGAGCGCGGCTGAGGATACCATTCATCTGCCCGCCTCGACCACTTCCTCAAAACATGCTTACGACCGTGATGCGCCATTCTCGTATCTTCAATATGACTTGGAGGGGCTTGCGGAACATCAATTCGTGGCTGTTGTGGATAAGGCCAACGTGCCGACTCCAGGCTTCCTTGTTGCTGAGTTCTCAGACAGCTCGGATGCGATGATTCGGGCTAAGGTCGGCTTGGGCGGTCTGCTCAGCGCCGGTCTGAAGATGCGACTTCCGGCCAATCGGCCTATGCTCACCGAGGTGCAAATCCCCGCATTGTATTCGAGTTTGCTCGATTACCGGTTGAAGATCACTCGACATCCTCAGAAGGAGGAGCTATTTGCTCCATTGCTCCGGCAATCCGTCTCCGATCCTCATGAGTCGAAGTTCTTCGTCAACGTCAATGAGGTCAATGTGAACCTGCACGGCATGGCGCCGTTCATGCCCCCTGCCATCAGCGAGCAGGCCGCTCTCGGGGGTGTGTCCTTCCATCTTTGGACGGACCCAAGCTCTGGGTCGACAGTCGACATCGCCCTTCGAGTCGATCTCACCAGCAGTCTCGGCGAGTTAGTGATGCGATACAGAACCATTTTCGCGGCATTCCCGCTCCTTGTCGTTGCCCTCGTCCTGCGCAAGCAGTTCCAAGTCTACGATGAGTTTGGTTACTTTATCCCCTTCACTGACGGCCTTGACCGTGCTTTGCGGTCTTCTCTCCCCATTCTGCTTGTGGCCATGTCATTGCTGGCTTCCTCCCTGGCTACCTCTAAAGCTCTGCCCCAGACCGACGAGACCTTGCACTGGCGGACAAACTCGACCGAGACCCCTATCGATTTCACGAAGAACGATCTATTGCTTGGATCGCAAGATGCATTTTTCTGGTTCTTAGTCCCAGTATTTGGTCTTATCAGCGTTGGCGTCTGTGTCATCGTCAATTACCTCGCCCTTGCCCTTGTCAGCATTTTCTCCTGGGTCTACAGTGTCTTTCACAGCAAGTCAGGCTATATCCGGAGAGAAGACCGGGGTAACCTGCCCATCTTCCACACCCCCACGCCCCGACGCCGCATCGTCCACACTGCGATTCTTTTGGTCCTTGTCTCGACTGTCATCCCTTATCAGTTTGCGTATATGGTTGCTTGCATTGTGCAGCTCGCCACATGTGTGAGGGCACAATGGCACGCCAAGGACACCAGATCCACTTCCCACATGAACTTCGGCAACTATGCCCACTCCATCCTCATCTTGATGTTGTGGATCCTACCCATCAACGTGCTGGTTCTCTTAGTCTGGGCCCACAATCTCGTTGTGCACTGGTTCATGCCTTTCTCCTCCCATCATAATGTCCTCTCCATCATGCCCTTCCTCATCCTCGTCGAGACCATGACCAGTGGCGCTATGATCCCACGCATCACGACCAGGTTCAGACACGTCACCAGCATCCTCTTTCTCGTCATCGCCGTCTACTCGGCGATCTACGGCGTCTCCTACGCTTACCTCCTCCATCACCTAGCCAACCTCCTCGCAGCCTGGTTCGTGGGGATTTACCTTGTCGGCAACAACTTCTCCCCTCGCCGTCTATGGCGTATCATCGATGGCGACGAATTACCATCCGAAACGGGGAGTAGTCACGTTAAGAAGAAGCCATGAAAGCCTGCCGTATCTGTTCTGATTCTTGTTATCGATTACTTGTTTCGATTTTTTATTGCCAACGGAGTTGCGCCGCGCATATGGGTCTGGAGTTACGAGCGTTTTGCCTTTTTGTACAGACACCGGGGAGGCTTTTTTCAGCGACTTTAGGCATATCGATGTCCCCCATCTCTTCGGCTTTCACCCCTCCCTCCTGAGATCACAGACTTTCCCTGTAGTGGAATCGGATCCTACTCGACGCTCGCACGCCATCCAGACTCAGGCTTTGTTTTCTGACCTGGCGGGCTGTTATGAAGTCTTGTATATACACCGGGTGTGCTTTTTCTGCTCCTGCTTCGTTTTATTTTTCCATCACGACTTGGACATAGATTTGGGGGATGCGAGGATGGATCACTTTGTTCGGCGTGTGCTCTTGTTTTGATTCCATAGAGCTCTGCATACCACATACTAATTACCTCTCTTCATTATTCCCACATGAACTTGAAGTAAAGATAAGAATAAGTTGGACAAGTACTCCGTACAGTGTGAAAGAGAACTAATTAACCATGTGGTTATGTACATGTATCGTGTTGCTCGCACCCTCACAGAACCCTCTACCTACTATCCTTGCCCACACTCCCGATAGGTCACCTCATTATACCCCTTGATTTCCCCTGATTAGCGTGTTCCATAACCTTTCAGCCCCTGGGCCACGCACCCAAATACGTTGTGTGCATCAGTTGAAGGGCCCGAGCGGCGCGGGAAAGGGGGCTGCTAAATAAACATGGGGAGAAAGGGGGCTGTGGCTTCCATTTTCTCGAAAGATCAATAAATAGAAACAGAACCAGTACGGCATACCAGGAACAAATTCAAAATAGAAGCCGTAGTTAATCAAGAATCATAGTTATCTTGATCTCCTTATATACTCCAATAACTCCATAGTCATACCATATACCTCCTTACGGAGTACACGACGTCTACCCCGGATTCGAACGGTGGATCCCTTTCACAAAAGATGCATGCCGAACATAGTGCATTGGGCTAAGTCTAACAAAGGGGTCTAGACTAACTAGTATGTACGGCCATGTCCCCATCAAATAAGCACCTGGGGCAGATCCACCTTCCATCAGAACGATACTTGCACTACGGGGCCGTACCTACTGTAGGTACCGGCTACAACCTACCAACCCAGCCAGATCTCCATCTTCTCCGCTAGTTATTCAGCCTCGGCGCTACGTAGACGGTAGGCATAATGATCTCGCCTCCACGGTGTAGGTGCAGGTGGCGGCACGCCACAGAAGAAAAAATATGCACGGAAAAGGAATCAGATTTAGCTTTTTACTATTTTTCCTTTTCTTTCCCAAATCTGCACAAGCGTCAAGTTCGGGTTCCGTGCTCAAAACGGGCGCGGATTCTGTGGTTTTCGTGTTCGGGGTGCGATAATTTGCGCGGTTGACTCGGAGTCGGAGATCCTAAAACGGAATCGGGGGTCAATGGGGATTGTTTGGATGTAAGGACCACGGTTGATGATTTTTATTTTATTCTATTTTGGCTTTTGGCTTTGGCTTTGGCTTTGGCTATGGCCTTGTTTCGCATTTTTGTTTGAAGTTTTTTTCTTTTTTTTTTCTTTTTGCCTTTTTGCCACCCGATCCCGATTCTTTTCGCGGGGGATAAGGATTTTTGGGCTGATAACGGGGATAGGGGGTTTACTTCGATTACAGTGTCTTTCGTAGGGGTTTAGATCTGGGACCTGAACTATACTGCATTTAATTGATGTTATTCAAGCAGCTTTTGACAGTGAGAGAAATTTTATGGCTGAATTCCTTGTTTTCAACTCTGTCCAGTGAGGCTGGTGCCAGAACGCATGTGCGCGATAAGCGATAAGATAATCAAGCGGTGAAAGAATTTCACGCATTCAGAATCAAATGTACCCCGTACATCGATGTACATCAGTTGTGATGAGACTCGTCTTTAATTCGGTGGCTTCGAACTTAGAAGAGAAATACATTATTTGATTACCCCTGAATCTGTCATGTATGTTCAATGTTCGTAGGGAATCAGCAGCAGTGGCCCGTGGTTGGGAAGCTATTCGGACATTGACTATGCCGATCAAAGTCCGTAGATCATAGTTGACCGTTGTATGCAGTACTCTCGAAAGACTTTGAAGGTTATTTTTGATAGGTGAGATGTTCAGGCCTAACCTGGATCCCTAATCGGTGTCGGAGGCTACTGACGAAGGTTCCTATGCAAAGTCTGGATCTGGACGGATGAACACGGGAGCGCATTACCCATACACAGTAGAAGGTTGCAGCTTATTCATAAAGGATTAAAATGAAAAAGAATAAGATGATTGTCCCGGCAACTCTAAAAATACTCAGTTTCCTTCGAGAATAGTCGTGTTCCTTCATTGAACATTTTTTGGCTGGTAAGGCCAACTGCGCCACTCGATCATGAGTGGCGAATGGCCATTCGGATGGTTCTGAGGACTGCGGACGTTGACGTACATCGATCCTTAAGGAGATGACAGGGATGCTATTGCTGTATTGATGCACATACTACAGGAACCAAATGTACTTGGACTCTTTCCATATTCCAGATACACTTGAGGTCAAGGACATGCTACAGGAAAGACTCGGAACAAAGATTTAGTTAAGCTTCGGGTAAAACGTTGTTGGCGATGTCATTACCATTGTTGTTGAAATTGTGGTAAGTTGATGAAGGTTTGAGAACTGTATCGATGCCCGAGAAGCCAAACGGATTCCTTTGTTCAAGGCCGTTTGTCCAGAAATTCAATTAATTGAATTAAAAAATAACAAGCCATTGACTAAACCTGATTCAGACAAGGAGAGGGTCCGACCAATCAATGAAAGGGGATTTGGACGAAAGCAGGTGGTCGACCAATAGTAGTGCATCACCAAGTACGCTAAACCTGTTCCAGTCCTAGCGCGGGACAATGGGCCTGAACAGAAAATTTTTTTGATTGCCATTCATAGGGTTTTGCCGCCCAGGTCGATGCCACACGATAAATATCCTCGCCCCCCTTCCCTTCCCCCTCCTCTCCTCCACTCCTGCATCTTTTTCTTTTGAGGGTCCGCCTCTTCTTTCTTTTTGTGTTTTTCTATCTGCTATAGACAGGATAGAAACGTTTCGCTCCAATCTTTGAGCGCCCGCGTCTGAAACCTTGACGCCCGTTGAGACTTTCGCTCAGCACCAAAAAATTTCTTACGATACCCCTCTAGAAAAAAAAGGAAGGATTCTTCTTTCTTTACTCTAATACCCTCTTCCTCCCTTTTCCAACCGCCAAAATTTCGTCCAACATGCCTGCCGCAAACGTCGCCTCCTCTCCTGCCGTCACTGGCAAGGAGACCGCTCAGACGGTCGCTGTCCTCGAGGATCTCATCAAGAACCTCAACATCTCCACCAGTGCCGATGAGACCAACGCTGCCGCTGGCAACATTGCCACTCTTTTCAGCGGTCCCATCCCCGAGCAGGTCCTCCCTGCCAAGGCTGCTGAGATCTTCAAGAAGCAGCTTGCCAACAAGAAGGACGCCGTTGCCCGCGAGCGTGCTTGCGAGGGTATCCGTGCCATCGCTTCCCACACCCCCATCAGCGCCGCTGTCGAGCCCCACCTCGTTGCTCTCCTTGGCCCCGTCCTCGCCGCTGTCGGTGACAAGCAGGTCGCTGTCAAGCAGGCCGCCCAGTCTGCTGCTCTCGCTATCACCCAGGCTGTCACCGGTAACGCCGTCAAGGCCGTGATTACTCCTATCCTCGACTCTCTCGCCAACGCCCAGAAGTGGCCCGAAAAGATGGCTGCTCTCGACTGCATCAACGTCCTCGTTGAGTCTGCCCAGATGCAGCTCGGTTACCAGGTCCCCACTCTCATCCCCGTCATCTCCGAGGCCATGTGGGACACCAAGTCTGAGATCAAGAAGGCTGCCTACTCCACCATGGAGAAGGTCTGCGGTCTGATTGTCAACAAGGATATCGAGCGTTTCATTCCCGAGCTCATCAAGTGTATCGCCAAGCCCGAGAACGTCCCCGAGACCGTTCACTTGCTCGGTGCTACCACTTTCGTTACTGATGTCACCGGCCCTACTCTCGCTATCATGGTTCCCTTGCTCGATCGTGGTCTTGTTGAGCGTGAGACCGCCATCAAGCGTAAGACCGCTGTCATTGTCGACAACATGTGTAAGCTTGTGGAGGACCCCCAGCTTGTCGCTCCTTTCTTGCCCAAGATGTTGCCCGGTCTGAACAAGAACTTCGAGACCCTCGCCGACCCCGAAGCTCGTGAGAAGACCCGCCAGGCTCTCGATACCCTCTGCCGTGTTGGTGATGTCAAGGACGGTAAGATCCCTGAGGTCTCCCGCGCCGGTGACATCTCCACCGTCTCTGCCATCTTCAAGGAGATCCTCGAGCAGAAGCACAAGGATGTCATTGCCTCTTCCGAGGAGGCCATCAACTACGTTGCTGCTATCGCTGCTCAGCTCGTTGACGAGAAGGAGAATGACCACATGATCTGGACTCAGAACACCATCCCCTACATCACCGCCATTGTCGGTGAGGCTGATGCCAAGAGCGTCGCTGAGCTTCTCCGCAAGAAGGCCTGCCCCGATGCTGCTGCTGCCGATGCCGTCGACTCCGATGAGGAGGAAGGCGAGGATCTTTGCAACTGCACCTTCTCCCTGGCCTACGGTGCCAAGATTCTGCTTAACCAGACTCACCTGCGCCTCAAGCGTGGTCAGCGTTACGGTCTCCTTGGCCCCAACGGTTCCGGCAAGACCACCCTCATGCGTGCTATCAACAACGAGCAGCTCGAGGGCTTCCCCAAGAAGGATGAGGTCAAGACTGTCTACGTCGAGCACGATCTTGACTCCGCCGATACCGAGCAGACCGTCATTGCGTGGACTCAGAAGAAGCTGGCTGAGGTCGGCCAGAACCCTCCCCGTGAGGAGCTCGAGGACAAGCTGCTCAACGAGTTCGGTTTCTCCGAGTTCCAGATCCAGGGTCCTATCACTGCCCTCTCTGGTGGTTGGAAGATGAAGCTTGCCCTGTGCCGTGCCGTCTTCGAGTCGCCCGATATTCTCCTGCTTGATGAGCCTACTAACCACTTGGATGTCAAGAACGTCGCCTGGTTGGAGAACTACCTCAAGAACTCCCCTTGCACTTCCATCATGGTGTCCCACGACTCCAGCTTCCTTGACCACGTCATCCAGCACGTCGTTCACTACGAGCGCTTCAAGCTCCGCCGTTACCGCGGTACCCTCTCTGACTTCGTCAAGGCCCACCCCGCTGCCAAGTCTTACTACGAGCTCGGTGCCTCCGACATGGAGTTCCGCTTCCCCGAGCCCGGTTTCCTTGAGGGTGTCAAGACCAAGTCCAAGGCTATCTGCCGTGTCTCCAACATGTCCTTCCAGTACCCCGGCACTCCCAAGCCCCAGATCCACGGCATTACCTTCCAGGTCTCCCTGGGCTCCCGTATTGCCGTCATTGGTGCCAACGGTGCTGGCAAGTCTACTCTTGTCAACGTCTTGACTGGTGAACTCATCCCCACCTCTGGTGAGGTCTACCAGCACGAGAACATCCGTATTGCCTACATCAAGCAGCACGCTTTCGCTCACATCGATCACCACCTTGACTCTACTCCCTCCGAGTACATTCAGTGGCGTTTCCAGACTGGTGAGGACCGTGAGACCATGGACCGCGCCAACAAGATCGTCACCGAGGAGGATGAGAAGGCCATGGACAAGATCTACACCGTTGAGGGTACTCCCCGTCGTGTCATTGGCATCCACTCTCGTCGCAAGTTCAAGAACACTTACGAGTACGAGATCTCTTGGTCTCTCGGTGAGAACGTTGGCATGAAGTCCGAGAAGTGGACTCCTCTCATGTCCGCTGACAACACCTGGTTGCCCCGTTCTGAGATCATTGTCTCTCACCCCAAGCAGGTCGCTGAGGTTGATCAGAAGGAGGCCCTCGCCTCCGGTCAGTTCCGTCCCCTTGTCCGCAAGGAGATTGAGGCTCACTGCGCCAACTTCGGTCTCGATGCCGAGCTTGTCTCTCACTCCCGTATGCGCGGTCTCTCCGGTGGCCAGCGTGTCAAGGTCGTTCTCGCCGCTTGCTCTTGGCAGCGTCCTCACCTGATCGTCCTCGACGAGCCCACTAACTACCTCGACCGTGACTCTCTCGGTGCCCTGTCCAAGGCCATCAAGTCCTTCGAGGGTGGTGTCGTTATCATTACTCACTCCCGTGAGTTCACTGAGAACCTGACTGAGGAAGTCTGGGCCGTCAACGACGGACAGATGACTCCTTCCGGCCACAACTGGGTTCAGGGTCAGGGTTCCGGTCCCCGTCTCGACGCCAAGGGTGACGATGATGAGGACAAGTTCGATGCCATGGGTAACAAGATCGTCACTACCAAGAAGGTCAAGCTCACTGGATCTGAGCTCCGCAAGAAGAAGAAGGAGCGTGCTGCCCGCCGCAAGCGTGGTGAGGAGGTCTTCTCTGATGAGGATGAGCTTTGAGCAACTCTTTGGGTTTTGATTCATGCATATTATGATGGGTTGATGAATTTCATATGCTTTGTTTGCTAGGACAAAATACATTTCTGTGTTCAACATTCGTTAATCATTTCTTGTGTAACTTGTAGTATCATTAGAAATTAGTAGAGCTGTAGCTCATTCTGTTGCCAGCCATCATTCCAACACTTGATCCTCAGGATGTGTGCCTTCATAAAAATGTGTTGGTGAGTTCGTACATTTCACTAAGTCCGCACTTTACCCAATGCTCATGGAAAACTTACACCTCGCCTCATGCAGCAAACCTGCACATTGAGAACATGTGCTTCCCCTCGAAGGCCGTTACGTCCACCACTATCCTTTCCAATCTGAATACCGTACTACTTCAAACTGAATGTGTTGGCCAGAGAAAGTAGGGCAGGGAGAGATGAACACTAACTATGAACAAACTAGTCATTAGGTAACTATGAGTTGTCGGAATGGACTAAGAGCCATCATGTATTGTCTCATCTAGAAAGCTGTTTCATTTTCTCCACAAGCTGACACCATGATCACTGATCAGATAGCCCATACTGCTGCGGCCTGGGAGAACCAAACACAGCCGTTGGGGGCGAAGCCCGCGAGGAACCTTCTACGTTAAGAAGCAGTTGAGGGATAAGTCTTTGCATGCATATATTAACCTAGGAGTGGGTATTTCGTTGTCTTCTATTTTACAAGAGAGGTTGGGGCGAGTGCTGACGTCCGACCTCGGGATAGGGTTGTTGTCTATGGGAGGAGACCTTTGGACTGGCGGTGATAGTTGGATTGAGATCCTGCCTGTGCTAGGGAGGAAGTCCAGTTCAAGCCCCAACCGGTCCAACCTTCACATCCACCCTCCTCTGCAGCTCAGCCATACTCTCCACTTGCCGCAGCTTCTTCCGTTTCAGCGCCTCCAAGTCCTGGAAACGCTTCTTGCCACCATGTTTCAACTTCGTAATCATATCAGCCGCTTGACCGCGAGTCAATTCCCGGGAGTCCGATTTTCCCTTTCGAACCTGAGCTCTCTCTAGCACTTTGATTTGCCCACTCGTAGCCGGAGCCCGTCGCCAGGGCTTCCAAGTCGTGATGTAATGCTCGTCAAATTTGCTACTGGCATACGTATCCGCAGCACGCACAATAGCCTCCAAATCCTCGCCGGTGGCGACCTGCCGCGGACGCGTGTATTTCGTTGCCTCCATTGCGGGATTCTTGAATACCATGACATGGTGGGCAGTGTAGATGTTATCCTTTTTCTCGATGGTTATCCAACCGGAGCGTTCGGCGAGGATGTATTTGTCGTCTCCGACACGAACCCAGCTGTGCGGGCTCATTGATCGGATATGGCGCTCGGATTGTGTGTCGCCAAGCAGATCGTATATACTGTCGTAAGTGGTGAACTCGAGTTTCAAATCGTTGTCCGCGCCGTCGAATGGCTCGGCAACTTCATGACTGGGTTCGACTTGGGTCTTTTCTGCGCGTTTGCTCACGTCTTCCACAGTGGCATTGTCGAGGATTTCGTCTGGATCTAAGCCAAACAGAGTCGGTGTTGACAAGACCCCAGTTTCCAGTGAAGCAACCATATCGATGATGTGACAGTTTTCTTTCCCAGGGTATAGTCGAAGACCACGTCCAATCATCTGGACAAGCAAGTTCCGGGACCTGGTAGGTCGAGCTAGAAGCACACAGTCGATATTGGGGATATCAGTGCCTTCAGTGAAAAGACCACAGTTCAACAACACCGGAAACTCCTGATTTTTAAACGCCCGCAGCTCCTCCGCACGAGCACCCTTCGCCGTCCCAGCAGTGATATACCTCGCATCGACGCCATGGTCCCGGAAAGCCGCCGTAAGCTGCCGCGCATGCTCGACATCAACACAGAAGACGAGCGTCGACTTCCGACCTTCAGCATTTGCCATCCATGCACGGACAGTGATATCATTCGTAGTAGTCGTGTTAACCGCCTCGGAAAGTGATCCCAGCGCGAAATCCCCAAAGCTATCTTTCTTGACTTTGGACAGATTCGCCCCGGACTTGACGGTCGTGAAAACCGCGTTCGCTAACCAGTTATCCGCAATCATGTCAATGTAATCTTTGTGATACACGATATGGTCAATCGCAGCGCCCAGTTTCAGACCATCGAATCGCGAGAACGTAGCTGAAACACCAACCAAAACCGGTCCATCTGCGGACGGTTCGTTGAGCCCGAAATGTCCCAGTGCGTCGCGGTAGGACTTGGCGACGATGTGGTGCGCTTCGTCGACTAGGACTAGCTTGAATTCGGTAGGGTCGAACTTGTGCACGCGGCCTCGTGAGAGCGTTTGCACTGAAGCGATGATTATATCGCCTGCTCCTGTCGCGACATCGTTGCCCATCTCAATCTCCACTAGCTTGTCGGGGTATGCTAGACGGCAGTGTTTTGCGGCTTGTTCGACCAGCTCGCGGCGGTGGACGATGATCATCGTTTTGGTGGCTTTCGCATCTCGAGGAGGGATTCGACTGATAAGTTGTGTGAAGATGACCTGCGATGATTAGCTATGCGCCAGAAAGATAGGAGAATGAGTCCCTACCGTCTTTCCTGCACCTGTTGCAAGGGAGATGCCCAGCCGTCGATGGCCTTCGCCTAGATATTTCAGGACAGACTGAATGCTTTCCTCTTGGTAGTCGCGGAGCACGATGCCCGAAGGAACCGAGGCCGTAGAGGCCGCAGTTGTATTGAAGCGCACTTCGCGCGACGTAGGTAGAATGTAGAATCTCCTCGCCAACGGCCTCCATATCAGCCTCAACCGCGAGGCAACTCGTAAGAACTCCATGCGGAGGTCACAAACACTCTTGCCCTATCCGCGGCGAAGCACAAGATACAGGTGCAAACAGAGCAAACTTCCTTATCGATAACGCACTCCTGCATAGTGGATCTGCAAGCTCAACTTTTTTCCAAGTGCTAACTACAGCTCTGACGAACTCGACGTGACACATTTCCACCAACGGCGCAGCTGTGATGTTTTGCTACCGATCGACCCGGACGCGCTGCGAATCTGCGAGCCCGAACGATGAGCGACTCCGCCTCCGTCTATGAGCCCGACACCGAGTCCGAATCCGACTACGATCTCGAGCCACCCCGAGAGCGCTCAGCGATCCCCGCGCAAAATGACGAACAACATGGCCATGCAGACTCCTCGTACGATTGGGTGGGGATGGAGCTCGGCGATGCGCTCATGTTGCGCCAGCCGCCGATACGCGGACCGCTTACTTTCCTCCCCGGTTACGCGCACTTCCTCCAGGACATGAAGGAGGGTGCTGAGTATACTTTGCTCAAGGAGACCGGAGATGCGTATCAAGGTACTCAGCACGGCTCGGTGGTATGGACCTCTACGGAGAAAGAGGTGTTTTTCAATGTCCTCGACCGCAAAGGAAAAGGCAGCATCAAAGAGCTTGCCGCTGCCATTGGAACCAAGTCCGAACTCGAGGTTATGGCCTACATCCAAATCTTGCACAAGGCATTAGAAGCACAGTACATCTCCGACAAGCACGTGGAGCGCATGCCGGTTCTTGGCGACGTCCCTGCCGCCCTGGAGGTCAGTCGGGAATGCTGTGAGCTACTCGAGGAATATGCCGAAGTAATGGTCTACCAAGAATCCCTAATCGAAAACAAAACCGGGCAAAAGCACCATGGCGATAATTGGCTTATCACAAGACCTCGAGCGCAGGACCTGGTTGACGATAAGGATGAGACAGCACGAGGCGACCTCCGACTCGCCGCCGGACTATTGAATCTGCCCAACTGGATCCGGCTCTCGCAAGTCCTCTTCATGAACTTCAATGGCTCAAAAGCAGACGACAATTGGTGGAAACTTGTCAGTCGAACAGACAATATGACTCTAAACACCGCGTCCATGACCGCCGATAGCGTCGTGGACTTCTACTCTCTTGCCGTCAGCGTCACCCGCCGCTTGATCCAGTCATCACTCTTCTTCGCTATGTCGCGACTGCGCAGCGCAAACCGCAGCGGCCGCGATCGAAAAGGCCATGTAAGACTACAAGACGTGCGTGCCGCCGTCGAAGTGCTGAACATGAAGCACCGTCGTCCCAATTTCGTCGATATAGCCCGTCGCAACGAGATCATCATCGAAGACGTGCACAATCGCAAAGGCTGGGTTCCGCCGGTCTTCAGCTACGAGGAAGCGGAGGAAATCATTGATAAAAGCGAGTGGTTCCGGTACCGCAAGGACGGGTCTATGTACAGAGACGGAAACGATGAAAGTGACCCCGATGACGACGAAATGGACATAGACGATGACGAGGCTGATTCGGATGCTTTGGTGGAAGCCGATTTGCCTTTGCCTTCGGCATCAGGAGCCGATTTGGAGCCAGAGACGGTCGATGAGATGGCTGCGGGGGAATCCTCTGATCTCTCGTCTCCGCTTGCGTCGGATGATGAGCTGGAAATGGACCCGGAGGAAGAGCACGCGGAGCTTGCGGATGAGAGCGCCAGTCGGCGTCATGAGGTCGATCTGCTTAGGCTGATGGAACAGCCGCTGCCGGCTGTTCTTGATGAGCGGCTGAAGGCCGAGGAGACAGAGGAGAAGAGCAGGCTTCAGCCGGAGCGTAGGATTAGAGACGATCTCCTCGATTGGCGGGATCGGACGCTGTATCGCAGTGAATGGGAGGAGTATGGGGCTGATTACGCTGATCTGAAAGAAGTGATGGAGATGCCTCCGAATAAGAGGCCTAAGTTCAATGAACCTGCTCCTGCTCTTCCTGAGGCTTCGGATGAGGAGGACGATGCTGAAAGTGAACGGGTTGAGAGTGAAGAGGAAGATAAGCGTGGTATTCCCTCGGAAGATCAAGTACCGGCTGGTGGGAAATCGTGGTTACAATACTACATGACACAGTTTGGTCAACCAGGGGATCAGCAGAAACCTGAGTAGATAACTGTGTGCTACTTTACTTGAATAATGAATAAGAATACCATCAAAGAGACATAATTAGACAGTAAACACATTGATGAATGATAAAATTCCAACCCCTAGTTCCACGCCCAAGAACAATCCACTTTCTGGAGGGCGTATCAGCAGAACTCCGGCAGATAACAGAAAAACAGAAAGTGCGCCTTTTCCTAGCCAGAAAGTTCAGAATATTCATAACTCAACGAGACAAAAAGCAGCTCCCTGGTGGTCCCTCTCTTGGAAAGATCCTGGGGGATATCATACATGTATTGAGAAGAGGAGACTAAAGATCAAGAGTCTTGTAGTCGGCGCCACCCTGAGCGCTCAGGGGCTGAGTTCCAGCCCGCAAGTCGCCCGCAACAGGCTGGAAGCTGTAGTGGTTGCCAATGCCTGTGGTAGCAGCGCTAGCCAGCAACTGGTTTGTGTGCTCGTTGGGGCCCTGCAGACTAACGGCCTGGAGCGCATCCTGGGCCTCCTTAACACGCTTCTTGAATGTCATACGGTCCAGGAAGAGTTGTTGACGAGCCTGCTCCAACTCCCGACGCTCGGCCTCGATAATCTCCTCCATTTCGTTGAACTGCTGCAGCTTCAACTCGAACTTCTGCAGGGTGACGTTGACTGCAGCGGAGACCAGACGGGTCATTTCACGCTCCTCGTGCGAGGCGAGAGCACCGGCACGCGCGGCAGCTGCAGCCAGAGCGATTGTGCCAAGAGACTCCTTGGGCTTTGTGGAAACTTGCTGTCCGGCCTCACGCGCGGGATCGACATCCATATTGTCTTCGGCCTTGACGGCATCTTTGCCCTTGTCTGACCCCTTCTCCAGCTGGCTTCGAAGCTCCTTGCGGATCTCTTCGACAGACCGGCCAGCAGCGGCAGCGGCCACTGCAGGCTCAGCCATCTGAGCTAGGAACGCCACAACAGAGAGAACGGGGTTCTCAGACTGGCTGATGGGATCGCGTCCGCCACCAACTCGTGAAACAGGGATATCCTCGACGTATTTGTCCTCGATCTCCAGCTGCAAGAATTTCATAACGCACTCTTCTCGAGACCGTGTGCCGACATGACTAGCGATCTGCTCCCAATTCTCGTCAAAGTTCTCCAATCCTTCCAGCAACAAGATAAGTTCCGAGTCCGACCATGGAGCATCCTTGTCGGCAATGTGAGAGTGTGCCTTCTCCTCGAGTTTAACAAAGTCCGAGGCATTGTGGCTGGCAGGCATGCGTCCTTGAAGGAAGCAGTTGGGACACAAATCATACTTGGTGTCTGGTGTATTGGCATTTGCTGACGTCGCAGTCGACTTGGCGTAGTGGAAACGGAGTTTGGAGCACTCAATCCCGCAAGAGAAGCAGTGTGCCTTCTTCTTGGGTTCTTGAGCGACGTCCGAGCCGTTGGTTGCCTCACCATTGGTCTGCTTCTCTTTATCGTCGGTGGAGGTGACATCCTTGCCTTTTTCATCGTAAATGGTGCGGCGCAATTCGAGGTTGAGGTCGTCTTTGGATGCAGGGGTGGAGGAAGCGGCGCGCTGAGTGGCTGCAAGGGCCTTGCCTGATGTGACGCCATGACCCGGACCGGGCTGGAATGGCTGGAGACCCCGAGGGGTATCTGCGATGACGCGGAAGTGGCCGGTGAATGGAGGTCCGATATTGGAGGGCCGTGTCTGGGGGTCAACCTGAAGGGATGTATTAGCTAACATATGTGGGACAGGAGAGGGGGAAGTCTCTTACCTGATAATTGATCAAACCCCACTGCTCAAGGAATGAATGAACGCGCATAATAGCACAAACATCACCGGCAAGATTGCGGCGGCAAGCAGTGACGGTCAAGTATTCGATGGGGTTCAATCGATACGTGTTGATCATAAAATCACGGTAGTCTTTGTATGTAGCAGGCGTCTTGCTGCGGTTGCGGCCATTGAAGAACTCAGCGAGAGCTTTCTTCTCAATCGAGTTGACGGTGTTCATATCGAACCAGGTCGCGTAGCTGGGAAGGATGATGGCGTGTGTTTGAGTGACAAGTTGTTCGCGCGCCGCGGCTTCCAGTGATGACTTAGATGGTGCCGAATGTTCTTCGCCCACAGCGTCCTCAAGCCCATCGGTTCCCTCCGCAGGCGGTTGCGACTCACCCGCAGCATCCTCTAAGCCCTCAGTGTCGGGCTTCGCGTCAGTCTCAGTACCACCCATCTCTTCGTCTTCTGGTTCACGGGATTTGGGAGAAGCGGGAGCATCCATCGGGTTGTCGGATCCAGGGGTGTGCTCAGTCTTCTTTGCTGGTGATTGCGCTCCTGTCCAGAAAGTCAGCATTCGGCACGACGTTGAAGCCTTAGCGCGTTCGCATACCTGATGTATTATGAGCCACATCAGCTGCACCGTCTAGACCAGACAGATTTGGGACATTCTCGTGGGCCGCACCTGGGTTGATGGGAGACTCATCCATGATGGAAGCAAACAGCTGTCGCGGTCGGCAGAATGTTAACTCCTTTCCGATGTGTCAGTCTGTCTGCAGGATGTAATGCAGAAGTACTAAACGATAAGTCCAGCCAGCAATGGCGTAGATCAGGGCTGACGGGATGATAGAGAAGGTGGAGGTGATGATTGGACGGGTTGCTGGGGGCACTTGGGGAGGTTGGTCGCGACACGCAAAACTCACGGGCTAGTGCCAAGACCTAAATCGCCGCTAGCCGCTTCGGGATAAGCTCCTGTTCCCTGGTCATGTGATCTAAGGATCTATGAAAACTACGTACATCAGAACATCGTTCAATGGTGCTCTGCTGGAACTATTTCAGATTCTTTACTCTTAATATTACAAAGTATGTCGATACTATTATACTACTCAATAGACATTCGCCACCTTATCTGGTACTGGCAGTGTATGGTGGGGCAATATGTCTCAACAAACAGTCAAACACTTGAGTCCTGCAACCTACTAACCTACTAAACAAGCCGATGTAGATTGCGAGATGGAATATACACAGCAGAAGATCGGGCATGCACGGGCAGGAATCAGGATGGAATATTGAACCAATGCGTGCTCTGTCACCTATATACAACCTATTCACCACGCGACCACGCCACAACCGGCATCAGGTCGAGCGCAGCATAGCCTATGCTTCAGCCTTGGTGCCGTTAGAGCGCCAGTCACGAACGCTGGAGTATTTCCCGGGCTTCTTGCTAGTAGCAGCGACCCTTGCTGTACCGACCGGGAGTTTCTCCTCCTTTCCGCTGGAGACGGTCTGCGTGTCAAAGTCAAAGCAGTCCGTCCCTCCATCCTCTGTGCAGAACGCATAGAGGACCTTGGCACCCATGTCGCAAAAGAGTGCCTCTCCAACATGCGCAAAGTCAGGCCCCATGGACGTATCAGATTCACATAGTCTCTTGGCTGAGTGGTGCTTGGAGTCGCTAACGACGAGCTCGGACTCCGCCCACGTAGGCCGAGCCATGGACTGGCGAGCACGCAGGGGTTTGCTACGCTTCCTCTTGACGTAGTAGTTGATGGTGTTGGGATCTTCCTCCTCCCGGAGTCCGAAGTCGATATCGTTGCACATTCTCTGCGGGTCTCTGTTGTTGTCATCCTGCTGGTCTTTCGAAAACGCAGGCCAGCGGACCTGGAATCCGGTCTTGGGCTGGTCGCCGTTCTTGTCGATCCAGAAGCACTTGGGCTGGTAGTCCTCATCGGCGTTCGGATACATGTGGCTGTCGTACCATGAACCTCCACAGGCCTCGCCATAGTCACCAGACACGGCGTACTTGTTGCCTCCACGGTCGTCGCTCCAGGTTGTGGTTACCCACGCAACGCAGATGGCGTCGTCGTTGGCCGAGAACAGGGAGTACACACCCTGGTTCTCGTGCTCAACCTTGACTTCACCTAGGTTTCCGTTACCGACGGAACCGGGGTCGGCTGTCATGCCGACGAAGTCTCCGACGTCGTTCCACACTCGACTGAATTGTGCCTGTTAGCATCGGGCTGTTCCGCTTTATGCTTTAGCATCGAAGTCATTGCTTGACTTACACGTCAGGAATATCGCCTCCGGCATTTGTTGGCCCGTTGGGGCCATCAAGAGCCACAGCAACCTTGATGGTTGAACCAGAGGTTTCGTCACTTCCGAAATTATCCATACCAAACGAGACGATGGTTAGGAGGCCAGAGATGACGCCAATGGCATCGACGAAAGACATGCCTGCGGATTGAATCTGAGAGTCTGAAGTTGGGGGTTATCCTGCAGATGGAATGGAGTTCAATTTTTGAGATTCCGCGGCCTTATATAGATAACTTCGAGACGGCAGTCGGGATTTCCTCATCGCCTTTCATCACAACCACAGTCTCGCTCTGCTGAGCTGTGTCTACGCCATGGCTCTCTGTGTCTGCTATCATTGATCGGCATCGCTTGATCCAAAATGGGGTTTTTGGCCCCTTCACCTACTCGGCCCCTATACACGATGTAACAGTGTACCTTGTGCATGATCCCAATGGTCTGGATTGTTGGCTCCGTTAGCTTTCGAAGGATTTGGGAGGCTTGTAGTCAATGCGCGCTGCAGTGATATTGACATCTCCACTCCAGGCTCCATATTGCCTCAAATGCCGAACTCCGAAGCAATTCCCATCAAGTTCCAAGGTCACAGAGAATTGTTAAAACAACAGCCCGGTGGAGCACGGTGATCATGTGTGTTGCTATCGGAAAAGGGGAAGAGATCTCCCTTCGACGGCAGATGGATGATCTACAAATACGCGTGGTAATCTTGAGCACAGCTCTCCGAGCGGGTATATGGGAGGAGTTATTGCAATGGTCAAATTTTATCCAATGAGGGCAAGGGACTAAGAGAAAAGTTAGAAACTTGGAAGTGCGTTTCGACTGCATAAACCTGCGGAGACAACCTTGGCAGTTCGCACAGTCAGAAAACTGGGATGATGTACTAGTTACGTCCGAGTCGCACAAGTCATGGTCTGACGACCGGCAGTTGCAAAGTCCTTGAAGAGGATTCAGGCTTAGGGCTGGGCTCAGGTACACCCGGAACCCTTGGTGGAGACTTGCCAAGGCCTATGCCTTATAGGGAAGACTTATTGTATCTGAATGTCAATCATCACTCATTGAAGATAATGGCAGACGTATCACATGGCAGTGAGCGTCAAACCATACCCAAGTTGTGTTGTTGAAAGCCCAAAGAGGCAAAGCCAAGGGCTCGGCTGCATCCGATAACCCGCCGTTACCCGCCGCCAAGAGTCTCCACTGCGTACAGCAACATCCAAACAGCCTTTAAGCACGTCGCCCCCAATAAGCCAAGCATACGCCCCCAATCGGCCAAACCTACGCCTCCAATCAGCCAGATACAACGCTATTGACTGGGACCTCTCAGAGGCGTCCGCCCCCAACCAGCCACCTGCCCACTCAAGCACGCGAACCAAGACACGATGATGTCAAGAGCGTACCTAAATTTGAGGCCAGACCAACTGCAAGGAATGATATGACACACCATCAAAGCGGGCAATGAAGGCCCATGACTCGTGCTAAGGCAGCGACATTCTCCTAATATCACACTTATCCCCCGTACCTCCAGACTATCTCCAGTCCACTTTTTCTTCAATCGATCAGAATCATGATTCAGTTCAATCCATCCACGTTGACCGTCCTCCTCGCTCTTTTCCTATCTTCCGCCGTTGCAGATGATGCCAAGCTCTCCTCCAACCTTGTAGGCTGCAACGAAGTCTCATGTCCCAAGAAAGGAGCCGATGACCGCTGCACAGTGGGCAACAACACCTTCATGGGCATCGGACTATCCCATCTCGCCGACGCCCCATCATCCCTCGATGGGTTTGCCCTCGTGAAAGGCGTCAATGTCTCTGCTGGACTGGGCGGCAAGAACAATGACAAGCCGACACGCCCTTTCAAGTCATTCTACTACCTCGGCACACCCCCAGATGTAGATGCCAAGGATTTGTCCGGCTGCGTGGTTGTCTTCCACGACCCTCCGTCTAAAAAATTCAAGGGCCCAAAACTGGAAGGCAAAAACAACGGAACAGACACCCGCGCTGCGAGCGGTACCTGTTCTGATGTGATTGACAAGAAGTGCATCACGAAGATCACGGACCGTGCTACTAAATTGGCCGATGAGGCTAACGGAGATGTGTGTGAGACACTCAATCGGGAGTTCAAGAAGAATCTCCCAGATGAGTGTGAGGGTTTCGCAGGGAATGGTCGCTCGTTCGGGGAATTCTCCGTCAAGTCGCTTGGCAATCTCACTTCCATTCCTAATTCTACAGACTGCTGGCCTGTTAAGCCGAAGTCCGATAAGCTGCTGGGCATTGTGAGCAGTACTTCTTTGGTGAGTTAGACCTACTTGTTTGCTTGATATCTGCCGTCACTTACACATAGATGCCATAGAGAAATTACTCCGCAAATGCTCTCATCGACGAGGCTTATAAGATCACGCCGATTTTGACCGTCTTTGTTGGGAAGGACAACAGCAGTCTTGTCAAAGAGACGAGTTCTCAGATGACATGCCTGAAAGTTGTCACCGAGGAGAATCCCGATGACGACAAGGATAGCGATAAAAATTCCGCCCCGAGGATGAAGGCAAGTGGAGTAGTTGGTGGAATCGCGGTGCTGGTGGCGGGAATCTTCGCAGTCCTGTGAATAGCACCTTGCTATATTTTCGACTGCGATTACCACCTCAGAAGCAATGTCATAGTGAGATAACCAAATGCATACCTTGATGAGTACATGCCTATGCCATCCGGTGTCATCTTCTCAAGTAAGGTAACACGAAGCGAATGTGTAGTAAGGTGAGTCAGGTTCTTCAAAAGAAGGAACCTTGGAAGGTTAAGGTTGCTGCCGCCCCACGTGGTTCTTCGGTTCGTGTTCATGAGACTTCCCTGACCAATTCGTTCGACCTCCCCTAAACCAGCCGAGCCTCGCTCCGAAGGATTGCCCTTATGGGTACCAAGCCCATCGAATTCAGAGACCGACCTACCTACCAAGAGCACTCGATCTGTCAAAGGAGGTCTACGAGAGAGACATAATGGGTTATGAGATGCAGAACCACGTTGTGGTGCTATACTATCAAGCAAGACCCCCCCAACTCTAGATCCCCTTCCTTGAAAATCCGTCGAGTACTTGCTTCCGTGCAGATGACACTAAACCATCCTCTCACTCAACATCTCCATCTAATACCCAACAGTGATAGCAACTGCACCATCAGCAGTCGTATGAGCCTCATACTGAATCTCCCCAACACAATCCCCATACTCATAAGGCACCCCCAGACTCCCCTCATACCCCTCAGCAACAGGCTCACCAAAAGTAACCCCATGCTTCGGAACATCCGCACAAACATGCTCACTCTTCCCATCATTCCAAGCATACAACTCAACAAAGCCCAACTGCGACCCCTTAATCCCCTTTGATCCACCAGGAAGCGTCCAAGACCCAACACGGGTCCCATTCCCGCTAACAGCATCCACCAAAGTCCCCACCCAAGTCGTCCCCTGCGTATTCTCAACAAGCAGCAGATACTGATGCTCATACGGACTGACGATGTCGATAGCGCAGCTCACGCCCGCTCCGCCGTCAGCGCCATCACTGCAGTTCTCGTCGTCGCTTGTGGTGCCGGCGTTGAAGCTGGAGAATGCCGCGTGGATGATAGGCTGGCCGTTGATATCTGCGCGAGGCTGTAGGCCTGTGTAGCCTACGTCGGGTGCGCCGACGAAGTTGAATTGCTGGGCAAAGTAGAAGCCGCGTTCGTGCGGGGAGGCGGAGATGTCTATTGGGAAGGTGATTTCTTCAAGTCCTGTTTCTGGGACGTTGGAGACTGTCCAGGGGAGGCCGACCATGCCGCCGCCTTGGGCTGCGGCGGAGTGGAGGAATGGGAGGGTGTAGATGAGGGATTGAGAGAGTTTCATTGTGATTGTGGTTTACGAGGATTGGTTTGGAATGAGGATTTGGAATGGGGTTATGTTCTCTACTTATATAGACCCTTTCTGGGGTGTTTCGAGGAATGTTGAGGTTTCATCAAGACAAAACACCCGACTGGAGGGTTGCTTTCGAGTGGAGATGATGATCTGCAAACCTTCAAGACGAGACGTATTTGCGAAGGTCACTGTAAATGACCCACATGTAGACACTGATCAAAACAACTGCGGGGCCGCTCTGTCCATATATCTCACGGGCATGGGATGTAACTCCAAGCAATGGTAGACAGTTCTTCGACACCATGCAGAGATCTTAGATCGGTTTCAGTTCACGCCATAGATCCTGTTAATCTTCTGCGAAGCTCATGCGACCCGTGTTGAGTGTAACTAAGACATGATGTCGATCTAGTGTTTGAGATTAGTGACTCTAGCCCGATTTGGTATTGTCTGCCACTGATCCATGCTATAGATAAAACAATTAGAATAGACTCGTGTTTGACGAGACGTACAGCCCAGTGTACTGTACGTACATGAATGGGACATGTCATAGTAGTCCTAACATATCTCGCTTGGTGAGTGTTTTCTTTTGAGGCTTGGATCATTTCATTACATTCAGCAAGATGAAGATCTACTAGAGCAAACATTGAATTACCGCATTTAAATGGAATCAGTTGACCTTTCATCGCTCTAACTGACTAAAAAGGGCGCCGTCAACACGCCTCAGAAGCGGCAATCCCGATCATGTTCGCCATGACTCATGAAATGATTTTATGACAACTTGAACATACAGATTTAATCAGCTGTTGGACATGTTGACCGAACTTCTCATTCTGGACTTGAAGGTTCGACTCAACGGGCGAAATGGGTTTTACAAAAGGGGATTGATATAGACACCCCACACCCTTTTGTAAAAACCCTTCGCACGTATAGTCAAGCCTTCATAGCCCAGATGGAACAGCTTGGTGAACGTCTAACAGTCGATTAAGTCCGTGTGTTCAAAGTTGTCATCAAATCATTTCATGAGTTTGTTGGGTCTGTGATCCGAGAAAGAGGCTGACCAGGAGTCTCCATTGTCAACTGCAAACAAAGCGTCTCTCAAACTGAGGAAGCTCATGGAGGTTGATGAGGATCAGCAAAATCATCAACCTCCATGTATTTTCTAGCCATGAGTTTTGTCGGTTTGAAGAATCACACTTCCAGGTCTTGTCTGCAGTTGACAAATCCCGCTGAGCCGTTATGCCAGGGACCCAGGGTCAGGTGTCGCGTAGCACCAGTTTCGTCATTGATAACAGGACACATATGCTTCTCAACAAGATGGGATGCATCCGATAGGTGAGTACCTTAAGAGAAGCCGGCGCAAGTCCCAAAGATTAGATTCGCGAGACTCAATCACAGAATCAATCTCTTCATCAGCCCGAATCATTTCCATCTCCTCTCTAGTACGACGTTAGCGCGTTTCTTCAATAGAGGTAGCTCTGTGGGTATCATATCGTAATTGAGACCCGAAGATTCATTTATAAATGGAGTCGATGGATGAATCAAGCGATTACTCCGTTTGGGATTCGAATAATGTTGGTTGATAGCGGTCATTGGTCGTACAATATCAGATTAGCGACGTCGCTAGACGGCTCAACATGGCGATCGAGAGGTGACTGGGACTGTTGAGAAGGACTTGGTCCAGGGAGGGGTTAAGGGTTTAAATTGAATGTGTGTTAGCCTGGGTTGTAGGAGGCTAGGTAGCAGTAAGCGAGGTCATGTGCTCCCAAGAGAAGCTTTGGTCGCTATCAACCAATCCCAGTTCAATTCACTCTACATTGTAACTAGGATATCTCGCTTAGTGTTTTCGTTTTGAGACTTGGAGTGAATCACAGGCCCCAGGGTTGGTTCTAAACTGGCTCAACTAGGTGAGTTGTTTAGGTAGATGGTCATTTCATCACATTCAGCAAGCTGAAGGTCTACTAAGCAAACACCGGAGAAGCCTAACTATTCATTGAATCGTGTACCTGGATATCAAACTAGTCGTTAATTCAACCATAGAAAGGACCCAATTCTTCAAATCGACGCAAATACCCCAAGCTAAAGTGCATTCCACAATCCCCAGTAATCATTACTCAACGTAATTTGCAGGGAAAGCACCCTTCTGTCCCCTCAATTCACCCTCCCACCAATCGTCCGTACTATCAGTCTTGCGCATGACACGAATGCGGTCTCCCTCCCGGAAAACCAAATCAGCACCCCCTGACCATCAAAGTCATACAGGGCCGTGACAAACACAGCACGAGACGACGGAGGCGGCGGTGGCGGCGGTCTCTTCTTCCCTTGAGCGGCGGCAACCATTGGATCCACAGAAGTACCAGCCTGGAAGGAATCAATATTCGGCCCGGCAGGGGATCTCACCACGCCCGATGGGACAGGAGTCGGCTGTGGCGTGGGCATGAAAGCCGGACGAGGGGGCTCGAAGTAATCTCCGCCCGTCGATAGGGACCTAGAGCCTGCAGCATTGCCGGCGGGAATCGCATTGCTTTTGTAGCTAATTGTCGACAAGGCGGGAGAGGGAGGGTACTCTGAGATACTTGGTGTCTGGACTGTCGACCCTGGCGTTTGGGAACCCCTGCGTATGGAACTTGGGAGGGAGCTTGACGAGGCAGTGCTGGCCATGCGGCTCCCGATTGACGGGCGCTTGTTTTTTTCGTGTTCTGAGGCTCGGCGCATGGCTTTGCCCTGGGTTAGGCAGCCGAAGCCGTCGATTTCAGATTGCACGTGGTTGAAGGCGCACTGGAAGTCTTGGACGATCTGGTCCATTTGTGGTGGTGGAGAGGAAAATCCCTCTTCTTCGCAGTAGGTGTGGAGGACTGTGTAGTAATGTGCAAGCATCCGATTTTGGATCTCGACTTGGGCCTCGAGGATATATGGTGTTAGGGAGAATATGAGAGCGACAAGTTTTGGAAGTCGCTGTCGCAGATCTTGGTCGGCAGCTTGATATGCCTGGATCACGATTAGATTCCGGCATTGTAGAACTGATGTTGAGAGCATACTGACCTCCTTCGTATTGGCAAGCTCTGCCTCGGCTTTTGCCAGATTCGCATTGTCACGCTCGCTGCGCTTTGGCTTCTTCTGAAGGCTATCGACACGCCCTTGGGAGATTTCGAAGTCGGTCTAGAATCGGATAATTAGCCACAGCCGACAGGTCAATTGGCATGCGTCATTGGGTACCTTCTTCTCGTTGCGCTTCTTAATCGTCTTCTTCATTGGTGTCAGGGATTCTTTGGCCTGCGCAGCTGGCTGGGTCATGCGAGTTTCAACGGCATTAAGCTCCTCCACAAGATCCGTCGTCAGCTCGTCATATTCTTTGCGCATGCGATTCGTCCGGCCCAATTTGACTGGGTCTGTAGCCACGGCTTTATGGTTGGAAGGGGTCTCCGAGGATCCAATGATAGGACCGTAGAGGCCGTCGAATTCATCAACAAGCCGACTTTGATATGTTGCAATAGACAACCAAGCATCGCGCCAGGCTTGTGTAGATTCGACGATCTGATAAAACAAAGCGTATTAGCAGATGCGACAGAACGCGCGTCATCGGAGGACCATTGCTCACCTTGCCTAGGAGGGTGTCTGCATCGTCGAAGTCCTTTAGAAGCACGGAGATTTGGCTATCATCAGCAGTTGACTTGGTCGTCATGCGACCAAATCGCCTCGACATGTTCTGCATGTTGGATGATGAAAGAGAGCGCAGAACTGAAGGGGGTGAGATGCGGGGAGATGGAGAAGCGTAGAAGCGTTACACGGGCGCGCAATGCAAGAAACAACTGACTTGTATTCGAATGGAACCAATGGATAAGAGCTCAAGTGAGATTCAAATTGCAAACCCAATTTTTTTGAAAAAATGATGGGGAAGCCAAGGAAGGGGACTGTCTCATCTCCCAACGGCCCCCCGCTTCCCTCCCCATGGCACACAAGTTGGCCCCAATGTTTCAGCCTCTCATGCGGCTCTCTCGCCACCCGGACCACTCCATCCACATCGATTCAACGGGGAAAGGGTGTGTTGATCACTGCGATCGTTGCCGTGACCCGCTCTCCACTCAGTGGAATTAATCGGTCGCGACTACGGTTATTACGTGGCCGAGAGCGGCGAGATATCATGTCCTAGACCCGGGGGCCGGGGGCTGAACAAAGAACATCGGTCTACTGGGAGAAAGGTGAATAACAACAACCTTGGAAGTGATATGGGAAGGGACACATTGTTGCCATGTTACATGCTTATTTTGTTAGAAGATAAACACTTTAGGTTCAGCCATCAGCGGCTGTAACTGACGCCAGGTCAAGCTCCATGGTTTCCTTGGAAGGTTCCAAGGTTAGGATTGAGGCTATCCAAGGTCTCTTCAATAGCCTTGCCCGGGTAAAATCGAATTTCACAGGTGACTGGGACTCCAACAGTTAAAGTAGCTCCGCATTACTTTACTAGTAATGGCATTCGATGGCGCAATAACGTTTAAAGCTCGTCCTAGCACTATCACGCAATTCATTGAGCCCTGGCCACCCGTAGAGGTCTACAACAACGAGGGACAGTGTTCACGATCGCAAGCCTGGTTGACACTATCATACTATTGAAAGACCTGGTATGAAATACAAGCAGCTGGCCAGATGGACAGAAATTGAATCAAGCTAGCTATTGCATTTGCACATACCAGCCTGGGGAACATGATACATGATGCCGCGAAGCCGCGATAGCCTAGGTGTCTGTTGAGTCACGTGAGAATGACCTCATTTCCCAAAGCGGGGCCAGTAGGTTATTCCATTCAAAGACACGAAAGCTCCCAGCGAACTTTTTCTTCCTCGCTACAAGTACGATACCCCCTTCAGCCTCACCATAATGTCTGCCTCCCTCAAGATCACCGACACCCTCCCCCTCCCGAACTCGGGCGTCCGCATTCCGCGCCTCGGGTTCGGCGTCTACCGCTCCCCAACCCACCAATGCGTCAAGTCCTGCCTGAAGGCATTGGAGGCGGGCTACCGACACATCGACACAGCACAGTTCTACGCCAACGAGGCGGAGGTCGGCGAGGCACTGCGCACCTCCGGCGTGCCGAGGGAGGAAGTCTTCGCCACGACGAAGATCCTCAGCCCCGCCGCGTCAATCGAGGCTACCTACGATAAATTGCTAGCTTCCGTGCACAAGATCGGTGGCGCTGATGGATACGTTGATTTGTTCTTGATTCACTCGTCCAGCTCGGGCTCTGCAGGGCGCAAGCTTTTGTGGCAGGCGCTCGAGAAGCTGTACGCAGAGGGCAAGGCGAAGAGTATCGGTGTTAGCAATTGGGGTGTGGGGCATATCGAGGAAATGCGCTCGTATGCCCAAGTGTGGCCGCCTCATGTGAACCAGATCGAGGTCAGTGTCATCTGCCATACTTGTATTTTCTTGATATTTTGTTTGTTCCTGATGACTGACTTCTTTTATCTTCTACAGCTCCACCCTTGGTGCCAGCAGCGCGTGATCGTGGAATACTGCCGGAATAATGGCATTATCGTTGAGGCGTACTCGCCTATCGTGCGGAATTATAAGGCCAACGACCCAACTCTCGTGGATGTGGCGAAGAAATACGGCAAGGCCACTCAGCAGGTGCTGATCCGCTACGCCTTGCAGAAGGGCTGGGTTCCTTTGCCCAAGTCCGACAGTCCCGAACGAATCGTCTCGAACATGGATGTGTTCGACTTCGATATCAGCAAAGACGATATGGCTGTGCTGGATGCCCTTGATCAGGGTAGTGCCGGCGCCATTGTGGAGGCTGTGAGCAACGAATGAGCAGCTTCACGGAGTGTCCTCAAGGGACCGACGCTTGGGAATAACCCAGACGCAATTAAAGCAATGCACCATAATCACATCGCTCAACTTAATGTCAATAATCCGGCGGCTGCATCAGGAAAGCATTGACTGATTGAAGCGTGGCTCGAGACGGGTTTAGATCATGTTTTGACGACACGAGCCAGGCTAGCCGCTGTCGAATGAACTGCTTGCTGATCGTCCGTTTGCTCAGTGAGGCATCAAATCCGCCTGTAAAGAAATAGTTAGTCAATTTTTCCTTTGCGTTCAGATAGCGTCCGAATCCATCACCCAACCATCTGGGTATCTGCATACATACCTTCATCATTATAGAACAGACACACAATCGCCAGAAGTGTCCCTGCCGAAAGATCCTTCCCACTCTCACAGGTAACCAGTACCGAGAGCGATGGGTCTGCTCCCAGACGCGCAGCGACAAAATCACGCACTTTATCCAGAGATTTGCGCAAATCCCGACTCCCCAATTTTCCAGAATCACATCCCAGACTGAGTCTCCTTGCATCTTCCTCCCCTGCCGCAGCTTTCCCATTGCAATCGATGATAAGATCATACCGACCCCCAGCATCATCACCTGCCTTTGCCGAACCGATATAGAGATTGCGCGTCGGCGAAATGACCGTTGCATCCTGAGCAACATCCAACCGCTTATGCTCAGCAACCAGCCTATCAATTAGCTCCGGCAACTCGTCCTCTGGCGTACTCTTCAAGATATCCTGATTGGCCCAGAAGACCGGCGGCGTCAGCCCATACGCCCACGCCTCGCTATCATCGCCCGCGCCTTGGATGTATCCGCCCTCGGACATCTCGGCGCCGTGCACACGCTTCGACGCGGAGCAGAGTACCAGCAGATGGTAGTCATTGCTCTTGTGCAGATCTGATGGGTGGAAGTATGACCTATTGGCCCAGACGATTTGGAACGGTTTGCCGAGTTGCTCGCGCAGATTGTCCAAGTCGAGTTTTAGGTTCTGAGAAAAAGTCAGATATCAGCCACTCACTCTTGTCCGGGGGAATGGGCAGGCTGTGCAACTAGTGTTTTCGGGGTTTATGTGATAACTGCATGGATACATACCTTGAGAGAATGGACGAAACCGTCGATTCGATTTGAGATTTGGGCTTCTTCGGATTCACCCAAGTAATTGGGTGGGAGTTGGACTGGATGGTATGCAGTTTCGGATGGGAATAGGACCCGGTTTAGGACGGCGGCCCAGATTGGGACTGTTTTTGAGAGCGCGTCTGGCATCACTGGCGGCGGGTCAGCAGGGAGCTCAAGTTTTAGCCGGGTTGGACATAATTTTCGGCCGGGGGATAACGCAGGTAGTACATACGTTTGCCTCGGCGAGTCGAATCGGCGATTACACAGCTGCAGCATTGACAAAAATAGTTAGTCAGCTTTCGATCTTCTCCTGCGCCGTTGAAGGCATCTTGCAGTGTGGAGTTGCCGCAGTTGATACTTCGTCATGGTTTGATGTAGACCTCCACGAAGAGTATGGACCAGAGACACACGAAACAGGAATATAATGCACCAAGGATAAAACAACAAGAGCAAAGACATTAGACGTACCCTCCATGCTCCTTGGCCAGCGAGAGCAACTGTAGATTCAACCTACGCAAGCTAAAGTCCCACTGCCCGGAATGGCCATCGGTGCTTTTGAAATAAGCACTGCCAGCCTTGGTCGTGGGCGGGATATACCAGCTTCCGCAGCGCTCATTGGCAACCAATGGTAGGCCGTAGTGATCGGCGACCTCTTGCACAAAGGTGGCATCGGTCTCAATAGATTGAAGCCGGTTGGAGACGGACAGTGCCGATCGGCGCAACGTCGAGAGTGTTTGGGAAATGGACTGCTGCGCCGACGGGAAATAGAGAGAGTCCAGGGTTGGCAGTGTCCCTGCTGATCCCATGTTTGCGTTCCCGTCCCTTTCCTGGGGTTGTCAGTGCAAAGTATGTGGAATACACAATATTTCTATCAAGACGCACTTTGAGGTCGCACTGGGAGCGTTTCGGATTTCCGGGCTGCTTGTGCAGGGTTGGGCCGAGATTTGGGTCCGGCTGGCCGAATTTGTTTCGGTGAAATTGGTATACACAGTATCTTCAGTTGATGCGGCTTTTCTCTTTGTTTCACTTTTGGCTCGGTCGAATGTGAAGGAAGACTGTTGTGGAATTGGCACCTGGGTCCACGATTCAAGTTAACCAATCACGATAAGCTGTATGGAGGTGGTGGATCCAAGTTGGTGTGACGTGCACAACGGCAGTGCGATTTGGTTCCTGGTGGTGTAAACTGGTGTAAATCTGGATGGAGATGGAATAAAACCGAACACTTACAGTCTTACTGAGTCTAGCTACGATATTGTGGTCCATACAGACATTTGCTTTTGAATCCGGATACGAGCTATCCTTAAGCACATTTCTCTATGCCTCTTACTGCGTAGGTGACAGTGTAGTAGATCTATAGTCCTTGTATGAGGATGAGGTATAAATGAATCAAATCACTCAGCAGTATATTACCGAGATTGGAATAGTCTAACCTGGGATAGATTCCTCCACCATAACGGGTCCTACTTTCAGTCCCAAGCCGCCAAGCATGCTTTTACTGTCCAGGTGCATACTCGATACTATCTGGCCGCCTAAGCAATTTCAGACAGCACGGGGATATGGACCAATAAACGAAATCAATGACCTTTGGCCATCCTTGCACGGAGTAAATGAGTTTCAATCATTGCCAGCAGTCCTATGCGAACTGGGGTTTAAATTTCCCTCGGAAGACAAGCAGACGGAGACAAGACCGTGCGGCATGAGTTTGGGCCTAGTAGGCTCATAGTAGAAACACCGTGTCGCATCCAATGAAATGCCTGCTTCGCAGGCCGTGGCCTAGAGAGTTGTACTCTCACGGGATCAGAAAGTAACTTTGTTATGCATGCAGTATAAGGAAGTCACATGAGAGTACTCGGCCATATATCACGAGACTCTTATATCAGGACATATTCAAACGCGTCATGGTTGTGTTCTCGGAAGAGGCGCATTGAAATGGAGAACGCCGGTGAGGAAAGGGCGAGGTGAAACCAAACATCGTGCCTGCCCGGAGTAGAAAAGGGGCACTAAACTGTAAATGGACTAGTTGGAGGTGTGGTCTGTGCATTTATTGGTCGGAGAGTTGACAATGGAGGTACCAGAGACCTGATTTCATATCGAATATTCTAGCTAACTCAGGTACCAAGTACCTCCACCCCCACGTTAGTAACCAGCCCCTCCCGCTCTGGCCCGGTTTCCCTACATTGTGATTGCGGCGTCATGGCTTGTGGCAGGTCCCTGGTCGGCTCTTGCCTCGACTTAAATACTTCCGAACCGCCGATTTCCTTTCCCTAACTTATCCTCTTCTCTCCATTGCTCTTCATCTGCTGCATCCCCGTCTCTCTTCCGATAAACCAGATTGAATTCACTTTTACCACTCCTACTCAGTCGCATTCACCTCAATCTTAATAAACAAACACCGGATCTATCTTCCGCACATTCATCATGGGCAAGGTTTGAAGTCGCCGCAACTTCATGAGAGACCCACCAACGCTGACCATTACTGCAGATCACAGAAATCTTCTTCGATTGCGACAACACTCTGGTCCTTTCGGAGGAGCTAGCCTTTGAGGCCTGCGCCGAACTTGCCAATGAGCTTCTGGCGGACAACAACATCCCCGAGCGTTACACCGGCGAGCAGCTCATCAAAGAATTCGTCGGCCAGAACTTCCGCGGCATGATGGTCTCCCTGCAGGCCTTGTACAAGTTCGAGGTCCCGCTGGACCAGTTTGAGAAGTATGTCACCAAGGAAGAGGATATGGTTATCGCCAAGTTGGAGGCCAAAGCCCAGCCCTGCGTTGGTGCCAGCGAGGAATTGGAGAAGGTCTACAATGAGAAAAAGTACGGCCTTGCCGTCGTCTCCTCTTCCGCTCTGCGTCGCGTGATCGCTTCCATCAAGAAGGTCGGTCAGGACAAGTACTTTGACGAGGATAAGATCTTCAGCGCGGCTTCATCTCTGCCGAAGCCTACCTCTAAACCCGATCCCGCTATCTACCTGCATGCTCTCGAGAAGGTCGGCAAGAAGGCCGAGGAGGCTGTTGCCATCGAGGACAGCAAGTCCGGCGCTCTTTCGGCCATCCGCGCCGGCATCCCCGTCATTGCGTACGTTGGCAGCTACAAAGGCGAAGATGTCCAGAAGGAGATGGCTCAGACCCTGACTGACCTTGGCGCACGATGTGTCATGTACAATTGGTCTGATTTCCAGAAGTGTCTCCAGACCATCGAAGAGGGTCGCGCCACTGATATTCAGCCGAGCCTTTGAGTACGCTTCTAGGTACCGATGAGACTGATACGCTCATGATGTTATGATAGCAAGCGTATGGTCGTTATGGTGTTTATTTTTCGTCTTCATTTTTAGCAATTCCATGGCCGTGGAATTTGATCCCTGATACATTCTCCTATCGCAAGTTACTTCCAGTCTCTCTTGGCAAGAGAATGGCAAGTTTCGCTTGGGGTTGGGCTGTGTCCAACCATTGCTACTTTCTCTGTGGTGCATTAGTATATTCAGTATATTCCGTCTACGCATAGACGGACATCGATGCGCAATGGAAGATACCATTTAGCAATGCCTTGTCACGACTAGTTTCAATTCCTAGTTCTGTACGGGGTTACTTCGTAGGGTATAGAGTTTCTCGACTGCTTTGACCGGATGTTGATCCATAGAGGGGACATCAAAGAGCCCTGGTTAGTTGGAGACGCTCAATCGCTTTGGGCTGTATCCAACTACAGGGGAATGGATCTGAAAGCGCAGAAAGAGGCACTACTTGTCACTCCAGCGTAGGTTTCTCCACACGAGAGCAAGAAATCCAGTCAAGAATCGAGAAAGACCTAAGAATATGTCTCAAAATTGAAAGAAACAAGGCTTGTACTAACCCACCTAAACCATTTTCTTTGTGAATGATTCAGACATAAAGACAGGCATCTCGAAAACCAAACGAGGACAAACCTTATCGTACTTATCGGACCGATAAGAATCAGATAAGCTCAACCCCGCACCCCCCGCGGATTGGTCACTTTGCTCGCGACATTCAGTTTGGTAGGTACTCGATCTATTGGACGAATTCATCGGCTTCTATACCTCGTCCTCAAGGACCACTATTCTCACTTCGTGTACAGTCCACCCTTCACGATGTCAGCTCCACCACAGACTGAATCGAAACTCGTCTCGCGTGGTCCTTTGGTGCGTTACCCTCTCTTTAAGCTCTCGAGCTCCATTGTATCTAGAGGATATTCGATAAAAAAAAGGCTGGCTGCATCTGACTAACTCATCGCCTCTGATCAGGACCCCAGCGAAGCCCGCTGGACGAAACTAGTCAAGACGACTTACACAGACCCGCTGGGTGTAGAGAGAACCTGGGAATCAGCTGAGCGTACGGTAAGACCCTTCTTTTTGCATGTTTTTGCTTCTGTGTCTATCCGCTTTATGCGCGACGTTTGCTTTGATGAACCCGGGTAGATGCGTTACACACGGTGTATCCGTATCCGTATGCAATGTTCAGGGTTATTCCAAAACGCCTGGGGAAATGTCATGGATGCTGCCTGCATGGTAGATCTGGATCTAGTGATAGGTCTTGTCCTATCCAAATCAGGCCATGGTTGCATAAACCCGGGTTGTTGCCTGGTTTTCGTATCACCGAGAGTGGTGATTGGTCGCCTTGGAATATTTGCCGACTCTTTTGACTAAGCCCAACCTTGGCTGCAGCAAAGCGATTGCTTGAGGATCTTCGTGGTTGAATTGATGCTAACAGCACTTACCAGACTCGTCCTGCTGGTATTGACCTTGATGGTGTTGGCATCGTGGCTATTTTCAACAAAGATACCGGCCCGGAGATTCTACTGCAGAAACAATACCGGCCACCTGTCAATGCAAGCGTCATTGAGATTCCTGCGGGTCTCATTGATGCCAATGAGACGCCCGAGCAGTGTGCTGTTCGGGAACTAATGGAGGAGACGGGTTATATTGGTGTGGCGAAGGAGACCAGCCCAGTGATGTTCAACGGTGTGTATTCGGCTATTTTATTCACTCTTGGCTTTATGGGAGCTGTTCACTGACGGAAATAATGCGATGTGGCTAGACCCAGGAATGTGCAACACCAACTTGAACATGGTTCATATCGAGATCGACTTGTCTCTTCCTGAGAACCAGAAGCCCGTGCCCAAACTCGAGGAGAATGAGTTCATTGAGTGCTTCACGGTTCCTTTGACCAATCTGTTTGATGAGTTGAAGAAACTCGAGGGACAGGGCTTTGCCATTGATGCCCGCGTTGGGACCATTGCCGAGGGAATTGAACTTGCGAAGAAGTGGAAGCTATGAGCCTGTAGTTTTTGTTACTTACCAGGTCATAGAAGCATTAACAAATACGAAAAGAACTCGCACCCCAATTCTAATGCCCACTTCCTTTCAAGAGTCCTACATACACCGGTCCCATTAAATCAACCCCTCCTGCCTCAACCCCTGATACAAAGCCCAAGCAGCCAAAGTCTTCCCATCCCTAATCCCCTCCTTCCACAAATCCAACAAAGGCACAACCTTAAGCGTAATCTTCTCCCCCCGTTCCCTCAACCCCGTCAACTTCCCCTGCAACTCCTCAATCCCACCCCTCGACATGACCTTCCGACACAAAAACAGCGGAATAAACTCATCACTCCCACCAGGAGACGGATAAACAGCACTTTGAAGCCTCTCACCAGATCCCGGTTCCTGCGCAGCCTGCAGCGCCAGCGATGTCATATCAACCAGATCCCCCTGCTCAACCCGTAGCCCAGTCTCCTCTTCAATCTCCTTCGCTGCGCCACCGGCAAATGTCCCGCTGTCATCGAGCATTCCGGCTGGGATCTCAGCGAAGGAGAGTGAGCCGGCAGGGATGCGGGGTTGGATTGTTAAGATTACGCGCTTGTCTTCTTCTGTTGGGTTGGGGATGTCGTCTGGTTGTAGAATGAGCTGTTCCTTTGTATTAGAAGGGTATGGGCTGGGCCTATCACTTTTTTCTTCTATGTGTATAGGAAAGGATAGGGTTCAACTCACCAACATACCAACACTCCCACCCCGTAAAAAGACACTACCCGGTAATTTCTCGCCCTGACCGTTTGATACCTCCGCTTTCAGCTTGACGAAACCCAGTCGGCCACCGCCGAATCGGTCAATGGATTGGATGTCGATCTTGCGGAGGAGGTATGGGTCTTGGTGGAACTCGTGCGAGGGGGTGGCTCTGTCGAGCGAGCGATTGTTGTAGCGTTGTTATCCAGATCTTGAAAGCGGGGAATGAGAGCAATTCATTCTGTGTTAGGTCTGGGATGCTATTGACTGGTAGGTTTTTGTCGGTGATTGTGAATGTGGACATTGCTATTGCTGCTTTTGGTTTGATGTTAATGGCTCTGCTGGGGTCGCGTGTTCTTAGGTGTCGTGTGGCTAAGCGGAGGGAGTGCATTAATTTGGGTTAAGTGGGTTGCAATGTGTTCAGAGTTGGTGATATCTTGGTAGTTGCGCGTATGAAGGTTCATAAGTTCATTGTTTTGATTTGGGGTATGACGTCAGGGACAAATCGACGCTCTTCTACTCTTCTACGCGTCTTAGGGTTTTAAGATTATCACTTATTCACCCCCAAGTAGATGGGCTAAGTCGTGCCTGTTCCCCATCACACAGCTGATAAGTGATAACCACCTAGCTTCTTAACCATTTACCCGGGTGAACTCATGCAAGCCTTTTTCCCCGCTCCGCAGCACGCTAGTCCCCATCACCACACATTCCATGCAAGTTTATTGCGTAAAATGCAGACGCACCTCCCCTGTACAGGTACTCGGGCCCTTGGCAGGGCAGTCTCGGTGTGAGCTTTTTACTTAGCGGGGACCCCTCTAACTATCCTCAAACTTACTCAGTCTCTTTAGTCTTTACCCGGGTGATGTGATTCTAGCCGTATTTATCTACCTGCACTCGGCCACTCGTGACTTCCTGCTCCTTCCCGTGTGGCTTTCAATATCACACTCCCCATGCAGGGGGCTCAATTTAAGTTGAACGGGAGAAGGGTCCGGAAGGGCGAGGAAATGGACCGGAGTAAATGGGGGCTAGATGGACACTGTTTTGGGTGGACTGCGTCAGTTGCCTTGTTGAAATGCGACCCGGGTTGGGTTTGTGGGACTTGGTTTGGTTATAGTAGCTTACTGCGTACCTATATAGAGATAACTATGTCTATTTTGTACAGCTGGAAATCATTGGTTAACTTCTCGAAGTTATAAACGCGCATTCTGTGATGGGGTCCGTTGTGGCGCTTAGTGGGAGGATTAGGCAGTCCTACAAACAACGTAAAGACGAGGTCAGAGCTCGAGACATCCACAGTCTGATGGATTCCTATTATGCCAAGAGAATTGTTTCAACAGTATTCTCCGGTTAAGAACAAAACGAGTTTGGCATATTGTAGCTGTTGATACACATTGGGTGCTTCGGTCGCTATGTACATACTTTGACCACTGCTCTACCTAACGTTAGGCTCGCGATACTAACTACACTCTGCTGTATGTAGGTGGCTAGTCATATGCTTCTCACCGACTAAGATGGTGATCAGAGCTGAGTTTGTGCCTAATCTAATCATCTCACTGTATCGGAGCTCAAGTACAGACTACCCAGTTTGAGACCGATGTGATATTAGCAGTGTCTCACCTGAGCATTCCGACAACTCGACACCATGTGGTCCCTCGTGGGTAATTCTTTGGCAACCCGGCACATCGGATTCGGGACCAAGTGACGAGGACATAATCAGAGCTCCAAAGAACCCTGTCCACTGGCAATCCAATCCCAAAGCTAATTGTGTGGGCGTATATCCGTCAATGCTCAACGTGACAGCAAGGGACTTGCACCCGGGTGCTCCTAAACTCTACCTAGGTGGCTCGGCTGGAGGCAGAAATTTGAGGATCACTCTTTGAGGCAATATCACCATGGTCAGTGCTGAAGCTTCGGTGTGAAAATGGGGTTCTGTATGGTCGGACCGTCGGCGGTGGTAGCAAAGAGCGGTGACAGCCAAACAATGCCCCAGCGCTACGCGCAAGGCGGGTGACTCCTTGGCTCGTGGAGTGTTGCCTCGGACCGGGTGGCGGCGCAAGTCACAATCACTGTTGGGTGTCAATCCGGGGCTGTTGGGCACACAGTACTGAGTACGGAGTAGACTGGAACTGGTTAGTTGAGGGAGGGACTTGTCAGATAAATGAGAATATCAGCTGTTGGGGATAGGGTTTGTTCTTTTTGTCATCTTATGGATGCAGATCTTAAGCTAAGATTTGTTGACTGCTGCATCCATGGGGCATGGACAAAGATGAGGCGGAAATATAGACCTCCAGGAGGGGGCGGTTATTGCCTCAATCATTGCAGGAATCAGCCGCCGTCAAGAAAGAACTGACGCAGGTGAGTCCAGGGGCTGAGAAGCCGTGGAATTCTTCCAGTACTTCGAATGTTCTAGGGATACGCAGATCGGACAAAGTCATCGGGACAAGGCAACCAGTGTGAAATTGAATGCATGTAGAGTGATAGGCCAGGCTGATCGGCAGGAGATCCTAGTCCAACAACACCCGGGTTTTGCAGACTGGGTGCCTTCCAATGATGCTTGCTTTATATAAAATATCTATTGGAGCTTTCCCCCTTGTAGTCTTAACCAACTGTACCAATCTCCCCTTAATGATGACCAAGTGAGCCCGATTTGACCGCGTTCTCTCTCTCCCTTTCCTCACCGTCGGGTACCCCTTCAGTACGTCAGACTCGAAAATGGACTCGAAAATTATTGGCTAATTCTCCGCAGATGAATTGTTGAAATGGCCGACAAGTGCCGTAAGGAGCCAAGGCCAAGGCGCAGTTTTCGGAGCCGATTGGATGCCAAGACCAGGATCTCAGACCGAGTCGTTGGCGACGTGTCCCCCAGGCAGGTTATCGACTGGGCTTTAACTACTGGTATTATGTCTAATCCTTCGCCTAGGCGGTCCATGAGACACTTGTTGTCACAGGAGCTCATCTCCGAATCCATGGGTCTCCAAGGCTGCTGCGCGGCCAGTTTGCCGCTCACCAGTGCCCGACCAAATTCAAGTGGTGTTATAGCAGATGCTGGCACATCTGGAACACATAGTAGCCACGGGGTGCGAGTCAAAAGCTCGCCTCGTGCCAGCGTAGGTGTCGGTAAATCGCGTCGCAGAAACAGCTTACGCATCTCGAGAGAAACTCGGCGGCTATCGGCGTCGGCTTCGTCTCAACCTATAAAGACTGGCGTGCCTCAGTACCTAAGCCAATACAGCCCAGAGCGAAGTGTTGGTACTAGTTCCCCCCGAGAGAACGAAGCACATTCAACTCAGGGCTTTGTGACAAGTCCAGATCTACAGACATCACAACCAGCCCCCAGTGCTGCGCACAGTCAAATGGCGGTTGAATCTGGAAATGATCGAAACGTGGAGATGGCCGATGCAAACGTGGTTGCTCAGGAAGAAAAGCCTCCAGAGATGTTCAAGCAACCGCCGACACACCCCATCACCGAAGAGCAACTAATCAACGAAGTGCGCGGAATCTATAAAGGGTTGTTCAAGGTGGAGCAGAAGTGCATGGAAATCGACACGCAACAAGCGCAATCAAAGGTCGAACTCTCACAAGCTCAGTGGCAGGTGCTCGTCTCCGTGCACCGAACCCTCCTCTTCGAACATCACGACTTCTTCCTCGCCTCTCAACACCCTTCCGCTGGTCCCCTCGTCAAAGGCTTGCCGGCCAAGTACGGAATGCCAGGTCGAATGTGGCGCTACGGCATACATGCATTTCTAGAGTTGCTGCGTCAGAAACTCCCCGAGTCGATGGAGCACATGCTCTCTTACATCTACCTCGCGTACTCGATGATAACATTACTACTAGAAAGCGTGCCCGATTTCAGAGAGACTTGGGTTGAGTGCCTAGGAGATTTGGCACGATACCGGATGGCGGTCGAAGAACTCGACAGAAAGGAGCGCGATCTCTGGGCCGGGATTTCGAGATACTGGTATGGGCAAGACGCAAAACGAAGTGCAGAAAATGGCCGTGTTCAGCATCATCTTGCTGTGCTCGCTCGCCCGGACGTTCTCCAGCAGTACTTCCACTACAACAAAGCACTGATCTGTCTGGACCGCTTTCCCGCTTCTATGGGTAGCATGATCCAGCTAGCAACGCCTCTGATGAGGGTGCCTGCTCACACGCAAAACTTGATTGATTCATTCGTGACGGCCCATGGCGCGCTCTTCTTGGAAGTTCCGGTGCATGAATTTGTTAACCGGGCAAATGCGTTTCTTACTATTTTGCGGACGGAGATTAGCCGAGTCAGTCGGCACGGCCAGGCAGGCGTCCAGATCACATCTTGTAATATTTGTTCAATACTCGAGTATGGAAGGAAGAACGGGGTCATGGAAAGAGATTGGACTTTGAGATTACGCAACCCAACAGCAGAGGAGAGGTCACTGGCAATTCAGTGGGCATCGACTGCGCCACCCATCAATACCGCCGCATACACCGATATCGCATCTCAATTCGCGTTCCAAGCAAGCTCTCTCGCATTCCATACACTGATTGTCATGCTCGGCCAACCCGACGACCCGAACATGTACGCCAGCGTGCACATTTCAATGGCATTTATCTGGTGTTTGACTCTCAACCCGGCCGCCATCCAACGATTGGAGCCGTTGGTTCCGTGGTCACTCCTCGCAAAGTATCTGAACACATTGTTCCGCCCCGACACGATCATCTCGAAGATCGAAGACGAGTCTTTCCCGATTCTCGACGACACAACCCCTAAACAGCTATCGGAGGATTCTTTGATCAGAGGACAGGCGTGGAGTTTGCTTTACTATCCAGAAGGATTCTTTGACGACGCTCCACTGGAGGACGACATACCATACATCGAACAACACTCGACAGTTATTTCCAGAACACATCGGTGTCTCTGGCTTGGTGTGCGGATTGCAACTGTCTGTTTTCTCTCCTCTTTGACTGCACATGTAGAACTGACCATATTCTAGTATTCTCGCTGGATAACCTACGACCAGACGCACCTGTTTCAACCGACCCGATTAGCAGAATACTACGCGCCAATCGCAGAGTCGCCCACTTCCCTCTCTGGAACCCTTCATTCACCAACAACATAGAAGCCCCAACAGACCAGGAGATGCAGCGGGTGCAGCAAATGTACAAAGTGGTTATGGGATGACTGCTGGCTTTCTTGCGAACTCCGTTGTGTAGCGCGGGATGCGCTCTTTCCCGACGGGGCTCATTCGGGGCTGGAGTCTTCCTGATATCCTCTTTGCTATCTCTTTCGATCCTGCATCCTTCTTCGCATTAGTGCTCAAGCCTTCCTAAGCCCCAGCCACTTCTTTGGGCCCTTTCTGTACACGACTGGAGATGGATCCCTTTTCATTCGTTATTCCAGGCAGGAAATTCATGTGTCGCCCATCGACTACACGGCAGATATCAGATGACAGATCTCCCCTTCGACCAAGGCCTGCCGCTATCCGGAACCTTTCAACCCCGAGGATCTCCTTTCATGGTATCTTGCACCTGATAATGGAGTCCATGAGGGACTCGCCTGTCCCCGGGATGCTTCCGCAGTCTGCTTCAATATTGGATCCGGTATATCCATCATGTTACCCATCGTCGCCACCAACTGGGTTATGTCATTCTACCATACCTAATTCGGTCTTGGAACCCAGGGGACATCCTTCAACTAATTTCTGGACCGAGATTACCTCGAACACCCATCCGGGAGACTCGCATATTGAATTGCTATGAAGAAGTCAGTCTCGACTCCACATTGTTTGGGCCGAAATCTCTTTGGTTGGTATGTACGGATGATTTGTTGCAAGGGTAACAGACCATCAGGCACACACCGTGCTATTGGACGTTTGAAAAGCAGATGTTCAAAAGGAGATGAGATGATAAGTGAAGAAAAGTATTCAAATACATGATGTGTATGCAAGCTTCGTTCCAGTCTCTCCCCTTTTGGGAGGCTGCTCGTAAATATCCCACTCTTACTGCCCTGGATTCTCTTCTGCCTTGTACCCGGTGTTCTCGTTGTACCTATTTCTTGAATTCTTGTGGTAGGTAGAAACACCTAAGGCTCGCAAACGATAACTATCTAGAATGCCGATGTGGTTATGGTTACGGAGGCCCGCTAACGTGTCCTGTTTAGCCTATTAGGGGGATTAACCCTTCCACGGGTCTGGCCTGGTTCAGATTATAACCTTCAGCTCTGATCCCTTGAGACAACTTCAATGCTTTTCACGGCAGTACAAACTCGCTATGTATGTATCTCACAGTATCTGATAGGAATGCAAATCTTTGCGCCACGAGGTGCTCGTTCATACAAATGAACATCAACAACCTTGGAAATAAACTCGGTGTCACCCCGGACCGTGGCTCCCCCAACTGTGGAGCCGCAGTTTATGCGGATTGCGGAAGCTTGTTGCCGATAAAAGGCCAAGCTGGCGATTAGCAACATTCAACATTCCCCTCTTCTCCTCCCCGATCCTCCAAATGGCAGAAGATTCCCCCGACCTTACCTCTATGAATTAAGAGCCATTCTCCGAAGTGCTTGCCAATTCCCTTCGGGCAGCACTCACGGTTCCCCCAATCCGCATCTCCCCCGTCTCCACGCCTACCGTCCAGCTCAACCCCCACAATGGCGCCAGCTCTGGGCGAGGTCTGTCACCAATGCGTCGGCATTGTGGCAGATATCCCTCTTCGGATGTTACTTGTTGCTGTGCTGTCAACTCTGCTAGGGCTATTTGTCCTGGTAAGTCCGGGTTTCCCCCTCCAGCCTATACCAGCCAAACCGCGCGGTATACCCCGGAGAACACGCAGCCCAATTGCAAGTCACTAACACTTTACTCTCTCTCGCTATTGCCTAGTTCATTATATTCATAAGATCCGTCGCCCCAGTACCACGAGAACCGCGCCCAGAAGAAAAGAAGTATAGAACCCTCTCCCAAGATGGAGCCGTCACAGAACCACAACCCCTACCGTGCTGGCTCGACACCCTAAACGCCAGAAAGCGCGACCATAAACCAGCGCAATCCCCCACAATCGAACAAGCCTCGCTCTTCATGTCCGTCGTCGTCCCCGCCTACAACGAAGAGGACCGCTTAGTCGGCATGCTGGAAGAAGCCGTCAACTACCTCGAACGCATGTACGGAACAGCGACCGCCATCCCCACCAAAACAATCAACACCCGCTCAATGCGAAACCGTAAACCGGACACAGATGCGACGAACGGCGACATCGCAGCAACGCCAGACCGCGGCTGGGAAATCATAATCGTCTCCGATGGCTCAACAGACCGCACCGAGGAAGTCGCGTTCCGATTCGCGCGCGACCACCAGCTCTCCCTGCACCCCAAGGGCCACGCGGGCCCGTGGACGCCGCAGGCTGCCGAGGGCGTGCATATCCCGCCTGGCACGATCCGCGTCGTCAGCTTGACTCGTAACCGTGGCAAGGGCGGAGCGGTGACGCACGGGATGCGCCATGTTCGCGGGCAGTATGTTGTTTTTGCGGATGCGGATGGGGCGAGCAAGTTCGATGATTTGGGGAAGCTTGTTGGGGCTTGTCGGGATGTGGAGGATGCGAAGGGGAGGGGTGTTGCTGTTGGATCGCGGGCGCATATGGTTGGGAGCGAGGCTGTGGTGAAGGTATGTGATGTCGTTGATTTATGAGTATCAGAACAAATGCTGACGATTTTGCTTATAGCGCTCTAAACTTCGCAATTTCCTAATGCACTCGTTCCATTTGATTCTGTGGCTCATGACTCCCCCTAAGACGGCGACTGTTAAGGACACGCAGTGCGGGTTCAAGCTGTTCTCGCGCGGCGCATTGCCTTATATTGTCCCATATATGCATTCCGAGGGCTGGATCTTCGATGTTGAGATGCTCATGTTGGCTGAGTTTGCTCGGATTCCGGTTGCCGAGGTGCCGGTTGGATGGAGGGAGGTCAAGGGGAGTAAACTGAATGTTTTGCGAGATAGCATTGGCATGGCCTGGGGTCTGGCTGTTCTACGGGCAGCTTGGTCTTTGGGAGTGTATAGACAGCGATGATTAGGTCTGGGACGTCTATTGGTCCCGTGGGGCAGCATGACGAATTGCATTTTGTTTAGTTTGTTATTTATTCATTGGCTTTGAACTCGATTAGGAAGGCCCAGACCAAGTTTGTAGGGCTGGGGCTAGAACAGTTCCTTCTTATTTGGTCCCCTGCTATGGATCTGTGGCGTCCGTACTAAAGACGCCATCTAGATAAAGTGCCGGGATGACACGAACTGCTTGCGATGACGTCTGTGTTGTATTTTGAGATGAGCATATTAAAGATGAACTGACGCACGTGTTCGAATTGATAAGTTACATTCTAACCTTCCAATGTCAGTGATTGCGCGTCCTATCCCTGACCCTCCTTAGGCCAACAGAGATGACCGGCTTGTCTTATCCAATACTCAGAACTCAAGAGTTTGAAGATATGGCAAATCTTTACATAGAACAGATCCACATCAACGTGGGTCCCCAATCAGAACAAATGCCATGCCCGTTTCAAGACTCTTCCCAAGGTTCGGATGTCAGAACTTGCAAATATTTTCCAAGAATCCGCGACTGGATCCAGGGTGAGTCCGTTGTCATACGATGATAGATACCGGAGTCCTTGAATATGGACGCCTGACATGCCGAGAACTCTCTCATGTATGTATTCGCCGAAAAGCGCTGTATACACCATGCGATATCTACACAATCGGCGATCTAGGAGATGCCGATCAGATATCCCTCTCATACAACAACATACGGTCAACGTGCGATAGGTATCTGAGCAAATACCGATATGCAAGGTTCAAGATTCTGATCCGATTTATCTCGGAGGCATAGACTATTTGAGCCGTTTTCCAGAAAGATTTTGCGGCTGTCAAAAATTTTCTGACGGTGGCGACATATCTATAAAGCATAGACCGGGCCGAGTGGTACCACAACCTTTTAAACGGAATTTACCGTGTTTTGCATGGTCTTTTGATAAAAGCTGAAAAACTTCAAGCATTTCATTTTCTATCATTGTCAATCTACGGAGTATCAACACAAACATGGCACAAACCTTCAATCACGACACGAAACCAACATCCCGTCTCCTTCAACTCCCTGCCGAGCTCCGTCTCAAAATCTACGAATATGCCCTAGACATCCCAAACGAGTACCTCGTCAGCAAACCCATGATCGTCCTAGGCGACCATGGCAACACCTTCACATCCCGCGGCCAATATCGCGCCCTCTCAATGAGTCCCCACTGGGTCGGCGACGACGGCACAGCCCGCAACCTGCTATCCGTCAACCGCCAGCTCCACAACGAAGCAGAAGACTACCTCTATTCCTCGCACACCCTCTTTCTCCGCAACTCCTTCAACCTCGACCGTCTCGGCGCCTTCCTCGACACGCTAAGCGCAACCGCCCGCGCGCGCATCCGCAGCGTCGGCTTCGAGGTCTTCTTCTTCGTACACACGCAAACTGGCGTGCCGAAACGGACTCTTAAACAGTACGAGGCTGCCGCGCGGCTACTGACTGAGAAGTTGCCGAGCTGGAATAGCGTGTTGATATATGTTGATCCGCGCTTTTACTACCCGTCTGCGAATGTGGGTGGAAGGGATTTGACGGCGCGGGGCGTGTTCGATCTGGCGACGAGGTTTGGGGCGCTGTGTAAGGATGTTAGCTTTTATCCTTTGCCGAATGGGCACCAGCATTTGCTGGAGGAGGCGCAGCAGTTTGTTTGGCGAAGTCGGTCGCCGGGGAGGTCGTCGGATGGGAGGAGGTCGATTAAGGGGTGTTTGGCTTGGTCTTTGGATTTGGATTTCAAGAAGTTGAGTGTGTCGGGTGGGCATGGGCCTACTCCATCTCTTTGCTTTTGTTGAGTTGCATTCTTGGGGGATTTGATGTTTTCTTTCGCATTTTGGTAGCCTGGTGCATCTGGGTTACTCTTCTGGTGGTTTTTGTGGCATGGCGGTGCTGGCATTGCTAGCCATGCGCCATGACGTCCGAGCGTGAACTGTTCATGCAGAAGGGACATGGTAGACTGCATGTCATGGATGGTTTCATGGCATTTTATGGCGTTGGTGGGATTGGGACGTTCAAGGGTTTAGACTCTCCATTCACGTTAGACAGTAATAGTAATAGAATATATACCCATACCACCTTGTCAGTTGAAAGAAAGAGGAAGATCGAGTATTTCATTCTCCTCACGATGGACGATCCGCTCCAAAGCTTCTTATTAATGAGATTTCCTACATCGGAATGCTGCCTCTTTGACGTCATAACTGAGATCCGGTCCTAGCTGAAGAAACTCCCGTTGATCTTGATTTCTCTCTCTCTCACACATCTACGGAGTACCTACTGATATACATCTGGTTTGTTATTACATTCTTTATTGCCTCTCGAGTCTCGACCTTGCCTTATTCTTATTCTCCAGTTTATGGGGCCTCGGATAACTGGGGCTATTCCACAACTCCACTCTTTTCAATTTCGTACCTGAAAGCTACCCAATCCGTCTAAACTACTTCATACAAACCTGCCCGACCATCTCATTCATTGACCGAACACGTCGGATGCACCTTGACATGCGCTGTATCGGGTGGCTCGCATGAACTCCGGCCGCCTTAATTGCAGATGGACCGAGGGCTCCGGGGTCTGCTTGTGATTGACCGCTTATCCCAGGTGCTCCACAGGTCCTGACACCGTGGAAAAGCCAACGAAGCTTTGCGATTGGGCACTAGTTTGATCCCTGATATATCAGAACCTTTATCTACCGGGTTGGACTCAATACCGCGGAAAACAAAAATTCCCGACCACTATGAAGCCCACCTCCTTAGCCGACGGCCACGGAAGCATCTACAAAGAAGTCCGCTTCTCTCCGACCGAAACCCGCGTCCGTCGCACGAAATCCGTCTCGGCGACTTTCCCTCCTGTCATTTCAGGCTACGGCCGGACCGCATCCCAAGACTCGGCACTGGTGAATCCGTGCCCCATGGATACATCCTTCATCGACGAATGGCGAGCCCTGCTCCAGAACCAACGACTGAATTTCGAGACGGAGAGGGCATTGTTCGCGCAGGAGCGATGTTTATGGGAGAAGGAGCGAGCGCTATTGCAATCGAAAATCGCCGAGCTAGAGAGCTTTGTGAAGAAGAATCAAGGGAAGAGATCAGTTCAATTGGGATCGGAAGCTGCGAGACTGGTCCTGGAATCATCGCAGTTTAACACAAATGGCCTAACAGCGCAAGTGTGGGAGGGGCCAAGTCCAGGAACCCGACCAACAAGGGTCTTCTTTGATCATGATTCCCCAGACCAAAGCTACCTGTCGCCGACCTCGGAAAGTGGGCTAAATCCGCCCTCCCTTGATCAGGCCCTTTCGCCGCATGCGCAACTAGTAGACCCTTCTGGAGCGCCTGTGAGTCTGCCGGTGCCGATCGAAAAGCTAGACAGCACCCTGGACGGTATCACGCTCAAGTCAACGGCATTGCCACCTGGCGTGGTAGCTCGAGTGATCACCCCGCCCTCCCCGTCGCCCCTGGTAACCTCCCCTGGAAACGCCCCTTCGACGGCTGCAAGGCCCACCATGGAACATCGAAACAGTCTCAAGCTGAAGCTGTCAGAGCTCGGCCCGCCCAATGAGAGATTGCTCCGCGATGCAGGGCACACCCCGATGGCCATCATCGAGGGTGACGATAGCCGACGCTCCACTAAGGATGGGTCTCCCATGGAGGAGCCTCTTTCTCTGACCGAGGACGCTCCTTTCGCGCCCGTGGCAACCAACGCCCAACAACCAGCGGAGAATAATATCTCCTACTTCCCGGATGTGCCTGAAGATCCCGCTCTCAAGGGGCCCCTGGGGCTCATTAATGACGAGGAGCACGACTCCAATTTCTTGCAGGAACTGGATCAGAAACTCCTCGATCAGGCGAAAAACGTCCTGGGCGGCTCGGGTGAATCAGCAGACCCTAACGCTAGTGACTCAGAGTCTGAATTCCCTGATCAAGGCGAGACGGAGCCTGAATTCAAGTTCAAGAAATCGTCTAATTTTGGGTCTGCATTTGGAGAATCTAATATTGGCCAAATCTAAGCACCATCTACGCTTGTATCTCTCCTGATCTTCTGTGATCTATCGAGATCTCTCTCTGTTGTGGATATGTATCCAAATTTTGTGTTCTCATGTTTGCGATAGCACTGGCCTGCATGTCCTTTCGATGCCACACTTTTCTGTCTTCTTTCCTCTTTTTTTGGCGAAATACCTCACGAGATCATGATATATGCTGCGATGTGCAATAAAACCTCACTTGTTTCAGATACCTCTCTTCGTCTGCCCTCGTTCCTGGGGTTACCTATGGTTTGACAGACAACCTCGGCCCTACCAAGCTGCATTTGAATTGTCCTAGGTTTCTATTGGAGTTCCTTGCGTATGATCTGTGGAAATTTGACCTAGACTCATTGTCTTGATTCGCCGATTGAAGAGTTCTCCTGTGCAGGGACATCTTAATGTCTCTGTTGTGCCTTATTGGAGACTATCCCTTGCTTCAGAACCACCCTTTTCCCCCATTTGGCCCCACGTGTTTTCCTGCTCTCCAGGTGAACGTCCCCATCTGCACTCCATACGACAGCGAAAATCCCGTCAATCCTCTCCCAGATGAGTGAAGACAGCTCGGGGGCTCGGACTAGGAGTCGGAGTCGGCACTCATGTATACGCCCAACATTGGTCACTTAGGGCACACTTGGGCCCTCGACATGAGCTGCACCTCGCAACTAGTGAACGCTGTTACCTACCCTCATTTCCACCAAAGCTTGGTTCTAGACCACTCAAAGTCGATGTCTCTCATGGTCTCTCTTATCGGCAGCTCCCGAGACCCTATGCCTTGCAGATCACCACCCTTGTGGCTTTTTTTAGAGTGCCAACAAGGTCTTAGCTAGGCTGTGCCTTGCAGAAATATCCCTATCTGGTCCTATCTGGTCCTATCTGTTCCTGGCTCGAGCCCTTGGCTCTCCCCACGATATCCCAGAAGTATATGGCGTTTACTTGGGCGCCAAAAACTACATAAAGACCATACTTCACACGCCTCATCTTCTATTCTTCATCACAGTCTCTCAACAGTCATTCGCTCTTCACTGTCTTTCCAAACTCTCTTTCAAGCCACTTCAATCAAGCCACTCGCTCTTAATCTTCGGATTCACTCCATCTAAACCCTCACTACCATCCTCTCTTTCAAACCCAACCAAAAATCACCACCAACCGCAACAATGGTCTCCTCCACCACCTTCTCCGGCCTGGTCTGCCTCGTCCTCTCCCTCGGCCCCGCAACCGTCCTCTCCGCCCCTCAAATCCCAGGCGTCCCCTTCCCGGAGCTGATCAACCACGGTCCTGAGACCACCACCGACGCCGCCGGCAACACCGAGACATCCGCCGGCAGCGGCGTCAACGTCGGCATCCCCGGCGGTCCCACCGTCAACGTCGGCGCCGGCTTCCACGACTCCCACCGCCCCTGTGGCCCCAACGACCACCGCGCCGGCGCCGGCGTCCACGTCGGCATCCCCGGCGGTCCCACCGTCAACGTCGGCACTGGCAAGCACTCCCACGAAGACGCCTACCCCTGTGAGCCTGAGACTCCGGTCGTCGTCGTCGTGCCTACCACCACTGCCATCAACCCCCCTGTGACAACCGCCAACCCTCCCATCTTGCCCCCGACCTTCGTCACGCCCATCAGCATCCCCACCACCACCGCTCCCGTCTGGGTCCCTGCTGTCCCCGTCGTACCCACCTCCACTCCCCTCATCCACCCCGCACCAACCGCTACTCCCTCGCCTTCCTATGCGCCTGTCTCGCCTGTTTTCAACGCTGGCGCAGCGCTGGCACCTGGCTCACTGCTTGCAGTCGCCATTCCGGTCATCATGGCTTTCTTCCACTAAGTTTTCAATGCACTCGCTTGAATGATTTGGAACAAAAATGGTAACTGAGATATACCTGTCAGCGACATGGTTGTCTCTGGTTGCCTTTCATGATTGGTTTGATGAATGATCGGACTGCTGTGCACAACTCTTCTTTCTCTCTACATTTTTACGCATTGTCTTACCATTATAATCTCCGGCTGGTGTACCCACCCACGGATTTACCTGTATCTTCTGTGCTCGATGTCGAGGGCCGATTTTTGATTTATGTTTTGCTTACTATTTTTTGTCTCTTGTTTGCGCATACATGTACACGGGTCTGATTGGATTGTTTGTATTTGATTGGGCGTCCGCGGCGTGCTTTGCACTGTTCGGCGTTCTTGTGGTTACTATTTGGAATTTGGTCGAATATATTATTCTGATATACGTTCTTATACTGGTGTTCGTGGTAGACTACTAATACGCTAGGTTGCTCCAGATCGGCGCGCCTATGCCCATACCCGTCTCTTGGTCTACCCAGTGGATTGGATGAATCTCCCGCAAATGACTGGTCTCGTAGACGCCAGGGGCTACGGGTATGTATGTGATGGAACTCATGATGACTTGTCTGCTCCGGGAATCCTTTCATCTTTGCAGTAAACTTGCTATTCGGGAATTTCGCACAATCACGGAAGAAGGCATATGGCAGTTAAAGCAACATGAGAAGCGTGAGATACATAAAACAGGGAATAACTAGAAACGGAGGGAACTGAGAACCACCCCTCAAGCAAATTAACGCCGAACTCGTGTGTCATCATGCATATCATATCTCGGAATACCGGGGGCCATGTCAAATCCACGCTATTCCAGTCCGATGCAGCCGGAAAATACAGCTGCCTAGGAAAGCAAGGGCCGGACGAGAAGAGCCTGAACTCAAAAGAACTCAAACCCCCATCGTGAAATCGTGCTCAATCCCTGGCGTCACACTAGCAATGAACTTGAGGAAAACTACCAGGTACTGGTCAACCCGGATAGCGACCTGTTCTTCCTCGTCATGCTGCAGCATCTCCCACTCGTCGCCACCAGCAGGTGCTTGCTGATGGCCGCTAAGTGACAGGCCCTGGGTCTCATCGACCAGTCCTTCCAGTCCACCTCCTGACCGCAAAACACGGTTCGCTTCCTCGCGTGACTGTGTCTGCCGGAGCTTGTCGCGGCGAAGCTTGAGCGCAGCGTCGGCACGATCCAGCAGTGTCTTCATCACCGAAGCATGGCGGCAGGGGTGCACACTGGCCATCTTGACGCTGTTGTCGAACCATGGGAAGTCCTCCAGTGTCACGGTCTTGTCTTTGTAGTCGCCCACGATGTCCTCCATCATCAGGTGTGGTTTGAGGGGCTCGGATGGCGATTCATAGCCGGAGAGATAGAGACGGGGTGTACGGTAGAAGTTCGAGTAGGTGATGTAGAGGGTATACGTGCGGAGAGACCTATTGCAGTGAAGTAGGCGTCAGAAAGAAGCCGGGCAAAGATTGTAGGGCAAGAGGGGGAAATGAACTCACTCTTTAGTCCCTCGAATAATGGCTTCATTGTCATCATCTTCATCCTCCATATCGGGAATTTCATCCTCCTCCTCCTGCTCACCCAGGTTCCCTGATTCATCGACAGTCCGCACGTCGCGGATCCGAGCCTCCTGCTTATCGCGGTCCGCCCCAGCGTCGCGGCCACCGCCAGTCCGCAGCCACCCGTCCTCTCCATCTCCAGATGTTGCTTCACCACCATCACCACCAGAGAGGAAGTCCCTCACGATTTCATCCTCGAGTCCTGCATCTCCGGCGAAGTTGTCGTTCAGTCTTCGGTGGCAAGGTACTCCGCGGGTGACCAAGAACTGTTTATCGTTCGGCAGATAAGAAACTCGTTTCGCTGGACTTGATGCATCGGCCCATGACCATGTAGGGAACTTGTATACTAGATAGTCTCCAGCGAGGACAAACTCCTCTGGTGTTATTTGGCCAGTGTTGCGGAAGGTGGAAGTGCGCGAGACCGGAGCTAGACGGTCCCTCCAAGTTGATAGAGTAGAGTGTAGGATATTCATTGTGAGGGAGCGTGATAATAATCGACGAAAACGACGACAGCGAGAGCACAAGGAGCAGAAGTGCAACGACCTCGAGTGAACGGTGGGGGAGGTAACTGATAAGCGGTGGAGCACATGATCGGCCCCGCGTGAGCGTCATTCTGAACGGGATCCGCACGTGATAACTTCAGGAATAAACAGTACGTCTTTGTTTTTCTACTGAAATGTATCGAGGTACATTGATAGGGGATTTGAAGGGGACTTATCTGGTGATATGAAGAAGATTTGCACCAAGCTGCTACGTTACATGAGAATCTTGTGCTGTTAGTTACATGTCTACGCTATTCGGGTATCGAGTGTTCAAAGAGCCTTGCACAGTAGTCATGGTTGATTTAATTGGATGGCAGATAGAGTGAGATATGTTCTAAAGCTAATCTTCAGGCAGTTGAGAGCATAATAGGAGGGCCTGCAAAGCCTAGCCACAAATGCGAATTGTCGTCTTCTTCACCGAAAGTACCTGAGGACTCTAGCCGACTGGAAGAGGGACGTTTGTGTGTTTTTGACCACTGGACAGCCTCGACAAAACTGTCAGATCGCTATCTGCCCAGCATTCCCGCCAAACTACCTTTAGGAGGTCAACATCCAGAAGAAGTATGAGGATGCCGGTTCAGCTTGACAGGTCACAGTTTCCTGGCAATGTCTTAATGCTTTGCCAACACTAATCTTCTGGCAGTTTCCCGCTTCCATCTGTCGGTTCCTGGATCTGCCCTTGCTTGGGGATCAGCCATGAGTAGCCTTCCAGCTCTTAGGTTCCCTGCGTTACTGCCAGGTTAATTGCTTCCTCCTGTGCGAGATGTTTGACATGGCCGACCAGCTTCCGCCAGCATATGCTCTCGTAGCACTTTTACCGGGATTTGGTATAGATTATAAACTAAACTCATTCGCCTTCCTCCAGCATCCGCCGTCGCTCAATTTCGGCCTCCACCTCATCTACAACCATAGGAATAGATTTGTCATTCCACTGGCTGGCCTCCGCCCGCATGAAGCCTTCTGTACTCTTCATGCCCACAACCAAGAAACCTAGCTCTTCACGGTCGACATCAAAGACCTCCCACCACTCGCAATCCACGAGTTTGACCCCCTCCTCGCGCGCAGAGAGGTAAATGGCAGCCACGGCGAGGGCATTTGGTTGATGGGTGACATAGAGAAGCTGGGGCGAGAGCAACGATGCATTGAGGTACTGAATCACCCGTTGGGCAACGGCAGGTTTCGTTACACCCAAAGTCCGAAGATATGTCAAGGCGATAGCATGGGGAAGGGCGACATGTGTGTCGAAGGCGAGGGTGCGAAGGATAACTGTTTCGGTGCGGAGGAGGACGAGCCGTGCGGACTGGTAGCCGCCCTCGGACAGAATGTAGGTTTCGGGGGAAGGGGGAGCTTCCGGGGATCCGCCAGGCCTCACAAACCACAAGGGTGATGCATCCCTTGACAGGAGGAGTGTGTAGACATTAAGAACGGAGCGTGGTGACGTTGGTTGGAAGGAAAGCTTGGCTGTCAGGTAAAGGGCTGCGGCTGATACATCCTGCTTTGGTTAGTGGATCAAAAGGGAGACTCGAAGATCCATAGAGCTGTTCTTACTTTCACTGAGTAGATACGCAAGCTACCCCCGTCAGCGCCAAGCCAAAATCGCGTGAAAATCACGACCGCTCGTGCAATGATATCTTGAGAGAGGTGGAGGAGAATACCAGCAGCTTGGGTAAGCTGGGCGCCCGCGCAACGAATGGAGGTCTCGAGGTCAGATGGGACACCGTCAATCGATGATGAAGAGTTCGAGAGTTGATCGGGAGTTGCCAAGGCATTGGACAAATGCTTCAGTCCGTTGGGAGCCATTGACGGCAGAGAGAACGTGCAATGACGCAGATCCGTGCAGCTGCAACCATGCACAGCGGGAGCGGGTCGCGAAGTGCGTAGATATGACAGTGTTGATCTCGAAAAAGGTCCAGTGGAATGGAAGAAACAAGATATAACGCGAAAGTTTAGGTCAATTAGATTGCAAAAGGAAGATTTGATGGATTGTGGAGGTGGGTTATGGAGAGAGCTCTAGGCCTTTCAGCCACCGCTATTTCTTTCCCCCCAGCCTCTTGTTTTCCTTTGCACTTGCCATCTTTAGAGAACTTGGTTTCGAAATTTTGACAACATTTTAAGCTCGATGCTGTGAAACATTCAGATTGCCTTGAAACTATCATTTTTTGTTTGATATTGCATATATCCAAGGGTTGATCTTTTGTGGTGATCAGCCTTCATACTCCCCCCTATCACAACAACAACCCCTCCAGGTTGCACACAGCGCGCCACATTGGGCCTGAATCGACGTGGCATTCCCGTTCAGTCTGGTTATTGCGTCAAAATTCCACGTCAAATCATGTCCTCTGATCTCTCCTATCCACCTGGCGCCCTACATTCCGATGGAAAACAGGACCACGAGACCGTTGCCTTGACGCCCCTAAGACCGTCGATCACTTTGACCGCACGGAATCACTCTAACGGTCGGAACAATCCGTCTTCACACCGTCGCGCAAACACTGAATATATTGCACGAGCACCTCTCTTCGAAGAGGGCTCTGACAACACGATATCAAATCATCCGAGCAACACCCCCTGGACCGAAACCTTGCCGAAGAAAGCCAGAGCTAGTGTCTTGACAGACTGGTTCCAAGGGAAATCAGACCCAGTGGGCCTAGGACTGAAAATGGGCTCCAGCGATGCATATGATGTGACGGGGATGAATGCCCGTCTAGCTTCAACATCCATGTCACATACGAGACAGAACTCAACGAGTCGGTTCTCGTTTTTTGGCCTGCGGCGACAACCAAGCAAGCCTAACTTCCCCGAGCCAGTAGATGACGAGTTCCTGAACCTTGACATCACTGCGGCTCTTTCGTTACCTGAATTGGACGTTGCCAATGATGAGGCGCTGGGCGTCCTACGAGATCACGCCGACAACCTTTTACGAAGCATGCAAGAGGCCTATAGGCAACGAACTTTTGCCATGCACCAAGTATTGGCGGACAAGGATGAAAAGCTCGAGGAACTCGAAGAAACTCGTGCACGAGTTGATCATCTCAGGACGCAGTTGGACGGCATGGCCGCCAAGGTACTAGATCAGGAGAAAGCCATGCAGGCCATGGCGGAGGAACTGGAGCAAGAGCGACAAGCGAGAAAGACAGAGGAGTCTCGCAGTCACAGTCGTGAAATATGTACCGAGGATCCAGAAGACGACGTCCCCTCCATGGCGCTGCAAACCCCTCGGCGCGGTGGCAAGCGTGCCAGTCATAGCACCTTCACCAGCGACTCGGGCTTCGAGTCCGGTGACGAGAGCGTTGTCGATAGCGTCTTCTCCCAACGTGAGGGCGTCGAGTCTCCCACCTCCACGCTGACTGCACCATCTCCCAACATGTCCCAGATAGCCTTGTCTACTACTGGCCCGGCGCCAACACCTACAATCCAAAAGAACCTGTCCGCGGTCACAAGTGTACCACCGCCTGCACGCTCATCGGCATATGACCGGGTTCTGAAGGGCCTTGCTTCGACGCGCTTAGGTAGTTCTTTCACTGGCGGAACGGCTCCTAACTGCAACATTTGTTATGGTGTGCCCGCCTCCGAGGCCTGGAGTGTGATGGGTATTCTACAAGAGGAGAATCGGGGGCTCAAGACACGTATGGGGGAGCTTGAGCTGGTCATCGATGATTGTCTGGGTCTCGTCGGTCCTTGAAAGCTGGTCTTGTTCAGCGGTCCTGTACGATTTTCATTTTTCACCTCATCAGGTGTCTATAGAATGCTGGCATATATTCATACGACCAGAAGAGTTGAATTAAGTATATAACTAGGGCAGCGTGGACAGCCCAAAATTGTTGGCATATATTACCCCGTAGAGCTAGAGCTGGACTCCGGAGTAGATTGGTACCGTGGCCTCTGGAGTGTGGGGATAGCTTGAAGCCCTCTGGAATTTTGGAGGTGCACAACATGTCCGACTGAAACTACGGAGTAGTAACAAAACAGTGAAAAAAGGTGCAGAAATTGAACCTGAAGCCCAGGCTGTGCATTCAACCCTGCCCTTGAACTATGGTGTGGTTGAGTCACTAGTTAGGTGTTGCGGCGAAGACCAAGTGGCCTTAATTAGCGCGAAGCGAAAAGTGGCCAGCGAACATCTTCTGGCTTCTTCCTCCCTCCTCCCCCCCAGTCTCCTTCAACTCCACCCCTTCTCCTTTTGTTTTATTTCTCTTAATATCAATTCCATTCCTTCAGCTGGTTTTCGCCTCCAGCTCTTTTTACTTCTTTAATAGGATTGGGAGGAAGATAGCCACCATGAGCGGCCGTGAGTCTCCCGAACCCTCTCGCACGCGATCGCGACAATCTGTCTCGAATCGACCTCAATGGATCATCAAATGCTGATTGATGTTTCTAGTACGCTTCCTCGACTTGATCAAGCCATTCACGCCCCTCCTCCCGGAGGTGGCAGCTCCTGAGACCAAGGTGCCCTTCAACCAGAAGTTGATGTGGACTGGTGTACGTCGCCCTGAATCTGCTGCGAAATATTGGCTTGGGTGCTAATTAATACTTGCAGTTGACTCTGATGATCTTCCTGGTCATGAGTCAGATGCCTCTTTACGGCATTGTCTCTTCCGACACTTCGGACCCCCTGTACTGGCTCCGTATGATGCTGGCCAGTAACCGTGGTACTCTGATGGAGCTTGGTATCACCCCTATCATCTCCTCCGGCATGGTCTTCCAGGTATGTCCAGAACAGACTCCTATCGTGATTTTACAATGTGTTAACACCTCTTGTTTTCTAGCTCCTTGCTGGTACCCACCTCATCGATGTCAACCTTGACCTGAAGACCGACCGCGAGCTCTACCAAACCGCTCAGAAGCTCTTCGCCATCATTCTCTCCTTCGGCCAGGCCTGTGTCTACGTCCTGACTGGTCTTTACGGCCAGCCCAGCGATCTCGGTGCCGGTATCTGTGTTCTCCTGATTGTCCAGCTGGTCGTTGCTGGTCTCGTTGTTATTCTGCTGGACGAGCTCCTCCAGAAGGGCTACGGTCTGGGCAGCGGTATCTCTCTGTTCATTGCCACCAACATTTGCGAGTCGATCGTCTGGAAGGCTTTCTCCCCCACGACCATCAACACCGGCCGTGGCCCCGAGTTCGAGGGCGCCATCATCGCTCTTTTCCACCTTCTTCTGACCTGGCCCGACAAGCAGCGTGCTCTGTACGAGGCTTTCTACCGCCAGAACCTGCCCAACGTCATGAACCTTCTGGCTACCCTGCTCGTGTTCGCCGCTGTCATTTACCTCCAGGGCTTCCGGGTTGAGATCCCCGTCAAGTCTTCCCGCCAGCGTGGCATGCGCGGTTCTTACCCCGTCCGCCTCTTCTACACCTCCAACATGCCCATCATGCTCCAGTCCGCTCTCTGCTCCAACATCTTCCTTATCAGTCAGATGCTGTACTCGCGCTTCTCTGAGAACATTCTGGTCCAGCTCCTCGGAGTTTGGGAGCCCCGTGAGGGATCCGCCCAGCTTTATGCCGCCTCCGGTATCGCTTACTACATGTCTCCTCCTCTGAACTTCAAGGAGGCTCTCCTCGATCCCATCCACACCGCTGTCTATATCACCTTCATGCTTGTTGCCTGTGCCCTCTTCTCCAAGACCTGGATTGAGGTTTCCGGCTCCGCTCCCCGTGATGTTGCCAAGCAGCTCAAGGACCAGGGTCTCGTCATGTCTGGTCACCGTGAGCAGAGCATGTACAAGGAACTGAAGCGTGTTATTCCTACCGCCGCTGCTTTCGGTGGTGCTTGCATTGGTGCTCTGTCCGTCGCCTCTGACCTCCTCGGTGCCCTCGGCAGCGGTACTGGTATTCTTCTTGCTGTGACGTAAGTCTCCCGTTGCTTTTCTCCTATTGTTCTTCCCCACTAATTCGTTCGTGCAGTATCATCTACGGCTACTTCGAAATTGCCGCCCGCGAGGGTGACATTGGCGCTGGCCTTAAGGGCCTCGTCCCTGGCAGCTAAATGAGTCTGCGCGTATTTTCACGAGCAGCATGACATAGGGCCATTAAGCTGGTCCTTTGCACCCTCTGTTTACTTTTTGAAATTCTTTTCCTACGCTCTTCTTTATACTTTCTGGGTGAATGGATCGGTACCATCTGGAGGGGTTGGGTTGGAGGCATGTTGAGGTTCAATGCGGGTTGATTCCAACAGTGAGCGTCTTCTTCGGCATCCGATGTTGACACGTTCTATGCCATCCATGAAAGGCATATAGTCCAGTCCGACCCGCTAGACAGTGCTCAGCGATGAATGCCCTTCTGGGTCTGTAACCATATGTGTCTAGAAAAACCAAAACCATATATTCAACTTGTCAAGCCATCTTCCTGACCTTGCTTCTTACTTCCCTGGCCCACTCTCGTAATCAACGCCTTGGCTCTGAACTAAAACCTGAAATCCATGCCTTAGATTCAATACTAACAATTGCCCATAGATCTAAGTGCGATAATCACCATTGATAGTCACATACTCGTGACTGAAATCACAGAACCAGTAAACAGCATCCTCACCACCACACCCAGCCTCTCCCTTCTCACCACCAGCAAGATCAATCTCAATCTCCAAATCCTCATCCTGCAGAATCACACTAGCCCGCTCCTCATCAACACTCTCTGGCTCCCCATTAACCAAAAGCTTCAAAGCCTCACTCCCATCAACGGGGCGGAAGCTAACCGAAGTCCTCTCCGGAACAACAACACCCTCCTTAACACCCTGCGTATAACCCACAGCACACAAAATCCGTCCCCAATTCGCATCCTTCCCATAAAGCGCCGTCTTAACCAGCGGCGACCGCGCAATCGTAGAAGCAATCTGACGCCCAGACTCATAATCAGACGCATTGCGCACACGCACAGTAACGAACTTAGTCGCTCCCTCGCCATCCCGCACAACGAGCTGCGACAGCTCCTGCGCAAAATCAGTCACAACCGTCTGCAGCGCGGCGTAGTCGGCGCTGGGGGTCGAAGAGGGCGCGCGGATTGTCTCGCCGCCTGCTGCGCCGTTGGCTAGCACGGCGACTGTGTCGTTTGTGCTTGTGTCGCCGTCGATGGAGATCGAGTTGAAGGAGCGCGATACGGCGTGCTTGAGAATTGATTGCAGGGCTGCGGGCTCGACGGAGGCGTCTGTGCAGAGGACGCCTAGAAGGGTGGCCATGTTCGGGTGGATCATGCCGGCGCCTTTGGTCATGCCGGCTAGACTGTAGGTGCGGTCTGGGGAGGAGGGGAGGGTGAAGGTCCGCGAGAGGAGCTTGGGGAAGGTGTCTGTTGTGCAGATTGCACGGGCGGTTGTGAGCCAGGCTTCGTGGGTCGAGGCCAGGGTTGTGTGGGCTGTTGGGATGCGGTCGAGGATCTTGGTGATTGGGAGGCTGTTTGGAAAGTTAGTTGGGATACTCTCCATTTTTCTTCTTTCTTTTCATATCGCGCAGCTTGTAATCGAGAGCATAGACTTACCGCTGTCCAATAACACCAGTGCTCATAACCAACGAGCTATCATTCTCAACACCGCTGCACTCATCCACCTTTCGCCCCATCTGCACCGCATCCTCGAGTCCGCCCTTGCCGGTAACGGCATTTGCGCATCCAGAGTTGATAACTACGGCGCGAATGCCCTCTCCCTTTCGGCTTTGCAAGGTCTTTCTGCTAACCTGCACCGGCGCAGCCTGGAACTTGTTGGTGGTGAACACGGCCGCAGCCGAGCAGGGCGTCTCGGAGGCAATGAGTGCCAGATCCGGAAACTTGGTGTTAGAGGCCTTGACGCCGACGTGAGTGCCAGAGACCTTGAATCCTTTGGGGTACGTGCCGCTTGTGGGGATGTAGCGCTGCTTCGAGACTGGAATAGCCATGTCCAACGGTGCGGAGTAGCACCGGACTTGGCCCTTTAGCATGCGGGCGAGCGAGGTTGCCATTGTGGCGGACTGGGTTGTTGGAACCATGTGTAGTATGGAGTTTGGTATATATTAATGGCTTGGAGATGCAAGCTCGGGGCTTTTATCGGGATGAACCTCTCTGGTGAGTCACTTGAAGAGCCGGCTGGAGGGAAAAATAGTCCCCGGCTTCGGGAGCTCCCCACACTCGGATTGCGCGAGAGCCCACTCGGACTCCGAACTGCAATTGAGATTTGAGTATCGCATGTGCTTTCTACTTGTGATGGTATGCTGGAGTTTCGAGTTTTCTAGTTCTACTCTGTTCTAGCCTAGGATTTACCTAGTTACCTGACTTACTGTTGAAGACAAGAAAATGACACCTTAAAGCCCAGGCATCGACTCAGATATTCAAAGATTGATGCAATTCATAACAACCGAACAGGAAAGCTAAGCAGTAAGCTACTGGAAAGACCTTGTATATGTGCAATGAACACAGATGTCCAGGGTGATGTCCTAGTCGTAAGTCGTAACAACCCAATGGATCTCTAGGGGACCAGGGCTGCCTGGCGGAGTCGGAGAAACCCATCCGCTTCAACTCAATTCCTTCAATCCTATCCGTACTGTGTAGTACTTCTAATCCAGCCACTAGTGACTTGTGCATTCCAGTGCCAGACCTGCAGCTCCCTGCAATAGCCCTGGAGCAGATCTCGAACCCCCAGCCAAGCCCTCCCTTGCATCCCCGGCCTTGGGCACATTCTCCGGATCGATGGTACTGTTGATTCCTTTCACTTTCGCCTCTCTGTGACCGTATTTACTGACTTGACCGACATGAAGCGTAAGCTCTCGGATGCCGGCGATCAGCCGCAAGTCTCAACCCCCAAGAGACGGAGAACGGCCCTAAAGCAGTCCAATGGCGTCCCCAACGGCCACGCGCCCAATCTCGCACCCCCGAACGACGATATCTTGAACGAGGTCCACCCACCGCAAAACGGTCAATCCACACCCAAAAAGGCCAATGATGTGTCTGCCACGCCGTTACAACAGTCTGGTCTGAAAACGCCCACCCACCGAGCCAAAGCTCGCGGTTTATTCGCTACGCCTACCAAGCCACAGTCAGTAACCGCGCCCACTCCATCGCGAGTTAGGAATGCAGATCGGTCTGCGAGGAAGAAGAGTGCACGGGTGCTATTCGAGCAGAATGAAGATGCGGCGTGGGATGGATCGGAACGACTAGCGGAAGAAATCTTGGAGGGAGATGAGGAGCCGGGAAATGAGAAGGCGGATCATTTGGCGGAGAGCATAGAACCGGAAGCAGCAGAGGCGCAAGATAAAGGACCGAAAGGAGCGAAACAACCCAAGCGTCGTGCGGGACGACCGAAGGGCGCCAGAAACAAGCGCTCTCCAACCCCCGAAGGAGAACTCCCGGCTCACGAACGATACTTCTTCCAGAACCGCGCTGGTCCGGTGAAGACATCAAATGCCACCCTCAACAAAGTGCCGCTGTTGACGCATGAGGAATATTTCGAGAAACTTGGACAATATGTGGATCCATGCAAAGAAGAGAAGGATTACTTGCTCTCTTTGCACCACCGATCTTTCGCGCAGTGGGCATTCGAGTTTGAAGAAGGGTTCAACATCTGCTTGTATGGTTACGGCTCCAAGCGCCATTTGGTGGGCCAATTCGCAGAGTGGTTTTACAATCGCCGTCTATCATTCACGACGAGCCCAACTATTGTCATGGTCAATGGTTACACACCAGGGATATCCATTCGTTCGATCTTCGCCACTATCGTCGCAGCCGTGATGGGCGAGGATGCACCATCAAAGCTAGGCGCACAGCCAACCGAGGTTCTCGAGCTGCTACAGTCCGCACTCAAGTCCCGCAAAGAACCAGTCACCGTTCTTATCAACTCCATCGATGCCCCGCCTCTACGCCGCGCTGCAAACCAAGCCCTTCTCGCCCGCCTGGCTGCAACACCCCGCATTCGTCTCCTAGTCACAGCCGATACTCTCAACTTCCCAGTGATGTGGGATATCAGTCTACGTGACCAGTTCAACTTTCTCTTCCATGATGGTACCACCTTCATACCCTTCTCTGCCGAGGCCGACGTCGTGGAAGAGGTCAATGCCCTCCTTGGCCGCAAGGGCCGCCGCGTCGGCGGGAAAGATGGTGTGGGCTTTGTGCTCAAGAGTCTTCCCGAGAATGCGCGCAATCTGTACCGTCTCCTGCTCACGGAATTGATCTCTCTACTGGACGACGGTCACCAGTCAGACGATGAAGGCGCTGCAGAGGGCAGGTCTGGCGATGACAATGGTATTGAGTTCCGTCTCCTTTATCAGAAGGCAACGGAAGAGTTCGTCGCGTCTTCGGAGATGATGTTCCGCACCCTGCTGAAGGAGTTCCATGACCATCAGATGATTACTTCGCGTATGGATGCCAGCGGGATGGAAATATTGGGTGTTCCACTATCACGCGACGAGATGGAAGGTGTGCTGGAAGATCTGGTGCTGGGGTAGCACCCTTGTGTGGTGTGGAATAGATCAAGACTCATGATACCCCTGTACGAATAAACAAATTTTTTTACCTACGATCCGGCATGGAACAGATAGTCATCGACAATTGATGAATACCAAGTCGGTATTGTTTGGGTAGTATGTACAAGCAGCATTTACTACTCCCTGGTTCGAGTACATGTAGACAATACAGGAGATCTAGAAATTGGCAAACGCCGCCATCGCCATCATAGCACCAAAACTGATCTTAAACGGCCTGTGCTCACTCATAGCATGCCGTAAATCCACCCCCTTAACATATTTCTGAATCCGATTGAGAGGGAGAATATTGTACCCCTTCGATGCAGCGTACTAGACAGCGACAAGCATTAGCACATATATTACCAATCCAAGTATACCCCGGAGAGCCATATACGCACCTCAACAAGAACAACCCCCATCCCCAAAAGAACAACCAAAGCCTTCGAGAAAGCCCTCAATCCAACACCAGCAACAAGCCCCAACACACTCCCCAAACTAACCTGCCGCATCGTCTGCGGATTCAACAGCCCATTCCGAACAGGCTTCTGTTCTGCGCTGCTGCTCTGAAAGACGCTCCTTTGGTATCCTGGCGTGGGCTCGGCGTAGTCGCAGCGCATTGGGGATGCACGGAATGGTGACGACGGGTGGAGGGTTGCGGCGGAGAGACCGAGGCTTACGCCTAGGCCGAGGCGGAGGAGGGTTGTGGGTTGGTGGGTGAATAGGCGGAAGGACATTTTGACTATTTTGCTTTTGCGATTGGGAGAATTGGTAGAGTCAGATGGATGTGGTTTGTGGTTTGGGAGGGAGCTTGGAGTAACTTGGTTGTTTTGGGGACGATAAGGGATGTGACGTCATGATTGATGGGGTTGCTAAAGTGGAGGTTGGGGTCTTTTCTTTTACGAAGTGCTCCGTACGTTGGAGCTTGATATAGTGGTCCAATTTGCAGTTTGGCTGTTTTGCGATTTGGTTGTGAATAGGAATTATAGCATGTGTGGCGTATAATATCGCGGCCTAGTATGGTGAATATGCTAAACCCTTGTACTCAGAGACATATGGATAAGAGGAGTTATGCATACTGCGGGTGTGCAGCATAAGGATAATGCGGAGAGATCTAGTGATGCAAGTATATGTCGATTGCGGGTTGTACAACGGGATTTTACAAGAGATAGCTCAGAAAATAAGTACGAAGTAGGTACAATATATAGCTTGGCTCATATTATGGACAATCTCTTCTGCCAAGTCGAGACCAGTCCAGTATCAATTGAGTCGCATCGAACAACTGCACTTCAGTACCTGCAGGCTGCATCGAGATCGAGATCTTGATAACCGGGAACCCTCAGCTCTTATTCAATTAGCCTAAGCATTAGAGTTAGTTAGGGCTAACTACCTCACCTGCTTAACACAGTAAACTATGGCAGTCTCAATGCCAAGGGCCAAGAATGGAAGTCTTGGTGATGATTAATAATGACAAAGAACCCCCTCAACTTTCCCCAGAGAGCAGGCGGTCTGATCTACACCGGAGGAGCAAGGTGATCCCCTCGGGAAACTTTGTACGTTTTCTGCGGAGCTGGCGAGGGGCGCTGCGACTGTGATTGGTCTAAAGTGAAGTAACTTCGGGGCAAAGTGTAACTTTCATATCCAAAACTGAGTCACGTTCGGAACAATCTTCTTCTTTTCTTTTCTCGTATCTCTTCTCTAGACCTTGCAATTCACTTCTCTTACATATCTCCTTACTTTCTTTCCTTAAGCTCTTACACAATTTATAATGGCTGCTCCAAACGGTACTACTGGCAATGACTTCACCGTCAAGGCGGGTCTCGCCCAGATGTTGAAGGGTGGCGTTATCATGGACGTTGTGAACGCCGAGCAGGTATGATATCTCACGAGGTCGCAATTCACTATAGCATAGAAATCTAACAGTATCCTCAATTAGGCTCGCATCGCTGAAGAAGCCGGTGCCGCCGCCGTCATGGCCCTCGAGCGTGTCCCCGCTGATATCCGCGTCGAGGGTGGCGTCGCGCGCATGTCCGACCCCAGCATGATCAAGGAGATCATGGAAGCCGTGACCATCCCCGTCATGGCCAAGGCCCGCATCGGACACTTCGTTGAATGCCAGGTATGTGAATACATCTTCATGCGGGGCCCCATACCCTAACCGAGTGACCCAATTCCCCGGTGGCGGAATGGCGGGCGCAAAGTAACAAGAGTCAAGACCCACTAACAATCGCCCGCTCTGCAGATCCTTGAAGCCATCGGCGTTGACTACATCGACGAGTCCGAGGTCCTCACCCCAGCCGACGATGTCTACCACGTCACCAAGCACGGGTACAAGGTCCCCTTTGTCTGCGGCTGCCGCAACCTCGGTGAAGCCCTCCGCCGCATCTCCGAGGGTGCCGCCATGATCCGCACCAAGGGTGAGGCCGGCACCGGCGATGTCGTCGAGGCCGTCAAGCACATGCGCACCGTCAACGCCCAGATCAGCCGTGCCCGCGGTATCCTCCTCGCAAGCGAGGACGCTGAGCCCGAGCTGCGTGCCTTTGCGCGCGAGATCGAGGCTCCCTACGAGCTTGTCCGTCAGGCTGCTGAGCTTGGTCGTTTGCCTGTTGTTAACTTCGCTGCTGGTGGCGTTGCGACGCCCGCTGATGCGGCGCTTATGATGCAGCTGGGCTGCGACGGTGTCTTTGTTGGCTCTGGTATCTTCAAGTCTGGCGATGCTAAGAAGCGTGCTCGTGCCATTGTGCAGGCCGTGACTCACTACAAGGACCCTAAGATTCTGGCTGAGGTTAGCCAGGGTCTTGGTGAGGCTATGGTTGGTATCAACGTCAAGCAGTTGCCTGAGAATCAGAAATTGGCTGGTCGTGGTTGGTAGATGTGTTTTGATATCTCTTGTTTCAGCGTTGGTCGTGTTCTTAAACTTGCATATGAGCCATGAGTATATGTGATGTGACAAAATTATCTATACAATTTACATTGTCATTCTAGCCCAAGAACTACACAGTAAATCTGGATCTGAGTATACTATTGTAAACCTCTGAATTCCGTGATCCGACCTAGGATCAGATAGGATACCTGAAGTAACCACAGAAGCAAATGCCCCTACAGATACGAGCCTTTGGATAAACGCAATTAAACTCATAGGCTCCCGACACCGAGCCACCAATCATCAACAGACTTTGGCCAAAAACATCCCGATTGGCCTTCGGCTCCGCGACTAGTAAAAGTCACCAATCGGGGCATCGGCTGTGTATCTTCATCTCACTCCGAAGCTCCGTATTCTCGGAGTCTCGGACAGCAGCTTTGTGACGGAGAATCACGGAGAAGGTAATCTTACTGTGCTCCAGCTGATTACACCATTCTGCCGTTCGAGATTCCGGTAGTTAAAATGTACAAAATGTACAACATAAGGGAAATACTTCCTGCCACCTGGAGATTGTACATGCGGGAATAAGAATCTTGGCCAACTACGTGGATTGAAATGCCAGAAACCGTGACCATTATCCCGGCCGAATTTCAGCGTTCGCCGGGCATCTGACTTCCCTCGTAGATCCCCAGACCCCAACCAGCCCTCAGTTAGGATAAGGTAAGTGGGTCCCATGGTTGGATAAAGACAAAGTGGAACCAGGTCCAGAGCACGTGATAGTTAGTTATATAGTTAAATCGTGGGGATAACCAACTACGTACATACTAACTACTGAAGTGGGAGGAGCGCGAAGGCGGCCTGACACCGCAGCGAGGCCTCGGAGGGAAACCATGCCCAGCAGGCTGCTCTCCAGCAGGCGGCGCTGCCCCCTCCTCCGCCTCCATAGGCTGTACCTTCCAACTGCGGCCGCACCTCTTCTTGGCCAAGTCACGGCATATACCCCTCTATTCGTTCCAGGAAGACAACTTAGACAAGGTCCCCCGACTCCGACAAAGACAACGCCACTCGGTTTCTCAAAGAGATGCGGGGCATGTGTCAACGTTCCAGCATAAACGGCACCGTAGCGACGTTGACACGTGCCCCGCATCTGCTTCGAAAACCGAGTGCCATTCTCTTGTCAAAATCGGGCGGACCTTGTCTTCCTGGAACGAACAGAGGGGTATAGGCTGTGACTTGGCCAGGAAGAGGTGCGGGCGTGGTTGGCGGGTATTGAGCAGCAGAGGGTGCGGCCGCAGTTGGAAGGCATAATGGAGGCGGAGGCGGAGCAGCCTGCTGGGGGTCAGCCTGCCCGGGGTGGCTTTCCTCAGAGGGCTCGCTGCGGCGACTGAGGACATTGGAGGAATCCTCAAAGTCGGCAGTAGATTCATGGAACAGTATGAACTGGTACGTGGCCTTTTCCCGCGCTACATCCGCTCAGAACATGAGGATACTTTTCTCAAAAGTCCATTTCCCATCTACCCTTTGTTGCTCAAATGAGTCAAATCGGCCTTCCTGGGGACGCCATATGAAGTGGGAAGAGCGCAAAGGCGGTCTGACATCGCAGACAGGGGTCATAGGATGATGGGAGGACTGCAGTCTGCAGCCCAGGAGACAGTAGCAAGGGACGTCCTAAGACCTACTGGGAACTGACGAGAATCATACTGAAAAACTGATAGTGAGGCAAGAGATGTGTGTTCTGTGTTGTGTCTGCGCGTCTTTTAAGGAGGATGAGCGGTGAACGACGCACGGCGCCTGAGGCATCATTCTGGAGGTGGCGCGGTTCTCCCACTACACTACTTAGTCAATGGAGTGGTGACTTGTGAGGGATCATGTCATGGGTTTGGAGCTTCTGCTTCCACTAGGCAGCCGGTGGTTCGATATCTATTGGCCTTGCGGGCAAACCTTTCTGTTGAGGATTACCACCTTCTATTCTTCTAGTAAACAGGCAACCTGAACTAGACTGTTTCGACAAAAGAACTGTATCATTTGCTTAACTGACAGGAAATGAACTAAATCTCAAATAAAGCAAGCCGCACCGCCCATGTCATGCAAACGGATATCTAAATGAAAGAACCGAAGTTGCAGGACCCATCAACTCCAATCATCACGTCATGTACTCCATACCAGAATCCAAGCTCCATCACTGTGCATAGTCGTAATTCATCCCCCGGCATTTCAGCCAGAAAGCACGCACAAGAGTCAGAGACTGCTGCTGAGCACCCCGAGCAATGGCGAGAGACTCCAAGAACCGCGACTTATCGTGAGGGGTTAGGACCGGTACCTGCTGTCCGTTTGCATCCGTGACCTGGGCATTCAAGGTGTCAAGGGCAGCGCTGAGAGCCGGGCGTGCCAATGCCGTCTTCTTGAAGATGGTGCGGCGCAGGGCGTCGGTCAGATAAATCAGGTCGGATCGTGCACAGCGGCCTGCGATCTGTTGAGTTACTGTGTAACACAGACGAGGGACGAACTCTTGGTGGACCGAATCGATGATCTGAATTTCTTCGGGGGAACTGCCGCGAAGATCGATCAACGCAACCCAAAACGCAGACGCAGATCGAAGGGGGAGTGGTTCGGGTCGGGTCAATGCGAAAAGAGTGAAGTGAAGTAGAATGGCGAGTGGAGAATCGGTGCCCAGGTCTGACTTAGTGGGTGTGAACAAGATCTGATAGTACTTGGGCAAGAGACGTGCCAGGAAGTCAATGCCGGCATTGGCAGTTTCTGGATCATAGGTTTCCGGCTTTTGGAGCATGGAGGCAAAGAGCTGCGCTACATGGTCGATAAGAGCCTCAGCTTCGATGCGGATGTTCATCGCATGCCCGGCGTGAGATGCCAAGAATGACGAGGCAGTTGCCATGATAACATCTGTGCCAGAGATACCGAGCGGGAAGCTCTTGATGAAGTCCACTGTCATAGAAGGCGGGAAGACAAAAAGTCCTGCCCGCTCCGTATATCCAGCTTTCAGTATATCACATGCTGCTTCGATGATGCCGTTGTCAACGGGAAAATCGACGACCAGAAGTCTCATGGCCTGCATGATCAAGCGTTGAGTTTCGGCGCCTGGTCCAGAATTCCAGAAGGACGGAGGGTAAGGATTGCCTTCTTGGTTAGTCTCGATATCGATGACTTCACTTTTCGATCGAAGACCTTTTCCGATACTGGCAATGCAACGTAGCACAAGGTGTGCACGGAGACGGCCATACTCGTGGCCAGGGCCGGTAACCTCTTCCCGTGCTGTATTTGCTTCCTGGACAAAGAAGCCCAGGATCCGCTCGAGTGTTTGCACTCTTTCTTGATCGCCACACAAACTCCGGATGATCGTCGCAATTCCTTCCAAGACCCTGGGCATCGTAGAGACCGTTGCCGTCGGCTTGCTTCTGAACTGGTCTAGTTGATCTAAGAATGCAGGAAGATCTGAGGTCAAGACATGAGCGCACGACTTGGAAAGAGCCAAAATTGACCTCGAGGCCGCCTGCGCACACAATTCGAAGTTGAGAGATTCGAACAAGATGTTCAAAACCCCAGGCAATAGGGAATTGTGACGCTTAAAGTATCGTTCGTACTTTCCGAACGAAAGCACTAGGGTCTGACGAGCCTTGAGCGGGATTCCTGTATCCGCACCTGCGCAGAGCCTAGCAAACGCATCGCTGCCAAAGATAGCATCGAGACATTGGTCAGCATGGCCATTCTCATCCACTGCTTCAGAGAGCTGAGCTATGCAGAACATAGAAGCCTCGAAATTACGCCAGTCCAGATTATGCAGGCAACTTGTGGCCTTTGTCTGGAAGACAGTCACCAAGTCGATACCAATCACAGGGTATGCTGAAAGTAAGTAATCACATGCCTCGTGACGGAAGGCATTGAATTCACTCCGCTCTTCGTCACTCCAGTCTTCCAACTCTTCGGGCGTTGGATACAGCATTTTATTGCCAAGAGATATCACAACTTCGGCGAGATGGTCTCTCACAAAGTCATAAGCTCGACTACCTTTCTCGAGGTCGCCAGGGACGCTCTCTGCAACTTCATTCCAGAACTCCAGCACGCGCGGAGTTCCGAGATCATCGATGGCAGCGTATCCAGGTGTTTTAAGAATCCCATGAACAAGTTGAAGGACGGCTCTAGCCTTTGAATCTGTGTCGTCAGTGAAGAGAGCCAAGTGCCGATACATGACGTATGCGATTAGGAGATCGACAAAGGACATGCTTTCGCTTCCTTCAGTGCCATTCGCTACTGAAACGATGTGAGAGGTCACGTTCGAATCAACAACATACGATGCAAGCAAATCTAATGAGCCTCCCAAGAAAACACACGCGCGACCTTCGAAGGCCGATGTCAGAATGGAAGCTGCAGCTTCACTCAAGCTGGAAACACCTAGCGTACTGATGACAGTCCGACCACTCTGTAAAGCCAAGTCATTGACATCTTCAGCAGAAGAGTGTTGGCGATTCCCATGGACACCTATCCATGCCTGCAAGGGAAGAGTCAGATTAGCATTTGCACTTTTCAAGCAAAGATGCTGGCGGCCGGGATTAACCTACCTTCCATGAGCTCATGGCTTCCGTAGCCAGTGCCACATCAACTGCATCATCTCCAGCAGCATGCGCTTGCTGCATTATTTCCATAAGAATGAATTGAACCAGAAGTAGCCCGTCCTTGGCGTTCAACCTAGCTCGCCGAAGAGCAGAAGATTCCTCGGGGCCATCGTGAGGTAATGATTCCAGCTGGAGAGCCTCCTCGGCGAGCGCAATGGAAAAGAACAGCAATGCACCTGATCCATTCTTGTTCAGCGCTGGCAGTATCTGCTCCCGGAAATCTGCCGTTTGTGATTGCTCCTCGGATATGTATCCACCATGGACGAGGCTTGCAGCCAGTTGCCACACAGCTCGAGTCCACCTCGCATAAGGATGTCTGAATATGGTGATCAAGCTTGAAGCAAGCTTCCGCACAACCATTGTTTGTTCGCCATTGGTGACCAAAGCGACGAAGCGATTAATCAAGTGCTGCATAATCTCCCTAGCCTTATTTTCATTAATCTCATGCCTAATAGAGAGTAAGATCAGCCATGACTCGTTACACGAATAATTGACGACTGGGAGAGACCGATACGTGGGTCTTACCACGAGACATTGATCTTCACCGTGAAGGTGAGGGCTCCCATGAAACGATGCTGGGGAGAATCTTCAATTTGCAAGAGAGAATCAGCAATTGCCCATGCATTATCTGTCTTCTGGAGTTGCTGGAAGCGCGTTTGGATTTCGTTGATCTTGGCGGGGTCTCGTTGGTTTGCTGGATCATAGAGCTCAGTAATTAGCTGCATCTTTGTCAGTTGATGATTCTCAGAATGTGGATAGGATCTTCATACTGTGTGGGCTTCACAGATAGACTCCCTGGTATCAAGACCATCGTCTGACATCCACGTTGCCATGTTGTCTCAGGCCAGTGTGGTTGGGGGAGGGAAAAAGAGAAGTGTACTCTGAACATACACAAACCCGGGGCCCTTTGACCGGCAGAATCCGGTGCCTGTGTTGTTTGGTCTAATCAGCAATGAAGCGGTCTGATAGGCGGTAAGCGTGGGGTATGTCACATGATCACTTCCCGTGCCTATCTATTCAACCACTTGTAGAGTCCTCAATAGTTCATGCTACCCAGAGCAATTGTGCATTAAGAAGCCTCTTGATGCTAGGATCTTTTATTGGACAAGGTCTGGTGGTGCTCAGATAGCTCAACTCTTAGCGGCATGAAAGGTACACATATCTGAACCATGTATTAGCCTGGCTTAGGCTCCTGACGCAATACACAGTATGTGAATAACAGCAGTCACTGCAGCATGTAGATCAGAACAGGGTCTTGAAATCTAGGTTGTGAATGTACTGTAGAGTTGCCCTATCTTCGTGCTAGTTGTACTTCACCGTCAAGTGCAAACATAACAATATCAAAGTGGGCCGTGTGTAGCCGCTTGAGAATTCCGGAGATCGCCCTCCGGCTAAAGGCCACTCACACCATTTGCGGGATCAGCTCGTTATCATCCACTTATCTCGTGATCTTAATTCCGGTGGCATTCGCTTAGCCTTTTTAGAAAGCGAATGACAAGCTGAGGATCAGGAATTGCTTCTATCCGACCCTCCAGTGTCCATGCTCCTCTCCCACCCAATTCGCCTTCCGTGGACATCTTTGCGATCACTGAGGTCCCTCTCCCGCCCACGCTTCTTCTCAGTCTTTGGTCCACGCTATACAGTCGATATGGGGACCGTGGATACCTCTGAACGCCTGTCAAAGCTGCGGCAGTTGATGCAGCAGCACAGGGTGGATGTTTACAGTATGACATCATCCTAGTTTTTTCTTCCTGTGGTGAACTATACGTTCACACCAAGATCTGTGCTTACTATTCTCCTATAGTTGTACCTTCAGAAGACAGCCACCAATCCGAGTACATTGCGCCATGTGATGCCCGCCGAGGTTAGCGATTGCCGCCCCTTCCAACAGCCTACCCGCATCGGCAACTGACCTCTCCGTACGCAGAATTCATTTCGGGATTCTCTGGCTCCGCCGGTACCGCGATCATCTCCCTGAGCAAAGCTGCGCTTTCCACCGATGGCCGGTATTTCAACCAAGCCGCGAAGCAATTGGACAACAACTGGCAGCTCCTGAAGGCTGGAGTAGAAGGTGTGCCCACATGGCAGGAATGGTACGGAGGCGTTTATGTATGATCGCCTATGCGGAAACTGATATGTTTACAGGACTACGGAGGAGGCCCAAGGAGGAAAAATCGTTGGTGTTGATCCCTCTTTGATCACAGCATGTAAGTGACGCCGCTTCGCCTGTGGGAAAGCATAATCGCGCTAACTCCCAGTAGCCGGTGCTCGGAAACTGGCAGAGACACTCAAGAAGGACGGCTCCACCCTCGTAGGGATCCAGGAAAATCTGGTTGACTTGGTTTGGGGCAAGGACCGCCCTGCACGTCCCAGCGAGAAAGTGCGCGTGCACCCGGAGAAGTATGCTGGCAAGCCTTTCCAAGAGAAGATTGCCGATCTGCGAAAAGAGCTTCAGCAAAAAAAGAAGTCTGGATTCATCATCTGTATGACAGTCTCCCCATACTCTACTTTGAAGAGGTACTAATTGTTGGCAGCAATGCTCGATGAGATTGCTTGGCTGTTCAACCTGAGAGGCACCGAGTAAGAACAATGGCTTTTCCCTGAGGCTGAATGGCAAATTGACAAGTTACGAATAGTATTCCTTACAACCCCGTGTTCTTCTCTTACGCTGTCATCACGCCCACCACCGCTGAGATCTACGTCAACGACGAGAAGTTGACACCTGAGGTCAAGGCTCATCTGGGACAGGACGTTGTCGTCAAACCGTACGACTCTATCTATGCTGACGCTCAAGCTCTCAGCACTCAAGCCCAGTCTGCGGGTGAAAATGCCGCGAAGTTCTTGTTGTCGAATAGAGCTTCGTGGGCTCTCAGCCTTAGCCTGGGTGGCGAGGGACGAGTAGAAGAGACCCGCAGTCCGATTGCAGATGCAAAGGCCGTCAAGAATGAGACCGAACTCGAGGGCATGCGGGCCTGTCACATCCGTGATGGTGCTGCCTTGACCGAGTACTTCGCTTGGCTCGAAAATGAACTCGTCAACAAGAAGACTGTCCTGGACGAAGTCGATGGAGCTGACAAGCTAGAGCAGATTCGTTCTAAGCATGATCTGTTTGCTGGGCTTTCTTTTGACACGATCTCTTCCACCGGCCCTAACGGTGCTGTCATTCACTACAAGCCCGAGAAGGGAAGCTGTTCTATCATTGACCCAAATGCCATCTATCTCTGTGACTCTGGATGCCAATACTACGATGGAACGACCGACACGACGAGAACGTTCCACTTCGGCACTCCCACTGAGTTTGAAAAACGTGCTTTCACACTGGTACTAAAAGGAACCATTGGTATTGACATGGCAGTGTTCCCCAAGGGCACCAGTGGATTCGCAATCGACGTCTTGGCTCGCCAGCACTTGTGGAAGGAAGGCTTGGACTTCCTTCACGGAACCGGCCACGGTGTCGGCTCTTACCTCGTAAGTGTTGTCGCTGACCCGACCTACGATCTCCGCTAACCAATAAATAGAACGTCCACGAGGGTCCTATCGGCATCGGGACTCGGATTCAATACACTGAAGTCCCCATCGCGGCCGGAAATGTTATCTCAGATGGTTCGTATTGATGTGATTCACTGCAGCTCAGAACTAATACTTGAAATAGAGCCCGGATACTATGAGGATGGCAAGTTCGGCATTCGAATTGAGAGTGAGTGGTGCCATTGAATTCTACGAAGCAAATACTGATTTATCTCAGATATCGTCATGGCCCGTGAAGTCAAGACCCCGAACAACTTTGGCGACAAGCAGTGGCTAGGCTTCGAGCATGTTACCATGACTCCCATCGGTCGGAACCTAATTGAACCGTCGCTTCTGAGCGATGCCGAGCTGAAGTGGATCAACGACTACCACGCGGAGATTTGGACTAAGACAGAGCATTTCTTCCGGGAAGATAAACTGACTCGCGCGTGGCTCGAGCGTGAGACTCAGCCTATCTCCAGATAGGTCCACGACGGTGTTCTTCATGGGCTCTAGGATGTGGGATTAACGATCATGCTCGCCAATAGATGTAGCTAGGATATACGACGTTTATAATAGTGTATCTATGCCTCAATCATCAGAAAGCGTGGAAAGAGAGTCTTCAATGTACTACGTAGTATGCAGTGTTCAAGTAGTGTAAATCGGGCTCAGTGACAACTGGCCAGTGGGATTGCGGGAAGCTCTGGTGGAGCTACGTAGACTCCGCCCCGGCCTCCAACACCCTTCAATACTGAATTGTTTTCAGTGCCCATTGCAATTCACTGCCGAGAATGCCCGTTGATCCTCGACAATTGTCGCGCGCAAGCCACAGGACCTGAGATCGAACCTCCTGGCCAACGACCTGACGCCAACCCCTTGTCGCAGCCCACCATCGCTTTCATACTGAACCGGAACACCCCGTGAGAAGCGGGCATTATTTGTCATGAGCGGTCAAAATGGCTACGGTAACGGGTACGGCTACTCCGGCCCCGGCCGGTACGATACAAATGAAGGGGGATATGGTGGGAACGACAGCCTTGGGGTGAATGGTTACAGTGGACGGGATCCCGCACCACCAGGCAGTGCTGGACGGTCAGAACGTCGCCCTGGCGGATATGGTGGCTTCTACGATTCACCTCCGCCACCAGGCTTATCTCCAGCTCAACCTTCTCCTGCACCAAGCCAGTCGCCCGAACGGCGCCGCGATCGACCGAACCAAGACTGCCAGCAGCCTTCGTCGCAACCGTCTTCGCATCCTTCGGCGCACCCTTCCTCGCACCCCTCTTCGCAAGGCTCCTCGTATCCCTCCTCCCGGTCGCGCACAAGGAACCAAGAACCCGACCAGAAGTACCAGGAAGAACGGTCTAGAGATGCAAGCCGGTACGCGGACAACAGAGACCAACGGAACGCGTCGCCCGCGTCACATATGCTCACGCGGACCTATGACTCTGGGGAGCCCCAGCCCATCGAGAGTTTGTCTTTCACTTCTGCCTGGCATCATCCAATTGCTAATTCGGACGTCAATAGCTATCTTACAATCGATCCAGCAGGACTGGGATTTCATGACCGATTCCGAGTGTGTCCCGGTACACGTTGCTTTGAGTTTGATGGACACCAGTACGTTGGGCAAAGCGGATCGCGAGCCGGAATTCCTGCGAATGTACGATAGTATTCAAAAGACGTTGAAGGCAATTGTGAACGGTAGGTTTCTGTGATGGTGGTCAGAGTTGGCCCTGCGCTAATATTGCATGTTGTAGAACACCACCAGGGATTCAACAGTTCTATTGGAACGTACCACAAGATCCAGTCAAATATATCTTCCTCGCAAGCGCGAGTGCGCAGCCTGAGACACGCCCTCGAGCAGGCCAAATCTGGGTTGATATCGACCAAGCCCGAATTGAAAGGGCTGGCAACATCTTCCCAGAACTATGATGATATTGTCCAGCTGTTCACTCAGATTGAAGAAATCCAGTCCCTTCCCGAGAAGCTGGAATCCCAAATTTCAGACAAGCGCTTTCTGGCGGCTGTGGATGTGCTCCACACTGGTCTTCGAGTTCTGCGGCGCTCGGAGATGGAGGATATTGGGGCCTTATCGGACATTCGTGCTTATTTCATAAACCAGGAGACATCACTCACAGATATCCTGATCGAGGAGCTGCACGACCATCTATATCTCAAGTCACCCTATTGCTCAGATCGCTGGAAAGCCCCTACCTCGGATGGGGAGGTGCACCCGTCCAATTGGTCTGGCACTCGGTCCTGGGACCGGCCTGTTTACAACTTTCTGGCCAAATTCGATCCAATGACGCCCATGGTTGAAGATGCCTCGAGAAACCCTGAGGCTGATACGTTTGCCTACATTCAGTTGTTGATTGAAGCGCTCAATAAGATGGGCCACCTTGACGTCGCGGTTCATCGAATCGAGCAGCGCCTTCCGGTCGAGTTGTTTGCTGTGGTGGATAAGACGAACGCAGAGGTTGACGTTCGCTATCCTGCACCAACCAAGAGCTTCTCAGCGCAGGACAATTACAAACAGTCCAGTCTTCCGACCGAGATCATTGAAAAACGTGGCCACGTACTTTCTGAGTTTTTGTGGGCGCTGTATGCCAAGTTCGAGGCGATTGCAGAAGGCCACCGGATCCTTCATGACGTTGTTGCAGCCATTGTGGAACGCGAGGGCCTCACCAAGAACGAGAAGCTTTCTGGTGGGTTCAAGGAGCTGTGGAAACTGTTGCAAAGCGAGGTGAGTCCCCAAAGGTTTAGCTCGTTCTGTGAATACTAACATACTTTGCCAGATACGGTCTCTCATGCACGACTATCTTGCGACTGATGGAGATTCTTCTGTCCGAAGAACAGATGAGATGGATCGACGTCACGTATATATGGGTTATCGCGATAAAAATAAGGTAAAAGGCTCGCTATCGTTATGGGTTTCATCCAGCTAATCCTCTATATAGAAAATGTTCAAGTTGTCAGATATTGAGCAAAACTCAGAGATGAAGGCTGAGCAAGATGAACTTGATGAGATTCTGAAATCCTCAGTGCCGGGACTTGTTTCAAAGTCAAGACAAAAGGCCACCACACACGATCCTACACAGACACAGGGCAATTCAGGAACTGGACATAAAATCCTGCTTGAGCCAAGCGTCTTTAATATGGGGATCCTTCTCCCTCCTCCCTATCCTTCATCCAGCGGTTGAAGGATATCGTTCCTGTCGATGCGGACATTTCGTTGGGCACCTTGACCTCATTTTTGGACGACTTCATGGTCAACGTCTTCCTCCCTCAGCTGGACGAAACCGTGACGGATCTCTGCACGCTTAGTTTCATTGCGCCAGACGCCTTTACCGAAGACCCTCAATGGACCAAGGTCTCTCCTCGGCCTATCTTTAAGGGAACGGTCAAATTCATGTCTATCGTTCGAGAATTCAGTAAAATGCTATCGAGTATTCCACACGATCAAGCATTCACGCAGCTTCTCATTGACCAGATTGTGACATACTATGACAAGTGCTGTGGATGGTACAAAGCAATGGTCACGAAGGTAACTGCACGGGACCGTGGAGGGGGTGTCCGACTGAAAGCTGCAGCAGCATTTGCCGATTCCGGTGACATCCATGATGTTGTCGACGAACTATGGAAAGGGCCCGGTGACAAGAAATGGACGCTCATCGACACTGAAATCGATCTTCTGCTGAAGCGGACGAACGAGGTGCCTTTAGAGCCATACGACATCATATCAGACCCGAAGACTGTCATCTCCCTCTCCCTCTTATACAACAGCATGCAATGGCTTGCAAGCCACCTCGCCAAAATTCGGCTCGTGGTTGAACATACCGTGGATGCCGAATCGTCGAGTTTGACTGCCACCGGTCGACCATCTCGCAGATGGACTCTGTTTGGGTCCGTGAAGCCCAATCGTGATAGCATCAATCACCCGGTCCACTTACCACTAAATCACGAGACTGTTGTCGCCTTTGACGGGACACTTGAGTCATTACAGGGGCTTGCTGCTACCGCACTTTTGACGATGCATGTTGACATCCGCTGTGGCATCATCCACATGTTGACAAAAACAATGTCCGGACCCAGTCCGCCCAACTTACGGCACTCCGAAGCCGTAACGCCGTCCCCAAGCACAACTGACAACTGGTGGCACATTATCATGAACCAACCGACTGCCGCATCGCCCACCATCCTTGCCTTGAATAACGACCTCATCGCATTCGACACCAACATCTCAACGTACCTAGGATCCATCGAGCGCTGGTTCATCACCTCAGGTCTTGCACGGTTTATCGACCGGGTGTTTGTCTCCTGCACTCAATACATCGGCGCCATGAATGAGAATGGAGCTTTACGGCTGCAACTCGACGTGCTTGTCCTGCAACAGAACCTGAAGAATATCATCATCGACCCAGCTGGGGATTCGTCGAATTCGACAACGGACTTGCACCTGCAAGCCGCTCAGGAGGTCGTCGCCCTGCCACGCAGCGCGAAGTTCCTAGACTGGTTCCTGGAAGGCGCCGAGAAGACCCTGGAGTATGCCAAGGACGAGAAGGAGGCATTTGCGTCGCAAGGAAACAGAGCCCTGGCCGCTGGAAACGGAGAGCCCTTCACCTACGAGGAGCTGCGCGTGCTCGTGGACTTGTGCTTCTCCGAGATCCTGCGCGGCCCACGGGGGGCAGAGAGTCGCGAGGACTTCATGTCGGCGAAGAAAGCAAGCGCGGATGCGCTGCTCACGCTGAACGAGATTATGTGGGATGCTCGTTAGACTGAATATAGAGCGTCGATTTTTCCCTTTTTCGTCTTTTTAGCCTGTTCTATTCGTCCTGGCACCACAGCGCAACTAATAGCGGGACAGCCAAACACAAATTCCATTTCATCTTGGCTCACTGTCATTTCCTGTTTACCTTCCTTTTATTTAATGTATAAACTATATCGCATTAACCCTAGCGAGTCTAGCACAATGGGCCTTGTTCCCCTTAGGGCTTCGGAGCGTCGGCACTCGTCCATGATCCACGCCACGTGTCAGCCCGACTACTCCGTATAGCTGAACCGCTAATATGGTACCGTCTCTGATCACAATCACAAATGTATGGTAGCCGCGGCGGTCGACTCCCACCACGCGCGGGCAATCAGTTGCTCTGAAAATGCCGTTCTTCAGTGGACAGGGACGCCAGTGCTGTAACAACGACATGGCGAGTGGTCATTTGGAATCTGTGATAATACATTGCACAAGACTTGATCGCCTCTACCCAGGGAATGATGACTCTGTGATCCGTGAGCACCATTGGCATCCTGTTTGAAATGTACACCGCTGCTCTCATCCCCTCTTCCCAGGCACACCGAAGCAGAATGGCTTCATCGAAAGAGCAGGCGGCGTCATTATCCTTGTCGCTAGGAAGTTCCAATGATGCCAACTTGCCCAAAAGCCTATGGCCAGAGGCGATGAAAGCAGCGGTGTACATTTCAAACAGGATGCCAATGGTGCTCACGGATCACAGAGTCATCAGGACTTATCACTCCCTGGGTAGAGACGATGACCAACTGCAGCAAACGAGACAGTATCACAAGATATCAGGAGGGCTCTACCATGGGCAGTGCATGAGTGGAGCGAAGAGGATGAGTATCAAGGTGCTTCGCAAGTTTTCTCAGCATCGGATGTCGTGGAAGCTTAGGACAGGCTATTCCTAATTTGTAAACTGGCGGTGAACCTTACTAACCAATAATATCGTGACTTCGCAAAGGACGCTAAAACTTTCTAGCGTGACAGCTAACTACCGATTAGGTTTAGCACGCCAAAAATCCGGCAGAATTTATGGACCACGTGATATGGTCTGGGTGAGACCGTGAGAGGTAAAGTTGTACTTGTGGACGTGGTGCGGATACTGTGAGTAAAACGTGTGGTGCCTGTAAATTCCACAAAGCTTAGACCCATGTCATAAGAGAATTAGACTTTAGAGAAGATTAAGAAAAGTATACAAGACACAAGTCTGCGAAGAGCTCCAACAATAAACACCCTTTAACCCCCCGGGTACTGGACTACCGGTAGTGTTAATGGCACACCCCAAAGTCGATTTGGCACACCCTCTAGTCCCAATGCGGTTGGCGCAGTATTATAGACAAAATTGTAATTTATCATGCGTTTCTACGTATTCCACTTAGCCCTAAATCACGTGAGCCCCTTTATTCCTTTGCTCAATCTTCCCTCTCAATTCTCCGCTACTAACTACAGTACTCCGTACATTGCTAGCATTTTTGACACTCCCAACAATGGATGCTCTCTCTTATAACCCTTTCTTTACCTCAGCTGGTGCCTACTTTTTTGCTCCATTTTTACTAATTCTCACCTCTCTATTAGGTCTTCCCCGAGACAAAAACCCTGCTCTGTCGATGGCACATAATGAACAACATCGAAACCCATGCCAGGCCCGCAATCTCTAAAGAGGTGGCTGCGTTGCACCCGAAGGGTTCCGAGCCATACAAACAAATGGTCAACGAGCAATGGGAACTCATGGAGGGACGTATAACAAAGATCATCACCGCCTACACCGAGGAAGAGATGCAGGAGCTGTGGTCCGAATTTAAAAGGGAGTACTCCCGCTTCAGGAAATTCATCACGTATATGACTACAGAGTGGTTCGCATCCTGTCCCAGGCAATTCTTACGCTGCTACACCAAACAATATTTTCATATTGATGAAACCACTACCTCTCGGGTCGAAGGAGCGCATTGGACCCTCAAGAGAGACCTCCAGGTCTCAAACAAGGACCTTTTTGACGTTGTTCAAAATATGAAAATATTGTTTGGTGTAGCAGCGTAAAAATTGCCTGGGACAGGATGCGAACCACTCTGTAGTCATATATGTGATGAATTTCCTGAAGCGGAAGTACTCCCATTAGGGTTGGAACCACTGTCTCTGTTGTGTGTGTTACGGTCGATGGCATATACTCGTGAAGAGAAACAAACAAATGAAGATCGTTCGTTGCCGTACTGCATACAGGGTAACAAGTCTGGAAAAATAAAAAGAAAGAGAAAGAGAAGAGCAGAAAGTAAACAATCAAACTCTTCCTCGCGTCCCTGCTCCTTCCCTTGTCGCCGTTCCTCCCTGTTTCTACTTCTAGTCAAGTGACCCTGTCTGCTTCACTTGCCTGAGTACTTGCCTCAGGCACTCGTTAACCGTCACAGTATCCGACATGGAAGAGTGGGACTGCACCGAAGTTCTATTCCTCCCTCTCTATCTCTAATATAACTTGATCGTAAAGACCTAGCTTTCCAACACTAGTATATGCCCCATAACAATACGCTATAGCTTGATTCCTCTTGCTGCTGAGACAAGCCGAGAGGAGGCTATCTTGAAGCTCGGCCGATTTGACCATTTCGATATATTCTCCACGCTCACGCCACCTTTCTCGCACAAACTCCTCGACCGGCTGCCCATCCTGGTCATAATTCTGAGGCAGGTCGAAGGACGCGGGCATGCATGAAAGGAATTCGGGGAACCCGATGAGCTCATGGGGCACTGTATATGCACCTTCCCAATCAATGATTCCCGTGACATCGAAGGTATCCTCATCCACCATGATGTTACTATGGAGGAAGTCATCATGATCTAGAGGGAATGGCCCTTCGTTACATGAGGACAGCCGGCTAGCCATCGCTTTGATCTGCGATGGGAAGTTCTCGATGCTCGCCACCATCTGTTCCGCGGGGATTGGAGCTCCCTGCATCATGCGTGTGATTGTCTCTTTGTCCCACTTAAACTTGACGCTGTCGGCCCACGCCTCGAAGAATGCCGTTGCTGTGTCGAACGGACCGCCGATTCCTGGTATAGGTCCACATTCGTATCCGCCCTCGCTGTTCCGGACAATCGTCCCAATCTTCGGCATTCGTAATGAAGTCATCTGGACCTACGGTGACAAAGTGTGCGAGTAAGCAACGGTGCGACCCTATGCCGGGGCAGGGGGACGAACATGACACTTTGCGACAGAGCGGTAGAAGTTTTGTCGGTGCTCTTTCGGTATCACACCCCGATGGGTGTCGTAGCCGCCTGCCGCGTCCATAGCAACGCTGCCCGGGAGCAGCTCCATCAGTATATAAGCGGTCCTCACCGGATTGTCCTCGTCAGATTCATAGGCAAAGATCTCTGGCACTGGTAAGCTGCAATGTTCCTTGATGAATTGCATTGTTGCAACTTCGTTTTGAAGCATTGTGCTGCTAACAAGGGAAGAAACGTTTCTTCTAATATGAACTCGGGCCGCCCAGCGAGTTTTGTTGGAGAATTCTAGCACACGGACAATATTATTTAGCCCATTTGCAACCTGGTCCAAGGCCACGCATGAATGGCCGTAAAGGCCTGAAGCGACTCGACAGAGCTCATTCCATTGAGTCCGATGGAAATAATCGGCGGTTTGGCTGTCACCCTTTTGTAGGAAACCCTGGACGGTAGCCCAGGAGGTTGAGTCGGTAGACATAATCAGTTAAACAGGGACCAGCTTGCAATTTGCTAGGTAGAATCTGAGGGGACCAAGTGTGGGATATAACTTTCCTTGTAGACTTTCTCAGAGGACGGAGAGGAGATGAGAACGGCAGACTAGAAGACAACTAGCGGTGTGATTGTTGTCGTGCCCCTGTCAAGTATAAACGAGATAATTTGAGGCAGCAAATCATCGAACTGACCACAGACCTAAGGCGAAAGAAGCGAGAGACAGGGTTCCAAGCTGTGTCCTATTATTGCCAATTGCAAGCCATCATTTTCAGCATAGACCCCATCCACATCCCTTGGGACATGGTTGACCACGCATAATATCCTAGCGCATCCAGTATGAACACTTTTTGACCCCTGAGGCATATTGTCTTGTGGGATGTGAGCAGATCGAGTTGGACGTATTTACTTGCCAACCGAAAGTAGTCCAACTTCAACATCGTCTACGAGCTCTCTTGAAACTTCCACCATGCATCCGCAACATCGTTGTAGCCCATCTTTTCCAGCTGCTGTGCGACCTTGCGGCGCCAGTCTTTCTTAGAATCCTCATCCCCATAATCGAAATCCATTCCTGCGGAGAGTCGGAATTTAGTTCTGACCCATTCGATACGGACATAACCAGCAAGCTCCCAGTCGATGATACCCAACGAGCCTGTCGAGACATCGACAAGAATATTCGTAGGACCAAGATCGCAATGATAGAAGACAAGAGTAGAGACATCCATACCCATCTCGATACAATTTCTTCGCAGCTGTTGCGGAGCAAGGGCATCAGCCGCTTTGCTGTTGCCTTTGAGGAGGTAACGTTCCAACAGCTGGCGTCCATCCACACCGCTAATTGTATCGCCCTTCCACGCTGCTAAGCGATTGCAAACACCCGCGACCTTGCCGATGTAATGCTGACGAAGACTTTCGTCCATGTTGGGCCAGGCTTCATGAAGGAGCTGCCCCGGCACACTCGAAATGACGAGGAAGTATCGCGAACTAGTCTCAAAATGACGGAGGACGTTCGGGAATGCAAAATCATGCGGTTCTTTATCTTTGAGAAATTGTAGAGTCACATGCTCTCTGGTTATATCGGGATAGTCCATGTGATGCGCTTTGATGAAGGCTTCGCCTGCCTTCCAGACGGCCGCCTGGTTGTCAACTGCGTGGACTCTCGAGATAAATGGTGAGTCATCTGAGAGGGACTTGGATTGCATCCATAGTCAATTCCATCAATCGCAATTTCAGGTCACGCTTCCATTCCAGAGGCTAGTTGATATCCGCCGCTAAAGACCCGACCTACGCCATTCCATCTTATCCATCTTATCATTCGGGAATCTCAGAGACCGACTCATCTACGAATGTACGATGAAGACCACTATTGCTAGGAGGCTGAACTGCAAGATAAAAGAAATGAGAATTGTCATATTCGACCCGTAGCTCCATCCTAAAATAAACCCATCCCAGCCTTACATACGCCAGCCCATCCATTAACGAAGAGGTAAAAATAAAGGGACAAGCAGCGCACGAAGATCGCAAATGTGAAGCAAGGATTGATAAAGGGATAAAGGGGGTAACAGGTAATGAACAAGCAGGTAATAGCGGCACACGAGAGCCGAGCCACAAGGGCTTTTGACAGAATTTGCGACTCTCGGATGCCATACGGAAAATGAAAATGACTCGAGAGAAAACAGGAGTGTCATGAGAGGTATCAGTGAAAAGACATTGATCGAAGAGCATTAACCGAAGGGATAGACCGAAGAGATAGACCGAAGAGATAGACCGAAGAGCATTGACCGAAGAGATAGACCGAAGAGACATGGCAGAAAAGGCACAGAATAGGAAGCAGAAGAACAAGTTCCGAAGATGAAAGTGAAATGACGGTATGTTCAGGTCTTTGCCTTCAAAACGCAAGTCGTAGCACGTGCAGGAAGATGGAGGGCGAGTACCCTAATCCATCTCCAGATTCTCAAGCTCTTTTGACTCCTCGTAGTCATCGAACTCAAGACCAGCATCGCGGCAACGTGAGAGCCACTTGAGAGCAATGGCGTTGCGACGGCCAAGCTCACCCTTCAGCTTGGCGTTAGAGTTACTAATCTCGGTGATGGCATGGTTGGCAGTCAGACTGTGCTTTTCGAACTGCTCATCGATGTTCTTCTTTTCCCCCTGCAGTTGAAGAATGTATTCAATGGCGCGTTGGAGGATGGCACCCTTGTTTTTGTCGCAATTCGGCACGAGACGAGAAATCTGGTTGATGCCTTCATTTATCGCTTCACGGCGACGACGTTCAACTAGAAGCAAGGAGTCAGCATGAGGAAAAAGTATCAAAGCAAAAGGGAATCGTACCTTCTTTGTGATTGTTCTTGCGAATCTGGTGCCACTCAGGGGAACCGACGGTAGGCTTTGAGTTCATACTCTGTGCCTCACGCGCAGCGTAGACGGCAGCGGCAGTGGAGCTGTGATTGTGGCCACCACCCATGGGAGGCTGGTTCATCTCATCACCAAAGGACATGCCCTGGGGCAGACCCTGGGTGAGGTTGCTGGCATCGAACCCAGCATCAGGGGGAGGCGGGTATTTGTGTTGAGGAGTGTGGGCCGCCAGGGCTGCCTTGGCATTGGCAGTCAGAGCATTATCGTCCGACAGGCCGTTCTGAGGACCAACATGCTGGAGAATTTGCTGATCGATATTGAGCTCAGAGCCAGTGTTGGGTAGTCCGTGATCATAGTTGCCCAGGCTGCCGTGACCAAAGTTGTGCTGGTTATCCATGCTGCCGTTACTTCCGTGAGAAGATCGGTTCAGACGCTGCGCATCAGGTCCCAGGTCCTCGGAACCGGACCTTTTGCGCTTCTGAGCACCGTTGTCGGGGCTATTGATGGTGGGATCAGACATGATGAGTCTGAGCAGAGTTCGTCCTATTGGTGGCCGTGGTTAGTCATGTCATGGATGGGCTGTAGGTGAAACAGGTCTCGGGGAATAAAAGAGGGGAAAGACAGGGCATGTTAATGCATGTCTGCGGCCAGTCGGTGCCCAGCAGATCAAATCCCTCGCGGGAAGATCGGTGGACACCCCGCGAAGTAAACAGACGCGTGGATCCGACGCGCCCGCGAAGCATTTCAGCGAGCGAGGTCACATCAGATCCGGCTGTCGCCGGTGAATACTGCAGTCAACAGCGCGGAGTTCAGGATTGCAGGATAGGAAATAGTGTCAAGGGATTTGCAGAATACGCGACAGCTCGAGACATCCGCGGGGTTGATGGCAGTTTGAACGCGTCATGATGGTTATCAAGCGCCGGTCACACAGGGGTGGCAGCGTTGCAAAGGCGACCACTCGTGATGGACATCACGAGGCGACGTGCGATGAGATGGGGGATTCTAACTGAGGATGTGGTGATGATGGTGCCCGTACCTTTGGATGATCACTCTTTATCACCTGACAGGAAGTCACCTGCCCAACAACAACAAGACGCAGGTCACGTTGTCTGATAAACCCGAATTCGAATTTCGCACGTGAATTCGTGGAAAACCGATATTTGTTTGATTGCCGGCACGGAAAAGCGAAATGAGGTGACTATCAAGTCACGAGAATTTTGGATTAAAGGAAGGGTGGAATAATAATATGAAGAAATCACGTTGCGGGCAAGGTCAAGACTGCTCACGTGGCGAGGTGTTGAGGAGAGGAGGTCGGGATACGCCGGTTCAGGAAAACCAAAAGTGCATAAAGTCACCTGATCCGTCCACGTCCACTATTCGGTTCCTCTTTCCCTCAAAGGCTCAAACCTCCCTATCTTTGATAATTTGCACCTTTTAGTATGTCTCGACAGTAAGATCTACTATAAGTCGACTTGAGTATGTGGAGATAACCATTCAAATGCGCGAAAAAGATGCTACGCCTCCATCTTCAATTACAAGTCATGTGCAGCCATCCCGTGCCCCTCCCCTGCACGCCTCCTTTCTCGCATTTTGATTGGCTGCCAGAACTCGGAGGGGAATTCCCCAGATCACGTGAAACTTCCTCTTAGACCAATCACATGTCTCCACTCTCATTGTTCGCCCAAGACTCAAGAGGGGCTCGCATCAACGCATCGGATACAAAGAGCTTGACCATGTTTGCACAGCAACCTTGAAATAGACAAAGAAAGTAGTTAGTAGATAGATATAGTCAAAACACAAGGTCTACTACTGTAATAGTTTGTAGTTGCATTCTACCGTTGACGCAGAACACCCCGGCTTAGTTTCCCTGCACTGCAAGTGATCAGGCTAGACCCACTAGCGTAAGCATGAGAAGCACCCCGAGCACCTGAATCAGGCAACCCAACAGGGGGAATATCACAGCGGGAGCAAATAGGATACGACTCCGGATAAAGTTATGCATTTCTGAGGCTGGTCTGGTCTGGGCTCTGGTATAATTTGAGTCCTTATCCTTGCACCCCAACTTATGTCCATGTAACATGTTGCAGTCCTAGTCATCTACTTCTGGTCTCATATGGTGGGGAAGAGGAGAATCACATGTTCTTGATTAAACATCCTAGATTAGCATTCCTCAAGCGCTTCACACCATTATCCCTCCAAAGGGTTGCATTGAACATCCTAAAGCGTCTTGTCTAGTACTTCACCCGCATGTCGATGGGCGTTAAGTCTGAGTGGTCATGAGACCTCAGATATCCACCTGAATGCAAAATAGAGTGTATTTGAAAGTCTGGTCTGAAGCTTTGCGATGATCTCCATGATCTTCGTCTATATGTCATCACAGCGGAGGTCCGGTCCACTGAAGGTCACATGGATCATCTGCACATAATGCGTGTGGCGCAACCGGAGGAGTTCCCATTCTTGCAGAAGCGATCACCTTAAAGCTGCACAATATACGCCACTCGAAGTCTTCTGGGCCTAGGAGAGATATCGCAGAAACTCTGGTGATCGAGATGTCATTTCTAACGTCAACTCGCAAGGTGGGACCGTCACCCTGGTCATAGATTTTGTATTATCCGTCAAATGGTCTGGATCAGATAGCTTTCTTAAGAGCAAAGACCATACGTGGATCCGCTGTGGTATCAGCGAAACAGATGCCTTCCTCCTGCGCACCTAGCATATCCCAGCAGAGGATCTTCACGTCGAATGCACGTGGATCATCCGCATCATCTGTCTCACTTTCCACACCAGGGGTCTGCGCACCTGACCCTGCGTCTTGCTCCGCGGGATCGGGAGTGGGCCGTTGCGTCACGGCAACGATAGTGCTTGTTCCCGCATATCGCGCCGGTGGCTTGGTCTCCTCAGTTGGTGGTTCCTCACCCGACCGATTGGCAAAAACAAGGATGATCTTCTTCGGAGAATCCGCCGCCTTTCCGCCATCGATGTCCACCTGGTGTCGCATTTTCCTTTGCAGGAGGGGCCAGAACCGCTGAAGCCAGTAGTTGAAAGTGTCCATATCGGGCTTATCTTTGAGGGCGTCGAGGTCTTCAAGGCCGGGCATGGCCAGCCAGGCCATGGACAATATGACAAGCTGAGATTTGGAGTCAAGAACTCGAGTAGCGAATTCCCACTTGTCGAAAGGCGCTTCGAACTTGTACGGATTGATATCCATGCAGATACCGAACGAGGTGGCGATTCGCTTGGGCTCCTGCGGCAGGGTTTCCAAGGAGGACGACTTGACCCGAGAAGCAAATTCAAGCTCATAGAACCCTCTCTCAACTTGGCCTTCAGCCGCCCACGTTTCATCAGTGTAATACAAGAACGTCTTGCGGTAGTTGACAACAATTTCACCCTCTTCATCAACAACAAGAAGTGAGTTATAGTATGTTACTTTATCGGGCTCCTCTAAGTCCCTCTCAATCTCCGGGTATCCGATGCAGACTTTGCATCGCAGGCGCTTAGCAGTTTCACGCGCCCAGTTGGCCGAGAGGCCTTTCCCAGCTGGTTCAGCATATCCCTGGATTGCTTTCAAACTAGGGAAGTTATAACCTGCTCATTCATTAGTCAATGAGGCTTCTCTTCGGAGCCACCCCATCTACATCGGAAGGAGATACCTTGTACATACCAGTCAACGCCAGCTCAGGCAACACCAAAACGTCAGGTTTCAACAGATCAACACCAACCCCATGCTCAGTCCCTGAAGAAGTCACCTTGCCGCTCCTCAGCAAGGAATTTGCCCTCTCAATATTCCCCTCCACATCGCCCAGCTTCGGCGCGAATTGAAGGGTTGCAATCCTCATCTCGTGAGACTGGGACGTTGAGAACTGTCTGAAGCCAGGAAGCGACGAAGATTGAGATTGTGTAGAGAGGCGTGTTTTTGAAAAACACACGACAGACGCGCCTGCGATCAATCGAGTCTTGGTTGTCGAGGTATGAATCCCATGTGCTCTGGTCCCAATACGGACACAGCGGGGCAGTGGTCTTGCCAGGATGATGACGGGGGATCAGAATCCTTGGGATATATCTGGGTTTGCTTAGTTGATTATCAATGTGACGTGATCTGAGGTTCTGGGATACCTTTTGATGTAAGATGTGGGTTGAATCATGAATGGGTGTGTCGCTGAGCTGCGGGTCAAATGGATGTTGATGCCTCAGGATGAATATCCGCACTACTGTGTACACGCCTGTGATGTCAACTACAATCCACATTAGGGGTCAATATAATAAAATAATCAATACTATAGCCGGGTATGCCAAGTTAGATCTATCCAAACTCATCTAAATAGCCTACCAGGCCGGTGTTGTTCTAAATCCGACTTCTCGGGAACATCTAGCCAAGCCAAGTGAACATCACCTAACAGCGAATGAGCAACCGTCCACTGATCGCTTATACAAATGTACCTCAAACGTCGAAGAGAATTAAATACATGTTGACCCTTGATTCGAACTGAATCGTATATGATCGTGACTCCTCCAGATTGCTCATGAAAAGACTAAAAGACTAGAACATCGGCTAGTTACTAGGTTTCCTAGCTGTCGAGGAAAGAGACCAATGTGAATCGTATATGAGGAAAGTCTCCTCAGAATGTTATATGAAAAGGCTAAGAACCTAAGCCCTAGGTTACTAGGTCTCCTAGCCGGTGATAGATATCTGCGGTCTCACGCTGGAAAAAACAGAAAGAAACAGACAAAAAGACATGGGATGAAAGAGGGAGACAGGATAGCACACTGTGTCTTTTTAGACTCTTGGGAAATACCAGCCCTGCTCTTCCTGTTCATCATTCTCGTGACCACCCTTGTCGCTACTTTTGGGGTTCTTAACCCCTTCATCAGCGCCCTTCCTCTCCTTGTAGTCGGCCTTGCCCTGTCTGGCCCTCATAGCATTGGCTCTCTCCACCCTGCTTTGCCTGTGAGTATCGGAATTCAAAGACACACGGCGGAGGTCACGAGGGTCGCGGGTAATGGATCGGCGATTCCGAATGGGGCCATGGGAAACGCGGTGTTGTTCCGGCTCGTCATCGGCGACGTGAACCTCGTGACCACTGGAGGTTCCGTCAAGTGTCAGACGAGGAGGAACATAGGGGGAGCGTGGGTGCAAGCGGGCAAGGAGGGCGCGATACTTGTCAGCGGGTTTATAGGTTGAGCCGTTCCAAGAACGGTCCCCAGTGGCGGGCTTGTAGCCAGTGATACCGTCGAAGATTCCGGGACCCCTTCTCAATGTCTCTGCTAGGATTCGTGCTCGACTGAGCGCGAGCTCGTCCTCGTCGATTTGCCGGGCCAGTTTGCGTCGGGCCTCCTCGATGGCTTCGAGTTGTTCGGGAGTCGGGGGTTTCGGCTCGCACAATTCTTTGACTCGGGCGAGTTTCGCTTCGAGCTTCTCGAGGATCGGAAGTTTCGGCATGGGCCTGTTTACGGCATCGTAGACGGAGTACTTGAATGGGAACCTGTCCTCCTTTGTGTGCTCCTTGGATAGCGTAGTACTCGGGCCCAGGTCCTCTTTGCGGAGAGCCTGTTGATTCTCGTGGTTCTCTTCGAAGTGAACGGAGCGTTCGGTGGCACCATCGGTTGATGTAACGGATGATATTCCTTTCAATGAGGAACGTCTCCTTTTCCGCTTGTCTGTGACTGTGTCTGTGGCCTCGCGCTGCCGTTTACTTGATGCTTGCTGTCCGAATTCGTCTGAATCTGGAGTGGGGAAAAGGGGCCTTGCCGGCGCAGATGTTGCCGTGTCGGGCGAGTATTCACTCGAGGTAGCATCGAAGATTTTCATGGTAGACTGAGGCCGCCGGAGTGCTTCGAAGAGGGTGGCAGGAGGCGACGGAGGCATCTGCAAGGGACGCGAAACGGGCTTAGGCTTGCCTGAAACGGAAGCTGAGGCATTGACGGGAAGTGGCCCGGACTGTATGTTAGGTGCCAGAGGTGCTGTCACTGGAGCGGAGCGGCTGAACACCGAAGGTTCACTCGGCTTGATCGGAGGGAAGCTGCTCGATGGCGCAGATACAGGCGGCGATGGCTTCTCGGAAGTGGGGGCAGTGGTTACTGGGGCCTCTGGTTCCTGGCTTGGCTGCGGTGGCTTGGGAGTCTCAGTGATAAAGCCCGGAGCTGGGAATTGGCTTGCAACCGCTTCTGGTGGTCCCGGAATGCTACTCGTGTCCTTCGCCGAGGAAGGCGAGAAGGGCTGCCCGGAAGTCGATGGGATTGCCGGTACTTTGAATTGCGCATCTGTCTGTCTTTCCTCAACTAGCTTGGTGTCTGCTGGCTTGGTGAAAGAGGAGGTCACCGCAGCAAAGGGGTTTGTCACAGCGGGTGGCTCAGAAGTCGAGACTCTCGAGAACAAGGATGCAGGTTTGTCTGCGCCCGTGGATACAGGAGGGAAGAGACCAGGCTGCGAAAGCGGAGATGGCGCAAGCGGAGTCGCTCCGGGTGTCTGCGCCTGCAGAGTTGGGAATGCTGGCTTGGAGAACGTAAGGGATGTAGATGAGGCGAAAGGGGATGGCGAGGGGTCCGGAGGGCTTGTAAACGAGAAAGCTGGCTTGTTGGGGGTGTCCAGCTTGGAAGAGGGTGGATTGGTTGGAAAAGGCGAGGGTGCTGTGCTTGTGCCGACAGCAGGTGCTTCGGTCTTTTTTGTTGATTCGGGGGCCCCTGTGAGCGCGAATGAATTCGGCGCGGGGGCAAAGAGAGATGGGGTGGCGGATGCGCTAGAGCTAGCAGAAAGCGAGGCTGCGAAAGCATTTGAGGGAGGGAAAGCGGATGCGGTGGTGGGCTTCGTTTCGCTTCCAGGCAAAGCGAACGGAGATGGGGTAGCGGATTCGCCAGAGCCGGCGGGGAACGAGGTTGCGAAAGGGTTTGATGTGGGGAAAGCGGATGTAGTGGTAGGCTTTGCTTCATTTTTAGGTAAAGCGAACGGCGACGGGGCGGCGGATGCGCCAGGGCTGGCAGGAAGCGAGGCTGCGAAAGGATTCGGGGGAGGGAAGGCGGGTGCGGTGGTTGGCTTCGCTTCAGTTCCAGACAAAGCGAACGGAGACGGAGTGGCGGATGCGCCAGAGCTGGCGGGGAACGATGTTGCAAAAGGGTTTGATGGAGGGAAAGCAGATGTGGTGGTAGGCTTCAATTCGTTTCCAGACAAAGCCAACGGAGATGTCTTTGATGGCTGAAAAGCGGCGAACGGATTTGAAGCGGCGGATGGAAAGGCTGGCTGTGAGAAAGGTGGTGTACTTGCAGGTGTGGGCTGCGCAGGTTTCTCGGAAAACGTGCTAGGGAATCCAGATGCGGTCATGTCCGGGGACAAGGGAGCCGTGGTGTCGACAACAGGCGCGGGAGTTTGGTTGTCGGCATCACTCACGAAGAGATCCTCGTCCTCGTCTACGGCATCGGCCTCGGCAAGGTGCTCGCTCTTGTGAGGCAAGTGAGAGCGGTCAATCATGCCCATTCTTGCGGCTTCGCTGATACTCATACCAAGAATGATGGAGACAAGATTCCGACCTGCACGTTTTGATTCCACGTAGGTTTCCGAGAACGAGTGCTCGGAGGAAGGCGCAAAATCTGCATCTCTGTTTAGCAAGGACGTGACAACGAAGTTGGGGAGCAGCATCGGGGTGAGCATTGGGAGACGAGAGGGCGAAGCAACGCTGTAAGAGAAAGCAACATACCGACAGAGTCAACAGGACGATTTCCCCAATTCAGATAGGACTCGCCATTGGCATTGGTCACGAATTCCAAACCTTGAGCATTGCAGTATTCGACGGTCTGCTCATCATGATCGAAATGCAACACCTTAGTCAATTCCTTCACAGTCCAGTGATCATTCTTCGATTGCTGGGACAGTGGAGTCCGGCAGTAGGCTTTCCAGATCGCACGGATGGCTGTTTGGCGAATATGGTTGAAGTAAACCTCCGCTACGCAGGCCATCAGATAGCTAACGCTTGGCGAATGGATGATGTTGAAGAAGCGAGCATACAAGCCCTGAGCAATGGCATTGGGCCGGCGAGCATCAAGAGCACCTTGAGGTTCCCATGTATTACACGCAGCAGCAAAGAGTTCCAAGGCCACCTGGACCCGAGGCGAAGCGAGTAGAGCGACTGGCCACTTTGAGACACGAGCTTCCAGGTCAGGCCGCTGGTCATGAATGGAGAACAAGATGTGGTATGCACGGAATTCATCCTCATTGGGGAAGTGAATGCGTCCGCGATTGTCGTCATAGTAGTACATGAGGGAAAGCATTGTGTTGTTAAGCTGCTCACGCTCTTGATGACGGTCAAATGGCTCGGTGTTCGCTGGGCTCGAAAGGAGATGCAAAGACACGATATGGAATCGTGCTATCCTTTCCAGACAAGTTACTGCCATCTTGACATCTTCTTCGTGCGTAAGTTGCTGCACTGAGAAGTCGTTTCGAATCGAGCGAGTTCGATTCCAGACGAACATGTGTACCGCGGCCAATGGCTCGCTGCCATTGATGACATGGCGGATGAGATAGTTCATGGTTTGCAAAAGCGTCTGCGGTGTTCGGATATCTGAGGGCAATTGCTCGTCGTTTCCAGCGGCTGCACGTCGGAAGCGTTTAACCATCTTGGATTCCGTTATCTCAAGCTGATTCGTCGCAGGATTAAAGTGCTGGATCTGCGCATTAGCATAGAGCAGTATATAGCAATTGGCACACAATTACCTTTTCGCATTTGTCGACAGCCTTTTGCACGATACGCTCGACACTTTCGAACTCCGGGCACATCCTAGTACAGGTTCCCACGGGTGTAATTGCCTGATTGAGCGAGGTAGGCTGGTTAGGGTCGGCCATTTGGCCATCCCTGATGGCGCGTTCACGCTGCTTGACTTGATCGATTTTCAGCTGCGATGGGGTTAGTTCCGTAAGATTCGAAATCGTATTGTCCGTCGTCGAGATAGGGCTGACTGACTTTATCAAAGCGCTCCTGGTAACTCTGCATCGAGGACGCATTGCCCATGGATCCAGAAGCATTGAAGCCTGCTCCACCAAACTTCCCCGACGTTTGCCTATTCATTGTGGTCGCAGGTTTGGCGAACGGGTTCTTTGCGCCTTGCGAAGTACCATCTGCGGCCTTGGAAAAGGGAGACTGCTGGGCGGACGGAACGCCAAACGGAGAAGCGACAGACTTTTGTTGATTCAATTGCGCGAACGGTGAATGTGCAACGGTAGACCCAGGGGCTTCCCCAGTCTGAGGTGTGCCGTTCGTGGTATGGTTCACAACGGCCGCGCCGCGACCGCGGCCACGAGCCGTCCACGTCGCTGACCCTCGTCCCCGACCTCGAGCTCTAGTTGCGCGCTGGGCACCTGATCCTTTCACCGCATGTGTCGACGAATTCCCAGGGTGCGCCCCTCTTCCTCGTCCCGCTGAGCCTTGCACGCCTAGCGCACCTCCCCTGTGGCCGCGGCCAGCAGAAGAACCAAACGGGCCAGCCATCCTGCCCGCGAAAAGCGGAAGAAACTGGTTAGGCCGCCGCCTCTTGATACTACCCCTCCACTCGCTCTATGTCGACTTGATTTTGGGTTTCGAATGTAGGTTATTCGGGGATACGCTGGACACGACGAAGTCGATTGAGGAAAGAGTTGGGATGCTGAATGCTGCTTGCCGGAATCAGTATGCCGAGGGGGCATGGAAATGGTCAGCCCATGTTGAAATGCGAAAGAGATGAATGGATACAAAGAACGGCCGGAGAACAAAGCTGATGACTCGAATGGACTCGGAGGGGGCGGAGCATTCCCAACGACTATTGATTAACTAACCTGAGTTTTATCTTCAGCAAGAGTCAGACGATAACACAGACTTGTCGCGACGGTCTTTGGGGTTTGCGATTGATCGAAACAGTTGAAGTGGTGAGAGTGTGCTCGAGTTGGCGATGGGCACGTTCTTTATGGACGGGAGAAGCGAATGGTTGACCGGTCACCGCGAAAGAAGCCGGCAAAAATGAACGCCAGCTCAAACCGCTAGCTGGTTGATGAAGATCTTAGGATCACAGGTGACCGCGTTCACGGAGCTTCGCCTTGCGGAGTGGAGTGGCTGACCGCTGACGAAGCGCGATGGATCCGCGCGCTTGCGCCTAATTGGCCGGAATCGACCAACGTCGACAATGTGGCTCACGAGTCACTGATCTATGTCACATGTTTCAATACTCAATACAGTTGGCGCTGTCTGGGCAATCATGTGCTTTTGAATTGTTCTATTATTCACGATACCTGGTCACCTGGTGCAGCTGTTCTTAACTTCTTACATCATGTGATCACATACATCCCGGATAATGCCTGGCACTCGAGATCTTTCCCTTTCCGTTTTAGTGCTCACCTCTTGCCGCTTTTTAATCACTGAGTAGAACTGAGTACGTCCCTGAGTACCCTGACTTGATCACGGGACATTATATAATCAACGTGATCTGCTCACTGAGCATCACCTGATCACACCCTGAGCCCCCTGATCCACTCACTGATCATCATCTGAGCATCCTGATTTGCTCACTGAGTGCTCACTGAGTGTACGGCTGAGCGGCCTGAGTAAGCTACATCAATAAAATGCGACACGCTAATCCCATCACGTGCAACCCTTTCCATTTAGATCGCCCATCAAAAAAGGACTGGCGCAGTCAACGTGACCGTTCATCCTAGCGGTCTCGACCCTATTCAAATGAAAACGTCGCAGTGGGGCTATTCAATTGACCTATAATTTTCCCATTTCAGCCTATGCTCCTAGGAATACACTCGGAATACTTCGCTTACCAGCCCGGCGATCCCCTAATCGGGCTTTGGACTACTACCAGGGCGAGGGCGATTGGATGGATTTCCTTGATTAGAGCCGTTCCCTGTATAAATACAACTAGAGTAGGCTCGGACATTCGATGAATATCAATTTCCGATCAGGGGGACATTTTCCTCTGAGACATTTTGATTCTCTATTTTGGAGACCTCTTATGACAACCGCGAGACGCATCTTGAATGACAACCGCGAGACGCATCTTGAATGACAACCGCGAGACGCATCTTGAAACCTGGGAAAACATCGACAACATGAAAGGCCTGGCATACTTCGCAGTCATTGCCTCGGTGCAGGCTTCAAAATTTGCGCACCAGTCCCTCCATCGTGGGGCTACCAGTGGTCCGAGCTGTAACACCTACACAGTGAAGGATGGAGATACTTGTGCGAAAATTGGCAAGTCGAGTAGAGTCACATGGGCGCAGTTGCTCTCATGGAACTCCGATATCAACCGCGAGTGCTCGTATGTGATCTCAGGGACATCATGATTGATGATAGAATGCAGCTCAACGCATAATTTTCTAGGAACCTCGGTGACCTCTCTGGTAAGAATATTTGCATCAGCAATCCTGCGGGAGACTATGCAATTCCTGTCCCTAGTTCCACAACCTCAAGCAGTGCAACCGGTTCGCAGAGCATTATCACCACTACTGCGTAAGTTCTCCTGCAAGAACAGAAAGACGATTAGCACTCTCATGCTCATGGAAAACAATCAGCTCTATCCCCTCGCCAACAGTTTCCGGAACCAACAGCAAGTGCGCTCGATACCATAGAATCGGAACGGGCGAGACATGCGACGCTGTGGTAAAGAAGTCGGGTATCTCTATGTCTGACTTGTCAGTCTTTTTCATCGCTAGAAAAAATGAAGTTGATAACTAATAATTGTGCAGCCTGTTCCTGAATTCAGAGATCAACGAGAAATGTACAAACCTCCAATTGGGTGTGTACTACTGTGTGCAGGCCGTTGGATACATTACAACGTACCCTGGCTATGGAGGGACCTCAGATGACTATACCAAAGTTTCCATGACCGCCGTTCCTTCATCCGTTCCGAGACCAGATTATCCCGGAGCCTTGCCAAACAATTCTTATCCCGTTATTCCCCTTGCCAACGGTACCAGGAAGGACTGTTACGAGTAAGTGCATTTTTTTTTTGGTATATCAAGGCAGTAACTAGCTAATGCTTGGATAGCTACATGTGGCTGAGCAACACCACGGATGACGCGCTCGCGGATTGCTGGACAATGGCCATGACTAACGGTGTCTCTGCAGAAGTATGTTCTTTTTTCCCCTGGTTGGGTATGTCTTACTCTCTTTCAATACAAGCTGACCCATCTAAGGACTTCATCATGTGGAACCCTTCGCTCGAAGAGAAGCCGCGTAGTAGTTCCTCCATAGCTTCAACCCCCAGTGCTAGTGCAAGCTCGAGCTCGAGTGTTACCCCAGACTCGTACTACTATCCTTGCACGCTGCGAGCCAGCTCGTCATACTGTGTGATGCTCTCTCAGCCTAAGAAGACCAAGGCAAGCGGGTCGCGAACCACTTCATCAATTGCTGCGTCGTCGACCCAAAGTCCGAAGCCTACATCTAGTGAGTTTCTAAATATCAGCCTTGGATAATAACCAGGTTCATATATGCTAACCATATTGTCAGGTACCTAAGTGGCCCCCGGACAATGCGCTGGATAGAAGGGGCAAGATAATTGGAGGTACCAGTGTAGATGAATCAGACATACCTATCTGTCTCATTTTCTGTCCCTGTGGGCAGCTTTCCTCCTTTATGTATCTACTAGCCAGAATTTCTTTGCTTCTCCATTCCATTCAACCATTCAATCTATGTAGTATATAGGTACTCCCGTCATTGTAAAAAGACTTAGTGGGCTGACAATGGACCCTTACGCACATGTTCAAATCAGTACCTATTCATTGGAGTCATAATCTTCCTTACAAATATCCATTTTTATCAAAGCATCGATCGGTCATGTGAATGTTCAAAATCGGGGTCCAATGCATCTCTCAGCACACCAACTCCAAGGCGGACGTCAAGGGGACAACGCTGCTCAAAGGGATTTCCTCCTTCACCGTAGATGAAATCCTCTACCTCCTTTTCAACCCAGATACCGTGTCCAAGTGTAGGGCTCCCCGTTTCAATTGGCACGCCGACGGTAATCTTTGGTTTTGAGCCCGCATCCCGGTCTCCCCACAGCGTGCCCTCCGATACCATTCGCCGGATCTCTTCCAGCATACTATACCAGGATTCATCGCGAGAGAGGAAGTGCAGCATACTAAGCTCAATGGAGCGGACGGATTTCGGTAGCGTCTTGAGGAAAGAGACGCAATCATGCTGTGGGAGAACAAAGCCGGAGAGTTCGAAATGGCGCAAATTGGGCCATTGTTCCACAGGCACCATGCCCTGTAATGGGAGCACAGGATATTCGCCGTCATGGTAGAGATCTTCATCAAATGTTGTATGCAGCCTGAACTCTTCCATGTCTTTTGCTTCGCCGACTGCCCGGCGCAAACGCCCATTAAGCAGAGATCGCCAGCATGCTTCGAGCTCTTCATCCCCTTTACCACCGACAAGCAAGGCAAGGTCCAGACGGCGGAAGCCTGGCTTCTTAAGCACGGTAGCGAAATGGTCATACTCTTCGCAGGGCTCATCCAAGATTGTGCAGTTGATTCCCGTGGGGATAGAGTTGGAAGTCATCACCAGCTCAGAGACAGAGTTGGGTTCGTTGGCGAGGACGCGCATTGCCGTGCAGAACCCGCGGTACCGATCTCTCAGTTCTGGGTATTGATTCCATGAATATGCAGTAGCGGGCTCCCCAATGGCTCTAGGGTACAGCCAACCACGAGGAATGGGGTAGTTGAAACCTTCCGGGAAAGCACGAATCATAGGGGTCGGGTAAAGCGGGGTGATGAGGTTGCCGTGGGCTCCAGGTGTGATGGTGACTCTCTTGAGGGCAGGAAACTGCTTAACGCCGAAGGCAAATGCTTCCAAATCACTCTGACTGGCAAGAACTTCCTTCTGTTGACGCAGCAACTGCTGATAATATTGCCAGTGCTCCCTTAGCGAAGGGTGAGCGAGAACCTGTTCTCTGCGCGCGATAAGGTCGGGCCTGTCCACATCACGACGTTTCCGGCGATTTAGAACGTAAAGGGTTTCTTCACAATCCTTTTTGAACCATTTAGGACACCCATCTCCCTCTTCATACTCATGGCGCTCAATGATGTCCTCTCTGTATTCCTGGTAGTATCTCGCAGCCCATTCTCTGTTGTTATCGGGTTCATCCTCGTCCGAGAGCAATTCATGTCCCTCATTAGTTTGATCTGTTCGTGCTGGACCTCGATGCAAGCGCGCCTCATCCCAGATAATCTCGTTGACCTGATGGCGGAACTTGTCGTGTGAAGCAATGCTGCGGAAGACGTCTATGTTCAGGGGGTTGGCGGATAAGAAAACCCGATTGAGTCGAAGAGACACTGTATTGTTGAATTGCTTGCATGTCAGACGCAAAGATTTTATGTCGGCATTGGGTAGATGTGATGCAATGCAGCTCCAGAGCTCCAGGGGCAGCGCGGGGGTATCAGCCATAATGTGATATTGTAGAGTTGAACTTGAGACTTCCAGGGATGAATAGCCCCTTTGTCTTTGTCGGGCTTTTTACTTGGATAGGATCGTGACCGCGAGACCGAACAAGTTGACTGCCCCAGTTTTTTTTGATGGGGCGATCTCAATAAGAAGGCTGCATGTGATTGTGATGGTGATTGTGATGGGGATAGTTGCCAATATATTAACTTATTTCCAGCCCTTTCAAGTGCGTCTTTAGCCTCGGCATGGTGACCAAGGTGTGTTGATCAGCGATCCTTCATAACAGCCAAAAGGGATACCTAACAAAACTCGACAATGTCCACTTGTGCGATACTAAATCCTAGGAGAAAATTTCTCCAGTGCCCTCTGCGTGTATATCAGGCTCTGTTTATCTCTTTCCAAGTGGATACTTCATCTTCCGGGCTTGAAACAGGTACGGGCAAAGTGGAGCAGCCGGACTTTTCACCCCAGCACAATAGAACCACGGCAGATCCATCGTCTGGAAACATTAGCTTTAATTATTTTTTCAGTGCTTCTATTCTAGTATTGTGTCTTCTCCCGAATATTGTAGTTGGGAACCCAGGAGGACCGGCTAGGATATTGACAGCTGAGATGACATATACTGAAAGGAACCATGTACTGTATGGGCTCCAAGGAGACACGGCACATGTACACTAGGACATGTATTGGTAGGTCAGTGATAGTTGCCGTTTCGGCTTAGCCGCCGGGCATTAATGGATTGTGTGTGTGTAGACTTAAATGCTGTCTTCCTTCTCAGTACCCCATGTATGGCAGGCTCCACCGAGGGTTCATGGTTGCTCTGGTATTCCTGCTGGTAGGGAAGGCATAATGCACATTATATTTTGTCCCATTGCTTGCGTTTACATCATTGGCTTGTTAAATTATTGGATCCAAGCTCCTTATATTATACTATGTCCCCACCTCTGAATACATGTATGATGCCTTCGTTGCTTCATTACTCTTCACTCATAGGCCTGGGTTGTTCCACAATCTGTGGCAGGTAAAGGGTGATGTATTATGACAGGCTGTGCTACCGTTCACCGCGTAGTAGCTGTGCCAAAAGTTCGTGCATGATGAACTATTCGGGGACAGTTGATCTTTGTTAGCGTACCAGGTGCCATAGTCGTTGGTCACAGAGAGATCCAGTTGCTCCTGAGCCTCAAGGGTACGGTTCAGTCGGAAACTACGGGAAATAGAGAAATTTGAGATATTGAGTGCAAGAACGGAATCGTTGAATATGGTGAAACACCCCCCAGCTCCTTGACAGTGCGGTCCAACCCAGGTCTCGATTTTGAGCGGAGAGGAAAGTTTCTGGAATAAGTCAGCAGGAGACTAGTAATCGTGGAACTATGGCATGGATTACGTCTATCGCAGTCCGGGGGTGTTGGTTGACGCCGATAGAGGAATTGCTGCGGCAGCACCCAGAAGGACGGCGATGGTTGCCGACCTCATGAGCAGTGGGTTAGATAGAATGAGCGAATTAATTTGGAAGGAAATTTCGTAAGGAGCCCCAGCGTTGCCGCTATCATTTACAAATGAAGGTTTTCTTCTGAATTTGTGAAGGATCCGTTCTATTTCTATTCATTCCGGCCATGGCTTCGAATCCAGAAGCTTCCAGGAAGTGCAAAATTCCTTCAAAACCCGCTATACCTGATAGGGGTTACCCGGCCCTGATCCCCCATTCTTACCGGCACGACTATCCAGCAGTGATTGCACCACCTTTTTATGCCCTATGTATTGCAACACGAAGTCTCGGGTCAAGCAGCGATGTCGCGAGATCTTCCCTCAATTTCGAGGCCATTACTTTGGGGAGTTAACTGTCCTACTAGTGGGCGACTTTTTCCAGTTACCGCCGGTCCACAGAAGCCCCTTTTCCCAGCCCCACCTCTGCAGAGGCCAAGCGATGTCCAGGCTAAAGGGTTCTATACGGCCTTCAACAAAACGATTGAATTGAATACCATCACGAGACAGCATAAGGTGGACAACATCAATGTCCGTTTCTGTAAGGTTAGATGGGTAAATGAAATCGTCCATCCCGTCCATCTCGTAGCTAAGCAGAAGTTTCGAAAGTTAATTCAAAGAATTCCAGAGGTGATTGAAGAGGGGTGATTAAAGAGTGGTGATTGAGAGAGTGGTCAGTGACGTCTTCGTCGAATCAGCTAGACTAGCACTGTAGACTTGACTGTACCACCTGCAAAGGTACATCTCTGCCTTGTAAAGTGGTATATTTTGGATTTTCTACCGTATCCTGACTCATAATCTTGTCTTCATAACAGATATTCAACCCAAGCGTCGAAATAATGCGTCCTGGAACACCTTTCGTCCTTGGACTACCCCCGTCAGCATCCGTATGTAGATTTTCCGCAATATTTGCTGTCATTTCTTAATTCCAAGATACACTAAAGAGTGGCCCTCACTCTTGGCAATCGCGCATGACATGTAACAATTCTATTGTCTGTCTAGTCTGTCTTGAAATAATTCTACCTCAAATGATTAAAAAAGGCTGTTTATCAACGCTGCCTTACATACAAAACTCATCTTTAATTAGCAACCCCCAATTCGATATTCTTAGCTTTATCTCACCTTTCAAATTGAGCAAGTTCAGCGAAATGTTAACCAGTTTATGTGCGCACCCGCGATTCCTTGCCGGCCCTCATTTATATGACCGTGACAGGGCGTCTTCAATCGAAAATACAAGGATATTCAACCATCGCAAGGCATCCACTTACTGAGCCTGGTGGTGAATGAGGCAGTTCATGCGGGTGTGTTTATCATCCGAGTAGCTTGAACATACCCTCTATGCAATCTCCTAGGACCTAGTCTATTGTATCGTAATCGTCTCTAGTCCGTAAGCGCACGGTCCTATACCTGTTCTCGAGTTATTTATTTAAGCCGCCCACTCAATTTATGGAAAGGCAATATCTTTCGCACTGGAAAAGTTTTTGACGCAGTTCTGCATTCGTCCCCTGATTTTCAGAAACTCCACCATATCGTCGCTTTGGACATTACACACAACACCTAAATGGTGCAAACGCGCCAACTCAAGCGCAACACGCCGAGTACGCAAATGAGAACCGAATGCCAGCACCACAGTATCGTGAGGGAGACGAAGTGTGGCTAGAGACAAAGAATTTGAGTATAGAAAGACCAGCCAGAAAACTCTCGGAGAAGTTCATTGGACCATTTCGAATTGCAGAGGTCATGGGCCCAGTCACGTACCGGTTGGAGCTTCCCCCAGCGATGAGAATTCACGACGTGTTCCACACGAGCTTGCTCCGCCCAGCAGCTTCGGATCCCCTCCCTAGCCAGAACGAATCTACTCAACCCCGAATCAGATTGAATAAAGATAACACCGAGAGAAGAGAGTGGATGATTGAAAAGATACTGGATTCACGCATCACCAAGAATCGACATGGAAAGAGAAGACTAGAATACCACGTGAAATGGAAAGGCTACCCTCCTTCGTGGCGACCCCAACAGGACCTGGTCCCGGGGAGTGGCGAACTCTTGTACGAGTTCCACAGTCAGAACCCAGATCGGCCTTCGCCTACTGAGCTTTGGCGTCGCAGGAGCTCCTAATTGTTTAGGAGGGGGTAATGTCAGGGATATACATGAAGCATACAGGATGTTTGGAGAAATGATCTGCGGGACCCACATGGTGCATATGGGTTCCCCTGAACGCGAGGAAGCCTGTTCCTTTTGCTTCCTCGCGCCACGTCTTGTATCTAGAGTCAACTATAGCCTTCTTTAATATTGATTACTCATCTACGGATACGTGAGACCCTCACAGGCTCCTAGAAACACCCGTCCCGTTCCCGGGACCATTCATTCGGCTCTCAGAAGGCGGCTCGGTAGTATCAACCTATATACGACCATTATAGACCGAAGGACATGATTAGTGAGCCCCGGTTCATGATGTCACAAGTAATCCAGTAGCACGTAATCCTGCGTATAAGTTCAATCCAATCCCATTATACTTGCACGTTGCGAGTACGGCAGCCAGTCATGCATATTTTGCCTAAGGTCCATGCTGCCCTTGCTACCGTGCTGCTAATTGTCAGCCTTGCCCGTTTGGAATTGTCTCGGCGAGCAGGCCGGGGAACTTGGTCACATCCGGCCCTTGATCTTGCAGTATCTGTACCGGAAGATGTTTTATGGTAGTGTATGTGGGACTGAGCTGGACTGAAACAAATGAAATCGTACGAGAGGTAATACTTGGGGTAGCCAGCGTGTTTCCAACGTGCTTCAAGATTATCTCTCAAACTCAAGTTAACCACCATGGATCAGTCTCTCCGAATGAGCATCCTGCTGCGAGGCCTTATCAATACACCATCTCAATTAATGATCTTTTTTTTCATTATTTTCCCTTTCCTCGTGCTTTATCAAGGTTACAGCCACACTAGTTGGTACTGTACAGTAGTATTCGAAATTAGCTATACCTCGGCACTTTTTGGGTCATCCAGTCGGTCCCTCTGCTGCATACTGTACTTGGGGGAGCTTGTGAATTTTAATACTTTACACTCATGCTTATTGAGCCAGAGACAGGGGCGGAATATCAATTGAGGTACAATAATAATTCACAGGCAATGTCTCTCATTCCCAATCCTTTGGCTTTATAAACAAAGCATCCGCTGTGATCGCCTCAATCCAATCTTGAGGAACCTTTCCTGGAATCTGGAGAGAACCCTTCAAGTAAACCTTGCGACCTTCAACCCGATCGGGCCATGCTCGAAGAAGTATCGGAGCTGTTGGCGGAACCGAGTGGAGGTAAGACGTGTTCAAGTAGGCTGTGACTGCTGATTTGCAGCTGTCGGCAAGAATGCGGTCCATCAAGAGGGCAATGTACCCGCCGAACAATTTCCCATTGTAGTAGCACATCTGCTGTGTAGGACTCAAAAGCAGGAGAGACTCTGCCTCCCACCCAAGAGGATGGAGCTTGAACGTGGGATTATAACCCTTGAACAGTGATCTCATCATCTCAATTTGGGGTTCATCGGAAGCAGGCACAGAGCATGACTTCAGAATGTCAATACAGTACACGGCAAGCTAGCACCTTAGTTTCCATACTCACATGCGTGCGCTTGGCTAAGTTGCTGCCATCATCACAGGAGGGTGCCGGGTATTGTTCCGCCTTTGATCGGTATCCGCGAATGGTTCGAAGAAGAGAGAGCAAGTATTGTCGTTTCATGACTCTATACATTTTTATTGCCGGGCTCGTGAGATTGAAGAGTAGTTGCACACCGCGGATTTCTACGTACCGGCTTGGACTTTTATGCAGAGGTTTTCGCAATGACAACATTCCCAGCTGGTGCAATCAACTTTTCTCATCGCTGGAAAGTGGACCGCCCAGGGCGCAAAATAGTGCGCGCTGGGGGTTGTTTGCTAAATCATTCAATGGGAGAGTGCTCTCGGATGAGTTGAGGAAATGCTGTATATGACCAAGATTTAAATCTAAACGCTCCTCAATTAGCCTTCAACGCTCGCTGAGGTCTTAACCACTCTTAACCACTCTTCTTGACCGCTCTTCTTAACCACTCCTCTTAACCACTCATCTTAACCACTCTTCTTGATCACTCTTCTTAACCACTCATCTTAGCCACTCATCTTGACCATTCTTCTTGACCACTCTTCTTAACCGCTCTTCTTAACCACTCTTCTTAGCCACTCATCTTGACCATTCTTCTTGACCACTCTTCTTAACCGCTCTTCTTAACCACTCTTCTTAACCACTCATCTTAACCACTCTTCTTAACCACTCATCTTAACCACTCTTCTTAACCGCTCCTCTTAACCACTCATCTTAACCGCTCCTCTTAACCACTCCTCTTAACCACTCCTCTTAACCACTCATCTCAACCACCCTTCTTAACCACTCTTTACTGCAGCCAAAATGAAGATAATTGCTAACTCGCGATGTTTGGTTTTCTGGAATGCCTAAGCAAATGGTTGTTGCCGTTTTTTGTCAATGATGATGATGGTATTTCTAAGTTTATAACCCACAGGACCTATCCTTGGCGAGAGACCAACCGTGCAGGTGTATCTGTTTTATTCTTTGAGGTCACCAGAAGGACCGCGTGACCTCTAATCGCCAAAGCCGTGGTCGTACACAGACTTGATATATGGATGGAGCGAAAAATGGAGTAATTGTTATTCCCTCTGAACTAAAAGGAACTTGCTGACTACCAGCATCGTAGATGCTTTATTCAAGTGGGACCACACCTGTGCAGCGGGAGTTTTCATTTAGAAGTGGAAAGCGGGACCATGAGAGTGATGGATATCATTGAGACAGTGAACCCTCTACACGATGGCCTTACCCACCGCATGGTATCTAGAAAATCTGAACTCGTACCGATGAGGCCGGTCTGGAACCCCGTGAAACCATTGAGTAGTCGCGTAGTTCGATAATTACCTGTCCCCTGAAAGCCAGCACGAAAGGCCAAAGCGTTTTGGTGCCTTAAGCACCGCATACTTGCACCACGGGTGAGTAATTTATTGATTACCATACAGCAGTGCATCCTTTCCAGCTTAGGTAGCATTAGCACAACCCCGTAGCACTGCCGATATGAGCTCTTCAACTCTGTTCTTGGTAGCTATCACTAGAGAATGACGAGCAGTGGGCAACAGGCCACGGTGAAAAATCTGCTGCTACAGTATCGTATTGCACCCGGAGAACCCGATCGCTGTGCACACGCTCAAAGAGTGATATAGCATCAATTGAAATATCTTTCTATAAAGTAGCTAGGTCCTAAAAGTTTCGCAGATAAACTGTGACATGCCCATGGTTGCGTTCCTTGGCGATGGCATACGCCGTTTGGCCATTCGAATCTTTCAGTCGCTTTTTCACACCACGCCGATTAGCCAACAGTTGCACAACCTTATAATGCCCACCAGCCGCAGCCCACCAGAAAGAAGTTCTCCCCTGGTCGTCCACCGCATTCACATTTATGTTGGGATACTCCAATAATATTTTGACAATTTCAACCCTGCCTAGAGCCGACGCAAACATTAGCGCAGTAAAGGAGGAGCAATGGTTTTGGTCATTGATCAACAAAGATCTTTCGTAGCTGACTAGGAGATGGACAATGTCGACATGCTCCATAATTATTGCGACCTCAAGTGGCGACGTCCCCGATGGGCTTATTTGGTTAATATCGGCTGAATTCTGCAAGAGAAATTCAACCGCTGCAAATTGTCCTGCGCGACATGCTGACCAGAGCGGCGGAAATGCATCGGTAAATTGAGGGCTCTTATGAAGCCCCGGCTGTCGGAAGAGGACTTTGATCAAGTCTAAGGAGCCTTTCGCAGCAGCCTTTGCCAAAGGTGTCTGGCCCAGCTTGTCGGCGCAATTGAGGTCCAGATTTGTTTGCTGCAAGAGGAGCTCAACCAATTTTACGTCGGAATTGCTCACCGCATACCATATTGCAGTGCGTCCATTCTCATCTTGGTAATTAAGGTTGATGCATGGACTCAAAAGCAAGGCTTCAATGACAAGCAGCCTTTTTTTGATGGGGAGGAAACGGCCGTGTCCTTTGACAGCCAGAAGCAACGGAGTTTCCTGTCGACGGTTGAAACAGTTGACGTCAACTCGAGGATTTCGTACAAGCATTTGGATTGCTCCATAGTCGCCAATTTCTGTCGCTAGGTGCAGTGGTGTTTGGCCATGATGGTCGCAGATGTTGACATTTGTTCGCTCATCAGACAAAAGAAGTTGGAAGACATAAGTTTGGCGACAGGTCAGCGCAATTGAAATGGGCGCAATCCCGTCCAGTGATTGGTTATTGAGATCAATGTTCGGTACATTGAGGAGCCGTTCGATAATACTGACGCTTCCATGCAGAACAGCGATCGAGAAGGCACTTTCTCCCAAAGTATTACGCTGTATGACATTCACTGAATGATGGCTTAAGAGCAAATCAACAGCTTCTGAGTACCGCAACTTTGTAGCCAACATGAGTGGTGTAAGGCCAGAAAACTTTCGGTTGACATCTGCCTTTTCCCAACCCAGAAAGTGTTTGACGATGCCTAAGCTTCTATGTTCGATTGCCCAATGAATTGGCGGGGTGTCTTGAAAGTCTACGCAATCCATGAGGCTCTTACTGAAGACGACGTAGGATTTCCGGGATGTGAGACACAGACTTCGAAGGTCTTTCTTGTCGATGGACTTGCCAATCCACAGAAGTAGTTCTAGTGGAAGTCCCAAAAGCGGCATTTCGGCAGATTGCGTGAACGTATAGGTAACGACTACCTATGCAGATGATAATAAAAGGAGGGCTCAGAGTAATAATTTAGAGATCAAGTTTGCCACCGCGAGTGGTTGGCGGAGGAGCTTGGGAGGCGCATTTCTTTGTGGTGCTGGCTTCTATTTAGCTATTTTTGAGGGCATATTATCGCAGCGAGCGCACTAAATAACGATATCACCGACACGGAGTTACCTAAAAGTGTTGAGTCACCGGCTCCTAGGATCGTGCTACTTGCTCCTGGGACCCTGCGACTGGTTTCTAGGAGCCCTAATAATCCCGGGAGACGGCTATAGTGTTCCCAGGGAACACTCACCGATTCCTGGGAGTTATGCATCGTACCTGAGACTCTAATATGACGGACATACGAGAACCGAGTCACCTAACTCCTACGATCTCTGTTTCTTGTCTCAGGGCCAAGTGGCGCCATCGTGACCAACATACAAAGGTCAAGCGCCTCGCCAGCCATATTACAAGTTCCTCCAACCCACAAGTGTACCATCTTCCAGTTACATCCAATATTAGCATTTCTCGAGCATTCAACTTTGCTCTAATCTGTTAACGGCTCCCACTTCCACGGATTCTATCCTATCATTTTCGTTCAAGAAACAAACAATGGGCCAATACTGGCTGGTGGTTTGCCCGTCCAAACGCGAGTACACAACACAGTCATTTGGTGGGAAGTTACCAGAGTTGCTCTTTTCGTCGTGGTTCAACATACTGCGTGACCTGATTGAAAACGAGTGGGCTGGCACTCAGCTCATCTGTATTGGGGATTACTTAAATCCAGACGACCTCCCTGCCACGATTCAACAAGACAAGTTCCACCTGAGTTCCGCTGTGAGCGGTGCAACATCCGAGCCCCTCCGCTACGATGTCGTTGAGAAAACGTTTGGATTTTGGTCTTACGAAGAAGAGAAAGCAGCGACTCTCACGGTCATGGAAAAACCTTCCAATCCCAAAAGTCGAGTCCTGAGGAATTTAACTACCGGTGAATACTTCTTTGAGGACGCGTTGCCATTTGGAATCACCATTAGCCACATAGTTCTGATGAGTATCTGTTGGTCGTCGGATAGTTCAACAGGCATTACGGGCGGAGCATATCTGGCCAAGGGAGTCTGGGCTGGCCACAAATTCGACATTGTAGATGCCGACATGGTGGAACATATGAACAGACAATGGGAAGATGTCACCGAGGACGTCCTCGATGAGGTTCAGGCTCTGTGGCCGAGCGATTTCGGACACAACTCGGAAACTGAATGGAGAGTTTAACACGTCCTGGGCAAGAAGCTATGAAATCACTTGACGTAAAAGATATCCGAGGATATAATGCTAGGCTACCAAACAAATTGCCAATGAGAATATCTTTGGACACCCTTCCCGTGATACTGTACGAACAGGCGTGGCCTGTGCGACCTTCAAATCCCTGAGTTTCCTTAAATACAACGCTTCAATCGATTGCCTACTCGAATTTGCTCGTCATAACTAGCCGAGGGAATGTATGGAAAATTATTATTGGAACGATAAGAGTAGAAGTTCATTCAGTAGTAAGGCTTTTAATTTAGACAAGAAGTTTCAATTCGCCTGGATAGAGTGCTCGACTGAGTGCACCATTAACTTGCTTCACAGGGTCATGTTTCACAGAGAGTAACCCGACCAGCAATAATCCCTGCGCTGAATTCATCTGTTCCGAATTCTGGAGTATTAACCCCACCACCTTCAGGTTGGACAAGAAGGCCGTCTCCGGGAGCACCCAGTGAGGTTCCTGGGTGCCAATAAGTTCCTGGGGCCGCACAGTAGCCTCCTGGCAGTGCATGTTGTCATCCTAGGACGAGCAAGTTTCTACGTAACCACGTCAAATTGGTAGGTCGGTCGACCCACCCTTTTTTCAAGGATTTTGTCCGCAGACCAACCATAGAATTTGCAATTCCGTTTTAAACAAGTGACTGAAGTTGAAGGTTGCTTTCGACATGAGTGCTATGAGGTTTGATCTGGGCAACGTTTTCTTTATAAGGCTATTTTATGCTCATATGTATAACACCATTGAGAAGTTACAAGGATGATTGAAATAGCAGATCTCTCAGAAGAAATACATATCAAAACATACATGGTACGTTACATTACCTCTTCATAATTACTTACTAAGTTCTCTTCCTCATCTGTGGCGGTGGGGACCATGTAATTGTAATGTAACTATTTGTTTCATTGTAACAAGCTGGCTGTACTAAGTTTTCGCAAGAACAGCCAAGAGTTGTTAGCCCCAAACGGTCTTCTTTGCCCAGTAAAGCTATGTTCCGGATAGATCTAATAAAATGCCACTGGAAATGAATCGATTATAATATAAAGGTGCATCCGCGAGCCCGCCTAAAAAGACGCTTATCATGCTTCAGATTTGCTGCGCTTAAAGTGTAGGGTTTTGCCCCTTGAGTTTAACGTACCAAATTTATTCCTTTACTCCTTGTAGACAAGTGTAGTTTAGCAGGCATCTGAGCGATCCATTTATTAAATGATCCCTTATTCTCGCACAGCCAAAAAGTTCCAATGGTGCGACAAGGAGTCTAGGGTTTGAAGGTCGGCAGAGGGTCGGACTACCGGCTGATAGCAAATTTGTACAGACAAACTAAAATTCCAGCACATTTAGATATTATTGACTGAAGAAATAATTTAGTTACCGTTCCAATTAGCCCGAGACCTAGTGCATCTCTGAGAAGGCTTCAATTCCATCCATGCCTGTCGCAGTAACGCCATATCAACATCCGCGAAATGAGGCCCAATCTGTCTCAGGGTCAAATTCTTCCTCTGTAGGTCACGCAACTTCCGTTTGTTCTTTGCGTTAAGCCTCTTGGGGGGGTTGTAGCCATCCAGACCACCTGGATAATGCTGAGGCGACTGGGTTTGTGCCTTGGCTCTAGTGAGGGGTCTGCGAGGGCTGCTGGGAGGGACTTGGTCATCACAAGGCAGATTTTGCTTGCCATCTTCCCGTGTAGGTAGATTACTGTCACAGCCAAATTCTGCGGTAACAGTTTGGTCACGAGTAGGCAAAGAGGTGAGATGTTCTTGCAAATTTTTCCTCTCCTCATTGGCTTCAGTGACAGCACAGTATCCAGAAGGCTGACTGGCAAAGCTTAGAGCGGGAGGTTGCGGCTGTTTTATGCCACTGACGGAAGTTGCCTCACACTCTTCATGTGGGGAAATGAGTGATTCCGGCTGGATGGCAGCTTGATCACAAGATTGGCGTGCACTATCACTGTTGAATTTAGGCGGCTCGAGGATTCGAGGATCAATGGCCTCAAGGCCAGGAGTTGTTGGCCCTGAGCTGGGTGAGGAAACTAACTCCGAGAAGCATGGTTCCACTGAGTTGCTCCTGTTGCTGACGCTATATTTGTCACAAATACTTTGCCCTGAGTATTGTTCCAGATTCCCTTCAACAGACGGGAGCAAGGCCGGGACGGGGAAAGAAGACCCTTCTGGCACACAGTCCTCACGCTCATGACTTGGATGTGAGTAATGGTAAAATCGAGCTTTCTTAGAATGTCCCTCTTGTGGACCTGTTGAAGATATTTGGGCTTCCAACTTGCAAGTGCGCTTTCTCTTACTGGGTAGCTTTGGATTTTGCCATATAGTTTCCTTGAGCCCATGCGCATCGTGCAAGTGAAGTCGGAGGTCACGCTCATTGTGGAAGCTTTGGGAGCATCCGCATACTGGCTTTGTCTGACAATGCCCGATTTTAGCCAAGTGCTGCCCTTCAATGTGTTCCCTCAGATTGTCACTTCGCAGCCAGTATCGCAAACGCTTTTCTGCAGAGAGATCGGGGTCCCACAAACAGAAGGGGCAGTAGCCGGGACGGATGACGGTATGACGATAGATAATTACTTCGCAGTGCTGGGCTTTCCAGGACTGGAGATGGGTATCACAATGATCCCGCCATTGACTCGACAAACACCAGTCCATGCATTCATAGCAAAACCGCATCTCTGACTCTGATATTTGAAGGCCAAATGCTTTCTCACGCCGAATACATCCGTGAATATGAGCACTTCTGTCACATTTTCTCAGGCTAGCAGAGTTAGTATCCGCCAGGTTATCACTAGGTCGGGGAGCTCACCTTGCAATATTGATTTGGCAACCTTTTACAGGACAGAGGCCTTGTACTGGGCTTTCGTTTGGGAGATATACCACGTCAAAATCACGGAGACACTGCGTCTGTAGATCTTCGACAAAGAGAAGTTTTTCGTCAAAGGAAAGCTCTTTGGTGGAGGACATGGCTGTTGCGATTCGCGCAACCTCGGGCATAATCAGCATTTGAGCGCGTGCGCGAATGTCATTCTCCGAATGGGTTGGCTCTTCTTTTCCTCGATTGATAACTTTCCGGTCTCTCTTCTCCTGTGCCCACCGAATTTGATATTGCCTGAGTTCGAAAAGGCGATGTCGAACGAGCGCCTTTCTGTATTCCAACTTCTTGTTCTTGAGGCTATTCTCGTCGTGGTTCTGTGCGAATGAATCGATCTGGGCTCTCATTTCCACCATATCTGGTTTTTCCAAAATACTCTCTTTGATCTCTGCTGGCAACTCACCTGGCAAGCCACGTTCGTAATATTGAACATAACTTTGGAAGTACTCGATATGGTCAGACTGGTCTTCCTCATCTAGAACAGCTCCCACTGTATCTATGGAAGAACAGTGGGCTTGATAATGCTCCGGAAAAGTGTTTAGCCCCCGATGTGCTAGTATCTGACTGACAGGTGCAGATCCGTTTCTCTCTGTGATAAAACTTAGTATTAAGATCTCTCTCTTGTGTCTATTGTGTTTGTGTGGTGTAGGGGGCTTACTTTCGACTTTTTTCCCAAGGTTTCGTCGTATACAATGGATCGTTGCCAATTCACCAAAGTACCCTGCAGCAGTAAAAATTTGACGCAGGCAAGAACAAAATTTTTGTTTCGTCAGAGGTGTCTCCTGAGGCCCGTCCGCCGTGGCATGTCTGAGAACTGGTTTATCCAAGTACTCTTCCTTCCATCGCAACCGAATCTCGCCATTTGAAAGATCAAACTGCGCCAGATCATCCACAGTATCCACCCCATAAATAGCACCGTGTGCTAATGCGAGGGAGAGAAGAAGGTAGCCCGACGCAAATTGCGACCTGTTGCTGTCCCGAATGCCAATTCCGAATCTAGAAGCACGCCAATTAGTGAAGTCCCGTATATTCGATAAACATACCACTATGTCCTTCTAACTCACACTGTGTATTTTTCACATCGACGATTTTTGAGCCACTTCTGATCTACCTTCCAACCCACCGCCCAACGACCTGTGGATGAAGGAAATAGAACCAACTTGATATGCTAGAATAAAGATTAATGTTGTATAATATCGCTGGAGTAAAGACGCCTTACTTCGTATCGAAGACCTCTTTCATGTTTGTCCTCACTAGAGGGTATGAAAGCTCCGACTCTTGCTCCAGTAAAGAGATACAGCTGGAGAGCAAATAAGATGACAACTTTGAGCAGTCCCGGAATGAATGTTTGGTGGTCAGTCTGCCACAAAGATGAGACTGTTCTCAAAAAATCTTGCTTTGTGAAGTTGAGTTTCTCTTTCTTTTGATCTACAACGACGCCATCTGCGGTCAAAGTTTTTTTGATCCACTACATCCAGGTGAGTTTAAGATGATCTCAGAGGGGAAGTTATGAATGAACCAACCATTTTTATTTCCTTTCGATCGTCTGGGACGATTTTGGTTCTTGTGAATTGTTCAAATCCACCAAAGAATTTCTCGGCATGCGCACTCACGGTTCTCACCGTGGGTAGACCATCGTCATTCAGTCGCCCTTGAATAGAATTTGCGTACCAGCGAATGTACGCTTTGATCATCTCATGTGTTGGAGCAGGAGAACCGAGGAAAGTTTTATAATATTCGTACCCATTCTCCGGGTCTGCAGTGAACCTAAAGGAAGGTCAGAATGCGTGAATAGGAAAGGATTGCCACTCAGATGCTGCGTAACTCACTCGAGCCAAAGGTTCATAGTTTCTCGGTGTAATTCGTTGGTTTTGGGGAGCCTTTTGTCTTTCTCCCGAATTGAGTCCTCCTCTTTATGGGTTCCAGGGGCATAACCATTCTTTTCCCGCTGTAGACGGCGCCTCTCTTTCGCGAGTTCATCGCGCTTGGCAAAAAAATCCTTTCGGCCCATAATCAATGCAAAAGACGCTTGGACAGAAGATTTGTTGATTATTACATGCTAATGCCGCCATGCGGTTTGCTTTTATATCTGAGATCTTGAGCTCGAGCCGCTCTGAAGAAGAAAGATATGAGCAACATCATGAAACGGATGGGTTCTCCACTCCGTCCTGCGCCCTTTGGTCATGACGTATCTCCTTGATAAGATGTAGTACTCCAAAAATTGAGGGCAGCAACAATGCTATCAACGAACTAACTATCACAGTATAGACGACCCTGTGGGGGCTAATCCCTTCTGGGTATAGTCTGCGGTGGGCTGAGTGCATCAGTGTTGCTCACTGATTGGACACTGAGCATCACTGAGTAATCAGGGAGCACCCAATGAGCACTCACTGAGCATCAGTCATTCTGCACGTGACTGGTCTGAGCATGATCACTGATCTGAGCCCGTGCTGACGTCTACTCAGTGAGCCTGAGCCTGAGCACCCTCATAAAAGCGGCGGCAGATCAAATAGGAAAGCCCCACACGCCAGGGAAAATCCGGTACGTATAGGTGCATATGGACGAGATCTGTGCCATATGGACTTGACCATTTCGAGTTGGTACTTGCCATGGAAGAACATTGGCAGTTCATATTAAGCCAGTCAATCCAGGGGAATACTATACAGACTCGGATAAGTGATAGAAGAGGACTACTGTGGAATAGTAGGTGCTCTGAATGATATCATATAACGTCTAGATAAGGGGAGATAGAGAGAGAGAATCCATTCGGCTTTTCGTAACTTAAGGTCACATGGATGTAGCCTTCGCGCTAATTTATAAGGGGAGAGGATATCTACAAGAGTCAGAGTGAGACTAAGTGTGTGCGGGAGCAGGCGAGGTCACGTGACCTCTAACAATAAGCCTTCTCGTCATTGATAAAATCATATCCGAGTATCTTGACAGCACTTGTTCGGTAACAGGCTAACAGCTAGGTAGCGAACGGACTTCCCACTCAGGTTATGTAGAGCCAGGGAAGAACCTATGAATTACGAAGAAGAGTCGGAAGATTCAATGTCATAGAGAAAATAATATTTGCAAGTATCTACCCGAATCGCATTCATCAAGAGCTCCAAGTGTCCAAACCGGAGTAAACCCATATCCACAGCAAAAATCAAATCAGATCAACAAAAAGTAAGGCCAACACCAAGAAGGGTAAGAATGTGAAAGAAAAGAAAAGGAGAAAAGCAATGTAGGCCTGATATCAAAAAGGAGTCAAAAGCATGAAAAGAACCAACAACAAACGCGAAGACCGGAATATGAGAATCACATCAAAAACAGAGCCCAAGTATTTCCAGAAGAAGAAGAAACAAACCCATTTGTACCAGCACCTGTATAAACCCATCCCCAAAATTTATTCCACAAATCAAAATCAAAACATAACTCCGACAAAGCCTTGTAAAAGCGCTATGTTTGTATATCAGAGCCATCACTCATATACTTTCGTTAATAACCCATTGCTCTCATGCACCATTTTGTATCGCCATCAAGTAACTCAAGTCAACATCAAATCATGACCATCTCAATCCGGGGGATCCAGCCCGTCCATTGATCAGACGGCGTGGGAGATAGGCAGCCCATTCGGGTGACCCAGCGACCCAGTGCGGAAGGGCAGATCCCGTTGCGCCAGCGAGTCCATGTGCGACTGGTGGTGGTGCGACATGTCGTGCATGTGCGGTGCCATCGGCATCTGGTATGTTGGCTGCGACATGCCCTGGCTAGTAGCCGGCGAGGTGTAGTCGACCGGGCTGAAGATGTTCTGGCGGAAGGAAGGAGTCCAGGGGTCGTAGTGAGCGCTTGCGGCTGTGCGGGAGTGGTCTGGTGTCGAGCTTGTGAAGGAGCTGTGAGGGGAGTAGTCGAAGGCGGAGACGTCGTGGGGGCTAATCATCTCGGCTGTGACGGGGGCGCTGAGCATCGGCTGCGAGAAGGAGTCGGTGTATTGAGGGGGGTGGCGTAGTAGGTGCGGTCTTGCCGGGTTGGCTCGAAGGTGAGGGGCTCGGCCATGGAGAAGCTGCCGGGGTAGGAGCGGGTGGAGGGGATTGTGTCGACGGGGGTGGTCATGGCGGCGGAGGCATGCTCGAAGGAGGAGATGGGGGTCATAAGGCCTTGGTTTGTGTGTTCGGCCTCTTCGATGGGAATGGATGATGCGTCGGTGGAGTCTTCTTCTTCGTCACCCTTGGGGCTGGGGCCGCGGTTCATGGTGTAGACGATCATGTTGCCGTCGACTTCTCCGCGCTCGAAGCGCTCTTCCATCTTGCGGACCCGAAGAATCTCGTAGATGATCTCGACGTGGGAAGCGTGCTTCAAGCTCCGCTTGGTGTCACCGGCAACTTCCTTGAGCTTGTCGGCGGTGATGCCGTATGAACCGAGCTTGCGGATGATGTGAAGCAAGAGTTCGATGCGGTACTCTTTGCGCAGGTGATCAGGCTCCTTGTGCATGACACCGGGAGGCCACCACTCAGGCTTGGTCTTTTCGGGGTCACCGGTGGTACCGGGGGCAGATCCAGCTGGAGGCTTGCCACCGTTGTAAGGGTGTCGGACTTGCTTGCGAGGCTCAATGAACTTGATGAAGGCCTTGGCAACCATGCGGCAGTTAAGCTGTTGGAAGTGCTTGAGGGCGCTCTCATAGTAGCTCATGACCTTTTGGGAGTCGCCGATGCGGAGAGGAACCATTTCAGTGGAGTTGCCAGAGAAGTCCTCGCCGTCAGAGCCCTGCTCAGTCAGACGGTCATCACTGACAGAGATGGTAGGAGCATTCTTGCGACGTCTCACTCGACGGGGAGATGTGTCCATGGATTCTGTATATATGTTAGCATCTGCAATGTTGAGCATTGGCAAGTTTGACATACGGTGAGGAGCGTGGTAGCCAATGCGTTCACCCAGAATCTCGAGGAAGTTCTGGCGAACTTCGGGGGTGAACAATGTAGCATTGTGTTCTTGAATCGAAGAGGATTCATCAACCTTGAGCTTGCCATCATGGTCAAGGTAAATCATGGCGTAGTGAGCATAAGGAGGACGGAACGATGAGCGAGAGTGAGTCATCATAGGCTAGGGTAGTTAGCAAGATGTACTTAAGACTGCTGTAAAGGGTAAAGCATACAGGAACAGTGTCCCATCCTGGCGGTCCGTCGAGGGCCGAGGCGGACCTCTTCATGGCCCCGGAGGTAGGGTTTGGTTTACTATAAACCATTGTGTCGTATAAAGATAGATCGAGGTAGCTCAAGTCACAGTAGCTGAAGACGTAATGGTCTCGAGGAATGTATAATCTCAGTTACGAAGGCGCATCAAGTAACCAGAAGTAAAGGAGAGGAACTTGATTCAGTCTTGATGCACGAGGAAAGACTGATCTCTTTATAGATGGGTGTTCCTCGGAGTGGCGGGGTTTTGGCAGCTAGGGCTTGCAAGCAATGTGTACCGATACTAGCGACTCACAGTCAGCTCACTGGCTCTAAACGTCTTCGGCAGCACCAGCCCGTCCCCGGAGCTTGTTGTCATGGCTAGCGAACGGCGGAAAAGCCATATCCGTTCCGGTGCGGGAACAGGTATGACAAACACTGACATTCCCGACAACAGGGTTCCAATCAAGCTCTTGCAAACAGAACTAGAAGAAGATGGGGGTGGGGATGTACGGGATGTACTCACACAGTTCGAAATGACAATGCGCAAGTGTCTCAATGGGGATGGCAGGCGGATAACTGCAGTTGCAGGACTCTGTTGGTAACCGGGATGCAGGAACGAATGGAAGCCTCCACTTGTTGAGGTAAACGAAGGGTGACACCGGGTTGGGGTAGTTGGGAATGAAATATCTTTGTCAAGTCGAGGTTGATCAAGTGGGATGGGGTCTTTAAGTAGAAACCTCAAGGCTGATGTAGATTGAGATCAGAATCCGAAGGGGATATGCAAGCCTTTTTCACTTCGAGACTGTAATGTGTAGAGTGACAAAAGCACCAGAAAATATGACCAGCAAATTCATCCAGGATGATCCCAGAAAATGGCTCTGATCGTATGCAGCGAGATTGGCCTTGGAGGAGGAGGACATGCAGTAGCTTAGACCGATCTAGGATCCCTGTTCCCACTATTTGTAGATCGCAGTATTTTTTTATTTTTTTATCATTTTTATATTATTTCATTTCCTAAAATATTAAATATTCTTATTATATTCCTCTATTTTCTAATTTATTCTTCAATGAACTCCGGGCAAACCCTCCCAGAGTGGCGCTCATTAGATCGACCCACAGTCCCACACACTGTACACTGGCAAGTCTGTCAGTTCAATTGGCTCTGGGGATCAGATCACTATTGGCATACGAGGCAACCAATGCTTTGGCCTAGACCTAGTATGATATCTACGTTAATATGTCAAAACTGTCAGTAGGGGTCAGCCCTAATAAGCACCCCGAGCTGTCAGGCACCTAGATACAGACGCTCAGACCAGATTGAGTCAGCGTCGTGTGGGAGCTATTCTAGTAGGTCTGAGTGTTCGGGTTCGAGATTGTTATCGCAGTTGCTCTTCAGTTACAAAGTACTAAAGGTGAATATGTTATACATGATATGAGTTAACGTTTGCCTCTGGATATGTAACATTTTGAGTCTTCGATCTCCGGATCTCAGGACAAATTCCCCCGACGCTAAGTCCTAGAACCAACCAATCCCATCTCTTCCCCATCTCATGAACCTATCAAGGTGAGGCTTGTGCATGGCCCAACATCCTGGATCCTGGGAGTCGACTCGCCGATAATCTGTCACTGTCTTTTCTCTTTTTTGTCTTCCCTTTTTATTTTCCTACTTTACTTTTCTTTTTCCCCTCTGCAGCTTGTTTACTGCCGTCGATCTCCGTTCATTGACAGGACCGGGGTGGCAAGCCAAAGACCGTTTCCCCGATGTCAACGAAATCATAGACCTTTGCTTCAGCTGGGCATAGTCCACTGCCCCTGAGATCAGACATCCAATCTCGCCAAACAGAAAAAAAGATACGGAGTAAATAGATATGACAAATTGCAAGCAAGATGGGGACGAACGACAAAGTACGTAGTGTTAGTCAAACCGTAGCTTCTCGCCTACTCCGTGCACAGAGAATAATCTGTTTGGCATACTACGTGATCGACTAGTATTTCGGGGAAGTCCAAGACAACCGGTCGCAAAATGGGTCGATTACTCTTCACGGCTTAGTTCTCGTACTTTTTGACGTCCGGGATGGTTTTTATGACAGACCAATCAGAGTGGATTATGAGCTTTCCCCCTCCCCTGGGTCTGTGCTAAGAAGAGTCCAGGACTCCAGGGGAATGGCTGCTCCACCCAAAATCCTGTCAACCCGTCCATCTCCCGTCCTTCCGCTGGATTACTTTATTAGAACAAAGAAGTCAAACTGTCAAACGAAAAGGGGAGAAGACAACGGTAACTAGTTAACTACAGCCTTACTTCCTACCCTGATCTCCTCTACTGTGTATCGGGGAGTTTGCTTGCTCCCCCATACTCCGATCTGATTATGTACTTGAAAGTTGAAACCATTGTATCTGTCTGATCTATCTGATCAATCTCGAGCATGCTGCCAAATATTGTAACATTGTACTATTTTCAATCTCCACGGATTTGAACAACCATTGTAAATGATCTATTACAATTCACTTGCAACGTACGCGAAGCCAACAACAGATTAGTATCGGAGGTCGGTCACACACGGCACCGGTCGAACAAAGCAATGTCGTCGAACTAAACGGTTTCCAGGCAAGAATAAAGTATTTGTCATTCTTTTAGCGCGCGCAAAAATGGGGATACTACTAGTAGTACTTGACGTCGACGTTCGAAACCGCTAAAACAAGAACTACGACGTTTTTTGTCATATTCTTTGTTTGTGCCCCCGCCCCATGACCGTTTCCCGTCCCGGGAAGCGTTCCCCAGCTTGTTTGCTTGATCTGTTTAGCCGACGTTCAGGTTTAGCGTCTGGACTATATACTGGCTGTTACCTACTTTGTAGATAGAAACGGGATATTTCAACAGTCCTAGTTAGACTTGGAATTAGAGATTTCCCGTGTATGTATGTTGAGGATCTAGATTTCCAATGGCATCCCCTTTTGCCTCAAAATGGATTAACGCGATATGTAACAAACGAACTCTTCCTATTGGTCCAAACAAAAGAACCATCCCCTGTCCGAGCCCTGTGGTCAGCCACGACGTGGCTGGGGTCGGCTATTTTCAGCACGCACCGCCACCGCTATACATGACAGCTGAAGGAAGGGGGTGGCAGAAAAAATACGTAATGTACTCCAGACCTAATATACTCCGTACATGATGTACTTACTATGCAACATGCCAATGTAGCAATGCAGCAATGCAGCAGGAAGAAAGCTATTCATGGATATTCCAGTTAATCTGGCCAATGTTGAACCCCCCCCCCCGTTGACAAACGTCAGTTTGACGGCGCTTGGCATCTCCGAATTCCGACGACACTAGTTTCAAAGCAAACATCTGCTCTGGTGATCATATTGACGCCAACTATAATCTAGCGGAGCGCTATTGCCGCTCCCATCAAGGCAAGAGACTAAGTCTGACTAGTTACTAGTGCGGACTGGAGTTGTTCGGAGGAGCGATCTCCCTGAAACCCTTAAAACGAGGCGTTGGCTCGGCGGACCCGACCCGCTGGATATTATGATTATGACAGCGGGTGCACTGACTGGGGGTGTATCACTGGGTCGTGTGATGGGACGGTTAGGAGGATTAGATAGGATGGCGGGATGCAAGAATACCTCGATCGGGTTTGGAGGATCTACCCATCTAAGTTAAAGCACTTTTCATCTTCGCTTCTGTGGAGCGTTTGTCTTTGTCACGCTCGTTTATCTTGAATTTTCTCGAGTCCGGGGTTTACTTTGGAACTGTTGACGTTTTTGTGGCGGTTCACCGCTACGGAAAAGAGTTGGGGATAGTATAACTAAAGGAGATAATCAGGATTTGTGTCGTACTTTGAGTAAATTGACTTAGTGGTCATTTGCTTCAAGGCTTGATTGTCGAACTGTCGGTCTAGAACGCATATCAATCAAGATAGGTCTGGGCAATTGAGGAGATATGAGTGAGTCTGTTCGCGCAGAGTGTCAGATGACGAGAACGGGCGTGTTTAGGTTGCGGGATGGAGGTACTATTGAAAGATGCAATCTACTCCCACTATATTTTCTCCGAGAACATCTCGAAGACATATTCCCAGTCAGGTTGGGGACACAGCCACCTCGTAGAGTATCTCCTCGTATTTCAACTTTTCAAGGCTGCCTACAGGCTACCTACAGGCTACAGTCATGAGGCCTATAAAGCCAATAGTCTATTTCGATTTTCACATAAGCAGATAGAACAGCACTAGAGACAGTCACAATTTGGAAACCCGAAACACCGTATCCGCGATCGATCAATGATGCACGTCGATCAGCCCATGATCGGACCGACCGACACTGGTACTGCGTCATTCAGAGACCCCTGGCGCCCAGATGTCGGGGGCAATTAGGGGCCGTAGCCGTGACTCCGGATCCCCCATCCCAACGAGTGCAACGACCCCCATTTCTGGGACCTTAGCTTCAAAGGTTGGCAGGGGTCGAGCACCCATCATCTGAAAGACAGTGACGCCCATGGCGCTGTACTTCTGTCATGGGCCAGTCATTGAGCGAGAACGACACTTTTTGGAATCCTTGGCCAATCTCGCTACAAGCCCTGGGGAGGCCCAGACTCAACCCGACTCGACCCCACCAAGCCACCGGAATGGGGCTGGCCGGGGATGACGGTCCGGTGGAAGGGTAAAGCTGTCAAATGCTACAAAAGGTCTAGTGTGAGGCCCCACTGTCCCAGTGGAAGGGTCAAAGTTGGGGATCTTAGAGTCTTCTGTTCGCTACCCGGATACTTGGGAATTGCTGCAGGACTGGACATCCTCAAGGGCGTTCGTTTCAGGTATTTTGTTATGAATTAGTTCGCTATTTTGAAACCTCCAGTGTCAGAGGTTTCAGCAAGCGATAATTGCTTCGCGATCTACGACTTGCTCGTATCTACACGTACGTACGTAGAGATCGTCTCACACATGACCTTCGGTCAACCCGTAAACGAAAGTACAATTGTAATGCGCTCGAGTAATAGTTTCGCTGATCACAGGATCAGTTGTCTAATCCGTGGATGTTGTCTACCCCTATCTGATCGTAGCGAATCGAGCATTCCAAATATGTCTACAGTGGTGGCTTTCAATAACCATCAATACAACATACATATGTCAAATAGATATGCAATACTAATCTCTCCGGATGGAACACATAAGAAGCACAACAGTAAAAAAAGCAATATGAAACGGCAGGAAACTATTTCCACTATATGGAACGGCCCGACGGCCCTCCCATACCTACAGTAGATAGTGCTCTCACCGTCAAGGCAATCTCTCTTGCAGTTGAACTATTGAATAACCTCCGTGGTGTTGCAGGTGGAGAAAAATGTTCCGTGTCAACAGCCTCGAGATATGTCACTGCAAGATGCTCGCTACGCTCGGTTTCCAGATGGATCGGGATCGGCATGCGTGAAGTTCAAGCTACTCTCTGCATACTCCATTTGAAGAAGTGTAACACAATTCACCCTGGCGGGTGGCTGCGTGATGTCCAAAGCTCTAATGAGACCAGCAGCGTGGTCTTGACATATGGACCTTGCACAGAGCGCTCTGTGTCTCGTCGGTGGGCTCGGATTGGTTAGACGCGTTCTTTAGAGGCATTGTTCATGCTCATGGGTCCACTCGTGTTTTTTGCCTGCGGGTCTATTTTCCGCTCGGGTTCGCTTAGCCTCCCAAGTGATAGTCAGAAGAGGCCCTTGCTGCGGAGAAAATCCTCTGGTGCTCAACGTCGCATCAGGGGCAACGTGGAAATCATCCGCATATGTAAGGGGATATGATGATATCAGAGTGCGATGAATTTCTATCAGAATATGCACCGAAAGGGACTAAGGGAGGAAGGTTACAATATTTGATGGTTAGAACCGGAGCATCGGTTTTTGGTCGTCCGATTAACTTCCATCCAGTTCCTTGGTTCCAGTAATAGCTACCACAAAAATGCAGCGGCTCCAAGTGGGGTTTCCCGGACCTGAGTTTACATCATTTGAGCTTCGAAGCTGGAAATCAAAATCCCAGATACCTGGATGAAGTGAATGGAGCATATGGCTTAATTGTCCAATCCTTTAGAGTAATTCAGAGTTTAGGAGGTCCTTGCATCGTACTTTGTGCGCAACTTTCACCCGGAGCCAATCATTGCACCATTCTTCCGCTTGGTTTAACTTCACTTGTATAGTGCAAACTCTACTGAGGAAACTGTAACACTTCCCCGTACCACTTGCGACCTGAAGCTTCCGAACGAATCCACTATAGTGCATCACAATATACGCGATTTACAGCAAATCCTTTATTTTTACTTTTCTCACTTATCTCTCAAGCAATACCTCCCGTTCCCAGCAATCGAACTAGCCCACCAGTCTAGTCTTTAGGGTCTGTATATTCCGCATCCGCGCACCAATACCATCATCGCCAGAATCATATCCGTGCTCCAGCCCCACCAAAGATGCCTGCAAAGACGGACAAATTTCCCGAAGCAGCACCCCAGGATCGTCCCTGGAGATCTCTAGATCTGTGTAAGACCCGATCGAGCTGTGGCTGACAACCATCTTGACTTTTGATCGTCTGCTCTATTCTGCATCTGGGATCCAATGCGACGGGTTGGCTTTGTGGAAAACCCCAGAACTGAAGCCCGATGCCACAATCCACCAGCCCCGAAGATCTTCCTCATCTTCAAACACCGTCGTCTCCATTCCCGGGGACTCGGGTTCTCTGTCACTCATCGGGTAGGCCCGGTTTCCACGCGATCAGTGGCTGGGGAAAAGAATGGGGCGCGCTCGACATGACAAATACTTACATGCATCAAAGCTCCATCTCCCCCCGCCCCGTAGTTAAGGTACCTGTCATTATTAACGACTACGGACTGTGAGGCCTTTGCCGCATCTGTGCTTTCTTTTTTTTACAGCATAGACTGTTCATGCAGCATATGTCGTAGAGAATTACAAGCATGAGGGTCAGCCACATCTATTATTAACACATTGATTCAAACAGAGTAAGTTTTCTCCGAATTTGAAGTAAGGAATCGTCCACATCATACTCCGCTCCTATAAACTACTGGGGAAATACAATATCCCCCTCCCCGAGGAGACACCGGCGACCCGAGCAAACACCGGGAAAATCCTAGATTCCAGCAATCAGAAGGTTCTGAAAAGTCTTCCCCCTCTCTGATCTCGAATAATCCACGCTCCCTGTACCCACATAGCCTGTAGGTGTTCCCCGAAGAAGACCTATGCGTCCATGGTCCGGGAACGGGGAGAAGCGATCCTTCGATCCTCGATCCACCACAATGGTTCTCAACTCAAAGCTACAGTAGCCGCATGAATACTGCATGGTGCAGACCAGATTGTCGCTTCCGCGCTTTGATGTGGATAACATCTCGTCGTGGCTGCGTGGCTGGAACACATTTCCCCTCTTCCCTAGTCCCTACCAACCTCTCAGGGCTGAGTGGGACAGTGGGGACCGTAGGCTATGATGCATGATTTACGTTTCCAGTCAAATCCCGTTGCACTGTCAATTTTTCCACATGGTTTATTTCGAAAATAGAAATTTATTTCGGTGTCGATTCTAGAGTCGAGATTGCAGATCATCCAGACTGTTGGGTAGGCCAGAAGTATATTAAGCGATGATAGTGGGATATCCCGCTCAAGCCCTCGTCAGATCGAGATCTTATGCGTCTTTATGCGACGCCTTCAGGGCCAGCTCAGATCGTAGAGAACTAATGTAGGTAAATCCTTGGGATATGGAGCAGGAACTGCACCAGGTTAGTACTACTGTAACTACCTTGTCGAAGCCATGTTACTCTTACATTTAACAATTTACAGGGAAGATTCTTCCTTGCTATTGTATGCGCTGTACTGAAGTCATTATAGTTTGCATATCGGTGGAGATTCAAGTCTCGTCCGAGTCCTCCGTATAAACGTATGGATAGACGCGGATGTATGTCCCGTAGTTGGTACATTCCAGCCGTCAATCCACGATGCACAGCACATATGTACGATTAGAAACTTAGGAAAGCGGGGAACGAGAAACAAAAATAAGCAAAAGAAACTGACCTTCGGTCTTGTTCGGGAGATGCCACAAGGCTTTTGCCATTTTACATTGAGGATCCAAGCTAAGAATCCGAAAAGAGAAGTAAGTGGGTAAGTGGGTAAGTGGCTAGAAGACGATGCAGCAAGTTCAAGACACCGAGAACAGAAGTTCGCGTCAGATAAAAAAGAACAAAGCGCCAAACTCCATTCCCCGAGTCCCCCGACTGGTGAGTCTATCCTTATCCATTCCCAGGGCTGATCATGATCGAGAATGCAAGATCGATCTCCTCACCAGAGCCGATTACTTCTTTCGTCTAGCTGCACTTCCTGGTTTCCGAGATCGGGAAGGATTGAAGGATCTAGACTGTTTGGTCATTTTTCATTGGTGCATCGTATTGCAAGTGGCCTGAACAGGGTCAAGGAAAACGCTGTCCACTTCCCCGGCTTTTGATATCAAACAGGTTACAGGCTTCATGTCAAAGGCATGGCGTGTGGGCGTTTCGATATCCCTTGCCTTGGACTAAAGAACTGAAACGAATCCTCGACGCAGGTCCGCGGCCAATCATGCTTTCTCGCATCAGAGCACAGACGGGGAAAGTAATATGCCGATAAACTGTTCCCCATGGTGGCAATCAGTAGTTTCTCGCTTCCACGCGAGAGAATGTCCAGAGTCGATAGTTGATTCCTGTTATCTATGGAATATATGACATGACATGAGACTATAGACTCGATGCTTCTCGAATCCAACACTGTCATCATTTGCCTCCCAAGAGCCTAAAGCTAAAGCCCTTCCCCTCTCGCTCATATGGAATAATACACATAACCCCGAATAGGAAAGAGAATCAAGTACTTGCCCCCTCCCCCTTGTTCATACATCCGCAACACACACGAAACGAACAACCGCGTGGAGAATCTGTGTTTTGCAGGCAGCAAGGAGGCATCGACCTAGGGCGGCTCGTATAACGAACTATCGAAATCGGTAAGTCTATTTTATTTCCCCGAGGCGGTAGGATGTGACCATCGAACCAGGATGAAGGATGGGAGTCGAGTGGCGAGTGAGGGCCTGGACGGGTCCTAGGATGCAAGCCAGCTTGTTTCGCCTTATGTCGGGACAGTGACGATCTTGAACGTCTTTCCTGTCATGCTGGATAGCACACTAGAGTAGCTAGAGAAGCAAAGCGGGCATGGCTAGTATATATTTTTGCGTAAGTGCTTACTGCCCGGCGAACAGACGCCCTGTAGTAGGCGGACAGGTGGTGGGCTTTTTCACCGCTACAATGGGCTGTGCTTCTGAAGGGATATCTAGATGTCACCGCCACGTTTGGTGTTTGGCGCTACTGCAGATAATCGTTGTCGGAGTAGGTGCTTGAGGATGGGGTGTTCATTTATTTTTATGCATAGTTGCGTTGTTCGTCTTGAGGGTCCTAGCTATATCTGTAAAATCACGCTGTGCAGAGCTCTCCAAATTCTGTGCAAAAAGGAACGGAAATAAAATGGCAAACGATGTAAAGGGAATCACTTTTTTTTCTTTTATGGTCGCAGGGGCAATCCAATCGGATGTCCTCGATTCACATCGAGGCAAACCAGCATCTCAACGTGATACACACCAAGAAGACCTTGAAATGCTCGCAAATAACATGTCCATTCAGGTGAAAGATAAACAGGAATGATAAAATGCCTGGCCATCCCTGTCAGGGGGGTCCCTGAGCCGTGCAACGAAAACTTTTCACTCGCTGCATGTACATGCACATATGCACAGACGCCCGCGCCACACCAGAAACCACCTAGGCGCGTTCAAACGACCAGCTCAGATCAAGCATCGGCATGATCCATGCAGGCAGCATTGAAGCGAGCAATGAGCATCGAGGGCCTGCTGAGATTAGCCGGAAGAGCAAGAGCAAACCCACCCTCCTACCCATGCAGAGGTGCATGAGGATGGTGTTCAATGCTCATAGACGGGCTGGCCAACTGAGCGATCTTCGTGCTGTGGCAAAGAAATGCGGGGGCTCGGAGCCCCTGCGACCGATTGACTTTAGGATGACGAGGAAATGATGAGACCGTCGTTGTCGAGCAGGCCAGCCTCCTTGGCGAGCTCATAGAAGTGACCGCCGCTCTTGATCAGCTCTGCTGGAGTGTCGAACTCAGCCACTCGCCCCTTGTCCAGAACGACGATCCGGTCAGAGTCAATGATGGTGTTGATGCGGTGCGCGATGGTGATGATGGTTCGGTCGGAGAAGACACTGCTGCGCAAAGTCCGCTGCAGCAGTGCGTCTGTCTCCACGTCAACCGCGGCCTATCGCCATTGTTAGCTGAAACTGTCAATTCGAGTAGGAAGCAGAAGTATCTTACGGTTGCCTCGTCCAGAACAAGGATGTTGCTGGGTGTCAACAATGCACGGGCGAGAGATACCAGCTGGCGCTGGCCTTGACTGAGGTTGGAGCCTGGAGCATGTGTTAGGAGACAGAACGCCTCAGGCAAATTTTAGATCTTGGTTTGACTCACCTCCTTCCTGGATTTGAGCATCCAGCTGTCCTTCCATTTGGTAGACGTGCGCCTTCAATCTCGCATGATCTAGTATTACAAGCCGATCAGTATATGGATGTTCAAGATGACCTGAGTGTTATCAGAGTAGACCAACCTAAGACGCTCCAAAGCTCGGTGTCATCGTGGACATGACGAGGATCCAGATTCTCCCGCAGGGTGCCTTCGAACATGGCAGGGTCTTGAGGAATGATAGCGAGGCGGCCACGGAGATCAGTCAGACCAATGGTGGACACATCAAGTCCATCAATACTAAACTCATGTCAGCCCGAGATCAGAAGCACCAAAGCAACAGCGACCGGTTCTTACCTGATATTTCCTTCAACACCCTCTATAATTCGGAAGAGAGCCAGCGTGAGCGAACTCTTTCCGGCACCAGTTCGGCCAACAACACCAATCTTCTCCTTGGGCTTAATATTAAGGTTCACGTCCTTGAGCACGAGATCGAGCTCAGGACGGTACCGCGTGCTGTAGTTAATAAATTCTACCGCACCATGTGCGGGCCAGCCGATGGCAGGGCGACGCTTGAAGATCACATCGGGCGCTTCACTAGGAAGATTGGCATACTCAAGAACTCGCTCAACGGACACGATGTTGGTCTCAACCTCGACAGTCTGGCGAACAATCCAGTTCAGAGACTGCGTAATCTGGAGAGCGTACGACATGCCCAGACCGACCATGCCTGCTGAAATGTGCGTACCAGTCGCAACAGACAAAATAGCAAGTCCGGCGGATGCAAGAATGATGATAGAACCAATGAACTCTAGGCGAACGGCGAGCCAGCGGTTGGCGCTGATGGAGGGGAAGTAAGCTCGGAGGTTAGCATCCATGCGCCACTCGTTTTCGAGGGCGAAGCGGTTCTCTTGGCGGTAGGCACGAATGGTGGAGATACCACCCAAAGACTCCTGGAAGTGAGCGAAGATCGGGCTTCGGGTGACGCTGTCCAGGCGCTTCAGCTCTCGGGAGGTTCTCAAATAGTACTTCTGGTAGCTAAGGTAAATATAGCCAAGAGGGGGAATGAACAGCATGAAAGCCGGGGTCGAAGTCGAAATGACGATCATGGTGAAGATCGCACGGGCAGAGTTCGCGAACAACATGTTGAAGGTGCGAGCAAGTACCTCATCGACTCTGTAGATGTCACTAGAGAAGCGGTTGAGGATGCGACCAGATGGTGTGGTTTCGAAGAAGCTCATGGGAGAGCGGAAGATAGCGAACGCCATCCGCTCATGAAGTTTGCGAGATGCTTCGATGGAGCAGAAAATCCACAAGATCAAGTTCTGCACAATGACCAAAAGAGACGATCCCAGACCAAGCGCCAAGTAGACACCAATGAACTTGCCAACTTGAGCATTGGTTCCGTTGGCTTCGTTCCACTCGGTCCAGCGCTTCAACCAGAAATTGCCCACCACCTGAGCAGTCTGACTAGCCATCATGGCAAGCAAGTAAAATCCTACTGCCACGATGTTGCTATCCTTTGCATACTGACCGTAAACGCTCCACTTCACTTTGCCTTGCTGGGAGACTTCCTGGGTCTGCTTGCTCTTCAGAATATTCTCCTCGTCTCCCAACTTGCGCCGGGGACCTTGCCAGCTCGCGGTGCTTGCACGGCGCAATGTGACAGTGCTGGTGCGTCTGCGGGCCTCCCCGTGGCCGGGACCCCGGATGGGAACCAAGTCACCAGGTTGCTCTGTTTCCTCGCCGTCGGTGGAACCACCATTCTGGATGACAGCAGTCGTGATTGAGCTGTCCGGGCTGGCAAGATCCTCCGAGCCGCTGATAGTGCCTTCGTCATCCGAGTCGGCCATGGTGGAGCGGACGAGACTGGAGATCTCTCCCTTCATGGCCATCAACTGTTCGTATGTTCCCTTCTCGATGATGGTCTTGTCGCGCAGCAGGCCAATGAAATCGGCCTCCTTTAGAACGGTGATCGCGTTTGTTGCAAGAATTCTGGTTTTGCCATTGAGGAGACCAGTTTTTCCGAGCACGTTGTTGATGATATGACGTCCGACATGCTGATCAACTGCCGAGAGAACATCATCCAAAAGGTAGATATCAGCACGGGCGTACACAGCTCTGGCGAGTGACAATCGTGCCTTTTGTCCTCCTGAAAGGGAAATACCACGTTCTCCAACTTCAGTCTGGTCACCATCGGGCAAGTTCTTGAAATCATCGATCAAAGCACAAGCTTCCACGGCGAGATCATAGAAAGATGGGTCCCATCGGTGACCAAAGACAATATTTTCTCGGACACTCGCATTCATCACCCACGGCGCCTGGGCGACGTACGCAATACGACCACGAACAATCACCTCTCCCTGGGTCTTGAACAGGTCACCCACCAGTGACTGAAGAAGAGAAGATTTTCCAGCGCCGACTCGGCCGACAATACAGCTGAGCTCGCCCTTGCGTGCACTAAGGTCAATGTTCTCCAGAACAGTCGTTCCTTCATGACGGTTCCAGGTAAATGAAGCCTCCCGAACGCGGACAGACTCGTCACCAGGGTGCACCACGGGATCTTCGAAAATAACGGCATCGGTCTGCAGCTCCTCTGCGGTGAGATATTCGATCAGTCGCTTAGTGGCTACGGAGGCTTCAATAATAGATGTGATCACCATGGGCAGGATAGAAAGCGGGAACGTGAGCAGATTGAACAAGGTCAGAGCGGGGAACACAATCTCAGTAGTCAAGGGTTTATCGCTCGTCAAAACAAAGACGGTGAATGTAGAGCACGACACAAGGAAAGGAGTAGACTGCCAAGTAAAGTTGGCGACGGATTGCGTGGCTCCAATCTTGCGAAGAGTGTTCAGCTCAAGGTCATTTCGGATGTGACTGAGTTTATTCATGAAAGCCGTGTTCCAGGCGTAGAGCTTGATGCTCTTGATGTTGTTCAGAATCTCAGTCATCAATCGGGTTCTCGAGTCCTTATTCTTCATCTGGGTGATTTGCAATTTCTTCATCATCCGAGCAATGACTCCATTCAGAGGAATCATGAAAATCATCATGCCGATACCGGCAAACATGCTTGGTCCTAAAAGTTGGTACAGAGAAAGCATGCACAAGGTGATTTGGAATGGCGCGGAAATAAGCTGAGTACCGAACTGGGTCAAATCTGCCAGACGCTGCTGGTCAACAGCCATGTGATTGACAATATCACCGGTGGTCTTTGCTGAACGTCCTTCATTTGACAGTCTCAACGACTTGGCATAAATCATAGCAGTCAGGGCTGACTTGACCCGCATGCCAGTGTCGAAAGCACGCTGGAAATATTGATGGAGGAAGCTGGTCTGGCAGACAGATACAACAAACATCGACAGTGCAATGGCGACACCTCTGATGACGGGCTGCGGGTTCGGATCTTTGTACGAATCAATGAAGGAGATAAGGAGTCGTAGGAGCTGCGGCTGCACGAAGGCAAGGATATCACTTCCAGACTTGATGATTGCTCCACGAGCATAAGGACCGCCAAAGGCCTTGAAGAGCGCAATCCACAAAGAAGGCTTCTCCTTTCTGAGTTGTTCGTCCCACGCCTCCTTCAAGGCTGCGCCTGTGACTTGGGTGGTATCACGACGACGGAGATTCCAGAGATCGTCTTGCGTCAAGTAATTCTTATATCCATACTTCATCATAGGGGTCATCCAACCGAAGGTGAGAACCGAGAAGATATCGGCATAGTTGTAAGGACATTCATCCTCGCTCCCTAGCGCATCGTATGCGCTTTGCTTCTTGGGTACGAGGTATTCTAGCACGAATTCAAACAATGCTAGACCCAAGCTCACGTTGATGCAGACGAAGTAAGGGAGCTGGCCGATGTAGACCTTCCGCGCAACCAACGACCGGAGTTTGACCGCGTAGGTGATAATGAAGAAAAGCCAGTAGAACAGGACAACTCCATTGGGTTGTCTACTGCGCCAGTGCTCAAAGTATTGCACCGAGGTTATTACTCCCAGCGAGAGGATGGTTAGAATCGTGGACCAGAAGCGGAAATCAGCCCAAAAGGTCTTAGGGTCTGATTCAACTTGAATCGCAGCTTGGAGGGCGGTGACGAGGATGAGGGCGGCGAGAACGGCCTATGATAATCATGTGCAGTCAGTATACTGGCTCACGGGTATGCGAGAATATGCGGAAGGGTCTGGTATGTACTAACCAACTTGGTGTAAAAGTGCCAATTCTTCGACACGGGCTGTGGAATCCGCCTCTTCAGTAACAACCACAGAGCAGCCAGTCCGCTCAGTGTACCCCAAACAGCCACTACCGCCACAATCACGTCAAGAAAGCATGGCGTCAGATCGAATCTCGATGAGCTGAGAGGGCCCCAGCCCTCGCTATCGGTACAAAAAGGCTGTCGCCGCGAATCAAGTGCTGATCCAAGGGAATGCAAGAGCTCCCCCGGGCGGGACGCCTCTAGGACCACCTGGGATTGGCCATCCAGCATTTTCGTAGCGACTTTGTCCCTGTATGCCTATTCTATGGACAAGAAAGGGAAAAGAACACCTCGAAGAGAAGACCGGGGGGTGGTGCGAAGTTGGAGAGCTAGGCTGATTACTAAAAGTGAAATCCCGCTCCACTTTTAACGGAGACGTCGGGGTTGCTTACCGCCGCTTTCATTGGAAACCTATCAACTCAGGCTAATTACGACTTACAAGTACACATGGTGGCAGGGTCGGTTTTAAGCTTGCATGAAACTTGCGTTACGTATGCTATACTGTATATCGACTACCTTACCTCCACATTTACGCGTAATGTCTTCTCTTTCGGAAATGGATCTTTTTATCTGCTCACGTGATATTGAATGATGTAATCCTCGGAGATAAGCGCACGCCAAGACCAATGCGGCTGCTTTCCTTGGCATTCGGCATAACATTCCAATTTTGGAAGGTTCTTGGCATCTACTAATTGGGTTCCATGAGCCTATGAGGATACTAGATAGTGGACATTGCAAACGGGCCTGGTCATCTCATTGAGTCATTGTTTCCATATTTGTTTGTTGTAGAGCTAAGAGCTAACCGAGGTGCATAGTGATTCCCTAGAAAACCTGTGATATATCTCCGAGTACCTATCTTTCTCTGTTACAGTCACTGATACAATCTACCTAACCTGTCCATTCAGAGAACTCTTGACTAGGTAGGCCATCTTTCACAATACGTAGTCGGAAATCAGAATAGCAAAAAGAGAGCAAATTAGTACAAGCGATGTGTTGAAGGAACCAAAGTGCGTCGGAACTGTGCTTCCATACTGAGCTTGAAAGTGAAGAAGATATCCATTTGATAGCCTTGATATTGACAACAATGCTGGCACATTACTATATCTAAGCTTGGGCAATCAAGCAACGCGGTCTTTGTTTCAAGCATCTACGTCTGGAAATGGAAAGCAAGCAAGGCATCCATCAGAACCCCATATTCACTCTTTCTGAAATGAAACGAGGTGCAGATTTCATAGAGCAATGAAAGTTTATTGTTTGGATGTCTGCCCAAGCATCACCTAATCGACAAACAATACCCTTGAGGAGCCCTTCCCACCAGTGCAAGCCTCACCAAGTTCTCAGGTGGACGGTTGAATTACTGTTTCATCATGTGCTTCCCATATTGATTCGCGCAGAAAGCCATGCCTTCCGAGCCAGGAGATGTGCCTTGGTGCCATGCTGGCAATGGGGATGGTAAGAAGATACTGCACTCTGTTCACGATTTCTATCAAGGTGACTTGGACTGTAAGTTCAACACAGATTGCCCCGGAAAAGAATCTTGTCACTGCTCAAAGCAAGATGTTGATATTTGCTTTTCAGTCAAGTCTGCACTCGATGACGTTTCTTCTCCGAATAGCATATATGTCAACGGCCTGAACACATGCTGGATCGAACAACCTGGATCAACATCTGGACAATGGTTTGGCTTTCCCTCATATTGCAAGTATGCCATCGGTGTCAAAGGTATTTACGGGTGCACACTGGTGATTGTCGTGTCCGAGAAGGGTGTGTACATTTCACACATCTGGGAGAACCCGGTGTTCATCGATGGATGTTGCATGCCAACTAAGGATGACTGGTTCAAGAAGCATACACTCGATGCTCTCCGCGATGGAACCGAATATACGCAAAGTGTGGCTTCTCTAATCGGGACTGACCAGAACCCTGGTGTTCTAAATGCAATCTATGCACCCAAAGTGTTCGTGCTCACACCCTTCGCCACAGATCTCGATAAACAGTGGCCGGGAATCGCCACCCAGCTGAGGTATCAACATCGCGCGAAAGAGCTTGCTAGAATGATAGCAGAGATAATCCCTGGTTCTGGCGGGGATGGGATCACCGTGGGCTATACGCGTACGGGCCTGGCCGAATCCAGTAAGCAACCAGGCGTGGCAGGGAGGACCATTGTTGAGGTCCAGCCGTTTCACATGTGGCTCGTTCCGCCTGGGCATTGCCCCTTTGCAGGTCTCCAAATTGGCCGTTGGCGTCTCTGGGTGGAGGACAAATTGATCACCTACCAAGACTTCTGGTGTCCCCCGGAGATGGTCCATGGGTAGTTCAAGAGATCCAACAGCTATGCTGAATCTCTTTGCACTGCAGAGCTGGCAGTCGCAGTCTTGATGTTTCCTTCGATTCGAAGGGTCTGTCTTGTCAAAATGCTACTCTCATTGAATAGCCTTTTACCCGCCACAGCCCATCACATCAAACCGGTTAATTCATATACACCTTCATGACCGTGAGGGTCCCCTTGGAGTTTGTCCAAGTGTGCACTTTTCCAACATCCCCAACAGGGAAAGCTCCTGTTGTTTCCCTGAAGCATTACACACTCCATTGGACAGGTCACGGACGAGGAAAAAAACTCCTAACTCAGTCACATGCGGCACTTTCAGTTTGAGATGAGCACTTTCCTTCTAGAATGATAAAGAGCTCCGGAGGCTCGTTGTTGTCGTCAATATTGTTGCCCTGAGGCTGGCGGCGGCCGCTGGCCCCAGTTGGGTGCGGGCGAAGGTTGTCGCAATCCTTTGCCGGGCTTTGAATCCTTTCAGGATAGTTATAATCGCACGCATTATAAACAGAAAGTATCATATTTACCATCATGTAAACAAAGTAGCGACTAGCGATGTAGTGGTGCATAGCCCATTTTCTGCCGGGAAGCGAACGCACCAGAGTCTTCCAAGAATCATGTCATGCCGACCTGTGTCGGCGATCAACATGGGTACGTCGATCTGTCGCCTGTTGCCCACTATCAGCGGTGCTCGCACACCGTGAGTGATGGGGTTCGCAGGTCTCCCGTCAAAAGCGCACAAGGGTTGGGGCTGTCGGAGTCGCTTCGTACGGAGTCCATAAGGTGTCAGTTTGAGAACTACCCTAGGGTAAATCAATGCGTATACATTTGCTCCCGAGTCTACAAGGGCGTCGATCTGGAAAAATAGAGAGCTGGCTGATATTTGTGCAGAAACAGTAAAGCTCTTCGTTGTCAACAATTTCTCTAGATCAAAGCCTCGAGTGGACTTCGATGAACAACAGCCTGAGGCGGAGACTCACACATTTCCCGAACTCGACGCGAGGCTTTGATATAGAGAAATTACTGACAACGAAGAGCTTTACTGTTTCTGCACTCAATTCCTTTTACCTAAGACAACAAGACTAGAGAGGAAAGAAAAGAGAAGAAGAGAAGAGAAAAAAGGGGTAAAGAACAATACAGCCGAGATCCTCCTATCACGTGATAAGTCCCTTCCTCCTATCCGAGGAGGGTGTTCTTCCTCCTAGTCCTCGTTCGATGTGCTCTCGTCACACCTTGTCTGTTTCCGCGGACGTGGTCGATGCTAACTGGGCGTCCTGTTAAGGCGGATAGCCCGATAGCAATGCGGACTAGCTGTCCGCCTCCTTCTAGGGTGCGGCCGTCTAGGTGGACATGACTTAGTTTTGATGCTAAGCGGGGCGCTGGCATTTTGGATGGGCAGGCTGGCAGTGGGTTATGTAAAGCTGAGATTTTGGATGTTTATGAGATGTCTTCTCCGTCGAATTGATGGAAATTTGGGGACTATCTATTCTGACCGGTCTGGCTTTGCAAAGGCTGAGCTTCCATGAGTCTTGAGTCAGACACTGAGACTTTGTCATCTTGGCATGAGTCACTGCTGCTTCTTTGGGTTAGTCGGGATTTGGACCTTGGCGCTAAGCAGAAGCTTAGCAAACCTTGCTTCTTAGATTGATGGACTCGACTTATACATACATCCAGTCGAGATCTCAGACATGAAGGTAGTGACCTTGATGAAATGTGTACGAAGTGGTATAATCCGGATGATCCTAGTGCCTCATGTCCTGATCCTGTGCCGCTTTCTACGCAGTACATCAACCTAATCATAGGTTGTAATGAAATGGAATGATTCGACCCTACACAGGATGTTCAAGGTATAGGTATGTTGTGTGGCATTTTCATTAAGAAATAAATCCATGCATCTATCTCTACTTTCTGGTATGACTCGCTATGTACCTTCCACCGCATATTCAGGCTGACTGACTGAAACCTTCCAGAAGCCTTTCGCAGAAGCATGCCCGGTCTTCATACACGACGCTTAGGTAGCCGCACCTAGCGGAGATTCGAGATTTCGTAAACGAAAGGCTTATATGGTTGGAATGACCGCAAAAGCTTCGATTCTGCAAATTATGGTAGTAGAACGGGGTCAACGGACAGATACTTCATTTGTTGGTATGAAAGACTTCTTTGGCACGCCTCATGTCGTTAGGAATTCACTTATCAGTGGATACTGCTGACCCATGAAGGGGTTCTCGCCGCTGCTGTGATGACCTGCTCGGGGCTGTTGTCCGGGGACAGGAAAGCTTGCCGGACCATCGAGTTGATTGTATGGGCCTATCAGGTCTCGATATGGAATTTGGCCGGATTGCATTGCATACGATGCAGCGGCAGCGGCGACCGGATGTTGCGTGGTGACAGTAGGCGTTGGTGGCGCATCGTCTGAGGCAGGTCTCCTTGCCCTGCGCATGGAGCGTGTAGACAAGGACTTCCTCAGAAGGTTCTGTGAGTCTTGTGTGGATGATGGCATGCTTCAAGTCTGCACAGTAGGTGATATGGACTGATATGATGATGGAAAATGTGAATGAAGGACAAAACATGGCCCTGGAGGTGGTAAACAAGATGAATGGACATTCCATATTTGGTATCTAGTATGCTGCATCCATGTGTTGGATCGGCTAGAAACACGGTTGAATCCCTTTTTCGTGGAGTTTGACAATGACCGACGCTTATGAGAACCATCGAGACTCTGCTCAGCGGGGGTAGAGGGACTAGCAGTCCTCTCACTCGTGTTGCGCAAGGATTTGGGAAAGGCTTGTGACGCTTGTTGCGTCTGAGCGAGAAGGCAGATATGTAAGATCGCAGGCGGTCCATCAAAGTTCCGTATGCCAGTTGTAATTGTCGTCGCCGTTGTTGGAATCGTCATAAAGATTGCCCAGGGCTCCTGTTTTCTCCTTCCATGTGACGCTGGACGACTCATCAAGCACTGCGTGTGTGCTTTCCGGCTGGTTCTTCTCGCGGCACTTTCCTAACGAGCCATACTTCCGTGAGATTCCAAGCAGACCGTCGTAAGATTCAAATACTGTTCTGAACGTTTGCTTCCTCTCATCGTCATCTTCCTTCATTCACATTTTCCATCATCATATCAGTTCGTATCACCTACTGTGCAGACTTGAAGCATGCCATCATCCACACAAAACTCATACAACCTTCTGAGGAAGTCCTTGTCTACACGCTCCATGCGCAGGGCAAGGAGACCTGCCTCAGACGATGCGCCACCAACGCCTACTGTCACCACGCAACATCCCGCCGCCGCTGCCGCTGCATCGTATGCAATGCAATCCGGCCAAATCCCATCTCGGGACCCGAGAGGCCCATACAATCAACTCGATGATCCGGCAAGCTTCGCTGGCCCCCGACAACAGCCACGAGCAGGTCATCACAGCAGCGGCGCAAACGCATCCATGGGTCAGCAGTATCCAACCTCATCTGCCACCGCAACACCTCATCAGTCCACAGAGGTGTCCGGTCGACCATATGTAGTCGATAACATCGGACCCGCCGCTGCGATATCGCCAATACAGGAACCCGGTGGAATCGATGGACGAAACATTTCAGTGCCTTCTCCGCTTCGACAAGTGCACAAAGCCAAGTCAATGAGGATAGGACAAAGCACTGGTGATCATCAGACACGAACTATTACACGCTCCAAGTCTTTCCGCGGAGGGGAGCCACGATCCACACTAAGGGATCAGTATTCGGGAAGAAATGATACAGCAGTTCAGCTGGCTCGTAGCCAGTTTGAAGATGGCCAGGTTGAGGTCAGCAGGATTTCCTCGGATTCTGATAACGACGACAAGGGCCGCCTCCGATCTTACATATCGGCCTTCTCGCTCAAACGCAGGGTGGACAAGCCGTCTCCCAAAACCCTGCGTGAAACAAGTGAGGGTACTGCCAGTCCCTCCACCCCCGGCGACCAAAGCCTCGGGGGATCTCATAAGCATCGCTCATGGTCAAACTCCATGAAAAAGGGGTTCAAACGTGTTTTCAGCAGATCCAAGCATACCGATGCGACCGATGCGACCGATGCGACCGATGCGACCGATGCCACTGCGCAGCCATCACCACTCTCAGGTAGTTCATATTGCGTTGAACCGGTCGTGACAACCCCGTCCAAGGGAAACGTGGAAGTTGTCCCTCCTGGGGATAGTCTGAAGGCACCCCCTCCTCCCCGGCCTCTTGTTCACTCATCGACCATGGCTAATCTCCGTACGGTGCCTTCCGAGTATCCCCGGCCACTTGTTCGGTTATCCACCACGGACAGTCTCTGTGATTCCGAGCCGCGCGTCACCAGCTGGGCTGCTTCAAGCCTGACAAACACAGTCACTTCCCGCAAGCCGGAGCATGGCGAATCGCTTTCTTCAACCAGAGAGGACGAAAACCTCGATCAGCTACTGCCACCGCTACCTTCACGCGTAGTAAGCGATACACAGAATGATCCTCCTTCTGCCCCATTGTTTAATCGCAATATGCAGGTTGACTGTCAGGACCTGTGCGCTGCGACACAGCGTGAAATCGACCGACACCAGCGGTCCTGGTCCAACGAGGCTCCGATTGTCGGTAGGGTTCCAAAGGGTCGTGTGGTTCCACAGATGCCAACTTCACATTCCCCGTATGGTAGACGCACTGATCGTCTTGTTCCCAGTCAAGGAGCATCAGTCTCGGCATTTGAAACCAACGAGGATCCCGTTCTCCGTGTGGTTATAGATCCTCGCATGCTTCCACAGATGCCAACTTCACATTCTCATTATGGCAGACGCACTGATCGTCATGTTCTCGGCCAAGAAGCATCGGTCTCGCCAGTTGAAACCAACGAGGCTCCGAACTTCGGTAGGGTTCCAGAGCGTCGTGTGGCCCTAGAGACGCCAGACTCAGAAGACTCTCAATATGGCAGACGTACTCTTCGTCATGTTCCCAGCCAAGAAGCATCAATCTCGCCCGAGTCATTCTCCACAGCGCCTGGGGAGCAGTCAAGTGCCCAAAAGTCTCATATGCGCCCGGCCAAACGCTTGAAGCTTCGCCCCAGCGAGTCATATCCGCCAAGAACTCCACAAGAGAAGAGTGACACTCCCATGGTTCCCCGTCTTCAAGACGCGGCAAGGAATGCTGATTCTCCAAGCGTGGAGTCTGGGATCAGTAGTGTCGATCCTTCGCCGAGGGATAACATTGTTGATGATGCTCTCGGTATCCTCATCAGTCGTCGTCAGCGAGAGTCGAGAAATAGGATCGCTCGATTGAACTATTATCCCAGAGACAGCAATGGCCATGTTCTGTTGGGAGATGAGACGGGGGTTAGAGACATTCGCAACGCTTTTCCTGTGCGACCTGAACGAATGAGGAGGGATTATTCACCGAGTATTTATTCCCGAACAAGCAGTGGCATCGCTCTGCCGAGACCGGATGTTGACATCGACGGCGAGTCCCACGATGAACCAGGGATGGCAACCGTATTTACCCAGCAGCGGATGAACGTGTCACCCAGACCTGCCCTCCGAATTCAACCTCTGAGGATTTTTTGAAAGCCAGTGAGGACTGGTATCGATGGTTGAGCTCGGAGGTCGCGAAGCTTGTCCAGACCATACCCCCGAGCGAGCATATCAGAGAATATGAACAGTTCCCGGATGAGGATGAGAAGTTCTAAGAGCAGGATGAGCGGTTCCGAGAGCAAAATGAGCGGTTCCAAGAGCAGGATGAGCAGTTGACAAACGTTGCGCGAGACGACAATGTCATCGCACCAGGCAACGATGTGATCTCTACAACTCTTACCCCGGCTGAGACTTCCAGCTTCACACCTCCGGCTCATGTCCATACTGAACAGCGGAGTTCGACACGCAATTCCTCTTGGCTTTTCTCGCCCCTTCAGCCGACATGTCTGAGCAGCAAGATTCATCCGAAAACACGATGGGTGATGCCCACACACCCCCCAGTGCTCCTGCCATCAATCCCGCCGTGAATCCCGCCATGAGACCTGCCATCAATCGCACCATGAATCCCGCCATGAGACCCGCCACAGATTCCGCGACAGATCCCGCCAGAGATCCCAATAGCTCTACTTCGCCTGCGTCCCATCATTACGCCTCTCTTGCATCCGATGAGTACGCTTCTCTTGCATCCAGTGGCCCAGTTTCACCTTCATCCGTTCTCCGTGCACGCTTGCATAACCAATCCCCAATGAGGCTGGGATCTCAACCCCTGCAGCCTCCCGACTCACCAACGCCCAAGGCTGCTGACAGAAAGCGGGTTTTTGCAGAATCACAGCGGAACCGGTATGCAGTTCGGCGGGCTGCCCTCACCCAGCCCCAGCTCAGGCAACAAGAGCCATCTGTGAACAATGAAAACCACCGTGATCAGGAGGCCACAGGGACGTTGGAGCGCTTTATGGAGATTCGTGAAAGGTGCGAGAAGGTCGCTCCCTCCAAGGAGAACAAGGGCACGGTCTTTCCCAACTCTAAGACCATGGTGGAAGAATTCTTGAAGCGTTCCCGGGAGCCGCGGGATCCCCCCAGCGACAGCGATGCTGACATGGGAGGGTTCATCTAAGCACGTGCCTGGCAATGCCTAGCGCACAGTGCCCCAGCCCTATTCATATTCTTGTTGGGGCTTTGCTTGATCAATACGGGATGGAGGCAATTGGTATTCTTACCATAGTTAGTATTCTTTGATTCTTGATATCGTTAATCGATACCCCATTCTTATTCCAGCCATACATCTATTAGTTACTGTGTCCTTTGGTTCGTGCTAGTTACATTAAGGATCTGAATGTAATCATGGATAAGTACCTCATTTACGAAGTAGGTATCAAGTTATGTGTGCAGGCATGATTCCAGTTGAAAGAAATGTACCGATTGGATGAACACATGTACTCTTAACATACCATCTAGCTGCTTGTCTAATAAAACGACACCAGCATCGATACCTCCCTCCTTGAAGGCAGCGAACGCCGGGCTAATTGCCGATCACCCGTTACCATAGCCTCTTGAACGCCTGATATGCGACCTCATCATATGTCAAGTCAACTGCCTCTTGTCCAAAATCCAGAAGCCGGAGTTCCCACGGCGTGGTACTGAAAGTCCAGAGATTCCTCTGAAACTGATGTTCCAAGCAACAAACTCACAGACTCGGACGAGGCAGTGCTTATCTCGGTAATGGAAGGATCCGATCCATTGGTGATGACGATTCCGGTAAGTCTGCGGCAGTTTTGGGAAGACTCCGTACCAGAATGGCTTCATTTTGTGTTTTTAAGGACCGTAGGGTTTCCCGATTACCTCAAAGACTGTACCTTGGGAGGCCGGTGCCGATTTCATGGACTTCTTATGTTAAGTGGCCGAGCGGTAACTCAGCCATCTTATCTTCCTTGGTACGATTAGGCGGTGAAAGCCCACGACCGCCCACTTATCAGCGTCATTGGAGGGGCACCAACCCCAATACACATTCTTCGCCCAGTCATCATGGTCGAAACGAGTCACATGGAGGAGCTTCTGAAAAGGCCTCTCTACGGTACGCATGTCAATTCCCACATTATAATGAGACCAACACGCTGATCTTTCTAGTGTACGATCTACCGCCAGAACTTCTTGCCAGCTTAACGGCCAAAACCACGAGCCAGCCTGTCGCCGAACAAGAGCCCGAACCCTCCCCGACCGACCTTGAACAGGCAGCGCAGGACTCTGCGATCGCAACTTCCAGTCTATGTTCCCTCTGCAAGGTTTCCTACAATAGTGTACAGGAGCAGCGCAGCCATGTCCGCTCTGACCATCACCGGTTCAACATCAAGGCCCAACTCCGCGGGAATGCGCCCTTGGATGAAGCCGAATTTGCCAAGGCTATCGGAGAGCTAGATGAGTCTATTTCTGGCTCGGAGTCCTCGGAGACAGAAGAGGAGGATGCGGAAGGGGGCACGGACACGACTCTGGCCGCTCTGCTGAAAAAGCGAGCCAAGCTGGCCCATCCGAATGAGGACGTGGAGACCGAGGGCGTGCCAAATACTCCGAAACAACCACTTCTTTGGCTGTCAAGTTCGAGCTTGCCATCGAACACGTCTCTGGGCGTCTACAGGGCTATGTTATCGAACGCGGAGCAGGATGAGCCCGCTCACCTGGTTGAAACCCTACGGCGAAAGCAGCTGGCGCCGATTAAGGCCCGCACTAACAATAAAGCGCAAGATGCTGCTGTCACCGGTCCGCATATTTTTATGTGCATGATTGGTGGTGGGCACTTCGCCGCCATGTTGGTCTCGCTGGCACCCGAGATCCACCGAAAGCAAGGAGGAGTTGAAGACAGACAGGCACGGGTTATTGCACACAAAACGTTCCATCGATACACGACGCGACGAAAACAGGGTGGCTCGCAGTCTGCCAGTGATGCGTCCCGCGGAGCTGCTCACTCGGCAGGCTCTAGTCTGCGACGGTACAACGAGGCTGCGCTTGAGAAGGATATTAGAGAGGTGCTGTCCGATTGGCGCGAGATGATTGACACTGCCGAGCTGTTGTTCGTTCGAGCTACTGGAAAGACGAATCGAAAGACCCTTTTCGGTCAATATGATGGACAAGTCCTCCGACAGAACGACCCCCGTCTGCGCGGTTTCCCCTTCAATACACGCCGAGCCACTCAAGGAGAGCTTATGCGGTCCTTCAAGGAGCTGACCCGACTGAAGGTCAGCCAGGTGGACGAAGCCGCGCTGGCTGCGGCTGAGGCCAAGCGAAGAGAGCAAGAACTGAAAGCGTCAACGCCTGTACCAAAACCCCAAGTGCAGAAGCCGAAGCTTTCAAAAGAAGAAGAAGCTGGCTTGCTACACACATCTCAGATCCAGGCACTCATCCGCCGCTCAAAGGTGCCCGCACTAATGTCTTATATCACAAACAATTCCATCCCCCCCTCGTTCACCTTCACTCCCGCCGACTCGCCACAAAACTTCCGCTGTCCCACTCCCCTCCACCTCGCCGCACACCACGACGCACCGGCTGTGGTCACAGCCCTCCTCACAAAAGCCGGCTCCGACCCAACAGCCGTCAACAACGAAGGCAGAACACCCTTCGAACTCACCGGCGACCGAGCCACGCGCGACGCCTTCCGCATTGCTCGCCACGACCTCGGCGAGTCAGAATGGGACTGGGAAGCGGCCAGGGTCCCATCAGCTGTCTCCAAAGCTGATGCGGAAAGCCGTGCAGAGAAGGAACGAAAACTTGCCGAGGAGGAAGAGTCCAGTCAGCGGAAGGCGCGCTTGGATCGATTGAAACGGGAGGAGGCTGAGAGGGCAGCGACGTCGAGAACGACGAAGTCGGGTGCTCGGACTGTTGGTGGTCTTGAGAAGACGGCGGCTGAGAGGAGAGACGAGGAGACTAGGGGCATGACGCCGGAGATGAAGATGCGGTTGGAGAGAGAGCGGAGGGCTAGGGCTGCGGAAGAGCGTTTTCGAAAGATGCAGGGTCAATGAGCCAATGAGGGCTTGGACCCCATACCCTCCTCTTAGCATTGGATTCATAAAGGCATGAGCAATATCATGATAGGATAGATCTGCCCACATGTAAATAATGGGTTTGAGAGCATTTACAATGAGAGCGGAAGGAATGCAATCCAGCTTCAGCATCTCTTTGATCTTAACCTATGACTGTTACTCCACTAGGTAAATGCATTTTCACTGCTACGGAAGAGACTAACATCTCCGTCCTGTGTCTAGCATGAGCTCGGATTGTGCTGAGAGACAAGCAGGGTGATACTCACGACCAATCGAGAAGAACCCTTGCCCAAGGCCCCCGAGCCCTTCAACGGTGTAAACCTGATTCATGGCCACCCACCAGCAATGACCATCCCTACCAGAAGGAGGCAAACTCAAGGCAATAGTTGCACCTTCGTAGAATACATAGCTCATATCCCACGTCCACGACCCACCAAGGGACGTCTAGTTAGGGGCGAGATAGGACACTGGTAGCTCTTTCGGAGTCACACGGATGAGAGAGGAGCAGATAGGAGAGGGAGATTTCACTTCCCATTGGGTACTGTGTATCCAGGAGACCGAGCAATAACTCCACTTCAGCTTCCACACATCCCTGTGTCTCGGGTAGGGTTAATCGACTCTTCCATGGATTATATCGAGTGAACTCGTGACTAGGGCAGGAAGGAGGGAGGGGGGGACGAAGGAAAACTCGATACAGGAATAAGGAGTGGCGATCGATTGCAGTCCTGGGATGACTGGTTTCACTTTCAGGCCAATGATCGGGAATGATGGGAGGATGCTTTTTGGACACTTGACTTGGGTATAAGGCCTCGAGTCCCGATCCGAGACAAGTCTTTGTTTCTCGAGTCGTGTATACAGCTTTCAGGACGAGTCCAATCATAGTATTATCAGTTGCAATACTATAGGCAGGCTGCAGGCAAAAAGGCAACATTACAAATGTCCGCCGGACCGTAGAGGGGCGATTACCAGTTGAACCACAGGCCACAGCCCACTTCAGCACCAGTGCAAGACAGGGGGAGCGAACAAGCTACCTGTATGAGGCAATGTCTGAGATGTCTGACCCTCAGCTGAAGATATGAGACCATCCGAGCACATTGCCCTATGGAGGGTAGCGCAAAGGCCTGTGGTGAGTGGTCTGGATAGAGGGGTAACTCGATTGTGACCCCAGCCACATTAGGGCACGAAGATGATCAAGATTTGTGGAGAAGATCGACATTAGCGCCCGTTGTGGGATGCGGGAAAGGGGATTATGTCTTGCATTGGCGCCACTGTGTCTGACAGGGGTGGAAGCTTAGGCTGGCACTAGAGGATGTAGTCCTGGTCAGGAACAATCGAGGATGATGATCGGAGTTCAGATTTGATTTTTGTGTTTATTGCTGTAAATTGGTGTTTTGAGTTCTCGTGCCTTGGTTTTTCTAAATCTTAAGCTTGTGGTGGGCCGATGGAAGAGTATGAGACCATGAGTTCTCGGTGGGAATGGTTCCATCGGGGATACCCCTTGCTTGAGATTGGATTTTGACCGGTGGCTGGGGGGCACGATCTTATTATCTCGGTGGAAGGAATGCTTGATTGCGATCCTTGAAGGAGATCAGATCCACCTCAATTACTGCGTACGGAGTAAAGGACACGGGTACTCCGTAGGACTAAAGACTTTCTACTTTCTGTCTTCCTGGCTAGGTTGGTTTCAAGGAGCAGATCCCTTTGCGGTTTGGGCTTTGCCCCTAGGAGACTGCTTGGTAGCTGTGATCTGTTTCTCAATGAACATAGTCGGAGAAACGAGTCTGTTATTGTGTGTATTGATTGACAGTCTGAAGAGTGCTTGTCGGCCCGTCGCGGGCTGCAGCGAATCTGCACCCCAGAATGCGGAAGATGCAGTGAAGCCAAGATAATGCAAGCTGTATCTTAGCACGAGTGTGGAGTATTTTTGTACAATGCAAGTAAGGGTGGTCAGAGTGTATTGAAGTGCTGTGAAAAACCCCCGATGTTCTTTGTCAGGAGGTCCGAGGCCAGTGACCCTGTTCCTGCAGGGCACATGGCAGAGCATTGACCCACGAAGGGTCTAATGAATGAATAGTGTACTCTAGTCAGTATTCACAGTATTGCGTATATGCTGTGCATAACCGAGTAGTAGTAGTAGTGCTCCGTACACAGTACTACTAGTCGTCGGACATAATCCACACTCCATAATGACACGCGTATTAGTTAGGGCTCGGTATTTCTTGGCGCGTCACAACGCGTCCCACGAAACGCGACACGCGTGGACGCGTCGCGCAGAGAATGATGTTCGTCCAACACCATGGTCCATGGAGATATCTACGAGAACAGTCTAGGAGCAGGATAAATCAAGTGGCACAGTGTTAAGGAATACCAGGTACAAAGAATCCTAGAGGGCTGGTAACCTGTGGTAGGGAAGACAACTCCTGGTGAAGGGTAGGAGAATGGCAGGAAAGGACAGGCTCACCCTCTTTCAGATCATTATTAAAACGCGACTTCGCCCCCGAGGATCCGAGATTAGATCAAATAATGTCATAGCCTCATACTGTCATACTGTCATACAGTGTATTAGCGTGTCTGACCTCGTGCAGGCTGTGCTCGGACATCTGGTCTGCACCTGCAGCTCAATGCACTGACATTACAGGTCCTGAAGATCACAAGCCATTACATCAATACAATGCTAGTATGGCTGCAAGCAGATTCAAAGAAAATTCAAGTCAAAGCGCCAATCTGTTGCCGGAATAGGAAATGTAGTTGAGAAAGTGTCTCAGGGGTGGCCTCGTGCCTGTTCTGCCCTCTCTTTGTCCTTGCATGCAATCCCTCTTATCCTAGACTCCTTAGTATACTGTTTCACTGGCAGTCATTGTAGATTCAAGATCAAGTCAAGTGAAATCAAGTAGTATAATAGACAGGGCTTCATTCCACTCCCTATCTCTCATAGACTTCATTCCCATCACATTCGTTGTCCTGTCTTGACCTGAGTGAGAATCACCTCCTCACTCTGACCATTCTTTCCATTCTTTTTTCTCTTTGAAGACCTTTTGTTTCATATCATAGTTGAAACTCTTTAAAGTCCCGATCAATTAATAGCAACATTCTTTGTGCCGCAATTAGCACGGGAGATATTCGCTTGCCCGTTGGCCCCGTCGGCCCCAATTTTCTTTTATCTCGGCATTTCCCCTCCAACTTCTTCTCCCTGACAACACTCGCTACAAACAAATCAAATATCCCAACTTGCGATCGCATCCCCCGGAGCAGGCGCAAATCAAAGCGCATACCGACGACAACACCATCCATTCATTTTCGCAATCCCAACTCCATCGTCACGCATCGCAACCGCCTCCGGCGCAAATCGCAGTCAACCCACAAAAATCGCGCGACCGCGCAAAACAACTTTCAACCTCAAAACATTCTTTAAACCACATCAACCTCAAACCTCCAACCAAACTCCAATCGCTCAGACCAACACAAACCAATTTCATATTCCAGCAACAATGCTCCTCCCCTCCGCCCTCCCATGCGACGTGCGCCGGTCGTCTCGCTTCACCCCCAGCCGCCTCTTCTCAACACCACCCCCATCCGACACATACCCATCCGGAAACGGTCTCCTCAGAACCTGTCGCGCCCTCCAATCCCTCCTAAACAGATCATCACCAGCGCCCTCCACGCGCCGCTCAAAACCCCAACAACGCCTCCAAAGCCCCCTTCCCCTAACCGCTCCGCGCCGCTCGCCACGCACCCAAAACCAAAAAACCATCCGTCCCGTCTCTCCCAGACAAACACCCCCACCCCAAACAGCACCTCACACTCCACCACCACCACCATCCGCGCCCGCGCGCGGCGCCAACAAACGCCGCCGCGACGACGATGAAGACGAGACGAGCCCGCGCAACCGCTTCGCGACTCCCAAGCGCACCCGCCACGTCCCATACAATATGCCCCTGGGTCTTTCCTCTACAGATTTCTACTCTCTGCACTCTCCGCCTGTCACGCAATCACCACCTTCCGCGCGCCGCCGTGTCGATATGGGCTATAATAGCTTCCAGCGCATCGATCCGGACACGCCTGTGCCCTCTATCGAGGTGACGGAGTGTGCGTCTGCTTTAGAACAGGATGTCTGGTCCCCACAGGAAGACCAAGATCTCATCGAGCTGGTTCTCGAGAGATGTCGTCTTTCACAGGCTGAATGGGATGAGTGTGCGCGCCTGATGGGTCGGAGAGATGTCGGAGACAGGTGGCGGGTTCTTGTTGGTGAGGGGTTGCGGCCGCGTCGTTGATTGTGTGTTGCAAGTGTTTCTTTTACTAATGTATCATATGGATTGCTTTTGTATACTACCCCTTACAACCCAGCTGCTTGGGAAGTTTTGTTTTTTCTTGTCGAAGACAAGCTCTGTATTATCATGTTTGTGAGATTGTCTATTTCTTCGGGTCTATTGGCCAGCACAAATCTCTTTCGCTCTGTTGATCTTTTCGAGTTCCGGTTTTTCTTTGTCTCGGGCTATGTCGATATGCTTTTGTTTCCCTTACTGGGCTCATATACCGTTTCTGTTGTGATTTACTACATCTGTTGTCTTTGGCGTTTGGGAAATGTACTACTATCTACTCATCGATTTGGTCTACAATCGTCTATACATTCCTTGTATGCTATAAGAGACTTCCAAACTACAAGTAAAGCAGCAGGTTAGAAGAAGAATTGGATCATTGGTGAAAAAAAATCCAGTATGTATATGGCTCCATCCAACGCCAGGCACCCAAAATGTGCTGCAAGTAATAATGACATGAAACTGGCTTCGCATTGATATTAACCGCTTGGGATCCCAGTTCCCTCACATGCCACGAACGATCAGAATCTAGACGAGATCGAGTTAGCACAACCACAGCAACATAGGCAGGAAAGGAAGAACGTACCGAATCTCATAACTCCCCGCACGAGTCATGTACCGCACCCACTTCACAGAGCTATAGTTACTCTTCTCAAACACCTTCAGATACCGCACCAGCAACCCAGAAGACGTAAACATAAGCAAACTAAACGAAAGACTCAACGGCGGCCGACTCCAAGCCTTCTGATGCGTCATAGTCGTCAGAATCGCCTCAGCATTAAGCACGTACTCCGACTGGCCCGAGAACCTCGCAATCTTCCACACAATATTATTCTGTTCGGGCTCATACTTGGCCCGCCCCTGACTCGTCCTCTCCGTCATCTTCGCCGTATTAAGCGGGGTTGGAATCCTCAAGACCACATTCGTCGCAAACAACTTGGAATCATAATTCGCCCGAATCGCAACACTATACTCCACCTTGGTCGTGCCAATCTCCCTGACAATCGGCCGCACCTTGAACGGCAGATTGACATTCTCCGTCGCCCGGTACCGCATCAGCTCGAACTCGCCGTCCGGCGGCACAAACGAGATAATCCGGTCCGTGTCGAACCGGCCCAGCTTCACGCACTGGTGGAACTGGCAGTCTTCCAGCGTGACCGAGCCGGCTGCTGCGCGCCGCGCTTTCGACTTGCCGCCTGCGTTGTTGTTGGTGGCGCGGCCGGGGGTGGTATCGGAGGCTTGAGCGGGGTCCAGGAGGAGACGGTCGTTGAGACCGAATTTGCATTCCGGGGTGCCGGAGAGGTAGGCGCGCATTACTATTTGGCCGTTGACGTCTGCGCGGAGGATGTTGCCCGTTGCGGACATTAGGAGGTTGACATCTTCGATTACGTCGACGAAGGCTTCGTTTTTGCGGTATTTTACGTCGGAGCGGCGCCAGGAGAGGGCGCCTGTTGCTTGTTGCGTGATTTTGGAGGAGTCGGTGGGGTTGTTGGCGATGGCGGATTTGACGCCTTCGGTTGTGATGTACATTTTCAGGGTATCTGTTTCGGTGTTCTGGGGGTATCCGAAGTCGAGGATTTCTGTGCTTATGAGAATGTGTGCTTGCAATTGGGGGAGGGAGGAGGGTCTTACCATCGAGCAGTTCGTAAATAAGGACAAAGTTGTTCTTCACGGCCTCCTCGTCGAGTTTCCCGAAATAGCTCTTCCCCAGCATGATCAGTCGGTAGAGGAATTCAAATACCAGCGCGGCATTGGCATTGCTCTTGGTCACCGCGACCAGGTAAATATTCTCGTGCTTGACATGGCTGAATGTCGTCGAGCCCAGGGTCAGGATCGGGGAGCGCACATGTGGATTGGAGATGACTTGGATGCGGAAGATGTCAGCTAGACGGGGACGGCAGTCGCTGCGGAAGGCGCGGAAAATGAGATTTTCGCCCTTTTGGTTGAATATGAGGATCCCCGAGAGCATTTTGTGTTGAGTTGCTGAGTCCTGGAGAGTTGGAGCTGGAGAGCTGCGGAAACAGGGGTGGGGACCGTGGGGTGGGTCGACACCGCCTGGAGAATGGAGTACTACTGCCTATAAAAGGAGTTGTTTTTGGTACTTTACATGTGACATAGTATGCATATATGGCTGTTGCCAGCCTATTGGGCCAACTACAGGTACCTATAAACGCTTGATTTATGGAGCCTGACTATCATACGGAGTGCTACCCTAAAGATTCCATTCAAGAGCCAGGAGCTGAGTATCAAGCGGAGAGGTAGCAAATCCGCGAATTCCTTTTGTAGTTATGCTAGCAAGTCTGAAGACGACAGAATGCAGCATGGAACTGAATATAGACCAAAGAAATGAAACAGTAAGAGCAACCCCGGGGATTGACAGGATAGGTATGTGGACGAAAAATGACAGCAAGAAGAGAATAAGTATCACAAAGACGAACGGAAAGAGACCATTAACCCGGATCGAGATGGACTCTGTAGACGGTTAGAAAGGAGACTGCCGGGGGATGGATATCATGCAGAGAGTGCCGAAAGACAACGAATTACAAACATATATAGACAGGAAAAGAACAGAAAATGGACAAAGAAAGAGAAGCCAGAACAGATCATCCTCCACCAATGCCAGTACTTGGCCGAGTATTGGGAGCCGAAGGTGCTTCACTAGGTACGATACCCACCTTGGGATCTGGAATCTGAATATCAAGCGACATATACGCAGTCCGCCTCAAACTCCAGATATGAACACCTTCTTTGTCGCCAACCTCGCGATTCCAATTCTCCAACCAATCCTCCACCTTTTGTAGCTGGTGCTTGGTCGCAGGGGCATTGATATCATCCCATACCCAACCAGTCAACAACCCCATGGCCCCATCGAACCAATTGCGTAAGCTGAATGGGTCAAAAGCCTTGATAATCCCCTCATTGACAGTAGAAATAACCCTCCGGAACTCCTGTTCAGACAACAACGGATCCAGAATCTCAGGATACAGATTCGAAAACGTCGGCGCCAAATCCCCCTTAATCATCCAATCCCGCTTGATTCGAATAATCCGCGTCGTCATATGCTCCCGCGATCCAATAGGCACATGCGGGTTGACATGAGGGAAGCAAGGGTGCGCCGGGCCCCAAGCCAGCTCCTCCGCAACATCAGCCGCCTGCCCCGTATTCGACGGGATAGCCGCAATCTGCGACTGGGAGCGGAGGGAAGTCTGCGACTGAGCGTGTCTGGGACGGTCATTCTGTCTCGTCCCATCCTGGCTAAGATGCACCGCCTCGGGAGGACGCAGGTTCTCGGTTTCGCGTGCAGCGCTGCCGGCAAACGCGGCTGCCATTTCTTCCGTCGGCGAGTAGGGTTCGCTGCGCCGGTGGTGGCGGGGCAGGGCTATGCTTGTGCGGCCGCTTTCGGTCTCCCCCTGACTGCGCTCGACGTGGAGGCTGCTTGGGGTTGTTGGGGTTAGGCGACTGCGGCGTCGCTCGGGGATGCTGAGGAGAGGGTGCGCGTCGCGGGAGTGGGTGCGGGTGAGGGCGAGGCTTTCGTCGGAATGTTGGGGGAGGACCGTTATGGGGGTTATTCGGGGGACGTAGTTGACCGGGTTGACGAGTCGGACGGCTGGTGGGCGGAGGAGCGACGGCGGGCCTGAGAGGGGGACGCACTGTCGCCGCTGCGCGCGAACGAAGAACGGTGTTGACTCCACGGGGGCGTGGGTGGGTGACCGCGGAAGAGAGTCTTGGGTCTGTCGACTTGGTTCTGCCTCCCTCGATAGAGGTCTGTGTGCTTTGAATGACGCCGTTTTGAGGGGAGAAAGGAGAGCGGGCAGATTTGGAGGAAGTTGGAGATCGGCCAGGGAAAAAAAAGGTCTTGGGAGGACATGCAGCAGCAAATATTTAGAATGAGCGTAAAATGAGAGTAAAGAATGGATTAGAAAAAGAATTGAATATTTTCAGAGAAAATACCAAAGAAAGTATTGTCTCAGAGCTCAATTTCAAGGCGAAATCCGTATAGAAGCTGCTAAGAAGCTCTCGCTTGGCGTATTGGAGACTTGGAGTGGCTATAGCTAGTAGGAGATGAAGACATTCGATGGAGGTAATATTCTACCTCTTATGTCAATGTCACAGACCCTCAAAGGGATAATAATCCAATCTATCTCGTTTGCCGTTTCACTGTGATTAATCCAGTCTATGTCCCTTGTTTCATCCTTGGCTAGTATGCAGAACTACTGCAAACGCTAACAGATACGTGCAGGTGATTGACAATAGTCTGATTGTCGACGGTGATTGAACTCGTTTGATTTCATTTCAGTCCAGGTCTCAGCTGGCAGTCTTGCAAGTCATGACGCGCCATAGAATGGCTGTTAAGCTGGTCTATAGGTACTGTACTGTGTAAACAACCTAGCCGAATGGACAGGACCAAAAGATGCAATATACATTATCAAGCGATTATAGACATCGATGCAGTAAATACGTCATAAACTCGTGGGGAACACCATTCGACTGTGTAATAACCAATATGAATCAGAACAAAAGGGTATATAAGCAAAGTGAATGAGCGAGCAGCTACAGTAGTCGATTCGCCGAGGCTTGCATTCGTCGCATAGCCTGCCGATGAAGATCCGTCATATTGCCTCGCTGCATGCCCTCCGCAATAGCATTGCCCAGCTGGGCAGACGAAGCCTCGCGCATCTGCTGCACCGAGCCCCATGTGCGTGGACGCTCAGCATTAGGGCTAAGCGGCGGGGACTGTAGGGCCAGGGAATCCCGCTTTGGGTAGAGTTCCTCGCGTACAGACTGTCGCCATGCGGCCATTCTCGAGGCAGATCGATTGAGCTCGCCGGCGTGAGCTGGTGCAGGATACACCACGGGGGAATGGGCGCCCTCGAGACTGTGGAGGCTTGCTGCGGAGGGAGACTCCATTGTCTGGCGCTGTAGCAGGGCGCGGCGCTTGGACAGCGGGATGTCATCTTCGTCCGTGGGTTGGTGCTCATCCCTCTCCTCGGGTACGGATAGAGGTGGTGATATGGGGGAAACGATGGGGGGGATCTCCGGTAGTGACTGGCGGGATTGGTTACGTGAGGCCCAGGGGTCGTACCGGTTGGATGTTGAGGAGAGGCGGTTTCGTATTCTGTTTTCGCGCACTGCTAGAAGGGGAGGTGGTCCGCTCCAGCGTGGTGATGGCCCTGGTTCTTCATTGTTGACAGTTGTAATTGTCAACAGGGGAGTTGAGGTGCTGCGCTGCGATGTCAATCCTGGCTGTTGCATTGCAGAAATCAGGCCAGAAGACGACCGGACCATGTTGACTGAAGCGGTCGAATTGTTGCGAGATACAGAGGGCTTTGTTGTGATGAGGCCGTGCACCGTGTTTCGTGTCTTCGGACGAGGAATATCTGGCGGGGGTGCTGATTGAACGTAGGCGAATTGTTGACTGTCCACTTCGTATACCTCTGGCCTGTTTATGACTGGCGGCGGTTGGGCAGTCAGAGGAGTTTGGAGGAGCCCATCTACATCCACAACGGCGGGGGTCTCGTGAACTTCCAAGTCTTCTGCTTCGGGTTCAGGTTCGTCGAAGATTGGCTCCATCTCAGGAGTGTCGGCATTTGCGAGGTGTTTTGCCCATTCATTCGTGCGGTAAGAATGGATCATTCGTGAAGTTTGCTCGGGGAGGCTTTTGATGGCTGAGGCATCAAGTCTCTTGATCACCTTGGTCTCTGGTTCTGGCTTTGACTGCGTCTGCTCAACCAAGGGCTCTGGCGTAGTATCAAGCTTTGGCTCGGTAATGGACTCTGTTTTGGTGGTTTCAGCAGTGGTAGGTAGGTCTTCGCTGACCTGCTTCACACTCTCGACCTTTTCATCATTCTCCGATGATGGCAATTGGGTTGTGGGCTCAGGAGCTTTAGACTCCTCTAAAGCCCTATCGACAAGGACGGCTTTTTCAGGGGAAGATGTGTGTTCAACAGTCCGACTGGCAGAATGTTGCTCGGTGCTGACTTCCTCGGCATGTTGTTGGGCTGTGGTTGCGTTGCAATCGACCTCAGCCTTTTGGACAGCTTGTGAGTCGACACCGTCCTTGAAGTCCACAACAGCTTCCGGAGAAGTGAGTTCTTGCTCCGTTACCTCAGTATCCGCAATAACACTCGGACATCCAACACTCATCTCATGCAGATCGTCCACAACGCCCAGCACGGAAGAGTTGTCATCGCGAGCCACCAGAGCCTCTTGGGACTGCGAAGAGAGTACCACCCCGTTGCTATTACGCCATGACAGTCTGTTCAAGATTCCTCTGCCAGATAGACGGTTTGAGCGCGGTGTTCCAACCTCTGAGCCGATATCAGCACCGATTTCTGAGGAGTCATCGTTCACCTCGCCGAGAACATGAGTGACAACAGGGGTTACAGGTCTCGGCATCTTTTCTTCCCGGTGCCCCTCCTTCTGGGATCGCTGGTCCTGGCTTGGTTCTCCCGACTGATCATTCTGGGATACATCCTCTTCCGGAACAGCCTCCAGTCCTCGATTATCATTTTCTCCTAGCTCTCTCTTCTCGCAATCCGAGATATCTGGGCTCTGCATCTCCTGGAGCTCGACATCGCCCTCCAGCTCCTTTTCGTTGTCCGAGGAGGTGAATCCATCCGAGCCACGGCGCGAATCTCCAACCGCAGTCTCCGAAACCGAGGTTGCTTTTCCGCCACCGTACATGAGTTCCCACTCGGCGCGTTCTTGGATGTTCTTTTCCTCCAGACGCCGACCGACCTCAGCATCCTCCTCTTCGATCTTCCTTTCGAGCTCCAGGCGGGAATTCTCCTCCTTCGCTCTGCGCTCTTTGATAACATTCCAGAGTCTCATCTGAGAGATCACGCCCAGAACAGCAACCATGATAGTCGCCGCAAGCTCAACGCGGATACCGCGTGTGACAGGATAAGTATCCGTTCTGAGCGGGAAAGCATTGTCGTTCAATCCTAGAATCGTTAGTAATGATAACTCGAGTAAATCGTTCCAACCATATTCAAAGACCTACCCCAGATATACAACCAGAACTCTTTCAGTCCAGCTCTGCTGTAGCAGTCGACTCCGAGGACCAAGGCTGTCGCACCAGAAAAGGATGTGCACCCGATCAACCCATACGCCCTTGTATAATGGCTAAACGACAACGAGTAGAATCCCACGGTAAACGCAATGATCATGCCGGCCTTGGGGCCGTTCTCAGTAAGAAGTCCGCCGGATTTCAATGCGAGAAACCACATGCTCAAGCAGAATCCGCCCAGCAGACAACCTAATCCCTCGCAAATTTCTCTGAAGACGAGAGATAGAGCCCCGAAGACGGCACCGGTGAAGAAGACAGCGACTAGATAGCCACCCTGTACTGCATTGCTGACCGGTGGACTCATGAGATAGATAATCAGCACCTGTGAGAGTGGTCAGTTATATTCCGCGCGGGTTTTAGTACCAAACTCACGGTAACTCCCAATGCACTGAGCAATCCCGTTGAGAGGAAGATTTGGACCCTGTTCGCCGTCAGTGAATGCCATTGTCATCGCAGAAGTTGTAATCCAGTACCATTGTTTGCGAACACCGATAAACGCCAGAACAGCTCCCAGAGCCAGAAGTATAAATCCCCCCACGCCCCATGCTGGGGTAATTGTCGGTTTGATGGGCAGACCACCGGAATATGTTGGTCGCCTTGAGTCTGCTGCTTGCTTCTGAGAAGAGGTTGTTGCTCCATCGAGGGAAGGGATTGTTGAGCTGGCTGCAGCAGCCGTATCAGTTGCCGTGGCATGTGTTGTAGCGGTCGTCAAAGCTGTGGTCGAAGCTGTGTTTCCCGTTGTTGTAGCTTCTGCTGTCGTTGACGCGTCTGTAGCCGTCTTCGACACATCCTTTTCTGTCTCTGTTGGCGAAGCCTCGCTGGGTTTGTGTTTGTTATTCGTTGTAGGATCAGGTTCCTGTCTGGCCTCGAGGTTGGCAACTTTATCGCTTCGTCCCGGGATTGAAGCTGGTGCTGCCAATGTCCCTGCTAAGAGGAACAGGGACGCGATTAGGGTAAGCAGTGACTGCCAGCGCATCTTGACCTTTGAGCATGCAATTGGTCTGTTTTCTGTAGGACGTCCGCGTATATTATAAAATCATTCACATATCCCACACGCGACAATAGTCACTTGCGAGATCAATATAGACAGCGGGGGGCAGGAATAATGACAATCAAGAAGAATAAAAAATCAATTGACAAGGACGCATTCTAGAGCGCGCATCATAAGAAAAAAGACGAAGCAAAATCAAGAAAAGACCCCAGCCCTAACTCCCTACATATAAACGCGGCCACACCAAAAGATACGGAGGAACAGCTCATTTCAGTTGCAGATAGTTAATTTGAATTTTATTACGAGTTTACAGGGAGTATGAAGATCCAGCAGGAGTCCAAACTGGAATAATTCCACAAGAAATATCCACAAGCCACCTATGAGCCACGCGAGTTGTACAGGTGAGCTATCTACTTGAGCTCCACCGATCGAAGCAATAGCCGATTTAGGGATCCACTCGGATTGATCGCATTTGACGGAGTACATACGGAGAACGAGAGAACAATAATTCCATTCCATATTGTGGAGTTTATACATTATTTTCTGGTCAATATTCCAAAGAGAGAGTTTCTGATTGTTTGCCAATCTCCCAATCTGGACGGAAACGCCTGCTCCGAACACACCCCAGGATTCAGGAAGATGACGTCTGAGCTGTCCGATTACGCCTCAGATCTCGGCATTCGTTCACCGTCCAATGGTCAGTACCTCCGACCTCGGTACTTCGACTTCACGGTGAGAAACACAGAACGAGACAAGTCCCCTCGGGTGGCACCGTGTCTAGGGGCCCATTACAGACGATCTATCGAATAAGTTATTCGATGCATTTCGTCCATTTCGTCCAATTTGGCCGGACCGAAGCAAGTCGCGCCATTGTCCTGCAGCGACCTGCAGGTCCAGGCCGTGTAAGCCATTGTTGACTGGCAAACGCGTGCCGACGTGGTTGGGCCGCTAATTGACTTTAAAGCAAGGAGCCGCCAAAATGCATCTGAGACAGCAAGCTATCTTAATTTATCTTCGGTCTGGGATTGTTCAATCAGCTGAGGCTGTTGGCGTTGATGCATAGGCTTTGTCTCCAGTGCGATCTCCCCCTTGGTTGATCTTCCTATCGGTTTCCTGTTCCAGTCTGGTGTTGATGTGCGTGGACGATTGCACAGTTGGCAGTTGTACAGTTGGCTTTCGCTGGATGGTCGGATGTGATGGATTGTGACGTGATCAAGCTATTGGGTTGGGTGTTTCTCTGTTTGTATACTTAGTAGATGATCTGTTCCTGACAGTTGGCATTCACATTGGAGTCCAATGAAAGATTCCACTAGTGACAGGTACCGACGTTTGCTTTTTGATGACTCGGAACTTGATACGCTGGATTCAAAATCTGGAGACTGGACCTGTCTGCAGCCGTACCTCGCAAATTGGATGCAGGAAGGGGGATTCTGGGGTAGTCACCGTAGAGCTACAGTACTCCATGCTAAGCTCTAGAGATATCCAGATTCCAGCCTGAACAGAACATCAGATATCCTTCCACTTCAAAACAGCCCGAATGAACAAAAAATCCCAAATTCAACCAAAGTCCCTTACAAGAACCAGTCACCACCTCTACCTACTGACCCCTACTAGTGCCAGAACTGAGAAGCCAGCCATCACATCCGTAAGCGGTAACCCCGAATCACGTGCCGATCGACACCTCCCTCCAACGCGTCCACTCACATCCAAACAACACTCCCTCTCCAATCAATCAGTCAATACCTAATTCCAGCCCATCTCTAATCCAACCACAACAATGTCCACCTTTCTCTCATCCCTACGACCGGGCCTGCGCATGGCCAACACAGCCCGCGCTTTCAGCACCTCGCCCAAGCACTCCCTCGCCCGCCTGATCATCACCGGCCGCCTCGGCGCAGAGCCCGAGCTCCACGCCACCTCCTCCGGCCAGGAGATCGTCAGGTACAACGTTGCCTCTTCTTCCGGTCCCATCAGCAACCGCCACACGAGCTGGTTCCGTGTCTCGCACTTTGCGCCTGAAGGACCTCAGCGTGACTTCGTTCTTAGCTTGCAGAAGGGGTAAGTGGCTGGTTCTTGTTGTGGTTTTTTGGGATCCTGTGGGAAGACTGGGTGCATTTTGGCTTTGTGGGTCGTGTTGCTTCGTCTATCCGTGTCTGGTCGGGTTGCGCGTGCTTGTCGACCACCGTATTGAGAGAGCTCGAGCTTGCGCTTGCAGGCTTTATTACGAGCCATTGCGCTGCTAGACAGTGCATGTTACATGCGTTTGGCGGTGAAGCAATTGAGCCTTCACATGAGATATCGATTCCCATATACCGCTTCTTGAATACTTGCACGAATGCAGCATTCGAAGCTTATACGCAGATGAGCTAACTATTTATTTTTACCACGCAGAACACTCGTTTATGTTGAAGGTGACGCTAGAATGAGCACCTGGGAAGATTCCGAGGGCCACAGCCGATCTACATTGAACATTGTGCAGCGTATGTCTATCCCTCTTTCTTCTATATCTCCTATGAGAAAGGAGCCAATCTAAACTCTCTTCCAGGCACCATCGAGGTCCTCAGGCGTCCTGATAACAACGGCAACTCTGACGAGTCTCACTAAATGTCTTTAGTCTTGATTATGGCTCGGTATTCTGAGTTTGTTACAATTTCCTTCGGACTGGTGGGGTTGTCTGAACCCTTTTGTGTGTGATTATTTTGTATGACTATACCCTTGATACAAATACACTTCTTGTGTAGTGGATACATAAGATTCGGTGTTGGATGCTTATGTCCTGGTGTAGTATTTACGTGTTCACTCTGTGCCCTAGGTAACCTCCTGTTGGAGGTATATCAGGGCTTGCGGGTGACTCCTTAGAGTGTAGCAAACATCCATGGATTCCACACCTACCTTCCGCGCGGTCACTTACCTACGTCACGCCCACCGTTTTTCATCGCATTCAAGTTGACTCCATTTCCAACTTCCTTCCATCAGGATACGAAAACAAATCACCAAAATGACACAGCATAATACCGCTAGCACAAAAAACGTCAAGACACGCTTCTTGATATGCTCGGACACCCATGGAATCGACAGTTTACCCGGCCTCATTCCGTCCGCGAAGCAACATGCAGACGTTGCTATTCACTGCGGAGATCTCACCACCCACTCTCAACTCCACGAATACAAAGCGTCAATCCGTTTGCTTCAGGCCATCAACGCGCCATTAAAGCTTGCCATAGCCGGTAACCACGATTTCACAATGGACATACCGGAGTTTCACAAAAAGGTCGCAGAGGCCCAGTCGGTGGAGCGTGAGCTCGTTGAGAAAGCGTATGGATATGACGGAGAGGCTAGGGGATTGTTTGAAGGCACAGGGATTACTTTTCTCGACGAAGGCGTACACTCTTTCCATCTACAGAACGGCGCTTTGTTGACTGTTTATGCCAGCCCATACACGCCTTCACTTGGAGATTGGAGTTTTCAGTACCACCCCGATAAAGGCCATGACTTTATGATTGACAACGGCAGTGGCACTAGCACCGTGGATGTTGTGATGACACACGGGCCGCCGAAGGGAATCTTGGACAACACTCACTCCGGTGAACGGGCAGGCTCCCCGGACCTCTTTCGGGCCCTCGCTCTCGCCCGACCACGACCACGGATGCATTGCTTCGGTCACATTCATGAAGGTTGGGGTGCTAGACTTGTTACGTGGCGTGACAGAACTACCACCGTGCCCTCTCACCTAACGGATATCGACAACGGACAGTCTTGTACTATAGCGAAGCTCTCCAACATGAAAGACAGAGCTGGACAAAACTTGAGGGAGGACGGCGCGCCTATGAAGTACTTTGCTACTAGCCACTGTTCTGGGGATGATCATCCACTGAACTGGGGTTCTCAAACGCTGTTCGTAAATGCCGCCATTGAGGGGACGCCCCAAAGCATGGATAACGAGAAAGAGAATCTATCGATGCAGCTACCATGGACTGTTGACCTTGAACTCCGATCTTCTGCCTGAGGAGCAGGAGAAACAAGCGAGCGGGAAAAGTAAGCTTCCATGTAACCAGCCTTCCATTTTTATCACTCTTTGCTTTACTTCCAAGGTTATCTAGGTGACTTCTCAGAGTTTAGCAATACCATCCAGGAAAGAGCCCCAAAGAGCTCCGGAAGAAGAACTTCTTTACTTGTTGCCATTGTGCGTGACACTTCTCCAATAATCGTGGTCCCGTAGGTTATTTCATTTTCAGCAAAAGGCCGCTTCAAGTTGGTAGATAGAAGGGCCTTACGCTGGAGCGGACCAGGAAGACGATGGAGGACGAAGAAAACAGAAATCGAGTCGTAAATTGCGGTTAACGGGATGTGAACCTCTGTCTGGACGGTCCGAACACTAGATCTAGCCAGACGTTGCTTTGCGCGGCCCAGGGAACTCGAATTCTGGTAGTGTAATTTGTATGGTTTCTGAGGTAGGGCTAAGGTAGCACTGCCCTTCCAGCTGGAGGTTTCCACCTGCAGCCCTCCAGTGCTTGTCATAATATAGGTATACCGTCATCCATAATGTGTCTACAGCTAGGTTATTATGACAGTGTTAGGAACAATTGTTAACAAAAGAAATTGAATTTGTACAGAGTAAGTCCCAATTCCCGGATTATTAGACTACGCGACGTGATGATACAAACAGCTGAGATAGGTACATAAGAGAAGCCCATTCGGATAACCCGAAGATCCCACTCAGAAAAAGCACGATTAGAAAAGCTAGGCACATCAGCAGACAAGAAATGAGATGAAGATCAATCACGCTAAACATGGATCTTGATCTCGCTCTGCTGGCTAATAACCTGCCTCACATGAATGAAATCCCGATGGAGCTGCGGCGAAGCAGTACTCTCCGACATATTGACACTATCACGCCGACTCGCCCAGGCCATAGTGCTAACCGTCTGCGAAGGCATCGAGAGGTCATCCAGCAAGGTTCCATCGGCATCCCGCCGAGCCGGACGTCTGTTGAAGAGCGACCAGGGCAGGTTACTCCAGCGAGACTTCTTAGGAACCGAGCGAGCGACGCTGGGACTGTGAGAGAGATGCGAAGAAGTCGAGACAGTGCCCTTTTCGATATCGTTGTAGTTGCCGCGGGAAACGCACGTGCCGATGTAGATGGTGCCAGACTTCGGGCGGGAGAACAGCGACCTGGCGCGGGAGCTGATGCTTTCGACGAGGGTTGAGCCTGTCGAGCCCGGTGGGGGAGTCGGGGTGGCGTGGCTGTCGGTTGGGGGCTCGATGCTGGGGAAGCAGTAGCCCAGGCCGAGGTACCAGCAGACGGTGTGGTACATGCGGGTTGCGTCGCGGCCGAAGCCGAAGAAGATGAAGATCATGAAGCCGGAGGCGACGGGGGTCCAGCGGTCGAAGAAGACTTCGCCGTAGGACTCCATTTTTCGGATGTGGTACCAGGATGATTTGTGGTGGTTTCGGCTCCAGGAGTAGGCGTGCCAGGGGATGGAGAGTTCGATGTTGCTGTAGACGACGTAGGCTTCCAGAGGGAGGATGCAGACTAGCATCGAGAGGGCGAGGAAGAATAGACGGAGGAAGCGGGATTTGCTGAGGTTGCTGCTGGATGCGCGGAGGATGCTGGCAAAGTCACTTCGGTACTTGTGTACCCGGATGAGGACCAGGACTGTATATATTGGTTAGTCGGTGGGATTCTGTGTGGGGTAGGAAAGAGGTATTCTTACAGCAATAGTATCCGGCAACCAGACAGAAGAGCGGCGGCCAGATCCATGCAAGTGCTAAGCTGACCCAGCTCTCGTCGAAGTCATTCACACATCCCGAAATGGAAAAGAGAATGTATCGACTGCGTTGCCACACAAGATGGGTGATCATTGCGAGGATTGGAGCAACGACACAGAACATGATCTCCATGAATCGATTGCGCCAGCGCTGACCCCTGCTCGGGACTAAAGTAGCTCGATCTGTATCCAGAACGAGGGCAAGGCTCCGAAAGATGCACAGCAGGCTCCCCGGGATGCCAAGATAGCTGGCAGCCATGAACTTGACCTCGATATCACATAGTCCGGACCCATCCCAGGCCGATTGAATGTCGTCCGTGGGCCATGTGAGTGAATTGATGATGTTAAAGATGTTGAGGAGAATGGACCAGAAGATCAGACTAGATGCAGGGAAGTTCCGATTCTTTGCATGGAGGATGATGGGCGGGATAGCGAGGGCAATGGAGAAGAACGACAGAACGGGCAGGATAATGGCCTGCGGGTGTCTCTTGTGAATGTCCTCCATGTCGGCAATGGATGTATGGAATGAACCGCAGATATTAAGATACTATTTCCGTAGTCTCAACTCTCGAGGTCCTTATGCAAGGAATTGACGAGGTAGAAGAAGAGCAAGATGGATGGATTGGAATCATCCTCTCCCTCTCGAGGTATGTATATCCAGGAGAGGGTAATTGAGTAGGATGTCTTATTGAGATCCCAATAGCCAGAATCAGGAGAGTTTGATTCAAACAGCTCAAGACATGGTGACTTGATCCAGGACTTGTATCGAAGAATGTATGGGCTGCAAAGGCAACTCCCATGGCTGGCTCAGCCTGGGGGGTTAGCAGACGACATAGTTTGCGACAGGCAGAGAAACCTATCCATAGAGTTAGCTATGACAATTAGACCTGAGAAAGATGAAAGAAGTTGAATAAAGAAAGTGAAATGAACAAGCTGGGGTTTGTTATTGAGAGCGAATGGAGTGAAGAGTTGGGTGGCCGTTTTGGGGTTCTGAATAAGAAGCCAAGCATTCGGGACTTTATTCATTTGCGCCACATTCTCTGCATCGTCGATCCGAGTGCTCTTAGAGTGACTTGGACTTTTAATCTTATTTAAACTGAATTGATTGGAGGATAGTGATCTTGGTCTAGACTCTGCGGAGTAGCGAGAGTCTACTGTGTGGAGAGAAGAAGTGGTGAGTGATTTCAGAGTCCAGACCAGGTGACTTGACCCCATACCAAGAAGTCCAGAACCAAGGACGTATACAACAAACAGTCCTATGTTTGTTCTATTCCTTTGTATACAGGTTGTCCAGATTATACTGTGTATACAGATTCGACTATGAACCACTGATCCAAAGCTGGGAAGTGAGAACCGGTTTAGGTCCCACAGGCCACTCCGCATCATCGATGTAATCGATCTGCGCAACCTCGGGAAAGAAATCCTAAAGCTGAACAGTGAACTGTCTAGACATTTTCACTTTCCACTGCTTAGCCCTGTCTGGAGTCTGGACTATCCACCATGGCTGAATCCTCACGCATGAACCGCCGACTCCCGCGCGCCGCGACCTTCGCCTTCGAGGGTCGTCGGAACTCGATCTCGGACTCGCTCTCAGAAGCGCGTAATTCAATCCGATCATCAACAGATGAACTACTTCTACCCCGTGTAGCAAAAGACCAAGATGAAGTATCCGAATCACATTGGCATTCTGCACCACTGGGACTGGCCCTGTTGCCAGCGATCGCCGGCATCTTCTTCCACGAAGGCAGTGCTTTTGTCACTGATGTCACATTGCTAGTTCTGGCCGCCATATTTCTCAACTGGTCTGTCCGGTTGCCTTGGTATATTTCCCTCTCCTTCCCCCTCGTAAATAAAATATCTATCACAATTGGAAACAGAAATAAATACTAACTATATTCTCAGGGACTGGTACCGCTCGGCCCAGGCCATCCGACGTGAAGGTGGATTCCAAGCGCCCGTCGATCAAACCCCATTTCAGGATCCGGAGCTAGAAGATGATGAAACTACAGAATCATCACATCAACATCAACCCTCACCTCAGAGCTCTACAGCAGCAAAAGCAGCAGCAGAAGCAAGTACCGAGCTCCAACTCCACGAGCTCGCCGCCCTATCCGCCTGCTTCATCTTCCCCGTAATCGGCACCTGGCTCCTCCACGCCATCCGCTCCAGCCTCTCAAGACCATCAGAAGGCCTGGTCTCAAACTACAACCTAACCATCTTCCTACTCGCCTCCGAAGTGCGACCCGTCGCACACCTCCTAAGACTAATCCAGAAACGCACCCTGCATCTGCAACGCATCGTAGCATCCACCCCAGAACCCTTCACCAACCCAACAACAATAAAAGACGTAACGAAGCGTCTGGAAGAACTGGAAGCGCACATCGCAGAAACCGCCCTCTCCAATCCATCATTCCAGGAGAAAGGAACAGAAAAAGGAAAAGAAAAAGAAGACCGTCCCCTCTCTCCAAAAGAACAACCCGACTCCACACCCTCCGGGCCCTCCCTCGTCACCCAGACAGTAACCGAAACCCGCAAATCCATCCAACCAGACATCGAAGCCCTCAACCGCGCCGTGCGCCGCTACGAAAAGCGCTCCGTCCTCTTCTCCCTGCAGACGGATCAGCGCTTCGCGAATCTCGAAGCGCAGACCGCCGACGCGCTTACTCTTGCTGCTGCTGCGCGGCGGTCTGCGACGTCGCGCCGGCGGAATTATGCCCTCGTCCTGCTGGACTGGGCTTGTGCGTGTGTCGTTGTTCCGGCGCAGATTGCATGGTCGGTTGTAAGCTTGCCTGGCTGGGTTTTGGCGGGTTGCATGGATGCGGTGAAGCGCAGACTCCCTTGGAAGGATGCGCAGTCGCGTTCGAGGCCTAAGGCGGGTTCGAAGGGGAGGACTGTGGCTGGGTCTCAGGGTGGTTATCGGCAGAGTGGTGGGTCGATGCAGAGGCGGTCTGTGAAGAATGGGGAGGGGATGGGGTGAATGTGCAGTGCTTTACACAGTATGTGATTTATTTGATGCTGGGAGTGTTGTATTGTGGCTGTTAAGGCAATCTCGGTAATGGGCAAAGGATTGGGGTTATTGGTGTTTCATGCATGGTGCGGGTTTGGAAATTATGGGCTACGATCTATCACATCACGTATTACAGGGGTTTATTCAGCTTTGCGTTCAGATACGAGGTGGCTTCACCGGGATCAAATATTTTCATCTGGGAGAGAAGCGTAGGCTTAACCCAGGTGGCGTTTGTTCATCATAATACACGGGCGACAGAATACTGGTGATGCACCCGAAAGTCCGCAGCCAAGTCCAGAAACCAGAACATGACTGCATTTTCAGAGCATACAAAAAGCAGAAGTTGGGATTACGCACAAATCGTAGATCCCTTTATAATTACGTACATGTCGTAGCAGAGAATCAAGACCGACCTCCAGATGGACCTCGATCATCCACTCCAACCATCTTCAGAAAGGGTTCAATGATCGATCGTCTCCGCTCTTCAGCAATGCGACGCTCCTTGTCCTTGGAGGGCAGGGGTGCATTGGCAGATATAAGCACGCGCGAAAAGATAGACGCCAGAGCAGTCTCGATCTCTTGTCGGCGAACTAACGATGGGTTCTGAGCAGCCGGGTCGGGACTGGTGCTGGTGGATGAACCCGAATGCCGATTCTTGCGACGGAAACTACCGCTGGTAATGAATGATGTAGCAGAGACTGGGCTAGGAGGATGAGATGGATCTATGTTCTCTTTGTGCTGTTTATTTGCTGGTGCTTGTCCGGAGGACAGGGGCGACTTCGTGGACGGTACGGGTGCCACTTCATTGGCGATGCGAGCGAGCATAAAGGTGACAAAGGTGAATGAGACGCTGTGTGCAGGCGAGTAGGCTAGGTGCTCAAGCACCCAGGCCTGGGTTTCTTCCCAAGTCAGGGGTGGAGCCTTGGACTTCTCGCGGGCAGTTATCTGTTGCTCCATCTCGTGCCATACTTTCGCGGTGACGATGCCATCTTCGAGGGCATTGAGGAAGGCTAGGAGAGTTTCGCAGAGGATCTCTAACCGATGAAGAGAGGGTACCTCGGGAGCGAAGATTGTGTCGAAGGATGAGTTGGTGTCAAGTGCTTCGTGAACAGACGCTCGGAGGGAAGCGCGCTCTTGGGGATCCTTCAGAGTCCAGGTTTCAGGCTCGAAGGGCCATGCTCCCGCGGAGACTTCTGTCTTCCATGGAGCCTTGTGCTCGTCGTTTTCGCCATTTGTCATGCTCCACTCAGCGATAGCGCGCTCTGTCAGCTCGGAAATCGCCTCAGTCAGGCGGAACAGCTCGCGGGGTGCAGACAAGCGAACTTCAGCGGGACCGTCTGTGCCGGATGGATGGGGAGTCTGAGATTCGGACAGACTGCGAGCACCGCCTTCTGGCATGCGAGTCAGTTCTTCGATACTGCAGCCGAAACATGTGGGTAGCCAACGGCCATGTACAGAAATGAAATGATCGCGGCCACCATCCACGTGGAGGATCAGGATGTCTTCCAATTTGAGCTTTCCTATGTTAAGCAGCCTAATGTGTTGAACGCTTTTGACATGGGCCGTGACATCGACGTTTGCTACTTCTCCGGGGTACAAAGTGTGGCGCCCGGGCGTCGCAGTGACCGTTCGCCTGTCCTCGCCAGCAGCGTTTGGTGACTTGAAAACGCTAACAAGAAGCCAAGAAGGCGCTTGGGCAATTGTGTCGTCGGCGTCGCCGTGTCGCTTGGCAAATGAGAATGTTGCTGCAGTTCCACTGGTGTTGGCGATCGTTAGGGATCGATGAACCGGTACATCGAAGGCAACATCGCCGAACTCAAGACCGTCGGGATCTTTCGAGACGGGCTGATCGCGGTGTCTATCCACCACGACCGTGAGATTCGGCCGGGCTTCGTTCTCAGCTCTGTCCAATTCGCGGGCCACTTCTTGGTGGATCTTCGCTTTGAGCTCGGGGTTGACCGCATTAAAGCCTAAGGTGAAGGTAGCAGCTAATGGCTTGTGGTCCGATGAAACGATGCCTTGGTATGAGACATACTGGTCAAGGCGAATCGGATCATGAGAAAGTTCTTGCGATGCGACGGTCGATGTATCACCCTCATCATCAGACTGGCCCTCGTCTGATGAATACTCGCTTTCTGCACCGTCTGTATCAGGATTATATTCAAACAAGACATTATCATCGGCAACGGCCTTGTCTATACCGCTTGCCGTCATGTCTTTGTCCCTTTTTCGAGCTTCCTCCGCTTCCCGGTCGAGCAGCTCATGCCTCACCTTGTCTTGGTGAGTGCGGAACAATATCCGATCGCACCAGCTGGGACCTCTTTGCTTCTCACTCGAATCAAACATAGCCACACTCCCGACGTCGTATTTATATGTCGGCAAGAATGAGATGGGGCCCTCACGCCACCCCTTGTGGAATGCTGTGCCTTTGGTCTGTTGAATCCGGAGCTGGTCATGAGGGAGAAGTGAAGATATTGTAGTCTGTAGAGATGCTGGGTCGTTGTGGGGATCACTTTCGTCGTCGGTGTCTGGGGCCCATCCATCTTGGACTGAAGGAGGAGGTGAATCATCGCCTGAATCGGCGGTAGAATCTCCAGAGACACCAGAATGGTTTGAGTCCCGCTTCGCGTAGCGCTCGTTATCGTACGGATTGGCAGTATGCCGCGCAAGGACCTGACGCACGTCCTCGCCGGGAATATCCTCAAGGCGGTAGTTGAGGTCACCGAACCAGAAAGTGAAATCCTCATCTCCAATTGAATCGCCCAGATCCTCCGATGCGTCGTTCTCAAACGAAATGGGCTCAAACTTGGCGCGCTGGACAATCTGAGACGAGTCCCAGTTGCGTCGCTCCAGACTGTTTTTGTCTGACCCTGCTGCCAGGTGAGAATTTATAAACACTAAACGAGTCGTTTCGCCCAAGACAAGGCGGGTTGCCACAGCGCCCTTGTTGCCCATGTATCCCATCAGCCCTGTACCGACAGACGTACTACTGATATAAGAGATACCAGATCCAATGGAGGGTGACGCATAGATCAAAAGTAACAAGCCGACTAGCTGGACTTCAGAGACAAGCTCATACCCCGAAGGCAGGGCCTCGTCCACTGCTTCCTTCCACCGCTGAGATGGTCCCGGGTCGACATATGGCCGCAGCGCTTCTGCTGGGGATGAGACATCCACTACCTCTTGCAAGCCCAGGACATATAGATCTATGTCTTCAGGGCTGTAGTGGAAGGGTGCTGTTTTGTCTCCGGCTGATTCTGACTCGCCATGCGTTTCAGGCGCATGATGTTCTGGCGGTATCCCTTTCACGCCCTCCAACTTCTCGCACACGCCTTGTCCGCAGACAAACCACTTTCCAATGTCTTTCTCAGTACCGGAGATGGCAGCTACGTTCCATGTGCCGACCTTGACTCGGATGGATCGCCGGCCAGTGTACTCGGATTTCCGTGCTTTGACGGCACGGGAGAGCGACAAGACATCGAGTCCCGGGTTCTTAGCTTCCTCCGCATATTCCTGCTCGTGCGCATGGTGGTCTGTCGACGACTTCGATTTATGGCTCATGATGGAGGTAAAGATGTAATGAAATCAGCCGATTGTAAAGCGCGTTCGCATTGCTTGGTGACCGTTTCCGTCACAACCGGGTCCATGTACGTTGCGCGGAGTATGTGTAGGTGTGCGCTTGCGCGGTTCTCAATTCCGGCGAGGAAACTTGAAGGGAAGACGATCGCAATGGGGAAACGAGGCGAGAGTGATTATACTAGGATGAATAAATAAAAAGTAGGAGAATCGAATCGTAAAATGCGACAATGGCTTTCGTCATTCCATAGCAGAGGTCATCCCACCAAGGTCAGGAGGGTCGCGTCGCCACCACCTACTGTGTAGAATATAGAACAATGACAAAGACGACGGAGAAGAACTTGAGTAATTATATACTGTTCTCCAGATCTCCAATGCGGGCATATAAAGGAAGAGGGTCGAGAGTAGAGGAGAGAGCTCCGGATAAGCGCGAAGGCGGAGCTTGGACAATGACGATATGGCCGCTCTACCGCTCCGCTCCTTCCCTCCGAGGCTCCGATCGTTCAGCGCACTTTCTCTCATCGACGCCATGACTTCGCACAAACCCCGAAGACAAAACAATCACCAAGTCAACACTGATTATGAATCCGACATTCCATACTACTCCGACATGCAGGAACAGCCTGCACCACCGCCCCGCTCCAACGAGGAGCTCAACCTCTCCGTTATCCAGCGCCACAAGCCCTCTATAACTTCCATCCTCTCACTCGCGCCGTACGCAGTCGTCTACATCTTCAGTCCAACCACAAAACAATGGGAAAAGAACGGCGTTGAAGGAACCCTGTTCGTCTGCCAGGAATCACAAGGCGATCTAGGCGAAGAGCGCTACACAGTCTTCGTGCTGAACCGCCGCGGGCTGAACAACTTCGATCTCCCCTTAACCGACGGCGAAAATGTCGAGATCACAGAGGAATATGTGATTTGCAAAGCCGAAGAAAGCTTCGAGGGAGAAGCCGGACAGAACGGCATCGCCGACCCCTTGCACCCACAGAACGTTGCAAACACACAGGCCGCCACGAACAACGTGCGCATATATGGTCTATGGATCTACTCAGAGCCGCCGCCGAACTCGACCGCAGAGAGCCGCAGCATAAATGCCCAGATGATTCTCGAGTGCGCTACCCATGCGGGCCAGAGCATGAAGCTGGCCCGGGAGCGTCTTGAGGCAATGCGCCAGAACAGCTTGCATATGGCTGCGGCGGTGGCTTCTACACAGGCTCCTCCGTTGCAGGAAGCTCAGGCTAGTGTGTCGATGGGTCGCCAGATCTCGTTGAAGGATCTTTTTGGTCAGCAGCGCGCCCAGGATGACGGTTGGAGTGTGCGTGCACACCATCTTGCCCCCGAGCAGCAGCAGCCATACCCACAGCAGCCTCAATATCAGAACATGACACCCCAACAGATGCCTCCTCATCCTCAGCCCTATCCTCAACTCCCGCCACAGCCACAATCCGATGTGCTAGGAGATTTATTTCGGAGAGCAGGGTTGGCTCAAGGCAACGGTCAAGGTTACTAGAGTGCTTCTTGGATTATCCGGGCCGCTGTTATCTTAAGCGGTGCCTATCAGATACAGCTGTCATTAACGGTTTTGAGCTTTCTGTTGATAAGGAGACGGGCGTGGCGTAGTGTCTCTTGAGATACCCATTACAATCTACGCCAATGGCGAAATTCATGATTAGTTCCTGTCTATGTACCTTTCTGTATGCACTAGGCGGTCTACCGCTGGATAGGGATGTCAACACACGTGTTTATTTAAATCCCTCAAAACATCCTCGTCCAAAATCTAAAAACTTATCTCTACGTTTAAACCTGAGCTGTCAGTCGTCACTCAACATGGCTTCCCAACCAATGGCTGACTGGATTACTGAAGTGAAACCTGAGGATGTGATATTCTCCCCAGAAGCTTCAGGAGTCTGCGTACTCCCCTGTTTTCAAAGGAGCTGTCCACGGACGAACTTGTGTGATGGAAGTAGTAAGTGCAGTTCCTGTTAAGTGTGCTTGAAGAAGACCCGCTGGGCCACCGATCTGATGACTACCACAAGCTTTCTGATGGAAGGCCTTTGAGTTGTCTAGGAAATCAAGTACATATGCATTAGATTTGGAGTATGGCCTCCTTTTTCAACCCACAATCTGGCCAATCATACCCGCTACTTTGCAAGCCATCACATCACTGTGGTCTATGAAATGTCAGTAAGATCTCATATTCAAAATCGACTAGAAGGCACGACTCACTCAAGCAGAACGCATGTGGCAAACCCTCTTCACAAACAACCATAGTCGGCCCCAATTCCCCATCCTTCCTTCCCCGAACTGCAACAATATCATCCCTCGTCTGATCAGCTACCCAGTGATCATTGCGACCAAAATAGAAGAACAGTTTAGCGATAGGCTCGCGCGCCGAAGCAGCACCCCAGACATCATCACTCCATTTGTCAGAGGTGATAGTGCGCATCTCATCAGCGGCCATGTGTCTACAATCCGCAGAAAAGTAATCAGCTTAACCCTCGCCAAAGAAGAAGATTCTTAGACAACACATACAAAGCCTGCCGTACACCACCCCTGCTCTTCAGAAAAGCACATGTAGCGTCCAAAGCATGAACCGGGGGATTATTCATGACAAACCCAACGACAGCTCGTAGAAGGGCCGTCGGGAGTAAGAACGTAAGTAGTCGAGCAAATAAACCAACCACCACAGCAAGGCGGGGAATGATAGACAACAGTGTCTACAAATCGAATAAGATTAGCAAGAAAAACCAACCCACCATCCGGAACAAATTCCCGTACCGTCAATTTCTGCCCAGAGGGCGAAGCAGCAATATCCTGTACAGTCGGGAAGAGCATCGCTCCACCGATGATATCAAAGTCGCTTTCCGGGCTTGCCTCGCGGTGTCGTCTGAGGATTTCCATGGCGATGTATGCGCCAACAGAATGTCCGATTAGAATGACTTTCTGTCTTTTGTCGATACCAGCTTGGTGGTTGGAGTTGTCCTGCATTAGAGCAGAGAGCTTGCCCTGCACGAAGCGGATTTGGTCTTCTAGGTCGAGGTCGATGCCATTGGTTGAACTTGGCGGGCGTGAGGATTCATCGGTGATCTCGAAGCCGCCGAGGGAACATCCGTATATTTGAAATGAAACATTTGATGTTTTCTCTTTTGCCTCGTCTAGACATCTTGAGAGTAGAGATAGAAATGGGTGGTAGTAGCTGATTAGACCTGGATTGCCGGAGACGAAAAAGATTGTCGTCTTTTCGTCTGAGGGTGGTCCGGTGGTGGTGAGGAAGGTGTTTGGGGTGATTTTGGGGTTCATTCTTGTTCGTTATTCCACTGGGTGTGTTGCAAGCCTTTTCCTGGTGTTTCTTCGGGTATAGATGGACTGACTACCTTGGTTCTGAGTGCAAGCGAGGAGACGGCCCGGTCTGCTGCTTGGTTAGTAATCGTCCAAGTACGTTGAGTTCTAGGACAGCCAAAAAGAGATAGTCACACTTGATTGTGTCTTTTAGTACTCGAGGTATGATCGCCTTGGAGTTGATCTAATGAATGGATTGGGTTGTCTGGTCTGGTAGGGGAGGCGAAGTTGGATCTAGGTGTGGTTGACTAGGTAGTCCCGCCCCATGTCTGGGCACCGTTCGGCACCCAGGGCTAATGCTAATCTCCAACCATGAACACACATAGGTATTTGAGGAGTATGGCCATATGATCAGAACCTATGGATGGCATGAGGAATTTCAGCGAGAAATGATCACTCGATTGTGCAGATACCCCATGGTCATGGATGCCCGCCACTTTACAAGTCAAACTTACAAGCACGATACAGACACAGCACCAAGAAAATAGCAAGCGCCACGAAAGAAAGGAGGATATATTGCCGACACCGTCCCGGGGCACCGATACCTCCCAATGGTCAGTCAGTACCTAGCCTGACTAGGAAAGAAAAATCAGAGTCACCGCAAAGCCAGATGCATTGCCCATACGCCTTGCCATGTACTACTTCGGGCCACCAGAGGACACTTCATAAACCAAGGGAAACAGGCAGTGAAGGTCTTCAAAAGAGAAAAGGAAGAAGAATGGACTTCGCCCAACGAACAGTAAAAGACGAAATAATGAAAAATCCCGCAACTGTATCTGGTATCTAGGGTCATGTAAGAGAAAAAACCGAATTCAGGAAACAAAAACGCCTGGCTTATGAACGCTGCATGTTCAACCACCCTCGTTGCCCTGGCTCTTATCGCGACTCTCCTCGCTACTCTCGCTCGTTGTCTCCATGCTAGTGGTGTCATCGTCTGAAGGCTGCCTGGCTGTTGATCCGAAGTTGATCGCAATTCTTTTCGGGGCAACACTTGTGACGTTGTTCTTGACGTCAGGTGATGCATTCTTGTTTGCAGAGCTTCTCCGATTCATAAGACTGGAACTGGAGTTGCTGCTGGTTGAGCTTCTTCTCTTAGGTCCCGCGGTAAGCTTGATAAGCTCATCGTCGTCTTCCTCCTCACGGCGACGCTTCTCTGAAAGTCGCTCGGGAGGACTTTGTGTAAGTATTGATGCGGGAACATCATCAGGAGTCTCCGTTTGACTAGCCATTGGCGGTTGGTCTGCGCCTTCGGCTTTCGTGTCCATGATGTCCTCATCGTCATCATCCGGGTAGTCAACCAAAGGTTTGATGGCCGGAGATGCGGATCCATTTGAAGGTCCGTCATTCTGCGCCCACTTGATCTTGTCTGGTCAGCCTTTCTCCCCAACCGTCTCAATTCACGAAGTGCCTACCTCGTCCTCATCGTCCGACGTGTTGAAGTAATCTTCTTCCGCGGGGTCCAACTCTCGCGCACCCTGCCAGCGCTGTCCACTGATGTACATTTTCCGTGGAGGGCTGGCTGGGTCGGTCGGTTCATCATGGCCGAACAGTGTTGAGTCGACCTCGGCCCCGTACCCCTGCATCTGGTCATATCGTAGAATCAAGCTCTGGAAGGTATCCACATAGACGATATTTTCGAGCTTCTCGCGATATTTCTCGACAACGTGAAGGATGAAAGGCTTGATGTTTTCACGCTTAATGAATTCGAAAAGTTCAAGACAGGCCGAGTTGAGCAGGTTGTCACGAGGCATTGTCTCGTAGACGATATCGAGAATCAACTCGAACGTGTTATTATGTGTCATGAGAGCTTGATAGAAGGTATCTTGGAGGCTGATCAAGGTACGGAAGAATTTGAGGGCGGCTGTTGTTCGCATTAGTAACGGCGTGGGGCAGCTCCTCGGTGTGGAAGCACATTTACTTACCAAGTTTTAGATGTTTCTGTGGCACTCGCAGGAGCTGTGCAACGCGAGGAGCGAGAGATTCACTCTGAATAGAGTTGCGTGTGCGGAAAAGGTGCTGGCGGACGAAGAAGGTGAGTATATCAACAAGATGCGTGTAGAGGGTGACCTCTTGGAATGTCAAGTCATTAACTACATTACATTAGCAAGTGTCCAAGGCAAACACCATAAATTTGACCACTTACGGGTTGCGCGATTGGCAAGCTGTTTAAGCGGTTGGAATAGCCGTTTGGAGGACTCATCAAAATGTTGCTGAACGAATGCATCGGATAGAAGGCTGTTGGTGCGAAGTTTGAAGTAATCGGGTCCAGCCCGACCAAGCGGGTCCTGCATGGGTATCTGGGGATCAAGCAGAACTTTGATAGCATCGGCAAGCTGGTTTTTGACGCCAAGATCGGTCTCGACATGAAGCAGGTCGATCAAGGTGTCTGTGAGTGGTGTCTTTTTCTCGTTGACTGCCTTGAGCATGTAACTTCTCATCATGACTGGGTCGTGATCCAGCAGAGCCACCAAGATATCAATGCCAGTCGTGCGCATGGCTGGGTTCACGTGCTTGACAGCAAAGGCAATCACGGCGAACAAGCCATGGCTAATAAAGTTGGCGAACAATTGAGTCCGCGACGGTACCTGTAGGTTCTTCGCAATTCCGGCGCATTGGTGAAGGAATTGGACAGCATCATCCTTGCGTTTCTGGTCCAAATTCCTGGGATCGAAAACAGAAAATAGCTCTCGCAGGAATGGTCCATTGGCTTGGATGTGGTTCACAATCTCCATCTGATTGAAGAATATCAGAGAATTGAGCACAGAGAACGTCGGGTCGTCCAGAATCCGAGCCAACACCACGTCCTTCAAGTATTGTAGCCTCCATGTACTTCGAATCTTGCGGCGAATGAGCGCATCCTTGATCGGGACGACCTCCTTATAACGCGATTTGTCTGCAAGATATTGTCGGTGATTTGCTTTATGCGTGGGGAATTCAGGGTCATCTGTTTTCGTCAGTCTCAACACATGTCAAAGTAAAGCGCTTGGAGCATACATTCTAGAGCCCCAACCACACCGAGGATGACATGATCCGAAACAACGGTTTCGATGATAGTGTTGTCGTTCAGCAAAATGAGAGACTTCATGATGTTGCACAAGCGATGTAGGTCGATCAGGCTCTCCAGATCTTCCGCCATTGACACTAGCGGTACCAATTTGGCAATGTAATCGTCGCGAATGATAAGCTTGGACAGCGAATCCCGGCCAACCTGGGTCATGCTTGCATTTCGCACAATCTGTTCAATTTCGGGAAGGGTTCCGAGTTCGGGGGCCGGTAATACGACGGACTGGTAGTGATCGAGGTCATCGGACAAGGCATCATCTGAGGGAACATTAGAGCTGCTAGCTTCCAAACACGCGACAAAACTTACCGACTGAAGCGAGACTGAGAAGATGTTGTTGGACGGTATTGACAAAGTCCCTTTGAATGGCGTTAGCTCATGCGCGCAAAGATTTTTGTTGACTCCTCACCAAATCACGGCGCAGCCTTCAGCCTCTTGAAAACTCAGGGCCATATCCGTGCCATTCCGCTCCGTCCATACTATCAAAGTTTCTGTATCGCGTGACGTGGTTAATCGAATAGAACGTCGATGAGATGGTGATAGTGGGATCGATACCTTGCTGTTTTTGATAGCCATCGTCCTTGGTGATTCGCGTTTCAAGTAACATGCGATTTGGCAGGTCTTCCGATTCGACAAATATACGGGGCTCCTCCTATGCGAAAGCTATCAGTAAGGGAAGAGACAATGATGCGCCCGGGATTATGACGCGCGATGTGACATCGCACGATCCCAGTGCGCGCACAACGCGCGCGACGACTCACCTCGCAGATTTGACCCGTACAGAAACCAGTTCCTCGATCGAACCAGTCATTATCTCTCAGTTCGTAAACCTTTACTCGTTTGCGACCGTCGGGCGGCTGTACTTCCAGCGCCATGATCTGGCAGCAACGGGAAGAGGCGTCCCGTCACTCCGGGCCTGATAAGAGTGCACCGGCGCGAGAGGAGAGTTGGAAGGTTGGGGGAAAAAAGGAATGAAGAAAATAAAAGGTTTATTTGAGGATTGTGTAGCTTTCTCGAAGGATTAGAAGGGACGGGAAGAGGGAATGGAGGTGGAGATCCCAAGGATGATGAAAGAGTCTGCGGAGGGGATGACGATCGGGGATCAGGTCCACCTGACGGCCTCGGCAGGTACTTGGTGGGATTTGGAGTTCCGTTTCCCCTTAAGCCTTTGACATAAGATAAAGTAAGCTTCTGTGTAGAAGAAGAGAATCTGTCGGAGAAGAAAGTGGGAACTTTCCAGAAATCAGGCTACGGTCTCTCTCTTGACATCTCTTAGGTACCTAAGGTACCTATAACCACGTCCAACTATCATCTATTTTTAAGTATGTACGAACTATGTTACCCATGATGTGCACATACGGCAGAAATATGCTATCTTCAGGAATGTAAGCATGCTAAAAATTTAGACTATTTTATTGTCATTTTGGTGTTCATCTGTGATCGGCAGAAGAGCTGGGCCCTGGGGAACTTCTTTCTCTCAGGGGTCTCCCGATCGCATCAGTCTATGTGTCCATACTCCATACTCCATAACAAGAGTGTTCAGCAACACATACCTCTCATGTCGACCTCTGATGTCACTCTATATGAGTTTTAAGATTCCATCTACCAATCTATAAAAGCTATAAATATTCTCTGCATATCGAACTTAACGCATGGATCTCCACATAACCTTAGAACAAGCTGCCAGAGAGGGTACCTAAAATATACTTCCATTTATGCGGGAATATCACCCAACTCCAAAGTACCCATCATGTACCGCCGCCTGGCCTTCAAGCTGCTGACTCAAGGGACCAGGCGGACGGGCAGTTCCGCAGCACAGACCCTCACCGCCCCCACCATCTTTGCGCTTATTGGCTGTCCACAATAGCATGGCAGATTCTTATCGCAGATTTACCCGATGGGGAAAGGTTCCAGACGCCTTTTTCCTACGTTCTGTAGAAAATTTGCTTCCTCTTACCACTCGTCACCCCAACGATCAAACCGATATTCGAGCGACTTCGGGAGTTTTGCGCTCGTTTCAGGTTTATAAAGCTCCCTTTGACTGTCAAGTACATTCAGATCTAATCGCAATTTGCAACTGGTTTGCCATCTGCACCACACGAGGACAACCCCGCTTTTCAAGCTTGCTGCGCGACGTTACACCCATGTCTGAATTCAAGGAGCAGGTTACCGTCCAGTCTTCTGGTATCGGCAAATACAATGATGGTCATGTCGGCTCTTCTACGAATTCGCTGCCCAAAGATGCTGTAGTGGCGGGGGCGCAGAGCTCTTCGCAGGCGGACGACTCGGAGCGCCCCGTGCAGCCGGCGGATCTAGTTGACGAGCAGAAAAAAGGGTCCTTCGCCTACTTCAGGACCAAGGAGTTCTATATCACTGTGATTCTAGGGTAAGTACCATATAACTAATTGCCGAAACCTGAAAGTGCCAAAACTAATCTGCTACTCGCAGTCAAATTCTCGCCATTGCCAATACCTCAACCGGTACCTTCACCACCCTACTCGGTCTTGAGCATTGGGCGGTTCCTGCCTTCCAGACCTTCCTAAATTATGTTCTCCTAAACGCTATTTTCACTCCTTATACGATGTACCGTTACGGCATGAAAGGCTGGCTCCGAATGGTGTACCGTGACGGCTGGAAATGTATGCTTCCCTCGATATATCCCATACTTTCGAGAACTCCCACTAACAACCAACAGACATCATTCTCGCCTTCTGCGATGTGGAAGGCAACTACTTCATCGTGCTGGCCTACCAATACACAACCATGCTAAGCGCGCAACTGATCAACTTCTGGGCCATCGTCGTAGTCGTCGTCCTCTCCTTCCTCTTCCTCCGCGTGCGCTACCACATCACCCAGGTGATAGGTATCATCATCTGCATCGGCGGCATGGGCGTCCTCATTGCCTCGGACCACATCACCGGCACAAACGGCGGCGACGTCTCCTCCGGCAACCAGCTAAAGGGCGATCTGTTCGCGTTGCTGGGAGCGTCATTCTACGGCCTCACCAACACGGGCGAAGAATACTTCGTCAGCACCCGGCCCGTGTACGAGGTGCTGGGCCAGATGTCTTTCTTCGGAATGATCATCAACGGCGTCCAAGCTGGCATCTTCGACCGCGCCTCTTTCCAGGCTGCGCACTGGAATGGCAAGGTTGGCGGATATCTTACCGGCTACACGCTCTGTCTGAGTCTGTTCTACTGTCTTGCGCCGCTGCTCTTCCGTCTTTCCTCGGCTGCCTTCTTCAATGTCTCCATGCTCACGATGAATTTCTGGGGTGTCATCATCGGCGTCGAGGTCTTCCATTATCAGATCCATTGGATGTACCCGATTGCCTTTGTCGCCATCATTATCGGTCAGCTCATCTACTTCCTCGCTCAGAAGGTCCTGAGTGAAGCTCGCAAACCTTGGCTTGGGACTAACCAGGAACGTGGTGTCGTTGGTCTTTTCACTGCGAAGAGGAAGATCGTGCATGCTATCCCTGAGGCGGAATACCGTGATCAGACGGATCATATCCCTGCAGCAAATACCAGCTCTGTCTAACCTGTCCTGGTGAAATACCCTTCCTGATGCCACGGCGCCTTGATGCACATCCCGGGTTGTCATTGACGGAGGCCAATCCAGTTGAGAAAGACAATTCTGTGTTGCCGTGATCCTTCCTACTGTGGTGCTTAACTGGGGTTGACTTTGGACCCGGAGAGGTGGGAGAAATTGTTTGCGCGCTTTTCATGCATGTCATAATGCTTAATTTATGTTGACTGGGAGTTCTATAGACTATCAGTGATCTTGCTTGAATCAAAATTATATTACGAGTCATCCCATGCAACCTACCACTTCCAAGTCTATAACCATAGAAGACTAGTACCTGATAGTCTGGTCCTCGTGTGGTGAAGCATGAAAGCACCACACCCCGGAGATACCTGAGAAGGTTACAGTGTCCATATAAGTTACTAGAACAGATTATGAAGGAATGAACGAGCCATAACCTAAGTCAATAGATATAGGTACCTATGGACACAGCATCCCTTTCTCTCCCGTCGTATTCCAAAGCAGATCCCAAAGACCAAAGAGAACGAACTCAACGAGATACAACCAGGTAAAACCAACACCATCAAATCTCCAAATCTTGTTACAGCACGACAGCATCACCCATAACCATTAAGTAGGTAAGATCCAGTCCCAAAATCAAAAGAAAACACCCGTTTTGAGCCTCGGTTCGCCTCCCCATCCTCTCCGAGATAGTAAAACAGGCAGATCAGTGACCAGAACTATGTAGAAAAGAAATGAAAATGAAAGTAAACAGTGTCCAAATTTCCCGTACCACCCAACAAGAAAGATAAATGGTAAGCACAAAAAGAACCCGACATGAAAAACACCGAAAAATGTCCATACATAGTCCCACGAGCATCACAGATAAAGCGCCGTATTTCCGACCATATTTCCGACCATATTCGCGCGGGCACAGAGAAAACAAAAAAGAAGTCCGAGACCAAAAGCAAATCACATACTGGCACACCGACCTAGAGAGAGTAAGGCATCATATCATCCAGAGATGTGAAGATGATTTCCCTTTTCCCATAGTCGCCAGCCAGCCCAAACCCCCAGAATGAACAGATTAAGAAGCGCAAGAAATAGACATCAAACCGGGTCGAGCGCCGGACGGACGGAAGCAGGAGTCCTGTATCCATCGGTCTCATATATGTCGCGCGTCAAAGTCCGTGTTTTCAAACCAATGGAAGCCGTCTTTTGTACTTTTCACAACGCCACACAAGCAAGAAAACCCCCAAGTCCAATATGCAACGAGCGCCCACTTCAAGTAATGCCATCAAAATCAAAAGAGTTTGTCTAGCCCCAAACAGACGCTTGCACGCCGAGACCGCTCTTGGAGCTCCAGACACCGTTGCCGTTGCTCCAGCCGAGGCCTACACCGCCAGCAGAATCCTTGGCGCCAGGGGCACCAGCTGCAGAGGTTGCAGGGGGCGTGGGTCCGGCCGAGGAGGTGCGCTCGGTAGGGACTCCAGCGGCGGATTCAGCAGGTGTGAAGCCGAGTCCGAGGGGCGACGGGAGAGGGGTGATGGAGCGCTGTTTCAAGGCCGGGTTGGAGGGAGGTGCAGAGGTCTGGCCGGGGGTCGGGCGGGAACCGATGGGACCAACAGAGCCGATGGGGCCGGACGACTTGGCCGGGGCCTGGCGCGAGGAGGGCGAGTCAGCATCGGGCGACGAGGCGGAGGTTGGGGGCTGCTCGGTGAAGCCGGCGTTCATGGCGGAGCTGGGCGACGAGGTGCTGTTGGCACGCGGGGGAGACTGCAAGCCAGTGGTGGCATCGGCGTTAGCGGTCGCGCCCTGTGTCAGGCCGAATGGGTCGACGCCTCGCGGGGAGGATCCACGAACACCGGACGAGGGGGTGCCGCCGCCGGTTTGGCTATCCGCGCGCGAGTTATCGTCGGAAAAGGCACCGGGCGGGAAGAAGGCTGGGCTTTCGTTGCCGTACAGGGCGCGGTGCTGACGGGCGAGGAGTTCACGGCGGCTGTCCTCGCTCACGGCGGCTGGGCTGGTCGAACGGTCGGATTTGGATGCAGACATCTCGGCGAGGAGGCCTTGAAAGAAAGAAAAAAAAGTATTAAAACCCCGTGTTCAAAGAAAAATGGAAAAGCCAAACCAATATATTACACAGGCCAACGGATACATAGATGCAGAGAAGTAGCAAAAAAAAAGGGAACGAAAGCCAACGGGGGAATATAGCGAGGGCTCAGAAAGAAGAAAAAAGACAGAGGCTACCACGTACTTCGGTTGTACTGCTGCTCCTGGTGATAGTTGCGGAGCTCCCTCTCCCGCTGTGCTGCCATCCGACGCTTCGCCTGCATCATCTGTTCCACCTCGTTGGGACGACCCTGGTAGCGTTGGGAGGCGTAGAATCCCTGGGCGTTGCCAGCCGGGGGCATTCGGTTGCCATCGAATTCGCTGATCGAATGGTGTCGCTGAGGGCCACCACCCATACGAGGGTCTGTCAAGAGACAAGTCAGAAACGCGTTCTGGGTGCCATCCGTGCCCGCAACATACCGTAGTCGGGGTAGGGCCGGCCCATCATCATGGGCATCGAATCCCGCCGAGGAGCATTCCACAGCTTCCCGCTCTTAACGAGATTGTCGATCGCACGATCAACCTCTGCAAAAAAAATTACAAGGATCAGCACTTGTCCAGAATATTTTGAAGCCTCCACAACCCTCCAAACCACCAGATTTGTATCGGGCCATATGTAATTCGGGTTCGGAAAAGCAAGTATAGGGGTCGAGGAAGTGTCTCCGTACCGTCAAATTGGGTGGAAAAGGCCGGAATATCTTCGCGTTGAGAGACCGAGCTGGATCCTTTATCACAAGTTAATGTTTGCTCCGGCTTCCTCGGTGTGAATGCCGTACCTGACCGGGAAGGAGGCGCCGGTTGCTCCCAAGAAGCCTGGCGCGCAGCGGGTGCTTGCCATCCCTGAGGTTCGTAGTACGAAGACATTGTTGAGATCAAAAGACCGAGGGTGCGACAATTCCGAGGGGGCGAGGGAGTGATCCGGACAGAGGCGATCTGTCGTGAGAAAAAAAATGTGAGCTCGATCCACAACACACGGACAGTTCTCCGGGTTTCGACAATATTGAAACAAGAGACTGAATTTTAACACAGAATTCACAATCTTGAAACGGTGGTTTTGAAGTTATCTTTTTTTCTTTGCGCTCTCTGAATATTTTATCTTTCTCATCTTTCTCAACGGGGCAGAGAATTCCAATTGGTTATGGAAACGAGAGAGAAAAAAAAGGGTGTTCAAGTCGTAACACTTACAGGAGAGAAGACCTCGGGATATAACGAGTCTACCACGAGTCAACGAGGCAGGGAGTCCAAATGATGAGGGATGAAAAAGAGGGAAAAGGAGAGAGGGTCCGATATGGGGGTGTGGGTGTGTATTACCTTATGGAGGGGAGGAGGGGGGTTTAATTGTAAGGGAAATATACGGAAAATAGGAGACTTTTTCTCTTTTTTTATTCAAACAGGTAACTAACTAACAACTGTAGGACAAGTTAATCAAGTTACTTTCCTGCTTTTGCTTTGCTTTTGTTGTTTTACCTATTACGCAGTAGAATCTCACATACTAGTTAGTTATCTCCCCCCAACCCATAGTTAGTTAGTTGTGATCGCTTTCTTTTCAATTCTACTTTTCTTCTTTTTCTGTACCTCGACTCTCCACGGCAATTCCCGGCAACCCAAGCGCTCTAATTCGTCACTGATGGGGCCGGTCACCGGAGATTGGACGGGGCCACGGGGAAGTGTCTAAGCGTTGAGCTCCCCCTCGTGTCTTGATTATCGATCTCTAGTTAGTTAGTTATTTACTACACATTATTACTCACGATGCTTCATACTTTGTAGGCTTTACAGACATTTAATGGTCCAGATCTTGGAAACTTGGCCATTTCCCCACTTAAAACGGGCCATTGACATTGTTCGCTTTAGCATTATCCGATGTACTATGTTGTAGTAGGTACTGTTGTAGTACTTCTATTTTTTCTACTGTGTATACTCCCCCAGTACCCGAGATTCCTTCACTTGGTCACATAACCCGGGCTAAAGGAACGAATTCCTTCGGCTTAACAGACGATGATACCAAACCTTGGAACATGCAAAAGACTCTGCAATCGCATGCAGTCAGCCTGCCAAGAATCCTTTGCCTCTGGACGCCATCGGTGGCTGCAAGTGAACAGTTTAGTCATATATGGAATGTGATCTGCAGCTTCATGTACGGTGATGTACAGTGATCCGAATCAAATGCATACAATAGACACCTCTAGCGCGCTGCAGCTGAGCCTGATCGACTACCGAGAGCCTCGTGGAGGCGAACGGCAACAAGTTTGACGGGTTTTTCCTGGAATGCTCTACCGACATTTAGCTTGAAAGACTAAACCTGCATCTAAGAGCAGATGCGATGCATGAGTAACATCGTTGCTTCCAGAATACAGTTCAAACAGTGCTATGACCAGCTCGGTCAATCCATTCAGGAAAGGTCGGACAACCCCCGGCCGTCAGTTTATATTCTTCCGCAAGGTCCGCGCCCTCTACCTATGGATTGGCCACATGTCCATGTACTTCAATGTACATATCCGGCTCAACGGACCAGTCAGCAACCCGAGTCCCTCCCGCATATACGATGTGCATGAGAATATTTTTCAGCGTTTGTCGGAGTGAATCAACTTCATTGAAGATAGGAGCTGCCGAGGTACGCAGATATGAAAGTCGAAGATATACTTGCCTTCTATACATACCTATTTCCGTTGCCCGAGCGTCGGCTCCCTCAAACCTTACGACTCTACACAATCGTGTCTGCCCATAGCAATAGAGCGGAAAGGCACAGTATCAGCACACCCCCTTAAACACATCGGAGGTGTATCACTAGCACGATACAGCTGAACGTCCCACCCTCGTTACCTCCAGGGCCTCGATCGTGATAACTCCCCCTCGTCATACATTGTGTTTGGCCAAATCAGGTCGTAGTGTGACTATTTGAGTGCCCGATCTTTGGGAGTGAGGTCATGGTGTAGGCCAGACTCGGAGCTTTCTCCACGTTTGTCCAACACCAGATCCCAATCCTCCATATAAAAGAAGGTTGACAAAAGAGCGCTGCCAAAAAAGAAGCCCGCCATCCCTGGTCAGGTGATATCCTGCCCTGGCAAACAAAGGACACCAACTAGCTGAACCTGGGCCACCCACGGATATAGACGGCCCAACCGCTATGACCCCACAAGCTTCGTCTCGTCAAGCCTCATCGGACTCGAGGAGCCACCGTTCCAAAGAATGAAGCATGGCGGGTCCATTGGGCTTGGTATGGACAAAGAACCATTTTATGGAATGTCTTCGCCACGGAGGATATAGCGAAGCTCAGGCTTTTCATCAGGGTGAGAGGAAAGAGACAGTCGATGTACTGTGCAGTGTGTATCGATAACCAAAGTCAAGGGTGATAATTCTGCCTGAGGCCACCAGGGATTAGGTTTACAACGTCGCACGTGCAAGGACTGCCGATCGCGGGGAGAACTTGAGAAAGATCCTCAGGAGAGAAAAGGAGAGTTGGGATTATATACTTCGTTATATTGAAGAGAATAGTATATCGAGTACCCTGTACCCAGGCAATTCACATGTGACAACAACGTTCACCATAACTTGCTGTCTGTCGTCATGGTACCTGCATGAATGCATAGCTCGGTGATACTGCGGGCACTCCAACGCCCTACGCAGTACCTTGTCAGTTTTGGCTTTTGGCTTCTCAATAGAGAAAATGAAGAAAGATTAGTAAAAGATAAGTGAGAGAGAGAATCCATAGTGTCTAACTAAAGACAAAGGGCAGAAGTCAGCCCCTGATTGCCATAAGAAAAGAGGAGAGCTACTTCTTCAATACACAGTAGTCTCTATCGCGGGACTTGGAGGCTGTTCTGCAGAAACGGAATTGTGAATTCGCCTTCACTCAAGACTTCCAACTCTTTCCTGGTACCTACCGTGGTAGGATTCCCCTGATATTTGTCTATAACAATCGTTGTCGTGGAAAGATTGGAGTTCTTCAAGAGGGGAGAAACGGTCGGCAGTGTCTTTACCGCCGACAGGGGCTGACCTTCGACTTCACAACCTCTCTCTCTCGAGTTCCCCTCTCTGGCTACACTTCCCTTTTTCTCATACAACCGGAACCCAGGCTGGTTCCTACGAATTCGCCTTGAAGGGACGGAACTGCATGATCCGTCGGTCTCATTTTCCCTTTGGTTTGGTTTCTTTGACTCAGTCCTCGACTCGGACTCTCTCTTCAGACTCGTCTTTTTTTCTTTTCTTCTCGTGTCTTACTTTTACTCTCCTGGTTGAGGCATTGTTCTTTTTTACGTCTAATATTTCCATTTTCACTGGTCCCGAGTGACCTGCGAGGTAAAAAAAAATTCCAGCTTTTCGCGACTTTGGTCGAGGGCGATTTAAAGTCTTCCACCACGATCTGCTTCCGCCGCCTCTCACACATCACCGAACTCTTGACGTGTTGCACACGTGCATATCCACCTCATCCGAACATATCGATCGTACACAGAATCCTATCCGTTTGGTGAATTTCAACTGAGCAAAAACCGAGGGGGTCATATTGTGTGTGTGGTGTGTGGGTGTGGATTCTCTTATTCTTTGCCGAGCCCACGAACGGAAGGGCCACGACGGTGCCAGAGCTGCGAATTGCTATATGGTCGCAAAATTCGATGGGAATGCAAAGTATTCCCACCACGGTGACGTCGCCTCGATAGCGTCGGTGCAGCCCTCCACGATGGCATGGAAGCCGCAATCCGACGTGCCGCGATCCGCCATGCCGGAGTCCGCAGCTCGGCCTCCGTTGACTACGCACCAGTCGAATTCCCTACCCTCAACCCCATATCAGCATGCGCGCAACTTTTCTTTTCACTCCCGGTCGCCGTCCCCCGCCCGCGGAAGCATTTCGCCTCGATCCACACATTCTGAGGCGACACATTTTCCCGCCCTCGCCCGAAAACCGCTCGGAGGGTGTAAATATGAGACCGCCATGGCATATTTTCGACGTCGAATACCGTACAGTTTGGGCGCAGATATACTACCGGAGGAGAAGGGGCCATTGAAGGAGAAACTCGATCCGGAAGAGGAGAAAAAATTGACGGCTGACATCATGGACCTGTACGATCGGTTGTTACCATCTGCAGAGAGTGACGATCGAAGGCGACAGCTCATTCGGAAATTGGAGAAACTTTTCAATGACCAATGGCCCGGCCACAACATCAAGGCGAATATTTTTGGCTCCTCGGGGAATAAGCTTTGTTCTAGTGACTCGGATGGTAGGTGTCCTCTTCCCGGACAGGATTAAACGGCGGGCGAACAAAGTACTGACTTGAGGCAGTGGACATTTGCATCACGACCGACTATAAGGAATTGGAGCATGTGTGTTTGTTAGCCGAGGTATTGGCTAGACGTAAGACAGCCCGTTGAGATCGCCTGACTGAATAACTGACCGACCTGAACAGATGGGATGGAACGAGTTGTGTGTGTATCGCATGCGAAGGTCCCCATCGTGAAGATTTGGGACCCCGAGCTCCGGTTGGCCTGCGACATGAATGTCAATAACACCTTGGCATTGGAGAATACTCGGATGATCCGAACCTACGTTGAGGTGGATGAACGAGTACGCCCATTGGCGATGGCCATAAAGCATTGGACGAAACGGCGGAATCTGAATGATGCAGCACTTGGAGGGACGTTAAGTTCTTATACCTGGATCTGTCTGATTATTAGCTTCCTGCAGTTGAGAGACCCTCCCATTCTCCCGAGTTTGCAAGCCCGTCCGCACAAAAAGCGAACAACACCTGATGGTGTGGTTTGTTCGTTTGACGATGATCTTAAGACCCTGTCTCAATTTGGCCGCAAGAACAAGCAATCAGTTGGCGAGTTGCTGTTTCAATTCTTCCGGTACTATGGCCATGAGATCGATTATGAGAATAATGTCATTTCGGTAAGGGACGGCACTCTGATCGACAAAGAGGCCAAGGGGTGGCACCTGCAACTGAATAACCGCCTCTGCGTGGAGGAGCCGTTCAACACGTTCAGAAACCTGGGTAACACGGCTGATGACACGTCGTTCCGCGGGTTACATCTGGAATTGCGAAGGGCTTTCAAGTACATTGCAAATGGCGATTTAGCACAGTGTTGTGAGCAGTTCGAGTTCCCACCAGAAGAGGAGCGGACTTGGGAGAGACCGCCACCCCAGCCGCGTCCAACTCTCACCCCCTCCGTTCCATCACGGGGTGGACGGGGAGTGAACCGGGGAGGCCGATCTAACCAGTTCTCTCGCGGTGGGCTTGCTGGTGGTCGACGACAGTCAAACACCGGGAACAAAGGGAATTTCCGACTGCCAAACACTGGCAATGCATCAGATATCTCTCTGCATGCACAGCAGCAAGCCCAGTACCTCCTGCATGATCAGCTATACCAACAGATTCAGCTTTTGCAGGCGCAGGAGCAAGAATTGCGGATGCAATTGCACAACCAGGCGTTGATCACTGGGAGGCCGCCACCGATGTTCATTCGTCAGCCTTTCATTCAGTTCCCTGTTCCCCAGCAGCAAGAGTTTCCAGAAGAGACCTCTCGGCCAAGATCAGGAACAGGATCAGGCAGTCAGGCAACACTCAGCCCGACACTACGACACCAAACGATCTATAATCCGACTTATGCTTCAGTGGGTGCAGCTGGGTCGCAAGCAGCCACCACTAGTCCTTCCTCGCCCTCGGCTAGTAGTGTTCTGCCTGATACTCGTCGTAACTCTCGGCGATTGTCGACTGTCACCGGATCTCCGAGGTCTCTGCGAGCGCATTCACAGCCTGCAAGGCCTCAAGGCTCACCTCTTCCTACCTATATTCCCCTCTATCCCATGGCGCCACCAACGGAGAATTGGTCAAACCAAAGGCCGACTATCGAGTCATCAGAAGGCGGGGAAGGAAGTGGGGATGAGAATGCAATGCGGTCCAACAGTCTTGCCAGCAATGGATCCCTATCGAATTCTGCGGATGAGAATCGGCCACAAGATGTTTTGGGTTATTACATAACTCCTCAGCAACTCCAAGCCTTCCAGCAGGGCGCTATGCTCCCGCCGTTGTCCACGCAGATGGGTTTGGTCTCGAATGGATATTCGTTCATCCCATTTCAACCAGACTACCGCCAGGGATCCTTCTCGTCGGAAACGGCTCGCTCTGAGAATACCACAGCCTCCAAGCCTCCGGCCCAAATGGCTCAATCCGCTCCGCGTCCAATTGCACCCGGTCCGTTGATTGTTGATGGCTCAGTGCGCCCGAGTGAGCCTCGCTCATCATATCCGCCCGACTTGTTCGACCCTTATTCTACGCTCAGTCATTATACGTCCTCGGAAGACCACAATCTGAACACACCTGCAAGCTTCTCCGACTCATTGTCTCAAGGTTACCAGGACTCTGGGTCTTTTGACTTGGAGAATTCGGCTACCTTCACACGGCCGTCTATGGAGAATCCAAAGTCGGACGCCCCAGGTACCGAAAATCAGTCAGATGCGAACGGGCAAAGTGAGCTTCTCGCTAGTCGGCTTCAGAACTATCATCTGTCGAATTCCGAGAAGCTTGTGCAGCATCCCGCGAAGACAAGTCCAGATCGACCAAAAAATGGCATGGCACAAGGAACGGCAAAGGAGACCGGTCACTCTAAGAACTCGGCACAGACGGGTGATAAGCCTGCTGCCTCCGGGCTGAACGAGAACCGACATCAACCGAACAACACAAAGCGGCGGACGAATGGTGACCATTCTGACAAGACGAACGGTGTCAATGGCAAGAGCAAGTCGAAAGGCCAAGGCCGACAGGATGCCTCTCATAACGGTGGCCCAGCCAAGAATCAACACCCCGAACCCTCGCGGCGATCAAACGGGCAGACTAACGGTGCAAACGACAGCAGCCATGGATGGCAAACGACTAAGAAGAAGAGCCGCAAAAACACCAAATCAACGGAGCCTCGACACATCAATGGTGGTCCCGAGCTCATTCCAGCTGACGACTCTTTGCGAAAGGGAGGCTGATTTGCACGTGTTGCGCCGTGAAATCATGTCCCTTCAATGACCTTGAGCAGCCAGCAATACTCACGCCCAAGTGCTGAAACCATAGCTTGTTCCCTGTCCAGGCGAAATCTCAACGAAATCACGCTTCCCTGATATACGTTCAATTCACATTCTTGCTTTTCTTTTCATTTCACTTTTATCATTCCCCTATTCTTCTATGAATCAGGGTCTATTTGCATGCATTGTTGGCATCGGGGAGGGGAATTGGCCGGTTCATCTTTTAAGGGAAACGCACCGAGACGATTTCTTTCCAGCTGTTTGGAGTTCTTTGTATTCAATGGTTAGACCGGGTTGTCTTTTTCAACTTTCTTACGATGCCAAATTTCTTTCTTTTTTTTTTCCTCGGTCATGGTTCTGTACAAAAGAGAAAGAGATTAAGTTGTCTTGCCAATGAGAAACAAACCAAAATATTCCGAAAATGCTCCTTTTCTTTCATGTACTGACTACTGACTCCACTAATCCCTTCTAGCTTGTCTTCGACTCTCTCCTTGTTCCAAGTTCTAACTCGTTCTCATCTTAGTCTGCTGCAGCTGTTGAATGGCTTCTTCGGCATCAGACTATGAAAAGAAACAAAGACGACAAAGAACAAAGGGATGATGAACTCACTACACTCGAGTATTTACTTCCTCTGAACCCTTCTTCATCCTCATCACCATCTATCTATCTATCTCCCGGGCACTCCTGCACAAATCACTAGCCCTCAGATCGAAGCCACTTCATATAGGTCTCTATCAACCCTAATCTCGCAAACCACAACCCTCAACACATCCGAAACAAGACCTCCAACCACCCAACCCAATCACCAAAGAATAATATAACAAACGAAACAATGTTCACCCTCCTCCTAAAACTCCTCCTCCCAACCTTCCTATACCTCTACTACAGTTTCTTCCTCACCTACGCCTTAATAACGAGCACCAGCAGCATAATCACCTTCATCTACGACTGTTCCAGTTCCTGTCTGCATACCGTCACCTCACTCTTCCTTCCCGATACTTGGTCCGGCTACGTGTATGGATTCCCGGACTTGCCGTGGCTAGGTCGTGCGACGCCGACGCCCATCATGCCTGGTTTCTCGGTTTTCTCGTTTGCGTTTGTGTTCGCAGCTTTGGGGATTCAGCTTTGTTGGGATTTGTTTTAGGATTTTGTTTTTACCTATGTAGTGGATTTCCTCTGCGACTTCTTGGCTTGCCCCTTCCGTTTTAGTGCTCGGACCTTGCCGTTTTTTGCTCACTGAGTAGAACTGAGCACGCCTCTGAGCGGCCTGACCTGATCAGGGAATTGCTAAGGACACCCCAACTTTTTGATACATAGTGTAGTGGGAGAACTGCGCCATCGTGCCGAGATTAGCGGTGTACGGATTACTCAGCATTTGTGATATGGATAAAAGGCTTCATCGCATGGATAGGACAATCAGACACACTTGTCCTCTTCTAGACCACCCCTGTGTTCTCCTCTCCTGTAGTCCCACTACTCCCAGTGGCGGACCTGGTTCGCAGACAGGTTTGCGTTTCTCGCTCTTCAATAGTTAACTAACTATTTGGGGTGCCGTTGGGAATTGCTAAGGACACCGGGGGTTCCGCCCAGCAAAAAGTTGGGGTGCCGTGTGCCAATTCCCCCGACTTATACAGATAACGTTAACGCTAGTCCAGGGGGGTTAGCGCCCGCTGTCATGTGCGGTTAGCGCCCCACATCTGCAGATTCCCACGCACACTTATCTTAGAAAAGACTATGTGTCAGACTGGGATACACTGGGATAAGGCCTCCCTAGGCCATAAACAGGAACCTTGGTTTTTGATGTGGTCTAGTGGTAATTAATTCCCATACTATGTCACTATGATCTGCTTTCTTTACGCATATTTATACGAATCTGCAGTACGTGGTGTTGATTGCCATGAGTGTGCCATTTTTCGCGGAAAAAGGACGCGTTGCCAACCAAGGAGATATACCGGTGCCCGCTCTTTCACACTTCGCCTCTGCTCTCAATCCGTTTTCTTCTTCATACCCAGCCCCACTCCCCTTACTCCTCTCTTCCTTCAGCTTCCACAACTTCCATTTTGCCCTACACCATGGGTCCCCTGTCCGACGACGACGGCCGAGCGGCGAATCGTGCCTCCCTGAGGGTTAAGTACAAGAAAGCTGTCATGAACCTCATCGAGGCACTCATGTCCGACCCGAAGCCCAAGTACCGGAGCGATGATCTCATGAAACTCCGAGTGACTCTTGGATCATTTAATCCTGTGGATCAGGAGTTCCTCACCTCGAATATCTGCCTGTTCAAACCCATGTCTTCTAAGCAGATCAAGGGATATTCTTTGGACATGTCGAGGCAACATGAAGGCCATCGCGACTTATGCAACAACTATGACAAGGTGGACAAAACTACGACGGATGGCCTGGGCCGTCCCCTTCGCAGTTGGGAGATTATGGAGCGCCAAGTAGTTACCACTTTTCGCTACCTGAACCTACACTTCGAGAGTTCATACAAGGAGACCAAGCGCTACCCCGAATCTCTTGCTAAAAGCGCAAACTGGTACCCCTTTAGGGAGGGCAATCCATTTGGAGATCTGCCCCGGGGGCTACTCGTGGGCCGCCTCTTGACAAACCAGATCCCGCAGTGGAGGGTCAGGGGTCGTTACGAGTGGCAATCGAACTACCGTAAACCAGAAACGTTACTCCCGCACATGATGCTCGTTATGTACACTGGTGAAGATGCTATCGAAGGGGAACTGCTTTTCTGCGAGCTTGGATGTATTGCGCAGGTGATCTACAACCGTTTACAACAGAAGGAGTTCGAGAACACCTCGCTCTTCCCGGTATGATATCACAACTCCTACTGGTCTTTGGCATGTATACTAACCCAGTACGCTTTTCAATCCTATAGGTGTTGCTCATCTCGCTATTTGGGCCGCGACGCGGACGTCTCGTGCAGGCTAAATTCAACAAGTCTGGTGTCTTGAAAGTCAGGGCGTCGCCTATCTACAGCTTCATGAGCAAGGCCAAGGCACCTTGGGACCTTTTCTTACGCTACCATGCCTGTGAGCCTCGCGATGGGCCAGAGATAGAATTTGGTGATGATGAGTAGGAGGAGGAGGGTCTCCCCGCAGACGCCCGAGTATGGCAGTATGTACAAACCGAGTCCAGTGTATATTACGCATAGTGACTCGGATTTTGCACATCCACGTACATACTGTAGTGGGGAGGTGTGACCTCCCCCTACAGGCATGCTTTCCCTGTCCACTCCCTTGATTTCCACGTGAGCGTTTCTTACGTCAGCAGTTATGAGCTGGTGGTATAGTCACGAGGTAGCCTTTAGTAGCAACACACACTCCTACACATCTCTGATTTCTCTTCTTGTGCGCAAGCGCCCAACCTCTTTGTTCCTCTAGTTCGATGCTATGCTAGGTGGTATCTGCTGAATCGACCCGTGTGCCTCAGAGCACACAGCCTTCGAGCGTTCCCCTCTTCAATACCTAGAACGTACGTACTGAAATGGGAAGAGCGCGAAGGCGGTCTGACATCGCAGACAGGACGATGGGAGGACTGCAGCCCAGGAGACAGTAGCAGGGACGTCCTATGACCTACAGAGAGCCGACGAGAACCATACTGGAAAACCGAGAAAGAGGCAAAAGATGTGTATTCTGTGTCCGATCTGTCTGTGGCTGTGCCCCTTCTTAAGGAGAATGAGCGGTGAGCGTAGCGCAGGCCTAAGGCATCATTCCTGGAGGTGGCGCATTTCTCCCACTACAATACCTAGAAATTACTGGAAATTTGAAGATGTATGCAAATAACTCATTTCATCATTTGCGCAATTATTCTTCACCAGCTATATACGCATTTTGGAGCACCTTCCCAAGCTTGGCCTTTCTTCGCTCGTTTCAGTTGCCGGGTTTGGGCTTCAGCGAATCCAGAAGGCTACTCTTTGGCATACCCAGTTCCAAAAAGTCATCTATCTCATCATCCAGTCTTTCCAAGAAGCTCTCCTTGTTCCAAATCGGTTTCCATCCGACAAGATCCTTTTTCTCGCACAGTACTTTGGGACTTGGTTCTCGGCCATCAGTATAGTGACTCTATCATATTATAGACCGCATGCCAACTTACCTAGAATTCCACATACTATAAGCGAATTTAACCGGAACGCCCACGGACTCAGCCGCCATCTCATCGGAGGGCCACGTTTTAGTTGATGCTGATGTGACCAGACCACGAGAATGTAATCTCGCCGCAAGCCGGTCCAAAATTTCCCACCATGGCACGACATGTGAGACGAGGAAATAGTAACCATCTTCGCCGGTTGGGAGCTGCTCACCTCGAAGAATTGCCTCGAGGAGTTGAGCATAAAACCCTGCTACGTCTGATATATGCGCTAAGGTCGCGATCTGTCCCAGGTGCACGATTAATTTTTGTCAGAGGCTTACGCTCTATTGCATTTGATAGAAACTTACTCGATTTTCGGCAAATCTGTAGACCTGCTCGTATTTGATGCTAGCTTTGACAAGGGCTGGTATCCGTGGCGAGAGCTGGTTCCATGTTCCAGAACCTCTTCCGTCTAATGCATTGTTAGCAGGTACTGAGAAACAAAATAAATCCTTCCGGATCCTCGATGACGTACGAATGGTCGGTGGGAATATCAAGAACCCGGTCACGCCGGCCGCTTTCAGTTGTTGAACGACAAAAGTGTCGACTTGTCGAACGATGTACGTGTCTGCAGACTTTCTTTCGAGGTCATAAACTGGATCTGTGTCTTTCACTTCTCCGAATGGCCAATTCGTGTTCTCGTCGAATGCAGATAGCCCGGTCGTCTGTATGAAATGGTTAATGCTGAGAATGATAATGAAGGACCGCGGACTCACGTGAACGTAGTAAGATTCTTTTCCCGTAGCCTCACGCTGCTCTTTCAGGGCCACTATGAGGTTCAGCGCGACATTCGGATCTATCGAAGTTGCATTGTTGATAACCAGATCAACTAAGTCCGGAGATAATCAGCAAATCTAGCCGGTCATGAAATCACAGAGATCCGAGACATTGATGGGGAGGGTAGACGGACTGTCATTTGAAAGTACATAATTTACCACAGCAGACTTATCACCGAGATCTAATTGTGCGATGCGAATATCCCGTTCCGAGAAACTCTCAGCTTGTTCTTGGGAGCGCACCGCAGCATGAATCTGCACGGCCTTCGCAAATTCACTTTTGCGGCTCCAAATTTCTGTAACAATAGACCCTCCGCTACATAAGAACTAGGTTAGTATTCATTTTCTTTAGAGGAAGATGTTCCACGTACATGTAGCCGGAAGCACCAGTGATGAGAATATTTGCACACATGTTAGGGATGGGAAAGGCTGGGGACAAACGGAATCGGTTGCTCATGCATTCATGTTGATACTTGGAGAGCTTTTATATTGCAGGTGGTGACGGCATAATCGGAGTTAGCGGATTTAATTCATTTACGCCCGCGGGCCGCTCCCAGTCCTGGCGAGCATCCTGATCTCGGAAGCGCATCTGGGCCAGCCGGAGCCCGGAAGCTTTCCGGGGAGGGGGTTGAACAAACGAGCCAGAATAACAGATCCCATTCTAAAGATCGGCCTTTGCTAACAGCCTAACAAGGAAACCCAATATTCTTGTTGTAGTTATGATTCCGTTGCCAAGCTTCTAATTGGGAAATAACTAGGGGATACCCAGTTAGTCTGAGGATAGTGAGCTTCTGGATATCACATGAACCCTGTTTCCTGACAAGAGGAAATAATATCAAAAGCAAAAGCCACAACCACGCCGGGTCGACAGAGACGATCCCGCTCCTTGGATAAGAATAAGAGCCCGGATCTAGCTGTTTTGAGTAGGAGTTGTTGTGAGATTCGGGGGAATAGAGCTGGCATAAGAAATCACGGAAGTCTGGCGTCGGACAGGTTCTTCATAGATCTTGTCCATGAATGTTGCTGGTATCTTCCCTTCTTCAAACAAAATGGAAACAATCCAAAGACGCGGAGAACCCTGTGGGATCGAACGGTACTCATCTGTAAGAACATATGCGGGATCGCGAATGAGCTCTTCGAGCTCTTCCACCCCCTCAAGCCAAAAAAGGCTTGACAACGGTCCGATGAACAAGGAGACCTGCTCGCCATCCTCATACAGATACTGTGATATCTCTTCTGGAATGGCACCGGGGAATTCAATTCCTGCAGCCCAAACAGGTTTGTAGTCGGTTGCGTACAGATCTAGTATGTCTCTCTCGTCTCTCATTGTGAAGGTATTTTGGTCACTTCGAGTTTGAGATGGAGTTGGTGACGAACGGCAAGAGCTCTTCGAGGTGGAGACGGAGCCGTCATCATTGCCATTGGTCAATGGCGGTGGGGGTTTGGAATGTGGGACGCCTGGTTCGGTCTCGGCTAGCGGCGGTGGTGGTACAGCAATAGGAAGACTGATACTAGACGCCAGTACGCCACTGTACCTAGCAGGGGAAAACTCCCGATTTCTGTTTGAGCTTCGAGTTGCCATTGTCAAGTAACAAAAAGGTGAGGTTGTCAAGGAAAAAAAAACTTGCAACAGAAATGGAAAGAGTTGTTGTTGTGGTGGACGGAATTACGGTTATGAAATGTTACCAGCAAAACTTTGCTGGATTACATGTATTATACCAAAACCTGTCAGGTGACCTGATACTGGGGTATATGAATGTGTTCGCCGAACTTGCTGTCACATGATCTAAATTTTTGTTGTATGCTAGTAATTATTGTCTGACCCCGGCCCCGCCAGATTGTGAAGCTCTTACTCTGACTTTGGTGTTTTTACTTAGTTGAACAAAGTGATCATTGTGAATACCTAATCCATGGATGAGTGTAACCGTGACTCCATAATCCGACAGACGGTCTAAGCCTAGGCGGAGAGTTGCGATTCTGCCGGGCTGATATTTTAGTTGAGGCCGTGCCCCGCTTTTCCTTCCTTTCTTTTCATTCTTCAGCTTTAGTATTCTCGTAAATTGATACAACAATTTTATTCTGTTTTTGATCGTGACAATGAGTCACTTGACTTTCACTTGAGGTACATGCTGGCTGAATGCCGATGTTCCCCCCAAGTCCGTGGCATACTGTGTACTCCGCTGATTGAGGATCTCATGAGCGTCCTTCGCGACGTTCACCATCGGTTGGGCAGCGTTGAGATCCTCAATCAGCGGAGTACACAGTATGCCAACAGTGATTATCACGTGATGGCTCTGGGCAGCTCAGTGACCTGGAGTCCGGACTGAAATATACTCAGTGAGCCTAGCCTGACTCTGAGCGCCCTTATAAAAGCGGCGGGCCGGCGGCAGGTTATATAAGAAAGCCCCCTGGCAGAGGAAATCCTCTATATAGAGTGACCTAGGTATAGGTAGTGGCTGTGTGTTTGTATATGCCTAATGCAGGTGTGTCTAGGTAAGGGAGAATAGGAGATTGAAGTGTCTATATGGAGAATGCTATGATATGCTGGGAAGGAGGGATATGACGGATGTGATGGACATTATGTCTATAGAGCATGTGTCGTTGGCGTCGTTGCAATACTTGGTTTAGGGTATTGTATATAGCATTTGCGGAGGAAACATTGAAAGCGTTCAAGTTCGTTCGGAATGTATTGACATTGCATCATTCATCTTCAAGATGATATGGCTTATGGAATAATGGTATATAGTACAGATTGCACCTGCAGCACATATCGTAGTGTATGCAGAGCGTCGGCATGCCGGAGAATTAAATCACATAAAGGCGTTGGTCAGCCGGCCGAATGGATATTAAGAACAGAAGGTATTGGCGAGATGGCATCGACAAGTATGTTCACCAGGAAGAAAATATAAGGATATGCTGGCCCCTCTAGTCGCTTTTGGAGGGGAAATGGAAGAACCGCAATCGAGTCGGGTCGCATCAACACCAAACTTCGGACCAGATGTATGGGACGATGACGATACAGGCTGTGTAGAGGATCATGAAGGCGTAGTAGGGGAAGAGGAAGATCCTGGTCAAGGGGAGGTCGCTTAGGACCATCCAGATGGCTAGGAAAGCGACGGAGAAGAAGTGGCTGACGAGGACGAGAGGTTGCTTGATTAGTCCAGCTAACAGTCCAACGGGACCATTGACTGGTCCGATCTGGAAATAGCGGAAACAGCCACGCTGCAGAGCTCGGAGGCTTTCATCTGTTCAGGGACAAGTCAGCTATCGGCTCTTGAGCGGGTAGGGGTTGTTGGGGTAGGAAGGAAGAGACATACCATCTGCGGCGAACAGTGCATATAGAGCTTGTGCGAGGATGTTGATGACAGATGAAGAGTTCTTTCGCCTCCAGTGGAAGATCGCGAGCTGTTCGAGGACAAGACCCGTGTCGGAAAAGCTGGGCACATTCTCCGGGCTGAGCAGTTCGCGGATATAAACGACATCACTGAGCGCCACCGTCATACCTCCTCCGGTGAGAGGATGCCGCATGTTGAGCGCATCTCCCAGAATCATCAAGCCTGGTGTCTTGTTGACCGAAGCAGGCAGGAACGAGTTCGGCATTGACCTTAGTTGGCCCTGCTCCAGCGCATCGGAGAATGACTGCCGGGCGCCTTCTGGAATCTGGGGCAGAATAGTGTTTCTCAAATAACCCTTAACACCGCCATTTTTCACCGAAGCCAGAGGAAGATTATCCGGAATGTCGATAAGGATTCGAGTTTCGTGCGTGCCAATCTGGTACATAAGCACAGGCGGGTTTTCGCTAAGGAGGACATGGCCAGTATTCGGTTCAGGGAGTTTGGCATCGATAAGCTCCAGACCATAGAACTTTGACCGTCTTTTCGGGCTATATTGGTGGTGTTGTTTTCGGAATTCGGAGTTGTAGCCGTCGGCGGCCACGGTGAGCTGGGCGAAGTAGCAATCCTTCAACTCCTTGGTCACACACTCGACTCCAAGCACTTCCTGGGTATGTGACGATGTGACAAGACCAGTTACCTTGGTCTCGACCACAGTGACATTAGGACAGGCCAAAGCTGCTTCCCGGAGCTTCATCACGAATCGACCATGGTGGAAGGCTCGTCCCAACGGTGTGGGTGACGTTGGGGTGGACTTGGGGTATTCTAGGAGAACCGGCTCGCCAAAGTATGAGACCCAATATCCCTTTACGTCAATTCCATCAATTCCCTCCAGGCAATCTCGCAATCCTAGTTGCTCCAGAGCCTGGACACCGCCCGGTTGGAGCAGTTCACCGACAATGCGATTGGGCTCCTCCAATGACTTTTCTAGCAGAATTACACTGCGCCCTTGTCTTCCGAGTGTGACTGCAAGTGCACAGCCCAAGACTCCTGCACCGACAATAACGACGTCTGCTTCGTGGTGTTCAATGCGGCGTTGGGCGGCTGGGGATTGGGCGTGGCCGTTGAGCATGGTGGCCATTTTCGCGGGGTTGAATAGAGTAATTGTTGTCAAAGTGGACACAACGAAGACAGGACCATTATCGGGCTGATCACTGGATTTAAGGAAAAGTCGATTGGCAGTGTGTATGGGCTGATGTTTTTTTTTGGCAGAAGAAGGGAAAGGGGTGGCGTGACATGTGAAAGCAACTACTCTCCGCCTTCTCAGTTCTACGCAGCACGAGACATCACGGCGACTTTTGTGCAACCTGACTATTGGCTGGTCGGATAAATTATGAAGTTGACGTATGTGCGTATGAGCTTAGTTGAAGTCTATTGTACATTTTTATATTTACATTCATTATCCACGTTCAAAGTGCTCTCAGTCTTCACAGTCCTCCACAGGTGAAAACTCAAGGTGATACTCCGATGGGTACTTCTCAGGCACATAATAACCATCCCAAGTTTCTGGCTCAAACCATGGATAATTGGGATCCTCTGGAAGCTGGGAGTGCAGTTTGGCGAGTGTAGACTCAGCCCACCATCTGGCATGGTCGGAAGGATTGAATTTCCTGCGGTTGAGCAATTGATCCAGCTCCCACTCCTCATCGAAATTCGTGATGAGCTCCTCCAGCCTCGTGGTAGGCAGTAGATGTTGTTTCTGAGGGGGTTTGGGGTTGGAACGTCTTAATCGTTTCTTCCCCGGGTCGACACTGATGCTTGACCAGTGCGAATCTCCCTGGGACTTGGCTTCTAGCACCTCGACGGTTCGCCGGAGTATTGAAAGCTGCTCCTCAGTCTCGTAAGATGCAGATGCGATGAGCTTCTTTTCCAAGGTGTATAACTGGGAGGTGGCTTCCACGACAAAGTCTTGGTTGATGTGCTCGGCCCGCGAGAGGACAGTCATTATACACCACCAGGCACCCTTCAGATTGTGAAGCTCAGCGAAAGCACGCAGCAACATCTTCAACAGTACCTGGTCAAAGCCATGAGACAGCCGCCACCGAGATTGGTAGATTGTTGTGAGAAGATCGACGGCAAGTTCTGGCGTCCCACGCCTAATCAGATAGCCACTGAAAGAAGTGGCGCAATGATGCTTGACGGAAAGATCGTGTTCGTTGGCACAGATGTTGTAGTATTCAAACATTGCCATCTTGATCAGACCCCCGCGTCCAACTGCTGCTGGGTCCACCTTCATAACTCGCTGGAAGAAGATGGGAGTCCATGAAGTGAACCGTTTGGAGAAACGAACAGCACGGTCTTTCTTCCAGTGATCCCATTCGGAAGTGATCAAGCGCCGGGCGTTCGCCAGGCCTGTAACCTTGCAACTCAAGATTGCGGCGATTACAGCCAACGTCAGATGAAGTGGTCGGACAATGTAACCGCCCCCGACAGCGTGATCGTAAATTCTCAAAGCATCTGTGTGCTTACCCATGTTGATCGAGTGCTCCATTCGCTTGTGGAGTGCAACATATAAATTGGCGTTCTTCGTAGCTACCATCTCTCTCACTGTTCGAGGGAAGGTTTGCTCGGCGGGGAGGTGGATCGGGGCAATTTTCTCTCCCCGCAATGCCCAATTCTCAGCACTAGATCCAAGAATGCGCCGGGATGAAGTTATATGCTCTTGTCGGTGTTTGGCAGCTTGTTTCAGGCGCCAGATTCCCACGGGGTTGTCAGTCATTGCGATTTTTCGACTTTTCACGAGGGACTTGATGAACGCATCATTGATTCCAGTATTCCATTGTTGCACTGTGGCCATGTCCATGATAGTCATGATCATATCTTCAGTGCCCCTCTCAATGATTGCTTCAAGGATGTGTCGGTGGAGTACCTTGTCGGGTCTCATATCGAAGTCATTGATGCAAGAAGTGACAAAATCGAGGATTTGCTCGCCCGTGTGGGTTGGGTAATATTCCAAGAAGATGCGGTCGAAGACGATAGAGAAATCTCTCTTTGAATCGGTGTAACCGTGCTCGTGCATCGCACGCATGCCGTCCATGACCCTGTCCCACTCGCAATTCAGCGCTCTGCTGTAAATGATCATGCCAATGGTCCGACATCCAGGCTGGACCCCATAGCGAGTGGGCATCGCCTTGACCATGGCTTCGGCTTCTTCGGCTCGACCCGTCTCTACCATGGCCTTTACGATTGGGTTGAACAGCTTTTCGGTGGGTTTCCGATCAAGCTGTTCGAGACGTTTGAGGATGAGATCAAGCTGAGAATACAACAATTCGATGCTTTTAGTCTTCCTCCACAAACAATCAAGATAGGCGCCACATAAACCGCAGTCACGGTCATCCTCGAAGCGCTGGAAGAAGAGGCCCTTGGCCGAGTCCAACCGTTTGGACTCAAGCAGGCATCGAAGAACGACCTCCAACAGATGTGTTGGAACAGTGAAGATATTCCTGTACTTCTCATATATAACACCCACAGAGTCAATGTGACCTTCTTTCGCAAGTAAATGCATCAGCGTGGCCCACATCTCATTCGAGACCATGCTGACTCGGTCAATGCGATTGAACAAAGTCCGAGCAACGAAAAGATTTCCTTTGATGCAATTGGCAGTGAATACGAGACATGCAAGCTCTCTGCGTTCCCATGAGATGGCAGTTGTAGTCCGAGTGTGCGCCAGGAACAGATTCGCGGCCGTAATCTCCCGCTCTTGGGCAAGTAATCTGCGAATCTCGACATCGAAGGGAACTCTGCCAGACTCTCCCGCAACTTCGGCCTCCTTTTTCTCACGAGCCCGGACCGCATGGTTTCGAGCAAAGTCTGGGAAGTCCATTCTTTCTTTGTAGTTGAATTGCCCGAGAGAGCGTTTTGATCGAGCATGGTGATTTTCCAGGCTGACTAGGGGCTTGGGCTTGCTCGGTTTTTGATTGGGTTTGTCTTTCTCAATTTCCGGCTCATGGGGCTCTTGGGGCCCGTCGGGTATGTTCCGGTTCCTCAATTTGAGAGAGTCAATGCCCATGAATTCGCCTGCTTCTGCGGCCTCGACCATCACCTTGAGGCGTTTTGCAGCAGACGTTGCATCGTAATTTGGTGCTGTGCTATGTAACGTTCGTTTGGTCTCGATGATTTTTTCGGCGATGCGGACTCGGCGATGGGCTTCGTATGTGAGGGCTGCTACCGTGCAGAATCCGCCGACCGTTGAGCCGGCCAGGGCCAATTGGCGCAGAACTCGGAGCGCATTTCGAGAAGGAATGGAGGAGGAGGTGTTTGCGGCGCGAGAGAGCATTTTGCAAGTGCTGAGCGCCGGTTGCGCGCCGGAGTTCATTCACCAGTCGTGCATGAGTGGCCTCACCTCAATTTTTCGAGGGCTAGGAGCTGGACCGATCAGGCGAATGCATGCAGCATCAAGCAGGGGCTGTACGACACAATGGGGTGTAGGGACAGGCAATTGAAGCTGATCAAATAGGGTAAATTCGGAGCCACGACATTTTCTCCGGCGGAAGCAAAGCGACTTGCGCGTTTGGCTGGTATCGTTCGCCGGATCCCGGTCATACGACCATGGGTCCCAACATACGGAACCTCAGACCTGACCGGCTACATCTTCCCCTGACAATTCCCCTGACAATATCATTATTCTCCCTCATGTTCTGAGGCTGTTCTAATCTCAACTTCTCAAGGCATGAGATATATGCTATACCTTCGGTTCTTGACTACGATACGAAACGTCGCAATAATCTGGCGAGAAAGAAAGAGAATGAGAAATTCATTGTACATCAATATTGTACGTCAGTATCTATATGAAGCATGTGGAGCAGAAGCAAGCAGAAAAGAAAAATGCAGCGGAGTATATCGAAAAGAACAGCCTATCGCAAGAGCCTGTCTTGCTCGCCATCGCCATCGCCATCTTCCGTCCTAAGATCCGCAGAGGTTTCGCTTTCAAGAGTGACTGGAGCAACAATTAGCAAACGTGATGTGAGAACTTTGCAAGATCAACGTACCATGCGACTTGATGAACAGACTCGTTAGAAACGCTACGCCGAAGACAGCTGCAAGTGCCACAAACACTGTTTGGGGCAAAACTGCAACAGTTAGACTGTATATTAGGTTAAACACCGTAGGTGCGACGACTCGAGAAAGTGCATGCAAAAGACCAGTGGCACCAAGCATCTGTCCAATGCGTTCATGAGGCACGTGCTTGGTGAGAGATGACTGCAGGATCGCGGACCCCATGCCACCCAGAGAGGCAATGGCTCCAGAAAGCACCATCACGGATGGTGTTTTCGATAAGGCATAGCCAACATATCCGAGTATGTCGAATATGATGGAAGTTCGTATTAAAACAACGTCCAGCGTGTCTGAACCACGAATGATCCCATCCTCCTTGCACGGAGTGCGGAAAAGGCGAGAGATAATCGGGAGCACGAGGAAAAGATTGAAAACGCGAACCACGTTGATGACCGCAATAAAGATACTGGATTCCACGCTGCCCCACTTGAACATGTACTCAGCGTAGATGATGATGATCTGCATTGTGCCCATGGCGACTCCAAACATAGCGGTATCAATCGCAGCCAACAGCACAATGTTTCGACGTAGAGCCGAGCTGGCACCGCGACGATTGGGAAACAAGACACTGGGCCTTCCGACTGCGGGCATCAGAATCGCAAGGGGTGTAATCAGGTTCATCGGGTTCCACACGCGCCAGGAATACCACTTCGGGGCTTCCATATCCGCGTTCTTTACGCGGTGCTTCTCGCGGGCAGCGAGCTGTCGGTCCTTGGACAACGATTCGGGGACGATGAAGTACACCGATAGACAGAAAATGGCATGGAATGTAAGCGCAATGTAGAAAACAAGCTGCGTGCCCCCATGCTTGATCAGCCAGGCAGCCCCGCCAGGTCCAGCAGCAATACCAAAGAACAGCGAACCATGGAATAAGCCAAATGCCACACTGCGCTTCTCGATCGGCGTACAATCAGAGGCGTATGAATGGATCAGAGCTTGTGCGGTTGTAAATGATCCACCTAATCCATCCATAACCGATCCGACCAGAAGCATATTGACCGAGAGCCGCTCAGGCCATGTAGCCAGGATTACAGCGATAACTTCGTTAAACACAGCACCCAACGCACACCACGCGATCATATTGGTTCTTCCATAGCGGTCAGACAAGTGTCCGAGGCGGGGACTCACCAATGCCGAGATAATGCCCGCAACAAGGTTAAGGTAGAGCTGGAACTGGGCGACTAGCGACTGAACCTGCGGAATCTGGCACTGGGAGTTGTCCTCCCCGAATATGACAGGAAGGTAGGTGAACCCAGGATCTTGGGCGGTTCTCTCGGCGAGATAATCTCGACAAATAAGCGACATGATCAGATTAATCTTGGGGACGGCAATGCCGCCGAAACCCAAGGTGAAAATCAGGGCGAACGGCATCAGCCACCAGATCTGTTATGGTTGCAGGAACGGTTAGACAGCTGTTCCTGAAGCTTCGGCGCGGCCTTGAGGTCACTCACACTGGGCCTCCTCCATTGCGGCCGATCCGTAAAGTCATAGGGCAGTCGATGCAATTCTCCATCGGTCCCAGCGATCAAAGGCGTGTTCTCGGTCACATCTGCAATGGGACCAGTCGCTTGGGCGCCTCGGACGCGCATGCGCGCGTCAACTTCGGGCTCACGCGCAAACAGTTCTTCGTTCTCCATGATGAAGCTGGCGTCAACATCGGCGATAATTCACGATCTCGAAAGCTGTCTACCGGTGCATGATTGATTTGTAATTGGAATGCGGGCCCGTCCGACTTCACAATGATCCGTCTATTATATCGTGTGTACCGGATAAGGTCTGGCCCTGGTCAATCGGCGGTTTCAAATTGCACATATGTCATAGGAAAGAGGGGGAGAATGTTAGCAGATTACTGGAAGTTCGCTTGAAATCTTATCGGGGTTCCATTATTGGCAGCCGTTAACCCCGAAACCTCCGATGCGCTGGCAGGCAGGTCCTTGATTAATGATTATGAATTGAAGCCCCACAGGGCGCAGGGGCGAATGGGTTCCGGGGTAATTTGATGCTATTGGCGCGTTGCTTCTATCACTTTGGTGTTATTCTTGCTTTTTGGGGACTTAATATAAGAACGTACCTACCTGGTCCTAGGCACCACATCAGACGGCCTGAGAACACGCTAGGCCCAGGATCCTTCCAAGGTTGGTTGACTGTGTAGAGATGTCATCATTCGATGCATGTGACGCTAGCATTGATAGTACCCCCTCACCTTATGGGGTTGGACCGAGGGCAAGATAAAATCACCTGACTTATCCTTAGGTACCTAGACTTCATCCTAACTGGTTTGGTCTGATGGTAGGTTACACTGGAAGAGTTGAAAGTGGATTGATATTAAACCCAGAATATATACTTTGACAACGCCTGTGAACACCTTTTAGAGCCATTTATATAGATACACCCACTCAAGTCCGCCACTCTGAACAAAGTATACAATCAAGGTAAGCCCCAGTCAGCTTCCAAGATTAAATCACCATCGAAGCATTTTCCGGGCCAGCGAAGAACTTCTTCTGGCCCAAGCATCGCTCGCTTGTGCAACCCTGGCAACGTAATGTCATTTGGCGAGAACACAATTCTCCCTTCTGTAGGTGCTCGTGGGCAATATCGGCAAGTGCCTTAATGAAGACAGGGTTTCCGTTCAAGCTCTCGGCACGCTTGACACCTGGGTTGTTGGCTTCATGGATGACCTCCTGATCAAGCTCGTATAGGGTCTCAATGTGGTCGCTTGTGAACGCGATGGGAACCAGGATCAAATCCGTCTGTCCTCGTTTCACATACTCCTGGACAGTATCGCTGGTCTGGGCTCCGAGCCATGCACTAGGTCCCACCTGAGATTGCCAGCACAGGCGGTAGGGGTTTTGGAACTTGAGTCGCTGCATTACAGCGTGGACGGTCGCAGCCACTTCGGAGGGGTAGGGATCACCTGTAAGAGAAGTTGTTCAGCATCATTCTGAATGGAACCTAGGGTCGCCTCGGCCTACCTCGGTTGACGACACTCATGGGCAAGCTATGCGCGGAGAATAGCAATACGACTTGGTCTCGCTTCTCCTCCGGGTAGGTCTTGAGTTGAGCTTCGATATTCTGCGCAAAAGCCTCGACCAGACCGGAGTGAGTTGGCCACCGGTCAATGACGCTCCACTGGATTGTGCCTTCCTTCTCCGACCCTCCATTAGCGCGCTTGCCCTCGAGACGGTTACGCCACTTCCACAACTCGTTGAGTGAGCTGCCAGTTGTTGAACAAGAGTACTGAGGATATTGTGTAAACGCAATGGCACGTCCTCCTTTGCCATTGCCAAAGCCATCGGCGAGGAGTTGTTGGTACATGGTCTCGGTCAACGGGGCAGCATAGCGGAAGGCAACGTAAGGCTTATGCGGCGCGGTTTCAGGAGACATCTTATCCAGAAGCTTGCACATTTCCTCACACTGGTGTTCGGACCATTTCCGAATGGGCGACCCGCCGCCAATATCCGAGTACTGCTTCTGAATCTTTGAGGTTCTCCGGCGCGCAATGAGGGGTCCGATGTAAGGTTGGAGGCGTCCCAGGGGAATCAAGTCACCGTCAGCCTATAATGGCTTTTTGTCAGCATACTAGAGTAACGTGGTCATTGGAGCAATTGTTGAAACGTACAAATAGTCTGCTCAAGAAGTCCTCCACCTCGTTTGTCGTGGAAGGTCCACCCATATTCATAAAGACCATAGCAGTAGGACCCTTGGACCCTGTCGCATCTTGTGTGACTGGTGGTACCGCTGTGGCGAGACCTTGTCGATCGGTCATGCATCTCAATCGACTGCTAATTGTTGGCCGAGCTCCGAAAGAGGTGGCCCCAGTTAACAACTGTCGGGGTATCGTGAAAGGACCGCGGAATGCCATGGTGGGGGTGGCGAAAGTGTACTCGGGAAATCAAAGTGAATGAGCCCGAGGCGTCAGTTGAAGGAGATGAACCAATTCGAAATTGTCCGCCTTCCAGTCTGACTTGTCCAGTGCCTCGGAGCGTGTGAAACTGGGGTTCTCAGTGTCACTTAGCTTCCGCCCCGACCAATCACGGCGAGGCGATGTCAGCAACTTCAGGCATCAGCGTCACCTGACTTTCGTGTCAACCGCGTCAGGGACCGCGTCTCAATGATGTAAATGTTGAACTTGTTATTTCTGCAACTTTCAATATTTTCACTATTCTCTAGCTCGAAACCATGGCCGACGATAGTTATTCGCACGAGGAGGACAATAACGAAGAGGAGGAGCTTGACCAGACCGTAAGTATCTACAATTAGAGATACTTCTAGTCATTAATTTGCTGACTGTTGCCTCACAGAGCTTCAAATCAGTCAAAGATGCCGTGCTTTTTGCCATAGACATTAGCAACTCAATGCTGACTCCCCGTCCATCGCCTGACCCTCAGAAACATAGGGATGAATCGCCTGCCTCTGCAGCTTTGAAGTGTGCATACCATTTGATGCAACAGCGCATCATCTCCAACCCTCATGATATGATTGGCGTCTTGCTTTATGGAACTAAATCATCCAAGTTCTATGATGAAAGCGAGGAAAGCCGGGGAGATCTCTCATATCCCCACTGTTATCTGTACACCGATCTTGATATCCCGTCAGCCCTGGAAGTCAAGCAACTACGATCCTTGGCATCTCCAGAAGATGGCGATAGTGAAGTACATCAGGTCTTGCAAGCATCAGAAGAGCCGGTCTCGATGGCAAATGTGCTTTTTTGTGCGAATCAAATTTTTACGTCCAAGGCTCCGAACTTCCTGTCTCGACGACTGTTTGTCGTGACCGATAACGATAATCCCCACGCAGACAACAAAGCATTACGGTCCGCGGCAACTGTTCGAGCAAGAGATCTGTATGATCTCGGTGTCAATATCGAGCTGTTCCCCATCTCTCAACCAGATCACGAATTCGACACCTCCAAATTTTATGACGCAAGTTACCAGTCTTCCAGCGATGTAAAGGATCTTACTGACGATCAACAGGACATCATCTACAAGACTTCGCCTAGTGATGGAGACGCCCCGGCATACCTAAGACCGGACACCAACACAGCGACAGCTAAAGGCGACGGGCTCTCATTACTTAACTCTCTACTGTCTAGCATCAACTCAAGATCTGTCCCTCGCCGGTCGTTATTTTCCAATGTGCCACTTGAAATCGGACCCGGCTTTAAGATATCCGTCAATGGCTATCTGCTCCTCAAAAAGCAAGAACCCTCCCGGAGTTGCTTCGTCTGGCAAGGAGGCGAGACCCCGCAAATTGCCAAAGGCGTCACAACCCTAACCTCCGATGACACAGCGCAGGCGGTTGAAAAAACTGTTATCCGCAAGGCATACAAATTTGGTGGCGAACAAGTGTCTTTTACCGCCGAGGAACAACAGGCTCTGAGAAACTTCGGTGACCCTGTCATCCGTATCATTGGCTTTAAGCCACTATCCGCGCTCCCGATTTGGGCTAATGTCAAACATCCGTCGTTTATCTATCCCTCTGAAGAAGATTATATCGGCTCGACACGGGTCTTTTCTGCATTGCACCAGAAGCTCCTCGATTCTGAGAAACTTGCATTGGTTTGGTTCATCCCCCGCAAGAACGGCTCCCCGGCCTTAGCTGCTATGGTCGCCGGGGCCGAGAAGGTTGACGACAATGGCGTGCAAAAGTATCCACCTGGCATGTGGATCATACCTCTTCCCTTCGCGGATGACGTGCGTCAGAACCCAGAGAGCACTGTTCAGCGGGCCGCAGACCACGTGAATGATGCCATGCGGGACGTGATTCGACAGCTGCAGCTTCCAAAAGCTATTTATGAGCCTTCAAAATATCCAAACCCTTGTGAGCATTTGTCGTTGTGATTTGCTGGGAATAGTACTAATCAGTTCACAGCACTCCAATGGCATTATCGTATCTTGCAAGCTATTGCTTTGGATGAAGATGCCCCAGAAGCACCGGAGGACAAGACTGTGCCCAAATACCGACAAATCCACAAGGTTGGTGTTTCCGCCATCTGATCTCAAGGGGAAATATACTGACTGGTTTTGCCTCACTGTAGCGCTCTGGCGATTACATTCTCAAATGGGCAGATGAACTGAAATTGCAGGCCAACAATATGTTTGGCGGGAGGGACACCACTTCCACGCTAGTAAAGCGAGGGGCAAAGGCCGAGCCTGCGGCAGCCCACCCATCGAAACGTGCGAAGGTCGAGGGCGGCACCTCTGTGGTAGAAGCAGAAATGAGGAGATTCTACGAGCAAGGCACCATTTCGAAGGTAAGTGCTTGAATGTATTCGGAGGAAAACAGAAATGCTGATACTCGCTTGCAGCTTACTTTGCCCGTACTGAAGGAGTTCTTGCATATGCATGGCCGTGCCAACGCGGGAAGGAAGGCGGATCTCGTAGACCGAGTCGAGCAGTACTTCGAGCAAAAGTTCTGAAGCTCATTGTAGCCTACTTGGGGTCATCGTGATGTGTGATACATACAGGGCCACCGCAACCTAGGCCCCGAATCATGAGTTACGAGTGTCTCCTACCGCTTTCTACTTATCATACATAGTCAAAGGTTGCAAATCGATCAACATTGGTACAAAAGTGCTGGTAATCAATCGATGAAGAAAGTTGGAAACTATTCCAGAGATTGAACTGAATAGGTAACCTTCATTTGATGCTCCATGTCGCCCGCCTATATTTCGGAATACCGTAGTGATGCAGTATTTGGGACAATACGGTATTCGGCCTCACTCTGCATTTTTGAAATGGAAGTCTCAAAAACAGTATTCACTCGAATACCGCATCACTACAGTATTCCGATAAGTATTCCTACGGTATTTCTATCGTGTGAGCACGACAGATGAGGTGGAAGGCGAATGGAAAGGATATGTGTTTTGAATATTCTGAGTACTACCCAGAAAGTCGTCTATAAGATGGAGGGATGGCACATGTTCAAAGGGAACGCTTGAACGACAGAAAGAGAACTAGTATAGTGGGTTGGGAAATCTCCGGGATACTCCAAGATATGTGTAACGCGACAAGATGTATATGGTGACATAGCGGGATGTGCAAGCCAGTGCAACAATAAACCGCGATGAGGCCCAGTATACTATGTACAGTATTCACCTGGAGGACGCCTCCAGATTGGTGATAGATTCTCGAGCCAAGAGCGAACTCAACAGCGTCCGTAGACTTGGCAATAACATAATTGCTCGTCGGGGCAGCTGTGAAAGAAGGTCAACCAAAGATCCCAGCAGAACGTAATAGGCAATGACTTACTATACACCTTGCATACCAAAAATGATATGCCACAAATACTCCATGACCCTCCCGGACGAGGCATCACTCAATTCCGTATCCAGGATCCACTGGCGGAACTTTATATAGTCCTCCAACGGACGCCTCCGAACCTGATCTCGCGAGACAGCGAATTGTGCGCAGCAAGCGGCGCCGATCTCAACGGGCTTGCGGATATAAGTCCGGCCTGCAATTTCCTGCTGTGTAGGAGAAGAAAGGTTCAAAGGAGGTGTACTCGTGTCTTCGAACACATCCTGCCAAGCCTGCTCGGTGACGTGGCCGTTGTAATGAGGAGAACCGTTGCAGCCGGGGTTCCAGTTGCAGCGCAGATTGACATAGCCATTTTGCTGAACGAAATCAAGTTGCAGGTTGCGCATCGCTATCACGTTGTCGTGGAGTGGCGCGTCAACGTGCCAGGCCATGAGAAATCCTGCGCGGTGGGCATGGAGGAAGGCGATGGTTGAGGGGAGGTTGTGGTAGTTGTTGATTATGTAGGTGAAATAGGCCATAGACTCGTGACCTTTGTTGAGGGGGATCGTTAGGGTATCGGCATTTTGGCGTGTTTCGTGCGAAGGGTTTACAATGTAGATTGCACGTTGCCAGCTGTTAAGATGGAAAGACCTGGGTCAGCCGTTGAACTTGTACTTCAAAAGAGGCCATGGGACTTCAGGGTACTCACTCGGGAAGATGTTGTTCTACCCAGTCGGTGGGCTCTTCTTCTAGTCTGGCCATGACAATCACCTTATCGCCTTGTGTGGTCACGCCGCCGACTGGGTTCGAGGCGGCACCATTGTGAATCCGATCTAACCAATCGATCATGTATGCGCCAGCGCGATACTGATTGCAGAGATCTTGAAGATGTGCCTCAAGCAGATATAATGCGAAAACAAGGACACATACGACGCAGAATCCGGCGATACGGAGTCCGCCTTTCATTGTGAACAGGAGGTATGAAACTCCAGGGCAGCTCTTGCTGATAGGTACGCCGTAGGGGAGATTATGAATGCGAAATAACCAATTCCAACCCCATTGAGATAGGTATAATTCAACAGAGCAGACACTTTTCGGTGTATATACCTATGCGATGAAACAAGAGCGCAAATGTTGCTCCTTAGTAGTGATGCGTCTGTACACGACTTCGAGAAAGGGTGAGGCAAGATGATTTCAATAGTTCCATCAGAAGAAGGTGCAATACGTTTGAAGGAAGCATGAATGAAAGAGAGGACAGGGGGGAAAGCTTCGAAGAGAAAAGATCTGTACGGAGTAGTATCATTCGAAATGACCCGCATGAACTCAATTGAGAGGGAGCATTTTAATGACCCAGTGGAGGTCAATCCCGAAGTTACTGCAGAATGTCTTCGCCATAACCTAGTTATCATTGGCCACCGGCAGGCGATTAGCTCAGGGGAGCCGCTCTTAGTCTCGAGCCGGGGGCATGTTTAGGCGTGTCTTGGCCCTTTGGGTGTGCTTAGAGGGGCCCCTAGTGTTGGCCGCAAAAGCTTGGCTCTGGGGTGCGCTTGCCCCCTTTCAATTAAAGTTTGCGCTAGACCCATGGACGGGAATAAAGAAGGCTTAACGGCCACGCAAGGGAACCTTGGGAAAGGGCCTTCCCTCATTTTTCACGACGTCATTCGACCTGTCACAGGTAGTCCTCCATCATTTGGAATCCACTTTCCCGCCACGCGTGTCCTCCCCATACCACGGAATGCACGTGGTGGAATCCAATCTTACATTGGACCTTTGACGTATGGCACACGTATGAACCCACTTGATATACGTTTGTATCTCAGCGAGGTGGATTTGCCAGGTCAGTTTTCATCGAGTTGAGCCTGGACTCCGAAGTAGGATAGTGATATAATTTTCAGTAATCGGTCCCATTGATCGTGTTTGTCGATGCACAGCCTCCTTCGGTAGGAAGGAGGGGATCTCAACAATTCGGACCCCTTGGTCTGATCTGTTTCATAGTTAGACGGGCCCTCGAGGGGTTAGGGTTCAACATGTGGGTTCTTAGAAGGCAGCGCCATATGTAGTACGGGCAGCGTGTGGCTGTGACAGAATGAGGCCCACAGACTGACCGATCAGCGGAATTAATGATGTTTGTGGACGCATGTCGCATGGGATTGAATTTCCAATGAAGATCATGGGAAAAGGAGAAAGATGAACGTAAAGACGAATGTCTCAAGAACAGATCCAACCGTACCAGAATCTGAACCGTAATTGTATATCGAGGTTCACTTATATTTGATGCTTGAACCCAAGGTTTCAAGCGAGCCATTGGATCATGACGCCTATGCGCATTGTCATCAACGTGCATCACTTACATCGGCAAAAAATGATTGGAATAATCCGTGTCGACACTGCGCTGATTGACTGTGTGCAACTGTGCCGAATGATTAGCCGGAATTTCTTGGCTCGTTTGATCTCCATAGAATCAACGCAGATCTCAAAATCTTGGGGTTGATCCTTGGTATCGATCACATGTCGTAGGTAGCGTGGGCCTTGGTTGCGGTTGAATAGGGGAAATATCTCTGTGAGGCGCACATCTGCCCCTTCTTGGGAGTCCTCATAACTATGGCCTCCGCCGCAATGCCTGGAGTGATTCTCCACCTTACTACGTTATACACGACACCAAGGGGAATCAGTTGGTCTACGATCAGTCATACTCCTTTTGTTGAACCAGTGAACCACCTTCTACCATACGATGTGATTTTTCTCAATCTCAAGGCACACTATTGGAGATAGTTGATTGGTGGTAGAAACCGCGTAATTGCCACTGAGCGCACGTGTACACTCAGCGCATCACTTTGTCATTGATATGGACAGTGCGCTCCAATGGACGAAGAAGACAATCGTTGCAGTCCAGCTGCGTTTATTTTCATATAATGATACATGGATATCTTTGCTAACTAGTCACTATCATCGTCCTCCTCTTCATCGCTGACCTCCTCACCATTTGCTATTGCTTCCTCTCGTGCCTTGCGCGCACGCTCGCGTTTCTTGTTCAACAGGGCATTCAGTTTCTTTGCAACGTTGAAGACACCGCCAGTTCCCTCACCACATGCAGCGCATGACGGGTTCTTCCGGTACCGCTGCAAGGCACAGGATTCACAGAAGTAGTGACCGCACTTTGTGATGATGGGTTCTCGATAAGGCTTCCGGCAAATGAGGCAGGCGAATGGGATACTTTCTAACAATTCATCTTCGTCGTCTTCGTCATCTTCGTCGGTCTTGCCCGCGCCCTTTCGTTGTGAAACCACTCGCCCGCTCAACTGCTTGCCCTTGGTGTTGATTTCCCAATCACGATCCAATTCCCATCCTTGCTTGTATGCCTCTCTCGAATGCAGGAATTTACAAGAATCTCCAAAACCACACTATTTTCACGGTGTTAGTCTCTGTGGTACAAAATATTCAAGAGCACGAGCATGACTTACGTAGCCTGTTTGTTTCCAATCCTTGCAGACATCGGGGGCAAAATCTGTCACGGTCACAGTCCGCACATTGGTCGGTGCCTTTATGGGACCGAATTTCCCTGGTGCATCGGGGTTCTTCTGAATAAAAGATTGATAGTTGGCCGCGCCCTTATAGGTTCCGTCCGGCTCTGCCGTAGAAGCTGCTGGTCTCGCCCGGGTTGTGCCTAATAGATTCTTGGCAGTCAAGTTCTCATCGTACCAGTCGGAATGTTTCGTCGCATCGTTGCTCGAGGTCAACGGGGCGGGAGCCGCAGTTGTAGGCTCTTGTTCTGTGCGGTTCCTTGTCGCATTTGTAGATGATGCAGTAACAGCTGCATTTTTACGCCGCCTTTTGATCCGTCGCCCTTCGCCGTCATCAGATGATTCAAAGTCGGAACCGGAATCAGAAGCAGGAGGTGGCGTCGCGGGCTTCTTGCGAAAGTTGGCTTTGCCTTTGGAGCGCTTCTTGAATGCGACCTGGGGCACGGCGTCTGCGACTTCAGTCTCTTCGCCCATATTGCCGGGTTGGAGGGTAAATCTTTAGGTTGTGCGAATGTAGTTGTAAGTTGTTGAAGCCGACGAGCCTGGTCAATGTCGTGAAGAAGATCAAAGGTTCCCATGACCGAGTGGGCTGGCCGGGCCCGGGGGCGTTCCGCAAATGACTAATTGCATTGTTGACAAATGATGCAAACAATGCAAACCCACCTCCTCACTTCCATGGGACGCGTTGATTCTGACGAGACAAGAAGCAGGAACCCGTCGAATCAGACATGTCCAATACTTTATATAGTGCGTTGCGATAATAACAGTTCAATTCAAGTGTCAACAACGAATATAGCTCAATCTTAGATTCATTCTTTTCCGGGGTTGATCATCGATCGTGAATCTCAAACACCGGCGCCAATTGGCAATAATAATAGCACGTTCTCTGACTCTCATTCTTCTCTTCTCTTTTCTCTCCCCCGCCCGAGTCAACCCAAACTGACCTGTCCAATCACTCCCTACACTCCCTTTTTCCTTTCATTCATTTTCTTCTTAGCTGTCCTTTTGTTTTTCATATTTCCTTTGTCTTTCCTTTCATCAGACCCAAGTCTGACCAGCTTGCGTCAATATCGCACAGATACCGAGCACTTTGTTGTGGTTAGTTACACCTCTACGCGCTTGTCTGGCCAATCCTGCCGGAAGCACACTGATTCGTCCAAAGGTCCTCGGTGTTTGTTGTTCTAATTGATTGGGCTTCCACCCCCTCTTCTTTCCTTCAACGCACCTCTCGACGGTGTGCCATCTCACGTCCATCGCATCGACATTAAGTACGTTGTTATTACCAACAACCTCTGGTCGCTGGTCGGCTCGGCAAATATCTCAAGGGAGAAAAGCATCCTGCGACACGATTTCCGGAGGATGCCCACGGTCTAGACTCGCGACAAATATTTACGCGCGAGTGCCCGAAATCTCAACGGCAACTGCATCCTCACCAGTCAGAGGATTCAGGCGCCGATTGAGAGCCCAGAAACCCGGATTATGACCACACCCAACGCCGAAGCCACCGATTCGTTTGCGTCTATGGAAGACCCATTCGTTGCGAATGCCGGGAGGCCAGCTGCTCCCCGCGACTCCCACCGATACTCGTCCTTTGATACACAGCTGTATAGCCTCAATGCGTCTTCACCCGCCCAGGCCAAACGAGCCCTTGAAGCGCATTTGGCAGAAACGGAGCGCCGATTGGAAGAGGCCTCGAAGCTCGGAACGGCCCTTATCGAACAACAGCAGCAGCTATCCGAGCAATTGAAGGAGGTCGAGCTGCGGCAAGATGAAGGTGAGATAGGCCCGGATCTGAGACGCAAACTTGCAGATCTGGAGAAGGAGTATAATGAAATCGGCCGTGAGTCGGCGCGTGCTTTTTTGGCACCCAAACGTCTTGCCGGAGGCCCAGACGATGCTCCAGGAACCCCATCTTTCGATCAGAAGGTATCGCCGAAGTTTTGTGCCCAACTCCGGTCCAATTCCAGCCAAGCTAATGGCTTATTCTAATAGTCACCTTTAACCCCCGCTTTGTTCGCCAGTCAAGCGACGAATTCCCCTAGCAAAGTTAGCGTTCCGTCTCGCAAGCAACGCAATCAACCATCAAACCGTGTTCACGATATCGAGTTTGCGACTGAAATTTCGACTTCGCTTTTAGCTCAGGTCCGCCAGCTGCAAGCCCTTCTTGCAGAACGGGACGAGACACTCAAGCTTGTGAATTTGGAAAAATCGCGGCTTGAGATAGAGGCAGAAGGTTATGCACAAAGAATCAGGGCGCTCGATGACAGTGAGCAACGTTATAAGGATGAGAATTGGGCTCTCGAGACCCAGGCACATGAGTTGATGGCGGCTGTCAGGGACGCTGCTGAACGCGAACAGCGTCTCAGTAGCACCATAACCACATCTAATGCGGAGAAGAACGCCGTGGAGCGGGAGTTGGAGGAGTTAAAGCAGGTCAACGCGAGACTACTTGAAGACCACAGCCTTACACAAAAAGCCAATGATGCAGAGATTCACCTCTTGCGGCGAAATCTGACTTCTGGTGATGCAGAGAAGGCTGCACTTCAGAAAAAGCTTCTTGAAATGACTTCTCAAAACCAAGAACTTGCCAAGGCGGTTGCGATGCGACTTCGGGACCATGAAGGCCAAGGTACTCGGGAGATCCCATATGATGATGAGGGCAACGAGCCTGACAACATTACACCGGAAAGTTCCCCGCCACCCTCACCCAACAAGTTTACTCCTCGGCACGGCCATCTTGAATCGGAAACCTTGAAGAGCTCACTGGGTCATGCTCATCGCATGATCCAGAACCTGAAGAGCACCATTCACCGCGAAAAGACCGAAAAGATTGAGCTCAAGCGGATGCTGCAGGATGCTCGAGATGAGGTTGAGCAACGTCGCCGTGAGAGTGCTGTGCCAAACGGATCCAGCAAACGCCAGAAGACAAAGACGGATTCTTCACGGAAGGCCCCACGTCCAGATCTTCTGGGTGCAGGCCGCAAAGAGAAATCGTTTGTCGAGCTTCATGATACCGACTGGGAAGACAACGCTGGCCAGATAAGTCCCACCCGCACCCTGAAGGCGGTATCCACGAGAGGCCGCCCTGGCTCAGAGTCTCCTGATGGACCTAGCGACGTCTACCAGACAGCCACCGAAGCAGAAGACGGATTTGAGACTGGATTTGAGACTGCGAACGAAAGGGCAACCGCAACCGAGAGCGAAGCATTCCAGACTGGCGTGGAGAGTATGGCGGATGACAGCAGTGACTCGGCGGATCTGACCGAAACCGAAAACAGCGTTCAGACAACTCCTCGTAGCCGAGTTCCTTCTTCCCTGGCCATGGCCAAATCCCGCAATCGCACCTCATATCAAAGCACTGCCTCCGTATCTTCTGATGAAGAGGAGTATGATAGAGTGTTCGGCTCTCCAAGCCAATCGTATATCTCTCGCCCCCGTGTCAAATCCAAGCGCAGCGTTTCGAGACGCATTCGTCCATCTGGAGAGGCCACCTTTGCATCTAACAGTCGACCTTCAAGTTCACGCGAATCCCCAGCACCCAGCTTTGGGCCACCGGTGGCAGCTCAAGAGGGCCAGAGCCTCTTTGCCGAACTTGGAGAGTTTGAAAGCACTGAAGATGAGGAAGCGACTTCCCAGACTTCCACACCGCGTATGGAGCCTACTTCGAACTCACGAAGACCCTCAGATGTAATGTTGGATATACCGCCAAAGCCCGCAATGGTGGACTCTGGTGTTATGACGGAACCTTGGGAGTCTACCTCTCCTATCGGTGCTGGTATTGTTGCCGGGGCGGCCGGTGCTGCTGCAGGAGCTGCAGCCTCGCACGTTCTCGCGACCTCCCAACAATCCGATGAAGACATCAACGAGGAAACAAAGGCAACTCCACTCAAGCACTCTTCTGTGGATGGTGATCACCTCGCGAATGTCCCTACCCCGCCAAATATGCCCTGGGACGATTCTTCAGCGCAAGGTCAGCAGCAAATTGCCAATGCTCAATCCGTTCTACCGGAGATGGGCATCGCGGACGTCCATTCGCAGGAGACAACACCTCGCGTACCTAAGATGCCTGATTTGAGCGTTTCCTACATGACCGGGGGCATCACTACACCTGTGAAGCATGTGCTGCCTACACCGGAAGTGCCGGAAATGACGATATCTTCGATTTCATCACAAATCAGCAGCCCCATGCAACCAACGCTCGCCGTACCTGAGCCAATAATCAAGCATGTTGATGTTATCAAATACGTGGAACGCGAGCCGGAGGTACCCGAGCTGACCTTCTCCTCCATTACTACTCAAACCACTGCCCCCGTCCCGGCAACCCTTGCTGTGCCGGAGCCTGTGGTCAAGTACGTCGATGTGATTAAGCACGTGGAACGTGAGCGTGGAGTGCCTGAGTTGAGCTTCTCGCCTGTCACTGCCCAATCGACAACGCCTGTCCAGGCAATCAAAGAGACTGTCCCTGAACCTGAGCCTGTCGTCAAATACGTGGATGTGATTAAATACGTTGAGCGTGAGCGTGAGATTCCTGAGTTGGCTCTGTCCTCCATCAACCACATATGCACGTCTCCAGTACAGGCGACCCTTGCTGTCCCGGAGCCTATCATCAAACACGTGGATGTGATCAAGCACGTTGAGCGCGAGCGCGAGGTGCCCGAACTGACCATCTCTTCCATCACCACCCAATCCACACCTCCTGCCCACGCCACACTTGCCAAACCGGAGCCGATCATTGAGTACGTCGACGTTATCAAGCACGTTGAGCGTGAGCGCGAGGTCCCTGAATTGGCCTTCTCCTCTATCACCACCGAATCCACTGCGCCAGTGAAGGCCACTCTTCCTGAGCCGGAGCCACCTGTGATCCAATACGTTGATGTGATTAAGCACGTTGAACGTGAGCGAGACATACCAGAGCTGACGATCTCTTGCCTCGATCCAGCATACACGGAGCCTGTTGTTCCGAAACCCCTGGTTGTGTCTGCTCCAGCGTTGTCACTATCCCCTGTGCGTTCTGTCCAGACCAACCCAGTGAAGTCCCTGCCATTTGCGATTCCTACGGTGGCAGACCTATCCACCCAGACCGAGGCAACAGAGTCCAAGGCTGCAAGGACCGGCGTGATCGTTCACGAAGACGAGCCTACCAGCGTCGCTCTTGGCCACACCAGTACAATGCACAGCGATCAGCTCGCTGCTGGGCTGGCCTTGAACGATATCTCCGGCAACGCCATTTCTCGTTCCGCTAGACAGCAGTCTAGTTCGGTGAGCATGGATCAAGGATCTCAGACAATTCTGTCTTCCAACCAAATAGACCAGATCCTTATGGATCGTGGGTCCTCGCGTCCACTATCTTCTGACAGCGAGGTGACGGACGAATCACGGGAGATTGCCGGTGTCACTACGTATGCGACACCCAAGGCTCAGTCTCGGCCACGTCTTTCACAAATTCAGAGTGTGAAGTCAACCACGCCAAACAACCGCCGACCTCCCAGCGCTACCAGCCATACCTCTGGCACCAGCGCTCACCCCCCACTTCCTCAGGATCACCGGGAGGCTATCACTGCGGCCGAGAAGAAGTCAATCGACGTGGCCCCACCGTCTCCAACCTCTGTGATGGGGCCTCCGTTGGCACCTGCTTCTGCCTATCGCATGAACTCCCAGCGCCCAATCACGCCAAGCGAACATGCCGTTCGTACTGCCTCATCGAGAACTGGTTCTTCACAGGCCAGAATGAGAAGAGGAAGTGCCAGCCAGATGTCTCGACGATCCTCCGTGTCGTCTTTCGCGTCCGAGCTCGAGGAGCGTTTCAATATGAACCCTCATGCTGGCCCTGGCCCCATGCCTCAGGGCTACGGACCTAATACGGATCCGCGCATGATCCAGGCAATCACCCAGACGATGATCGGCGAGTTCCTTTGGAAGTACACGCGCAAGACTGGCTCAGCCGACATGTCCACCACCCGGCACCGACGGTACTTCTGGGTGCACCCGTACACTCGTACGCTGTATTGGAGCTCGCAGGATCCACAGACCGCTGGAAAGACCGAGCTTCGCACCAAGAGTGTTCCCATCGAGGCTGTACGAGTGGTTGCTGATGACAACCCGTATCCTCCTGGTCTTCACTGTCGGAGCTTGGAGGTCGTCAGTCCCGGGCGACGTGTGCGGTTCACAGCTGCGACGAGTCAGAGGCACGAGACATGGTTCAATGCCCTGTCTTACCTTCTTGTGAGAGAGTCACCCGACACCGGTGACGACAACAGCGTGACGCTCGATGACATCAATGAGTTCAATCCTCCTAGCTTCCGGTCTGGTTCTCGCCAGACAGCACGGATGTCCTTCTCGTCCCATAACAGTCGCACCGCTCGCAATGCGCCCAAGCAACAGCGAGCGGCCTCGGCGATGTCCATGCGATCCGTTGGCACCCATGGCGGACGTGCATCACCGGCGCTCAGCTCACCTGTACCAAACTCGTCTTTGCAAATTCCTGACGGCCAACGCTCATCGTCACGACTAAGCACCATCTCCAGTTCGATTCGTGGGTCCATCGCAAGCTTAAAGGGACGACATGGGCAAGCTCCTAGTGTCCATGATGAAAGTCTTCATGGGCAGGCAAGTGCCGATGATCTCCGACACGTGGTCGAAGCACAAGAACAAGCTCGGCTTGAGAATGTCCGTGCCTGCTGTGATGGCAAGCACGATGTTGGCTCGCTTTCTCGCATCAGTCGGTACAGTCCGAGGGTTGACCGCATCCACTCACCCAATCGCCACTGAGCAACGTCCTTTCGAAGTTGGAATTTGTTCTTAGGGTTTGTGGGCCGGTCCTCAACCCGGACTCGAGTCACTCATAAAGATAACGACGAGTCTCTTTTCTTCTGTCTCTTGTCCAACCAGAAACCCTTCTAATACTGTTTGAGTTTGACTTATTTCACACGAGCGTCCTGTTTTCATCCAGAACGAGATATTATCTTACGTGCTTGCGCATCTTGGGGGCTCCAATCATCCCGGACAGCTTCCTCATCCCATTTCTTACACTTTCCCTTCACCCACGATCTTTTCTTTCCTTATTCTCTACAGATCTCAACTCTCCCGCTGTCTGTCTCTGCCCTTCGTTCAATCATTCGAGCTGGCGTCCTGCTGGAACGTTCTTCTCTATCCGAGTCTGCTATTCTCTATATTTTCCTTTTATGTTGATAACTTTCGTGATCACCACAAGTCTTCATATTTGTATCGATAGGCTACGCTCTTTCTTCCTCTGTCATGACCATCTTTGGCTATTTGTGCAATCTGCAGCAGACCCGGTTAGATGTTAGTCAATGTTCACTTCTGTTGGATTACATTCGTCCGATTCGACATCTCAATCACTAGTACGATATGCGACCATAACCGAGGTATTCACCGGATAACCACACCAGCGCCATCCACGTATTCACCAGATCCCAGGGCCAGCCTCTTCATATCAGAGAGGGGAATTCTCCCATAAGCCGGCAACGCCCGGGGTCACGTGAGGTTTATCCGCGCCCTAATTAGCCGCTTCTCACATCCTCTGCCGATCTTTCAAAGATCTTTAGTTCTTTACTACATACATCGATACATAAACGTCAACCAAATTGGATCTTCGTATACTCCAGGCATCATCACATCACTATGTCAACTGAAAGCCCCCCACCTCTGTTTGAGCGAATGCTCGGAATGTTGGAGCCGGCGCAGCTCCTGGCTTGGGCGATGTCACGTAAGTACAGATGCCGAAGATATGCCGAACGCCCTCAATATCCGTACGAGGACTTCGATGACATTGTTATGCTTTTTCTCCTTCTTTTTACCCTTTCGTCCCCATCTTGCGTATCGAAGTACCTCCCTTGGGCTTTCCATTCCAATGTTTTTCTCTTATCTCAGTAGACATAATATTGCGCAATCATCAGCACAAATTACCATCTTTTTCTATAACAGAACACATCACTAACACCAACACAGACTACATCCGCGTCTGCTCTGAAGCCGTCTTCCAAAATGGGCAGCTATTCGCGCCAATTACTCAGACCCGCAGGCTGCGCGACGAAGCATTCGGCAGATTCTGGATCGAGTTTACATGTAAGTACCAGCCAGCGACAACGCAAACCAAAGTCGGTCGTTTCACCATAAGATCTTTAAAAGAAGCATCAACAAGTAGCAGAGAAAAGCCAGAAAAACAGAGAAACAGAGAAACAGAGAGACACAATTCCTAACTCCCATAACAGCACCCCGGCAAATGTCCTCAGACCCAACCAACACAGAAATCCCCGAACCAGTCGGTTCCTCAGCCCTAATCCCCCCTCTCCTGCGCACAGCAACCGGGACCGTCCTCGACATCGGACCAGGAACCGGCACGCAAATGCCCCTACTAACCTCCCCGTCCATAACCGCCCTCTACGGCGCAGAGCCCTGCATCTCACTCCACAGCACACTCCGCGCAACCGCCGCCGCAGCCGGCATCGCCTCAAAATACCACATCCTGCCCAGCGGCGTGGCAGCCAGTGACCTCCTCCCCGCGCTGCGGGCCACGAACACTGGCGTCGTGGACCAGTACGACGCGGATCCGCGCGCAGGCATCTTCGACACGATCCTGTGCGTAAGGGTTTTGTGTTCTGTGCCGGAGATGGAGCGTACGGTGAAAGAGCTTTATGGGATGTTGAAGCCGGGCGGTAGGCTGCTGGTTACGGAGCATGTTGTTAATCCGTGGAAGAGGGCGAAGGGGTCGCTTTTGGGGAGGATTGTGCAGGGGGTTTATCAGGTGCTTGGGTGGAGTTACTTTATTGGGGATTGTTGTTTGGATAGGGATACTGAGAGGGTTTTGAGGGGTGTTGCGGATGTTGATGGGGGGTGGGAGAGTGTTGAGTTGGAGTCGGCTTTTGAGTGGTCGGCTATGCCGTATATTTCTGGGACGTTGGTTAAGAAGATGGTTTAGATTTAGTGGTTTTATCTTGGGAGAGGTGCTATGGACCTAGGGAGGAGTGGGTTTGTGTTTTGTATTTGATATTGGCATAGGCTAATCAGTATATGTGCGCTGAGCTAGCTATGCATCCTTCATCAATGCATGTGGGTATCATTGTTTTTTTCGGTTCTATAGATGCGTATTGTCATCAAGATGGGCTTGAGACTTGGGGTTTAGTTCAGATGAACAGACAGTATAAGCTTCACAGGGAGATTTCTTAGATCCACCCCGGGGTTCTCACGAGGCTGTAATACCACGCCGAGTACGGAAAACGGACCTGCCATCTATTTCATAGAGGTTAAATCCGCCTTATTATTGTCAATAATTTCATGCACGGCAACAAATCAATCCGTTGGTTTCGGTCGACCGACAGGCCAGAAAGCGAACAAATCTAAGGCCTCTGATGTCCAGGGGCCTTGCTCCCTGAGCTCGTTCTCCTTGGTAGATGTGTGCATTGGTCTTCCTTCCAATGCAGTCGGGTCAGATATCGATTTACGCAATGACGGATTGAGAGACCTTTTCCCTGCCAAGCCTCTGATAGTCGCGGGTGACTTGAACCCCGATCCATCTATTATCTCGTCGAAGACAGATTGGGTCAAGGTCGAGGGCGTGAATTCCTCGTTCGCCGTGGATGAATCACCTGGAGCGACGGCCGGCCTGCACAGGTATGAGTATCATGATATTGATCTATGGGTCGGCACATACTGACGGTTGCTCTGATGGTTCTGTGACACGCTGACGGTTGGCACTACCAGAAGGTGTATCTGAGGCCGCGGGAGATGGAGTTCGTGAGGAACCGGGCAATAGAGCGCTGTACATCAGCTTTTTGCGTGGCTTTCCGGCTCCCATACGTAGGGCAGCCGTGGGCCCCGTAGTGGGGAATGCTGAGGATGGACGGGATGGAGGTGGCATGCTGGTTGGGGGTGGCATGCTGGTTCGAGGTGGCGCGCTGGTTGTAGGTGGCGCGCTGATGGGAGGTGAAGGGCGGGTTGGAGGCGGAACGTTAGATGAAGTTGAAGCGCGAACCGAAGACGATATCCCGGTTGGAGCTTCGATGTCTTCGGGTTGGATAGGGCGCACATTGTTAGTAGCCACGCGCACCGGTACCTGTGGCGTAGATCGACGGTCAGGTTGCTTGGGCGCAGCTGAAAGTGAGCTCCTCGAAACTGTCGGAGGATCAGACTGTCGGTGGCCGACGGGAGCCGATGCACTACTCTTCGAGGAATTTTCAGAATTGATCGAAGATCGACCGGCAGGTGAAGTTCTTTGGATCCTCGCTGTATCTACCTCTGGAGGCATGCCTGAGAGGTGGCTTTTCGATGGAAGGATATGGGGTCTCGGCGGCGGCGGCACATCTTTCGATTTACCGCCTGCGAGTCGTGCAGACTGACCAGCCCCAGTAACTGTACGAAATAGCGTCTCTGGTGGAGGCAGACTGGAATCTGGATCTGGCTCCGATGAAGTTGGGGCAGGGACCATTGAATGAGAGGAAGGATCGGGCCGCGTTGGCCGAGTGTGTTTCGACTGAACTGCTGGCCTCTGCTGACGATTTGCCGGAAGTACATCGGCCGCAGAGTCACCGCCGACTCTGGGCGTTCGATATCTCAAGGAGCTTGGGTCTTGCCTTGCAGATGCTCCAGGGGTAGAATCAGTCAAATCAATGACTTGACTCTGTGCACGCGGGCCTTGCTGCAGGCTTCGATTCGGCGTCGAGGATGTCTTCTGTCGCTTCGGTTCTCGTTCGGGCTCTCGAGTATTTGAGCTTGGGCGTGAGGCATTTCTTTGCTCGTATGGAGACACCAAATGCCCGATTGGGGTTTTCTTGATGCCCAGCAAATCGTTAAGTGACCGAAACGACTGGGACCCACGAATAGGGGCGGAGGCGGAGGCGGATGCGGGGGTAGAGGTAGAGACGCGAGGAACTTGTGGCGTCGGCGCTCTGGTCTGCGGTGAGCCCTGGCTGGGCGTCTTCTTCTCGTAAAGTGTTGAGATATCCGTCTCGGTTGTGCCCATGTTTTCAGTCACTTCTATCAGAACTCCCTTATCCAGTTCCATTTCGTCCCCATCCTGGACCTCATCGTTAGATCGCCAGTGATGGTCACCGATAAAGTTGCCTTGGTCGTCGTAGACCATGACCCGTTTATTGAACTTATGGTATCGTAGGTAGCCATCGTGCCATCGTTTGGACTTGCGGCGCAAGTCGTGAGTGTACAGGCAGCGAAACTTCACAACTGATGCAGTCACCTGCGGAGAGGTCGGTGTGAGATGTGCAGTTGATGATGGCGTCGACATCATGTCAACAGCGGGAAGACCTAAGACCCGATCTGATCATGGTCGCCTTGTACAAAGTTGCGAATCGATGTCGCGTCCGGTGGAGAGTGGAAAACGCGGGACGCGATAGCGATAAGCGGATAAGCTATCTATTGCAGCCTCAGGAATCAACTTTTGAGCGTCAAGGATCATTCTAGACTAATCCTGAAACAGACTAGTGCCATGCAATCTGGCCCCACCCTCGCCCTCAATCAGGTAAGGTCTAAACTAAGATCCCGAGATCTGAACAGATGTAGATACATTTGGTGAGCTGTATAGGTGCGTTTTAATGGGGAGTTAGTTCGAGACGCGTCATATAGTTCCATTTTCCAGGTTGTACATGGTTGGAGATCATAACCCATAACCCACGGGCATGAGAGGGTAAAACACAACTGGCAAAAGATCGAAAGAATTGCCGTATCTGCGGGGCAGACTGTTCCACCACCGTCAGACGGTCTCACTCACTCTGACCCCGCGCCGACACCTCCATCGTACGTTGTATATGTTGTACAGTGTTTAAATCAGATTATCAGATCCATCACTTCCAGTATAGAGTGCCTAGCCAAGAAGCCACTCATACATAATCATGAAGACTCCAGTCACAGCTCCGTTCGGCCAATGGAAGAGCCCAATCAGCTCTACCTTGCTTGGTGCTGACGGTGTTCTTTTTGAATCGGTCGCGGTATGTTCAACGTCGAAACTGAGAGGAGACCGAATGCTAACGAATTCTATAGACATCCAATGGAAAGGTCTATGTCGTTGAGGGCCGACCCAAAGAAGAGGGCCGAGGCTGCATTGTCGATTACTCTGGCCCTGAGGCGCACGATATCTTACCTACGAAGTATATGCCCCGAGATCCAGCAATGCATATATTAGAAAGCTAATGGAATATATTCAGTTATGATGCTGGTACCAAGGTTCATGAGTATGGCGGCGCCTCGATGATCGCTTTCAATGGGTATATTGTCTTTACCGATCGAAAGGCACAAGATCTCCATAGACTTGATCCCTCGACTGGCCAAGTGGAGCAGATCACCAAGACTGACGCTGCCCTTCGCTATGCTTGTACATCCGCTACAGGCTCTTTGGCAGACGAGCAGCCTGGATGGCTCTTGGCGATCGAAGAAGACCACTCCAAGCCCTCGCCATCAGAAGTGCGTAATCGACTTGTAGCGGTCAACCTGCAAACCAAGGAAATTGTCAATGTCGCCTCCGGTGATGATTTCTATAGCGCTGCTCAATTTTCCCCCGATGGCAGCAGGGTATGTTGGACCCAGTGGTCTCATCCAGATATGCCATGGACAGGAGCCCGCTTGTATGTGGCCAAATGGAACAATGGTGAGGTCGCAGACGTTCACCTTCTGGCTGGTGCTCCTGAGAAAGAGAGTGTTAGTCAGCCACGATGGGGTGTTGATAACACATTGTATTACACAAGCGATGTTTCAGGCTATTGGCAGCTCTACAGATGTCATATTGACACACTACGATCCGAAAGGGTAGCCCTTGATGGCCTGGAAGATGTGGACTTCTCGCAGCCTGATTCGCGTTTGGGAAAGTACGTTCAAGAACTCGAGGATGCACCTTGTTAGTTGCATGCTGACCTTTATTTTCTTGCTCCAGCTGCACATACGTCGGACTGACCCAAACATCCATGATTGCGTCGTACACAAAAAACGCTCGTTGGAGTTTCATACTGATTGATCTGTCCAACGATTCATGGCAGGAGATGAACATACCGGTGACGGATACGATCATGTTGGCAGATACTCCACTGTCGGAAACTAAGATCGCCCTTCTTGGCTCAAGTGAGACAAGCTTGAACACTTTGTTCACTTTGGACATCGCCGAAACCGCCAAGCTCGATGCGCTCAAAGTAACTTCTGAGTTCCGCATGCCAGTCTCCCTAATCTCGAAGCCGGAGCATTTTTCCTTCCCAAGAGTACATGGTGAGCACCTGGAAGGGAAGGCGCATGCCATCTTCTACCCACCTCAGAACCCAGATTACCAGGCACCTTCCGGCACATTGCCACCTCTGATTGTGTGCCTTCATGGCGGGCCAACGTCTCAAACCGGAACTGGGCTGAACATTACGGACCAATATTGGACTTCTCGAGGTTATGCTGTTGTCTGGGTGAACTATGGAGGTAGCTCCGGTTACGGCCGAGCATACCGGGATATTCTGAATGGGCAATGGGGTGAGTATTCCGTCCTCCTTATAGCATGGATATCTCGGCCTTTCCCCTGATGCTAACCGACCATGAATAGGAGTCCTGGACACAGCCGATACTGCTAGCTGTGTGTCATACCTAGCATCGAGCGGTCGAATCGATCCTAACGGTGTGGGCATACGGGGCGGAAGCGCAGGTGGCTACATCGTACTCCAGGCCCTTTGCGATTACCCCAGTCTCTTTGCAGGCGGCAATTCGTTGTATGGGATTGGCAATGTCAGGGCTCTCTGTGAAGATACCCATAAATTCGAGAGCCACTACGCATTCGCCCTATTGTTTGAGCCCGGTGCGAGCGAAGACGATAAAGCCCGCATCTTCCGTGAGCGTAGTCCTTGCTTCAAGGCAGACAAAATCACCGCGCCATTGTTGTTGCTTCAAGGAGACATGGACCGGGTTGTTCCTCTGAACCAGGCAGAGGAAATGGTCGAGGTGATGAAGAAAGCTGGTCGAGAAGCTAAACTGGTCATTTTCCGAGGGGAAGGTCATGGCTTTAGGCAGGCGAAGAGTCGAATAGACGCCGTGGAAGAAGAGGAGAAGTGGTGGAAGAAAGCTTTGTTGGGAATGGGGGAATAGAATTCCAACGACGAGTAAGAGGTCTGTGGACCTTTATTGAAGTCGATTTTGAGGATTGTATCCTTTCACAGGTTGGAATATTTGGGCTCTTCAAAATAGGAAACCTGTCCTGGTATTTGTTGGTTCGTGGATGTAGAACGCCCTAGGTGGTGGACTGTGAAACACCCTTTCAAAGCTATCGTATATAGTGGTGGGATTAGTGGGGAGGATCAACAACTATATATTGGACTATAGATCTTGGCTGGCGGTCTGGTGTCAGCGAGATTCCCATTTCCTTCGCATGGATGCCTAATGGCGGCTAAATGAGGATCTGAAACACGATTGCGACAGTACGTACCAATGTTTGTTAGCAGAAGCGTATGAAGTCGGTCTCATGTGCTAGTTAGCGCACAGGCTCTTACATGCTAGTAGATGCAGTGTATCTCGTGACGTCCCAGCTGCCCTAGTTATGCGTCGTTATTCGTTAGGTAAAGAGGGCCTAAAAAGACAGAGGAGGAATCACCCCCGGGGAGATATACTCAGAAAAAAGCGGGTCCACAAGGGATGCAGCAACTTGTCTGATAAATCTTGAATCTCCTTCAATCTCAAGTTTCGTCAATCGTCAATTCTCTAAACGTTCAGCTCCTCACTTACCTGAACTTGACTGACTTGTCCGAACATCGTTGATTTGAAGCCGAAGATATCAAAAGCGACGGTTGCTCGGGTGATCTTCAGCTCCGACTTGCGGGAGAAACAAACTTCCCCACTCGACATAATTTCCCCCCTTTGTGCTTGTCTGATCTTCAGTCCGAATCGGAAACCGAATCTTTGAGGCTTTTCCACCTTAGTGATTTGCTTCTGAACCCTGCGGTCATTTCCGATAACCCCACTGTTGTCAATCGGCCCTGAATGTCTCCGCCATAATGTTGACGGTTGAGAAGCAATGGATTAACGTGCAACAAAAGACCTTCACCAAATGGTATGTAGTCTGCCCCCGCCTTACCTCGCCGCATGATGCAAGGAACCCTAGTTGACCATACTAGGCTGAATGACAAACTGAAGGCGCGGAGTTTGGCCATCGATGACTTGGTCACTGACCTCTCCGACGGTGTATGTGCTCACTTCTACCCCGCCAATGTCAATTTGCTGATCGCGTGGCCTGGTATAGGTCATTCTCATTCACCTCCTCGAAATCCTAGGAGGAGAGTCCCTCGGTCGATACGCATCAAAACCCAAACTGCGCGTACAACGATTCGAAAATGTGAACAAAAGTTTGGATTTCATCAAGGGAAGGAGAATTCAGATGACGAATATTGGAGCTGAGGATATTGTGGATGGTAATCAAAAGATCATCCTGGGGTTGATTTGGACCTTGATTCTGCGGTTTACAATCAGCGATATCAACGAGGAAGGAATGACCGCCAAGGAAGGTCTGCTACTTTGGTGTCAACGAAAAACAGCATGCTACGATGAGGTAGAGGTTCGGGACTTCTCCTCTAGCTGGAACAACGGCTTGGCCTTCTGCGCACTTCTCGATATTCACCGACCGGATTTGATCGACTACGAGGCGCTAGACAAGAGCGACCACCGTGGGAATATGAAACTGGCCTTCGACATCGCATCCAACGAAATCGGCATTCCTGACCTGCTGGACGTGGACGATGTCTGCGATGTAGCTAGACCTGATGAGCGCTCCCTCATGACCTATATTGCCTACTGGTTCCATGCCTTCTCACAACTGGAAAGAGTCGAAAATGCCGGACGCCGAGTGGAGAAGTTTGTGAACAATATGCACGGTGCGTGGGACATGCAGAATTCGTACGAGCGCCGAACAAGGGAACTATTGCGACTGATTCGCGCCCAGCGCGAGCACTGGAAGAATTCCACATTTGAAGGAACATACAAGGATGCCAAGGAACAGTCATATCAGTTCTCGCTCTACAAGCGGAGCGACAAACGCCAATGGGTAGCTGAGAAATCTGATCTGGCTGCTTTGTTGGGCAATATCAAGACGAAACTGGGTACATATCGTTTGCGCCCTTACGATCCACCCCATGAGCTGAGTCCAGAGAATTGCGACAAAGAGTGGGAGATCCTTACTCGGGATGAACATGAACGCAGCCAACTTATTAACGAAACAATCCGCGACATCAAGAACAAATTGCGCCGCTCCTTTGCCGACAAGGCAAATGACTTTGCACTGACATTGAAGACGCTGTCTTTAGCAATCTCTGGGTTGGATGGTGAAGTTGAGGACCAGCTTCATCATGTCAAGATGCTGAACGATAAATTGCCGCCTCTTGACGCCTTCCTCGATACCATTGCAGAAGTAGATCAACAGTGTGCAGAGGCTAATATCGAAGAAAATGACTTCACCACATACACTTTGGACGAGCTCGCATACGAGCTAAGTCTCGTCAAGTCCAGCATTTCCAAGAAGCTGGCTTTCCTTGACAACCAAATGGTTGCTCGCAACATGACTAACCTGACTCCTATCCAATTGGAAGAGTTCGAATCGGTCTTCCGCCATTTCGATCGCGACTCTTCCAACACACTTCAGGAGCTTGAGTTCTCCGCCGCACTGGCCAGTCTAGGACTTGTCTATGACGAGGAGGAGATGCACCAGGTTTACGTCCAAGTTTGCGGGCAACAACGCCTGTCGCAGAATGCCGGTGTCAGCTTTGAGCAATTCATTACATTCATGGTCAGCGTGACAGAAGACCAGAACACTGCCGAACAAGTCTTCCAGAGTTTCAAGGAAGTCGCTGATGGCAAGGTATGTGAAGCCTTTCTTTGATTCTTCAATGTCACGATCTACAGTTGTTAATCTTTACTGTAGCCTTACGTGACAGAACTTGATCTCCGACACTCGCTCATCCCAGACGATGTGATTGAGCATTTGGTCAAGACTATGCCCCCACACGACGGCCCCGATCTACTCGAGGACCGCGAGTTGCCCAAGTACGACTACATTAGCTTCATGGAAAAAATGCGAGAAGTGGGCCAAAACAATGAGCAATAATTAGTGTCATGGAAGTCGATATTTTGCGCAGCATTACCGGTGATTATGGGGAATTTGCACTGGCTTGGTGTTGCTGTGTTTCTTGGTGTTTCTGGGGAGAATCTTCATGTGTATCTAAACTCGTTCTCTCCCTCTGCTTTTTCCAGCTTCGTCTTGCATCCTGGGGTTAGGTGGTTGTTCTCTGTTACTACTTATTTTGTGATGGTATTGTGTATGCTTTTCCGTTTAATGATCAGGATACCAGGTGAACGTATTCGCCTTTTGAGATCATCGGTGGCCATGGCGCCGGGCTTGAGCAAGTGAAGATAGTCAATTCGAGAGAAATCAAATTATCAAAGGTCATAAACAGTAGATTTTCGGCGCATTGTTGACTGTTCAAAGTCAAGTGAACAAGAGGTCAACAATAATGCTCTAACGGAGTACTCCGTAGGAAGTGGGACGTCGATCATTGCTACATTTAACCTGGCACGTGACTGCCCCCAGATCCGCCTCGGAGATGAAGTTGATCCTGCGGCTCATTGTACTCTTTGACCACTCGTCCTTGCTCTGATAACTTTCTTTCAACGCCAATCTAATCTAGAATTATTGGCAGTCTATCTCTTCCTTTCTTTTATCATTCCTTTCAAATCGCATTTTCCGCCACATATTCCAAGATGGACCGCAGCTTGGACGAGATCATCGCGGAAGATACGGTAAGGCTCCAGCGAGCAAACTAATTGAGTGTACGACTGACATGATTATCTCGCAGCGAAACCGCGGCCGCACCTCAGGTGGCGGTGGTGGTCAGCGTCGCCGCAACAATCCCGGCCGTCGCCACGAGCGCGATGGCGTCAGAAAGGTATGTCGAACCGCACTCGCAACTGAGGCTGCGATCCAGAGTCACATTGGCAAGGCAGCGGCACTAACATGATGTTGTCTTTAGGTCCGCCCTCCTCTTCCTCCTCTGCGAAGTCTCCTCTTGCTCCGTGACAATCGTAGCCAGTCCTTCGGATCGCTGGGACTCGACGTACAAATCACGGCAAAGACATGGACCAGGACTTTGCACGGTATCTCATCTGGCCTTGGAGCTAACGCTAAGTCTTCCAATAACAACAGTCATACTCCGCAGACCGTGTTGACCTGAATACGTGATTATGCCTCCCTGATACCATGGTAAGCAACTTACTGACAAGCCTTTAGGGACTGGGTCCACGACAAATTCGACGACGATAGATGTATGTGGCTTTCCCACGTCAGCCGGACTTTCTAACAGCATATGTTCAGCCCGCTCCTCCCGTGGAGTCCGCAGAGGTCGCGACGGACCAGACTCTGATCGGTATGGAGACTACTTAGGCATGGGCCTTTGCCTCATCAGACTACTAACTTGTTCAATAGCACCAGCTCACTCACCAAGGTTCGTGTGGAGAACCTCCACTACGACATCACCGAAAGCGATCTCGAGGTATGTCCAACCGAAGTTTGACACAACAAGACCAATTCTAATAATGTCTTTCCTTAACAGGATCTCTTCGGCCGGATTGGACCTGTTTCTGAACTCACTCTCAATTATGACCGCGCTGGACGCTCCGAGGGAGTCGCTTACGTTACTTATGAGCGCCTGAAGGATGCACACACTTCTATTCGGGAATATGACGGAGCCAACGCCAAGGGCCAGCCCATCCGTCTCTCACTCATTCCCGGCCGTCGTGAGCGCAACCCCCTCGATTCCGCCCATCACGCCAGATCCAGCCTCATGGACCGCGTTGAACGTCCCCGTGATACGCGTAGCTTGAGCCCCCGATCTGATGACGGTGGCCGACGCCGTCGGGGTCGCGGTCATCGTAGCGACGTCACCAGACCCGCTCCCGAGAACATCGACCGCTACGTCCCCGGAGACCGCTCCAACCGCTCACCCAACCGTCGCAACGGAGGCCGACGCCATGGTGGTGGTCGCGGCAACCGCGGACCGACTGGGCCCCGCTCGGATGGCCGCCCGCGCAAGACCCAGGAGGAGTTGGACCAAGAGATGGAAGATTACTGGGGTGGTGCGAACACTGGCGCCGACGAAGCGGCCGCGCCCGCCCAGGACGCCCCTGTGCAGGCTGCCCCGGCTGCCAGCGCGCCTGCTGCTGACGACGACATCGATATGATTGAATAAATTCTCCTTTCTCATTCGACCTGGGGGAGTTCGCTTGCTTTGAGGATTCTTGATACATTGGGTCTACAACGAACATTGCTTCGATCTTTGTCATGAAACGAAACATACTCGACGTTCTTTTCACTTCTTCATTACTTTTCCATTGCTGAGGCTTCTCGGCTCCAGAGCTGAGATCCTGTACTTTACCACCACCAAATTGTAACTGGGTTCATATTCATCCTCTTCCTGCTCCTTTGTACAGCACTCTTGCGGGATTTCACTTCCTTCCATGATCGTCTCTCATCCCATTTCGTGCGCTGGCGAACTCGGAGCACTGGTCTGATACTCAAATCTCGGTTTACGGCTGCATCAATGGTGTTCCTCCGGTCTTTTTCTGTTTTTTTTGCTGGGTCAGCAGAGGGAATGGACAATAGCTGCACAAATGCTATGCTCAGTGGGTAACTCGCAAGCTTTCTTTTCGGTCGTGAGCCATCTCACTAGCCCGTGGACAAAGAATGAGAGACTGCAGGTCACAGCCAGTGATGGCTCCAAATAAGGATAGATAAGCACAAATAATAGTGGGAAAGCTTTTCTGCGGTCTTTTTCTGATTTTGTACACTGTCACTATTATCAAGCTTGAGGGTTTCACCTCCACAGCCCGTAAGGGTCCCGGCAGGCTTTCCACAACTTGATAGTTCCATCCTCGCTACCCGTTCCGTAAAGCTTGCCATCGGGGGAGAAAGAAATAGACCAGATAGGGCCATGGTGACCCTTTTGCACCTCTGCCGAAGGTTAGCATCACTCTGCACTTGAACAAGCAACAAAAGCCACAAAAGTAAGGAACATACCGAGCTCCTCATCTGTATTCAAATCGTAAACCCGCGCCCAAGTATCATTCGCGCTTCCCGTAACCAATCGACCAGACTCGCTGTTAACCGCAGCACTAGCAACGTCATACTCATAATCGACCTTCTTAAGCAATCGACCCGGCTGCACACCATCAAACAGATAAACACTCTTCCCAGCAGCAACAGTCAAAATTCCAGCATCATTAGGCCGAGTCGCAAGACTGTTCAGCTCACAGGAACCGATCGTACCATCAACAGCATGCTCAACGATCGGGCGTCGCGAGCGAAGGTCCCACCAGCGAATCTTACGGTCTTCCGCCGCAGTGGTGATGACATTGTAATCCTGGTTCCAGACGATGGACTTGATCGTGCCGCCGTGCACGCCCGCGCCGATCTCATAGCTCGCTGGCGCGTTCTCTGTCACCGGGCTGGTTGGTGAGCTGCTGCTACTACTGCCGCCGCCGCCGGCTAGGTCGAAAATGCGCAGCTTCTTCTCTGCGCCGCCTGTGGCGAGGACTTGTGGGTTGGCTTGGATGGGGAATGCTACTGCTCGCACGATGTGTGCATGTTGCAGTGTGTGTAGGCATTCGCCTGTGTAGGTGTCCCAGACCTTGCTGTTTGGTTTGTTTGGTTAGTTCATGTTACCGTTACCTCCAGCTGTGAGGTTTAGAGTTGGAGACGGGGGTGTTTGCATACGCTGAGAAATCGGCTGCTGCTGTTGCGGAAATGGCGGCATCGGCCGAAAGCCTTGCTTGCCATACGGCGCCTTTGTGGCCAAGGAATGTGCCGATCCTGGAGGTTGGGTTAGTTTTCCTGGGCTTTCGGACGAGGCTTTTTAGCTGGCGTACCAGTCTCCCGTGATGCCATCACGGAGCATGGGGTTGTTGTCTGTGGATGGTTAGCTGCTGATCAGGTATGTTGAAACAGGCTTAAGGTAATACCTTTGCAGGAAGAGATGAAGTAGTACTGGTCATCTTCCACGGTGGACGAGAAGCTCAAATGCGTCACCGGACGTGAATGTCCGTGGCAAGTCAGAGGGACCACCTTGGGGATATCTGTCAAAGCCATGTCAGTGAACATGCCAATATCATTTTTGCGAGTCAGAGCTAGACTAGTCACTTACCGGCAGCCATTTTGATAATGTCGAAGGAGAGATTTGGATGTTGATATTAGATGGCCTATCAACTCAGCGTAGCGATGTGTGTCCAACGGAGAGCGCACAACTGAGATCAAGATACAAATCCAGGAAATAGACCCAGAGGAAGTTCAATATGTCTAGTGAATTGAAAGTACTTAAGAGATTCGTCAGAGTCGTCAAGTCATCAAACAGAGACGTGGGGTCGAGGGAAGAGCTGAGACCAAAGGACCGAAGAAAGTGGGATGGGATTTTGTTCCACCACCTTGAAGCCTTTGAAGGAGAGAAGCTCTCTACTTGAAGACTTCCTTGAGCTTGGTGTCGATGGGAATATCGAATTTGAATTTCGAACAATAACGGGCGTTAGGTAAGAGGATACGCGCTAGTCTTGTTTAGGCATAATTGAGACACGTGAGGCTCGTGCTTAAACGACTTGGGACAACGGCCTTCAACTGTGCTTTCACTGCAGTCTTGCTGTGAACGAATAATGAAACTTGGTGAGTGTAATCGATTCAAATGGTTCTTGATTCTCTGTGCGATTGTGCTTTGTTTGTACCTCGGTTCATCCTCGGGTTTCAACGCCGATTTGCTCTCACGAAGATGCAGCAGAGACCTTCTCTGTTAGGGCATATTACAGGCGCCTTGTTGACTCCACCGATAGAAATCAAGCTCTTGAAGGAACAGAAGATGCCATTCTAGTTCGTTATAAGCTGGCCAGGGATTCATGTTTGAAAGGCGAGTCCCGCAAGGAAGCAGGCTGTCCTGGTAATCCTGCATGTAGACCACATATTCTCAGCTTGACGAGTCTTATCCAAGTAATCATAAGGATCTCCGACTGCATCGTGTCTCTGCTACTGCATAAAACCGCCTTCTAGCAGGTTCCCCCCAGATGGCGTTACCGCCCACGTGATGATTACTGATGGGCGGGGCGATCCCCCGGAACGATCAAAGGACAACAACATCCAGGGGAGCTTGATTGATCATTTATTCCGCGTTGATACCCTCGAGTTTCTACTTCATCCATCTCCTATCGTTTCCCTGTTCCCCCCTACAAGTTTTTATGTATGCCTGACTTCAAGCTCTCCGCAACTTTGGAGGGCCACGGCGATGATGTAAGGCTCCTTCCCAGCGTCAAGACAGACGCCAATTGACCGCGCACGAGAGCCACGCAAATAACTGACATTGCTCTTGTTTGACCTAGGTTCGCGCTGTGGTCTTCCCCAATCCCAACGTGGTCCTTTCAGCCTCTCGTGATGCTACAGTTCGTCTTTGGAAACTCGTCTCGACCCCGCCCCCCGCATACGACTACTTGATTGCTGCACACGGCACCGCCTTCATCAACAGCCTAGCCTATATCCCACCCACATCCGAATATCCAGAGGGCCTTGTTCTGTCAGCTGGACAAGATGCAATAATTGAAGCCAGACAGCCCGGTAAGGCTGCCGAAGATAATGCGGACGCAATGCTTCTGGGTCACACCTCCAACGTCTGTGCCCTGGATGTGTCTCCGAATGGCAGATGGGTTGTCAGTGGCAGTTGGGATTCTACTGCCCGATTATGGGAGGTCGGGAAATGGGAGTGTGCTGTTGTACTGCCGGAACACGAGGCAAGCGTTTGGGCCGTGCTGGCTTACGACGATAACACAATTATCACGGGTATCGTAACCTCGCTCCATTTGAAAAGGATTTTATGCTAACATTATTCCAGGCTGTGCTGATCAGTACATTCGAGTATACAACACCTCGGGAACCCTCCTCGCAAGCGTACAGAACTCGAATGACGTCGTCCGGGCATTGTGCAAGCTGCCTGCCTCGAATCCTACAGGCGCCAACTTCGCCACGGCTAGCAATGACGGAATAATTCGTCTTTACACACTGCAAGGTCAACTTGTCGCCTCTCTGCATGGCCATGAAAGCTTTATCTACTCGCTGGCTGCGCTCCCATCTGGTGAGCTGGTAAGCTCCAGTGAAGATCGTACTGTGAAGATTTGGAATGGGACCGAATGTGTACAGACAATTACCCACCCTGCAATCTCGGTATGGAGTGTTGCAGCCTGCGCAGAGACCGGTGACATCGTCACGGGTGCTAGTGACCGCATTGCTCGTGTCTTCAGCAGGAGTCCTGATCGTCATGCAACTCCGGACGCTATTCAGCAGTTTGACCAGGCCGTCAAGGAGTCGGCTATCCCAGAGCAGCAAGTTGGAAAGATCAACAAAGAGGAGCTACCTGGTCCAGAATTCCTCGCACAGAAGTCCGGAACCAAGGAGGGTCAAGTCCAGATGATCCGAGAGGCTAATGGTAGCGTGACCGCTCACACCTGGTCATCGGCAACACAGGAATGGGTCGCTATCGGCACAGTGGTGGACTCGGTTGGAAGCAGCGGTCGCAAGACCGAATACCATGGTCAGGATTACGATTACGTTTTCGATGTGGACATAGAGGATGGCAAGCCCCCACTGAAACTACCATACAACGTCTCCCAAAATCCATATGAGGCTGCCACCAAGTTCATTGGAGACAATGAGCTCTCTATGAACTACCTAGATCAGGTCGCCAACTTCATCACCCAGAACACTCAAGGTGCCACTATCGGACAATCCGCCCAGGAGCCTGCAGGCGCCGATCCTTGGGGATCGGACCGACGTTACCGCCCCGGAGATGCCGCGGCGTCTGAAGAAACCCAACAGCCACCGGCTCCCGAGCCACGCCCTAAGGTTCTCCCTCAGAAGATCTATCTCTCAATTCGCACAGCAAACCTCAAGGTCATCACGAAGAAGCTTCAGGAATTGAATGCAAAACTCGTGGCCGACGGGGCGAAAGACATAGCTTTGAACCCCTCAGAGATGGAAACGGTCGTTGCCTTGTGCAGTCAGTTAGAATCATCTCAGCAGCTCAAAACTTCGCCTGAAGTCGAGGCTGGGGTGCCCTTAATTTTGAAGGTCGCCACGACTTGGCCTGTTCCCAATCGACTGCCTGGTTTAGATATACTTCGTCTGCTGGCCGCGGCTGCGCCATTCACAGCATCGGCGGTGTATCAGGGCGAAAATGTCGTGTCGGGTGTGATATCCAGCGGTGTTTTCGAGGCCCCTCTTATCGTCAACAATGCAATGCTCTCTATGCGAGCATTCGCTAATCTCTTTGAGACGCCCGAGGGCCGCGATTTGGCTATGAATTCATTCGATCAGATCCTAGCGGGAGTGAAGCTTGCCTTGGCTAGCAGTGGAGATTCACCAAACCGCAACCTTACAATCGCCATCACGACACTGTACATCAATTTTGCCGTTTATCTGACCTCCGAGGGTAGGGGCCAATCCTCCGAATCGGCAGAACGCGGTCTTGTGCTCCTGGAGGAGCTGGTTCGGATCATTTCTGGGGAGAAGGACTCCGAGGCGGTCTACCGAGCACTCGTGGCGCTTGGCACACTTGTGGCAGTGCTCGGGGAGGAGGTCAAGAGTGCTGCTAAGGAGGTCTACGAGATTGAAGCTGTTCTCACCAGAACCTTGGCTTCGGGCGCAGGAAAGGAGCCGCGTATCAAGGGTATCGTTAGCGAGATCCGAGAGGTTCTTTAAGAGCTCGGTATATTCTACTTGGTTTGCATCGGCTAAAGAGACATGATTTCTAACGACGACAACGCAATTCCCATACAAAGACTATTCATTGCCTTCTCTTCTGCTGCATGCTAGATACCTAGGTTTAAACATGTTTTCGTGTTCGATTGAGTTGTAGCACCCTCAGTTATTCTACTACAGCTTGCCCTCGGCATCAACCCCGATCTCCAAAACTTGATCGACGCCCTGATACTTCGGCATATCAAGCCCGTATTTCTCCGCAATGTTCTTCGTCAAGAACCTACCACCAACAAAATGCCTGCCCCGGTAGTGTGCCACGCATGGCTTGGGTGCAGTCAAACTAATCAGTGCGCCTGGCATAAATTTCGCACCAGGACCTTCCTTTGGCGGTCCGCTCTGGACATCCCATGAGCTCGGGGCATCGACGCTCAGCACAGGAACGCTAGCGAACTCGATTTGCGAGACGATGTCGCCAAAGGGATCGCGCAATGGCCCACCAAAGGAGAAGCCGAAAATGGCGTCAATGAGGTAGTCTGTTGACTTTAAAGCTGATGGAAAGTCCGTGACGAAAGGGATTGATAGGTTTTGGAGTTGGGTTTTCAGGCGCTGGTAAAGCTCATTTTTGCCCTCTTTGGGGTAGTATACTGACGGTACATAGCCAAAGTGGGCTAAGTGCCGAGCGGCTACGAGGCCGTCTCCTCCTGGTGTATTGTTAGAGGCTGTTGTCGTTCCTATTGCTGCTGGCAGTTGTATGGGGTCCTTCTTACCATTATTGCCTGGTCCGCAGACTACAAGCACGTTCTTCCCCGAGTTGGGTGGGTGAACTCTCCATACTGGTTGCCCATTGTCAGTACGCCATGAGTACGGATTTAAGCTTGATGGAGCTTACCGGCTTCCGCGACAGACAGCCCCGCTAGCTCCATCAACTGGTCTAGAGACCAGCCGCCGGTCTCCATGAGGTCCTTGTCAAGCGAAGCAGCATCTTTGGCGGAGATTGCCTGGCGCAGTTGTGAGTTTAGATGCTCTCGTAAATAAATTAGAGAATCGAAGTATACCTTCAGAGACATAGTTGCTAGTTTACTGTAGCGACGAATGGGGCGAGGAATACGAAGACGAGTAAGCGTCGAACGGATCATACAGGTTTGTTTAAGTGAGACTCAGTTCATCGACCGATTGAATGAAGGATATTGACAGAAGTTGTCCCAATTAATCCAAGAACCAGCTCATCTACTGACGGTCCTCACACCATTACATCACCGATATCGCTAGTCCATTTTGGGTTGAACACGGATCAACAGTTCTTCCGCACCGCCCAGAACTTTTGCGGAGGACATCCGAGACCATCAAAAGGCCCAGCTTTTCGCCCTCATCATTTGGAAAAGCATCACACATCCGCCAAAATGGTCCTCCGGATTCGTCTCGCACGCTTTGGCAACAAGCACAACCCCTTCTTCAACATCGTCGTTGCGCAAGCCCGGTACGTGGTTTCTCCTCGTCAATTGATGTTTTCCCCGATCCGCCGGGCCCCCAACGCCAATCACTGCGGTCACGCAGTCTAGGGCCCGAAGTGCTTGGAATACACTGTGCTTTTATATAAGAAGAATTGGAACTGACGCTTTTCTCTTCAGCTCCGCCCGCGGCGCTAAGCCCCTCGAAGTCATCGGCACCTACAACCCCATCCCGAAACGTCCTACGAACCTGTACGAGGAGAATGCCAATGCGCGCCCATATAAGGAGATTGCGCTTGACCGCTCACGCGCAAAGTACTGGCTTGGTGTTGGTGCACAGCCGAGTGATCCCGTTTGGAAGCTGATGAGCATGGTAAGCTGGACCCTTGTTTCTGTACCCGCGAGAGTTTGAGGAACGGCGAGATTCAAGGGGTGCGGACGGCTATTGTCGGGAGGTTTTAGTCTCTGCAGACCTCATGGACTCATGATGGTTATAATCTGTCGATTGGGATTATGTTGGTATTATACGGATAGCTTTGCTAACTCTTGGTTGTCTCTAGGCTGGTCTCGTTGCACCGAAACCAACTACCTTTGACAAGGCATGAATTATCGGTGTTCTCGTGTCTGACTCCTTGCTTGTTTGAGGCCGCGTGGCGCGTGGCATGCTTGAACTCTACATTGTCGAGTCATATCAAGCTTTCTTCCCGCCGACGCTCTTTGTGTAATCGGCCGAACAACATCCGGGAACCTTGGAAAAGTCAAGCCATCGATGACGGGTCGACCGCCCTGGCGCTGGATTTTCTTTCTTTCTAGTCTCTTTTATTGGCATTTTTGGCGTTATTGAGTTGCCTTGTGGGAACCCTCTGTATATTATGTGGCAGCCTGACTGCCTCGATTCTACTATGTAAGCGGTAGATGAGCCGCAACATGAACATCTATTCACACGATCTGGATCTGTCCACCACATAAAATACCCAACACATTTCGACGAGGCACGTACCGAGGTATGTGGTTTGGCGTGTTACACTCCTTGTCCATAATTTGCTCATACAGGTGTTGAGTCATGAGGTATCAAAATCTCCTGAACCATACTCTTCATGTAGACAGCCCTCAAATCCTACTTCGTAGTTAATGTCATGGGGAGATTGTATTTGCCTGTCAACCATAAAAGCCAAAACACCTGACGCGCCTATGACCGCTCCAGGCACACGTTTTGTAGAGCTAACAGAGCCCCTAAGTACTTAGCTTCTCTCCACGGCCCAACCAAACGAACCATCGCCCCCTCGATAAGCCAAAGTCATTTCCCATCCGCAGCCAATCCCATGTGTTACCGGGGTTAGGCCCGTGGCAATTGGTCAGCAGCCCTGGAGGATCGTCAGTTTTTGACTTTCGTGATTCCATGGATGTATCAAATCTACTGCGTAGTGAAAAGTCCGGTGATTATGTCGTAACTATATGTAGGTGAGTTGATGTATCAGGTCAGGAAGAGGACCGGGGATGAGGTAGTCGAAAGCCGTTAGCTCTTACGATCTGGTCTGATTAACGGCAACGGCAGATGTGGAAGTATGTACCCAAGAATCTGGTTGAATGGCAGCCCTGAACGTATTATTGTATGGACTCGGTACTGGATCTTAGTGAGATTCAGTCCTTCTACAGGGATGTTCTCAAATAGTTACCAGTTCCAATAGTTAGAGTAATCTCTGACATCCCTGAAATAATGTGGGTGTTTCATTTTATGGAGCCCCAACCTTGTGCAGAGCCGGGGTCACGGCAAGCCGCATAGGCACAGACTTGCATGGCCGTGCTTTTCTATTCTAGAAGAGACATGTTTTCTTGATCCACCCCGTCGATCCGATCCAGTTTATCAAAAAGAAAAAGAGGAAGAAAAGGGAAAAACCGGGGCATTCCACAGTCAAACTCGGGGCACGCACTTGGCACTCTGCAAGCGGCTAGGTTCCAGGGCCACACTGTAAGACTGTGTAAAGTTGTGACTGTGTACTGTCATTTAGTTTGGGGTACATCCCCTAATAGGGGGATCTGCATACAACCCCATGTACATGCACTGTCACATACCCGTTCCCCATTGAGTCGCGTCGTGAAAGCAGATCCATGGATCTGGCACCTGTGGACTGCACTCGACCGTTCCGGACTCTTTTCTTCTTTCCCCCCTCCTCCCCCCTGCCTGTCTTTCTCCCCTCTTTCAACCTCTCTCCCTTTGGCATCCATCATACACCCATTCTTGTCCATTTCACCATCTTTATCTCAATCGTTCTTCCAGTGCCCCGCGCATAGTGCACCTGTCGCAAATCCGATGAGACACCCTTAGTGAACTCGACATTCGATCGAATCGTTAATCGCCTTCCCTCGTTTCCATCGCTGCATCGCGTTCTCTCGTGTACGCCGAATCTCTGTCGCATTACCGATCACTGCGCCTCACTTCGACTATCAAAAACCTGCGACTCCTATTTTTTAACTTTTAATCACGAACTCTTGGGTCATCCACCCGTGTGTGATCGCGACACCCTGAAGGCGAAAAAAAAATCAAAATCTTCGAATTTCGTGGAGGGATGAGCGGCAGCTCTAGCCAGTCCACTCGCACGAGTCCCGGCTCATTTGGAACTACACAACTCACGGAGTCCGTTTCATCTGGTTCATCGCCCCCACAGCAGTCACTCCCTACTTCGCAAGTGCCGTTGACGGCTCAGCATGCGATGTCGACCGACGTGTATAGCCCGAGTGCCTCACAAGCGCCTTCTATGAATCCATCTTTCTCATACCCTTTCTCTCCTATCGGCACAGCAGCCTCATTCGATAACAACATGCGCTTGGGCGATACCGATCGCAATCTCCAGGGTGGCCTGAACAGCCTCGGTCGCCCCGGAAATGGAGGTGCGATTCTTATGCGCAAATTGCCGCGCAATACGAGTCGCGAAGCGCTTCGCAGTATGCTACTCTTCGCCAAGGACTTCGTCGACGCGGACTTCGTGACCTTGGACCTCCCGGAGGATGACGGGTTCTTGACCGCGATCGCCCGATTCACCACTGTGCCCGCTGCCGAAGAAGCTAGAGCCCTCCTTGATGGCAAGCCAAACTCCAAGGCCGACGCCAATATGGTCGTCGAAATGTACAACGGTCAGATGGGCGCGAATCTGACAAACACGCGTCGCAACACCATTGATCACACCGCGAGCCGTGCGCTGATGGGAGCCTCGAACGGGCCCCTCGCGCGTCAGTCTTCGCGCTTCAACGGCACATTCCAGAGTTTGGAGAGGCTCTCAGGAGCCAATCCCAACCAGACTATCGGCGAAGGACTTCCTCCGACTTCTGAATCAGGCTCGCGTATGCAAAGCCTTTTCTCCCCACAATCTCCGATCGGAAATGGCATTGATAATTTCCATCGCATAACTGGAAAGTCCATGATTGATGAAGACCCGGACGAGGAGACGGGTGAGCTTCTCAAAGATCCGGTGGGATATGCGGAGAATGGCCATACCACCAATGTCTCCGCCGGCCGTCGGGCCACTAACCCTCAAATACCGACCACCCGCTTTGCCAACTTGACCCTAGCAACTAACATGACGTCGCCACCATTGCCCAATTATCCTGGGGGTAATGCCCAGCGCATGGGTGGTGGAACGCCGGGTTCTGGGTACCCCAGCCAAGGTCATGCTTTCCCATACAACGCTCAGCATACGCCTCGCCACAGCCTTCCTGCTGCGAACCCGAATGACCTGAATCCTCCTTGCAACACCTTGTACGTGGGCAATTTGCCACCGGACACTTCTGAGGAGGAACTCAAAGCCCTTTTCTCCAAACAGCGTGGGTACAAGCGACTTTGTTTCCGTAACAAACAGAACGGGCCCATGTGCTTTGTGGAGTTTGACGAGGTTGCTATGGCTAGCAAAGCACTCAATGAGCTGTATGGTTACAAGCTGTCGAACAGTGTCAAGACCGGCATCCGTCTCAGCTTCTCAAAGAACCCTCTTGGTGTGCGCTCGGGTCAACCCGGCAGCATGAATTCGTCCAACTCCGTCTCAGGACAAGGTGCGGTCCCTGGAGGCAGCAGCTTGAGCGGAATTCACAACAACATGTTCTCCGCTGTCAATGGCCCACCTCCTGGACTGGCAGCACCCCCTGGTCTTGGCATGGGCATGCCTGGGCCACCAATGCGCAATGGTGCCGCCATGCATAACCCAGGAAATCAGCACGCTGCTTTGATGGGTAACGTTCCATACAACCCCAACTCGGGCCTGGGGATCCGAAATGGAGCCAATTCTATGATGATGCCATCGCCACCACCACCTTCTAGTGCTGGCGGCACTAATGCAGGGCCGAACTTGAACGGCTATAATTCCTTCTACCCTGACTACATGATGGGTCGCTAAGGCCATCCAAGCGTTATATTGGGATAATGCCCGACATGTTTGAACGAACTGAGGTATCTGGCGCACTGGGGATTGTTTTCTTTTCGTGAGCTAGATCAGCATTCGGCGGCTGCATAACTCTCGGGAGTATTGTTTCGGACTTGCTTTCTACTCTCTTTTTTCTATTCTTCCCCTTCCCCTTCGTTTGCTGCGTGTTCTTCAAACTGGCTTTGCTTCTTTCTGTTGCATGGGAACCCGGGCGCTTTTACATTCCTTTTTCTTTTCATTGGGAGGATTGCATTTCAGGTCATTGCCAAACTTGTATTCTTATCTGGTCGGCGCGAGGCGCTCGAACAGCGCGTTTGTTTCTGCGGCCATTCGTTTCGTTCACACCTTCATACCCACGTGTTTTCTTGCTTGTTCTGTTCTCTTGCTCGATAATCCTAGGCAATGCACACTAATGCCGTGTTTGCTGTCTGCCTGGGAGGGGATCTAGGGGAACTGTTATCTACTTTATTTCGACGTGATTCCCCCTGTTTGTTACATCTATCCCCTGGATCTTTTCTCGATGCATCGTCTGCGTGGATCGGAAAGGATATTGCTAATTTACTTGCCTTTGCAATGCGTCGTCTATTTCTATGCAAGTACGAAAGAGGGGTCTTATGTGGCTTTCTTTAGCTTCTCTTCTAATATTTCTCTCAACTCAAATGGCACGAGCTATGGAAGGACATGACATCGGCTTACGGCGACCACATATTGTCCCAAGGCGTTCTGTTTTTATCTTTCTCCTGCCAATCTATCCACTCATACCGGCGGAGGCCAAAAGCGTCTGGTCCATGCATTTCTGCTCTGATGCTGCTTTTCTTTCTTGCCTGAATACCCGCTCGTTCCGCTTTGAGTCTGGCTTGCTGCTTTTCCAAGAATGGATGAGGAAATGAGGCATGTTGTCTGTTATTCTTTTCATCTATCTTTTTCACCCTCGTCTTGCTTGGGGGTTCGATACCGATACATTTGCTTCGAACTGTACTTGATACAATGAACTGGTTTCAGCTGCTGAGACGCGATTGATGCATATATGACCAGGATGTAGGATAAACTATCGTACAGACCGATGTATACTCGAAGTGATTCTTCTGATTGGAAGGTTGATTCAGATAGTGTGAAGTCAGGCCGAACGAATGAGTGGAAAGCTGAGAAGTATGCATTGATCATCTATTTGTGTCTTCCTACAAAGCTCTGTAAGAAGAAGCCGAGAAATTAACATGAGAATACGCAGAAAGAAATAGGAAGATGTTCCTTGCCCGTATCTTGAACTCGGTTCCTGTATACTCGGTGGGGCATCACGTGAGGACACTACCGAGAAGTTTCTTCCCCTGCAAACATCGACACTTCCCGCGACACCCCGACCTCTGCCCATCCCTCAATACTTCAATTCTTGCTGCAAAAGGGTCAATGGCAGCTGGATCTCCTTGATTCTTAACTTCCAATACCTTGGTTTAGTTTGACTCAGTACTTCTCTCTCATTCCCATAATATCCCTCAAGATGGCGCCCCGGATACAGAGCCGGAGTGTGTCCAACACTCTTCTTCCCTACCTCACATCTACCTCCTCTTCATCTTCAACAACCTCCGTTCCTTCATTATTCTCCACCCCATCACAATGCCTTTCCCGTCAGTTCTCCGCCACGGCAGCACCACAGACAAAGCTCCGTCGGCAGATGTTCGAATGGCTCAGCACCGAGGGAGCCGCTTTGAAGCACCACATTCCTGGAGAGACCAACTATCTTACTCGCTTAAAACAGCGAGGAGGTTCCGACGGTCCGGACAGCAGGCGTCCATTTCCCAACAACCAAAACTTCATTAGCGAGCCGATCCTCAGTGAAGAGCTCCGAAATGAGGTTTATAACCGCGTTGTGACCAAGGGACAGAGTGTGCGAGTTGTCAGCGTGGACCTTGGGATTGATATGCAGCGCATTGCAGCTGTGGTGAGATTAGTGGAACTGGAGCAGAGACAGCGCAAACAGGTAAGCCCGTTTCCCTCTGTTTTGCCCTCTTTCCTTTTGTTCCTGTCGGACTTGCCTCCAGTCCTCCACGCATATGATGAGTCACAAAAATCGATTAGTCTTGAAGACACCTACATGGTTATACCCTTTTTTGAACTGAATTGTGTTATGTTACTTTTACATTTTGGATTTCTTTCATCTGGTCGTATGACATGAACTGACGAATTCCAAAACAGGGTAAACCCTTAGCTCTGCCTTATGCCCGGGCCATCCACGAGATGGTCCCTACCACACCTCTTGCCGAGCAAGGCGAACGCCAACAATTCCACGAACCCATCAACGACCTCCCCGCCCACCCCCTGACAGGAACCCAAATCTTCTACCCCGTGCCCGAATCTCGCAGCTTCACTCGTGTGGAGGCCGGTCGCGTCTTCTCCGCGGCCCCCGCAATGGAGCACTCCGAGGCTGGCGCGATCTCCCACCCCTCCGATCTCGCCGAAAAGATCATCGAGAATCCCAATGCCACCGGCTGGGTCGGCAAGGGCGACAACCGACGCCAGATCCTGCAACCCGCTGATGTCCGCATCCCCCACCCCCACCTGGTTTCCCTGGAGCGTGACCGTATCACAAACCCCAAGGAGCGTCTTGCCGTTGCGGATGCCCACGCCAAGCGACTGGAGCGCCAGGACGCCGCTGAGAAGAGGCGCCGCGAGCGCGCCGCGGCTCGCCGCGAGCAGATGCAGACCATCGTTTCCCCCGAGGAATCTCGCTTCGACTACCGTATCAAGGATACTGTCTACACTGCGGAGACGACCGGCAAGGATGGCCGTGCTCCGTGGGCTATTGGCCGTCGCTACGGAGTGCCTCACCGTGACCGTACACGCGGCGAGGTCAAAATTCCTACGCGTGTGGACGCTTGATATGTTTCCTCTCGGGATCTGTCTTTGATTTGTGTTTTTCAGCATTTTTTTGGCTACGGCCTCTGTAATTTTACTTGTACCCATACTGTTGTATGAAGGAGGGCTGATCATTATGTACCTATATCCCAACCCATTTTACATTCTCCATGGCTCCATGTTACACATATTCCCAATCAGTAGCTGAGTAGATCTTCCATTAAGACCGAAGACACGCCGAGCAGCCTCATAAATCCACGGGAAGGAGCCTCGAATACCAGACTCAGCTGTATATAGATCACAATGCACAGCACCTTGCCAACAATAAAGAAAACCAAACCAGCTTCATATCCCCATCGCATTTCCCTCAACCTCAAGAACCTACTGTGTAGAACCTAGAAAATTCAAATAGAACCCTAACGAGCCTCCCCAACAGACCGACACCGCCTCCTCCTCGTCCCAACCCACCCAGAGATAGCATCAGACTCAGATTCCTCCTGCGTCCTCGAACCAAGCAGCATACTCGAGATCGAGGCAAACGCCGTCCGCAACCAGGTCTTATTTGCCGCAGGCGTAGCAGCAGCCACGGAGACCGGCGCGAGTGTAGTTGGAGATTGCATATTGGATTTTGCTGGTAGCCCGTGGGTTATTTTGCTGAGCGAAGCGAAGCAAATTATATAGATTGTAGTTATGGGTGGTTTGGTGATTGGTGTTTTTGGTGGATTGGTATATCCGAGCAGCGTTCTGGGATTATATAGAGTAGTATGCAGAGCACGTAGTATGTAGTACGTATTGAATGGTAGATATGGAATGAATCTCTCGAGTCGAGTAACGAGTTCTGAGGGGGAAAGTCGAGTATTAAAACTAATGTCGATAAAGAACACAAAGAATACGGTCACATGCGAATATAGAATGCTATATCGCAGGTGACGGTTGGAATGGATTTGGGATCACCTGATGGACAGGCACAACCTTGGAAGGGGGTTGGGTCTTTGTCTCTTTGGCTTTGGGTGGGGGTATGAGGTTCCACGGATGAGACTTTTGAACTTGGAGCAGAGAATAAGTACACGTTGTCACTTGTCAGCTGATCAGATGTGTTGTCGAGGTCCAATGTTACTTCAGATGGTAGGTACTTTGTTTGAGCTGGGGTATTGCTTGAGATACTGTGCTACCAGCCTACCGTAGCTGCGAGAATACGATAGAATGGAATGCGGATATGCAGGTAAGACACTTTCTTTGTCTGGTGCTCGAGTGATGGTCAAGACTCTATGAGTGAGGTCTTTTCATTTATCCCACTACCTACTGTGTACAACCTTCTAGGACTGGGGTAGCTATGGAATTCCAGGGTGAGAGGCACACAAGTAAACACTGATACCATGAACTATTCTACATAGCAATATAATGCCCGAATAAATACACAGAGCCACAACGAGAGCAGAAAACTATACAATGAGACCAAAAAAAAGAAAGGCATAAGGGACATCTCGTTCGTGTATATGAGGATGTCTAATGCATGGAAGTGAAGATCAAAACAAAGTCGACAAAAGAGAGCCAGAAAAAGGTGGCACAGGCAAAAGTTATGCGGACATATAGTCCTCAAGCGACCAGATATAAATGACTCAAAAGAAATTCCAAAGGGCGAGAAATAGCGACAAGATAGCCAAATCCCAGGGAAGAAGCGCCCATACTACCCATGCCAAATGGAAAACCGGTATAGGAGAGAAGAGAAAAGAGACGTCGCTATGCGGGGTATCCAATGGAAGAGATAATGGTCGAAGCAAATAGGAGAAAGATCAGAGCAACGGTTTGCTTAGCTTTCGTTCAGAGGGGGTATATCGCTAGGTGCTGCCGCATCTGGTGTGGGCAGCTGCGGGCTCGAGGGCGAATCTAATGTATCGGGACTGCCGCTACCCCATGAATCTTCTCGTAGGAGTTGCGCAGCGTCGGGGAGGGAGGGCCTGTCGGTTTCGTCTGACTTCTTGGCATCCGCACGTGAAATAGAAGGCGACGAAGGCTCATGCGGCTCTGTGCGATAGCCACCCTGCATTGGACTGGCTGATGAGTCGATGGCTGGCGTGGCCGGCGAGGCGGGACGAGGAGAGTCTACAAACCCACGCCATTTCCGCCAGCCTTCGAAGTCGATCAGGGCCTGCATGCAGCCCCATTCCGTCACTTTCTGCTCGAGCCAGGGGAATCCGACGGGCTATGGGGAAAGGTCAGCATACAGTTCAGAATCAACAGCAGCAGACGAAACATACCTTAGTCAAGAAGTCGTTGCAGCCAGCAGCCAATGCCTCGTGTCGATCACTTTGCAAACTGCTGGCTGTTAATGCGACGATGATGACCGGACTCCGGAACAACGAAAGATCGCTTAAAGTGTCCTGTTCACTGACGGTCCGGTGGAGGCCGATTCTCCTGTCCGGTGCAGAGGTATTGGCCGCGCTGAAACGCCCAGAGGCTGTCTTCGGGAAGACACCAATGCCATTTAAGCGCTCTAGACGCCGGATCTCCTTGGTGGCATCCAGACCGTTCATCACGGGAAGCTGGATGTCCATCAGGACCAAATGGAATCCGCCTTGCCTCCACTTCCGCACTGCCTCTTCGCCGTTCGCTGCGCACTTCCACCGCACTTTCAACCTCTTCATAAAGGCCTCCAGAAGTTTTTGGTTGATGATATTGTCTTCCACGATAAGGACATTGATTGGCGGGACGGTGCCGTCGATCAATCCGCCAAACATTGTACCGGGAGAAGTGGCGGCTTTGGGCTTTCTGAGCGTGCGAGGTGATGCCGCTGGGGGAGTGTGTGATTTTGGCTGCGAAGACTCTACTGGCGGTGCTGCCGCAGGAGGCGTTGGCAATGTGGGCGCGGTGGAAGGAATAGACTGAGAATGAGGAGACATCCCGGCGTCTACGGGACGTGTTAGTATTCCGGATGAGAGCAACGGTCCTCTGAGGAAACATACCTATTACACCAGGATTTTGAGTATGAAGCGTGGGAGAATTTGTTTTGTGTCGTGTAAGCGGAGGTCGCTGCCCTGGATGCCCTGGAAGCCGTCTGCGTGTTCCGGGGGATGGCAGCGCAGGAGCAACCCCCGTGTTCAGAATCGAGATCGATGGTGCACTAGCCGTGGCCGACGGAGGGTGGACCGACGGCGAACCTGCGGTCGCATTGACCGGCGGCATGAGAGGGAAGTAATCTCCATGCTCGCCGGGTTCCGCGTGGTGGTGCTGGTAGATGGAATGGCGTGGCGATGGCTTCGGGGTTCTCCGTGTCGGCGCATCGATCACCAACGCTTCCTCGATCGTTTGCCCACCGGGGTAGTATGAATCGAGGATCGAGGACAGGACCTCCTCTGGGCCCAAAAGACGCTCGGTGTGGCCTCGATTCGAGCCATCCCGCGGCGAAACCCGAATCACGATATCGGGCGAATCAAAGCTTCGGCCTAACGAGTTCGTATATTTCATGATCACCTGGTCCCGGAGCTCATCCACCACTGCGTCCTCTCTGCACGGCACCAAGGTAGCCGAGCCACCCGGTCGTTTGACCCAAATCCGACGTGTGACCATCTCGCAAGGAATGTAGGGAGTGAAACCACTGCCGGGGTCTGAAGAGAAGAGATTTCCTTCCTGTACGCCGCTTATCAGGTGTTGTTGCGTTGCAGGGAGAAGAGATTGCCGGCGGGTCGCCAGGGTAGGGCGCTTGCTCGAAGGGGGCGTGAAGTAAGAGGCAGACGGTCGGCGATCATCCGTAGCCAATTCTGTCACCGGATTCAGAGTCGGGGTCAATTGGCTGTCGGCGGAGATTGGGGTCTGGGATTTCAAGTGGGTGGCGGACTGGAAGGAGGTGTTGTCGGAATGCTGAGGAGTCGCCAACGGAGGTGTTTCGAGGGGGGTTGGACCGTCGCCCGAGATAGGAGTCGGCTGCGAAGAGTTATATGGCTCGGTCAACGACGAGGTACCGGTGCGAGTCCCTGTAGGAGGATGGCGTTCGGATGGAGGTGCCGATGCGGAGGTCTTCTGTTGGGTCTCTCGAGACGGGGGTTCGACCTGGTCTGGAGAACCTATATCCTCGACGGAGCGACCAGCTGGAGCAGAGACGATGCTGTATGCCGGGGATTTGTTGGAGACATGAAGCGGATCAGAGAGGGGGGTTGAGTTGGGGTGGGCACTCGGATCCGCATCCGCTTTTGGAGATAATCGACCGAGCAATTTTGCCTTGAAACGAGAAATTCGGTCGGGCATCGTGACTTTCAAGCCATTCTGGGGAGAAGCACACGTTTTTCTTGTAGCTTTGGGCAGTAACTAATAGTAGCTGAAGAGCCGAAGAGCTGAAGAGCTGAGGAAAGAGGACAAATAGCTACTGAACAAGGAATGAAAGTCAAGTCAAGTCAATGAGGGGAAGTGACACACGTTGATCTCCCGGGCAAAAGCAAAGTCTTCGCTTGAGGAGCTATTTTACGTGTCTTTGGGATTTTCACGAGATGACTTGAAGAGCGTTCTAGACTGTGGTGGAATACTCAAGTTTCAAGCATAACCCGTAACCCCCTGAACGAACCCAACTTATGAACAGTAATGTACATACTCAAACTTGCATCTCGAGCCTTAACTAAGCCTAACTCCAGAAAAATTGCTGTCTCACTCAGAATCACTCCACCAATTCTCTCACCTGTTCGGTTTTTGAGGTCAAAGAGAATTCATTCGAGAATATCCAGGTTATAGGCCATTGTGTCCTCTCTTCGGATGCACTCAACAGGTAAATATGGCTAGAATATAGATACCTCGGTATGAACAGCTCTGAGCTCTGGAGAACCATATCAGGTTGCGCTTACCTATATTCAATATTTATGTACCGTGATTCTTTTGCTATGTACTGGTCTCATCATCTGCATCGTAAAGCCATAGGTCAGAGTTTCTCAATCTCACCACGTTCAATATGAGGTATTGATGCCCCCTGCTTTTGTCTTTGGTTCCCAACATCCCCAGGAGAAGCAGGAACAAACCCCTTCTCAGGGTCCCCTGTGTCCTGTGTACCGTCTCTCGCAAGTAACTCATCAATGCTCTTCCCTGTCTCTTTGGCTTCCTTGAGCAGCTTGCGATAGCGAATCCGCCAGACAATGTGGCTAATATAAATCCCCGCCTCGAGGACCACCACTAAAATATACATGATCCCTCCCAACACATCGAATGAGCCCTGTGCCGCTGTAAAAGGTTCAGCTATGTTGGCACAAGTGTATGATGCGAATCAAACGAACCTAATGCAAAAAGAGAAAACAGTCCGCCGAAGGTATCAATGGCGAGAAAGACCCAATCTGTTGCAGTCAGCAACTGTGTTTCCAGCCCTGCAGAAGTTCTAGAGATACCCACTGAAACCAATCACTCGGCCGTCTCGCTTCCACAGTTCAAAGTATGGTGGCAGGAGTCCCAAGCTGAGGAGGATGGTTGCTACGACGCCAACCACGATATCGGGCCATTTCACGCCGTTGTTATATGGGATCTACCAGGGTTATTAGCTCGCGGAGAAACAGATAGATGAATGAACGATACTCTTAAGGTTAGAATTAGGAGTGCCTCCAAGCCTCCAAATAATAGGACCATACCCGAGCATACCAAGATTGCCTTGGTTCTGCTATAGTTACTATGAAATTGACGAATGAGCATAAAAGTTCACATACACACAACCCAGACAAGAAAAGAACAAAGTTCACTCACTGATTATAGTAAAGAATCTGACCCCAACTAACAAGAGAAAAGAACCCGAAAATCTGAGGCTGGATCTGTAACGGGAGATTGACTTGCTATGGAACAACCAACATAGCGGTCAGAGATCCATAAATAAACGCTCCAAGGCAAGAGAATCGAATAAACTCGCGCTCTTTAGCTCACCTGCAAGATCAGATATGCGCCCATTGGAACCGAACCTGCATGGATTTTGCGTAAGTAAGTGAAGTTTCAAACCCGATGCCTTTCTCTTTCCCTTCTCGGTTTCCTTTCCCATAAATCAGATCGGAGATTAGCACGGGGAAAAGAAAAACAAACACAACTCACAGCTGGCCCAGAGAAACATCATCGCAGCGGGAAATCCATCTGTATTCTTTCGTCGCCAGTTGTACCAGATCTGCGGTATCAACTGAATGCACCATAGGACTGTCCCGATAGTGCCGAGGACAGTCGATGCCAAGGTAACATTTCCTTCCGAGGACATCTTGGTAGAAAGAGAAACACGGTATTCCGTGCCGTCGCAGATGGTAATCAATTCTCCAAAGTTGGTGTCCGATACAGTCCAATTGCAAAAGATAAAAGTAACGAGAAAAACACACACAAGCACACAAGTACACAATGCTATAAACCCAACCCGACAGCACCAGCCAAGAGCTCTACAAGTACCCACAATCGGAACAAGAAGCAGGTTCGAACCGAGGATTTGAAACCGATCTCGCTGACTAGTTGGAAAGAAGCTATTTTCTCCGCCATGCACAGGCCCTAGCATGTGAGCGCCCAATTACCGCCGTGCTCTGGCCAGTCAGAGACAGATAGGCCGCGAGTATCGCGGGCATGAACTGCACGGTGAACAGTTACAGTGCAGGATAGAACGGATAGAGCAAGACGTGATAAGGGAGAGTGGGCAAGCAAGCTTGAGGGGAGAAATGCAGCGGTGAGGCGTTTGGCGGTTGTGGATGGTCTGGTTGGTTCTTTTGGGGATCTTCGTGTTTTAGTGCATTAGTGTATGGAGGGGTCGGTTGTAACTTGTGTCTAGCTGGGGTGTCATGGGCGTAGGGTTATTCTGGATAGAGAAGAATAGGAAAGACATCAAGAGAAGGAATCGATGCTAGTTCGGCCAAGAAGTAGGTTCGTTCGGTTCTCCCCGCTTTGAGGCGCGTGGGAGCTGGATCATTGGGCTCGAGAGTATACCCGAAGAAGCGTATGGGACTTGCTGCACTTGCATGCTAGTTGGAAGAGGGGAAGATCATGGGCTTGTGACTAGGACTAGATAATGGAGGACTGAGGAGAAGGGTAGTGAATATGGATTTCGAGTTACGATGTCGTTCCCTGAACCGGGCATATTGCGTTTCTTTTGGATGTTGCGTGAACTTGCGTCTGGCTGTTGTCGATCGATTATTATTGTACAGTACGTTGTGCGTACATTGTAGTGTGTATGCAACGGGCCAACGGCTTGGTGGACGCTCGAATAAGTGGGGCGATTCAGTGGCGAGATAAACGGTCGAAAAGCTCGATGTTACAATTGAGTGAATTTGAATAGAATCGAACATCTTGTATACTTCGACGTTGCATAGATGGATGGTTAGCACTAACCGAGTTAACTATCGAGTTATCGAGGTACAATCCCATGCAACCCGATGCTCATTCCCATTGTTCATCAATTCTCCGGCGCACATACCACACGTGGCTACCCGCTTTGACATGTTCGATTTCAGATTTGGAGATCCCATGAAGATCAAAGGCAATCCATCAGATTAAACAAGTTCTATGTAACTAAATATTCCAAGGTTGTTTTAATTAGCAACAAGATGACCCAGGGTTGGAGTCCAGCAGAACCAAGGTTGACCCTCAGATAGGTTCGGTGACACGTTCTAGAACGAAGTGTGCTTCGATACATCCATCATGGTCATAGGTATCCCAGATTCAAGTGCAATCATAAGATGAAATGCATTGGCGATTCAGGGCTTTGCTATCCCTTGTACTACAGTGTCTTCCATGTAGGTAAAAGGAACAAGTTTGATTTGAGGTCAACAGATCCCAGTTCCGAACTCGATTCCGACATGACAATAGAGAATTAGCACCTTAAAGACATGGAAAAAACGAATACATTGAAAAGAGCCGGGATAACCACCCGCTAGACCAAAACAAAACCCCAGATCACAAAAATACTTGGCAAGAATAGAACGCACATGCAACACAAAAAAGGAGGCCATCAAGACGTCACGTTAAAGAGGAACCAGAAAGAATACACACACGTCGAGGATCCGAAGGGTATCAAAGGAAGGGAAACCGATTTTGCGACAGTAGAAACGGGGAAAAGCTCAGACGGAAACGAAGCAAAACGACATCACGCATACGAATTTCACAGATCACAAAAGGATCAAGTAGTTCGACGGTGCGATGCCAGTATCTCCGTTCGACTTCCGAGCTTGCCACCATCGGCCGCTCACATCGGATACTTCTAGGATCTCGTGCTTGGCGAAGCTGATTTCATTGGCATCCTCTGGGTTGGCGTCGTATGAATAGATCGCCTTGGCCCGATAAGGGTAATCCGTAGGCTGAGGCACTTCGCCCGCTTCTTGCTCCCCGTTTCCGGTCGTCGGGGGATTGGGGGTACCAAAGCGAGGCGCAGATGAGGAACGTTCGGTGCCGGGCGCGCCGCCGGGATATCCAGAGACAGGAGACGAGGTCTCGAAGCCGCCCAGTTGAGCAGAGGTGTACATCTGCGGGGTGTTGCTGGTCGCCATGGTCTCTGGGCGGGTACCGAATGCGCTGGACATAGGGCGGCTGCCGCGATAGGAGGGCTCAGGGGGCTGTTCCTTGTTCAGAGCAAAGGAGTCGATGAAGCCGCGGTGAGTGGCCTGCGGCGAGGAGCCGAAGTAGAAGATCCAGATGATGATGATCATGGACAGCAAGATGAAACCTGCGCCTGCTGCCTGCATGGAGCCATGGTTTTCGTAGATCAGGTTGTTTGCGCTCGTGGATGTTAGGACGAGACCGCAGGCAAGGTATCCGACAATCTGGAAACATTGTCAGTGCCAATGTCTTGGACGGTATTACACTTGGAGAGGTATCATACCGCAACACCATATACGTGACCCGTATCAGTGCCAAAAGTCGCGGTCAAGCCCACAACGACACAGAACATATAGCTGATGGCCCACCATGAGTAGTTAGGGTATTTTGTTTCTTGCACACCAGCGATAATAGATGAAATAAAGGCAATGAGCCACGCCAGCTAATAGTTATGTTAGTCGACGCCAGGTCGAGTGGGAAATATGCGAGCGTACGATTGAAATTGAGACGGTCGCAAGCGCGAACGGATCGCCTAGAATATTGCTGGGCCGGAATTTGCCCATTTTGAGTAGATTTTGAGATTGGAATTGGGTTTGGAGAGCGATTCTGAGACGGAAGAGTCGAAGGGCGAAGAGGGAACGGGATGATATATAAAAGTTTGTTGATAGTCCTGAACGAGGCGGACGCGATGGGAAAGAGCGACTATGCTAGTTAGTGTGGAACAAACAGACCAGGTTCGCAGTAATGAATGAATACGCAGAATGATAATAAGGACCTCAGGAAAGGATAAAAGGATATAGGATTCAATTGTACCTTGCTAAGAACCAAGTGGGTTCAGAGACAATCCGCGGGGTGAACGAAGAGGTTGGGAGTCACAAAGGCAAAACCCCCCTTACAGAGAGAGGTGAAACAGCACCAGGCTGGTCAAAAGGGAAGAAAGTAGAGAAGAAGCTGCGATAGAAGAAAAGAAAAGAGTGGACGGATAAAACCGAAAGTTGAAGTTGAGTGAGAAGAGGAGGAATTGATAAAAGGAGGAAAAGAGGTGCCAAGGTGGTCTACACGGTGGAGTTCGGGCCACCCCTGGAAATCGATGGTCTCGATTCTTTTGCGAAATTGCACACTTTCGAGTGTTTGCGAGGCAAATATTGATATGTGGATTCTGACAATTCGTTGGTACTGTTTGAACAGTTTGATTTGTTCTAAAGTCAACTCCCAATCTCTCTCACAGAAAAAGAAAACTACTCATAGAACTCGATCTGGTTGAAATCTATAAATATCTTGCCTTAGTCACCTCCGCTTTTTCTTTCCCACAATCGCCCTATCAGTGCACACGTATTCTACTGTACAGTTCTACTACGTACAAGACGCTACCGGGCCGCAGAACGTGTAGAGTAGGTTTGTAAATGAAGAGTGAAGAAAAAGTTCTGGGCTGTTGGCAGTAAGCGGCAACTGGCAAGGTTAGATTTCTACGAAATGCCGCAATGAGACGACAGGGACAGCATGTAAAGCGAGCTAGATCGGGTTAATGAGAAGATCATCGGCATAAACATAAGAAAGACCCTGGCAAATCTGCAGAGAAGCGGTAGTGGCGGAGAAGCGGTAGCGGCGGAATGAACGTCAATGGGGGTGAGTTACGGCCAGAGGAGAAATGGAGCTGCCCGCGGGAGAAAGGCAGTTGTGGAGAAGCCGCAGCGTGGGAATGAGGGCGATGGTAATGATGTAGTCAATGAAGGCAGACGGCGTTAGAGGCAGAGGAAGAGGAAGAGGTGGAAGCAGCGCGCGGCAGAGAGCGAGTAGCTGAGAAGGACGACGGTGCAAATGAAGTGGACACTATTATGTATGAGATAAGTTAGGAAGAGAAAGAGGTCAGTGAAAGTGACAGGGAAGAAGAAGGGATCTGCAAGAAGAGAAGCGCCCCTGGGCCCCAACATCCGCCGTGTTCCTGAGCGCGCCGCAATTACCTCCCAATTTCTGGCCCGGTACCACACCGTCCACACGTGCCTCGACTTGTTGAAGACCGCCTTGGGCCATGATGAACGAGAGTTTGGGTGCCATCCCGCCAATCCCAATATTAATATGGGAATACATACTGGACTGCGTGAGTTTCCATAGGGTTTATCTCACATGGCAAGAAAATAGTAGTAACGCTTTGAACCACCACGAAGCTACGATGGGACTCTCATTCGACTCTACAGGCCCTGAGTCTGACCTGCCGCGGCTTTCGTCGCCTAGCACTGCCCGTTCTGTTCAAAACCCTCCATCTCCACTTCCGTCCAAAGCGCGACACGGGACGTCGGATGCTACATGATCTTCAGGAAGCGGGAGATGAGCTGTTCCACTGTGTTCGTATCCTCATCGTATCGGGTTATTTTCTATACAACCCCGCGGAGGATACCCCGTCGCTTCTGTCGCCGTTACTGCTGTCTCTTGTGGAGAAGCTGCCACGACTAGTGGTTCTTAGGTGCAGTTATGGTGAAACGCCCCAAACGAGCCTGATAGCTGACGAGCTAACAGATGGCGTGGCCGCTTCCCACTTCCCTATAGTGTGTTGCAGCACCTAGATGCGCGTCAGTTGGTGCCTGGCTTGTACTTCGAAGGCTGGCCGTACAACTTGCCCATCGTTCCAGTCAAGTATGTATCGCATTGTATACGTTCTCTCAGCGTTGCTTCTTATGCTAGGGAAGACCTGGATGGGTTGAAACATGTAGTGCTAGCACTACCATGTCTAGATCGGCTCGACATGAAATATATCACCCGCTCGCGGCGTGATTCAGCGCCGCTATTCTCCCTTGGCTCTGGAGACAGCATACCTCCGCTACGCACTCTCTGCCTGACAAATTTTGCGGTTGACTCCGAGCGAGTAAATGAATGGGACCGCTGTCATCACATAAGACATCTGGGTCTTGATGGCGGGGCTGAATCGCTTGAGCTTCTAACGCTCTTTACAGGAAAGACCCCCGACGTGACATCGCTAGCACTGCGAATCCACGATGGAACATCCCCGGATATCTCGGATGACCTATACAGTCGGCTAGACAAGTTCTTGCAGAGCGTCAATGCCTTAGAGGCCTTCACTGCATATGACCTGTCCAAGGATATCCTCCGTCTTTTAGTGTCTCGCCATGGCCCCAACCTCGGGCGTCTGCGATTCCGGCAGACTAATTTCAACAGGAGGGACCAGGAGCAGATCAGATGCCTCTTCACCTTCGAGGAGCTCCAGAACCTCGCTAGTGCGCTTCCACGGCTGCAAAGGCTCGGAATCGACCTGCGATTCAAGGGTCACTTGGTATGTACAAGTCACCGGACACTGAAAAACGCCGCTAACTACCACCCTAGTCCTACGACGTACTCAGTGGAGCGGCATGCTTCCCCAGTCTTGAACACCTAGAGCTCAACTCGAATTTCCCCTACGGCGAAGAGGGAATAAACGGCTGGAGACCCATGGTAGATTCATGGCTCAATGCAGCTGTTGTCGAAGAAGCATTGCGCTACGTGGCAGGGGAAAAGCTATACTATGAACGGATCACTGATCCAACGACGGTTCCATGGTCGCCTTTCACGGCGCTCGATATCAAAGTAGGCGAATGGGAGCCATCTGTTGAAGGCTACAGAAAGTCAACATTGGCCACTTATCCTATTTTCATGTATGCCTGTCGGTGGGTAGACTGTCGGCCCGGTAAGGTCGATACTGTTCGATTACGATGCTTTGCTAAGGAGTATCCCATTGAGGATGATCGATATGAGCAGGCGCTGGCTCGTGCGGGCGTATGGAGTGTGTCAAAAGTACTGTCGGGCCCAGGGACTCTGTAGCACATCTCCATTGTCTCAATTTGAGAATTTCCCTTAGTAGAATTTATAGCCATAATATAATGAATCAAGGCTTCTGTCTTTTCTTTACCATTCAGACGCTGGAGAAGCAAGTGAGACTTGCTGAATTCAGCCAGAAATTTCTGGATGAATGAGGCGGCGATGCCAAGCCTATGTTTTGCTAAGGCTCTGGCAAACGCCATTCGGTCAATTGAAGGACCATTCCATCCGTAAACAGGGCTTTATGTACGTACATACTACTTTTCAACCTCATTGATTGCCTAATTCTCCCAATACATCATCAATTTGGGGCTGTGGCGCAACGGTAGCGCGTGCGACTCCAGTTCGCAAGGTTATCCGTTCAAATCGGGTCAGCCTCAACTTTTTTTTACGCTTTGATAGCGTTGAACATGTTGTTTTCTCCTTTTTGCCCCCTATAAATTTCAAAAAGTAAAAACCACCGTCACCAAGGAGTCAGGACTACATTATGTACGTTTGTTGAGGCAAGGGCTGGTGTAGGCAGCGGTAGTAGAAAGGGCTCCAACTTAGGGCTTTCTCCGACCAGACACACAAATCACAATTTCTTGCAATGAAAGACCTCAATATCCCAGAGAGAATGACCAATTGGATTCGTACAGGCTGTTAAAACCAGAGTTACCAAAGCTCTAGTTATGGATAAGAACCCAAAAAGGAGTGCCCAAAAAAACAGACAAAAAGCAGATGAGGCTGACCCGATTTGAACGGATAACCTTGCGAACTGGAGTCGCACGCGCTACCGTTGCGCCACAGCCCCATTTAGATATTAATTTGGTCTACCTTTGATTATATGAACCTTTATTGCATGTCAGAGGCTTGGTATCCCGTTTGCTCCTATGTTAGTGATCTCCAAGGTTCCTTTTTCGGGTTGGTTGTTTGTTTTCTAACCAGGAAAGGGAAGAACGAACCATAGCTAAAAAAAACAGTCCTCAAATTTATACACAATCCCGATGACAATTGACAACTGCGTTCAATGGTATCGAATGAATGATCGATGTTGAATAAGGAACAAAACATGAGTGAAGAAAAAGAAGATGAGGCTGACCCGATTTGAACGGATAACCTTGCGAACTGGAGTCGCACGCGCTACCGTTGCGCCACAGCCCCAAATTGACAATTGAGTTTCGCTTTTATGACACTATGAGTGCTTAGGTTAATTGCCTAACTTTGATGGCACGCATCTTGGTAAGGTCTTTGCAGTGGTGATCACACAATGCATATTACCTGCACAAGTAATTAAATCTAGGTGCTTGATCGCAGCTCATTTGCTTGAGCCGCCGTATCTCCCGCGATATAGGTTGAGGCAGGGTCAAGGTTAACTCAGAATCTATTAAGCTTAAACCTTCCATCTCAGATTCTCCGAGATTACCATGGTTCTCTCGGACCAAGATGAGTAAATTATGACATCAATAAACATCCAAATATATCATAAAAGCATTGGGCACTGTGGATTAGGTGCAAGCCATCTTCACTGTTCAAGATAATGACACCGTACGCCCAAACCAGAGGTATCATAGAAAAACAAGTAGCAGCAGGAACAACACCTCCTTCAGCTCCGTTCCAGCATACCGCCACGAACAACAACTTCACAAGCTCGCGCTTACTAAATCTCCTCTTCCCTCCTCTGCCTAATAACCTCACTCCTCCTAACTTCCCTCTCAACATCCTCAAGTCTCCCCTCCCACTCAGCCCAGCACTCCCCACTCCCAACAAGGCCGACATCATACCATCGCTGCAGAACGCGCGCCGTACGCATCCGCAGTTCCGAAATCTCAGCCGCTTGCTCGCTTTGCATATGCGCGACCCGGTCAATCTGAGGTTGTAACTCGATCAACGCTGCGGAGCTCTGTGCGTCCGGCACGGGGAGGTCATTTAGTGATGTGAGGCGTGAGGCGGTTTCCGGGAAGGCGGTGGCGTATGACATGACTATTGAGGCTAAGGTTTGGGTCGTCAGACCTTCGGGGATTTCGTGGGGTGGTGTTGTTTGGAAGAGGTCAAGATTGTGGTCGTCTAGTTGAGATGGGTTAGTCTCAGACCGAACGGGAGGGTGCGGAGTAATCTGTGGAGACCCAATGGGCAAAGGGACCAGGAAACCGAAACATGATTTGGGATAGAGCATGAGAGAGCGAGGGGAATGGTGTGGTGGTATCAAGTATCGATGGGATAGACCCTCTACACTGGTCACGTACGGAGTTGAAGAACATCCCGCACAGCTGGTATACTCCGGCTGAGCTGTTCTAGTTCTGTTTCTAGCCGCGCAAGTCGGCGGGTGACCGTTTCGTCGAGTGATGCGGGCTTTTCGGGTGTGGTAGGGACGCCGTTCCAGTCTGTGGCGCCGGTGAGAATGTAGGTGAGGCGGCGCAGGCGAGCTTCGAGGAGCTCGATGGTTGCCCCAGCTACTGCATCGCTTTCGAGGGTCATGGTCAATGGTGGGAAAGATCGAGGTTACAAGTGAATTCGATTGAGAGACGCGGCCAGGAGCTTGGGGGTTGGATGCAAACACGACAAAATGTGGGGACGAGCTTATCAGCTAACCACTGTATGAAGTGCCTACGCCATAGGTCTGCACGGAACTTTCTATACGGATACTACCTATGTTCGCTAGAATGTCTATTCTTCATACAAGTTCGGCAGTCGGGAAGTACATTGTAGTTTCATTGTTTGATGTCTGCCCAAGTTTGGCATCACTCTACAAATATCGATCTAGACATTCGTTCACTCATCATTCATAGTTCTCCCGGGTAGAATCCCCGGATGCTCAATTCAACGCTATTGTTACCATGCATGTTTAGGGTAATCCGGCATGTCTTCATTAACCGCACCGTTCCCCTGTGAAACGTCCTCCAAGGGCGGAGGCACCTCGGAGTTAAATGCGGTGGCACCCAAAAGGCTCGCGCTACCTTTCTCCTCCATTTCTTTGCTGGGCTTTTGCTCGTCATCAAAGCCGGAAACCTCATAGTCAAAGACGTTGACATCTGCGGCCTTCGGTCTCTCCGGCTTTTGTTGTTTCTCGCGGCATTCCCCGCCGTTGGAATCCCCAGATGGACCTTCTTGGTCACTTAGGATTATGGTAGGAGTATTTTGGAATTCGTCCCCGAAGGCATCGTTGTCCCGGTTCACAAAGCCCTGTTTTCAATCAGCAACGAGTCTCAAAAGCTGCCTGATATATGACTATGCATCTTACCTGTAGCTGCGCGGGCGCAGGGTCCACTGGTGCGTTCGTTGCGTTCTCGCTTGCATAAACGAGTAGGATAGAACTCCCCTCTTCGCGAGCAGCTTGGAGCACTTCGGCTTCTTGGACTTTCCGGACAGTATATCCGACAACATCGGCATCCGAGGTTTTCGGATCGCTCTGGGCTTTTCTTTTCTCGGCTTGCCGGAATTTTCCATCTTCCTGAGAGAAGCTGATACGCCACCATTCGTAACCCCGGCTGGTCTCAGTGTCTGTGTCCATGTCCATCAAGTCTGTTAGGCCAGTTGCCTTGGGATTCGACAAGACATAAGTCACATGCGGTTCAGTGCACACGCCTCGTAGCGTATACCTGTAGACAGGGGGCTCAGAGGGGGATTTGGGAGGTTCCGTAAGTGTCTTTGAAATTTCATGAAGGGACTCGAGAGCACTTTGCTTTCTAACTTCCAGATCTGTACTCAAGTGATCAGTCAAACATACGAGTATCACAGCAATGTATGTGTTTACCTTTGAGCTTGGCTTCTATCTTTGTAGAAATTGATTTCAACTTCTCTGTGATCCTTATCGTATCTGCATTTGCCGGCCCGGCGCTGGGCGGATCCCCACTCGCTCGCTCTGGTGCCACTTTTGGCACCGCTTTGGCTGCTTGCTCCAGGAGTTCAGTGACCGTTAAGCTACCCACGGGATCCCTCGGAACCGTGTAGCGATGTATGAGTTGCTCGAGTTTCAACACATCCCCCTGTATCTGCTGTTGTCTCGAACGAAATTCCCGAGAAATTTCACGGCAGCTGCTAAGATACCGATCTGGATAGAACACGGGAGGAATTTCCACGCCCACAGGATTTGGTTTCTGGAGAGCATCGATCTTGAAGACTAGCACCTCTGCAACATGTTCAAGCCATGTATCGTCAAGCTCTTGTCCTGGGCGATCAGACCAGAAAGCCGAATCCAAGACCTCGTAAAGCGCTTGGTCCTGTTCCCGCTCAACCGAAGGCTCAAAAACAAAGAGCTCCTTGTTGTTCGGTTCCTCAAACTCGCCGAAAAGCTCCTTCTTATATGCATGTGACGTGAACAGAGTCGTCAGCGGATTTTCGGGATCCATCCGGATGGCTGCACCATGCCACGCTTCCAAAAATCTGGCAACGGCTTCATCTGAATCCGATGAGAAAGATGACATGCTTTTGATCCTCGCTAAGCTGTTGCTGCTGCCGAATGCACGTTTCGTGGTATCCATAAAAGCCATCAATCGCTGGGTCTCATGAATGATATCATCCCAGTCGCTATCCAGTGCAATGTCATCATCCATGGTCACAATCTTTGGTAGATTTATCGAATGTCCATTCCACCACTGCGGCTCATGACCATAGTCAAATAGCGGCTTGTTTCGTAGCAGCAACGCCTCGCGTGCGAGGGGAATATTATGGAGAATTGTCAATAGCCCTCCTAGATAAGTGCTGTCCGGGTTAGGGCGGATGAACGCAGGCTCCCCCTCTATCCTCTTGCGGTCTTCTGGATCAGGGCTAATCAGGACTTCTTCGGAGGATGTGTTAAATAGAGTTAACGCCCAAGCATTCTCGTCGTAATGATCCCGGGTCGCTTTGCCGAACTGCGGCTGGCTGAGCGACGTCACTCCGCTTTCCTGTTGACCCATGTCCGAATTCAACGACATCGCAACCGCCTGTTGTAGTTCTTTCTCTTCGCGTTGCGCCAGACTGAGACCATTCTCGGAGCCTGCTAGATGGTCAAACGACCGCAAATCAGCATGACACTTGGATATGAGATGTCAAATTCGCGGTACCTTGCGGAGCGATCGCGACCGAGTCTCGAGGGTCGTCTTTCTGTTCCTGGTCACGTATGTCCGTTCGGGAAGGAGGGCGAGAGGGCGGCGCTGTCGGCGGTATTGGTGGCGCATTGGCTTCTTGGTCCCACCTCCATGCTAGAGCCCCGAGGCTTACGTTAATTTCGGGGCTGAGATCACATAGAGGAGGTTACTTACAAGAGTCTCTGCTGTCATTATAAAATGTGGGGAGCGGCTTTGAAACGTTAGCTAATTATAAGTCGGGGATACCGCGTGTCACTAATTTACCTTGTGCTCAGGCTGAGGTCCCGTCGGGTCTTCGAAGTACGCGTTGATGGCTTTCTGTGAATCAAGGTTGTTCGCCTGTGGTGCGCAGTGTTAGATAGTGTATCGGACCAAGTGGTAAAGTCTTACCTTCAAGAAGGCGATAGCTTGCTCGCGCGTTGTGCTTGTGAAGCTGACGAAGCTGGCGATAGCTTCCTCATTCGGTTCGGCCATATTGATGCCAGGAATTAATAAATGGTAAACATGACAGGGTGGAGAAGCAAACGAGTAGAGACGCCGAGAGGGAACGCGGGAGAGAAGTGTCGCCGAGCTTCCCCACCACATGACGCCAAGCAACGCTTACGCCAAGTGTTGTTTCGTCTCTTTGTCCCTTCCCTTGGTCTTCGCTCAACTCCTTGAGTCGAAATTATAACAATGCATATCTTTCAGACAACTGAAATAGTTCCTTTCAAGCTATCATATCGAGTCTATCAAAGTTCTTCGAAAGATACTACAATGGAGACATGTTTCGAGAACTTCAATATGGATGTCTCTTTCAAACATGCCAGTGTTCGATCCCAGCTCTTTATATCACCACCTTACTCATGGTCACAACAAAGCAATGCATCACAATACAATGGCACCGGCCTTGTTTGAGTGGTCGAGGCATGCGAGTATAAAGATGTCTCTCTCGCCCGTGGAACAATCCAATATTCATCACTCATCACACTTTACAACACATACAACGACAGCAATTAGCATCTTACTCTGATTTATAGGACAGCTTTCATTCCTTGATCCATTATACATATATCAAAATGGCCCCCCAGAACCGCAAAACCGAGCCCAAGCTCAGGTCCACTGGCGAGAAGAAGAAGAGCACTGGAGCTGGTGTGCAGAAGCCAAAAAGGAAAACGGGCAAGACCACAGCCCGCGGCGATGCCTCCGTTGATATGAGTGAAATGCTACCACCCCGTGACTCCGAAGCTGGGTTCAACCAGGCCGCAAACAGCGACGCGACTGACATCCTAAAAGCCATCTACCATGACCTTAACACCCATTGCAATCTTGCGAGGGCTACCGAAGGTAAAGACCGTCATACTGATCAAGCTTACAACAGCTCGCTTGTGTCCACCCACCAATTCATGGCGCAGGAACTCCAACAGTACATGGATTCCGTGAGGTCCAAGACCCAAGTTCGTAAGTCCAATCCCCTCACCGATGGACGTAGATTTTTGAAATCTGTCCATGAACTGGGATGGAAGATGTTTGCTATCTGCATTCATTCTGAAGCATTCCGACGTTGCTTCGAAGGCTCCACCGATCGAGTCTGGGGCTTCCTGTGCCAGAAGATCAACGAGAACTCCCTCAGTATCGCACTCTATACTCATAACTATGTGATGAAATGGCGTGACGTCCTTGTGGCCTATCAACATGACTCCCTTCCTGGTCTACCAGATATGAAGCCAGTTATTGGAACACGCATGCAATGGAAGGTTGACCACCCCCACCACACCGTGATCACACTTGATAACAATCTCCGCGAGCCCAAGTACAAGGGCAAATTGCAGAAACATATTGACGAAAGTATATTTGACCCCCTCCGATGGGCCAGCTATGGTCAGGCAACAGACCCAACACTTCGCCGCCCGGCCCCAGGTGATCCCAATGCTGCCTATAAAGCCAAGATCGGATCCAGCTGTGTCTTATGTAAGAGTGAGGTTTCCTGTAATTGCCGCTTGGAAGACCGGGCAGGAGAATTTGTGGAGCTGAGAGAGTACCCCAATAAGGGCACTGGCGTTCGAGCACTGACGGATTTCAAGGAAGGGGATATTCTCGGTGTATACGTCGGTGAGCTCCTACCGGTCGCCAGCGATACTGTCTATCCCCTGACGCAACGCAATGACTGTTTTCGGGGTCAAAACTTGTGTGTAGTCAGTTCTCATGAATTCGGCAACTGGACTCGTTACCTCAACCACTCGTGCGAGCCGTCGGCTGGCTTTAGTGTCCGCACCATTGGACCCCGAGTTGTAGCCATAGTCGAAGCCGTGCGCTATATCAAAGCCTTTGAAGAGATCACTATCCACTACGGTGCGAATTATTGGGCCGGAAAAAAGGATACGTGCAAATGCGGAGCTCCTGGATGTATCAGCTTGCGGCGCCGGTAACTATAACCCCAAAGCCCCGATGGTGAATGCGAAGAGTTGAGGCACGCTTACACTGTATAGTATGGGTATAGATCGTTTTTGGATCTGCACTCTGGAGCATAGAATTGGTTTTGATAGTATAGTATGAATTTCATTTCCAAATTTAATCACGACGAGGGACTGATACAATAATCGTAGTAGAACGTGCATAGCATTAGCAGGTAACTAGAGAGTACATGTAGACACATTGGATAGTCCGTACATACTAGGAAGTTATGACTCCGACTCCGTACACTAGACGATATTGGTCCCTCGGCAGGACCCGAACCCCGCAGTTTGCGTGCGGGGAAGCTTAGCATTCCGCATTCTTCAGCCCCCCTTTCATGGTCTTGTTTGGTATATCACTTCTGACTATCACCTACTGCAGTGTCGTACTTGACACAAGCAATTAGCAAGCCAGAATAAAAGAGAAAAGAACGTCAGAGTCATGAGACTTCGGTAACCAGAGGCATTGGAACACGAACATGAGCTACGGCAGGATTCTCACGGGCCTTGGTGCGCAAGGCCGCATAGCATGTCGCCAGACTGGAATCGGCGGCAAGAGAGTCCTGCAACAAGCATTCTCGACCAAGAGAGGGCTATTGACCTCGAGCTATGCTCGGGGCCCATCAAGTGTGAGTACACCCTGTACCCTCTCCCCAATTCAGTCCTTGACCGTGGGCGCGGTTATCGAAACATTGGAATCCAAGCATCGTATAACTGACTTATTGCCTTTGCATATAGCCACCCTTAATTGAGTCCACAGTCGGCGACCATTTTGCCAAAATTGTCGCGGAATACGGAGATAGATTGGCGTGAGTGCATTGACGCAAGGCCAGACGATTGACTCGAGACACTGACCATAGCCACCAGTGTTGTCTCGAGACATCAGAACGATCGCGTAACATATGCCACTTTAGACAGCAGAAGCAATGCTCTCGCCCGGGGACTGGAATCAGTGGGCGTCAAGAAAGGAGAGCGGGTTGGAGTCATGCTTGGCAACTCGATGGAATACGCCGTGGTACGCTGGACGCCCAAACGTTGAAGAGCGCAAAGATGAAGCTAATATTTCCGGACAGGCAACCTATGCATTATTCAAAATTGGCGCCGTCCTGGTAGGTCAGCCCGCTCATTGTGGCAGGCGATGTCGAGTCTAACAATCCAATAGGTGCCGCTCAACCCATCTTTCAATACCGCACAAGTGACTGCAGCCTTGGGTCATCTCGAATCCAGCCATCTTCTAATCAGCACCGAGTCGAACCTTCCTCGCAAAAAGCCCCGAAGCAATATCCCCTTGATCGAGGGCCTTGTTGAGGACCTCCACAAGTCGAAAATAGAGTCCGCATTGGTTCCATCGTTGAAGCAGATCATTATAGTGGACAACTCCGAAGGTCGCGTTGATATTTCATCTTATAAGAGCTTGACACCATATGCATCCATCGCGTCGGAGATTACTGCACACGGCAACCCACTACCTCCTCAGAATCTCTCGCCGGATGAAATTGTGAACATCCAATTTACATCGGGAACCACAGCAATGCCAAAGGCAGCATGCCTCAGTCACCGTTCCATCTTGAACAATGGCTCTCAGATTGGCGATCGCATGCTTCTCTCGCCCAAAGACATTGTTTGTTGCCCACCGCCGCTGTTCCATTGCTTCGGCTGTATATTAGGCTATATGGCGACGGCAACCCACGGCGCGGCTATTGTATTCCCTAGCGAATCATTCAACGCCCATGCCGCACTAAAAGCCGTACAAGAAGAGAAAGCCACCGCGCTGTATGGAGTACCCACGATGTTCCTCGAAGAGCTGAGCATGATTGAAAGTGGAGAAATATCTCGCGATGGTTTCCAGTATCTTCGTACAGGCATCGCGGCTGGAAGCAGTATTCCTGCTGAAGTGATGAAGAAATTGCATAGGGTACTAAATCTCACGGAATTGACAATCTGCTATGGAATGACGGAAACAAGCCCAGTATCAGCCATGACAACGACAGATGATCCCATTGACAAGCGGATCCACTCCGTCGGAAGACTTATGCCACATGTCGAGGCGAAAATTGTGCACCCGGAGAACAAGCAACAAGTTCTGCCTATCGAGGCACGGGGTGAGTTGGCAGTGAGCGGGTACTTGCTCATGAAGGAGTACTGGGCCGATCCAGTGAGGACCGCAGAGGTGATGATTCCAGATGAGACCGGAAAGATTTGGATGCATGTAAGTTTTCAACCTCGATAATGGTTTCAAGTTCCCTCTGACGCCCGTCAAATTAGACTGGAGATGAAGCTTCCATGTCACCAGATGGTTATATCTCCATTACTGGACGGATCAAAGACCTGATCATCCGTGGTGGCGAGAATATACACCCCCTAGAGATCGAGAACTGCTTGCTAGCCAATAATGCCGTTGCTGATGTATCAGTCGTTGGTGTTCCGGACCCGAGATATGGCGAGGCCGTAGCTGCTTTCGTCGTCCCTCGGGACCAAGGCCCTAATTCGATCACTGCTGAGGCTGTTCAGCAATGGGTGCGGGAAAAGCTCAGCAGTCATCTCGGTAAGTTACTTCGTCTTGCTCATCTTCTTGTTGTCTCCCGGATGGTGTTGTTTGAGTCCACCGCTGTACTTCGGAGTGAGCTGATTTCTGATTGCCTACAGTTCCGAAGCATGTCTTCTTTTTGGGGCTCTTGGAGCCTTTTCCTAAGACGGCGAGCGGAAAAATTCAGAAGTTCAAACTCAAAGAAAGAGCCATTGAACTTTTGGCCAAGATTGCTGAATGATTGGCGAGCATACTTGCAGGTTTGGCTCGGAGAGTCTGCACATATTCCATATGGACGATGCCTGATGTTGCTATATGGCCCAGTACACTCAATCGCATTGCCCGGTAGATAGAACGACACAATCAACAAGAAAATAGATGAGCTCCAGAGATGCATATTGTTGTCTTGAGCGTTGGTATGCAATCCATATTGTACAAGATAGGCCAGGTGAAGATTAAGGAAAGGACCTGCTCTGAATAAAAGCCTTGAAAGTTGGATGTTCATGTAGTTCATGGCAATGTAGCATGGGGCAAAAGCTTGGAGGTTCCCATCGTAATTCGAACCCATTCAAAGCAGCGTACCTCGGTTCGCAAAGTAATTCAAGTAAGATCTCCCAACGCAAGCGATAGTACCCGACGTGTGAGTGAAGCCGGCGAGCAGATCTCTGTCGCGAAGCCACCTGCGCTTCACAAACTAGAAATCCTGAACGCCAGTTTCACCCTGGAGATTCGGGGCACCACCGTCCCCGTCCTCAACCACCCACTCAGGGTCCTCATCTTCAAAATACCGGTCCTGCTTGTCCGTCTCATCATCGTACTCTTCATTATCATCGACAGTTTTGTAGTCAAAATCAGGGTCATTGCCGCGCATAAATCGCAATCCCATTTCCCACTTCCACAGCCGTTCGCCTTCCTCCTTGTTCGGGGGAATGTCATCCCGGTCCTCAGCGAGGATCTCCCCATTGGGGCCGCGAGAGTAAGCCATCATAGCATTTGGGTCCGGGTTTGCGATCGCGTCCAACTTGGCTTCCGACCGCATGAGATCAGCCTCCAAAACACCGGAGAACCCATTCGCTCGCCCAGCAGCTTCCCTTTCTTGCGGTGTCTGGAATCGGCGGACAAGGCGATCGTATAATAGCGGGTCTGCAGAAAAGTTGAGCAGGATTAGCATTGGATTTCGTTTTAGGCTCTTTCTGTATGCAGATCCAGCTGACACCGGCGATAAGCCAGGTTGGGTATGTGCTTAATGTAATCAACTGGCAATGGCAATGGGGGGAGAAGAGAGCAGGCGGACCGGCTAGCTCAAGCTCCGCCGAGAAGTATTCTGGGTGTAAGTCCAGATACCGCTTGCGACGGTTTTTGACAGTGACGTCTTTCTGTGGTGCATCTTTGCTCGTAAACCCCGTGTCTTTAGGAAAATGAGGCATTTTGGGTGTTTTCAGAGTGTGGAGGTGGCGAGGAGAGTGAAGATGGGGAACGCGGAACTCGGCGGCAAAAGCGCCGTATCATATCCGCGATAGCTTTTTTTCCTTTCTTGACGGACATTACTTGATAGCTGTTGATTCTGAACTTGTAAGTGAAGGATCTGATTTGAAATGCTTGAATTCCCTGGGTTTTTGGTAGTCTCTCGCAATCGAGACAACAGGACACAGTTTCAGTTGCTAATAACCTTGCAGATGCATGTTGACTGATTCCGTACAAGCTATCTACGCAGTATATCCAGACTGCATCAGCTGGAAATCATGCCTGTCCAGGACTTCTTACGGCGGGTCGATGGCCGGCGATTCGGTTCCGGCATGGCCTTGCTGGTCCTCCTGGCCTTCTACTCGCCCCTGTCGAAACTGGTTCTGTCTCCAATTTATGGATCTCATCCCGCAGATATCTTCCATAGCTTTGGAGTGGCCATTTCTGGTGGTGTTGGATGGTTAATGAAAGACCAGATCTTGAGACGCTTTGGTCGTCTTGGTGGTTTGTTACTTCCGGTGTTGGCATTCTGGGTTCCAACTCTTCAATATCTCCTCAAGCAGCAGAGTTCCAAAATTGGCAACCCCCTGGGCCCAGTGATCACAGAACTGTTCGGCTACTATCCTCTGGTTCTTCTGACAGTCGCCTATGCCGGAAAGCAGATCCAGGGTTCTCTGAGACTCGAAGCCCAGGGCGACCTGGTTACTGAGCATGTGCCCTTGATAGGCACATATATGCTCTATTCGGTTGGCGAGCATTTTGCCAAATACGTGGTCTCATGGGTTGTTGGCACTAACTTCCTGTTTACTCGAGTTGGTATGCAAATGCTCATGGCGACCCTGTACGCCGCAGTCATCCCGTCTAAATGGCTGGTTCTGGCCATTCCGTCTCTGCTTTTCTCCCTGACTTCCAATGTTCATTTTGCTGGAATCAGTGGTGTCAATTCTGCCATTGAGCATGAGGGGTACACCCTCTTGGCTCGACAGGAGGCTTACACTGGCTACATCTCGGTTTTGGAGAACAACAACGACGGATTCCGTGTTATGCGCTGCGATCACAGTCTGCTTGGTGGACAGTGGACCAAAGACATCCCGGGATACCGACCCCAGGTGGAAGATCCGATATATGCAGTCTTCGCCATGCTTGAGGCTGTCCGTCTGGTTGAGCCGGATCATGGAACTCCTCGTGTTGACGCAGACAGCAAGGCGCTGGTCATGTAAGAATCCCTCTGGAAATTATCAAACCGCCGACATACTGACTTGGATAATAGTGGTCTCGGAATTGGCACAACTCCATCTGCCCTTATCAAGCATGGCATTGAAACCACCATCGTTGAAATCGACCCTGTTGTGCACAAGTTTGCTACCCAGTATTTCAACCTTCCGTCCAACCACATTCCAGTCATCCAAGACGCTGTGAAATACGTCAAGAAAGCAGTGGACTCAAACCCAATCCAGTACGACTACATCATCCACGATGTGTTCACCGGTGGTGCCGAGCCCGCCGAACTCTTCACATACGAATTCTTGTCAAATCTCAACTCGCTCCTCAAGGAAGACGGTGTCATCGCCATTGTGAGTTTCACGTAACAAGCCCCAAACCAGACCATACACTAACAACCCAATCCCAGAACTACGCCGGTGATTTGACTCTCTACCCGACCGGTCTCGCCGTCCGCACCATCAAAGCCGTTTTCCCATCCTGCCGAATCTTCCGCGAAGCACCCTCTCCAGATGAAGAAGACGCCAACTTCACCAACATGGTCCTGTTCTGCAAGAAGAGCTCCAGCACTCCGATCCAGTTCCGTGACCCTGTCCCCGCCGATTACTTGGGCAGCAAGTCCCGGGAAAGTTACCTTGTTCCCGAGCACGAGCTTGACGCTTCCATGTTCTCCCATTACCCCAAGACCGGTAGAGCTATTTTGCGGGCAAAGGAGGTTGGAAGATTGGATAAGTTCCAGGATCGCAGTGCGCTTGAGCACTGGTTTATCATGCGCAAGGTCATCCCTGATGCTGTGTGGGAAAACTGGTGAGCCATTTGAACGCAGAGTACAATCGGCGTCGAGATTTTTCTGGCTTCTATATCGTCTCCTATATCAGAGAAATGGATGACATCAAAGAACAGCAATTTAGTCCACAAATTGCAAATGAAAAAAAAAGAAAGAAAAATGGTTTTTCGTTCTACCAAACATCCCTGGCCGTGCTTCTCATTCGAACTACGTGCAGAATTCGACCCTTAATCGTCGGGCAAAGTGTCCCCAATAAGAAATCACAGACATCATATTGGTATCATTATCCAACACCCGCCGAAAAGCCATCCCGTAGGACCTCCACTAAACGGGGCAATCAAAGAACGACGGATCCCCATCTGCGGCCAAAGAATTCCTAATAGCTCTTTCATTCCCATAGATCAAACCATCCAGCCGATCGAAAGCGAGGGATCCGGCCTCTGTATTATGTACGCAGAATGTAACTAGGATACAACGAGAGAACAAGAATGAATCAAGCCGAAGGGCTTCCACGGGGACTAGACCCAGGTTTCTTGACGAGACCAGCAAAGAAATTTGCCAGGGCTTGATTGTGCGCTTTCTCGTCATTGCCGCCGGTGCCTGCATATGGACTCTCTTTCTTTTGGCTTCGGCTAGCCTCTCGGTCCTAGGAAAGAAAGTTAATAATGTCCAGAGGAACGATGTGTGGCAGATTGAGTACTTACCCGAAGCTTTTTCAACATATCGTCGGCATCCACTTGGATTCCACCCATGTTGAACTGTACAGGGCCGATGTGGTCGTTGACTTTGCCTTCATCGGCCATGGGAGACATTTCCAGTTGTGGGGTTGGCTGGTTCAGGTTCTCCTTTTCGTCCTTAGCCCTGAGCTCTTCCAGTTTCTCCACTTGGGCGGCGAAGAAGTCCTGGAGATCGGATGTCTCAATTTCGATCTTAGTCGTGGAGCCGTGGGGATTGGCTGTGCCGCGTTTGGGGTCGATGATTGTCTGTTCGAACATGGTCACGGCACTTGTGCCTTCTTCTGCTAAACCGTTCTCGTTCTGCTGACTGCCATCCGTGGATTGATGGATCGGCTCGGGAGGGTCCTGAATTTCGATTGACCAAGCCGTCGAGACCCCTTCCATGTCAAATCCTTCACGAATGATTCGGATCTTACCCCACGAGTCCCAATTAGCTGGCACTAGGATCTTATCTCGGTCGATCACATTATGTTTTAATGATTCTCTTTTCAAAAGAGAGTGTATGCCCAGGGAAGAATGGATCAAGCCTTGGAGCGAGTTTGCAAGGAACGGGGTCGTATAGATGAGTGACGCGCCATCTATTTGGAGTTAGAAGGGTCCGAAGAGGGCTGAACATAGCCACAGGATGATGAAAAGCACTTACGCTTCAAAAGAATCGTTCTGAGAAATTGGAGAACGAAGTCAAACTGCTCTTCATGCCACCCATGATCTTTCTCCAACTTCTCGATCTTATCCGCCTAGATATCAATTAGGGTTAGTAAAGCTATCTCGACGTTAAAGTCCTGGTAGGTTACGTACGCCCTGGCAGACAACACACATCGGGATGCCGAGACCTTCGTCCCATTCACCGGGGCCTAAAGGTATTGTGACCGGGCTGCTTGAGGCGATGCCTCCTGTGGCCCCAGAACTAGAATCAACTCCCCGTTTCCGATCGCGCCACTCCGTCATGGTCTCTTCCATAACCAATTTGGTCTCATCATCGAGTGAAACCAGCACAGAACGTAGCAAACGAGTCCATTCCCTTAGTCTTCGAACCCATGTCCATGGGTCTGACCAGTCCATGAGGATCACAACCAGCGTTTCCGGAACGGACTTCGGAGTCAGGAGGGGTTTGAGGAGAGGCGCGAATGATGGAGAGGGTTCGGAAAGAAGGTAAGCCGAGACGCGGGCCAGAGTATCTGCACGAGAAGCACATTAGCTTAGTCAAAGCTGGGAAGCGACGGTGTTTCGCATTTACCCTCTTTATCGGCATCAAGGACATCGCGATATGTGTACCCGAGCGCAAACTGGTTGGCAATTGGTGGTGCTTTCCCTTTGCCTTTACGTTTGTCGTTCGCTAAGCTGGGGTCTGCCGACGTATCTGCGGAGAAAGTATCTAGGAATTCCCTTTGACTGTCCGGCGTGCCACCTATCGTCAAGCTATCAGCGACATGTTCCTGAAGAAGTGGATGACCAGCCAGAGATGAGGGCGAGGGAAGTGATACGAACCTAGCACCAGCAGGTTCTTTTCTGGTAAGCGCTTGCCGTTGGCAACAGTATCTAATAGGGAAGACCAAATATTCTTCTTGGAGCCATCTTTGCTGGTCGGCCGACTGTTCGCTCCAGCCGCCTTTGACCCCGGGTTCAGATTGGAAGACATCGTTTTTAGTCCCACCATGCCTCAAAGGGCATTCACCCTTGACAACCTCTGTCGCTACCGCAATACAGCGGGAATAGTTGTGCGCGTGGAAATGTTGATTCGATGTGGAGGGGAGGAGGTGAAGCAGCGGGTCAGGGGAAGCCGAATGGAAATTAGCGGAAATTGACGTCGGACCAGCTGGAACCTATCGCGCTCGCGAGAGACTTTTACTGACTTGAGCTCACAAAAGGAAGGCGGGTCTTTAGTCGACAACGTCGTCGGTCGAGCAGGGGGCTAGTTTGCATTGAAGGTAAACAACTTATTACGGTTCAGCGGGCTCACGGGCTCCACATTTCTTCCTCTCCAACTTCTGCTCTCCGACGTTGAACTCTCTCTATCCTAACAGCACATTCCCGATGAACTCCATTCGCCAGGTTCAGGCCCTCAATAAGCGCGAGCTTGAGCATGCGATGTAAGTTCCACTTCCGTGAAACTCCCGTGAAGCTCAGACAAAGCTCTTTTGCATTCGGTAGCTGACTGTCTCACTCTAGACCCCCAGAGGCATCATGGCATGCAGACTATCGCGACACCGCATACATCTACATCGGAGGACTTCCATTTGATCTGACCGAAGGTGACATTATCGCGATCTTCTCACAGTATGGAGAGCCGGTGCACGTCAATCTAGTTCGCGACAAGGAAACTGGCAAGAGCAAGGGCTTCGCCTTTTTGAAATACGAGGATCAGCGCAGCACAGATCTTGCTGTGGATAACCTTGGCGGTGCGACTGTCATGGGGCGTTTTCTTCGAGTGGATCATGCGCGCTACAAACGAAAGGATGAAGAGGAAGAGGAAGATAATGTCACCAAGTTGATGGGCGACTCGGCTATAAGCAAGGGCAAAGAGGTTGAGCGGAAAAAGGACAGTGATATAGAGGAGAGACGGCCTTTGCTGAAAGAGGAGAAGGAGCTGGAGGATCTGATTCGGAACCACGATGAGGAAGATCCTATGAAGGAGTTCCTTATCGAGGAGAAGAAAGAAGAGGTGGCTCGTGCGATCGAGCTGTGGAACAGCACCAAGAAGTCTTCTCGGCGACGCGATGATAGCAGAGAGCGATCCAGCCGGCACCATCGTCGGCACCGGTCTCGTTCTCCTCGCCATCGAAGACATCGAGATGAGCGTTCGCCAGATAGAGAGAGACGCTCCCGCTACAGATCACCTGAGAGAGGAGAAAAGCCGAGACGAGACCGATCGCAAGACCGGTCGCCCAGAAAATCACGCTCGCCAGAACCCCGAAGATATCATGATGAGCGTTCACCAGATAGAGAGAGACGCTCCCGCTACAAATCACCTGAAAGAGGAGAAAAGTCGAGACGAGACCGATCACGAGACCGATCGCCCAGAAAATCACGCTCGCCTGAGCCCCGAAGACACCGGAGTGATCGGGACAGACATGATCGTCGACGTTGAAAGATCGATGCTACATATAATATCAAGTCCCATCCAGGGCGCTACATGCGTACCGATATTATCTTGCGATCCGGGTATTTTCACCAAAGTCAAAGTGTCTACGCAGCACTAGAAGCAGCTATGTTTGCACCCTGCTCCGACGCTGAGTTGGGTTCTACAGGCAAGGTCTCCAGATATTACTGTGCGCGATCTTCAGTCCTTATCATTGTGACAGACTGGAGTAACTATCTCCTTGTCAACCGCGAAGGTACCTCTTCCAGCCATCCCGCAGACAGTATCTTTTGCCTTCCTCCCCATCCCGAATCACGAATTTCTCCCAGCGCCCTTCTCTCCCAGACCCGACTACCAAAATAGTTTGGTCGTCACACCAGCCGATGAGTCCTTTTTGGGGCCGACCAAGTGAAGATCCAACTGGTGACACATATGGCGAGCTGGGATTGGTTTGCTCGCCAATCTCAAAATGTGCATTTGCAAATGAATAAACATCTGAAAACACACGAGGAAGCAGAGGGATCTTGCCGAGGATTCCCCATTTGTGGCTAGAAGATGCTTCCTCTGCCACCGGTGTCGGCGACTGACTGCGACGGGAGACCGGCTGCTGGTGGGGGATATCAAAGATATGGAGGGTCGACTTGTCGGAAGTCACCGCCAACAAAGTGTTGGATGGAGAAAAGGCAACTGAAAATACTAACGCGTGATCAACGCCGCGTCGCAATTCTGCGAGCTTCGTGCAATTTCCTGTAGCAAATATACGAACCAGCGTTCCCTGTACCCAATGTCAAAGACCCATCTCTAGGAGGATTGCAGTGTAAGAAAACTTACCAGCTCACTCGCCGTTGCCAGCAGCTTCCCATCCGGACTCAAAGCCATGGCACGCAATGGTGTGCTATGCGCGGGTATGATGCTAATGTTGCCGGTCTCCAGCTCTATCATCTGGACCTGGCCTGGGGACCGACCAGGGAAGGCCAGCACCTTAGAGTCGAGACAGGCTAGCCCCAGAGGGTTGTCAGAGGTCTCGAAGACCGAGAGTTTCTTTGGTGGGTTGGAGAATGCAAAGACATGGACGCTATTCAATAATACAGCGACGATCTTTGACTTGGAGAGACGGACCCCAAGGACAGAGGTGCGGAACTCCAGAGTGATTGCCACTTTCTGTTTAGCATCGTCCCAAATAACCAACTAGGATATACTGTTAGTTCAAGTGCACGAAGGCAATAGAAATGATGGATTACCTTGTTCTGCGGGAACTTAGGGTTCTTTCCACCCCCAACGATGGCCATGTAATTCGACTGGCCAAGCATTTCCGCTATTCCGATACCCGCATTGAGATCTTTGGAAGAGTAAGATAAAGTTGCTAGATCCTAGTCTAAGACTGGTCACTTACCTCTCATGACCTTGAGCTCGCAAGGGTTGGCATTGTATACTGTTCAGTTCAGTTATCGGGCCGGTTCTCTTACTCCATACCGAACAACTCCTCTCAGGCTGACTCAGATATTACTTACCACAGAAGCCTGTCTCTAGGCCAACTGAGAAGCAGCTGTTATCATGGTTAAATGTTGCTGATAGTGAATATGGCCCGATGGAGTCATCGATGGATTGACGGGTGTTCATAGTGTCAACGAAGCATAGTTGGGAAGCAGTTCCTAATCTTAGAAATGAATGATGGGTAAGATTTGTACAGTTGGATCTCTAACTCATTAAGTGATCTCAGTAGTTTCCAAGGGTCAAATGATCACGATGTCTGAGATCATCGGGAGCTCTTGATAAGTAAATGCGGGCAAGGTATCCACCTCGACACCTCAGGCCATAAATTATGTAATTCTACGGTTGCCGGTAGGGACCCACTCGATCAACCCCTGAGTTGTTGCTCGATACCAGTTCATAAGAGGTCAAATATATGGAATGTTGTGCATAAAAATAGGAAAATAGGGGAAATTGCCAGTGTATTATTGATAAATAGCTCTAACTGCTTTTTTTATTATACGTTCACTCACCAATTGTGACTGATCAAGAGCTATGAAAGTAGTAAAAGTAGAAGACTGGAGAAGAAGACTACTCTGTGATTGGTCACCTGTTTGGGAAAGGGGGAAACACCAACTGTCTTTGCTCCCCCTCCCCCTACTCTCTCCAGACTCTCAGGAGAGCCAAGTTTCATCTTCCTTCTTCGTTAATTCCTTACCTTGGGCTTCTCTTCTTTCTCCTTACACCTCTTTAATCCTTCCTTAACTCACCATGTCGTCAGCCCTGAACGCGGTAGGTGTATTCCCCTTTTCCAGCTTCCCGCACGTTCGAAAAGTCTCCCAAGCTAATCGCATGCCCGTACTTTTTCCGGGTAGATTAAGATCCGTCGCAAGAAGAATGTCAAGAAGGGTATTCAATTCTGTCTGATGGTGTGTGGCGCCAGTGGCACAGGTATGTGGAAACCCATTGCCGTCATGAATAGCAACTGACGGAACTTCTTCGTGTAACAGGCCGCACCACTTTTGTCAACACTCTCTGTGGCAAGCAGGTTTTGGAGGGCAAGGATGCCGATGATGCCGCCAATGCCCACCTCGAGGAGGGCGTCCGCATCAAGCCCGTCACTGTCGGTCAGTTGGAATTCAACCGTCCCCGCGCGGCGTGTATAGCGAGCCACCCAATACTGATCCTCAGATAACAGAGCTTGAGTTGGACGAGGAAGGAACTCGCATTTCTTTGACTATCGTTGATACCCCCGGATTCGGTGACCAGATCGACAACGAGGCCAGGCACGTCCACCACCCCGGTACTCGACAGATGTTCATGGACTAACTTTCTGGATAGCTTCGGTGAAATTGTCGGCTACCTCGAGCGCCAATACGATGATATTCTCGCAGAGGAGTCACGAATTAAGCGTAACCCCCGGTTCAGAGATAACCGTGTCCACGTGCTGCTCTACTTCATTACACCCACCGGCCACGGTCTCCGTGAACTTGATATCGAATTGATGCGCCGCCTCTCTCCCCGTGTCAACGTTATTCCCGTCATCGGAAAGGCCGACTCTCTCACCCCCGCCGAATTGGCCGAGTCTAAGAAGCTGATCATGGAGGACATCGAACACTACCGTATCCCCGTCTACAACTTCCCCTACGACATTGAGGAGGACGATGAAGATACCGTTGAGGAGAACGCCGAGCTCCGTGGACTGATGCCTTTCGCTATCGTCGGTTCCGAAGACTTCGTTCAGATCGACAACCGGAAAGTGCGTGCGCGCCAATACCCATGGGGTGTTGTCGAGGTTGAGAACCCTCGTCATTCGGATTTCTTGGCTATCCGCAGCGCTCTTCTCCACAGCCACTTGGCTGATTTGAAGGAGATCACTCACGATTTCCTCTACGAGAACTACCGTACCGAGAAGCTCAGCAAGAGCGTCGATGGTGGCTCTGGGTATGTTTTCCTCTATTTCAAAAAGTTCTTAACGATCAGACCACTAACACACTTCGATCGCAGTGGCCAAGATTCTGCTATGAACCCTGAGGACCTTGCATCTCAGTCCGTCCGACTCAAGGAGGAGCAGCTCCGCCGCGAGGAGGAGAAGCTTCGCGAGATCGAGATCAAGGTACAGCGCGAGATTGCCGAGAAGCGACAGGAGCTGTTGGCTCGCGAGAGCCAGCTCCGAGAGATCGAGGCTCGCATGGCACGCGAGCAGCAGAGCCAGGGCAATCTGAGCAGCGAAGTAGCCAACGGAGAGGCCTAGATATACCCTGTCGGAATCGCAGCTCTTACCACGGGGCGCGGGTTCGCAATGTGATACCGTTTGTGCCAACATGGACTTTTATGGCACGAACAAGTTGTTTTTGTTTATGGGATAATATTGACTGTTTATTCACGTTAATAGCTTTTTGCTTTTTTTCTTACCTTCGCGAGGATGTGTCATCTCCACATAGATCACAGCATTTCGGCCACGAACCTCTCCGCCCGACTGACCTACCCTCCAGCACCATGATTCCCGTCGTGTGCGGCTCATCCGTTCTCTATTTCTTTCCTTTTCTTACTTCCCCATCACATCCCAGCTGTTCCCGTGATCTGTTGCTGTGTCATTTCTATTTCCTATCTTCTCTCTGCTTCCTCTCCTGTTCTTGTCCAAAGTCCGCAGCGCAGCAATATTCCCTCTTCTCTTGTCTTGTTTTTTTTTGCGTCCTCGGCTCATGTCTTGTTCATTATCTATCCTTTCTCCTCCTCTGTCTTCCTACCTGCGATAGTAATTGAGGAAGAAAAAGTACCTGACTAGCTTGCTTGTTTCTTCTGTCATGGGTTCTGAGCCTGTAGTTGATTGATCATTGTATATTGTCTGGAGCAGCATGCCTTCGGTTAGGTTGTAGTTTCTATCCTTGTGTGTGTAGACGACCTTGATCGTATGAAGTTGTTGGGCTTGCCAGACCTTGGGGCATCTATGCACCTCCATTCCATCCATACTTCTAAGTGAACCAAGGTTGGAAACCTTCCACTTGTAATATATCTTGCCAGATGATCATTGAAGGCACCTACAGACCTAGACATTGCCCAACCCGACCCAGCCCTAATATGTATCGGCCCCGAATGGAAACGCTTTCATATTCCCGCATCAAGCATCAAGTCGGGGTCACTCGAGGTCAGCACAAGCAGAATGTCGAAAGAACATTTGAAATCAAATACGATCCGATCCAACCAAAACAACATGCTTAATATTACCCCAGTTGTTTTTATCCAAGAAAGCAGTGGCATCCACATGATACATCAATGAGATTGCTAAGTATAATGGACAAGATACCATGGGCTCAAAACGATACAGATAGAAATAAGTAATCCCTGAAGTACATGGCCATCGGGAGATGAAAGAGCCAAAGAAGAAAAGCGAAAAAAAAATTGTAAGGAGAAAAGAAGAAGCAAATGCAATCAGCAAGAAAGTAAAAGATAGTAACGCAGTGGGGAAGCAAGAAAGCAGACACGCAAGAAGTGGTATTTGCGCTCCATTGTACATTGCGTAGAAACGAGAAGACAGGGAAATCCCTGTCATTGTTGTCATTGGTGATGAGAGAGGAGGAATAAGTCGGGCGGGGAGTGGGTGTTGGTGGTCGGGAGGGAATTTCCCATTGAAAGTGGAAAAGCACGGCGGCCGCATAGAGCAGAATGTCAGAAGGGTTCATTGAGGTATGTACCCGTAGGGACATTAGAGGACCTGCTGTTGCTGTGGCTTGTTGGTCCAGAAATCTAAGCTGGCAACAGTGTCATAGCCTTGCTCGTCTTCATAGGCATAGATAATCTATTAGAACAAGTTAGCAGGTAATCAACCATAGGATACCCGTGCAGAGAATATCTGGGGAAAGTCCTTACCTCGCGAGTGGAACTATGTAGCATGCGAATGTTCTTGCCGGTCATAAGGTGCGTTAATTCACTTGTCTCAACGTGTCGAATCTCAACAAAGTTGGGCTCAAACGCGAGGATGTAAGGATATGACAGAGCGAATGCATTCGGGTTGCCCTCCCAGGCGATCTTCCAGTCAGGACGGGCTCGCCATCCGTTGCGGTTAACGAAGAATGAGAAATCGCTGTAGTTGAGTAGGAATTCGCCGTTCATACGCTCGATATGAATAGGCTTGACATTCTCTTTCCGTGCCACGAAATCCAAAGATGTGTCGGCCTGGTCGAGAAGAGACTGCGTCTCTGTAGTTTCGAGACTGACCACTTCAAAGCCACGTGCACAACCAACGCACAGGGTAGAACGCAGGAAGTGAATGGAAGAAGACTCGGCTGGGATGTAGTATTCCTGTGATGAAACGTCAGTACAAACTTTCCACCAACATGCAAGAGTAGCTACGGACCTTGAATGGCTTGAGAGTATCCTGGCCACCCTGGAACATTTTGCTGACAGCAGACTTCTTCTTGCCCTTTGCAAGGTTATCCATCGGCTCGTAGACCTTGATTGTACTTGAAAGCGCCGATGTCTTCACCGAACAAACCAGATGGCGACCGAGACCGATGCCTGCCTTGAAGAAGTTGGCATGACCCTGAATCTTCTTGGGACGCTTGGCCATGGTGTTCTGGCCCTCTGTGATGTCCAGAGCATCCATCGGATAGGAGGAAAGCGTTTTGTTTGCCAGAACCAACAGCAGCTGGTACTCCTCTAGAGTATCAATCTGCGTGACTTGAGTAGCCTCTAGAACCTTCTTTGGTTTGGCTGTTTTGTCTTTGGGCCAGCGCTCAGAAACAAAGATGCCATTATCCGTTCCGTAGACTAACTTCCGACCTCCATCTTGTAGGAATTAGCAGGTGTGATTTGAGATGAGAAATATAGAGAAAAGATCTTCACATACCAATGGGAACAAGACAGTTGATCCGATTGACCGCGGCGAAGAAACCTTCACTCAAAATCGTCTTGTTATAGAAATTGCTATTCCGCTCCCAGAGTTTGTGTTGTTGTGCTTCTACTGCCTCAATAAATTTGCGGCGTGTGGCAGCACTTGAGGCATAGAGGGTCTGCTCATAACCGCCTTTGCCAAGATGCCTGAAGGTGATCGGCAGCCCACCGTCTTTGGCAGGAGGAGGGTTGTTGATGACAGCTTTGTTCGACAGAAGGCTAGACGAGGGTCTTTTGGCAATACCCAGCCGTGGGATCACCTCGTCCATTTGAGCGATTACCAACAGCTCTAGAGGAATTGGTTTCCTGTAGACTCGAGATTCCTCACGCTTATTCACGATTTTGACGCGAACCAGCAGGACGGCGTGATCGAAGAGGTATGCAGTGACGTCGGAGCTGTCAGCTGTGCCTTTCTTGAATGACATCTTCATGAGCATTTGCCGATTTTCCTCTGTAAGCTTCAGATCAACATAGTCCGCAGAATTGAACTTCAGCGCAGCATTCAGCTGAACCAAGTTGAAGTGGTTCTCTGCTTTTCCACTTTCGGTATTGACACGCGAAAGGAAATTCTTGATCAGCTTAATAGCCTTCGGGATATCTTCTTTGTCAGGATTGCCATCCGCTGTGTTCTTGTAAACGCCCTCAAGAAGAAGGGGGTATCGCGCAAGTCGAGTTGTGGGCTTTGTTAAGTAGCCGTTCAGCTCCAGCTTTCGAGATTCCTTGAGCCGCTCCGTGTCTTCCACGAATTTGGCGAAGGCCGGATTTGATGCCTTCTCTTTCTCAAATTCGTATTTTCCGTAAAGTTGATTGGCACCATATTTGATGAAGGGGTCAAAATTGGGGACATGCTGACAGAAAATGTCACCAATGGTTTGGACGACCTGACTCTCTTTCTGGCGAGCGTTCAACGCTTCACACAGAGCGCTGTTGACCTTCAGGACTTCTAAGCAGTTGCCGAACACGGTTCGGATGAACTTCTCACGGCGATGTTCCGGAATTGGCGAGTGACTGGTAGGTCCAGCAGCACGTAATGGTCGCATCCAGAAATCACGTAAATATTCCAGGTCCTTGACAAAATCGCGCTCCGTGTACATAACCTCGAAGATGATCTCTTGTCGTTTCTTCTCATGATCGTCGACAGAATCTGAGACCTCCTTTGGCACCGTACTGATCCACAGCTTTTGGTTATCGTTGTCGTCGTCGTCATCCGGCGGTAGCGTGGTTTTCGATTCGGATGTCCCTAGAACTGGCTGGGGTTTTAGATTCAACCTGGCTTGCTGCTCGAGTCGCCGCGGGCAAGCAATGGAATAACAAAGGGTGTCCCTGTTGCAAGTCGGAGAGTAGCATTCAGTCAAAAGAGTAAACACTCCATTAACCTCAATGGTCGACTTGTCCTCTCCCATTGTCTCCTTGAACTGATAAACTTCTCCAGGTGCGTCTCGAAGACGGTGATCGTACGTGACGTCGTGGAAGAACTTCTGCGCATCCAGCGCGCGGCCTAGCAGAAGAGCAAGGTTGCGGTCATTGGTTCGGATGATGGAGGCAATCAAGTCCACCGAATCGGTACCCGAGAATGCATTCTGGTAGGAAAGACCGTTTTTCTGTCGTTCGCCGAGTGAAATCTTTTCCCTGAAGACTTCAGCGACAAGTGAAAGCAGAGCAGGATATACAACCGGAACTTTGCGCTGTGAATTTCTCGCAACAAGAGTTTGTTTCCCGGAGGAGGCCTGTGTAGCTTGACTTTGAACACTCATCGTCCGATCAGGCACAGTAGTGGATGCCATTGACATAGTCCGAGATCTTTGCGATGCATCACTCGGCTGACGGGATGCGACAAATTCGTCGGGACCGGGGTGCGCCAGACCGGGCTGCATCATCGAGTCATACCTCATTGGAGGCTGGGGATCGTGACCTGATGGAGGTCTGCGGTGTGGAATTGACCTTCCGCTGCTCATTATGTGCGGATCCCGGTCCGATGACCAGGAAGTCATAGACATAGCTCGTTCGTTAGCATGTTTTTCGGGAACTGGACGTCCAAGCTGAGTGACGTGAGCACCGGACTGATACGGTTCGCGGCGCGATGCAGTGGCAGAGGTATGATTGAAGTTACTTGGCGGGGTCTGATAAGGTGGCCCGCTTAGTTTCGCCATTGACCTTGAACGGGTTGAATCGGAGTTGAGTGCAGGAGGCGGCATCGGGCGATTAAAGTCCCTAACGTCTGGGTATTGCGGTGCAGGGCTTGGTCTCGACTCGAGGCGTTGAGGTCGAGGGTAAGCAGCGAAGCGCTGTTGACCTCCAGGAGCGGGCCGAGGGGGCAGGTGTGAAGACATGGTCGCCGCGAGCCCTGGATTATAAGCTTGATATTGGCCTGACGGTGGAGGTGGAGGATATCCATTTGGTGGTGCCGAGGGCGGCCCGTGTCCGTTGGGCATTTGCCGTGTAGGCGGCGGCGGCTGTCTGTGGAATTGGGGTTGTGCAACATGCGATGACATCGTGTGAGCGCGACCTTGATAGAACTGAGGAGTCTGCGACCCCATAGTGTGGGAGCGCCCTGCTGGTGGGGCGCCCCCGAATATGTCAGAATATGCTGCATCCCGCTGCGTGGACGAGGCGGGTCCGTGAGGCCGGTAATTCCGGCTACGCTGGCCCCCCAAATCCGCCATTTTAACAAGAGATCGGCGATCGAAAACGAGTAACGGTTGCTCAATCAGATATGCAAAGTATATTCAGGCCGATGTGCGGAGAAGGCGAAAGGGGGTATTCGGGTTGGTCGTGGGAAGCGTTCAGGGCGTCGCAAGAGGTCTGTTCAAGATCGTAGGAAACGGGAAAAGGTGATAGTCTTGCAACGAGGGAAATGTTCCGTAGACAGTGGACTCGAAGAAAGTGATAAGTTGTATTAAGGCAGCGATGGGACTCAATATGCCATAACTCCCCTCAGTTTGGATGGGGAATTTAAAGGCGATATCAAACGGTATTGATGGGAAGCGCCAGGAGCCGTGAGCGCAACAAAGTCAAGGCTCCTTCTGAGTTCATGCCCTCAGCATCCTCCAAGATCCGAGGTCAGTATAAAAAAGTAGGAGGATTGGTGAAGGTGGGGGTGGTGGTTGGATGTTGAAAATGCAGTAATAAACTGGGAGGGGGAGCCAGGAGAACAAGGATAGCGAAGGTGACGGCGAAGCCGGTATGGTAAATTTCAATACTAAGGCAGCCAATATGCCGTCCATAAGGCGTAGGAATTGGATACAGGATTACGGTATCGTCACCGCCTAAGATAGACCAGGCGCCGACTACGGCGGGCGAAGTGGCCATGTGGAACACCCAAGCATCGAGACCTATCAACAGCCGGAACTTCACTCTACCCTTCGATCTTGGATTAAACAGCTCGCGGTACCTTCTTAACCTTCCTCATACTGCAAGATAAGTCTTGCCCAAAGTCATCATGGCAGAGAGTGAGCTTGCGCCTAAGTTTGCTCCGTTCTTTTCCTTCGTGAGTGCGACCGCCGAGAACATTGGGGATAATAGACTAATCAGCTGTCTATACTAGGCCGGAATTGCTGCAGCAGTGAGTCTATCGCATACCTATCTCGATTAGGCAGTACACTAACAGTTCCCTGAAGATGATCTTCGGGTGTACGTGAACAAGCTCGCGTGGATAGGGCTAGCCTTCTAGGCTCTGGGTGTTCGGGCAAACAGCTTACTTTCTCACAGCGGCAGGAGCAGCTTATGGCACAGCAAAGTCCGGCATTGGTATTGCGGGCGTGGGAACTTTTAGGGCCGATCTCATCATGAAGGTAAGACAATATTTGTCTGGAGTTTGCGGTGGCACGGGACGATAGCTAACCAGATCTATGTGTGCAGTCTCTCATCCCCGTTGTTATGTCCGGTATCATCGCAGTCTACGGTCTCGTCATATCTGTGCTCATTGCGGGAGCATTAGACCCAAGTGGCCACATGAGCTTATATACGTACGTCCCGAGAGCTAGGTGGGTATTGGAGACTGGATATAAGCTGACGCTGCCCAGAGGGTTCATGCATCTCGCCGCTGGAATGTCAGTCGGTCTAACAGGAGTGGCTGCGGGCTATACAATTGGAATTGTGGGTGATGCAGTAAGTATCATATACACCGCAAGATCGAAGGACTGTCCAGCCCTAACAGCTACTTAGGGTGTTCGAGCATACATGCAACAGTCTCGGGTCTACGTGGGAATGATCCTCATTCTTATTTTTGGTGAAGTTCTTGGGCTCTATGGGTACGTTCTGAGTCAGATCATTCAGACCACTCTTACTAATGTGGCCATCAGCTTGATTGTTGGTTTGATCCTAAACTCGAAGTCTTGAGCGCCGAGCATTTCTGTACGACAGCGGAGTCTGTATCCGCACTCCTTTCACCTTTCGCTACCGGTCACTTTGCGCTCGAAAGAGATGCGTTCTTTGAGAGATATGTACCAAAGGCACGATGACAGATAATAGCCATGAGAATAGATCAACATACGGACCGGCTGGCTTTTTGAAGCGAACACGTTCGGTGTACAATAAAGGAATCACATAGGGATCAAATCAAGCTAAGAGCTTACTCAGTCCGGTTTATCACCGTAGTTTCTTAGCCTTTTAGCCCCGCCCCCATAGCAAATACGTCAGAGGCAGAACTTCCCTTTCGCAACTCTTTGCCCCGCGATTTATTTTTTTGACATTTCAACTCGTTCAAAAGCTTGAACTTCAATGTTCTTTATGATCTGAGCCCCGCCTCAAATCTAAGCAGAGTCGCCGATTGGTGGCGCGCTAACGGGATCTCCATACATCTTTTCTTTCCAAGGTTCCTCGGCCGCGACATGCTCTCTGTTCATTCTAATGGCAACTGGAGCAGTGCAACATTCGCCTAATGAGGCGCCAGGCACTATGGGCTTGTCCAAACTGAATAACGAACTGCATAATCGGGAGAAGCAGTTCGTTGAGTCCCTCCGCCATTCTCCGAGAGCATCGAATCCATTCCTCATCACCGAGCGCCCGGACGAGAAGCAGCTTTGCATCTCATCGCGAAGTCTGCAAGTGAGCGATTTTGTGCTCATTAAGACTCTTGGAACCGGTTAGCTTATGCCTAGCTCGTATTTCCCTTTATATGGGTCATTTCTAACTGTTCATCCTTTTCCCCGACATAGGCACTTTCGCACGTGTGTGGCTTACCAGACTTAAGGACCAAAAAGATAAGAACAAAGTCTATGCGCTGAAGATCCTTCGGAAGGCGGACGGTAAGCGTCACTTTATCCGACATTGCGCATAGTCGAAGAATCCTCTTTGCTGATTGCGACTGGAAAGTGATTAAACTCAAGCAAGTCGAACATGTGCGCAACGAGCGGAAGACTCTTGCAGCGGTCATCGATCACCCTTTCATCACCACCCTTATTGCATCATTCTCGGACGACAAGTGCCTCTACATGCTGGTATGGTTCTTTTGTAGATTGGACTAAAGGCTCCGCAGCTCGCAGCTAACAATTTCCTAGCTGGATTACTGTCCCGGAGGCGAGATATTCACATACCTACGACGACAAAGACGATTTAGCGAAGATACCTCGATATTCTATGCCGCTGAAATAACAATGACCATTGAATTCCTACACGATGTTCATGGGGTCGCCTACCGTGATCTCAAACCGGAGAACATCTTGCTGGATGCCGATGGCCACCTCAAACTCGTTGACTTCGGGTTCGCCAAGCAAGTTGACAATCGTGAGACCTACACGTTATGCGGCACACCAGAGTATCTGGCCCCCGAAGTTATACAAAACAGCGGCCACGGACTTGCAGTGGACTGGTGGGCTCTTGGAATTCTAATCTACGAATTCCTGGTTGGACAACCTCCTTTCTGGGACCAGAACCCCATGCGCATCTATGAGCAAATCATCCAAGGCCGTCTACGCTTTCCATCGAACATGCCACCCGCAGCTCAAAACATCGTCTCCTTACTTTGCAAGACAAACCCTTCGGAGCGACTCGGCCATATATCTGGCGGCTCGACCCGAGTCAAGTCACATCCATTCTTCCAAAATGTCGTTTGGGACGACTTGTTCTATCGCCGGGTAAAGGGGCCTATCCTTCCACGCCTATCACACCCCGCGGACACCGGAAACTTTGAAGAATACCCGGATCCCCCCGACCTCAGACACACGAATATCTACACTGAGGATCTCAAGAAAAAGTACGAGCCGCTATTCAATGACTTCTGATAGAGGTGGTTCGTCATATCTGCTCCCCAAGCTTTTACGTCTCGGTTTACGTCTTGGTTCTTAAGTATTATCCGAACCTCGGTCATCTCTCACCAACCCCACGGAACCCCCACGGACACCCACGGACACCCCCTCACGTGCGCGAATGGTCCGCCACACCAAGGCTGCACTCGCGATCATCAGTGTCCCATCCCAACTTCTTGCTGCCAGATGGGATCCCATGACAACCCCTGGAATTTGTCTCTATGGTCAGCCGGACTTCATGAGATCCGACACATCGCCATACTGTGCAAGGCAGACTCGTGGCACTCTGACCTCCCCACCCTCGCACATGATCATGAATTCATCACCCTGACCATGTTGTAAGATTACCCTGTTCCTTGGCTCAGCCCTGTGAACGCGGATTAACTCCGCCTTTTCATTTTGTTCCCAATGTACAGTGGTCCATACTCCCCTGTTTAGATGGGATGTCCCGAAATAACGGGATCATCGCTTGTCTTATTGGAGGTTGTCACTTTCATCTACTTTAAGACAATGCTTAGTACATAGACTCATCATTGACATATTGTTCCGTTACTCTTAGGGAAATTTAGGCCCATAACACTGTGCACAGAGCAGGCATGTGTTCTAAGGAGCGAATGACACATCAAGATTGTATCTACAGAGACTGGCCCGATTCTAGGTAGAAGTTGAAAAGCCGCATTTGGTCTATCACAGCAAAGTCATTGAGTCTATCAAGCAGCAAGTATCAAACTACTTACTCGAACTAGAAATGTAACAGAAGATTTATATAGCAATTGTAAGCAGCTGGGGGAATCATAAACAGGTATCATGAAACATGAGACGGGGTGAAAGCTGGCATCTGGGTGCAGTCATATCATATCCATGGGACATCGATGACGATGGTCCAATGCCGTGGAATAATTTTCAAGAAGAGCAAAGATGATCGAGAGATTCAGGGAGAGGAATGTGGCGGAAGGGTTGCAGAATTCGAGACCTGCAATAGAGCCGAGTGTCTCTAGAGCGATGGGTCTGTCTTCCATGTACCTATGAATTGAAATGTCAGCATTACTCCCACGTGTAACGGAGTAAAGATGTCGAAACAGCAGCCGTACCTCCGAAGTTGTGTTTCACAAAAGCCATGGGATCATCTGGATCCCCTGCACCCATCTGCCCTACACCAGGACTGAAGCTGGTGATGGGCAGCACAACCACATCACCGACTTTGCGGTGCGTAGTCTGATGACTGAAGTCCTCATAGGTAATGTTCTTGTCCCCAGGCTGTATATTAAAATATGCCGGATTGTTGAAGTAGCGGAAGACAGCGTCCGTCCAGGCACCAGGCCCCGTGAACTCCATAATTGTCTTATCCATCTTGCCAACCTTGAGAATCCCAGCTCTCTTCATCCGCAAGGCATGCTCGGTGATATAAGCCACCATGTCACGAAGGACCGGGTGTCCAGGTTTCGCCACAAGGGTCCACTGGCAGAATTGAAGCCGGCGTGAGTACCACTCATGCCAGTCATCACGGTCCGGATCTGCTTCAATGCCGACAATCAAGCCAATCGTCGTCCGATCGAGTTCCTCCGGAAGCCATGTGTGCGCTGGCCTAAGCGCGGAGGTGTCGATGTCGCTGTAAACTCCCCCGCGCGCCAGAAGAACCAGGTACCGGAAGAAATCGGCCTTCATGACCGCGAGCGGCAGTGAATCGTATGCCTCGAATACGTCCGGGACCGACCCATATAGGTACTTGATTAGGTGCTGCTGCGTGTCATCGGGGATGACCTCATGCGTGAACCCAGGGTGCATCTCTGTCCAGCTGGCCTCGAGGCTGCGCAGATCTTCGTCGAACCAGAATGACGCCGGGGAGTATTTCCATGTTTGCCAGATATATGCCGGAAATTTGTTCTCGATCTCGTAGGGGAATTGGTACCGGAGACGTTCCCGAAGCGGTGCCGCGGGTAATGCGCCAAAGGGCAGTTGGGCTCGTCCTTGCGGTGGTGTTTTCCGTGCTGGATTCGCTAGCGCATCCTTCTCTTCATCTGATATTTTCTTCACCGGTCTATATCCAGGCGCCCCAGGGACTTCGGGTTCTCGAAACGAGCGGAGGATGAGGAGGAAGGTGATCGCGCAGAACACAGCGAGTAGTATCTTGCGCGGGGTGATCATGGCAGGCGATGGAGCCGGCACAACCGGAAGAATGATTCGGTGGCCTTACAATAGCCGCAAATTGTTTAATTGGGACCGCCGCGTTATCGTGTTCCGTGCTCTGCGAACTCGGGGAATTTGAAGGTTCTGAGTATGCGATTCGTTCAGTTGAGCGGGAGTGCGACAGTCGGGCACGGAAGGTTCCAAGCACAAGGTTAGAGAAATTCAGAGGGTAACATTTCGGGTTTCGAGCTGTTGGGTCGAGTCGTTGTTCAGATGTGACCTCAACCGGAGATACCGTCAACCCGGAATGAGGATAGGAGGCGCGAGGGAAAAAGGTCAAGGAATACCCGGCTAATTAGTCGTTGTACCACAGAACAGCAATATGGGCAAAAACCCCCTGGAATTAAATCTCAAGGCCCCGCTGTCTAGCAGCAATGTGAATAATTGCCACTCCGTTCTGTGAAGCGTAAACGAGTAGGACGAAGTTATGCCGCAAGCAGCTTGTAGCCTGGGTGGAGCCACTCACGTGGCCTCGGTGTTTAACGGCTTGAAGCTTTTTAGGTATTTCTGCCAGAATTTACTCAATTTTACTGTACTGTCACTACTGTGTGTCTCTTTACCATCATGGCATTGCTAAATGTCATAATCTACTTATGAAGTTATGACTTGATTGTCAGGTTGTCAGTTGAGATCATCCTCACCCCACATGAGCTGCCCCTTTTATGCCACAATGGGGCGATCACCATCCCATACTTAATTCAAACCTCCCAAGATGGGCACTGTCACCGTACTCTACATGAACATTCATGATTCATCCTATTCTTTAATTCTTACTTGCTATATCTGAGCTTAGACCGAAGGAATGTATGCATAGCTCGAGTCCTAAGTAGTCATGCCTCTAGGCTCTAGTAATGGGCAACTCCACAGCATAACTAGTTCGATGCTGACTCTTGGGCTTACCATCCAAGCTTCGTGTGGCTGAAGAAAGTAGTTTTCCTAGAACCAATAGCATCCGTAGCTCCAAGTAAAGGGCCAAAGTACTGCAGGTCCGGGAGCCGGCGGTGGATACGGAAAGATGATGCTTGCTACTAAATACTGTGAATAATGCTATGTCCTTACATGTGTCTAGGTAGCTATGCAGCCTACTTCTGAAGCTATATTGGAGTCGGTGATCAAATCTGTTCGTTAGTAACCTCGAAAGCGAAAGCTGTGCAGTCTCGAAGTTACCTACATCATAAAAGCAACTCATCGTTGACGACCTCGAAAGCGAGAAGACCCCATGATGAACAGTCGAAGCCACAGTGAGCAACTCAAACAAATTTTGGACTTTTGGGGGGTGTTTGTTTTCTTTGTTTCGATTTGGTTTCGATCCTTTTTCCCTCGTTCTCAAGAACAATGGCGTGTAGTCCATAACGATAGCCGGCGTCGCGCACTCACGAAGCCTTCTAGCATACAAACTGTACATGAAGAAATCCCAGATCGTAAATCGTCTTTCAAAGCGTGATTCCCAAATCACAAAAGCAAGCGCGAAACAAAGCAAACTCAACCCAAAGGGCTGAGACAAGAAGAGCGCGACAATGAAACTGCCCGAAATGGCATTCTGGGTGTTGCGGCGTTGCCAGTGGCTCCATGGTAGAAGATGATGCATTGTCTCATAGCTATCCTAAGGCTCTAAGCTATGTCGGCTGACTAACGCTAGGAGGGTGACACTGGGCCTTTTTGTGCCGTCGGGGTGGTAGCACCAGAAGAGACACCCCCTGTGGCAGGGGGGTTGCGAGGGGTGGTGGGAGAAGGAGGTAAGGAGGGGAGAGGCTGGTTCAAGCGGTCCGTCTTGCCACTCTTGGGAGGCGACCTTGTGAGAGTAGCAAACGCATTGCGCTTCATATTAGGCCAAGTACTCGGGTGACGCTGGTCATCGAAATGCCCAAGCGGCAACAGACCAACATGCCTAACGTGTCTGGTGTACGGATCGTACGATGACTTGAGATGTGGCTTGTCCGGACGACTCTTTGAAAGTACGTTGCCTATCTTGGTCTCGAGCGGCAACAGACCAGCACGCATAGCGTGTCCGATGTACGAGGCGTACGATGACTTGAGACGTGGCTCGTCCGGACGACTCTTTGAAAGTACGTTGCCTATCTTGGTGTCGTCTGCGAAATGAACTTGCTGCAAAATGCTGGGTTGAGACGGGGCAGGACGGGAGGCACGAATACGATTGACAAGGTGATCGTCACTCTTGTGGGGGTGGGTACCGTGGACCGAGCACAGGTGACGGTGGGCAGGGTGAACTTCGCACTTGTCGATGAAGGCAGGGTCGATGCCGGCTTTCTGAGCAAGCTGAGCACGCTGGACCGGACGCTGGTCGCCGCCCTCGTTTTCGGGAACTATAACTTCAAACGTTAGCGACGATCCCTTCAATGAACGATAATTAAAACCATCGCAGTTTCATGGAGCTATGCTGATTAATGATTGAATCCTGTCAAGGATTAATATGTCTCTTTCATCTCTCTTGAGGCTCAGTATGCGGCCAAATGAAGTTCATTTGTTCATGGGTCTGACCCTGCAGGCCAAGGCCCAATCCCAAAGGATAAAGGCTATTTCCACAGAGTGAATGGCATCCTGTCTAAGGAGAATGTTCTTATTATAATGATGAATGGGAACCAGGCCCAGGGCACTCATCCCAATAGGAGGTGACCACGGGTTCTCGAGAAGTATCAAGTCCCAAGTCAAAATCCCATAGTGAAGCCTGAGACCGAAGAAAAGCCCAAAAGACCCTGCAAACGACTCAAAATCACGGCGATGTGGATGGAAGACGACTTACCTTGCTTAGACTTATGCATCTTGCGATAATAGCGATGAAATCAATGAGCTAGAAGCGAAATAGAAGTGGTTGATGATGATGGGGGAAGAAGAAGACGGGGGCGCAACACCAACACTGTCCCCGGACCAACCCAGCTCCGGGCATGATCATAAACGGAAGTCACAGGTGCATTGCCATTGCTATATGGGGTCTTTTCTTGAAATAGAAGGCACGACCCTCAACCTACCTATCACTAAACCACTGTGAGTCCCCCGCCCGCCCGTCTGCCCGCCCTGGAATCTTAGAATTCACCCATGTTCGTAGTCCATATCTTCCCTCCGTTAATTCATCAAGCTCCTTTCTCTCTGGGAAAGGCGAAAAAGCAGAGGGAGGGTGGGGGGGGGAATATGAATTTATCGCAAGATGTCTATGTTTTCCTTCAAACAAGACCGTCCTCAACAAAGGAGTCTTAGAATGAAGAACACAAAACACCATGCGGATACATGCCTATAGCAACTTATTGAAAGATTCGTTATTTATAAGTTCATGCCATTGAAGAACTACCACATACTGGCGAGCAAGCCAATCTAATCCATCCGAGGGCGGCGTCGGTCCCAACATGAAGAGGCGACACAAGGAAATCGTTACTTATAGTTAAATAAAAAAAGAAGCAAGAGGCAAATGAAATTCGTAAATACTTAATAACTTAGGAACGGGAAATACAAGCTCAAGTCCGGGCTCGATTTCTATACTTCAGAAGGCGACGCACTCTTTCAATGCCCACGCACAACCTTGCTGGGGCTTGATAAACACGTGGTGCCGGACTATTGTTGATCAGTTCCGAAGTATACGATGCCACTACTTCGTATGCCTGGCGGTCCTAGGCCTCACTCCTCCTCTGGGTTCTTAATACAGAATATCCCCCGGTGGAATAACCCCCTGTGGCCTGTTCAAGCATCAAGCTTCCACGGGGTGCAATTTCATTTGTGCTGTAAAGTCTTTTCTCTGCAATCTACACACACTACATTCGGGCTCTTTGTTGAAGTTTGACCTGCAATCTTTTGTAGAGCTGGCCTAGTAGGTCAGTAGCCACTGGTAATTTAAGGGCCTAAGGCGTACCGGACTGTTTATGGGATGTGTACCCATAGTGCACATTTGCATTTGAGATACCTGATTATAGTCCGAAGTCCAAACACCCTTTAGAGCTCATTCCAAATCATAGAGAGAAGATCAATTAGCCGATGAGATAGCACCGCTGCATGACCACTATCACTACCTATATGTGAAAACAACTCTGATTCATATATCTTCAGGCATGCTGGTATAGGCTTTGTTGAAAAGAGCCACATTGCCCAGCAAGTGAAGTCAGTCTATCCACAATCCTTGAATGGTCCGTGATCTGGGTGGAGCGGAGCCTACACCTACACCCATCTTTGTTCGAATCGACATATCCGCGGTACCGGTAGCGATGCCTGCTCCTCTAGTCGGAGGCTTTGTATGGTGTTGCCTATAGCCGGAGTAAGAATGGTATCGCATCGTAATTGGTGTGGCTGATCGCTGGCTGCGGTTATTTCTCGTCCCCTCCTGCCCGAATCGAGTAACCTCACTATCACCAGCCGCAAGCCAGCCGCTCAGCGCAGCCGCAATGGTCAGGGTTTAAGTAGAAGTCCCCTCGAGCATCTCGACCAACTTTACCATCCATTCTCCCACACTGCACGCATCCGCATCACCAAATCCCATTCGTCATGGATCTCATCTCAATATCCACCATGCCGACCCTGACCTCTAAAGCCCGTCTCTTCCATCTAGAGCGTCTGCTTTTCAGGCAACACTGCAACGACGTTGCCCTCTTTATCCTGGGCAACGCGGAATTGAGCATCGCTGAGCTCAACGACTTCATCGTGGAGCTCCGCGCCCATGTCACCGTTCTCTGGCTTGCCGGAAATATGCTTCTCCGCGACTGCAACCCCGATGACCTGGCATACCTGCCACCGGGGTTCATGACAGGTATGCAACCTCGCCTGGGACGATCCCCCATGACCGAGTTCGCCTGGGGATGCTTCTATACCAGGCGCGAGCTGGGCTGGCTGCATTATCAGTATAGCCAGTTCAACGACCGTTTAGACATCGCGGCCAGAATCAACCGTTGTGGGCGGCGCTGGAACTTGGCCGAGGACTTCCCTTCATTCGCTCGCCCTATGATCTATCCATTCGATTTGGACAATGAGGATGATGGTGGTCTTCTCCAACTCCCTCATTTTCAACCCAGCCTCCAGCCGCGTTAGGTGTCTTTTTTTCGTTTCCCGGTGGTCTTGCCCTTTCCTTTATCCCTTCCTTTCGCGTCATTAGCGTGAAGGTATCACGAAACCTTTGAGATGGGAAAGCTGATAATCAACTGGTCGGTGAGCTAGATAACCATGTCTGCGTCGGCGTGCGCCTGCTCCCGCAATAATACTCCATTTCCAATTCACCTGGCTGTCACTTTATCGTCACTTAAGCTTGTAATGTATTTCGTAGTCTGGTCAGAGTAACGCGAGTATGTCTGCGTGGGCGTGCGCCTGCTCTAACAGTGATTATTGATTTCCCATTACCTGGCCATCGTTTGAGCATCACCTGTAACGTAGAGCATGGACTCCATTCGTGCTAGCCAGCAGCTAGTATGCTGTGCACCCGTTTTTATGCTAAAATTGAGACTTCGCAGCCACCTGAACTCGGATTATTGTCGACCTGATCCAAAGTATGTATGACACCATATCGCAAGGATCGGAACCGTCAACACACTGCAGCGAGCAAAAACCAGTTGCTGGTCCGGGTCAATCAGTCAGTGAGTTAGTCCCTAGCGAGTCAATGTATGTACATCATCATGTTGAGGCTCCCATCCTCCACGAACAGCGTACCAAGGGAAAACAGACTGGCTGGAACAAAAAAAGTGGCATTTCCTTCCCTATCTTATTTGGGGGCCTTGTTACGCCAGAAAGGTGCAAATAGCCCTCCAAGGCAATTGACAAACACGGTATGCAGGATTGCTTTTAGCCAGCTGTCTGTTGCACCCTTTGAGAGAAACAGCTGGAACCGACCGATTCTGACTGGTAGGACGAGAATCCTCATCATTCTGCTTTGGCGCAAGGTTGCTGTCGGCAGCAGGCTTGGCGTCGGATGCATTGGCAACGGACTCAGTGATTCTCTCGCTGGTTTCGGCGGGTTGGGTTGGCTCGACGGCCTCGACCGGTGGTTGCGAGCCTTATGTGGCCAGCTTCGCCGTGGAGGACTGGCCCAGTGTGCCGAGAAGAGCTTCGTACCCGCCTGCAAGACTGCAAGAACCGGAATAGTTTCGATCGATATGACAGATTGCTGGTTGGAAAGACAGAACGGTGTTGGCTCGCTGTCTGTGGGCTGGGCCTCGGCCTTGGGATCCTCCCAATCTGTCGATGATTCGGGTGCGGTCACGGAATCCTGGTGAGCGGCAACGGCAGCCACGCCGGCACCCGCGAGAACAGTAGCGGGGGCGGCAGCGGCGCCGGTCCCGAGAAGCTCGGCGCTGACGCCATCTTCCTTGGCAGAAGCATGATGAGAAGGTGCAGCAGCAGTCTCTTCCTGATTCACCCAACGCTCACAGCATCGTCGGACGCAATCATCCTAACAATGTCTGAGACTCTGAGCCTCAGGGTTGCTATCCAAAGAGCAAACGTCAGAGGAAGTCGTCCTGGCGAAGTCTGAAGAGACCTACGCTCCTCACCAATATCACTAAATTCTGTGGCGAGCCCCCCCATCTCTTGCTATACCTCACTGACTACTCTGAAGTACGCCCACTCGAAGCCCCTCAAGAGTCCCTTGAGGAGCCATATACCAAGGCCGATAGGCCTTTGCTGCACACAGGGACGGGCTCTTCGGGCGCCTTGCGGTGCGATAGCCTCGAACGATGGGAGGAAGATCAGTTTCCATGCCAACTGCGGTAGTTCCGGATGCATGTGGTCTGCTGCTACCTATTTATGTTCGGTCTGATAACAAGAAGAGTCTTTGTGTCGACTCTGGTGACTGCCGTGTGTCAGATTCAAAGTCCGCTGTTGGTTAGGTACTCCCATCCATTGCACAGCGCTCCATCCAGCATTAGGCATTGCGTGGCAGGGAGAGCTTGGGCTCGCCTACCTACCTAACCTATGGCATTTCTTTTCCCGTCATCCATGGAATTTGATCCATCCCTGGACCCTAGGTACTCGGGCATATATGTAGTGCTCGGCCGCCTACATGTACATACGCATGTAGGTACCTAGGTTTCTGACATATTGGCAAGGCCACAAGACAGCCTGAGAGGACCAGGAGAACAACGACTACAGTTTGCTAGAGCCATCCAATGCCCGCCGAGAGGCCAGCGGCTCTCTGCTTGGGAGAGAAACCTCGAAAAACGCATTTGGGCCTTGAGTAGTACATCCGGGGTTGAAGAAAAACAATTCGTCGGCTTCCGTGGGGTAGAATACATCGCTCGTACTATAAACTATTTCACCCTCGGGACAAGAGTACATAGAGTAACAGGAGGGGTGAATACCTACAGTAGCTGCTTCACTCTTGGGAGATGTTTACAACGATAGATGTGATCCAATCACCGATGCCGGTGATGACGCCACGTCTATGCCTGAGGTATCCACATTTTCTCCCACCGATCGGCGATAGCTTGAACGCTTTCTCCTCCGGTGCATTCTTTCTGACTTCCTCAACATATTATATTCATTCAAAATGCAGTCGGTTCGAGGCGCTACCCGAGCCGCTTCGCGCACAATCCGACTCTCGGCATGGCGGCAAGGCGACTTCCCCATAAAGCCCGCAGGACCGCATCGGAGTTTATCGGCGCAATGGATGACTGCACGCCGATTGCATACGATACCACCAAGAATGGCCGCCGCGGAGTCGAGTGAGAAGGATTCGTCGAATCCAGCGATGTCATTCCCCTGTCTCGACGCTCAAGAAGCAAGGTCAGCGCAGCTTTCAGCTCGGTCGCTGCGATCCGGCCCCGAACCCTCATACACCACCGGTCAACACGAATCATACCACTGCGACCAACCACTACTTCTTGACTGGGGCGGCGTGCTTTCGGAGTTTGACATTGCCTATGAAACATGGGGTGAACTGAACAACGACAAGAGCAATGCCATCCTCCTCCACACAGGCTTGTCTGCCTCAAGCCATGCCCACAGCACAGCGTCCAACCCGAAACCCGGGTGGTGGGAGAAGTTCATTGGCCCCGGATTGCCGCTGGATACCAATAAATACCACATCATTTGCACCAACGTTATCGGAGGTTGCTACGGCAGCACAGGCCCGTCATCCTTCGACCCCTCTGACGGAAAGCGGTATGCAACCCGCTTCCCCATCCTGACGCTGGAGGACATGGTGCGTGCTCAGTTCCGCCTCCTCGACGGCCTCGGGATCAAGAAACTTGCCGCCTCCGTCGGATCCAGTATGGGCGGCATGCAGAGTCTCGCAGCAGGCGTCCTCTTCCCAGAGCGCATCTCCAAGATCGTCAGCATCAGCGGCTGCGCCCGCAGTCACCCGTACAGCATTGCTATGCGGCACACACAGCGCCAGGTGCTGATGATGGATCCAAACTGGGCGCGCGGATTCTACTACGATGCGATCCCGCCTCATTCAGGCATGAAACTTGCGCGCGAGATCGCAACAGTCACCTACCGCAGTGGGCCAGAGTGGGAGATGCGATTCGGTCGCCAGCGTGCAGACCCCAGCAAACAGCCTGCTCTGTGCCCTGACTTCCTCATTGAGACATACCTCGACCATGCTGGCGAGAAGTTCTGTCTCGAATACGACCCCAACAGTCTCCTTTATGTCTCCAAGGCCATGGATTTGTTCGATCTTGGCCATGCTCACCAGACAGCAACTCTGAAGCGTCGCGCAGAATCCACACATCGCATCGCGCACGGCGGTGCCGCGCCGAATGCCTCGGATCCTGCTTGCAGTCTGACTCTCCCGGATAAGCCGTATGAAGAGCAGCCTAGCTCGACTGCCAATGTGGCTCCGCTGGACCAATCAGTTGCTGCGGATCAGATGGAAGGTCCGCCGCGCGATCTTGTCGCTGGTCTTGCGCCATTGAAAGATCACCCCGTACTTGTCATGGGTGTTGCGAGCGATATCCTGTTCCCAGCGTGGCAGCAGCGGGAGATTGCCGAGACACTCCGTGCTGGAGGTAACAAGAAGGTTGAACATATTGAGCTGGGTGATGATCTATCGCTGTTTGGTCACGATACTTTCTTGTTGGACCTCAAGAATATTGGGGGTGCCTTGGGTAAATTTTTGCGCTAGTCGCATTGCACATTGCGTCTGACGCAGTCAGTTAATGAAGTTTTGTACATATGTCGTAAAGCGTGTGATGTTCGATCAGTGCATCTAGCAGGCGTTTTGAATGAATGTATTCACCTTTTTTAATTCGTCTGGGAAGAGGGCTAATATACAGCTTGTGGAAGCAAGACCTCCATCACAGCTCCTATGGCGCAGTGGTATGCCTTCGTGGTCTAGTTGGTTATGACGTTGGTCTCATATACTTTTCATATGACATTCTTGGTAACAAGATTGACATCCGAAGGTCTCCAGTTCGATCCTGGACGAGGGCATTTCTTTTTTTTTTTTTTTTTTTTTGCCGGGGACTGGTTGGATCCACTATTTTGACATCGGCGATTGAGATTCTACTGTCTACCGTCTACTGTGGAAGGCAACATGAAAACCCACAATTGAATGATTTTGAATCTAGGAACAGTTACATACAAAAGGACTATGGCAGAGAAGCAGAAGTTTTAGGAAGATGAGCAACAACAATGATTTATTCAATCGAACAAATAACTAGAAAACCCAGCGCATCCAAACCCATGGTGATGGCACAAGATCGAAAAACAAATAACAAACATGCAAAGGAAACTCGCCCTCAGGTTGCTCTCGGTTTTCATAACCGACTTCCAGCTAGATGACAATTTTACCGAGACATTAGATGCCCGAGTAAAGCCGTTATCAAGCGGATGCCTGCAGTATTGGCTTAGTTCGTCTCGTAGACGATCTCATCATCGGGCGAGTATGGGGACAAAGTGTAGGGAGAAAAAGAAAGTAAACAACTCAAAGTCCATGAAGCCCACGATCCCACAACTTGTTGCCAGAGGCAGAAAGAAAGGTCAAATACCGAAAGCGAAGCTGTGGGTATTTGGTGAAAAAGGGTCAAAGAATCTGAAGACACGAACGCGGAGACATGAGATCGTGATGGAGAATATGTGTCCCAACACCAAATATGAAACCGCAGAACGTGGTTGGAAAGCTGTGTTCCAGTTCCCGATTGAGTATATCAAACGGGTTTTACCGTTTTGCTCCCCTCCGGTGAGGTTCACGTTTAGTAGTTCGGTTCGGTTCGGCGGTTCGGTCCGTGGGTTCGCGGCGAGGGTCCAGCTAGTTCAGTTCGGAGTCGTAGCGTGAAGAGAGGAAGAGAGAAAGAGAAGAGAAGAAGGAAAGGACAGGTATTTATGTTCTGTGTGGGAAAAGTCCAGGAAGGGAAGGCAGAAAGCACGAGCTCCAAAGAAGGAGGGCACGTATATTCATTTGCAGACAACTCTACTCGTAGTCTTGGAGATCACATCCCCAACGCATCACATGATTCACATCAACACTGCGTCACTGCTCCCCCAGTCAATGCAGAGAACAACAAACCGTGTCTGACATCTGACATGGTACATCTACCATTCAAGCTGTGGCCCTGTGGGTTATCAACCGAGATTCATATATCTGGACGTCTCAGATGCACTGCTGAGCTAACCCTTCAAATCAGCCTGCGGCCTTCATATGGCCGCCTTATTGCCCCAGCCTTGAAGCAGGTGTCGCTGTTGGCTGGTGTGCTCAGACTCGACATAAGAGTCAGCTTGTATATTTCATACAGCTATGGCTTGGCTTTCTGGCCAGGTGCTAACCTGCGGGACTTGGTGAGTCTGGTTATTGGTCTTTGTAAATCATAACTTTGAGAGTGATCTTAGACGCGGCTTTCCAGTTGTCCTGGGGAAGAAAAGGTTCATCCGCTCCGGTGCCACGCCCCATCATGTCTGAGGTACCCCTTATCTTCGATATCCCAGAGCTCAATAGGGCTACCTACCTCGTATGCAACATACTCAATTGAAATTGAGGCCGAGGAACTGAGCACTGCAGCGTGTCTTTCATACCCGGTTTTTCATTCCCACATGTTTCTCATAGGGTGCCTTGGCGCTTTGGCATTAACGGTCTCTCCGATATCTGATGATTGGCCGTGGTGATACAACGCAACTGTGCGGTCCTTCGTGCCCAAGACGGGCATTCACTGTCTGTCCGTCAAAAGAATGACCCATGTTGACGCACACGCCTTACACTACCTGCTTTGCAAAAGCAGATAAAATATGGCGAGTTCTCATGAGTCATGATGCTCAAACTGCGCGTTGACAATTACAAATACTAACCAGCCTTGCTCACTTTGTTAGTACAGGTACGGGGCTGTCACCTTGTCATGGAACTTGCGCGATGTAGGCATAGTAAGGTATGCACGATGCAGTAGTCCAGTGCATGATCATCGAATATCTCAACACGAGATGGTACTAGAATATGCCCTCGGATTGAAAACTACCAAATTGTCACTCGTCATGGACGTGCCCGTCGTTTCCTTGAAAGGCATACAGACTAAGCACATATACAGGGTCTCGGAGAGTGCGACAGTGTTTCGTCATCGGGCTAGTACCAGAACATGGAGATGGAGTCGAGATCACAGTGGACCCGAGGGCTGCATGAAAGGTGGCGATCGGTCGTACTCGCGGCGACCTAGAATATGAACAGCATTGCTGATAAATGTTAATAAAGCATGTTCAATGGTTATGTGAGCACATGAAGACAGGAAACTGGGAATAACTACTGCACAGTCTATTCAGATCTCTGTTCATTGTTCAATCACACATTACTGGGCCGATGTCTTCTTCCACTCCGACATCAGGGGGATAAAGTCCATGGCCCGACGGTTCAGTTCGACCGACATGTCATGAGAAGCTCTTGTGAGGGTTATCGTCATCAAGACTTGACACGGATGCTGCAGCGAAGGTGTATTGATGTAAGGAAACAAAGAGACGCATTTTCAAAACATACCTTTTGTGATGTAGAGCGAAGTGAGCCCAAGGCGTCAATGCTCTGCTATTGTATGCATTTGGTGTCCATATCTGCTAATACACCCTCCCAAGGGAGAATAAATGGTTCCTGCCATTGACCGGTACAGATTGAACGATTCAATCCCAAGTTGCGCGTAGGGTGCGCGTAAGCTGCGCCAACGTTGTGCAAAGTGACTTTGAAATCCGTAGACCTGCGCGGTGTGTCAACAACAACATGTTGTCGCCTGAGAGAGTGTAAGAGAAGGTATGAGATAGCTCGCGGACAACTGGCTGAGGAGTTCGCAATTGGGACTCCGTGTAAATGTAGGAGGAGACGTGCGCGTGAGACAGAGAGCCAGGATGACACCGCTTTCTCGGCCGCCTAACTCCATTGTGATCCCGAGGTTTCAGCGGCAGATTTCTGCCGGCAGAGAGCCAGCCGACAACACGTGATAGCAATCTCCTTGGCGGCTTGGCCTGCATACTACGGCCCGTTCGCTAGTGAGTATGGTGTGGGAAGCTAAAAGGCACAGATAGTGATAAATCTGATCTGTCTTCTTTCTGCAACGTAAATCTTTAATCCTTGATACACATTAGTGACATTACACGCACCTCACACGACAGTCGCAGTAACGACAGCGGCCAACAGATAAGATCACAATATGAGCAACGACTCATTCCACTATTTTTCGCAGCCACCTGCAGAGCTACGCCGTATGATCTGGATGCACTGCCTACCGTACCGTATAGCAGAAGTCTAGAAGAAGACACCCCTGACAGCTTTTTCAACGGCATGAACTCGAAACATGCCTGCGAGAACCTGCGCACGAGCGGCACGACACTCCGAAACGCTCAGATACCGGCTATTGCATACGTCAACAGCGAGTCTCGGCAAATCGCACTAGAGCAAGGACGCCAATTAGAGCCGGCTGATGTGAGACTTATAAAGTCGATATGGGTACAGCCCCATCGAGATGTGCTGCATCTCAACTGGTCGCGGTTGTGCTATGCTTCCTGGGGAGTTGATGTAGATTATGAAGCCTGGGTCGACGAGTTTCTATTGCAGGCGAAGAATCTTGGGATGCGGCCTTCTATCACGGCTGCTCTTATTCACTATTTCAGCTTGAAGGCCGTGTTGGATTACGCTGGTGATGCGAATTTGCTTCGCAGATATGAGCATTGCGATCAAGGTATATTTGATATACCGAAAATTCATTATCACCGCAGAGGGGAGGGAATTGATGACGTGCGTGAGATGGTTGATATCCTGCCTTGGGCGAAAGGTCAATGCAGCATGCTAGACATAGCTATGGTGGGAGTCACTCTGCATATTACCAGGGAAGTTGCTCTGAGGTCTGGTCTATTCGGATTACTAGGCGATGCGCCTGTTCAGATGGTTGATGTCGATGATGAGGCTCGGTTGAGGGAATACCATGCACTTTTCCGGGAACACGCATTAGAAACGGAACCGGTTGTGGAAACACTTTTCGAAACATTTACCAGTCCTTTATTCAAAATGGCTGTGGAGACTTCGAAACGCAAAGCTGAATGGATCATCTACGCGTACATGTGGCAGTCAGCTCGGGACAGAAAAATGGACATTCTTGGGCCGATCCCGGGCTCTGCTTGGCTGCCTTACCTGCCGGAGCAAAAGTAGCACGGTGCGATACGATAATAGCGTTCATTCAACCGCGTTCCTGGCCCCGAGTCCGACCTGTGGGCTTCCCGTGATGTGGTATCGGTTGGGGACTTGGGATGGTTTCCATCCCCTTCAATTGTCGCGGCGCGGATACGAGGAGGCAACTGAGGTAAAGCAGCTCAGGGTCTGCTGAGTGCGTACGGAGTACTACCGCTACCGGGCAACCCTTAAGTGGCGCACCCGCTGATAAATAGGCGGACCGCGGACCCCACAGGGCATGCATTGCATGATGAATGCCAAATAAATATTGCAAACTTCTAAGTTCTGACGTTTTTACACACAATATACCTCAGCGCAGCCGCAATGGTCAGGGGTCAAATAGAAGTCCCCTCGCGCATCTCAATAAACTTTACCATCCATTTTTCCACACTGCATGCATTCTCTCTGATCCATTTCGAGGTCCGCATCACCAAACCCAAGTCATACATCAAACATAAACCTCACCGATCCGATCTCCGCACCACCATGCCGACCATGACCTCTAAAGCCCGTCTCTTTCACCTAGAGCGTCTGGCTTTCAGGGAACACTGCAACGACGTTGCCATCTTTATCCTGGGCAACGCAGAATTGAGCATCGCTGAGCTCAACACTTCATCGTGGAGCTCCGCGCCCATGTCACCGTTCTCTGGCTTGCCGGCAACATGCTTCTCCGCGACTGCACCCCCGATGACCTGGCATACCTGCCACCGGGGTTCATGACAGGTATGCAACCTCGCCTGGGACGATCCCCCATGACCGAGTTCGCCTGGGGATGCTTCCAGCCCAGGTCGCGGTCCCAGGCAATGCTGCACATCTGTCATGAACCCCGGTGGCAGGTATGCCAGGTCATCGGGGGTGCAGTCGCGGAGAAGCATGTTGCCGGCAAGCCAGAGAACGGTGACATGGGCGCGGAGCTCCACGATGAAGTGTTGAGCTCAGCGATGCTCAATTCTGCGTTGCCCAGGATAAAGATGGCAACGTCGTTGCAGTGTTCCCTGAAAGCCAGACGCTCTAGGTGAAAGAGACGGGCTTTAGAGGTCATGGTCGGCATGGTGGATTTGAGATGAGATACGAAGTGCGGAGATTGGATTGGATCGGTGAGGTTGATGTATGACATGGCACGGTGAAATGACTTCGAATGCGCCCCTTCCTGGGGCTAAGCGAATATCAAGTGCGTTGCCAGGAAACATGACTGGAAAAAGTGCATTCCCGAAGCCCCATATGAACAAGGACAGTAAGGTTGCTCAAATCCCGATGCATAAACTGCGCGGGAAACATACCGGGTGACTCCATCTGAGACAACAATTAGGACCTTCAAGCGTGGCTTGAAATAACTCTTTGCGCATTCAGAATATCCGGCTAGCTGCAGGCATATATGCTGACCGGGGGCATAGGGCCGCATAGCGTTAAGCGTTTGGACCAAGGCACGTTGCCTGCTAGCATTGACTAGAAGGCATAAAGCAGTTGGTCAGTGAAATGTTTGATAAGCGACATTCAAAAAGATCATGCAGTCATAAAACTGCGAGGCAGCAAGGTAGCAAGCCTGTGAGATGGAGTGCAGTAGGTAGGGCTTGGATGACCGGGCTGGACTTACGTTGATCCGAAGTACCTCACGAAAGCATAAGGAAGTCTAACGGCATCGCATCCAGGTTCATCAGTGGGAATTTCACACGGACAGAACCTGGACCAGTGGACCTTGCAGTGTCAAAGAATCGAAAGTGCGAAGAGTTGAAGATGAGTAGAGGTGCAGGTGGGAAGTTCAAATGGACTGTCTCAGCAGCAGCTATTTAAGTCAACATACTGCCCAGAGCGGTTGGCGGGCCGGGATTACATTAGTCCGGGGGTGCTCCCCGGTCATTGAACTCGGGCCGAAGGCGCCCCAGGATCAACATTATCCCGCACCGGTACCTACCCACTCCAATGAGAGGGCGGTGGATATCACTGAGGAAGCCCCGGACCCTGGTTGCGATGATACGGTGATACCCATCCGGCCATCCCTACTGTACACATCGGTTTGGCCGGGGCTTGCAGTTACTGAAGAAGCCTGAGCTCACTGCTTGTCGATTTAGTGTGGCGTCGCCGATGATCTACGACCGTAAGATATCACGAGTCACGACAACGACAACGACAACTACGACGACAACGACAACTACGACGACAACGACAACTACGACGACAACGACAACTACGACGACGACGTCAACGTCGACGACGACTACAGTGCCCAGTTACAAGGTGACAGATCAATGATTTGGAACACTCAAAAGATGCGATTGATTACCGCACCGATATTCCTGTACCAGATCCTAGCTTCGTTTCGGAGCCACCGCTTGGGCCAAGCTTCATCATGAGTTGAGTCGACGGGGCTTGCATTGACCCAAGTAAACTCCACAACGCATGAAGCACGCCAGGCTGTTATTCACGGGCAGTATTTCCGGGTTCACCTGGAGCTGGGACTGCGTACCTCAGATGGGTCCAGCGAATTTCCAATCTAAAATCGACAGAGGGACTTAACATCTCTCGTGGGGACTCGGGAATTTACTGGACTGTTCATCAAAAAGCGCCGCGATGAAATGGCAGTGCTCGATACATGCTACATGCTCGCCTTCATACAATCAAGGGAATATTTACTCTCGAGGGTACAAAGGCCATGGAACTTAGGTATAAGTTAGGTTCATAGACAACAGATGTTAACTATTACATTCTTCTACTATGTATTGGCACTACGTCTCATAAACCCACAAACCAGATCTGCAACATCCTTGAGCCCTAGCTGGAAAAGTAAAAGCACATATGTAAGTCGTGGAACCTAGAACTTCTCCTCGTAGACCCTGGTATACTTCCCGTCTACATGCCACATGAAGGAAGGATAATGATCGTACATGTTTGGAAGACCCAATCTTCCAATACCATTAGTCCATTCGGCGGTTAAGACTTAAGAGAACAATGTCAGTCCCACAGAGAACAGAGGGCTCCAACTGTCAGCCGATATCAGGAGTCGGCTGCCACAGGTTCTACATGCATAGGCTGATCAAGCATCCCAATGGGGTTAGCGTGGCAGTTCTGGGAACTCGGCAGAATCATTGGCTGTGGGTCTGAGGAAACTGGGGTAACCAATTAGCCCAATTTGACCCCATTCGAAATGGGCAATTCCGCACCTTCCCTCTTCCGAGAAAGACTCAGGTAAATATAGAAAGAAATGCAGTCGCGACCGGAGTCTCCAGGGCAAGGACCTGCAAGATCTCCCTCCCCGACCCCAGCCAATCCGCCGACATCCGACTATCCCTTGCAGGAGATCAAGACGCATTACAAGGACGATCAAGCACGCGACAGCGATGAACTAAGCCGCGACTTAGAATCGGGTGACGCGCCGCTCCTGCCCTCGGATCAACCTGGCATGGAGGACGTGAAGACGCGCGAGAAGTTCGTGCAAGATCCGCCATTTTCTTGTACGCCGACGGGATTTTGTCGGTGGCTGCGCGGGCCGAAGCCGCCGCATGTGTATCATATTCATCCTTGGTTTCCTCAATTGCAGGCTGCGCCGGCGCGTCTGATTGATGAGAGATTTCCCCGTAGGAGTTCGAAGATTGCCCTGCTTTTTGGTGGCTTGGTCTTTTGGATTGTTGTGTTCTTCTTGTGGTTGAAAGTTTCTGTCGCGGGCCAAGATGTGCCGGGGTATGGGCGGCCGGTTAAGCTTTCGTGTCACCATCGATTATGGTGGGTTTTTTACTTTGTGTTCTCCCCCACAGAGATCGTTATCTGGTATTGTGAAGCTGACTGTGTGATTCAGGAGTAATGGCACGAATTGCGGACTAAATGGTGATCTTTGTCGTCCGTTCGAGGATCAGTCCTTCGCTTTCCAATGTCCGTCTGGCTGTGCGGCGGCGATTCTTTTGGAGCCATATATTGTTGGTGATCAAGAACTCAACTATCGCCCGTTAGTCGTGGGTGGTGGACCATCGCAGCAAGACGGTCAGACTAGTGGTCTTTACCGTGGTGATTCGTCAATTTGCGCATCGGCATTGCATGCGGGTCTCATTGATGATGCAACGGGTGGATGTGGCATTCTGGATCGCACGGGCGAGCAGAAGAACTTCCAATCCGTCTCACAGAATGGCATCGAAAGTATAGAGTTCCTCTCGAGCTTCCCGATGTCGCTCCAACTCAGTAAGGACGCGACATCCCCAGGCTCAGACGAGGCAAAGCCGATCAAGTGCTCCGATGCGCGCTGGTCGCTATTCACATTCACCTTGATATATACCATCTTGCTCTCATTGGTTGTGACATCGGCACCGGCGTATTATAGCATGATGTACTTCATCGTCTGGTTCCAGGTGGCCATGGCATCCGATCCACCCTCCATGGGAAGCCTCTATGACCTTGTCTCTATAGCGCTGGGCCGCTTCCTTCCCGGCGCATTTGTGGGGTTCGCGCTGTATTATTTCTGCGTTCGACACACGCTTAGAGATCTGGATGCGCACTGGGACAAGACTGTCCTGTGGCTGGGTGGCTGCTGGGTCGGCGCCCTGAACACAGACACTTTCGACCGCATCCCTATCTCCCGCCTCACGCCCCACGATATACAACAGCAGCCCGGTGCTCTGACAGCTCTTATCATCGTAGTCGGGACCCTTATTGTGATCGCTTTTGGTCAAGCACACTGCTTCCGTCGGGAGGGCCGGTTCTTCCCCACAATAAGCATCTACGGTGTCCTTGTTGCAGTCGTTCTCATCCTTGTCGCCGTCCCGCACATGAACCTACGCATCCACCACTATATCCTGTCGCTCCTTTTCCTACCAGGAACAACCTTGCAGACGCGACCCAGCCTCCTCTACTCAGGCATCCTCGTGGGTCTTTTCATCAACGGCATCGCCCGCTGGGGCTTTGACTCTATACTCCAGACCCCTGGCGCCCTCCTTGATGGTGCCAAACTCGGCACCGTTCCCCCAAAGATATATCCCCCTTCTTTGACGGACACCGACAACCTCGTCTTTTCCTTCCCAGACCTCGAACCCCACGCCGACGGTCTCAGCGTCATGGTCAACGATGTCGTGCGATATCAGGCCTTCCGGCCTAAAGACGGCCAGCATCTGCCTGATTTCACTTGGTCCCGTACATATGACGACGAGTTGGAGTATTTCCGGTTTGGCCTCGTACATACTAATGCTTTGGGTGGGCTTTGGTACGAAGACTTTTCGTTGCCCGCCGTTTGGGGCGTTGATGGAAATTTTGTTTTCCCTGATCCTGAGATTCCTAATCCTGAGGGTTCCGAAGCCGGTTCCGAGTCCGCATAGAGGGAAGCCTCGAGTGGTATATGTCATCTGTACCTACCCTTATCCTTCTGTCTAAATTGGGCATAGACATTATTGTTACCTTAGTTCACTCTTTCAAGATTTGGCTTGAGCTTCTCTTTTCTTTGGTAACCTATACGTTCCATTATTTGTTCAGACAGGGACGACCTCAACAGTATTGGTTCTACACAGTAGATCCAAATGCGGCTTTACGAATACTGAAAGGGTCAGAACACGTCAACACCCAGCAATATCTCCAGGAAAGCCTTTCAAAGTAGTGGATTCCAATGATGCTACGAAGCAGATCGCCATGTGTCATAATCATACCTAAAGCCTTTGAGCACAACCATAATATACAGCACCCTGTAGGGCGATAATGTCGACGCACGATTAGGTCCCTCAACTCTTGCGATAGTCGCGACATGATACCTGTACAATGGATTGCTTGCCACCGTCTCCAATAACCAGCGCCGTAAGCTCACCTCCATTCACACAACCCGAGTCAAGACCCTTCGTAAACGTGCGAATGGAAAGAGAAGAAGAAGCATCGTGACCATAAACAACAGTCACGGTTTTCGATCTGGGGTCTTCAGCCGAGGACTCGAGACTCGAATATAGTGCAGATTGCTGCTTATCAAACACCTACCACCAAAGAAAGTCAGTATACCAGCAAGAGAATGGAAACGGATATGCAAGACGATTCCCTTACTTCTGCCCATTTCACCCCCTTCTTCTTCGGACTGGGTAAGTTTGTATCAGGATCAAGAGTCCGCATAGTCATGACGCTCAACAAATCCTGTTCCTCAAGCTCAACACCGGGGTCAAGTCCCGCATGGACAACCACCACCCGTCCCATCCCCGGGACCTGCCCGATATCTAAAATAACCGGGCACGCTTCCAGCCACTGGACTTGCTCATCGCTCAAAGAACTAGCGAGAGCACGCTCTGCCCGCTCCTTCGACGAATCTTTGCCGGAAGGCGTCGCGAGAGTCCCCGTCTTCGCCATGCGTCGCAAACGTAGGATCCTATCTTCGTGGTTGCCGCGCACACTAGATGCGGAGCACTGCCGCGCTAAATCCACGACTCCTTTGCTGTCGGGACCTTTGCTGATCATGTCTCCGACAAAAATGAGGTGGTCGTTTGCTTGCTTGAAGGCAACCTTTTCGAGAAGCCGTACCACTATTGTAATCTCGTTAGAACTTAGGACTGGGGGGGTGGGGGGGGGGGGGGGGGGATCGAACAAAAATAATTGCAAATAATGGGAAAAGACGGGCAAAACTTACGCTCGTCTCTGCAGCCGTGCACATCGCCCACGATGATCAGCCGTTTCTGACTCTGACTCTTAGTATCTGCGTCTAGATTCGCAAGATCGCTCGGCACAAATTGTGGATCCAATGTACGAATCCGTATCAAGTCGTCCAGCTCGGATGAGGTACGCTCTTGGAGTCGTGGGGGATGTAGTAGTAGTCGCCACCCGATCCAGGCGAGTATGAGCAATGCGAGGTAGATTAGTGCGTAGCGGCGAAATCGCGGTGCGGAAGCCGCTGAGTAGGCTGTTTGGAGCCATCGCGGGGATTCTGTGTTGTCGGTGGGAGAATTGGAGGCTTGTTGGGCGTCTCCCCGAGGATCAGATTTCCAGCCTTCTCTGGCGGTATTCATGATTGAGTGGGAATATTGGGTAAACTGGTTTGAATGGGAGGTTTGGTGGGTTGACGTCGGGAAGTTGTTTTCTGCGCTGTTGGACTCGAAGTCGTGTAGATGGGACCCGCGTGCTGCCATGTGTATCCAGTTGGCTTATTTATTCCAAGTTGGATTGTTATACTATGTAGCATATGTCCGCGGGCGGTTCTCCGGGATGTCAGTGTGAAGATGTGAAGCGGAAATAAACTCGGGATCCACTTAACCTTCTCCGGGCCCGCTTTTCTGAGGTTAACCTTGGAATGTCGCGGAGCCCAATATCTTGCCTCCTGAGTGCGCTGTTGAGCTTTCAATTCCTGGCTTGCTGTTCTTGTTGGTTGAACTGTTTACTTTACTGTGTACACAGGACCTAGCTGGTGATACCAACAGTGTGCACACCGCGGTCTTCTTCCTCGGTTGGTCTTGTCTGTTTCGCGGCTTGTCATATCATTCTGCTTCATTTAGTTATAGTTTTCTGGTTGTTTCTTTGTTTTAGCTGTCACTCTCACTGAGTCACTGTTAGGGCTGGATCATCCAGGGCTGCGTTTCTCTTTTTCCATAATTGATTAGCCACGTCTTATATTACATCCACGTCTACTCAAAGGTCTTGACCATGGGGCATGTGGTCTTTCCTCATCAGATCCAGGGCCCAGAAAGTTAAGTCGAAGCCATTACAGATCGTATAGTAATGAATCAGATTTCAATGGAAGTGGCCAAGATTTCCGCAGTCCGCACTAACTATAAATTCGAATAATGCTACATATCTGCAAAGAAAACAGATTGCCAATGGATTGAATAAGGAGCACATCAAGAGATTCCTCAGGGTATTTTCGTTGCTTCAAGAAGTCGCAATTCATGGTATATGAAAATTTTCTCTCTGCGTGAGTACCCATTCTATGGCGTCTGTTTTCGATGCATGCTCATGATCAAATTGCCACTGCACAAGACCGCCAAGAGCTACCTTAAGAAAAGCACCACTTTGCTTGAGGTTGAAGATGGTCTTCAATTCGCTTCCGTTGAGTATAGGCTTAGCGAGTCGTGCGTTTTGCAAGCCCTGATCAAACACATGGTCCATGAACTTTGAATATCCGTCAAGTAGGTCGGCAAAGGTGCCATCGTCTACCACCTGAGAAATGGCGTCGGCTAACAGCGCGTACAACACTTGGAGCTTCCACGACCTACCCCAGGACCTGACTGCCATGCCGAGAGCGCTTCGGGTTATCCCGGCTGAAGCTGTTGCAACCTGTCGGACGGACGCATGGACAGAATCCATATTCTTGAGACAATCGCCCAGAATTTTTGATGTTTCGCTTGTTGTCTTGATTGCCCCGGTTGCACTCTTCACAACTTTCTCGATGTCGGTTATCCGAAGTGGTGCGAGCGGCGCCCAGGCCGCCATCAACCAGATGTGCTCCCGTGCTTCAGACTCCCAGAAGAATTCATGTTGCAACAGAAACGCAAGAGTCCTGAATGCGAGGGGCCATGGATTCGGCCATGGGATGTCAGGTTCGCTGCGAGGAAAAGCATGTAGCAGCGCTTGGCTTAGATAACCTGGTGGACCTAGGAAGACCGGGGAATATAGACCGCTTTCATAGAGAAACTCAAAGGCGGTCAACGGATCTGGGCCCTTGATCATTTTCTCAATCTCAATCCCCACTCGCTCGCGAGTGATTTTCACATTGAAAGTCGTTTGGACGAGTGGGTCTTTCATCGCTTGTGCTGTTTCTTGATCAATTTGGAAGCCAAGCCGGCTGGCAAATCTGACCAACCTTAGGATCCGAAGAGGGTCATCCATGAAGGTCTGAGTGGGCTGAAGTGGTGTCCTAATGATGCCGGCTGCCAAGTCTGATAGCCCCATCTGCGTGTGATCTTCGACTCTTCTTCTGTTCAGGTTGTAAAAGATGGAGTTGATTGTAGCATCACGGCGATAAGCATCTTCTACTGTAGTACCGAATTCGACTTGAGGATTCCGGCTCTCCTCTCTATAGACTTCCTTTCTCAGGTTGACAAAATCGACCGGCAACCCAAATATTTCCATAGTCCCTGGCTCTAGGTGCTTCGACTTCTCTGGATTCCTGTTGATTATGTGCAGCCCTTTGATGGTTGGGGGCAAACCAAGCCTCTGGGCTTCGGCGATGTACTCTGTGTCCGAGCGAGAAAACTGGTCGAGGGCTTTCCCGAACTGAGCCCCAGTCATGGAGCTAAGAGCCACATCGATATCCTGGCTTTCGCCGCCGAGTAGTTTGTCTCGAACCCAGCCCCCAACGAACCATATATCGAGATTGGTGGAGTCATGGCTGTTGTACACGATGTGATCCCGGCAGTCGAGCAGAAGTTTCCGCAGAAGCTCTTCGGCTGGTGATAAGTCAATTGTAATTTCCGATTGTTTCGCCATTTTCTGCTAACGAGCGAGCGACTTGTGATGACGTCTGTGTGGGTGAGCCAGTCAAGCACTTCGTGCTCAAGACAGCCGCGAACTTAGAAACTCGTAGACCTGGCGACCATGTTTTTGCACCTTGCCCCCCTTCCTGCGTATGCGTGACGCTATCTTGGGAGATGAGTGCACGACTCTTGATCGTGATTCGTGTTCGAGTGGCGCGGCCAATATTATAGTCTCTAGGAAACTGATACGTGGACTTCCGGAAGCGCCGCGCGAGTGTTGATGTGATCATGTGCCAACAATGCAGAAGTTTCTGAAGAGTAGTATTGGCAGGTACGGTGCAGCCGTGCAGGAGGATAACCTATTACCTATGGGAATTAATTACCACTAGACCACATCAAAAACCAAGGGTCCAAGCCCCAAGGTTCCTGTTTATGGCCTTGGGAGGCCTTATCTCAGCATATCCCAGTCTGACATAACCATCAACTTATAGTTAGAAGGTTGGTCATGTGAGGCCTCCGAGGCTGAAAGTGGTGGGTCACACTCACACCTCCCCGGGCTGGGCGATCCGATCATCCGAGGAATGGCTGGGCGGCCACTGTCACGTGAGCCGGCCTGTGGCCCCACCTTCCTGTTTTCCCCTCCAGTAGCTAGCCTTAGAGAATACACATCAGTTTATCTCTTCCCTTTACAGTTGGTAGCATTCTCTGGTCGACCAGGAGGCCCTGCTGTTCGACGTCTTGAAAGAGACATCGACGACAGAACAACGGAACGTCAACGTCTTGAAAGAGGCTTCGACCCCGTCGCTCTTGAAAGGGACTGACGACCCTTTCCCATCAAGAGGAAGTTTCCAGTCGCTCCCGTATAAGGAACGACAACCCCACGGCCTTTGGGAAGCCCATGTCAGGTCGTGCCTTCCAACGGACAATCAGAATAGCACATCAGCTGAGCATCTACCATTCTCAGCCAGAGCAGCCCCATCAGGACCTCTTTGTAGCGGAGATCGAGCAGGAATTACAACAGGTTCGTACATAGGAACCGGTCTGCGAACTTCCTCGCCATCAACCGCTACCTCTTGATTGGGCACTCGACAGACGAGTACTGGCCAAGGACATACGGGAATTTCGACGTCTGTTCACCCGGTTTTTCCAGGATTCTAGGAACGTCCCGAATCCAGTCGCAAGGCTGCAGGTGGAACTCCGGGGGAAGATCAGAACGGATACGAGTGAGTGGTCATCATACGACTATGCGCCAGCCCAGATCCCTCTCTGAAATGATTGCTCTGGCGGCGATCAGCCCCGCCTCAACCAAGCATGAGAAGGCAAGATGGAAAGCGATATACCAAACAGCGGTCTGGTGTATCTGGAAAGCCTACCTAAGTTTTCCTTGGGCAATGGAGAATTGCTTTTGGAGCCCAGCGGCGGCTATCACCTATTACCTGGAAACTATGCTCCGTCACATCCTCAGTGACCGCATACTAGCGCTCTCTGAGCGCTACCAGAACAATCGACATAACGAACAACAGTTCAAACTACTAGTCTGGGGCGAGGACCCCAAAAAGATCAAGATACTGCGGGGACCTGGAATAATCCCCCGGAACCACAGTGGCCCGCGGAAGGGTGCCTACTCCGCAAGAATATTACGCATGTCCAACAATACTGCAGGTCCCGTTATACGATGGGAGCCCGGTGCAGGCCCAGCCCTGCTAACCCACTTAGCACTAGGGGCCTGACAACCTTTACTTTGGGGGAGTGGCGGCATGGGTTCGACTCCCTGTTTGCGGCGCTGGGGGCAGCACAAGCGCCTCCTCCAGCCAATCAGCAAGCATGGAGTTAGCAGACAGAAAGAAACGACGCCCGCATCCCCGCAAAATACCTGGAAACGGTCACCGCAGAGTCAGACAACCCAAAAGGCAAAAATGGCCCTGAGCAACCCCACCGGTAGCATTTACTCCGAAGGAAACGTGGGGGCTGACTTTTTGTCCGTGTGAATGTAAGACCGTAAGTTCATTTTCGCGTTCTTCTATTTTATTTGTACAAGTTACACTATCCCCGGTACTGGTCATACTCCTCGGCTTCCCTCCTCCGCAGGTTGATGCGCTGGAGAACAGCTTCGTCATACACATCTTCCACCTTCTTGCCACCCTTGAGCACTTCTTTCTCATGTCGAATAGCCTCCTCTTTGGTCATACAGACCAAGTCATTGATCTCCATCGGGATAGTCTTCTGCCCTTCTTTCTCCAGGGTCAGATCCATAGTCCAACCGTGAGCTGGAGTTTGCCAGGGAACGAGAGCTAGTCTATTAGACAAGCCACTGACAACACTCTTCCCGCGGTACACTTCCTCCACAATGAATGCAATGTCATCTTTGCTGAGAGGGGGTCGGAGGCCCACTGTGTCTTGACCAGTGACTTCTTTGATCATTCGCTCATGCAAGCTTAGTAAAGCGCCCAAAATGGTGTCGTAGAGCTTCTCGCGGCCCTTGGCACCCATATTGTAGTCAAGCGGGTAGCCGCTGATTGTGCAGATAACGTGGTTGGCGACGGTGTAACCAAAGACAGCAGGCATAGTGCCCAGGACTGGGAGGATGCGGGCTCGGAAGTCAGGAAGGACTCCAAGTTCCCCAACCTGACCCTTGGTGAATTCTGCTTCGGGGAGAGGAAGAAGGGTAGCCTTGCCTGGGCCAGGTTTCTCTGTCGAGAAGACAGCCGCAACGCCGGAGGAAACACCGAGGAGCTTGAGCCTACGGCGTGTACTGCGAGACAGAGGGTCATCAGTGCTGAGCGAGATGTCGCCGACCACTACGCGAGTTGGGTCCGACTTGCACCCAGCGCCCATAGACGAAATCACGGGCAAGGAATTCGAATGGCAGTAGTGCAGCAACTCGACTTTGGACGTAATATTATCGATACAGTCTAGCACGAAGTCTGGTCGACGGCCCTCTCCATCGTGTGTCAAAGACCACGGACCGAGGAGATCCTCGGACGCGGCCTTCCCATAGAGCTCATTCCGACAGTCGAACATGACCCACGGTGCGATTTGCTCCAATCGCCTCCGGATACAATGGACCTTCGGGGTGCCGACATCGGCCAATGTTGCAAGAGCGTGTCGATTCAGCGATGACAGTGTGACTTGGTCGAAATCAATGAGGCGAATCTTGGATACACCCGATCGGGCAAGGGAGGCAGCGGCATGGGAGCCGACGCCACCGCAGCCGACGACGACGACGAATGACGACCGAAGCTTCGCAAGTCCCTCATCACCTAGGAATACACGGTTGCGGGCAAGCTGTTCAAGGATCAGGTCTATCAAAGTCGTACCGGATGAGTGAGAAAGGTTCGCAAAAGCTGATCACAGAAAAGGTCTGCCTACCATCATCATAGTCTCCCTGCTGTGCTCTGCGAGCCAACGCTGCGCTGCGCTCGTCTTCCTTGCTCAACGGTATTCCACTCGCTGCGGCGCCAAAATCAGTGAGCTGTTGTCAGATGTATCAGCCTTTTGGTCTTCTGCTAGGAATTGGATGCGAAAATCCAGGTGTAACCCACCGCTTGCGCGGGATGTGAATCATCGAGACTTGGGATCGAAGCCTTCAAGTCATGGACTGCTCCTTTGCGCTTGTATGACTGGTATCCGAAAATGGCACCTGCGACAGCTGCGCCCGACACAACAGCCGCAGCCGCAAGCTGTCCGTGGGACGAGCCAGCCTGACGCTGGAGCCAAGAAGACATATTTTCGATCACACCCTTATCTTCCGTATGCTGTGTTCCTCTTCTCTTGGTGTTATGTTCGTGGTTGTCTCGATCTGGTTCGTGATATCTAGTATCCAGGTCGTCAGAATCAAATCCATAGTCAAGATCGGCATCGCTGGGCTCTTGCCACCATTTTGATGCTGGGGGAGTCATGGCTTATGCGGGAAGTACTTACGTATTGAATTGTCGACCGGCGCAGGCATAGGCCTCTTATAGCGGAATGTATATGCGCCTATAGACAGGATAAAGTCTGCCGGGTGGGGCCTTTCCTATCTAGGATGCCGCCGCTTTTATGAGGGTGCTCAGGCTCACCCACTTGAGTTTGGGGATTTTCCTCCAAGTTTATCGGAAAGCCTGGCCCAGGATCAGAGTGGACGTCAGCACGGGCTCAGACCTCGGGATCATGCTCAGTTTTATCACGTGACCAATGACTAATGCTCACTCGTGCTCAGGGTCAGTGCGTAGTACCAAGCCTCAAGTGGAGCACTCTGATTTGGCCACAAAAATCGACCATACTCAAAATAGACGGACCCCACAGGGCCGTCGAACATGTGTGCTTTCACTTTTCCAGCCAGGGCGCAAGGGTGTTGCTGATCAGGTTTGTGGGTTTATGAGACGTGGTGCCTATAGAAGAATATTACATTGGTTGTCTATGAACCTAACTTATACCTAAGTTCCATGACCTTTGTACCCGCAAATACTGCCCGCGGATAACAGTTTTACGTGCCTCATGCATTGTGGAGTATACTTGGGTCAATGCAAGGCCCATCGACTCATGATGAAGCCTGGTCCAAGGGGCCAAGCGGTGGTTCCGAAACGAAGCTAGAATCTGGTAAGAATATCGGTGCGGTAATCAATCACATCTTCTGGTTGCTCCAAGTGATCCAACTTGTGACTGCGCGCTGTAGTTGTCGTCGTCGTTGACGTCCTTGGTCGGGTGTAGTTGTCGCTGACTCGTTGTCGCTGACTCGTTGTCGCTGACTCGTTGTCGCTGACTCGTTGTCGTTGACTCGTTGTCGTGTTGTCTTATATACGGTCGTGGTACTCGTAGACCATCAGCGACGCCACACTTCTTCAGCAAGTGCAAGCCCCGGCCAAACTGATGTGTACAGTAGGGATGGGTATCATCGCAACCAGGTCAGAGCTTCCTCAGTGATATCCACCGCCCTCTCATTGGAGTGGGTAGGTACCGGTGCGGGATAATGTTGATCCTGGGGCGCCTTCGGCCCGAGTTCAATGACCGGGGGAGCACCCCGGACTAATGTAATCCCGGCCCGCCAACCGCTCTGGGCAGTATGTTGACTTAAAATAGCTGCTGCTGAGACAGTCCATTTGAACTTCCCACCTGCACCTCTTCTCATCTTCAACTCTCTTCGCACTTTTGATTCTTTGACACTGCAAGGTCCAGGCCCTGTCCGTGTGGAAGTCCCACTGATGAAACTGGATGCGATGCCGTTAGACTTCCTTATGCTTTCGTGAGGTACTTCGGATCAACGTAAGTCCAGCCCGGTCATTCAAGCCCTACCTACTGCACTCCATCTCACAGGCTTGCTACCTTGCTGCCTCGCAGCTTTATGACTGCATGATCTTTTTGAATGTCGCTTATCAAACATTTCACTGACCAACTGCTTTATGCCTTCTAGTCAATGCTAGCAGGCAACGTGCCTTGGTCCAAACACTTGACGCTATGCGGCCCCTATGCCCCCGGTCAGCACATATGCCTGCAGGCTGCAGCTAGCCGGATATTCGAATGCGCAAATAGATATTTCAAGCCACACTTGAAGGTCCTGATTCGTGTCTTTCCTGACAACGCACGTGATATTGCCTAGTCCCAGGAATGGGTGCACCGTGCACTCGAAGTCATTTCATTTTCACCGTGGCATCTCAAGTCGATGATGCTTCACGGGAACTTTGACCATGCTGCCAATGCCAGCTGCAACTTTAAGCATCAATCGCACGAGAGCCTGCATTGTTACCATCCATTTTCCCACGCTGCACGCATCTCCTGCCATCCATTCAGACGTCCGCATCACCAAACTCAAGTCGTGCATCATCCATCAACCCCATTGATGCCATCTCCGAATCCACCATGTCGATACTGAGCTCAAAGCCAGTCTCTTAGACCATGAGTTGGGCTTTCATAGACCATTGCACCGACGTCGCCCTCTCCGTCATCAGCAACACACTCTTGACTGCCTCCCAGCTCGCCATCTTCATCGTGGAGCTCCGGGCCCATGTCACCGTCATCTGGCTCTCCGGCAATGAGTTCCTCCATGTCTGCTATCTCTGCGATATCACGTACTTCCCAGCCGGGTTCATGACGAACGAGCTTCATGCCCAAGGATGACCCCCCATGACCGAGTTCGCCTGGTGTAGAAGCATCCTTAGTCGAACTCGGTCATGGGGAGTCGTCCTTGGGCACAAAGCACGTTGGTCATGAACCCGGCTGGGAAGGGTGGGAGATCGCCGGGGTAGCAGTCACGGAGGAACACATTGCCGGCGAACCATGACGGCCACATGGATTTGGAGCTCCATGATGAAGATGGCGAGCTGGGACGCAGTCAAGAAGTGTGTTGCTGATGACGGAGACGGCCACGTGGGTGCAATGGTCTATGAAAGCCACGCTCTTGGTCGAAGAGACGGGCTTTGAGGCTCAGCGTCGACATGCTGGATTTGGAGATGGGATCCACGGAATTGACGGATGATGCACGAATTGGGTTTGGTGATGCGGACGTTAGAATAGATGGGAGGAGATGAGTGCAGTGTGGGAAAATGAATGGTAAAGTTTATTGAGATGCGCGAGGGGACTTCTATTTATACCCTGACCATTGCGGCTGCGCTGAGCGGCTGGTGTGCGGCCGGTGATAGTGAGGTTACTCAATTCGGGCAGGAGGGGACGACAAATAACGCAGCCAACGATCAGCCTCAATAATAACGGCACGATACCCTTCTTAGTCCGGCTATAGGCAACGCCATACCAACCCTCCGACTAAAGGAGTAGGCATCGCTACCGATACCACGGATATGTCGATTCGAACAAAGATGGGGGTAGGTGTAGGCTCCGCTACACCCAGATCACGGACCATTCAAGAATTGCGGATAGAATGACAGGCTTTACTTGCTGGGCAATATGGCTCTTTTCATGCAAGTCTATATACCGGCATGCCCGAAAAATCCATGAATCAACGTTGCTTTCACATAGAGTGAGTAGTGGTCCAGCGGTGGTGCTCTCTCCTCGCTTGGTTGATCTGTTCTCCATTATTTGACGTTAGCTGTACAATGGTGATCAGACTATACAATCAGTTTATCTTAGATGCGAATGCGCATAAATATCCATTCTATAAACATTCGGATAGTGGACCTCAACATGACCAGCGGCTACTCCTAGGCTAGCTCTACTGTGTACAGAAGAGCGCAGATCAAAGAACCGGAATGTAATGAGTGTAGATTGCAGCTAAAAGACTTTACAGCACAAATCAAATCGCACCCCAAGCTTGCACAAGATTATTCCACCGGGGTGGCGGGAGGGTATCAACATAGTCGCAATTCGTGAGCCACCGGATATGGGGAAAACACAAGAAAGCAAGAAAGCAACGAATCATAGATTCATAAACATCATGAAAGGGCCGATGCCCATGGCGAGTATTCACTTATCATTTTGGTGAAAGCTTGGCATGATAGCAATGCTCATACTCAGTGGTAGAAGTACCTGCGTTGAGACTTGCCCATGCACAGGCTCCGGCCCACAGCCGTTTAGACAGCAGAACGGCCCCAGCGACGGCGGCGACTATTCAGTCCGTCAGTATCAGAGAATACAACAACGACATGGGGAGGGTGTGCCATCTACTTACGTTCCATCGACGGTGTTGTGACGGACCCGGAAAGTAAACCAGATACCCTGACAATTTATTAGTGCGTAGTTCCGATCCATGATGCACAGTATCACCACATACCACGATGGCGGAGACAAGCCAGAGGATAGCAGAGAGGAAGCTGAAAGCCTCAGCTGCCTTCCAGCGACCACACATGGACTCTCCCCTGAAGCGCCAATGCCAGATGCTGCCGCACGGCAGGTGACGAATAGTGTCGACAAGCACACCGAACGCAGCAAACCAAGCCAGCGAGATAATGATATCCACTAGATTGTCAGTCAGTATGGGGTGCACGGGTTTGATAGACGGTGAAGACACGTACGGGGCCAGGAGAAGAAGCCGGAGGAGAACGGGATCAGCCATATCAGTCCTAGCAGTATGGATAAACCGGCGATTACTTCAGTGTAGATCCATCGTGACTGGCCCCACCAGTCGACATCTACGTTGCTGTGGTGGACCTGGGAAAGGTAGTGTCCGATGATGCCTGCGACGACCTGATAGACTGTTAGACAATATTCATGAGTGTGTCAAGCTGGACTACTCACAGCTGCAAACGCTATTTCTGCCACGCGGAGGATGATGGACGCCAGACGAGAGATGACGGGCATGGTGAAGATGGTGTGAAATTAGTAACGTTTGAAGTCGTAGGTAGGAGTATAAGATATGTGATTGGATAAAGAAATGAGATGTGTCAATCTGCTGCAAGATGATAGCGTGGACTGTGGATGTATGGAGGGGGAAATGAGAAGCTATTTAACGTGTGGTTGTCTGGGTTGCACAGGTAAAGCAAACTCCCAGTGCCAGCGACAGTGCGCTTTTAAAGCAAGGGCCAAACATGGAAATCGTAAAGATGTAAAACAAGAAAAAAAAAGTAAAAATAAAAAAATCAAAGCATAGCTTGCATTAGAAGTGACCAGTAGAGTCTAGTAGAGTCGATCCAAGCCTCCCGATGTCGTCAGATCACTTCCAGATACATTAACATTCGAACAGAAGATTGACATGATTGGCTCAAATATACTAATAAAAACGTGCCTAATCTATTTTCCACGCTGAGACGTGTTGACCGCTGATGGGGACTGTGGCTGAGAATGGTCCTTGAGCTCCCAAGATCCTGGGCATCCAGAGCAAGGAGTGGGGCTACCATATACGAAGTACCACAGTAGTGACATCGTATAAGGTACAGGTACAGGTACCTCCCGTCCTTACTACGAAGGTTCTGGAGAACTTAGTGACACCCGGCACTCCTGTTTTCCATCCCGTCATCCCTGTTCGTCCCCAGACCCAGACCCGGTCTCTGGAGTCTGCTAGAAAATGAAGCAGCCCGACTCCCGAGACGATGTGCTGGCGCGATACACAGTAATGAAGGTACTTCAAAGCTTGCGTTATGCTTCAGTGGCTTGGTTATTGAGTGAGTTGTCCCGTGGTCAAAAGACTGCAGATCTCAGTGGCTATTGGGTGAAAGTTAATTACTGTACGTAGCTGTGGGCTGATCCGGGGCTGGGTGGTCTCCACTCGAGGGCGATCATTGTGGCAGCCTATTTGACAGGTCTTGATCCTGACAAAGTTGTTTATTGCCAGGTACTTAATCTCGTACTTTCATAGCGAAGAGTGAATGAACGATGTTGCACCTCCGACGACACTGATGTCATATTTACTTCGTAATTGTGGCAGGTACTTTGGGTCAGATGACCCCTGCTCTTCTATCAGCCCTATGACGTGGGGCCCGGGGGAGTTTCAGATTACTGTTGAAAACTACAAAAAGTCGCAGTAGGCAGACATCGCTCGAAATTCAACTGAATGCTGTGCATGCAGTAAGCTTAAGAGACATACAGGTACAGGCACGGGGTGAGTGGGTCGGAATGATATGAATAGTAGCGACATTGAATGGCCGCAAGTGCGAGGGCGTATCAGATCCACACCTCCGTGGACGATCAACCTTGGAGAACCCAAAATTATGCTGCCTGCAAGGTCCCAGTAAAAAAAAAGAAAAATTAAAACAAAAGTAGAAGGTAAATCGCAACGCCTGAGTCAAATAACATCATCAACTATTACAACAGGTGGTTTGACAAAACAAGGAGAAAGAATCAATCCCGGGTATTCTTCTGCTCCAGGTGCCATGCCATGACATCGCGAAATATTCCCTTGGCCCCAGTCTCGATAACATCCCCGTGACACGGAATCAAGCGATCGAAATCCCACCTGTCAATCTTCTTCATAGACTCATTAAATCCCGTCCGATCCTTTGCAGAGAGAATGTACCACGCGAATCGTCTCTGCCATGTCGACGGCTGCTTGACAGACATCAGCGGCATGACAACCTTAGTAAGTAGATTTGTCCCTGATCCTTCCTCGCTTTTAGAATACTGCTCTTTAGCAGGCAGATTAAACAGCAGATCCGCCTCGATGACTGTGCGCGAAGGCTTGTGGAAGAACACAAGCTCGCGCGAGCCATGAGAATGCACATACTCGCTTTCAAATTCAGCATCAAACTCCTTCGAGATCGAGCGCGGCAGTTTATCTTCTTTCTTGAAAATAAAACTGAACGGCGTGTCTCGGTGCTCTGGGTTCGATTGCCGCTTCTCGAGAAGACCCTCCGGTGCTAGGATCTCCGCTTGCGGGTATGCTTTCTTCCATGGGGTGAGGTTTATGTGGTGCTCGAGATCTGGTGCGGCGATGTACTTGACGTTTCCGCCGAGGGACTCGACCGTTTCGCGGACTTCGGGTGTGAGGCTGACGGGGGAGAAGACTGCGAGGGAACCGGTGGAGAGTTTGACTGTCGCATGCAAGGGATGTTAGTCGGCTGCACATCATCCCCCTGCTACCAGACGGACGAAGTATGCCTGATAGGTGGGGTGAGATCTGTAAGGGTGGGTACTTTACCCAGCGTCCCACGTCCGCCAAACTGCAGGTGTCCGAATCGTGCGAATGGCAGACTCATGGTCACGATGTCGGGCGTCACATGGCGAATTACCATGGACGCCGAGGGGTTGGCGGGGAAAAGCTGTGGCATCTTGAATTGCTTTTGCTTTTTTCGTGTATGTCAATGCTTATCTCTTGAGCTTGGGAGCTGCGCTTCTTAGCGTTAGATGTCTCAGTTGGTGATTATCTTGGACCTTCAAATAAATTGTAGATTGAAGCAGATAGAGAATAGAGAAGCTCAATTGCAACTTATTCAGGAGCTGGAAAGGTTCTAAGGATGGAGTTGGTCGCAGAACCGAGGATGACGTATGGCGGCTTATGTAGCTGCGATGTTCTCCACTTCGAATCGAGCCTGGTCGGATTTATCATCCAGGGCCCGGGCTGGACGACCCTGAGGGGCAATTACTCCGTATTGTTTTCGGGTAAATCTGGAGGCGATGGACGCATCAAGTCGGATATTTCTTACCAAGAAACAATCTCCTCGGTAAATCGACTTTTGTGACTGTTCTGAGGCATTTCATACAGGCGTCATTTATCATGATCATGTGCCGCTATCATGACTACAGTATTACTGGGCTTTATAACCATAGTATGAGCTTGATATTATCGGATATTTTGAGCAACAAATCTACAAAAGCAAGTCGAAACCAAGGGTATCTTGTGAAACACACATCGACTCATGAACCATGTCCTCGGACAGAGTCTAGGAATACCAGCTTGTGCTGGTCTCTCCCTCGACCTCTTCGCGGTGAGAAATGATCGAGTCCTCAAGCTCGAATGTTTCACAGATATCTGACCATGTTTCATGATCCAAACTAAACACAGATTGATGTTTTTGTAAACCCTTCCTTTGGGCTTCATTGGGGGCGAATGGTTCCGCCGCGTCTGCATCCTATTAGTGCTTGATCGACTATCCAACATGAAGGAGACTTACGAAGGGTCGGCAACCCTCGACTGTCGGTGTCCACACCTATTGTGCCATCCCGAACCAGGAAACTCACGTAGAACAAGTTTTCTACGCTTTGGCCGAACGACCTCCTGTTGATGCAGAAACGAAACAAGGGAACGCCGCCATCATCTGCCACGTTGTGCGCAGCCATGATATCCTGGGCTTGCTCTGGGGTGGGGTTTCCTAAGCGACGGAGAGCAGCTTCAGCTTTCTCCAGACCCTGCACTTGGGTGCGCGCCAACAATTTGTTGATCTCGGAACAGATCGTTGTAAGATTCGCGTTCTCCTGTCCGCCGAGGTCTTTCTGTGCCAATTCTGAGGGGCCCACGGCCAGCCTCGGATCAATTTCCTCTCGCGCTCTCCGCTGACTGACCTGCCGCGTACGTTTTTGTAACGATAGCGGGCCCAACAACCATCCGGACACGGCTGGTCGAGCATTATAAGGAGCACAGGCCAATCGACCCAGCGTGTCCCAGTTCATCGCATCGCCGGAATCATCATCATCGCTGGCTTCCGGGTCCCGTTGGCTTCGACTGAAGCGCCCGCGGCGTCCCTGGGTTCCGTTTGCTGAAGAGGTCGCGTTATTTGGGCCGCGTCGCATAAACGATATACACTTGGAGACAAACTCATCTACATCAATACCAGCAGTTGTTTCACCGAGAGCAAGCTGTGTTGCTTTCTTGTGTGACAAATCGGCGGCATTAACTAGGAGGCGTGAGTCTAGCGTGGCGTCGGAGGTCTGTTTCACGTTTTCGTAGAACTGATTCGCTTGTTCGACAATGCTGAAAATACCATCATTTCCAGGCTGCATGAGCTCGCCTCGGGTGTCTTTGCGATAGATGTTAGAGCGTGGTCACTGTAGTCTCTAGTCCATATATGGAAAGAACTAACCATTTAGTTCCCTTCCGAGGTCTCTTAATCCCTTCCTGACGATTCGACGCTCTTCGGGATCCTGATCAGGGTCATAGTATCTAGTGTCATTGTATGACTGCCCAGACTGGGAGTTTGGGTTGCGGTCGGTCAGTCGTTGCCGTTTGCTCTGTGGGCGCGAGGATGGCATCGCGGTCATATTTCTCTTGTTCGCACGTCGTCGACTATTCTCTTTATCGGAGCTGGATGCGTTGGGTGATGACAATTGGCTGCCACTCTGGATGTTTGTTTCGTGCAGCTGCGTGTGTGTGGGTGGTGCCATAATCGATGGAACACTCTCGGGTGCACACTGAGACGAGGACTGAGACAAAGAAGAGTTCAACAAAGAGAGATCGAGTCCACTGCTTGAGCCTTGATCACAAACAAAGTAACTCAAGTTATCTCAAACAGCATATCACGAAGAATGATGATGGATGTACTCGGATGAAAAGGTCTGTGGTTTCAATAATGATTGTGAACGGGGGTTAGACTTTGTCGCGACTTCGCGACGTTCGCGTCGCGTAAAATATGCACGTGACCTCCCCGCGTCGGCTCCTTATCGGCCATGACGCAGTGGGAACCTGCCATCCTCTCTAGACGGGGGACAGAGATGGAAGCGTTCACATTTGCCGTGACCACCCAAGTGGACTTGCCTATACGTATTAAGATGCATGTTCTCCATCCCCTGAAACTGGAGAATCCGCAGCTTTCTAACACATCCACAGCGGCTCGTTGGAGGGAAAGCAGAAGCCTATCCCATATACGTCTCTCGATGGCAATGCCGAGCTGCGACATACCGCATCTGTTCAAGATTCCGCGTCCGATCTGTACGTGACTGCTCAGATATGGTCGGAATCGAAGCCACTGGGCGTACCGATGAAGACAAGATACAAGGCCTTCAAGAATACGCGAGTATGGAATGAATGGCTCGAGATGCCCATGTCCATTAAGGATGCGGAGCGTAATGCTCAGATAGCAATCACAATCGTTGATCTCTCTCCACTCGCCGCCGATAGGATTACGCACATACCATTTGGCGGAACTACAATCAGTTTGTTTGACGAAGATGGGAAATTGAAGATGGGAAGACAAAAATGCAAGGTCCACCTGCACAAGGATGCAGATGGATCTGCTTCCACATCCACACCATCTGTCCCCCGACCTAAGCGTCGGAAGCCAAATACTCGGGATCCTTCCCAGCAATCGCCTGAAGAGGCGGAATTGGAACGGGTAGAAATCTTGATCAAGAAACATGAAATGGGCGAAATCCCACGCGTTGATTGGATGGATCAACTACTCTTCCGCGAGTTGGAAAAGTTGAAGTTAAACGCCGATGAAGCGGCCCAAAAGCGCGCCCTGGAACTCGACACAACTCTGCAAAAACGTTCAAAGCATACCGAAGCCGAGGATGATGATTCCGACACAGAGGACTTCGAAGATGAGTACTTCAATCTTTATGTCGAGTTTCCGCGTTTCGATCATCCTATTGTGTGGGCCGACCATGAGTATCCTCCTCCACCCATTTCCTCTTGGTCCCAAAATGCTTCTCAACACCCCAATGCAACCCTCAAGCCAGTTCCAGAGGTTCAATTTGGACCGGGAATTGCGCACGCCGACCCCCATAATGTCATTCGAATTTATGATCCAGAAGTTGGCCAGATTGGAAACCCTTGTGAAGATAAGCACAGACGGTTGATCCGAAGCCACCGAACCGGTATCATGGATCGCGACCTGAAGCCTAATCCAAAGATTAGGGATGATCTCAATATGATTATCTCTTACGAACCGACGCAGGACCTTACTGCGGAAGAGAAGGATCTTGTATGGCGATTCAGATATCATCTTACACGCGAGAAGAAAGCCTTGACGAAATTTGTCAAATCAGTGAACTGGCGGGACGTCGGGGAGTCACGGCAAGCTGCTGAGATGTTTCCTAAGTGGACCGAGATTGATGTTGACGACGCTCTCGAGATTCTCGGCCCTACTTTTGACAATCCTGCTGTCCGTTCGTATGCCGTGGAATCACTGCGAAAGGCGGATGACGAGGAGTTGCTTCTGTATCTTCTCCAATTGGTGCAGGCTCTGAAATATGATGCAACCCCTGATAATAATCCCGACGCGGCTCCGCAAGAGTCCTCTCTTGCCCACTTCTTGATTTCACGTGCTGCCAATAACTTCAAACTTGGCAACTATTTGCACTGGTATCTCATGGTTGAATTTGACGATGCCGATGCTGTTCAGCGTCGGCTGTTTGCGCGGGTTGAATACTACTTCATGCTTGAATTGGAAAAGTTTCATCCCGAGCATAGAAAGGCACTCCTACATCAAGGCGAAATGGTCGCTGTGCTCTCTAAGATTGCCAAGGATGTCCGCTTCTCTCGAGAGAACAGAGTTAGTAAGATCGAAATGCTTAAGAAGTATCTTCGGGATCCCGAGAACGATCTCATCAACATTGATCCGCCGCTGTCATTGCCCTTGAACCCCGACGTTCAAGTGGTTGGCCTATACCCCGACGAATCGAACGTCTTCAAATCCACGCTCTCCCCTTTGCTTATCACGTTCAAAACTGCCGATGACCGCCGTTATCCAATGCTGTTCAAGGTTGGCGATGATCTTCGGCAGGACCAATTGGTCATTCAAATTATCATTCTGATGGATCGCCTCCTGCAAAAGGAAAACCTTGATTTGAAATTGACTCCTTATCGAATTCTTGCAACTAGCGCAACGGCCGGTGCTGTGCAATTTATCCCTTCCATTTCCCTTTCCGCAGCTTCCGCCAAGTACAAATCCATCCTCGCATATCTACGAACCAACAACCCAGACGAGAATGAGCCTCTTGGGGTCCGCAAGGAGACAATGGATACATACATCAAGTCTTGTGCAGGATACTGTGTCATCACGTACCTCCTCGGCGTCGGTGACCGGCACCTTGAGAATTTGCTGCTAGCGCCAGATGGCCATTTCTTCCACGCAGATTTCGGCTTCATCCTTGGTCGAGACCCGAAGCCCTTCGCGCCCATGATGAAGCTTTGCAAGGAGATGGTCGAGGGCATGGGTGGCACAACCTCACCCCACTATCTGCAATTCAAACAATACTGCTACACTGCTTACACTACCTTGCGCAAATCCGCCAATCTGATTCTCAACCTCTTCAGTTTGATGGTGGACGCTAATATCCCGGATATCCGCGTGGAGCCCGACAAAGCTGTTCTGAAAGTGAAGGAGCGCTTCCATCTTGAAATGACTGAGGAAGAAGCCATTCGTCACTTTGAGCAACTTATCGCTGACAGTGTTAATGCAATCTTCGGCGTTGTGATTGATCGCTTGCATGACTTTGTGCAGGGCTGGCGGGCATAGTTGAATTTGTAACTATGACTGCATGTTCTTTCCGTGCTCTTGCTGGATCTTCGGGCCTTATAGGAGGTCTTCATCTTGATGTTGCTTGAATTCGCTCCTTTCTCCTGTCTTCCAGCCAAGTTGCAGTCAACGGGGCGCATTCGCAATGTGGGTATGGGATCGTGGAATTTCTATGATTCTGATTTTCAGTTTCACGGAGCACGGCGCATTATGACGGACTTACAAAAGCCAAGATACCCACCCTGTCTAGATGATTTTGTCCAGATAGTAATCATTTTGTCAACATTGCAAGATACCGGAGTCTTGAGCCCACGGGTTGTTAACGGGTCAGCTCCACTCTCCACTCTGGTCCCTACCGCGGAGCGGCATCAGAATGTTCCGAAGAAGGGACGAATGGAAGAACATCTCAACGTCTAAAATTGTTCAAGACAAGCAATCCAAGTCACAAACTTATACACATCATTTCTTCCAACACACTAGATACTATTAACTACTCTCAACAGGTTATGAAGTCCTGGTCTCTTAAGGAACTTCAGATGGGCCTTGTGCCTTGTGTGTGTTGTGTGCCGCGTGACATGGTGGAAGGTCTCGTCCTTAGGCGCCACATACAAAACACCCACATACAAAACACAAGGCGCATCTGGGGTGCCTCCAAGATCAGCTGAAGTGCCACAAGGTGAACCACCAGCGGCCGGCCTCCCGATTCAGGAATCATCAAGAATAACGAAGGGCGCACCCCAAAGCGCTTCGGCCTACTCGCAAACATCCACGACTACCTTCAAGACACTGCTACCAAGGCCGAACTCTCACTTCTTGAAGGTCCTGCTAATGCGGCAAGAATGACAATCGCAAGAAGGGGAATTCAGGCGGTTGTAGAGTATCTGTCCCGGGCGTGGGAAGCAGAAAGGCACAGACAGATACATGATAGGATTTCGCGGCCCATACGGAGTAGATCCTGCTCTTTCAGGTGTCAAGTGCCTTGTATCAACAGGAGTCTTACAAAAGTCAGGAAGAGCAAGAGCAGGGCTATGTAACATCATACATTTACACTGGACATATCTTCTGACATTAATCAACATGAGGACCAATCGGGTCGCAAATCCTACATAGGCTTTTGTGTACATTTTTGGTCACAAGAAAAAACACTCATACAGTTTTGGCCACAGAAGAAAATCCACCCAAGGTTGGGCACCCAACCGGCGACCCCAAAGTTGCAGCAGTCAAAGCAGGAGTGAGCCACTTGAGAGCTTGGAGACCGTGCATTTAACGTCCAGTTTTAACTGGCATCTCCTTTCCTTCGTATTTGATGTCTTCGGGTCTAACTTCGCTCTCTGGAACCAATTTCGGCACACCGTCACGCTCAACGAGCCTGCCTCCGTGGGCGCTCTGGTAGACACTGACATCATACGTGTTTTTCATGAGGAGATGGTAAACATGGATCGGTCGTTTCTGCCCGTGACGGCGCGCACGACCAATTGCCTGGGTCATGCCGGAATCGTATTCCCTCTGGGTAGAGGCAATCAGTGGCGACAAAAAGATGATATGGTTGGCACATTGCAGGTTCCTGAATCAGTTAGCAATCACGTGTCGACCAACTTCCAATGTCAAGAGAACTGGAAAACTACTTACAATCCAGCAGCCATTGAGCTGCCGAGTCCCAGAAGCAAAACCTTGGGGCGTGGAGGGGCTTTAGATGAGCCTTGCTTCGGCTTGGGCCCCTCAGTGAAGTCAGTGATCCGTCTGGTCCTGTGGGTGATCTTACGATGCTCAATCCCAGCATTCCGAAGGGCATCGGATGTGACGAGCACCAGAGTGGATGTTTGAATGAAAACAATGACAAGCTCATTCTGTGGAATGTTCTGGATAATTGGGACGAGCCGGTCCAGCTTGGAGCTCCTGGTTGTACCCTCGTTGATTAGATCGTCACGGCAGATAACCTTCGATGCTTCAAACTTGGCTTTGCATCCGTCAACAGGGCAGCACTTGGTCATCTTGGCAGTCTTGAGGCAATGTCCACATAGAGCGTGGCCACAGACTTCAATAATGTTGATATTTGCGTCCACTTCCGACGTCGAGCAGGCTTCATATTCACATCGAGGGATTTCTCCCCTGGATATCCGAAGCATATGTTTATTGAATCTATCTTGACGCAACGATTTGGCCGCTTGCTTCAACTGACCAATGATTTCAGTTCCTAGATCCCGACGAACAATTGACGCTGCAACGGCAGGTGCATCATCGATTCCCGTACGGTTTGTAGGTCTGACACGTTCGCTGCAGACCCTGACCGTGTTCAAGGCTTTCTGATACAGTCCGTCGACCTTTGCTCCAGTTTCTTCAACAACTTTCCTGTCGTCGTACGAATCAAAGCTCAACCTCAAACGTCTGACGAAGTCTTCGCCAAGGCCCACCTCAAATTCGTCTTTCGTCACGGCAATCAGAGAGTCTCGGCAACCTGTCGGCGAAACGTCTTTCGGGGAGGTTTCTGTGGCTTTGCCCTTTCCTTTGAGCGTGGTTTTCTTGGAAGCTGCTGCTGTATGGTTGCCTTTTGGTCCTTCCGGTTCCCTATGCCAAAATGTTACAGCTTCACTAATCAACGAGTCTATTCTGGCTCTGATCTGAAACGCTTGAGTGTCGGCATTCTTCATCGCTTTCTGTGTGGGGATCCAGCTCTGTTTCCCAACCTGGGTTATCACACTGCACATTATAAGAGACTCCTTGGGAGGCAGATTCCTTGACAAGATGCTGTTCACCGGCCCGGAGACACTCTTCGTCTTGTTTTCCAATGCGTCAAATAGCCGGTTGTAGTTTTTCTTCTCAGTAGAGGACGGATCAATCATGACAAGAGTCTGCTGGCACTCAATTTTCTGTGTCTCTGACGCATTCTGGCGCGCATAGCGGTCCAGGAATCTTTGGGCAAGCTCCCTGCGCCTTTTGTACCATGCATTGCTGCGAGGGGCCTGGTAAGACTGGAAAGTCTCGACTTTAGTGTACTTTCTTTGAATGTCTCGCAGTCTAAGGTTCTTTGTCGGCCCCTCACAATCACCATCGTCGTCAATACCAAGGTTGAGACCGAGGTAAAGTGCAATACTCTTAATATCAGCAAATTCATCAAGAGCAGGCGTTCCAGAAAGCACCCATTTAGAACGCGCTTGCAATGAGGACAAGGATGCCTCTAATTTTCCCCTGGCATATGTGTATTCGTCAATTACCACACGATTAAACTTGAAGGCATGGAAAAATGCGCCCCTAACAGTCCGCCAGTCTTGATCGTGGCCTTTCAGTATGTTGAATTCTTTGCGGTCATCGGTAACGGCCTTCGGCTTGGACTGGCTTTTCTTCTCCATAGTTAACGAGGTGATCTTTCGCCGTTTCTCAGCTGGACCTTCGCACACCCTCGCTTCCGCTGGCCTGTAGCACGGGGCAGCGGGTCCAAATTAGAATAGTCGGGATCGTCAGAGTCGTCAAATCCTGGAGCAAGCCCTGAATCCGAATCCTCAGTTGCTCCCGAGCCATGGTTTGTTCCGGGGCCATGATTAGCTGCAGCAACAGCTGCGGCAAACGCTTTGCCACCGAGGTGTTGGGAAGGTACGTAAGTGGGCTTGGCCTGTGTCTCTTGCACTCGGCGACGGCGGGCCTCCAATTGTTGAAGCATCGCCTCAGGGCCCGACGTTCTCAATATGTCAACAGACTCTCGCAGGGAAGCACGAGCGTCATTGAACCAGCTTTCGAAGTTTCTACCTGATGGTCCTCTTTGTTCCTGGGAAATCTGCCGTGCACCGGTAAATCTTTGCAGTCGGTCATAATAAGCATCGCCGCCTAGGATATCGCATGGCACAATCACGATATCGGCATCTTGGACATCCCAGATCGTGACTCTGTTGATGGTTGTCGATATCACCAAGACACGGTACCTGTTTCCAAGGAATTCTTTGCATTCGGAAACCCACTGATCGAACATGTTGTTGGGGACAATGATCAATGTGGCGTTTGTGGGGATCAGCCCGTGGCCTTCAACGGGGCGACTGTAGTCTTCCAGCCATTGAGCATCGATAAGTGCAAGGACGATGGCCGTTTTTCCATATCCAACCTCGTCAGCTAGCACACCACCGCGGATAACTTTTGGCATGGTTGCTTTGACTTCAGCGCGCCAGGGCATCACCGGAAGGATTGCCTCTTCGACTTCTTCTTCCACAAACGGTTCCATGTCGGCAGCTTCTTGTGAAACCATCCAGTTCAACGAACGAAGTTGTTCTATCCGCAGCTTGAACATGAAATTGGGAGGTTGTAGTGCACACGCATCGTTCTTGTTGTTCATCAAGGTAAACATAGCCGGATTGCGGTGGTTCATATCGTACGCATGTGGGAGTAGTCGCCAGTGAGATTTGACCGCCTCACGGCCTGCGGCACCAACCAATATCCCTTGTGCCTGGTGCGTCAGGGCCTGAACATTGAGGGTAAATCGCAACTCAGCATCTCCATGCTCGTTGACTCTTCTGGACACCAAGAACGGCGAGGGCCGGGTTTTGATGGCATGCTCGTACAATGCAGCCTCCTGGGGGTTCTCATAGGGAATCATCCGGTTAGCCTTGTCCCGGACCCAAATCATGGTAGGTCCTGGAGGATTGCAAATATCGCAGTTATCATGAAGGTCATGGCAGTGGTCCGAGGAGCCTGGGCAGAGGATTTCGCTCCAGTTTTCGAACTCGGACCATGCAGAGATTTTTGGGAACAACCAAGCGAGGCTCTTTAATTCTCTCGCAGAGGCTTCCGGATCCCATGATTGCCAATAGGTAGTTACGTCAGGTAGACTGATGGTGGCTGTAGAGGTTGACAGCGAAGCGAGGGTCACAGAAGCATTATGGCAGCCATGCTTTCCAATCGACACTTGGGTTCCGGGCTGCAAGGTGTCGAGGGTGATGTGTTCACCGTCACAGAGGACGAACTGCACGTTGGGAGCTGGCCCATTGGCGACAGGAAGCAGAAACACGTTGCGAATCCGACGTTACATCCCATGCTCTCCAGGTTGGGGATAACTCAGCGATGGTCATTCTTGCATCATATCCTGTTCGACGGTTGTGTTCAAATGCAAACACACAGGCATCTTCGTCAAGTGGTCCAATCTTAGCCGGGTCCAGGAAAAGGAATACTGGAGGCCTATTGGCGGTGGTATCTTCCCTGCGGTACAAAGATCCCAGCGCTGTTCCACATTCAGGGAGCCAATTGTAGACTCCTCGGACGTCGACATCGAGACCTGCGGCGTCTTCACATTCTTCATATGGTCCCTGAACGAGGAGACTGTCCCAAACTTTTGACTTACCCACAATGGCGTCTTGAAGACCACACGTGGCTTGGAATGATGGAACTTGGTTACCTTGACCGGTGATTTTCAGTGTAAACGGCGGACCTGTGAATTACTGTATGCAGTTAGTTTTGCCTTTTCTGGTTTAGCGCCCCAATACGCCGTCACGTAACCTACCTTCAATGCCGCCGACATAAAAGACCCGTCTTCGCTGCTCCTCCTCCCTTTCTCTCACTTTTCCATTATTCTGCCTCTCTATCTTGCACTCATCGCCGCCCCCTTTCTTTACTCTGGCGTAGACCGTAGGTATTCGATCGGACATGCCCTCAAGCATGCGAATACGTGTGATTCCATTGCTCAAGAAGGCTCTGATCCAGGGAACCAACTTTCCCAGACGTCATTTCCTGAGGTTGTGCAGCAGACGTGCATGGGAGACATTATCATTCGCTCTGGGCACGTCTAGCAGCAGGAGAGTCACCACTGCCACTTCTGAATCTCTCGAATTACGAAGCCCAACATGACAAACACCCCTGCGATGAAGTATATCCCCTGGACTTGAATTATTTATTTCTATTTCCATTACGATTTCTATTGGTATTTGTGATTCGCCATCAATTCCGATGCAAAAAAGCCTCATTTAGACTATGGAGATTGTTGAAAGTCCGCCGAAAATGGGAATGAAATGTTCAGCCTCCACCGGTTTATGTGCGCTTGGACTTTTCCAGCTTATCTGCTTCCATCCAGGGATCTTCGTTCTCAAAAATCGCATAGTAGTCATCGATGCTCGTACACAAAGTTCGCATCAAGTCAACGATATGACCCAGGAGGTCATATTGAGTTTGAGCTCGCTCGGCGAAGTCGTTATACCACTCTTCTCTGGCTCCCTCCTTCTTTGGACTGAATACCGACGCGAAACTGAGTGGCCCTATGTCGTCACCTCCAGTGAAGCGAGGATTGACCGGAACCCAGGAACTGCATCTCGTTTCGAGAGCTGACCACGGGGATGATTTGCTTCCCCGCCTGACTTGTTGATTCAAAGTCCTAGATCAAGTCGAAATGATAATGTTAGCAATTAATCCTCCAAGAGGAAGGGTACTTTGAACACAACAAGATTTGAAACTGCAGTATAGGGAAGAACGTACTCTCGATAGTTCGTCATGGCATAACTAAATGCACGTCGGTCATTCTCATCCGATCGCATTTCGTAAAATGTTATGTCTGCATCACTGCACTTTCCAACGAATTGTGGAGAAGCGGTCATTCTATGCTGAAGATGCTGTATGTCATCACCAGATGTCTCGGAAAATTCCTGAAGATACTGCTGCAGAAGAGAATATGTATCTTCATTGGATTGAATGGGATTTGAAAGGTCTTAAAGAAGGAGGTCAGTATCACCCATTAATCACGATGCAAAATACCTTGACGACACTCACCAATGAAAAGCAGAATCTTGGCCCAGTCCATTTCTTTCACTGGATCCCCGCCCCATTTAAGGAGTTGGCAGTCACCCAGCTTCCAAAGTCTCATCCGCAAGGCCTCAAAGGAGCTTTGTACATGCTGGTTGCCGCGTCGTGCCCAGAAAGAAATCATGTATATACCAGTTTTTATACGGCCCTGGCACGGGAATTGAAGCCTAGCTTGAAGCGGAATATGATGTTGAGAGATAGTTGACGCCCTATACCAAGCCCCAGCCGGACCAGCGGCAATGCGCTCAGGGGGCATTTGTCTTGCCAGCGACATACTTTCCACATGGCAGATGTCATTCCCAACACTAGTACCAGGAGTCCCCAAATCTTCATGAAGGCTGTATCTTGGTTGCACAGGCTTTTGAGAAGCTGGATGTCTGATTTTGGAAATTTCACAGCCCGTAAAAGAGTCAGACGGCTGAAGTATAGATGCATCATCAGGCGAGACAAAAGCCAACTGGTTTGTGCATAGGGACACTGTTGACGACGCATTCTCGACGAGGGGAGATACACGATTGACAAGAATACTTTGATTGCCTCCCGCCCCCAAATTCCAGAGAAGCAGGCCGACAAAGAAGGGATCCTCAGAAGCAGTGTCTCTTTCTAGCCACTCTCCACCGGCGTGCACCAATCCAGCCTCAGATAAAGCAGCTTGGCAAGGCGGCGAGAAAGTATTATCCCATTGAACTTTGAACCCTGTCCTTCCATCTACCTGAGGGGTAGATGGCGTAGCTGGGAACTGAAAGGATACTAGCTCCAGATAACATGGGCTCGGTATCTCCAGCGGCAGAGTATATTGAATGCAACGATTTGAGGCTTGTGAAATATAGCCTAGCATCATACTAAATCCGAGGGACAGCTGGAACAGCTTCCATCCAGGAACGCCATTCCACTGGATTAAGACGACGACCTGCTGACATGACGACTCGGAAGTACTAGTATCGTTCACTGGCGACCACAATAGCCTTTCAAATCCAGGGATTGTCGAAACATATTTCAAAGACTTCCTCCACAAGGCAGCCGCACACTGCTGTGTATCAGCAATGTCAACTCCGGGGTGAAAAGTGAAATGAAGGATCCCAAGGACAGGGAGATCCGTAAGTTTGTCGAGGTCCTTTGAATAATAGATAAGATCATGAAATCGAGGCAGGATCTTCACAAACTCAATTTCCATGTTGAATAAAGCGTACTGAGACTGAGACTAACTGATGACACCTCAACAGGAATTTGACTGGAAGTGTTCTCGACTTCCGAGGTCGGTAGATTGGGAGGTGACTTCGGGCCGTGAGTGCAGAGAGAAAGTGGATATGCGTGGAAGTCAATGCGAACGTCTCTACTTTTTTAGCACTAGTTAGCAGTGGCGTGCCCCTGCATTTTATTATTACGTACTTTCAAATTGATTGGGGCGAAAAACAAGACTTTCGTATGGCCTCGTATCTTATGCGAAGTTATCGGCCATCTTCCGGTTATTGAGAGAAAATAATTCCATTGGCGTGTAAGTGGGGCATCTCGCCAAAGTTGTAAAGCTTGTTAAGTGTTAACTAATGTAGTGGGAAGGTCCATGTGGACCCCCCACCAACCTACAGGCATGCTTCTCCTGTCCAGTCTCCACTCCCTTGATTTCTCACGTGCACGTTCCTTATGTCAGAAGTTATGAGCTGGAGATAGTTATTGTCGCGAGGTAGCCTTAGTTGAGAAACACACTCCTACACATCTCTAATTTTACTGCTTGTGCGCAAGCGCTCGCCAAGCGCCCAACCTCTGGTCCGATGTCTATGCTAGGTGGTATCTGCTGAATCGACCCGTGTGCCTCAGAGCACACAGCCTTGAGCGTTCCCCTCTTCACTAACTAAGTGCCTTTAACTTAGTTAGGGCCCGTGGGACGGAATTTAGCCGTTAGCGAGATTAACCCCCAGAGCGGGTCTCCAAAAGTAAACGGAGATAGTACCCGGCATGCCGGGTAATTCATATCCGTGGACCGTAGGGCTCACCCGGATGTACTTTTACCCCGATGTACTTCCCTATACTATCGACTTCAATTTGCCTTCCCATGGCAATTATCTTATTTATCCTTTTCCTTACATGTGATTTCAAGGTTTATTTGAGCCATTTGAGTAACAAGGAAAAATTGGTTTGATTAGTGCCTATGGAAAGGCAGCAGTAAGCATGCCAGTGGTACTAGACACAATTTCCTATTCAATATAGTTCCGTTGTTTGGGTCTGTCATCCCAAGAAACTTGAACTCTTCCACCTCCATAGGTGTACAGTACTAGTAGGATTTCCCATACCATAATGGTTGCCTCAAGCCCCAGTGTGCGACATCAAAGCTGCGATACCAGTATTGAGAGGATTTGTGACAGAGAGGATTTCACGGGGATAGCCATATGACCAGTCGTCCAGTGATAGATACATGGCTAGATGCCTGTCAGTACAAATATTTCTCACATACTACAAGGGGTTGATTAGCATACCGGCGGCCCCTGGTGGTTGTGAATGGGATTCCATGCGGTGTTATGCAACGCGCGACTCCAAAACATATACTCAGATGGTTCAGGTTTTCGATTCGATCGACGATCTGATACAGGTGATCCAACACCTGTCGAGTGAAGTGTTAGTCAACGATCTCTGAGGTGAAGTGAATGTAGAGCAAAACTTACTCCTTGAAGTTCATATCATATCCTTCACGCAAGCGCATCAAGAAGTTGATGTCCATGCTATCCCATGCTCTCTCCTGCCGTAGCCGCCAGAAACGATGCAAATAAAAGTCCGGTGCCTGCAGGTCATTGACTCCGGGCAGGGACCGAGTGAATGGTCTCCCGGTGCCTAGAGCACGGTCTTTCCGCTGTTGAGCGTGGCGAACCTTGCACCGTTCCCAACTCCGGAGATCCTTGCAGGCATTCATCTCAATAAGCTCGAGTGGGCGGTCATCATCGTCTAGCATGAAGTGTCCGACAGGCGCACTTACTGGGCGTTTGAACTTCTTGATAAGATCGCTAACGCGTCCAGTGAGTGTCTTTCCCCCCGGGTCCAGAGGGCTAATCAGGCCGACTGCTTTCAAGCGGCGCTGGTCAATGATAACCATGTACCCGCGCTCGCGCGTCTGTGGGATGTAGTAGTGCTTGGTATCAACAACGGCACGCACACACATGTATCCGAGCTTCTCCCACTCGTCCTTAATCTCATCCCACGGCGCGCTTCGGACATTCTTCTGGATGATCATCCGGGGTCGATATTTATCTGCGTACAGCAACAGGCCGCCAAACGTGGTCGCGGATTCTCCACCTTCCTGGAGCGATTTTTGCAACTTATTTAAAGTGGAAAAGTCGACACAGGCGGTGCCAGCAATCAAAATGTCCAGGTCACCTGGAATTGCTTCCAAGGAACCATAGGCGGTCCGCCTGGACTGGAGGTTAGTTACATGGTCAATTCAGAGGTAGATGAGGATGGAGACTTACGCCTTCTCTCCGCCGAGCTCTGTAATATCTCGGAACAAAACCGGTGGGTGGAAGTTCCGTTCAATGTACGATTGCTTGAACGGGACATTCTCGCAGCTGAAGGCGTGCGAAATCCGGAATTGCTGGTTCGACACCAGACCTATGCCGAGAAGAGATTAGCCATTGATTCATCATCATCTTTGAGATGTCTGATGCCAACTGCTTCAAATCGACCCCAAGCGCTGACAGGGACGCGGGTAGAGTTAGGGCAAAGACCACCCATGTGACATTGGACCCGCAACACCCGCAACGTCGATGGTATACATGAACCTTGGAGCAACACCCAAGCAATCGACCAAAGCAAAACGAAACAAGCACACAAAGAACAAAGAAGATATGTCACTGCACTTACCCGCCTGGATCAACTCCAGGGCCAGAAGTGGAGCTTCCGTTCCTGAACACACTGTCGCCACTCGAAGTGGTCGACCACCAAGCTGAGAGAGAACACGCTCGAATCCCAGCTTCTGGGCTTTCGATGCCATGTCAGCGAAGATATCTGGCAGCCTGTACAGGGGCGGGAGGTCCGTCGCTAGATATAGCCCCCGTTTAATCGTGCGTCCTCGCCGCAGCTCGGGAATCTCATCTGCTCTAGCGGTAGGCTTCTGATCATCCTTTGCCGCACCATACGGCAACGACTGCTGAGTGGGTTCCTTCTTGACCGACATCAATGCGCCAAAGAATGACCAAGGATGGGGTGAAGGAGTTGATGATGGAATAGAGGAACGACAACACAGAAGATAAATGAAAACAGTCTTTGAGGGAAGACAAGACAAGGTATTGAAGCAGAGGGATGTACACAAGTCAAGGCACCAGAGTTTGCACGATCGTTCTTGGTATGGGAGCGACAGTGATGAAGCAGGAAATGAATGAGAGTGTGTACAGGAGGAGGAGAACACAGAAAAAATGAACTGGGGATGATTATCTACTTATGTCGATTGATACAGACTATGTGACTCATTCGCGCGCAGGACAATCGACAAATATGGCTAGAGAACCGACAAATACAGCCGCAGCTCTCGATCATGTCCATGCCTCGTCGGCGAAGATTCCGGTCATGACCTCCCAGCCGTGCCGAGCAGACGACGCCGAATTGGGGGGAGCCCTCCGAGGACATGGCCCAGAGCAAACGCCGGCGAGGTGATCCCAGCCGCGCTGTATAAGATCATTCTGGATTTGGCAGTGCTTTTTCGAACCACCACTGGCACTGCTACATATAGAACTCGACAAGGGAAGACTGCTCTTGATCAGCCTACATCCCGAGACGGACGGCAGGATTATAACATCAATGACCAGCTACGATAACTTTGTAATGGCTCGCGCAGGCATACCGGAGCGTATAGTGCAGACCCTGTTACAGGTATGATATCAAGACTCAGGCAGCCTTTGTAGTGTCAAGATCCGCAGCCATGAGAGAGGGTTCATGATGCTGATGATGAGGATGTGAGACAAAAAGATGACAAGCTCGCAGCAAGAAATGGGGACGTGGCAGACTACATTACAGGTACGATGTTTAGGTTCAGGCTGTCTCTGCATGTGCAGAGTCAGGGCCTACAGCTATGATACAAAGCTACAGGATGCCGATGATGGGGAAAAGCATGGCAAGCTCACCGCGACTTGAAACCCCTATGTTGTACCGGTCATGCATGTTTCCTAGGCTCGGAATCCATTGGAAGCTTCCAGATCGACAAACGCGCACGACCCTGTAAACTTATTAGAGGCTACGGGGAGAAGGTTCTGACATGAGATGCATAGATTGAAGAAAGTAAACTTAGAAAATGTCATTGCTACCTACTATCCAGAAAATACCTACTGTAGTGGGAGAACTGCGCCATCGTAGTGAAATGAGCGGTGTGGGGATTATTCAGCATTTGTGATATAAAAGGGTTCATCGCAAGGATAGGACAATCAGACACACTTCTCCTCTTCTAGACCACCCCTGTGTTCTCCTCTCCTGTAGTCCCACTACTCCCAGTGGCGGACCTGGTTCGCAGACAGGTTCGCGTTTCTCGCTCTTCAGTAGCTACGCAGCCTACTTCTGAAGTTATATTGGAGTCGGTGATTAAATCTGTTCATTGGTAACCTCGAAAGCGAAAGCTGTGCGTGCAGTCTCCAAGCTACCTACATCATACAAGCAACTCATCGTTGGCGACCGAGCAAGCGAGAAACCCCCATGGTTGGATGCAGGTGAAGCCACAGCGAGCAACTCAGAAGTTTGGAATTCTTTTGGGTGGGGGGTTTTCCTTTTGCGGTATTTCCTTTTCCTTTCTCGCATCCTTCACCTGGGTACATTCTCCTCCTCATGAGTAACCAAACTCAACCCCAAAGGGGCTGAGACAGGAAAGACGAAACCATAGAGACTGTTCAAAAAGGCATTCTGGGCCTTTTTAATCGGGGTGGGAAAGCCTGAGGCAGCACCAGAAGAGACACACTATGTGGTTGGATGAAGGGTGCCAGGAGCGACGGCAGCCTCACTCGCCCGCGACGAGCCCCCCTGCGGAAGTTCTCCTTGTTGTTATCGACCTTCTTGCCGTTATCGACACCTTCCACTTTGTAATCGTCAACGCTAAACTTCATGTTGACGTTCTTCAGCCCGTACTCGAGAGTCGAGACCGTGGAGTTTCTCTTCGAGGTTGTTGATGCTCGGGTCATGACGCTGGCGTCCCAGATGTTCTGGTCGATGATCTCAAGTCCGGTGACGAGATCACGATGGATAGACTCAGTCTTCTTCTCGAGGATGCCAACGGTCTCTTCAAAACCTTTGAGATTCGCGATGTTTGCTTCGAGCTTCTTGAAGATCGCCTCGAAAGTCTCCTGCAGAGCGTAGAATTTCAAAGGGAGCTCGGCAAAGTGTGCGATGTTGCGGGGAGGGATGGACGGGTGGTGCCAGTCAGGAGGCGACGGGACATCACGGAGACTACCATCTCGTGGGAGGCAGGAGAGAATTTGGCACGAGGGGTGATGGGTGAGTAGGTGAGAAGGGAGCGGCTTGTTCAAGCGGTCATCCATCTTGGGAGGGGATGGCGGGGCCGCTTGACAACGGCGTGGAAGGTCGTTTATGTTGGGTAGATCTCCCGGAAGATCAAGCGAAAGAGGGAGCTTGAAATGACAGTGAGACGGACGAACAGAGGGAACTGGATGAGGGTGGGGGATTCCATGGAATGAGAACAAGTGAGAGAAGTGGGGGAGGAGTGAGAATAAATAGGTGGGCTGGGGGGAGGCAGGCGGCAAAGTAATTGAGGAAGGAACTCTTGGGACAATAGGAGGAAGAGTTGATTAACTACAGCGGGTAGGATGCCTGTTCAAGTAGTTAGCTACCTTAAGGGAAGCCTGATCACAAAGGCCCCAAGCATGTGATATCATATCACAACAGGAACAGGCAGCGGTGGCCTTGTGGAAAAGTAGAAAACGCATTGCGCTTTATATTCGGTCAAGTATACGTGTGACGCTGGTCATCGAACGGCTCAAGCGGCAACAGACCCAGTCGTATAAAGTGTCCGGTTTACAGAGTGCGCGATGACTTTAGACGTTCTATATTTCAGAAGGCAACGCACTATTTTCAATGCCGACGCACGACCTTGGTGCCGAAGCTGGGGGCCTGGGGCTTGATAAACACGTGGTGCCGGACTATATCGTATCGGGGGGTCCTAGGCCTCACTCTTTGCTCTGGGTTCTGAATATCGGATATCCAGTAGAATAATCCCTTGTACAAGCTTCCATGGGGAGCAATTTATTTCTGCTGTAAAGTCTTTTCTCTGCAATCAACACACTACATTCGGGCTCTTTGACCCGCAGCCTTCTGTAGAGCTGGCCTAGGAGTAGCCGCTGGTCATGTTGAGGTCCACTATCCGAATGTTGATAGAATGTTTACGCACGTTCGCATCTAAGATACACTGGTTGTATAGTCAGATCACCATTGTGCAGCTGATATCAAATCATGGAGAAAAGGTCAACCAACCGAGGAGAGAGCACTACTCACTCTATGTGAAGGCAACGTTGATTCATGTATTCATGGGAATGCCGGTGTATAGACCTGCCTGAAAAGAGTCACATTGCCCAGCAGGTGAAGCCTGTCACTCTATCTGCAATTATTGAATGGTCCGTGATGTGGGTGGAGCGGAGCCTACACCTACACCCATCTATGTTCAAATCGACATATCCGCGGTATCGGTAGCAATGCCTACTCCTCTAGTAGAAGGGTTTGTATGGCGTTGCCTATAGCCGGAGTAAGAAGGGTATGGCATCGTTATTGTTGTGGCTGGTCGTTGGCCGCCTTATTTGTCGTACCCTCCTGCCCAAATCGAGTAACCTCACAATCACCAGCCGCGAACCAGCCGCGCAACACAGCCGCAATGACCTGGGTTTAAGAAGAAATTCACCTCAGGCATCTCGCTCAACTTTGCCATCCATTTCCCACACTGCACGCATCTCCATCAATCCCGACGTCCCCATCACCAACCTCCCGCGGTGCATCAGACATGGACCTCACCGACCCGCTCTCCGCATCCATCACGGATTTGCCGAGCCTGAAAGCCGTTCTATTTGACCATGAGCGTCGGGTTTTCATCCACCATTGCGACGAGGTCGCCCTCTCCGTCGCCAGCAAGACAAACTTGACAGATGCACAGCTCGCCAGCTCCATTAGGGAGCTGCAAACCCATCTCGCCGCCCTCTGCGTCGCCGGCAATGAGTTACTCCACGACACCAAACCCGGCAACCTCCCGCAGATCCCAGCCGGATTCATGAGTGACGAGCTCCCTCGCCCAGGAAGATCCCCCATGACTGAGTTCGCCTGGGGATGCTTCTATACGAAGCGAGAACTGGCTTGGCTGCAATACCAGTATCAGCAGTCCAACGAAATATTTGGCCTCGCGGATGGAATCAAACGTTGTGGGCAGCGCTGGGACTTCGCCGAGAACTTCCCATTATTCGCTCCCCTTGTAATCTATCCAACCGAGTCGGACGATTGGCATGGTGGTCGTCTTATCCAACTCCCTCATTTCCAACCGAGCCTCCAGCCGCGTTAAGTGTCTTGTTTTTCGTTTTATGGTGGTTTTGCCCTTTCCTTTGTTTCTTCATTTCGCGTCATCAGCCAGAAGGTCCCACGAAACCTTTGAGATGGGGAAGCTGATAATCAACTGGTCGGTGAGCTAGATAACAATGTCTGCGTCGGCGTGCGCCTGCTCCCGCAATGATACTCCATTTTCAATTCACCTGGCTGTCACTTTAACGTCACTTAAGCTTCTAACTTATTTAGTAGAGTCTGGTAATCGTAACACGGATATGTCTGCGTGGGCGTGCGCCTGCTCTAACAGTGATCATTGATTTCCCATTACCTGGCCGTCATTTGAGCATCACCTGTAACGCCTCTCATATACTCCGTCCATGCTAGCGAGTAGCTAGTATACTGTGCACTCGTTTCGATGCCAAAATTGGTGCTTTGCAGCTAGGTGGACTCGTATTATTGTCTATCAGACCCGAAGTATGAACGACATCATATCGCAACAATCGGACACGTCAAAACAGCGCGCTAAACCAGTTAATGGTCGGGGGCAACCAGTCAGTGACTTAGTCACCGCGAGCCCATGTATGTGCATCATCATTTTGAGGAGCTCATTATCCACGGACAGCGTACCAAGGGAGCCAGACCAACTGGCACGAAAGGCTCCAAGGAAATCAACAAACACGGTGCGCAGGATTGTTTGGGCCTATTGTCTGCCGCACCATCAGAGAAACAACTGTAACTGACCGAATTTGACTCTAGAACGAGAATCCCCATCATTCTACTTGGGCACAAGGTTGCTGTCGGCAGCAGGCTTGGCGTCTGATGCGTTGGCATTGGATTGAGTTATCCTCTCGCTGGTTTTGGCGGGATTGGTGGGCTCGACGACCTCGACCGACGGTTGCTGGTGTATGCGGCCAGCCTGTTCGTGGATGGCTTCTTCAGCTTGCTGAGAAGAGCTTCGCAATCGCCCGCAAAGACTGCGAGCACAGGATTAGTGTCGATCGACATGACAGCAGACAGATTGCTGGTTGGAATCACAGAACGGTGTTCGCTTACTGTCTGCCGGCTGTGCCTCAGCCTTGAGATCCTCCTAATCTTTCGATGACTCGTGTGCAGCCTCGGAATACTGGTGAGCAGCAACGGTAGCCATGCCGGCACTGGCCAGATAGCGGCAGCGGCAGTGGCGCCGGTCCCGGGTATCTCGGCGCCGACGCTATCTTCCTTGGCAGAAGCATCATGAAAAGGTGCAGCAGCAGTCTCTTCCTGATTCGCTCAATTGTCACGGCATCGTCGGACCCGGCCAAACCGATGTGTACAGTAGGGATGGCCGGATGGGTATCACCGTATCATCGCAACCAGGGTCCGGGGCTTCCTCGGTGATATCCACGCCCTCTCATTGGAGTGGGTACCGGTGCGGGATAATGTTGATCCTGGGGCGCCTTCGGTCCGAGTTCAATGACCGGGGGAGCACCCCGGACTAATGTAATCCCGGCCCGCCAACCGCTCTGGGCAGTATGTTGACTTAAATAGCTGCTGCTGAGACAGTCCATTTGAACTTCCCACCTGCACCTCTTCTCATCTTCAACTCTTCGCACTTTCGATTCTTTGACACTGCAAGGTCCACTGGTCCAGGCCCTGTCCCTGTGAAATCCCCACTGATGAACCTGGATGCGATGCCGTTAGACTTCCTTATGCTTTCGTGAGGTACTTCGGATCAACGTAAGTCCAGCCCGGTCATCCAAGCCCTACCTACTGCACTCCATCTCACAGGCTTGCTACCTTGCTGCCTCGCAGTTTTATGACTGCATGATCTTTTTGAATGTCGCTTATCAAACATTTCACTGACCAACTGCTTTATGCCTTCTAGTCAATGCTAGCAGGCAACGTGCCTTGGTCCAAACGCTTAACACTATGCGGCCCTATGCCTCTGGTCAGCACATATGCCTGCAGCTAGCCGGATATTCTGAACGCGCAAAGAGATATTTCAAGCCACGCTTGAAGGTCCTAATTGTTGTCTCAGATGGAGTCACCCGGTATGTTTCCCGCGCATTTTATGCATCGGGATTTGAGCAACCTTACTGTCCTTGTTCATATCGGGCTTCGGGAATGCACTTTTTCCATTCATGTTTCCTGGCAACGCACTTGATATTCGCTTAGCCCCAGGAAGGGGTGCATTCGAAGTCATTTCACCGTGCCATGTCATACATCAACCTCACCGATCCAATCCAATCTCCGCACTTCGTATCTCATCTCAAATCCACCATGCCGATCATGAGCCCTAAAGCCCTTCTCTTTGACCAAGAGGGTAGGGCTTTCATCGACCATTGCAACGACGTTGCCCTCTTTATCCTGGGCAACGCGAAATTGAGCATCGCTGAGCCCAACAACTTCATCGGGGAGCTCCGCGCCCATGTCACCGTTCTCTGGCTTGCCGGCAATATGCTTCTCCGCGACTGCAACCCCGATGACCTGGCACACCTGCCACCCGGGTTCATGACAGGTATGCAACCTCGCCTGGGACCGCGACCTGGGCTGGAAGCATCCCCAGGCGAACTCGGTCATGGGGGATCGTCCCAGGCGAGGTTGCATACCTGTCATGAACCCGGGTGGCAGGTGTGCCAGGTCATCGGGGTTGCAGTCGCGGAGAAGCATATTGCCGGCAAGCCAGAGAACGGTGACATGGGCGCGGAGCTCCACGATGAAGTCGTTGAGCTCAGCGATGCTCAATTCCGCGTTGCCTAGGATAAAGAGGGCAACGTCGTTGCAGTGTTCCCTGAAAGCCAGACGCTCTAGGTGAAAGAGACGGGCTTTAGAGGTCATGGTCGGCATGGTGGTGCGGAGATCGGATCGGTGAGGTTTATGTTTGATGTATGACTTGGGTTTGGTGATGCGGACCTCGAAATGGATCAGAGAGAATGCATGCAGTGTGGAAAAATGGATGGTAAAGTTTATTGAGATGCGCGAGGGGACTTCTATTTGACCCCTGACCATTGCGGCTGCGCTGAGGTATATTGTGTGTAAAAACGTCAGAACTTAGAAGTTTGCAATATTTATTTGGCATTCATCATGCAATGCATGCCCTGTGGGGTCCGCGGTCCGCCTATTTATCAGCGGGTGCGCCACTTAAGGGTTGCCCGGTAGCGGTAGTACTCCGTACGCACTCAGCAGACCCTGAGCTGCTTTACCTCAGTTGCCTCCTCGTATCCGCGCCGCGACAATTGAAGGGGATGGAAACCATCCCAAGTCCCCAACCGATACCACATCACGGGAAGCCCACAGGTCGGACTCGGGGCCAGGAACGCGGTTGAATGAACGCTATTATCGTATCGCACTGTGCTTGAATGATTGGAGCAGTATACAAAGTAAGTAGCATGGAATATCTTTATCCTTAAGTACTCGCCGATTCATTAAGCCGCACATAAGGTGGACTGCTAATTGTGACAGCAAATTCCTAGGTCTAGTACGAGTCTACGACCAGGCAGTGAAGATCGCTGAAGACTTTACAATGGAAAAAAAGCGTCTGCATTGGCCCCTAGGTATCATACTTGAAAAATTCAAACTTAAAGCCCTTCTCCTTTATGTAACACTCATTAGTACAACATCGCACCATGATCCGCAGTCGTAGCTCAGGCGGTAATCAATCGCATCTTTTGAGTGTTCCAAATCACTGATCTGTCACCTTGTAACTGGGCACTGTAGTTGTCGTCGTAGTTGTCATTGTCGTTGTCGTTGTCGTTGTCGTGACTCGTGATATCTTACGGTCGTAGATCATCGGCGACGCCACACTAAGTCGACAAGCAGTGAGCTCAGGCTTCTAGCCTTCTTCAGTAACTGCAAGCGTCAGACGAAAACATCCGAACAATTTCTGAGTATCGGAGGTGCCATCTAAAGAGCAAACATCAGAGGAAGTCGCACTGGCGAACAAGTAGTCATGTTGTCAATGCCATTGATCGCACTACCTAGCCACCAGTTCGAGGTCGATGAGATTAAGCAGTTTGTGAACCAACCAAAAATCAATAGTTACCTTCTGCCTTACCAAGAATTAAACACCACATCAGACGCCACATGTGTCGCTGTGAGATGATGACGATGTTCTCATTAACTCGATTTAGCTCGCTGTACGTACGTGCTGTTGCTGTGGGATTATGGGGGTAATTCGTACTCAGGAATAGACTTGCCAGTTGGCTGGAGGCTCGCCAGTTGACGGAAACCTCGCTAAACACGCGTCTGGAACTTGGCACCCACAAGTGGATACTGTCAACTGGACAGAATATTTTGGTTGATAGCCCATTTCATTTATAGGAAAAAAAGGTAATTCCAATTTGTTATCTCGTAGCTAGGCCAAATTATCTCTCATATGGACTGTAGATTGCGATCTCCGGAAGACCTGAATAACAGGAAAAGAAACAAGCGCTCCAGAGCCAGAGATGGTCGCATCCTCATTTCTCTTTCAGAACTGGCTTCTCGACAGGCTTCTCGCCAACAGCCTTGATCTTGCGGCGAGGCTTCGAAAAGTACGCCTCTATCATATGCAACAGGTAGGATTATCAGCACGGAGTTTCTTAGTGAACCGGTCCCTCTGTTTCTCCTTTGTTTGATCCGTCATTTGACATTTCGAACCCCCGATCCATCACGCAACATCCACACTCCACGGTGCAATGGCCAATACCGCGGTTCCGCTTAGAAGTCCAGTGTCTCTTCTGACAGCATCCACAGTCACGGCTGCAGCAGCCACTCTTGGCGGTACAGTCCTCTACAAGTTCCGTCCGGAGATACCAAGTAGGGTCTTTTCTCAGGGTATCGTACATCTCCTTCAAAGGTCGTTTGAAGAGATCCAGCTCGCATTCGTGAAGCTCGAGCTCCTTTTCGAAATACTTCTTGTTCACTTTATCGAGCAGGGAGTCGAGTTCGCAGACCTGTACTTTGTCTTCGGTGCTATTGATAGCTTTCAAATAGGCGCGGCGCTTTGTTCGCATGTGCTCTTCGCGTTGGACCAGCATTCGGAGGTACCCCTCGACAGTGAAAAGATTGATATCCCATTCATAGACGCTTTTCGATGTTTCCTTGTCCCATGTCTCGGCGTTGTAGGCGACTTTTCAATAGAAATCTTCTGTTACTGTGAAGTGTCGTCGCCATCCGTATTTGGGGAACCGGATGCCTCGTTGACGTCGAGCCCTCGGGACTATAATGGTCAATAAGCTCATCGATATTGATTGCAAAGGAAATGGTGGTTCAAAGGTAGTTTTGTACTTAAAGGACCTGGCGATGATAGGTAATGCCTCTGAGATTAGACTTGGTCGTCCGTTGGCAGGTGACATCACCTAACCATGGAGAAATCATCATGACATGGAGAGCCCTCTAAATCTGGAAGCCGATATATGCAAACAGAATGAACTGGTGTTGAAAAATCCCTAGATACATGAGGACAGAATTTATTATAATAGAAATTCCATCATATGTAGCAAACATAGAAAGATGTGGTGTCAATCAATAGTATAGATGCTTGGCCAATTGTGTTAGGCATTGGATTTCACCACATGACCAGAGTCCTAGGTCCGATCCCAGATGAGATTAGCTAAAAGCATACCTTAGGCTTCGACCAGACCATTCCTTTTTCACCACTTGATGAAAATTGGGGTCCCACTTGCCTCAAAGTGAATCCTTGGATAGTCTCGCCAGTTGGCGGAAGGCTTGCCAGTTGACGGGAAGCTCCTAGGCGTCTGGAAGACTGGAACTCGGCACCCACATGTAGATACTGGCAACTGGACAGAGAATTGTCGTTGCTTCCTGTCGAATCATCTCGTCCAGTAAGCTTTCGGGTGCTCAGACACCCCTCCCCAAATATCCACATGCATTCAGCCTCGTGGCCCACCTGGCATACATAGCCAGGAGAGGCAGGTAAAAGTTCCGAGTTGTGGCTCTGTGGGGTGCGGGGCCGATCGATGAGAGGAAGAGCCCGAGCAAGTCAAAGGTCGGGGCTCGCACAGGAGAAGGGGGATAAGCACGAGGTAGGGCGTTTGGTCGATAAGGCGGAAGGAGGAAGGCCGAGGGGTTGCTGGTGAACAGTGAGCTTTAACTCATATATCAATACTATCCCCTTTACTGCTACTTCCTTCCCGCATGTCCCTCTTCTCGTGAAGTTTGCTTCTGACTCAACATCTTTCACTATGGAGAAGGACGAGTTTGTCGCCGTCACCCCGGGTATGATGGTCGATGAGACCGCACCCGATAACACCCTCAAGCAGCTGCGCAACCTCAAAGAACACCATCATTGGGATCCTAACTTGCCCGATGATGTTGTCGACGAACTCGATGAGGCCCTGGGCACGAACGACAAACGCACCCAGGAAGTGATCGCGCATGAGCTCCTGGACAACTCTCCCTACCCTGAAGTTCGTGCTGCCGTTTCCAATATCGATGAGGGTGGGAACTGCAACACCTTGCGCGCCTGGGTGATTGGACTGATCTTTGCTACCATCGGGTCTGCCCTGAACATGCTGTTCTCCATGCGTCAGCCATACATTGTCATTCCTTCATACATCGCACAGGTCGTCGCGTACCCCGTCGGGAAGGCATGGGAGAAGTTTATGCCTAAACACACATTCAGAGTCTTCGGTCGTGAATTCCAACTCAATCCCGGCCGTTTTACGAAGAAGGAGCACGCGATTTCGGTCATCATGGCTAACGCCACGTTCGGTGGTGGTGCCGCTTACGCAACGGATGTGCTCTTGGCTCAGCGTGCCTTCTACGGGCAACACTTTGGCTGGGGCTTCGAGATTCTCATGTGTGTCTCTACCCAGATGATGGGCTTTGGCATGGCTGGCTTCTTCACCCGCTTCCTGGTGCAGCCTGCCGCCATGATCTGGCCTTCTACTCTCATCAATGCGTCTCTCTTCACTGCGCTTCACGATCGCTCCAAACCAGACCCAGCCAAGACCGCTGGCTGGACCATTGGTAAGTACAAGATGTTCTTGTACTGTATGTTGGGTTCATTCTGCTGGTACTGGTTCCCCGGCTATATCGCTCCGTTCCTGAGCATCTTCGCCTGGATCACCTGGATCAAGCCCCAGAACGTGATCGTCAACCAGCTCTTCGGTGGTTCCACCGGTCTCTCCCTCCTCCCCATGACATTCGACTGGACACAGATCTCCGGATTCAACTTCAGTCCGCTGATTGCCCCGTGGTACGCCATCTCCAATACCTTGATTGGCATGGTCGTCTTCTTCCTCATTGTCACACCCGCCATCCACTACTCCAACCTCTTCTACGCCCAGTACCTGCCCATGAGCGACTCTAACAGTTACGACAATACCGCCGTCCGTTACAATGTCTCCCGCATCTTGACTCCCGATTACACCTTCGACCCCGTCAAATACGAAAATTATTCCCCCCTCTTCCTTTCCACCACTTTCATGCTCGCTTATGGTCTGTCATTTGCCAGTATCATTGCTGTTCTCGTCCACGCCGGTCTTTTCCACGGAAAGGATATCTGGGCTCGTTTCCGTCGCGTCGGTAGAGAGGAGGAGGATGTCCACGGCCGTCTCATGGCTAACTACAAGGAGGTTCCTCTCCTGTGGTACGGTATCGTCACCATCTCCATGACCGCTATTGGCTTCGGCGTTACCCTGGGGTACCCGACCCATCTGAGCTGGTGGGCGTTTATCATCGCCCTGATCATCGCGGTCGTTTGGTTCGTTCCTATTGGAATCATCAAGGCTGCTACCAACATCGACATCGGTCTCAACGTTATCACTGAGTTCATCATCGGTTACATGCAGCCCGGTCGTCCTATGGCCATGATGTTGTTCAAGACTTATGGTTACATTAGCATGTACCAGGGAATGTACTTCACCCAGGATTTGAAAATTGGTGAGCCTCCGCTAATTCTACTGCCCCATATCGCTATAACCTTACTGACCTTCCGTCTTTTCAGGTCACTACATGAAGATCCCCCCTCGTGTGACTTTCTCTGCCCAGATGATCGCCGGTCTGTGGTCCTCCCTCGTCCAAATCGCCACCATGAACTGGGCCCTCGGTTCAATCAAGGACGTCTGCACCCAGTTCCAGCCCAACCACTACACTTGTCCAAATGGTCGCGTGTTCTTCAACGCCTCCGTCATCTGGGGTGTCATCGGGCCCGCCCGCATGTTCTCACCGGGCCAATTGTACTCCCCCCTGATGTGGTTCTTCCTCGCCGGCGCCGGCCTCCCCGTCATCCTCTACTTCGCCGCCCGTCGCTTCCCCAGGAGCCCGGTCAGGTACCTCAGCGCGCCTATTATCTTCGGCGGTTCCGGTTTGATTCCCCCCGCTACGCCCCTGAACTACCTCACCTGGGGTATTGTTGGCTTCGTCTTTAATAAGTACATCCGTGACCGCTGGCGCGGCTGGTGGATGCAGTACAACTACGTCCTGTCCGCTGGTCTGGATGTTGGTCTCGCTTTGTGCACTATTTTGATCTTCTTGACACTCAACTTGACCAATCATCCCTTCCCTGAGTGGTGGGGAACTAGAATCGCTAGTGGCACCATGGACGTAACTGATAAAGCCATTCGCCAGCCTCTCGCTGAGGGTGAGACTTTCGGTCCCACCAAGTGGTAGTTGTCGCGCGAAGATTCTGAATTTCGACTTCGGTCGAAGTCGGGCGTCTTACACCTTTGCGGGTTACCGTGAAGCTAACAGTAACGTGAGCCCCGAATAGTTCATAGTTAACGATCTCATTGAACCATTTAATTCCCGTCTTGTGCATACCTTCTTACAAGGATTTGGGACGGTCAATAATAATCCCTGCTGAAGAAACCTCCATGCCTTGTTCCGGAAAGAACTTGAGTTCATTACTTTAGAATCTTCAACCTAGATAGCAGGACTCCATGAGAAACCAATACACGTGATTCAACACCAGTAAGCAACACTTCCACCACGGTACGGAGTATCCATATACATAGACTTGGCATGTCTTGGCGTTGAGGCTGATTTGTTGTACACCGCCCTGCTCTCCGCCCGGAGCATTTGACGGATTTTGCCGTCTTCCGCGGGCAATATCTTTGACCACTAAACACTTTCAGAGCGAGTGGCACTGCGCCGATTAAGATGAATCGCGTTTCACCGGATTGAACATTACTTGAAAGATTACAGCTGCGATGGCCCAATTCATTCCACGCAGTGCCTTTCCCCATCATGGGGCGGTTCCTAGGTCCTATTTCCTAGGACACCATCGGGCTGGTCTGACCAAGATGAAGAGCATGCTCTCAACGATAGATTATGTCGTCGAATGTCGGGACTATCGAGCGCCCGTGACTTCGATCAACCCAATGTTCGAGGAGGCTTTGGGAAAGATGCGACGACTGGTTGTCTATACCAAGAGAGATCTTGGAAGCATTCCCAAATCGGTTGAGCAGAAAACAGTAAGTTGATATATCTCCGGAGTGTTGAGGGAGGAAAAGACCACCGAGCCTCTCTGCTAACATATGCTATAGATTGAACGGAAATTACAGACGTTTGATCCTAATAGCACCGTGTTCTTCACCAGCTCATCCGCGCGGCAGGATGTCAGCCAGATCATCAAACACCTCCGAACGGATGCCGAGGCCCCTGATAAATTAGTAGGATGTCGAGTGCTGGTTGTTGGAATGCCCAATGTCGGCAAGTCAACACTGATCAACAACCTGCGCAACTCCGGAACGGGGAAAGCCAAGGCCATGAAAACCGGACAACAGCCTGGTATCACACGCAAAATCGCCACGCAGGTGAAGATCATCGAACGCGAGAATGGGTCACACGTTTATGTCCTGGACACGCCGGGTGTGTTCATGCCGTATGTCCCGGACGCAGAAAATATGCTGAAGCTGGCTCTCTGTGGCTGTGTGAAAGACAACGTCATTTCTCCGGTCACCCTCGCGGATTACTTGCTGTATCATATCAATTTGCAAGACCCGGCAATATATAAGCGCTGGTCGGAACCGACCAATGACGTGGTTCCGCTGATTGAAAGCTTTGCGCGCCAAACCGGACTGCTTGGGAAAGGCGGAGTCCCGAACGTGGAGGGGGCCGCTCTTCTTTTCATACAGAAATGGAGACAAGGAGAGCTGGGTCGCTTTTTGATTGACGACCTCGAGGAAGAGGAACGACGACGAGCAGATCCTGCTCAAGCGGCGCGCATGAGCATGACGCAGGCTTTGAGGGTGGAAAGGACGACTCGAAAGAACAAGCCCGATGCTCCTAGCAATCTGTAACATAGTGTATATTAACGAAGTTGTCTTCGTTGCTATTGGTGTATATCATTCAAATAATAATCAATTGATGTCATTACGAACAAAGAGAAGATAATGCTTGAGATGTGAATATCTGGCAGAGGCACCTGTAACGCCGAACCAAGGCAAAGGACAAAGATGTAAACAAAAGGTTTTGTACGCGGTGACATATCAAGAGATCTTGTCGAGAAGGCGGCGTCGCCGCCTATCAACCAGCTCTTCTTGCACTTCCTCCAGTGTCGGGAGCCTCCATTCCACCCCATCACCCGAATCACCAGGTAGCGACTGCCATCCATCTTCAGCATCGGTCTCTTTTTGACTGCGCAGATGTTCAAGAGCCTCCTTCTCCTTCTGTTTCTCATATGCCAATAACGTCCCATCTTCCTCGTCAAGACCATATCCGAAGTAACTGGCATCGACCTTCCTCGTCGCAATATCCCCCCCTCGACCAGAAACAGCCTCTTCTTCCTCGGTCGGTCCTTTCGCGCGGGCAACTGCAGCCTCGATCATTTCCTTGACACCAGGTAGCTCCCGGGCACGGCCATAGTATTTGTATCCTTTGCCACCGCCCGGAATCTCGCGTCCTTCGTCATCGTAGAGCCGACTCGATCCACGCATGTAGTTCGGCCCGCCCAGATTGCGAATTTGCATTTCCCACGCCCATTTCTCGCGCATGAGCTTGTTGATTTCGTCATTGAGGTCACGAATCTGGTAATCGCTCAGGCTGACTTCGTGGATGCGTGATACTTTGCGGGAAATCTCTTTGACGACTTGGCCGCGCCAGCGCTCGCATACGGGGACCTGGTCGATGGATGTGATTGCTTTGGGGCGGCGTGTGCGGGTTATATCGATAATTCCAAGGTCGGCTGCTTGCTGCGCTCGGAAGCGGAACAGCATCGACTGGGCTTTTTCACTGTTGCGTGCCTGTTGAATTGCGGGGAGTTAGAGTTAGCAAAAATGTGACATGGCTTCAATACGGAGATTTCCAAATAGACTTGAGTTGGGCAGGATGATGCTCACCATGATGGAGAATTGACCAAGTCAGCGACCCGAGAAATTCGGGTATCGAGCGGCGTTGGCAGGGAGGAAATCCGAAGAGGAAATCGAGAGCTCGACAGCTTGAGGTTGAAGTGGAGCGCTTATTGCCGCCTTGCCGCGCGGCTGTCACGTGCCTTGGAGTACAGTAGTTAAGGTTGGTGGGTCACCGTGACTACATAATTGGACGATGATGACAGGGCCGATTCCCTTTTCGGCTTAGTGCTTGAACAGAACTATGTGCACAGTAAGTGCACCCAGGACTTCCTTCCTCTCTCTCTTCTTTCTTTTCCTCCTCAGTCCATCAGTCAGCATCAATCCAACTGTATTTGCTGCATCCTTCCTGCCTCCTCCGCCGGCAAACCCCAACGAGCTCAAAGCTCTCCACAATCCCGTTTCCGATATCATCCCCACCAGATATGACAAATGGCTGACGCCGGTCGACCTCTTCAAGAAACCTCCTCATGGCCCCTTTTCCACGTATCAGGATCTCTCGAGGAGCACAGAATCAGACACTGTATCACTGGCGATGCTATCATTGCGATCCTAGGCTATCCCTTAGTCATTTGCGAATTTTATCTTGCGGTTGCAGACGAACAACTTGAAGATGCCCGCTCTGTCGTTCTTCAGCAAGGACTCCGACCATCCTCAGTCCCTCGTGATATATACGTGGATAAGCATGCTAGGGTTTTCCCTCTAGGCTGGCCAGGATACAGACTGGTGATGCCTTCCGCACCTCCCGGCTTCCCGGGGGTTATGCTTGTTCCCGCGAGTTTCTGGCATATGGATCTCTCAGAATCGAGTCTATCGACGAACACATTCCTACATGATTCTTCACGATGCCGATTTCCAAAGCGGCTATTTTATTTGGATGGTAAGCGTCATAGCATGGATGCCTCTTTCAACTTTGTCTTGGCTTCAGTCTTCGTTAGTCCTGGTCGTGTACTGATCTTCTCTTAAATTCCTAGCTCTGATCGATGTTATTGTCGAAGACGCATTGAAACCGGGCGGCAACCAATACATAATTGGGTATCTTCAAATGCAGTATCGCTATCTAGTCGGCTGCATCTCTCCGGATATTCTTCTCAATCTGCCGCCGGAGGACAAATTCTTTGTGGACTTATATGGTAAACTGCTTCCGCCAAAAACCCGGGAAAGAGTCTCCTTCAATCGGCAGCGGATTCGACACGGTCTGTTGAGTGTTGAAGAGGCATGGAAGTCAATCCCCAAAATAGTTCTGCGGCTTGAAGAGATAGAGAAACACCGTAGAGCTCGAATGGCTCTGGATCATCGGAATGTAGGGTTGTAAACTCCAATACATCAGTCTCTATCAGAGATAATCTGTTAATTCTCGGTAATTAATGTTTCATTTCCTTAGGGAATTTCAATTCTGCCTATATTTAGCCAATTCTAGCTTCATATTATTGATTATTATTAATTCCTATGAGAGAGAGAGAGAAATTCATCTGCCCGATGTAGCTCGCTCTAAGTATAAGCTGCTATGCGGGATTGCTGTCAGGCCTGCCGACAGCTGGAAAGTGTGGGTGCCAGCCCACTGGACGACTGTTGGAAACTCGCTTTGCGCATTTCCAACCAGTCGCCTTCGAATGGAAAAGTCTAGACTATAACAAAAGAAAAGAACAAAAACAAAATGAGTGTCGCCCCCGCTTCTGGTCGTAGGCACCAGAGTCACATCTCACCACATAGCCCCCCCCATATCCCCTTCGTTCCAGCCGCTCCTTGTCGGCTGCCGCTCGTGTGCCCGCTTGGATCAAGGGATTACAGTGGACCTGGCACTGCACTCCTAAAGGGCGCCATCTTTCTTCTTCTTTTTCTTCTTCAATCACACTGCCCTGAGGTGTCTTCGTTTTTCTCCCCTTCGTCATCCCCTTCTTCCTCGCCCAGCGCCGTGGGATCGACTGTCTGGAATTGGCCCAAAAGACCTGTCTTGACCATAAATTCGGCCACAATCGTGCGGGCCTCCGGTCGTGTCAGAATGATAAGTGATGGCGGGAGGGAATAGATATGGCAGGCCTAGAACAGACCAACGGTTTCCGCAAGCGAGGAGCGGATGGTAAACTTCAAGAATCTAGTGACACCGAGTCTTAGAAAAGGATCCGTCATTGTTCAAAAACAATAAAGGAGAACATTGAGTCGCGTCGCGACTACGTTGTCCCGTACGAGTAACGGTTAAAGCAACCCCCTGCCTCAGACTGCAGGCAGAATTTCCTAATCGGGGCACCGCCTTCCTCGTAGCTGGTACTTGACACTCAGATATTTCGGATTTATGACTAGCAAACCACCTAACTCGAGTAATTTACACGGTCAGGCTAGGTAGTCGGGCTATGCTGCACTAGAGAGCGGGAAAGAAGTTATAGTGTCATGAGTTGTTACATTCTCGACATTGTAGATAGACTCGTCGCAGAGTATATTTACCCCAGGAATACAAAATCGAAACAGAAAGATAGAAAGTCCTTGCAAAATGGTAGCGCCCGAAAACAGAAACTAAGGGATAAGAGCATGGCCTTTCAAACAATATGAACACGGCCGAGGCCAGCAGCAAAGATTGAAACGAAAATCCCTTTCCCAAATGCAAAACGCCAAGCAAAACATCCACCCATGATCGTTGATGCATCTCCAAGCCGAATCAGCTCGCTAAGCATCACCAAAGTCTATTCACAAGAACCCCTTGGTATTACTGGGTTGCCGTTGGGGAATGTCACCAGATCCGTAGACACCACTCCCGCGACGACTTCCGTTGTCACTGAAAGCGGCTATGCCGCGCCCAATGGTGCTGCCTCGCTCAACGCGCAAGGCTTTCCATCCCTCCAGCTCGCGTTCCAAACGGAGCGCTTTCTCTCGCTCCTCGCGGAGCTCTCGTTCGGCACGGCGAGCCAGCAGCTGTGCGTCCGAGTCGTTGTGTTGCAGCTCCTCGATGTTCTGCAGCAGTCGTTCAATCTTATCACGAGCCCTGTTAATATCGTCATTCAGTTGAGCGTTCATCTTGTCCCGCCTCTCAATCTGCGATTGGAGGTCCTTGACAGTGCGATCAACGTTGCGAAGAGAGCGCTGCTCCGAGCTGTGCTTGCTCTCCTGTTCTTCTAGGTGGGTTTCCAGCTAGACGGCCACATTAGCAAAGAAACAAAAGAACGAATATAGCGCAATGAGAACTCACCTCCTTAATTCGCTTGTGCAAGAAGCGAACGTCTTGACTGCCAGAGGAGTAACTCTTGGTTTCAAGATCCACACACCGGAGCTGGGCCTCCTTCAGTTGCTTCTCAAGGGCCGCCTTCTCTTTGAAGAGCTGGGCATTGGCCTCCCGCTCGGCAGTGACCTCCTTCTGCATCTCAGTCGCAAGCGCATCTGCCCGGCGCATCTTACCAACGGCAGCGGCGGAGACATCTTCTTGCTGCGCAATTCTGGATTTGAGTACAAGGAGTTCACGATCCATACTAGCGGCATTACGCATAGAGGGGCTTTCGCCCTTGGCAAGATCCTCAAGTCGCTCGCCAGCTTCTGCTAGGCGGCCTTCCAACATCTTCTTGTCCTTCAGGAGCAGATCACGCTCCGCTTGAACGTCCTCAACCGAGGTCCGGAGGGTGCGCACCTGGGACAAGAGTGAGACAACCTTGCTCTGAGCATCGTTGTGGGCATTGACAGCCTCGTCACGAGAGTTGGTAACATCCTGCAAAACGACATCCATGCGGGCTTTCTCCTTCGCCCATGTTGAGCTGTTGAGGACCTCGTTGTCCCATTTGCTGCGAAGATCCTCCAATTCTTCGCGGAGACGGGAAGCCTCTGCACGGCCATTGAGCACACGTTCACGCTCCATCTCGAGTTCGTTATTGAGAGTGGAGAATTCCCTTTGGTATTTTTGTCTGGTCTGTTCCATGGAGGTCTCCTTGTCCTCAAGATCAATCGCACGCTGATTGCGGTAGTCTTCGAGCTCATTCTGAAGACGTTGCTTCGCCTGCAAGGCAGCTTGAAGTTCTGCAGCTTGATCTTCCATCCTAGCTTCCAGAGACTGCGTTTGACGCTGCAAGTCCTCGACAAGCGCATCCATCTCCTTACGCTCCGACATAATCTGGGCACATGTCTCCTCCGCTTCTTGGCCTTGAGACTTCGCGAATTGTTCAGCGCGTGCAGCCTTCATAACAGCAATCTCGGCCTGCTCGAGTTTATTGAAGTACTCATCGGATCGACTCTTGTACAACATCAAGGATGACTCGAGATCAGCAGATCGTGATGTCTCAGCATCGAGGCGAATTTGCAGATCGGAGAATTCTTGAAGAAGTTGGTTACGGCTCACAGTGTCTTGGTCCCGGCCAACTTGCAGCTCCTGAATCTCGGACCGGGCATCACGAAGCTCGACCTCCAACACAGCTCTAGCGCGTTTCAGCTTTTCGAAATGGGCCTTGGCGTCACTGAACTCCGACATGGTTTCATTGTGGAGCTTGAGAAGTGAGCGCCTGGAATGCTCCTGTGAGTTGATAAGGTCGTATAGCTCTTCATGGGACTTAGCCTGCACATCGCGGAGAGACAATTCTCCGGAGCGGATGCTGCGCTCCAATGATGAAACTTTCTTGGAAGAATCATCAAGTTGGTCGTGAAGGCGGCCATTCTCTCGCTCGAGAAGTTGCATGCGACGAATTGAAGGACTGTCATCCTGCCAGATATCGGCGCCGGGAGCAGAGCGTTCAAGCTGGCTTTGAAGGTGCTTGTTTTGCATCTCGGTCATCTGAAGCTTATTCTGAAGCTCTTCCAGCTCGGCAGCCGTATCCATGCGCCTTTGATAGCCTTGGGTATCCACTGTTCGGTCAGACCGCGCGGAATCATTTGGTGCCTCGAAGACATTGTAGCGTCGGTTTGGCGTAGTAGGGGTAGAGAATCTTTTGACAGCATTTTCGGAGTTCTTCCTGAGGTGCGCAGGTGTACGATTGTTGGTCACTTCGTTTTGGTCGATCTCCTCAAGCAACGCGCGCTTGGAAGACGAATATTTGGCGTCAAGCTCCTTCATTTCATCTGCATGGCGTCGGCGCATTTCGGCAAGCTGACTCTCAGCCCTTGCATACTTCTCTTCGGTGACCCCGAGCTTGTTCTGGACAGTTTCAAGAACCTGGGCCAGATCAACTTGCTTGGACAGGTGTGGCTGAACAGCCTCCCATGACTGCATAGGTTCGGTAGCTTCGGGCTCGAAGACTTTGTGCAACAACAACAATTGACGGTGCAAGACTTCGATCTCCTTATTCGCCCTATCGAGGGTACCCTGGGTTTGGCGTGTGTTAGCCTGAGCTTGGTTGCGAAGTTGTCGTTCAGTCTCAAGCTTGCGGTTGGCTTCTGCTAGTTGCAGATTCGCTGTGGAAGCAGCCTTCTCAGCATTACGGCTGGTCTTGTGTTCGCGATTAAGCTCGTGGTTCAAATCCTCCAGGCTCAAAGAGAGCTTTTCCTTTTGCTTCTCTAAAGAGGAGATCATGACCTGCGACTCTTCTACTTGACGACTCAACCTCTTGCACTCTTCGTCCAACCTGGCCTTCTCTTTCTGAAGATTGTTCAGACGCAGGCGATTGCTATCGCTGGCTTTTGAGTTTGACCGGGCAATGTCGAGATTCTTTTGCTGAATCTTGGTCAAGAGAGATCTGTTGTCGTTTTCGGATGCCGTCAACCTGCCCCTGAGAGTAACGAGCTCTCGTTCAAGACGCTCCTTGTGCTGGTCATGGCGCAAGCGGAAGCTCTCTGATTCCGAGATCGAGTGCGTGAGCTGTTGAATTCGTGCTGAGAGCTGCGACCGCTCTGCTTCGACCTCTTCAAGCTGGCGTGTTTTTTCCTCAAGGTCTTTGCGCGAACTCCTCATGCGCTCCTCGGCCTGACCCATGATCTTTCTTTCAATCTCAGCCTCGGCATTCATCCGGGCTGTTTCCGTCTCCGTGAACCTCTCACGGAGCTTGATCAACTCGTTTTGCAGCTCCTTGCGAGTTGTCTCAGCCGCCACTCGCGCCTCCGTAGCGCGACGCAAGCTATCTTGCTGAATGTACATCTCCTTCTCGATGGTGATTTTCGCCTCGTTGAGCACCTCGTATTTCTGCGTCAGCTGGGCAAGGTTGTGTTCGGAAAGCATTCGCACGTCATCGCGAGACTGGCGTTCCCGGCTAAGGTCGGTTTGAGCTTGGAAGAGCTGGGCCTTGAGATCAGTGACCTGCTCCTCCAGTAGCTTCCGGCTCTCTCCGGCTTCAGCATCCTCAGTTCTCTTATTCTCAAGCAGATTCTTGAGGTCCGCAGCTTCTCGCTGAAGTTGGGCTTGTTCGGAGCGCATAGCATCTCTCTCGGCTTGCACCTCGCGGAGCCGAGACTGCATGTTGTCGTGGCGCGACATAAGCGAAGATTTTTCAGACTCAATATTCTTCTTTTCTTCTTCATGTTTCTGAACGTCTTTGCGAAGAACAGCGATCTCGCTCTCTTTGCGCCGAAGAAGATCCTCATAGCCTGTAGAAGTACTCGAAAGCTCTGAAATTTGATCACGAATAGACCGATTCTCTTCAGTAATTTCGCGGACCTGTTTCTTGGACTTCTCAAGTTCTTTAGAAGTGTTCAATAGCTTGACCTCGAGGTCCTGGTCAGTCTTCAAGAGTTTAGCTTCGAGGTCCTGAAGCTTCCGGTCTTTCAAGCTGAGGTGGCTTTGCAACATCTTGATCTCTTGGCCCAATTCCTGGATCTGACCGTCCTTTGCAGAGAACTGGTTCTCCGTGTCGGACAGCTTGACATCGAGTTCCGCCATTTTGGATTGCAGACTGTTCTTCTCCGATTCAAGCTGCTGGATGATCAATCCCGCCTGTTCCAGCTGGGTGATGCGAAGCTGCAGCTGGTCGTCAACCTTTCTCTTTGCGTCAACCAACTCATCCAGTTGCTCCTCGAGACTCTCTTGGTCCGCGATTGCACCAGCAAGTTTCTCGGCGAGTTCCCCTTCTCGGTCTTGCAATCGTTTGAAAATCTCCTCCTTGTCCAATGCAAGTGCACGCTCACTTTCTAAAGTGTGCTGGATATTTTGGATCTCGATCTCTGTTCGGCGCCTTTCCTCGTCCAGCTTTTGGCGATCGGCAAGGTCCTGCTTCATCTTTGCTTCGAGTTGTTGGATTTTGTCATCACGCTTTTTCACTTCTTTCGCATTCCGGGTATCGCCCAGTAGGGGTTTCATTCTCGAGAACATGCGCCACCAAGGACTCTGCTTCAAGTTCAAGTAAGCGTGGAAGTTCTGTTGAATGATTCGAGTCGCTTCAGCCCGATACAGTCGCTTGTTTGAGATGCGACGCTGAACAAATCCTCGAGCCAGAGACTGGAACTTTGTCATGATAGTGCGGATGAGTTCGTCTCGTTTCTCCTCCAAGTCGGCCAGAACACCAGCTCTGAAGAACACTTTTGTGCGACCGACCCGGTACCAAGCTCGATCCATGCCGAGCTTTTCTAACATGATGCGAGCAGCGCTCTGTCCTTCCAAGTATCCCTTTGGCATGCTATGGCAAAGAACCTCATAACGTTGTCTGAATTCCGCGAACGGCAAGCGGTTCGGGAATCCTGTGCGAGCAATGCGAATTCCCTCCAAGACACCGTTGCATCGCAACTGGTCCAATACCAACGGAGCGTTCAACATCTTTGGTCGCTTCTTATGATTCGGTAGGATACAACGCACGAAATGAGGGTGAGTCGAGTGGAGTTGCGCCATCAAACTAGAAAGTTGCTCCTTGTGCCTTTGGGCAACAGTACGGAACAGTCCCTTCTTGACCCGGCTTTTGGGATGATTGCTGCCACCATCCTCCTCAGGGTCAGCACAGTCGGAGAAAAGGTCTGCAACGTGTGGTGCTTTGGAAGCGGCTAGCAGGCGTGTAATGTTATCGTTGAGTGGATCCTTGTTTTTCTCAAGCCAATCGCTCGTGTTGTACTCTACTTCCGCGGCGTAATGGGTGAGAACAAAGCCCTGGTTGAGGCGTGATGCACGGTACTTCGAGGTCTTGCGGTCCCAAAGTCCATGCAGCTTTTCCGTGAAGGACTTATCGGTGGCCTTGGGCATCACGCAATCTTCATCAAGACAGGAGAATATACCAATCGGATTGCTCAGCTCGATTAAGTCGATCGTTGGCTGCAGGTCCTTCCCAAAGTCAATGAACTGCCACTCAATCTGTTCTCGCGCATATTCCTCTTGCTCAAGGACAAACATATGGTGGTTGAAGAATTGCTGGAGCTTCTCATTCGTGTAGTTGATGCAGAGTTGCTCGAAACTATTGTTTTCGAAAATTTCAAATCCAGCGATATCGAGGACTCCAATGAAATAGTTGTCGTCACTGGCCATCGAGCGACCGAGCTGGCTGTTGATTCTAGCAACGAGATTTCCGAAGCCTCGCTCATAGATACCCTTGGAAAGGGCATCTAGCGCCATGCGAACCTGGTCTGGGGTTTGAACCTTTTCCACCCATTCGCGGCCGGCCTTCACCCGCGGATGTAGGAGACCCTTGACAAACTCATCGGTCTCGATACCAAGAAGATAGCAAGCCTTTTCCACACTAGCGTACCCCTCGGGTGCCAGCGCTGCTTGATCAGCGCGCATACTCGCTTTCGCAACACTGATATTGCCCAGGTGCAGGACAGCCGCGATAGTCCGCAAGATACACAATTGGTCCTCCTCGTTGAAGTTCATCACATGGAATGCTTCAATCAGCGAGTTCCATTCATCCTGGTCTGAGACCCCGACAATGGAGTCGTTTCCGTCTCTCGTATAGGCGAAGTCCTCGATCTGAAGATCCGACAGGAGAAGTTTCTCACGCATCTGGCGGTCCGCACCCTGGAGAAGCTGGTAAAAGATATGATAATTTCGTTCATTGGAGTTAGGCTTCACGACTCTTGACTTTTCGAGCAAATACCAATCGATCCAAGCTCCGGAAATTTGACCAGACCGAGAGAACTCGATGCGAATGAATTTCCCGAACCGGGACGAGTTGTGGTTTCGTACCGTTTGGGCGTTACCGAAGGCTTCGAGTATAGGGTTGGCGCGTAGAATCTGTTGGGAAAGGCCGGTGATTTGCTTCGCCCCAGAGCGTCCATAAGGAGTATCGGTAGTGGCAACAGCAGCGAGGTACTGGATAACCTTTTTTGTGTTCTCTGTTTTACCCGCACCAGATTCTCCTGTCACCAGAATGCTCTGGTTCTCGCCCTCCTCGACAAGATTTCGGAAAGCTTCATCTGCCATAGCAAAAATATGGGGTCTCGTCTCCTCTCTCCCGCGTCCCTTGTACATCTTGATGTACTCATTTGTGTAGATAGACAATGGGCAGTACGGGTTAATGGTGACCAAGAAAAGCCCAGAATAAGTCTAGAGAAGCGAGAGGTCAGTTGAAAGTCCGTGATTCGTGTGTTTCTGGTTGTGACGAACATAAATCAAATCTGACTGATATCTGGTATGCAGGTTATGGACGACAGACGCCTCATTCAGATGTGTAAGTTCCGCCATGTCGTCTGCCTTGTCAAACTTGGCAGGATTGACCTTGTCGACCTGGTCTGAATCCACTTCCCGTTGCTGTCGCAGTGTTAGCGCATTCCTTTTCCTCGTGTGGGTAGTTCATACATCGCCATCGTCGCTCTGCACTAAGAGGCGTCCTCCGTCCAATTCCTCTAGGACCAACCCCCGAACAAATGCCTTTTGGGGATCGCGCAGCCACACATATTTGTTCCCCGAGAAGTCATTCTCTCCTTCGAGTCCACGGATCTGATCCGCTCCGCGTCGTGCCTCTTCGGACTTGATGAAGCTTGGAGCAAATGTGCCAGAGCCGGGATTATTCCTTGCTGAATTGGATCGCCCTCGATTTCCGCTGATTGGTAAAGTAGGGGACAACTGTGAGACGGATGCATTGCGCAGGTGACCCCTCGCTGACTCGAGTCCATTAGATGGTGTGATTATGGCCGATTTAGGTCTCGTCTGTGGGGAGGGTGTCCCTTGCGAAGAGGACGGACGCGCAAACAGACTTGCACGCTTCGGTGGGCTATTCAGCTGGGAGGGAAGCATGGCGAGCGTAGTTCAAAATGACATTATTCGAATGCAGCAATGGTTATCATAGCCAAGATTATCGCGCAATCTCAGTTTCAAGCTGTGAGGTAGGCTGAGATGTAATAGTTAAGAAAGAAAAGGAGAAGAGAAGAGAAGAGAATATAGTACCACACTCAAGAGAGGCGTGGAGTTGGCAGAAAGTTGGAAGAAAAGACACGATAATCGAAGTGACGCACCCCAATGCCCATGATGTGTTTGTTTACTCTGCGTTCCTCGGGCGCCCGCCGATCGTACCTGGTCCGTGCGTACTCACGTGATGGACTCGAGCTTTTTTGTTCAAGCAGGCGCTTAGAGGCGAGAGATGATCTCAGTTCATTTCGAGTTAACACCACCAGCAATCTCCTCATCGTTCTTAAGCTCAAATTTCACCGTCGCATCACTCTTGCTTCTTTTCGAATTGTCACAATATTGCTTCGACCCCCTTAAAGTGACGGCTACACCGAAACCGGGCATCCTCTTTCTCACGACCTCCACACCTTCCTCATCCACAAGACACCATGAGATCTGGTTTTTAAATCGCGAACACTCTTAAACTCCGTCTTTATCTCAATTCCACGAGTTCGCAGATACGCCTCGTTCATTCGCTCCGCCTCGAAGTTATCATGTCCGACCACCCTCCACCATACGGTGGCCACGCGAACTACGCACAGCAATGGCCTCCGGCATATCCCTCGATGATTCCTCCGAACTTTCCAGCCAGCTCAGAGTACACTCAAATGTATCAAACACCATCTACAAACTTGGGACAGCCCCTCAATTACAACATGGCAAGCGTGAATGCAAATTCGCGCATCTCGGGCTCGAGTGGACCCAGTAACTCAGCACCATTTTTTCCACCTCAGTTTCCAGGTTACAATGAGTTCGATCCGCTGCGATTCCCCCCTCAATTTCCCGCCATGCCGTTCGCTCCTATGGGCTATCCCCCGGCCCCAATGCCAGCTGGATTCTTGAACGGCGCTCAGGAGCATTCAACCGTTGGCGTCGGTGCACACACAACCTCTGTCCCAGCTGAGAATAATCGCGAGGAAGGTGAAGTGAGCGAGGAGGCGGATGAGCCCTCAATATTGCCGACGCGTAAAGCTGGCCGACAGCATTCTGATTTAGAAGAAGGAGAAACAGTATCTTCTAGCGCACCCTCCGCTAGCAGTGGCTCACGTAATCCTCCCATTCTTATATTTGGCTCAAATATGTTTTACTAATACCGTGCAGCATATAACCCTCCTTTGTCTGTGTCGGCAGATCCAAACATCATCGCCCAGGCCGCCAAACCTCAAAAGCATGAGCCATCTAAAACAGCCCCAGACTCTCAACCTCCAAAATCTGTGGCGCAGCTACGAATTCAAGCTCAGGGCGCCTTGCTGAGTCTAGCCCCACATAAAATCCGCTACAATGAATTGATTGCAGAAGGTATCAACCCTGTGGTCTTGAGACGGCTATACGAAGAAGTCGGTATTAAGGTCACTCCACCATCTGACCAAGGCCCGTCAGTGCTTGAGGACCCGCCTGCCAGAGCTAGTGTTACTGGCAAGCCATTGGATGTCAACAAACCAGTGGTAGCCGAAATAGCGAATGATGAGAAAGAGGTCATCCGGAAGTCAGAGCTGCCAGTGTCCCAGCCTTCTGCCCCATCTTCTGCCGCTTCTCCAAAGCCTGACAAACCTCTGGAGCGGAAGGAGCTCATTGCCCGCATGTTGGCCGCAAAAGCTGCGAAGACATCGAAAGATGCCTCACCAACTGCCAGTGCGAAATCTTCTCGTACGGCACCAACCAATGAACCTCGCCCAACTCAAAAGGTCCCCGCTATCAAAGAGAAGAGCAAGGCCCAGACAGAGTTGGCACGGCAGCGGATTGAGGAACTAAAAAGGCAAAGTCTCCTCAAGGCGCAGCAGTCGGCCCAGGGAACCCTTGCACCGCTTCAGTTAGAATCCCCAGCGCCAGCTATCCAACACCCCCTTCCACTTCGTCCTCCTGTGCCGGGATCTCAACCCGTTGCTACGCTTCCAGGACTTGTCATGACTGGGTCAGAACAGGACGGAAAGGATTCTTCGGCCTCTGAGCCAGGGCCAGCGATCGCCCTTGGCCCAGCATCCACTTCTCAGGCAAACCAGCGCAAGCGCCCTCGTGCGTCTGATTTCGATGAGCCAGCTGCACCTCCAAGGCATAATTTCAACCCGACCGCAAACCGATTCAATCCCGCCGATAAACTCATCATTGCGATCAGTGACGATGAATCACTCTACGGCGATGACGAGGGTGACAATATGGACTTGGATTCGAGTTCAGAACAAGATGCAGCCCCAATAGTGACCTCTACCATTGCCAAGCCTCCTGCTCAAATACAATCCACCCAATCCCCTGTCCCTAGGCTTTCCACGTCTACTCCAAACGCCCCTTCAAGTCTCAGTGACCAAGCAGACATTCGGATCAAAGATATGGAGATTCAAGCTATGCGCCGCAAAATTGCAGAGCTGGAGCTTCGGCGGAAATCAAAGCTCGCTGCTAGCCGAACCCAGTCACCTCGCACTGTGGATGACTCCGGATCCTCATCATCCGGCGGGCCGTCTAGTGCGGCTGCTACTACTTCAGAAGAAGGTAAGATCCTTGTTTCTCTCTGCTTTGAGTTCCCGGTATCGGTTATCTCAGGCGATATTTGCGCAGATCAACTTACCAATTTCCAGACTCTATGAATACCAAACACATCACGGCCCCTACCCCAGTTGCGCCTGCCCTACAGCCACAAACGCCATCCGAGACCCTTATCAGCCCGGTCCCCTGTGAAGAGGCTACTGACCAGGCGGCAAACGGCGCAATCGATGATACCGCGCAGGCATCTGCTTCCATTGTTTCCGACTCCGCCGGGTCAGCAATGGACGAATCTGACGACAGTAGCAGTGATAGTTCTCATTCATCAAACGAGGGTGAGAACGAACCTGCTGGCTCGCCAGCGCACGTCGGCATCGACCCGGCCATCTTACCAGCCTCTTCGGCGGCTATGGCAATTGACACTCCCGAACAATCTCCATCTCAGGGATTGTCCTCTGCCTTTGGCGATCGTGATCCAGCTTCTGTGGAAGAATTCGTCACTGCGCACTCTCCGAGCATACAGTCTCAACGTGAGATGTCTGCGGAGTCGGACGGTTATGAGCCGCCCGAGCCAGAGTCTGATGCTGCAGCCCGATCGGAAGACTCGAGTTATAGCCCTCCTCCGTTCAGCCCGGCTCTTCCTGGTCTTGTAGAAAGCGCAGCAGTCTCGACACAATCGTGCCAGGAGACTCAAGCTGATCAAGAACTAACCAACGCGCCACAGGTGTTAGAACCACTGCCCCAATCAGCTTTGCAGGTTGGCGCTCCCGGCGTATGGACACTACCCGTCTTAGAGGAAGTTTCTGGTGACCGCGTACTAACCCGTATCTAGACTAAAGCGACATCTGCCATCTCAGTGCCCAGATTCACACCTTACATCAGCCCACTGCGTGCCTTCAAGGCTTATCGCTACCACTCCGATTATGAGGATGAAGTGCCGGGCGGATACCGCTCGTTAACTTACAGTCACAATATTGATCCAATGGAGTACCTGTGTCCGTATGATTTGAATGGAGGTGTCTGCAACGACAAGACATGCGAATTTCAACATTTTCGGGACATAACTTTAAGCGGTGCGTCGACATGAACAGCGTGCAACACCCACCTCGCCCTTGACCTCCCTATCGGCGTTTTGCACTATCTAGTCTGTTTTACACTTTCTCTTGATTGCTCTACTGTCTTCTTCTTTCTTCCTCCTTTCTCTCCTATCCTTTCACGGTCCTCTTTTGCCCTGTCCGAATGCTGACCACAGAGCCGTTAACCTCGACAGACGACAAAATCCTCGTCCAGATGGGGTCCGTCCGAGAGGGACGAACCGAAGAAGAAAAAGAAACATATCTCACTGGTCTGAAAGAGATCATCAACAACCTTCGGCGTGACAAGGTGAAAGACTTCAACGCAGTGGCCTCCGAGATAGCCGCATACCGTAGGCGCTTCCTTCACGACCCGACACGTGTCTTGTCCCTGTAACTCTTTACCAATACATTCATCGACGACTCGTTGAGAGTCCTCCCTAGGTGAGCTGTCTTACAAACGTCCTGTGAACACCGCTATTGAAGAAATCTTCGCTAGCGGGGGAAAAACATCATCACACCATGGACTCTGACGGTCCTTGTCATGGCCATGCCGCCATCTTTTGTTCCGATATCCTCCTGCCATCGCTTCTTTCAGAGCGTTCATGACATGGTTTCCACCCTGCATCATTAGCCCATTCGGCGTTTTTCTTCCCCTTTCTTCTTTTTCACCTGCGATTCACTCGCATCTGGTCTGCTTCATCGGGCGCTTGCTTTCGTGACCTCTTTTTACGTTCTTGTTCACCTTCTGGGTCTTTCATTGTCCAAAGGCCCAACAGCGCGGCGTTAGGGTGTTTGCATCTTCCCAGCTCCGGTCGTAACTGGTGCAATTTCGACAATCAGGCTCTGAGGGAGCTCTGTGTGCCGTTAATCTGCACATCAAAGGCGCATATCCTTTCCGGGTGCGGTTGTACGATAAGCTCTCGGCGGGCTTCGCAGAACATATTCATAGCAATGAACCATTACTATCTATCCATCATCTTTTTCTATCTTTAGTAGTATGCAAAAATATGTAGCATCGTCCTGTTTGCAACCTTGGAAGTGGCTTGGAATACCTATCTGGGTCAACTCAGACTCGTTCACAAATGACCTCATCTGACCAACCCCAACAATGTATATCTTCAGTGATATACCTATGACATGAGTCAGGACCTACGATTGACTCTTTCACGTGTTGTTGTACCAAGCCTTGGAAAAGAGCGAGAGCAGTACAGTCAAGAAACTCAAAGGAACCTTACTGCCCAGGTGGAGGTGGGCGCCCACGTAAATAGCCTAGCTAAATATACCACCATCGCTGAATATAGGTACACAGTCAGCTGCTGACAATAAACTAAGCGAAAAAACTGAGACTAATAGTTACTATCTATCAAGACTAAAATACCAGGACCACGCGATCTGGCCGATAAGCGAAATCAACAAATCCAACAAGTAGACGATATGGGTTCCTGCGGCTTGATGCTAAGTATAGCGTGAGGTCTGAGGGCAGGGTAGGTTCGTGCGACAGTTTCAAGATAGTGCAACGGCTAGTAACAGTAAAACAATAGAGCATGAACAGCGCTATTTTTAATATACATCTCTATTCTAGGTAAGACTGAAGAACGTACACATTCGAGATTCTTGCTATTCTGCCGACAGACCTGTAGCGAGTATGAGTGAGTCTGGGCAAGGCAGACCAGCGGACCTAATGTCTTGGATGTGCAAAGCGCAAGCTGATTGGTCCGGAGACCTTGCACGCTTCCGATCATGTCCCTCTACATACAATAACATATTGTGTCGAATTCATGGCTAGGTAGTGTATACCGAGAGCGGCGGATTGCGCGCCCAGCGCCCGAGAGCTGAACCAGCGCCGGGGCAAGCGAAAAGAAAGGCCGAGGGGTGGGTCAAGCTAGTAGTTGGCAAGACTGGTAACTATGTGGATATTGATCAAGTACTAGTAGTCAGTCTTGCACAAAGAAACTACATAGATACATCTCCGCGGGCCCCTTTGAGGGCTAAATGGACCAACAAGCGCGCGCGGAATCGGGAGAATCAAAGTCCAGGGAAGCTCAGATGCCAAGCTAAATCCGTCCGGGGCGCACAGTCCAGCCAGCACAGCCCCCCGTGGCGGCAGAACTCGATGTGCCCTGGTGGGACCGGAACAATGACATAGTTGACACCAGGGAAACTAGGAATAGCATCATCAGGTCATTCACAAAGAAAGAGCGTAGCGAGGCTGAGCCGATGTCGAAATAGATCAGCCACCGGGACGATGAGGAACATTGGAAGGCGTGAGAAGCGGAAAGCTAAAGAGTATGAATGTCGTCTCTGTTAGCATCCGAGGACCCATGACCGCTCATTTTACTATGGGCCGGTAGGGCTGGTGCTGCAAATGCACGGCCAAAAAGCGGTAACAGGGACAGGAGCAACAGGCTTTGGGTTCCTAGGGGAGGGGCCCGAGAGGGGGAGTCATCCTGGCTTGCATACACGCTTCACCCACTTAGTATGGCGGGGCCATTTCTTGGCTGAGCCTCAAAATAATTCAGCCAACCGTAGTGCGAGGTGGGGGAATATTTCAGGTTGAGGCTCAGAGTTGAACAGGGGGTTTGCTGCAAGCTGAAGATCACGATGAGATTATGACTCTACTGCAGGGCGCAGGGCATCGGAGTCCTAAAACAGAAAGAGTGGAATGAATAGAGTCAGAGTCCAGACAGTAATTTGCTCATATTGAGATGTGTTATGCTAATTAAACGTAAGGAAATGAATCAAATGATGAACAGTGTAAACCTGAAATCAGAACAAGCGAGGCTGACAGCCCTGGAGAGGGCCCGGGGACCTGCCCCGCCAATCTCCAAGCGCTAGACCAAATCAGGAAATATCAAGTATACAAAGATCTAGTCTAACAAAAACAACAACAAATAGCAAAATAATACACCAGGATATATGCTCATGACTCATGGCCCGCTTTGCAAAGTAGGAATGTTCCAGATGACGGAAGAACAGCAGAAAGGTAACAACGTAAAGTTCGGAATCACTATTTCTGAGCTGTCAGCTTCAAGAACGGCGCAAAGGCTGAGCGAGCATCAGACGGAGTAGCTTACCATTGTACTCGTAGTAACTAGTCTCGGCCCGCAAGACAAGATTTTTGGAATCTCACTTCACATACGTGCAGCCTGCGCAGGCCATATGGTTGCAAACCACGCACTGGGGCTGATGGTTGTATATCTTAGGTCCATCATTGCATTCGCAGCAGATGTACATATAGGTCTCGGAGTTGTATCGCGTTCCACTTAGTGAGACTGGTGAGATGCCTGAGCAGTCGACCCGGGGTAGAGTTCGTAAACCGGGGAGGTCTGGTACGACTATGGGCGAGGCTGTGGGCTCCAGCGTTGGAGTGGAGGGCGGAGAGTTCATGACGGCGGTTGGGTATGCGGAGATTGGGTTGCAGCTGTTGGAATGGGAGTGGGAGTGGGAGTCGATATTGATGTTTATGCTCAATGAGTCTTCTTTCTGTTCAATGCAGCGAGGGCACCGCGCTTCTCCACACTGGATGCAAGAGACGTAGAGGGAGGAGTTGTGAGGGCCGAAGTTGCAGCCGCAGCAGTACCAGAGAGAGGTCATTGTAGTGGTTGGTTGGATTGAGTGTTGAGTCGATATCAGCGACAGATTGGAAGCTTTGTGGACAGCGAGGTTGGTTGTGTATAGATGTAGAATGGTATGGTCTGGACTTAGATGCAATGGAGTTATACTTGGATGTGATTGAGTTTGAGAATGGAATTAGATTTAGAGCATGGGAGATTGAGCTATATATCCTGAAGAATATCTAGAAGAAAGAAATCGAAATTAGAAAATAGCATCAGATGCGCAAGGCAGCGTTTCGTCGAGAGAGTCAAGCCAGGCTTCCACGACAGTCCCAAATAGGTTAAGGTCATTTTCTTTACCCGGGCTGTTATTGGGGCCATTGGGTCAAGGTCGACCTAGTTGCACATCAATCCGGAGAGATGGGTCGGGAAAAGCGTGGCTTAGTGTACAGGGCGCCGTGGCTAGATTGTGAGGAATCGTTGTGAATCATCTGAAGAGCGTTTTTGACTCAACGGCCCACTAACTCGAGGGCTAAGCAAATGCTCACCGTCTCGCATGGGTTACCAACCCGGGGGAATGTATGGCGCCGGCGGATTCTGGGTGCTTCGGGTGCCCCGAACAAACGGTCTAACATTCGTCATAAACTCGCATTCCTCTGATAGCAGTTGATGCCTTGACGAATGAACCTGATCAATTCGGTTTCAAGGCGTGCGATATACTCCACTTCCTCCTGTTTTCCCAGGCAGCGGTTGCGGGAAAATCAAATTGAAGAGTCATCGCGAGTCAGGTGTCCCGTTAAGCCAGCTTCTGCCTAAGTCACCCAGGCACTCGTTTCTGACACCTGGGATATGATGAGAAATTCACTCAAGATGATAAATCCGTTTCATCCGTTGGGTCATTTTTAGCATCTGCTTCCAAATAGCTGATTACGAGATATCGCGGAACCTCCAGTCTGATTTCAAATTCTTTCTACTCTATGTACATCCATGCTCAGATACTAAATTGAGCTTAATCAACTACAACCGTAGCATCTCGAAGGAGCATGCAGTGATGAAGAAATCCAGATCTAGAATCCCAGAATCCCCATCCGTTTCAGGAATCAGGGGTATCTGTCGGTCGCAGCTGAGGCAGCTGAGCTGAAAGATATGAGTAATAGTAGGCCCGACATCGCCCGTTGAAAACAACAATGACAGCTGGGAGGTGGAGAAGGGATCCATGGGGTGGCCCCGTGACTACGGGGTAGGGGACGAACCTTGGAACTTCACCTTCCAGGAACGTGGTCCCGGGGAGGACAAGGCGGATTACGTCAGGTTTGCACTGTTTGTCACAACCTTTCGGACTTCCTTGGATCTCGATCCCTCGTGCTACCGCCCGCTTACTGTTATTCAATGCATTTGATACTGTTGTATTGACAACGTGTATATGGCGTCCCCCGCGGTGCAGAAGCGCGCGAACGTCGTAGTATCCAGGGTCGTTCCGGTTGTGTTACTCGGTGCTGTGATCTACGCTACTTATGCGATCACAAAGCCATTATGTAGTGAGTTTCGTCTGGTCCCAGGACTCCGAATACCTGAGACTGACCATATGAATACCAGTCGACTATCTCATTGATCCGACATCTTCTCATCACCGAGGCCCTCGAGTCGGCGCTGGCGCCGCGATTCTCGCCGTCTATTACGTTCTTTTAATCCCCATGGTCGGCACATACATACGACTTTATCTTACGGTCCTGTGGAATCCCGGAAATCTACCACAGGGTGAAGAAAAACTTGCAGATGATGAGAAAAGGAAGCGATCGAAACGATCGAAGCGCTGGCGTGGGAAGATCGGCACACCCAAAAGCGATGCGGAGAAGATATCCCAGGCAGACGCGGATGTGGAGCGAGGCTCGAATACCACTGCCGTAGGCAGCTCAGATCAAACAGACGTCAGCCTGGCGAGCTTCTACACCAAGAATGTCTTCGTCTGTCAGGAGGATGGTCGCCCCCAATGGTGCTCGAAATGCTGTCAGTTAAAGCCAGATAGGGCGCATCACTGCCGCGAAACGCGTCGCTGTGTGCGCAAGATGGACCACTTTTGCCCCTGGTAGGATCTCAAATACTTCTGCGAACTTGTTATTCGGCTGACAGAATTTAGGGTTGGAGGTGTCGTCTCTGAGACTTCGTTCAAATTCTTCCTTCAATTCGTTTTTTATACTGCCGTCTTCTGCAGCTTCACTCTCATCGTGTTTGCCTTCTTCACAGCAGAGATTAAACGTGACGTGAGTGTTCTCGAGCGAACACGTCAACTTCCTATGTGCCATTATTAACTCTTGACCTAGACCGGAGGAGTAAACCCCCACTGGTGTGTCTGCATTGGACTGTAAGCACCTGCCCATGCTACCCCCGGAGATTGATTGGAACTAATAAACCACCAGGAGCGGCCTTTTCGGATTCTTCACCGCGGGAATGACTTCGACTTCTCTTCAAATGGCTAGTATCAACGTCACAACGATCGAAAACCTAAGCCGGCACAAAACTGTCTGGACTCTAGCTGTCCGCGTCCCAGAATACCTTCTCGAACGACTCTGGGCACCCGATTCCCCCTGGGCTCCGACGTTTCGCATGGTTAGCTATCCACCCCAGCAGGTACCGTCGTCGGAGACCCAGCCAGACATGGCAAATACACCGACGGGCGAACGCCACGTCTTCGCCATTCTCCACACGAAACCGGGCGAGAATCCCTTTGACCTAGGGAGCCCGATCAAAAATCTTCAGCAGGTAATGGGATACAGCGTTCTTGATTGGCTGCTGCCGATCAAACCGAGCCCATGTACGGACCACAGTAGTATGGAGAGCCACTTTGCCATGGGTCCCGTTGTGACCCGCCTGAGGCAGGAGGCAGGACTGCTGGTGGCCCCGCCTGAGAACGGGGCTGTTCCAAAGTCCCCACATTCGGGGCGTAGTCATGAGGGAAGTCTTAGCAGTCAATAGGTCGGGGCGCTAGAGGTGCTTGTGGCTTGTGCCTATATCGCTTGAATACTGCGTAGTATAATTAATACATTGTCTACTCCGGACATGCACCCGCTGCGGAATTACTATACGCCCTTGGGGCTTTCTTATTTAGGCGCGTAGCAAGAGCCCATCATACTAAAGGTAAGGTTCGTGCCTTCGGGAGCGGTCTCTTCAAGGGTCCCTTGCTCCTTCCTGGATCAACCATAGTGTGCACCTTCCACTTCCTTGGTGGCACCTTTTGTCATGGCCATGAGAGGTTCCAAGGTTGCTACTTAGTATTGAACCTGGAGTTGAGATAGTTCATAGCAAGGAAATGTCAGGAGTAAGACCGCATACAGAGATAACTACATAGTAGCTATGAATCATGAAAGTACGATCTGCACTCTTATCGAGTCCCGACCCGTAGTATTGGAATTTGGCCAGCCGATTGGAAAGAAATACCTAATACCAGCGCTTCATCCTTCAGACTTCGGTTTCAAAGTTTTAAGATGGGACAAATTTTGACTCCCTATGGATCCCATAATTTAGACCCATGCATGACTTCATCGCCTATACATCAGGTAGGTCAATTCTCTCGACGAGCACAACATTGTAGGGTATCGAAAGCCATGCTTGCACAGCCATTAACTAGCCCAAAAGACTGTAACTATATAAACTACAAAGGACATACTGAAGAGACAGACAAGACATGGGTGGTACATCCCAGTGTCCTCCATTCTGCCGTCTTTATCAGCATAGTAGTCACAAGTCTTTGCCCGGGTATGCGGCTCAAGGTTATGATATCATCTTCATCCTGTCCCCGCGATGAAACTCATACTTCAAACTAACGCGCCTCTGGGTTTTCCCGGGCGCAAAAAAAGAAGTACGACTGCACGGGGTCCCTGACAAGTGTCAAAGTTGTCCGAGGTAATTGTTTTACATTTGAAGCAAGGGAGTTTCATTGTTATCAGGGCGGGATGCACACATGGCATCCACGGGTTAGAAAGGGTCCATACTTTCTCGATCCATGGGTCAGAATATAATCTCCATCTTTTGAGGTATGCTTTATTAGACCTCTGTTTATCTCTCAGCTCTCTTTCAACGTCTCTCTGACTCCTCTCTGGCTCCTCTTTGCCTCCTCTTTCAACCTCGTCCCTCTCAATCTTGACGAGGGAGTAAGTACCACCTGGACTTGGCATCCTTAGTAACCTTTGTGATTTTGTCCCACCTCAACCCACTTTCGCGTCATTGTTTCCACGTTTCATCTTTGAAGATACAACACCCTGAGTTTCTCCTTTTGTGCTTCTTGATTGTTGAGTTGGGCAACTATTGGGGCCCCACACAGCTACTGTGTCAAGTACAGCCCCTCGAATTTCTCGGCTTTATTTTTTGCGCCGTGGGAATCTTCCCCTTCGAGCCAACCGGCTACAACTGGCGTTGGACATTTTTACAATTGAAGCCCGTCTGAGTCCTTTTATTACTACTTCAATATCCACAATCAGACCGGACAACGGATTATCACTCACGATTCGACGCCGCCCACGAGGGGTTGCCGCCTTCTGCACCCGTCGCATCTCGATTCCACCTTGAAAAGCCCTCATTATGTCGAGCCACTACCGGAATCTGTCTCCCGGTCGAGGCAGACAGCACATAGTTGATCCCATGCGAGCTTCAACTGGCATGGTGGAACTCAACTCAGCCTACGACCCTTACGATGCACCCAGACGGTACGATTACGAAGATTACCCTTCGGACACTGGATATGCCAGTGCCTACGGATACCGCTCGGGACGTTCGTCCAATCTCGAAGCTCACCCAGTTGCCTCCCGTCGATTTCGCGATCCGTCCTCGTCCGCGAAAAAGCGCACCGAATACACCGTTCAGCCCCGCACTAGACACCGAAGCAATACAACGACAGGAGCAGACCATTACAAGACACCGGTGCATCTGACTGTTCCATCTACATCTCGCCAGCATCTTTCGCCTGTACACCATCCACGCCACCACCGTGATCCAAGCCCTCTTCCCGCAGAATCCGGCCACCATCTAGTCCCAGCTTCTTCTCGGCACCCCGCACACCGCCGGATCCAGAGCACCGACTATGCAAGCGATACTGGCCACCGCGACTCACGACACTATCCTAGACATTGGGCCGGCCACAGTCCAAACTCGCATCGTGCCCATCCACCACCCCGATCTGCACGCTATCCAGCGTATGATGAATTGATGAAAGGCGACGATATCGATCATTATGATGCCTACTCATACACAAACGCCCGTGAGCAATTCGACCGGGACTACCCAGTCAAACCACGCCCTCGGGGGCCGAGATACTCACTCGATCGGCCGTCCAGCATTACCGGCATGGAGGACCCCCAGTGGACACGGAGAGACCGCCATCATGGCCCACCCCCGACTTCCTGGGGCCTTGACAAGCTGGGTCGTGAACGACCACGAGCCTCAACGCACGGCCACGATGATCATCGGGATCCCCACAGATCGAACGATGGATTCCAGGATCAGGCCCTAGTCGTCATGCCTCAGGACTCCGAGGGTGAATACACACCTCGGCGCGATGAGCATCGTCGGCGCCGCGCTCACCGGTCGCACCACGAAGGAGACCGGGGGCGCCATAATCCCGACGATCGCCATCTCAGGCTACATGCTGGCGGCGCTCTTGCAGGCGTGGGACTCGGCACGGCAGCTTTGGGAGGCGGATATTCTGACATGTCAGAATACGAACATTACCGCCCATCACGGGGCAAGCATAGACATTCCCATGAGCAAGATGAGCGTAGCCACGATGCTGTTCAGCCTCCATCAAGGGAGTTGGTTGCAGCCACCCAAGCTCCCGAAAGAAGCAAGGACTACCTGGACCCCGCTGACGCCCATCGTCACCGTCGATCGCGGCGACACACCCATCGGCGGACGCATAGCGATGTCGAGACGTCGGATGATGATTTGCGAAAGTACCGACGTGAGCCTGCACGCCAAATTCACAGCAGCACGGATAGCGAAAGCGACCGCGACCGCGACCACAGTCGGGACCGCTCGCGGCATCACAGGCGAGACCGAGACCGAGACTATGCGCATGGACACCGCTCTTCTCGCTCTCACCGCATGCTAGAGGACGGTCATGCTATTGATCCGCGACGACCGCCACCGAACGATGCGGCTAAAGATGACGCGAAAAGGCTTGTTGCTGTCGACCCGCCCATGTCCTCTCCAAAGGAGCCCGAGGCCCCTCCCAAGGGGATTCTAAAAGCTCCGCGCGAGGCATTCCCGGAGGAACCCAATCCAGTGAGAGAGGGCGTTGCTCCTCTCAAAGATGCCACCAAAGAGGGGATTCCGCCAGGAGCTCGGTGGACGAAGATCGATCGGCGTCTCGTGAACCCGGAGGCATTGGAAGCAGGCAATGAACGGTTCGAGGAGCGGCCGGATTATGTGATTGTGTTAAGGGTTCTGAGCAAGGAGGAGATTCAGCAGTATGCTTTGAAGACGCAGGAAATCAGAGGTAAGTCATGATATTACGCAGGTACTGGTATTGCGCCGAAAAATGAATACTCACATGTGAATTGCAGATACCCGGCACAAAGAGCATCTACGCGAACGGCGCAAGTCCAGAGATGAAATCCAGCGCCAGGACGGCAATACCTCCAGCGATGATGAAGACGAGAGTGACGATGAGCCTCCAAGGCAACTCGAGGCCCCTCCTGCGCCAGACGCACCGAAGTTGTCCTTGCCGTCGCGGCCGCGCGCGTCGAGCAACTCTATGCACGAGGCCGAGAGGCCGAGAGTGATGCATCCGTCCGCTGCGCAGGTGTAGGATACTTTGCAGTGACTCGAAAATGTCACTATGATTCCAGTGGACAAACCCCAGCATCATCCTCGAAATGCCGATGGCAATCGCCAATTCCAGAAACTGTTACTTCTCATGTTGGTTCTAATTGATCTAATTCATGCGACTATCCTGCTGGGAACGAAGTCCATGCGACGAGCCCCTGCAGACCGGCCAGCACCCGCTTTACTCCACTGTTTTCATGCCGCTAATGTACAAACCCATGGCGCCGCCCGAGTCATGATTTCTCTTTCTGGATTGCTTTTGACATATCCTACTTCCACAACTTCTGTACCAAGTATCTCCTGTACTCTATGCGCAGCTGTCATTCTGTTTGACAGAAGCGCCCATGATAACCAACCAACGTCTTCCCATGCAGCGAAACACGCAACCAATCGAACATCCACCTCCTTTTGGCCGCTAAAGGCAGCGATGACCAGCCGCTAGGCATCCGCACCCACGCCCACCATACTGGATCCAATCGAATGTACAAGGGCTGCGCCGAGCACGGCGCTCATTAAATGGATCTCGGGGACGCAATACTCCCCGCATGCACAGCTTTTCAGCTCTCGTGTCACGCCTGTTGTTATTGATTCATGCGACAGATCTGCAGATGCAGTAAGAGTATTACATTATCTCCGGGATGAGGAAAGAGCCTCGGGAAGAGAGGTAGGGCAACTGGAAGGTGGGGAGCTGGGCTTCGTCCATCTGCTACCTGTCTACCTTGTTGCATTAGTATGGAATCTGTGCATACGCACACTCTATTGAAAGCACGAGAGCGCTAAGCCACGAGTCAAGCGCTCTTCCCCAAAGCGGAAGTGTCGAGGACATGCAATTGTATCGAAGATGAAAGTACACTATCCTTTCTTGTTTATTCATCTTTTTCTTTTACTTATTTCGTTTGTTTTTAAAGTAGCGTAGTCTGCCTGTCATCCCATCGGGAACATCCAACAGCGCCTAAATCCCAGCCCTCCAACCCCTCCCAATCTACGGCTGATCGCCGAGGAAAAAGAAATTAACTGGCCAATCTGAGGAAGAAAAGAACAAGAATAGGAAAGAGGGGTGATGGGCGCATATGGCTACACCTAGAGTATTCTATTTTGTTGCATATTGGCTTGCAGGTTGGATGCGCCGCGGACTGACAAACATTTGGATGATTTCTGTTCTCGGGCTTTGTTGGTTCTCACCGGTGCTGTTCTTGTTTTAGCGAGTCGATAGGTCAGCCCTGAAGGCTTTTATGCCAAGGTTCCAGAATAAGGTAAGTATGGGCATGGACCTCAGTTGTACCTACCAGGTAGACTGCATATCTTGTGTTGAATAGGTATACTTTCAGATAGGTATCTGCATATAGTCACTACATATAGGTACCTCTTGACGGGACAGACAATATTCAATTCCATGGAACCACCTCTGCCTAACTAATCCAGTCTGAAAACCCCCATTCCTACAGCCATGGGTAGATAGGTACGCACTTCCTCCCGGGCAAAGGATCATACCATATTCATAACAAGAACAGATATAGGCCAGGATACCTGCACAACTCCGCACGGAGTCCCAAGAAAGCCCGTTCAGTCACAGGCTCACAGCGATGAATAACATTTGCAGCACTAGGTCCGAAACAGACAAGCATTTCATTCCGATTCCCTTGTATTATTCCTACCGTATCGCAATAATCCATTCAAAAGAGTAAATTCCCAAACAGTCATAGCGAGGTTGCAAGAATTTAGCTGGAAGTCGGAGACATTCGAGTCAGGTCGGGGACCAATCAAGCCGAGGATATCGATGCCCGGAGACATTATACGGAGGCTTTGATATGCGGCATTTATTGTTTAATATGCCAATCCCTAACTAGTACTGTATATAGTGATAATATATGGTGTCTGTGGTGAGTCGAGACCGATATTGTGGGTTAAACTGTGTATCCACCTGAGAATTGTACAGTAGTTCATGTTGTAGGGCAGACGAGATGGATCCGATTCGAGAACCCCAGTTCGTTGGTGGAGGCGTTGTCCACAACAATTGTATGGACGGGCGATACAGCACGGTTATGGGATAGCAAGCAATGATCAACCGTGGCTGTGGCGAGAGTGGATAATCTGTCCGGGTGGTTGAATCCGGCAGTTGTGACCTGGGGTAATAGGCTAAAGCCAAGCTTCGCATGACTCGACGGGAATCGAGAACTTGGATACTTAGCTTGTTCCTGGCTTTACTGGTTCACAGTTATGTCATTAGCGAGCTTGCGGCGACTAGTTATGATGTACATGGTAATTTAATGTAGACATGATGGATCCATGGATGCTTCTTCAGCGGGTATATTGGACCCGATACATCGATACAGGGGCAAACTATGGAATCACCCAATGCAGTGCCCTGATTCCTCAAGGCTATATTATCCATCCATACGATATACATTTATGTACACAACACTTTCAGATATATCCGCAGGTAGAGTGCTTACCTCCGTAGTGGAGATAGAAACTTCATGTGCCGATCATCCCAATTAGTTCAATATCACAATGTGCTTCCAATTTCTGATCTCATTCCCTTCCCTGATATGAATTCCTCTATTCAATTTACTCATCCAGTCAAAATTCAAGCGAACCGAGTCATCAGACTTCAACAAACCAACGATTCTTTGTTCTGACTTGTTATAAACGAACCAACCCAACTCGAACAAGATCGCCGTGGCACATGGGGGCAAAAGCCGAAAGAGAAAGCAAACACAAACGCGTCCACCCCCTGCCTCCGCTGGACACATTTGACACATCTGACCTTGAATTTTCCTCCGATGGTGTCATTGGGTTGCTAACGGGGCTGGGGACGGCAGGACGATAGACGAATTGCGATTCACTGATTGATTGCTTCTCACGCCATGGTCTAGTTAGTCAGTATATCTGGAGTCACTATGAGACAAGGGCGTGGGAGATATACTATGTAGTTGATGTCTTCTGGGCCTCTGACGTTGGAACTTACATGGATAGCTAGGTACGAAGTACTCTACCACAGTATGTTGTAGGCAATGGACAATGCAGAATGACGATATTTCAGGGTTTAATCAAGTTCACGCAGTATCTAATGTGATATATGGTACAAAATAGGAACGGTGAGTAGCACGTGCTAGAGAGATACGCAGCTTTTCCTCGCAACATGCAGCGATCGTACAAGAATCTGAAACAAGTTGGCTCCGGCCACGCGATGCGCTTACTCCACATGTAGGCATGATATTTGTTTCGCATGGATGACTCACAAAGTTTGCGTTTGCGGTGAGGGGGGAGTCGTATGGCGTTTTATGCTTTTCGAGAGAGTTCCAAGGAACATTCGGTGTGTGCGTGCCACTGCGGGAGAGACATTGGCTGAATCTCTGTCAGATCTTGAATATGGCCACATATTGTTGTTACAACTGTACAGATTTTGGGACTCTGTCCTGCACATCTTTCTTGATTATTTTATAGTAATATTGTTGGAAGCATTTCTATTGGATGCAAATGATACAATCTTGTCCAGATACAGCCTCCATCAGCAGTCGGTCGCCGGGTCATGATCTTTTCCCGGACGGCTTTTACCGGCTGGGCCCGGACTGGATAACTTTCATAAATTGTGTCGCATTTTGGCTATAAAGACCAGACCCTAGTAGCATAACGTCAACAAGCGAGCCGCCATGTCCAAAACACCATAGTAAAGACTAAAGGCGAGTTGATCAACTAGTTACCTCAACTGTAAGAACAGAAAGAATTCGGCTAAAAATAAAAATCCACCTGCATTCGCACGTTCGAATGCTCCATTCTCGGACCCGGATGGTGGGGCCGTACGATCTGTCGACCTAAATGTCGCGTCTACGAAGCACTACTGGCGTACTCGTATACTCGTCGGGGAGAGCCGAAGAATATTGCGGAAAATGTACTCCGTAAACTTTCCCGTTTGTGGGTTATCATTTCCTCTTCTCGGAGACATTTCGCTTGCTCCGAAGACCCATATCCGTCTTAGGGCGATCCGGAGTGCGGAGAATGTTTTCCACTGTATTTTCTTTTATTTCTTTTTTCCATTGGATGAGTGATCACCGGGCATGGAATTCAGGCAAATGCTCTTTCCAATTCACCGCTGGTACTATGTTGTAGTGATAATCACCGATGTTCACCCGGCTGTTCTTCATGGCAACACATGGCCCGTTCATAGCCCTGGGGTAGATCATCGTGAATTAAGCAAGGTAGCCAACATCCGCATGGTTTAAAGACCAGGGTACGACAACTTTAAATTGGATATTGCATCCCGACTGTCAAACCGCTTGCGGGTAATGTAGGTAATGTGAGTTGCAGTCAAAGAAAGAACCTAGATCAACGGAGAAACACATCCAACCTTGGGAAGGTTAACAAGGTAGCTCGCACCAATCCGGTTCCTTTACCAGATTCCATGGTCGAATCCGACGTAACCGTGGGCCCTTCTGCCAAGGCTCGCCAAGCCAGCCAAGACTATCAAGACTTCAGTTGGCTCCCTTTGAGCTTTAAACCCGCGATCTACATACTGGTTGTGGCGCTTATTGCCCCTCCATTTGCCCCGTGTCCATTGGCGTCAAGTGGATATTGGACGCACGGGGCCGAGCGTCGATATTAACTGATCGGACATACCTTATAGACACTTGCCGAGCTCCGATTCTTGATTTTTCCCCCGAGCTCGGAGTTACTTGCTAATAGGAATATACTCTGGGTAGAGGCGTAGGATGGCTGGCTTGGAGGTGAAGGACTCAGGAGACAGCTTAGCTGCAGTGTGCGCTGCAGGAAGCAAGGGTTGCAGCTCTCAGGTAAACGTGGACGTCGGGTGGTGTGCTTTCTTGGAACTCGGGTTTGCATGATGAATCTTCTGTCGATCGTCCAGAAACAAAGAATCGACCAACCGAACTAAAAGAACACGGAGAGCTCGTCGCGGGAATTTTCTGCTCCGATCCCTCGGCTCTGGCAAACGAAGATTACGTACGGGTACATGCTCTATCTACTTCCAGTAGGCACCTCCTTGGGTGGCGTTTAGGTGCTGGATCGTGCGTTTAGACTACTATCTTGATATGCAGTCATAGGGGATTTTGTATTCTCCGCGATATCAGCAGACAGCTGGAGCTTAGGTTAAGGCCCCCCCCCCTCCCCCCCTTGATAGCGAGGTCTCTGCAGGTATGCTTTTCCTCTCTTACTTCATCGGGGTTAGGGTTTTGTTTCCCTCCCGCATACTGCGTAAAAGACCCCAAAAAGACCAAATCACAACGGTGTTACATCTTCTCGCACAGGCCACTTTCTTTGTCTGTCCGAACATGACGTGTTGTTGTCCTTGGATCGACAGAGATCCAATGAGACCGACGGGAGACCGGCACAAAGAGAAGTTTATTCTTTTTTAGTCGGTCTTTTTAATTTAGCGAAGACCTCAACGTCTAGACAAATTATGGCAGCCGAGGTGGGTTCCGCTTTACAAACAATGCTCTGGACCTTTGGCGAGTCCACAGTCGATCCGGGGCGGTAGTGGCACACTTTAGAGCAAAAAAGGGGGCCAGGATTGTCGGTTGATCCGCCCAGGGGTTTGCCCTCTGGTTCGTCCCCGATTGCCCCGTCGGTTTCGCCCCAGCCACTTTGGTCAGTGACACTGTGTAACGTACCAGTTGTCAGGTGAAGGTAGACTCTTTGACTTCGTCTCAGCGTTGGTTGGAATTGAGATGATAGTCAAAAGACAGTGTGTTTTTATACAAAGTAACTCGAAAATAAAATCAGAAACGAAAGAAATACTTGCGTATATACCTCATGCCAGATCCAGTTACTTTGTAGTCTGCATGGACCATGTGGGTCCGGCACGCTATCACAATTTCCCAGCACCCGTCCGCTCTGATCATGGAGATATCGGAGAGAAATTCGAGGTCCCCTTTACATCGTAACTGCGGGTACGGCTTAACGGAAGACCGCGTGATCCTAGCACCCTGCATCGATCATCCTGTGTGCCAAGTGAAGTCTGCCGTGGAGATGGGGTCCCAAGGAAAGGGAACGAGAGAGACAGAACCGGAAAGAAAGAAAAAAGAAAAAAAAAAAAAGGGGGTGTGGACATGCAACCGTGCTTGCGATTTTAGCTCCAACCTTAGCTCCAACCATCAGGGCTGAGTTTCTGAATTCTCGACGGGCCTCGAATACATAACTCGAACTCGCATCCCCGCGCACACTCGACGATCAAGTGGGCAATAACTCAATGGCGCATTGAAACATGGTCTCCGTGGAGGTTTCGTTCACTTGGATGAGACTAGCCTTATTCATTCTGGAAGCACTCCCGAAAGAGTATAGTTTAGTTTTGCTTTTCTCTTTGCTTTTTTGCTTTTTGCTTTTTACCTCGTGTGCGCCTTGTCTACATAGGAAACCGCCGAGATTGGGGTCCTGTACACCTGCAATTTCACTTTATGCAAAGTCACTGCGCAACAATCTGAACCATATTCTTTTTTCTCTCCCCGTAGTATTTGCCCTTAAGCAAGTAGGCGCCGGCGGGGAGCCTCACGAGGCTGTTCCCCTCTTCTATTCTATACGAGAATATGATAAGAGGATGGAATATTGCATACAACTTACAGGTGCTAACCAACACTCTTCGACTATGAGTATGGACGTTTCGTTTACCCTTGACCTCTGGAGATTGCCAACTAGTGTACTCCTCCCGGACGTCCCCACTACACAAAGAAGAGTACAAAGGACATGGGTAGCCGAGTAGTATAGGGATTGGTCAAAATCAAGTGAGAGCTAATATAGAGGTAGAAATGTCCACTTGGTGTTTAGGCACCAATTTAGCGTTCCGACCATTTCACATGAAGCGCAGGGGCGAAAGTCACTGAACTACTTGCAATCCAAGTGTTATGCATCGGCCGGTATCAGTAGCCGGAGATAATTGGGAAAGGTAAGAGGGTGATGAGGTTGGGGCTTGGGCTTGCATGTTGCTCTTTTCTTTTTCTTCCTTCCTCTCTGTTTCGAATCGAATCACAATCAACCACTGCCAAGACCAACTAAGATGCCACTAGAATAGTTGCGGGATAGAGCGAACCCGGGTAGAGGCCCGCATGGTTGGATTGGAATTTCAACAGTCAATTGGTTGTCGGTACGGAATCGATGCTTCTCTGGAATTAGCGTCCGAAAAGAAGGGACTCGATCGTGTTTCGTTATGGGATCTGCTATCCCCTCCAATCTCCCCGGGAAGCAGCATGGCCCGATTATACCCTTAGGTATGTACTGTAGTTCATGGGATCGACCGATGAGGCTGGGCAGGGTTACACGGGGATTTCTGCCATGAACACAGAGACAACGAGAGAAGGAAACTGGTGATGGGCGCCGTTAGGCTGTTTCGAGTTTATTTAGACTCGGGGAGAGGGTGGAGTTTTGAACAGAGACAATTGGGGCGTGGAAACAAGTAGCTGAGGGATTGGTGTAACTTGTGTCCAGGACTCCAGACTACTAGTTAATACGCGCCTTCTCTCCAGATGTTAAGGAACTAAAGAATTATATGATTATTTCTCTCTTCCTTTTTTACCCACTTTGTCGATCTTCGATATACTCCGAAGGACACTTCGTACTCTGTACCTGAAACTGGTCTCTGCACGATCCGAGGGCAACGTCAACTAGCTTCTTAATCCTTGAATCCATCCCGAGGTCCACAGGGAAATCTTCATCGGCTGTAGGTATTCTAGACTTGCCGTTTGATATTATGAGATCTCATCATCCTGGCAAACGACTTTCCAGGCTACCAGTGCATCTAATAACGATTATCTTGTACCACGATATTACAAGACACGTAGGTAGAAGAAACAGCCGAGGCTTTTCTATTCTCTTTTCTCCTTGAGTTAAGAATCTTATTTTCTAATATCGATGCAATTACCAGGAGGGGTCTTATATACATCGACGTATCACGATCACTCCACTGGATCCGAGAAACCGTTGAAATCCCCAATGCCCTAAATAGTCGATTCAAGGTAAAGTTCGATGTACATCGTTTTTCCCCACTCTATATTCTGCATATCATTCTTTCATGACACATTTAATTTCACTTCTCGGATGTTTACCGGACTCGAAGTTGTAATCTCCTCCTGGTCATTGTTACACTTTCTAGTTCCTGATACACCTCAGGTTCTTACCATTCCTAATTGGGCTTTTCTTTTTTTCTTTTTTTCTTTCTTTCTTTCTGTTTCTCTCTTTATTTTGCTTTTAATCTTTTTTTTAAATTCTTTCTTTGTCTTATAAAATATTCATTAATCGATTATCATTTTTGTTTTTCTCATCCCCCAATCTAGCTTCTTTGATTCCTTCCCAGAGCCTCGAGGTTTGCCTCCGGAGCAAAAAAAATATAAAATAAATTAGAATAAACTAAGGATGAGGTCTCACGAGTGCAGCTAAATAACCCTGGACCCTCCACTTGCCTTCACATTCGAACACGGCCCCCTGAACCCCAGTCAAGACCTAGGTTGTGTGTCGCGCAGCTATTTGTTTAGCCTCAGTTCGGGATCACCCTCGTGGTCTACTTTTTATCCCATTTGTTCCCACGTTTCTCCAAGAAAATCGCAGGACTTTCTCCCTTCGATCTTGTCAGACCCTACGTATTGTCAGTGTCGAAGCCAGATTCCGTCCTGGGCCGCGAGAGAGGTCGTTTGTAACAGGCATGGTACAGTCTGACCTCGGTCCTCCAGCGAAGTACAAGGAAGCTTCCATTGATGATTCGGTGAGTACCATTTTCGCATCTCTCGTGCCCGGTACCTTTTCTTTCCGATTCTGTTTCCTTTCAAATGCCCTGCGTTAGAGATTGTGTGAAAGCTTTCCTACTTCAAATATCATTCCGCTATCTCTCTTGGTCCTATCCATATGTGATTTGGAAAGCTCTATATGAGGTGAATTCCTCTACATCTCTCGCCCACATTGGGTGCCTATTCCGCCTTGGAACTATATACCAGCTGGCTTGCCACTTCCTCGTCGAACCTCTATATTGGACACCATGGAGAAAAGGAACCTGGAACACCAATGCCTCGGCCAGAGAACAGCCGCCAATTCGGACAGCGATGCCGAGCTATTAAAAAAACCCGACACTGATCAACTTGGCTGTGGCTTATGGAGCTCTCTCCCGGTTGAACGCAGCTCTTCGCGAACCTTTATCTCCACTCCGGTTATACGAGGAGAGATGCCAATCGAGAGGAGAAAGCAAATCGAGCGCAATGCATAGTCCGTGTAGCGGCTGGGGAGTGCCATCTTCCTGGGAGGAATCTTCAGCCATTGCCCCCTCGGAAGAAAGGAACTATTTGTGATATCAAGGGTGCACAACGCTACACAGATCCATACCTTTTCTTTCATCCTGGACGGACAATCCCGGCTATAACCTGGTCCATTCGTCACGCACCTTGTCCCATCCCTGTTCGAGGATTCCATTGATCTGTGGCCCAGTCCAACCCTCTATGATGTTGAGATTCAGCATACCTGCAAGATTCAAATCCCCACGCTTGACCGGGGGTCATGCGCTGATGTCACTCCGGACACTCCTGGCTGTGTTCGCAAGTTTCCTTTTGTTTCCTTTTCTGCGTCCACGTTCTCGGGTTGTTGTGACACCGTTCATTGTCTGGCACGAACCTTGCTTGTCGTGTCTGTTCTTCTTCTTTTTTCTTGGCGATTCTTTGGGCTGGCTATCGAATCCCAGTCACTAATATGTGTTTCTGCTACAGCTTCGACACGCCAATTCTGGACATCCCAGTTCTCAACAGTCTCAGGCAATACAACCTCGATCAACTATAGGCCAACCACAGAAGCAAGGCCCGGCCTCACCTGTTCAGCCCTCGGCTGTTACTTCTAACGCATATCCTCCATCGCACTCCTTAGGCAACGGAGTCTTGCACCCTCATAATCCCTACGGACCATCACCTTCAGAATCATCCTATTACCCTCCATATTCAACAGCTTCAGCGTCAGCACATTACCCTTCTAGTGGTAAGCCGGCTCTTTTATTAGCTTTCAGATGATTTTGCCAGTGTTCAAATACGACGCACTCGTCTTTTTGTTATGCCAGGGTTATATCACAGCCTATGGAAAACATCTACTAACACCCAAGGATTAGGGCCACCTGACCTCATGGCATCTACCGCACAAATGCAGAGACCTTATCCTCCTATCTATCACACCCCTCAATCAAGCTCACCAGCCTCGGTAGCTTCTCAATCCCACGAACAACATGGCCGTAACATGTATGCGCAGTCACCCCAGATGCCACCGCAGATGTTCGGTTACCCGTACTCTCCCATGAACCCCGTTCAGCCGTCACCATATGCCGCCCACCATTCTTCCCAGCAGCATCCTCTCACCACACAATCGTTGATGATGCCTCCTCAGAAAGCCCCATCCCAGCTGCCACCACACCAATCCCCCCACCTCCCAACGACGGGGATGTCTAGCAGTCCCATCATGAAACTCGATACCTCTCAGCACCCCGCCCCTTCCCAGCAATCAATGCTCAATCCGCCTCTTGCAGCAGCAAACAATAGCCACACAATTTCCACCAACAACCCCCACGGAAGCCCACAAATGGGCGGCACCACGTCCAGCGCAGCACCAGGTCCCATCCCGGCAACAACGCCGCTGGTCGTGCGACAAGACAGCAATGGCGTGCAGTGGATTGCCTTTGAATACTCCCGAGACCGAGTGAAGATGGAATACACGATCCGGTGTGACGTGGAGTCCGTCATAGTGGACACGCTCTCGCAAGAATTTAAGACAGAGAACTGCGTCTACCCGCGCGCCTGTTGCAGTAAGGACCAATACCGCGGGAACCGACTGGTCTACGAGACAGAATGTAACGCTGTCGGCTGGGCGCTGGCAGAGCTGAATCCCGCTCTGAGGGGCAAGCGAGGATTGATTCAGCGTGCCGTTGACAGCTGGCGAAATAGCAATCAGGACCCCAGACTGCGCAGCAGAAGGGTCCGTCGCATGGCGAAGATCAACAACCGAAGACAGTCGCAACCTGCTCCGACTCATATACCGCAGCAGGGTCCTGCTGGCCCAAGTTCTCTGCCTGCGCCGGGTATGGCGGGTAATATCGCGGCTCCTACTCACCGTCCAAGTCTGGGTCCTATGTCAATGGCACCACCCCAGATGCATCATCATCACCAACCTGAGGGCAGTCCTAACGATGAAGTCAGCGGTATGTTCCACCACATGTGATGTGATTTGCCCTTGTTTCGACAATGTCCATTCTGTCTTTCTTTCTTTTTCTTTTGTCTGCCTTTTCTTTTGGCTAAAGAGCGATGTGATCATTCAATCGTGTATTGTCTTTGGGCTTTGGGTGGACCGGATTCATGTCTTGTGTACGTGCGTATATGTGGGAGTTCTGTGTCTTGTCTGGTCTTGTTGCCTATCTGTCTCTGTGGGTGTATGTGTGTATGAGGATGTGTCAATGGCTGTATGAGATGTGTGTACTCTCTCCTGTATCCCTACCTGGTCTGCACCCAGTCAGCGTTCTTACCTGGCTTCTGTTTATTTCCATACCCTGTTCGCTTTACTTCACTGCTTTGTCACCTTTTATCATCTGGTGCTGCCGCGCTTTCTCATGCCTTGGCTCTTGTTTCCTTGGAACTCGACCTCCTTTTTCTCCCCGACATGTCAAACATGCAGTTGTACAGCGTAGGCTAATTCTGGCTCCTTTGTTCATCCCATAGGCACAGACTACCCAGACACTCACCGAAATGTTGACACACGCCTCCCACAACCCTCAATCCCCGACCTCCGCCCCGCCCACATTTTCCAGGACACACCAACATCCCTTACCCCAGGCGGCAGCGCCAGCGGGCCCTCCATGCCCCCGCTACTCCGCGACGACAACCTCTCCTCACTGAGCCGACACCCAACCATAGCAACCTCAGCCCGCATGGTCTCCTCCGACCACGACCTCGAGGAGCAAGGTCCAACAAACGACGACCTCTTCAGCCACCTCCCAGACGGGAAACGGCGCAAATTCATCCTCGTCGACGATCCACAACGTGGCTGCCGCGTGCGTGTCAAAGTCGTCCTCGACAAAGTCAACATGGACGAAATCCCAGACTCATACCGAGAGTCCAACGCCGTCTATCCACACACCTATTTCCCCATCCAGATGCGCGATGAGAACCGCGTCGTGCCCGCAAAGCGCTTCTTCCGCGACGACGCAGAGCAGGGAGACGACCCTGAGGCGGCGACGGTCGGCCGTACAACGGTCCCTGCGCCTTCGCTGGACGCCGATGCCGATATCGAGGTGCCCAAAATTTCCCGCAGAAAACACCGTAAGGATTTATTGCTTAATGACCTGGGCTACCGCATGAGCTGGAGCCAGAGCCGTGTGTTTGCGGGTCGGATGTTATTTTTGCAGCGGTCATGTAAGCTTTTTCCGTTTTTCCGTTTTGCCTTTTTACCTTTTTCCTTTGTTCTGCTTCTATTATTATTCCCTCGGTTCGGGTACCGTGATCTCACTACGTGTGGTGTGGTATCTACCCGGCAACCCACGTGCCCTACAATTTGACCCTCTGCTGAGGAGGCTGAGACAAAAGAGAGACTTGCTAACCTTACAAAAATAGTGGATGCCTACCGCGATAAAATGCGGAGCAGCATGCTCGCTGCAGGACAGGACGCTGGGGATATCCCCGATCATTTCGATACTCGTCGTGGCAAGCGACGGTTCCTCGAGCGCGGTCGTCGTCTGGAATCCACGGGGGAGACAGCTACACAGCGGACTGCCGAAGAGGTCGAAGTCTAGAACGGATCTTGCTTTTGCGTTTGCTTGCGTATGGTGATGTTTTGGGTTTGATTTTTGCGGCGTCTAGGGATGAGGCGTTGACGAGGGGGGTTTTACGCCGGTTCGGGACAGGCCGAACACAGAAATATTCGAAAAACAATGGATCGAAGGATTTTATGGAATGGATTGGCGGATGGGATACGATGGGATGCGATCTGAAATGTCTCATAGGATGTGTCGATGATACCAGTATAACGATGAACGAGATTATGAATTGGTTTTACTATTAAAGAGAGAGAGAGAGTGTTGTGTGAGAGAGCAGAAGATGAGGACTGAAATGAACGTGCACATTCCGACTAAAAATAGCAACAACCCCACATGTGGGACTTGGACCCTGGATAGCTCGTGGGATTAATGGCAGAATTCCTGGAATGATATAGAAAGAAAGAAAGGAAAAAGGAAAAGAAGAAGAATTCCAAGTGACAAGTAACAAAGAATCAAGAATCAAGAAACAAGAAACAGAATCAAGCGAGGTCACTGACTCACTGTCTAGCTCATACGCGTACAAAGCCGTTGTCCGGCCCACCGCCTTGTTGATCTTTCCGCTTCCATTTGTCTTTTGTCTTTGTCTTTGCCCTTCATTTCTTCGGTTTCAGGCATTCGACTCCTTCACACTCGATTAAATCTGCCCTATTTTCCCATTTCGAGTATTTCGTTTGCCTCGAGTTTCTTGTCTCTTCACCAATTCTCTAGGCATTTTCCCTTCATCTGTCTACAATTTCACTCGTCTCGGCTCATTTTACAACGTCTGGTCGATACCGGACTGAAAGGGCCTAATTGCAAACCGAGACATGCCTACATACGACATGGACTCGGACATTCCCCCACCCCCAGCCCATCGCTATGCTTACGAAGCCCGCGAGAACAACACCGTCACCCCAGGCGTCGACAACCTCGGTCCCAGCTCACCGGGTGGTGGAATTAGCGGAATCGCCCTAGGAATTGCCAACACACACAGCCGCCAAAGCGGCATCGAGGCATCTCGGGGCGTACCAACCGACAGCTACTCCGGCCCAGCAGAGCGGGACTTCCATACCACCGGTTCTGACTCTCTCTACGTACCACCCGCAGCATACACCAGCGCCGAGTCTTTCCGTCCGGAACACAGCCACGCCTGGAATATGGCGCGAGGCGGGGCGGCCTCGCCGGCGCTACAGTCTCCCGGACACTCCTCGTTGCAACTCAGCGATCCCAGTCACAGTCCTTACCAGTACCCCACGCCGTATGCTGGTATCGCGGACGGGCCGTACCAGCGTCACTCGACTGCGTACAGCAATGGCGAGATGTCGAATATCAATCCCGATGACATCGCCGATGATGGGGATGAAGACTTTGTCCCTGCGCGGAACCGTGCTGCGCCTGCGGCGGCCGGGGCGGCTGGAGGTGGACTTTTGGGGGCTTCTTTGGGAGGGAGAAGAATGCCGATGTGGCGTATGACTCTGTGCCTGGTAGTGGGTTAGAGAGTGGCGAAGAGGGGTCTAAGAGGTCGACGGGTAATGGCGCGCAGGGGCGGAAGAAGATGGGCTGGATTGTTGGGATCGTTCTGGGCTTTATCATCCTCGGGGCTATTATCGGTGGTGCGGTCGGTGGTACCATTGGCAGTCGGCACAAGGAGGATAATTCGAAGGGTTTGAATGACGGCACCGCCTCGGGCGATACGAAGAAGAATGGGGATCTGGACAAGGATTCGGCGGAGATTAAGGAGTTGATGAACAACAAGGATCTCCACAAGGTCTTCCCCGGGATGGACTATACCCCGTGGGGCGTGCAGTACCCAAATTGTCTGAAATGGCCTCCGTCCCAGAACAATGTCACCCGTGACATGGCTGTTTTGTCGCAGCTCACTAACACGGTGCGTCTGTACGGGACGGACTGCAACCAGACGGAGATGGTCCTGCATGCGATTGATCGTCTGGAGCTCAAGGATATGAAACTTTGGCTTGGTGTGTGGATCGATCAGAATACCACCTCAGTTGATCGACAGTTGAAGCAACTTTATAAGATTCTCGACGATACCAAGGACACCTCTATTTACAAGGGTATCATCGTCGGCAACGAAGCACTCTACCGCGCTGGGGATAGCAAGCAGACTGCCCAGACGACCTTGATCTCGTACATCAAAGATGTTACCAAAGAGGTCAAGAAGCGCAATTTGGATCTCCCCATTGCCACGTCCGACCTCGGTGATAATTGGAATGCGGAGTTGGTGGATGTCGTGGATGTCGTCATGTCCAACGTCCACCCCTTCTTCGCCGGTGTCAATGTCGACATCGCTGCTTCATGGACATGGGACTTCTGGCAGAACCACGACACTCCCCTGACGAAGGGTACAAACAAGAAGCAGATCATCTCCGAGGTTGGATGGCCTAGCGGTGGTGGCAAGGACTGCGGTGATAGCAAAGTCTGTGATGACGACACGCCCGGTGCCATTGCCAGCATCGAGAACATGAATACTTTCATGTCTGACTGGATTTGCCAGGCATTGGATAATGGAACTGATTATTTCTGGTATGTCTCTATTTCAGTGTTTTCTCGTCGTTCTATCAAGTTGCTGACAAATACTGATTACAGGTTCGAGGCCTTCGATGAACCCTGGAAAATCGAGTTCAATGAGCCGAAGAAAGAATGGGAAGATAAATGGGGTCTAATGGACCCAGGCCGCAAGATCAAGAAGGGTCTCAAGATCCCCGATTGCGGCGGCAAGACGGCCACCTAATGAATAACCTCGTGGCTCTTCTTTACGGGACTATGATCATGAACATATCACTTTTCTTTCGCATAGCACATTTCACTCTTACTATTGCTTTGTTTTCAACTGGCGTTGGTCTTTTTCTTTCCCTCATACCATTCATCATATTGGCAGGAACCCTCTGATCCCTCCTCTCGCCTCGCCTCGCTTGCTTGTACACTACTTCTTCATCCCGCTTTCCAACCTGCAATCGGGGGGTTTCTGCCTGCATGTCATCGTTGCGCGTGTCTTTTATCTCCAATCGGGATTCACTATCATCCCTTTGTCTTTGCTTCTTCTCATCTTAGTCTTCTATCTCTTTTTATGCGTTGCTCATTCCTTTCGTCTTGTGTTGGGGCGGTGCTTGATGCTTGTTTCGCGGTGGAAACCTGTCTGCATAGGATATTCAATGGTATGGTTGCGTTTGTTGCTTCGGCATGGTATTTATTCCATACCTAAGGCCTTTTTCTAAATGGATAAGTCAATTCGTGGGTCTTGGTCTGCTTTGACGTAGAACAACTATCTGCTAAAGCCCAAGAACAACTGGAATGTTTGTCAATGGCCTAATCTAGTTTAGTGCCAATGTACGAAGAGACCAGCCCTTCTCACCCATCCTCACTTTGGCTCATAGGTATACTCCCTTTTATTCAGGCATCCTAATTATTATCGTCCTGACTTATCTATTTTCTGATCGTGAGGCTTCAAAATGCCATCGTACAAGGTGCCGGAAAAAAGCGCATTCGACTCAGAGGGGGCTCAACCTGCCAGCAAGTCTGAAGCCGCGAGGTTCAATGCCTTCACCTTAAAAAAGCTGCAAGCTGCAATCAAAAAAGATCCAGAGATCAACTTAGCCGAGCAATTCCCCATGGGATATCAGGAACGACTCATGGCCAAGAAAACAGAAATCGAACGCCCCCCGAGTAAGCACCGACCGTATTCAGTTTCTCTCCTCATTCGCCTAACTAACATCATCTACCAGAGAAGTCCAAGGCTCAGCTCGAGGCCGAGGAAGACATCCGACTATCCCTTCGCCCATCCGACCCGGCTGAAATCGTATTTCCTCTTTCGGATGCGGTTGCAAACTTACTCGCCCCGTCACAAACTGCTGGTTCGGCGAATGGACTTTCTCAAAGACTGATTGAGATCCTAGCAAGCAGTGAAATTATCTGGAAAGCCCCCTTTGCCGGACAGAAATCAGTGTTCAAATGCTCCGCTGACATCGTTATCAAAGCGATTCGAAACATGGAGGACTATACTGAATACACCGCTTTACAATATCTTGAGCGTCATACGTCGAATATCCCAGTACCAAGGCCTCTTGGTTTAGTGCGTATGGGTCGGTATTCTTTGTTATTCATGAGCTACATGCAATCTGTGCCGCTGGGCGATGTCTGGCAGACACTCGACTCTTGTCAAAAGTCCTCTCTTAGCAAGCAACTCAACTCGATACTGGAAGATCTGAGAACTCTTCCTTATACAGAAGGGACTCCTTTAGGAGGAGTCGGAGGTGAAGGCTGTAAAGATCTCAGGAGACATGTTCGAGTGAGTGAGACAACCATCACCAGCCTTGAAGAGTTTGAAACATTCATGTACTCGAGCCCGCATCCAGGCGGCGGCGTGTTTGTCAAGTTTCTTCGTCGATTATCACCATCTACAAACGGACATTCGGGTCCCCGCATCGTTTTCACTCATGGAGATATAAGGCCGGATAATATCATGGTTGAATTGGTCGACAACAACTATATGGTTTCGGGAATACTGGACTGGGAATATAGCGGCTTCTATCCAGACTATATTGAGTCTGTGCGGTGCACAAACTGTCTCAGCCCTTATGAGGAAGATGACTGGTTTTTATATTTGCCTGAATGCGTCTCGCCGGATATCTATGCTCAGTGGTGGCTTCTTGATCGCGTTAGGGAAACTAGGGTTGTATGAGCCCGTCGCTGAAGCATATTTCAAATTCCATACTATGAGATTACTCCCCGTGTCACCGGCAGCGCGGGTGTGGGTCATCGGGATCGTGTGAGGCCAGTCGCTCTTCCGCGCGGTCTTCTTCGTCGTCATCGGGGTTCGGTCGTTTTCCCACTGCAGCGGGTTCCTTCGGGGTCCTCTAACCATTCGGATTGGTTGGCAGGAATCGGTCAGTCCGCAGTCGGTTCGGTCGGTTCGGTCGGTTCGGTCGGTTCGGCAAGTGGGGACTGGCGCCAAGATGCGACGCAAGGCGCACAGATACAGCCAGCGGTGGAAAAGGATGGGATGGGCTTTGTTATTATGTAATACGTGGCAAGACTGTAAAAAAAGCAGAGTCCATTCTATGAGATTAACAAAGCTAGAGAAGAAAATGAAAAGAAGTGAGGAAGAAAGAAAACAAGACAGATCAACAACAATCCTCTCAGCCATGTGATACATGCCCTGAGTATCACGGCATCAGAAAGAGTCATCGCCTAGCTCTACACTGCTCCCGCTGATAGGGTCTTTGAAAATGACAGATGTACGGCGATTAGTCTCATGTAGGGTAATCCTTATCTCTCGAAGGAGGTCAGCTCCAAAGGAAGGGTACGCCTGAGTCTCCTCGCTAAACTTGTGGTGTGGGGTTCGGAGGAAACCTTCAACGGATGCTGCAGCTAGAACTTTTCGTACTGGGTGGTATTGAGGTAACAAGATTGCTGAGGCAATATGCTCACGTCTGAGAAAATAGGTGTTGCTATCATGACGAGGTACCAGAAGTCCCCTGATGCCTGGATCTGGATTGGATATCAAGAAGTTCTTAATATATTGGGCCATGGTAGTGCCCAACTCCGTAACATCATACATGTCTGCAAGCCTGACGAGTTCCATAGCGGCCGTAATATGCTCTGTTGGGTCTTCTATCCCAAACCTAACAACGCGTCGGTATAGCCATTGACAGAGTGCTTCAACGCTACGAACCGCGACAACGTCCTCGGTTTCTTCTAGAGTTACGGCCTGCTCCTGGGACTCTCGAAATTCGCCGTTGAACATTGCTGAGAAGACCGGAGATTCCGCGCAGAGAAGGTCTTTTGAAATTATGTATTCCTTGTTGCTTGGCTGTATTCGGAGTTTCACAGTAGGCCCCTGATAGAGGGGAAGGGTACTAGAGAATCAGGTGTTTAGATAAACCTCCACTTCAAAGGATATTGGAGATACGTACTTGGCTGCAAAGTGCTCAGCACTTTCTTCCTGGGCACTTTCTTCTGCGTTCGTCATTGTTGATTTGAAACGAAGAATAATCAAACCCGTTGGTAGGAAAATGTGGAGAGAGTAGGAGACAGCGGAGACTAGGCAGGAACAGCGGTAAAAATGTCGTACGAATGTCATGTGAGCGCTTGAGCAAACCTACAAGGCAGTCTTAAGACGCGCAGCTTTCCTCGTCTATCCAATCAGGACTCATCAATATCGGATTTACTTTTCGGGAACCAAGTTGCAAGGCTGTGGAAGTATAGCCTATTTCAAAAAATACTGCATATGAAGATATTGCCAGCTTCCAAGAGGAAGCCAACTATGCTACAGGAAATTCGTAGGGATAAGCTTGCCAGTTGGCGGAAGACTGGCCAGTTGACTGGAGGCTTGCCAGTTGGCGGGAAGTTAGTAACGCATTTACCTAGAACTCGGCGCCCACACCAGGATATTTGAGAGCGTACGTGCTCACTACCTAGGCAGTTTTTCCCCTTTCCCTCTTATGTAGGTTTTCCCTCTTATGAGCCAACATCTCTTCATTAATCTTTTTGTATTGTTTCTTTCTGAATTACCTTGTTTCCTGAATCTCAAGGAGACCAACCTACGGAGCGCAGTCAGGCAAGCAATCACATCCTCCAAGTTACTACCATGAGGACCGAGGGTTATTGGGAGACAATTGGCCCGCTTGGCCCGCTCCGATGCAGAGATGCACGCAGGTATCACATACACTCCTGTGAAGCTGCGATACATCTTACGGTATAGTCCGAATCCATCAATAAACATTTGATGGAACTGTCGTCCATAGGTATTGCGTGATTTCAAGCTCACCTCGAATCGGAGTGGTTGCTTAATTCCTAGGTTGATTCAATCCTGCACAAGAGGCGCGTGGTCATTGAAGACTCGACAAATGGTAAAGACACTATCGGAAGTCTGTCGAACCTGGGCACCTTGCTTGTTCTCGAAGCGATGATCCAAGAAGACCTGTTTGCGCCCAATGAGATTGTGCTCATGGATATCCATGAACACATTCTCATTTGCCACAAGCTCCAATCGCTGAAAGGGCGGATCATGGTCACTGGGAGCTTCATGGAGGGCAATTGTGGGATCGGCATAATTGAAGAGTGATTGCACACGAATCACAATATCACCTCGCAGCTATCCTACACAGACGACGCGCCCAAAATGTGGGAATACCACGGGCTGTGAACAACAGTCCGTTTCGTCGCAATGATATCGAATGATATCTGATGGGAGCACTGGCGACTCTTCGGGTTACTTAGCGAATACGCCCGACGTGCTTCGAATTGACGCTCCCCACGCCAAAGAATGCCAAAATTCACTTGACCGGGGAACGAACTCGGCCATCCCGGTATACATTGGAGACTGGAACTGTGGGGAGTGTAGGATTTTTGTGAGGAGTGGTATTGGATCAATCAGGTACAAATCCATCAGGCTCTGATTTAAGCGACGCTGGGCGGAAGGCAACGTCGGGTGTTGGTCCAGCACAACTGGAATCTGTCGACGCTTTATCGGAAGCACATCGAACTTCCCGTGGACGCGCCGCCGAAGAGTTGTGGCGTCCCTCGGTAGGCTTTGGGGAGATTCTAGGTATATCCGTGACAGTGCGTAGAATCTCCACAAGGCTGGATGGAGTATTGTGTACGGGAGATATGTGTATCCTCCCGTCCAACCATACTGTGAGCAGCAGCTGGAACTTGTCAATTGGACTCGTCGTACGAGGCATATCAATGCTCTCGAGGTCGATGCCTGGCTGAGACTGACCTCCTGGAAATTGAGGTGCGGGGGATTCCTTGGTGTTCTAGGGGCAAATTCAGGCAAGAGCCCGAATAGGCGTATGTGTCGATCCTTTCCTGCTCTTCCTGCGCTGTCTGCCAGTCTATATGGATAGGGTCCCAAGTGGGCCGTGGCAACCCGTGAGGTTGGATAATGATGGCCTCGCTGGGAAGCCCGTCTCGGCCAACACGGCCACTCTCCTGCGCAAAGTCGAGCATGGAGCGAGGCAGGCCGACGCGGATAACACTCCGAATGTTGGGGATGTCAAGGCCCATCCCGAGGGTACTGGTCGCGGCTATGACACCCGTGGTGTTAGCTCGGAACCGCTCAAGCACCCCAGCGCGATCAATGGTGTTACGATGGTAGCCCTCGCATCCGACGAGCGCGGCCAGCTTGTCGACGACGTCCAGAATGGGGCCATAGATGACCACTCTTCCCGCAGCAGCACGTGCCCGCGCGATTCGATTTTGAATGAAACTCGCGATCTCCGGGGCCTCTACCCAGGCGTAGCTGTTGCTGTTGCGGATCGGCTCCGTTGGATGCCGCGAAACGGCCAGTCGTTATGTCGGGGGACCAGCCGCTATCAAATACCCTTAAGCCACGATGCTCGGGTGTAGCTCTTGTCTTGCAGCCTTGCTTTGCACTGTGGTCTGTGCCATAGGACTTCAAATTAGTATCGATGTTGGGCCTGCTGGCAAGATAGGAGTATCAGCATGAGCCCAGCTTACATTGGAGGTGGTCATGATGTTTAATCAGACGTAGTGGTGAGATAGGTATGCTCGAGATGGATGAGCCTTGTGGTGAGATGAAGATGAGGAGAGGACGTAACTGGTGATGAGACCCGACATGGTAGTTGTAGAGAAGTAAAAGGTCAAAGCGAGTGAAGAAGACTATATACTCGCTTTAGCTGTGTTTCGGACCAAGGTCATATGATATGCTTCAAGTTTGATGGAGGTAGAATGTTTGGTCCACCTCAACACAATTCGAGATATCTCTGCTCCTTCCTTGACAGGTCTTGTAGAAATGGCAAGAGCTTTCCTTCACAGCGTCGGCATAAATAACGTCCCTAGCAACGCATCTTGTTTACTTTTTCTCTTCTTCTTCACCATTTTCCAATATCCTATTCTGATCTACTACGGTTAGCCAGAACCTTCATCTTTTAACAGATCATAACTTAGAACGCTATCACTATGGTATGTGCTTGAACGCTGCTATATACCACTTCTCTCTGCTGTCATCAGATACTAACAACACCGCGCTACAGGAAAATACCAATCTTGGGCAGCTTGCCTTGTCTGACCTCTCCGACTACTCTGCTGGTTGTCATCCCAGCTCTCTAGCCCATCCAATGATGGTACTATCCCCGATTCTCTGTCTGCTACTTTAATAAGAGACTAGACACTAATAGCTACTCAGATGCAGGGCCCAAACTGTGCGATGCACATCCGCGTCTTTACTTTGGCTTCTAAAGCCACTATGCCATCTCCAATAATGGTACTTCCCGTCTTTCTCTAGTCCCGCTTTAGGATATTACTGACATCTGGTGCAATATATAGAAGCAAATCCCCCTTGACATTTTCTCTCGCGAGCTCTTGCAGCCGCAGTTTTTCAATTGGGCCGACGAGTCAGAAGAACTCGAACTACTGGCCAATAATGTCCCCGACCCCGTTTACCACCCTGTCACCACCCCACCAGCTCATTCTCTGCCCATTATCGAAGCGTCGCCAAAGGCTCCAACGGGAAGCTGCGAGTACCGAGTAACCGCAATGATCAACAGCGCTATGCAACGGGTGGATCCTGTCCTGGTTACCACTGACCATGACACCGGGCAGCTGCTCCCATCGTCTCGGGAATCGTTGCACTGGTGGGCTGGGATGGTTGCTGCTGCCGGAGCACCTCCCGGCCTGCCACGCAAGTTGTCCTGGGCGCGGTGCCCGTCATCTCTGAGACACTCGGAGATAGTTGAGTACCCTCAGCCACCGCCATCGCCTTCGACTCCGCCATCTCCGCCAACGCCTCCTGCTCCTCCTACCCCCAAAACGCCTGCAATGACGGATGCTTTGGGGACCTTCGTGAGAGCAATATCTCCTGCGAGAAGAGTTGGCTCAAAAGCAGTCTCCGTTGTGAGCAAAGCTGTTTGGGCCATCATCAGGCCCTGGATGGGGCATTTGCTGGTTTGGCCGTTCCTGGTTTGACTTTGACCTTTTCCTGGCGTGGTCTCCTGACAAAAAATATTTTTTTAGAAAAAAAGTGAAATGAAATGAATTTAAGCTATAACCAACCTGGACATTTCTGTAACTCGCAGTACTCCAATTCACTTAGCTGTCTCTCCTTCCTCCATTGCTTCAGGTCAAAAGTACCCTCCCGAAGCTCATCCTGTCGGCCATTCCACATGAAAGAGACCCCTTCGATGGTTTTCTCCGTGCTACCGTCATCATTCAGAACGTCAATCAAGCAACCCTGAAGATGATATTTATCCGTTTCGTAGGCGGCAAGTCGATCAAGTTGCGTTGGCGATAAGACGCCACACACCATTCCAACGACTGGATGAAGTGGTTTATCATCGAGGAGAGCAGGGTATGGACCCCAAAGTTTGACCTGGTAACCAATAACCCTAGCCGGGCGCATCATAAGTGGTGGTATTGAAGAACCTAAGACTTTGGATAATGTATCTGGATCCATTAATGTCCCGTATAAGAAGCAATATTCGTCTCTGATGGAGTCTTCAGGCCAGGGATTCTCATCAGAACTGTCCCATGGGGGCGACGGTGGCCCTGGAGGGTCTGCTAAGGCGTTGTGCAGCTTGTGCTGAAGGAGTTTGCGCATCATAGCGGACGGCCGGCTTTTGCGCATTATGTCAATGTAGATCTCGACGGGTCGCGGAGACGAAAGAAGGAGATTGATAGAGGGCAAGGTTGCTATGTACATGTGTGTCACACGTACAAACCTTGGAAGTTGGGACCCATCCGCTGTCAACCTAGCGTAACTGGTAAGATTACGTCTCAGTGACCAAAGAGCCGCAAGGTCTGAGCACTAAAGCGGAAAGGGAGGGGCACTGAGCACTGGGAACATGTTGGTATAGGTAGCTCAGGCCGAAGTTCTAACTCATCGTCAGTCATTAGCTACTTTTCTGTATTGACCTAGTAGGCTAGGGTTAGAAACAAGGACCCTTCTAATCATCTCTCAACAGATTTTATCACCAACCCCAAGTCTATGAACATATCGACCAACGCCACTCATGCATATTTCCCTCTATACTAGATCCCAATCAAAATGCAAAACATCAATATCAACATCATCTCTCACTCTCAATCCAATAAAGCCTCATCCTCCAGAAAGCATGCTCAAGCGCCTCAAAAACAGGCAAGCAAAACGACCCAGCGCAATCAACATACTCCAGCAAAACTCCGCCAGCATCTGCATGCTCAAGCGGGCCACCGAATAAAAGCCACGGCTTGGACGGAAGCAGTAGTTCGAGGTGTTTGCGTTCTGCACCGGGACAGAAGAGCATTGTGCTGGACGTTATGTGGGTGAAGGCTGCTGGGTGTTGGAGGACATCCATGTTCAGTGCTGCTAGGAGGGATTCGTCCAGCGCATTGAAGACAGGGTCTTGGGCGTAGACCTTTATGGTTTGGTTTGTAGTTGCTGTTTTTCGTGGTTAGCTAAAACCAAGAACCGGCATGAGTCACAGAAGAAAACGAACAAGCAACTCGATCTTTGATACTCGCCAGCGCGGCAAGCTGATACAGCGACACAGCCCGCCGATCAACCCATCCATCGCGCAGGAATCCACTCGGGCTGCCGAGTCCAATGCAGATAATGGCGTCGATGGGACAGACAGCCTCGGAAGAAGAAGAGGAAGCTTGCTGTTCCAGTTTCCTGCACTTCAGCCTTTCGTCCAAAACCCCCGCCAGTCTACTCCAACTCTCTGAACTCTCCCATCTCCGCCGATGCGTCTCGAACTGTGTCTGCAGCTCCGGTAGGGTGAGTCGACCGGGGGCTTCGGCTGGGACTAGTACAGGTTCAGACTGGTTTGAAGAAGAATAGTCTGAAGATATCTCTGAATCTTTTATAATGGCAGCTGTGCCCCGCGGCCGACTGCGCATGACGCGGCGCACGCTGCCGCTACTTGCGACATGGGTCCAGCCGTCGTCGTCGGTGACTTGGGTGCGTTTTTGGATGGTTGGACGTTTTGTGCGGGATGTGTGGGGCATTTCTTGTATATATAATTATGTGATTATAAGAATATGAGTCTGTTTCTGTGTTTTTATGTATTGATGCTCGTTACTGCCGTGTGAGGAGCTTTTTTTTTCTTTTTGGAGATGCGGGGAGGAAAGGCTTGGCATTGGGAGTGCTTTATTGATAAAGGCGAGATGGATGATGGATCCTACCTTAGACAAGGATCAGGACGAAATAAAACTACATGTTTCGGTCGCTTTTACGCAGTAGTGCAATCTCAGCACATTCAGCACATTCTCCTCCTCAATCTCTCGTTGAACACATTCTAAGCGCCCAAGTGGTTTCCCCTCAGAACGTTAGCGTCTCCCTCGGCGCTTCCCCCGTTGGCCCTGCAGCGAATCACCATCCAGCATCAGCCTCTTCGTGATGGCACTTGCAGCGGGCTGTGATGATCCCGGGCTACCCCTGCTCTTCATCACTGCGTCGAGCCAGTCACAGATATCGTGCCCTGCAGCTTGGTCACATTTGCGTTCCTGGGTTTTGACTCGTCCGTCTGAGTGATGACCCCGTGCCCCCTCAAAAAGACCGATCAGCCCTCGAAAGTCATGGCTTGGTCTTGGTCTTGGAGCTTTTGTGATTTTGATATCCTTTTATCATTACCCATCCAGCTTCCTCTACGGTCTAATTTGATTATCCTGCGATCGGAGGAATCGTGTTTGAGTCTTGCTCCGTGAGAGTGTATCTCTCCGTCCAACCCTATTCTCTGCTCACCGTCACATCGCATCTCACCATGAGCTTCACACAATCGCTATCGCGATGGGCATCCGTCCTGGTGCTGCTTTGCTTCGGTCTGGCACAGGCTCACAGTGTCATCACATATCCCGGGTATCGAGGGAACAATCTCCATACCAACGGCACCGTCGAGCAAGCTAATGGTCTCGGTGTCGCCTACGATGTCAAAAACGGCTCATACATCTTCCCGTATGGCATGGAGTGGATCTATCCCTGTAAGCAGGAGCAGCCTCTTCTCTCACCTATCCACCACTAACTCTGATCTCACAGGCGGCGGCATGCCCCGATCAACCAACCGAACCAAGTGGCCCGTCAGCGGCGGTGCTCTCGCCTTCCAGCCTGGCTGGTTCCCGGGCCACTCAACTGCTCTTATCTATGTCAATCTGGGATTCGGCGAGATCCCTCCCAACATGAGCCACCCCGTCGTTCCGCCGTTCCAGATCGTCGGCCCGACAAACAACCCTTACCCGGGCACCGTGTGTCTGCCCCAGGTGCCCCTGCCGGCCGGTATCAGCGTCAGTCCTGGTGATTACGCTACTATTCAGCTAGTTGAGACTGCCAAGCACGGCGCTGCGCTGTACAATGTATGTTCCATTGCCCTGTGCCGATCCGGCGATTGAAGATCGTACTGACTCGTATCTCTAGTGCGTGGACATTGAGTTTGCAGAAGACGGCGATGCTTCTGTGGAGGCGGTAACGCGTGACAATTGCTTCAATTCGAGTAATATCGGCTTTGAGTTCATGTACACCACCAGTGCTATCGGTTCGGGCGCGGCAATGTTGCAGCCGAAACTGTCGGCTGCGGCTGTCGTACCACTGTTGCTCGCTGTCGCCTTCGGTTTATACATGTAGAAGTGTGATTTTTGCTGATTGCATTTCCGCGTGTGCTCGTCTTTTCTTTGCGTCATACCCCTGGTTTCGATTAATCTATGACGCCTCAAAATCAGTGTTGATACTGCATGTCTTCTTTGGACTATATAATTGACGCTATTGGTTTGTCTGGCGTTTGACTGGTGTCTGGTGTCTGGTGTTTCAACTCAGTTCTATTGGAACGGATCTATGACGATACTTTGAACAATCTGATTCTTTAGTAGATCATATCTCGTATTTCGTAAAAGGTTTATGTAGCAACTACCTAACTATGTCGCATACTGACCCAATTAGCTCACTGAGGCAAGCCTTCGATCAGATCCAAAATGGCTCGCACCACCTCTTCCGGACTTTCCTGAGGTGTCCAATGCCCAACTCCGTCGACAAGGCGGAAGATACGCAAGTCCGCGCACGAGACTCCGTCCTTCATCTTTTCAATAGCCCCAGGCTCCTGGTAGTTACCCCAGTCCAACTTACCCGAAACATAAGCACACGGCTGCTCAATCTTCTTCCCAGCAAAGACCTCAACGTCCTTCGCATACCGACCACCATCCGCAGTGCGAATACGATACCAATTCAATCCGCCCTGGAAACCCGTGCGTCCATACTCACCCGCATAAACCGCCAGTTCCTCGTCAGGCAGCCACGAGTGCGAAGCCAGAACCCCGGACGACTCAACCGCCATATCCCTCGCCACAGTCTCCGGCATCGATGCCTCCAACGGCATGATATAGTACCCCGGCAACTCTGCCAAATCAGCCGCAGCCCACTTCCCCAACGGATGCGGCCGATTCCCCTCCCACGACCCACTCTTCAAATAGAAGTACCCCCGCAAAAATCCACGCATCTCCTCAGGCCCAAGCTCCGACATCTCAGGCCCAGCCTCCTTAGTCGAGTAATACCACTTATAATGCTTGCGACCCATCCTCGCAAGCTCCTCGTGCACACCCGCCGCCGCCTTCGCCTTCTCAGCTACAAACCGCGCCACATCCACCCCCTCATTCGCCGTGTTAAACGGCAACTCAGGACTCCCATTGAACGGGTGGCTCATGAGCGCCACGCTCTGGAAGAAGTCCGGTCTCATGAGGGCGCATGCGGCTGCCGAGGCGGCGCCGCAGTCGTGGCCCGCGATGCAGCGCACGGAGCGGTAGCCTAGTGCATGAACTAGGAGGACGATGTCCCGAACTAGAGTTGAGATGGTGAAGGTCGATAGGTCGACTTCTGCGTGGCTGCGGGTGTCCCAACCTGTTGTGCGACCGAAGCCGCGTTGGTCTGGGGCTACGACGTAGAAGCCTGCGGCTGCGAGTTTGGGGAGGACGCGACGCCAGGAGTAGGCTATTTCTGGGAAGCCGTGGAGGAGGACGATTAGGGGTTTGTCGTTTGTTGGGGTTTGGCCGGCTTCTAGGATGTGGATGTTTAGATCGGTGGTTTGGATGGTTCGGCTGGTTATGCCTGTTGGGAGGGGTAGGGGTGGGAGGGTCATGGTTAGACTTGAGATTGTTGTAGAGTACGGAGTATAGAAGATGAAGATTGTTGCATTCAGTTAACGTAAATACGGCGGACCTGTGTATTAACTACTTCGTTGATGAGGGGGTTGCTTATCTACCGAGGTTATCAGCAAATCTCCAAGTCCAATTCAGGTCCCTTTTTGGTGCCTGAAAAAAAAAGAAAATTAAGAATTAAAAAAAACGAAAAAAGACAAAAAAGTCATGACGCAAATACTGCAAAGTTCCTCGATCTTGTCGGATCTGCTGGATCTGCCAATTTTGAGATCTCCAGGCATTTTCTCCCTTGACTTTTTGTCTTTTGTCCTTTTTTCCTTGTACTGCGTATTCCTCTTCCCTGTTCCCCTTCTTGTTTCTGACTGGCTACGTCGATCCCTCGCCCCCCCAAGTTGGGTCCCCTCAGCTTTTCCAGCTTCCCCAGTTCCCACCTTCGACATCATACGCAGTATACTATTAATCTACAACGGAAAATTATTCACACATCCACTGCTTCATCCACTTCAATCTCGGATCCCGGCACTGCACCAGTCAGTGTTCGGCCATCCGATCTTCAAACTTCAAGCTTGTTGCCTAAACACTCAAAAGAATCTCTGAACAATGGTCTTCGGCCGTCGCAAGAGAAGTGTCTCTGCCCATCACCAGGTGTGTTCCACTCCCTCAACCCGACGGATTGCATCTATTCCGATATGCGATGGGAGGACCAGATGCAATCCAGCGGGTACCTGCAACCGATGCATGAACATGAAACTGACAGCTCCCTTCCTTCCCACTAGCCACTTTCCACACCTGCCGCCCATTCCGCCCAAAGCGCTGCCAGCCATGCTTTCCTAAAATCCCAACCCTCCTCAGCGAGCCTCTCATCCGCAGCAGCAGCCGCAGCTCTCCGCAACCTCACACCCACCCCGACCCCGATCGAAGATGTTCAGACGAAGCGCATGGTCCGACGCGGCTCCGTCCAGTCGCAGGTCGGAGTTGGCGGTCGCCGCTCGGCCAGCGTGAGTGCTACTCTTGGTCGCTCGAACAGTAATAGCTCGATGAGCGCGCGCACCTTTCGCGAACAATCTCCCCATCGCCCGGTTTCGAGGTCGGGACCTGTAGGCGACCCCGTGGATGTACCTCCGTTGCCTTCTCTGCCGACCACTTTCTCCCCGCGAAAATTGCCGAATCGACGCGCGCTGAGCATGGAGCCGTCGATGCGCACGTCTCCCTCATCCCCGCCGCGCGCTGGGCGGAGGGGTGTGGATCGGGAACAGGGCCGAGGGTCCCCGATACAGATCGCTACGCATCAACGGGTGACGAGCCTAGGGACGGTGCCGGAGGTGGAAAGGTCAGGAAGCCGGAGCTCGGTTAATTTCTCGTATCCATTGGGCTCGCGACCTACTTCGCCGAATGAGATGGCTGAAAATAACCCGATCAGTCTTCATGAAGCTATTCAAGAATCTATTGCCGACGTGCCCGATAAATCGACCAGCACGAAGGCTAGGGTGCAGCCTGGCAGCCTGGAAGGAAGCCCTGTTGAAACCAGGTCTAGTGCTGCAAGCCAAGCAGCTGACATGCAAAAAGACAGTCCGAGGGCGAATGCTCGGACTGAGAGGATACGACAAGCGTCCGGGGATGTGGATCATCTCGATCAAAATAAGAGTAAGCCAGTGGCTGCCATGCCGCAGAATGTGGAACACCAACATCCGACGTCACGAGATCTCCCTGAAAAGTGGCCATCCGCTGTTCAAGAGCAGGAAAAGCCCAAGCATGACGACACGAATGTTGAAGATAAAAATGTACCGCGTAATGGAAATCGGATGACGAGTGCATCGCCAACTACCGATTGCACAGAGACTGCTCCAGTGCCTCAGTCGCCCTCGCAACTGCAGACCGGGCAGCGACAACTCCGCCAGTCGAGCAGCCCCGGTCGATCTACTCGCTTCTCCGGGTTACTTTCCGTTTCTGGTACCGGCGATCAAATCCACGAGCCGCCGCCCAGATCAGTATCTCCTGCCAAGTCGGCCCTCAAAAATGCAAGGGGCAGCTCATTGTCGCCTGATAGAAGAGCGGCAACAACCACTCGAGTCTTACCGCCGAGTGAGCTTTCAGATGGCACCTCAGTGGCGTCGGATGAAGGATCTCGACTTGATGTCAAGAAGAAACCTGCAAAGGTCAGTTTCGATGATGAAGCTGAGGTTGTTGGTGTCGCAGCCAGTCCTCCCACCTCGCCAGAAGAATACGTACCTGACTCCCCACCTGGCGGTAAAACCAAGTCACGTATGAGTTGGCTTGGTGTTGGCAAGAAGAAGTCACCAGCGGAGTTTACGAGTGATGATGACTGGGATGTCGTCATAAAACCCCGACAAGTCCTCCCATCTTTCGGTAGCATTCGGGGCAGCCGAGGGACTGGTCTTCAAAGGTCGCCTATCCCAGGCTTCAGTGACAATGAGTCCACCACATCGTCTGAATCTGAAGTGATGCCCCAGGCGCATATTGTGTTGTCAGATGATCACACTGTCGGAAATATTCCTCCTAAGCCGCAACAGCAACCAATCTCCCAACCACAGAAAGCGAACGCTTTGGAGCAGTTGTCAGTCGGCGGCTCTTCGCCTACTTCACAAGCAAACTCGGGCTCAGAGACCAAACGGGAGGCTGGAGTCACTAGTGACATTGCTGAGAATCAGCCGCAGTCAGAGTTGTCTGTGCCTGTCATTGCGGTCGAACCTGCTACGCCTCCAGCGGATGAGCCCAAGCAAAGCCTCGACCTCAAGAGGACCAGCATGGATCAATTCAGGTGCCCGGGCGGATTTCCCCCGTCTGGCTCTGACGGCAGTCTCAATTCCACTGCGAAGAAGACCAGAGTTCAGGCCGTGGCCAGCACTGTTCCCAAGTTCGACGACGTGGATACAGAGGAGGAGTCTGGTGATAGCGTCTACAGTGATGCAGCAGAAGACATTGACGGCGATGGATTTGGATCCATCAATGCTATTGTCGACAGCCGATCAGCCCCTAGGTCGGCCCCGATTTTAGAGGGTGCGAGCGAATCGCGAGACGCAACCCCGAAACCCCTCAGTCGAGCTGCAATCGTGGACAGTCAGTCGCAAGATGTGACAGATCAGCCACGTGAGGAGGTGCGCGCCGTCACACCGACACAAGAGTCGGTCAACCGAGTGGTAGCAGAATCCGCTGCCTCTTCGGTTGGGCATGGGCTTGACTCCTCATACCAGCCAGTGTCGAACCAGCCCCAACCTCGCGCTTCGCCCATTCAGAACGGCAGTGTCCGCGCAGAGCCTACCGCGCGAACCCGTCCTATGTCTGTGGACGTGAGCAAGAAATCTAATATGCAGGATCCTCGGTGGTCGAGCAATGGCGCTTCCCCACGAGGTGGAAAGAGTAAACCACGTCCATTATCTCTTGGTCCGGCTTTCCAAAAGACAAGCCAAGGTTTCCCTAACAGCCTCCGGCGGCAAATGTCGAATGGAAGTGATTCCTCAAGCAGTTTCAAACGCTCTTCTCCGCGTGCCGATGCTCATCCCATGCGACGGACAATGAGATCCGGTGCTGCTGGTGCCGATGTTCGGGTTCAATCCCCAACGCCACGGAACGACTCTCCCCTTGACAATCGGCCTGTCTCATCTGGTTCGAATGGCACAATGCGGAAGACGCTGCGCGGGTCTGCTGCAGGCGAGAGATATTCGTTCTTCTCAACGAACAAGAAGGCGGCGCCGAGAGCAAAGTTCACCAAGGCGCCTCCGAAGTCTGGGCGCGCAACGCGGTTTGCAGATTCGGATGGGGAGGATGATGCTCGGCCTCAGACCTTTACTAGTCGGTTTGCAGATTCTACCGATGAAGATGAGCCTGCAAGCAAAACACTACGCCCCGTCCGAGGCATTCCCCGTCGCCAGGATGCCGACGATGGCGACTCGACGGAATTGGACGATAGTTCAGAAGAAGGCACCAGGCAAAAGCCGCAGCCAGTACTGGCATCCCGGCCAATGACGGCCCCGCCAGGATCCGGCGGAAAGAACGCCCCAAGCATGTCTGGGATGGCAGCTGTGGCCAAACAGCGTGGCATGTCGCAAAGGGATCTGGAAGAGTTCCTCATGGCGCCGCCTCGTGGTCGGAAGCCAGGGCTTCTCACCCGACTCGGCATCCTGAAGCCCAAGCACCCGGAACATAGAGTTCGCAAAGCCGACATGGAAAGTCCCTCGCGGAGAGACACACCGCTAGAGCGCTCACGTCTAGAACGCGAGCAACTGCGCAATGAGGGCACGACGAATGGATACCAGAGCAGAACAGTGACCACTGTGTCTGCCGGGAACGGAGAGGCTCCTCGTTCATCGAAACTGGTGAAGAGGAACTCCAAACGCCAATCCCCAGGACCAGACAACTGGCCCCTCCCTACCGATCTCGAACACGAGCGTCTTGATCCAGTTGCGGAAGATAAGCCTAGTGTCCCATCATCTGCTCATGCACCACGGAACTCCGTGGCACCGACTGAAAATGCAGCCGCACGCAATGAAAGCGCCGATGTCAATGGACAAGGCGCTCTCGCTGCATCGACGGTTGGGAAAGAGACCGAGGCACCCCGCACCGGGCCAGATCCAAACGACAGTGCCTCCGAGACGATGCATCCCGAGGAGCCTGGGATATCAGCGCGCGACGTCGTGATCGCTGGCTCCGGACGGAAGAAACGATTCCCTCTTCTTCGCAAGGCATTCGGGATGCGCACTTGATCCTGTCACCGATATGCGTCTGCTTCTTTAGACTTGCGTTTTCCAGACAATCCTTGTCAATTGTCTTAACACCGATATTGCACGTTCTAGTTTCAAAGGACTTCTAATACCCTTGTTCTATATTCACTCTTTCTAATTGTTTTCCCTCTTCTGTCTCTTTTGCTGAGAGATGCCATGGCCTACGATGACTACGCTGTCTTCGAAAATCTCCATTTTCGATCTCTCATCTCTAATGACTGATATACGCGTGCCATTGGTTTTGCTTTCTTGCTTCCTCTTTCTACTTTCATTTCGGCCGTGGTCTGTCTACACAGTACAACCACATTCTCGCTTCGGATATTTCTCTCCTTCTACTCCTTTCTTTTAACCTTTGGTCACGCACATTGGAGTTGTTTACTTCCATGATACCCTCATTCTTCGTCTTGACGCTTTTTGTATTATGTCTCTTGTCTTGTGTACTGCTCTGTGGCCTTGTTAAGGGGCGAGATGACCTGTTGATTTCAGTGTTGGTTTCGGGCTTGTTTTCATAGATGCTCTCAGGAAATGGGTATATTGGCCATAATAATTGTCTATTTTCGCTCGAGCCCCGTACCCTAAATTTGTAGACGGCTTCGTAAAGGTTGCAATATGAGTTTGCATCTGAACTGACATACGCCGTTGGAAGCCATAATGGCGGGGTCCTAGGATGGTTTCAATACTTCCCGACCTAAAGTACCTACCAGATGCCTACCTACGACCTAACCGGGCTAATAGGTACCTATATAGCTAGATAAGGGAAGTACCCAGAGTATTCCTTTGAAACCTGAATCTAGTTACCTACCTGGGCAGCACCTGCATGGACAACCTTCCATAGCCTCGGCCCCGGGCCGACATGTGCCGGATACATATATTTCTGCGAGACTTCAAAAATACTCGAAAGGGTAGGCTGCAGAACAAGTACAGACCCTACACTATTGCCTCAGAAGCTACTTCAATTACAATGAGTTCCAGACTAAGCGATACAGATAGATTCAGTCACATTTTCACACAAACAATTGCCATACATGAGTTCGTCATACATAGGAAAATAAAATCACAACAAGGAAAAGGAAAAACATCAACTATTCATCACGCCATGGACAAGGTACAAGCGTAACCAGACTCCCTCTAGGAGAAGACCTAGGAAATTAAGGTAGGAAAAAGGGGGGTAAAGAATTTACAGACGCGAGCCGTGGATGACCTTGTAGTCGACGACGAGCTCACGACCACCGTCGTTGATGACAAGGGCACGAACAGAGCCACGACCATCAGCAAAGGCCTCACTGATGCGCTTGAAGAGGTTACCCTGAGTGATAACAGGCAGACCCTGCTTGACATCACCGGACTCAGTCATGGCGACGAGACGGTTGTCGTCACGGAGGTCGAGGATGCGGTAGGTCTTGAAGACGGGACCGAGCATGGTCTGTACAACCACGGAGGGAGAGGGGTTGGCGACGAAAGAGGACTCCTCCTGCAACTTGCGGGTGAAGAGGTCGACGCCGAGGTAGCGGTGCTGACCGGTCTGGGGGGAGACCGAGATGCGGATGACCTGGCAAGGACGGCCCTGGAGGATCAGGATGTCGCCCACACGGATGAAGTGGCAGGGGATGGGGACGGTCTCGCCGGGGGAGCCGCGGTTGCGGGGCTCGACGATGCGGACGTTCTCACGGGCGGGAGCGACGTCCTCGCCGGCGTGGGACTCCTCGTGGTGGCTGGAGTGGGAGAAGGGGTGCAGGACGCGGTCGGCGGCACGGCCAACGCCACGGCGGAAGGAGTGGTACTCCCCGTCGTCGTCGTAGTAACCCATCTTGCGAGTTGGGGCGGTGTCGCGGGTAGTGGTTTGGGAGACTTTTACTTGGGTGGGAGCGAAGGTACGAGCACGGGGCTGAACTTCGCGGAGGTAGACGTCGTCTTCTCTGTAAGAGTCGGTCTGAGACTGGAAGGTCCGGTCGTAGGAGACGTCGGACTGGGACTGGTAACCGTAGGCGGAGTCTACGGGTTGACGATAACGACGGTCGTAAGAGACGTCGAGGTCGTAGGCTGGTGAGGTACGTTGACGGTAGTCACGTTCAGTGAGGTCAAGTTGGCTCTCGACGACTTTATCGTAGACTTGAGTACGATCTTCGTAGTCAACAGAAGGTTGTTGGTAACTGGGGTAGCTGTGAGAGAGAAGAGTGGTCAGCCCACATGGGTTCCCATAAAAATATAAACAAAACACAGGCAGTCACCGCTAATTGGAGTGGATCAGGCTTGTAGTGACACGTAAACTTAGCCCGGGGCTAAATCCGTTACCACCATAAACCACACTAAACCAATATAGGAGATATCACAACAAATAGTGATACTTCAGCTGCAAAGTGGATCCACTTTCAGGTGGATCTCGAGAGGTTGGGGGGGAAAGAAACACCGCAAATCATAACAAATGTAGGAAAAATACACCGTTTTGAAGTGGGAGGTTAGGATTGGGGGCGAGAAAAAGACGAGAAAATGAGAAAAAATCCAGTACATACCGTTCACGAGTCAATTCAACCTCAGGGGCGTAGTTGTGCTTGTGGTGAGGGTGCTCTTCCTGAACGCGGAATTCGACTTCTTCCTTTTTGACAGAGGGAAGGGGAGCAGGTCCTCGAGTATCTTCCCGTTCGGCGCGCGAAGTACGTTCGAAATTGACTTCTCCCTCTACTCTCGTCTGAGTAGTTTCAGAGACAGCGTCACTCCGGTACGACGACGGGAAGACACTGAAGGGGATAGGAACACGGGCGTCAAAGTCCAGATTGACGGACTTTTGAGCGTCTCTTCTCGAATGCCTTTCGAACTGTCGTGAAACAACTCGAAAGACTCAAGAAAAGACTTTTAAGGGGAAGTCTTTCTCGTGAAGGGGAGAAAAGGTTGAAAAAGAGAAGATATCTTTTTCTGATTGGAATGGAGGGGGATAAGCTTAAATGCTTAAGAATGTGAGATCGTAAGAATGGAAGAAGAAGAGGAAAAGAAGCAGTTGAGATGGAGAGTGTCACTGTTATTTATGCCATGTCTTTGTTTACGCCGCCTTGCCCCTTTGGGGTCTCCGCTGATCACCGAGGTTCTCACTTTCTCTTACTCTTCATATATTATCTTCTATTACTTCTCTCTATACTCAATAACGTTTGGAAAGGTTTGACAATTGAACTCTCTTCTTTATCTTCTTTAGTTCCACTCTTAGCCCCTCTAATAATGCACCGTTTAACCATCGATGGATCCCCCCAAACGACAACAATACATATCGGGCCCTTTCACATGGAGAGGTGGCTGGCCAGCCTGCACGTATCATCACCGCACCGACACAATCACCATGGCAACCTCCGGGTCGAATCGGACATCTGGATCTCCTTGGCGCCGATCGTGTTTGGCTCCATCACATCGGCTCAATTGGATTTTGCGGAGACACACTCTGTGATTTCCCTCGGCTGGAGAACTTGTATCTTTGTTATTGTTTTTGCCATCGTGCGCCATGTTAGCTTGCCATTGGCTCGTAACCGAAACCATCGACAAGGCAGCGCGTACTCCGTACAGGATTATCCACATCAATACCACTAATACCGCTCAATGCACTGGCTCCACTGGTAAAAGTGATTCATCGAGATCCCGCAGACCTCCCCAGCCCCCCGGCCCAACCACCGGAGCTGTCAGCCAGCCAGCACATGCAGCTCGTGTCTAGACCCTCCTGGTGCAAAGAGGCTGGGAGCTGTGTCCTAGGTAACCGGGCGTGAGGTTTCGTACTTTTGGTTGCTTCAATTTGGATGGGATGTTTGGAGAAAGCAGACGCGTCTCTTCAATCAGATCACATCATCGCCAATGGACCTTGTCCAATGAGATGGGGACCTTGATCGCTGAACCTGTTTTCCGGGCTACGGAGTACAGTGATAGACATTGTTTTTCCCACGGGCCACGAGATAGGGGCCAAGGCGATTATCAACTCACATTGAAAGTGGAGCAAACCCTACCGTGGTTGAATCCATGGATACAGCCTTACCGACAAGCCATCGGTGGATTTGGAGTCCAATACTCCGTACGGTGTACGACGCATTCAATCCATTGACGCTCAATTCTGATCTGAGATCACGATCGTTGCATAAAACACATAACATGCACATAGGGCGGCGAGCGATAGCTGAGCTCCATGCATGTGCATCTACGTGGGCTTCGTAGCTGGACACTAAATATAGCCGGTACTTCCGAGATGTCTGATAAAACTTCCACAGCAGATACGACGTTCAATACGAAAGGCAGCAAGGCTTCCATGAACCCATGGTCAATTCTGTCGGCAGAGTGAAGATGTGGCCATAGGTAGACGCCAATGGCTCTTCCCCCGTATGCTAATATGTACCTGAGGTTGAGCTACTCCGACAAGGCAAAACAGCCGGGTTCCCTCCTATGCACGCGCACTAATACCTGCACCAGAACATAACAATCTGACTACCTTGCATCTCTCTGCACTTGACAAAGGACTAGTGATAGCTAATTCCATTATAGAGAAAGACTTCCTTACAGATAAACTGCCGTATATAGACCCCGACTTTTCCCAACGCCGACGAACCGGTCACCAAAAACGACAGAAAGATAAGCAAAAATAGGCAAGAAGGGAGAAATCCTTGAGATAATGACTATACCAAACAGCAAGACATAATAGTCATAGTAAGGCATGAATCACAGAGATAGGCAGGCAAAGAAAACAAGCACGATGGGACCAGCAAGACGAGAAGTCGCCACGAGCTAGGTACCTTTACCCTCCAGTATGGTCATGACGCCGGACTCGTATGAATGATCTGAGAAGACAAAAGCGAGAAGAAAAAAGCAAGCAAGCATATTCTAGTGTACATCAGTGGGTTAAGAAAGCAAATTAAAATGGGTATCGTGATTCGGACAAGCAAAAGATGATACGGGCGAGAGGAAGAAAAGAACCAGCCGAGTCATAGCAGAAACTACCGTTCTCCGAATTTGCCGTACTCCTGCTGCCACTTGAGCAGATGACGAGTGAGCACATCCATCATCTCGACGCTGGTGAGTTCCTTGAAGTCCTTTTCCTGGTTTGTGGACTCTCCATAACCACCATCTGTGGTTGCGGGTCCGGACTCGCCGGCGTCGCTGCGCGCCGATGGCATCGCGTTGTCGATCTGGTCAACCATGCTCTTTAGCAGTAGACCCTGAGCTCGGTCACCGTTGCTCGAAGGCGTAGAGGAGTTTTCGCCGGCAACGGCCATCTCCACTTGCATGCGCGAGATGAATTCCAGAATAGCTGCCACCCGGCGCTTCATCTCGTTCATTGTGGTTCGCTGTGGGTGCATGTGGCGTGGCTTGCTTGGCCGTCCTGATTCCCCGCCGTTGACGTGCGTTCCATTGGCACCACTGTATCCGACTCGAGGGGAGTCTCCACCAATTTCGTGGGATTGTCCACGACGGGGCGAGTTTCCCATGTACCCGAAATCTCCGTTCCCGTTTGTGTCCCGGTCCTTGGTGTATTGGTTGCGTCCAACACGACCGCGACGAGCAGGAGGTCGGCCGGATTTGCGGGTTGGGGGACGAACCGGCGTGGGCTCTTGGGGAGTAGGAGTGTTAGGACTCGCTTGTGATGGTTCTGGCTCAGGTGGTGCGGTCTTGGTTGGGGACCCGGTTTCAAGCTCGGATTCTATTGAAGCTGTTAGAAAATAAACAACTATACTTGTCTGTGTCACTTACCCTCTCCCTTCCGCCGATTTGGCCGTTCTTTCCGGCGATATGCTGTATCAGGAGCTTCTGTCTCGCCCTCGTTGGCGTCTTTTCCAGGCTCATTGTCGAGCTGGCCTCGAGACAAAGCTCTCTGTCTCCGAGTCCCGTTCACTGCAGGCTTTTGTTTCGCCTCATCATCAGAAGGCGGGTGAGATGGTGGATTGCTATGCTTTGAGGTGGCACCAGGTGACGGTGAAGTGGTTCGCTGCCGTTTCGCTCCTTCTCTGTTCCTGGGTAACTGGTCAGTTACAAAATTCCGAACCAATGTAGTTCCCATTGGGAGAACGTACGTCACGCTATCGCTCCTGCTTCGCTTGCCCAAGTGTGTGTCTGTCTCGTCGGGATTGCTCTTGGTTTCAGCCTTGCTTTCCTCAATCGCTCTTCGAATCAATTCTTCTTCATCGTAAGCAGCGTCCCGGCTGTTCATTGTTGATCGCCGCTTGGCATTCGCAGCGGCAGCGCTCTCGCTGCTTCGGGACTTGGGATCCTTGGAACGCCGAGAGATTTCCCTCGAGGAGGCACGAGAAGATGGAGCGGGAGAAGGTTCCGCCGCCGGGAGCACTGGGACAGCCGGGATGACTGGTGCTGCAGGAGGTGTGGGTGCGGGTGCGGGTGCTGGTGCTGGTGGAGGGGGTGGTGGTGGCACTGGTTCAGGTGCAACAGGGAGGTAGGTAGAGGAACGTTGTCTGAAAAATTGTCAGTATAGCCATTTCTCCAGGTTTGGTAAGAAAGCGTAGTAGCAATTCATATCATATGAGGCCACTGCTGCTGGATGGGGATTGTGCTCAGAGCGCCGTCAGAAAAGCAGCCCCTCCGAACAGCAAAATCGCACCACATCACGGAATAGTACATTGACAAAGGAAGCAGGAATAGAAAAGAGGCATTAGACCAAAGAAATAAAAGAGTTGTTCACATACCCATGAGGTTCGTCTTTGATCTTGTGTAAATCCTTCCTGCACTCCTCGCAGAAATATTCATCAGGACTCGTTGCCTCGTCCATAATGCCAACACAACCACCGTGTTGCCAAACTTTGCATAGGTCACATTGGATGAACATGCTCCCAATCTCATCTGCCATGGGGTCTGATGGATCAGAGGGAACTAATCCTGACTCCAGCTTGATGGTGCCGCGACCGAGGGCCTCGCGACGAGAAGGAGGCAAACCCGGATAGTCTTGCTGACCGCAAATACATCGAGTCACCTCTTCCTCTTCATCTTCAATTTCGTCTTCATCTTCTTCACGGGGTTGGTCATCGTCATCGTGGTTGGCGCGCTGGCGCTGCCGTGTGTGTGGAAGGTCCTTCGAGCCATTCTCATCATCGATCGACTGAGACCGGTGGCCGTTGGAGCCGTTTTTGTGATTCGATCGAGTGCTTCTCTCTCGAGTAAGAGAATTTGAGGAGTTGGAGGAGTTGGCGTGTTGGACGAGGGCGGGAGAGGGTTGGGAGGTGCGAGCCCGAGAAGAGCGACGAGGAGTCATGATGGTGGGAGGTATTGGATGTTTGTAGAAGAGGAGAAATTATATATAGAAGTTAGACTCGAAGGAATCAACGGGTTTTGGAGCCCTTGGCTGGAGTGGTTTCAGCAGCAACTCGAGAAAAGCCGTTTGCGAGGGAGCTCTTGCGCGCGATTGAGAGCTCTTGGGCAGGGTGCAGGGTCAAAATGAATCAGAAATTGGGAATCACAGTAGGATCTGTTTAACGGCATCACAAGGCTCAAGGAAGAGCCCGACGACTACATAGTCCAAGAAGTGTGTTCGTGTAATGGCGGGGAGGAAGAAGAGAAGGAGAAAAGCGCCGGAACGGGACTCCAAAAGATCCAATCGCCGGTTTCCCCGCTCTCGACGCCTCTCGACGCGCGAATCTTTACCAATTCATTCTGTTCGTGTCTTTCCTTCCTCCTTTTCAATGCCCATTAGACAGCCATAATTCTGTCTAATATTCACAGTTTGATCTCCATTGAGACCTATATTAATGATATACATTGACTTTGTGGCCCATTCTTAGGTGTCTGCCGGTTCTGCACTAATAATCTGGAGCCGACCTTGGAACTAATCATCCGGACGATTACCTGACCAATGCACGAGAAATGGGATGCAATGTTGCAGATTACTGCAGTCATTTGCTATATCGATGTGTCCCTAGGCGGAAATAGTTCAAAGAGCGCTTGGGTGGAATGAGACCACCAACACTCTACGACGATTATAGCCGTGAACACTCCCTCCCACCCATGACATCCGACTACGCCGGTGCCTTTTGCTCTGAATTGTTTAGACCGTGTTGTACCAAATCTACACAGTACCTTTGGTCCAAGCCGATCACGTTTCCAGCATCTGCAAGACCACCTTGGTCCACCCACGAGACAGAATCGATGTCATAGATGCTCCTTGGCCTAAGCCTGATAGTAGCTATAGCAAAGCTGGAAAGTATTTGGAAATGATTTGCGACTGAAAGGGCGATGTGCTTTTGAGCAAACCCTTCGGGGCGGGGTAACGAATCTGTTCGTGTTGCTGGACACAGTATTGCACTTCTTAGTGCTATTCTTCCTGAGCAAATCGGCCAAGCCACAATTTCCGTTCAATATGTACCTGAAATCGCCCTCGGATGTCGCTGTTCGCGGTGAATGCAGGTACCGGCGGTGTAGGGAGACGATCGCAGAGGGGTTTCTCTCAGTTGTAAGCAGACGTCAGCAGTGGGATGCTGTATCGTGGAAAGAGGCCTGCATGGTACGATACAACATGGTGTCTTTCAAGATGAATATGATGGGACCTATATATGCCCTGCCAGTCGTTCAAAGAGGGTTATTCAAAGGATAACCAGGCCAATTCTATCCGAAGTCATTGGGTAGGGAATTACCAAAAGAAGACTAGCGTCCGTTCCGGTTTCCCGTGACTATTCGCTTTCTCTTCACTTCCCTCAACCCCTCTTACTAAGTCCATAATCGTTTCCGAGGCCATTTGGCTTGACTTAAGCTCTGGACTCATTCTTGAAATCACCTCACCTTATCTCCAAATACCACGCTCAAATCTCGATCTTTCAAGGTGCTGAGTAATAGCACTTCTTTGTGGGTAGGTCGATATTCGTGTCCCCGGGATTGTGGACAGCAGAACGCTGGCTGGGATTGGGTTCGACTTTCATGTACATGTTGACCCCTGTGGCTGTCTGCTTCTTGGGAGAGTGCTGTCGATGGATAAAAGCTCATGGTTGTGAAATACAGATATTGAAGACACTACCTCCCAATTCGACTCTCAAAGCGACCCCCCGACTTTTGGATTGTTGGCTCCTTCGGGACAGAACCGGTGGCGGGGATTAAACCGGGCTGAACGAACGGGCTGAACGAACGGGCTGTGATACTGTGTCGATAGCATCGTCGGTGATTGATGGCGAGATTGGAGAGCGTTCATGATGACAGCTACATTGAGTATGTCTGCTCAGGGACACCTGGTCTTGATCTGGAAAGCCCTTCGGGATTGAGATCTACTAGTTACTCAGTTACTGACGAGTGCCATGTAGACGGGGCATTCAACTCGGCCCCTGATACACCGTCGACCATCTATCCTGATCGTCTGATTCGGCCTCTACCTAGACGGACCCTCCGTTCTCGCCTATCGTCCGATGCCGCCGACACTATCTTTTATCCTCCCACGCCCCCGGCGTCTCAGATCTTTTATGGTGTCTCTGCGGAATCCGAAGAAGCGATGAATGAGTCCAAGGTCTATGTGCAGCAGACCGTGGAGACCGACTTGTCAGCAGAGGTTGACGCCCATAATTTTGAGGCAGCAGTAGAGCTGGAGAGCGGTGATGAAGATGGCCCGGTAGCGGTTCGGAGAAATGGTGGACTCCGGCGGTCTTCACTATCGCCTTCTGCGTCCAGCAACTCTCACTCTCACTCTCACTCTTTTCCACATGACACACCCCAAACAAAATCTTCAACTGGTGACGGATACGACGCGTTCGAGAATACGAATAACAAGAAAAAGCGAAAAATACCTACACCTGGCAATCTAGGTGGCCATCACTCTGCTTTGTCCCCGGAGTTCGCCAGTATGGGATTGAGAAACTCGACCCCCGCACCGGCACCTGCCCCAAGTGAACCCCCCGGCACATACTATGGAACTGGCAGTCCTGCATCGCCCGTACAGAGTGGCATCTCAGGCTCTGGGAGAGGTCGGTTGGGACGTCCTACTGTTCGTAGCAGTAGCAGGAACCCGTTGTCGCCCAATGCTCAGAACGGTTGGATGATGGCCCGGACCCCACCTCGACGAGATGGGTTTATGTCCTCCCCTGGCCCTTCCGGTATTCACTTCCCCACTTTCCGTTCTTGTTTACATTTGTTTTGTTTTTCTTACTGACTTCTCTCAGTTGAATCTGCATCTGATCAGGGAATTATCTCCACGGCAATCGCAAATGCAACTCTCTCCTCCCCACCTCGTGGTCCCAGCAACGTTAGCCTGCTTGACAAAGAAAATATCACTCCCACCAAGACGCAATTTACCTTCACGTGTGAATCCGACTCATCGAAGGGTATGGCGATGCAACGAAACCACTCGATCCCTTATCGTTCCCCCACTTCACCCCTCGGCTCGGCAAGCCAGAAACCGCGGGGTTTCTCCACACAAGGCACGCAGACTAGCCCTAGCATGGCTGCCTCGATGAATCAGCAAGGTGCACCCAGTATGCAGCCGCCTGCTCCAGGTGGCGAGCAAACCCCAGCGGTCCCTAAGAAAAAACGTTCTCCGGGTAGTATCTACGCAATGTCTGCCCGTCAACGTAAGATACAGCAGCAATACACCAACACACTACATCCCCCGAGCCCGGAAGACATTTGGATCTGTGAATTTTGTGAATATGAGAGCATCTTTGGACGCCCACCGGAAGCTCTGATCCGACAATACGAGATGAAAGACCGGAAAGAACGCAAGAGGCTGGCGGAGAAGAAGCGCCTTTTGGAGAAGGCAAAGATGAAGGGTCGCAAGACTAAGAAGGCCACCAAGAACGCTTCGAAGAATGCTTCACAGCAGCCTTACCAGCAGGGATACGACCGTGCTTCGGTGGACCACTCTTCTGGTGGTGGTTCAGGGCTTCCCGATGATGATTACCAAGGACACGAGTACGATGATGAACATTCGCCAATTCCGCCTTCTGCTCCTGCATCCCCCACCGACCTCAAACCTCCGCTACCTTCTGGAAATCATCCTAAGATTGCGGCGTCTGCTCCAGGAATCAAAGGTGCTGCCGATTCCGGGGCCAGTCGACCCGCATAAGCTGCCTACCGCGTTCCCCATAGGTGTCTTTGGCGTCTCATTGCATTTGTTTTCTCGGGGTTGACTTGGTACTTGGTTGTCTTTGATCGGTGTTAGCAGGTTTTGCATGGAAGGAAATCCCTACTCAACAGCATGTTGGAATGGCGACCAAATTCATTGGACAGAGGTTCTGGTTGGGTCATCTTTGTAATTGTAATGTCCATAAGCGATGTGCATGTTCTAAAAATGTTCTGAATCCGATGTGAAATGAGTCAAATCCGTTCTTCCAAGTATGGGAGTAGTAGACTATAGACCGAGGCTGGACTGGACATCTTCATTAAGCTATGCTACTGTGTACTAAAATTGGAGTCCTGCGATTTGATTGGATCTCGAGCAAGCGCCGCATACCCCCAAGTCAACCTCAAACTCGGGTTGGCGCGCGCGAACTGGAGCTCCTTAGTACCCCACCAATATCGTCAGTTCTGCAGTTCTGCAGAAATTGGCTTAATGCTTGTCTAGGGAGACTTGGCATTCTATTTCGGTCTCCCGAGATGTTTCATCCTCGCATCTCCCTTCGACTGTCTTTGGATCTAACGAACACAGCGGAGACCAGGGCGAACCGCGCAGGATAAAAAGAAGCTACGTTTGTTTCATCTTGGGCAGATGCCAGAAAATAGCAACATTGGTCTTTGTTGAGCCAGTCCTGACGAAGATGCCTGAGAATAGGACTTGTTCTATAAAGAAGAGCCGGGGCATGTCACAATGTGTCCCTGGAACCAGACTCGTTCTTTCTTTCTGTCCATTCTTTCATTCTTGCCTTATTAGGCTGCTATTCTTATTCAATTCTTCTTTCAATACGTCAGACAACCTTCCTTTCTTACTTCTACACAGTATAACTATACGATCTCGAACTTACGCTTCATATTCCTCTTCTTTCGGCACTGGTCTGCCATATTCAACCTTCGAACCACTCATCTCATACTCTCATACTCTCATTCCATTCTCTGAACATAATACATACCTGCGCTGTGCGCAACACTTGGAATCAAAGCATCCATCAATCCAACCAAAAAACCACAGAACAAAATGTCCTTCGTCGCCATCAAACTCCTCAAACTGGGCTACAACCAAGCGAAGAAGCACAAAGCCAAAAAAGAAGCCCAAAAGTACCAAGATGCCCCCTACAATCCCACCTACCCCCAAGAACAACACCCAATGACCAGCTACCCAACCGGCGCCGCCCCAGGCACAACCATCCACTTCAACGAACCCAAACCCGCCTCGAAACCCGCCTTCATGGCCCTCTCCGCCCTCCGCTTCCTCCAATTCGTCTTCGGCCTAACTGTCATAGGCCTCTACGGCCGCGACGTCCACCACGACCACGCGCACGCCGACACCTGGCATGCGAAATGGGTCTACGCTCTCATCGTGGCGTTCCTGGCTACTGTCACTGCGGCTGTGCATCTTATTGTACCATTTGTTATGCGCAAGGCAAAGGCGAATGCTGCTACAGGACCGGGTCTGCTGCTGCCGCAGTTCGTGTGGGAGACTGTTGTTACGGTGCTTTGGCTGGTGCTTTTTGGCATCTTTGGGAAGATGTATATTGGTGTCCATGGTGGCAAGGGGTCGGAGGGGCTTGGGGATGGGGAGAAGATTACGCGTATGAGACATGCGGTTTGGGTTGATGTTATTAATCTGGCGTTTTGGGTTGTTAGTGGTGCTTGGGTTCTGGTTAGGTGGTTGAAGAGTCGGAGGGTTGGGGGTGAGGTTGATGCTGAGAAGGCTGAGAAGATTTGATGTGGGTTTGAGGGCTTGCTTTGATGGTGAGCTTGCTATGCCTTGATGGTATGGCTACCTAGATGGTACATGCATTGTTTCGTTCTTTTCTATTCGACACTTGGGCTCTGGAGTCCGGGTGTCTAGGACTTTGCCCGGTTTCATGGCGTTCTGTTAGTGCATTACAATCAAAGCTCTACGATTTCCTTTCCAGAGGAATCTAGTATTCTTGATTTGACTGTTTGAATAGCTCATTTCATGTTGATTGATTTTTGTAGTCTTGTTGCTACATAATTGATATCTGTACTCAGTCGCTGTCAAAATCCTAAGATAGAGAACAGCGAATAACCCGAATCGGGTGTTGGGGATATGATCATAGATCATCACCCACTGAGCGACACATTGTTATTTTCGGTAAGCCGATGGGATTTTGGTGTTTTTATCATGATGACATACATGCCCGAGGCACGGTAGCATAGTAATGTACAGTGTGTGATGAGCTGGAGAAGTGGAGGGGAGAATATTCATCTCATCCCAGTAGGGATCCACCTTTGATAACCCAGCAGTCAACAATCACAGTTTCTGATCCTGGATCGCAGACGACAGCAACGAATCCCTTCTGGCAGTACGAACAGGCTGCTTAGCAGTCGACAGAGTCTGAGTCCCATCAGGAGTCTCCCGCTGCACGATATTCTCAAACGGCTGGGTAATCGGCAAGGTCGCATCAATCGCATCGATATCGGTCCAATCATCCTCAACCTCAGTAGTCCGGAACCTCGGTCCACCAGGAACATCGACATGACTCTGCAACACACCAAACGAAGGCTTGACCTTGCTTATCTGCTCAGGACTTAACATCTTATGTCGAAGAGACGACGCCCGCGGAAACGGCTCCACCTTCTTCGCATCCTTGACATCCTCCGCGACAGCCGGCTCGTTGATAAATTCATCGAAGAGCGGGACGGAAGGTCTGCCGGGCTGCTTAGGCTCAGGAGCGAGCTCGCGTCCCAGGTCACGCACGACCTGGTCATCTTCATCGCGGAAACTGAGATGCTGTAGCAAACCCAGTTCGACGTAACTGTCTTCGTTAACGGTTTCGAACCTCTCGGTTTGGGTGGTTGGCTCGGAGCGTCGACGGGATGCGGTTGTGGCTTTTGGGATAGTAGTTTGGGACGACTTGCGTCGGTTGAATACGGGACGGCGGCGTGCACCACGGCCGTTGCGCGTGGGGGTTTTCTTTGGGTTCTGGCGGGTTGAGACGCCTGGGATAGAGATCGGCGCGGACATGGGAATCGGTGGTGTCTTGGAACCTTGGCGGCTTGCGTTGTCTGGGATGGTGGTCGGCTGGGCCATGAGACTCGGTGCTGTCTTCTCGCCCTGGTGGCTTGCGTCGTCTGGCATGGAGGTTGGCTCAGCCATGAGCCCCGATGGTGCGTTCCCGCCCTGGCGGCTTGCGTTGTCTGGCATGGAGGTTGGCTCCGCCATGAGCCCCGATGGTGCGTTCTCGCCCTGGTGGCTTGCGTTGTCTGACATGAAGGTTGGCTCCGCCATGAGCCCCGATGGTGCGTTCCCGCCCTGGCGGCTTGCGTTGTCTGGCATGGAGGTTGGCTCCGCCATGAGCCCCGATGGTGCGTTCTCGTCCTGGTGGCTTGCGTTGTCTGGCATGGAGGTTGGCTCCGCCATGAGCCCCGATGGTGCGTTCTCGCCCTGGTGGCTTGCGTTGTCTGACATGAAGGTTGACTTGGCCGTGAGACCGGGAGACTTGGGGCTCAGGTAGCCTGCGGTAGTCGGGAATTTGTCGGAGGGAGAAGACATGATTGGGGTTGGCGAGTTTGTGGGGTCAAGTGTTATTTTGGCCCCGATGGACGTGTCGACGAGGAGACGTGTTGTTCTATGTGGGACAATGGGGAAAGAGTTTATGTTTACGTTCGCTTTGTCGTCCGTTGTGGACGTCGCCGGCGGCAACCTCACATCGACGGTCACAGTTTCAGTCGACGGCGCCGGCGCTTTTATGCGCAGGATGAGACGGTCAAGAGTATGCGTGTTCAAGCGATACAAGAGTTCTTGGGCACCCCAGATCCGCCAGAAAAGATGCTCTAGGCGACGTTCAGTCTCGTCTTTGCTGGCCAGATATGAGGTTGAGTAGGCTGTTCGTGGCTGTTAGTTGATCATCCCGCAGCCAACGCCAGAGCGGGTTGATCCTACCTTGCCAAAGATTCTTGTAATCTCCAATACTTAGTGTCTCCTGTCGCAATTCATCCCCGCAAGCCATTTTGGTCATGGTGACTAGACCATGAGACAGCTTTGGTTCCATCTTTGATTTTGGGCGAGCGCCGAGCTTAGTCGGGATGACTCTGGGTGTTCAAGTTGGGCACGAAACCAGAGACGAGCGGCGACCTGAGAAAAGAGAATCACGGAGGGGTGCACTCAATCAATGTTGCTGAATGCCGCATGGACAGTACTGGTGTCAATCCCCAGCTCGCATTCATCCTTTGTTTCTTTGTACACAAATGAGAACACTTTGGGCGAGGCAAAAAATTGATCAAAAGAGAGAACCTCGACTCTTCAGATCAGCGGATCTTCCTTGGCTTGGGTGTTTATTTTCGATATAACGCCGTACTACTCGAGTGGCGAGTCGAAACTGTCAAACTGCAAGGAATCAAGAGACTGTAGAGGTGAAGCTAAAGTATCACATCAGTTGAAGCCTTCAATCATCCTGAATTGGTTTATGTGCACAAGGGAGGAATATGGTCTCGTCTACTCCACACTCCAGAAGAAGGGAAAATGTCAAGCAAGAATTGAGACAGTACCTGAGACAATGAAAATGAGCAATGTACCCCAGGGTCCCCTTGCCTGCATCCAGGTGGGGAGAATCCCCCTTAGTTTCTAGATTGGAGATTGGACTGAAAAAGATCGAGCCCTAATTTTCCCTCCGAAACCTCATGCAAGATGAGATCAAAGTGATCTTAAGCTTGATTAAAGTCCTGTCATCTCCGGATCACGGGACGGGCCGGGAATGGGCTCGTGAGGTTGGGGTATTGGAGACGTTGAGACTTGAGTCGCAATTTCGAAATCTGGAGAACTGTTGGAAGATCACCGCTATTTCGATGTGATATAGAAAATGCCTAATGTATGTATTGCGGATAAAAGGAAGACAGGTCGGAAAAAGCATCCCCATCAATGCGTCATTAACATTCCATATTGCGCGTCCTTTGCAGGGGAGTCATAGAGAACAGCCCTATCGGCGACCGAGTTGCCCAATGTGGCACAGTCTTAGGAAATTCGTAGAAAATCAAGGAGTTGTGCCGATGTGACATTCAAACCCCAGTTACCCCTTGTTTTCGGTGTATCCAATAATTTTCAATAAAGAGGAAGCATGCATACCTATCCCAGCGGTATGCGGAGAAAAGCTGGGGGAGCGGATGATTGGCCCGCGGGCGATTTCTCCAGGTTCTCCACTGTTTCTCTGCAAATCCGCAAACGATCTAGAAGGCTTTAGGTCGTGGATTTCTGCATTTAGATCTTAGCTTGGAATACGTTAACGTTATGTGCCTCGTTATCATTAATAGATACTGTTCGCGTGAGTTGGGGCTAGTTTAACTAGGTTCTATTTAGGCAATGGATCGGGTAACCTGCTTTGGACGATCCGTCACATCTTATGGAAATACGGCACAGATGATAGATCAATAGAGAAAGCACTGTAGGTATTGTGACAATGGCAATATCTGCTGAAATAACAGAGTCCGATTCGACGAGATAGCTAAGCTGGGGAGAGAAGAGAATAGAAAAACAAGAAGAGACGCGAGACAAAAGAATAAATACATCTCTGTCTCCAGTCGAACTCCTGATCCCTGACTCCTGCCAAATTATCAATCGTCTGGACGCCACAGACGCCATCCTATACGCTCAAACTGTGATGAAAGAGCATTTCGACAAGGCCCACAAGCCACTAGACATGAAAGTCGGTGATTTGGCCTACGTGCGGCTGCATAAAGGCTATAACGTACCCAGCAAGCTCCATCACAAATTCGGTGCGCAGAGAACAGGGCCTTTCAAGGTGACGGCCATTCACAGGAATGCATACGAGCTCGCTTTACCCCCAAGCTGGGCAATTCACCCAGTGATTTCTAGCGAGCACCTAGAACCACATCTAGCCGGTGAAGACGGATATGATCGCCAATTGCAAGTGGAATTGCGACAACCAACCGACAGCGCCGACGGAGACTGGCACATGATGAGCCACATCGTGGACGCCAAAGTCCGAGGCAAGGGAAAACGCGAAACATTTGAGCTGAACCCAACTTGGTTAGGCAGGTCATGTGAGCATTACCCAGCGAATCATGTTTCGTCTGAGCATGCTGAGGTAAAACTATCTGTAATCTGGGAATTGATACATCCACAACAAAAAAATTGATACTGCCACAACACTATTAGGTCAGCACCCGTTGGCCAATAAGCATCCAGCACCGGGCAATTCCAAACAGCTACTACCTAACTACCCAGTACAGTACTATATGCCAACAAATTCATGCAGTACTACTATACAACAATAGATTTCCCCACCAGTGACCAAACTAAGGCCTTAGGGCATAGGGCATGTCCTGATAGTATGCCCTATTTCACCACAATTAGACCATTTTGGAGGCGCCTTTTGCTTCCTTCCACCGCTCCTCGCTGCCGCTGCCGCTACTATTACCAGTGGCCGCTGTAGCCACCCGGGGGGAGCGCCGAGGTTCAGGAATTCGAGGGTCTAATAACGGTAAAACAGCTGTATTATCGGCCGAATCAGCGATTCTCCAAAAGGGGTGGATATCCGATAGTGGAATTGACTGGCGATTCGCCATCAACGCTGCTATACGATGCTTGCATGGAAGGCCCATTGACCCAGTCCAGGCAGCTGCTCCCGGGTGTTGAAGGTCCCTTCAGGTGGCGGAAGCATCGTAGGTGTTGCTGTAGTGGCCTCCGCTGCTGCAGTGGCAGTGGGTATCGCAGTAGCTGACGCACTGGCAGGAGCACTGGCCGAAGCAGTGGGCATGGTAAAAAGGAAGGCTAGTAGGAGCTTGAGAAAGAAAAAATACAATGAATTTGATGCTTATCTAGATAATAGCAAGAGGTTGCTAACTTGCTATAGTAGCTGTTTGGAATTGCCCGGTGCTGGATGCTTATTGGCCAACGGGTGCTGACCTAATAATGTTGTGGCAGTATCAATTTTTTTGTTGTGGATGTATCAATTCCCTGTAATCTGTGTTCTATCGTACATGTGATGTCTCAGGCACCCAGGCATCCGACTTCTGGCGAGTAATGTGTCTTCTTGCGTCGTTCAACCTTAATTCGGTGTGCTTGCTTTGCGGCGTTGCGCAAATGGCCTTTGTACTTTGTGGCGCCAGGAAGCTGTTTGTGCTCAATGCGATCATCCCAGGCGCTGAGAACTGTAGGCCATCGCCCGCGGTCGCTTCATATCCTTGCGTCCGGCCTTCTCAATATCTAGCTGAGGCTTGATAGAAGTGCACATGCTGCCCAAATATTCTTGGTGGAGGAAGTAGATGAGTTCATGAGAACATGAGCGGCTTGTTCAAGCGGTCATCCATCTTGGAAGGAATACTGTCCGTTGGTGGAGGATTCTTGAAATCCAGAAGATCCTTGGTGTGCCAATTCCTACCGATCCAGGCTCTTAGGCACAATTTGAGCGGCCATCACAGATTTCTTGTCGAGAAAGCCGCCAATAACATGACACCAGGCTCCATCCTAGGCTCCTAGCTATCAACAGTAGAATAGTACCTGTCGACATCTTTCTCAAACTCAGATTGAAGTCTGGCTCTCTGTTTCCCTTCAGCTGAGTATGCAAGGTAGTATAGGTCGACCGTTGTGCAGGAGGCTTTGGAAAGCTCTGGGCAATGATCATTTTGTACACCCTTGTTGTTAACCGATGAAGAAATTGTTAAATCGATGGATCACCACAGACGGGTAAGGTTGGTGGATGGAATTCAGCTGACAAGAGAAGGGGATGGCAGCCATGTAGGACCCATATTGGCACACCCATATTCGCACCATCCTACCCCTAGGGCGCGACCATCCAACGGACCCTTTTCGAGCGGCCAGCATTAATCTTCTCCATTGCATGTCTGTGCCACCTTCCCGTATATCGGCGAGGCCGGGGCTTTCACGATGATGAAAAGATGTCGTTTAGAGACATTGAGTGGTGGCGTAGATCAGCTAAGCTCTAAATGGGAGCACCAGATCACTCTGGTGGAGTGGCTAGGCTCAGGCCTCGCCACTCCCACATTTCAGTGCCTCGGACAGAAAGAAATGGTAGAAGAAGGGACGACGACATAGGAGGCTCATTTGACAGAATCGGTTGGCGTGCTTGCTTTCATCGACCTGCTTCACTCGGGGCCATTTTGAGCTAGATGCCAATGGGAGCGACCACACTTGCGAGAGAAAGTGAGATAAAGTGAGAGAAACACGCTTCTGATGATAGCGGAAGATTTGAATTATAGGACATGACGGATGCGGCAAAATAGGCAGTCCATGGCAAAAGTCGATGACCGCAGAGTGTCTCAAGACGACGAGATGAGAAAACTCTTGGAATCCGTAGTCCTCGTCATGGCATGTCTGGCATGTCTCTTAACCATTTTCCGGGTTGTGGAATGTTTTTGGATCGAAGGACGGAAGAAGACAGACAGACGGCGGAAGATGTGGGTGACCGTGAGATGGTATGAGAGTCCTAGTCCCCGCCATGGCATGTTTCTGTGCCCCCTTCTCGGGTCACCATTCTGGATTTCCGAAACCGACATTCATTTTCTGATAGACTGACGGCATGGATCCATAGCTCGAGCCTAATCACACGCTCATCAGCATTGCCATCAAGGAGATCCGCTATCATACTGATGATGCGCGTTATAGTTGTGTTGAAGGTACAGAGGGAGATGCTCCGGGACGATGGTGAAAGATGTCGATCAGACAAAGTGAGGAGGGTTGAGTATGAAGTAGTAAGAGGAAGAAGAAGATGATTGAAAGAAAGAATTTATTGTGGGAGAAAAGAGGGAAGAGAGAAGAACCTGGAATCAGCTATTTATGGTTGGAGGCAAACAACTAAAACCGCAGCACACAAATGCAAACAAAATTGGTGCACATCATCCATATGATCAACCTTGGAACCGTGGTACGGTCAGTGATTAGTACATGTACTGTAGAGATATCCATACCTAGTTCCATTCGGCTTATCCACATATACGCGACTACTTCACATGAGCACAGGTAGGTACCGGCAACGTTGATTCATGTATTTCCAGGCATTCCGGTGTATAGACTTGCTTGAAAAGAGCCACATTGCCCAGCATTGCCAGCAAGTTGCGCCTGTTAGCCTATATGTAATTCTTGAATGATCCGCGATCTGGGTGTAGCGGAGCCTAGTACACCTATACCCATCTTTATTCCAATCGACATATCCGCGGTACCGGTAGCGATGCCTGCTACTTTAGTCGGATGCTTTGTATGGCGTTGCCTATAGCCGGAGTAAGAAAGGTACCATGTCGTTATTATTGAGGCTGATTGTTGGCTGCGTTATTTGTCGTCCACTCCTGCCCGAATTGAGAACCTCACTATCACCAGCCGCACACCAGCCGCACACCAGCCGCTCAGCGCAGCCGCAATGGTCAGGGTTTAAACAGAAGTCCCCTCGCGCATCTCAATAAACATTACCATCCATTTTCCCACACAGCACGCATCTCCTCCCATCCATTATGACGTCCGCATCACCAAACCCAATTCGTGCATCATCCATCAACCTCATTGATCCCATCTCCAAATCCAGCATGTCGATGCTGAGCCTCAAAGCCCGTCTCTTCGATCAAGTGCGTGGTTTTCATCGACCATTGTAACGACGTCGCCCTCTTCGTCATGGGCAATGCAGTCTTGACTGCGTCCCAGCTCGCCATCTTCATCGTGGAGCTCCGGGCCCATGTCACGGTCATCTGGCTCGTCGGGCAATGTGTTCCTCCGTGACTGCTACCCCGGCGATCTCACACTCTTCCCAGCAGGGGTCATGACCAACGTGCTCCGTCGCCTAGTACGACTGCCCATGACCCAGTTCGACTAGAGATGCTTCTACACCAAGCGCGACGTGCGCTGGCTCCAATACCAATATCTCCAGTCCATGTCTCGCTTAGTATAGAAGCATCCCTAGGCGAACTCGGTCACGGGGGGTTATCCTTGGTGAGGGAGCACGTCGGTCATGAGCCCGGCTGGGAAGTACGTGAGGTCGCTGAAGCAGCAGACGTGGAGTAACCCATTGCCGGCGAACCAGATGACGGCCACATGGATCTGGGGGTCCCTGATGAAGCCGGCGAGCTGGGAGACAGTCAAGTCTGCGTTGCCCATGATGAAGAGGGCAACGTCGGTGCAATGATCTATGAAAGCCCAACTCATAGTCTAAGAGACTGGCTTTGAGCTCAGTATCAACACGGTGGATTCGGAGATGGCATCAATGGGGTTGATGTATGATGCACGACTTGAGTTTGGTGATGCGGACATCGGGATGGATGGGAGGAGATGCGTGCCGTGTGGGAAAATGGATGTAACAATGCGGGCTCTCGTGCAATTTATGCTTAAAGTTGCAGCTGGAATTGGCAGCATGGTCAAAGTTCCCGTGAAGCATCATCGACTTGAGATGCCACGGTGAAAATGAAATGACTTCAAGTGCACGGTGCACCCCTTCCTGGGACTATGCAATATCACGTGCGTTGTCAGGAAAGGCTCGAATCAGGACCTTCAAGCGTGGCTTGACCAGGCTTGAAATATCTCTTTGCGCATTCAGAATATCCGGCTAGCTGCAGATATCATATGCTGACCGGGTTTGCATAGGGCCGCATAGCGTTTGGACTAAGGCACGTTGCCTGCGAGCATTGACTAGAAGGCATAATGCCATAAAGCACTTGGTCAGTACAATGTTTGTTAAGCGGCATTCAAAAAGATCATGCACTCGCAAAGCTGTGAGGCAGCAAGGCAGCGAGCCTGTGAGATGGAGTGCAGTAGGTAGGGCTTGAATGACCGGGCTGGACTTACGTTGATCCGAAGTACCTCACGAAAGCATAAGGAAGTCTAACGGCATCGCATCCAGTTTCATAAGTGGGACTTTCACACGGACAGGGCCTGGACCTTGCAGTGTCAAAGAATCAAAAGTGCGAAGAGTTGAAGATGAGAAGAGGTGCAGGTGGGAAGTTCAAATGGATTGTCTCAGCAGCAGCTATTTGAGTCAACATACTGCCCAGAGCGGTTGGCGGACCGGAATTACCTTAGTCCGGGGGTACATACTCCCCCGGTCATTGGACTCGGGCCAAAGGCGTCCCGGATCAAAATTATCCCGTCCCAGTATCTACCAACTCCAATGAGAGGGCGGTGGACATCACTGAGGAAGCTCTGACCTGGTTGCGACTTGCGATGATACCCATGGGCCATGGGCCATCCCTACTGCACACATGTCACATCTGCCCAGGGCTTCCCGCCTTGGCCCTTGCAGTGCAGCAGTTTCTGAAAAAGCCTGAGCTCACTGCTTGTCGTCAATGATGGATTCCTATTTTCTGTACTGTGTATTGCTTCGCTAACGCTCAGCAATGAACCGTTTCTTCAGTATGATTCCCTTCAGTTTTGAATAGGTCTCATGACGTCCGGGCGTCCGCTGGAGTCTGGACGATGACCCCTGCTAGTGCTACATACTGTCTCCTGTGCTGCAGTCCTCCCACCGTCCTGTCTGCGACGCCAGACGGTCAGACCGCCATCGCGCTCTTCCCACTTCAATATCAACCACAACCTTTACCATGGACATCGACAGATGGCTACATGGGAATGATGATAGTTACTGGAAGTGCTATTCGTTCACTCCGTTCAATGTAATCGCGAATCACAATACCAGATGGACGGTATCAGTTGTAAAACTGTTCCCCTAGCTCATTCCACATGCCGAATAATATTTCAAAAAGAAAAGCACGAACCATCAGTGAGAGAAGCTCACAAAATAGAGCAACGGCTGATGTGGTAAATAGTTCAACAAGTAGCCAGCATGTCAGTAAGAGCTGCCTTTTCGTCCGCGGTGATGGTGAGCTTATAGACCGACTTGACCCTCACCCACATACTGGCATACGTGCAGTAATACAATTCTGTTTCGAGGTCAGCAATCTATGTACTGACAATGCATGCACGCAGCATGCACGTCATCGCAGACCACCGACGTACTCAGAGGAGGCTTCCAGTCTTCCGGGCCTTTGTCGCCCTTCGACTGATTTACATTGTCGGTGACTGCTAAAAGCTGAGGATTAGTCAAATCATTGGCGAAGGCCTGACGAGCGTCGGTCGTCCATTTGGAAGCGCCGGACTAATGATAATGATTAACACACTGCCACGATCACCAGCATGCCATAACCTACCTTCCATGCATTGGATAATGGAACCACATGATCGATATCGACATCACTTGCAGCTGTCCAGGTCCCGCCATCATACGGGGAAACCCAGGTACCACTGGTAGATGCGCAGGCATCATCCGTCACGACGTTTGTTCCATCTCGTTTGAGGATTGTTTCGCGTGTGTTGCATTTCCTATCACCATACGTTTGTAAATTACCCAGCAGCCGTTATAGTTGGATTGACCGACCCGCTTATGGTAATCCAGTGCGGAAATAGGTCACGATCGTAACCCGTCTGCGATCCTTGTGCAGCAACGGTCAGGCCTGCGAGCTCACTCTTGGCTGCCGAGCCAGATGGAATCCCGGGTGGAGAGGGAGCGGGCAAGGCTGCGCTGAGGAAAGGGTGCAAAGCAAATACCAGTAGCCAGGCGCTGCGAGAGATGCCCATCTTGCTTGGCTTTAACGAAGAGTCACTCAAAAGTACGCTTCAGATGAGTTCTGATTCCAATCCCAGGGGCGGAATGCGTCGAGTAAACAACCCCCCGATCAAAAATGTAAAAATTAACCAAAGCCATGCAACTATTGAAGCCGTGGATTTTATATTCGCCCTTGAGCCGGATAATCCCCATCCCCTCATTGAATCAACACTCATTTACCCCGACCAGATCTCCCGCATGCATTGTAACATCGGTCCCCGAGTCTTGGCCCGGTGCTTGGCGTTGCACGTTGAAGAATGATTGGCGTTCCCTTAGCTAGCATGCAGTGTCACTGATAACAAACACGCCATTGGCCCTGGAATCATGTGCAACAAACCACTTCTGCCGTTGCGGAGTTCCTCAAGTCGAAGAGTTGAAACGGATACGTGGTTGAGACGGGAATGGTGGGCGGGTACGGAGTAGTGGCCGGTGATAAGCAAGTGATCATCGCGAGAATACCCCTTTCCTGGGCTTGCGGGCCGCGATAATCCACGCTACGTTGTACTGCTAAGCTACGGCACGGGAAAGATGAAGGGTTGCAGCAAACAAAAATCGTTCTATTTTCGAAAGAAGTATGTGCACTTTACAGCAGACCTCGGGCAAACTGGCATGGGACGGAAATCTGCACACCAAGCTTTTTCGCCGCGGTGAGCACCCATTCGGGCTCACGTAGGAACTGACGAGCCATCAGCACCGCGTCAGCCTTAGGCTCTTGTCCAGCCAGCATCGCTTCCGTGGCCTGTGCCTCTTCTGCGCCTTGAACGATATCGCGAGCAGACTCAGCCTCGGTAATGAAGCCAACGGCTCCAACTAGAGTATTCTGGTTCGCGGCGTGGATTTCTCGGCGAATCTCGCCAGCAAGGTCGATTTGATAGTTGGTATGAGGTTCGATCCGTTGATTTTGGTGATTTCCACCCGAGCTGACATCCAGGAAGTCCACCCCCAGATCAGGGAGCATCTTCGCGAGTTGGATCGAAGATGGCATATCCCAACTTCCAGTCTGTTCTGCAGCCGTCTGATTCTCGAGCCAATCCGTAGCACTGATGCGCAAGAACAACGGCATTTCCTTTGGAATCACAGCGCGAATTGCAGTAGCAACTTCGCATAGAAGTCGCGTTCGGTTCTCAAAACTGCCACCATATTTGTCGGTTCGTCGATTGGTGACCGGGCTCAAGAACTGGTGGATAAGGTATCCATGAGCACCGTGAATCTCAATCACATCCACTCCAGCCTTTGCTGCTAGATCTGCACTTCGTGCAAAGTCCTGTACCAACTCTTCGACCTCGGCAGTTTTGAGCTCACGAGGGGGCCAGAATTGGTCACCAGGCGCCCAAATTTGCTCCTCACCCCCCGAGGGGCCTACCACATTTGATGGCCATCCACCAACGCTCTCATCTGCTTTGATACCACGTTGCTTTGCTAGATATGCGAGCCAGGGTGATACCGTGCTAGCCTTGCGGCCGGCGTGAGCGAGTTGAATGCCGATTTTGGCGCCTTGACTATGGGCAAAATCGACCACGCGGCGGAGCCCTTTGAATTGTGCGGAGTCTGTGCCCTCCTGCCAAAGGCCGGAATCATTGGGTGAAATCCGTCCGTTGGGCTGGACTGATGTAGCTTCGATGAGGATCAGACCGGCGCCCTTCGCGGCCAAATGTCCGAGGTGTGCGATGTGAAAGTCCGTAAGCGCACCAACCGCAGGTGACTCAGGATCCGACTCGGCGGAGTATGTGCACATTGGCGCCACTATAACCCGATTTTTGAGTGTCACACCTCGGATTTGCAACGGACGAAACAATGTTGGTGTGCTCGGATCTTCTGGGTTCACAGCTGCTCCGGCATTGTTGGCGGGAGTGAAATAAGGAGCATCTCGAGCTCGTTGAATCGACGGAGAACGAAACGAAATAGACCCCATCTTATTCATGAATTTGTCTTCTAGAAGAACAACAATGCCAGTCTTGGAGGGATTTTATCCTTTTATCAGTAAACAATTTGGCTCTCCATCGGCTGACAAATTGGCCGGAAAACCCCCGGATACCCAGGTACTACAATCTGCGTACCCCGGAGATAAAACCCCCGGAGATATCAATTTTAATTGGCCAATAATATTATTTGCGGAAAATACATTTTCCCACGGAGTGCGGCCTGGCCCACCTAGTATTGTCGGCCTCATCTATGATGATCTGCATCCTGATTTGAAAACGGGGTACATCTGAGAATCATCCATGTGATGGCCTAAAAGGATAGTATCGTGTACAACAGTACAAATCATAAACAAAGTATAAACCATGGAAGCATTCTATCCAAACCGACTGTAGCCAGAGTGGCATTCATGAAGAGCGAGCCGCGAGGTCCATGATGGAAGTATACGAGGGTTGCGCGGATATAGACAAATCAATAAGGATCTTCCCATCCGCCGTTTCCACCTTGACATCCTTTGCATGGACTCGGAATCCTGGCATACCGGGGTCGAAAGTAGACAGTAGTTGATGCATTTTCGCCATTCGTTGGAGTGAGGTGCAATCCTTCTCCTTAGGGGATGAGTACAAGCAAAGAATTCTCCAAGCCACCGAGCCGCCAGATATTTGTCCATCCCGACAATGCAAAAATGCCCGCAGCTGCGAGGGCCAGTATGATCCACGACTTCGAGCAGGCGCATCTGCTTGTCGTTACGGAAAGATAAGAATGTATCATCCCACTCGCAGCTCTACTAACCCCCTTTTACACAGTAGTGATTGACGGTTGTCAAATCATTCACAAGGTAGTTGCCGTAGACATCAGATGGGCTTGCTCGTGTGCCTCTGACGCTCATCTTGGATCCTTGGATATTGAAGCTGAGCTGTTGTGTCGTGTACTCGCCTTTGACTATAGTCTATATCCGGTCCCCACGCTTCTTCAATCCAGATACTCAAAATGTGCTGAAAAGCGCCTTAATTCGTACCTGTGTTTTCGTGAGTGGTGTTTTCCATTTCTGGTTTTGGTGTTCTCAGATCCTCGTGTGGCGTTATTGTAGTCGTGCGTTCGTTTTAGTCGTGCGTTGTTTGTTCGTGAACGGTCGTCGTCGTCTATGACATCGCCGGCGAGAGACCCGGTGACTATATAATCTTTCCCTTCACTTGTGGTGTTCTTTCCTTTCCACCCAGCTCCAACTTCTCTCTCTTCCATCACTGCTCCGTTCTCACAACTTGCTTCCTTGTCTCTACCCGCTTTGGCCGTTCTAACGTGTTGTTTCCAGCAACGTCTGACCAGCCAGCTGTTTCTCGATTCCCAGTCTCTTCTTGAGTCTCGTGCACCACCCACGACACCTGGTCTGACTCTCATATTCCCCGGCTGACACATCTCATCCAACTCATCAGCCACTTAGGTGGTAAGTTGAAGCATCCATCCATTCATCACCACCCTGGTGCCTCGTGGCAACTTCTTCTTCATCCATATTCCTCTTCATCCATCTCCAACTTCTCTCTCTTCCACCTCTGCTCTGTTCTCAAAACTTGCTTCCTTGTCTCTTCCCGTTTTGGCAGCTCTAACGTGTTGTTTCTAGCAACATCTGACCAGCCAGCTGTTTCTCGGCTCTCAGTCTCTTCTCGGGTCTCGTGCCTCGCCCTCACCCACGGCAACTGTTCCGACTCTCGTTTTTCCCGACTATCATCCCTAATCCATAATCCAACTCGTCAACCACTTGGTAAGTTGAATCATCCATCCATTCATCACCACCCTGGTGTCTCGTAGCAGCACTCTCTAACTATGACGTTTCTCATAGTGCTTTGCTGCCTGTAAGCACTACATCATGGCTGACAAGGCCAAAGTGACTCGTCTTGGGAGGGAGCGCCCGATAATGAACGAAACAGTCGACTTGGCAGTCGAGTACCTATTGAGTTGCCTGTCCAAGGGCGGCCCTATTTCTAAGAGGGATACACTGAATCATCACATTCGTCGTTTGTTGTGTATGGTAAAACAGGATGACGAGGTTCCGTCGCGGCTTCCGGGATGTCTCTTCGAAGTTCTGATACATTTTACCACCGCTCAGAAGGCAGAAGAGATAAGGAAAATCCAGACACCCGAATCATTCACTGATGCGGAGAAATGGATGATCATGCTTCGAGCCCTCCTCAATGACAATACGGATGATAGACTTCTCCGGCACTTGGAACAGTTGCCCGAGAGAATCATCACTTGTGAGGAGCTGTTATCGCCAAACCTAGGTAAGCACACTGTTCAACCCAATCATCAGAGAGCGACGCTCACCATACGAAACTCGATAGAGGGCCTTGATCACTCCCCTGTAATCTCTACCGCATCCGAACAATCTGGGCGCGAGGTACGTGCTATTATGATATCCGGTGACAGACAACGTATGAAAGAGAAGCGAGAGGCATTCTACATCACCGGCAACGTTGCTTGGACCGTTAAAGCACCTTATTGGCATGCTGCCTTGGCGACTGACTCTCAAGGGAATCGCCTTTTGTCGGATGATGTTCTAGATCGCGCTCTCCCCAAGTGGAGATTAATCCTCAATGGTGACACGCTTCCGATGGCAAGGCACCCGACAATTGTGGAGCCTTTACGTGCGTGGTTGGCTGCCGAACAGCAGAAGGCCAGCAGTCTCGGCAAGCCTTGGCCCCAAGTCGCACCATCTTCCACTGCCATGCTCTCTTCGTCAACTCCAAAGACAGTAGGCTCTGGGAAAGGATCCTCGGCTTTTACTTCCGGCCTTCGCTCCGGTGGTCATGCCCACACGGCTTCTTTTGAAAATGAGGATCTCCCTGAGGATGAGAAAACACGTCTACTTCGCGAGTTACTCGGAGAAGTTAGAGGAATAAGGCAGCTGGCTGAAGATGTTCTTGGGGGAAATAGGGTTCATCCCATGGCACCTAATCCCCAGCTCACGGATGTCGCGATGTCTTCAGAGTGGGTCCATGGACCCGTTTACCACACTTAAGAGCAAGCGCAGCCCAGACTCCCCTTCTACGTGCCGCCATGTCCCACAACAACTGCCCCTACGGAGGGAGACTGGCAGCATTGGCAGCCCCCGCAGGGCAATTAACCTTGTTTCTCTTGTTCGTCATTCCTGAGGTTAAACCTGGACGACAACACGAGGAAACAGAAAACAATAAAAAAAGTTCTAAAACAGAAAAAAAAAAAAAAGAGAACGGAGGCAATGGCATCATCGTTGGATTGTCTGATTTATTCCTTTTTGTTTCGAGTTGCGCGTTCATTTGCAAGGGGATGACAAAACCGAAATGTCAAAACGCCAACTGCTGGATGAGTGCTTCTTGGGCACGTGTCGAGGCACCGCTATTCCAAAGAGTTCTATCCTTTGTTAGAGCCCGGCTCATATCATGAATCAGATGTTGTTTTGAGTATGTAACACACTGCTTTTCGTAGGTAGTCACTTCATAAAGTGATTCACGGAGCACAGGCATTACCAGCAGAATATGACTGGTTCTTTGAGAATTGTACACATCTTTAGGCGCACATCCGTGCCAATAGCCGCTCATATTAGCCTAGTAGGCAAGCACTGGGCACAAGTTATAAAGGTCCTCACCAAGTTTAGCTGTTTCAAGTTTGAAGTCAAGTTTGATAATCGAATCTACGGACATAGAAGCTCTGGGTCTCTTAAAGTCTCTTGCACAGTAGGAACTGGAATTCATCAGTGACATACTGTTGAAGGCATTTCTTTCTCTCTCAAACGATAGCCGAGGCTGAGGCCTTTGTTACTTACATCAATATACCACAGTACTTAAGGGTTCCATGTAGGATAAGCGGTTACCGCTCATAGTAGTGGTGACTACACCGGACAGGCTATGGGCTATAGGAATTGCCATGGACAATACAGCTTTAAAGCACGGAAATTCTCCTATCGTAGGTGCACAAAACAAAATCAAAAACATACAACAGTGAGGATTCGCTGGTGGTCACCCACCCAACTACTAACTCACCGGCGTGTGGCTTAAGTACGGCTGAGCGGACGGGAAGCCCTGTTTTCCACACCCTATGGTCGTATGTACTGGGTGAAGTACCGAGCACCATTATATCCAGCCTAACGAAACATTGAGCGAGCTGAAGTGTAAGGGGTAAGCCGGGAGTACTGTGTACGGTTGAACTTGGCGGCACCAAACCAAGACTTGACTGAAACCAAATTTGAATGCTAAATACTGGTCACATCGTGCATATTCTATAGAAATACCGTGTACTGATATTCAAAGTACGCATTTACATACTGCGGACTGGGTGGGACAGTCTATCCGAATGGTTGCAGGAGGGAAGTTTTCGGCAACCCGATCGCACGGACCCCCGAAAGTCGGGCCCGCCAACTCCAAGCGTCAGCCACTCAGTGACTCAGCCATCCGTCTCCACGTGGCGTGATCTGCACGGCACGGACCGTACACGGACCCGTAACCTTATCTACGACGCGCAGATGTGCAGGCATACAATGAATATTGAAATGAATGTACATTGTCATCAGATTGAACGTGTATGTAAATTAGGATAAGATAAAGAGATGTATAGCTAGTCCTAATAGTAGGAACACGCGTATATAGAGCTTGAACAGAGACCAATATCAGTGCACTCCACAACTCCTGAAAGGTATGGGTTCTTCAGCAAACAAAAGCAGAAAAATAAAATAAATCCAAAGTGCAGGTGGAACAGCAGGGAGGGTTTATAGGGTACCTTGACGGGCAAGTATGACTGACACAATATACATTGCAGTTACTCGGGAAGGAAAGATGCAGAGATTTCTTCGTTCTATTGATGGATACACTATCCTATTAAGGAATTGTGCTATTTGCCATTGACAAACGGAATTGTCGGTTCATTCGTGAACAAAGAAATCTACTTCCAATTGGTCGATCACGGTGATCCTGGATCATCCAATCACACACAGAGACCTCATTGATCCTGTTCTCGTCCAGGACTATAAATGAAATTTTCCTCTTCCTTGAATCTTTCTTCTTCTTCTCCTCTCCATAATTTCTCATTCTTTCGGTTGTATTCCAACGAGTACAACATGACCCTCAACAACAATCAACCCAACCCCAACGAGAACCACCCAAACCCCCACCACAGGTAAGTCACATCAGCTTTCATACCTTGACGCGTCCCTTCACTTGTACTCGATGATCTATCCATCCATGCATCCACACATCCATCCACACATCCATCCACATATCCATCCACATATCCATCCACACATCTATCCAACCAACCAACCATCTGTTCATTCTTCATGACATCTTGCCTGACATCTTCTTAGCACAATGGAGAAAGGAGAAGGACCAAGGCTCCCTGAGGGACCTCAGCGTCGGAACGGTGTGACCCCTTTCCAGAGGGCGCCGCCTGCTTCCACCGCGGCACCTCTGCACACCCCCGCGCCCCCTCACGGACCACAGCGTCGCAACGGGGTCATTCCCTTTCAGATGGCGCCGCCTGCTTCCGCCGCGGCGCCTCTGAACCCCCCCCCCGCGCACCCCAAGGGGCAGAAGCGTCCTGGCACCCCATTTCCGGGTGCCACCCCAAGGAGTGCTGGTTCTGCTGCGCCTGGGAAAACCACCGTGCCCCCGCCTAAGAAGCGACTCGGTGGCCCGTTCCCAGGTGTCACCTTGGGGAATGCCGCCCCTGCTGCGCCTGTGAACACCTCCGAGCCCGCGCCTAAGAAGCGCCTCGGGGGGCTGTTCCCAGGTGTCACTGTGGGGGCCGCCCCGCTGCAAGGTGGTCCTTCTCCCAATCCTACCTCCGACAACGAGGGTCCCCCGCACGGGATCACCCCCCTGGTGGGCCCCGCCACAGCCCAAACCCCCTCTTTCGGATCCTCCACCATCCGAAACCAGCGCCCCAACAGTCCTCGGCGATCTGAGACTGGCCCCTCTGAGGCAGTCTCCAGCAGCAATGTCCCCGCCAACCCCGGCCACCAGTTCCAAGAGCTGCGTGAGATCAGCGAGCTGAGCAACGAGCTCGCTGATGCCGAAGGGACAAGTGCTGGACAAGAGATCCAGATGACTGACTCCACGCCAAAGGAGTCGTCTTCGCAGCCGAGGATGTACGGCGGCTTCATCGTCCCGTAGAGACTGCCCGCCATCACAACCCCGAAGACATCGCAAACCTGTCAGCCCAATTCGATGTCCTCGAGGCTCGCTATGAGGAAGCCAAGAGGGCACTGAAGGAGGCTGCGGGCGACGCAGTTGCGCTCGACGGTTGGCGGGGCAAGTACGAGGGCGACGGTGACGCCTGGGTGGCGCTGACGGACCTCGTGGAAGAAGTCGACGACAACAACCTTTACCAGCGCTACAGAGATGCGCAGGCGCATCTCGACGAACTCCTTGACCAACAAGTCGATTTACTTGGCATGGAGTTCCTGAAGCGCAGGCAGAAGCACGGCCGGCGTGCTATGCCAAGGAAGGTTGCGACTCGATCGGCTCCACGAGGTTCGCGATCAATTAAGCGACTGGAGAACGCCATAGATGTCAGGCCGAAGTGGTCAGCTTTCACCCCAGCGACCGGCCCAACCGCTTCTAGTCCATCCCCCCCAGTCAGCCGCAGGCTGGGCAGGACAACGGTGAGGGCCCGAGCTCAGGTGAGAGCGAGGCTAGCAAGACGGCGTCCAACGGTGAGCTGAACCCGCCGACCAATGACTCCAACGGTGCCATGATCCCCGCGCCCGTTACTGCCAGTGCGTCGTCAGATGCAACTCCGCTGGCGAGTGGAGAGTCATTGGAGGCTGGCTCACTCTTGGACGCCTTCGAGGCCATCTGCGGCGCCCTTCAGTCGCTGGAAATCACCCCGTCAGTTCCTTCGCCCGTGGAGGAACATGACGCAATGGCGAATCCCGCCGAGGGCCAGATCGCCGAGTCGTGTCAACCCCAGGATGGGTCACAGTCCGGGGAAGATTTGGCTCAGCATGACGGCTACATGGAATGGCTGGGGCCCGAGGAGTACCTCTCGATTCCACAGGGAGCAATGAGTGCGCCAGCTGTCCAACAGCCGTCTCAGGCTCCTGTGGAGATCGAGTACTACCTTCCCAGCCATTCGAAAGCAGAAAAGCGCATGGGACCCGTGGCGCCATGGACAGAGCGCAAGAAGCAGATCACCAGAGCCACGGTCGTCAAGGCCGGCTCTGGCCTGCTTGCTCGGATTGACAACATCCAGCCAAGCGCACCCACCGGGTGCGTCGGGCAAGTCGCAGAAGACACGGTGCGCAAGACCGAGTCTGAGTTGCTTGCCCGGGATGAGTCAATCCCAGCCCAGCCTGTCCAGGCAGTCCACGCGCCTGTCCCAGCGCCCCCAGTGTCGCAAGTGCACACCCCGAGCGTCGAGACCGAGGAGGCGCCTACTCTGGAAGTTGGGAGCCAATCCGCTGTTCCGCAGCCAGCTCCCATCGTCCCAGAGCCCTCCGCGCAGGTCCCGCTCGAGGCAGCTATGAGCGAGCCAGCTGTTCCACAGCCAGCTCTAGCAAAGAAAGTGCGCTTCGCGGCTCTTCCGACGGAAGTGCCTACCTAGGCAACCGTGAGCGAGCCCGCTGGGTCTCAGTGGCTTCAGACTGTTTTGGCCGCCAAAGCGAAGGTCGCCACCGACGGAGTTGTGAGTGAGCTTGCTGCCTCGCAGCAAGCCCCCACTGCCTCGGAGCCTTCGAGCCGAACAGTCACGAGCGCTGTGGCCCAGCCGACTCCGGTTGTTCCGGATGGCACGGAGAAGGTCGCCGTCCAGGCAGTCGTCAGTGAGCCTGCTCTCTCCCAGCAGGCTCCTGCTGCCCTGAAGCCTTCTCCGTCGGGAGAAGATGACTCTGCTTGGTCTGACTCTGACGACGACGAATGGTGGCCTGCTCTTCAATGGCAGGCCACTTCGGAGTCAGACCTGGCTGACGAAGAATGGTGGCCTGCCCTTGAACGGCAGGCCCCTTAGGAGTCAGACTGGGATTCGCCAACGCCGACAATGCCCGGATCCTACCCTCTTGATACGCTCGATGAGGTTGTGGAGGCTCCAGCTGCTACGGAGCTGGCCCCCACCCGATCAAAGCCGACGTCGTCAATCTCCACTGGGGAAGGCCCGATCAAGCCGCCTGCTTCTAGGCCGGCTCGGGAGGAACCAGACTGGAGTTGGCTGATTGTCGACCGGCCAACACACGGGAGCTTGCGAACTGGTACTCGTTCGCACCTCGATGTGCTGTTGGCCCAGCGTGAGGAGCGTAGACGGGCAGAGTCGGCGCTCATATCCTCTCTTGGGGGGCTGCAGGTCACAGCAGCCTCTTGAGTCTCCACCTCCCTCCCTTGAGGGGCTGCAGGTCACAGCAGCCTCTTGAGTCTCCATCTCCCCTTCCCAGGTAGCCAGTCCCCAAGACGCTGCGGCAACAGGGACAGCCCGTGCGGGGGTTAAGGGCACCGGAAGGGGCGAGGACGCCGATAGCCCGGCAATGGTCGGCCATAAACAGGCTGCAGGAGAGCGGCGGGACAAATCGGGCGGCAGAGAGACGGCTTCTGGTCATCAAAGCCAGGAGTCCAGTCCCCCGCCCGACCCGTCGCCACTGCTACGTCTGAGGCTGACATGCAGGAGGGATCGGCTGTGCTGCAGGGCCCGTGGGCAGGAGCACTCTTCGAGGTCAATGGGACAAAACCCCTGGATCCTTTCTGTAGATAGTCACGAATTGTATAATTCTTTCGTCTATTCATTTTGTCCATTCATATGCGAGATTTCACAGCTCGATTTCGCTGTGGTATCCTGTCTTTCACGACCCCAGCTTTAGACTGTCCTAATTCCTAAAGGCTCCATGATCGGTACCTATGGGCGTAGTGTAAGCTCTCATTACTGTAGCCTGATGTAACATACACAGACCTACTAGATTGTAAACCATACTCCGATTCAAATTTTACCTGTCAGGACAGGTGTAGCTTGGTAAGAAACATTGATATCAACAAAAATTTTCTGTCCAGTTGACAGGATCCACTTGTGGGGCCAAGTCCCGGGTGCGTGTTTAGCGAGGTTCCCGTCAACTGGCGAGACTCCAGTACCTCCAGCCAACTGGCAAGTCTATTCCCGGTCCTAGCTACGAATTACCCCCATAATCCCACAGCGACAGCATATATGTACAGCTAGCTAAATCGAGTTGATGAGAACATCATCATCATCTCACAGCAACACGTGCTACGTCTTCCCTGGTGTTTAATTCTATCCATGGCAAAGGGCATCGATTTTTCAAAGGTCGGTTCACAAACTGCTTAATCTCACCGACCTCGAACTCAGCAGTAGCTAGGTAGTGCAATCAATAGCGATAAAGACATTACTATTTGTTAACAAGGATATCTAGTAGGCTAGTAGCTTGGATCAAGCTGCAGACCTCCACTCCTCCAGGTTGATGTGAGCCTTAAACATCCACGCCAGGTAGGGGGAGTAGGGTACAACGCATTTATTACCAATGTTATGGTCAGGCTTAGAGGCCGAAGCAGTGCGCGGCAGGAAACCATTGATCGAGAGGCACCGCGGTGCGATTTGCGAATGAAGCTGTCAGGTATCGAGATTCGAGGGTTCCCTTTTGGTGCTCTTGGCGTTTGTGCTCCACCCTCGTCGGATCAATTCTCCTCCGAGGGCTGTCGGTACACAAACCCCTGAATCCCTTCACGCGAGATAGTAGTCAGATACGTTATTCATTCGATCATTATTCTCATTCATATTTATCTTCCAGACTGGACAGCCTTTAGTTTCGTTGCTGTATCCATGCTTTCACTGCCTCATACCTAGTGTTAGAAGCGAACACTATCATCATGTAGACAATGAACACAGAGGGAGTTACGGCCAGAGCAAGAGACAAAGCAGCATGTGGAAGGAAGCCACTGTTGAGAAGCAGGACCATGCGAATTAGCGTGAATAGGCGTAAATATCAATCAGGACACTGGATTTCCAAGGTTTCCGCTGTAGGCTCAAGATTAGATCTGGTTCCAGGATACTGGTGAGGCCGACAATATTAGCATATGACAAGGATGATTCTCACCTCTTGCAGAAGCCAGAAAGCATACAGGTACCACTTCTTCGATTGTCGTTTTTCATATCATATATAGTCAGTCCAATCCTGACACAATATCGAAGATGATGGCACAATTTCCAAGAAAGCTCCACTGAGTTTGACCATTCGTATATGGTTGACTATGGTCAAGGATTTATATCAGGAACTTTGCTTCTCCTTGGCAATCGGATGAGCAAATAAAAATAAAGAGCAAGTGAAAAAGAAAATACATTGTACGCAGTATGGAACGTAACGGAGACGAAAGAAAAACAATGCAAAAGTAGATGGTTTGTCGTTCACGTAAGTTGAAGGGCTCTCTCCCCCGAAATCATGTAGTCTTCACGACTCGACGGGTTCGTGGACCACTTATTTTGACAGTCAAGTCATTCACAGGGTCGTTGTCGTAGACATCATATTGGTTTGCTCGTGTGCCTCTGATGGTCATCTGGGATACTTGGACAGGGAACCTGGGCTCTTCCGTCTTGTCGTCGCCTTCGACTATATCCGGTCTCCACGCTTCTTCTATTGAGTCACTGAAACCGTACAGAAAAGTGCCTTTATTCGTTACCTGTATTTTCGTGAGTGGTGTCTTTTTCATATCGTAGCAGTTCCATTTCTCGGTTTGGCGGCCTCAGGTGCTCGTGTGGCGTTCATTGTAGTCGTGCGTTCGTTTTAGTCGTGCGTTGTTTTTTCGTGAATGGTTGTTGCCGTCGATGACATCGCCGGCGATGCAGGACAATATGAGCTTTCTCTTCACTTGTGGTGTTCATTCCTCTTCACCAATCTTCACCTACACTGCCATCCATCTCTGCTCGGTCCTTTCCTGTTCCCGTTTTGGCTTGTTATCTCCAGCAACATCTGACCAGCCAGCCTTTTCTCGGTTCTCCGTCTCCTCTCGGGTCTCGTGCCTCGCCCTCACCCACGATAACTGTTCCGACTCTCGTTTTCACCGACTGTCATCCCTAATCCATAATCCAACTCGTCAACCACTTGGTAAGTTGAATCAGCTATCCATTCATCACCACCCTGGTGTGTCGTAGCGGCACTCTCTAACTATAACGTTCCTCACAGTGATTTCCTGTCTGTACCAAGTCCATCATGGCTGAGAAGACCGCTGAGTCCACAATTCCTCGCCTATCCGAGGATGGCACACCCAACACAAAGGCTGCGCTGAACTATCACATTCGTCTATGGTTGAAGATTGCCAAAGAGCACGACAAGGTGCCATCTCACGTTGCGGAATGTGTCTTCCGCATCCTCGTCCATTTCACGACAGCCCAAAAGGCTGAAGAGGCATGGAAGATGCAGACACCCAGTACAGCCACTGAGTCGGACAAGTGGATGGCGAGGCTTCGAGTGCTCTTCGACGACAACGCAGACGATAGACTCCTCCGGCACTTGCAACAGTTGCCGGAGAGGCTCATCACTCGTGATGAGCTCTTATCACCAAACATAGGTAAGCACACTGTTCAACTCAATCATCAGAGAGCGACGCTGACCATACGAAACTCGATAGAGGGCCTTGATCACCCTCCTGCGAAGTCAAGCGCATGTGAACAATCCGAGCGTGAGATTCGAGAAATTATGCGATCCGACGACAGAGAGCGAATGAAAGACAAGCGAGAGGTTTTTTACGTCACTGGCCCCGTTGCCTGGACAGTCAGACCGCCGTATTGGCCTGTTGCATTGGCCACTGATTCCCAAGGAAATCGGTTTCTGTCGGATGATGTTCTTGATCGGGCTCTCCCCAAGTGGAGACGGATCCTCAATGGTGAGAGGCTTCCGATGGCAAAGCACCGGACAATCGCAGAGCCTTTGAGTGCGTGGTTGGCTGCGGAGCAGCAGAAGGCCAGTAGTCTCGGCAAGCCTTGGCCCCAAGTCGCACCATCTTCCACTGTCGTCTCTGAGTCAACTCCAAAGACAGTGGTCTCTGGCAAAAAATAGTGTTCATCCCATGAACCCCATCCGCAGCCCATGATGTTGCGATCTGTTCAGAGCGGGCGCAGGGACCCGCTTGTCTCCGCTTGTCTCCGCTTTTTTGGTTTTCTGTTTTGTGAACTGTTTTTGTTGTTTTCCGTTTGCTTCTCGTGCTTTCCCGGTTTAACCTCAGGAATGATGAACAAGAGAAACAAGTCAATTGCCATCCGGGGCCAGCCGACGCTGCTAGACTTCCTTCACAGGGGCAGTTGTGGAGGACTGAACCGCTGTTGGATCTGGCAGCTGGTGCAAGGGCTGCGCTGCTGCCAATTTTGGTAATGGCATCATACGTGGAACCTTCTGCTTTATTCCTTTCCGTTTTGGTTTGCGCGTTTGAATTGCGAGAAGAGAAAACCGGAATGGCAAAAACAAAAAACAACTGCTGGACGAGTGCTTCCTGGGCATGTGTCGAGGCACAGCTGTCAAGTGTTCTATCCTTGTAGCTAGAGTGCGGGTTGTCGTTGTGAATGAGATGTTGTTCCATTGAATATGTAACACACTACCTTTTGTAGGCTTTTCACCTTTGAACAGTACCTAGTCACTTCATAAGTGATGAAGTATCACAGGCATCACCATGGGCATATCATTGGTTCTTTTGAGAAGTGTACGCATCATCTTTACGCGCGTATCCGCGCCATATATCAAGTAGACAAACCAAAAGGGCACAAGTTACCTCCTCCTCGCCAAGTTCACCTGTTTCAAGTTCGGTACTCGATTCTACTAAGGCTCTCTTGCACAGTACCAACTGGAAGTCATCAGTGACCTACAGTTGCGGGCATTTCCTTCTGTCCCAAACGGATAGCCGAGGCTGAGGCCTCTGTTACATCAATATACCACGGTAGTCAAGGGTTGTAGGATAAGCGGTTACCGTTCATAGTAGTAGTGACTATTGAGTCCTATTCTGTACAGGCTACGGGCTATGGGCATTGCGACAATACAGCTTTAAAGCACGTATATTCTCCTATCATGGGTAGACAAAAACAAAAACAAAACATACAACAGTGAGGATTCGCTGGTGGTCACCCACCCAACTACTAACTCACCGGCGTGTGGCTTAAGTACGGCTGAGCGGACGGGAAGCCCTGTTTTCCACACCCTATGGTCGTATGTACCGCATATAATGGCAAATAAATATCATATTTGGGGGATATCCATTCACTGAATCCATGTAACTGAAAGACAAGAGACAGGTTGGATGGAACATGACTAAATCCGATTTTTTCACCAGGGCAGTAAACTAGACGGATTGCAAGAACTGCGTTTCTAAAAGTCAATGCAGACTTTGCCGATGTGCTGGCCACTAGCAAGATAGTTCAATGCCTCAACCACCTCATCACGACCGAACTTGAATGTCTTTTCCACCGGCACAGGAAGGTTGTGCGCGCCAATGAACTGAGCTACATCCTCCAATTGCTGTTTCGAGCCGACCATGATGCCACGGACCACAGCTCCCTTCGCCAAGGCAAAATGAGCTACATCAGGCATTTCCTCTTGCTTCGCAGCAGACAGGAACCCAATGATTGCAACTACACCACCGAAAGCGATAGCTTCAAGGGACTGCTTGATAGTTCCCGAGCCACCGTTCTCCAAAATGAAGTCGACACCCCGTCCGCCGGTGATCTTTTGCACCTCAGCTGCCCAATCTGGTGTTGTCTTATAATTGATCGTGTAGTCAGCACCATACTTGGACTTGACGTGCTGGAGCTTCTCGTCGGAAGAAGAAGTGATGATAGTCTTGGCACCTGCAGCCTTCGCTAGCATCAGACCGGTGATAGAAACACCACCCGTGCCTAGATAAGTTTAAGAGGTGAGTTTCCGCGTTTTTGCGATAAGCATGGAGGATCTTCGAACTGGGACTCACCCTGTAACAGAACTGTTTGTCCCGGCTTCAAGGGGATGTTTCCATACAACGAGTTCCAGGCGGTTGTGCCTGTGCAGACCACACTGGCCCACTGCGCATAGCTGAGCGTGGACTCTGCGGGAACCTTCACAACTGCATTTGCAGGAACTGCGATGTATTCCCTCAAAACACCATCAATGGGACCACCCAAGCCGTTGCCCCAATTCTTGATCGGTCCGTACAGTGTGGCAATGTCAAAGGAGATAATGACTTTGTCGCCACGCTCGAACTCGGTCACTCCCTTGCCTACCTCGACAATGTCGCCGGCTGCATCCGAGCCAGGAACGACCTGGTCCTTGACCTGGAATGGGTATTTACCCCTTGCGATGACGATGTCGCGGAAGTTGAGGGACACGCTTTTGACTGCAATCAGTACTTCGTGCTCGCCAGCTGAAGGGACAGGCTCTTTGAAGTTGGCAAGGTTCTCCCAGGAGCCCATAGCAGTGAGACGAAGCACGTTTTGGGTAGTCATCTTGGTGTAGAATGGATAGAAGATAATGGTTTTGAATTCTGTGAATAAAGAAAGAAACAGACAATATTTCCTCATCTTTATATAGACGATGGCTGTTAATTAGGTTATAATTTCTACCCCATGTGAGGGTCAAATATGGGGTAAAGATTCGAGGCAAGCCCCGCCGTCACCAATATTTTCAATATTTGCCTTAACTTATGACGAATACACTTACACCCCGGGACCCTGGGGTCTGGGGTAGGTTACGGAGCATGTTCACATTTCACTCATGGCTTATACACAAGCTAATCATATTCTAAATCAAGATGTGCGTATCGCGACCGACTGCTCTACGAATTTGGACGGTGACGGATCCCCCTCCAATCGCATCAAAATTGCTGGGATGGAAGCCTAAACCAAGAACCATTCTCAGGAATATTAAGAGATCTCTGGATGCCGAGGCTCAGCTTCCAGATGGATAGAAAGATATAGGTATTTAGTTATCTAACACCGTATCGTAGATGTAGTTTTTAAATGAGGACGCTCGGTAACAGCGATGGGGGTAATCGGTTTTCCAGAATGTCAGCAACAATCGACAAGGAGGCACCAATACGATGTACAATCTCGAAAGCATGGCTAGCGCTCGATACCTCTGCCCATAGCCGAGTGGTGGAAGCCGCGAGACGGTTGATACGAGCGGGCAGATCTTCCCGATATTTTAGAGTCTCTTGGAGATGTGTCTCTTGAATCAGGCTTGTCACCATAGCAAGCAACTTCTGCTCGTCTTCACGGAGTGATGCCATGCCTCCATCACTAACAGCTCTAGCGATTTCCTGCAGCCACCTACTCAAGAGAAAGGCACACTCGAGACTGCAGAGCGAGTGTTGAATGCTCCAATGCAGTGCTTGGGTACGTGACAAATATGGAATTCCCACACGGACCGGGATACTGAGAGCGTGGATGCACTGTAAGACTGCCCGGTCCAATGATGTAGAGCGAGCAACACAGATTGCATCAGTGCTGGTGAAGATTTGCTGAATGCGAGCAGAATTACCGGAGATGAGGTCACGACATGGCCCTAAGTTGGCGTGGAGTCGGATGTGCGCCAGGCGTAGCAATGCGGTCGCATTGAACCCAAGTGGGCCCTTCGGTGAGCAAGGATCAAGTGTTGATTCGTACGCTGCCTCCCAAGATGATTGCCATGACCTCAAGGCCGTCTCCATTTGCTTTAATAGTTGCGGGCTTATTAAGGAACCATCTTGGGCAAGGCAACTTGCGGTTTGGCGCTCGAGATTGACTTTCTGGACAAGCCCGTGTATGAGTACATAGTTTCCGAAAGCCGAGATACCGAAGTGGTCAGATACACTGCGGCCCTGCAGTAGACGATCCAGTGTTATGGTGAAAGCATGCTCACGAAAAGATGAAACTCGGCGGTACCGCTCCCAGCCTGCCTGGGATTTTACCTTCCATTCAGCCTCGCAGGATGGCAGGCAGAGTGCCACCTCTTGACTAAGAATCAGTGGTGGGACATTGAATGCGATGCTGTGAAGATTAAATATGATGTAGGCGCCGAGCGAGGTACGTCTCCGCTGCTGGTGCATAACCCAGGATCTCCATGACAGGTTCATATCGGTCGTATCATCCGGTTGGCCAATTCCAATTTCCCGCACAAGCAATGCAAGCTGACTTCCCATCGCCAGACTATCTTGTATGAGCGCCTGCTCTCCCCAAGCGCTCATGGCTATGAGAATGATGAGTGTTTGTGCTCTTTGGAGACTTGTATGTGAGTCTTGCGTGTGGTGGTCGCTGAAATCAGCTGACTGGGACGCATGGGAAGCCTTCGACGGAGAATACACGTTCCTTCCCGATGCCGGGGAGCCAACTGTCATACCTCCCATGGTCAGGCGCCGGCGGTTGTGAAAGCTACGGTCCACCAGGCATCGGGCTGCATCATATAGCTGGTAACCCTTCTCGTGTTCGAATCGATAGAATGCGCCGCAAGCGGTTAGCGCCAAGAATAGCTCAAGCTCGATGTTTTGAGGATCGAATGTTGCCGTATGGATTATAGGTAGGTGGTCATGGAACCCATCGAAGTATCCTTCGAGGTAACGAATGAGGGTGAATCTGGAAGGGAGTTTGAAGTCCGTTAGAATTGACTTGTTTCGTGTCGCATTTTCCGAAATGTGCTTGTAGGCTGCAGCTGAAACACTCCAGGGGCATGCCACGGTGTCCGATTCTGCGTCAAGGTTGGTATTGTGCAGCTGGTCATCGGTTGAAGGAAATCGTGGTGGAAGTGGTGGGTCCTCGGAGGCTGGTTGCTCTACCGGCATCATAGGCTGCACCTCTGGGGGCAGTGTGCACCCTACCGAACCTATTGCGGGTATGAAGTCTGCCTGCATCGCCGGCTGGTCTTGCGAGGGAAACTGTTGGAAGAGGTTGCAAAGCGAGATATCGGTGTTCAGGAAATGAGACGGGACGACATCGTTGAACAAGAAGACTTCAGTATTCCAGGGATCGAGCTCACTTGGTAGTCCAAAACCAAGGCATGTCTGGTCGTGGGAACCACCAATATCAAAAGTATCGGCAGGGGCGTGGGTTTCAGATGAGAGTGCATTTTCATTCTGAGTCTGCACTACTACTTTATTATAGGCCGGACTATCCCCAATATCTGTTTGTGGTGCAGGTATCAAGTTCTCTAGATCCTGGATTTGAACATCGGGGCCGTTTTTATGCAATGTGGTTTGAATCGCGGCGTCATTCGCCGCAGTTGGTTCTTCAACCCGGGCGGGAGGGTGACACAGTCGTGCGTGGCGACTCAGAAGGTCCCTACATGGCTAACGTTATTTGCGGACGAAGATGGTGACAGAAAAGCTCTTACTGCCTTGAAAACGAACGGCCACATTGACAAACGAATGGCTTCTCTTGAGTATCTGTGATTGATTTAGGGTGAAGAAAAAGTAACGCCAGGGGTAGTGGATACGCACGAATGCGTTCATGTCTCTTCAGGTGCTCTGACCGCTTGAATTCTTTTTTGCAGAAGCGACATGGGGCCACGTCTGATTTGGGTCTCCCTCTAGCCATGATGAGTGTGTAATGAGGGGGGATTTGGGGGTAGAAATGAAGGTAGATATGATGAATGACACATTTTCGTCTCCAACAGATTACATAATACGACCCCAACGGCAGGGCCCGCGGGCCTTTGTCGACAGGGACCCTCCAAGCCGTACTGTAAAATACGGAGTACATCGGACGTTTATGAGCCTTGATCTCGAACCCGATAGGGCATATCGAACTGTAACAACATGGCCTGGGATAGCGCAATAGCCTTTACTGACGTACATCGTGTTAAAGAGAATTGATTGTGGCTCAATCTCCGTTCTTCTCATACGGACTAGATTTTGACTGTGATGGCAACTAGCTAGACCAAAGGGGTGGCGGGTTATTGTATGTGTCCCCCGAGAACCCTGTGGGTTCTGTCTCGTTGGCGCTATTCTCCACTTCGTCATTGTTGTTCTTGTGGGTAATGTGCCCTTCATCTGCTTCCACGTTTTATTCATCTGCCTCTTCTCTCTGTCTCGTTAATTGCTGGCGAAAAGCCAGAGTATACTCATCGGGGTCCCATGCTAGAGCCCTGGTTTTCATCTCTTTCAGCTTTCGTGCCACCAGTTGTTCCATCTCATACTTTTCCTTTTCATCCAGCAGGCTGACTCTCTCTTCCCATGCTTCCTCGGGGTTCTCCGTAGGCCCGAAAAAGCGTGAGTCAATCTTCTGCCAGTAGATTGTATGAAAGGCGAAGCTGTGCAACACTGCGTACGTTACCCAGAAATCCCCACTCTCCCAACTTTGGCCCATAGGACCGGAGAGCCGCTGGTCCTCTTTCAAACGACCCTGTTGGATCGCTATGTCTTCACAGTCCTTCATCACCTTGAGGAACGTCTTGAGACGGTAATCAAACACTCTTGTCCAGTCCTCAATGCCCTTTGACCAGTACTCGGGTTTCTCAATAAGCAGCCACCAAGGCGGCGCATAAGAAAATTCAACAGGTGCCGCGTAGGTGAACTCCCAATCCACCACACCGACAATTTGCATATTCTCATGGAGTAGTACATTGGCCGGGCGTAGATCATCACACCAGATTTTGAAAGGTCCTTTCTCGAGTGATGGATTTGTGAGCCGCTTGTCCTTTGCGAGCTTACAGAAAAGCTTCCGCGCCACAAATTTCCGCCGACAGTCATCTGCAGACTCCACCGCATCGTTCCTTTGATGTATTAGATGCTCAATGTTGAGATGCGCAAGGGCTTCGAGATATGAGGAGGCTGTATTGAATGTAGTATGTAGATCGGGGAGCTTCGACCGGGGCAAACCTCCCAGCCGTACCAGTTCATTCATGTTCATTGACAAAGGCCGCCTCGCTACTTTCCAAGTGAAGTCATCGATCTGGTTCAGAGAGCCTATGTGAGGCAAAGAGGGCATGGAAAGCTGAAGAAGAATATCCGCTAGTTGCCCATAGAGCATCTCAAGCCTATCTTCAGCGATGTTCGGGTCCAGAATTCCACGTTCCTCTATCGGACATCCCGGTGTGTTGAGGGCGTCGTACATTTTCGTTTCGTGTTCGATATATTCCATTATGATAAATGGGCTCAGTTGAAGGGGGCTCTCCTTCTTGGTACCTGAGTGGATAACGAAAGGGACGGGTATCGACGTTTGATCTGCAAGATATCGCATCACAGCAACCTCATTGACGACTTTTTCCTCAGGGAAAAAAACGGCACCGGGCTGCGACAACCGTATAACCGTCGCACCATTTCGGTACTTCAGCCGTAACAAGATATTATAGGAACCTTTCCTGAGTATGGCAAATTCGGTGACTTCGCCTCTATTGTGGATAAGGATAAAGTCTGCAATCGGCCGCAACATGTCAACTTCAAGAAATTGAACTAGCCAACTGTCAGATGTTTCTTCGGCTTGCTCCCAGGCCACGTCATCGGGGCACATTCGAGTTTGCATGATTGTGTCGCAGTGTAGAAGAAATAATGTGCAAGATTTATTCACGTGTGAAGCCACGTGATATTGCACGTGCAAGGCCAAGACGCTCCTGGACTCAGACCTGGAGTGCTTTCGGGATATTCTGTTCGGAGCACATATCTTGAGTGGTAAAGAGAATCAACGAAAATCATGGCAATGATGGCAGAGTAAGGAAAGGGGCCAAGGGTCTTAGGGCTTGTCTCAAGTATTGTTCTTGGAGCGGGCTTAGGATTCGAATGAGTTGGCCCCTATCACATTCACCCATACGGTGGGAATTGTCACCCCATTCTCACCTCTCTCACCCTAGTCTCAAAATTTCTCACCCATAATACCCGCACTGACCCTGGAGTGCCGCTTGGGTGCTAGAGGCAAACTGAGTATTGACTGTGCAGAATATGTGGCTTAAGTACGACTGAGCGGACGGGAAGCCCTGTTTTCCACACCCTATGGTCGTATGTGGTAGGTACAACAGTGAATACACAGTAGTACAACAGTGAACAGAGTTATATCGAATAACAAAATAATTTACGATACGCATATTGTGTCTGGGACCAGCCAGAGTGTCTCGCAATAGGTCCACGATAGACTGTCTGCATGCTTCTCGCATTCCCCGTTGTATGGTGTGCCTAGTAAAAAGAATGTTACGTTTGGGTGGCGGACCTCGCTGTGCGAGGGTCTGAAATTTTGGTAAAAAATGTAAGGGCCGGTTAGGTATGTTGTAATGACCATGAACAATCTGGATATTGAAGAGGGGAACCCTCGAAGGCTCTGTCTCGCCGCCTACACTCTACACCGGGTCTGGAGGAGTGTGCTCTGACTCTCTGAGGTACACCGGTCAATCCAGCAGACAGTATTCATTTAAAACCGTATTGCACAAGCAATCACAATTTCCATTCACAAAGTAATTCATACAGTGCTCCCTGTCACTTTTTCATAGCCCGTTCAAGCTCAAGAAGTTGCTTAGCTGTATCTGTGAATGTTTCCCCCTTGGGCCGCCCCCGACCCAAGTCTCCGAATACTTCAATGGCTTCATCAACGCCAAATCGTGGCACTGGGCCAACAATCCCACTGTTTTCTCCCACGCGCTCCTTCAATTCAGGAATCTTGCGAAGGTGGTCAGCTATCTCGTCGAAAGACATTGGTTGTCCAACAACAAAGCGCTTATTGGCAGCAGCTGGGTTTGTGAGTGCCGCAATGTGCATTTCAGCAAGGTCGCGGACATCAATCTAGCAGGCAAATTAATATCCTGTGCATTCTCAGATGGCTGGAGATTCATCGGTACTTACAGATCCTGGGAAGACTGTTGCAGGGACTTTGCCATTGTCCTTTGCGCTGTTCATGATGGAGTAGATTTGGTTGGTGCTGAAATTGAGCCTGTCGAGACTGGAAACCTTTTGAACCATTGGTCCGAAGATGAGAGGCGGCATAAAGTTCGTTACAGTAAAGGATGGCTTTTTTTCTTCGACGAATTTCCACACTGTCTTCTCAGCAACTTTTTTCCCGACACAGTAAGAAATCTAGAACCATTCCGAGCAATTAGCATTCATTATAATCAGTCAGCAACGGTAGAACAGGAGTAGACACACAAAGCTGTTTTGAAGCTTGATTGCATCCTCCCTATCCAGGGGTAGCCATTGATCATTTCCAAGAACACGGCTGCTGACGTCTTCTGCCGCGCCTGTTGTAATGGCATTGAGACTGCCTGTTATGGCAATAGCTTTGACATTCTTTCCGAGCGTATGTGCCGAAGTTAGCAGACCCGAATTTCCAAGAACAGATGGCTTTTCAAAATGTTCGACAAAGTCGGTGTTTGCAGGATCATCGAGTAAAGGTGCCGCCACATGAATCACATAGTCAATTTCAGGGTACTCCTTGAAAACGGTGTCGAAAGCCCCAGGTTTTGTGAAGTCAGGCACGACGGAAAATATTAAGACATCCTTCCATTCGGGATGAGCGGACAACATCCCATCGGCTGAACGTTGGGAGCGAACAGTTGCAATAACACGGTGTCCATGTTGGAGCAACTGGGCCAACACTGTTGATCCAACAAAGCCAGAAGATCCGGTTATAAGAGTTGTAGGCATGGTGAGTATTTCACGGGTGAGTTTAGGCAGAGTCAAGTATACGAGCTGGGAGACGTTTCATGTGTTTCTTGGCTGCTCTTATGTAGTTGGCTACAGTCAGTTGATGATATCACGAGTCATCGGTCTAAACATCCGCGATGGACCGAGTTGGGCCCGGACTTCCGGCTCAAAGGCCAACCAGCAGTTGAGCTATGGGCCCGTACCGTACCAGACCCCAGGGCGCGGACTAGCCCACAGGCCACGGCCCACGGCTCATTAACCGTACCAAGCTTAGCCTAGCGTCCAACACAGCTTCGTGTTGGTACGCCCCACCCACGAATCGATTTAACCAATGATCTTTTCCTTTCTGTAACAACTTTCAACAGCTTTCATGCTACACCCACGATGTCAGGGCAAAATACAATCATAAAAATGGAAATTTCAAAGGCTCTCCGTGCCTATCGTTAGTCTACCGCTTTCCCGCGGGAGGTTGCTGCACTAAAGGATAATTTGGCGAGGGCTGATGCCGCCAGAGCGAAGGCAGATAAGTCAAAGAATGGGAGATCGATTTCTGGTTATAGTTAGTGGCTGTACTCCGTATCCTATTACCAATTTCATGCGAATCGGAGCATTGTGCACCGAGATAAAGCCGATTTTATGGAGCTAAAGCAAGCTCAGCAGCGCCCTTAGGAGTCAAGATATTGGGCTTTTCTTTCGACAATATGCACGAAGAACCTTTGGCATTTGGACTTCTATCACTATGGGTTTATTTTACCTCGACATCGTGGGCGTAGCATGAACGCTGTTGAAAGTTGTTACAGAAAGGGAAAAAAACAATTGATTCGTGGGTGGGGCGTACCAACACGCGGAAGCTGTGTTACAGTGTTGGGCAGTTGGACGCTTGGTACGATTAGTGGGGCCCCATGAGGCTCCCAAATCCAATAAAGCCCCGGATAAATACGGTCTTGGCACTTATTAGGTAACCCTGAATCATCGGTCTTCCTGAATGTACTCCGTAGTTAAAGAAAGGCAAAACATTAACTATGACATTAGTCATATATTGCTAAGATCCAGAACGAAGTCGTCGACTCTTAATAACTTCTTTAACCATGGGAAGTCGTCTCGTAACTAGGGGACTTATACGAGATGCTGAACAATGACCCGGTTCTGTCCTGAGCTCTTCATGCACGACGACATGGTTGCCATAGAGACGACGTCACGACTTCAATAATGCTGACCAATGCTTATTAAACGTGTGCTGTGTATATCTGATCTGACCTATCTGTTCAGCTTGAGAAACTAGATCCTGCATGAGGTTTTGCAAATCAATTTACTTACAGCATTGAACAGTATGTCGGCCCACCCAGGGGAGAAGACTATGATTCTAGTGCGTGTCACAGTTGAGCCGCACAACATACCCAAGTTCCTAGAGGCATTTCATGAATGTTTCGAAAACTGTATCAAAGAGCCAGAATGTGAACGCTTCGAAGTATTTGGTGTTCCGTCCAAAAAGGGTGAATTTTGCTGGGTTGAGACATGGAAGGGAAGTAAGGATTGGTTCATGACAGTGAGTTATCACACCAGATTTCATACAAGGAACGGAGTATATAACAATCTACAGGTACAAATGAATCGACCATATTATGAGCCTTATACTGCAATCACCAAGCCTATGTGGACCACACCCCGTAAGTCTCAATCGTTCTTGGCCGAAGGTCTGTCGCCTAATCCAGGATGTGGATAGGTACTATCGAGTTCCTTGAACACCAGCCCGCTTTCCCAACTTATATGCAGTAGGACGAGGTCTACTGACCCTATTCGGGGCATGCCGCCTAGTTGGTGGAAGAGATTTTTGAGGAAGTGAGCGAGGTTCCATCTGTCATGTACAATCCAGAACAAATCCTCGGGCAGATTGGTCACCTACCAAAGATATGACAATGCCATAATCTCAACAGTGTCGAGGGTATCCAAGTACATGAGACATAGGTTGTAGCAAAGCATCGAGGGGCTTTATGTTTGAAGGATGTTATGTATTCGGTATTATACCTAGGACTTCTCAGCACAGAATTGGTCTGCATCACTTCGGAGCAGCGCTGTTTAGTCATTTTGAGTACTCAAAGAGTCAGACAAGCACAATTATGCTCACATCTAGCTAATCATCTTGATGTTGACAACAGCAAGTTGGTATCAGAACATCATAAACCACGACTTCGGTCGAATATCCCATGATTCAATTTCCTTCGCCCACATATGGAGTTCTCTTCCGAGAGTAAGGTGGAATAAGATAATATAGCATGCCGTGGATGATAGACGCACACAACGGTGCTATCCAATGTATCCAATGATAAGAAGCAAAATGCGAACCAACCATTGCCCCGAAGCATCGTGCAGGGTTTCCAGCTTGTAACTTGTTAGACCCCCAAGCAATGTAGGGTTGACTTAGAGACTTACAAAACCCAGTGTATCCAGGACGGCTGAACCCCGTCACAAAGGTACACATTCCTAGAACAATGCCAACAAAGATAGGGCCTAAGGCCGGCCCAAATACAGAGCGCTGTCGAGGATCAAGGCCGACACCGAACGAAAGAAAGATCAAGGCGAGATCTGTAGTGAATTCTATGGCGAATGCGCTGCCCGCTGAGACTTTGGTGGTATCGATAAAGCAACCTGGCACGATGAACTGGATATGAACGTCAGCATGAGGGTCTTACCGCGACCTAAAGGAGTGAGAGGTACAGATCTGGTGTCGAGGCTCGCTCTTAACAGCAAACCCCCAATAGCCCCCCCGAAAACCTGAAAACCGACATACAGAATGCATCGTGGCAAGGTCGCTAGTCGTCCGAAGAATGTGGCGATGGTGATGGTAGGGTTCAGATGCGCGCCGGAAACTGGGCCGGCAGCGAAAATGAATAAAGGAAGAACCAGGATCGCTGTAAGGCCACCAAGTAGGCTGGGGACAAGGGCACCGGTCGCAAAGATGCTTCGCAGTGTTATCATATAATCCTTAGCCACAGAGGGAGCGACCGAGAATTTACTTCACCGTTTCACTCAGGCCCACAGCTATGAAGCAGGTCAAGTATACCAATAAACAAGTTCCTAGTGCTGTGAATATTAATTTCATAATACATTTGTTAGGGTTCACGGACCTATAGCTTCAACAGCAGCGGCCTTCCATAGCGCTACATGTAGAAAATGTCGCAGAGATAGAGCATCCTTTAACGGGATCCAGGGAGCAGCGTCAGGAGACTGCTGCAACAATTCTATATGCGCACTGTTGGTTTTGTCCACTGAGAACTCTTGATTGGCACCAATGCGCCCAGCGAATGGGACGACGGTGGTCGGCGAAGGTAATTCGTCGGTATCAGGTCCGCTTCTCCAGAGACTGACGTTTGAGAGCATGTCGAAATCTTGAAGTGAGATATTGGTTCATGGAAAGGCAAGATCTGGGGAGGGACGACGCTTAAGCCTTAGGACGGAAAATAAATCCTGAGGCTTACCAATTGTGTATGCATCGCTCACGAAGGGGGGATTTTCTAGACACGATCCATGACGTAAACTACCTATGAGGATGTCCCGTCAGACAAATAGATCTCTCCGACCCAGAGTTTATTATCGTTCAGGTAAGAGGGTAAGAGGGGAGCGAGTCAGGTAATCCTTAGTCAAGATTACCCGATAACTCTAACTTACCGGCAGATTGCCGAAAACAGCTACTCTTGAGTCATGATAGCGCATTAAGCATCAAACTACCTCAGTTCCTTCAGCCATCCCCCTGCAAGATGCGATAGATTTGGCTAACAACCTTTTAATCTGTTATCGATGTCGTGGACTCCATCCGCTTCAGTCGTTTTTGCTACTTCTTCACATGACTTTCCTTTCCGTTGCCTCAATTGCCGGTGGAAAGCCAATATATTCATCTGGGTCCCATGCAAGAGTCCTTGTTCCCACCTCTTTCAGCTTTCGACCCACCAACTGTTCCATCTCGTCCCTTTCCTGGTCATCCAGCAGGTCGAGCCTCTCTTTCCATGCCTCCTCGGCGTTCTCAGTAGGCCCAAAAAAGCGTTTGGTCGATCTTCTGCCAGTAAATCACATCAAAGGCAAAACTATGCAAAGTCTGAACATGCTGGGGTAAGGTAAGCGGGGCACCAGAAAACGCTCCTATTGCACCGCTGTGCTGTCACTCCCGCCCGCCCACATGGCTTTCCCCTTTCAGTGTCGGCTTGGATCGACTAACCACCCTCCCCTATCAGCTTAATTGTATCCACCTACACAAACCACACAGTACAACATACTTGTTGCCCAGCGTTTTCCAAGATCAAAGTTCATTTCACCAACCACTTGGTTCTCTACCAACTACAACTTGCTCATCGCTCGCTGTGGTCCTCCTGCACAAAAGTGGGTCACTTAGTTCTGATTCAAGATTGATCCGAGTTTCATTCTGAAGGTGGGTCCTTGTGGGGGCAATTGCGATTTAGCTGTTGAGAGGACTCCCCAATACGATCTGATCCGTCCATCCATGAATGGCGAATGCTGACATTAGTCGAGTCTAGATTAATTTGATTTTACCCCTGTAATGGCGTCCCCCGACCGTCCTCGTCTTCCCGAAGTGAAGGCTGCCCCCGAAGCCGCCGTGAATGCTCGTGGATCTGCATACTACCGGAAGAACGCTGTCTTCTTCTATTTTGAAGCCGACAACACCGGGGCCAAAGAGGATGTGACAACGCTTTGCAATTGCTTTGAGGATGTATTCGCCATACAGCCAACGGTAGTGGCACAGTGGCACTCGAGGCAGCAGATAAAGTGCCCGGGTTTACTCTAATGGGGATACTTACCTCCACTCTCGAAAGTATGGATCCGAGCAGGAACCCGCTACCGTCCCTGCTGGTCTTTGCATACGTCGGGCATGGCACAATTGACACCACCACGGGCAAGCTGAAGCTTGTTGCTGGCGGAACCCGGCAGAACATCCAGTGGCCCCTCATCCACAATTTCTTCGTCGTCCCCAACTACGTCACCGCCAATGTCGATTGCCTCAGCATTTTAGATTGCTGCTACCCAGGAGCGACCCGCCAAACAACTGAAAGGGCATACCAGGTTCTTTCTACATGCGGCGCCGATAAGATAAATCGGTCGCGATCTGGCGGCGGGGCGTCGTTTTCACGACGTTTCTACCGTGCCGCCTGTGATCTGAAGGCGAACGAGAAACCCTTTGCCACGCTTGAAGATCTCGTCGCGGAGATCAACCGTGAGAAGCCCAGTGGGAGCCCAGATGCCTGGCTCACCTACCATGGAGGAACCCAGCTAATTGCAATCCCATTCAAGGGCACTTCTTCTGCATCTGTGCAACAAGCACTGCAGAATCTGAGCCTGCCGAGCCCGGCGGCCACCACGGAAAGCACTCTGGTCGAACTCTCGATTGCTGGGTCTCCTGCGCAGATTCTACAGGAGTTCCAAGATGTTATCGCGTCTTTGCCTGTCTAATTCCGTGTTGAGATCGTCGACGCATATGAATCCACATCAGTCCTTTTCCTACTGCGCATGTCCCAACCGGCACATCTGCGGTTGTCGTCTACGCTTGACTTACGATGGATTGGAAAGATTCACTTAGGCCGGGTAAGTATCCGACCCCCTTAAGCGCACCAAGCATCTGTAATGTGGAGATAGCCCCCCCTGCAATAATGCCACAAGACACACGGAGGAAGTATTCAGCTAGTAAATACAGTCTCAACGGGAGGAAGGCCCAAAGGGAAAACTATAATGGGGCTCGTATCCCCTTTTGGGGGCTAGGGCGGATATTCTCTTTGACCATAAGAACAGGCTGGGAAGCTATAAATCGCTAGTTTCATTGAGGTCATTCAATTCTCAGTTAATCTTCAAAAGTACTTTGCTGGCCTAATCAATGATGGCCCGTGAATCTTTCTAATCCATCGAAAGTCAAGCGTAGACGACAACCGCAAATGTGTCGGTTGGGACATGCGCAGTAGGAAAATGACTGTTGTGGATTCATATGCGTCAACGATCTCAACACGGAATTGGGCAGGCAACGACGCCCTAACGTCTTGGAACTCCTGTAGAATCTGCGCAGGAGACCCAGCAATCGAGAGTTCGACCAGAGTGCTTTCCGTGGTGGCCGCCGGGCTCGGCAGGCTCAGATTCTGCAGTGCTTGTTGCACAGATGCAGAAGAAGTGCCCTTGAATGGGATTGCAATTAGCTGGGTTCCTCCATGGTAGGTGAGCCAGGCATCTGGGCTCCCACTGGGCTTCTCACGGTTGATCTCCGCGACGAGATCTTCAAGCGTGGCAAAGGGTTTCTCGTTCGCCTTCAGATCACAGGCGGCACGGTAGAAACGTCGTGAAAACGACGCCCCGCCGCCAGATCGCGACCGATTTATCTTATCGGCGCCGCATGTAGAAAGAACCTGGTATGCCCTTTCAGTTGTTTGGCGGGTCGCTCCTGGGTAGCAGCAATCTAAAATGCTGAGGCAATCGACATTGGCGGTGACGTAGTTGGGGACGACGAAGAAATTGTGGATGAGGGGCCACTGGATGTTCTGCCGGGTTCCGCCAGCAACAAGCTTCAGCTTGCCCGTGGTGGTGTCAATTGTGCCATGCCCGACGTATGCAAAGACCAGCAGGGACGGTAGCGGGTTCCTGCTCGGATCCATACTTTCGAGAGTGGAGGTAAGTATCCCCATTAGAGTAAACCCGGGCACTTTATCTGCTGCCTCGAGTGCCACTGTGCCACTACCGTTGGCTGTATGGCGAATACATCCTCAAAGCAATTGCAAAGCGTTGTCACATCCTCTTTGGCCCCGGTGTTGTCGGCTTCAAAATAGAAGAAGACAGCGTTCTTCCGGTAGTATGCAGATCCACGAGCATTCACGGCGGCTTCGGGGGCAGCCTTCACTTCGGGGAGACGAGGACGGTCATAGATGGAAGCCATTATGAGGGAAGATGATCTAGGCTCAATGATTAATGTCAGCATTTCTGAAGGGATCGGATCGTATTGACACAGACAGCTCAGGAGTTTGGAATTCAACAACTTTTCAACAGCTAAATTGAAATTGTCCCCACTCCATCTGCAAAAAGAAAATTGGATTAATTCAAATCCACTGACTCACCCTTATCATCCTTGTGCAGGAGGCTTAGAAAAGCGCTGGGTGATGACACCCTTTTTGATGGAAGCGAAAGCGAAACGAGAAATCCATGGATCATGATGAGCGCTATGAGAGATGAAGAAGATGATGAAGGGAAGAGGAGAAGATGGATGAAAGGGAGAAGAACTGACTGGGTGAGAAGCGGTCTATATATACCTATGCGAGAGAGCAGTGGTCATATGACCAAATGGACACCCCGGGCACCTACGAGGCTACGACCAACCACATCTCGGGCATGATCTCAACAGTTCAAATACTCTCTCTCCTTTGTGGGTAACATGGGTATCAATATGGAATTATGGATCACCCCAATCTCAATGCTTCCGGTAAACGCTAAGTCTCCAACCTGCGAGATCCACCGCTTAAACATTACCTTCGGCAGCGGCTTCCGGGCATCGTCATGCCATCTACAGCCATCTCTTGGGTAGGAATTTTGATAACAGCCATAGATCCAGTGGCTATCTCTTCTCGAAGCCAGTGAAACCTGATAGCGATGTGTGCTTTTTAGTCCTTTTGTTGACAGCGCAACACATGAAAGGAGCGCACTGGATCAATTTTTTGAAGAGTAAGATTCTGCTGCAAGATACAGAACTTATTATTATATTCTTACACAAGATACAGAACTTAGGTGATAGCAAGTCTCTCAATTAACTACCGACAGACGCAGAGATTACTTAAAAAGACCATAAATTAGGTCTTTCCGCCCTTTAGAAACTAGGGTTGCACGCCCTCCATCGAATGATCTCGTCCATACGTTCCTCATTCTCGATTTGGTTGTTACCGGCGAGATCTATTGCCTTCTGCAGCGTCACCGTGAGCTTAGGCTCCCCCTCTTTCTCCCCATTCCCTCCATCGTCACCTGTTCCTTTGGAATAGGAGGCTTGAATAACGCGTACTTGACGAGCGCCAAAAAAAAAGATCAATAACGCAGCGATGTTGGGAGAATCCGAGAAGGCAGGCTGACGGGACCGAATGCCAATAATCTGCACTAACGCCGAAAGCTCGCTCGCGAGTATGTTATCCTCGTCAGGGCAGTCGAAACTGAAAATGGCCATCTGTAGATGGGGATAGAGTGTTTCCTGGAAGTCGCGATCTCGAACGCACATTTCTTCTAGGCTCAGCACGTACCATCCCCAGATAAATGGGTGACCGGGTGTGAAAAATTGATCAACCTTGTAAAACTCATTTTCCCCGCTGAATTAGTGGATTTTAGCGAAGGCATTTGAACCGGGAAGGGAGGCACATACTTAATCGGTAACCAGGGCCTAATCATACTTAGCGACACCCCGGGATCTGTACGCGGAAGATCGGCACGGTCCGAGTAATTAGAAGTGCGGGCATCAATAGCATACCATAGATCAATGCAAAAGGACTTACGTTGTTGGTGACGTTTGAGCATGTCAAGATTTTCAACCGCCTCTAGATCGAGCGTCAGTAGCTTGTTAAGTGATTGAGGCTCTGCCAGCGTGAGCTTGTCGAGTTTATCCCATGGCTCAAACCAGGAGGCATCATCTGTATCCTTGTCGGAGACTAGCTTAATATTCAGTGGAGCCAAGTCTGAAGTTGTGTACTTCAGCTTTGTCGTTTTCGGGGTCTTGGAGTTGACCACGAGTCGATTCCACTGGTCCCATGGTTTCGAGCGTAGCTTGCGGGGTGGCATACTGTTAAGACGATCGTAGTAAGTGAGAGACAGACAAAGTGACTACTCTGTAAAGGTTCGCGAAGCTGATAGTTAAAGACTAAGTTGGAGGTTGTCAGCCTGTCAGGGTGAAGTCAGCACTCACGTGACCTGACTGTCACCTGACCGCTATTCCCCCACAGATAGCTAGTTCTTCCTTCTCCTTTTCTCTCCTCCTCTCCAGCGCATTTAGGGTTACTTAAATGCATAATGCATTTACTTCCTTCAAGTGCTTTTCACGCGAGAATCCTATGGAGCTTCATTATGACGCCTTCGTAATGGTACCCCAGGGACCAGTGCTCCGGAGAGAATTTGCATGATTTGCTTTCTCCTGATGCCTGAGGCAACTGCAGGCAACGAAGTGTGTCACAGGTTCATAACTCTCTTATGAATATTGTGACAGAAATCTGACCTTCTTGTATTCAGAGGGCAGTGAGACAGGCAACCCGAAAGGGGTATGACCACAGGCAGGCGACTGGAGACAGTGAGGAATAGCTCTCTGGGGTGGCTACCGACGACGAGGATGCGAAGGAGTAGGACTGTAGGACGCATTGCGAACAAACAGTTGTCAGCTTGGAGCTGGGCCTCGCGAGTGAGTCGCGACACATTCGACAAAATCACTTGAAGGACTGGGAGAGTGGAGGTGCCCTGTGTCACGAGGATCTCCTACACGAAATGCATACCCACAGGCAAGCAGGGAGATAAATCACAATCACTCAAAAGAAGAATCTAGATCGAACATTGATACGAGACGAACTAAAATCTGTTCAGCTCCGGCGATACGTCAGTTTTAGCCTTTTAGGGTTTAGTTCCCAACCTTGGAAGAGTTCGGACTGAAGCCCACTAGGTTCGCCACTAGCCCCACTTACTAGGCCTGAGATCCATAGTGTCGGGTCCAGGGGCTGCGTGGCCCACCCAATATTACACTAGTTGCCCTCAGTAGATCAGATTGGACCTTACATGTATGTACGGAGTAACGGAGGACAGCTGAACCATGACAAATAACATGATACACAGGAATCTCGTCTGTGCGAAGCAACAAGCATACGGGGCACATCTACGGTATTTTCTATGGTATTTAGAATGTGATGAGAAGACGTGTTCAGCATGGATCTCTGATACATAATGACGATCGGGCAAGCACCCCCCTTACCTACAGTAGTCTCGTACCCATATGTAAAGTCTGGATCCACACGTGGACAAACGCTCTCGCACTCCTTTAACCTAAACCTACGAAAGTCGGAATCCGACACATGCTTCGTTGACCAGTCCTTCCATTTCGAAAAGGTGTTCCCTCTGTATGGAAAATGAACTTCCAGCTTGAGGTTGCGTCGACTGCGACGCTTGCAGTGAGCGTCATAGTCTTCGCCTCAAGTGGTTGGTATTCCATATCCATCATTGCCCGAAGATTGACGGGGAAGTCAGAATCATGGCTCAGTGGATCGCCAACGAATAATGCACTATATGAAGACGAAGATGGGAGGGCAACTGAAGCATCTACCAAGGCGTTTTCGGATAAATGGCAGCGGCTGATTCTGGCTCTGCTATCAGCTATATGGGTTGGTTGCGCGCTGTCTCTGGCTATCATCACGTTGATCCCGTCACGGAGTCCATTGCTTGTCCCATTCTGGCTACTGGGCCTCAACTCGGTAAGGTTCATCATTCTTATTGGGATTTTGTAGTTCGTTGGTACTGACGATTGCATAGTTCGTACTCTGCCTCGAAACGGTCGCTTTTTTCGCTGTGCCATCCTCCGTGGACCGGTACAATCTTGCCATCTACGCTTTCTGGACAAGCAATCTCACCGGTACGCTTCCCGGCATCGAACTCTACGCTTTCGGATCTCTGCCAGGTTGGACAAACTACGCCCAGTTGGAAAGTCCTACGACTTGGCTCCTTCTTGCGCAGATCACAGCGGGACTCTTGCGAAGTGTGTGCTGCCTCTTGATCCCCCGTCGCCCTGACGTCTACCATAATGGCCAAGTAGTGGACCAAGAGTTCTCCGGCAGTCTCTTGAGTCGCTTCACGTACAGCTGGGTGAATGAGTTGCTGGAATATACCCGGCGGAATAGGTGTGATATGGAAATTGACAATCTTCCCCACCTACGGTCCTCCGGGCGTGCAGAGAACCTGCACACGCGCTTTGAACAAGTACAGGGAGGGAAAAGTCTCTGGAAAGCCATCCTATTGGCGCATTGGCCGTCGCTCCTGCAGCAGTATGTGCTTGGTTTATGTCAGTGCGTGTTGAGTTTTGGCCCACAGGTCGCACTCTATGGTATTCTGAAATCATTGGAAAATCGGTCAGCAGCTTCATGGGACGAGATCCAGTCGTGGCTGTGGGTAGCCGCGCTAGGATTGCTCTTGTTGTTTGGATCCGGTGTTGACTCGTGGCTCTGGTGGATCACATACTCGAAACTGGCAGTTCCTGTGTACCAGGAGTTGACAGCCACTGTGTTTGCGAAAGCAATGATATGCAAAGACGTGAAGCACACTACAACCGCTAAGCAATCCGCAGGGGTGGAGGGCCCCGAAGAGCAGAAAGACTGCGGCCGGAATACGATCAACCTGGCTGCCGTAGATGCCAAGCGCGTGTCAGATTTCGCCATGTTTAATCATCAAATCCTGATTTCCGTCGCGCAACTGGTAATTTCATCGGCTTTCTTGGTCAGCTTGATTGGATGGCGCAGCCTGCTGGCGGGAATTACCGTGGCTGGGCTGATGATGCCGGTTAATGCCTACGTCACGAGACGGTACTCAGACGCGCAAGAGGAGCTCATGAAGGCGACGGACAGGCGCACGAAGTTGCTGACCGAGGTGTTGCGAGGCATCCGACAGATCAAATTTTCCGCCATGGAACAACAATGGCAGGACCGCATTACTGAGAAGCGCAATGCAGAGCTAGCCGTGTTATGGAAGACGTCGCTGTACAACAGTGTCCTGGTGTTCATCTGGATCTCGGTCCCAGTTATGCTTTCGGCCGCTTCGCTCTCAGTGTATGCGCTAATCCATGGTGAACTGACTCCGTCCATTGCCTTTACTTCCATGTCCGTTTTTGTATCCTTGGAGAGCTCGCTGTCGTCCTTGCCAGAGATGCTCGCACGTGGGCTGGAGGCCAAGGTCAGCATAGATCGCATAAATGCATATATCACGTCTCCTGAGAAAGAGATCCATACGACAGATGTGGATCAGATTTCGTTTGAGGATGCAGCGATCACGTGGCCGAGCGACGGCGCGGCAGATGGACCTGAACCGTCGGATAGCGAGCATCGCTTTGTTTTGTCCAATTTGACATTGCGCTTTCCCCCTAAAGCTCTGAGCGTGATTTCTGGAAAGACCGGGACTGGCAAGAGTCTCCTCTTAGCCTCTATACTCGGTGAGTGCGATGTGGTGGGCGGGTCCATCAAGGTGCCGCGTGCACCCTCGCTTGATGAGCGGTACGACGATCAGGCCACACCCACCAACTGGATCATCGATACGGCTGTTGCGTACGTGGCACAAAATCCCTGGATTGAAAATGCGACAGTCAAGCAGAATATTCTGTTTAGGTTACCGTTCGACGGGACACGATACCGCCAAGTACTTTTCGCGTCAGGACTGGATCGGGACCTCAGTATGTTCCCCGATGGCGAGTTGACCGATATTGGAGCCAATGGTGTTAATCTGAGCGGGGGTCAACGATGGCGAATCTCATTCGCACGTGCGCTATACTCGCGGGCCGGAATTCTGGTCATGGACGACATCTTTAGCGCCCTCGATGCCTACACCGGACGCCATGTCTACGAACATGGACTTACTGGGCCTTTGGGTCAGAATCGCACGAGGATCCTGGTCACTCATCATGTGGGACTATGCTTGCCTTCTACAGACTATTGCATTGTACTTGACAACGGAACCATGAAAGATGCAGGATCAGCCAAAGACTTGATCAACCGGGGAAGCCTGACTGATCTTCTGAATGAGACAAGCGTGACAGAGACACATGATGGCAAAGGCCAAGAGGTGTCAGTAGAAGATATTCCGCGACATGAAGAAGGACCTTCCAGCGCTACGGAACAAACGGCGAATTCCAACGACACAAATGCCGCAGGAAATGCTCCGCGCACATTCACATCGGAGGAGAAGCGCAAGACGGGAGCCATTTCCCTGTCTGTATACGCAGCATATATCGCACGTGGAAATCGGGTGTGGCTGTGGGCACTCGCTCTGCTTGGATATGCTTTGTACATGGCACTGATGATTGGCCGAGTAAGTTTTTTCATGGTATCTTCCCTCTTGATAACGGCTAACGGCTAGTGTTGTAGTCCTGGTGGCTTAACGTCTGGACGAACTCGCCCAATTCCCATGTTCATCATACGCATCCTGAATCAATCATGGGTTACAGTGTCTCAACCAAAGTCATATCAGTGCAAATCGACAGCAGCCTGCAATATTTCCTGGGTCTCTATGTGGCTATCTCCATTGCCGCCTGCGTGTTCGGGACAGTGCGATACCTAGCTGCAGTGGTCGCCACCATTGCCTCTTGTCGTCAACTATTCAACGACGTCCTAACTCCAGTGCTGCGTGCACCCCTTCGATGGCTTGACACAGTGCCAATGGGGCGCATCCTGAACCGTTTTACCTCGGACATGTACGTCCTGGACTCGAAGCTTGGTACCACACTGTCCACTTTAGTGGTTAGGGCCTCACAAATCGCGGGGATCTTGATCGCCGCCGTGATGGTATCTCCATGGCTCCTAGTGCTTGCCAGTGTACTACTGGTCTGCTGCCTGCAACTCTCCTCCACATTCCTAGTGGGTGCGCGTGAAATCAAGCGCCTTGAGAGCATTGCGAAAAGTCCCGTGTTAGAGCATTTTGGCTCAAGTCTGAGCGGGCTTCTCACCATTCGCGCGTTCGGCAAGACTGATGTGTACATCGACGGTATGCATGCGCGAATCGACCGCCACGCCCGAGCGTCCTGGTATGCATGGCTCTTCAACCGTTGGCTAGGTCTTCGCATGACATTTGCGGGTGCCGTATTTACAACCACCACGGCTGCGCTGGTCGTTTACATGCCCACCATCTCCGCCTCTATGGCTGGCTTTGTCATGAGCTTTGCCCTGCAGTTCAACTTCGCTGTCTCCCTAGCTATACGCTCTTATGCAACTTTGGAAATGGACATGAATGCGACCGAGCGTGTGCTAGAGTACGCCAGTCTCGAGACAGAGGACCAGGCCGGCCTACAACCCCCGGCGGCGTGGCCAACCCATGGCCGCATTGAGGTTCAGGATCTTGTAGTAGGCTACGCACCGGAGCTGCCACCTGTGCTCAATGGCCTCAGCTTTACTGTGGAGATGAACCAGCGTGTGGGCGTTGTGGGTCGTACAGGCGCAGGGAAATCGTCTTTAGCGCTGGCGTTGTTCCAATTCTTGAAGCCGCGACAGGGCCACATCTATATTGGTGGGTTGGATATCACAAAACTCAATCTACATGCTCTACGCAGCCGTCTGGCTGTTATACCGCAGGACCCGGTGCTATTTTCTGGCACTCTACGGTCCAACCTAGACCCTTTCGACGAGCATACGGATTTGGAGCTGTACAATGCCCTTGAGCGTGTGCACTTACTATCATTTGATGACACTGCAACGCTTCCCTCTATCTCTACGCCGGCCAGCTCCGTTAACTCATCCTGGCTTCTTGATATGGATGCCGGCAAGACTAACATGTTCTCCTCCCTGGAGTCCCCAATATCTGACGGGGGGATGAACTTGTCACAAGGCCAACGACAGTTGCTCTGTCTTGCACGTGCCATCGTGTCGCAGCCTAAGATCATGATTTTGGACGAAGCTACCTCGGCGGTGGACATGGAAACCGACGGCCTGATTCAGGAGTCAATCCGCACTGAATTTGGACGCAATGATTCATCGTTGTTGGTGATCGCGCATCGATTAAGCACAATTGCGGATTTCGATCGTATCTTGGTCATGGATGCTGGACGTGCGGTGGAATCTGGGACTCCGCGAGAATTGATGGAGATCGAGAGCGGGTTCTTCAAGACTCTTGTGGAAAACAGTGGCGAGAAGGCCGCGGTAGAGAAGGTTATATACGATCAGAGTTCAGACTAGACATAATTTCTAATACATGCTTGGGGCTGGAAAAGCGATGAAATCTATATCAGGACTTAATGAATGTTATCAATTCCACTTGCGTATCCCAATTGCTTACTTCTGAGCTAGCTCATCAACAAAAGCAACGATCTGGTCTAATGCGTTATACTCGGCATATCTCCCCTTGATTCCCAGACACTGCTCTTTTCTCTTCTGGTCGGACAAAATAGAGCAAACTGCCTTCTTGACGACGCCAGGCTCTACTCTTTCACATCCAAGATTAATGGCTGCCCCCATCGCAGCAGCCCGGGAATTGGTATAGTACTTGTCCAAATAGACACCGGCAAGGACCATTGGCACTGCAAGAGAAAGAGCCATCTGAACAGTTCCGTAGCCTCCATTGGATACCAAAACATCCGTGTACTGAAGCAGTGTATCGAAAGGGATGAAATCTGCCAACTTGACGTTGCTCGGCAGGTCAGCCGTTATCTTCGGCCCCCTAACCAAGGTAGCAATAACGGTGACATCCTCATCCTTGAGAGCTTCAATGGTGGGCAGAATCAGGTCTGTCGGGTCGTTGTTGACAGCCCCTTGACTGACAACCACAATCGGCTTCCTGTCGCTGCCTTGCGCGTGGATAACCTCGTCCCACCATTCAGGAAGGGATGAAGGAACGTTTCCTACGGTAGGAAGAGCGCCAACAAAATGGATCGATTCCGGGGCATCGCTCCGAGGGTACTCAAACTCTGGGATGGACAGAGCAAGATAGGCATCACAGCAAGTCCCTTGGCTATGCATAAAGCGTGGCAATGAGCGAAGCTTATCAGCAGGTACTCCCATTTCACGAAGAACATTCACGAAGTGCTGTTGGATTTCTTCTGATCTGTAGATGTCTTTCTTTGTTTCCCACATTTCCCCAACGCTGGCTGGGTGTGCCGACTGGGGAGGAATGCCCATGGTCCACGTGGCAGTATCCGCGGTCTCATGTGGAATAGGCGTGGTTCCAATTTTGATTACTCCGTTGGGCTTGATGGCACCGGGAGCACCGAGGTAGACCGGCAGCATAGCGCCGCAAATGATGTCATCCATGTAGATAACATTCGTCTGGCCTTCTTGTTGCAATGCCTTCAACACATCTTGGACGCTTTTGTATTCGTCTGGAATGGGGCCAATGAAGAAGTTCGTGAGAGCTGATACTTCCATCTCCTTAGCCCATGGAGGTGGAGGCTGGTTGAACTCAGGCTTGGTAGAGCTCCCACCAGCACGGCCTTGCATCGGCGCAAAGAAGGCACCGATGGACTCAATCTCATCGCGAACGGACGGACCTGCGAGAATAGTGACAGGGTATCCTCGCTTAATGAGATGCGCTCCAATAACTTTCGCTTTTTCCAGGTGTGAAAATCGGTGAGTGGAACCGATGACAACGTGCACTTGCGTCTTTGATACGGGCAGTGTTGGGCCCATTATGGAAGAGATGAGAGGTGCCGGGATCAGATAGAAAGAGACTGTAGAATCGAAGCTTCATAGATGGATGATTGGGGTGTGACCTCGGTGTTGCGCAAAATATGTAGCGTAGACCCCCACTTCTTCGGGTTAGAAAAATCTAACCTACAATACTAGTATTCACCTGGGTTTGATCACAGAGGGAGATTTTTCCTTCTGTACGGAGAGACCAGGGCGCTACGTAGTAAAACGAGTGATCAACACAGAGAAACACAGGACAGTTCGAATCAGTTACAGGTTGGAAACATACATGTCTCATACGTGCATACTTCAAATTACCGTAATACAAACGACTGGACTTTTGCCAGCCATAATACACGTCCTAATCAATGTATTTTATCACTCTCACGTGCCTCTTGGCGGCAGATGCTACCCCGCGCGTGGGAACAGTGACCATACATTCCGGTATACGGTAATGTTATGTCGTTTCTGATGCCAACAGCAGCTCGCTAGGTCACATAGGGGAGAAATCACCAGTACCAACCTCTCCAAGCCCCAAAACCCATGGAGTCGGTCGTGCCCCGCTGATGCCAACAGGAGTAATCACATTAGGCACATTAGGAAATGAGCATTTTAATTTTGCGCTGCATGGTGCTGATCCTACGGACGCTCATCACGTAGCTCGCCCGGGGGGCCCTACGTAATTACGAATTGATTTGCAGCTGGCAGGATGTTGATTTATTTCAATGAAGGTGCCCGAGAATTCCTCACTTGTCGTCATACCTTAGCAGTCCAGTCATACGTGACCGTCACCTTTTACAGTCATGTCTACAACAACTGCTGTCAAAGAACAGATTGAAGTCGATTTTACCCCCAAGGAACACTACGGCGACTGGCGCGATGAGTTCCAAAGGGAGGGATGCATTATCCTCAGAAATGTCATCAGTCCCGAGCGGGCAAAGTATTATGCCGACAAGCAAATAGAGTGGTTGAAGAATTTTGAGCTTGGCTTTGACGAAAAGGATGAAAGTACTTGGACTGCGGAACATTTGCCTGTTAGCTTCAGGGGAGGGTAAGAAATCTTTGGTGACCGGAAAGACTGCGAGGTTCATACTAATGATATGACAGGAGGTATTTCTACGGTGTGACCCATGAGAAGAGTGTTTGGGAAGCACGCACCGAACCTGGAGTCATCGACGCCTTCGCTAAACTGTGGGAGACCGAGGAGCTCTTATGCTCTTTTGACGGAATCAAAATTGATCTACCACGCCGAAAGGATGTCAAATGGACCCCATGGCCGCACTGTGACCATAACCCCGACATAAAAGGGTATGAAATAAACCTGTCTATGTCTATGGACAACAGCTAATGATTCTATTTTTCAGATTAACATGCGTTCAGGGGATGTTGAACTTCGCACCTAGCGGTCCTAAAGATGGCGGTTTGATTTGGATGAAAGGATCCGCGAAAGTCTTCAACGAATTCTTTGCCGAGAAGCGCAAGAATGAGGACGCCGACAACCACCAGCATAAGCACCAAGAATTTTTCAAGTTCCACGACGACCACGTAAAATGGTTCGAAGAGAGGGGATACGAGTTCACCAAGCTCGAACTTGGTCCTGGCGACTTGGCTCTCTGGGATTCTAGAACGGTCCACCACTCCTGTTTTGCCGAGGGAGATCAAATCCGGCACGCGCAGTATATTTGCATGATGCCTAAGCGGTTTGCTACCGAGGAGGCTTTGAAGATGAAGAAGTACTGCTTCGAGCATTATATGCCCAATACTCACTTACCTCATCGGTGAGTTGCTTCCGTTCTATCTTCTACCTGTGAAAAGAGGGCTAACCAAAGTGGAAACAAAGAAACATCTTCCCAGCAACGGATAAACCCATCAGAGACGGCGCACTGTGTCCAAAGGACCGGAGTGAGCCATTCGAGAAGCCCGTACTAACCGATGCGGTTCTGAAATTAGCAGGTGTAAAGCCTTACTGACCTATTTGTGCTACCTTGGGCCTTAGGCTGCAATCTATCAACTTGCTTTTGTTCCTGCCGAATGTTCTTCTATCGCTTTTCCTTCTACATTTTTGTAAGCTCATAGTGTTAAGGTCAGAGATTCCGCGAGTCAACAAAGTCAATAAAGTGACACCGGAATTGTGGACATCAGTCTTACAGCGTGTATACCCAAAAAGAGATATAAGGTGCTGCAATAAAAGATTCCTCCGATCCCGGTTCACCACTCCTCTCTACTAGCTAGCTCCTGGGACGTTCCACCTTCACTCCTCACCAACTGGTCAGTCCGCGCCAACTGGTGACTCTCCGCCAACTGGTCAGAATTGGCAATCACAGCCCTCCTGCCAGCGTTCCTGATGCCACTTTAGCACCCGTTTACTTTCCTTCACATCTACTGTTACATTGGGATATTTCCAAGCGCCTATGGTTAAAGCGGAGCCCAAAGACAGCGCAAGCATATTAGGATTCCACCAAAGACGGGAGGCAGACACGTCATGCATGGCAATATATTGAGAGGGTTTCCAAATGGCATGGTGGAACTCCACCCGACAGAAACAATTGTGCATCCAGACGGGCATCATCACCCATATTTCCCAGGTACGCGGACACCCAGCACATTCAGCTCCCCATTTTTCCCTTCAGCTTCCATCATCTCGTCCAGCTCCACCTGGCACAGGAAATGGATGCGCAATCACACCAGCGATACCGGATGGTCCACATGCACCGTCACCAAGATTTCGGACTACACGTCAGTTTCACTTCAGCATGTCATTTGCATCAGTACCCACTTGTACCCAAGCTGCTGGCGTAGTAGTTAGGACACTAGTCCTCGATATGAGCATCCGTACTGATGCCTGCTTTCAGACAATGTTTGTGGGTCCTCAACCCGGTTACCAAGGTACTCAAGACGGCATATGTATACAAATGGGGCGACCAGAAAGTCCTGTCATCTATTGTTGTATGCTCGAGTAAAGTTGCCCTGAAGATAAATTACTGTAGCGGGCGGAAAAATAAGATAATACTGTAGGCAGAAAACCGGTTTCATTAAGATCTTAACGTAATGAGTTCACCTAGCAAACTATGCCTAGACAGTGGCAGACATGCCAGTGACGATCGTGGTTCCGGATCGCCATCGACTCATCGTAGATGAAGATTGGTCGGACCCGCCCATGCTACGGATCATGCATAAGTTCATGCAGCTACATAGTACTAGTTAACCGCACTAACCATATTAGGGTAGACGATCTAGCTCTCCAAGCTTCAGCTGAGCTTGGGAGCTCCACATCTGCAAAGTGCAACTAAAGTGGGCCCGGCAGATGCGGCATTATTGGCCTGAAGCGGAGTACGTAAATTACATACCGAATTACCGCAGATAGTCATAAACGTGTACACGCTAGTACGGAGACAAGTTGGGTGTTCCTGAATACATGTGAGCAAATAGTGTTCGGAGATTGACAATATACTGAGGCATCATTCCCTCTGCCATCCCTACCCAGACATCCAAACAATCGTTTGAAAAGATATCATTGCGTGCTTCCTTGTCGCATGCACGCTCTCCTCATCTCAAAAATGTCATTTCCTGATGAGTCCAAATCGCTTCTTCCGCGATCAAGGCCAATGAAGGTTCTAGTTCTCGGGCTGTGTCGCACGGGAACGAGCTGTAAGTCCCAGACCAGGCCTTGATACCTCACTCACTGACTCAATTAGCGCTTTATGTGGCCCAAAAGGAGCTTGGAATGAAGCCATACCACTTCCGAGACATCATTTTCAAGCCTGAGCATATGGACCTATGGCTGAAGGCTATGAAGGCTAAGTTCGACGGAGTTGGCAAACCTTTCGAGGGGAGGGATTTTGACCAGATGCTTGGGGAGTACGACGTATGTTGTCTTATCCGGAGATCGAATAGTTATGTACTAACTTCATTAGTCTGTCGCTGATACCCCGGCCTGCTTCTTCGTAGAGGAACTTCTCGCAGCCTATCCTGAAGCCAAAGTGATCCTTACCGTCCGCAGTTGCGAATCATGGCTGCAGTCAATGCAGAATACTCTCATTACTGTGATATCCTGGAGATCCTGGTCCATTCTTTCATTCTTCGATCGGGATCATTCTGCCTCTTACTGGCCACTGTTCAATCGCATCATGCGTGTCATGTCGAAAGGAAATGCCCCTTGGAAGCCCTCAGCTTCCTCGTCATTCCTTGAGTTTTATGATGAACATTATGCATTGGTACGTCGTGTGGTCCCAAAGGACAGGCTTCTAGAGTGGCATCCATCTCAAGGCTGGAACCCCCTATGTGAATTCTTGGAGTTCCCTGTTCCGACGAAGGAGTTCCCGCACGTCTGTACAGGGGATAGCAATGTTCGAACGCACAACGCAATGTACTGGAGCAGATGGCGGCATGTCGTGAAAAATAGTGCCAAAATTGCCACTTTACTAGGACTCACTTTCGGAGGGGTGTGGTACGTACGATCGGGTGGCATTGCTCGCTAGTCTCCTTACTAGGCATCTGGAGCCTTGACGTGAGTTGAATACAAAAAGCAGTGGTGAGAATGTGGACGGCTACACCTTGTACCTTTGGCTTGATTGATATACATCGGATCTTTGATGAGCGTGTTGGGAAAAACAGACTACTAGTTAACACTGTATTGTACTAGTTACGGCTGTAAGTAGTGATAAATACAAGGATTTTAGTATGTTTGAGTTACACTGTCTGTATTACAAAACGTCATTTCCGATGTACACTGAGAGCATCGGTTTGTATTACTCCACAATGCCCTGGTGTTTAAGTTAACTTATAACCAATAACTTGACCAGTATTGCACACATCGAACTTCTCTTGATAACGTCGAACATTGGTGTAAATTCATGTTCGTCAATATGCTCGCTTCTGGCTTTCTTTATTTCTTAGAGACGCACTCATCCTGGACCTCAATAGCAGTATCAGGAGCATTGATCTGCTTGTTATCCGCCTTCATCCTTGTTTTATCATTTCTTCACATCCCTTATGATCAAGGCATTCCGGTTGTAGGAGTTCCAAATGGACTCCTTGGCCGAGCAAGAGCTGTCTATGACTCTATAGCCCATGGCGATAAGCCAATTGCAGAAGGTTATCGAAAGGTAAGTCGTGAACCTCCTTGAAGCCGGTGACCAAAGCTCACACAGACTCGGTCCATGGCAGCACAATACTTCGGGTCAAATCTTTCGAGTGCCCTCTTTGATGGATTCATTTTCCTTTGTCTACGTCATTCCTCGCCCGCTCATCCCCCAATATAATTCGGCTCCGGAAGAGAGAGTGTCCTTTACATCTGGTCTCGAACACCTTGATCTTACGCCATACACGCTTCTCGGGCGTCGCTTTACACAGAGTCCCCTTCATCTCGGCGCCCTGCGAAGCACCCTGAGTGGAGGGAGGGAGGTTGAAGTTTTGGCTGATGAGGTTGCAAACTCCTTCACCACCTCTTGGAAATATCCTACGCAATGGACAGAAATTCCGAACCTTTACTACAGCCTTTTGGACATCATCACTCGCAATGTGAATCGCGCTTATGTGGGACCTGAATTCTGTCCGTTTCAACCCTGACTCCAGATTACTGTCTGCTGTGTGAATTGAATTTGCTGACCACATGAATTACAGGCAGAAACCGAGAATATATCGACACCGTCATTAGCTTCACTCCAGAGGTAGTGAGGTGCCGCACCATCCTGCGAGTAATACCTGGATTCCTTCGTCCGTGAGTAATCCGAAGCTTGCAATTCCCCTTCCTCGGCTATGCGAACACACCTTCTGATTCCACACATTGCTCTAAAGAATTTTTGCCCCTTATATCCTTCGCCATAACCGGGCTCGACGCGACAAGATCCAGTCTATACTAGGAGATGAAATCAACAAGAGGAAGTCAATGATCGGACCCAAGCCTGATTCAAGCAAGCCGGTAAGACAAAGTTGCATCATTATAGCTACCGGGTGTCTTATGACTGACATATCACCATTGCAAGGCCGACCTTCTCCAAGCGCTCATACTAGAAGCGAATAAAAGCCCTCAGTCCACTGCTGAATTGGATCCCAAAATGCTAGTCACAAGGCTTTTAGCGCTGAACTTTGTTGGCAACCGAACGTCCTCAGTTGCTTTCACCCACGCTATCTGGTCATTGGTACACTGTGAGTCCCAGGGACTTGGGTATTGGGCTGCCATGCGCGAGGAAGTCGAGAAAGTCTTTGCTTCCGATGAGTCCGAGGAGGCTACCGAGTCCAAAAAGCATTATCAGGGTCAGGGCGCCCGATGGATGCGATGGAATAAAAGTCACACAGCGCAGATGAATTTGATTGAAAGTTTCCTCAAGGAGAGCCTGCGGTACAATACTGACACCAATCTGGAGTGCAAGCGAATGATTGTGGACCCTGCGGGGTATCGCTTCAAGAATGGCGTGAATCTCAAGCAGGGTACGGTCAGTGCTATACCGATTTGGCAGATCCACCACGATCCAGATCTCTATCCTCAGCCAGAGGAGTTTGATGCACGTCGCTTCTACCAAGGCGATGATGGGTCTCAAGCTAGGAAGGCAAGCATCCAGACAACTAGCGATTACTTCCTTGCCTTTGGTGCAGGCAAACATGCATGGTGAGTCACCTGTCACAATCGTGGGTTAAGCAATACTAACAGCTGCATCTCAGCCCTGGAAGATTCTTTGCATCGCAGCATCTGAAATTGCTGATGGCCTTTATCGTGATGAACTACGAGATTCAGCCTGTGAGCCGCCCGGATGACGAATGGTTTGGCTCAAGCCACATGCCAAATATGGCGGCTGGATTGACCATAAGAGCGAGACAGTGTTGAGAAGCGTTACTATTCTTAGGATCAATTGCCGAGGCGACGTTCCATCATTGAATGATTGATAGTGTGTGAGACGTGGTTTAGTCTTAGCACAAGATATGTATGACCGTACGTGTACTCCGTAGACTCGGAGGCCTGGAATGGAATATACTTGCAGTTGCATGAAAACAATTTCGGCACACCGCCTTGTTCAATCTGCAGGCTGCTGCAACATGAAACGTTGAAACGGGCACGCGGTCCCCTCCCATAGGCTATCTAGGGGTTAACTATCCTCCGTTTCATTTTCATTGGCTGGAGGTCGAAAGCTTAAGCGACCTTGCATCGGACCGTTGGGCGTGCGTCACTAACGGTGCCTGGATTAGGCATAGCGACCGCGAGGGGCTCATATGATTTGTTCATGTGTTTTGATGCGGCGGAGATAGAATCATGCGCACAAATGATCTGTGCATTCCAACCCCTCAGGGCACGTGGGAATATTACTCAAGCGCAGTTACCGGACGCGTCCAGACATTCTCCCATTCCTGAAATGTTTCTTCTTACTTTTTCCTCGGACGGACCCCTCAGCGTCGCCCAAAATGACAGACAGGAGACCAACGGCCATGGATAAGGCTAAAAAGCAATGGGAAGTCATGGCACTGAATGCACTTCTGATCTTCTTCATGAATTTCGCAATATTCTTATCGGTGCCACCTCAGATCAAAATCTTTGAGGACATCATATGCCGCAAAATACATTTGGACAACGCGTTGAATCTGCATCCAGGAGACGACGATTCATGTCGAGGTGCCCTGGTTCAGACTGAGCTCGCTCGCATAAATGGATGGAAAACAACATTCGAGGCGCTTCCGAGTAGGTTCAGTCTCAAGTAATCGTCAAGCGAACAATTCATTGATACAAATTTCGAGCAGGCATCTTACTATCTGTATTATATGGCACACTTGCCGATCGGGTGGGACGAAAGCCTTGTTTGCAACTCTGCACATTGGGGATGCTCCTCAGTGAAGTCTGGACCCGTGTAGTGTGTGAGTTGCACTCGGTTTTTGGCATATTGAGTAGCATATATCCAATATCCAGGGCTAACGGTATGACTCAAATCTTGTAGGTATATGGTCAGACGTCTTGCCGCTGCGTCTTGTCTGGTTATCAGGTCTGTTGCGGTCCATTGGGGGTGGGGAGCCCGTGATCGATTCCATCATGGCTGTGATGGTGATGGATGTCTTCGAAGAACGCGATCGGTCAGTTTTCATTGATACCGCGCTGTGATATGGGGTTTTGATAGCGACACTGTTACGTTGCTGACATTACTCATCCTCAGCGCGGTGGCCCTGCTCCGCTTACATTCAGTGTTTATTGTCGCCAAAATACTTGCCGCACCTACCAGTGCAGCCGTAGTGGCATTGGGATCTCCCTGGACTCCATTCATGCTCAGTCTTGTGATTCTATCCGCTGCCCAGGTCCTATCATTTTTGCTCCCCGAAACTCTCGGCTATGCAGAACCGCAAGAACCCGATGATAACAGGACTCGGAGAAGTATCACGGAAAAGAAGGGCAATTTAATACAAAAGTTTGCCCTCTCTGCAAAATTCGTTGTTCAGAACCCAAACATGGTACCAATCATAATTGTGAATTTGGTTGCTAGTATCACGAAATCCTCGAGCAACTTTTTGCTACAGTACTCCTCTACGAGATATGGATGGTCTTACTCACTGTCAAGCTTGGTCCTCATGATCCGTGAGGCCTCGAGTCTGATAACTTATCTCGTTCTGACCCCGGCAGCCTCAGCTGCTATCCGGCGGATTGGTCGCGGCAGCGTCACAGCCCAAGACAAACGACTTTGCCAGGCCGGTGGTCTCCTCAATGTCTTCGGATATTTCTCCATTGCTACTGCGGCAACTCCAGTTTTATTTATGCTGGCATTGGCGTTCTTATCATTGGGATCCGGGTTTGACACAGTGGTGACCAGTTTCGCAACCTCCCTGGTGCAGCCGCATCAGATTGTATCGCTACATTTAGTGGCAGCGACGGCCAAATCAATTGGTGGGCTTGTTGGCGGTCCGTTGTTTGCCCGGTTAATGCAGGTTGGATTTGAGCTAGGATCAGGCTGGCTGGGTATGCCATACATTGCGGCAGGACTATTCTTTTTCGCGGTTTTGTTGGCGCTGTCCTCCATTCGGATACAGTCACGCAATTTGGACGAAACCGAGCAGCCTTTGTTGCCAACAGATGTTTAGTCTTTTAGACTTCCGTTGATGAGCGTTCTTCCTTCGCATTTCTACCTCGGGCGTTTGAGCATTTAGAGATATACAATGGCAATTTATGGGACCCGGGCAGCCATTACTGTGCAACCTGTCCACTGGAATCAGGACCCCACCAACTCATTGGCTCGCATATGAATATTCACCCGGCTGCAAACAGTAAAGCAATCATGGTGGAATGGTCAATGGTGGATAGGGTTTGATATGGCTTTTGGTCGGCAACTTTCATCAACCATGACACCGTAACTAACTACCTAATCAGGCTAGAACGATCAGGGGAGGTATTCATTGAGTGACCTGATAAGAGATAAGGCAAGCGCGCCCGTGCCCACCTCCGCGAAGATACTCCGTGAGTCCGTAGCTACAGGTCTGCACCCCCCTCTTGACACACCGCTCAGCTCGCCATGGGCCTGGTCAGGTCCGTGTTAATACGAGGGGTCAAATCGACCAAGACGTAATGGAGCCCTAAAAATTACAGTTGTTACATAGTACTGACTTACGCCAGCGAACTTACCGTCAGATTCAGCGGTACATGTACCGTCCCCTTTACCATCTGGTATGTAAATACCAAGGTGGAGACACGGGCCATAGCTCGGCCTTTTGAATGACCCCACAAGGAAAGACAGATCACATACTCCATCACGTCCAAGCGCCTACACTAAATCTGAAGCTTTCAGGTACACCGTACCGAACAACTCCGCTGCCGCCAACGCACCGGAAGTACCCCTGGACCAATGACATCATCACATCATCAATAGAGGAAATCTGGTGAGATGGACAGGCAGATGAGTCTCCGACTCTCCGGATGAGTGCCGATCTGAGCAATCTGGACCAGTTTGTCCATCACGACTGTCCTGTTGCTGTTTTCATTTATACGTACCGCTTCAGGGACCCAAACAGAGCATCACAAAGGCCTCTTGTGACTCCTGCTTAACGGACAATTTGCCTTGATTGCTATCGCTTGGCTTCTATCATACCACCAGCAATGGCAGGCGTGGATCTACAATCCCTGGGGATCAATTTCCCTCCAGGCTACTCCCTCCAATCTGCAGCGTCTCGGCCAGACATGTACGAGACCCTGTTTGATCCCGAACATCCAATGAGCACTCTATGGCCCCAATTCATCACATCGACACCTGTTTCAGAAAAGTACTGGTCACAGTTGACAGACATCCCGTTCTTTGCGTCTTACCAGCTCATGGTTCTCCACAAAGATGTGGAGAATAAACACGAGTCGGTGGTTGCCTGTGGGAATTCAATTCCGGTATACTGTCCACTCAACGATTTGCCCGATGGTGGCTGGGAAGCCATTCTGCAGGCTGGAATTGAGGCCTATCATACCGGTCACAAAGAGGCTCCCAATTTGCTTTCGGCACTTGGTATTACCGTGGCACCCTCCCACCGCCAGCAGAGGCTGGCTGATAGTCTCATCCATGTTTTGAGAGCGCTCGCCAGCCAGGCCCACTTTGAAGCCTTGGTTGTCCCATTGCGGCCCACCAGGAAGAGCGAACACCCACTGGTGCCTATGGAGGAGTACGTTCATTGGAATCTTGAAGATCGCGCACGTCCCGATGATCATATCCCGTATGATCCATGGCTGAGGAAACACCTCACCTATGGCGGCCGAATTGTTCGGATTGCTCCCCGCAGTATGACGATTGCCGCGCACGCCGATCAATGGAAGACCTGGACTGGATGTGATTTGGCTGCCTTAGCCGAGTCGAGGACGGCGACCTTCACAGAGGGGCATGTCGAGGTTCCTGTTCCCCGTGCCCTAGTTCCTGTCCGATATGACCCCGTCTCCAAGATTGGTTCGTATGTGGAGCCCAATGTTTGGGTAATTCATCCAATGCAATAGCGTAACCGAAGCTCGTGTATCTTGAAAATGTCTTCCTGCAGGCAAGTCCTAGGGCCCGTAGTATCGGGTATCGGATCATCGCAATAGATTGTTTGACGCTGAAGCGTGCACGTCCCAGCTTGGGGTAAAAATTGTCAATACCTTATGTTTATACCGTACTTTGAACCTCGAATCGGAAGTGTGTCTAGCGCCTCTACGTCCAGACAGCCAAATTCTGCACTCGCGAGATCTTCTACTCTGAGCACGTTAGCGAAATTCAAGTCCTCAGATTGCTCTTGGTCTTTCACAAATGGCTGGTACCGTGGAACGTACCCTTGAGGTTGAGGCGTGTCTTCACGATGATGCCACTAGCCAACCAATCTCTGGTTCAAATCCCTCCACACGGGTAGCCGTCCTCAGGCAACACCAATATCAATCTAGTGTGACATACCATGAGCTGGATGGCAACACATTGATCCCAGACGTCTTGGGGTATTCCTATCTTCGAGATCTTGCAGACGAAGGGAAGAAGCAATCCCCTGGCAAACAGTACGCCCGAGTGATTCAAGCCTACTCAAAGATTCACGATCTGCTATCTCCACCTAGAGCATCAAAAACAGAGGCTCGAGAGAGCAAAGGCTCCCCTGTTCTCTTTCACGAAAAGAAGTGTGCTTTGATAGAGCGACTGGAGCCACCTCCAAACTCCAAGGCGGATGTAGTGAACACTACGTTCGCCCAAATCAAAGTGCAGACACCAACCGGCCCTCCTGTGGACCAATTTGTCAACTGCCGCTCATCGAATATCAAAGCAAATGACTTGAAGGACTCCGCGAATGGCCTTTCTCGTCCCATCACGATCAGCACAGGCATATGCCTGTTCTCGTCTCAGCTCCTGGGATTCATTCCCACCAAAGGACTATCCACTCCGGACGGCACTGCAGAGACAGCCATTCCGCCATTGCCTTACAGTCAGGTTTCGACTTTCTACGAACTTGAAACATGCACGCGGATGGCAATGACTATTGCAGGCCTGGCCGTCACTGCTTGCACAGGGGGCACAGCTGGTTCCCGCCCAATTGTCGTCAGACTAGATGTTCCTCGTCTGCAGTATTACAGCTACCCATTGGAGCTTCTTCAAGCAGGACTTGTGAGCTGGGAGTACGTACGAGAGTGGTTCAGTCTGGTTGATCGCCGGCATCGGCAGGTCGCAACTTTGATGAAAGACACCATTACTCAGGAAGTACGTCGACGGGGCGGTGATGTTCAGGTAGAAGTTACCAACGGCACTACCGCTGTGGTTCAGTTTTTGCGTCTTTGCATCCTCGACCGAAGGGAATTACCGACTGTGGATGACATGCTGTTTGTGCTTGAGTGGATCGGTCCCTATCAGGCGGCATGGCGAGAATTTTTGGATATTGTTGGCGAGAGTCAAAGGCCGAAGGATCTTCGCAGTCTTTCAATAATGGCCTATGTCTTTGAGGTGATGTATCCGGCATTGAATCAGACAAGTACGAAAACCGGGCATGTGAACGACGAGGGGACTGCTCGCCCTCTGCTGATTCAGGTCGATGATATCGCCGAATGGAGGATCTTTGACCGCGCAGAAAAGCTCCTCAAGCGCTTCAAAGAGCGACAGCATGACCTTGATCCCCTCCTGGTTGGCGTGTTTCCCTCACCACGAATCTTTACTAGTGAGGATCAAGGGCGATCTACCCTGTTTCTTCATGACCCTGGTCTCAAGATTCAGCAACCTTGCTCTCCCTCTAGCGATAGCAAAGAGGGCTCAGGTGTTGTGAGTCCATTGGATATCATTGGCGAGATCTATGGGGGAGAAGTCCAGGACACACTTGTGCAACTGTTAATGAAGGGCGGTTTATCTACACCAGATGAGCACGAATTAGCTTGAACTCCGAGTTTCTACATTCTCGGACCATATGAATCTAACATTGTGGCATCTTATTGTGGTTGTGAGAAATAAGACATCTATCTCAACGTCAGAACGTAGTATGCAGTACGTTGTCGTCGATGCCCAGAGACGAAAACCTACTCGCCATAGACAAAGCTATGATCACCGTAAACACCATTAGCTGTACCTGAACATCCTGTTTTCCGCGGTTGCTCTCTCGCATCCACTCAACACACACACCTAACCCACGAGGTAGTCAAGTTGGTTACAAAACACAATGCATTGATCATCACAAGATGTGGGGGCACGCAAAAAATCATGGATTGTTGAGATGCCTACTCCGTAGGTTGGAGGTGCATGACAAATGGATATGCAACCATGGAAAAGCTCGGGATCTAAGCTCAGATCTACTCCATAATTTAACCAAGGTTACACGACACGAGGGGCAGGCCACGCAGCAAAAGTCAAAAGTTTAAAACACTTGACACGTACCTACACATCCTGCATGATTTATTGAAGTGGGGAACGCTCGAAGGCAGTACCTTCGCTCTGAAGGCATACAGGTCGATTCAGCACCTGCAAAACTAGCAATTGGACTGTGTTTTTCTCTATCTATAACCAATTCGCTCTTATCATGGTGTACTGAGCACCTGAGTTTGGTGACTTGAAAAAGGGAAGAAAACCTTGCAAGGGCAGGTGATGTCAGCCCGTAGTGGGGCAACCATCTTCCCCACTACAAGATGAAGCTAGTGACTAGTGCTCCACATAGCTTCCAAGATTTCCCCAATTTTAAAATCGAACCTTAATCTCGATTCAGCTGGCTTCGGAAACGCCACATGTGCATGTGGATCTTGGCACCGTGCGTGCGTACCTCACAATCACATACAGGGCCCACGAGACGACTGGAGTCTGTTACTGTACCTCAACCATTTAGCCAGCCCCTGCGTCTGACAGCACCCAGACACAGTAGATCAGGTACTGTGTCACAATCGGGTAATAACGAGTGGGGCCGCCGGGAAATCCCAGGTGACCCGCGCTGTGTTCCAAGCTTCCAAGATCTGTACCAAGATTTGTACTCCGTACCGAGATCCGTACCGACGTATTGCCCGGTCACATCCCGTGTATTATGAGGTTCTGTATTTGCTGTAAGGTAAAGACGTACCAGTGGGTTTAAAACAATAATTTACGAGATCTGTTCCGCACTGTATGCAACGTGGGTCGCTGCTGCACCTTTGTATAATTTACGCTGGAAATTTTCAACTCTTCGTACCAAGCAAGCTCCCGAGGTACTTGACATGGGGAGCTATGAGTAGCTTTAGGTCCTGTCTCCTTTCTCATTGGAAGCTCCAGTGCCTGTTTTTCTCACCATCGCGGTCAATCGGTTCGGACATTCACACAGGCTACACCTTTAGCCTTTCAACATGCCGCGTGTGGTCATTGTTGGTGCTGGTATGAAATATCACTTTCCCTCGAGCTACGTTGGTTATTTGTCTGACCATTTCTCTATTGCAGGACTATACGGCCTGATCGCAGCCAAAACCTACCTCCAAGTAACGGGCCCTAATTATCCAAATAACTCCCAGCAATCCGAAACAACCGAAGATATACCCGAATCCTTCCAAAGGCCCAGAGATGCCCAGTCAGCGCATGACGACACCGATCTTCTTCTCCTGGAATCTGGATCAAGCCTCGGGGGAACATGGGCGGAGGAGCGACTTTATCCAAATCTGCTGAGCCAAAACTCCGAGGGCCTATACGAGTTCAGCGATATGTCTTTGTCCGAGGCCATGGAGGGGCTCGAAGATGAAGAGCCGCCATATCAAGATACCCAGCCCGAGGATCGCTTCATCCCAGGGTGGAAGCTGAGTCGATACCTCACGGTTTGGAGTCGCAAATGGAACCTACCCCAGTATATGCGATTCAATTGGCAGGTCAGTCACCCCAGGGAGATTAAAACAACCACAGTCTAACGATTGAACGATAAATAGGTCAAGAAAATCAGCCGCCTGCCAACTAAGGAATGGGAGTTGGGAATAGACATTCACCCAGAACAACCATCGCAGACAAGGTCTATAACTATTCTCTGTGACAAACTCATCTTGTCCCCAGGACTGACGTCCGTGCCAAATATATTGAATTTCGCTCCGGCAACTGGCCAACCACCCGCCTCGGCAGAGCACGTGATTCATGCCAAAGAAGTCGGTCAATGGTGCCGTGATAACCTGGGTTACCAGCCAATACCGGGACAAGATGCTCACTCCGATGAGGCGAGTTCACAGAAAACTCTCACGGAACCTAGTCGTGTGCCCCGGCGGGTTGCAATTTACGGCGGTGCAAAATCCTCTTTTGACCTTGTCCACATGTTTGCAACACTTCACCAAAAGGATCCTAGTTTCCATTTGAGAGGACTGGATGCGACTGGTCCAATTGATCCGGTAGAGGTGCACTGGATTATACGCGATGGTGGGTCTGGCCCCGCTTGGATGTCGCCGCCTCGGTCGAATATGCCCAATGGTCAGAGTATAGCCAGTGACAAAGTGGCCAGTACTCGGTTTGTGGGCGTCCTAAGCCCGTGTACACCATTGGTGCCAAAACGTCTGACACTTCGTCGCTCCTCCAATTTCTTGGGTTGGAAACTCACCGTGGAGGGCTCGTGGCTTGCCCGTGTACTTCATGGAAATCCTATCGGGCGCTATTTCGTACGAAGGTTCTGGAAGGCACTTGATAAGTCGTGGGGTGATTTCGCTGGGTATGACAGTCCCCAGGATGGCGGAAAGATGGGGCAGCTTCGTCCAACAAATAGGTATGTTCATCAAATTTGCTCGTCTTTCCATATTTCATTGCTGATAAGTCAAGTGTAATTTATTGTGGTGCGCCGCTGGGAATTGCCAACCAGCGTGGCTTCTGGGATGCTGTTCGCGCACCGAATGTGCACATTCACCGTTCTGCAATTGAGTCGGTCTCTGGAGATACGTCTTCAAAAGAAGGAGTCATCATCACTCTAGCCGATGGCACAGATCTTCCGTTGACAGACCTTCTTATCCAAGCCACTGGATGGAAGCCCACTGTTCCCATAGAGTTCAACCCTCCATCACTTATCCTTCAATTGGGACTCTCATGTCCAGTTCCTACTGCCCTTTCCAGCACGCATGGCGACCAAGATGTCAAAGTTGACCCGGAGATTAAAAAGCTAATTAAATACTGGGATAAGATTGATTCCGTATCAACATCTCGCATCAGGCGGGTCTTTGGGCCCAACAGTAGACCACCAAAAGATGTGGTCGCCAATACCACGGCACCGACAGATGATTTCGAATTCAGCCCATATCGACTATTCCGTCGCATGGCTTCTCCGGAACTTATTGAAGAAGGCGACCGATCTTTCGTTGCGCTGGGCTTTGTTCTAACCGCTACCACTGCTGTTGTGGCGGAAGTTCAGGCGCTGTGGGCGGCTGCATTTTTGACTGGTGGTCTTGATGATAAAAGAGTCGAGAAGTGCCATGACGCGCTAAGCATCAACGGGATGTCTCGATCTGACATAGATAGAGATATCTCGGAAGATGTCGTCTGGGGGGGCTTGACTGGGGTTGGCCCTGGTGTGGATACCCTCAATGTGAGTTTCATGCCCTACTGACTTTTCAGCCATACACTGACACAGTATTCCAGTACAATGACATGCTGCTCCGAGATCTGGGACTCTCTCCGTATCGGATGGGTGGTGGTTTTGTCACCGAGTTGACAAGTGTCTATACGCCAAAAGCATACCGTGGAATTGTAGAAGAGTGGAAGTCTATGCGAAAGTAGACTCCATGCACAATATAAATATCATTTGTCTTCTATTAAATTTCATTCTACATCTGAGTGTTCCGATCCTTTAGAACAGTGGAGGTGTGTTTCGGGGGCATGTCTCTCTCCTAACTAGATGATCTTCCGACCAGCATCATGACCGCTTCCAAAATGAGCCGAACCATCTCTTCCGGCTTTCTCCATATATCATCATGTGAGCCAGCCAAGTTGAACCGAGTATGACATACTGCCCCAGGGGCAAGAGAAGATTCCAAAACGGTTGCAAACTGAGTGGACTGCTCCAATGGAACGAGCTCATCAGAAGAAGAATGCACTAACATTGCAATTTGTGCATTGGGCCACGATGATCCATATGTCGTTGCTTTGGCAGGGGATGCAAGATCCCAACCGCACCCGTCAGAATCTTCATTGTATTCCCCATAAGTAAATCCCCCTGCCCCAAAGGCGCTTTCCAACATATGCACGTACTCTTCCCTGTACTCAACCACCGGCCATATGGAGTTGAGGAGCTTTCGAAGGTCGTAAATCCCACTAGCCCCTAAGATAGCCAGCGGCTTCTTTAGAGCTGACGAAGGCTGCTCCATGGCAAATTGAAAAGCCAGCGTGGCTCCTGCACTGTGTCCGACAAGAATATACCGATCCCCAAATTCATATTTCGAATCCAAGAACTTGATAGCGTGCTGCACGTCCTCGAGATGGTCTGGGTGTCGCGCGTTGCGCCCCTCTGAAGGGGCCCCAGACAAACGGTAGTTGACGGCGGCAATGCCAGCAACGTGGGCCAGAATACGCTTTTCTCTCAACAGCCCGTCGCGTATATCGCGGAAACTGTTGGCTTGTATATTGGGGTCGCTCCAGCCCCCTCCATGAATGTAGCTGGCATATTGTCAGTCCTTGCTTCGTTGAAGGGTATGATTTACTCACATTATCCAGAAGCGGGGAACTGCATCTTTGAGGGATGTATTTACTTCGCAGATGTCGACGGTGTGATACGTAGTCGAAGTATCAGAGGACAGGTAGCGGACCCCCTTCGTCAATTGATATTCCGTAGACATGGTAGACGAAGATGTATGAACAGATCAAAACTAGGTCGGCAGTTGACGATGCGGACTCTGGAAACCGATCGTTCGCGGGAGAGGGTTGAATATTTATGTGTGTTGCTGCGACCGCCCCGAATTGTCAACATGGCAAAGCTACTATTTATTACCGTATTATTTACATTTGGAAGTTAATTTACAGGCCTTGAGAATACACAGAGAAACAGTTATCAAGCAATATGCTCAATATGCTTGATTCTATTGTCAGGACTCCAGGTCGAACTTCCTTTCTTGAAAGCTATTCCTCCCATCTAAGCAGCTGTGCGCGGGGACTATAACCGACTATTCTGATCTTGAAAATACCAAGTAAGCCTACTACTTGGTTGACTGGGCCCTCGGAGGAGCGAGGCCTATAATTCACAGGGTGGTTAGATAACTGAGGGAAAAGGAAGATTGGCCAGTTGACTCACTCTTGCGTCCGATAAACATACTGGCAACTAGGAAAATTCCGGTGAGAACTCCTAGGAGACCAAAGAGAGTATAAGGCTGCGTCGCAACTGTGGAACCATATACATAGTTCATTGCAGTTGGCATAAGGATTCGGAAAATTGCGTGCAGGAAGTTGACTGCACCCAGAAGCACTCCCTGGCGCTCCTCTGAAACCATACCAGTCAAGCAAGACGTCATTACAGGTGAAAGGGGAGCACCAGTCCCTGCAATGAGCGAGCCAGCAATGACGCCGAGAGGGGAGTCGAAAGCTGCGATGGTGATATATCCCACAGTTTGCAAGAAAAGATAGGTACGTATTCCGCCCAGCTCCCCAGGACCAAAGGCGGATTGGGGCTGACCTTCAGGATGGCCCCCAGGTTGTTGGCGCCTTTTAATGAATGACATGAAAAGCGGGGCGATGGCGACAAGAACCAATATACTCCAAAGATTGACGCCGGTAAGGAATGCGCTTTGGGCAGATGATCTCCAATGGAACATATATGCAGAATAGGCCAGTTGCAAGGGGGTGAGTCCCATACTAACTCCGAATACGGCTGCCTCTGTGATCGCGAGAACCAACATGTTCACTCGGGACGATCTATCCGATGGAATGAGAGTGCGAGCAGAAGAGATAACCTCGAAGAAACCCGGCTCAGCCTCTGGTTTGCTCCGGGGTTTTGTGTTTTCCTCGGTATTTTGAGACTCTGTTGTCGACTGGAGAGATTCAGGCAACACCAGAGCAAAAAGCACTATCAGCGACAAATGGATAGCAAATGCGATCCAATACGCATGGATCAGAGAATCAAACACACTGAGCAAGCCACCAGCTATCATTGGACCGAGTGCCAGGGCGCTCATAAAAGCTGCTTGGATGTAGCTGAAGCTCGATGCGCGATTCTCTGACGTACTGATGTCCGATATGTAAGCCTGCGCAGCAGTGGTCGCAGTGATGATAGAACCGCTGAGACCATCCATGGCATATCCGACGAGAAGATATTTCACATCGACTTCATCGGGATAATACAAAGCAGCAAGTACGATGATGTCAGCTATCAATGGTCCTAGGACACTGAATACTAGGATGGGTTTGCGGCCAATCTTATCGGAGAAGCCCATGAGATTGGGGCCCGCAATGGCGCCCAGAATACCAGAAATCACTTGCCCATAGATGTAGAACTGCGACAAGTCAGATTGCACTTCCGTATTCCCGTCACACTGTTCCATGGCAAATTGAAAATTGCTGTTGTCTGGGGAATGTCGCTGATGGCAAATCAGTCCCAGCGTGGCATTGAATTCCGGAATGATCAAGCTGCCAGCGGTGATTGAATACAAAGTATACATAGGCAGTAGCCAAGTAACCTGACACGAATGTTAGAATTTGGAGACTTCCACTAGACACATTTTCCATCGAATCGATTCCGCTTAACATACAGATGGTTTCCGGAATTGAAGCCATAATGATCCGAGCGCAGATTGATTTTCATTGGGGCTGGAGGGCTTGGTGAGGAGTGGCTCTCTCTCATCTTCGGAGCCTCCTTGCGACGTCATCTTGCAAACAGATTGTACCAAGAAATTGTCAATTGTAGATTTTTTATGAGATCTGAGAATACAGGCTGAGGGGACATTTATAAGTGGCAGCACCTGAGGCGGGCGGTATCCACGATGACAGTGAAAAATACAGTACTGTGCCTGGAACGCCGGGAAATGTGGGCCTGTACATCTGCTAATACCCACGGTTTCAGGTACGATTCCAAGCTGCACCATTACGTTCCGACCGTACCCAACTGTAATTTTTCGTGATTCAGACCACTTTTTGGAATCGCACGGGAACCTCCGCGGGTGGAAAGAGTACCTGTCGCCTGTAGATATCAGTTCTTAGTATGATGAGATATAAATGGGCTTGACAATGGACGTACTCGTCATATACAATACCCTTTGGGCAGTCGACAACGATAGTTGAAAATTCCATGTAGGTTGCTGCGAGGAGCATTTTGATTTCTAGAACGTCAGCACCCACCATGCAAAACCACGAAAGCTTGGCCCATCTCACCATAAAGAGCATATTCTCGCGCGACACATCCGTATGTCCCACTTCCAAAATACCACAAGTGATTCCTCAGCTCCTGGGGCTGAATTTTGCCAGCCAACTTGTGGTTTACTGATTCGCTGCTTCCCATCCATCTTTCGGGCCAGAAACATAATGGCTGAGGGAAGATATCTGCATTCGAATGCAAAGCCTCTCGTGTCGAGCTCACAACAGTACCAGCTGGAAGGAAGGTGGATTGTCCTGTGATATGCTGAGGGATCAAATAACCCGCGTCCGGCACTTGGCGGGGTGTTAATGCTTTGACTTCCGTGTGTGTTCTCATAATTTCAGACACAACGGCATTGAAGAATGGCAGTGAATCAAGACCATCGATAGAAAGCGTATCGAGGGAAAGGGATCTCAACTCTTCTCGAATCCGCTCTTGAACGTCAGTGTAGATAGAAAGCATATAGACACTGTACGTATGCACGACAGCCAGATTCTTCTTTGCCGTTACTGTAGCATCGGTTAGCGTTGCCAATAGAGGCCCGAATTATGTTCTTACTCAAGTGGTCCAGAATTTCCGCCGCAACCTCTCTCTCTTGTAATCCAGCACTATACAGAGCCTCCGCAGTGCAGTGGCTAATTGTCTGATGTGTGGGTAACAGACTTGCAGCCCGATATGCACGACACATCTCTAGACACCAGTTCTCCAGATTGCATTTGGCGCTTTTCCCAGCATCTGGAGAGCCACCTCGGAGCTCTCGAACCCATGAACAGAACTGGTTGAACTCATCGCTATCATTCAAGAAATTAGTGGAGAATGTAGGTGTAAAGGCAAATGCAGTCAAGAAATCCATATCAAAGGCTTCATGCACAGGTCGTACATTTCGAACCACGGAGGAACCAGAAGGGATTTCCGCTTCCCGTATCATTCGGCCTAACAAGATCTCACGAGTCACATTCTTGACATGTGGAGAGTTTCTTAGAGACTTTGAAAATACGTTGCTGAGAATCCGTCGTCGCGCACTATGTTCCTTCGGGTGTGTCATCCCGAAAAGTGACAATTGCCTGCATTTCGTATTAGCGTTGAACCAGGCATGCTGGCCCTATGTAAAATTGTACATACCCATAGAATAGCTTATCCTCAGGACTTTCATACCACTCTGGCCATTTTGAGAAACTCGCATAGAGTGACCTGACTAGTGAGTTATCGGTGATGACAACCTCATTAGTCCCAATCCGTACCACAGGGCCTTTCTTTGACGTGTCAATGATTTGTCGAGAGAGGACCTCGGGGGGAATGTCAATCGCTGACTTGAACAGAGCTGAAAAAGAGGTACGCGGTAATACCAATAGCGGGAAACGTTGATATACGATCCATCGTAGCGAGAGAAGCAGCAGGAGGGCTGCTCCCACAGTGATGAATGTTTCTGTTTCCATGCTAGCATTTGGGGAGGTAACTAGCATTGTGAAGGGAAGGAAATGACAATCAGTCGCAAGAGAAACACTTAAAACAGATTCAATCGGACCGGAGCTGTGTATTGTGTACTGTGGTACCTATACTGTGGATCTTTGAATACCGTTTTATATACAATAAAAAATACAGGTCTCGTGATCCTTAGGACTGGAGCGCGGAACACTGTGAGTAGCTTTTCACCACTCTCTCCTAGAACTTCACACGTCTAATTCCTCGTTCTGTGTTTTTGGGTAAAGTAACTAGGTATGTGAGCACTGATAACCCCATCAAAAATAGGCCATCATTCGAACCTATATCTCTGAGCAGGCTCATCTCGGCATGCCACCTATCTTGCTACTTGGTGCTTTAGCGAGCCTCGCTACATTCTCACTTTACAAATGGCTATATCCCAAATTATCACTTCCTGTGGTTGGCATAGGGCCATCGCACCCGCTATTCACTCTTCTCTCCAGAGTAGCCAGTGTCATGAAAAGCAAGATCTGGATTGACACAGGCTATCAATTAGTTCGTGCAGCTTGTTTCCGACATCTTGAAATATTCTCTCTAATACACTATAGTACTCGCGTGCAGGCCGACCATTCGTGGTATCTAGTCTTTTGGAAGAGCCATCTTTAGTTGTACTCCCTCCATCTATGACCTCAGAGCTCATTCTGGCTAAAGAAACGGATCTATCATTCTGGCATGCCCTGGACGATATCGTTTTTTCAGAGCATGCATTTTACTCCCCGCGCATCTTATCTCTTCCGCTGCAGACCACCATCATTAGGCGTCATTTGACCTCTGGCATTCAGCGTTTCTTGCCTGATGCGGTTGATCAACTCAGGAATACTCTGGATCGAGAATGGAAGTCCGGAACAACGAAAGAGTGGGCTTCCGTCAATCTCTTTGGCTCCTTACTCAACGTGGTTAACAATATGGTGAGCGTTGTATTTGTTGGCAATGAACTGGGTAAGATGGGCTTTCAGTCTGATTCCTGAACCTTTCACTTATTTTGCCAAACTTTATAGCTAATCTGCTGAATGATATCCGCAGCCAGCGATGAAGAGTTTCAGACTAGTATCAACAAGCATACAGAACAGGTATTCCTCACAATGTCTGTACTCAAGTTTGTGCCTCGGAAGCTGAAGAGCTTGCTTTGTCCAATCATCCGTCGATCTCAAGACAAGTACAGGAAGGAAGTTGAGAAAAAGCTCTTGCCCATAATCACTGAGCGTCTGAATGATTTAAAAGAGCTGAAGGGGGAAGATTCGAAGACTCAAGATAAACCAGTATGTTATCCTTCGATGGGACGCATGTATGGCTTACTCAATTTTCGCAGGATGATCTACTACGGTGGCTTATCGACTGCCAAGCATCTTTGAAAGACCCTGCCGAGCGGGCGGTTGAGCTTGAACCGAGCCTGATAGTTACCCGGGTCTTGATGTCCTACTTCGTCTCGGTTTTTCTTGTGAATGTGGCACTCTTCAATGCTGTATCAATAATGGGACGGCTCCCTGAAGCCGACTATTGGTCGACGATACGTGATGAGGCCCACGGCATACTCGATGATGATCAGGATGGATGGACCAAAGCAAAGGTGGATAATCTCTGGAAAACGGAAAGCTTTGTGAAAGAGACCATGCGTTTCGTGGGGGACGCCTGCTTTGAAATGCGACGAAAGGTGAGTGACAAATACAATAGACTTGCCATCGACTCCTAGAGAGTGCTAATTGCTTTCTCTTTTTCCATGCCCCAGGTCATGGTTCCCACTGGCATCAACCTTTCAGATGGCACCCATTTACCGTTCGGCACTACGGTAGGGCTTCCTTCCAACGCCATACACAACGATGATCGCTTTTATCCGCAAGCTAGCTCGTTCGACGGCTTGCGTTTTCTGAAGCTCCGAGAGATTGATGATCCCAATGCAGCTCGAGGATCATTGTTGACAGCCACTAGCAACACGTTCCTCCAATTTGGACATGGCAAGCATGGATGGTGAGTATCAATACTATCCCCTTGATATAATTAGAGATTCTAACAGACCTTCAAGTCCTGGAAGATTCCTTGCGGCCGATATCCTCAAGCTTATACTTGCCGAGATGGCTCTACGGTATGAGATAAAATGGGATGTGAAGCCGGAAGAAAACAGTTGGTTTGGCAATTCCCTCATGCCGTGCACAAACACGGTTGTATCTGTCTCCCGAAGAGACCTTTCATGACTGTTAATGGATCCTCGAAGTGCCTCCAATGAATAAAAGTTTAAGCGGCCATCACTACTGAGGTTTTCATATAAGCATATTGTATTCGCAAATGAAGAATAATCTTCACATCTCTAATATCTGACCAAAAGCAAGGCTGTATCCCGAGGTCGAAGTGCAGCCTTATGTAAAATATGAGGCTGAATGTATTCACTATTGCTTTCTCATAGCTCAAAGTGAGTTTTGTTCTTTGCCATGGGTTTGGTATATCGATACAAGCTGCCCGTTTTAGAATGCAGTGATAATTACTGAAACCTGAATATAATACCACCCTGATCTTGGCTACTGAAAATTACCTTAGTAACGTGTATCAGCGTATCTTTGTATTGTCTCAAAATTATACCTATATTTCCGTATGTTATTTTTTCCAAGTTTTTACTTGTCTAAAGCTTTCCCCATCGTATCGATCTCCACCTGTACACCGACATCTACCCCTCCTCCGTCATACAAACAAATCGAGATTACGCTCCACCCTCAAGGGACGATCCGGTGCGATCAAGTTTTTGCAGTGTAGCGAGGACCCACACCTGCGATGTGCATCTAAGCTCAGAGATCGTCCGACCTATCATCATCCTTGGCGGTGATACGAATCTGGCAGCCACAGTTTTAGTCCACTTGGATCTCGATAACAAAAGAACAGGCGGCCAAGGCACTTACGTAGATCTCTGCCAATACCATGTGCATAACTAGAGCGGCCCAGAACGCCATGCCAATTCCCGCACGGCCCCAAGCAGTGAGCTCTTCGACAGACCCACTGAGATCGGCCTTCACAGCGACAATAGTACCTGCATGGCCGCCATTCTCCGCCATGCAAGCAGGATAGGTACTTTGTAAATGGGCCGATGCCGGCGAAACGCCGAGATCATTCATCAAGGTACCACACGAGAATGCCACGTATCCTAGCGTCCAGTTCATCACCTCTGGTATGATGAGATACACCGAGGAGAAAGACCCAGTCGACATGACGGCTAGCGTGCGAATGATAAACTCCCGGTGACGCCGGATGTCGATCGCCTTGTATCGTCGGAAAACCCGAGCGTCTGGGTTGGATGGCCCGTGGTGGAGCTTGTAGCGGAGACGGGACAAAACTACGTTAGTCGAGATGCAGAAATATGAGGCGGCAAGAAAACAGATCGTCAGCACGCCTGTCAACATGATTGACAACCGCACGGAGGGGTTTTCAGCTGCGCCAAACGCATGCACAGCTACCATGATTCCGCTTGGCGCTCCGAATCCCATCATGAGGAAAAATGCCTCACCAAGGCTCCGGTGGATCGACATGTAATTCTGAAGGGGAAGTTAATGTTCCACTTTTCTTACTCAATCTTGAATTCCCGGCGGGGAACTCGGAAGCCATACATACCCTGCGCAATTGAGGCACGAACTGCAAGAGTCCGATTACCGAGCAAGCTGGAGCCCGGCGACGTCAGTTGAGGTCATCCACAAGAGCTGTATTTGGACTTACGCAAAACACATGCAAGATGCGCGCGGAACAAAGCTTTGAAATGCAAGTCAGTGAATGACATCCTTGGAAAGTCCTGACAGGACAAGAGTAATTGAAACTTTACTTTTGTACCCGGCTGTTCGCTTCATCCATGAATATTCGCCAGGTAGAGCATTGGTTTGGAATGAGCCTTCGAAATCCAGCTTCCTCATGTTCCAGATGTTGAATGCGGCGAAATAGCCTCCAATAACAGCCCCTTGAATTGAACCATTAACATTACAAGATCCCAGTGACGGTAAGAGAGGAGATAACTCACACAGCCAAAAGGTGGACCAGTTCTTAAATCCGAATATCTTCGCCTTCGTTGGTGCAGTAGGGGCCGCTTGCGGCTTGACTTCTTTTGAAATAGACATTTTCCACCGTTGGTTGGGGGTCTCGAAGTCCAATGTGTTGGAGATTCACTCAGAGCCCAAGAAAGCTCATCAATGGAACGGGTGTAATAGTTCTGATTTGGAGGAGCACTGTGAAATATTTATAGTGAAAAGCGGTCTATAGCAGAAATACAAGACAGGATCCGCTTATCGGGGCTGTAAGTCCGTGCCTTGGGTGGGTAACTCGAAGCGACATCTGTAACTGTCCGTATATATATAGTCTGGCAGGTTGGCTGCACCTGTCTCCGACACTATTTGCGTGTTGAAAATGTCCAAGTTCTGGCAATCAGATGTGTCAGCCATCACTTGGCCCTCGTTCTCTCTCCATTCCATTGACCTGTCCCGTCTTAAAGACAGAATATTTGAAGTGAAAAGCAGTCCCCAGCTACTAGGGACATTCTTCCTATGCAGCATTATTCTCTACTTTGGAGTTGTTTTGCTGCGGGACCCGTTGTCCCATGTTCCCCCACTACACTGGTCTACACCGTTTTCGCGGTTGAATCAGCTCTACACAACTTACTACCATGATCGCCATTTTGCCAACTATGATGCGCACAAGGAAGTTCCTGGGAAGAGGAAGTTCCGACCTGTAGTGAGAGTCGGCCCGAACGAGGTCAGTTTGATGACTGCGGCCGGTGTGCGTACAGTCTACGGTGGGAACTTTGAAAAGGCTGCTTGGTACGAGGTATTCTCAAATTATGGGTTCGTCACAATTTCCTTCCAATTGGCTTTACATACTGTATGTGATATTGTCGGCAAGAAGGCTTACACATGGTGAAGAAAGAACAACATGTTCTCGTTTACAGGCAATGCCGATCATGCAGCGAGACGCCGAATCTTTTCTTCCAATTACCTCAAGTCGAATGTCTCGACTCCCTACATCCAGCAGATTATCCAATCTCGCGTTGAAAAGATGATTCGCTTCATCGATTCTGCCGTAGAGGAAGATACCAAGAAGACGCAGCCTATGGTTGTGCGCAACATTTACCGGGCCATGCAGTCTGATATCTCCACGCGATTCGCATTTTCAGATTCATACGGCACAGATTGGCTGGACAAACTCAGTGGACCGGTAAATCAAAGCAAACACACCGGAATGCATGTTATGGACTTTTTCCATCAAGAGCTGAGAGAAGCAACTTTCTTTTGGGAAAGCGAACCCCCGTTCCTATACGTCAACCAACTGCTTGTCCCCAATGGCCCACCGGAGCAGCAAAATGCACAAAAGTGGGCTGCTGGTCTATTCCGCCGTTTTGAGGCTATGCTAGATGAGAGCTCTAACCGAGATGAGCTGGTTCGTCAAGGCGTATATGGAAAATTATATACATACCGGGACTCAGAGGGAAGGCCATTGTCATTTGAGGACCGGGCCAGTGAGATGCTGGATCACATTGGTAAGATGAGCTCGATGTGGAAGTGTACGTCAACTAACTAATATCTTCAAGGTGCTGGCCACGACACTATGTCCGCTTCTCTGGAATATCTAACGCGACAGATCAGTCTATCGCCTGATGTCCAAGCCAAGCTCCGGGAGGAGCTTTGCGTTGAACATGGAGGGACTTTCGAGACATATGCTGATCTTGACAAATTCCCATATCTCCACGCCGTTGTCATGGAAGGTTTGCGCCTTGTTTACACAATCAACTTTTACCAACCCCGCGTGGTCCCTAAAGGGGGTTGCACAATAGAAGATATATACCTTCCGGAAGGGGTAAGCATTGCTTCTTGTTATCACATCATTTGAGGTCATCGGCTAATTACCCCCTTTTAGACTATTGTCGGGTCGCAGGCGTATCTCGTTCATCGCCAGCCCGATATTTTCCCCGATCCCGAGGCATTTAAGCCTGAGAGATGGTTGGTTGATGAGCAGCAGGCTCGAGTTTTGTTGCGAAACTTCTGGACCTTCGGAAGCGGACAGCGCGGCTGTATTGGAAGGGATCTGGCAATTTCAGGTTCGAGAAGACCCAAACCGACAACGCTAGTCCTTATTGCTAACTTTGACGGGCTACAGTTCTCAAGAACACGCTTTTCGCTATCTACACGAGGTTCCAAACTACTCTTACGAATGAGCATGGGCCGAGAAGGCCGTGGGAAGGACACTATGCAATGGCCGAGGTGGAATTTGTTCCCATTTCTGCCTGATGGTGGATGACTAGATCCAGAAACACTTGGTCTTGACCGAAGTCTCTGATCACGATGAGGACAATGATATTGATGAGCTTTTTGCAGCTTGAAGGAGGTGATCTGGGCATGCCATAGCCAGTTCGTCGCGAGTGAAAAATTCCAAGACACCGTCAACTTGGAAGGGATTGGCCTCTTGACTCTGGGAAGGTACTTTTCCTTCTATCACATCCAAAATAAACTTTTTCGTTCGCTGCAGAAGTGAGATTGCGTTGAGTCCAGAGCTGAAATGGCCGCACGCTGCGGTCCAAACTGCCGCACCTTCGGGTTTTTCATAATCCGTGATGAGAGTCTCTAGCCGAGCCAGAGTCTGAATGTGTAGAACCAAATCTCCTCCATATGCGTAGAATAGAGGACTTTGCTCATACGCTGAGTCCCCCAAAAATACGGTACTTTCATCAAGGTCCAACACTACCATATGGTCCGGTGAATGACCAGGGGCGTGTAGCAGCTGGAGGTTCAATTCCACACCATCTGCATCAACTAAAGAATAGCCATCTGACACACCAGTAACTCTTTCTAGATCAAGTCCCATCGGTGGTAAAGAGCGAGATTCTCGAAGCGAATCATGGTGTAGTCGAGATTTTGCAACTATTTCCGAAAGCAAAATCCGACTGCAGTAGATGTGGTAGGAACTACCATCAAAGGTTTCCAGCCCTCCTATTCACTGTGTGTCAATAACCTCAAGGTGACCAAAGCTTACACATTAGCAGAGGGAAAAAATCATACCAATGTGGTCATAATGGCAATGAGAGATCAAAATAACGTAAGGCAAGCGACCGTCGGGATTCAAAGGCTTTCCCTTGTTTTCATGAATCGGAACGGTCTCTATGAATCTCCGCAGGCCTGTAACCGGGAGGGACTTATCCATGGGGTCATTGCACCCGGTATCGATGACCACGACGCAAGTTGGGTACAGTTTCACGTAAATCATTGGCCGCTCAATGTGGCGGTCATCCTCCACAAGACGAAAGGTGGTCTGGTTCAAACGAGTTGCTGTGAAACTGGTAATTGAAGATGCTTCTACCAGATGGGCAGTCATTCGGAGACTGTAGACTGCATAATCCTGCTCCTCTGGTGGATTTCCGCACATGGTGAGCGTGATGAGATTGACTCCAGTGGCAAGGAGGGGCAATGGAGGGGTGGAAGGAAGCAGGAGAGAGACATGAAGCTATAACAGTATGCACCAAATATGTATGTGTAGCTTATCGGCTGCCAATCTGGAGATAAGAAGGAAATTGTTGAGGGCGCTTCCCCCGCTCCTTCCTCTTTGGATCGTGCCTTCCCTGTCTAAGCGCTCAAGCACTGCTTCTTGACCGGGTGCGCCCAATACACAGGAAATACATATTCGGCTATTATCTCTGCCGCGGTAGAGTCATTCTATCATCTATTATGCCATATCTTTTTGCCCACTAATTACGAATACATCCCTACAGATCCGTATGAGATTAAGGAAAGGTAACTACGTGAAAACGTGGATAGAACGTTGGAAGAGACTACAAAAGTATCCAGTTGTCATACCATACAAATTCCAAACAGCACTTACAATACACGGTATTATTTACATACCATACAGACCCGCATACATGCAGTACCTATCAGATTACATGACGTTTTTTTTGCTTTTTTTGAAGTGGACTTCGATGCGGGCGTAGCTGCGTAAAAGCTGAATGTAGATTAAAGTATTTGACCGGACTAGTTTCGCATGAGACCCTCATAGCTCTCATTGAAAGCACCGTCACTCTCAAAAAATTCACCTCCTAGCCAGTCAAGGTGGACTTCTGACGACAGCAAATCAAAGGGGAATCCTCACCATAACAATGACAAGCTTCATTGTGCTCTTGACCTTGGCGGTCGGAGCTCTTCTCGCGTTTTGGCGGGTCTATCTGTCCCCGTGGGCGTCTTTCCCGGGGCCAAAACTGGGGGCCCTCACCTCATGGTATATGGCACCTGAACCCAGACCAAACTCAAACCTTGATCTAATCCGCTAACCTGAAGTTATGAGCTAGGTATGCGTGGTATTGGCAGGTCTACAAGAAAGGACAGCTCACCAGCCATCTTGAAGATCTCCATGAAGTATACGGTAGATATTGCACTGTTACCAACCCGTGAGAGGGACTCAAGAGGCATTGACTAAATCCCTGATAGGTCCGGTGGTCCGCTATGGGCCGAAGCACATCCATTTTAACGATCCGGCTCTCTACAAGGAGATTTACCGCTGGAATCCTACATACGGGAAAGACCCTGCATTCTACGGAACACCACGATATTGCTCCTCCTTCCGAGAAACCAGCATCGAAAAACATGCCACTCGCCGCCAGGTCCTTTCGCGGATGTTCAGCCCGACTGCCGTTCGGCAACGTATGCCGATAATTGCGCAGCACTGTGATAAAATGCTACAGAAGCTAAGTGGCCTCACTCAGGCGGGATATACCAAGGTCAATGTCTTCAATCTGAGTCGGTCAGTTGCCGCGGATGTGCTATCGGCATATATATCCGGGGCCACGTTTGGATGCATGGACGACGATGAAAAGGGATTTGATGGCGGCTTTGTGCGTGCTATTCAACATACGAGCGATACATACTTTGACGATCGTAACCCCTTCCTGGTCCGGTGGAGGTCAATAAAGCAACGGTTCAGCGGCCATCCCCCAGTGATGGATGAGACATTGAACGAACTCATTGTATGTGCTGAGCTTGCTACATCCATTCTCTCATTCAAACTTGCAGCTGTGGCTTATCATTTTCCATCAGTTCTCCGATGGTTTAGTGGAGGATTATCTAGCTAGGCGAGAGTCTCTGGCAGAGAGTGAAGATCAATCCGTTTTCTCTATCTTGCTGCGCTCGGGGGTTACAAAGAACTTTAACCCACTCTCTAAGCCCGAGCTGATTGCCGAGGGGAGGAGTCTTCTTGCAGCGGGAGTGAACACTGTCGGCTTCACATTGTCAGCCACGTTGTATTATATTGCACGAGACAAGAATGTTCAACTGAACCTGCAAACCGAACTCGATGTATACCAAACTGGAATTGCTGGGGACGGCCCTAAGCAATTTGCGGATTTGCCATACCTGGTAAACACCCTTTCATCATCCTTTGGTGCTGAAGAGCAATCATAAACTAACTTCATTCTACGCAAAAGGCTGCATGTATCAAGGAAGGATATCGTCTCTCAGGGACTGTGAAATGCAGCCTACCTCGAGTCGCCGGGAAGCAAGGCGCACGTGTTGGGGACTACTTTGTCCCAGAAGGAGTATGTTCCGCCCACCATTACCCCCCAGCTCGGAGTACTAGGAGTCATCATACTTATGAACTTTACAACTTAAAGACAGTATTCGGAATGGGAAGCGGTGCATGCCATCTGTCTCCGGGGGTGTTTGAAAAGCCCTTGGAATTTATGCCCATGCGATGGATCAACAATGATCCAGGGAAAATTCAGGCAATGAATGCCAACCTCCATCCATATAGCCGTGGGCCAAGGGAATGCTTGGGTAAAGAGTGAGTTCCTTTCCCCTGCAAGAGTCAGTGGTCTTGAGAAGTGGCAAGCTAACCAAGTCCTATGATAGGCTTGCGCATGCCGTTATCTGTGTTATAATCGCAGGTCTACTTCAGAAAAACACATTGGCAATCCCTGGCACGGCCAAGGAAATCGATCGTATCTCCACCTTCGAGACATTGCCCAGAGAAGGCCGTATCGATCTTCTTATCCGCCCCCGATGAGCAGTTGTTACGGTCACCTAGCTCTAAGGTGCGAGCTACCTTAAACGGCAAAAGATAGGCATGCTTGGGTGTCTGCGTGGGAAATTTCGATGTTCTCTCCCAGCACCAAAGTTACTTCAAGACGGTTTGTAGAAGTTCATCGATTCGGGGGATTGACCAGTTGTTCATATATTGTTCTACGATTCTCGCTTTTGCTTGTTCAGCCTCAAGACATGACATGCGCTGGGTGATCTCCGAGCATGCCATGCATGGTCTTCGCCCGACCGCGAATCGCGATGCAGCCTACTACGCCTACCGTCCAATGACTCTGATACCGAGCAACATGGCGCAGGCTATGGCTAGCTGGGGAAGCAGGCTTCCATGAAGACGTCGCTGAGCTTTCTCTTCCAATTCACCACTATTCCAATCCATTACTATCCCAAATCACAACTCCCTCTTATGTGTGCCCCTATCACGAATTAGCGTAAGCGATAATTATCTTCCTAAAGCAATGCAAAATTAAATAAAAACATACAACAGTGAGGATTCGCTGGTGGTCACCCACCCAACTACTAACTCACCGGCGTGTGGCTTAAGTACGGCTGAGCGGACGGGAAGCCCTGTTTTCCACACCCTATGGTCGTATGTGCTTGGAGGAATACTGAGCACGATCATATCCAGTCAAACAGAACAATGAGAGAGCTGAAGTGAGTGTACGGGGTAGCCGGGAGTACAGTACTGTGTACCTAAGGAGTACAAGATTTTTACCGGGCCTACAGCTCGCTGATACATGACAAACTCAAAGTAACTCGTAAAGCATGTACATTTCAGTGTTGCATCTATGGAAAAAGTGAACAGGACAAGTGTAGAGTACCTTGGTAAGAAAGATATCAACAAAAATATTCTGGCCAGTTGACGGGATCCACTTCTGGGTGTCAAGTTCCACGCGTGTTTAGCGAGGTTTCCGTCAACTGGCGAGCCTGCAGCCAACTGGCAAGTCTATTCCTAGGTACGAATTACTCCCATAATCCGACAGCGATAGCATGTTTGTACAGCGAGCTAACGAGTTAATGAGAACATCATCATCATACCACAGCAACACGCGCTACGTCTGATCTGGTGGTTAATTCCATCCATGGTAAAGGGCATCGATATTTCAAATGGTGGTTCACAAATTGCTTAGTCTCATCGAGTAGCTAGTGAAGAGGGGAACGCTCTATCACACCTCCCCACTACACTAGGGTGTGCAATCAATAGCCATAAAAGCATAACAATTTGTTAACATAATTAGTAGCCGCGGCATTTTTGGCAGGTCACATGTAGCAGGAGAGAGCGTTGACAATCGCCTTCCACTGTGGCTTTTTAGCTGCCGCTGCAAAACTGAAGGGGTTGGGACAAGGTGCCATGTTGTCCGTTGGTCTCAGTGAGGATGGAGTTGCACAATATCTCGACAATTTGTCAACAGGAGAAGCCGGGGTCGGCTGTGTCAACAGTTCCAACAGCGTGACTATTTCAGGTGATATGAGTGCCATTGATGAGATTGATAAGCGCATCGCCCAGGCTGACGATGGAACCTTCCATCGCAAAGTGGTTGTTGAGACAGCGTATCATTCGCACCACATGAGTGCCGTGGCCGACCACTATCGGTTCCGCCCTTGATACCATGAGCACGGAGAGCTTAGCTGCTCCTGATGAAAATGTGGTATTTGTGTCATCTGTCACCGGACAAGTGAAGTCGTCTGGATTCGATGCAGAGTATTGGATCTCGAACATCGTCTCACCGGTCCGTTTCCGCGATGCTATTCAAACACTTGCCAAAGAGACACTTCGCCCAGAATCACAGGTATTCTTCGTGGAAATTGGTCCCCACCCGGGCTTGGCTAGTCCAGTTCGACAGAGTCTCAGTCATCCGGATCTGCCTAAGATTTTATTTGACTACCAGCCAGTGTTGCAGCGCAAGCTAGACTCTATAGCCAGCGCGTTGACTCTGACTGGTAAGTTATTTGAACGCGGCGTCAATGTTGAATGGAATTCCGTGTCGGCAATGGCTTATGGCGCAGACCAAGCAGCCGTGCTGTATGATCATCCGGCATACTCGTGGGACCATTCCACCCAGCATAGCCAGGAATTTCGCCTGACTCAAGCTTATCGTTTGCGCAATGAGCCGTATCATGAGCTACTCGGTGTACCAGTTCTTGATGCAACTGATTCTCAACCTCGCTGGAGGCATTTCATTAGCCGGACATCGCTGCCGTGGCTTGCCGACCATGCCATTGATGGCGTTACCATGTTCCCGAACGCAGGGTACGTCTCTATGGCCATCGAGGCTGTGACGCAGGTTTCACGCCGGCGCTTCCCAGTTTCCTCGCTTGGAACATTGGTGCTTCGTGACGTCGAATTCAAACGAAAATTGTTTATGCCAGATGATGCACAGCGCGTTGAACTCCAATTGAGTCTTCAGCAACACCCTGGCGCGGATGTTGCTTTTGGCTTTTCGATTGCTGCCCTTTCCGACAGTACTGGTCACTGGCATACTCATGCCACCGGCATATCGAGGCAGAGTTCGCCGAACAGGACAACACCACAGCAGCATCCACAAAGGGCGCAGGGTTCCCCCCAATGCCAAGCACTAGCCAATTCATCCCGCACCAAATAAGAAGCAGCAATTGTGAATTGTCGGTATGGGGGACGTGAATCAGTCGACCGGAGCGCGCAACGCTTTTATAACCATGATATGGATGAAAACATTTCCGCACCAGGCCACCAGCCTATAAGCTCAAAGCTCCACCCGCCGCCCGGGGACAACCCGCACATGACTTGGTGGCTGGTGCTGGGGGCCTGGGGCCCAGTCCTTAGACCCACCGACAGGTTCGCCTTGGGTAAAGGGTCCATTGGGCTATGCGAAATCACGATCGCAACGAATAAAGAACAGAACTCGGTCTCTAACTTAGTTATTCATTCTTCGAGAGATTGAGGAAACTCGGTTCAGGGGTAGAACAGGCAGATAAGGGGAAAAGAGGCAGAAGTCCCCGACAAGCCAATCGGATCTATCCGAGTCAAGCCCAATGCGCCCCAGACAGAGCAAACACGGTGAGAATTCGAGATGCCAAGTTGGGACTTGGGACCCTTCCTTGATTTTTTTGGTTACCCTAAGTTTTGACCCCGTTTCCCACCCTCATCTTGAGGCAATATTGTTATATTAATAGATTTCGGTTATATTGAAATGCGTACTCATCATCTCATGTAGCTATTATGGTTTGAAATCCTTCGAAGTTTAAACTCCATACAGTGGTGACTGTACGATCAGTGGAAGGCCGTGATAAGGATAACTAAATTACAGCGATTCCTTTCGCCCAACAGAGGGCGGTTTTGTCAGCGCCGAGATGGGCCCGCTTTGAACCTCGGGCCAGTTTATGGGCTGTGCGGAAGACTATGTAGACATGTGATTGGTGCGATCGGCCTCTCCTAAATGGCCATCCGGGGATAGTTCGGCAGATCAGCCCTAATCCCATAACAATTCCCACGGGCTGTTGTCAGACGTTCTCGTCGAGGAGATTTAAAAGCCGGTCACTTCCCTTGACTCTGAAGCATCTCCGCGCCCCCACATTATTTTCAACACTAAATCCAAACACATCACCCACAATGACATTCATTAAAACACTCCTCCTGGCGACAACCCTATCAATGGTGTCAATTGCCGCGGACACCGAGGACACTAAGTGCCCAGCAAACTGGTTCCCAAACACTTACAAGGGGACGAAATGCTGCTCCGGCAACATGGTCATCGACGAAGAAGGCGCCTACTGTTGCGTCTACGACGTGAGACCTACTATCGAAGCTCTTACCGCCACTAAGACGGGCGAGACCGACTGGTCGACAGTCAGCAACTCTTGCATCGCGGAGGTCCGCTTCACGGCTACCGACTACTCGGCTCAGGTTTCGTCTGCGTCAAGCAAGGCTGAGGCTACTCCCACGGGTACTTCAGCGGGCCGAGTCACCGCTCTGACTACTACTGGTTCTTCGGCTACCACTGGCACAGGCTCGCAGACTTCCACTGCCACGCCGTCCTCAGCTGCCTCTCCGACTTCCAACCCTGCTATGCCGATTGCGACAGGACAGAGTGTGCTTAGTGGTGCGGCCCTTGCCGCTGCTCTTTTCATGCTGTGATCGAAGGGGATCTTGCGGCGAATCTGATCTTGGCCCCCACTCAGAGTTGGGGTTCGGATTCCCCGGAATACGGGGATACTATTCATTCCCCAATACTTGGATATACACTCTCATAATACATATCGCATTATTGTCTAGTATATTCAGTCTTTCAGTACCATTCGGCGGTTAAAAGGACAATGTAACTCGTTTTCAGAATGCAATAACGGACGGGCTCTGGTGGTATTAGTGAGCTCGCCAGTTGACCGGAACTAGGTCTTGCTTCCCTTACCCTAACTATCTGGGATTTATACAAAGGTAATTTATTACGTACTCGCTTGAATGAATTACAGACGTCAATAAACTCAGTGCGGCCTGGGCTTATCGAGCCTTATCCAGTACGGCCGGACCCACATGTGGATGTTGAGGCGACATATACTCACTCCCCTTCCCGTCCATTTTGTGAATACATAGAATGGCTTACGGTGCTATTCCCCATTCAATATTACTCTACTCACTGCTAAACCTAGCACATACGACCATAGGGTGTGGAAAACAGGGCTTCCCGTCCGCTCAGCCGTACTTAAGCCACACGCCGGTGAGTTAGTAGTTGGGTGGGTGACCACCAGCGAATCCTCACTGTTGTATGTTTTTTGCTTCCACCTATTTTGCCTGCTTCTCGTGATTCTATCCTGTCTAACATACTAACTATTACACTCCTTCACATCTCCATTTTCACTGCTTGTGCGCAAGCAAGCACCCAACCTCTTTGTTCCTCTAGTCCGATGCTATGCTAGGTGGTATGATCTGAATCGACCCGTGTGCCTCAGAGCACACAGCCTTCGAGCGTTCCCCTCTTCATTTAGGCCTGTGAAATCAAAGGCTGGCATCTGAGACCCCAAGAGTATAGACTATCAAGCTTGTCTCGTATGCACAGTAACAGCGTAGTTGACCTATGGGCACCGGTCGAGTATTGCGGTTTACCTTTAGTGCGGTTGCAAGCCACACCCGAAACATGTTGTATTATTTGTATGCTTGGAGGCAATATATGGAGGATAGTATTTTTTGTTTCCGAATTGAGGTGGTTTGAATAGCTCAGGACTTGCTTTGCACATTCCCGAATCCCGATCAGTCGTCCCGAATGGAAAAGTGCAAAGTTGAACAAAAGAAATGATAAACACAAAGCCAAAATGACCGTCGTTCCCCATCCTGGTCGTAGAGACCAGAGTCACATCTCACCACATAACATCCCCACATTCCCTGAAGCATTGCTAGGGCGGGGCAGTGGTGATGGGATGATCCATGGAAAAGACTTTGCTTTGGATTGGAACACGATAAAAATTCAATAGAAGAATCAGCAACTTCGCTGGTTGGATAAGCGAGAGCCGGAAAGGTGATTTCCTGAACAAAGACTGTGGCATCCGACCTCTCTTTATTGCGACGCGGCGCGAAGCGTCGCCTATCTACGGCCGAAACTCTCACTTGACAGAGTCCCCGGCCTCTGGTTGGTTTGTTGGAATATATGGATTGAAACCAGAGGTGCTAGCAATTGTTCCGTGTAGGACGCGATGATTGTAGAAGCTAATCCATTGGTCTCTAGTGCTGCTCGCTAGCTAGCAATAAGAATAAATTAACCAATAAGAATAGTCCATACCGAAAGCAAAGCCCCGAACCCATTCAATAAGAGTACTACCCATCAGAGGGTCATCCCAGAAGGAGATTGGAGCCAAAAATAGGCTCCATTTCGTAGTATGTTGGGATGACTGAGTGGGCCTCGACTTCTTGAGCACTTTCGAAGTCAAGTAAAGTCAGTGCACCGCTCTCTCTACAATATAGAATATTGTGCATCCCCGCGTCATCAAGACGAACAGTCACTTGGCGCAAAGCATTGATACCAGCCAGGCACTGGGACTGAACATAGGCTCGTTCGGTCGCCGATAGAGTATACCAAAGTCGGTCAAGCCGCATCCCGTCTCTATTCTCTAAGACGAGGACATATCCCGACGGAAAGATGCTTGAGCAAATGATCCATCTCCCCTTAAGTACCACTCAGCGAAGACATGAGTATTATCAGCCGACGGCCGGCTCCAGATCCGGTGATAGACCTCCGCTTCTGCGTCGAACCTGTAGGCGACTATTTAGTAGGGCCGATAACTAACAAGCCATAAGAGTAGTCTGACTCACAATTCATCGTATTTGAGCTGCCAACACTTCAAGATCACTAGTTCTTCATTCAATGTGGCGAGCCAGATTGCCTTGGAATTGACTGTCGGGTCTGATAACTGGCGAACGCAATTGATGACTATGGTGCGGCCGCTGTCAGTGGTTACAAAAACACTGTTCGATGTGACAGAGTCTAATCCGTTCGTCGACGGTGGGGTCGGGTGGTTGGGATTGCTGAGTAGACGACCGGAGACGCGGGTAGGAGGGGGATCTCGTAGCTTCCCGGTATTTCAGCAACCATACCACACCTCTCGCAGTTACCCGAAATGTTACTTACGTTGCTTGGCTGGAATGACGGGTCTTCGTCGTATTTTGACGCTGAGACGGCCATCAAGCAAAATCCAGCAAATAATTGGCGAAGGGAAGGCTCTAGAGCGTCGTGCTTGATGGGCGATGAAAGGAGAAAAGAAGTATCCGCTACTCGTTTGACAAACACTGTGGAGCTGTAGGTGGATAAGACTCCAAAGCGAAGGGAACAGATGCGCATTTGGGCGACAAGCTGTCCTAAACAAACGTTCAAGAGTCAGCAAGTTTTGATGAGAGAAGAGAATATGAGTCAAAGCAAACCTATGAGTGACTCCAGGTGATGAGATGTAGGTCGGTTGAGATGAAGATAAGCATCGGGGATGGTCCATGGCGTTTTCAACTCCGCAACCAAATGAACATTATCGGGTGTGGGGTCAGCCGCAATAAGCCCAAGACAGACATCCGGAACACTGTCCTGTAATGAATATGAGGATATTGCTTGGAAATCGGCGAATCGGATTGCAGTCGTACCCAGTGACGGTTCAAGAGCCCTCATGACCGGATCGCAAAGATTTCGAACGAACCTGCCGAATACACCAAGTTCATTTCCGACCGTGTATAGCTCAGTCTCATCATGTAATGGGACTTCGTGGATGATTTCAGCTTCTCGAAAAACTTGGAATGCGTCTGACGTGAATGAATGCCATTCAGACATGTAAGTGAGAGCAAGACGGTGAAGGTTTATCGATGCATTTAAGTCCCAGTGTTCCGGCGCAAAGGTGGAAGAGCTCGAGCTAGCTGCGTCTGGGCTAGCTCCATCATCAATGTCCTGGAAGAGAATAGGACCAATCGCCAAGCATAATAAAGACAAAGGTCTTAGGAGACTTGCTGACTTGGCGAAGTAGTACGGGCAATGATGATGACGTGTGGGGTTGTTTAAACTTTAAGGTTGGTTGGGTTTATCCGGAAGCGATACTATACCGAATTGAGCCATCACACGATTCTCAGATGTGTGCCAGCAAGGCCCCGGCCTTGGCCCCCAAACCCACCACGAAGACACTTGGGAAGGCCTGATGGTCCTTCATGGTGTATGTGGATCGAGGAGATACTGAATGAATACCTATGTTACATGTATGGAATTGGAGAAGGATACAATATGTATAGGTTGTTCCTAAGGTAGACTGAACTCTGGTCTCTTTAGTGAGGCCCCGAGTTCCTCTTTATGTGCGTGTGGCCGTGTGTGACATTGTACGCCCTGTCGACTGTCAAGTTGACTGTTCGACAACCTCATTTGGCTGTCAGATCTCCGCGATTGACTGCCGATCCACGGAAAATCCATCTGTGGAGACACCTTTTTGTGTCATCTTATTGGTTGATCAGCTTCATTGATCGCCAGTACCGCACTTTCTTGACAGCTTGTCGTCCAATCGACTACTGTCGTCTTCATTTCTCGACTTCCGACTCGTCTAAACGATCGATCGTCGTCCCCACTTTACCGTCCCTGCTTTGGCCTACTATCCGAATAGCAGGCAAGTAAGCATACATTCATCCAATCACATCGACATTCTTGCTATCCGTATAGTGAGTATCCAACATGTCGACATCACCTCTAGGCTCGCCTCCGCGGCAGCCTTCCCCGGCTCCGGCCACTACGGGGGCTCCAGCTTCTACAGCTCCTCCCGTCCAAACAATTCCTCTATGCCTTCCGGTCGGATCCACTTTTCAATACAAATTCGACCATCATCGTGAGAAGGACATCTCCAATATCGTTCCAAAGCTCAAGGGAGAGTCCAATTGGACTGCATGGGAAGCTCGTCTTTATATGGCATTGAGTGACTGTAATACAGCCTACATCAAGATGCTTGAGGAAGATGATACCAAGCCTTCTCGTCCTCATTACGATAGCATTGAGACCGACATCTTACGACAAGTGGCGTTGATGAGGCTAGGTGGCAACGCTCAGCTCGTCACCGACGCCATCGTCCAGGAGATCTACAACGAGCGCTACAACAAAAACTGCTGGCACCGGCTATCAGGCGTTACTTTACTCTACAAAGTCAAAATACTGATAATAGGTTAAAGCATGCCGACGCCGAAAGGTACTTATCAACAATCGACCCGTGGATGGAGGCAACAGTAACGTCTCCGGGCTCCAGCCGGGCTCCATGGCTAGATGCGTCCCCGTAGCGATGAATGATTAGACCGAGCCAGTTGTCAGCTGATAAAATGCCTAGTGCGTACAATAACGCCTAGGCTGCCACGAGCCAGGTCTTTTTGAGAAAAAGAGCACATTCAACGAACTTAACAATACATTCACAAGAATATCAAGTATGGGAAAGGAAAAGAAAAAGGAGGAAAGGATTAGTTGGGCTGAGACCACCGAACATCAGAACATCTCCAAGTCACGAGTCAGACAACAACCCGGGGCCAAGAACCAGAACCTCCGGATCGTCACAGCAGCGACGTCTCCCCTGACTCACTTCTTAGATGGGTTCGGCATTCCAGAGGTATCAGGCCATTTTCGGAACAGATCCGAAAGATGATCGATCGGTGCCGTCAAAAGCCCCACCACTGTCTCAAGGGGGGTTTATCCGGCGCACTCGGGTGTGAACGAGAAGGCACAAACATCTTTGTTCGGCCAAAGCTCTTAGCGTAGCCCTCGCTGTCCTCCTGAGACAACGCTGCTTCCAGCTTTGGCAAGTCGTCATTCTCTTCCTCTTTGATATGCTGGGATAGGGTTACCATCAACTCCTTGATGGTCGGAATGAACTCTGTATCCGAAGGCTTCATGTTCTGGAATGCCTTTAATTGCTCTTTGACCTAAAAGTAAATGTGAGTTTTCATTCTGGACACGGTTGATAGGTCAGATAGGAATTACCCTTAGATGCTCCTTGCGGTCCTTGTTGGCCATTTCAACGCCACCAGAGAGCAGTTTTTCAAAAACTGGATAAACGACAAGCTCCTCTCCAATGGAGTGCCGAGCTAGCTCCCAGGTGAATAAGTTCTGGAAGCGCGTCTGCTCATCTTGATTGGAGGAGTTGATGATCTTGTCATAATACGACTCAATCTCCCGATGATCTGTTTTGATCACTTCGCTGATTCTAGGGGCCATGGCGATAGGTGAGGTTGCAACTCCACGTCTCTGAACAATAGGTGATAGGAGCTGTCTGAAATGCGCTGTTCTCGATGAACGAAGAAACATAGTAGTTCAGGATGTTGCTGTTACAGTTCCATTAAGTTGGCAAGTGGCCATTTCATATATTCTGTAATAAAAGGTCATAGCTCATGACAGGCCCTGGTCTCACGATCATTCTGACGTAAAAAGATCTATCCAAATGAATACTAGTTACAAGTTATTCTTTGCTCAAAGCCTGCGGGTTACACGAGTAACACGACTGTTCCAAGAAATCTAGATAAACGTGATCAAATTTAGCCAATCAGAGGAAGTGATATGGTAAGCATTATGACGACGGGATGCTTCAAGACCTTGCTCACTTCCGCCCATACCTACTCAAGTTTAGATATATCCTGGTTTGGTATTAATTTACCAGCCAGTGTGATGCGAGTGTCACGGATCAAGGCTGAGCGTGATCCAGATAAGTGATAGAAATCTCGGTATGGCGGTCGTATTGAAGAATTATCAACACGGCAAGTAGAGGACGCATTTATACACTTCCCGCTTCTGTCACGTACGTGCTTCGGAGCTTTTCCAAGTAGCTGGTAGCAAACGTCCAAGGACATGGTACTTAAGTTCGGCCTGTAATACCGATGATTAAGGTGTTTGTTCCATTGTGCTGCCTTGGCGTTGGCGATGAAAGAGCCACCGATGGCGTCGAGAGTGTAAGGCCTGACATCACGGATGGGACTCTGTCACTCTTTATCCAGAGTTATGGAAAAGGCATGCTGAGAGAAAAACTGGTTGCGATGCGCACGATCGGCCTTAAACGCGCTTTGCTCCAGATCCACCGTTGGGATGATCAAAGCTCGGCTCAGATAAGGGTTCCTCCGAACAAGTCGCTTTGCTTTTGTTTGCGCGAGGGCGGCGAGGCAATGCGAGACGGGCTCTTGGGGTCCGCGAATATGACGCCTCATACTGTGATGGCCAACCGCCATTTTTGGAGGTCCGTAGCTTTCAGATCCGATGAGGGATAATCAGGCACGTCATCTTTGTATTTGAGGGGAAGTGACTTGTAGATCACATGTGCAACCCCAGTGGCTGCCGAAGTCTACGAGTTAAGAGATACGAACAAGAAATACGAACCTAACCCGTAACTATCCGAATATGCGTTGGTGGAGAATTAGCCGCCCATTCAAGGTTGATCGACATTAAGCTGGATCTGCTCACTTCAAAGCTCAGGTGGGTCCGCCAAGGAGTCAGGATCGATGGGCCAGACCATTCTACCAAATGTGCGATCCCCGTTACCCCAGTGGGCCAGTGGTGAAGAAAAGGATGTTTGCTACGAGGCATGTGCCATGTGGCCAGTGGTGTGATCAACTGGAAATTAGGTTTGATATCAACCTTGTCAATCCGGTGACAAGGCTGTCCATGAAATCATCGTGTACTTCTCCCTCGTATTTGATATCATCAATTCAGACTGCTATATAGATAAATCTACGCTGCTCAACATTGAATTTACTTTTTCATTCTCGGTTCACAGCCCGATATTGATACGTTCTACAGGATTAAATACGTTACAATTCAGCATGCCTTCGACAACAACCATTGCCCGCCCACTGCAGCTACTCATTCGTGCCATGCAATGGGGGAGTGCTGTTATTGTGATGGGGTTGACTTCGTTCTTTATCAGTCGCGGTCCCCGAGGTCAGCATATCATATATCAGGAAGTTATTGTACGTGATGGCCACCTTTCCTAGTCTATATAAACCTTTTAATACTAATACCCCGATTAGGCTGTCCTATCGGTCGTTTTCTTCCTACCAGCTTTCATTTCCCCATTCATGCCCAACAGGCTGAGCAAGTTTGTGGTCTTCATTGACATTGTGTTCTCCTATCTGTAAGTGGCCATATGTTTCTTCACTTTTACTTACAAGGACTCTAACATTCCCTGTCAGGTGGTTGACTGCCTTCATCTTCGCCGCTCAAGACTACAATTTGCATTCGTGCATCGCGAACGCCCCGCCTGGCGTCACCTGCGGTCGTAAGAAGGCAAACGAGGCATTCATGTTCCTGGCTTTGTAAGTCTCGTTTTGATAATACTTGTTAATCTCGAAAGCAGATTTTAATCTCTATCCAGCATCTCTACCTTGTTTGGCTTGTTCCTGGAAGTATACCTTCTCTGGGGCTACCACAAGGAAAACAATACCACCCCTGGGCACCCTGAGAAGATCGAGAACGGCGCGCAGCCTTCTGTCGATGCACCTGCTACTACCACTGCAGCTGGCGCTGTGTAGGTTGTGACTGATCTAAACCGGGGTTGGCCTCGTTTCATTTCACTCACTCTGGTATTTGAGGAACTTGGCATCTAATCTCCAAATCTGCGTAATAAGTGTCTTATGGGCACGTTGTATTCTTGGTTGAACTGCGGATTGTTGGCGTCGTTTTGTATCACCACTGAGTTCAGACCTGAACAAGAAAGGCAAACCCAATTATTCATGACAGTGTTGAGAGATTAATGGGCTACTCATTTTTATAGGCCTTAAGCCCGATTCACCGCGTTTAAGATCTCATTTCCGTTGGGGACATGAAACGGATGCCCTTTAAAAAATGATACATAAAATCATCGAACAAGACTTTTGAATTAAATCATTGCCGCTGAGCGAAATTCGCGGGCGGTTGATCACCACTTTAGCAGCAAGTGAAAGATGGTGGTGTTTAATAGTTTTCATTGGCTGTTTATATTATCTCCACTAATTTGGAGAGCCTTGACAACGGGAGTCCCGTTACTGTTAGCACGTTCCAGTCCGTAACATGATTGGCTCTCAGTGGCAGGCCGCAGAGCCCTCCCGGTTAGTCGACAATTCCGATGGTCGTAAGCTGTAGGCAGAACGCTACGGGTAATGTCAACACATTATACAGATAAGATGTTGGATCGGAAAAACATCTACCCGGAGTTTCTTTATAATCCTGTGCAGCCCTTGAAAGGGGTTGTCCCTACTCCCTAAAGAATAATCCCACATTTGTTGCCATCTATCTCACTGAAATGGAACTATCTATACGCCCAATAGCCCATGTATGTTTATTCATAGTCTGTTGATACCCGTTACTGACATCTCTTCGCCAAGCCACAAAGTCGCGACCCTGATGGATTTTTTCCACTAGATGGAAAGGACCTTAATTCCGTCACGGATGAGGCTCTGGCAAATCTTCTCACATCTTCTCCCATCCTCCATCAGTTAGGTGGAACGACGGTTGTGCGGCTTTCAGAGACCTTGATCATGAAGGGTGGCAGGAGTGTCATGGCTAGTGAAGCGGAAATGCTCCGTCTTATTGCTTCCAGAACCACCATTCGAGCCCCAAGAGTCTATCGCTCATTTCAGGTCAAAGATGATACTCAATATTTTGGTACATCTGGGTATATTGTGATGGATTTTATCCCAGGTCAACCACTGGATGAGAGCTGGAACAGCCTATCCCGTGACACTCAAGGGAAAATCGCTGCGCAGGTTGCTGAAATAATCCATAAGATGCAGTCTATTGAGCTTTCGCAGCCTGGCCCCATTGGTGGAGGACCAAGTCGGGGTTGGTTCTTCACAGATTATAGTGCGGGGCCTTTTATGGACGCTGCTGAAATGGAAGCTTGGTTTAACCACAAGCTAGATATCTGCAAAAGTGTCCATCAAGCCCCAAAATACATTCCGCCATTTCATTTTACCAAGTTTGTCCTTACACACAACGACATCAGTCCTCGAAACTTGATCTTAGATCAACATGAACAAGTGTGGTTGATTGACTGGGCATATTCTGGTGCATATCCTCCTGTCTTTGAAAGCGCGGCATTGTCAATCCAGCCATTTTTCACTTCTTTCAATGAAGCGGTGTTATCCCTTATTCCACGCTACCCGGAGGAGGAAATGCAACTTGATTCTATTGCATATGGATTAACCACCGCAGCATTGGCCTAAGGAAGGCTTTAATGCAAGCGGACTACACCCGTCACGGCGAACACTATTAGAACTAGCTGGTTGAAGGCAATTTAATTGGACAACAATGACATTAAAGATTTCCTTAATGCTAGAATCCTCTTATTCGTTCGCTTCTACTTGCTCATGCTCTTCGCACGCTCTATATCTCCTGCTTGTATCCAAAGGGGAGAAAAAAAAATATTTGCATCTCTCGTAGGAGAAATAACCCTCAACGTGCATGAAGAATAGGCTCTACCTCACTTATCTAGTCCATCGATACTAAGTGCTTTACTACCATGCCTAAATTCCACGGCAAGGAGTTCAGTAATTCAGCTGTATGTAATGACAGTTTCTTGTGGTTGGTGAAGCTTGGCTCAAATTCAAGAGAAGGGAGGCCGCAAAACAATGGTGGGCACAAAAGTGAGTAGAAAGGACAGTAGGTAAAAAAGAAAAGTGTGCAAGATAGAAAGGAATGGACCTGGTGGCCCGAAAGAAAACAAACAAGTAGGAAAAACATCCGGAAAGTAGGATAGAGAAGAGTGAGGCTCATTAGTAGTAAGCCCCCTGGTCAAGGGGAAGTGGTGTCTGATCTGGCCACAGCTTGAGAATTCCTGCTTTTGCCGCCGCAACCTGGGATGCGTTACCGACAAATTGAAGTTGGTATAAAAGATTAATCTGGTCAGTGGTCCAGCATCTGCAGCCAACTCCATTTGCATCGAATTCGTACTTATGACGCCCATATCGAGTAATTTCCCCCAAACTTGTCCCACTGACAGCCCAGGGGCAACATCGAGAACAATTGGGCCTGGGCATCGGTAGATATCTCGTAAGGCAATTCTGGTATCAAAGGCTTTGATTATTGGGGGGCGCCAAGACCCCGTGACTGATTCGCCCGGTTCACCAATCACTCAGACGATCGGTCATCCGTTGTCCGGCCGACGCCCCTTTTCAAGAGCGAATCACGTGGACGAGTCTTTGCATCACCATTCACGCGCTTATCCTGTGTAGAAATTGGTACCCACCAACATTTCAACATGGCGTCAGATGGCAACCAGCCAAACGGCCCCGACCGTGCGGCGATCGACCGCGCGAACGACGAGGAATTACGCGCCAACATGCAAAGCTTTAAGGCGGACATTCGCGCATCGAGGACTTACCGTGAACTCCTTCTGCTTTGACTCGTAGGCCAACTGCGTATTCTTCGGCCTCCATGTGCGAGTGTCAGCCTTAAAGCTTTGCATGTTGGCGCGTAATTCCTCGTCGTTCGCGCGGTCGATCGCCGCACGGTCGGGGCCGTTTGGCTGGTTGCCATCTGACGCCATATTGAAATGTTGGTGGGTACCTAGTTGGTATGTATATATATATATATATATAGGTAGAGGTATGTTTAGGAGAAGGAAAGGAGGGATTGATTCGCGACGGAGAGACCTAGAAGAAGGGCAATTTCTACACAGGATAAGCGCGTGAATGGTGATGCAAAGACTCCTAGCAAAGGACGCAACACAGAGAGGGAGAGGGCTCAGGGTAGAGAGTCGTAGCGCTCAGCGGCGCTCCAGAAACATGGAATAAGCAGCGGGCTTGATTCGCTCTTGAAAAGGGGCGTTGGCCGGACAACGGATGACCGATCGTCCGAGTGATTGGTGAACCGGGCGAATCAGTCACGGGGTCTTGGCGCGCCCCCAATAATCCAACCCGTTGATACCAGCCCAATACATCATTCAGATATAGGGTTGAAAAAAAGCCTAACTACTGCTAGAATTTCTTATGAGGCATTAGCTTTACCACCACTGAATTATTTATAGTATCACAATTAACGAACCATCGCCGCTGGAGGCAGCCCGCAAAGTGATTATAGTCCTGTGGGGTCAACGATGTGCTGTTGACTGTGCATCATTAGGGAAGACGAACCTCTGTAGACTGGTTCCATTTCGAGTATGAAATAATAATTAAAAAAAGCAAAAACAAAAAAAAAACCCCCGAGCGAAGAGAGAAAGCACCAGCAGGACCCTAGGCCAAAAGGCCAACTATATCAATGATAAGGTATATCGACAATCTCAGTTGCACCACCATCGTGAGGAGCACATTTACACGATCATTTGTAAAGTTGAGTGGTAATCTCCGTGGCGTTGCCTCACTCTGGTATGGATGATTGGAAGTGGATGATATTTATATTTAATACATTGTGAGCGAGGGTGTCCTTACGCCAAGGGACAAACACACCAGAGGGTGAGGCAGATGTACTTTGTGAAACGAACCGGTTATAGCCAATGGGATCAGCGAGTATGCAGGTGGAGAGAAATGTTTCTATTGGCCTTTGCGACAAGACTGGCGGTTACTCCTGCTGGTGCATGGCAAACAGTGAGGTGTTCAAATGTAGTAAGGAATGTCTCCTTCAAATATTCCACGGTTGGCACTAAATTTACAAAAGTTCAAAGGTTCCCTACTTCCATTTGTGGAAGACCTCAGCTAGCTGGCTCTGGAGTTGCGATACTCTACGCTCTTGATAGAGAAGAAAGATGTAAGCAGATACCCGTGGACGCATGAGGTGAGCCGAAGAAGATAAGCTCGAACCCGACACGTACGGCTTAAGGAGTTCGTGCCCGACGCGACATTGATCCCACAAAAAGCTTGTTATCGGGAAACGTCAAGCCTTACCGTGGAGAATTCATAATCGTTATTACCCAGATGACTCTTATTGATTGGGTCCAAATGTCAACCGGTAATTCGGCAGGTCAGCGTGCTGACCTGCAGCTCAACCCGACCACTCGTGGACTTTCGGATGTGGCGCTGCATGTACTTGGAAGTCTTTGAAGCCTTCCGAACAAACCAATTTGTCTCCGGAGTATTTAGCCCGTCATAAGCATTGTTAGATCCCCGACTTAGCTCCATATGCTTCCGGATGATCGGCCGGCAACCGATGACACTGCTCCAAAATCCGAAGCTCTATCGTGCGAGAAACAACAGAGCGCTCATTCAGAGCACGATCCGATCGCTGCGAACATACAAATAGTCCGCTCAAGGACTCCCTTCGTCCTCCATCACTCTAAAATCCTTACAACATCCAGCAAGCCTAAAACCATCTGAAACGATTGAATCCACCTTCACAAACCTAAATCACTCCATATCAAATCTGACGACATGGGTTTCCAAGACAAGCGAGTTGTTGTCGTCGGCGGTGGCCTCGGAGGCATGGCGTTCATGAACGCCGCTCCCCACGCGGTACGTGCAATACGCTCCTAGAGGGCTTTCTGGAGATTGTTTTCGGAGAACATATTTTAGATGGCAAATAAATTCAAAGAAAATCATGGCAGAGAAAGAGAAGGGCCTCGGGGCTTTGTATTTATGTCTTTTTCTTGGGACTGGCATAGGTTCAGAGTGAGTTGGCCCCTATCACCTCAAGGGTGAGAATTGTCACTCCGTTCTCACCTCTCTCACCCCAGTCTCGAGACTTCTCACCCATATCACCCGCACTCACCCTAGAGTGTCGCAGCGTCGCTTAGGTGCTGAGGGCACATTGACTATTGACTGTGCAGAATATGTGGCTTAAGTACGGCTGAGCGAACGGAAAGCCCTGTTTTCCACACCCTATGGTCGTATGTACTAGGAAGACACCTGAGGAAAATCATAAGGAATAGCCATCAGGAGTAGGTATCAGAGCAAAAACAAATATATCGAATAGACTGCCTGCGTACACAGTACTTAAGTTACGGTGTAGCCGCCATCAACGCGGAGATCCGCCCCAGTAATATACTTGGATGCATCACTGAGCAGGAAGGTCACAGCACCCATCAGATCCTCGGGTGTACCCATCTTGCCAACGGGTATGAGAGAGGTCCAGTGGTCGCGAAGTTTGGGGTTCTCGTCGAGGATCTTGCGGGTTCTATATAGCGAGAAACATTAACAACAATTCTTTTGTGGGCTTCATAGGCTGATCACTGGGCATAAACTTACAGAGCAGTAAGCATGTAGCCGGGGCTGATGCAGTTGACCCGGATATCATGACGAGCCCACTCAACAGCCAGCGAAGCAGCAAGATGACGCACAGCAGCCTTAGCAGCATTGTACGGAGCCTGGGGCTGGGGAACATTGACGATGGAGCCGGACATGGAGCCAATCATGACGATGCTGCCGGGTGCCTTGCGTTCCATTAGGTGTTTTGCGACGCTGGTAGCGAAGAGGTAGGTGCCGTCGACGTTCACACCCCACAGCTTCTGCATACGGTCGAAGGGGTAGTTGATAGCCTCGAAGTTTTCAGTGAAGCCGGCAGATGTGACCAAGTTGTCGATTTGGCCGTGCTTAGCCAGAACTTCGGCGACGGCATTGTTCACGGAGTCAGGACTGGCGACGTCCGCGTAGTGGGCTGTTACCTCTGGCATGCTGGTCGAGGTTAGCCGTCGGCGCAAGCTGAAAGGAACCACAGTGCAGTGCACTCACTCCTCCAGACCGGGATTTTCTTTGCGGAACTGCTCAACTAACGAGGCAGCTGCGGACTCGGCCTCTTCCCCTGCGGTAGATCTTTAGTCTATTGGCCCCCGTTAGTCAATCGCGATGTGCGAATAACATACCGTTCAAATCAATGATAGCCAAATCGGAGCCAGATGCAACAAGTGCTTGTGCCATGACGAGACCCAGCCCACGAGCACCACCAGTCACTACGCTGACTTTGCCCTCGAGCGAGAATTGGGCTAGCGTACGTTTGTAGTGCATCCCACCACGCCCCTGAGCTACGGGTTGGGCGGGCATCTCACTGTCGGGAGGGTATTCGATTTGGACGCTGTCATCCGTACGAGCAAATTGGCCCTCGCGCTCGGCAGAGGCTTCCTCGGGGGTCTTCAGTGTGGGAGCAGGTATTTTGTCCTTTGCGGGGTCATTATGCTTCTTTCTGAGCGAGGCGGTCTGTGAGAGAGATCGAGTAAAGGTCGTTGCTGGGCGGGTGGTCACTGCGATGACAGGCGTGGTGCGTAAAGGCTTGATAACATGTCGTGCGATTGAAGGCTTGAACATTGCGGAGCGCGCAGCTACAGGGCTACTGTAGCTGATAGGGAATGGGGGGATGCAATAAGGTAAGGACGTTCAAAGTGAGTTTGAGCAGGAGAGTGAAACAGATATGAGGAAAAGATTGGATTCAATCAAATTATCAAAACCACGTCGTCAGCTTCCAAGGGTTTGCCTTCGCCTCTCACTAGGGGCTAAGGAGCCAGAGGAATGCAACAACCGGTGAGAGGCCGAGACAGCAGGAGCCATTGACTGGAGCAGCTCGAGCCTGCCAATTTTGGTGAATTTGATTTGTTTTCAATCTCAATTGGGAGTAGTGGAGGGTAAACATCCATGGTAAGTGCAATGTCAGGTGTCCTCGTGACTTGATGAGGGGTCTAGAGCGTCTTCTTTCCTACTCTGCTATGCACTGTACAGTGTACTAGGTACATCGACATGTAAGACTGTGATCAAGTGACCTGTCACTTTCATTATAGCGGAGTAAGCGGAGGCAAAATGGTCGTATCTACCGCCTCTGATTCGCCTAAAGCGTGATAATTTTCCTGTCACGCATGCAGCTTTGGTGCTTTTGTTTGCCCCATATCTTAGACCCCGGTGAGGACTTACAGAGCGCAGACAAAGCTAACCTGAGGTAGGTAGTTCAGGATAGAGTAGATTTGTTCAAGTTCCTGGAATAAAGCAAGTCCAAAGTTGCAATCTTTTCACTGAGGTGGTCGACTGGAGAATCCGGGGTAAGCGGCCCCACTTGTTGGTTGAGAGATACGTATCCCGATTCCCCGGTGTGGATGTTCAGACAATGGCTACAGAGTACTATTAATGACCTCTACCTATTTCAATTCCGCTCTACAGCTGCGTATCTGGTGTTGAATTCAGCCAGAAATTCCTGGATGAATGAGGGGGCGATGCCAAGCCTATGTTTTCCCAAGGCTCTAGCAACCGCCATTCGGTCAGTGTGCGGAACGGCACTAGTATGTTCCGGACAAGACAAGTGGAAGAAAACCTCCATATCCGCTAAATTGTTGCTTGCGTCAATTTAACAGGTTATGAGCCCAGTTTGACTTCAAATCGGACCTTATAAGAATCGTGCGATTCCCCTGACCTTGTGAATATTCGATATGCCACAAACTCGTTCCTCCGGCCCCCCAGGCGGCCTCGACACTCATGATGCTACTGCCGAAAACAGCCATTATCACGATGAAGCCGGACCCTCCGTACCGGCCGTTCGAGAGCCCATCAGCGCCCAGGACGAAGGCATGGCTCCAGCTGGAACAAAAAGCCTTCTAAAGGCAAAAAATCATCCAACAAGGAACAAGACCCACAGAATCGGCCAACCTGTGGGCACTGCAACAAGACTGGGCACGTCGAACAAAGTTGCTACAAGAAGCACCCCGAGAAAGCTCCAAAGAAACAGGCGCTCAGCACAGAGGCCGAGAGCAGGTGGATGTCTTCGCCAGCTTCTGCCACCCGACGGCTTCGATATTAGCCCTGCTGATTGGATGCATTGGATGGGGTTTAAACAGCGAATCATTTGTTTTGGAGCTCTACAGTTCCACGGGGACGTTTCAAAACACGCTACGTACTACAACCACAAGAGAGCTGCAATGCATCCGATGGCGAGGGCTGAATGAATGGAATTTGAAGCAAAGGTGAATTGCTTGTCTTATAAGGTTCGCTTGGAATCATTTATTACCAGAAATCTTGGAAGAGTCAATAACCACCTATTTTTCGTGGCATTCCACATGCTTGATGCAACTAACTAGGTGATGAAGGGAGGAGCTATGAAGCGCCGCCGAAAGTGTAATGTATATGCGCCTCCCATCGACAACGACAACATAATCACACTCTATTCAGACTCGGCAAACTCGACCAAAGGCGTTCCACTCTTACATTGATCCTGCAAGTTCCATGTTAGCCAGGTTGTTTTCTCGAAGTTCGAACTTCCGTGACTTACGCCTTGTGTATGCACCACCCGCGCGATGGTTCCCTCATGCGGGCTGCGAATCACTGTCTCCATCTTCATGCTCTCAATAACCACCAGAGGCTGATCTTTCTCCACCCGATCACCCGCCTGGACCTCAACCCGCAGGATCTTACACGGCATCGGGGCCAAAACACTGTTTGTCACGTCCTTTAAGCCCAATGCCTTCTCCATCCATTTGGCTCGGGGCACTGTAAGCCGGTATTGGGTTCCGCGCTGGAAAGCCATGATTGTATCTTCGTCGCGAATTACCGTCGTATCGAGGCGGGTGTGTGCGAAGAACGAGGTGACGATCTGTGACTTCGGATCCATCCGACTCACCACCTGCTCGAAGACGCGTCCGCCGACTTCCACGTTGAATGTGTCATCTGCTGTCTGCTGCACACGAACGCTGAAGCTGGCGCCGTCGGGAGACCCTGGGACTGTGGTTTCGGTGAATGATAGCTGACGTTCTTGGTAACTGGGGGTGAAGCCGACGGCTGAGCCTGCAACGCCCGCGGAGGAGCGAGATCCAGAAACGGTATCGCGGTGTAGGCAGGCCAATGCAACCTGCGCCAACACCTCCTCGTCAATGACCTTTGGGGCGAAGAGCTCTTCGCGGTGTTTCTCAATGTAGCCTGTCTCAACATCGCCGGCGATGAAATCGGGGCTCTTGCAGATGGTCTTCAGGAACTCAATGTTGGTCACGGGCCCTGCGACTTCATACTCTTCCAAAGCGACAGCAAGCTTCCGGAGAGCCTCCTCGCGGTTTGCTCCGCGCACAATAAGTTTAGAGATCATAGGATCGTAGTGGGCGGAAACGTCGTCGCCTTCCACAAAGCCCGCATCAATGCGGACATCTTCTGACGTAGTGGGTGTGCGCACATGGAGTAAACGTCCCGAGTCAGGGATGAAACCTTGCTCTGGATTTTCGGCGTAGATGCGGGCCTCAATGCCATGTCCCAGTTGAGCAATTCGTTCTTCCACTTCCTCTTGCGTAAGTGGCAGCTTGGCTCCTTCGGCCACCAAGATCTGCCAATGGACAAGGTCCTGTCCTGTGACCATCTCGGTGACGGGGTGTTCAACCTGGAGCCGAGTGTTCATCTCCATGAAGTAGAAGTCACCCGAGTCATTGTCTAAAATGAATTCCACTGTACCAGCGCCTTCGTAGCCAACGGCCTCAGCAGCCGCCCGGGCCTTTGCCCACAGGTCCTTCCTGGTTGCATCAGGGAGGTGAGGAGCAGGTGATTCTTCCAGAATCTTCTGGTGTCTCCTCTGAATACTGCAGTCTCGTTCACCAAGGGCAACGGAGTTGCCATGTTTGTCTGCGAATACCTGGACCTCGATGTGTCTCGGTGTAGTGATATACTTCTCAACCAGCACCTTGTCATCTCCAAACGAGTTCATGGCTTCGGATTTCGCTGACTCGAGCTGTGCCTGGAATTCTGCTTTGGAGCTGGCAATACGCATGCCTTTTCCACCGCCACCTTTGATGGCTTTGATGAGCACGGGGTATTTGATCTGGTCCGCCTGTTCTTCGAGGTAGGCAGGATCTTGGTTTGTTCCGTGATAACCAGGAACGCAAGGTACGCCGGCAGCTGTCATAATCTCCTTGGATCGACTGTCCAGACAGATTGAGTAAGTATCGTAGCACTCACATAGTTAGAGTATGTAGTGGACTTACCTCTTATCACCCATGTCCTCAATGGCTTTATAAGGCGGACCAATGAAGATTAATCCAGCCTCGGTACATTTTTGCGCGAACGCAGAGTTCTCACTCAGCTGTATATCAAATTCCAGTTAGACCTCCATTCAGTTATTGCGGATACTGTCAACTTACAAAGCCATAACCAGGATGAATTGCCTGACACCCTTCTTTCTTTGCGATTTCAATAATTCGATCACCATCCAAATATGCCGACACCGACCCCAAGTTGAAAGCGAAGGGCGAGCTCAAAGCATGCTGGGCTCGGCTATCCGGGTCAGTGTAAAGTGTTGTTACGCGAATTCCACGCTGCGCAGCTGTGCGTCCGACTCGTCTAGCAGACCAATGTTAGCACGATCACCCCAACACAGCTTCCACACCAACATACAAAGCAATCTCTCCTCGATTAGCTATGAGGATTGAATCTAGAGACTTGGTCGCATTTGACGTATTGGTGGCCGACGATACAGCGCGTGATGTTCTGCGGGCCGCGGTCGGGGTTAAGCGGGGCGTAATGCGGAGAAGGGATGAGAGGGTCATGGCGTTTGGAGGGCAGCCTTTGTAGCTGCAACTGTGTATTCACGGAGTGTAAAGTAAATCACCGTGTTAACATGATCGGAGGTCTTTCGAAGGGATAAAATAAAGAATGAGGAAGACTGAAGGGTTCGGAGGAAGCTCTCGTTGAGCCGACGCAAAGCGAGATTGCGGGGAAAGCCGAGGCTGACATAATCGTCCGCTTTGGGGCGGCCTGGTCTCGAGGAAGCGCCATGAATCTCCCCTGTGAGTACGGAGGTGCCAGGTGTGTCCCTCTCAAGCTGCTTAGAGTGACGAGAAGAGGTATAGATCTTACTGGCTTGGGGTGAGTGAGGTGACCTTCGGAGGATCATAAGTGATACTGCATGGAAGCCCAACAATGGGACTGCTAGGAAAGCCTCTCCAGAGTGCTCTTAGAATGCATCTATGGGAGACGACAAAAGCAGTGTTACATGGGAGAGGAACTATTGCGACAGAGACTCTGTTTTTCGATTGCCTTGGACACTCTGGTATCTGGGAACTATATCGCACAACATGGAGTTGAATGTCTATTCTAATGTTTATATTCGTTTACCTACAAGGATTAATACAAGATTCGACGTAACGAGTATCAAATTCATTGATGAATTACCAGACAATCCAGAAGAGAGGTGCCATACCCTCCCCCAGACCATCTAGTTAGAACTATCTAAGCCCTTATTTAGTTGACCTGGACAACCCGAGAGAGAGGTTCCATGCCCTCCCTCGAATCATCCAGCAACTTCAATTCAAACATCCAAACAGTTTGCAGAAACGACACATGTGTTAATCTCCTCCAATACATAAATCCGAGGCCTCATTAAAACCAACTGGAGAAAACCCTGTGGGATAAATACAACCAGCTGGAAAGAGTACCTCGTACATAGAACAATCCCCCTTCCCTTTCACTTGTTCTCCTTCACTTCTTTTTCTCGCTTTCCCTTTTGCCTCCTCCATTGCCCTCTCCAGTACTCGATGTCGAGTGCTTTCCCCGAAAGCTGTTGGCCGAAGATTCGATATATTCCAGTTTTTTTGTCGGTTCGAATTTTGGGGAATTTCGTTGTCATTGTGTTGATATTGATGTTGTGTTGGTTATGGTATCGTTCTCAGTCGAGCAAATGTGTTCCAGTCTTGTCCTCCAATTGGCAAATGGATACTGCTCCAGTTCCCGGGCAAGGGCTCTTTCAGGTACCTAGTGACACCCGCGGTTGCCGGGCCCAGGTTCTTCCTCGATATGTTTCCTCCAGCAGATTCCTCGGGCAATCCACAGATGGCGGATATATCAACGCCATCAAGAATGGATCCCTCCATTTCCAGATTCCCCAAGTTCCGGTCGATTCAATCAGTTTCCTCCATATATTCCTCGATTCCCGGACGGCGGAAGTGTCAACGCCGTCCATGTTTCCCAATCCCCAGACGACGGAAGTGTCAACGCCGTCCAGGTTTCCTCCAAGTGATTGTAATAACTTGTAGAATTGAGGCCTCGTTAAAACCAACTGGGAGGAACCGCGTGGGAGAACCCCCGAGCTGGAAAGAGTGCCTCGAGTGGACATTCGCTGTAGTAATGGGTTGATATCCACAAGTGGTGACTGTTCAGCTGGGAGCGAAATTGAGGGGCCCCCAGACTGAACGTAGACGAGATCACCAATAACTGTTGAGAGAGTTCAACATCCAGCGGGCAGGAAACCCTGGGGTAAACCTGCTGGGCCGGACTGGGATGAGAGAGACTTCCACCAAAATCAAGAAAAGAAAATCAAGTCAAATCAAATCAAATCAAATCAAAGAAGTCAAAAAAGTCACCAAAATCAAAAAATCAAAAAATCAAAGAGCACCCAGTTTCCGAGACACAATTTGGAAAGAATGAGAGAGTGTGAGAGAGAGTGGCACCAATCCCAGACCAAGCTTGAACCGTACGGAGAAGTTGTGATGGAAGTCACTGAACCGCCATGAGGAAACACCGAGAAACGAGACCGGTCTCGGCACTCGACAAAGACCACAGGCGCCGCAGTCTCCATCGAGCACCTCGACCACAGGATTCAGGGAGGGATCGGTAACTTGACGGTAAGTACTCCGAGCATCTGGCCAGAGACCCGGGCCCTGATCTCTGCCAAACGCCGAAGTCTTTGATAAGGATCATGGATTCTCGGCACTGGAATGAAGGCTGGGCCCTAGCCTCTACGCAAGCACCAATGTGATGAGGTTTTCAGAATGCAAAGTATTGAAGATGATGGTATCGTTTCAAGAAGAAGTTTCTCACAGGCAGGTCAGATTGAAGGAGGTGCCACCGCCAAAAGGGCGTGGGCCAGGTCGAGGTACGTCTGTAGTAGTGCATGATCTGGGATGGGCGAAGAAGGAAAAAAAGGAGGAGAAGAAAGGGGGAGGGGGGGAGAATACTTATATTTGACTATGACTCAGAGCTCTATGGCTTCCGATGCCTAATTTGGCATTCATAGGGCTCATTATTACGTTGATTTGGGGCAGTGCTCGTGGGAGGAGTCGTGTCCTGGTTAGATGTCCGGTCCTAATGAGGAAAATGTATAGTACAGCAACTTTATTCACGGGCCTAGCTCGCTGTTGGGCTTCCTCAAACGTATTTGGTCACCCTATATATTTGATTTTCTAAAGTTATTCGGTGTCCGAATCCCCTGGAACCCGTTGTCCGCTGCTGTACTTGGCCAAATGAGCCATGAAACCAGAAAACCACGGAGACGTAGGCTGGTCTAGATACATCTAGCCGGCCAGGTATACCAAAACATGAGCCATCCGTTGAAAAGTGTCAAAGTCAAGTTTGTACTAATTGTACAGCGTCTTTAGAAGTAGGATATACAAAGTAGGTTGACGTTAGTTAGGGTTTGTCTCTACACTGGTGCCTCATTTTCTAAGGTCTCATTGACATTGTCTGCCTCTTTTCCTAACTTCACCTCAGACGATAAATGTAACTTCGACTTCATTATTTCCCTTGTTTTTTTCTTCATCGGAATTACCTCCAAGGCATTCACATATGTATCAGCAAAATAAAGCGCCCATTGCAGTAACTGCAATGTAGATCTGGAGAAACGCCAAGGCTTATGTTAGCAGGATGCGAGGTCTTCTTCAAATGCACGATTAGTCCGATCTTCACTTCGTCATATCACCTCGACATTCCGATCTTCGCTTGCACAATAAATTCTTATTCTCTGGCTTGTATTTAGCTAAGCCTTGTCATTCGCTTTGCGATAACGGCTTCTCACACACTCCTCACTCGACCGCTCAACTTTTTTTTCCGGATCCACTTCAGTATGTCCGACGACGATGAGTACTACGAGTTCGAGGACGATTATATGTACGAGGATCTAGTCCCAGACTTGGTAGTAAGTACGATTCAATGCAATTTCCAGAACGATTGCATCTCAATTTATACACGAGCAATCTGCACCCAGTCCAGAGACTAACGACGACCTGGTCTAGGACGACCTCGCCGCTTCCTCATACTACGAAGCCAACCTGTACGAAGACCCGGGAAATGATGGCGAAGACTATTTCAGCGACTGGGACTACTATTCGGACGATTACTACGACGACGATGCAACGGCCGAACGAAGCGCAGAGCGAAAGAAAAGAGCCGATCTAACGGCGCGAGAAAAACGCCGAACGAAGACCTCCTCCGACACAAGCCTACAAACAACTGCCATTCCGCCAACGAAATCCACCTTGATGCCAGATATTACCTCTTTCCAGGGCGTGGTGTGGAAAACGCCGGCGCTGGACCGAAATCTGGATGTCTCCATCCTCTACGAACCGGACACGGGCGATAAGGTCGCGCTTCTACAAAACTGGCGGGAGATCTTCAAGTCCGTCCAGCCGGCACTGGACAAATCGCGGCTGAAGAGGCGGCCTGTAGAGGAATCTATGACCGTGGACTCGTTGTCTTTGGAGGACAACGATATGTATGACGGTGACAGCGACGACGAGCCCGACAGCTCCGACGAGATGTCCGACGTTCCTTCGCTATGTACTTCCGGGGTTGATGGTGGGGATGCTTCCAATACCACTCCAGATGCGGAGCCGGACTCTGTCCGCTCGTCGAGACGTGCGACGCCGCCGAAGGTCGTAATCTCGACCATGAGAGGGCGGAAACGGAAGGCTGCTGGACAACAAGATGAGCCTGATGAGGATACGGCGCCGCCTCGGTCAAAGAGGGTCGAGTCGCGGAAAGGTGGTGGCAATGCGGCAAAGAAGCCCGCAGCTCCGCCGGTGCGCAGGTCGACTAGGCAGAAGAAGTAGGAGGGCTGTATTGGTAATTCGTGGATATAGGACTATTTTATGACATGTACAATGATATCAATGAATCAGAATCATCTAGTATCCCTAGAAAGGGTATCTTCCCAAACGAAGTCGTTTTTGTATCATTCATCCTTTATTTAAGCATACTCCCTGTTAAAGGCGCGGCCGATGACCATCCTGCGAATCTCGCTAGTGCCAGCACCAATCTCATACAGCTTAGCATCCCGAAGAAGCCGCCCAGCAGGGATCTCATTGATGTACCCGCTTCCTCCCATCAGCTGGATGGCATCGAGAGTGCATTCAGTCGCGCGCTCAGCAGCGTAGAGGATCGCGCCAGCGCAGTCGTGAGTGCGAACGGTCAGCTCCCCAGGCCCGACAGCGGCGTTGTCCACCTGACGTGCAGTGGCGTACGTGTAAGCGCGAGAGGCAGCCAGTTTAGTGTACATGTCCGCAAGCTTGCCCTGAATCAGTTGGTTGTGGGCGATGGGCGTCCCAAATTGCTTACGGACGTGTGTGTAAGGAAGCACAAGGTCGAGTGCGGCTTGCATGATTCTGCGTAGTATAAGTATGTGGGAGATGTGTTTTTTTTTTTTTTGAGGAGGTACTCACCCTAGAGGTCCTGCACTGAGGACGAGTCGCTCCAGATCCAGACCCTCCATCAGAACGCGAACACCGCGGTTCAGCTCACCCAAGAGGTTCTCTCGGGGAACGAACACATCCTCGAAGATGAGCTCGCCGGTGTTCGAGCCGCGCATACCCAGCTTGTCTAGCTTGCGTGCGCATGAGAAGCCCTTGAAGGACTTCTCGACCACGAATGCTGTAATGCCCTTGGAGCCCAGCTCAGGCTCTGTCTTGGCGTATACGACAATGTAATCGGCGTCGGGGCCCTATGAGAAGTAGTGTGAGTATCTGTTTCCGCATTTTGTTTCTCATCCAAACAATCGAAAAGCTTACGTTGGTGATCCACATCTTGGTTCCGTTCAAGAGCCAGCCGCCATCAACTTCCTTGGCCGTAGTCTTCATGCTAACAACGTCGGAGCCGGCTGAGTGCTCTGACATTGCAAGAGCGCCAACCTTCTCGCCAGACAGCAGACCCGGGAGGAATCGTTCTTTTTGTTCCGCGGAGCCATTGAGGGAGAGCTGGTTCACGCAGAGTTGAGAGTGGGCGGCGTAAGAGAGACCGATGCTACCTTTTGCCCAGAGACAAGGTCAGATAAATTCTTCAGACGAAAACTGAGTGCGACTGGTCTTACCGGATGCTCGACTGATCTCCTCCATCACTACGCAATGCGCCTGGTAGCCCATTCCCAAACCACCGTATTCCTCGTTCGCTGTCACGCCGAGGAAGCTTGATTCGAGTTAGCATAAGCATAGAAAGCTGACACACCCTCCTGTTTAGAAAGAGCATCCAATGGATTGAGATGGTACATACCCAGCATCGCCCATCTTCTTCCACATTTCTGCTGGGAACTCATTCTGTTCATCCGTCCGTGCAGCAACATCGGCTGGGATCTCTCGCCCTGTAACAACGTTAGAGCTGCCCCTGGGTCTATCGAACGATAAATTTACTTGTAAATTCTTGCACACGCTCTCGGAGCTCTAGTAAATCATCTTCAGTCGGGGGTGTGAAGCCTGCGGGGTGCTTCGTTGAGATGGAGCGGAAAGCTGGGGTGAGTGCGGGGATGCGGTTCAGTCGCAATGCGCGCGTTGATGTGCGAAGAAGCGAAGGGAGTGTTAGGGAGGCCATGGTGAGAGAATGTAAAATGCAAGATCCGGGGGACTTTCACGGTTGTCTTCGGGGAAGTGGACCTCTTAAATATGGCTGTCCTGCGCAGGGGCGGTAGTCCTCGGCGCGCAATCAGGGTCCGACTGTTGTAGTGATCTTCCACCACAGAGCAGTTTATCCTCCAATCTCTATGTTTCTGTCTGTTTTACTGGACTATACTATATCTAATGTCCAAGTCAATTGATCTGCTTATACTATACTCTTCAACTTCCAACAATTGAGCGACGTCCTTTGATCAGCATTCCTATGCAGACAAGAACGGGCCTCGGGTAGAAGCGGCAATCATCGCACCTCCGCATCTGGGGAAACCCCAAGCTTTGTATTTCGCTTCTTCTCCCACTGCTCAAACTGATTTAAATACTTCGCCAAAGACACCCAAATACTGATCACTTCACTCTGTTGGCTTGAGCTGCGTGCTGCCAGTCCCCGTTACCACAACTCGCGACTCCACACTCTTTCCCCGCAATGCGTGCTCCGTCCCCGCTTGCCCTTCGGAGCTGGGGCTCACGACTTGGGCCGCGCAAATGCCTCCCAAACTCATTGAGCCAGTCAAGAATAATCACTCGGCCTACATACAGAGCAGTAGCAAGCTATACTCACCCTCACCATGCCTCAGCCCTCTCCGTCCTCCCCACAGTTCTGGATACCTCCTCACAGGAGTACCGCGAAAACAGCCAACAGATGCAAGAACTCATAGACCGGATGAACAGCCTACACACAACGATCGCGCGCGGCGGACCCGAAAAAGCCCGCGAGAAGCACCTCGCACGCGGCAAGATGCTCCCCCGAGACCGAATCTCCGCCCTGATCGATCCAGGCACCTCCTTCCTTGAGCTGTCCGCGCTAGCTGGACACGGAGTCTACGAGGAGGATGTGCCGGCTGGTGGAATCATTACCGGTATTGGAATGGTCGAGGGTGTCAACTGCATGATTGTTGCCAATGACAGCACCGTCAAGGGCGGCACGTACTACCCCATCACAGTGAAGAAGCACCTTCGCGCACAGGCAATCGCCCAAGAAAACCGCCTCCCTTGCATCTATCTCGTCGACTCTGGTGGCGCAAATCTACCTCACCAGGCAGATGTATTCCCGGACCGTGATCACTTCGGCCGTATCTTCTTCAACCAGGCTCGCATGAGCTCCCTCGGTATCCCACAGCTCTCCGTTGTCATGGGACCCTGCACAGCAGGTGGTGCATACGTGCCTGCAATGAGCGACGAGACCATCATCGTCGAGAACCAGGGTACCATTTTCCTGGCGGGCCCGCCTCTCGTCAAGGCCGCAACTGGCGAAGTGGTTTCCGCCGAGGACCTCGGTGGCGGCCAGCTGCATTCTAGCATCTCCGGTGTCACGGATTACCTGGCCGTCGACGATGCCCACGCTCTCATCCTTGCCCGTCGCTCTGTCGCAAACCTCAACTACCCAACAACGACCACTCCGTTGCAGCTAGAAAACGGTAATGGGGATTCACTCGTCATCAAGGAACCGCTGTACGATCCCAATGAGTTGAACGGTATCGTCGGCACGAACCTGCGCCGGCAGATCCCCGTGCACGAGGTCATCGCGCGTATTGTTGATGGAAGTGAATTCGCCGAGTTTAAGCGTGATTACGGCTCCACGCTGGTGACGGGCTTCGCGCGCATCCACGGCCACCGTGTTGGAATCGTTGCTAACAACGGCATCTTGTTCTCCGAGTCCTCCCTCAAGGGAGCGCACTTCATTGAGCTCTGCGCCCAGAGGCGCATTCCTCTCGTCTTTTTGCAGAATATCTCTGGCTTCATGGTCGGCGCTGATGCCGAGAAGGGCGGTATCGCGAAGAACGGCGCTAAGCTTGTCACGGCTGTTGCGTGTGCCGATGTGCCTAAGTTCACTGTTGTATTCGGGTCCAGTGCTGGTGCTGGAAATTACGGAATGTGGTAAGTTTTCTATCTTCCAATCTACGTGATCAATTGTCTCGCGTCTGGTGGACCTTTCTAACGTGTTTGTTGCGATAGTGGTCGCGCCTACTCTCCTCGTCTTCTCTTCATGTGGCCTAATGCTAAGATTGGCGTTATGGGCTCTGAGCAACTTTCGGCTGTTATGGAGGCTGTTGGGCGGTCTGCTGATCCGGCTTTGAAGGAGCGTATTGACCGGGAATCTGAGGCGACGTTCTCGTCGGCTCGGCTGTGGGATGATGGTGTTATTCCTCCCGCTCAAACGAGGAAGATGTTGGGGTTGGGTCTGACTGCTGCGCTCGGTGGGAAGGCTGAGCCGGATGTGCAGACCAGGTTTGGCGTGTTCAGGATGTAGGCCTGATGGACCGGTCCGCTTGGAATCAGGGTTACAATCTATAAATAAAATTGAGGCATACATGAATGGAAGATAAAGCGTAACAGCCCCAGTACCGTAGAGCTCAGTAAGAGAAAAAGATCCGGCAGGCCTTCTAACCTAGGTTGACTGCTACATACCCATGTCTCGAGATACAGGTTGCCTGCTCTGATTCCAAAACTTCGAAGTTGCAGCCATGTGCCTGACATTGAGGGAATCTAGCAGAAGCCTAACAAACGCACCATAATAGAATCACCAAAGAAAGCAGTTTTCTTCTCCATGTCATGAACATAATTTTTGGGGGATCCAGATCGACCAAATCGCATGGTGTCAAACCAAAAAAAAAGAAGCGGATGATAATTGTGTACATCCCAAAAGAACACAAGTATATAGCAACAAACAGGAGGTTCTATAGAGAAATACCCGCAGACATACCGGCAAAATGTGGAAAGAACATCAGTCATATATCGCATGTCATGCATATGAGCGGAAGCGGGACATAGGTCGCAAGGGGGGAGGATTCGTATCACATGAGAAAGAAGCAAGACAAGGGCCCGGGCCCTTTGTCAGAAGACCAGAAGAGGGAGACCTCGAATCGTAGCATCAAAGAATGACACACGGACTGCGGCGGGTCTTCGGCCGACGGGTGTCCCTCTTGCGGTCATGGCGGTTTGGGCCCTCGCGCTTTCGGTTGGGGTCTCCACTGCCTTTTGAGGCTTCAGAGTCTTTGCGGATGATCTGGCGGCATAGGTCGACGAAGACTTCGTTGACGTTTGCGCGGCGGCGCGCGGACGTCTCGTAGTAGGGGGCGTTGCCCCATTTTTGCGATAGGCCGAAGGCGCGAGCGCGTGGTACGGCGCGGTCTTCTTCCAGGTCGGATTTGTTGCCCACGATCACGATTGGGACGTTTTCGTCGTCTTTGATTCGGATGATTTGCTCGCGGAGTTCGGAGAGTTCGTTTAGGGAGGACATGCTGGTGATGGAGAAGACGAGGAGGAAGCCTTGTCCTTGTTTCATATACAGTTCTCTGGGGAGCGCTGTTAGTATCGTGTGTTGTTCCCGGGGTTGGACCGTGAATCGATCGCGGTGGTGAATTGGAGCCTGAATTTACCTCATTGCCGCTGTTGAGCGAGAGTTAGCTTTGCCTCCGAGCTCTCGTTGTGATATGGCGACTTACTGAATTGTTCCGTCCCTGCGGTGTCAAGGCTGCGAGATTTTAGCAACATGTTGTATCCAACCCACCGACTCACTCACATCTCCAGTATACATTGTCGACCCTGCCAGATTTGGTTAACGACAGATCCCAATTCCAGCCCATGATAGACAACTTACGTCTACCTCGATTTGTTTTCGGTATGAGTCCTCGATCGTGGGGTCGTAGCTTTCGATCCAGACATTTTGAACGAATTGAGCTGGACGGTGTTGATCAGCTTGGGAGCTCAGGGCAGGACACGAAGCATGGGACACGGACCTGTTAAACAACTTTTTCCGACACCTCCTGTTATCGCATCGCATAGGATCGCCTGTGGTCAGCCTGTGACCCACGCAATATCTCAGGACCAAGGCCAATGCCTACCAGCACCCAAAACAACAATGTGGTATTCGCGTCTGTAAGGGGCGCAACCCAACAATTAGAACGTGATCTCGGGGTTTCCAGTGGGACCAAGCACTCACTGTGGCCGCATTGAGCAGGCTGTGTATTGATATAATTTAGTCGTTCGAGTTCGAGATCGCAGTAGCAGTGGAAGGACCGACAAGGGAGGGTTGGCGTCAGTGTTGATCGGCCCACGTGGTATAAAGTACGATCTTAGATCGCGGAGGTTTCGTGGGTTGTGTAGGCTTGTAATTGTCCCCTGTACCACAATGTCGAATGTCTCAATTGTAATGCGATGGAGATGGAAGAGCTTAGGAGGGCGGTACGCGGGATCGGTTACATCGGTCAATGGCCCGGTGTGTCGTGCACGGATATGTGATCACGGAGATTCAAGGGTCCACTGGGGATTTTAAATACAATTGATGAAATTTCACCTAGAACAAGCTTAGGCGTCTCTCGAGGGAGGAGAGGTAAACGGGAGGCCTGTAACCCCAGGGCACTTCGTTCCTGAACTCTCTGTGTTTCAGTGCCCCAATCACATCATAGGCCGGGATCATCTCTGGCGGTCTGACAATTTTACATGTCTTTTTTACTGGGCAAAATCCCAAGTTTGTCATTTTGTTCTGGTATTTTATTCTCACAGAACTTCATTTAGCCTGATTTTTTCGATTCCCAAATTCCCAGCAAACAATAAACCCCTGATGTGCTGTAGCTACAACACGTGACTATCACGTGTTGATGTTGTTAGAGTTCGAAGCCTCTCAAGCTCAACCGTAAATTCCCGAGGTCAGTGGTGTTAAAAGTCACTGACACTCGGCATCTGAGGTATTTCTTCATCTTGATACATTAGATGTGTGGATTGGTGACATGTCGAGTAATGAGATGTTTATGCTTAGCCGGCGTATCATACCAAGGCTCGGACCAAGTGCTGCAGGGGGTGACAGCCCTGAAGGCTGAAGCTCCACAAAGGAACTTGCCCCGGTTTCATGGTAAAATCAAAACATTCCAAAAATACTTAATACATCGGCCTGGGAACAGGCTAGTACGTACCGGCATAGGGAACATAAACAGGTACAATCAGCAGGCCGTGGTGCCCTGAGAAGCCGCGTACGTCATGTCGTGATGATTATCCTGGGGAGATGAGTGGAGATGAAAGCCGAGCGGGTGATTTGCTCTGGTGGTCCTGGTCTTGAACAGCCCTAGGGTTCGGTGGGACGAGCTTATATCGATCTGAAGCAGTTAAAGGTGTATTTGAAGCTAGAAAACTCGCTACTCTTGGGACCCCATGTGTTTCTCCTAGCCCCTCGGCTACATTGACGTAGGTAGTTGGTAGTCCGATAGTGTGACCACTGACCAGTGACTTTCGATAGAGGTCTAGGTGACTTTCTCCATGACTTCGACTAGAGATAAATGACCTTATCCATCGCCTAGACCCCTCGATGTAGATTGTCCAGTGATGCTATCAGTTGATCTTTCTATCCAATGACAATTTACCGCAAGCTTCCTTCACATGGCGGTCGGATACGTCATGTGCATCACGTGATGCGCACAGGCTACCCGCTTGTCTCGGTCCTTCCGCCAGCTTGACCGTTTGCATTCTCACCATCCCTCGCTCCATTGCTATTCTAACAGCTCTTTGTCCTGTTTCTCACAAACTATATTCCCTCAAATCAGCAAAATGGCCTCTTTCCAAGAGCGTGCTCAGCACTCGATTGCTCAGCTTGACAAGGAGGTACGTTTCCAGCTATTGTGTGTTTTTTTGGCGCCTCGGTCTAGCCCTCGCCTGTTGGCTGCAATGCCCCGAAGCGCCAGCGATCGCAGTTGTATTGAAGATACTCGCTTGACTCGATCTCGACTGCATTGTGCCGTATCTCTCCATGCGTTGGAGCTAACATTTGTGTCACTTTACAGCTCTCCAAGTACCCTGTCCTCTCCAACCTCGAGCGTCAGACCAATGTCCCCAAGGTCTATGTCATCCTTGGCCTTGTCGGCATCTACACCTTCCTGGTCTTCTTCAACATTGCTGGCCAGTTCCTCGTCAACTTTGCCGGTTTCTTGCTCCCCGGTTATTACTCGCTCCAGGCGCTCTTCACCTCCAGCACCCACGATGACACTCAGGTAAGAATTTTTGGTCTAGATTTACCCCTCTTCTAGGCGCAAATCCGCTAACTATCTCATTTTCACAGTGGCTTACTGTATGTACCCCATGTTCCTATTCGCCTGCTGTCGCAGCTGTGCGGAAGTATGAGATCACTACCGATTCCCGAGGTCGGGCTTATCATACTCCCCACGTGACGTCTTTCCCGCTTGCACACGACCAGGAATACTAACAGATGACTTGATAGTACTGGGTTGTCTTCGCTTTCCTGACTGTCGTTGAGAGCGCCATCAGCGCCGCTTACTGGTTCCGTATGTTTCCACATGACCTCAAATGAGCCGCATGACTTTGCTAACTGGTCGCAAGCCTTCTACTACATCTTCAAGTTCGTCCTGATCCTCTGGATGGCTCTTCCCCAGACCAAGTATGTCCCCCAACATCACCGAAATCAAGACCAGTAGCTAATCCCTGCCACAGCGGTGCCCAACTCGTCTTCCACTCCTTCCTCCAGCCCGTGCTTGGCCGCTTCTTCTCCAGCAGCGGTACCTCCACCAACCTCCGTGCTCAGGCCGAGGCTGCGAGCAAGCCCCACTCCAGCTAAAGGACTGTTGTATGACGTTTTATCAGAGGATCGCATCGTCAATATAAGCTCCGTGTAGCCTGCTCGATCGCAGGTCGCGGTTCCGGATTCTCTGTGCCCGGCGTGGCACTATGCGCGAAGTGAGGTTGTTGGCTCAAAGCTTCGCTGCCGTGATTAAATAGGAGCACTTGAGGACGCTAGCAGATGACATAGAGGGCCCGTGAAATGTTGCGACGGGTCCGGGGTTGGAGATTCGCTGAATAGGAGAACGCTCATCTTGGTTCCTTGCCGATATGTCCCACTCGAATGATTTAGTTTATTTCGTACATTGTTGTCACGAATATGAATGCGGTTGTTTTCAGCTACCCGAGATACTACGTTTCCTTGCCTTTGGCTTCCAAGACAATTGTCTTCGCCGTGATGCTGCGTCATTTCAAAAGACTACCTACATGTACCTGGGCAGGCGAAATCACGCAAGTATAATGCTGCTTAAACTGCTTTCCCCCAACAGCAAGTATGCTGTGACTCCTATCGGGGACTGATAGTTCAACCCCTCCCCCCACCCCCGCCCTGCGTGAATGCTGTCTGATCCTACCATATTTCTTTGGCATCGCCGAGAACGACCGCTTCTGAGGCCAGAAACGAGTGCCCTTTCCACCCGTAACTTTGGACATACAGACGCTCCTCGACCGCAGGGTGAGGACGTCCACGTCTTCAGCACCGTGATGGACAAGCCTGGCTTCAAAGCCGACTCAACCGATACCAAAGTCTTCAAGGACTGGGGAATACCAGATATCTTTGCACGTGTCATGACCGAGGCCCAGCCTATTGGCACGAGCGCCATAGCCCGTAGACACGCTCAAAGCTAAAGTCCAGGCGGCGGGGAAGCCTCAGGTCTGCATCAATTCACTAGGCTGGACTAGTTAAGTACGGTGTAGTTATCTAAATTTATATACCTAGGGGATTGATATACCTATGGGGGTATTCACCCCCCTTGTTCCATTACCACCATAACCTTGGTATATGTTCAGTGAATCCCCGGTGAAGCTTGACAAATGATCCGAGATAGGATATGCGAATTTTTATTGAAGTGCAACCTAGTGTAGAGGACCTTGCGCCGTAGGTGCTGATCGGGCATTGTAGAGAACCAGCCTAACCCCCAGAAAAACAAAAAACGCCTGGGCACTGAACTCCATCTGGGAATCGTTGTGATTCAAGTATAGCAAACCAAGGCTCCCTACCCTCGTGGTCATAACCTTTTTGTATTATATGACAAATTCGTGAGTCGTATCGAGATCAATCGCCCACTGCTTCCGCGGGGAGAGATGATGGAAATGTGTCCGTTTGGGTGAACAAGCAGCAGAGTGTGTATCTATCAATGTGAAAATTCGGAGTCGTAGAATTCAGGCCCTCAATAGAGCCAAACATCTCAGTAAAGCCCCATGCGATTTCCCCAACCATCGGCACGAGGGTTAACAACAACTCGATATGGGAACGGATTTGAATCACTGGTAGTGATGGGCGGAATATGGTCTTTATCGCGGTTGACGACACTCAAGATCTTCAAAGCTGCTTTCTGGAGCATATTCCCCATTGCTTTGCGCACCTTGGCTCGTTCTGTAAGTGAATTAGCAAGGGCGCCGGACAAAAGAAGAGCAGCAGAGCGTCCTTACCAGACTCAGTACGCGGTGTGGCGATGGTGACATCAAGTGTCCAGATCTCCCAGCAAACCTCTTCCTCGCCTTTGCCAGTCAGCCCGCCAAACCAATGCCCGGAGCGACGTCGCTTCTTCTCATAGAACTCAACCGCGATCCGTCCTCGCACGCCCCTGCCCCCACTAGTTATTTGACCATCATGCCCACCGGCCGCTGAAGAGAGATGCTGTCTGACCAAATCGGATACGCGCGACTCGATCAGCGTCTCCAGGTCCGCATCGTTTATCGCGGGGAGTGTAAAGTCGAGCACGTCAAAGGTAACCGGCCGAATGGAGGGGAAATACCGGTGAAAGAAGATGAGATTCAGGACACCTGTCAGGAAATGTTTAGATCCTAAAGTACTTTTACTATATCTCCAAGCAGTAACTGACCTTTCAGTACATCTCGCACATGAGTGGTGTCGGCGAAGATCTCCAGGAAGTACTCCGGAGGGGTTTTGCGGGGCTCCATCCCCGCCATGACGCAGCTCACAACCAGGCCGGTTGGGCGTAGCTTCAGACGGTGGTGGTATGAGTATCGGTATTACTCCTGCTACAGAATAAAGGGATAGTAGGTAAGCTCGTCGAGTGTGTTGACAGGTTCATGGGGGAGGTTGGCGTAAGGTTGAGTGAGAGTGATGCTGATATGGGGAAGGGGGGGGGGGGGGGGGGGCGGCCTGTATCGGCTTTCGGGAGCGGCCGACTGAAGCTTATCGGTTATCATCGAAATGGGGAAACGCGTGGATGAATGACATTTATATTCAAGACTCTTTATAAAACAAGATTCAGAGGCATACGAGACATGAATAGAGGCATGTTGGCAGGGATCAGTTGTTGCCGGATGGACATGGTCGCGCCGAATCCGGGGGAAGCTCTAGTGAAAACATGACGATATGGGATTTCCGGAAGATCAGAGCCATTAGACGATGAATCTGGGATTCTGGGAAATATCGTATAACTAGATAGTTCGTGATTTTGTGGTAATATTTAGGCATATTTTCAGCATGTGGCTTTGAGGCTGCGGCACTTTATATGAGTTCACTAACACGTTGTAAGCCGGTAAGCTCTAGCCGAGGCCTGAAACTCGCGATCAGCGCCCGAAGCCTTTCTTCTCCATCCACTCCGTACTCCGTCCAGAATTCATCATCTTCGAAATATATCATGATTTGAACTTGATCATCATTCTGTCTTATCCTTGGAGCACCATTGACAATCGATATGATCGGTGCGACGAAGCGCTGGTTCCAGCGCAATCGCAGAGGTCTTGCAATCGGGGCTGGGGTGATAGGAGCTGGCTACTTGGCCGGACAATATGTGCTATCCAAGATCTCCGAAGCGCGGGAACGCATGAGCGGCGATCGGATTGCACGCGAAAAGTGAGTTCTTCTTATTGATGAGCTCTCGTCACCCTGCCGGCAAGCATGGGAGCTTGTGACGGGTCAAAATGCCCCGGACCGGAATCACTGACCAGGTCAATAGTCTACGCCGACGATTCGAACAAAACCAGACCGATTGCACATACACTGTCCTAGCCTTATTGCCAACCGCCACCGAGAATATTATCGAGGCTCTACCTGTCGAAGAGTTGACGAAGGAGCTGCAGCAGAAGCGAGCTGAGAGGTTGGCTCGGCTCAATGCCGGAGAGGCCACTGGATCAGACCTAAGTTCGGTAACGCCTAGTCTCCCGGATGATGATCGGAGGAGTCTCTCCAGTTTCCAAAGTGAAGGATACGTGCATGCGAGCCAGATGGGGGAGTCTTCCCTAAGCTCGGACGGACAGCCTCGGCCCAAGCGGAACAAGACCCAATTGTGGAATGAGGTTAAGATTACATGTAAGTCTCTCTATCGCAGCAGTCTTTATCATGGACTCCGTGTTTCAGAATCTAACATGTTTCAGCGGTCACTCGGTCGTTTACTATGGTCTACACCCTCTCATTGCTCACCATCTTCACTCACATCCAACTCAACCTCCTCGGCCGCCGCAACTACCTCTCCAGCGTGATCTCCCTTGCTACACCGCCTGCCAACTCTTCGACTATCAGACTTGAAGACCATGATGATGAACTCACACAGACATTGGGCGATGACTTCGAGACCAACCGCCGTTACCTCGCCTTCAGTTGGTGGCTACTTCACCGCGGATGGAAAGACCTAATGGTCCGAGTACAAACTGCAGTGGAGGAAACATTTGGGCCTCTGAATCCCCGCGAGGATATCAGCTTGGCCAAACTCTCCGAGCTGACCTTGCAAATCCGAAAGAGGGTGGAAGGCAGCACAGAGGAGGAACGACGATCTCAGAGGTGGCTTTCATGCTTGCTGCCGCCAGCAGGCGAGGAGCAGCATGTCCTGCGCGAGTCCGGCGTGGAGGGAGTCGCGGACCCGACCTCTCCCCAGACAGCATCGAAGCTGCGACACCTCCTGGACGAGACAGCGGATCTGATTGACTCTCCCTCTTTCTCCTTGGTGCTCACCCTTCTCAACAACGAGGGATTCTCCACTCTCATCGACCAGAGATGTGCCGCTGACGCCTTCAAGGCGCCGACCTCTACTCCGGAATTTGCCCCTCAGTCCTTTGAATCCGTTGCCACTGTCGTGCCCCTGGCTGGCAACGCCGACCGCAAGACGAAGCTTGCTAACCTCCTGGCTGTTATGGCTCGCCAAGCGCATGTGATTGGCAATGGTTCCCACCCACCCAATGAGTATCTGGTCGCCATGGACCAGAATGTGCGTGAGCTCGAAGCATTCTCTGCCGTGGTCTACAGTTCAAACTTTGACCTCGAGCTTCTTGGTGCCAAGAATACGGTGTCCGAGGCGAGAGAGACTGGGTTGGACGATAATGATATGGCTTCTTCATTTACGCACGTATCCGTTCAGGAGGAAGTTGAAGATGACCTGAAGGATGATGAGTCCATCCAGTCATCGTCGCCGAGCGCCGAGCGCGTGGCATCAGTGGCAGATGAGCCTTTGACTAACTCTGCCTTCGAACAAGCTTGGGGTAAAGCCACAGAAGAGGAACCTACCTCTCTACCCGAGGAAGCCACCGAGAAAGTCACAGAAAGAGTTACGCAGGAAGATACGGAGGAAGCCACGGAGGCAGTTACAGAGGAAGTTGCAGTGCAAGCCAATGAAGAGCCCACAGAAGAAACCCAGGCAACGCAATGAGGCACTGAAGGGAGCATTGATCTTGATGGGCGATGTGTGATCGTCTCTGTTATACCCTTCATTTTCGCACATTGTCCTGAGTCCGACCTTGATCTTTCTAAGCCCACCGCATGTACTACATCTTGCGATAGATTTGAATTATGTTAATGATATACGTCAATTGTATGCTCTGCAAGCACTCCTAGTGCGGTTTTTTCCGATACAACATGGCGTATACACAATTGCTGTTCGACTTTCTATGCCCACCATCTCTGCTTATGCAGCCTTGGAAGTGATCGATGGACTCGAATACTGAAAAGACTCTCCTTGGGATGCCATCCCTGCCCACTATTTGGTGGTGAGCCTCTCAACGTACGATAGTGTGCAAAGTGCAAACCAAAACAGACTAGCGTCGGTGGGCCAGCGGGGGTCTTTCCAAGGTTAATGCCATCAACAACGGCGTGGAGACAATCAAGGAATGAGTCCGAATGACCGAGAAAAGCTTGGAAAGACTCCGCTGTCAGTTGACGGGTCCTTATTACTAGCGAATAACAAGATAGCAAATGAATTGGACAGCTCTCTAGTGCCATTAGCCTCGGGTCCGGCTACGAATTGTGACTTGCAGTACGGAGTAAAGTTCCTTGGTTTAGCTAGCGTCTACAGCGTCCATCCTGTCCGGTAATCGCAATCGCATCCTCTTCATTTTCCCCCTGTCAGTTACCGCACCACTGATGTCCGTCTTCGGTATGTTCCTGGCTGTGAATGCAGGTGTGTCATCAGGAACAGGCAACTTTTCTATTGTGTGTTTTTATGGACCCGGACAACGCCGAGACATACTGACGTCAATGACTATATTTTTCCTACTGCGGCTTTCCACCCCGACTGATGAGATAATCAGCCCACTTGTGTGGCGCAGCTGGACGGTTCTCCATTCTTGATAGCGCAATGGAGACTTGGTTGTATTGAATGATACATACCTTAGTTTTAGCGTTTTGGAATTTGTATTGACGTAGCGGTTGCAAGGGTGAAATCTTGCCATCTGTAAGCTAAGACGAGGTTGGAGAGCGGCCGAAAGCCCCTTTTTCGGGTTGACCATGCTTCAAAAGCTAGTACAGCCCTTGGAGACCCTGATTGAGTGGCTGGCGAGTAGGTAATCGATGCCGATGAAGGGTCTGGTGTTATTATCTCCTATTCGAGGGTGCAGTTTGAGTTCCCTAGTGAAGCTCGCTTTCAACGTTCTCCTGCAGCTAGATGATGTACGGGGATACGCAACCCCGCATTGTGCAAAGGTCAATGAAGAGCAATGATCAGCCCCGGCCATCGGTCCTCGGTAACTATCAAATGGCTGACATTTGAACCTGCGATGCTTGAGAAAATACATATAGAAGTAGCACAGCCCAGAGTATATTGTCTTTCCTTCGCCTTTGCAGCTTGTTAGTATGCAATCAAGTGTCTAGACAAGCATTTGAGCCATGACATTCCCGGCGGTCCCCACTCAGATGATAGTTCTGCCTATCAAGGAGGGCTTAAAGATCGAAGATGCATCAACCAAAGAGGGCCAGCTCTGGTCGCAGATACTAGACATTCTGGAACGCTGGTCAGGATTCCGTCGCCTGTACTGGGGTCGGCACGTGGAGGAGGCAAACCAGGTGCACCTTCATATCGGTTAGTGATTATACCGAGATCAAGGTCGGGTTGATAGGATCCGGAAAGTAATGTCCGAGGGACTGTCTAGTTCGAGCCAATCTGCACCAGCATTATGCGCTCCTCTCCTCGCGCGAATGGGAACAGATCACCACCATCTTGAAGTCGCTGGGAGTCCCCGACGCTAGCTCGCTCACAGTCCGCCATGCCATGATTGCGGAGTTCTCGCCCAACCCACGAAGCCTAGGCAATGGTGCTCCCGTAACGGGAACAGCTATCTACCTAACTGCAGATCCCGCGGCATGGGAAAAGACATGGGCACTGTGGACTGGCATTGTCAGTAGCGTACCTGGATGCATTGGAGTTACGGGCGGCTGGATGGTGGAGCCGGTCGAGGGCAACAGCCCCTGTTATATCGTTTATGTCGGCTGGGAGAGTATCGAGGTCCATGACTCGTATCATAACACCAAACACTTCCGGCGACGAGCGGTTATCCTCAGTGAGAATAACCAAGGATTCCGCGAATACGGCCATATTGCTTTCAAACACTCACGTGTTCGACAGGAGGCAAATTTGTAGACTTGGCATGTCAATGTAGCATTCCATGAGAAATCCTTGGACTATGAAAGAAATGACACTTTGACAGAGCTGAAGAGAGACAAATCATTGAAACAATGAAATGTAACCGTAAAATGTTAGTTTCACCCAGCCTCATAGTGTGGCTTGGGCAAGTACTCCACTCGCCAAATCGTAAGGGAAAGTACAAGTACCTCCTCCGCAGGGTTCCGTATCGTCCAATGACCTTGCTCAACCAAGGAACTGCCGGTCAAAGTCCTCGAAGGTTTCCCCCCGATCTGCCTCCCCTTAAGATCTGCCCTTTCTGACCATCTCTCCCCCTCGATATTTGATGGTCATACGTTTCCTTGCTCCTTTTGTTTTCACTGCTACCCGACCTCATATCCCAATTGAGTTGCAAGGTCTGATGTGCGCGTCGCTTTATCACCCTCACCTCAAAATCCACCCCGAACTTCAGGAGGATCAGCCCGTTGTACCTTTACAATAACTAGGTCTTGCTAGTATTGCTAGACTTTCTACACATTGAAGGTGTTCGCTTTCAGCTTTTTGCTTAAAGCCAAGAGAGGATCGTGCCGCTGCATACTGCAGTGGGCGCTGAAACCGCATTATTTCCGTATCCGTCAGCCGCGCGCCTCGGAAACGCACCTTCAAGTCGTCACCTCCCAGGAATCCATCGCTTGAAAATTTCCAACAGCCCACTCGTGAGCGGGCCATTTTTCTAGAACTACGGTCGCGCGCGTTCGCTATTCCAAGGCTGATATCCTTGCCCGCTCACTATGACTGAATATCGGTTGCCCCTCCATCAAGGGCCCCCTAGCCGGAAGCCTCTCGTTGGTGCCCAGCATGCATATGGATATCAGCCCTACGACGCCCCGCGCGCCCAACCCCAACTTGCGCCTCATCTAGCAGGTCCTCAGACTACGCACAGTCGGACTCGAACCACATCCTCTACGGTGCTGCCCTACGCTGGCGGATCCCAATACTATCACAACGCTCCTCCGCCGCCTCCCATCCCCCAAACCATGAACCTTCCTCACCACCAATCCTCTAGACGCCTGTCTAGTACCACAACATCGACTTCCTCTACCGGCAACCATCCGATCGGACACGCGGGGCAAGCTGTTTCTGACATTCGCCGAACCGCATCCTCTCGCTCCGCCAACTCCCAGCTTGGATATGTCGCCCTCATGCGCCGGCAAAAGGCTACTGTGTGGTGCGACCGAGCGCAACCCGAGGATGCTAGATTGCGCGAACAAATTCTGCGGGACAAGAAGAGAGCATACCTTGAGGTTCATGGATCAGGCGCTGGCCGAGCAGGAACTCTGGGTAGTGGCAAGATCCGACATGGTCCGAAGGGTGTATCTGAGTTCTCGCCCTCCAATCTCGTGGGCGCCAAGGTTCCAGTCCGACTGAGTGCGAACGAGGTTGGTGATGGCGATGACGACGCTTGCAGTACTGATGGCGCAATGCACAAACGCACCGGCAGCGGTCGAAGCTCTCTGGGAAGCGCCCATCGTTACCCGAGCGGCTACTCCCGTCCACATGGGACAATGGGCAGCAACAGCACACCTCCGAATGAGAAGACAGATCTACCGGAGGTGTCCGAGAATACGCCCGCGGAGCTTCAAGCAGAAGAAAAGAGCCGGGTTTCGTCTATTGTCAAAGACGATAGCGCGACAACACATAGCAGCGAGCATGAGCGAGACGACATTGTCGGTGACATGCAAGCCCCAAGTGCTGCTATTTCCGCAACCGAGAAAGCCAAACGGGCAGCCGAATTGCGACGACGAGGAAGTGTAGACGAGCGCACTACCTCCATGACTAATGTGCGACTCTTCGTCGCCAATCCCGACTCTGACAGCGACTGAGTGAGACTTTTATACCCGTCATATACAGTCTGCGCTCTCTTTTATCCTCCCGCTTCCCGCGCTTTCTCTTATCTTTTATGATTTCTGCACGATCTCTCTTACTGCCTCACTAATTGCACATACCACCTATCTCGTTGCAACTTTTCATCTGGCTGGTACCACTCGGCAAATCTTGATGGTTTAGGCCGATTCTGCCCCCTGACATGTTCATATCTTGCCCTGTGGCGTCTTCTTTTCTTCAGCGCCGCATCCTTTTTCCGTCTTTCTTTCCAGGCTGCCTTCATCCAGCTGGCTATTGTGCTTGAGGGTACTGCTGGTCTCTATAGACTGACCCTGTGTTGCTTGAGCTTCTGCGGCCGCATAGGGATCGTCGTGGCGTTGTTGCATCTGGCATTTCCTTCTTCTCCCTAGAGATAATAATACTAAATCAAAGATGATTCCGCTGCATATGACTGATACCCAGGACTAACAGGAAAATGGAGCATCATTTCCACCAGCGTTGCTACATTGACGCGATGTATCATCAGGCCGTCCCACATTCTGCAATTGAGTATTCCAGCGTAGGGAGATGACAACCTAAGCACCATCCGAGTGGGAGACTTAAGTCACCATGATGCAAATTCATGCGTAATCAGTTTTACTCTGGAAATTTCGAAGATGGTGCCATACAGCGTAGTGAAACCCCCACTACCTATGATTGGGGAGGGCCGCCCCGAGGGCCGCCGGGCTTGGCATCAATTACATAACCACACACGTGCTTATCGGTCGCGAGCGCGAAACCATTTAACGCGTCCCCCTGTTGGCCCAACTCCTTTGGGAACATCACTGCCCTACTTGGTTTCTACGGGGGTAATTGCCTCTCTTCTGTTCAAGGCCAATCGCCACTGCCTAAATTGGACTACATCCCTTTTGTTTACTCGCCCAAGTCGTGCTTTCCCCTTTGATTGACACGACCCGTACCACGCATATACGGAAGCCGCGATCTATCACACAAACAGTCGCCCCTGCCCTCACCCGGTCGAACACCTGGCACTTCAGATCATCCGATCAAAAAATTTCCTGTCACAGTCAAGTCAATGGACAATATCTCAACTCTCGCGCCGATGACGTCGGCTCAATCTTTTCCCGCGTCACCTTCATCAGGTCGCAAACGCTCCATTCACGAAGTCGACGATTCCGCCGGGCCCTCGCCAAACGCAAAGCGAACATTGAATGAGTTCACTGGCGAAAATCAAGAAAATCGTGATCCCTCTTTGCCCTCCCAACCTGATGACACCTCTACACCCCCAGTCGACTCCAAACCTCCGTTTCCACCTCCACCAACTGTCGAAATAGTGGTGAGAAACACACCCACTAAAGCGATGCCTGGTTCTGATGGTGCTGGGAACGGGGCATCCCCGAACACCAACTCTGCTTCTGACCCTGAGGCTCATACACCGGCCTCGAAGAAACGCAAATTAGACCCCGTTGGGAAGGATCCCAAACAACAAGAGAAAGAAGACAAAGAGCGTCAGAAGAATGAGGAGAAGGCACGCAAGGAAGAAGAAAAGGCAAGGAAAGAACTAGGAAAAGCCAAACGGGAAGAAGAGAAGCGGTTGAAGGCTGAAGAGAAGAAGAAGCGCGACGCCGAGCGCGAAGAGGAGAAGCGCCTTAAAGAGGCAGAAAAGCGTAAGAAGGAGGCCCAACGTGAGGAGGAGCGCAAGCAGCGTGAAGAAAAGAAGAAGGCAAAGGAAGATGAGAAAGCCGCAAAAGAAGAGGAAAAGCGCAAAAAGGAGGAGGAAAAGGAGAAGAAGACACGAGTAAGTGGCATTCACAATAATCTCGGCATGTTTGGCTGTATACTGATCAAACCAGTCACAAATGAAACTGAACTCTTTCTTCATCAAACCACCGGTACCTTCTTCTTCCCCGGGAGTTGCGGCGGCCACTTCTTCGCCCAAGAAGCAAACTACTACAGCTGAATCCTCCGACGAACCTCGCAGCTCACTATCAGCCTATGAGCGCGAGTTTCCCTCTTTCTTTCTACAGTCCCATACCACCGTGGCACCTTCTCATCGGTTCGAGCGGGACCCTGAAGCTCTTGAGCACGTACGCCAAACACTCGACGCATGTCTAAGCAACGAGCACCCTATTGATGTACATCCATTCCGCCCATCAGAAGTCTTCCGAATAATACCCCTCCGTCGTGGAAGTCGGCCAACAACTTCTGTCAAAAGCATCCTACTACAGCTACAAAATTTCGAAGACCAGATGGAACCGACTCAAAATTCGGACGGAAGGCCATCCTCTAGTCCTCGGGATCTTTTGCGCAAGGTCAAGATGAAATCTCTCAAGTTTGGCGAGGACATCCGCCCGCCTTATCAGGGTACCTATACCCGTGAGGTGTCCGAGTCGTCTTCTAGAAGACTTGCGCGGAATCCTTTCCACCGAGGGCTTCCGGAAACCAATTATGATTATGACTCCGAGGCCGAATGGGAGGAACCCGAAGAGGGCGAAGAGCTTGGCTCTGAGGAAGAAGACGAAGGCAGTGATGAGGGTGACGATGATCTTGATGGGTTCCTAGATGATGAAGATGATGCGCTGGCTGAGGGGAAACGTCGTCTGATCGTTGGTGATCTGGAGCCCGTTTCAACTGGTCTTAAGTGGGCTGCGGATGGGGTCGATCCTGAAATGCAGGCCTACCGGATCGAGACTATATCTGATGCGGTTAAGTTTCCCATCGACCCATACTCAACTGCATACTGGGAGAAACCGAAGCCGTTGGATCAAGGCCCCGCAAAAGGACGTCCTGCACCAGGACTCGATGGATTCCTTGTTCCTGCAGTTCCTGGCGCACCGGCGGCCGGCAGTGCCTTGCCTCCTACGTCGAAAGCCAAGCGGCCGTTCCCGCCAGACCTACTGGGCGAATTCAAGGAGGCTGTCGAGGGCAGTGATCTCAGTAAGATTGGGTTGGTCGAGATCTTGAAGAAACGGTTAGTTTTCATGACTCTCTCGCTCTCCTATGAAGATATGCTAATCCGGGTGTGATGTCTTTAGATTCCCGAAAGTCTCCAAAGAAACCCTCAAAGCCACCCTCGACCAGGTCGCTGTTCGCGTTGGACAAAAAGAAGTTGATAAGAAATGGGTCTGCCGATGATGCTATCATCCTCTCCCACTGACATCAGTGCCTAGGAACGGAACGGGATTCATATTTTACAACGTACCTAAGCTCTCCTCTCTAATGCCTTTATGAAACTGGAAATCAAATCCTTCAAATTCTCGTGGAACAGCACTCGTGTTTTTCTTCCTCTCTAGAGTCGGGGTGTCCCGGATTAGCTGCATGAAATAATGCCGGTAGGGCCGGTTGCGCGCGTGTCGCAGTTATATGGACCAGGATTATACCCTTGCATGTGAGAGTAATTGCCACTTCATCAACGGCATTGGTTCATTTCCCCAGATCTTGCTCGATCGTCAATAGTGGCGATTTACTGAGGGTCTTTAGTATTTACTCCATTTTACCCGAGTCGGGGAATTTGTTTGCCAGTTCTCTCGTATTAGATACATACAGTAGTTAGCATCTTGGATAGAGGGATTTTCCGTATTTATGTTAGACTAAGGTAAATATAGTTGGATACACGTTGACTCACATATAAAACAGACTCCTGGAGAAGGGGGGCGCATGGACACCTCACACTCCTGCACTGCCAACGCATCGTCTCCGTTGTACTCGGTACCTGTTGGTCCTTAGGTTTTAGTGCGCTTACCCCCTGTACATCAACCACTCACAGAGTCTCCAGTACTTCGCTTTCTGACTATCCCTTTGTAGACTCCATTCGTCTGCAACTGTCCGCTTCGAGTCTTTCGGTTTTTTCTCACGTCCATTTGTCTATTTGGATCCTTTAATATTTTGTGTTATATACTCCCGAGTACTTTCAGTCTGCATTTCTAACCCTCATCTCCCCTCCTTTTTGCACCCTTCCTGCTCCCGCTTCCTTTTCTACTCTTCTCCCCAACCCCACATATTCATCCTGGAAGCCGACTATTTGTCCGATCGAGTGCATTGCCACTCGCCAGAGAACCCAGCGGTTTTCTTCCCAGAATCATGCGATAAAAATCCGTCGGCTAAGGGGGGTTTGCGACTGTCTGTCGCAACTAATGGCAAGATGGTGGAATATCAGCTAGAGGAACATTCTTCGTCCTCTTTGACTCCTGCAATCAGTACGTCATATTGTATTTTGGAGGGACCTTTACTACTTCTTGTTTCCCTGAGCTTGGGGTGGCACGTTGGAATAGGGGTGTCTCTACCTATACTTACATCAACCCCCTCCTTTTTGGATCGCAGCCCAATCTGACTAGCTCCAGCCGACCAAATACCTGCTTCCCCCAAGGCTAATTCACCATGTGACTCCTCGCATCGGGCGCAAGATCCCGCATCTGTGCCTTTGCCTCCTTCACCTCCGGCATCGCCAGCCATGCCTGCACTCGCAAGTGAAACTCCGTTGGACGTGGGGTCAGGTGAGTTGAGTGGTTCGGGCCGTACCAGTCCCGTGGTAGAGGCCACAACCGATTTCCATGGAAACCACGAGCCCGCGATAGCTTCGGCCATACCAAAACCTTTGGAAGATGCCCCCCAGATTTCTTTTGAGGATTTTGCCACACGATACCACCAAAACCAACGCAAACAAGTCCAAAGGAAGCGACTGGCAAAACGCCTTCGTGCCACCAAGGTGTCCATAGGCGTTTCCGCGCGTACGGTTCGTGTCGGCCTTACTGCACAGCGAGGTCTCGTTGAAGCTCTCCGCCATGATGATAAAGCCAATTTCATTGCTCTCTACCATACACTTCATGGTCTCCAGGAATCTTGCGGTTCACCTGTTCTCAACGATGGCCAAACAGACTCCGTGGATGGGGAGCCATTCTTAACAACTGACACTGACCATTTCCCGGATTTCCTGCATCAGTTGAGCCCTCAGTCCCGGACGGACTTCCTGGAGATTTTGCGGCTGGTCCGCTCTGATCCCCAGTTTTTGGTCGACCGGTTGCGAAGCTTGTCTTCATCCCAGCTGGCTGCTTTTACCTCCCCAGCCTCAGCTTTGGATTTCAATGACCCCACATTTCCTTCTACCTCCCGAACCCGGGGCCAGTCTTTCTTAAGCCGAAACCAGGCTCAGTCTGCCGCCTTCAAGGACTACGCATATGCCTTCGAGAGGACTGACCCACTCTCTGTACTTCTCTTTAACGTTTTTGCCGCTCCCTTGGATCCAGAGACAAGTGAAGCCCGCCTGCGCATGGAAGTGTGGTCCTCCGTCTGCGCTCAACTAATCTCCAATGGAAGTACTAGATACTACCCTCTTATCGGCCAGATTCTTTCATCCTGGACTACCGGCAGTTCTTGGAAAGCCCGACCCAGGTTTGAACTCTACCTAATGGATATCTTGCAAACCGGTGCTTTTCTTCTGGAACCTATTGCCACACCACCCGGACTGAGTTATTCCATGGATGCTCTGGATCCTTTACGGACGGATGTCGCTGAGGAATTCTTTGCTTCTGCCGTGGATGACTTGTTCCGTGTACTGGATGATCCCGACGGTGGTTTTCCTCATGCCGTTCTGCAGTTTGCGAAGGTGGTTTTGCGCAAGCTGGATAACCCTGAAACCCGCAGTCGCTTTTTGGAGTTTTTATTCGTCCAGTGGTTCTTTTCCAAGTTCCTCTATGGCGCATTGACCTATCCTGAGGTATATCAGCCTCGAGCCCTTGGTGAACTTGCGACGCTGACTACGTTTTGCTACCGAGTGATAGACCCACGGGCTTCTCCTTGACTTCCATGTTAGAAAAGATGCTCGGGAGAAGCTACTGAGCCAGGTCGGGCACCGTGCCTACTCTCAAGTCTTTGCTGTTTTGCGTTCAATGTACGTTTACTTTGGGGCTGTCTCTGGTGATCTACATCGTTGCTAATCTATTCCCAGGCAACATTTCTCAATCCCACGTCCGATAATTAGAAAACGTGTGGAAAGCATGCTCTCTCGGGTCCAGGACACGACGCGGCCAGAAGCATCGGTTGACCCTTCTACGCCTTCTTTACAGACATTTCTTCCTCGGCGACGAAATCCCCCTTCGACTTTCCTGATGCTGTCTGCTCGGGATGTTCTTACACTTCTAGATGCCCTCTTCCAACAGCCACCACATTCTTTGCATTCTTCGCCGGCCTCTGGGGCGGGTCTTAATTGGTCTTCCAGTTCACCACCATTTGTTGATCTTCGCCCAGACTCGCTTATGGACCCTGGCTTCGCTCATGTCAAGTACGACGCAAGTTCAAAACCAACATCACATAACGGTTCCATATTCTCAGTGGAGACCCCTTCCATCTTGACACCGGAAAATAGCCTGTCAGAAAAGGCCGCTCGCATTCGTTTCGAGCTAACTGATCTAGATCATCCCAATGAGCGCTTGAGCTTAGAGCACCCCTCAGACGAGCATTGGGCCATCTTGTCAGTTCAAGCAGATGGCTGTGCCTTGACCTGGAGCCTCCTTCCCGATAGCAGCTACGACTCCCCCAAAGGCCCGATTATTGAAACCGATGATGACGTACATTCCACGACCCTAGGGCTGGAAGAAAATCACGAAGCATTACAGACAGCGATTGTTCGACTCGTCAACGAGAACCATATCCAAGATTCCAGTGACTATGAGTTCCTCTCACATACCAGTACACAGCCAGCTGCCATGTCCTTGAAGCAAAGGTTCAACGAGGCCATGTTTTGCTGCCATCATGACTCCGATTTTGTTGGGGCGCACTACTGGTGGAACGCTTCTCGGCAGCTCGGGCAGCGGGTGAATCCTAGCTCATCCGAGGCAACAGACGACTCATGGATATTGGACGCAATGTATAAATCCTACGGTCGCTCATTGACTCACTCCCGGGCTGTCATTGAACGATGCGAGAGTGACTTTGTATCTCTGGATCACAGTCTTCGCCGACTCCAGAACCAAGTCAAAGACCTGACTTCCATTTTCTGTAAGATCAGAGACAAGATGTGGTATATGACGGATGTCAAGAATTCGATGAAGTATGAAGAAGCCAAACATGTCGCCATGGCTTTGAAGACGATGATCTACTCAGCCCGGCTATTCAGCCAATTTCCCGAGGAACAGCGCTCACGTTATGGGGCAAGGTCATTCGGTGGTTCCCTGTTCCAGAAACCCGAGGTGCAGGTCATGAACATGATGAAAGCCCCCAGCAGCCAGGGTGGGCCGAACAAGCTGTCAGATGAACAAGTCGAGCTAACGCGGAAGTGGTTGTCGCACAACGTGATTGAGAATTTCTGCAGGGGAGAGGAAAGAATTCATCGATTCTGTTACGAGGTTCGGACGAGCATCAATAAACTGGTGGGTGAAACAATGACTGAAACGCCAGTCCTGTGGGCAAGTGAGCTTTTCCACCGAGAACGCTCAATGTTCGAGGGTGGTTACGGGGCTCGCTCCTTCCCGGGTATGTCTATGCCTAGCACCCCTCGACCCTCAACGACAACAAGCGAGGACACGAACCTCGCTTCCCACTTCAATGGTGCAAATATGGCTATGCCTGATCCTATGACCCGGCTTTCTCAGGATACCCCATCGCTGGGTCGCAAGCCCTCTATTCAAAGCATCACCTCCGATAAATGGAAACCTCAGCGCGACTTTGCTTCAATTGATATGTCCTCTATGGGAGGTTCGCCTGGCCGTGCTGCTTCGACATCTACCGGTGACACATGTAGTACATTCTGGTCTGCACCGCAGCCACATCCCATGTATGCCGCGAGCATGTCGAGTGTGTACTCGCGGCCACCGTCTATGTTTAGTGAGACGGCTACCCGTCAGCCTCGCCGTATTGAACGCAAGACACACGGAAAGACGGCATTCATGGACGGACTGAAACAGACACTGACCAGTTTGCTTCTCAGCGATCTGGGCTCCCCGGTCTGGAGTTGTGGTAGTGAAACTGACGCTTGGTTCACGAATGCACTGAACCAAAAACGCATCCAGGTCGAGATGCGCCGACGAGCTGCTGTACAGAAATTCTTTGCTGATTACGAAGAGCGCTCTCAACACCTTGGTCAGCAACGTGGTTCATTAAGGGGTCGGCGGAGCCGGTCTTTGGATAACCTGCGTGCGTCGAGCCACAAAGCTCCTAGCGTGGAACCCTCGTCGGAGGAACCGCAGTCGTCTCTGGAAACAGACGGACGGTCAACCTTTTCATACAAGGCTGTCTTCCACCGGCTGATTGAGGTGTTCTCGCGTCATGGAAATCCCTTTGTCAAGATCAATGCGCTGCGGGACTTGAGGTCGTTGGTGATTGCATCGCTCATTTCACCGGAAGATGCCAGCCTCTCAACCCCCATTGGATCTCCTTCCGGAGAGACCAACGGAACTCGGGGCAGTTCTCAGCTCCACCGGGCTTCTCGTCATAGTTTCTCAGAAATGCGACTCCACGATCTCCCTAATATGGATACAGTCTTACCTTCCTCCTCACCCGAGTCAGAAACAAGTGGCTCTCGAAGGTCTGACTATTCCACTCCATCCGAAGCCCAGATCATAGCAACTATGCGCGATTTAATCCTCGAAGTGAAGCCGAAGACCCTGTTCAGAGACCTGCAGTTCATCTCAGCCTTCGTCCCAGCAGACCAGCTAAACAAGACAGACCGCGGGACCGCATTCCTCCAATTCGGCCTAGCTGCGCTAAGCCTCAAAGACGAGATATGCCACAGCATGGTCGAAATCGCCGACCGAATCGTCTCTCAGGAGCTCTCTCGTCGCCATCCGCCCTTCGCCTCAGACTTCCACTCCCACCCTGGCCATGCTATCCAGGATGCTGCGGGAATGTGGATAATCACCGCCAAAGAGGGAAATCCGGTTGCACAGCGAGAACTTGCAATCCTCTACCTTACGCACCCCGAACTTCTTCCACGCGTGACCCTACCTCTGACCCTGCCGCGGGATACCTTCAAGGCGGAGATGATGTACCGCCGAGATAAGTACTCCAAATCCGACCCGCAGAGTATGTGTCTGGCACTGCACTGGATGCAGCTGTCGGCTAGTGGGGGTGATACCCTTGCTCGGAATCGACTTCGCGAGCGTGAAGAGTTTGACTCCATTGCTTGAGTGTGTCTGGCATTTTAATATCATTTTATCTTTCTTTTCTTCGCTGGCTCGATATATTTTGGCTCTCGTCATTTGACTCCTTTTGGTCTCTTTTGCATTGTGATTCCTTATTGCTTTTGCATATATATCCATATACCCCGGTTCGGGCAATCAAGTTGGTGTTTTTAAAGGGATTTGGACATTAGGGACTCTTGCCTCTGGGTACTGGACCATGACTGGCGTTCTTTGATGATACATCGAAAGACTGGGCGGCTGCTGTGTCTTGATTTCAGTTCGATTTCGTGTTTTCTTCCAGGTCTTTCTAGAAGTATTCTTTCCTAGGTGACGACTAGTACCTACGTGTTCCTCTATAGAGTTCACAAGCTATCTGTATTGATGCATTAGCACTGCTACCTTGAAGATCACGGCGAGAGTGTCCAAGGTAAGCAGAAGTACTACAGCAAGGCCATGACGTCCACCTGCAGAAATGTCCGAGGTCGAACTTGGAGATCTGATAAGGTTACCTAATCTGGGTTCGGGTAGATGATCGGGCCGACGTCATCGAGGGAATCCGCACCCCCCACTGTGCACTTGACCTTTTATGTTTCTCTCTTTCTGCTTGTTTTCTTGTTTTTCTTGTTTACCTCTCGTGACTAGTAAACTGACTTTGAACGTCTGAGTCAGGCTGATACTCGTCTGATTTATCCGTTCCCCGCCCTACCAACCACATAACCCGGGGCTCAGCCTCTTCTATTCTTGTGTTTGCAGCTGAGCAAACTTTCGAGGCTTGTGATAGAATACAAATAAAAGACGCAACGTCCTTTTCAACTGGTTTTGACACACTTCAGAAACCAGACTTCTCCTAAGCTCGTCCGCTTGCAAATTCACCTACTATTTCACCATGACTACCGCACCACACATGCCGGCCAAGGCGCACAGCTCCGATGATGTGCACCAACGGCCAAGAGGTGAGTTGAAACTACATCAACACCCAGCGGCAACGATAAAAGCTGACCAGTGCATTTACAACCACCAAATAGGCATTCTCAAGAACTCCAACTCCTTCCAAGGCACCCCCGCGATGACGGCTGTTTCCCCGCCCTCGGTTCCAACCATCCCCGAACCCGAGGAGTTCAAGGAGCTCACCATCCAAAACACCCTACAGAATGCCGGCCGTCGGCGATCCTCGTCCACCCGTCCGGGCTCGAACTCGCGCCGTCAGTCGTCAGTCAGTGCCCACGACGACGACAACGAGCCCCGCCTAAAGTGGGACGAGGCAAATTTGTACCTGGCCGAGCAAGAGAAAACCGCGAAGATGAAGATCGACGAACCCAAGACTCCCTACGCTCCCCACTACGACCCCAGTGAGGATGACGAACAGATGCGGATCGACGAGGCACAGGAGAGCCTTCTCGATGCCCAGGGTCTCGTTGTTGACGAGCTCGACAAGTCAGCCAAACCCACTCGTCACCGGAAGGGCGTTTCTGAAGAAGAAATCCCCGATCTGGAGCTCGGTGAGCCTGAGGAGAACACGCAGAGCATTCCTTCAGAGGACCGGGTTTTCCGTGACCGCAGCACGAGCATGGACTCGCACAAGAGCGAGAAGCATGTCCAAGTCGGCGTGGAAGATACAAATGGCGCCGAAGTGCCTGCGCATGATCCGCTTCTGTCGGCTGAAGAGGCTCGCGCAAAGCACGCCCACTTTGAGGAGATGCGCAAGAAGCATTATGAGATGAGGAACATCAAGGAGTTGCTTGCGTACGTGGATCCTTCTGGGGTTGATTATTGGTTCTAGCTGACACTCCTTTCTCTAGGCATCCCGAGGATCAAGACGAGGAAATGGAAGATGACGACGATTCGGAGCCTGGCCCACCACCACCGATGCCTCAGATTCCTAGCCAGTTCCGCAATAACGGACAATAGGGATGGTGTATATTGTCCCGATCCGTCTTTGCTGGGTTGATATCTGTTTGACTCTTACTCTTCTCAGGTGGCCCTACTTGATTTCAGATCGATCGTCTTTGCAGTGTTCGCTGGGTTCTCTCATGGCTTTGTGGCCTTTAGTTCTTCTGTGTATATTCCCCCAGCGTTATTCCCCTTCCCCGGGCTTCTTATTTTTACTCTTTTCCTATTCAGAGTTCAATATGAAATGCTCTCTCCTATCCAGACCAAGGTCCTTTCTCGTGTGGCAACAATCATTACCATCATACATAGCGTTTGTAGTCTCGTAACCCCGTGGTCTTCTAATTAAGCTCTGTGAATCTGAAGCTCACCCCCGGCCTTGTCGCACATACATACAAAGCAGGAATAAGTCTATGCTTTTGCGTACTAGATATATTGGATATGATGCAAGCAAACATGTCGATACTGCAATTCCGAAATGGCCTGGGTCACAACTGTAGGTACTTTTAAATGTCATTCAGCTTGTATTTGCTAACACTGGGCATCAATGCACATCGCAGAGGCCATTGGATTGGTCGGGAAGAAGTCACAAAAAGCAACAAAATTTGATCTGCAGCCAGGGTGCTCATGTCTCATTCTTTGGCTTTCTGTTGGGCAAATATAGGCGATTTATCCTCCACGTCTAAGGTACATGTAACTTACCCTCCTTTTCCATGATCCAAATCCCTATTTCCGAGGCTATATTTTATACACCACTTTAATCAATCAAGAATCTCGAGATGTTCCCTTTACCGGATGACAAGACTCGAACTTCATGGCGGACATGGGGATATCGCTGGCGTTCGTCCGATACCTTCATTCTCAGCAGCATGTCCATGGCGTTGTTTACAGGTATGTGCCGTTAAGCCAACCAGAAAGATAGTAATTCGTCTTCTAACAGCCCATTGCTTCTAGATGAAATGTTGTTCGCCTTCATGGTCCCACTGCTCCCTCACATTTTCGAAAATCGTCTAGGGCTGGACACATCGCTCACTCAGCGCTTCACTTCCATCTTCCTAGTCGAAGGAGCTCTAATATCTATCATCTCGAGCCCCTTTGTCGGGGATATAGCCGACCGTGCTAGCTCCAAGAAGGTGCTACTACTGGTTTTGCTGGTACTAACCTTGATCAGCGTGTTATGTCTATCAATTACTACATCCCGTATGTTTCCATGTTTGCTACAGCCCCCATATCTGGTGTTGTACTAACCCGCGTCCAGTAGCCTGGCTCTTCATCGGTCGCTTCTTCCAATGTATAGTCAGCAACGCTCTGTACATCGTCGGCATAGCGACAATGGCCGAGAACATCGGATCAGAGCACATGGGCAAGATAGCAGGCCTCAGCTCGACGCTAACGGCAGCTGGAACGTGTTCCGGGCCCGTCATTGCCGGCTTTCTCTTCGGCATCAAGGGGTATTGGATGGCCTGGGCTGGTGCCGCTCTGTTTCTCGTCGTGGATATCATTATGCGTCTGCTCATGATTGAGAAACCGCAGAAACGCCGCGCGGTCGGTGTGTCGTGCGTTGAGGATCGTAGCCACTCTCACTCTTCGGAGAGGGAACCGCTATTGGATACGAGCCGACAATCAATCGATGAGATCGGTGGTTGGCGTTTCTACCTCTGTCTTTTTCGCCGGCCGCGCTTTGCGGCTGGCATGATTTGTTACTTCGTGTTTGCACTGTTCGTTGCGAGTTTCGAATCGACTATCTCGATGCATGTACGGAATGCTTTTGGGTGGGGTGTTTTCCCCGTTGGGCTTTTGTTTGCTTCTATCCAGGGTCCTGGAATGTTGTTGGCTCCGCTTGTTGGATGGCTGAAGGACCGCGTGGGATCGAGGGTTCCTACCACAATCGGCTTTTTCTCTATTGCTCCTTTCTTGTGGCTTCTTGGGGTAGCTGGTGATGAAAGATTCCCATGGGCTACTGTCGGGACCAGAGGAAAGATTATCTATGGTGTCTGCACGACTATGGTTGGGTGCTTTACGTGTTTGCTCAGCGGGGTCGGGGCAATGGAAGCGACTGGTAAGTTTTTTTGAATGACGTTGCTAGTGTTTTCAGGTACTGATAGAACTATTCTGCAGAAACTGTTGATGAGCTTGAAGATCTACATCCTGGCATATTTGGCCCTTATGGGGGTTATTCGCGTGCTGTTGCGGTTACGAATATGAGTTGGATGTCTGGACTTCTGGTAGGACCGATCTTGGCTGGGTTCATGGTGGAGCAGTTTGGCTATTATGAGCTGCAGTGTGTACTTGGTAAGTATTGCCTTTGACGTCTTGGAGGCTGTTATGTCGCTCTCTAACGGATTTCTATGTTGTAGTCATCATGTCTTTGCTGGCTAGCGCCAATGCTGCGTTCAATCTCTCAGCTAACCCTCAAAAGGATGGATGTCACAGTGACTCGGGGATCGATGAGCCCTGATTGATGAATGACGGGAAAGGCAAAAGGCCAAATGGCCAGGGATATAATTCCAAATAAGTGTTGCTGAGCTATGTAATTGGTAAGAACTCCGGCGTGCATGCGAAGCTGTAATCACTTTGTTTAAAAATCACTCAGCTGGAAGAAGCAGGCCACCAAAGTGACTAGGTACACGTCAATAGTTGCACGCCACTTGGCTTATGTACCTCAATTCCTGATCCACCAATGTGCTTCTGCATATGCAGGTCGGAGTTCTATCACATCTGCGTATGTCCGTTTACGAGGTGGCTCGGCTGAAGCCGGGCGGGCTTTTGCTCTGCATTGTGCTGATTAAGTGGGTTATTTGGATACTTATATTCAAGGTACAGCTGGACGGGTCTTATAGGTACTTGCCTATTCCCGTGATCCCGCCGAGCCCTGAGCTACATGTAGCTATGAGACGGAGCATTGAACTGTTGCCTGCCCTTGGTAAATCCTGACTTATTGGCGATTTATAAGGACACAACGCCCTCTCAGGCGACCATGAGTTTATCGGAAGTCACTAATGGTATTAGTATTTTGGGGTCCTTTATAAGGGACTATAGAGCACATATTTGGACCTGTTTGATCTCTAGTTAGTGCCCGGTCATCACACATCTAGTCTGCAAAGAGGTATTTCCAGTGACCACTACTCTACTATGAGCTTACAATTTACATAAAATATTGATTTAGTGTTGACTCGCGGCAATCCATAACACTTCGGGTGCTCAAATCTAGACCATGATGTCTTGAAGAAGAGTGGATGTGAGGTGTCGATCATGAAACGGCTAGTCGGACAGGTGGGGGGATTGATAAGTGGCCTGTTGATTATTGACAAGGCAACTGCTTTTTCCCCTTGTGAATTCAATCCCCCTATTTCCTTCTTGAACCTCAACACCCTCTTTCTCTTTCCAACGCCAATTCCATCAAAGATGTCGGAACAAGTTCCAGTTGATCAGACTGCGGCTGCGATTGCGCCCGAGAAGCGCGACGGAGTGGAAGTAGCTGATAAGCCCGTGGAAGCTCCCGCGGCTATCGTCGCAAGCATCGAACCGACTGCAGCTACAGAAGAGCCCGTAAAGGATGTTGTTGCCGCCCCTACTGCCACTACGGAGCCTGAAGTCGCAAAGCCCGAAGCCGCAAAGCCTGATGAGCCTAAGGTCGAGAAGCCAGCTTACCTGAGTAAGACCCCGGCACTGGCCGAGTTGTTTGACCGTCTGCCAACCATCCTTGCACAAACCGGACACAATGAGATGTGGGGTGTCAACTTGAAGGACAGCAATGACATCCCCACCGTCAACGTGTTGATCAAGTTCCTGCGCGCAAACGAATGCAACGCCCAGGCCGCCGAGACCCAGCTCACCAAGGCGCTTCAGTGGCGGAAGGAAGTGAACCCGCTGGCATTGGCAGAGTCTGCGAGATTCAGCACTGCCAAATACGGAGGATTGGGATACCTTACCACCTTTGAGGAGAATGGACGTCCTTTGGTCTTTACTTGGAATATCTACGGAGCCGTGAAGGATATCACCGCGACATTCTCGGATACTGATGAGTAAGAATCCATCGTGCAATAGCTAATCTGCCGTCGAACCGTACCAAATGCTGACTGTCCATAGATTCGTGCAATGGCGCGCTGCTCTCATGGAACTCGCCGTGCAGGACCTCAAGATGCAGGATGCCACCGAGGTCATTGACTATGATGGCGAGGATCCCTACCAAATGATCCAAGTGCACGACTACATGAACGTCAAATTCTTCCGTATGGATCCGTCTGTCCGCGCCGCGACAAAGAAGGTTATCGAAGTGTTCGCCACGGCATACCCCGAGCTACTGCGAGAGAAGTTCTTCGTCAATGTCCCTGCCATCATGGGCTGGATGTTTACCGCCATGAAGTATGTCCTCAGCCGCAATACCACTCGCAAGTTCCACCCCATCACCAACGGTGTCAATCTGGCGCGGGAATTCTCTCCTTCGATTGCCGAAAAGATCCCTAAATCTTATGGCGGCAAGGGCCCGGAGTTGGCGGAAAATGCCAGGTTCATCCCTTTGACCGAAGACAAAGTGGCCGTTTCAGACACGGGCAAATCTGCTGAGGTGCCTACTGCTGCTGCGGTGCCTATTACTGCTGATTCACCGAAGGAACAAACGACCTTGATGGAAGGAAACTCGAAGGCGGAGGTCGTCAAGGAATCCCAGGATGAGGCTGCCAAGGGTGCTGCTCAGGAGCCCACCAAAGCGGACTTCCCCAACGCTGAGTCTCTGAAGGAAGATCCTGCGAAGGATGGAGCCCAGTAAATCAATACTTGGCTGGCGCTGTCTGTTGTGATACCCGATGGAGCAGTGAATAACACTCCCCGCTCTTGTTTACTTGATTCTGGTGATGGGTGTGCCCCAAAATATTAATACGCACAGCCGGTTAACGGTTTAAAAATTAATATCGTTAGCTGTAGTCAATTGCACTATTTTATTTCTCAAATCGTGCCCGTGGCTCAAAGTCCTAGAGTAGTAGTACTGGCGTAAAAGCAAACAGCTTGTACGGGTGACGGCAGAATCAAATCCCGCAACTCTTATCGACAAGCTCTAATCTGCCACTGAATCACTCTTGGAATTCTCAATCCACTTCAGCGCCGTGTCACAATCGTCATTGACATCGATCTGAAGAAAAGGGCTGTATCGGTCCGATCAGTTCTTTGGATCCGCTGGCGGTTTGCTTCAGAATGCACCCTGTCCTTTAACCTCATCTCAGATCTGCCCCGAGCTTGTCCCCGTACTTTACCTTTGCGACATAGCATCAAGTGCCTCTCGTCGCGCCCCTCTCTTTCACCGACATCCCCACACCTTTAATCCAGACCGTCCCTTTCGCCATGTCTGTCTGGAACCCCGATAATATCCGCGACGTGGCTGAGTCCGTCGGTATCCTCAACCTCAATCACGATGTGACCGAGAACCTGGCTCGGGATGTTGAATACCGAATCGCACAGGTGCTTGAGGAAGCACTGAAAGCCATGCGCCATGGAAGACGGACGATCCTCACCACTCAGGACATCGCGCTGGCTTTGCGCAATCTCGATGTGGAGCCACTGTATGGCTACGACTCAACCCGCCCGCTGAAATTCGGCGAAGCGTCTCTGGGGCCTGGCCAACCATTGTTCTACGTTGAAGACGAGGAGGTGGATTTTGAGAAGTTGATCAACGCGCCCCTGCCAAAGGTTCCCCGCGAGGTCTCTTTCACTGGTAAGTGGACTTTTGCCTCATGATCGGATCTCCTGTCCAGCTACTAACATTTACTATAGCACATTGGTCGGCCGTTGAAGGTGTTCAGCCATCGATTCCCCAGAACCCCACCGCTGCCGATTCTCGCAACCTCGAACTCGTCTCTAAGGGTCCGAATGCCAATCCCACACTGGGAGCAATGAGTGGTACCACTGACGTGGCCGTTAAGCCACTTGTCAAGCATGTGCTCTCAAGGGAACTTCAACTCTACTTTGAAAAGGTCTGTAGTGCTTTCCTGGATGAAGCCAGCGAAGATTATCGTACATCTGGATATTCCAGCCTTCGCGAGGACCCCGGTCTGCACCAGCTGGTGCCATACTTTATCCAGTTCATCGCCGAGAAGGTCACGCACAGCCTCAAGAATATCTTTGTTCTTACCCAAGTGATGCATATGGCCGAGGCTTTGGTCCAGAATAAGTCCCTTTACGTGGATCCTTATGTGAGTATCTACCCCCTTTCTTGGACCATGGCACACAGAGGCTAACTGTATCAGATTGCATCCCTCGTCCCACCCATTCTCACGTGCCTAATTGGTCGCCAGCTTGGTGAAAACTCCGACCTCGCAGAGTCTTTCGCCCTCCGTGATTTGGCCGCTTCTCTCCTCAGTCTGATCGCCAAAAAGTACTCCCATTCCTCTCACATGCTCAAGCCCCGACTTGTGCGCTCCTGTCTCAAGACCTTCCTCGACCCCTCCAAGCCCTTTGGTGCCCACTACGGTGCCATTATTGGCCTGCAGTCCGTTGGAGGCTCTGAGGTAGTCCGGGTTCTCATCATTCCCAACCTGCACGAATACACCAAACTTCTTAACGATGGCCTGGAAGATATTGCGCGTCGACCGGCTGCAGAGCGAGTGCTGAACGCAGTCGTGGCTGTATTGGCCTCGCTGCGTAGCAGCCAGCAGTCCTTGACCAATGGCCACACCGTGACGGACGACCTTCGTGCCCGCCTGGTTGACAAGGTTGGTGAGATCATTGCGGCAAGAATCGTGGAGGCTGGAGAGATACAGTTGATGCATATAATTCTCGAGTCCTGAATGACTTTCTGGGATTTCTGCATGGTGTCTTCGGGGTGGTTCCTTAAATGAGCCCGCAATGATTTGTTCATGCGGCATGGCGTTTCGTTGGGCGTTGGCTAGGGGCTTTTGCGATATCTAACAACCCAAGGCATTTTCTAGGCTCGGGTTGAACTTGTTAGGTTACATGAATATAGCCATTTATTATCAATATCATGCGCTAAATTCCATACATGTGTCCTTTCACATATGGATTCTCTCTCTCAGTCCCATCGTTTCTTCGATGTTGTATCGTCACGCTTGATGTTAAATCCCTGCTGTATTTGTTATGTGGAGTATGGAATTCGTCAGTCTTGCACCATGTCCTTGCTACTGAGGGTATTCAATGCTAAGTACCAATAGCTCGTCTGCCCTCACTGTGTACACATACAAACTGTGAAATTTCCATATTCGGTCTCCCCGCTTCGATCCCGAGATATAGTCACGTGCATCTTATGTAATAGCGCCAGGAACGCCAAACCTTATTCTGCCTGGCTTCACCGCTCACATGAGCATCGGGATCTCGCCCGCTTAGTCCTTTTTTTTTCTTTTTTTTGCTCCCTGTAAGAGGCCGAATCATCCGCACAGTCTGCATACGACTGCAGCTATTGACCTACTACACTGGTGTGTAATGTCAAAGCCCCCAAACAGGGATTTCCCAACCCAATTGAGCCAGTAACTAACGATCTTGTTCCCTGATGTCAGACGAATTTTGATCCGGTGCCCCACCTATCGCGGGCCCACAGAGAAAATCACTCATTGCCAACCAAACTGCCTGCAGCAAACATTTTGCACACCTTCCCCTCTTACCTGAGGTCACTAAGGCACAGAAAAATTGCACAACTGCTATATCTCTAGCGAGAGATCCCTTGACCATCGCCCTACCAGCCCTGAGTCATCAATCTCTGAGCTCGGCACACATTGGGCTTTTGGGTGAGACTGTCCTACCGACGCTCATAAAATCCCGCCGATGTTCACGACCGTGGCTCTTTGCTACTTCGTGCTGATCTAAGTCGAAATTTGTCTTCGCCTTCCATGAACCCAACTGATCTTCTGCGATTCCTGTCTAAGCCCGCGAAGTAAGTGTGATGTGTGCCCCGCTCTTTTTCCGAGGAGAAGCACCAATATCTCAACCAAGCTCTCAAGTGGCATTGGATCAGAGCATCATGACCGTCACTGTGGTCTGAAACAGCCTTGGTGTTTCTTAAGGCAATACTTGCTTGAGCAGTTGTCGCTAACCTTCGTTCGTCCTTTCTTAGGCCTCGATAACACGACTCCCGTCGTTACTATTTTCCACGTCCTCCCTCAACTCCATTTGAAGCAGAATTCTCGTCTGCTAGACCCGATACTTTGACCGGTATCGGTATCTTCCAGTACGAGGATACCGACTGCTAGTCACAATTTCTCTTAGCATCTTTTTCTTGTCCTTCGCCTTCCGCCCTCCTTAGCAGCCCTTTGGTCTGTTTGGAGATTTCACTCGCCTGGTCTGACCAGTTATATCGTTGTTCAAGGGCCTTCTCTTCTCAGACGGGCATCGCCCCCTTGTTCGTCTGGGTAAGTAGACAGTGCTTCTATAGCCTCTCTCTCTATCGAAGTACATAGGGCGGTCCGACGTCACTGTTTCTACTTCGTTCAACACACACAAGTACAACAGCTCAAGCTACATCCGTCATCATGGTTTACGTCGGTATTCCAACGAACTACACTGCTTCGCCGTCCTCCTTCGCGGGGACGCCGTCTTTGACCATCAACTATGAGGCCACCCAGGATCTCGACTCGACCAATGCTTTCGAGGGTCCTGAGAAGCTTCTCGAAGTTTGGTTTGCGCCATCTGCCGCCGAACTAGGTACTGCAGGCCCTGAGGGTCTCAAGAAGGTGCCTGGCGAAATCTGGAAGGACATGTTGGACCTGGTCAACTGCCAGGTGCTTTCCGTTATCTCCTCCGACGAGATGGATGCCTACCTTCTGTCGGAGTCCAGCATGTTTGTCTGGCCTCACAAGTTGATCCTCAAGACATGCGGAACTACCACTCTGCTTTCGGGCCTGCCCCGCATCTTGGAGATCGCTGCCTTGTTCGCAGGGTTCCCTCGTGCCACGGCTCCTCCATCCAGGGGTATCACAGTGGCTGCGGCTCCATACCGAGTCTTCTACAGTCGCAAGAACTTCTTGTTCCCCGACCGTCAGCGTGGCCCTCACCGCAGCTGGCGCGACGAGGTGCGATCCATGGACAAGTTGTTCGTCAACGGCAGCGCCTACATGATCGGCAAGATGAACGGCGAACATTGGTACCTTTACCTCACCGATCCGGGCACCATGCTCACCCCGCCGGCGAGCCCTCAGGAAGAGGTTGTCTTCCCGGAGACTGAGACCAAGGTCCTTAGCTTCCCTGAGGCGGCTCTGCGCACCGATTGTGATCAGCATGACGAGACCCTCGAGGTTCTGATGACCGATCTCGACGAGGAGAATGCGAAGCAGTTCTACCTTGACAACGCCACTGCCGTGGCCGAGAAGCGGCACCGCAACCGGGAGCAGCAAGATGCCAATGATCACCTCGACGTCTTCAGTAACACTTCCGATATGGACGAGGAGACTAACGGTATGCTGCCACCGGAGCTGACCACAGAAGGCCATGCCCTAGGCACAATTGTGTCTGAATCGTGTGGCTTGTCCGATGTGTACTCCAAGAGCAAGTACCCAGACGCTCGCATTGATGCGTACCTCTTCACTCCATGTGGCTTCTCTGCCAATGGCGTGATACCAGCCCCGGAGGGCAACGCCCCGACGCACTACTTCACCGTGCATGTTACACCGGAGCCCCAGTGCTCGTACGCATCATTCGAGACCAACGTCCCGCACTCTCAGAATGGCAGGGCCACCGCCGACATCATCCAGCAGGTCGTTGGGATCTTCAAGCCTGGCCGTTTCAGCATCACCCTGTTTGAAACCAAGCCCGTCTTGAATGAGGCCGAGGAGGCGAACGGAGAGCATGACTTGGCGCACGCCCAGCGCCAAAGTCTCCGTCGCAACAAGATGGAGCACGTCGATGGTTACCGCCGCGTCGACCGCATTGTTCATGACCTGAACGGTTACGATCTTGTGTTCCGTTACTATGAACGCAATGACTGGAAAGGGGGGGCACCGCGAATCGGAGAGAAAGGGTTCTAGGATGACTGTCTCAGCCATTCGTCAATAATCCGTTAATCTTCTCGCGGGTGCGACCTTTCTATCCGTTTGAGTCCTTGGCAACTTGTCTTTCCTTACTGCACAGTTCTCTCCGCGATTTGTCTTTCTTGTCAATTTCCTGTCTTTACATAGTGCACAGCATCGCATGATTACGCAGAGCGATCCATTCATTTTCTTTTTAATCTGTTTCATTGGTGCACCATTCGGAAATTCTACACTGTCTCCAGTAAGACTGGGTATCTGGAGCTTCGATTCCTCGATAATCATCGTCCATCACTCTTTGATCATACTTAGTTCGGGCTTCTATGTGGTCGTGCCTGAGAAATCCATCACATTATCATATTGCATGTATCATGTCTTTCAACAAAGATCGTAAATTGGAGTGATGGTGGAATTCCAGACCTGGATCTAGCCAATAGCCTAGGTAGCGTTCCGCTGTCCTCGTCGCTGTCACCGTGTTGTTTCGTAGTGTGAGTGAGTGGTGTGTATTCGGGGTCGACTTCCTTGGTAGTGACAAAATGCATCAGGTCATACTTTTTGGGATCAAAGATCGACGCGTGTTTCTCGGCCCATTGGTCGGCCTTGCGGCATGCTGCTTTGAGTTTCTTGATGGTCTCACGTTCGCTAACTAATTGTGAGTCGTCATCTAGTTCGGGCGCGGTCGGAACGCTCATTGTGTTCTTGATAGATTCTTTGTTGAAGTTTGAACCAAAAGGTGGTATAATCCGTATATCTGCATTACCAGAGCAACTGCATGACTTACTTCAGTAGCAACTAACTAACTAACTAGTTAGTTAGTTATCTACTAAGTTACTACATAGTTAAACTTCTCTTCCTGCTTGTTGTCTGATTCTTCATCAGGTCATTCTTCATCTGATTCTTCCCCCAATTTTTCTTTTGATTCTTCGCTGATTCTATCTGATCATGGACGATAGAGCCACCAATGGAACTTCATTATGGAAGAGCTCTTTGAGACTAGAGAACAGTGGCTTGCTTCTATCCAGGAGCATACTCTATCTCGAAGCACAACCTTCTTAACTCCCGTATCCCTCGCTAAACGCCGATCTGGCGGAATGAACGGGGTGGATCTGGACTAAGACTTGCCAACTACCACTCACTTGTCAGTTGTCTCAAACAACCTCTTCTTTAACCCTCACCATGCTAGTCTGCTTGGCAGTTGACAAGGTAGACGCGGGGATCGCAGTGCTCCTCGCCCAAGACACCGACTTGTAAGCTGATAACAGAGGAAGGATATCTCTCTTGGCTGTGATGGAAGGGGCGTTCAAACTTCACCATGATCAATGATCATATTAATGCCCGGATTGGGCGAAACGCGGGGGACCTAGCACGAGATCTCATAAATTGCCCCTTTCGCCATATGCAAAGAAGCTTAACTATTGGCTCTGATCAATGGGAACTCGAGGTAAGAAACACTGGGTAATCATCACCATGTTGGTACAGTAGTAAGTCATGGAGTGGTTCGGTAATGTATGGTAACAATTTTGGGTAAAATTGATTATGTGATCCGGTGTGGTGCCGCTAGTAAAAACGTGTGGTGTCTGTATCAATTCCCGGTGCCGTTAACTAGTGTAGTGGGGAGGTGTGACCTCCCCCTACAGGCATGCTTCCCCTGTCCACTCCCTTGGTTCTCACGTGAGCGTTCCTTACGTCGGCATTTTTGCGCTGGAGATATAGTCGCGAGGTAGCTTCAGTTAGCAATACACACTCCTACACATCTCTGATTTCACTTCTTGTGCGCAAGCGCCCAACCTCTTTGTTCCTCTAGTTCGATGCTATGCTAGGTGGTATCTGCTGAATCGACCCGTGTGCCTCAGAGCCCACAGCCTTCGAGCGTTCCCCTCTTCACTAGTTAGCAAAAAGTTGGGGTGTCCTTACTCCTTAGCAATTCCCCCGCCCCCCCCCCAACACTTAGGTGAGACCGTGAGATCACCTGTCTTCTGCCCCCCACGGGCCCCACCACATCACACTGTCCCCACGTTTCACGTGAAAAATGTGACTTGGGGGTGCAGTGAATTCTTTCTCGGGGTGCAATGAACTGTAACCTGGGTGTGGCTGGTGCATGATGGCCGCGGCCTGAGGTTGCAAGCGAGGCACCAATTCTCGCAGGAACATCGCTCGTCCAGTGAAGATTAACCTACTGTGTAGAGCACGGGATACCTTCATAATGATTTGAAAATCCTGAAGAAACACAACAGCCAAGTTCTTATTGAACTCGACACCCTGGATAGTTCGTCGTCTGCCATTCGTGAGGTCGTGGATGTGGCGCAGCTGTACTTTGTAGAGCACGGGATCAGGGACAAACCAGGTCTTGCAAAAATGCTTCGAGAACTGAATCTGCCGACTGCTGACCTGCACAATGCGGGCAATGATGCAAGCTGCACCCTGCGGGTTCTCGTGCGATTCATGCTCAAAGTTGCTGGCGAGAAAGCGGATGTGGATCCGAAGCATCAGACTGGCAACAAGAAGGACAAAGATGAGTCCGGGGTCTCTTACTGTTTTAATATTTCCGTACATACCGGGAGGATCGCTGCCTGGTGTACGGACGAATGTACATAGACCTACTCCTCCATTCTTGCAGCCTTGCTCCAATTACAATTCTCGTTTGAATTCACTACCATATTCTAACCCCCTCCCGCACATCGAACTAAGAGAAAAGACTCTCAAGTCCAACCTAGATTGTGACAAAAGTGCCTCATAGTACTCATACATCGTCTGTCTCCTACGAATCCACCATATCCTGGTCTGTGCAAGAGCAAGGGAAGATTGAAGAAAAGAACGGCTTCACATCCATCTCAGTCGCTTGATAGAAACAGCAAGGGCGGGTGCAGAGACTAAATTATCACTTTGACAAGAGAGAGAGATCATCCGGTGCTGTACGTACTCACTACTCATGTCCTGTTCACCTTTTGTATTGGTAGTCAACACTTCCGGGCAGGTAGTTCACGTGGTAGTATGCTTCGTTTCAGAGGATCAAGAACGGTACTGCTAAGCTGAGGATGTGCTCAGACCACACTGATTGGCTGGGTTATGGTCACATGATATTCCTAACCAAGTTAGGCTTAGCCAATGTGTGTGATCTGAGCAAGATTAGGCCCTAATACTTGCAGCTATCACCACTCGATAAATTAAATTCCATCAATATCTCAACAACCACCGAACCTGGCCATCATCGGACTTTAACTGGTTTGATACGAAGTGGACTATTTATCTCATTTATTCTGAATTTGCCACGCGTTCTAGAACGCGAGATCTTATGCTTTGGAGTGCTGGTAAGCAATGTTCGGGTTTATCGCGTGAATCTACATGCGACCCCGGTAGAGAACACGCGTTTTGAGACCTGAACTCATGATTTTCTTTCGATCAGACCATTTATATCCATAATGCCTCGCCTAAAAAAGACTCTTCGAGGTAAATATCCTCGCATTAAAAAGATCACCTCCATCGCACCGCCGGTCGAACCGCAGCTTCCTGGAACTAAGGAGAGATTGGCCGCACCGGTCGAACCACAGCTTCCCGGAACTGAGGAGAGATTGGCCGCAAAACGCGTTGAGATTGAGCGTCGAAAAAAATCATTGCGTACACGATCAGCCATACCTGCTCAGACCATACCTGCTCAGACCATACCTGCTCAGACCATGCCTGCTCAGACCATGCCCGATCAGACCATGCCCGATGAGAACATGCCCGATGAGAAAATGCCCCATGAGACCGTGCCCCATGAGACCACGACCGATGAGACAATCCCCGATAAGACAATGCCTGATGAGGCCATGCCTGAGTCAAGTTCGTCAAGATTGAAGCGTCCGCGGTTGACCGAAGTTGGCGAGGAAGACACAACCGATGACCGTCCACATAGCCGCAACCGCGTATATGAAAGGGTCTCCCATGTCGCTAAATTGCTCCAAGATTGGGGCTGGAGCTTCCCTCAGCTCGTCCAACGCTGGATCAAGCACAACAATGGCGGCAGAGGAAAGCGACGTGCAAGAAAAAGAGTGGATATCCTACGAATGTTCTTTACGGACGACAAGGAAAACACGATCGAAGATATGAGAGATGATCCTATCACGATCGATGTTATGGACGTTGCGACAACATATTTAGTCGAGGGAATACGCGCAGAATTTGATGAGCTACGGCGGCGACCCACATTCGGCCAGTGGAATCCGAGCGATGATTTTAAAGACATAGACATGTCACAGATGGAAAAGGAGCTCTCTAAGCATGCGCCACTATTCACAAACCTGATGACCGAACTAGCAGCCAATACGCACGGTAGAGGCTACCAACGCAAGGAAGAGGAGGGCTATCTGGTGATGCTGGCATCGATCCTGCTGCTGAAATCGCGCAGGAGCACCGCAACCCGCTTTCCACGTATGCTGGGACTATATCTCCAAGACGGAGGCGTTACGTCACGTACCTTAAGTATGCTTGGCAGTTTGGGAATCACAGAGCACTATCGGACGGTGCATAAAGCGCGGAAACGTCAGCCATTGAACAGTTCTGGCGAAGATAACATGTAAGTATATCTCCCGGGCCGGATGTTTTGTAATAGATCCGGCGAGTTGATATTATTTTCCACAAATACAGGTCTGGAAAAGCGGAAGAGATCGAATCTTCTCTTCCTGTTCCAATCCAAATGCCACCAGCGGCAGAACAACCAGAGTCATTGACTGTGATACAATACACGGGACCACCTGCATGACCAAGCTCTTCCCAAACGATATTTTGGCGACGAGTATCAGATCCCGCTTCTCCTGTAGCATCCATGATATGCAGTCGATCTGTTCTGAATGGACTTCGAAGCGGTAGAGGAGCTTGACAGCTTGCGTGATAAGGCTTCGACGCTCAATCCCATCACACCCTGCCGCCAATCTCCGCTGAATTCCGTGAAGCTGCTGTTCGGTCCCGTCGAAGGCGATGATATTTACCTCGAAAAGTCCTTTTTTTCCAGGGACACATGATGTACATAAATAGACCGGTCGAAGGAAAAACCATCAGTTCAGGTCCTAGAACGCATGTTCTCTACAAGGGTCGCCATGTAGATTCACTAGATAAGCCCAATATTGCTCACCAGCACTTCAAACATAAGATCTCGCGTTCTAGGACACATGGCAGCTTCAGAATAATATCAAATAGATATTCCATTTCATATTCATAATCGATGAACGTCTGAAGGTGGTCAGGTCTGTAGTTGTTGAGATATTGATGGCGAAATTCAGCGCATCGAGTGATGACGCCGGTGTTTTCAGCTATGAGGGCACTAATGTTGCTCACGTTGTGGGGCTACCAGAGAGGGAAGGCGGTGATATACGTCCTTATCTCGCGTCTCCAACAATCTGCTTCCGATCTATTCAAAGATTCCATTCACTCCCCGCAAGATCACATTATCCTTTAAGCTGTCCAGAGGATAGGATATTTTGCTACTAGCCAAAGCCCTAATCCCACCAACGCCGAGGGTGCAGTCCACTTTCTGTTCTGGCGCAACGCGCAACGCGAATTCTATTCAGAAGAGCCTCAGCTTGCGCTTGTATCGAATTGAGCTCATTGACATCTCTCACGGCGAATTCCATCGCCCCTGACCACGGAGGCAGTTGAAGCGCCACAAATTCCATCCTTCTCTCCTCGCTACCACCATCCAAGATGTCATCACCACCACCGTACCAATCATCATCCAACCCCCTCAAACGACCCTCGATCTCATCCTCCGTCTCACAACCGCTCGGCAAGAAACAGCGCATGCACCCGCTTCGCCAAACTTCCTTTCCAGCGGGAGTCGATTCCACAGACCGCAGTTTCAGGGGCACTAGTGACGCTGGGAGCGTGACAGGCAGTTACACAGGCAGTCTGGGCGGAGCGAGTCTGGACGGGATTTTCTCGGGCGCACGGGGCAAGAAGCGAGGCCGCAAAAGCAAAGCCGAGAAAGAGCGGGAACGGGAGCGCGATGACGCTCTCAGCGCCAGGGCGGGGGATTCTACACGGTTCGGGTCAGTTGATAACGAGGGTTCGGTACGAGGGGGGCCAGCGGGTAATGGAGGCGGTGGTGCGGGTGCAGATGATGCAGATGACTACGATGAGGAGGATGAGGCAGAGCTCTTTGGACAGCAAGAAGGAACTACGGATACTGAGACTGAGAAGAAGAACCTAGCGTACGTTTTTCACCTTCTTGTTGCAATTGGTGATATTGGACGAAGCTTATGTTGTTCGTTAACAGGATTCTCGTTGATGCTTTCAACCCCATGCAATCGGAGAGATATGACCTTTTCAAACGAGCGAAGCTGCGCAAAGAAACCCTCCGCCGCATCGTCAACCACGCCCTTTCACAATCCGTCCCCGCCAGCGTCGTAACAACAGTCAACGGCTTCACCAAAGTCTTTGCTGGTGAAGTTATCGAAATGGCGCGAACAGTCCAGGCCCAATGGGCCGAGGCTCACGATCTTGCTGCACGCGACGCATTCGAGGCCGAAGAAGCCGCAGCCGAGGCCGCAGCCGAGGCCGCAGCCCAGGCAAACAACTCGAAACCCCCGACACCAACACCCGCCAGCACTCCAGTCCCCGGCTCGGGGTCGGCATCTTTGAGCAACGGAATCAAGAAAGAACCGAATGATGCAAACGGTACTCCTACACCCTCTCTTCCTCCCCATCAGAATTCGACAACTCCCACTCGCTCCCGCCCAAAGCGTGAGTTCCGTCCCCCGCCAAATCCACACCGCGGTCAGCTCCTCCCGTCACATCTTCGTGAAGCAGTTCGACGCACTAAGCGCAACGGCGACGGTGGTGGAGTTGGTTATTCTGGACTCAGTCTGGAAAATATGGGTGTTCGAGGTTCTGTCACATGGAACTCTGGGGTAGGTGGACGGAGATTGTTTCGATGAAAGGCCGGAGATCTCACTACATTGCATATTGGTGTTTTAGCCTGGGTTGGGTTGCTTTCTTCACATGTCTAATAATACATGATGTACTAAAATCGGCGATGTGGGTGTTGGGGAACTGTTACAATGGACGGTGTTTTGTTCTGGTTTTATCACAAGTGTTAGCCTCCAAGGACATAAATGAAACAGACATACGATATTTCTATTGGTTTCTTGTTCTACCAACACTGCGTATGTGTCATTTGTACGCCAAATTCACTACATCTTTTACTGCTTAGGTACTCCGTACAGCCCGTAGGGGAATCGATCTAGATAATGATGACCATAGAACCAGGGCGGACACTAGTTAGATCATGATCACTGGGATAGACGAGTTCAGAAAGATTACGCTAGCGCTCTATCAGATGAAATGCACGATCAATGGGCACTGGCTTGGTTCATTGCAAAGCTAATGAAAGGCTAGTTAATGTAAAGCTAGGTTAGTTAATACATAAGTTACTTCCTGGAGACAGAATCACCGTTAGTAATAGGCCAGGTTCCTCCAACTGGGTAGGGGGCTCGCTCTCAGGTATCACTAGACCACGGTGTATCCCTTATTCAGAAGATAGTCAGCGGCGACGATGTAGCAATGATCCCTAAAAACCCCTGTTGTATGGGCGTAACGGAAGAATCCCACAACTCTGTGATCCTCATTCCAGATCGCTGAGCCACGCACTCCATCGACTATGTCGTGACTAGAGTCTTGGCCAAGGTACACCAGATGACATCGGATCCAGATCTGTTTTGGTTCATTTGGATCATCCGAAGGGATACGGACAGTCGCGTGAGCTAGGCGTGTCCCTCCCATGAAGCCAGAGAATGGACTGTCAAGGTAAATTATATCGCCTATTTTAGTCTCGCCAGCACGAATGAAGTTACCGAGTGTGAATGGGTTACGCGCGGCGGCGGTATTCTCAAAAGGTTCATTGACAAACTGTACACCGTCGTGGAGCTTGGTGAGTGCGATGTCGCTGTGCGTCAGTTCGATCATGGTTTCTCCGATTTCCAAACCAGAGGCAACGGGATGATAGACCATGCCACTTTCAAGGAATCCATGCGAGGCAGCTGTCATATACCTATACCCACTATTATCTTGGATGAGAATGACCGACGAAGTATGGAACTCTTCTCCTTGGGAGTTTCTTGCCGAACTCAAAACCACTCCTGGTCTGAGGGTCTTGTACTGCGTGTCATCAATGTCAGCTGAGAGAACTTGCTTCGGCCGCTGGGCTGAGTGTTTGGTCGGTCTCTCCATTTCCGATTCAAAGAGGTAAAAGCACTGACAGTGTGCGATCGATTTGGGAACTTCATGTAGGATTTCCACATTTTGTGGTTCTGTTTCAAGCACAATGATCACAATATGGCCCCAGAATTGTATTTCGGTGGCGGGAACGTTTGCTTTCGTGAAGAAATCACGTGTCAGTTCGAGAATCAAATCGGCGGCTGCTTCGTTGTCTCTCAAATCCATTGTTGGAGAGAGGGCGATGCTCGAACGACTGCGGTGACGAAGAGGGATGATAGGGCCCTGATCGTTAGGGCTGTCTGTGAAATAGCAAGGGACACGCGCAATCTGCTGGGGCCATGGCTTAGGCGGTAGCTCATCAAAACGATAAACTAACACTCGATTGTCGGACTCGATTGCCTGGGTCCCTGGAAAGAGTTTGAAAAGGAGCTTGGTATTATTAGGTTCGAAGAATTCCGAAGGATGTTCTCGAAGATCAAACGGCATCAATATCTGCCGAGCGGATGGCAGTGGAAGGGGTAGTTTCAGGCGAGGAGTATTCCTGTCTTGAGGACCAATATGCTCCATTCTAGATGAGAGTGTAAAGTGTTAGTAAAGGGAAGAGTGTGAGAGTGTTGATAGAGAAGATTGGTAAAGAGAAGATTAATCCGGACAAAACTACCTAAGACATCAGCACGAGCTCAGAGTCAGTGAGTCAGAGTCAATGATGAATCATGAGCTCAGAACAGTCATATGCATGACTGATACTATCATACTGACATGGAACCGTATGTGCAGGTGTAAACAAAAAGGCACAGATAAATGCTCATTGGATGCCCACTGATTACTCCAGTATAATGCATGTAGCCAATGAGAGCCGATACTTTCGTTTGATGGATGATCTGCCAATCGGATCACGGAGTGTTCCCTGCACGTGGGTCTCCACCTTCAGGCTTGGATTTTTGTTTACTATGGATGATTTCCTGTCTCGCAAACAAAGAGAACTGCGACCAAGGATGTGAAAGGAGAATACAAAGAGCAACTGGTAACTGGTTTTCGTCGTTTCGATTTCCTCGCCGATTCTCCTAAATTTCTGATTCTCGAAGCCCACTCTCAGATCTGAATCTCTCTCGACGCAAAGTACCTACCTCAGACCTGCGGACCTGCCACTCATCTAATTCCGCAATGTCGAAGAATGATCTCCTGCGCGAGTTCCTGCCTAGGGAAAAGGGATCGACTATGCGGTATCTGGGAATGGGCTCGTGAACAAGAACACTCTGGCCTGTACCGAGTGTCAGAAAAGAAAGTCCAACCAGACCAAAGAGCCGTAGCCGTTTGGGCGCCAGCCACAGCGGCAATCTCAAAAATGATCGGGCAACACGGGTCCTAAGAAAAGATGCGCACGGAGAAGACCGTAAATACCGTAGAGAGCAAGGGAACATAACTCAGCCTCAACCAGTCAACCAATGACATCGTTGGGGGATTCACAGGCATGTCCCAAACCCTATCAGATACTCATTTAGCTGATCAACGCCGCGCAACCGCTGCACTGACTCTGAAATGAGGGTCCGCTGAACTTAATCTCAATGTCATTGGACAACAGCATTTCAACAACATAATACAGCCCTGGAGTCGGAATCTCCACATGGCCACTTCCATGTGTCCCGCCAGTTCCGTATACATCATGTCTAGCATTGCCCCTGTTAGGTGTTGACCGGGTGGCCGCACATCAACCAACCTAGGTAGTTATGAGATCTCGTAGGCGCAATGTATTTATTCCATCCAATATATCCAAAGAAAGGCATAGGCATATTCCCCTCTACAAATTCAGATTTTGCTTCAAAAGCCCCTGCAGTTCTTCAACCTTCGCCCTTAAGCCCCCACTTAGCCCTCCTTCCGTTGCCGCGCCAGCGCTGACATTTTCTCTAAACAACGACTCTACGATGCGGTCGTCGGAGATTTGAACATGTTCTATAAAGCTGTTAGCTACAAGGAGTACTTTGCAAGAACGCCAGTCACATACTGAGATCATTTTCAATGGCATCCAACGGATCCAGCAATATCTGCACGGCATTAAGAACCCGCACGCACCCCTCGTTCGTTAGAGGAAGGTCACCCAGTCGCAGGTCCCATCGTAGCTCAGCCCGGGATGATGTTGAAGACGTCGAGTCTGGCAGTATGGCTAGTAGCTGGCGTAGGTCGTAAAACACTGTGTCGTAGATATTTACTAGCGACATATAGCATGACATCATGATCAGAAGGGTGGGAGTGTCCACGGGGTCATCGCTACTGGGGATAAGGCTGGGAAATTCGGTTCCCGTCCATGTCAGTCGAGATACAATTTCCCGTAGCCATTGGGCGAGGTAAGTTCCCCACCTATCAGATAGTCGTATATGCTGCTGTGCTTTGTGTCTATACTTGCTGCGCGGTACCGATGAAGATCGCTTGTATAGTTTGTCATTGCGACGAGGATGGAGGAGAGGCATTGGACTTGGGTGGATGGGGTTTCGCCCAAGGGGATTAGGTTGTCGGGGATAATGCTGTTTGTGTTATGTATGCTGACTATTTCTCTTGTGCGGTTTGACTCGGCTTGGTTAAAATATGCGTGGTCTAATGGGTTGGTTGATTTTGTAATATCGAGCTCTGGGCTCAGTGACTCGGGAGAACACCACCATTCTATTTTTCGAACAGGGAATGGCATATGAATGGGCATGACTGCGTTGTCTCCCGGCGTGTGGAATAATATCTCAGCCATCATTGGGTCCAGCGGTGGGTCGGCCAGGTCGTGCGGATCGGCCATGGGATTCACACGAGCGATCGACGATAAAGGATCGTCCCCCGGCACAGGAAATCTGGGGAGTTCCATTGGCGGCGTCGATGCGTTTGATCCAGATGAGGACGTGTGGGAAGGCTCTTCCGCCCTGTCAAGTTTCTTGGGCTGTCGCCCACTGCGAGCTCGTCGACTGAACGCACAAGGCACCCGGGCGCGCGTGCACCGTTGACACGCATTCAGCCAGTCACCATCAGATGGAACGCACCGAAGTTTCTGCAGTCGACATCGATCGCATGATGTCCGGTACGACTGCGCGGCGGGCTTGGCGGAGTCTGACATTTTGATCGTAGGGCTGGTAAGACTGGTGAGCGCACAATGCCAATGCTTGGCTGCTCTGATCGTCATTCAGATGTGATGGAGCAGTGTGCGATCTGGGGACTTGGCAAAATTTGGCATTGACTGAAAACCAAGGATTTTCGGCGTTGGTGGAGCAGATCCGGTCCATCCATGTCTATATAAGCTTGAGGATGAAAGTGGACCTACCAGGTGGTGGGTCTATAAGCTTGGATTGAAAGTGGACCTATGTGCCTACTGGTGGGAGTTGTAAGGCAATCTATGACCGAGCGCCTTTGTATCGCGTCATGAAGCTCGATTCGACAAGTGGACGACCATATCAATTCCGGGGCGGATTGCCAAGGCGCACTGGCGCAGTTGAAGTCTTTCTGTCTGACTCTGGTCTAATTTAGGTGGCTGCAGGTGCGATCTCAGTGGCCCCCTGGCGATCTCACGTTAGATGGCTGGCAACTTGGACGCAGAATCCCCTGCAGGAGTTCTTTTCACTGCGCAGATGGGACTCTTAGGTATGCCTCAAACAGCCAGAACACGCTGTTTGATGTATTAAATGTCTTCAGCAACCTTGAAACATTCAAACTAAGCGTGCCACACAACCTAAGGTTGGAAGGTTGGGCAGGTGGATCAATTGAGTGCATACCCATAAACATTTCACAGTTTTAAAGTCGTATTCAATGCAGCCAGGGGAAGCGTCTCCGCGTCGAGAGCAGAAATAGCAGCACTAATGCCCCAATAATCTGACACAGCCTCGCTTATGCAAACTCCTAGTTTGGTATAGATGCTGGGCACCTTGAGAAATGTCTAGCTGATACGACATCGTTCCGATGGGCGAAGGGACGTACGGTAGTACCTCGGGCATGATCTGGTGGGATCGATCTCACACGAGATACCCCCTGGGCCTGGCCTACGCGGCTATAATTCTCCGGATGCGTCGTATTCGAGCCAATAAGGCTGATAGGTAAAGCCAACGAGCAGGGGGAGTTGTCGTATCATGCACCTACGGGCTGCAGGCCATGTGTAAACGGGGAATGTGGTGTGACAGGGGCAATGATATCGTGCAGAGCCTTGGCAATGACACGGCGGAAGGATTCCGACAGCTTGATTTGAGATCCCACCTCACAGCAATGACTCTCGTACTCCGCACTTCGTACTGAGAGCCAGTAAGTAATTATTTAATCTTGTTATGAACAAAAAAGGCAAAAGCAAACAGTCTATTTACTCTATTAGCTATAGTGTAGCCACATAACTATACAAATAATAAAAACTTGCAAATATCTTGCAGAACATTCACAGCTTAACTGTCGTCCGACTCCGCAGCCATTCTCCATAGCGATAGAACAAAATTGGCACAGGCGCAAATGCCAGTGCCAGAAATCCTAACAGCGTATTACCCCATCCGTAGTTGAGCGTCGAATACATATGCGACCCAGCAAGCGGCAAGAAGGCCCCGAACATTGACCGGAGGAGAATGTTGGCGCCCAGCGCAGACGCCGCCGCATCCGACCCGAACAGATCCACCAGGTACAGCTGGGAGGGCATGATCACGAAGAAGGCTCCAAACCCGACAATGAACGTCCCCAATATTGGAACCATCCAATGCACCTGGTAATATGCGGACCAACCGTAAAGGAACAGCCCAGGCCCAATGACTGGCGGAAACCACATCATCAGGACCAGTCGGTACTCGGGCTTAGACTCCTGGACATTGTCCGCTGCCATCTTCGCCTTCAAGAGCCGGTCACTCAGAATGCCAAATGTGAGTAAACCCAACAACTCGCCAATACCTAGTCCCAGGTAGGCCAGACCAGAAATTCCGGTGCTGAATCCATACTGGCCCTCAAAGACCATGCTGAAGGTGGCAAAGAGGAGGTATAGAAGGCCGAAGATGAGAGCCACGTAGATGGACAAGACGAGGACGATCGGTGAGAATATCAAAAGTTTGGTAGGGCGTACGAGGGCGGCGACAATAATCTGCTGCTTTGTGAGGCCGCGATCGAGTTTTGATCGGAGGTGCGGGTTCCCGGTTACGCGCCGCAAGTATACGGCCTTACGTTCTAACAGGGTGTTGGGATGTGTTTCACGCATGAAGATGAACGCGCCGACACCCGCTGCTCCTTCCTATTAGTTCTGTTAGAATTGTGTATACCAGTTAAGAGCAATGTCACTCACGAGGATCGCGACCACCCAAAAGGTCCATCGCCAGTTCTTTCCTTCGGCAACGAAGCCCCCAATTACTGGTCCCAGAACCTACATCGGTTAGTATAGTTACTAGTACAATCAGGTCGTGGATTGGAGTTACACACCGGTCCTAAAAGGGGACCTAGGCCAAACAAGGCCGCCGCCGCACCGCGCTTCTCGATCGGGATAACATCGGCAATCGTTCCGCCGCCAAGGGAAAGTGGCGCCGCTCCCGCGCAGCCAGTTATGAAACGGAAGACCATTAATTGAGCGATAGTCTTACTCAGGGCGCAGGCCACAACGAAAATGACAAAGATGGTATTGCATATGTGATAGACGATGAGGCGCCCGTACATCTCGGAGAGCGAGGAGATAACAAGGGGGCCTAATGCAAATCCCAGCAGGTAGATACTGACTGCCAAGGTTGCCAGGGTTATGTTAGTGATCTCCAGGTCCCTAGAGACTCCTTCCATCGCCGGAGCGACCATAGTCGACGCGATGTTGCTAATAGCTTGGGTTAGCATGGTAGGTTGCTTTGTCTCTCGTAGCCGCTCACTTACACGACCATCGACAAGAGGGCCACAATCACGACATGACCAAAACTCTTAGTGCCAGACCAGTTGAGGGGGTTCTCAGGGTCATGTGGGCCGTCCCAGTCGACCACATCGTCCTCAAACTTATGCGTCAGCGCCTTGGCTGCCTCCTCATCTGTCGTGAGGTTGACTTCGGTCTCGTCGTTGTTAGAGAGCTTCGTCATTCTGCATGCTGTACTCGAGTGTTGAATGAAGAGAAATTGTGATCTAAGGACGAGCTCTGTGCCTTTGTACTGATAGAGAATGCCCCTCTGGTCGTAAAAGGGGGTGGGATAGGTTTTTCTGGGAATTAATGTCCACCGCGGACTTAATTACACACACTTTCCTCCGTGCCATAATGACCGAGCCGACTGGCTTGAAGCCAGTATCACGGTTCGGAGGTTTTATGGCTGCTCTACTAGGTTGGTTGCTATGATGACAGCCGAACCGCCCGAACGAGAGTCGGGGCGGAGGAACAGACGGAGATAGCTGGGGCGGATGAGAAGACGGAGCAACATGTTCATCCGATTGGTTAGAGTGCGGTTGATCCACGGATCCTTTCCGCATCCCCCTGCGCCTTGCCTAATCAGGTTAGAGCATAGCGGATGAGCTTTGACTTCCGATGAATCACATCGCCTAATCCGACTACATCTCCATCTAGTACCATCATTCTTCGTACAGATGCCCGTTCACTGCCCCTGAAATCTCTATCTATTGGGTTTACCTATGTTTCCATCGTCTATGTGGCGATACAAGCGTGCTCTACGGCGAAACATACCCCGCTCACCCCGCCCCACGCATGATCAGGAACCTCGTCTAGTCTACATGACCTGGCTGCTAGACAAGTGCTCTGATTTAGTATCGCATATAATACCACACAGTCCATAGCTGGAAAAGGTGCACCTGCATATCCCTGATAGCCACGATGAATCCTCCGCCCGCGGGCGAACCCAGCGTCCAACGAGCTTCCATCAATCGTCGGAGCAAACCCCAGCTCTCCTGTAATCTATGTCGTCGGAGGAAGTAAGTACCGAAGATCTTCAACTCTCCCAATGAAATCTGACTAATTTCTCCGATAGGCTCCGATGCGATCGCAAGGAGCCCTGTTCGACATGCACCGCTCGTGGATTGGCGCTCTCGTGTGCTTATCCCATCAATCAAGCCCCAGCCCAGCGCCGACGGGCGCCAGGGGCACATGAGACCCATAGGGGTCGCCCCGAAGCAACCGTCCAGGACCGTTTGGGCCAGTTGGAGCAGATCGTTGTTTCGCTGATGCAGAAAACCACCTCCGGTGGCCAAGAACGGTCGGACCAGCATCTAGGCGCGTCGATTCCCCAAGATCGCCCTGAACAGGGCTCACCAGAAGGGACCACCAATTCCGAAGACTCTCCAGCCCCGTCCGATAGTGGAAATGTATGGTTTAGCTCTTCAGATGCCCAGTACATCGGAGGAACCCATTGGGCTGCCATCCTGGATGGGATTGCCGACCTCAAGGAGCAGCTCGAACGGGATGACCATCGGAACATGGAAAATCCTGCTATACTGCCAACTTTCCTGCTGTATGGATGTAAATCAGCAAGTAAAGAAGATATCTTGGCAGCTCTGCCCGATCGACCCGCCGTCGACCGTTATATTTCACAGTACTTCAATCGGTTGGACTTGGCGCCATGTAAGCCCCTGATGTGCAATATCGGAGTATCGGCTAATCCAGAGTATCTGATGCTTCAGCCTGCCTACACAGTGGTCAATTTTCTCGAGAGGTATGCGAACGAGTTCGCCAAACAACACGAGTAGACTGTGGTGCTAACAATAATGGATGTAGTATGAACGGTTCTGGGAGAATCCATCCCAGACCTCGGTCATGTGGCTCGGTCTCCTCTTTTCTATGATATGTCTTGCAGTACTGGCTTCTAGTGCGGCAGACTCCAGCTCATCTCCGGGATATCGAAATCCGTTGGTGGATACATACCGCGAGAAAATAGTACAGTGCCTCATTCTGGGCGAGTACACCAAATCCGGGCGTTACGTGTTTGAAACCCTATATCACTACTTGACCATCGAGTATTCCATCCGTAAGGATGCTGATCAGGACATCTGGATCCTTTCCGGAATTTCGGTCAGTATAGCTCTACGCATGGGCTACCACCGGGATCCGTCGCACTTACCAGGGATCACTCCATTTGCGGGAGAGATGAGACGGCGGGCCTGGGCCACCATTCTACAGGGAGATATCTTGAT